CGGCGAAGGTGAAGAAGGTGGTGGCGGCGAAGGTGAAGGTGGTAGCGGCGAAGGTGAAGGTGGTAGCGGCGAAGGTGAAGAAGGTGGTAGCGGTGAGGGTGAAGAAGGTGGTGGCGGTGAGGGTGAAGAAGGTGGTAGTGGCGAAGGTGAAGAAGGTGGTAGCGGTGAGGGTGAAGAAGGTGGTGGCGGTGAGGGTGAAGAAGGTGGTAGTGGCGAAGGTGAAGAAGGTGGTAGCGGTGAGGGCGAAGAAGGTGGTGGCGGCGAAGGTGAAGGTGGTAGCGGCGAAGGTGAAGAAGGTGGTGGCGGTGAGGGTGAAGAAGGTGGTAGCGGTGAGGGTGAAGAAGGTGGTAGTGGCGAAGGTGAAGAAGGTGGTGGCGGCGAGGGCGAAGAAGGTGGTGGCGGCGAAGGTGAAGGTGGTGGCGGCGAAGGTGAAGGTGGTGGCGGCGAAGGTGAAGAAGGTGGCGGCGGTGAGGGCGAAGAAGGTGGTGGCGGCGAAAGTGAAGAAGGTGGTGGCGGCGAAAGTGAAGAAGGTGGTGGCGGAGAAGGCGAAGAAGGTGGTGGCGGTGAGGGTGAAGAAGGTGGTGGCGGCGAAGGTGAAGAAGGTGGTGGCGGAGAAGGCGAAGAAGGTGGTAGCGGCGAAGGTGAAGAAGGTGGCGGCGGTGAGGGCGAAGAAGGTGGCGGCGGTGAGGGCGAAGAAGGTGGTGGCGGCGAAGGTGAAGAAGGTGGTGGCGGCGAAGGTGAAGAAGGTGGCGGCGGCGAAGGTGAAGAAGGTGGTAGCGGTGAGGGTGAAGAAGGTGGTGGCGGTGAGGGTGAAGAAGGTGGTAGTGGCGAAGGTGAAGAAGGTGGTAGCGGTGAGGGTGAAGAAGGTGGTGGCGGTGAGGGTGAAGAAGGTGGCGGCGGCGAAGGTGAAGAAGGTGGCGGCGGAGAAGGTGAAGAAGGTGGTAGCGGCGAAGGTGAAGAAGGTGGCGGCGGCGAAGGTGAAGAAGGTGGTGGCGGAGAAGGTGAAGAAGGTGGTGGCGGGGAAGGTGAAGAAGGTGGCGGCGGTGAAGGAGATGAAGGCGGCAGTGGTGAGGGCGATGAAGGCGGCGGTGGTGAGCGCGATGAAGGTGGCGGAGAGGGCGAGCAAGGGGAGGGGGAGGGGGGTAGTGGAGAGCAAGGGGACAGCGACAACGCAGACCGCGACCAAGGAGAGGGTGATAACGGTGGCGACAAAGCTCACGGAAAGGGTTTACTAGCGTCCTGGGCCGACAAGTTCCGGAACCTCTTCCACCATGGCAAAAAGAAGGGCGCCGATAAGAAGAAGAAGAAGCATCGCGGCTTTGGTGAGTGGCTTGGAAGCTTCTTTGGCAAGAAGCGGGACAAGAACAAGTCTCGAAAGAGGAAAAGAGACTGGTGGAAGGGTCTCTTTTCTCGGCGCAAGGGTGGCAAAGACAAGAAGAAGCACGACTGGCTTTCCTGGTTTCACCGAAGTAAGGGCAAGAAGAAGCGGGACTGGCTTGCCTGGTTTCACCGGAGAAGGGAGAAGAAGAACAGGGAGAGGGGCATGCATAGGAAGCGAATTGCGGACGCCATCTCCAACCTCTTCAAACGCAAGAAGCACGGCAACAAACCAGGATTCTGGGCCACACTCTTCGGCCGCAAGAAGCACGACTCGAATGGCAGCAAGAAGCCGGGATTCTGGGCCTCACTCTTTGGCCGCAAGCGCAACTCGAATGGCAACAAGAGGCCGGGGTTCTGGGCCTCACTCTTCGCCCGCAAGAAGCACGACGCCAATGGCAACAAGAAACCAGGATTCTGGAACTCGCTCCTCGGCCGCTTTGGCCGCGGGTCGAGAAATAACAGCAATTCGTCATCCAAAGGCGAAGGGTTCTGGTCGCGGCTCTTCGGTCTCAAGCGCGGCAAGAATGGCTCAAACTCCAGCAACGGCGGCAAGGGTGGAGGATTCTGGTCTCGTTTCTTTGGCTCCCGAGGCGGCAAAAACAACTCGTCCAGCGACTCGGGCACGCATCAGAGGGGAGGAGGGTGGCTGTCTCGTCTATTTGGCTTTGGCCGCCGTCGAGGCGACAACGGCTCGGCGGACGGGTCATCGGGCAGTTCCAGTGGCCGCCAGAAAGGAGGAGGATGGCTGTCCCGACTGTTTGGTTTTGGCCGCCATCGAGGCAACAATGGCTCGGCGGACGGGTCATCAGGTAGCTCTGGCGGCCGCCAAAAGGGAGGAGGATGGCTATCTCGCCTATTTAGTTTTGGTCGTGGCCGACGTCGAAGCAGCAGTGGCTCAACGGAAGGGTCGTCGGATAGTTCTGGAGGCCGCCAGAAGGGAGGAGGATGGCTATCTCGCCTATTTGGCTTTGGTCGTGGCCGACGTCGAAACAGCAACGACTCAACGGAAGGGTCGTCGGATAGTTCTGGAGGCCGCCAGAAGGGGGGAGGATGGCTATCTCGCCTATTCGGCTTTGGTCGTGGCCGCCATCGAGGCGGCAGTGACTCGGCAGATGGTTCGTCTAGCGATTCCACACATCCAAGAAGAAGAGGATTGCTGTCTCGGATATTTGGCTTTGGCGGCGGTCGCCACAGAGGCGGGGGCGGCTCGGGAGATGACCACTCGGACTCGGGCTCGGGCTCGCACGACAAGAGACCGGGCCTTTGGTCACGAATATTCGGCCTCGGCCGCAGAAAGTCTAGAAGAGCCAACGCCTCGGCGAACGGCGTCGAAGATGAAGAAACAGGGCGGAGACATGGCAGCAAGAAGCGGAAGGGTTGGTTTAGCTGGTGGGGTAGAGATAGACACCCCCGAGACTCGGCCTCGGAGACGTCGTCCACGTCTGGGAAGAGAGGGTTGTTTTCTAGATGGTTCCACAGGGACAAGAAATCCCGAGGCTCCCGAGGCTCCGACACCTCGTCGACGGACTCGTCCCGCCCGAAGAAGGAAGGATGGAGGCTGTTTGGGTGGTTCCGCAACAGCAGGAAATCGCGGGACTTGGAGAGCGGCTCCAGGAGATCCCGCCGCCAAGGCTCGATGGACTCAGATGAAACCCTTGTCGAGCGCAAGAAACCATGGTTCCTCCGACTGTTCAGCAAGCGCAACAGCAGAGGCGGGAGGCGCCAAAACACCATGGACTCGACGAGCTCGGGTAGCACGCTCGGCAAGGAGCCCAAGAAGGGATGGTGGCGTCGGCGGAGAGACAGGCAGAACGACAGGGCAGACACCAGAGGGTCAGGCAACGGCCGGCAAGACAAGACGGAGAGGCGGCCTTTCTGGGCCTTCTGGCGCAAGAAGCCCAAACGCGACCCGCGAACGGGCATGGACAGGGACGACATCGAGATGGGGAGAATCAAGAAGGAGAAGCGGCGGCACTGGTGGAGCCGCACTCCCAAGGCAGAAGCGAAGATGAAAGAGAAACGGGCACGTTGGTGGCGCTCGCAACCTCGCGAAGAAAAGGAGAGACTGAAGGCACAGAGGGAAGCACTCAAAGCAGAGAAGAAAGGCGGTCTAGGACGGATATTCCACCGGCGCAAGCCTGGCGGCACCAGTGTCCAGAAGGGACGTCGGCTGGCGAGATACTTGTGGCTCAAACGTGAAAAGAGGGCCGCAGGCACGTCGAGAGGCTTCGGTAGCCAGAGGGAAGCGCGAGAGCCGGCGACGTACCGGCGCGACGCAACTCGTGACGCGCGTCGCGAAGAGCCGACAACAGCGTACCAGCGCGAAACAGCTCGCGGCACGCGTCAAGAAGAGCGCGAAACAACTCGCGGCACGCGCCAAGAAGAGCGCGAAACAACTCGCGGCACGCGTCAAGAAGAGCGCGAAACCACGGTAAGGAATTTGCCGTCAACCCGACAAGAAGCCAACACCTCGAAGCAGAAGAAAGCCGCGAGGCGAACATCATATGACTACGACGACGCGGCGCCGGCCAAGCCAAACCTGACGAGAGGGAACGCGAACGCCGAATACAACAGACCAGCCAAAGCCACGGCAGGGTTCAATAACCTCGATAGAAACCAATCTCAAAGAGCCCGGAAATAATTGGGACTGCCTAGCGACCTAACGAGGTCGCTTCGGCCAAGACCCCCAGCCGTCACCCAGGGTCGGACAGTCGCACAATGGCGCCATCCTTGGTCAAACGACATTCACTTTATACATTTTCCTTTTGCATAACCATGTTATTAAGCGGGGCGTTGATGGTGTGCATTTTTGCTTGGGTCTTGCATGTTTTCTATTTTTATCGTATATAGTTAGACACCGAACATCTCGTGTACATGCACACAGTGCAGGGAAGCCCTGGACGGACGCCGGTGGGATATACCCGAGGGGTTTGACTGGGGAGGGATTGGTCGATAAAAAGTTTTGGGGCGCGGAATTGTAGGGGTTCCGTGTCCAAGAATATACGTATTGATCACTAGCGAGTGCTGCTGCCGAAGGGGCGTTCCCCGTGATTTGTCCTCCGACTCCGGCTGGCACTACATATCTTCCATATACAGGCAAATGACAAGTAAATAATCGGGCCACACACCTGTTCATGCCTTTGGGTAATTTTAGTCTGACACAGAATATGGAGCGGGGGAATTGCATTGAGAAAAGGACGTAGATTAAGAAAAGGACGTAGATTGAAGGTAATACAAAGGAAAGAATCTAGGCTACGTATGCAAAAGAGAGAGCACGGGGGTCCCTGTGCACGTGGCTCGGGCCACACCCTGCGCCTTCACAGGGGTTTGTTTGCCCTGTCACATAGTCTGGTGAAACTATCTCTTTCTTCGGCTTGCGTCTGCCGGCCGTGTACTTGGCTCCAATATCCTATCCCGTGTGTTTTTTCGAACCAGTGATGGACTCTTTTCATTTTCATTCATCCCCTGAGTCTTGTATTTCGCCATTGTCGGCAGATTTCACCACACCCGTCTATGGCCGTCCGCTCTAATGATTATAATGCTGTGTCATGTCATACTGCAGAGACTATTTGCCACTGTTAGCTACAGGCTGCGAATTACACGTCGAGAGACATCAACAATCAAGGGTAACTTACGGGTGGTGGCGACAAGATTTCTCCCTCGCCACTCTCCCCGTCTTCCTTGTGGGCCGCGACATTCTGAGCCGCGGCCAGCATTTTGAAGAAGGGGTCTTTCTCCATTGCCTCGTCTGCGTCTGGGTACTCAAACAGCCGCCGCATATTGTCAGACGAGACTGGGTTGATAATGTCATGCCAAATGCGACGGCGAACCTCGTCGTACTTGTCGAGGATGGAGTCGTCGGCTTGACCTGTATGGATCCCCACGAATGCCTCGTACAGGCTCCCCACGTCGGCAATGCCGCCAGTGAGCCCGAGGCCTCCGCTAGAAACGAATGAGCCCTCGCTTCCTTGGACCGCCCGCCGAGAGACTTACAATGGATTGCACAGGTGTGCAGCGTCGGCAGCTAGCAGAAACCGCCCCACGCGCATCTTGTCGACGCATCGCTGGTGCACCTTGTAGGGGCTGAAATTGACGAGCCTATACTGTTCGGGCGTTGGATTGCCGGGCAAGACGGCTTGGAACTTGGCCGGCTGGCGGGCGCGCAGCTCGTCGAGGGTCAGTCCGCCAACCTCGCCATACGTGACGCGGTGCAGGCCGTCGGTCTGGATCTTGGCAACCATGTGCCAGTGCTCTGGGTGGACAAAGAACTGGCTGTCGTCGTAGCCATACGGCGAGAAGTCGTAGTACATGTTGGTAGCGACGATCTGGCGGTCCCACGTGAAGCCGGGGAAGACCCAGTCGCCGAACAGGCGCCGGCGTACTGTGCTGTTGGCACCGTCGCATCCCACCACGTAGGCAGCCTCGCGGGTCTCGGTGATGCCGTTGGGCGCCTCCACGCGCACCCAAGCTCTGTCGTCATCCTGCCCCAGCTCCACCACCTTGTAATCGTAGCGGATCGATGCCGTGGGCTGCGCGAGCACGGCCGTCTCGAGGATCTTGCCCAGCCGGTGCAGTGGGAGGCACACCATGCGGTGCCGGAACGGCGGGTCGTTCTCCTCCCCTGGTGCCGGGTCCGGGTTGCTGAGCGCGACGAGCCGAGTCTTGTCGGCGTCGAGCTTGCGCCACGACACGCCGTTGGGGCTGAAGCCCTCGGTGCGCACCTGGTCGAGAATCCCCGCCCTGTCGAAGATCACGCAGCTGTCCGACGTGTAGTGGCTCGCGCGGGGGTTCGTGTCGAGCTCGTGCGTCATCTCCAGCAGCTCGACGGTTACGCCGGCGCGCGCGAGAAGTAGTGCCAAAAGCAGACCGGATGGCCCCGCGCCCACGATGATAATCTTGGAGATGGCCATCCTCGTGTGTGTCTAACGCGTCGTCTGCAGCGGATGAGTGTAATGCGTCTTTGTGTTGTTTGGTCGCGGCGAAGAAGGTCGACACAGAATGGAGCACGCTGCTGGCCTCTATCCCTGGCTGGGGATATATGTAAATGCCGAGCTCATCCAGACCCCAATTCTTCCCCCACCTCCCCACGCAGGATCGGATGTTGACGTGTGGCGCCATACCGGCAGCGGGCCAGAGATCTGCCTATTATGCCGTGGGGCGGATAATCACAGCCGGTCCGGGTCCCATCGACATTTGGCTTGCTGGCAGGCAACCTTGAGCAACCAACTCTGTCGCTATTGACCTACGCACGCAGATGGGAGACCTACACACGCAGATGGGAGTGGACCGGAGCCGCCCAACCACCTTCGAATGTATTACTTTGGGTATTTGGCCGCCGAGGGAAGTTTGGATTTGAGACACTGAAATCCGGCATTGCATTGTGTTGGTACAGGCAGCCTTCCATACCAATGGTTGTCTAGAGTTCAGAGGGCCACGGCCCATACATAGCTCGTTGGTTCAGGTTGTTCTCCAACTGCGGCATTTACGGCCGAATCCGATAAATTTCACCTTCACAGTGAGAGACGGTCTCGATCAATGGTTGGCTAATTCTGCATTCCTTGGCTCAAAGACGGTGGCCTGACCCGAGTCAACGGCGGTATTAGGGTTAACTAGTGGTTCTAGCTGCATTCCTACGTGGAATTTGTCATTGGTTTAGAGCCGCGGCTTCCAGTTTTCAGATTTCCGATCTTCGATATCTGAAGAAAATCTTGTCAGCAGGAGAACCGCTCCCCATTAGATGGAATAGTATTCCATAACACGACTGGTCGTGGAAACTTGTGCTGAATGGTGTCGAATAGACGGCCAAATGAGACATGAGAGTGCCTGGACAGAAGATCAGATAATACTACACTGTGAGTCGCCCGTCATCAACTTAGCAGCTGCAAAGGACGGCTTGTTTGCCTCAGAAACGCCAACTATATGGCGTCGGATTCGGAAGATGCCTTGCTCGCAGGCTGAATAATAACGCTCGTCTCGCATTAAGAAAAGACAAACACTAAGTGCGTGGCACTTCCAACGCAAGGGCTGGTGGTTGAGTCACGAAGGCCAGCACAGACTTACAAAAACAAAAAGCGCAGCCACAAATACCTCACCCTCCCATTAAGAGTTTTGACATCGAATAGCGAGCCAGCAGGTAAACCCCTATGCCCACGGTTTTCCAAACCAGAACTAATTCCAGCAGCTCGAATGATTCCAGCAGCTCGAATCATTCCAGGAGCTCGCCGAATCATTCCAGCACGGCCACTGCCCTTCCCAATTAACCACGTGCTGGACATCGCATTGTCCGGAAGCAACTACTTGCTCCGTCGAGGTTTGTTGGAATCTCGTCCAAAGCGCCGCGTTTGCCATAAAGTGGGTGCCGGCACCTGCACCCACCTACTTCCGAGTTGAATACCCCAACGTCGATAAGAATACCCCAACCTCAATAAGAATACCCCAACGTCGATAAGAATACCCCAACGTCAATAAGAATACCCCAACGTCAATAAGAATACCCTACAACGCATATCGTGCCACCCAGAGGCCGGCTCCTAGGAAAGCTTAGGGTAAGTTGACGGCTACTTTAGAGGGCTAGGGCGGCATTTGTCATTGGAGGATACTGTCAGACTGCAACAGCACTTCTAGGATTGTATGCATCAGAGTGAATTGCTCTGTTCTCGTCTTCCAGTCTTTCCACAAAAGACTCTCTCTCTTATACTTCCTTATGTGGCAATTACATGACGAAACCCAGTGGCGAAGATTACGCATCATAGATTCCAGCACCTTCTAGGCCATTCCATCTGACAGATACGCACTGCGTTTTCTCGCTGCCATTTGTAACTGCCCGGAAACCCGAAGCCAGAAGCTGGGAGATGCGTGTTTCACAATGAGGGGGGTTGCTGGGGAGGGCTCGGAAATGAACCAAGAACTTTGGAGGGAGGGCTATTGTGCCAAGAGGGTGCCGTTACGAGCAAAGTATAACGCGATCGTGGAAGTGATCTGAAGACATGGATGCGAGTAGAAGACGGCCACGAGAGAAATATACCGAGTCCTCGCAATACAACCCGCACTACAGTCATGTTAGGTGTACCAGATTGCATTCGCACAACAACCCCCGTCACCAATGTCTACCCTCGCAACAGCCTTGGCTGTACCATACTCGACTCCCTGTGGCGTATCCTTGGGCTCGGAAAGCTTCCATATCTGCACGTACCCAGTGGGCGTGTCGGCCAAGGCGGCGTACTCGTCGCTCCAGAACGCAGGGCTGATGGCGTTGGCCCAACCGCCTGTTGTCGTCGTCGGCACCATGAACATGAGCTTGACGATTGCCCCATCCGCGGCGAGTAGGTAGCACGAGATGTAGCCGACAACATCCACGTTCCTCTGCGCCCGTGCCGTCGCCCACAGGTAGCGTCCCGATGGCGACAGCATGACCTCGGCAGACCAGTAGTTCTTGTTGTTGTTGCCTATCGGATCTGTCAGCGTGTGCACGCGCTTAAGCAGACTGCGAACGAACCAGTTGGAATAAGCGAGTACTCTTTGCCGGCATCGTGGGCCGCACCGGAAATATCGTCGATGCCGAAGGCGACGAGCGAGTTTGCCGCCTCCATGACCACGTAGAGATAGGTCCCATTCGGATGGACTCTGACATGCCGGGGATGCATGTTGGTGCGAGGCATGGCCTTCTTTCCAACCTCGACGACAGCGCCCGTCTGGCCGTCGATGCGGTGCGTCCACACGGCGTCTCCACTCAGGTCGGCCGCGTACAAGAAGGTGTCGTTGCCGCGCCGCCCCAGCGCCAGGCCGTGAACGCCAGACTGGCTTCCATATTTCCACGAGTGCGTCACGCCGCCGAGCGCGCCGCTGTCGTCTACCGACAGAGCCATGCCGCACGCGTTTGGCCCTGGCCACGAGACCGAGTACACGGTATACGGAGGCCACGGGCTAGCCTCTACAAAAGCCGAGGTTGCGTTCTTGCATGCTCCAGAGGCGTTGATACTGCGAGTCAGGTGCAGCGCCGTCGGCGATGTCACGGCGTAGCTGGATATCCTGGCCTTGCTGAGCGAGGCGCCGTACAGGTTGGACTTTGTATGCTAGTTGCCGTCGGCCGAGCTTTCAGCTGCAACACTCGTCGAGATTCACCCAGACTCGACTTACATCGAACCCAATCCAGGCGTGGCTCGCATCGGCGGTGATGTTTCCATTGCGGCGGAACTCGTTCGTCGCGTCGTCGAACGACAAAGAGTAGATGCGGGCCGGGTCCATGAGATTGCCCACAAACAAGTCGTGGACCGCGCCGGAAACGCGTCCAATCAACCACGGGCTCAGCGCCAAAGCGAGGGAGCTAAACATTATGCTAGCGATTTTGACTGGGACGGAGGTGAGAGGCTCGCCGGCAATGGAATGCACCTTCTTTATAGCAGTGATAGCAGTGCCTCCCAGCAGCCTAATATCGACCCACGAGGCACAGACGCGCGTCTCGTAGGATCAATATCAAATCTAGGGCGCGTAAATTGGAGGCGGTTAAAATGCGGCGTGTAACCTATAATCAATACCAAGCAGCGTGTGCAGGGATGGTTATTTGCGGCAGGGATGGTTATTTGCGACAGAAATGGGTATTTGCGACAGGGATAGACTGCTCGAAATAGGGTCGGCTGGGTTCATGCTACCACGACAATCTAGAGACAGATCATGTTTCGGCTAAGCTACCTTTCGGCATATAGATAAGCCTACACTAATATTATTACTATGCTAGTGTTTTGGAGAAGTAACAACGCGGACACCTTGTTGTTTACGACAGGTTCCGCTCGGCTTGGCCTTGACAATCGGGACCGATCGTGGAACTCGACCCGGATCTTGTTTCTATAGCCTTTGAACAGTATGGCTTCGTAAGCTACCGGGAATTAGCAGTATACGTTGTAGTCTCGTGAGAATGTCTTCGGAAATCGAAAAGTGCCCCTCGACCCTGTGATGGGGTCGAGATTTGAGGGTAGGTCTGTGAATCTCATGCATGGCGAGATTTAGGGTTTCCAGGCCAGTTTTGCACCAGTCGGGGCATTCGTATTCGGACAGCGCCTCGGGATGTGGTAGCTGTTGGCTACAGTTTAGTTGTGGTGGCTGTTGGCTACAGTTTAGTCGTGGTAGCTGTTGGCCACCGTTTAGTGAAAATGGTGGCGTCACCAATACCTACCGGAAAAGCAATTTTTGGTCGGCGTCATGTACTGATTTGACCACGTTGACGGTTTGCTCAGAGGCATCTTATCAGAAAACCTCAAATAATGGGTGTGTGGTCTGGGAACATGTTAAGAGGTGATGTTCCTTATTATTCTACGCAATGGTTTGCGTTGTATTGGGTCGCCAAGCTCCCTATCCGTGGTCAGACCTGTTGGATTGGCTATTGTCAGATGGACAAGGGTTGCATGTGGAATAGAGCTCATCCCAGCTGAGCTCTGGTGTGGTCATCCGAGGTGAAAAGAGGCTCAGGGGAGCTGAAATGAAGTGGCCAGTTCAGCTGGTGTGGCTACTTTTGCCACCACCATTGCCACCATTTACAACTATAATAGAGGCCCTCTGGCAGGACCAAAAAGAACAAGGAGGAGAGATCAATGAAGAAAGTTGAAGTGCTGAATCCAACAAGACCCACACAAATTTGCTGCATTGCCCATCTCCGTGACTAGCCCAGCCGTGGCCCATGGCTGGCGTTTCCCATGAAGCATCGAACAATCGAGAATAGGGGTCAACGCTCAATTAGAATCGCTGCTGCAGCCGCGTTATGCAGCCTCCCATTTCAGTTCGAGAACAAATTTGTCGCAGAAAAGTGTTACATTGCCTATACAGACCTTCGGGGCTGTCAGTGCCTTGGCAATCTTTCTACCTTCATGGCCGTCTTAGAATGGCCAATAGCTGAGGTGGTAATTACGTGATGACGTGACAAATGGATCCAACAGCCCGCGGTCCTGTGCCACCACACCTTATGCATCTTCGATCCAGTTCACGGTTACAAGCTAAACCTAACTCGGGCATTCGTATTGCCTACCACAAGAGTCTACCCGCTGCCGCCAAGCACCACGAGCGAGCTCTCGCCAGTGTCATGTTCTGCAAACATCCTCTCCGGTCCGTCCGAAGATCGCTTCAGCGCACTGCTCCCCACTTTGCCTCCAGCCGTCGAGCAAACAATAGTCAACCAAAAAGCAAATAATAGTCAACCAGGAAGCAAACAAAAAGCTATTTTGATGGCCCGCCACGATGGCGCTCAGGTGCCCTCCGCCATTCACATGCTCATAGAATCTCACGTGCCCTCCGCCATTCACATGCTCATAGAACCTCACGTCGCCTTCTCTGCGTTTGTTCTTGTCGCAACCTTGGCGATAACGACCGCCTTTGTGTATTTCAGGGATGCGAGGGGACAAAATGGCGTCGCGTCAATTCCTGGAACCGTTTTACCTTCGCGGACACTTACCAGTACATGACAGACATGAGAGGCTTTCTGTCTCGGGCATCGTAAGCTTGAAACCCAGCCCTCATCCGTCTTCTAGCCATCGTGCTCCCATACTTGCCCTCGTGTTCCCATACTTGCCCTCATCTAACTTCACCTTGCCCCAACAGCGCTGCCCTCAGTCAGCGAAACATTGTGCGCTTCCGTCTCGGCCCCATGAAGATTTACCTCGTGAAGGGGGCAAAAAACGTCCAGACCATGTTCAAAACCCCGGCTAGCGTCAGCGCCGACAAGTTTCTCCTCATCGTCATGGAAGGGCTAATGGCCGCAGACAGAAACGACCTAGCCAAGTTCGCCAAAGACAAGTCGGGCCGGCTCAAAACAAACGCGACAGATCCCGCGAATACACAAACCGGAGACGAAAGCGCGAGCAAGGCGCAGGCAGACCGGTACTGGTACCGTTGGCACCGCATCCTCCACGATCATCTCGTCCAGACGCAGGCGACCAACCTGCTGGCAGCGTCGTACCAGAAACATTTCTCCGAATTTCTAGACGACAATGCGCGTTTTCCTGTCGAGCAGTGGACAGCCATGAGGCTCCTAGAGTTCACCAAGAAGGACGTGGCCGAGGCGGCCATATATTCACTCTTCGGACCCCGCATTCTGGAGCTGAACCCCGACTTGCTCCCGCTGCTGTGGGACTTTGACGAAGTTGCGGGCTGTCTGGCCTGGGGCCTCCCTCGATGGATGAATCGTAAAGCCTACCGCCGGCGTAGCCGTTTCCACGCTACGAGCGCTCGCTTCCTGGATTCCGCGTGGGCCGGCTTCGACTGGAGCGGCCCCGACTCCGATGCCGACTGGGAGCCGCACTTCGGGTCGCGCATGATCCGTGAAGTGGCCAAGTTTTTGGCAGAGGCGGGATTCTCCCCTGGATTCCGCGCAGGCTTCGTAGCCACACTCGTATATGGGTATGTCCACGCCGCAGTGCCGCCGCAGTGCCGCCGTGTGGCTTGTTTGCGAACCTTGAAATCAGTTAACCCTTTGCTTTTCATCAGCCAAAACGGAAACACTGTGCCCATCGTTACCTGGTGTATCATGGAACTCGTCAAAGACCCAGAGCTGTTTCGCGCGGTGCGTGCCGAAGTACTTACGGCCATCGTGATGGATCCCGAGACACAAAAGCGCGCCGTGGATTTGCAGGCGCTGCTGCCACTGCCGGTCCTCCAATCGGTCTACACGGAGGCCTTGCGCATGCACGTCTCGATCAACGTCACGAGAGAGATAATGGAGCCGATTGTCCTCGAGGGCCATAGGCTGGAGAGGGGCGCAATTCTTCAGGCACCGTCCGAGATTATCCAATACGACGAGAAGATCTGGTCTGCAGGAGACAGCCACCCTGCAAGCGAGTTTTGGGCAGGACGCCACCTTAAACACGTCAAGTCGACGGACGAAGCTGGGAATGTAGTTCAAGTCCCACAGTTCGACTTAGCTGGGCGAGTCAATGACTTCATTGCCTATGGTGAGTGCCACAGCCCCTTTCGGCAACCGGGTGAGTGCCACAGCCCCTTTCGTCAACCGGATGGCTAATCGACCCCCAACACCAGGCGGCGGTGTTGCCATGTGTCCAGGACGTTTTTTTGCCAAGAGGGAGATTATGATAACCATCACCATGCTTGTGTCGAGGTTTGATATGGAGTTTGTTGGCTGGACAACCCTTGACGGAGGACCATCGGACCGCCCTGCCCGAAACGACGACCGGTGGGCTGGGGGAGCCGCGGTACCACCAGACCGTGACATGAAAGTGCGGGTGAAGAAGCTGTGGTGAGCTTGGGGGCGACGAAACCGCAAGAGAGCCAGGGTGCGCAAGTGTGCAGTTGATTCTTGGACGCTTCGATCCAATTTGAGGAGGACAGTTTTCTCGTCACTCTTTGTCGAGATAGGTCTGTTGAGCTTCTGCTGCTGCTAGTGGCTGGGCCGCTGCTAGTGGCTGGGCCAACACAGTCCAGTGCTTCGTTGCGCCGTGTCAGTGACGCGCAGCCATCAGCCACGACATCTGGTGGTAGCCCGACATCGGGGACAGTCTTTGGGATATGGTCTGGAATTTGGTCCCTTAAGAAATCCCTCAACCTCTTTGAAACCCATGATCTCTCTGCTAGCCCCTCGATTTTGCCAATTGCCGTGCCGGACCCTGTTGCGGTAACCAATGACAATCTTAACCACTGAGAATCTTAACCACTGAGAATCTGGAAAGCTTCCGCCAAGACGCGCACCAAGAATTCTGACTGGTGCTCCGCCTTGTGCGGCTGCAATACCGGGATGCGAAGCAACACTATTAGAAGCTAGGCACGAAAGGTTGTCTATGGTGCACTAGCTGCTATACTCCATGCGCATAAACTCCGCTCACCGCAAGACACTGTTTGGCTTATAAGTGGCCATTCGTCCTGCCGTCATGGCACCCATTGCCCTCTAAAGGCCGCAGCGTTGGCAATGGCTCAAACAACTCAATCTTGAGGCTATATTTGGTTGAATTGAGCCGTCAACATGGATATTTGATTGGGTTGAGGCTAGAATTGATTGATATGGCAATAATTGATGATATTTGACGGCATATTCCGCTCCAACCAAGAGAGATGTAAAAAGTCGTCAAAGAGGTCCAAAGTAGTAGAAAAAAATGCCGTGAAGAAGCCCGGAAAAGCTCGTCAACGTACCCAATCCTTCAAAACACATGATATCGTCGAAGCTATTGTCGCCCATTCCATGTCTCTGTGTGCCGAAGAATAGCTTACCGTTACTGAATGCCCTCTCCGGGTCCGCTAACATAGACGGAATAATAGATATCAAATCCAGGGCCATTTTTGACAGCCGGGGCCAACGTTCCTGACGCTAAACTACCAAGATTTTATATTATCTACTGGCCTGACTCTCTCTGTGAGGCATTCAGCAACTTCATCCTTCTGGCTAGGGTCTTCAGGCGGGTCATAGTAGTCATGACATCAACAAGAACATTCCCTAGACCTATAGGCGGCGCCTGAGCCGGTTGTGCCGGCGCCAGGATAGCGAGGCCGGAATACTCGGCTTGGTAAAGATGGCGGCACGCCCTATATGCTTTCCTGGCCCACTCCTCTCCCACAAACTTATCGACCCACTTCCTCTTATGACCAGGCTGAAGTATTATAGCTGCCCAGTAAGCTAGGCTCTCCTCCATTAATGTAGCGTATTTTCTTAGCTTCTGAACGGCCAGGCTAATGCTTATTCGAAGGAAGGATATATAATGTTGCTGTGGATTAGTATTCGAGGGCAGGGAGTTGTCGGGTAAGTCGGCGGCGAGGTCTAGAGAAGGGGGTCTAATCTGCCCGGTCGGGAGGCGCCGTGGTAGATCGATTACCGAGTCGGCTAGGTAGGCAGGTAAACGCATATCACGCCGTGGCCGTTGCGAAGGGACTTGACTCGGCAAGGAAGACTTAACGTTATTGATATCGTCGTCGTCGTCGTCGTCGTCGTCGTCGTCGTCGTCATCTTCAATTTGTTTAGCGACCGAGATCTCTGATGGGTGTGTACCGGGCCACCGGTAAATTCCGTAACGGCCTCAAGGTTAGGATCTAAGGTGAGGAGGCGGTCCTTAAGCAAGTCAACGAGCCATTCATACGTTTCGATGACTTCCCTATAACTACCTTACCCTCGAACTATCTAGTCATCTTTTTAAAAGGTTCAAGAACGGACAAAATAACGGAAAGTACGTGCCAGTCGCTTGGTTATAATAAGTCGGCGGCGGGTATATATGCACCTATTAGGTTCCTCGGCCTGATTTTAGTAGTACCAAAAATCCACCTGGGTCCGTAAACGTACTACGCGTTAGATAGATCATAAAGTAAACAGAATTCCACCTCGTTGAATTATCGCCACATAGGTGTAGGCCCTCGAGGGTCCTATCAAAGGATTGCAGCGCCGTTTTCGCCATATTGGTTACGCGTAATTTAAAGGAAGGAATCCCGGCGTTATGGCGACCTCCGAATGAAGTCTATAATATTATATAGCTTCCCGACCAGGCCTCGCTTTCGCTACTCCTTCAATAAGGCTTCTTCTTGTGCGTTAGGTAACTGGCCGATAAATTTATCGTCAAAGCTTCTTTCTATCTCTATCGAGTTACCTAGAATGAAGGCGCATGCCGCCAGGTTGAGCATGTGGCCAAAGTAACGAATTCGACGGTTTCCAGCCAGCGTATCGCGGTCAAAATCGTACATATTAGGCCCCAAGGACAAAAGAATGCCTTACGGCCCAGGTATTCGAATCAATGTCGTTACACTGGAAATGCCCAGGTATTCGAATCAATGTTGTCATACTGGAAATGCCCAGGTATTCGAATCAATGCTGTCATACTGGAAATGCCCAGTTATTTGAATCAAATGTTGTCACACTGGAAATACCCGATTTGGTCCCCGAAGCAGTATTCTTTGACTTCCTTGACCATGTACGTGGCCTGGTTCTCGCCGCTGTGAGAGCCTTCGATATGTTGTATAGCTAATAACTATCGCCATATACGTCGACGTCAGTACCGGCGTAATATACGAAGATCGCGAGGAAGGAAACGGTCGGTGCGGAAGTCTATATATCGAAGGAAAGATACTTCATAAATGGCGATGCCCTCAAGCGCGCGCGTAGACCCTACTGGTGCGTATCGAAGCGATCCTTGACATACTCTCGAACGTGTCGTGCGAGGACGGAATCAGGGTAGCTGTCTTATCGGCATTTAGGTAGGTCCACATAGAAATCACGAAAAGCCTCATATTCGTCCATATTATATATAAGATTCAAGCGAATGATCATATTGATAAGCTTTTCCTTCGAAATGAGCTTGTGAGGCAACAAAAACGACCTTTCCTTAATATTCGAAGTCTCTTCTAAGGTCTTTTGCTTCTTTCTCGGCGCCTCAACGCCGTCACAACCTTGAAGACCTTCTCGTAATAGTGGCACGCCTAGAAGTATACTTCCTCTTTTATGACGTTGTTGACGACCTGGGCAAGCTGTGACGGCGGTCAACAGCATCTAGGAAGAAGAGTCGCTAGTATGGCTATACCATTGTCTTAGGATTCTAAAAGTAAAGAAAGAAAGAAAGAAAGTCTACAAAGGTACGATCGAGGGTGCGGGGGTATAGTGGGGTGCCGAGAGCGCACGGGCCATTATGGTTTGCCCTGCCAAGGCTCGTGACACAAGTCAGCAGCCGTGCGAAGTAATCCACCATGACCTCGTATTCTTCTTGCCCGCCTAGTATTCCGCTATGTATAGCGCCCGTGTTTGTCACGGATAATAGGAAATGAAGGACTATGCCAACAAAATACCGTATTGATTAAGTGTAAAACTAAGCTAAAGAAGAAAAAGGGACAGGAAAAAGGGAAAGAATCGCAAAGGCTGCGATTGAGGGTTTGTGGGCGCGGGGCTCGGTGCACGTGGCGCGGGGAACGAAGTTTATTCAGGCTTAGTCTAGAATTGATGTCACACGGCTAGCGATAAGGGACCCGATAAGGAACCGCAATGCGCCATGCCGTGACAGTGTTGTTGTTATTTTGGGCCAGTCCCTCACCTCCATATTCCCAAGCTCTTTGATATCAAATTTGACCAACTCCTCGTATTGTGTAGAGATTGGCGATGGCTTCCTTAGGGCATCAAATGCTCGCTTTTGGCCTGTGGAGAGGGTCGCGGCATTAACGGGTCGAGGCAGGCATATTGCTGGTAGTTTGTGCGCAAGGAAATCGCTGCAAGAATGGAAGGATTCGGTGGAAAGGTCGGGTTCGGCTGTTTATTTACGTTGTGATGGTTGCATTGCAGCGACCTGCAGCCTGCCTGGCAGACAGATTTTCCTGGGCCCAGGAAAATACAGGGTTGGCCTTGGTCAGGGAGCGCCCTGGACCCAGGAAAATCCGAAAAATTCGCCCTAAAAATGGCCTGGCCAATGGGAAACAATTGACAATCCGCCAATTATTTTGGCCTACGAATTGGTTGAATTTGACCTCAAAATCGTATAACGTGATTGCATAGCGAGCGCGCATGTATAGCGAGCGCGCACTTTTCCCACCCCAATTGAACTATCGCAAAACATCGTAAATTTCTCCACGATAAAACATGCCCGCCGTACGAAATGAAGCACAAATACAGCTTGCCCTTCAAGCTATGCAACGGGACAAGAATCTTTGCCTTGCAACTGCTGCAGCCCGATATTCCGTACCCCGAAGAACACTTGAGCGGCGTTCGAACGGAATCCTCCCTCGAGCAGAAATTATTGCCAATTCGCGGAATCTTGACCCCCTTGAAGAGCAGGTTATCATACGAAGGGCTCTCGACCTATACGAGCAAGGATTTTCGCCAGGATACGGTATAATAGAAGATATGGCCAATTTGCTACGCGCGACGCGCAACGCGTCACGCGTCGGACCACGCTGGGCTGCAAACTTCGTACGACGACAACCAGAGCTCAAGATGCGTTGGACGCGTCCGTACGACTACCAAAGAGCTAAATGCGAAGATCCAAAGATAATTGGCGCGTGGTTTGACCGTGTTCGTAATACAATTGCGAAATATGGGATTCTCGAGTCGGATATCTGGAACTTTGACGAGACTGAGTTTACGATGGGCCAGATCTCGCCAACACTTGTTGTTACCTCGTCCGACGGCCGTGCGAAGGTGAAGAAGATCCAGCCTGGTAATCGGGAATGGGCTACCGTGATTCAGGCCGTACGGTCGGGTGGTGATACTATCCCTCCGTATGTGGTGGTTGCGGGCAAAGTCCACCTCGAGAGTTGGTATCGCGATAGCCCTTTCCCATCCGACTGGGTAGTGGATCTCTCAGAAACTGGCTGGACGAATAACCAGATTGGTCTTGATTGGATTAAACACTTTGACCAACACTCTCGCCGCCGTACGATAGGTGGAAAGCGACTCCTAATCCTTGACGGGCATGAGAGCCACCATTCGGCCGAATTTGAGGACTATTGCAAAGAAAATAACATCATTACGCTCTGTATGCCTCCGCACTCATCACATCTACTTCAGCCTCTTGATATCGGGTATTTTAGTGTATTGAAGCGGTCGTACGGCAAGGAAATTGAGAGGTTGATGCGCAACCATATTCACCACATCACTAAGCCCGACTTCTTTCTCGCCTTCTTCAACGCATTCCACGCGACATTTGAACCCGAAAACGTACAAGGAGGTTTTCGAGGGGCAGGCCTTGTTCCATTCGACCCAGAGAAGGTCATTTCCGGGCTAGATATCAAGCTTCGTACGCCAACACCTACTGGGCCCCCCGAGGCCTCGTACGATAGTTGGGTCTCTCAAACGCCACAAAATGCTACCGAAGCCTCTCTACAGTCAATACACATCAAGGATCGTATTGCTAGACATCAAGGCAGTTCACCCACCCCGATTATTGAGGCCCTTGATCAGATTGTAAAGGGTACGACGAAGGTTATGCACGAGATGGTGTTGATGAAGGCGCGCGTGCGAGAGCTTGAGGAAGCAAATGCAGCATTGAGCAAACGCCGGAGAGCTAAAAAAAAGTCGTATCCGGGCAGGAGGACCATTAACTATGGAAGAAGCGAGTGATATTTTGGCCCAAAGGGATGCGCATGCATTAGTAGAGGAGGAAAAGCGATCGAGGGGTGGTCGTACGAGGAGCAACGCAACAGGTTTACGACACTGTAGTAATTGCGGCAAAATAGGACACAACTCTCGTACATGCAAGGAGGACGCGAAAATGGATGGGTAATTAGATTCTGAGTAGTTTCTATTAATTTTTTCCTTTGTGGTGTTGGTATTTCGTATAATAGTTCAATTAGGGTAGGAAAAGTGCGCGCTCGCTATACATGCGCGCTCGCTATACAATCACGTTAATTGATTGCTCTAAATGGCTATATTTGATCGATTGAATTGGTTAAAATTGAGTTGGTGCCAACCCTGAAAGGCCGTCCACTGCGCGAGGTCGTAGTTGTACCTCTAGATTGCAGGATGCGCGTCAAGGCCGTTCTGTCTGCCTTTCTGGCGTCGGGCGTTGCGAGGGCAGCAACCTCGTCGATCCTCTTTTCGGGCGGAACCATCATCGCCTTCAACAAAAGCAGCGAGTCCCTCGAGGTCATCCGCAACGGCTCTGTGCTCGCCAGCGACGGCCGAATTGCGAGTGTTTTCTCCAGCACTGCCGCGGCTTCATTTCGCCTACCAGCCCACACCGAGCATGCCAATGTCACGGATAGATTATCTCGACAGGTTTTGTTGACAGTCACCGCATGGCTGGCAGACGTCGCTAAAGACGTTGGGCAGCAACACGTCGCTGGTCGAATACTTTGGCACCTTCGCCTTTGTTGCGTCAACTGGCCTCGTGGCAGCCGACGACGTGTATATCGGCAGAAGCAGGGCTCGGTGCCTCAATCGACAGCGGCGCCCGTGTCTTCTGGAGCTATGGCTTTCTCAACTCGGCCAACTTTCAGGTTCAAGATCAGCTGGCCAGCTCCCGCAACATTGCCACCCGGGCGCCATTCAAGGGCACCGCCACGAACTTGGGCATTGCCTATGGCGGCTTTGGGCCGAACCCCAATGTTGGCGACGCAGCTAAAGTAATGGGACTGGCCAAGTAAGTCTGCGAAAGTCTAATTCCGACTACGCTATTGCTGCACCTGTCTGGCAGGGAGTTCAACGTCTCTGTGGTAACCACCCACTCACTCCAGGGGCCGTGGGCATGTACGTACTCGGCGCCCCATCCATCGCGGCACAATCTAGAACGATAAGGCCTGGCCGCCCCGACACATGCTGACATCAGGACAGACGAAAACAGCCCCGAGAACGTCCATGCACTTGGATACCTCGACACATCCATCCCATTTATCTTCTCTCACGCTAGCTTCCTCACGGCCACGGCCACGGGGGCGACCCTTTTGAGGCAGACCAATCAGTTTGTCTCCATCACGCCAGAGTCGGAGATGCATTACGGGCACACACATCCTTACTCGCGTAGGCTCACTGGGTTGGACGCGAAGCAGAGAATAAAGCTAGCTGCACCCAGATCAAGACCAAGCTGCCCTTGGCGTCGACACGCACTTCACGTTCTCGGCGGACATCGTGACGCAGGCACGCTATGGCTACAAGCGACCGTAGGCGCATGGTCGCGCCGATATTTGACGAGTGGCAGGTGGCAGGTGGCAAAGCGCAACTTCAAGATTGCTGAATCAGCATTTCCCAAGTCTAGCAGCGGTTTTCTCGCAAGCGCCCGTCGCGTACAACAGGCCATCATCGAGCAGCCGTTCCTAGTGATGAACGGTAATTTTTTCAGCGGCTACGAACTTGCCTCGGCCGTGACGGAACTTGCCTCGGCCGTGGCGGAACTTGCCTCGGTCGTGACGGCGGACACTCCTCGGGGAGAGGGTGATGATTACGGCGATTTTTTTCGTGCCTGAGCATGTGTCCAGTGGGGTAAAGGGGCTACGTCGCCTGCAGGTAGTGCTTGGGTGCATTTGGCATTGCTGCCGTGGCCTATTCGTTTGGTCTATACTATATCGGGAAATGGTCATCCCAAAGGGTTTCTGTTCTTCCTCATTTTTTGCCACCACCATTAGTCACGCCGCGTGTGGCCATGTTGCGCCCACTCCATCCATCCCGTCCAGCCACGATGGTGGAAGTAGCTAATTTGACAAGGTCTCTGAGGCCGAACCCTTTGTGCCAACCCTTTCCATGGAGCCTCGCATCGCGAATTCGCCAGAAGATGGAACCCTAGACCAGTTGGCATGATGGCACCAATCTCGGCAGCGGATCACGGGTGAGCACTCACATCGTACGTCTGGCGCAGGTCCTCTTTAGAGACGCGGCCGTCCTTCTGCACCAGAAGCCATGTTGATCCGAACTCGAAAACCCCCGCAAACCACTGAGTCCCGCAACCCGTTCGTTAGCAACCCTAAGCGGTGGCGGTAGCGCGGGCGGGAGCAGGGTACGTACGCCAAACGGATCGACCGCCAATCTGTGGCCGGCAATCATGTTTAGCAGCTGGCCGGCCGACAAGGTGCCGTCGCCGTCCGTGTCCCACTTGGAGAACATGTTCTCAAACATCTGCGGGCAAAAGCGCCCCTCGTTGTCAAAGGTTCCCGAGTCTGAGCCATGCTGTCGGTGTGGTGAGTTGACGAGGAGCAGAGAAGAGAGGGCCGAAGGTTGGGCTTACTTTGGCCTTGTGGATGCTCGTGACATAGACGCGGAACCAGGGGTCTGGAACATACGAATGGGCTAGGCGAGTGGGATACGACAGACCGGCGTTGACAACGAACACGGAGAGGAGCGAGAAGGGAATGCCGAAGCCGAGCTCGCGGAATCCTTTGTAGGTGTCCCATGGGTAGATAGCTCCGTCTCCGTCGCGGTCCCAGAAGAGAACGTGCTGCTGCAAGACAGTCTGTTGAGCACATGTCAGCGCTCCTCAGCTGGAGTGCATTTTCGGAGGGGATTGCTGGGGAGGCAGACATTGTCCCTCAGATCCGGGGCTTTCAGGTTGGGATAGTCGACGCTACCATGCGGATTTGCTGTCGAGACGGCGAGGTTCGCCCGCGCAATGGAGGGCCTCGCAATAACGGCATCGAGCTGAATGGCTTGACGGCGCTGAGAGGTCGGCGGAGACCGTGGAGCAGCCACATCAAACTCCAATTCCGGCCCCGCCGTGCTGTCGGCTGTGACCGTCGGGCTCGGGTCCCGGGATGATCGCCCAGACATGGCCGGTGGTGCTGAGACAACAAGCAGCGGCAGAATGGGAGATGGGAAGGCAGGGGAGATGGGAGGGCAGGGGAGATGGGAAGGCTGGGGAGATGGGAAGGCAGGGGATGCTGGGCAGGCAAATTCCGAGGAGCGAGTTCAAGCCCAGAATAAGAAGAGACCGATGTGTAAATACCAGAACGAAGACTAGCGCCTCGCCATCGTATCAATTTCTTGACGTCATGGAGGCAGCCCCATGGAGCAAACCCGTCACATGCCTATCACGTTCGAGCTGGGAACTCGACATGGCGTGGAGACGATTCCGTGCCGGTTCCATTTCACACAATCTCCTGGGGGCCAGCCGAGAAAACTGTCGACGGGTAGCTAGGAAAAATGCAGCAAAATGCCACGGGGTTCATGTTACTGGCGAAGAACACAGGTCAGCCACCGTTGTCACGGAACTGGCCTGTCCGAACCCCGGCTGCGAGAAAAGGGTGCCGAGATTCCCGTGTTGCATGGATGCCTGTCTGAGCTGATGTGAGACTTCCAAGGCCGCCGCAAATGGCAATAACCGCCGACAGGCTCGGTATTCCGGACAGGCAGCCCTAGCTCGCCATTGGCAGATTCGGGTCTGGTCGCTGCAGGAAACAGGATTGGCGGCCGTGGACCGTGAATAAAACCGCCCCTCGCCCTCACGGCGCAACCTTCTCTGATCCCTCCATCGCTCTTCAACGTTGTCGGCCTCAAACACTGAGAAGCTATCACCAAACTCCGACCCTAGCCCACCCTAGCCACCCTAGCCACCCTAGCCACCCTAGCCACCCTAGCCTACCCTAGCCCACGCTAGCCCACGCTAGCCATGAACCGCCTCCTCTCGGCGCTCAAATCCACGCCGGGGCTCCTGCGCGGTGGCGCCACCAGTGCGCCGCCCAGCGACGCACCGCCAGCGCCGCCGTTTCCGCCCATGGACCTGAAACTCTTGCACAGTTGCATCGCGTCCCCCCGAGAAAACTACACGGTCGCGCACGCCGTGATGCACCCGGGCATGGAGACACTCCCGCACTTCCACACGCAGCACGCCAAGACCCTGACTTTTGTCCGAGGCAGGGCGCTCAGCGTGTCAGTCGCTCCAAACGCGACCTCGCGCGACCCAGCTGAGATGGTGGCTTATGAGCTGCGCGCTGCCGGGGACAAGATCGCGGTGCCGGCGGGGACGTTGCATACCTTCAAGCTGGCCGAGAATGCCAGCGACGACAATGGCGCGGAGGTCGAGGCGGGCTGCGAGCTGGAGTTGCGTTTCGACCCGGGGGCGCCCGACCTGGAGCGCCTGGTGGTCATCGTGCAGCGGCTGAAGGTCGAGGACACGAGCGGGGAAACCCTGTCGGCCGTCGTTTCCGAAACCGCGGCCAAGGCCAAGGTCAAGGTGGACCTGGAAACTATGCACCTCGTGCCGTTGGGCGTTTATGTCCGTCTTGGCGACATCAGCAACGTGGGCGATCTGGCCAAGGTGATCGCCGGACTCAACAAGAAGAGAGGCGCCTTGGTACGCGGTGTGGCCGAGGAACTTGTGGCACGGTATGCGACCGATGGCCAGGTCGAGAAGGCCGTTGTGCTAGCGGCGTCCGGGGCGTGAGCGTTCTGCTGGTTAGTGGGTTGAGATATGGTCCTCTGTATTCAGCAGTGAGACCACCCCTGCTGGCGTTATCTGCGTTATCCGTTAGAACAGCACCTAGTTGGTTGCAAGTGAATCTGGAGTGATTAGTAACCGGCCACGTTAGAACAGCACCCGGTTGGTTGCAAGTGAATCTGAAGTGATTAGTAACCCGCCAGCCCCAACTCTGCCCCTTGCCCCGCAGGCCCTTGCACTTTGCGCTGCACGATTAGAAAAGCGGCCAGGAGGCAACCAGTCCAACATGACGGGGAGAGACTCGGAGGCAGCAGTTGATGCTCTACATGTCAACCTGTATTTTTGCCCTGCGTGTGGAAAACCGTGTGGTCGAGGTAACTAAGTGGTGACCCCAAAGCGACCTGCCAAGGTGTTGCGGGGCTTAGCCCTGGTTGAACGCTTGGGCCACCAGCCCGCACATGGGTTCTCGCCTACACATTTAGTACGGGGACTAGCCCCTCCTAGAGTTTACCACAACACACAAGCATAAGGCAGCCCGTGCGCTCGAGGCGTACGAATCTCGATGACTCTGCGCCCTGAAAGCCCCACCACAGGATTAGCCTCAGGGTTAGGGTATACCCCGCACCTAGAATCGCACTTCATAGCTGGTGGCCTTCGGCCTGTAGTTTTAGAGAGGACAACCCATTCCACACCGTTCTTTCAGCCCCCAGAATCCACCCACGCACGCCATGTGCCCTACTGCCGTCGGCATCTCGCTGGCAATCGACAGCCCAGGCCAAGACTTGTCGCAACTGTAGTAGTACAAAGACCAAGTGCGATTTCCAACGCCCTTGTTCTCGCTGTGCTGCCAAGAACACGGTATGTTCGTATCCAAGAGCGAAGGGGTATCCTGATAGAGGCACTCGCTCAGACAATCCCCCTTGCAACTCTCAGATGTCAGCAGTGGCCTCTGCGTTTTCTCATCGTGCGATTCATGAGCCGGCAGGCGTTGCCCACACAGACAACCGCCGCCCATTGTGCACCATCTCGACTGCGGCCCCGGAGACCAACCCATTGGCGACCCACACCGTGAACAAGGCCTGGCCGCAGAGGAGCGCACTATCCAACCGAAACCGCTCGCTGCATGTATGAGCATTGCCTGTGTCATTGTCTCCCAAATACCCCACTCGAGGGGATTTGTCTGGACAATGATCGACCACGAAGCAAGCCGGATTGGAAATGAGGTATGCATAGATGAACAACAGCCGATAAGAGTACAAGAGAGTTGAATCATCTAGGATCGTCGTCGTCGGTTTTGCTCTTGCGCTTATCATTGGCGGCGAAGCATGCAACCTCATCATGGATCCATACTCAATTCCTCGCCGAGCAACAGGCGTCTATGGGAGTCCAGGAGTCTTTGGAAGTGGGAGAACGAGTACGATGCATTAGCGAGCGAGGGCGCTAACAAGAAACAACAGCTTGAAACACTGGGTGATCTCGTAGTAGCAAAGCATAGCAGCGGGGATGGCGAAGCGATGCGGGACGGGTGTGGCGGCAATGCCATGGCCGGGGCCCTGGACGACTGGCACGCAGGACTGGATGGGTGGGCATGTTACTGGCCGCAGTGTTAGTGGGACTGTAGGTGGCGAGCAACTACAGTCCCGCTAACACTCGTAGTGCTGTGGGTTCGTGATTCGAGACTAATGAGTTTGTTTCTTCCAAGTGGATTAGTTTGGAGGGTATATCAACCACCAAATCACTCCTTGTCGCTTGAGAGATGCCAACATCGCCGGCATGTTTCGACCTGAGCCGATCCGCCAATGTTGACGGCTGCAAACCTGCAGCCCGAGATGTCGGCGGCCGGGCTTGGCATTTGGCGAAATTTGCCGAGCCTGCGCGATGACTAGTCCGCAAGCCCACATCCGGCCAACATTGCCGGCTCCGGTCTTGCCCAAACGCGCAAACATTGGACTCGGCTGCCGCAGGCACGGCATGGTTATTGAACCCAGCCAGTGGCATCATTCGTGCAGTTCTGTCGCCAAAGGAACCCAGTTCCCTCACCTATAAAGATGGAGAACCCGCATAATTACTCTCTCGTCAAAGACACTCCTCCATTTGATCCAACTGACCACGGCAGCCCACTTAGCAAACCTTGCGGCAGTGTTGACGTCTCCAAAAACCGACTTCATTGTCCAAGGGCGGCCGATTCCCTCGCTGGATGCCGGAGAGCTCTTGGTTCGCAACCATGCCGTCGGACGTAACCCGATCGACTGGCAGAGACAGGCGTGGAACTTTGTTATTTCATCTTTCCCGGCCATTCTCGGTACATGTATGTGACCCGGGACACGTCGATCAAAACTGTGTTTGAATGCCGACAGACTTAGATGTCAGCGGGGTGGTGGTGGAGTCGGACCATCCGTGACAATCTTCAAGCCTGGCGATCGCATCATCGGGTTTGCCCACGGCCTTGTCTCCAAAAACCTGGACAATTGCGCATTTCAGACATATACGGCCCTGAAGGCCAATGTATACGGCCCTGAAGGCCGATGCGGCAGTTGTGATACCTGCCTCGCTAACATTTGTGCAAGGCGCCACGCTGCCTACCGCTATCGGCACGGCCGCCATGTCGCTCATCGACGGCTTCGGCTTCTCGTTAGCTGGTTGGCAGCCGGCCCCCAGGGTTGTCCCGCCGCAGTCTTCCGCCATCTTGGTCTGGGGACGCGCCTCAGCCGGTGTTGGGAGCATGACGGTTCAGCTTGCCTCCATGGCAGGGTTTGTCGTGTTTGCAACGGCGAGCGAACATCAACATTCTCGCCTGCAAGCTCTTGGGGCTTCAGAAGTGGTCGATTACCATTCACCCGCGTTAGTTGACAGACTCGTTGCCGCTGCCGTGCGCGCCGGTGTGCAGATCGAGTACGCCGTCGATGCCATATCGCTCTTCGATGCCATATCGCTCGTCGACACGCTTCCGGCGGTCGTAGAGGTGCTGACGAGGTTTCCCGGACCCAACTTCAAGACATCGCACATAAAACCATGGCCTAGCAACCTGGCCTGGCCCGATGACATTTCCATCCAGCACGTCAGGGGAGACGACTTGTGGGGCGGCAGAGAGGATTTGTGTACTTGGTTGTACGGCGAAGCTTTGCCGAAATGGCTCGCCAAAGACGGCATCGTCTTGTCCCCGCACAGGGTTGTTGACCGGGGCGTGGCTGGTTTGCAGAATGGACTGAACGCGTTGAGGAGGGGGTTAGCGGTAGAAGTTGGTGGTTGAGATTTAGGCCGCTCAGTTGTGTGACTCGTGGCTTGAAGGCCCGTCAGCAACGGGCACAGATTTGGTATAGACGTAGCAAATTATCCATCAGCTACACGGGGCGTCGACTCCCGCTCTCGGACCAGAACGGGCTTCTTGGAGTCTACTGAGATGTGAATCGGGGGCGGGGAAATAGAGCAGATAGATAGACACGGCCTCCTAGAACATGATCTCTCAACTGCAAGATAGCAAGGTCTCTCGTTCATGTCTGCAACGGGTAGACTCTGTAAATAGTGTAGGAGTTTGTCTCATCTTGCCCGTGATCGAAGTTGACAGCGCATTGAATTGTCTGGCCAAATAGGTCTAAAAGTACAGAAAGAACGCTTCCTTATACTCGTTGAGAGAGGCAAGGGAAGTGTTGTAATTAGCCCGAAATGAGGGCATTCCGAATGAAATGAGGGCATTCCGAATGAAATGAGGGCATTCCGAGGCCAAGAATGAAGAAAGTATTCCGTACAGAGGCGTGCAGGGCCTGGAAAATGTGGTTCAATTCCATGAAAAGTGGGTCAATTCCAGGCGACATCTCACCTAATTGTGTTAACCGCCACCCCCCACCGATCACCCTACCACCCGATCACCCTACCACCCGATCACCCTACCACCCGATCAACCTACCACCCGATCACCCTACCACCCGATCACCCCTTTTACATCCTGAACAACTAATCTTACCGCCAACATGACAACCCAGCTGCCAGGCTGCCCGGCACATTAAGGTTTGAATCCGTTCCTCTTGAAGGCTCTTAATCACAAGACGATTGATTCGCAAAAGTATTCTCCAGGGTTATACATGGTGTAAGTAGGGACTTTATAAAGCTACTTTATCTTGCTAATAAACTAAATTATGAGCTACGTATTTACAAATCGACCGGTTCGCTGCGACTTGGCGTACCTGACGAGGACGCACTAAACAACGGCGAACATGCGTTTCCATTGGCGTTTTGCCCATAATTGTGCCCCTCGATTAGTAAAATGTAGACAGGCATGTCTTAGCATCTTTATTGTGAACACATAAATATATCGGGGTTTAATAGCAAGGCGCTGCTTTTCGCAACGGTCAGCTGATGTGGTCCCCTCTGTCGTTCTAGAACTAGGAGAACTGCGTCTATGTAATTATTCCATGTAGACGACATCTCGGAAAATAAGTAACTTGGTACCTAGTGGCACGCCAATGTATTCGACATGGATAATAATGTTTCGAAGACGGATATTAATTGGGTACCTACCGTTGAGTCCTTTCCCTTGCTGCAATTACCTCGCACAAACGTGACGGCCTTGACGACAGTGGGGGGAATGGTGGACCCGGGAGCCGAGAGTGGCAGAGCCGAGAGTGGCAGAGCCGCAGGAGCAACAAAAGTTAGGTGATATTAATTAGTATGCGGCACTAATCGATAAGGCTCTAGTTCCCTTTTATGCATATGGCTTGTGCGCTTGTGCGCCCCTGAGCCCTGGGTAGACATTCCTGTCCTTTGGACCGGCCTCAGTGCCCGTCACGTACTCCTCACTAACCTTCCCTCCCTACGGCCGACCAACGCCCATGATAATGACTATTCAATGTGGTTAGGTGCACCGGTAGTCAGTACTACTCTTTTCCACAACGCAATTCCATCTTCGTATGTAACCTTGTCCAGGGGCATAGCCAAAGTACGACCGGTATACCATCGAGATTCCAGCAGGTGACTACGAAATCTTGAAAAACTCTTGTCAGCCTCGCCCAGCCTGGGAACTCCATTAAATTGGTAACCATCCCACCAACACATCGTCACGGCATGAAGCCCGAGGTCGTTAACCAATTCATCGTAAACACCGTCGGGAAAAGAAAGTGCATACCGCGCATTTAATAGCAACCGGCCCTACTGGACTATCTCCGACAACCCCGCCTCTAACGGCATTCGTTGGTCCGTTGGCCAAGAAAGCAGAGCCGTGATTGGATGCATGTCCCTACGGGCACGGAGGGCCAAGAAAGCAGAGCCGTGATTGGATGCATGTCCCTACGGACACGGAGGGCCAAGTGAAAGCGAGGGCGAGAGCGAGAGACCTTGGCAAGCCAAAAGGAGCCAGTAATCATGAAATATCTACGGCCAATAAGATGTTGATGTTCTGCATTTGAGCCAACCAGTGCCCGTTTCCAGACATCAGTCTTGCGCGGATTATCTCGACCGCTGGTAACGCCGAGGTTCAGGTTGGACAACAGAGCAAACTCATCCGCAGCCACATGCATTTTGGGCCAGTTGCTGCTGATAAATCATGGTATGCAATGCGTTGCACCTGCACGCAAACACGGTATACGTACCACCCGTCTAGGAACTGCATGCCGAATACCGAGCATTGATGATAAATCACAACATTCGAGAATGTGCAGTTATCGTTGCCGATAAATCACAACATTCGAGAATGATGCAGTTATCCTTGCCACGATCAGATTTCAGTCGGAATATATCCGGGAGCATAGTCGAAGCTAGACGATCTACCATAATGGACCAGCCGTATCAGCTCGACAAACTTCGGTGCCTTGACAGCCGCTCCTTGACAACCGCGGCTCATCCCGAGACGGGTGCTACCAGCCACAAACACAAACTGCTAGTGTGGTGGGGTAGTCTCAGCTGCAGTACTCGCTCAGTGCACGCGGGAGGGACTTTCAGGGCCCACGGAACCTTCCTCGGGGATCCCCACGAGCCAGGCCCGGCTCTGCGGACGGGGATGCTGGCCGGCCCCTAAGTCCGAGTCCGGTTTCACCTACGGGCTTCGATAAGATAGACTGGAACCCGGAGTCTACATAAGACTCCATTCCTGCTGGCCGTTCCCATTTTTTGCAGCTTCCATACGCTATCACCACGCCGCACAGCGACTTGACGATCTGCCAACGGCCACTCCCGCATCCGCAACCCCCCAGCTCCGGACCTCCCTCCGAAATGGCGCCCAACCTCGAGGCCGGCGCCCTGTTCAGCGTCAAGGGCATGGTGGCCGTCATTACCGGCGGTGGCTCTGGTACTTTCCCCCGTCCCCTATGTCCATGCACGCTCGGGCGACTGACACGCACAACATGATAGGCATCGGCCTCGTCATGTCGCAGGCCCTTGCTGCCAACGGCGCGGCAAAGGTGTACATCCTCGGGCGGCGCCTCGACGTGCTGGAAGAGGCGGCCGCGGCGACGTCACCAGCAAACGTGTTGGTGCCCGTGCGGTGCGACGTAACGTCCAAGGAGTCGCTGCAGGCGGCCGTCGACACCATCACGCGCGAGACGGGCTTCGTGAACCTGCTGCTGGTCAACTCGGGCGTCATCGGGCCGCTCAACGGCTACCAGGCAGTGAGGACGACGACGATTTCGGACCTACGCCGGGCCGTGTTCACCGACATGGACGCGGCCGCCATGACAGAGACGATGCACGTCAACGTCACGGGTGCCTTCTTCACCATGGCCGCCTTCCTCGAGCTGCTCGACGCGGGCAACAAGCACGCCGTGGCCGGGGCCGGGTTCGACGCCCCCGTCAACGACGCCCAGGCCCGCGCCGGCGTCCCGTCGGTCCAGAGCCAGGTCGTATACACGAGCAGCATCTCGGGCTATAGCCGCGACGGCCTCACGTCGCCGCCGGCCTACGCCAGCTCCAAGGCCGCCGTGCTACACCTCACTAAGCTCAGCAGCTCGAGTCTTGCAAAGTTTGGTATCCGCGTGAACGCCATAGCTCCAGGCCGTGAGTACCTGCCCCCTTGTATTATAACTACGCGCTTCGCGTGAGCCCGCTGGGACGGTGCCGAGAAAATGCTGATCTCCCCGCACCCAGTCTTCCCATCTGAGATGGCCAAGGGCATCATTGGGAACCGCACGCCAGAGACAGAGGAGCTCACCGACCAGAAGTTCATCCCCGCGCGGCGCTTCGGCACCGAGGAGGACATGGCCGGCACCATCTTGTATCTCGCCAGCCGCGCTGGTGGGTTCTGCAACGGCACCCTGCTAGTCATGGACGGCGGGCGGCTGTCGCAGACGCCCTCGGCTGTTTAGTCTGGGCGCTAGTGATTTCCAGCAGGTTAGAAATACGACTAGAATGTCTCTCGGTTTTAGGGGCAGGATGTTGTTCGTCGGTTTCAGGGGCAGGAAGTTGTTCGTACTGGAAGGAAAGCTTCGAAATATTGTCATGAATATGATGGACAACAGTAGGCAGAAACCATTCTGATACCGAGTAGACTTCTGTTGTTAATACCTCTCCACTGAATGGAGGGTTTCGTGGCACCGATTCTGCGCCATAGCCATCCAGTGAATTTGTAATTATGCAACATCCCAGTTCAAGATGCAACCTCCTGCTCGGTTTTGCCAGCCCCGTCCTGCGGCACCAGATTTGTCTTGGCCGGCCCAATGACACACACGCCCTCCTTGGAGAAGCGGCTGCCGTGGACGGGGCAGTTGAAACTCTTCTCGGCCGCGTTCCGGCGAGCACGCCGTGCGTTAGGCCGTCTCTAGAATCGCCCGTGACAATGTAGATGCGGCCGCAGCCCTGGTTCTTGCCGATGCAAGCCATAAAGTCGACGGGCTCAAAGATTTGGCCGCTGCAGCGGTAGTCGTCGCGCTCGTCGCATGCCGTCAGCCGCACGTACTTGTACACGTCGGCGTTGTCGTACAGCAGGCAACCCTCGACGCCACCGCGCGGTACGCGCATGGCGACGTAGGAGGAGCGGAAGAACTCGAGCTCGGTGATGACGCTCAGCTTCTGTAGCGGCACGTACGTCGCCTCGACCGCCTGCTCCGCCCGGATCCTGTGCCCGCTCTCGGTTGATCCCTGCACTGTATTGTGGCCCATGCCCAGGAGCTCTATGCCCTTCTCTTCGACGGCCATGACCCGCGTCCGTGCGAAGCACTGGAAGTTGGGTTGTTTCTCGAGCCAGTTCAGCACCCCGGCTAGGTATTTGGTCGGGTGGGACGTGGCTTGGTTATCCGCCACGAGCCCGCCTCGCTGGTCGACGGCGCCGTTCCAGCCCTTAACTATGAGGTTTTTCTGGTCGCTATCAGCCACTTCACCTTATATAGCACCAGGGGACCCATCTCCACGGCTCGGGACAAGTCAACATACGTCGAACTGCGTCCCGATCCCGAGCTTCGAGGCTCTCCTGGTACGCGACCTTCTTCGGCAAGAAATCAAGCTCGCCGTCGTGCTTCTCGTGACCGACTGGGTACTGGGTCGGTCGCGCTCGAGGTGTGCATAGTGTGCTGCGGATCTATAGAGGTCAGGGTCGCTATAGCTCTGGTCGTGGAACTGAATGCTCTGCTGAATCAAATCATCAGTTTGTGCCCGAGCATTGTGTGAGTGAGCCATTTCGAAGCCAGGCACTGACTTAGCTGGATGGTGAGAGAGGTAGTGGTTGAGAACGTAGTCTTGTTAGCGTCGTGGTCGGTGTCGATGGAAGAGGTGTAGATTTGTTTGACGTCACCACTCTGTGCGACACGCCGCAGGGGTGCGGGCGCCAAGCTTCTTGACCTTAGGAGTCGTCGCGTAGAATTTTTCAGCACTAGTGATAATGACAGATAGATGCATTGCTCAAAGGTGTAGATTAATGATGGCTAGACGGGTGCGGAATGCTGTGAAAGGGTTGATGGATCGCCGAAAACTCGCAAGAGCTGGCGGGGTACCTTCGATGCTTCGTTTGCCAAATTCGCGGAGTGACGGCGGTTTATTTTCACCGCTATGTTGGGCCCCACAAAGAAATGGTGACGACACGATTCTCTAACGAGATCAACATGGAAACCCCAAAGCAGAGCTCAGTGACACAACCCCAAAGCAGAGCTCACTGACACAACCCCAAAGCAGAGCTCACAACCCCAAAGCAGAGCTCACTAACACAACCCCAAAGCAGAGCTCACTAACACAACCCCAAAGCAGAGCTCACTAACACAACCCCAAAGCAGAGCTCACTAACACAACCCCAAAGCAGAGCTCACTAACACAACCCCAAAGCAGAGCTCACTAACACAATCCCAAAGCAGAGCTCAGTGACACAACCGGTCATTTATTCAGTGACACAACTGGTCATTTATTTCAGTTATTGGTCCGAGTTAGAGCTAACTAAGCATGGGATGGGTTCAGTCGTCATGAAAGTATGAAAGTCCAGCTCATCAAATGGAACGGCACACAGAGTATCAACACAACAAATCAGTAGCTACCTGCCATGACTTGCTTTCTCTTCTGGCGAACTCTTGCTAAATTTCGTCCGGGACTTTATCTTATCGGGGCTGAAAGACTGAATTTAGGCATGTGGAGATAGTCGTTCTAATTATCACATAATTGGCGAAAAATTGAATCAATCAGGAGTCCCACAAATGTGCTAATGCACTGTACAATATCAAGCTGCCCCTTTTTATTTGGCGTACATAACTGTTTGTGCATCCCCGACAGTTGAAGGCCAAACACAGACAAAGGTTCCGCTCAAAACTAATGAAATCCACTCGACGTGCGTTATTGGAAGCGCTCAGCGAGGATGATCCCGGTGACACCATCTAGTTAGCTCTTAGACCAGCTTGGCACCAATCACCAGGAAGGCAGCACTACGGACGCGAAGCCAGGTGGAGAGGTCCAGCCCCTCTTTGGACCCGAACTTTTTAGCCAACCACGAGAAAGTCGCATTGCAAGAGGCGGCGGCCACATGCCCACCTGGGTTGCTGTGCGGGAGTCTGAGTGTGGGTAAGGTGATGTTTTCCTTCGCTTCCACTTCTACTGGAGGGTTGCACAGGTTAAAAAAAAAAAAAAAAAGCCCAAGAACAGAATGTGGAAAGAAGCACGCCGAAAGAGCGAGGATTAAGGGTAACTGACTAACTATCTAGAACTAGCGAAAGGGAGATTAAATGCAATTTCAACCTCGATTGCCCCACGATCATGGGCGCTTTCCCCAAGTCGCCAATCGTCCAAAACCAAGCTGCCGGTGCTTTGACTAGTCCGAGGCCTCTGATCTTAGCTGGGTGGATAAAATCGTGCAGCCATAGGCCCCAGACCTGTGCGCACAGACACGCTACTGCATGTGCAGGGAAGACGACGCCATCCTTGTGCAGGGAAAACGACGCCATCCTCGACTGGGGGCCCTCGACTGGGCCCTTCACTTCTTCACTGCCTGATCCACAGACGAAAGACGCGATTCCCAGATGGGGAAGCACATCCGAAGAACTCCTGGCTGGGTCGCCGAGCATGGTGCCAAGGGATCTGCCGGCGAAGAATAAGAATGCGTCGATCCCCGAGACTCGACTGAGAGGTTGTTGCCGGCCAGACTAAAGCTCCTCGAGTCAGAACTAGAGTGAGTTCTCTGCTCCAAAGCTCGCTCGCCGTCGACATATTGTGCTGTCTGCGCTGCCGCCCCGAACAATGAATTCCACGGCAAGCACGGGCGGTCTTCCGGATCCGAATCTCATCCCCTCGCCGCCCAGCGACGCCGCCAACAGTCTCGCCCACTCGTTCGCCGCCGTCGCCATCACGCTCAATGTCATCTCGTTCATGCTGTTCAGCGGCCGGCTGTACACGAGGGCGTTTCCCGTCTTCATCATGGGGTGGGACGACTACGTGATCAGCGCCGCGTGGATCTTCATCGTATCCAACTCCACCATGCTGCTGCTCACCGTGCCCTACGTCTTCCGCGGCGACCCGTCGGCCTTCACGCTCGCAGACGTCATGCACTCGGACAAGCTGGCCACCCTGTCGCAGCCGGTCTGGGCCTGGTCCATGGCCACCATAAAGATCTCCGTCGCCGGCATGCTGCTCCGGCTCGAGCGGCAGCGCGCCATCCGTCGGGTCTTGTGGGCCCTCATCTGGCTGCAGCTGGTCGTCTGCATCTACGTCACGCTGTCGTCGACCCTGCAGTGCATCCCGTTGCGCGCCGCCTGGGACCTGCTCGGCCTGGTCACCGACGCCAAGTGCTGGAGCAAGCAGGCCATCCGCGTCAACTCCATCTGCGTGGCGAGCTTCAACATCGTGACCGACGTCATCTTCGCCCTGGCGCCGATGATGTTCCTGCGGCGCGTGCAGATCCCGTTGCGCGAGCGCGTCGTCATCGGCGTGCTGATGGCGCTCGGCATCTTCGCCGCGGCCGCGTCCGTCGTCAAGGCCGTCATCGCGGCAGAGTTCGGCAAGACTGACGACTCCAACCTCGAGGGCATCTCCATGGGCACATGGTCGCTGGTCGAGGAGCAGATCGCCTTCATCGCCGCGTGCATCCCGTGCCTGCGCCGGCCACTGCAGCAGGTGCTGCGCCGCTTCGGCCTGGCCACGACGGTGAACACCCACAGCGTGACGGCCAAGCCAACCGGCGCCGGGAGCGGATATGGCATGATGAATGGGAACCACTCGACGAGCTACAACGGGGCCATCAAGATGAAGAGCATGACGAGCAGCCAGGCCCAGAGCGAAGAGGACATCTTGGCGCCCCAGCGCGGCAATACCCCAGGGGACGTGATAGGAGACACCGAGATCTGGCGGACGACCGAGGTGCGCGTCCATTCGGAAAGAGAAATAGAGAAATAATCGTGTCCGGCGTGCGAGCCTTGCGGACTTCTGCCGCCTCAGGAGCGAAATAGATGTTGCCAATGCCGAACCCGTTCTTCGTTACCGTGATTACGCGTCCATTCGGAAAGAGAAGTAGAGAAATAAGCGTGTCGGGTGTGCGAGTCTCGGCGTGCTTCTGCCGCATTAGTAGCGAGATAGATGAGCCAATCCCGAAACCGTTCCTCGGAACCTGTGATTACAATACTCGGTAAACACTTGCCCTCGATCGGCTATGCCGATTCGATAGAAGGCCTCCATCACTAGTAGAAACTGCCGAAGGGGTTGTACGACCCTTCCACTCCCATGACGTACTTTCTTGTCATGAGCATAATGTCGACCTGGTCGACGACGGTGTATTGAGGATTGGCTGCAGTGTGGGCTCCCTAGTCCTCGCTCTGCATCAAGTCTCCATACTCGCCGCCACGCAGCTGCAACAATGTGGCTCTGCACCTGCACGGATGATATCGGACTTTGCACTTCTCGCGCAGAACGTCCAGGATGCGCGCCCAGCTCGGCGGTCGAGGGGGGGTTAGTTCCCCCTCGGCGACGGCTGGACCGCCGTTCGGCCGCAGCTTGACTTCGCACAACACAATGCGCTCTATCTGGTCCTCGGGCAGCGCCTCGCACAGCCGCTCGAGCTGCTCCTGCGTGGCCGAAATACCAACGAGCGAGAGAACTCTCATGCAAGGCAGCCACGACTTCATGGCCGCCAGGGCGCCCGTCAGCGGGAAGAAAGCCTCCGGGTCCGGCAGGTCGGCGACGGCGGGTTCTTCGGCTATGTGCGCGAAGGTCAAAGTCTCGATGCGCTGGCCTGACAGAACCGAGCCGAAGAAGGAGTCGACGAGTTGCTGGGCTGCTTCGGGGAGGTGGCATTCCGACACGGGCCGGGCGGTCAGGCCGGCGCTCTCGCCGAACGAGACAGCCTCGAGGTGCTGGCAGGCGGCGGCGAGCTCGTCCCAGGCGGGGCGGGTACGGGTAGGCTGCTGCGCAGCCGAAGGGCGCGGTTCGAGCAGGTGGTAGTCGTACTCGACCGGGAAGCAGCCGAAGCCGAGCTGGCGCAGGTGCGCACCCGCGTTGTGCAGGGCGATGGGCAGTTCCGAGAGAATCCTGGCCGGCGTGGTCTCAGGGCGCTCGCGCGCTCTGGGCGAGAGGGCAGCCCACCCGTCGAGAGAGGGAGCCCACGGCAGCGGCGACGCCAGCACCTGAAACAGTCTGTCGTTGTCGGCCAGGAACTGGGTCGGCGTCTCCTCGTAGGGACCCGGGCACCGGTCGACCCGGTCCCGGAACACGACTCGGCTGGCATGCGGCATGCGTGCCACGGCCGATGCCAACTTGTCGACGAATTCTCTGCTGCCGACGAGCCTCTGCTGCTCGCCGTACCGGCGCCGGCACTCGGCATGCCCGGCTCGGAGGATGCGCTGGTACTCCAGCGCCTGGGGGGATAGGGGCGGGCCGACGTCGAGATTCCGCCAGGCAAACCCGACGACGCCAAAGTTGTCTTTGGCCTCTTCGTACTCTTCGAGGCCCGGGCGCACCTCCTCAGTCCTCTCGTCGGTGAAGTCGTTCGGGTCCGTATTGTGGTACCCGTCGATGAACCGACGGCAGGCATCTTCTGCCCGCTCGAGGGCGAGCACCCGGACCAAAGCGAACTCCTAGAAGCTGGTGGCCAGGGCCTCGGCCCGGCAGGACAGCACAACTTCCACCTCGCGCACCCCCGAGGCCACGAGCGATGAGTGGGACACAGCCGCCGCCCAGTCGAGCGACGGCTGGTCCAGGTACACCCGCAGCCTCGAGAGCAACGCTGGCGCCGCGATCTGGTTGAACTGGCGACACACCAGCCGCACGCTCTGGAGAGAGGACAATTCCTCGACTTTGCCCTCTCCGTCTGTAAAAGTGCCGAACACGGCGCGCAGAAGCTCTGTCGGCAGTGTGGCCAGGCTCGCTGGCCCGGCCGGTCGCTCCAAAACCACGTCCATGCTCGCCTGTGCTCGGTGCAGTCGGTAAAAGTGTAAAAATTGACAGAGTTGTTGTGCTCGGTGAAGTCGGTAAAAGTGTAAAAATTGACAGAGTTGCCGTGCTCGGTGAAGTCGGTAAAAGTGTAAAAATTGACAGAGTTGCGTGTGCGGTTGAGATTCTCAGCCTACCCAAAGATCTACCGGGAACGCTGGAACGGACGAAAGGTCAGACGAAAATGACTCGCGCTGCAGGGCTTATGCACAACGTCACAACGTCACAATGCCTGTCTCACTTCCGCTTCAGGCTTACAGGATAGGGACGGTGTTGAGGCGGCCTGGCCATTCACCCTGCGGCACAGCCTTGGTCTCAATTTGCAACCTCGTGGACAATAAGACTAGGCGTGGACGCTCAGCTTTAAACCGGATCTTAACAATAGTCAATAGTGCTGGGAAAATAAATGCTTCTCTCCACATCACTCCATTCTCTAGACCTTGTACTATTGTTATCTGTAACATATTGGGAGCATCTGTAACATATTTGGAGCATCTGTAACATATTGGAAGCATCTGTAACATATTGGAAGCAACTCGTAAATATCCCACACCACGCCGAAAAGCTGGAGCCAAGATTTGTAGACGCCGATAACCGAGGAAAAAGGAACCTTATTTCAGTAGAAAATCTATTCCAAAGGAACATCCTTACTAGCAAGCTAGAACCATATCACTTATAAGAGCGCTTTCATCTAGAAAAATATCCTCTTTCTTCTTACTGTTCCTTGAATTTCTTCTACTTTTTCCGAAATTCGAGGAAAGGCGTGGTAATTAATGCCGAGGTAGGTGTTGGAATCACCAGGTACCGGTACTGGAAACAACAGGGCGTGCTGCACGCCGAAAGCTGGTGGTTCAAGTGATGGTCATTGTTGTCTATGTCTATCTAGAAGAAAGAGGTGGCCGTAGGCCACTTATATGGAATCTGGGACCCCTACGCCTCCACCGCCGCCTGTGTGGCTGATGAATGCGTTGTTATAGCCACCTCTATGTGGCTGGAATGCGCGTTGTTCCAACAGTAAGATAGGCAAAAAAGCTTTAACTGGGCGTTTGAGTTGTTCTGTATCCTACTGTGCCTTTTAGTAACATGCTTAACGGCTAGACGAGGAGGTTGTCGCCGTCCTGGTTAATTATCCGCGCGTTTAGATCTAGCGGGAGCGTCTTGAATGAAAGCGACGTGGGAAAGGGCCTACCTACCTCGCACGGACAGCACAGACGGCTAGCTGCATCTCAAGCTTGGAAAGACAAAACTACTGACTTCTTGAAATAATGCCCTAGTACGTGACCCCCTGATCGGGGCAATGTTGGCGCCGTCAACAAACTTGGTGGTCCAGCGCTGGCACCAATCCAAATAAATTCCAAATCAATTTGAACTCCAAGAAACCGTATTTGCAGGCAAATAAGCCATTTTGGAGGTCAAATTCAGGCCAAATTGAGGGTCAGGTTAATTGCATATTTGTAAATATTTCCCATTGGTTGAGCCATTTTTGGGCCCAAATTTCCGGGTTTTCTAGCACCAGGGCAGTCCCTGACCAGGGCCAACCCTGCATTTTCTGGTCCCGGGAAAATCCTCGAATGCCCTGAATTTGAGTGCCGCCGTGCCGCTGCAACGCAACTTTCGCCAACCGCTGTGCACAAACTGCCGAATCCTACCTTCCTGCAGCCATTTCCCTGCTTCCTTGGCTCCCGAGTCCTCGACAACATACCTCCGTTGATGTCACGACCCTCTCGACAAGCCTCCCTACCGCCGAAAATCGTCCTCCTTCCCTTCGTCCGAAGCTATCACAAGTAGCTAGACAGTCGATGCGCTCCTTGAAGAGGGAGTAGATCTCAAAGATGTAGCAGGAATTGAAGTCAAGGATTGGCGAGGATAAAAATACCAAGAGGGTCCTTCATACCGGAAAAGTGGGCAGGAAAAACACCAAAAAGGACATGTGGATTCGTGATCACGGCTACTGGTCGCCCAGGTCATCAACGACGCCGTCATCGAGGGAGAATACTACTGGGCATCCACTATTGCGAGAAGCTGTTCAAGGCAGAGTCAACAAGCTCGGCGATTATATATTTGGAAAAAGACCACAAATTATACCTACCCAATTCCCATCTGGTATTGAGAGGCCAGGAAAAAGGCAACGCACGCTTGAAGTGGTCAACACGAAGCGCGCGAGCTATGTTTTACTGCCTCACAGGCTCTCTATGGAAGAGAAGCTCGTCGATCTAGTCGTCGGCTCGAACCTGCCTTTCAGCATCGTTGAGCACATGGAATTTCGTGATTTTTGCATGGACCTGAACGCCGAGAAGACAGCCGCCCTGATTCCTTCGTCGCACAACACTATACAAGAGCACATTCGAAAGAGGTTTGAGGCCGAACAACAGGCCCTACGTGAGAGGTTGGCCGCATCGCCATACAAGAAGCATCTCTCGGCTAGTCAACGACTACGGCTTCGCTGACAACGTTTCGCTGACAACGTTGGTTATTTTCAGTGTAACTACGTTGATTCGAACGACCGGGCAGTAAAATTTACCTTGGAGTCGTTAATTCCTGGCCTTGGCCGGTTTTCCCGGGATTCCTTAGCCATAAAGCGTCGTGTGCGTTGCTTCGGCCATATCCTCAACCTAGCAGCGCAGGCCTTCATTCTCGACAGGTAGACCGGCCTCGAAAGAACCTTTGACGATGATTTCATCGGCTAGTTACCGCCTGAGCAGAAAGAAGCGTTATTGAAGATGTGGCGAAAGAGAGGGCCGGTTGGAAAGCTTCACAATGTCGTCCACTTTATTCGGAGGCCACCACAACGCCGGGATTCCTTCCTACAGGTCGCGCGTAATCAGCCCGGCGGTGAAGATGCACAGGAATTCGGCACGGCTATATTTGATAAGTCAGTCGAAGGTTTACAGCTTTGTGGTGATAATTCCACGTGTTGGAATTCTGTTTTCTTCATGATCGAACGCGCGGTGCAATTACAGAGCCAAGTGGATTACTGGTGCCATAAAAATCAGAGCGAGAAGGACCCTCGGAAGCGTATGCCCGCCGCCGACCTGCTACAACCGAGTGACTGGCACCTACTTTCTCTTGTTTTGTCTATTCTTGAACCTTTCAAGAAGATCACGAAGTGGTTTGAAGGGCGCGCGGCTACCTTTCCTGAAGTTCTCGCTACGCAGGAGTGGCTAATCGATCTGCTTGAGGATCGCCTTCGAACCCTGCACCCGAACCTTGAAGCCGTCACCGATTTTACCGGCGGCCCGGTACACACCCACCCAGAGATCACGGTCGCAAGCCAACAGCCTCCATCATTCAGCATAGACAACGACGATGACAACGGCGTGTTGTTTACTAGGGAAGCATCACAACGGTCGCAGCGTAACCGTCGTCTTCCTGCCCGGTTCGACGACTCGGTCATCGAGCTACCCCGGCGCCTACCGACCGGCCAGATCAGGCCGCCCTCCCTCGACCTTGTTGCCGACCTCCAAAACAACCCTCCACCCTCCCCGCCGCCCTCAACACCTGATCTTGACGACGATCATCTATCCTTTCTTCGAACAAGCATTGGCCTGGCCATTCAGAAGCTCAGAGAATACGTTGGATTGATGGAGGAGAGCCCAGCATACTGGTCGGCTATGATACTACACCCAGGGCATAAGGAGAAGTGGGTAACCCAGTTCCTGGGCGGTGGGCGGGCTGAAGAAGCGATGAGGGCATTCCGGGATCTCTTCCAGGCCGAGTACGCCGTCATTCCTCTCCCGGTGCCGGTTCGTACGCCTCAGGAAGGTCGAGGGAGTCGTCTTATTACTCACGACTACCATAATGACCCTGATGACCCCAACCAGAAGGATGAACTAGCTGAATACCTTCACGAAAGCGTCAGGCGGGTGGATGATATACTGGCTTGGTGGAAGGAAAGAAGAGAGCGTTGGCCCCGGTTGTCAAAGATGGCTTTTGACTTGTTGTCAATACCGTTCATGACTTGTTGTCAATACCGTCCATGTCAACAGAGTGCGAGAGGGCATTCAGCCAGGGAAAACTGGTCCTTGGCACGCAGAGACATAGTATGGTCGACGAAACCCTGAATTACCTCATGTGCACGAAGAATTGGGCGATTAAATGAGGATCCTGAAGGTCAAGGGCTTTTTCCGGTCTCAGGGTGCCATTCGGGGCTCGATTTCCCTGATTTTTGGTGGAGCGGCAAATTCCGTCAATTAAGTCAAATAAAACCCACCCAATCAGAGAGAGCCTCTTACACAGATAAATACATGTCACGACAATAGGGATTAGTGAGCAAAAGAAAGCCTAGAAGAACTAGAAGCTGCCACTTGATTCTTCGCCACCAGATTTTGCCACTATTTCGAATGGGCCATATCAATAGGCCTACCCTCGTCAAACATGACCTTAGGCAAACATCTCGTACTTCAGGCATGACCGAACATCGGCATAACGGCCTATTCTACAGACCTCGCTATGGCTTCTTTGTTAGGCCACTTAACCCCATTCCAAGGCCGGATTCATAGCTATAAGTAGGACCAACAGGACCTTCATTTTTCGCCCTACTTCGGCAGACCTTTTCAGACAATTCAAGCCTTGCCTTCCTGCATCAAATGCCACATTTTCCACTACCCTATGAATGCGTGACAATACACCATTTAGGCCTTAAATACAGTCAAATGAGGCTTCATATTTAGCCTACTTGAATCGATGCCAGCGCTGTGGTGGTCTGGATTGCATTGCTGTTCTCGTCCATAATGAAATTGCCCTTGTCGTCGGTGTCTTCAACCTCGATTTGTTGCCTGTTCTTTTGCGGATGGGAGCCAGGATGTTGTCTGTGAGCCGGCCAAAGATGCCACCGAATCTCTTGTTATCTCCCATGCCAAAGGTGCCGGGTAGCAGCCTGCCGTTCTCCATGCCGCCCTGTACTTGAGAGCTTGGAGTTCGTCGGCTACTTTCTTCACGTCCATGCTGGGGATATCAGCGGTGCTCTTTGTCCCGATGCCGTTGTCTCTGAGAACAGAGGGCGTTGGGGGTTAAGAGCCTCATGATGAGGACGCCTAGAGCCCCAATCGAGGGAAAATCCATCCTGTGTCGGATCGAGCCCGGGGTCTTGAGACCTACAGCTCAGCTACGCCGGAGCACGAAACCCTTCGTGCGCTGCACGAGAAAGCCTTACTTGCCCATGTGGCCATGTTCAATATGTCTTTGCCATTAGAATTTTCCATCAGACTTTCGAGCCAGTTGCAGCCCTGGAGGGGTCGTTTTTGCGATGAAGCAAAGTCTCGGACCTCGAGTACGGTAACTACGACTTGCAAACTTGCGTGAGCGGAAGTGAGTGTTGGTGATGTTAGTTGGCTTCTTATGTTGGAGTTCAACCAGGTTTCAACCTGTACACATTTGACTTCAGATCTGGTGTATATACCCGCAGAGAGTAGCGGCATGATAGAGAAACATTCCGTTACAAACCCAGCAACGCTCTCTTGTACTTTCTGGGTCCGCAGTTATCCTTTGCCAACTTTGCAGACACACATCCCGAAGAGTACCGTTTAATGACTATATTTGGTATCCAATTGTCGTTCTAAGATGTCTATTAACCCGTTTGCAATGCCTCTTGTATGTGAACAACCGCCGGGGCCTAACCTCAATGCCAAGCGGCAAAGACCCTGAAACTCTGCCCAAATGCCGCAATCTCTTCTGATAAACCGTGCACGCGCGACTAAAAGTATAACCCAGTCTCCTAAACCTGGTCGCTCTCCTGGGCTACATTCTTGTATCCCGTGCCCTGCTCCTTTGCGAACCGCTTGGCCTCCTTCTTCTCCTGCTTCGCAGCCTTCTTCTCCTGCTTTGCAGCCTTCTTCTCCTGCTTTGCAGCATTCTTCTCCTTTCTCGACAGGCGGGGGAACTCGCTTTCCGGGCCGACGAGGTAGCGGCCCGGGTGGAACACGGCGAGGATGAGCAGCGCCACCATCATAGGAAAGCAGTCGAGCGCGTACGTGTACTCCTCGTGGAATGGTATCGGGTTCTCGGGCTTAAGGCCGCGGGCGAATTCGGCGATACGGAAGATAATACGGACCTGGATGTGGCGGACCAGTTAGCATTGCCCACCAGGCATTTGATGTGGGGGGGGTGTGGGAGGGGATCAACTCACTGTTATAGCAACCAGCACGCCGTAGAGTGCATACATCAGCGGGCGCCAGCTGGGCTTCTGGGTGCCGTCGGCGGAGAACTGCGCCATGACGGCCCTCCCGTCGATGCCCGCGGCGTTGCAGCGGCGGTGGAACATGACCATCAGGGCCACAAACACCAGGATGAAGAACTGCTGGATGCCCATGCCGACCATGTAGATGTCGATGCCCGTCTTGATGACGTCGGGGCTGGCGCTCGGGCTCGCCATGATGCCGCCCGTGGCCTGGATCAGGAAGCTGGCGACGTCGGCCAGCACGAACCACCGCGCAATCGTGTTGGCCCGCAGCCCCCCCACGCGCCCCCGGGGCAGCCAGAAGTGCACGACGCGCGCAAAAGTCATGTAGGCGAAGGCGTTGATCCACAGCGGCGCCAGCAGGAACAGGATGTTCCACGCCGTCGAGTAGCCGACCTGCTGCTGGTCCTTGGCCCCGAGCGTGTGGATGACGAAGGCCAGCGTCTCCCACAGGCTGCCCATGATCAGGACCCATGTGTATCGCTGCGGACAAGGAGTTAGCAAAAGTCGACCGAAGAGATTGCGTGTGTAGGAGAGAGCATGCAGGAGCATGCAGGAGAGAGCATGCAGGAGAGAGCATGCCTTCTTGAAGAAAAAGGCCTCGAAAAGATGGATGCCGGTGAAGATGGCAAATATGACGGCCGTGGCGACAGCCGGCGCAACTTGCGGATCGTAGTTGTAGTAGGAGTTGCAGGCGTCGACGGGCACATTGCCATTGTAGCCCGGTGTGGCCTTCACACAGTCGTCGCTCGAGTCGTCGTCGCCGTGGTCCCGGCCGAGGACTTGAACGGCCGCTGCCGCTATCAGCCTCGGGAGCAGCATGTTCGGGGGCTGCGGCGGTGATCAAGCAAGACGCAAAGGACCAGGCCTCAAGAAGCAGCCTAGAGAAGACGCTGGGGTTATTTGACTCCGGAGGTGCGGGTGGAGGGGAGGTCGAGCCGCCGTGGTGAGGTGTCGGCGACGAGGTGTGGGCGACGAGGTGTGGGCGACGAGGTGTGGGCGTGGGCGACGAGGTGTCGGCGACGAGGTGTCGGCGACGAGGTGTGGGCGACGAGGTGTGGGTGACGATGTGTCGGCGACGAGGTGTCGGCGACGAGGTGTGGGCGACATTGTGATTCATCGGGGAAGGACGGCGGGAATAAATAGGCCATCAGGTCGACGACGGGAGAGAAAATCGAGGTCATCTTGTCGAACGACAATGGCACTCTGTGTTGTTGGTTGCTTGGAGACGCGGGCCCACGGCTAGCCCATGCAGATCGCGCGGCGCAGGATCTCGGGATCTTAATTTGCGGAGTTGTTCGCCTTAAAACGTCCCAGCGGTTGTCAAATTTTGGCGAGCGGGCCAATGAGCGCTTGCGGTGAGTCCCAGTGGCGATGCGGCACGTTTCCAGGGGCTGATCTGTGTTACCGCAGTGCTGGGCGAAGGATCGCTCCGCCCCGCCAAACCCGGGATGATGAGAGATTGCACTGCGAACGGACGGCCCTGACACGCCGCGTCAGCACCCCATGCCCAAATTTACAGGGCCCATGTCCAAATTTACAGGGCTCAATGGCCGTTGTTGATTGGTGGGCTCGCCAATTCAATGCAAGGCTCTGAAGGGCCGTGTAACCAGCGGTTTGCTGGCTGTACTGACAGGGGCCAACTCTTCTTCGGTGACGTCTCACAAGGCTCCTTATTTGGGCATCGTTGTCGAAGCACCCAATCCAATCCAATGTCTTCTCAACCCTATTGTTGTCACGGCTGCCATAGGGCTCATGTGACAGGATTGGTTCTATTAGCTGCATTGTGTTTAGAGTGTGGCCTGTGCGCACTGAGCACCACAACCTATACGTATATTTCCCCGCGCCCTGCGCGGACACCGCGATAGATTCCTTTCTCTTCCTTAGCTTTAAATCCACATTCGTTACTGCCTTCAACCATTGACATCCCACTGCGTAAGGCGGGCCGTCACAATTGTTCTCTATTCACCCCTTGTGCCCCCTTGTGCTCGTGAGTTGAAAATTTCTATCAAAACAAGAGATCAAGGACTAAGGTATCTACGCAGACTAACCAACGTCCCCGACCCAAAGCGCGATACAGAGCGCTACTAATTCAGTCCAGCCAGCAAAGTCTCCCGAGCAGTGATGCCCGTGTATGAAATGCTGTCCCGCCAGAGCATTGCTTGTTTCGCCTGGTCCCTTGCCTCGGCGCTGGTTTCAAACTCCTTTCTCTGGTAGTGGTACTGGCCTCTGGGGTGCTCACCAATCGTCGCAACGTCAAACGCGGCCCACAGGACGTCGCGAGCCGACGTTGCAGTCGATCGAAACTCACTATTCGGTGACACCACGCTGTTGACGGCAGCCAAGAGCGGCAGGGCGATTTTTCCGATCACGACCGACATCATGAAGTTGCCGCGGCGGACGAGTCCGCTGGGCATGGCGCCGGGATCGACGCCGAGGACCGAGATGTTGGAGAGAGCAGGGTCGTTGTTGAGGCGACGCTGGAGTTCAGGGCTGTTTTGGGAGGTTAGACTACCTGACCAGATGGCCCGATGGACAAGACGGGAAGACGAGCGGGGTGCCCTCTAACTTACATCATCATGATCTGGCACAGCTTCGAAGCACCATACCGCCGCAAACCCGACAACTGGGACGGGTCTTCCTTGGCTGTGCTCCATGTGCCCCTGGCTATGGACTCGGTGTCGTGAATCATCGTCCTCCACTTATCGGCGGGATAAAAGTCCATCGTCTTCATCCTGGGATCATAGGGGCTGTCAAGAGTTCAAGTCAGCAGTCGTGTGTCCCGTGTGTCGTTAACTTCTGCCCATATAGACTCACTCGTGGGTGAAACTCCCAATAACCACAATCCTGCCGTGCTCCTTATCCATGCTCTGGAGAAGCAGCAGGACCAGCAGCCAGTGAGACAGATAGTTGCTCTCGAAGCTCACATCGAAGCCATCGTCGGTGAGAGTCTGTGTGGAATGTTCCTGGAAACCGGCATTCGGGATCAGGGCTCGGATGGGCGGCAACGATCCTTCGGCGACGCGCTTGTTGATTCCGGCGGCAAACTGTCGCACGTTTGCGAGCGAGGACAGGTCAAGAGCCAGGGTGTCGTGGCTATGGTCTAGCTTTGAGTGGGAGAGAGTCGAGCTGAGAGCCGTTGCAGTGTCTACTTTGCGGACCGTGTAGATGCCATGCAGCTTGGAGAGGTCTGGAGAGTTGATGATCTGTTTGACAATAGCACAGCCAAGGCCGCCATTGGCGCCGGTGATGAGGATCGATCCTGGACTCGAAGATCCTGGACTCGAGGATCCTGGACTCGAAGAGGTCAACATCGTAAAAGAAAAAGCTTGATGAGAGTTGTTGAGTGTTGTGACTGATTTACCGTCCCAAGTCAGTCTCTGGGTTTAATCAAGAACCAGGCAATCATTCCAGGAATGAGAACCCCCGAACTGACCTTTTATATATGAAATCCGCACGGCAGCCGAGCAGATTCGAACGGATTAGGAAGAATATTTGGGCAGGTGGCCCGAGTCACTCGGTATACGGCAACGATTGGACGTATTGGTTAATGTGGAGACAAAATGGGTCCCCCCAAAGATCAATCGGGTCCGCGGACCCGGGCTGAGAGTGCCCACTCGTGTCCGCGAGTCCGAGGCGGCCATCTGATTGGCGGATCAGACTTTGGGGGCCCACAACGACTCCAGCCAAGCAAGACCGACTGGCAAGAGGTCACGTCAGTCTAACGCCGGATCGCTCGTCCACCCACCTACGCATAGCGCTACCTGCAGACGCCATTGAGGCTCGAGTTTCAGCCCCATATTCTCGAGGATGGCAGACAACGGCGCTGGGCCGGCCGAAATGGAGGAAAGACGCGCTGTAATGTCACCCCAGCCCCTATCCAAACACTTCCAGATTCCACCCCTCCACCCCTTCCAGCCCTTCCACCCCTTCGGCACCAGGCTTCTCGGGTTTCCGTCCATCTCTCTCGCGAGCCTTGACCTTCAAAGAAAGCTAACCGGTCTTGCAGTGTGACGAATGCCGCGCAAGAAAGGTATTGCCCCCGAGCCATATTTCCCCAGATTTCACGATGCTCTCAACACGAGTCCGCCACGCCGTCCCCAGCCCTGCGCTAAATGCGGCGTGTTCGTTGCACCAAGATCCGGTGCGACAAAAAGGCCCCGTGTTCACCCTGTGTTCAAGCGCGTCGGTCATGCCTTGCCACGGGTCCCGGCAAAAGACTCTCAGGCGCCCGCCAGAGGGTGCTCATATCAACCCAGTAGTACGTCGTCCCCCAAACTGCCGGCCGCGGAAATCAACTGAGCCATTTGGCAACCACTTGCAGCGAACAAAAACTCGACTCTTTCGATGACCGCCTTCGCAGTATCGAGCACCACCTGGAGCAGTTCAATTCTTCCCTTAGCAAGCTAGCGATATCTCCCTCTGTCCAGTCCTCCCCACGTGGCCGCAGAGAACCCACCCCCGTCCACCACAATGAAGAACAGAGAGTCGTCTTTGAGGGAGACTCTTCACTAGCCGCCCACACCAATTTTGCTCACCAATTCATCGGCCAAGCGGTAGGCCAGATGATGGCGCCCCCAGAGAGCGACCTCGGCATGCAGTCAGCCCTATCCGTGCTTCGTCAGATCATCCAGCGGCAGAACAAAAGATCAACTAGCAATGACTTGTGTTACCCAGGCCAAAAGCGGCTTCCGCCCGGAGGGTTCAGAGAGTTACCGATGCCCCCAGCGAGCTTTGTTTTGGAGTGTCTCCGAGAAATGAAAGGTTCGTGACAGGAGCCGCTTCTCCGCGTCTGCCAACTGCCAAGAACCCCTTCGCGTCTGCCAACTGCTAAGACCACCTAAATGCAGATACACCATCGGTGGCGTTCAGCATGTGGTGCCCCTATTTGACTTTGGATATCTTCACCGACTACTGCCGCCAGATTTACTTCTCCACCGAAGAGTACACTGCCGGCATATTCGCCGTCGTCAACGCCGGACTGTGCTACCTTTTGTGGGAGAGGTCGCTCCAGGAGACGAGTGGAGATGTCACCACGTACCGGGCTATGTGTGGGGATAACCTAACTGCCGTCATGGGAGACATCAACCCGTTCCTGCAAGCGACGCGGGAAAACATGGAGGCTCTAGTTCTTGCGGTAAATTGCAAACCCTGGACGAAAAACCTTTAAGAAGCAATCTCAGCTGACAAGGCCTCTAGGCGTGCTACGCTCTCGATGCATCGAGGCCCTTTCTTGCCTGGCAAATGATCTGCCTGTCCGCGCAAGCTTGCCAGACCCTTGGCTATCACCGGCTCCAGTCACACCATGACACGCCAGGCATCGGCGAGACTGCCTTCGATTCGCGGAAAGAGCTCTTCAACATGGCCTACACCATCGACAAAGCGCTGGCTCTTCGGCTTGGCAGGGCGTCGGCATTCCAAGACTACGACGTTATCATGCCCACCTACACCGAGAGCATAGGCAAGGACCCGCTGCAGAGGCTCTCCGTCTTGTGGTTCCTCCATTCGCGGCTTCAGGGCAAGATATATGAACAGCTGTTTAGCTCTCAGGCGCTCGCCACGCCCACCGGCCAGAGGGTACAATCTGCGATGGCTCTCGCCGAAGAGGCCAAGGCGATTCTCCTAGAGACTGAGAGGATGGGCCAAGTATACGGACACTACAGCAATGGCGGGCCTTCCGAGGCCGGGGTTCTCTCGGAACTGGACATTGTCTTCAAGTCGGACATGGTATCGCACTACGCCACGCTCGCCCTCATTTACCGCGCCATTTCACCCGTGCCGGGCCCATCGTCCGCGTTCCTCCCCGAGTGCGTCGAGGCTGCGCGGTCCGCCTTTGTGTGCCACTTGCGCTGCATGCCTATTTACAAGCCGTCTCTGGGGGCGCAGCTGAGCTATTTCCACTGGTAAGAGAAGGACAACCAGCTGGGCGGCTATGTTGCACCGTCTGTCTGAATTCCGCAGAAGAGCTGACGCAATGCCCTAGGATCGTGCTCTTCGCCCCGTTCGCGCCCCTGGTTGTCCTCTTCTGCCACGTCGTTCAGGCTCCGAATTCGGACTCCTCTGGCTCCGACCTCGAGCTGCTGGCCGAGTTCGTGACGTCGCTCGAGCCCACCTGCGCCGTGTCGGAGGCCGTCCAGCACCTGCACCGTCTCGCGCAGACACTGCACAAGATCGCATCTCTCTACGTGACGAGCAACAAACCCGCTGTGCCCCCAGATGCCGGCACCATCACAAGCGTAGGCTATGACCCTGCCATCTTCAACAACTTGGTCCACCCGGTGCAGATGCCGCCGGATACGCAGCAGGACGGGTATGTGGAGGGGATGACGCCGCTGGCCGAACCGATGCTGGACATTCAGTTTGGGGACTGGTTTGTCGGGAACATGGACATGGTGGGCCTCTTGGAGGAAGACTTGGCTAGATTCTGCCCTTAGGCTCGCAGCCCCGCGGGCAAGGGTTTTTCAATGAGGCCGACACCGACTCCGCGTTTCTGTCAGACCTTTGAAACCAGTGGCGTTCTCTGTTCACGTTTCGGGCGCCACGGGTCCGGAAATAGAGTTCTCATATCAGTGAGCGGAGCTGAACACCGATCAGCAACCATACTAATCAATATTCCAGATAGTAATCGCACCAGGCCATGTTTTATCATCTGACAGCCCCCACCATGAAACAAGCGTCGAACCGTTCATCTTTGTCCGGACGCTTGGCCTCTTGCCACAGGGGTGAGCAACAAGCTGGCCAAAGTCGTTGATATAACGTGCTGAAGCCCACTTACCATCGCCACAAGACATGATAATCAGAACACGTGCAGTGTCCCCCGTCTCTAGTCAGCCGCCAGACAACCAAACCACTCAAACCCAATTTCTTTCCTGGCCCTCCTTCTCAGGTTTTTGGGCCGGTTCTGTGCACCATTATCAGGGGGTTGCTTTGTTTCGAATAGATTGAATCTATATATATTTGTTTCAAGCCTGGGCCAACTAACTAAATCCTTTATTCTCCGGAGCCAGGGACGAGCTGTCACGAAGGAGAGGATTCGACTGGCATAACACGCAGTATAACCGTAACCTGTATTGTGGAATCTAAAGCTAAGGAAGGAAAAGGAAGGTGTTGCGGGGAGCGGGCAAGGCGCGGGGTTCTAGGTATGGTGCGGACCACGTGATAGGTACGCACAGACCACACACCAGCACTACGTCATTGACACCACGACGACCTCATCGCCGTGACACGAGCTGCCTTGTCTACTGTAGCGTGTGGGCGTTGCTATCCATATCTATAGGGCTGGTCGCCTTGTTAATCTCCACATCCCGACGGCGTCTAGGCGCTATTGCGACTGGCCCCCTATGATCGTGGGACTTCGAGAATAATCTCATGAGGGTGTGAATTAAAGAGACGATATCTACGTCCTTTAGATGAGTACTTGCGTCCATACTAGCCGTCATATAGACCAATAAATGAAGGCGCTGACTGCTGAAGCCCGAGCTATGCCGTGTGACGTTCACCGAGCCTGCAGTTCTCAAAATATTCCCCTTTGTTCTGTAGTGGATGCGTCGGCCCCTCTTTTTTCCTTGTTTTTTCTTAGGACAACAAGATCAATCAGGTTCGAAAGGGGGCAATCGGCCAGCGGCATCGGGGTTTGTTTCCAGATAGAAAATAGCGCGCGCTAATAGGCGCTTGCCGAAGGGAGTCAAGTTCTATACAGAACACACGAAGTACAACGACGACCGATACGCGTAGCTATACGAGGAGCATACCTACCCTCGTGTATGAAAAGGAGGTTGAATAATGACCGGAGAGGCTTTTCAATAGACCTAGAAGAATGGACGTAGGCAAAACAGGGTGACATAATACCTCATAATCTTCGACTAGTCACTGCAAGCTAGGCTCTTTCGAAGGCCAAGGTACTTGTGATTACTCCACAGGTCACCGCACTTCTGGCTAGTCAGGTCGAACAACATTTTCTCGGAGATTTATCTCGTGAAAGAGGGATGGACATGGAATGAAGGCCTCAAACCGTCAGTTCCTGCAAATGGCTCCCATTTTCCGGTACCAGTTAGTTCGCAGAGAGGACTACAAAGTCATTGAGGTAGATATTTGAGCCTCGAGGTAGTAGAAACAAGGGCCATTTTGTTGGGAGCAAGGGGGTGGTGTTCACTGGGTCCCCGCTGTGCTTGAACTTATCCCCTAGTCTTTCCCTTTCTTTCCATTCTCTTCTTTAGCTCTCCTTTTCCTTGTATCCTAAGGGAGTTTCATCCACTTCATTATTATGTTCTGAGTTGGATTAACACTCATTCGCCCCCCCTCTCCCAATTGCGGAAACATACTTAACACGATAGCTAGAACATCCCATTGGGTCACGGGTTCAAATGCATTTCCACTTCCAATTCAGATTTGACACTGAAATAAACTGAAGGGGAGGTGACGACTAGAGACTGCAACAAGTGAAACACACACGTCTTGAAAATTATCATCAAATATGTGGAGAAAAAGTCCTTCAAAGGTCCACTTGGGTGCAAATCAGTGGCAGTGAATGACGTTAAGTAGACATCCTCTCAGCAGGCCGTCCTACGGGAATGGAGGAAGTTCAAGTCGGACCACTCCTAACCCAGATACTAACTCGGATTGCATGAAAGTTTTGTACGCAGAATTTAGCAACTCGGAGCAACCAGTGAAGCACGGGGATTCGACACATACCCAGATTTCGGCTGTAACCCCATCGCAGTTGAAATCGCCGATTTGTCTGACTACCTGTTACCCAACAGTCTCCATGCGTGTACCGCTGAGTTCTCGCATCCTCGTGGTTCGTACAGTTCAAGAGACTCGTCTCAAGTGTCCTGAAGCCCGAAACCAGGCCTAGTGGCCAAGGCTACCTAACCCACCTGAGAACTAGTGCGTCTTGGCAACGGCCCAACTACTTGCCTGCCCGCTCGCCCACGCACGTTGTTAATACGAAGCTAGTCTCAAGAATCTGGAATATGAATTTTATGCTCCAAATCTAATTCGGCCTCATTTTGCAAGAGTCTTGAATTGAGCTGTCAACTGATCCCCTTGTTTCCTACCTTTGGCTTGCGATCCTACTCTACTGCCCTCATTCAAGCTAGTTTGCATCAGTAGCAACGCTCCTCTCCGAAAGCAGCCGTTAAGCAATACGACCACTATCAGTGCCGGAAAAAAAACTAATGGGGATGTGGTTCAAGACCCCGTAAGTTGGCGTATACAAAGTACGAACGTAATGAAAATCCGCGATACATTTGTTTGAATGACGAGGTCATTTTGAATGACAAGGTCATCCGTGCTAGTCACTGTAGTAACCGCTGCGAAAGGGTGGGGTGGTTGTGTTACTCGTATTCTTCTATATCTACCAAAAGGATCACGAACTACGGGGAACGAAGGCGCTCAGTCAGGGTGCCCCGCGGTCACGTGCTGCACCAAGTGCTGGGCCAGTGTGGCCCGTGCGCTGACCTGATTGACCGGTAATCCTTTTAACATTTAATTCAGCTGAACGGAGCCACCGTAGGCGAGCTTGCGAGCTGGAGGTGGCGTAGAGAGGCTGTCTCTTCTACTTTACCGTGAAGGTGCCGAAAGTTTCTCGCACGGGGATTGGCCAGTTTTCGTCCGTGTTGAAATGGGCTCCAGGGACTGGTCGATCGGATAATCTTCGGATTCTTTAAGCCGTGGAATACCGAACGCAGCGAGCAGGCCGCCGCAGGCGCCCTCGGAGGGCCGCCGGAGGCACCGTTCAGCGACCCCTTCCTGACTTGCTAGGTAGCTTATTTTATCAGTAGCATCTAGGCCGCATTTGTGTGGTGGCCCGGTGTGGAGATCCTAGAATACGATAGGCCGGCGAGCACAGGGGGGCACGGGCCATAGTCAGCCGGCTCAGCAAGAGCTGAGCGAGGGCTCGGATACCATGAACGAACCAAACATGAAGAGGCACGAGCGGCTACGTTTGCGTTGCTAGGCCTAAATACGATGACACTCGAAAAATGTGAAAATGCAAGCCGGCCCCCTAAACAAACCCCCCAAAGAGATGACAACTACGTGAATTGCGAACACGTGCTTGATAAAGTAGGGCGCGCTTTGAAAATTGGACTATTTCACGGAACTGATAGCGTGTACTTTGTATAAGTTAATGTGTTCAAACACAACAGTAAAAAATCCTGAAATATCTAGAAACTGAAGAATGCCGAGAATATAATTCAGTTGAATGGAGCCACCGTAGGCGAGCTTGCGAGCCGGAGGTGGCGTAGAGGGCTGTATTCTATATTATCGTGAGGATGCCGAAAGTTTCTCGCGCAGCGATTGGCCAGTTTTGGTCCGTATCGAAATGGACTCGAGGGACTGGTCGACCGGATGAACTTCGGACAGGTTAAGTCAAGTGGGTGACTTTTGGAACACCCCTGCCTATGGAACAGCCCCTGAATCGGACCCCGCACAACACCACAAACTTCAATTGCCAACAACTTTGTCAATTAATTAGCTACAATGATGAAGTCTTCAGTATCGGATTCTCCTGATTCTTCTCTTTCAGAATAACTAAGGTCCTCTCTGCCAGCCTCTCTCTGTGAGGCACGAACCTCCTCAATTCCAACGAACTGCGTATTAGGGTCGACTTGGACCTTCCTTCTCTTTCGGCCTCTTGTGCGTTCTAGGCTTTTTTCTGCAGCCTCCAATTGATGCGCCGTATTGGCTAGTTGGAAAACCACGTAATCGAAGGCTTTTGCGGCCTTGCGTATGAAAAGTCGGTCGTTGGCAGTCCGTTTCTGGCCGGCTAGAAAAACCTGCCCCTGAATACGGAAATCCTTCGGCTTTTTAGGGGTAAACCATATAGGCCGGCCCTCCGAATTCTTATTTAGAATGGGGTTATGGACCCCTTGAAGGTCTACAGAAACCGTAGAGGTCAGTTGACCAACGTCGCCGTTAGAATTCTTAATAACAAGGCCGTTGCTTAGGGGCTTCCTGAGGCTGACCGGCCAGAGGCCTGTAGCTTTCCAGCCGGCTTTGATATTAGATTCAGTCATTCCATAGACCCTGGCTTGCCGGTAGCATTCTAGGAAGGCCCTCTTTTCAGCAACAGTGCCTTCGTCGAAGCCGGAAACAACCTCGTTATGCTTGGCTCTGTACCGGGCTTTTAGAGGGCCGAAAATGTAAGGAAAAGGACACCCCAAACACCAACTGCGCGCACAGGGTGCGCGCCCACCACTTGTCACCAACTGGCTAGAACACTGCCAGCTGGCATACGCTACGCCGTGGCGCCACGACCGCAGACTGATGCCCGGGCCGAACCCCTGAGCAGGTATATAAACAATGGCCCTCGCCCATCTTCCTTTGCGAGGGCCAGGTTGAAGTCTTACACCAATACAAGTCATTGCTCCCCTACCTTCTTGCCTGCATTGTGACCACCTTGATCAGGCGTACCTACCTTCTCTTACAGAAAACCGATAAATCCAGGGGCTGGAGAACGTGGGAGGTGTGGGCTGGTAGAAATAACAATTGTACGTTATTAGAAAAGGCTAGCCACATGAATTCTTCGGTGGTATGACTACCGTGGCCATCTAAAATAAGGAGGCGCTTCTCCGAGGGGGTAGCTGGCCGAGTCTCTGGAAGAAAGATATTGCGGAGCCATGCGACAGCAGTATCATCGTCAGACCAGCCGTTTTCAGTGGGTTTCCACTTCCAGCCCTTAAATGGCTGTAAATCGCGTGGATACCATTGTTGTTGAAGGCTTCCACCTTTGAAAATGACGACTGGGTTCAAATACCGGCCGTCAGCGGAAATACATTCGATAATCGAGGTCCAAATTCGGTCTCCTTTCTTCTTTTTCTGGAATTTCTTTCTTTCCTTAGATCCAACAACCAGGCCGTTATCTCCAATGCCAGAAGCAATGCCAGTTTCATCCATATTATACCTATGCTTGGCTGGAATAGCCTCCACGCCTGGAGGCTTCAAATAGTCAAACCAAGGCCGGATAACGGCCTCACAGGCTCGATCAGCACGGTTTGCATGGATTCTCCGAGGCCTAACTGTAGAAATAGATGGATTTCTAGCCAAAAACCGGCTAGTCCAGCGTTTTCCGAGGGTCTCGTTATCTTCGAGCATTCTTCTAGCTAGTTTCCGAATTTGGGCGTGGGTTGGAGGGTGACCGAGCGACCCTTGGAATAGAATCCATTCGGTTAAGCGTTCTTCCATAGCCGGAGAAAGCTTTTGATTAAGAATTTGGGCCTTGGAGGCTGGCTCGGAACCACGAACCCGATTAAAGAGAGTAGTAGGGGGGATGCCGTGATTTTCAGCATAGCTACGGAGTAAGCCGGTTTCTGCATACTCTGCCAGCGCATTCTGCAAATCCAACTGTGTATATCGCTTTATCTTTCATTTCTCAATTGAATGGAGAAAAGAAGATAAGTATTGAAGCAGAATTGGTCGAGTTGCAAGCGATTGAAATAGGTGAGTTGGGTGGCGAGCGGCAAGTCCTTGATGACAAACCTTGTTCCAAATCCAGGGGTGTTCCATAAGCAGACCACCTGACTTAGGCCGTGAAATGGCGCTTTGCTGTGTCGTGAGTGTGTGTGTCAGGAAGGAGCAATTTCCTAATTAGAAGATATAACGCGTAAGCTGTATGAAGGAAAGCGCCGCAGGCCAAGAGCGCCGCAGGCACTAGGGGTCCCCCTAGAAATCCAACAATTAGACCATGAACATCGAAACATTAAATTATCACGAGAATTTGTTTTGGTGTTGAGGGGCTATCGCCGCGAGGCTCCCTTTGTTCTGCTTGTCAAGATGGACAATTATGGCGGCCCGGCTTGCTTCCCTAACGATGAGGCTATTCCGAGAAATGTGATGCCGATCTTCCAGTCCTTGCGGGACTTCCAGAGCGGTAATGCGCCTGCTACAAGCCTTGCGTGCGGCGTATTACCAGCGCCGTGTTGACGCGGCGAGGTGTTGGTTCCGGGTGTAGCCTAGATAGCAGAATCGACTTTTTCTGCCTCAACATTATGCTGTTTACGTTCTGATGACTCTCCTCTGTTTTTTACTTTTAATAGTTGACACAGTTGACACAGTTGAGTCAACCTTGGGCTACGACTAGGCACAAAGCGGGGTTGTCCTTACTAATTTCTCAGCAAAATGGCCCAGCCACCCATTCCCTCGAGCGAAGCGAGGACAGCCCATGGCAGGCGCCGCCGGAGGCAAAAAACAAGAAAAAAAGAGGCTCCGTTCAGCTGACCCCTTCCTGACTGGTCAGGTAGCTTATTTTTATCTTTAGGATGATGGACACCCTGTTAAGGGCTCCCACTATGATGTCCGTCCCCCATGCTCACCTCCCCCGCCGACATCGATCATCGCAACTACTACCCAGAAGCGAATATTTATTGCATATTATATCCTCGATAACGATGGACTCCCCGCAACAATCCCGACATAGTCACGGTTTGAGAAATATATCAATTCATCGGTCCTGCAATCCGCTCCAAAACCAGCCTGCAGCATCTGTGCCGACGGCAAGGACCTGTGGGGTTAAGGCTATTTCCTGTCGACAAGCCATTGATTGCGAGTTTGTACACAGTTGGCTGCTGATTGATGGGGAAATGCACACGGCTTTCAACAGCCTTTTGCGAGAGGGTTAAACAGTTAGGGAAGAAGAGGGAGCGAGATTGGAGAGTTGGTGATTTCGATGTCTGCGTTCGCGTTTTGCATCTCTCTAAAATTTCTATTTCTATTTTGTTCTACGTTCGCTCGTCCTTGTATAGGTTAGCAGTCTTAGCAAGCGATTGTTGGGGCGTGAAATCGTTTATTCCATGCTCCGCTCCCCACTTAACTAGTTCTATTTTGCTCGAAGTTCAAGAATAATTGTAATTATTCTGGGCGGGCTGAAGAGCTTTGTGCGGAGGCTACTGGGCCGCGATTGTCTATTGGATCGTCTATTGGATCGTCTATTGGAATTCATGACATCATGTCTTCGGCGACACTTTCTCTGGCGTTAACCGAGAGTATTACTTGACCCAAATATGCCCGATAGAGAACGTGGAGTCTGACAAAGATAGTTTTCTTGCTAGGATTACATTGACACACTCACCTGGTCGTCACGGAGCGTGCATTTTGCCCGTGTTGATGATGTCGTCATGGTTTCTGGAGACCTCAAATCACTGCACCAAGCCATCGAAACGGGAACGGAGGTAAAGTGGAGGAATGTGCATGTTAATAATCCTGGAAGAGCTATAGCGCTAAACGGCCTGGACCGAGACGTTGGCCACAGTGTCCAGCATCATCCCTGATCTTTGCAGTATCGGGCTGCTGAGGCGGTGGATGGAGGACAGTGCAATGGCCGAAAAACCTAGCGAGAAGTGGATTCTAGGCCACTTTTCCGTTGACTCGATTGGCGGATCTGCTGCGGGCCGTTTTAAGGACCGTGGTGCCCGGGTCTAGCCTTATGGAAAGTCGAAAGCCGGTAACACAGCTTCTCCATACCTCCTAGACGCTCCACAATTTTCTGCTACCTGCTACCTGCCAGCCCTTCTGCGACGGTTTCACTTCAACCACCGGCCATCTCAATAGATCCTGACCGAGTAGGGTGTCTTGACTCGTTTGACACCGGGTTTGGCGCAACCCGAACGCCACACGTCGTGCACTTTCCACTGTCGAACCGGGTGGAATCAACACAAGCACATTCGGCGAACTACATAATCGGCAGCCATGGCTCTTCCGTCGAGGCTTTCTCAATCTGCTCATCATCAAGTCGTCCATCCGCCTAACCCCCAACGCCTCCCGTAATCATTACCACCGAGTTTGAGTTTGATACTCCTCTTTGCCCACTGCTGGTCAGCCCCTTATCCGACGACCAATCACCATGAAGCTCTCCACCATGACCATGCTCTCCGCGGCGCTGGCCGCCTACGCCGCCCCAACCATGCGTGCTGAGCATGCAGATGTAAGTACGAGTGCGGCAATGGCTAAAAACAACAAAGCTGACAATCATCGCAAAGTCCTATCAAGCGGGGGTTGAAGCCCGTTACCCGCAGAACCGACCTGCTCCTCCTCCCCATGACGATGCCCGGCCTGGTGCCGTTTCCACCACTGCACGCGACCCCACTCTCCTCACTCGACGTGGTAACTCCCAAGCCATCCCCCAGAACCAGCCTTCGGCTGCCGAAAACGTGCAGCAGACGACTCCGGGCGGCCAGGCGCCGCCTGCGGATAAAAAGAAAGCAGCCAGTGCAGGTGGCGCTTCCAGTGGCAGTAGCCAGCAACAGCCTAGCGACAGCAGCCCGTCGACGAGCCAGAAACCTGCTGGCGCCAGCAAGCAGCAGCCAGCCCCGGCTCCCAATACTGGCAACCAAGCACCTCCAGCGACTGGCAGCTCCAACCAAGCACCTCCAGCGGCTGGCAGCTCCAACCAACCTAGCAACGCGCAGCCAGCCTCCAGCACCGGAAGGCAGGCCGCTGCTCCCGCAGGGGCAAAACAACAGCTCTGCGACAATGCCCAGCCGGCGAGCAGTACTGGGAGCCAGCTAGCGCCTGCTGGTGGGAACAAGCAGCAGCCGAGCAGTTGTCAGCCAGCTGTTGCGCTTAGAGGCCAGACTACTCCTGCCGGCGGGGAGACCCAACCTCCCGCTTCCAACGGCGCCACATTACCGGCGTCCGGAAGCAACTCCAAGAACCCCGGTGCTGCGCCGCCTGCTGCGGCTGGGACAGCAAAACCCCTTGCTGCTCCCTCTGGTAACGGAGGAGCTGCTGGTGGTCATGCTACAACTGGAAAGCAAGCACCCGCAATAGCAGCTAGTGGGAAAGCTGCCCCGGCTGCTAGGCCCGGTTCACCTGCTGCCGCCCCTGCTGGTGGTAAAGCTTCTGCTCCTGCTCCCCCTGCTACCCAGGCTGCTGGTAAGGCTGTTCCGGCTGCTAGACCCGGTGCGCCTGCTTCTGCTCCCGATGGTGGTGCGCCTGCTTCTGCTCCCGATGGTGGTGCGCCTGCTTCTGCTCCCGATGGTGGCAAGGCTGCTCCGGCTGCTGCAGCTGGGGGCAGGGATTCCGCGCCAAATCAAGCCCCTACCGCAGCGGCTCCAGGCAAAGCTCCTGCTCCCGCGGGAAACCAGGCACCTGGTAAGGCTCCGGCTCCTGCAGGGAACCAAGGACCTGCTGCTGCGGCGGGCGGAAAGGCTTCAACTCCGGCACCAAAGCAGGCTCCAGCGGCTCAGGCTCCAGCGACCCAGGCTGGCGCCAAACCCGCCACGGGAAACCAGGGCCCTGCTGCCTCATCTGGTGGAAAGGCTTCGGCTCCCGCACCCAAACAGGCTCCTGCCCCAGCATCTGGCAGCAAGGCTGCGCCTCTTGCCAGCGGCGGTGGTTCGAGTGGTGCCGGCGCCCCGAAGTCCCCGAAATCGGCTCGCTCTGATTAGGGTGGCAGGCTGGGATATAGCACCGGGCTTGAGGGTGTATTTTGCGGAGGGGACTGGATCCTCCGTTGACACTCAGTATTAATGCTAATTGTTTCTTGGCTACGTTAGACTAGGATATTGAAAGCAGTGCTTGACTATTGATTAGCTGTCGTCTTTCAAATTGCCGCCTGTTCTCGTACTTAGAAGCCCCTCGAGCTTGCATGCCCTTTCTTTACTCAATTCAAAGTCTCAAACCTTGTCATTCCCTATCTAACAATGGCATCCAGCTCTTGCAGGGCGTAGATCCTCGACAGAGCAACGTTTCCTCTCCAACCAATGCGGTCACCTTTCCGAACCTGCAACGTAGCTCTCCTGTGAAACGAAAGATCATTCCCCGCCGCGCTCAAGATCCAGTATCCAGACCAGAATCAAGCGTCATTTTCTCTCAAACGTCACATGGCTTGGATAATCAGAGCAATCTTGTCTGTGGCCCTGGATGGTCAGAGCAATCTTGTCTGTGTCACCATGTGGATTACAAGGGTGGCTCCTAGGCTATCAATCTGCTACTGATGAAAATTTCTCCTCCGGGATCCTACGCAACCAACACTGAAAACAGACCACCCACCCATATACATTCAGGTCACCGCAACCGGCTCAGTCATATTAATTCCTGCTGATACTGAACGTTTCTTACACCAAAATCTTGGTGACCACACCGTTTTCTCTCGCAGCCCGTGCGTGCTTCGGCAGCGTATTTCCCCAAGAGTCAAACTTGGTAGGTCTACAAATATTGGCACGGTCCAGAATGTCAATGGGCTCCCATCGCAGACCTCAAACTAGCTCGTCGCTCTCTCTCGGTAAGCTCCCCTCTCCCGAGGTGATGGATTAGTATCGGAAAACGTTTCTACTGTTGAATTCACCATATGGAATCTTCTAGTGGATGATAAATACTAGATTATTCAGCTGATGTGAGCCAAAATTGCCACACAGCTCGCCACCACTCATATGTATAAAACCTGCACCTCTGGCATAGCCAGAGGAGGGGAGAAATTGAACAGAACACAACACTTCATATTTTTTTCGGTCTGAATGTAAAATCCAACATCTACAAGGTATCGCAGTCATGAACACAGTTTTTGCTCAAAAGGAAGCATTATTCGTTTGCCCAACCGGGGGATGGCTCCCAACGGGAGGATGGCTCCTAACGTGAGTTCCTGATTTCACTTCACTTTCTCCTGACAATTCCGATGCTTCCATTCACTGCCACCCGTCCTCTCCCAACATGACCTGCCAGCCATGAACTGTCACCAAGACCTCAACCCTATGATCTATGATCGACTCCCATAGCCTAGTATCAACGTCACGGCTCCTTCCAATGCTCCCTCGCGGGGTACAAGCTAATTTACTCGATTCCTGATTCGAGGCGCCCGCAATTCAAGCCAATTTACTCGATGCCTGATTCGGGGCGCCCCGCAATTCAAGCCTACCCTTTGTCTTCCACATGAAGCACCACACTTTAAACTTCTTACAAACGCACGCACTTGCCTTCCTCGCTTCCCTCTCTATGCCTCCCCGCTCCCTTATCCATGCCTCCCTCGCGCATATCCGGGTGCGCAGATCACGAAATGGTATTTCGCCCTCGCTACTCATTTCGATCGCGCAGGACTCCCTGTACGAGTGGCGTGTTTTTGCTGGGATGAATCCTTGCTAATTTCTACCTCTCGCGGCAGGCTCAGCCTTTCTCGGAGAAGCGGAAACTGGCCGGCACAGGCCCGCGGCAACCCAGGGAGGTGAGCCCTCTGGTCATCTCCCTGCACAGCGACGACGACCTGGTTGACGACGACCTGGTTGCGGTTGCGGTATCCTCGGGGAAAAAGAAGCCTGCGCCGTCCGCGCCCAGCACGGAAAAGAAGAAGCGGGGCCTGCCCTTGTTTGGTACCTCGCTGCCGCCGCTGAAGCGGCAAATTTTGGATGACTCAGCGCGCTTTGCGACGCAATTTGAAGCTGCTCCATTGCTCGCCTCGCATGCGGGCACCGGCCTAGACCTTTTCCGCCTCCCCTCTTCTTCCGCCGCCGCCATCGCCACCGCCGCCGCCGAGCCGGTAGCCCCACAACAAGCTGCCAACCAGGAGGCGCCCAGCTCTCGGGCCGTCCTCCTGAGAAGAGGCCTCCGAGACGAAGTCAGCCGACTGAAAGAAGAGCTCAAGGAGTCGACAGGAATGCCGAACCAGTCGACAGAGAAGCAGCAGCAGCAGGAAAAGGAGCTCCTCAACCTCCAGCAGCAGGTCCACGAACTGCAACAACAGCTTCAGGATCGGGAGCAAGAGCTTGTGCGAAGCTACCAGGCAAGCCAAGGTCCGATTGTGGCAATAGATGATAAGATCGACAAGCTCGACAGCCAAAATGCCGTCGAGGACCTGCGGGGTATCAAAGCCGAGCTGGAGAAGAACGAGACGGAGCTGCAGGATGTCAGAGCCGACTTGGCTGACAGGGAGGAGGTGATCAAAAGCCTTAGCGACATGTTCGATGCGCGAGCGGAGATGCGTCAATTCAATGGCGGGAGGAGTGTCAGTCCCCAGACGGAGCTGGACGTCGCCCTCATGACGAATAAGCACCTCGAGAACTATGTGTCAGACCTGACGGACCAGCACGAGAAAAAGTTCGCCGCCCAGAAGGGGCAGCACAAGCAAGAGTTGGCCGCCCAGAAGGAGCAAAACAAGCAAGAGTTGGACGCCCAGAAGGAGCAGCACAAGCAAGAGTTGGCCGCTGAGAAAGCCAAGTACGAGCGTCGACTGCTGGACCAGAATGTCCGATTCGAGGGTGAAAAGCATCTCTATATCCTGCAGGTTGAGAGCCAGCAAGCCGAGGCCGCCAAGATGCGGCAAGACATGGAAGCAGCACGCCTCGCACACAGTGAAGACATTCGGCAGCTCCGGTCAGAGAACCAGCTCCTCGCCGAGCAAAAGCACCAGGCGGAGCAACAAGCACTCCAAGTCAAGGAGCAGCAACGCCAGGCCGAGGAAGGCAGACGCGAGGCTGTCAGCCAACATGCCGACGACAAGGCCCCCTGGGAGGCAAGGCTGTCTAAAGCCAACATCACCATAGCCCAACGAAACTCGAAGCGTCTGGAGGAAAGAAGACTCAGCCTTTCCCAGGTGGAGAAAGAGAGGCTGGTGCGCGACGGAAAGCAGTTCGCCTCGGAGAACAAGAAGCTGGCGAAGGATAATGCGGCCCTGACCAAAAAGGTCACCGACCTGACCAATATAGTCAATAGTAAGACCAATAAGGCCATGACCAAGCATATCGAGGGCCAGATACTGCAGGCCAGGCAGGGCGAGTTGCAAGCGCAGAGCGAGCGACAGGAACTAGCCGCGCGGTACGACGCTATATTCGCGCGGCTGGTCGATGCGCTGGCCCATAATTCGCGGCTCAAGGACCAACTAGACGAGTGCGATGTCAAGATCCAGTAACACAGAGAGCTGGCCGACGGGTTGGAGCGGCGTCGCCAGGGGGGAGAGCTGGAGATAGAGTAGCGGCTGCCGCGGCAAGAAGAAAGGCGGCCGGAGCGTAACAATCCGGCACGACGATACGATGAGAGGGGGTGTTTCTTTTTTCCCTGTTTTTTCGGGCTCGGGCGCAACATGCGCAGATATAGCAGGGTCGATGTTGCCTTGCGCGGGCGACTTTTCGTGCTGCTCCAACTCGGCGTTGCCAGTTCCTGTTTTTACCGAGCGGCATTTCTCTCTCTCACACGGCATGAGCGCCAGTGGCGTTGGCATTGGCGACACTATTCTGCGGATTGGGTTTTCTTTCTACCCCCCTTTCATAAGCTCCGACGCCAAGACGCAACGGCAGGTTTGGCACCGGTCTGGATGACGGACGGTGGATATCAAGGCGGTGGGATGGGAGTTCATGTTTGCTGGGGCGGGGAGTTCATGTTTTTTGGGGCTGGGAGTTCATAATGGAGGGTGCGATCTTGCTTTGCTTTTTTGCGCACCATGCGCTGTCTTGCAGTGGTTTCTTCACGGGAGGCTAATTTTGCTTGGTGGCGGCTTCCATGCTGCTTGCCATGTTGGTAGATAGCTCTCCCATCATAGAATTGCAGCGGTTTTGGTGCGGTAGGTAAGAGCCGTTACCGCACCCACAAAACAGGAAACACTTGAGAAAACGCGTCTTCAAAGCTTTAACGTTATTAATTAGGGTGCCTAGGCTTGAGGACCACGGTAGGGTGTACTAATTTTTAGACGATGTATTTTAATTAAGCTCTTTCTCAGCCTTAAGTAAACATTCGACGTACTAGACGAAAACGTAGCTCCTAGTGGGGGCCGCATCCTTTGTTTAGGAAAAGAGGTTCGACAAGCTAACGTTTGATTTTAAAATAAATACAGCTTGTGATGGCGGGGCACTAAGAACTACCACCCTCAACCTTGGCCTTCTAAAAGGATACCTAAATAACAAGCCGCCTGATCTGCAATATAGAGCAGGTTATGGTAGGTTGTAGTATAGTCACGTACCCCTATGCTTGCTCATAGCGCCTCGGTACCGTACTGCAACATAGCCCAGGGAATTCGCCTCAAGGTAGATAGTGTGACGGCGCCAGCCTGCAGCACTCACTACCACTGCGCTAGAACCCCCAAAAGGATGCCAGAATTGCAAGCTGACAACTTGCAACCTGTAGTAAGCTATATAGTACTGCTAAGGCCATTGCGCGCCGTGACAGATAGCTTAAAAAAACGCAAGCAACTCCTCAAGAGGAAAAGGCGCTTTATTATAGCCTATATCTACGGATGCTCCTACCAAAAGAATCCGCTCACCGCTTTTGGTTCTTTTCTGCCGGCAGAATTCCTCCAGTGGGCATTGCAGGAAGGCTATAGTGGTTAACTACTATAAGCGATTGGCTTCCAAAAAGCCACGTCAAAAATAGCCAGCGCACAGGCTTGTGTTGGCAGTCGCCACCGGTGGAAACCCGGTTGAAATATATCAAGATCCGTAAGCGCAAGTTAGTTCCAAAGCGTCTTTTATACTCTGTCCGTCATAGCCACTATTTTGTCTATCTCTCAACCATGGGGCAATACAGTGATACTGTAACTCGTGCTCAAGCCTTGACCCTTAAAGCCGTGGGCTTGACAAATACCCAAATCCAGCAAGTTACCGGCATCCCTCCACGGACTTTGAACGATATTCTCGACCGCGCAATCAAGGCTGGATACGAGCCTATAACTTCTGACGGTGCTCTTGGCCGACTTGATAGCTCCCACGTTGCTAACGCACCAAAGTCCGGCCGCCCTAGTAAACAAGAAGCTATTCAGGAAGAGGTCCTTGCCAAGGTTCGTCGTGATCGTTGCGGTCGTGAGAAGTCATGCGCTCAAATCGCCATTGAACTAGAGGGGCGAGTCTCCCCTATGACGGTATGGCGGATTCTACGGAAGGCTGGTATGAAGAAGACGAAGCCTACTCGCAAGCCTGGATTGACGAAGGAAATGCGGGCAGCGAGATTAAAGTGGTGTCTTGATCATAAAGATTGGACCCTTACAGATTGGATGAAGGTCATTTGGACCGATGAAACAGCTATTGTCATTGGCCATCGCCGTGGAGGGTATCGAGTGTGGAGGACTTCAGTGGAGCGGCATTTGCGAAGCTGTATTCGTGAGAGGTGGAAAGGATATACGGAGTTTATGTTCTGGGCTTCTTTTTGTTACGATTTTCAAGATCCTTGCCACATCTGGAGGCCGGAAACTGCTGCGGACAGGAAGTTAGCTGATGAGGACCTGAAGAAGATGAATAAGGCGCTTGAACCTATCTGTAAGGCTGAGTGGGAGCTGAACAACCCGATGTCTCGCCTTCGGGTTGATCGGAAGAACCCCGGCCGGGTTCCGCAGTGGCGATGGACTAAGGCCAACGGCCAGCTGACGAGAGGAAACGGGAAAGGGATTGACTGGTATCGATATCAGAAACAAGTGTTACTGCCGAAATTGATCCCTTTTACGCAGCGGTGTGGCCCCGAGTTTCTTATAATGGAAGATAACGCACCGGCACATATACACCGCGCTAACCATGTGGTAATGAACCTGTCGAATGTATTGCGTTTGTTGTGGTGCCCTAACTCTCCGGATCTCAATATGATCGAGCCTGCAAGGTTCTATCTAAAGAGGCAAACAACAAAAAATGGCGCTCCACAGAGTCGGCAGGAAGCGGAGAAAGCTTGGCTAAAGGCTTGGAGAGAGTTGCCGCAGGAGAAGATTCGTGAATGGATTCAACGGATTATACACCACATACAGGAGGTTATTCGTTGCGAGGGAGGAAACGAATATAAGGAGGGTCGGCCGAGTTGGATGAAGAGCCGTGAGGTCAACTATATCATTGAAGCTAGAGGAGAGGCAGTTGTAGTGGACGAATCTATAGATTCGGCTCTGTGGCAGTCAGAAGTGGATTCGGAAGACGCAGAGTTGGAAGGACTTAAAGTAGATGCCTGGGAGGAAGAAGTGGAAGAAGCGGCGCCAGAACCACCGCCGGCGCCAGCGCCAGCGCCAGCGCCACTGCGGCGATCAAACAGAAGAAAGTAGATAGTTACACTTGCAATTGAGGTTGACTGCCCGCAATTGAGTTCGATAGAAATGGCGATAATAGTATGCGATGGTGGGGTTTGGTGGAAGCGCTATAACTTTAGTGGGCTATAGTCTAATTAGTGGGTAAGCTCTATAATGGCTAAAACGCCAAGAAGGCGGTGAGCGGATTCTTTTGGTAGGAGCATCCGTATATTATCTTAACAGGATAGTTAGGTATTATAAGACGTGGAAAGTGAGGGATTCTTGAGCAACTTTGCTCCCCTTCTCGTACGGCTAGACCACTAATGGTCTGGAATACCATTATTATTTTCTTTTTCGGGTTTGCCTCTAGGGCATCCATTAGTAGGAATCGATTCCGGATCCCACCATTATTTAGGTCTCAGATTTGCGTTTGGAACTTGGGCATCCCATCTTCAGGGCCAGGGCCCGTCATGTCTCTTTCGAGTCGTGCCGTGCGAACAACCTATGGCAGCGCCCCTTTGGGATTTGTCGTCCCCAGCATACAGTGCATGCAATTCTCTCACTATCCACACTCCCTGAGCCGCGATGCAGTTTTTCGAGTGGTGGACCACTCAGATCGCGTGTAAAAGAAAGAGCTTTGATGCACGCACCCACCGCCTTTTTCCTCGCACCTACCTGGGGGTCATTGGCAGCTGGCAACGCAGAGACCGCTTTTTTATGGTAAAATTCCGTATTGCATGGCAGCCACTCAACGGCCTGCCGGGCATTAAGGAAGCATACCGGGCACTAAGGAAGCCCGGCAAAGTCAAAATGACACTATTTACACTTCCACATGCCGGCATTTGTGTGCGCAGTTGGTGTTTTAAGGTCTGCAGCGGCCAGGTGGCCGTTGCAGGCTTTTCCTTTGCCAATCAACCCTTGAACACATCATCAACCTACCTTTCCGCTCACAGTCTTCGTAATGCCTTTTATCGAGATTTCCTCTGACAATTCAAGCTCCCTCGCCCTCACCGTCCCCGGCTCCGGCTCCCTCGACCTTGCTGTCCCCGGCTCCCTCGACCTCGCTGTCCCCGGCTCCCTCGCGCTGGCTGTCGCTGTCCCGTGAAGATGATCCTTATCCTCGTAGGAAGGGCGGCGAGGGTGACCGGGTTGACAGAGACTAGGTTACTAGATTGATAGAGTCGACACCAAGGAATTGCATCACTGTGTCAACAAATCAGGATTGAACAGATATATCATTTAGGCAACGGGCGCCTACCATGAAATTTAGCAAATTTACGTACAAATCCGGGCCTCAGAGTTGCCATTTGCAAGTTACCTTTATTCCAAGGTCGACTCACCAACAAAGAAATCGTCAAATTGGAAAACACTACGGTAAACGCGTTTTCACGGCTTTTGAATGTTTTGATGCTTTCAATGTTGTTGACCCGGGCGGCTGGGCGGCTGGGTTAGCACATGGGAAGCACATGGGAAGCGCGTGGGCGGGAAGATGGTATTTCACGATTTTACTGGCCTAAAATAGGCTTTGCGTATCTCAACTGCCAACAGCTGCCAAGGTCCCCAGGCAGGTCCCCAGGCAGGTGCTCGGAAAAAAGTGGTGGGTGCGTGCATCAAAGCTCAAAAGAAAATTGATACAACACCATATGTAGGCGCACAAAGTCCACCATTCGAACCTGCGCTTCAAAGACGGTGTAGAGGGAATACGATAGCCCCTCGTTGATTCTCAATTCCTTGGAAGAATCAGTCTTGCAGTGGCGGGGTCTTGGCCATGATCAGAAAGTAACGCAATAACTCTTATTTTCTGTTCCTGGAAAGAATATGACTGCCCAGAACAACACAACGCCAAACCTTTCGCAGCAGCTGAGGATGTGCTACCGCTTTCCCTTGTTCATCGCTTTGTTGGCGACCCCTATTCGGTTCACTTCTCTCTCCAAGAACCAAACCGCTCCGTGCATGTTGCCTCTCAACTCCAACATAGCAGTTTAAACTCACTCCATAATCATCGTGCACCCAACAGTTTCCCCCCATGGAGTGCACCTGACATGCGAGCAGTTTTCACAGTACATTAACAGCCATGCATTCTTCTTCGAGTCTTTGCAACATTTCCACCACTTCGGGGTTTTATTTGTGCCAGTGCCAGTCGTCTCGGATTTCGTCTCGGTTTTTGAGGATCTAGTTTCAACCGCGAGGTTCGAGGATTTGCTCTGGGATGTGCTCATGACGTCTGAACTTGGAGGTTTTGCAATTGAATGGTGTTTCCTTGTTCTCTTGATGTGGCTTGTTAAAGGTTTGGTGTTGATACAAGGGTGTCTTGTACCTGGTAATCGTTGTGCTGGTTGTCACGGAAGACGTGCGAGATGGCTCTGCATACGCTTCAATATATACATGTCCATGGTGGCAAACCAAAGCTCGACTTTGCAGTTTCCTTGCCTCTGCTACAGGTTTGCGTCATGTTCCGAGACTCATTTGTGACCGACTCGGTTTGCTCACGGGCAACCTTGTTCGTTTAATTGGTTTTGTCAGTCAACTGCTACGCCTCACCAGTCTCGATGAAATCGTTGTCGTTTTATAAACAGCAGTTGCTTGTGAATAGATAAGAACAGAAGGACGATCCGCTTAGAGAGATTCTACTATAGGTTGTATGGAATCATTAGAATTCGAAAGACGAGAAGTAAAATCGCATAATCGAACCACAAACCGAACCGCCAGCTCGAATCATGGCTGTACCATCAAACATCCAGCCTCGTGGGAGGAAGTTGCTTCTATCTCCTACTAACAAGTTCTTCTATGTGATTTAACGACGAACGGGTACTTTTAGTGGATATAATCCTGACTCTGACGAAGCAAAATACACGACGACATGAGGTAAACCTGGCAGATGCTCTAGAGTACAGTGCCGCGTTAAGGTCGCAGCAATAGTCACATTAATATTGGGCATTTTACCTAGTAAATATGGACGAGCTGTCATGCAGACCGTAAGCAGCACCTGAGTTTTCCATCGTGCCTCGACCACCAACGCGTGGCTTGGGCAGGACGAGAACGTGTACAGAAGAGACATGGGTCATACCATTCCACGAGGAGGCGCAGGGCAAGACCGGCAAGTGCAGAGTTCAAGTTTACAAATCTCATGGCGCTGCCTAACGCTTTGCATCTCCACAAAGTTTGATAAAAATCGAATGATCCTGTGGACGCGTGACACGATCGCAAAACGCTCTCTCTCCGTCGCCTCGGGATTGCGGCGTTCGGAAATTGTATAACCCCCTCGGGTCTCTTTTCTCACCCCCGCCCCCCCCCCCCTCTAAAAAAAAAAAAACCCCCCCTAGTCCTTACCTACATCACATTCCTATCACAACGCACGCGTTGTCAATGAAAGGATATTGTCATCATTGCAATCTTCCACAGTTGTTGCCTGCAACGGCCAAACTTCATTAACAGTCGGAAGCGTTGCAATCACTGAGAAGCCGCATATATCTGGTCGCCAAGTCTACCTGCCCAAGCTGGTTGGTCTCGTCTCGTCTTCGGTGGCAAATGAAAGCGCATCTCGGTGCGGGAGCACAGGACACGACCCAAGAGGGCGACTAGATCGCGGAGTCGGTGGAATTGGGTACGAACGCCAAGCAGGAACTGAGCAGGAACTGAGCAGGAACTGGACATGCCACCGCCCGGCGCGGGGGGATTCACATTGAGATAAGGGTGGTCGGGAGCTGGAGGCAGTCAGCCCGGAGCACTACTACGTCAATCCATGGATGCCCATGCGTGAACCGCCGAGGGAAGCTTGGAAGAACCTCGGCACCTTGGCAGCTTCCATGCTCCTTCCCGAAAAAGCAAGTAGACTATCGACGCCGGCGACGACGAAAAGGCCCAATACCAAGCAAGCTGCGAGACTTGCTACAAGACGCACCCTCGCAGCACAAACACGATGCAATTAGATGCGAGACCTTGCGAGATGCCTACATGCCATTCGCAGAGCTGGACGAGTCTGGAAAGCCCATGATTCCATGTCTGACCAGTCAGCGTTTTGGCTCGACGACAAGGGGAGCTGAGGACGGGAACCGCACTGGCAGTATCTTGGTTGACGGGATTGGCCGTCGCCTTCAGGCTAATCCAGGTTGCATCTGATAACGGCGGCCACTTCCTCGGGATGTGGCAGCGTGGGCAATGTGGGTCGGCAATTGCGTGACAGAGCACTGGCAGCGCTCTAGTGTACTTGGAGTTTGGGTGCTCTAGTGTACTTAGAGTTTGGGTCTGGGGTATAGATGGGAGCGTCACACCCCGTCTCTGCGCTGCTTTAAGGTTTCGAAGGCACCTGCCTAAATTGGATGCATGGTTCCGCGCGGTGGTCTCGGTTGCTTCCAGCGCGCCACGGCCAGTCTGCGGCTGCGGATTACACGCCCAGCTGCTGATTACACGCCCAGCTGCTGTGGGGACACGCTGATTGGCCAACGCCGCGGATCGCCAGAATATCCGGGGCCGTTTGGAGTCAAAAGGTCGCTGATGATGGGTGCTTGCGATAAGTCGTGGACCCAAAAAGCTGTCTTGGCCCGGCTTGGCTCAAGCTTGGGTCGCTACAGCTAGCAAACAACCAGCAAGCCGCCTGCCAAACACAGACGGCACGTCGCAGCCACCGGTTCACAAGACGTCCGACCGGCAGCTTGAAAGGGGAAATGGGAAATGCACAAAGTATGAATGCATGCTACGGCGCCTCAGTACTTGGCAGCCAGCTCAAGCATGTGCAAATCGGTTGTACCGCAAAGACGGTGCACTTGCAGGCCGGAAAAGATGCGTCCGCATTGATGGAAAATCATTATCTGCTGGGAATGCTTCGGCATCCCCCAGACGTTTCCCGTCCCCTTTCATTGATAACTGCAGGCGCCCGTCCCGCCTTTCCTTGATAACTGTAGGCGTCCCTTCCCGAGAACCAGAGACCTCGCCGTCCACAAGCAGCGCGACGCTCTCCCAAGTCTCAAGTCTCGGCCGCCTCCCCACGCCGAGTTTTACGCCATGGGTATGTTCACGATCCATCCTGCCCCGCCCCCCCTATTGGCTTCGTCGGCGGGACAAAACACTGACGTGGCCGCGGTCGGACAGATACTGGCACATCAATTCCCACGCTCCGGGCGTCGATCGGCGAGGTACGCCAGTCGTCCGAGGGCAAGTCGCTGCCGGCGTACAGGAACGAAGCTGTCACGGGCGCCCCTGATGATGATGTCCACGAGACGTACCACGGACTCGTCATCCCGACCGAGGAGGAGAGGTCGACGCTGCGCCGCGTTGCAGGCAAGATGCCCAGCACCTGCTACTACCTCTGTGCTGTAGAGTTTGCCGAGCGCGCCTCGTACTACGGCTGCAACCAGGTCTACAAGAACTTCATCCGCGCCAAGCTGCCGGCAGATGGAAACGGGGCGGGAGCCACGGCCCCGGGCTCCAAGTCCACAGCCGGCGCCTTGGGCAAGGGCACCGTTACGGCCACGGCAATGACCGAGGCCTTCAAGTTTCTCGCATACGCCCTGCCCGTCTACTTTGGCTGGCTCGCCGACACCAAGTACGGCCGCTTCAAGATGATCTGCTGGGGTGTGGCCGTCTGCGGCGTTGCCCACGTCATCATGATCATCTCGGCGCTCCCGCCAGTCCTGCAGTCGGGCAATGCCATTGGGCCCTTTGCTCTCTCCCTGTACATGCTGTCTATTGGTGCAGGTGTGTACTTGACGTGGTCGGCTTTGCTCTCTGATCCGGAAAAACACCGCTGATACTTCTCGACAGCCCAGTTCAAGCCAAACATCTCCCCGACCATCATGGACCAGAGCCCCCACAAGGTTGCCCACGTGATCACGGAAAACGGCGAAAAGGTTATCGTTGACCCGGAGGAGTCTCTTACCAGCGTCATGCTGTGGTTTTACCTCCTGATCAACATTGGCGCCTGCTTCGGTATCCCCACCACCTATCTCGCCAAGATTGTGGGGTACTGGGCAGCCTACCTCATCCCCACGATCCTGTATCTCATGCTTCCCCCTCTTCTCTGGTATCTAAACCCCCGTCTCGTCAAGCAACCACCTGGCGGCTCGGACCTGGGCAACGTGTTCAAGGTCCTTGGCGATTGTCTCCGCCACGGCGGCATCAAGTCGTTCGGCCGCAAGGGCTTCTGGGAACATGGTAAACCTAGTGTGCGTGCCGCTGCAGGCAGCACCAAGGTCTATCACTACGACGACCAGTTCGTGGAGGACGTGCGGCGGACGTTCCAAGCCTGCGGCATCTTTATCTTCCAGCCCATCTTCCAGATCAACGACGGCGGTCTCGGTGCCGCCGCCAACGCTTTGACTGCGTCGATGGAAACGAACGGGCTCCCCAACGATCTTCTAGACAACCTCAATTCCGTCAGCATCGTCGTCAGTAAGTCGTCAAATGCACATCTCCCTTGAGACAAACCCACAGGACGTGAAATCTGACACGCGGGTAGTGGTCCCTTTCATGAACCACATTGTTTACCCCCTTCTTCTGCGCTTTGGAATCAAGTGGGGCGCCATCTCTCGCATGACCTTTGGGTTCGCCGTCTGCACTATCGGCTCGATCGGGTTCTCGGTCCTCCAGTACTACGTCTACCAGACGTCTCCCTGCGGGTACAACGCAACCACGTGCGACGGCCGGCTCCCGGAGGGCGTCAACCCGCTATCAACGGTATCGTACAGTCTATACTCGATCCCCATCATCATCACGGCCATCTCGGAGATCTTTATCAACGTGACAGCCTACGGCATCGCGTACTCGCGCTCGCCTAAGAACATGAAGGGCCTCGTCGCGTCCATCAATCTGTTCATGGTGGCCATCTCGGCCGCCATCGGCCTCGCCACCGCCCCCGCCATCCAGGATCCGTATCTCATTTGGGCTTTTGCCGGCCCTACCATTGTTGGAGCCGTCCTCACAGTCGTCTTTTGGTTCACGTTCCGCCACCTCGACAAGGAGGAGTTTGTCATCAACACGGACTTCCAGGACATGAAGCGCGACTCGGACGACAGCGACGCCGAGAACAACCAGGCAAGGGAAGACAAGCTCCTGACTAGCCCAGTGGATGAGAAAATTGCCGTCAAGTCGGACTGATGTTAGGTCGAGACAGTTGAGCGTGGGAAAGTGCAGACGATACTGCCGCCTGGTGTCTAATCAGTGTTTGACGTTCTTTTGGGTGGAAGTAGGTTGGGTAGGAGTAGGTTGGGTGGGAGTAGCGTTGGGTGATTTCTTGAAGCTAGGAGGCTGGGGATGTAATGCCTGCGATGTCCTTGTGTCTAAATAGGCGCAGATTGTTCGACATATTGTCTCCTCAGTGCCTATAGTCCTTGTCTGTTCAACGTTGTTGTGGTTCTTAACTCTTGTTACAAGCTGTGAATCTTACGGAGCAGGCATCGGCGTGAGACTCTCAAATCTATCGCCATGTGATATCGACAAACCTTTCGGCCTCAAATTTTGCCTGTCCCGACAGCACTGGTCATGTGCTGTGAAATCGGCATCTTTTTTCCCAGTCGTCACGTATTCTGTCCTTCCCTTCCAGCTATCCTGTCTGCCGAAGCCATGAATAGCCGAGCAGAACTCTATGTCATTGGACTGCACCCAGCAACTCTTCGTCGGTATCGTGTTTTTTCAACTATTCCAGACAAAAGCGCAAAGAGACAACCCCCTAGCCCGCCCCGCCTGGCAACGCTCGCTGCGCCCGCTCTAATCGTATATATGGGCTCCAGCTGCCCCTTTTTTTGTATGGAAAACAACGCTCTTTAAGCTACCCCTACGTCTACCCCTACGTCCCCCTGACGTGGTCTCATGTTCCTGTCGTAGGGTGGGATATGTCTCCAGAACCAGGGCCTTCGTGGTGATGCTCGCCTGGGCTGTCCATATGTTTTTCGCTATTTGCCAGTGTTGGTCTTTCTCGTCCGAGGAACTCAAAAGGGGACTAGAGAATATAGACTAGCAATACGGGTGCTTCGTCTGTCCCCGCCTCAGCCAAAGCCGGTTGCAGGTTTCCGGCTCTGAGCTTTGCAATCCCAAGAGTTATAACTAGGTCCGGGGTCAGCTGCTTGTGCCGTACAGAAACTCAGTGGACACGACCCAGGCTCGTATGTCCCCACGAAGGGTAAACATGGCTGTAGTGTGCGGGTTTCGGGATAAGGGATAAGGGATGTCGAAACTGCAAGCGCTACAATCGGTTTCGAGGTAATTGCGCCTGTGACCTGTTCTGGGCGAGAAGAATTAGCTCGCGTTTCTGTGTCCTACCCAATGAAGTACGGCACAGTTTGTTATCAAAGGTTTCAGTCATCGGCACTTCTCTGGGTTACTCAACTCGACTCAACTCAACTCGTGTCCTGTAACCAATTCAGACTAATCACCTCCCGATGGACTAGGGTTCTCTTGGATCTTGATGGTCTTTCTTTTCTGTTCTTGATGGTCTTCTTTTCTGTTCTTGATGGTCTTTCTTTTCTTGTCTTTAAGGTCCGACCAGGGCCTATGTATTTTCAGTTAGATATCCAACAAACGGACTGGCTTCTCAGAGCCCCCGTCCAGCCGTCAAAAAGCCGGGTGAGTGAACCAAAGACCGTCGTAATTCTTTATCGAGGTAAGGGATCGTAGAAGCCTGTGCAGAGCGCCCCGGACAGAGCTCGATTCCTCAGGCGTCAGAACACTCCCACAAGCAAAACAAAGGGTTTCAACCCCTTTTCCTTCTCCAAAACCGCCCCTTACCCGGCCCATCATCCACCGTGGGAGAACTAAGCGGAGAAACGCCTTCGGAATCCGACTCTGGCCGGTTCACGTCCACCTTGACAAAATACGAGCCCGTCTGGGAATCCTCGGCCACACTTGCCGATATCACGTAGTCGAAATCGAATCGAGAATTAGTATGGGTGACCGCAATGCTACGTTCCTCCGAGTAACCCTCGTATATTCGGTATCCCGAGAACCTCAGCACTTCGCCTAGGGTTCCAAAATCGTCGATGTTGGTGAAGGGGTCGATGAATCTTTCCGGGTCTAACTCGCTCGTAACACGGCGTCGTAGAACGTGTGGCTGGGTGATGCTCACGCGAACCTCGTTCTCAACGCCTCGCTTCGGAATGCGGCAAACCACAATAAAAGAGTCGGTCTCCTCGACGTCAACCTTATCGTCTGTGAAATTCCCGTGTTCTGCGTAGTGTGCGCTCGTCTTGATAGAGAAGCGCACGAGGCAAACGAATTCGGGAAAGTCGCCGATGGAAAAGTATCGCCCGTTGGATTCCCAGTACGCGTCTGGGACCGCTCTCAGGTTTTGCACCTCGTAGGACAAGGTCCCCGTGTAGAACTGGAACCAAACCCGGTTGCAATCGTTGTGGCTGTCGTCGGTTTGGGTGGATAAGAACGGCTTTGCCTCGTCGACGACCGCCCACGCCAGATATATAGGGCGAGCAGACTCGGCATGGCTAAACCCCCATGGTGTGGCCATGTCGCTGGCATCGGAACGATAATACGTATCCACAGCCCGCTTCAAGTAGATGCCCACAGATGTTGGCGGCCTATTCTTCACAGGTCTTTGGCAGTCCAGGTTCATGAGAAACCGCCCCTGGCCAAAGTTGTGCAGCGGCATGCTGATCTTGACTCCCTTGTTTGTGAGACTGATCTCGTCACGGAACCGGAACTGGCTGTTCAATAGCTCGATATCCCCGCAGTCGGCAAACTCCGATGGGGACTGGGCGAGGATGCCTCGGAAGCGGTCAAACCCGACCAGTCTCTCCGTGGCCTTCCAGGCAAATATGGACAGGTCGGTCGTCTTGCGCAGGATCTCTTCCTGCAGTCGCTGAAAAGCTTTTGGTCCCTCGCCGTAGATCATGGACATGTTGACGCCGAAGATTCCCAATAGGCAATAGGCTTTATCCTCTGGTCGTGTCGTGTCCCTGTTGGCGGCCCACGACATTCGAGCTGCCAGGGGGATCGAAGAAAGGGATATCGATCCGTCTAGTATTCCCTGGGGAATCCGGGTGGCTAGAGTTACCGCCTCCTGGAGTTCGATCTTAGTGCCGACAGCGTTCCACTCGCCGTCAAAGAATGTCAAGTTCATTGGGGCGATAAGCTCCTGGAGAGTCCAGCCGCGGGAGAACCACTTGCAGGCGGTGAATGACAAGGGGTCGGCGAAGACGTCACTGCCTGCGGGGAGGTCCGAGAGGAAGGCGAAGCAGACTTCGGCCTCTTTATACCACCGAAACATGGAGTTGATAGCCTCGGACAGCTCGGCGCTGGAAGACTTGTCGATGCAGCATGTGTCGGACCAGACGTAATTGAGGCCCAGCTCGATCGCCTTTTCGCAGCTTGCGGAAATCTTGGCGAACCCAGCTTTCGCGGCGGCAGCCGGGGGATCTCTCATGTCGTCGAACGTGACCTCGTCATCATCCCAAGTATGGGAGAGGATGGCGTAGGAGACGGCCGAGGCCCTCGTGTCGGAAAAGGGCTCGAGCTCGAGCGTTTTAGTGTTGAGAAGCCTCATCGTGAGCGCGAATTGAGAGGACCGAAGAATGCGCCTGATTGGGAGGATATATACGTGCTTCGCTTCGTTGCGGGGGGGGTGGGGGTTGGAAAAGAGAGCAAGTATGAATCCTTGGACGCTCGACGTGTGTGGTTTGAAATTCCGAGGCCGTTTGGCGAGGCCGTTTGGAGGCGGAGCTTGCAGATTGATGTGCAGGGAGCAGTATGCAGGGAGCAGCACCAATTGGGCCTAGCCGACAAACACTGTATGAATGCAAATTCTGCCTACATATATGCATAATGCAAAATTCATACAGAATGGGCACCGAAGTCAGAATGGGCACCGAAGTCGGAACGAAGCACAGTGACCAGTGACCACTAATTAAAATCTTACGGTCTATAGCGTTTGCCAGGGGCCGTCCTATGCCCTACGGGTCCGTTCAAACTCGTTGGACGCCCTGTAACAGCCCTGGAGGCAGTTATCTTTTCATGCTAGGAAAGACTAGCTCGTTAACTAGGCAGCTGGCGAGTTTAATCTAGCCAGTTTCAGGACAGAGCGTTCTGGATCTTGCACTGGGGACGGTGACCCTTTTTTCCCATGAGCCTTCGTATTTGATTAGAATGGGACTGAATCATTGGCCTCAGCACCGGAGCTCAACGAACGCAAGTCGGTGTAGAAAAGTTCTTAAGGGGATGCTTTGCCATATTTCAGCACAACGGTTCGCACATTTCGTCGTCCCTCTCTACCCTCAGGCTCGGTTTAATGCATAAGAGAACGACGGGGGAAGCAGGACCACAGCACAGAAGCAGGACCAGCACAGAACCACAACCACAGCGCAGAAGCAGAACCACAGCGCAGAAGCAGGAAAGAAACCGATGAAGCAAACGGCTGCAACACACTGCTTTCGTTTAGCTAAAGATGTACTCCTGCAAGGGCAGGTCCATCAACTGCCACAACCCCCTTATCTTGCCCACCACACGGAAAGCTGGGGCCCTTTCAACCATGATGCAGTCTTCAACTGAGGCAATGATTTCCGATCCATCTGCAACGGTACCCACTGCCGTTCCAGCATTCAAAGACGACTGCCCTGCCGAATCGCCCGCATTCAAAGACGAGTGCCCTGCCGACTCGCCCGCACTCAAAGACGACTGCCCTGCCGACTCGCCCGCATTCAAAGACGACGGCCCTACCGACTCGCCCGCAGCCTGTGCCTCTCGCACAACCCCGCCACGGTCGCCGCTCGACACACCCCCAAACACTACCCCATACCGATCCGCATCCACCGGGACGACGATACGCTCCACGACCCAGCAAGCGCTCATACTCCGTAGCTCCGGACGCGGCAGCCACTCCCAGTCGTGGTTGAAGGGAGTAGCAACGGTGCAAGGGCCGTCGACGTCGAACACAGCCACGAGATCACGCGCCCGCCGCGCATCCGCCGCCGCCGTCCACGACCCCCGCGCCTCGATGTCCTTCAGGTGCGCCAGCATCCCCGCGCTGACGTCGACGTGCTCACCCGCCGCCGTCCGCGTCCCCGCCACCATCGACGACAACCATGTGGTTTGGAACTGGAGCGAGAACTGCCGGCCGAGCAGCGTCGAGGCCAGCTCCCCGATGCCGCTGCCTGGTTCGGCGGTGTTAATATCGGCGGGGATCTTATACGGGGGCCGCGTGGCCGAGTCGGAGTCGGAGTCGTCGTCGTTGGAGTCGTTGTCGTCGTCGGAGTTGTCGTCGTTGCCCAGTGGGAGAGCGAGTGGTGCTGGGACTCGCTGAGGCGTCGGGTTTGCTACTGACGCCGCCGTTGCCGCCGCAGGCTCCTCTTTGGCCTTCTCTCGAGGGTCCTCCCGGCGCGCTGCCTTCTCGCCCGTTCCCTTCTCGCCCGTTCCCTTCTCGCCCGTTCCTTTCTCGCCCGTTCCCTTCTCGCCCGTTCCTTTCTCGCCCGTTCCCTCCTCGTCTCGACGCTCCTCCCGCAACAACTCGCCCCTCAGCTCAGGCGGCACGAGCAGAAGCGTCCCCCCGTCTAGCGCTTGCCACAGCGGAACACGGTTATATCTGCCGACCCAGAGCGCGCCGTGCCGCATGATGCGGTCGACAAACCACAGCTGGGCGTACTCGCCTCCGCGGCCGCGATCAAGCTGCAGCGTCTTCCACGGCGCACTGACGACGTCAACGTGGGCGAATAGGGCGTCGCCGACCTCGTCCGGTATGTCTAGCCGCTCTTTGTGCGCGAGATCCGCCCGCACCGACTGCCAAAGACTGTTTGCCACGCCGCTCGCACGCGGGTCTGCCAGCGAGGCCAGGTAGCGGAGAACATCAAAAAGAATCTCGGCGAGAAGCTCCTGCAGCCCAGGGTCGGCCTCAACGCGCTGCGCTTCAAGAACCAGTCTGCAGTCAACTCCTGTGGGGTCGAGACGGCCCCATATCGCTGAGCCGGTGGCTATGCGGCCGGATGCGATCATCTCGTCCCTTGCCCTCTGCGCCGTGTTCGCCGTTGCAAAGTGCTTCGAAACGGCGGCTCTTCGGAAGCTGAAGGCCTCGGCTGTCTGTCCCTCGAGGCGCTGGACGATGGTGCGGAAGCGCTTGAGTCTGTGCCATGTCTCTGCCCACTTCTTCTTCATGGGGGCCAGGGATATCTGGTCTGTGACGGTCCAGATGTACGCAGGCAGACGCAGCCCTGGCGCGTCCAGGTTGTTGAACACGTGCTTGTGGACTCGGGGCATGGCTAGGCCTCGGCGCTGCACGGAGAAGTGGCTGATGTTCTTGAAATCCGAGTCAAACGGCGCCAACATTCCCTGTTCGCTGCCGCGGTTTCCTCCAGGCGACGAGTACGCCTCGGGCACCAGCAGCGACAAGTCCCCGTTGAGAAGCGCCAGAGCCAGCAGGCCAACGCGGAGAGACTGGCAGTTCCTGGCAACGGCATCTGTGTTGAGGCGGATCTCGTAGTTGCACATGTTGGCCACGATGGCGATGAGATCCTGCCAGTCGCGGCAACCTCGGTCTTTGAGCAGCGTCAAGGCCCCGGCGGCGTCGACCCACCGGCGCTGTCCATAGCTCTGCCCTCCGAAGATCTCCACTATCTCTCCGCGAGACTCTTGTGGCTGGGGATGGAGCTGTTCTGCCGCGGACACGATGCTCAGGGGGGACGGGGCTCTGCGCGATGTCAGGGGGTGGCGGAGGGGTTGGCGGCGGCGGTGCACCAAGAATCTAGCCACTCTAACAAGTTGCTGGAAGCTCGTCATGGGCATGCAGACGATTTCGGCCGGGCGGCTGCTCGCTCGTGAGTCGAGCGAGTGCTTCGGCGGGGGGTCGTGGTACTTGTCGGTGAATCGATACCGAGCCATGCCGCTAATACTCGAGATATGCCTCCGAAAGACGAGCACGAGGCGGTCCCCGGCACTCAGGGCCTCTTGGGCAATCCAAGCCCGCGTGTACCACCGGTCGCGTGCCACCGTGTCGAGGAATTCCAGCACATGGTCAAGGGCCCGGGGGCTGATATTTACTCGCAGCTTGCCCGGAAATTTGTCCATGATAGCGTCGAAGGAGATCAGTTCCTGTACTGCGTCGAGCTGCGCCTGGCTCGTGAGCTCTCCGGCGTGGAGAGCAGCAGTGACCAGAGCCCGGTTATAAACAATGTCCATGGCCTGCACGCCGAGCTGTTGGTAGTCTTTGTCGGGCTGCGGGCTGTCTTGTGTGGGCTGGGGGAGGCATTCTTGGTCAATCCATATCATGCGCAGCCCCCAGTTGTTGGCGAAGTCGACGGCCTGGTCAAGGACGTGGTCAGGTGCGCGGTTGTTCCGTGTTCGACCGTCGAGGTCTCGCACTTGATACGTACCCGCGACCCTAACGATGTTGCCACACTCGTCCTTGACCGGCTCCGGCCAGCAGTAGGATACCGCAACGTAGTGTCTGCACACGTCCACAGACATGACGCGGTCAGCCAGGAGCGATGGGTGCGCTTTCGCGGGGCTGAAGAGCCGAAAGGTCCGCGTCTTCTGGTCATGAGAGAACTCTGGAAGACCAGAGCATATCCTGCAATCCGACTTTCCCCTGAGCTCCTCGGGGTCTCCATTCCGGTTGATGTCCAGTCCGCCATCGATCCTGTTGCTGCTAGGCTCTCCCTCGCTCTGGCTGTCGGCTTGATCAAAGACCAAGAACTTGATATCGCTAAGAGCCCATTTTTCGGCCTCATGGCGAGCTACTCGGAACTGCCAGAGACCTCTGACCTGCTCGAGAGTATCAAGCGGCAGAGTTTGGTAGTTACCAGCTCCAATTTCCATAATATTTCACGAACAAACGATAGCTGATATCGAAATACAGGCGGTTGGCGGTTGGCGGTTTGCCGAAATCGCCGTGAGGGGTCATGCAAATATTGCTTAGCTACCTTTTCCTGGTTGGCTGCCTTTGCCTGCATATGGTTGCCTTTTTCTTTGGCCAACCCTTGACCCAACGACGATTCCGAGGATTTCTCCGAAATAAGACGTACAATTTCCGTTTAAATTCGGAATCATTATATCCACATCCCAGGGGCCACTGAGGAATTAGATATGAGCACCACACTTGACAGTACACCATACTTGACAGTACACTATACTTGACAGTACACCATACTTGACAGTACTAATTACATACTCCTGATTCCAGGAGGAACTGTTTCTTCAAGGGGAGCAAACAGAAAATCCATCACCTTTACCATACCAACTCTGATGACTGCGAAACCTCTTTTTCGTTGATTAGACCATGTGTCCTTTTGAGTTTTTGTTTGGTCATGCTGCTGAAGTCTGTGCCTTGCGCCGCTGAAGTCTGTGCCTTGCCCCACGAACCTTCCTATACAAACGTGACTTTATTCATGCGCTGGCTATGCCATTGCATGTTCCTGGAAACAGGCTGTGGGAAAATGGAGGTCGCTGAAGGGAGCCTTACCCGGTTTGAATGCAAAATGGCTAGATTTGGGGGCCCCTTGCCTGCTTGTCCCTTTGATAGCCAGGTTCAAATCCATCGCCCAGGTTTCCACTTTATTACTCCTGATCCTACCACCAAAGTTGGGTTGCATCATGTCCCAGGATCCAGGAACAAATCTCAAAGGATCGCTACCCCGGCTCCCGGCCTCGACCGCCGCACCAGCCCGTCTTTAGCGTTAATCAGGCGTTCCTTGTGGAATCGCCATGTTCGTTCGTAAAATTCTGCCCCACACGTCTATACAGATCCAGGGAATGCGCTGCGGCTCAGCCAGGTCCAGGATCGCTACTAGAATCCCAGGCGAACGACGAACTCTGCCATGCCATTACCAGCTGCCCGGTGCGGTAACCGTGCCCCTAAACTTGAGCGTGAGATCCAGGGACGGAATATCCAGGAACGGAATCTCCAGGAACGGAATCTACAGGTCCTGGCTCCGATCCTCGGGCTGAGTCTGGCATCAGTTATCCCACATCCGCCTCTGCAATCATCATGGCGACACTTGCAGTTCTGGGCTTTCATGCCATATGAGGAAGTCTAACCCTGGTAAGTCCTTGAGGACACGGCGACTTGGTGATTTGACAGTGTTTACCTGGACACGCAGACAACACTAGAATGTGATAAAACACGGCATCACCTCCAGGTTGTGAACTCCTTTCTATCTCACCAAGCCATCTTCTCTTCGACGATCAACAATCTTCACCAGTCTTCCAACCTCTAAACTTCAGTCCTCAGCATTGTTTTCAACTTTCAACTTTCAGCACCATTCGACACTCTTGCCTTAGTTTTAGCTTTGATATATCTACTCCGCTCGTTCAAAGTAATACACTCATCCCGTTTATTGTCATCACTTCAATCACCATGTTCGCCTCCATCATCACCCTCGCCGGCTTCCTCGCCGCTGCCACCGCTCTGCCCGCCAGCGGCCTCTACCGTGCCAACAACACTGCCGCAGGTGCCGCCGGTGCTGCCGGTGCCGCCAGCGCGGACTGGGCCTGCTCTGGCAGCAGCACGTACACGGAGGGCGACAGCGACCAGGGCAAGGGCGTGTGGATCAAGAACTCGGACAGCCAGCGCCGTGGGTTCTACGCGTACCACAACAGCTGCGACGCGGTGCCGTTCAAGCACATCTGGATCAACGGGGGCGACACGCGCTTCATCTCGTTCCCTGACCGCTGGGAGGGCCGCATCACGCGCGGCGACGACGGCAGCAACCTCAACGGGCAGCCGCAGCTGCTGGCGACGTGGCTCGAGTTCAGCTTGGACCAGAACGGCTGGATCTGGGGCGATGTTTCTCTGATCCGCGGCACCGACGGCGCTGTGCGCATATGGACCAGCGACGGCTCCAACCAGGAGCGCGGCTTCTCCCAGAACGTCATTGACAGTGCCCCAGGCAACGTCGTTGCCTACAAGCCCAACGGCGCGCGTGTCATCATGAATACCGAGGGTCCCGGCGGCGCCATCACCCCGGCCCGCGACTACCTCCTCAATGTCGTCGGCGCCGGAAACGCCTACATCGACGACGCCCACGGCAACCCCGTCATCACGTCGACCAACGGCCGCTTCGGCACTGAGTGGTACGCCGGCCACCCCTAGAGGGCTGCGTCAACAACAACTACCCGTGGTAGCTACAACTACCCGTGGTGGCTATGATGCCGACGGTGAGTGTATAAAGAAGATGTGGTTTCTTGCTTCGACTTGGGATTGTATATATGTGCGAGAGAGTCTTGGATTCGTTTGGATTGTTCTGGATAGTTTCATTTCTTTTATATAGAGATCAGTCCGCAGATAGTGTGTATATACAAATAAATGCTTTTACCCCCAACTCTAGTCGAAGCTCAACCACCCTCTCTGTAAGCCGCGGGTTTCAGGCAGATGTTCTCTCAAGCGCTCATAATTACGGACAGAGTCCGAGATGGCACTTGAAAGGGGGCTTTCTAGTCACCATGTTTAATAGAAGACCTCCAAAGAGTTTCCCATTGGACAAGGCCCCTCCACAGCTACCCATCTAGAACTTCGAAAGACAAAACCCCGCCAATAAAGAACGCCAACCCATAAAAACGAGCCCGTGAAGCCCCATTCTCCCAGAGCCAGACTCACGCCGGTGCATCGGTCAACGGCACATACTTGACGCCGAAGAGCCTCGTCTTGGTGACCTCTCCCTCCTTGTCCTTGTCGACGCACCACACGTGCTGGCCGTAGCCGTCTGGGTCGTCGTCGACGGGGATGAACATGCGGCCGGGAGCGCGCATCTGCGCGAGCAGGGCGGGGTGGAGCTCGGTCGCGCTGGCGCCGACGTGGATGGCGTCCCACCCTGGCGTCGTTGCCGTGGGTGCCGCTGCGCTGTCGTCCTGCTGCTGCTCGTCGGGCTCGACCCAGCCCTTGCGGCCGTCGCCGACGCGGAAGCGCACGCGGCCCTCGGCGAGCATCTCGCGGCCCTCGGCCGACTTGCTCATGTTCCTCTCGCCGAGGTCGCGCAGGGCGGCGATGTGCTCGACGCCGACGACGACACCCTCGGGCCCGGCCAGCTCCGCCATGACGTGAGTTAGGTAGCCGGAGCCGGAGCCGATGTCCAGCACGCGGCGGCCGCGCGGCGCGGCAGCGGGGAGGGCGTCCGGGTCGTCGACCGTGGGCAGCAGGAAGGGCAGCAGGCTCTCGACGGCCGAGGCGTGCATGTGCGGAGCCGAGATGGTGGCACTGTAGCCGATGGGCTGCGGGCGGTCCTCGTATGGGGATGAGGGCGCGTAGTGGGCACGGTCAACCTTGAGGAAGGCTTCTTTGACGCGCATGTCCTGGATGAGCTTGTTGCGCCACAGGTTCTCGATAAGGTCCCGGTTGGACGCGCCCGAACTGCGCCAAGCCATGGCTGCGACGATGTTGTATGCGTCGTTATGTGATGTCGAGAATGCTAAATACTGTCGCGCACCCGGGAGTGTTGTTCGTCTATAAATATAACCGATCCCCGCAGGTCCCTTTGGCCGAGTGACTTGGTTTCGTCTGCTGCTGGCTCCGGCGCAGCTACCACTGATTTTTGCAGAAAGGGGTATCGAATGTGATAAACGAGGTATGGAATGTGATAGACGAGGTATCAGCGAGAATGAGGACAACCATGAAACTCTCGCGGGCGCCAGTGTTGGATTCTCGTGGAGACGACGAATGTTGAGAGCGAGCCTGACTTAGCCAGGAACTCGGATACCTAAAGTCTTTAGGGGCCCTTGGTCTGCTAGCCCAAGGCGTCGTGTCGTGGTAAATGCAAAACCAGGAGGTCAGTTTCGCCGGGCATCGGATTAAGTTATCCGTCCCGGCTACCAATGCAGAAATATCGCAGGGGACGACAAAGGACAAGAGGCCAAGTTTCGTGATGGTGGGCTGACGTTGGGTGATGTAATAGCACGGGAATTGCCCCAGGTGAACTCGTTGCAGCCCCGCACGTTGCCCCTCATTTCGCGACCATGGGCAGCGGCAGCGCCCGTACTCGGTATTCGCTCTGTTTTATTGGATAAAGACATCGCCACAGTCTCTGGTCCTTTCCACAGTCTCTAGTCCTTTCCACTGTCTCTGGTCCTTTCTACCAATGTTGTAGTTCGAGAATCTAATTCCTACGGCGTAATATCGTAGCCATCGCAGGAATCTAAGATGTCGCGCCGAGAGGCTGTCAAAGTTGACAGACAGACTGGAGACGGGGGTGCGGGATGCGGGATGCTTTACCACACCACGAGACAAGTCAAGTTCCCTAATCACAACAAGCACGAAATGGATCATGTATTTTCTTTGAGATGTAACCCACAGGCAAAGCGCCAAAGGTTCAAAAACATAGGAAACTGCCGCCATTTGAAGACACTGCCGGAATGATACAGTGAGCGGGTCTTCGAGCCTCGAACGCCGCGAGCCGTGAAGCAAAACAAAAACTGACCAGGTCATACCACCGTCTCGGACCTCTCGCCTTCGGCAATGATGGGTATGCCCAGCCCCCGGTCGGGGCTTTGTAGAACCAGCTGCTCGTGCCTCCGCGTCTTAAGGTAGTCGCTCACAGCCCTAATAAGAATGAACCAGCCAACAATCATCAGAATGTAGGCCGCCCAATCGCTGCCCTCGATGCCGGCAAACCCCGAGCTACCGTCTCCGTCAACCGTGCTGGGGTCGAATTCGTGGGCATTCGGGTCCGGGGGACCGGTGTAGTTGTCGCCAGCATTGTCCGGGTTCATTCCACCAGCACCCGACCCGGAGCTGGGGCTGCCCTTCATCTGGAAGCCGTACTGGATAAGCGTGATGCCGAGGCCAGCCCGCGAGCCGTTCTTGGCAGCGTGCGTGGAGTGGAGAAGGTACGTGAGCAGAAAGCCGATGAAGGGCTGGAACGACATCGAGATCAGGCCGTTCCACACGAAGCTGAAGAAGGAGCCGACAGGCATGCCATCGATGTACACGTCGTCGGGCCCGCCAAGGCCGGGGGCCAGGATGGTTGTCTCCCAGTACGGAGGAGCCGCATCGGCTGCTGCCTGTTCGTACGTCTAAAAGGGCCGCAAAGTTAGTCGTTGCTCAGGGGTCGACAGTCAAAGTCGCAATAGACAGTGCGATGCACGTACCGGAGGTTGCTCCTCCTTCTCGACCTCATTTCCTCGCTCAGGCCGTGCAGCCAAATTGGAAAAAACACCGTCGGATTGAATGCCACTCCCATACACTCTGAGCGATGTTGGTGCAGACGCGGCCGTGGCGGCGGTCTGCGACTGCGACATTTGGCCGCCCGCTGGGTGCGGCGGCCTGGGTGTGGTCGCGCTGGGCTCGCTATCCGCGGGAAGCGAGTTGTTGGGAACCAACCGCTGCGTATCGTCCGCCTCATCGTCGCTCTCGTCGCCATCGGCATCAAATGCATCGGCCAGGTCGGGGTCGACTCTGTGCTCTCGCTCTCTCGATAATATCGACGACGCTCTTGAATGAAATGACGGTGGCGGCGAGTTCGGGATTGGGTACGGGGCCCTCGGCAAAGGCGCAGTCGGTGTTTCGGGTTCGTCCTCGTCCTGGGCGTTGACCTAGAAATCGCCTGTCAGACACGTCGCAGAAGGACGTAATGATGGAAAATATCTGCATACCCTCTCGTAGTGTCCAGACATCCTGGGAAGTGCCCGACTCGATGGGTGGTCGGCTATCTCACCGATCCACTCTCTTGTCAATTGCGCCGAGTTTAGGGAAGAGACAGGGGACAGTCAAGTCGTCGGGCGTCGGAAGGGAAAGGAAAGGAATTGAAACGGATGGTCTACAAGGAAGAAGAACGGAGATTGGTTTAGAAACAGGTGCAGAGACAGAGGAGAATCGAAAGAGCGCGCGTCGCTCCGTCAGGAGTTCGCAGAGGAAGATTGGTGTTTGACGCAAGTAGGCACTGCCTGGGGACAGGCGATGCGTACAAATGACCCGAGCGGCTGACCGACCCTAGAATTGCGTGGAGGAATCCAGAAGTTGCTGCCTCAGGCCCCCACTCAGTCTGTCTATGCTAAGGGGGCAGGTGGGCTCCGCCACAAGCCACGCGGGGATCTCGGTTCACTCCACTATCGGATAACGAACAGCCTTAGTCAGCAAGCACGATTTGTTATCGGCCATTTCGAGGTGGCTGCCAGGTCCGAGAAGCGCCACATGTGGCTGAGGTTCTTTTCTTGCTTGGCCATCCCATGATTGATGCGTCCAAAACCTACCTTGACGTGCAGTCAATAGCTGTGCAAGATCGCGAACATGTCCGGCGCCGTGAGATCCGTACGTATACCTCATTCCCACCCTTGTGGATCGACTCGCAAGCATCTAATATTTCGTCTGTTCCTTTGCAGACCATGTTTAAGCGCGCGCTCGAGCGCTGGCCCAAAAACCCTCTCCGACCCGACTGCCAGCTGCAGGATGTCCTGGCCAAACGACTGGAAGCCGGCCCCCTTGCGCCGCCGCATGCCTTGAAAAATGGCGTATCCAAGGCGGAAGCCGAGATGAGGCAGGCCAACGCCTTTTACTCGCTGCTCGAGAACCGGTACAAGTCCATTGTATGTCTCCTTCCCGTCTCTTCAGCCTCTCTGCCTCGTCGGCGGCTTTCGTGTCTAGAACTAAGTTGACGGGGCAATTAGTACAAACTCAAGGGCGATATCATGCGCCCTCGCAGCAACCCGACATACTACCAAGACCTGATCACCGAGCTGGACGAGGCGCCAACCAGAAGCTGGCTCGACCGGACGCTGAACAAATTCAAGGGCATGATCCGATTCACGTCATGATGCGCGTCATGTCGTAATGCCCGGCTTGGGCGAAACATACGAGGGCGTACAGAGGGGTGTACCAATAAAAGAACCTGCATGGCTACGGCGTTTGGGACACGATAATGGTCGGGCGGAACGTTTCGGCATTTTCACAATGCGAATTTGGTATTATTATGTATTGTACTTGTACAACAAAAGCTTGGTTTTGTCTTCCATAAATCTAACGGGGCATACTAGCCCAACCGTTTGGGAAAAGCAACGCCAGAACGCCCATGTCATGTTGGTCGCACGCCCATGTCATGTTGGGCGCACGCCCATGTCGTGTTGGTCGCACGCCCATGTCATGTTGTCGCACGCCCACGTCCCCGGGACTTTTGCTAGATGTACTTCCTGTCCGGGTCGGCCCTGTCCATCAGCTCCATGCTCTTCTCGTACATTGTAAAGACGATGCCGCCGCTCATAACCAGCCTGACGAGGCGCGGCAGCGCGCCGCTCCAGAAGGTGCGGACGCCCTCCTGCTTGAAGATGAGGCTGGCGCACCGGAACGAGTTGCCGTACAGCTGGCGCGCCTCAATGCTCTGCATGCGCGTCTTGATGGTGTCGAGCGGTTGCGTCACGTACACGGTGATCAGGCCGGCGATGCCGCCCATGGCAAAAGTCCCGACGGCGCCCAGCTTCTCCCCCGGCGCCGTGTAGCTCTCGGCGAGCTGCTTGAGGGCCGTGTACGAGCCGAATCGGGTTGCGCTGTTGGCCGCTTGGCGCGCCGTCGTCGGCACAAAGCCCTGGAAAAAGCCGCGGATGCCGCGCTCGCGTGCGATTATGGGGACGGCGTGGAGGAAGCCTCGCAGGCGCGGCGTGGCGGACTTGCGGTCGTCAATCCTGCCGTGGGAAGCCAATGGTCAGCCAACTATGAAGTCCTGGGAGCAGGGTACCAGAGACTCGGGGCGGGTGATATCTCACAGCGTAGTCTTGATACTCTCGGTGGGTGTGACGGCAAGCAGGGACTCTGTCACGCCAGCGCCGAACCCCGCGAGCACGGTCCGAGGACCGGAGATGTTGCCCTCGGCATCGGACAGCAGCGCCTTGTACTGGTCAAAGGCGACAAATCCTGGAATCCAATGGAATCAGCAACGGCGTCTATGGCGGGGTGGCGGCGAAGCGCGGGGCGGCGGCGAAGCGTACGTATACCGGCCTTGAGCGAGTTGCCGATGATCAGCGTGGTACAGCCGGCATACCACTGGCTGCCAAATGGCGGCCATGGCAGTCTCTGGCCCGCGGCTAACCTGCGGTTGAGCTGTGTCCGGGTCTTGGCAACTATCGATTCGGGTCAGCGCCGAGGGCATGAGGGCAATTGGGCGGGCGGCGACGACGTACACTCGGCCGGGTATGTGATGGCTAGAGGGCGAGAAGTAGAGGTTAGCGACAATGCTGTATCATGACGTAACAGGAATGAGGGGGCCGAGGGCGGCCGAACAGCCGACTCTGACTCACCAATTTCCACGGCGCCAGCTGTAGACCCGGCAATGATGGATCGCAGGGGACTCGGCCGCCGGGCTGCCGACTGCGACTCGTCCTGTTGGGAGGCAGACAACGACATAGCGGTAGGCTGGCGGCTGTCGTGGTTGCGTTGTCGGAGCAAAGATCAGCGCTGCTGAGCGGGCCCAAAATAAAGTTGGAATTTGTGGGCCAACGGCGGCAGGTGCTGAAAATGGATGCGGGGCAGTGTCGTGGGGAGCCGGGCATCGTTCAGGGGCTACACACGCTACACTTGAGTTGCACAAAGTTGTGCCCGGTCGGGAAACAGCTCGTTGCTTCGCCTCGAGAATTATTTCAGTGTTGACTTCAAAACAAGCAACACTTAGTTCATTTCCGACCTGGTTTCATGGCTCCCTTAGCTCTCTTACGCTCGTTCGATTTGCCAGTTGTAATTAGGGCCTGACCCCCCTGAACCTAAACTCGAGTCCTCGACGCACATGGAGGTGCCCGAAAATAACAGTCTCCATTCATGCCTTTCCATTCATACTTTCTATTCATACTTTCCATTCATACTTTCTATTCATACTTTCCATTCATACTTTCATACTTTCCAAGTCTCCTAAGTTATTTCTTTTAGATTCCCATCGCTGATGTACGGCTTCCGGCCAAGCGTGGAGCAGCGTGCAGAGCTTGCCGACGACTGGCAAGAAATTTACTGGGCGCCCTCACGGCCCGGTGAGGGCTAACTGCCCAATGCCTACCATCTGGTCAGCGCCAGTCCCTTCGGGCTTCGTGATCTGGCATGCACGAGTATCATTGGCCACTAAGCAATGGGGCCCCATGCGTCCCCGCTAGTCGCTAGTCGTGGCAATGCCCAGTGACCAGATGCAGAAAGAAATTGGCAGGGCGAGACATACCACGTTGGTTCGACAACAAGAGCAATGACTCAACAGGAGGCCAATTGGGTTGCTCGAGGGCAGCCACGAAGGACAACAAATCATGCACCACTCCGACGTTCAGCCCAACAATTGCCCGACTTGCAACCCATGCTACTGCATTCCTGTGCAACAGGACCCGTCTGCCAAGTATTATATACTCAAGCCGTTCGTAAAAGTTGACGTTGATGCTTCTGTGACAGAATCGTAATATCCTTGTAAACAGCCATCCTGGCTTCTCACTCGACACACCGTCATCGACCCTGAACCCGAGATCGGTGTCTTTCATTAGTTAGTTACCCGTCATCCCCGGCCCTCACCATGAGGCAAACATACATTTGAGCATTGCCATCTCTCCAGCGAGACTCTCGGAGGCATGTTATTCCATTCCACATTCGCAGCGACGAAACCCAATCACCTAACCCGATCTGACAACACGCACAGATATGCAGCCATTCTCGCTTTCTCCAGCATGCATAGACCTGCAGAGCACGATCAAAGAGCTGTCCGAGATAGTCGAGGCTTCTCCCAGACGCGTGGATCTGGACCCAGACCATCTGGCCGAGGAACTGTCCTCACTTGCCGAAACAGTCGAGGCGCTTCATGCTATCGACAAAACTTGGCTTGACACGCAAGCACCCGCTCCCGAAACGCTCGTACGAATTATTTCGGGGATCGTCCACAACTGTGACATCACACTCCTCGACGTCCAGGCCATACTCGAGAGACACAAAGTGCCGCCGCTCCCCTCTGCCGTGTCCCGGAAGCAACCAGGCCGGACCGACCTTGTTCGGTTACTAAACAACCTCTCTGACCACAAGTCGGCACTTCGACTGGGCCTTCGTTTGCTAGAAACGTGAGTTGCCTAACATGTGCTCTGAGACGTGTGGCTTGTTCGTGGACCGAGTCCCGCCTAACTATGAGTCTTTCTTAGATTCGAGGGGACGAAAGCTCACAGCGGGACAACCTTGTCTAGTACCAATAACAGTGCCTTGTCGGCCGTTCGTCAAGAACTATACGATCTAGGAACATCTGTGCAAGAAGCGGCATTTTCAAGCCCTACACCACTTCCAGCTGCTTCGCGGTTACTGGAACTCCTGGACCACATTTTCAAAGAGACTGGCCCGGGAATTGGGCCAGACTCACCACTGCCGTCAGAGGGTAGAACAGATCGGGGTGAGCCGGCCACCGAGGAGAAATCAGTTTCGCTATCCAGTGGCCCGATGGCGGACGGTTCAGAACCTGACGCGGGATTGTCCACCGCCGGCGGACATGATTTTGTGTCCACCGCCAGCGGACATGATTTTGTGTCGTTCCCGAGTGGTGAAAGGCCCACGGGACCAAGTCCAATAGGAAGCCCCACCCCTCTGTTATCTCGGTTATCATCCGTCTCGTCTCTTTCTGACACCACCCCGTATCCCTCTTCAGCCGCGTCGAACGATCTCCAAGCAATAGAGATAGTGCATGGGCCATCGCAGCAACAGGAAGCAAACCCGATTCCACGGCCGGAGGAACCGAAACCGGCGCCAGGTTCGCTGTCTCCCGTTTTGGATGAAGCACACATCTCGGTGGCAGAGTCGCAGATCGAACAGGGGGCTACCAGGTTACCTATCGACCCTGGATGGACTCCCAAAGACCAAGGACATACGGCCCATGATCAACAACCGGAGGGCGAGCACCCACGGAGAGAACAGCAAGGGAGCAGCCGTCGGTCGTGGGGACAAGAGAAAAGAGGACGGCCTCCGAGCGAAGACGAGGAGACGACAACACACGGGAGGACGGCAAACTCTCTCCGGCCAAGTCGCAAAAGGTTCCGACAGCAAGGAGATGGCACGCGTCACCGGTCAGCAGACGAGGAGAGCGTTTGGTCACAGAGATCCGAGTATGCCAGGGAAGACGGGAGGCAGACACCGCGCCGCCTGGAATACGGAGGAGAGGAGACGGGGGACACTGTCCAGTCCACCGGCGCTGAATTGGTGCCCCATGGAAGAACTGACGGGAGAGGGGACGTGTCTCGAGAACCAAGTATACAGCCGTCGACAGAAGGAAGCAATGAGCGGTGGGCTGTGGTCCCATATCGTGGCGAGACAACGACGGCTAAAGATATCGCCGGACGCGGTGAGCCGCAAGCTCAAAATGCTCTTCAGCGTCGACACATTTCAAGAGCAGTCGCCCGAAATCGGCCCTGGTCACACGGAGACATGGATGGCGGGCCTGGCTGGCTACCGAGCTCAGAGGAACGTCCTATCGAGCCGCGGGTGGAAGAGAAAACAGACCGCAGCCTAGTAGTTTGGGATTCGCCGTCTGCTCCGCAAACGGGGACCCCCAGTGGGGGATTTCAGGTGCAAGTTCCTCTCGCGTCCAGGGATGTAGGCTGGGATGCCGTCAGCCTCGGAGGTCAGGGAGCGCCGCCGCTCTATCCCCAACCTTTTGGAGAGCCCCAACCTTTTGGAGAGCCGCCAAGACGCCCACGACGGCGAAGAGAAGACCCTCCCAGTCCGCCACAGCGGCCCAACCGAGCGGTAATTCCCCCACCACGGATCGGCGGAAGAGATGAACCCGGTCACGGTGAGCAGGGGAGGAGACAGTCGACTTTGACCTGGCACGACCCACCCGAGGACGCAGAAAGGGTCTCCCCCCGGCCATTATCAGAAGCTGGATCCAACGCGCCGCCGAGACGACAAGGGACCCCTCGTCAGCCGACAGCTGAAGAAGCCAACAGCAGCGAAAATCGAAGAGACTCTGGCTATGTGCGCCGCCCGCCACCGTTGAGCGAGCTCCCCCGCAGCGCATCGGCGAAGCCAGAACACGAAAGAAAGGAGGAGAAGTCTGCGGTTGTCATTAACAACCACCACCAATCAACCCATGTCAATATCCATCTACCTTACCCATTGGCTGGGACGGGTTCGTCGACTGCCGCGGGGGACGTGAAGCCCAAGGCGCCAACGCCGCCCCCAGCCATTCCATCTCATGCTCAACCGGCACCCGCGGACTACGATCCCGTGCCCCAACAGAGACAGCCCGCTCCGCTACCTCCCATGGAAATTCTAAGCCAGCCGACGGCCATGACGCCGATGGAGATTGATGCTGACGAATCCCCCGACAAGCCGGAAAAGGGACGCGCCAGGCAGTTTGTGGACGACTATGTCTGCTGCTTCTGCGGGTGTCCGTGCTGCGATAAGCTGTGCTCTACTCTGCGGTGCGCCGTCATGTGAGTGAGTGGATGTCCACGGGGGGATACAATCTTGGCTGAGGATGTGGCTGCTTGATGGTATTTCGATGGGGGTTGTCAGTGACGGCTTTCGGCTCTTCCTCTCCCACTCCTCCCTCCCACTCCTCCCCCTCCACTCCTCCCCCCTTTTTTTCTCTTCGTCTTTCCCCCACCCTTTACTTGACTATTTCCAGCACTATTATTTGTTGTTTATTGCAGTATGGTCGGTCGGCGTCCTTTCTTCTATTTTCTTGTTTGTTCTTAGCATGGCCGTTCTCTTTTGTCGTCTTGTGTCGTCTTGTGTCTGTCTTAGTGTCTATCTTACTTTCCTTTGTTCTTTTTCGTCTTTTTCTTCTTCTTTTCCCCTTTGTTAGTCTCTTTCCTAACCAGTAGCATGTTAATTATTCAACGTTGATGTTTGTTTGGAAATTACAGATTGGTCATACTTTATTATCGTCACCTTATTTATAGGTGGCCCATTTCGCTAGATTGGAGACAGGACTTGCAACGGCCTGTGGAATGATACTCAAAATCTGCCGCCCATAACCTATCATCCTTATCATTCACCTGAAGGGTGCGTATTTAGTTGCCCAGAGCTGAGAACCAAGCCTCACAAAAACTCTGCAACCTAAAATGTGCTTCGGTCTAGGAAGCAGTAGCAGACAACCCAACTATGGCAGCAACGGCAATTATGGCTACGCCCCGAGGCCCGTCTCCATAAATCCAAGCTATGGCATGCCGATAGTCCCTCAGTTTTCGTCCGTCTTCCGCTTCTTCCTCTCCGGCTCACTATTGGGGATCTCCTCTCCGGTCTCCTCGTCGATCAGGGGGCTCTTGTCTGAGAGGCCTTTGAATTTCGGCAAGCCGTCCTTGATGTCCACAACGCGTTGGGGGTAGAACATGTGGGTCTGGGCTTTGAACGCCTGGCGCCCCTTGTCTGTGTTGATGCCCTCGACCAGGGTGGGGAAGAGGAGGATCATGTTGCGCCCCTCGTCCATGATTGGCGTCCGGCAGTAGGCGCATTGCACCTTGCAGGGTAGATGGTGTGCGGTCGACTTGTTGGCTGAGTCGTACCAGCCCAGGTCGTGGTGGCCCTTGATGAAATTGATGTCTTCTTTATGGAAAATGGCGGCCCATTGGAAGGGAGCCTGTAGCGGGCAGTGTCAGTCTTCTATACCGCTGCGTAACTCCCCAGCCCCTGTCAATGGGCACACTCACTCCATGCAAGCGCTGGCACGTCGTACAGTGGCAGTATTTGGAAGCCAGAGGCTTGTCGCGGCTCAGTTCGTACTGCACAGCACCGCAATGGCACTTTCCCGTCCACTTGACGTCAAAGCCATCGGGGTCGTCGTGGATCCGGTAAGGGGCGCGAAACTTCCACTGGTCCTTCTCGCGGTCGGTAGACGAACCGGCTTGGTACTGATGGGGATCGTCGCCATCGCCGGCGGGCTTCTCACGACGGCCGGTTTGGCTGTCGCTCATGGTATGGTTGCTAGCTTTGCCGACGAGGAGATTGTGTTGATGATTAGGGGCTTGACCAGAGTTGGAGATGCGTGGGATCGGAGCTGGGATATGATCACCGACGGTCGGACCCGAATTTTTCAGATGATTATACTGACGGTAGCGGCACCGCAGAAGCAGAACTGGGGCGAAGCTGGAATTACAAGCCCATGAAATCAAAAGTGTGAAATCTACAAAAGTTATGAACAGCAACATCAGCCCCCGTCAACAGACAGGGGTCGACATCGACTGAGTGGGCCAGCGCCTGTGGGCTGACATCGACTGAGTGGGCCAGCGCCTGTCAAGGGCTGAGTGGTGACGTCATAATGAGCCTGACAGCGCCGCAACCCTTGCACGAACCCGCTAAAGTCCGGGGATTCAGGGGCGGCCAGGGGTGAGGTATCCGTAAATGTATGATGCATCCAGGGACTACTTTCAGTTTCCACTTTCTGCCGTTGGGCAAGCCCGTACCCCACCGATGCCTCCCCTTCCCTCCTCGGATCTCGCACACTCGACGACGCAGGTCGGATCGCCGTCTCTCGCGTGGAACTTCACTACTCTGAGCCCGGCGCGGCGGGAAATGTCGGCGAACATGCTCTCGTTGCGCAGCTTCCCGCCGAGATTCAGCATCACCAGGTCCACGACCCTGTTCTGCGGGACCGGCGTGTCTAGCAGCCTCTCCTCCATGATGATGACGCGTGCTTTAGGATTGTCGGCAGGCAGCGCATCGGCCAGCTGACGAAGGATCCCCGTGGCCAGTTCGTCCGAGTAGTCGAGCAGGATCCGGCGGAGCAGATACACCAGCGCCCCTAACACGAGACGTCAAATATCAGCAACACAAACGTTCGTCACGAGGCTGTCCCGGGGGGAGGGCTGTCCCGGGGGGGCGAGGGCTGTCCCAGGGGGCGCGAGGGCTGTCCCAAGGGGGGGCGAGGGTTTGTGTTGTGCACCTACCTTTCACAGGCTGTTTCGTGTGGAAATCATGGTCCATGAGTTTCACGCCTCTGATAAAGGCGTCGCCCACCGCCAACGCCTCTTCAACAACTTCCTTACGGTCCTGCAGCACACATTGGTCGGGGTGAATGGCCGGGATAGCCGAAACAACATCTCGCAATAGCTGGCCGAGCCCGCCACCCACGTCCACCACCAACGAGCCATCATCAGCTCTCTGCGCGTTTGCCTCGTCGCCGAGCCAGGCCATATCGTACAGCGCCCCGGGGCCAGCCACCTCCATGTTGCCGCCTACGATCTGGCGCGACTTCATGGCCTTGGTGAACTGGACGGCGTATTCCGGATACAAGGCCTTGACCTCCCACGGCGGCAACTCGGGGTGACCCCAGGCGAAACCAAAGGGCGTGTGCGTCTGCCCGCGCGGCTCCCGTCGCCCGTACCTTTCGAAATACTCTGGCCAGTGCACATACGCCTTGAGGCCGTTGCCCACCGCCACCGTCGCCAGCGGCGCAAACGGGTGGTCGGACCGGTACAGCGGCGAGACGCGCGAGTGCCGTATCCGTCCGCTTCCGGGCGACTCCTCGCACAGCTTCCCGACAGACACGAGGAAGCCGCCAATCCGTGCTTTGGAGGAGGGCTGTCAGGAAAATTCTTTGATAAACGGGGAAGGACTAGCCCACCGACGAGACTCTCCTGCGCATCGATCGCCTTCGCCAGCTCTGCATACGATATGCTGCTGCCGTCGGCCGGGATCTTGTCAAAGGCCTTCCACTGCATGAATATATTCCAGGCCGCTATGTCTGCGGCCTAGCAATGCCACCAAAACCGTCAGGTATGCCAAACAAACAGCGATGTGTAGGACCCGGAGCAGGCTGTTGCCGTCTCTCTGCCAGATAAACATACCGTGACCCAGTCGGTCTTGGCCACATCGGCCGGAGACGCAACCTCGAACGCAATCTTCTTTGCCATCTTGACGACACTCATCCGGATCTTGTCCGCGTCCTTGAACCCTCCCGGATGCAGTCCGGGAGGCTTGGGCGCCGCGCCGTTGCCTCTGTTTGCCTTTGCTGTCGGTGCTCCGGCCGTGGCAGCGAGCTTCTTGGCGTTTTCCAGCAGCGTTTCGGCGGCCTTCACCAGGTCAAAACTCAGGCTGGCGTCCATTGTTTTCCTAGTCTTCGTCTCAACCAGGCAAGCTGTACGATGGTGTGAAAATGAAAACTGGCCCCTCTACTGGCACAAAGACTGCAGGGTTTACTTCCTGACCCGGCGGGGAGAATTCTTTTCAGGTACGTGGCCCCTGGCTCTGCATTTAGCTCTCGGGTTTGTTGAGATGGCCCCGGTTATTAAGTTGCCATCGGAACAGGCGGTGGGGAACCGCGGGCCAGCGATTGCCATCCTTCTCTTGGCTGGCGGACCGCAGTGAGAAAACGGACCCGCTCCGAAGCTGAAGGGGAAAGGAGAGCGAGAAGGCCCAATGGCGCCTCGCCCTGAGGCCAATGGCGACTCATCCTGAGACGAATGGAGCCTCGTCCTGAGCCCAGCCGGCGGCTGTCCGCTTGATGGGCTCGAATGTCCGTAACATTTTAAGGGGCAACTCTAAAAGCATCCGAAGGGCACCCAATTTGAGGACTCGTCAAAATGTGGATGCTGGCTGGGAGCTGCAATGTTACATTATGATTATAACCGAAGTCCCTAAATGGGCCTCTCTCCTTTTTACATTAAAGCTGGTTACCTAGGTAGCATGCATGTACGTTGCGATTGCGCATGTTCGTAATCACCAGGAGGCGTGGGGTCTCGGTTAGAAGGGACCGATATTACGGCGGCTGATGGCATGTCTTATAAAGCCGACACACTAAAACAGCTATTTTTCCAGTTCTCCAGCCCCATCAGGCATTCTGGCATTCTGGCATTTGATGTCTATTGTGTCACACATCCCTGCCCGGTGCACGCTCAACGGGTTATTGCATTGGATTAGTACGACGCACAATCCTGTTCATTAATAAGGGGTTTGATAAACAAGAGTATTACTCACACCAAATAACGGCTCTGGATAATCTAGAACAACTTCGCATTGGAACTGCGCCTGGCATGCAAAGACGACGCAACTTTGCCTCGATTTAGTAAAACCCACTACTTCGTGACTGGGGAGGGGCCGCCGTGTAAGTTTCAAAGCTCAAATGATTTTCTTGGTGACGCGGGACGGGATTATCCTCCATCCTCTTGGGGGCATTTGAACCAAATTCCCCGTCCATCAGCGCATAAATGGACCGGCCTTTCCTTGGCGCCCCCTCTGAATCTCCTGACCCCCTCATGTTTCTTTCCCGTTGGCCTCGTGGGATTGCACAAGAACAAAAGCATTTCATACCGCCACACCAAAGACAGCGTATCGGGCTGCATCGAGAGCTTTGAGTCGGGTTAGCAATGATCGGGGTATGATAGCTAGAAGAATAGCGTTAAACCCTCACCAGTTTAGATAAAGAATGGGAATAATCGGATCGGAAGAAACGTGGAGAACTCCACAGTACCGACAAACTGCCGAGTGAGTGTTTTCGAGCTCTCCATCTGAGGTTCCATAATACGCAAAATCTTGAGCGGAATCTTCGAATGAGACATCCGAACCCAGTGAACCTTCCGAGTCTTCCGAGAATTCAGATTCGTCCGAGAGGGTGGAGCCGAAATCGGAGTCTTCAAAGTCGTTTGTTTCCGTAATTTTAATTTCTCTTGTGCGAATGTTGGTTTCTGGCCGAGGTGCCGCATCTTCAAATGTTTTTTCTACTATTCTGTGAACTTTGAATTCTGGCCGAGGTGCCGAGTCTTGAAAAGTTGTGTCTGTTCTTCTGGGGCCTTTAATTTCAGGCTGAGCATCCCGTGCCCGGCCCACACCCCCCGCTTGAAGAATTGTCTGGTATTGCGATGACGGAGGGCCGAAGTGTGGGTCGGTGTTGATACTCTCTTCCAGCAATCGTCGGGCATCCACGATCAACTTTCTCTCCCCCACGGTGTAAGGCATTAGACTGTCTAGGAGACGCAAAATGAGTTTGCGGCACTGGTGTTGGTGGCCGTCAATTGCCTTGGAGCAGAACAGACAGTACACGGTCCGTTTTACGTGACCAACCCCTCTGTTGCCGTCTTTGTCCATTCGAACACTCAAGGTCGAGCAACTCGAGCAATTCACTTGGCTCTTCCACACCGTCGGTTTTTCGACAGTCACCGTCGGAGAAGATCTGTCGAGATTGTGCCCACACGCGCAGCTTAACTCCACATCTCCGTTGCCGCGCCAGTAATCTCGGACCGTCTTGATTCTGGCCCATATCTCATTGAGTTTGGGGTGGACGATAATCCTGCGCATCGCTTTTTCGAGACTTATTTCGCCATCGCAGGAGCATCTTGGGGGCATGAACTTTGGCGAGACTAGCGACAGAGCAAATTTCTGGAGGAGGCAGCTGTGACAGAGATAGTGGCGGCATGTTTCGATATACTCGATGGGACCTTTCAGTCTGTCGTGTATGAGCCCGCAGTTATTACAGGAAATAATGATCCTATAACCCCTAGTCAGTATCATATGAGTATTAGCCACATGTGGCTCTAGGCCCTCATAAGGAAGTTGCATCACACCTTGCGGCCTCGTCATTCACAGTGTTTTTGCTGCCGGTGGGCGATTGGCCCGAAGGTTGGCTACGATTCTGATGAGATGGCGAATCGTATTCACCATGACTTTCAGGACTATAGAATCTTTGACTGTGTGTTGAGATTATATCATTTCGTCAGCATACAGTACGCACTGAGTTGAATTCGCCGGCCGTGGCAGTTGTGGCCGGAACTGTGCAAGGACGAGACCCTTGAGCGACTCACTCTTGCTTTCCTAATGCTTCATGCCCGTAAATCCTACTTGGATAACTCCCCCTCGCTGCATCTGCAGGCGGGGGTGCGTTATCCGAGCTGCTGCCGTGGCCACTGCGCACCGAGCTAGTTCGAACAGGCGTCATAGGTTTCTCGTCTTGACCAGGACTGGTGCTAGAATAGCCTCGCGGATCAGGTCGGGGGTACTTCTGTGCTGTAGCTGCTTCCTCTGAAGTGATGACTATTTCTTCGCAAAGATTGTCTGAATCCTCTGGATTCGCTCTGATTTGATCCAGGTCGCCTCGTGGGACGGGATTAAAAGCCCGAGGCAAGTTCAGCTTTTGTTCAAAGTCGAGGGCAGCCGGAACCATCAAATATGAACTAACAGAGGTACCACGGGGATCCTGGGCCACAAGAGACTCGTCCACACAGTCCTCGACTGACGCTGGTTGATACCGTACCGGTATGTGGGGCGGCTTGGTTGTGTCGGGCTCTTCTTCCTTGACTTTCTCAGAGTCTTCATCCTCAACTGACGGTGGTCGATACTGTACCCTCATGTGGGGTGGCTTGAGATTACCAGAATCCTCCTCCTCAAACGACGGCCGTCGATACTGCACAGTCATGTGGGATGGCTTGATAGTGTCGGACTCTTCTTCCACGACTTTCTGGGAGTCTTCCTCCACTTTGTCAGGGCCTTTCTCGGCGTTGTCGGAATCTTTCTCCACGTTATTGGAGTCTTCCTCGACGGTGTCATACTCTTCCTCAAATTTCTCAGAGTCTTGTCCATCAGCCTCTTCGTCAACTACAGACTGAACACTCGGCGCTGGCCCGCGCCTGATGGTGGGTGTCTCTGGAAAGTTATCGGTACTATCGATAGTCCAACCCTTTGAGGCCTCTGAGGCCATGGTCTGGTCAACTGCGAGTAGATTGGTGGCTACAGAGTCCGGGCTACGATCGGTTAGTAAATATGAAGCAGGATATCTCCAAAGGCCGAAACTCACTCCTGGCTTGAATCCACGGGAACCGAGCCAAATGTCATTGACATCCATTCAAGGTTAGCGGCCTCAGAAGCCGAAGGGCGGCTCTCTGGAGCGGGGGACATGAGTTTGATCATGAAGTCCTGCCCGCTCTGTGAAACACCGTGTTCCTCTAGCGGCTTCAAGGGAAACGATTTTATGCCGAAGCCATAGCTGAATAGCTCGAATACGTTTTCGAAGGCTATAGTGCTGGTGAGTATCTTGTATGCAACCGCGCCGAGCGACCACATGTCGACGGAGAAGGTGTAGGAACCAACAGAGCCGTCTTTCGAGAAGCCCAGAGCTTCCGGGGCCGCGAAGCCGAAGGTTCCGCGCTGCATCGTGTGCAAGGTTGTGACATCTTGCTGCCGCCTCTTGCTGATTCCAAAGTCGGCAATCTTCACGAACCACTCTGGGCGGCATGTCACGACCATGATGTTCTGATGAAACCAGTTAGCACTTTGGATTCCTGTGATATCCAGCGAAGCAGGATGCGTACTCCGGGCTTCAAGTCTCGGTGGACAAAGCCGTTGTCGTGCATGTATTCGAGGCCTTCTCGGACCTGAGCCGTGATTTGCCTTGCCTCGGATTCGGGCAGCGGCTTCATGAGGTGCTTTTGCAAGTCCCCGTTCTCCAGGTACTCCATCGTGATGAAGACCGAGTCGTCAAGTTCAAACCAGCCATCGGATCTGACGAAGCAGTGCGCATACTTTGGATTTGAGAACTTGACAATGGCTTCCAGCTCCCGGATGTAGTCGAGCTCCTCGCCCGGGACGACGCGCTTCTTGACCTCCTTGACAGCCCTCAACCTCTTGACTTGTTGGTGATCGAACCGCTCGAGGTAGACGGTGCCGTAGGCGCCCTGGCCGAGAAATTAGGCACGCAGCCATCGCTCCTCTCGGCGAACACGCCGCTCCTTTGCCGACGGGCCGCTGTCGTAGAAGACATGCTTGGTGCAGGTGCCGAGGACTTCGGTGTCGATCTTGGAGTCCCGCACAAGACCCGAGACAAACGGGTTAGAAGGAGGCATGTCTGCTCCGATACTGACTTTGCTCTGAGAAGGTCGCGTCAGCGGTTGGACGACCCGGAAATGGTCGGCTGTTGACGGGTGCCGTGGTGCGGCAATGTGCGGGGGGTGACGGAGGTGTGGCAAGGGCAGTCGGAGAGCCAGCCGCGTCGCGCGAGCTTGTTCCTCCCGTCGCCGTCAATTGTGAATCTGCGACATTCGGTGCATCCGGGACTCGGGAAACCACTCGAGGGACTGTTGCGGGGAAAATTGAAGGAAAATGGACGAAGCAGCCAGAGCCTCGCCGACGTCTCGAGCCTCGCCGACGTCTCGAGCCTCGAACGTCAGGCATCTATGCAGCCCTTCTCCCGATTGTGGCTTAGCCAGGGTATCACCATGCACCTCTGTGCGGTTAGGGCTTGGAACTTGACGGCAGTGCTCAGGCAGCGCTCAGGCAGCAGCGCGGACGAGGCCGATAACTGTTGCGAACAACTTTGATTTCGTCCCAGCAATACCCCGATTGGGCAACCGGCTGATAGCTCGCAAACAGTTGTTAACTCGACCGCAATGGCATCCGTCGAGCTCGTCCTCGCCGCAGTTGCAGCAGCCGATCTCTGCCTCCAGTGAGTCCGGCCGTGCCCCCTCTCCGGGAGCTCTACCCGAAAATGAAACGGCGCCTCTGACCGGCTCAAGATACGGAAAGAAGCTTGTTGGCACGTACCAGGACTTCAAAAATGCCGACGAATATGTACGGACCAGGATCGTCATCGTGGAGGCCATCTGGAGCAAGACCACCGTCCAGGTCGGCTTCGTCAAGCGCGTGGCCAAGACCCTCGAGGAGGAACACTGCCGGATTCATCTCAACGTCTTCGAAATACTCAAGAGCAAGCTGGTGATGGCGACGAGTAAAATCGAGTCGGTCATGAAAAAGACATCCGAGTCGGGCATCAAGAGATGGAAGCTCGTGTTCCTCCGCGACTCTATCGACGACACAATCACTCAGCTCGAGCAATGGCAGCGCATCTTTGATCCGACATGGTACTTGATTCTCAGAATCGGCGACAAGCTTATAGATGCCGAGCTGCTGTCAGCTGACGAACCGGAGACGGGGCGACCGTCCACCGCGGCATCTTCAGCCACAACTCTCGTCTCAGCGCAAAAGTTCCGCGACACCATCAAGGACGACAAATGGGGTGGCGGGAGCGCTCACCACGTCAGCCTCCCAGACGCGCTGGACTGGGATGCCGCAGCGGAAATCAAATACTCGAGCACCCAGTTGGTCCAGCGGGCAGCTGACCGGTCCGAGAGGCTGTACGTGGTGGACACGATCGTCTGTCACTCGAGCCTCGACGTCTACGCCGCCCGCACCGACGCGGAATCGTTGGCGAAAAAGCTGAGCCAGGTCGAGCCTGGCACCTTTGGACTTCTCGTTTGCCACGGCTTCATCAAGAGGAAGAACCCCCAGACGCGGCACCTCGTGTCGATGAGTCTGGCCTTCCGACCCCCTACAGAATCCAAGCAGCACCGGCAGCCCGCCAGCTTGCGGCAGCACCTGATGCAGGGCTCTTCCGGCTCAGGCTGCCCCTTTAGTCTGACTCGGGTCTTGAGCATCGCGCGGCAGCTGGCCCAGGCCGTGAGTTACATCCACACATGCGATTTCGTGCACAAGAATATCCGCCCCGAGACGGTTCTGGTGTTTCCGGACGCAGACGAAGAACACCGTGACGGCGTCGAAAAGCCCTCAACCTTGGGATCAGCCTATCTTCTCGGCTTCGACTCCTTCCGCAGCGTGAACTTTGGCACCCTGCGGAGTGGCGACGAGGCGTGGGAGCGCAACCTATACCGACACCCATCGCGCCAAGGGTTCCAGGCGCAACGTGATTACATCATGCAGCACGACGTCTACAGTCTCGGTGTTTGCCTCCTGGAGCTTGGTCTGTGGGAAAGCTTTGTGCAGTACTATCGCCACGACGGGGGCGCCGAAGCTGTCGAACTCGCCGAGGACGAAGATGTCAGGCCCTCTGAGGGGTTAGGCTTGAAGCTGAAGGATCTCGAGTTTGCAACTGAGGTGCCCACCTCCCCCTTACCATCTCCTTCCAGTGGCAAGATTAAAGAGCATCTCGTTGGCCTGGCACGCTCAAAGCTACCCCTGCGCATGGGGGACAAGTTCACGGCGGTCGTGGTGACCTGCTTGACTTGTCTTGACGAGGGCAACGAGGATTTTGGGGACCAATCTGAGATGTGCGACGACGACGGCATCTTGATTGGCGTCAGGTTTATCGAAAAGGTTCTGTTTAAACTCAGCGAGATCTCCTTTTGAGCCGGGAGGGTTGGACACTCTAGTTGGACGTTTATTTGGATATACGTACGCATTATCACATCACCATGAGCTTTAACATTAGCGCAAAGAGCAAGTATTGATCATGATCATTTAGTCGATCTTTAACGTTATCAACAACGACAAGAGCCAGAAAGCCACGTGACAATCCTGTTCTTTGACTGTATCATAACCGCTCTGGATCAAGATTCACAACGACAACGAAGGAAGACAACCTTACTTTCAGGGCTTGCATCTGCCGATGACTGGCAGCTTGGAGGTTGCAACAAGCTCGCCAGGCCAGCATCTCAAGGAAAGGAGCAACATGCCTAGGCAATACAATGCATGCAAGGAGCAGTACCATAAGCAAAAAGATAAGAGATAAACGAATGCAGATCAGCTTGGCGAGCCATGGCGAGCCATGGATATCGCGGCAACATCGCGAGCCAGGCCCAAAATTGGGCATCCACATACCACACCACCACACGGCAGCTCGAGGCATTGTTTGTTACGGTGCACCCAGGCGCTGGGATTATTGCGTCTGGGATTATTACACGCAGTATACTCGGCGAGAACGCGGCAGCCCGTCGGGTAGCAATGAGTTGATTGTGCGGACAAGTGTGCGACGGGGCCAAGGTGACACGGTCGGGGAAAACGTGGCATTGGCGGTGGCTTCCCGAGAGAGGAGGGGTGCATTGGTGGGCCGATCGACGAGAGCCAGGCCAGTGAAGTCGCTGGATCTGGCCATGTGAAAACGGCTGGGGCCAGCCAGCATATCACGTCGGGCGCTGGCTGCTGGCTCATGCACCCGCGTTTCTTGCTTGCAGATGCTACCTAGGTCTCGTTATTTGCGGCCGCGGCAGCGCACTTCTCGGCCGTCGAGGACGGGACGTGCAGCAGAAGCGCAAGGGCTTTGCGTCCCGAAGCAAGCGACGACGTGCCAGATGGAAGAGACCAAAGGGCCCGTCGTCGGGGAAATACGGGCATATTCGCCGGTCTGACTGCGGCTGGCGAGATGGCAAGTGCAATAAAATGGCTCAAGCGTCGCACTGGCGGTTGTCGCCATGATTTTGCTCCCTCGCTATATTCAGCCTGATATGGCTACCTGGGGAGTGCAGATGGGAGCTGTGTTCATCAGACCATGTCGCCTCGCCCGGGCTGGCAAGCCTGCGCTGTCGGGCGGTCTCGGTCTCTGGCCTCTAGCTCCAGGCAGGCCTCGACGTTCCAGGTTAGGTTCTGGCGGCTGGCCCGTCGTCCCGCTTGGTTGCATCAGCGTGCGTTATCGGTGGACTCGATGGCAGTTGAATCGACGGCGAGTCCACTGGGCAGCGAGTCCACTGGGCAGCGGGACTAGCAGGCCTGCCAAGCTGGCGCAACACTGACTTGCGGAAAATAATGCCTTCGAAGCTTGGCCTGACGATGGTATCTCGGCAAGGCGTTGCGGCCGGAAAGATGAGGTAATTAATGCACTGTATGGAATTTGGTAGGAGGGACGGAATGGCCTAGGTGTCGAGCTTGACCCTGCCCGGGCCTTCAAGCCCTGCCGATTGGGGCCCAGTCCGTGGATTCTGGAAGCGCTAAATTCCAGGGAGGCGGTGATGGTCGCTGCGACAGTGCAGCGAGGGACAGACAGGGCAGGCGGGATGAGTCAGCGGGCGCCAAACACCGACGGCATTTCTGAGTGCGGCGCCGTCTCACGAAGCAACCAACACGAAGCCCGCTCGCGCGCAAGTCGTTCCCTAGACTTTGTCCGACAAAGTTTATTACCCTCGGCTGCGGACGCTGTCCTCCCAGAATAACCTTGAAGGCGGCTGTCCATCTCCCAGCTCTTTCGTCCCACCATTTTCCGCATCGAATTGACATTCTCCACCGCCGCCCGGTCACCCTCGACGCCGCCGTATCGTCTCTCGTCATCCCTGTGCCGTGTTGAAGGTCGTTGACTAGCTATCGGCGTTGTTGCAGCTTGCGAGCCATTACGTCAGGTGCGTGCGCTGTTGGCCCATGCTCCTGGGCGCGTCTCCCAGGTTCGGAGTTTTCCTGCCTCCAACTGGAGCTGTGCTTGCCGTTCCGTGCCCCTCCACTCCCTCTCGGGTCGCCCAGGACGGTGCAAACCAGCCTCAGCGCCTCGGGGCCGTCCGATAACCCATCTCTCGCTTGCCGAAGATGCTGTTAGAATGGCACTCGGAGAGAAGAAGCGCAATGTGGTTGGCGTCACTGCCGCCTCCTTGAGACGTCGGGTGTGGCGTGGTCGTGGTGCAGCTGGTGGCCTTTTGCTCCTATCCACCACAGCCCCGCCATCCGTTCGGCCCAAGCTGCCTTCCCCTCCTGGCCGCGCAGACGCTGTCCAATCAAGGGCCAGAGATTAAGAAGATCCGGGTCCAATCCACCTTGGTCGTTTACATGGGAAGCTGCACAAAACTGGAGTTGTGCTAGTTATTGAGAAGCACCCAAACGAAGCACCGATCACGGGAGGCAGCAGGGGCATGGGGGTTGGCAGAGTTGCTTGACCGCCGCAGAGTGCCTTTGCGAAAAAGATTACGCCCCACCTTGGATCTTCTCCGGCCTGCGTGCAATTGTAGTAGGCCTGGGCCTTCGTCCTTGCTCTTTCCCCTGGCCGCCCCTCCGTCATCTCATTGTTTTGCTAGTGTCGGCAGCCTGGCCTGCCAAGTTAGCTGCCACTCACCCCGCCGCCCTTCTCACCGCGACCATAATACTTGGTCTCTTTGTCTACCTTCCTGTCCTCCCCCGTACTTCTTCCTCCGCGCCTTTCTGTCCGTCGTTTTCCATTCTGCGTTGATACTCGGCCATAATCGTTCCTGGGCTTCTCGTTAACGCCTTCGCCATGGAGCAGAACCTCGACGCCACCGCCCGCGAGGGCTCTCCCGACCCGCAGCTGTCCTCCATCGCCCGCCCCGGCATCTCTGAGCCCACCGAGTCCTATCTACCTCCGCATCTGCGTGCGTCTGTTACTGCTGTCCCCGTTACCCCGGGCATTACGAGCGAGGCCTACGACCCGGAACAAAGCGATAGGCTCGCCGACGGAGCTACGAGTCCCGGCTACTTTTCCAGAAAGGTGGTCGACCACGCGATTGCCGCCTCACCACCTCCGCTTGACCCAAGCTCTGAAGGAGCGACCCCTGACAACATTGCTGCTGGGGAAGAACAGGGCAAAGAGTTCAACAGGCGCGTCAGCAAGGCAGCCATGGGATTGCGCGCAGAGTCCATGTCGGAAATTCGGGCGATTAGCCCAGGCCTCGAACTCGGCGGGAACATAATCTCTGCGACGTTCAATATCCCCCACTCGCTGAAATATCGCAAGGGGGCGGACTGGGTAAGTGGCACTGGTTTTGCTTTGCTCGTGTTCGTGTCCCATAAAGTTGGCACGCATTGTGGGCGCCAGGGAGCCTTCCCTAACCCAGAACTGAGTGGTGGGGCTGATGTCATTCTCGCTGCAGGAATTGCGACCCCGCCAAGGCCAGTCGGCCCTGTTCGACGCCTTCTCGTACCTATCCTCGGACGAAGCCCCTTGGAACCACACATGCGTCGCATGGACGGGCGAGATAGATTTTCCGTTGGACATACTCTCGCCGCCGGGGACGCCGCCCGCGAGCGCGACTCACCCACGGCCCCTCAATGTTCTTTCCGCGCCGATTCCTGTCGATGGCTCGAGAGCCCCACCCACACCTCCTCTAGTCGATGGTCTGAGGATCCCCCGCGAAGACATGCACCGCCTCGAGCACCAATTGTCGCACGATAAGAGAATAAAAACAGTGCCGGTTTGGCTCGCAGACGACGCGGATGGTTCCGACGACGGCATCACGCTGAAGGACCAGACGAGATGGAGACGGTTCGCAGAGCACGACCTCTACACGCTGTTCCACTACAAGCAGCACGAGCCGACCGACGGGCGAGCCGAGAGAACGCAATGGGCTGATTACTACCGGATGAACCAGAAATTTGCCAACAAGATCCTCGAAATTTACAAGCCCGGAGACATTGTCATTGTGCACGACTACAACCTGATGCTCTTGCCCAGCATGCTTCGCCAGCGAGCACCCCACATGTACATCTCCTTCTTCCTCCACTCGCCCTTCCCTAGCAGCGAGTTCTTGAGGTGCCTGCCTCGGAGAAAGGAGGTGCTCGAGGGCGTTCTAGGCTCCAACTTGGTTGGATTCCAGAGCTACAGCTACTCGCGCCACTTCTCCAGCTGCTGCACGCGCATCCTTGGCTTCCCCTCCGATACCACCGGAGTGGACGCCTACGGTTCCCGTGTTGAGGTGGGCGTCTTCCCAATCGGCATTGATGCGACCAAGGTGACGAGTCTTGCGTGGAAGGACCCCGTCAACGAAAAGTACCAGGCTCTGAAGAAGATGTACGCCGGCAAGAAGATCATCGTCGGCCGCGACCGGCTGGATAGCGTCCGAGGAGTCCCCCAGAAGTTGATGGCGTTTGAGAGATTTCTGGAAATGTATCCCGAATGGCGGGAGAAGGTTGTTCTCGTGCAGGTTACATCTCCGACGAATAACGAGGCGGAGAAGGAAGACACCGAGAACAAGATTGCAAGCCGTGTGAACGAGCTCGTCATGAAGATCAACGGCATGTACGGCTCGCTTGGCTTCTCGCCGGTCCAGCACTACTCTCAATACATTAGCCAGGACGAGTATTTTGCGCTCCTTCGGGCCGCCGACATTGGCCTGATCACATCGGTCAGGGACGGCATGAACACGACATCGTTGGAATACGTGGTCTGCCAGCGCGAATCTGCGGGCCCCTTGATTCTGTCCGAGTTCAGCGGCACGGCTGGTTCGCTCAAGGATGCCATTCACATCAACCCATGGGATTTGACGGGCGTTGCCGAGCAGATCAACAACGCCCTGACCATGTCGGAAGACCGCCGCCAGGCGATGGAGCAGAGCCTCCTTGCTCATGTTACTAGCAAGAACGTTCAATACTGGATCGCTGGCTTCCTGCGCCGGTTGGTAAACGTTTTGGGCAGCAGAAAGAACGTCATCTCGACCCCCCTCCTCGACCGCGCCACGATGCTCCAGAGATACACCAGCGCGAAAAAGCGGCTGTTCATGTTCGACTATGACGGTACTCTAACGCCAATTGTACGGGAACCAAGCGCTGCTGTTCCATCGGAGCGTGTCATTACAAGCCTGAAGGCCCTTGCGGCGGACCATCGGAACGCGGTATGGATCATCTCCGGCCGCGACCAAGAATTCCTCAGCCAGCACCTGGGCCACATCTCGGAGCTAGGCTTCAGCGCCGAGCACGGTAGCTTTATGAGACATCCCGGCACGACAACGTGGGAGAACCTGGCCGAGAAGTTCGACATGGGATGGCAAGTCGAGGTCATGGAGGTTTTCCAAAAGTATACGGACAAGGTTCCTGGTAGGTCAACAACCCGTGACGCTCTCTGTGCCGCACTAACAGGCCGTATTAGGTGCTTTCATTGAGCGCAAGCGGTGCGCGTTGACTTGGCACTATCGGCTTGCCGATCCCGAGCAAGGTCTGCACATGTCGCGCGAGTGCCAGAAAGAACTCGAGACAACTGTCGGCCGTAAGTGGGACGTCGAGGTGATGACTGGAAAGGCCAACCTCGAGGTCCGTCCGACGTTCATCAATAAGGGCGAGATCGCCAAGCGTCTGGTCACTACATACAACCAGGAACTGCGGGCTCTCAACGCGTCGGCAGGGGACTCGGGCGCGACCAAACTCGAGTTTGTCCTTTGCCTGGGAGACGACTTCACGGACGAGGACATGTTCCGTTCATTGAATGTTCTTTCGGCCCCTTCAGACGGGCAATCCGAGATTGAGTCCGACAACTGCTTTAGCGTCACCGTTGGCGCAAGCACCAAGGTAACATTGGCGCGATGGCATTTACTAGAGCCCGAGGATGTCGTCGAGTGCGTGGCGTTACTGGCTGGAGTTGGCGGCGGCGGCGGTGGGGCCGCTGGGGGTGCACTCAGCATGGGCGAGGTCAATCTAGCGGCTATGAGTGTCGTCGCCGACCACATCCCGAAGTAATGACCCTGCTGCCTCGAACTACCTGACAGGCGGCGAGAAACGGACTGGGACAAGAAACGGACTGGGACAAGAGCAGGGTATAGACGGTCGGGCGAGCAGGTCGGGCGAGCGGTAATCCCAGTATCTTCACTGTGTTTCGGGGTTATGTATGTGTACAGGCGCCATTGAGTGTGCCCTGCAGCGTTAATTTAGACTACTGGCAACTTGGCCTCGAGACTGCGGTTGCTTGGAGTTGGGAACTAGAGATTAGCAGAGGCTCTGGGCGGCATGCTCTTATAGATCAGCGCGTTGCTTTCTGGCATTTGACGCACTGTCTTTTTCGTCAACGAGCTGTTTGTATGGACATTTGTATCGGCATTTGTATTGACATGTGAGTACGCACAGGGCTACGTGCAGGGGGGCTCGAGGGGGTAGACACTGCGTTGGATCTGCCATGGGTTGCAATAAGAGCCCAGATAAGCATCACGTGATGGTAGGGTAACATTGAGGACTGAGTGCCGAGCTGGTGAGAAACAGGGGGTGAACCAAGTTTCAGGGGTGTTATGTGCCAACTTTTGGCAGCCGCTTCGTGAAACGCGACCGTCAGGCCCATTCTTCTTTCTGAGCTTGACTCAACTACCTCACTAAGAATTAGCCACCGTCTCGTGATCGGCACACACGCCCACGCCGAGCTGCACACAGCGAAGGCTGAAGAACGTCGCCTACTATGCGTCAACGCGGCTGGCTGGCTTCCGCCCCGGTCTTAGTCTTGGCGGCTACTTCTGTGGATGGCACCATTGCGAGCGCACACACCCCAGGCACTTGGAGATGTCAACTACCCTCCCCCTTCACATGTCCGGCTGTGTTGTCTAGTGTAGAAAAGTTGGCTGTCTGTCCATTGGCGTCTACAGAAATATGGTATGAAGGGGATAGGCTGGATAACGATGGAACGAGCACGAGCGCGAGTCCGAGTGTATATGGGGAAAGGGCAGACTCGTCACAAACGCAACCGCAGGTCTCCAGCACCCAACTCCCGTCCGCTACAGCCGATGCCATGGACGGTGCGGCTGAGACGGAACAGGCGACCAAGGCTTCATCTTCGCCATCCTCGCCCTCTTCCTCGCCATCCTCGCCCTCTTCGCCCTCTTCCTCGCCATCCTCGCCCTCTTCCTCGCCATCCTCGCCCTCTTCCTCGCCCTGGTCTCGCAGTCTTGTCTGCCGCCGCGTTGGCAGAGACGAGTTCTGCGCGTTTACGCACCGAGGCTTTGCGGCCGGCGAGGGCATCGCGGTGATCACGACGCCCGCCCGCATTCTGGTGCTGGGATCGCAGCCGCCGCTCGATATCCCCGCGTCCCAGCCCGACTCGTCACCGTCACCGTCCTCGAACACAGACACAGACGGAGTAGACTACACCGACGCGCTCATCGCCGGCAAGGGCGTCGGCCTCGTCGCCGCGCGGCCCATCCGTGCCGGGCGCCGCCTCGCCATGCGCACTGCCTCGACGCCCGCCGTCATGGTCGACGACCGCGCCTTCACGGGGCTGCGCCGCGACGACCTCGCCGCGCTACTCGCGCAGGCCATCGTCGCCCTACCTGAGCCCCACCAGGCCCGCTTCCTGAATCTCTCGGCAACCGCGAGCGACGGCGACAAGGACGACTCGGGCCTCGCGCGCGTGTTCCGCATCTTTGCGACCAACGCGTTCAAGACGACGGTCAAGCTCGGCGCGGATGCTGCTGTGGCCGTTGGCGTGCCGTCGGGCCCAGATGCGGGGATTGATTTCCATTCGACGTTCACCGAGGGTGTGTTTTGTTTCCTGCCTCATTTCTTTCGTTTCCTTCCTCATTTCTTTCGTTTCCTTGTATTATAGTTCGTGTTGTCATTCCGCTGTCCTCTTCCACTGTCCTCTTCCGCTGTCCTCTTCCAGTTTTGTCGTGTTTGTGTGTGGCAAGCAGACAAGTTGGCGGCATGATTCTGATTTGGCGTGCTAACGAGGACATGAAAACCAGTGTCGCGCCTCAACCACGAGTGCAGCCCCAACCTGGGCTACTACTTCGACTCGGTCACCCTGTCCCACAAGGTCTACGCCGTGAGGGACATCCTGCCAGGCGAGGAGCTGACGATCAGCTATGTCGAGTACGTGGACATTTCTTGCCACTGTTGGTTTCGTGGCTTTCGTCGCTCTGGCGGGGATTTTGGGGTTTCCTCTTACTGAACTAGAACCCCCTGAAAGCGCCACCCAAAGTTGAAGAACTCGCACGTGCCCGCAGCACACCTCCTAACCCCTTCATCCCTCTCCTTTCACTGCAAGCCCTTAATCCTGAGAAAGCCACATGGCCAACTTTCTCACCGATGGACTAACACATCTCAAAGCGTCATCCAGCCGCGATCCGTGCGCAGCGAGCGCCTCCACACGACGTGGTCCTTCACGTGCAGCTGCCCGCGCTGCACGGCCGAAGCGCACGTCGTGGCCGAGTCCGACGACCGCGTGGCACACATGCTGCAGCTCCGCCGGGAGCTCGACGATTACTCGGCGTCCGCGACGCCCGAGAAGGCCGAGCTGCTCGTCACGCTGTACGAGCTCGAGGGGCTGGAGGTCCGTATCTACGAGGCCTACTATCGTGCTGCGCTCGAGTGGTATGTCACAGTCTTCTGATAACCCGCTCCTCCTCTTCGGGGGTCACACTCCTTTACTGCCGTGTTGGGTGCACATGAAACGTGCTTGAGATAGGAAAGGGAAAATTCTTCGAGAACGTGGACACTAATAGCTTTGACACGACCAGGAACGGAGTCGGCGATGCAACGCGCGCAATGAATTACGCACGGCTTTGCCTCGACAAGGGCCTTACGCTTCGAGGTCCAGACCGTCCGTTTATCGACAGCATGCGCGGCCTCATCTCTAGCCCGACAGAGCACTGGAGCTGGCGTTTTCGGGTGAAGTGAAGGACTCGATGCTTGGGGCTAGACTCGAGAGATATTTTATCAGCATGACCATGCATATGTAGGTCATGACCATGCATTATGTAGGTTGTAGGGTGAGGAGGGTGCCACTGTAGATGTATTGGGTGCGGGGTATTTTACGGGTGTCTCGGATTTTGTGCTATCAGTTGCTGATGTATAGACTTGAAATCTCCAAAAGTAGTATCCAAATCAGGCCGAGGGTTAAAATGCTGGCAGTTTCTAATAGAGGATTGCTCGGCGCACCCACCCCTTTTGCTCGGGACACGCACCGTCCCTTAAATCGTGGGCCTGTCAGCCGGCAAAAAAGATCCACCTTTTTGTACGTAAAAATGCCCACTTTCTATGCAACTAGCCATGCAACTACCCCGCCGTATGGTAGGGTCAACCCTGTGTCAATTATGAAGCTATTCCGAAGAGACAGAGGGGGGGGGGGTGTCTCCCGGCCGGTTGAGCCTCGGCTAATGTGTTGAGCCTCTGTAAAATATGGCAATTTTCGTGCAACGGCTGCCAACGCACATGAAGCTATTTTCAACGCTCGCTCGCTCGTCCATCCCGTGACTGAGGCACCATATTGAGGCTCTGCAGGGGCATTGCGGCTCTGCAACATGCCCACCACCATAGAAAATATCACCACTACGGAAACCTTGTATTCTACGGCTTCAACTACATTTACTGTGCCTCATTCGTATGCCTGGTGACTGGCAAGATTGTTGTAGGATTTCCCGCCTTATTTACTATACTTTTGTGGGAGCCTGCAATGGAGCGTGTATGCAAGCCCTAACTAGCCCCACTTTAACTAGAATTCGTGTTAAATTTGCGAAGACTGCATTTTTGAACGATTTGGCCTGCCTTTTTTTCTTCATCACGGCGACCTTCATTGAGGCTGCAAAGCTGGCCCGGTGATACAGGTACTGCAAGTTTGGGTGTGGGTGATATCCTAGGTCACAGCTCAACATGGGTCATAGAGTTTGACCCATGTTGAGTCGTTATGACCCATATTGAGCTTTTCGGTCAGCACATAGCATATGCTGTTCGTGGTACTCAAACTACGTAGGGATCCTACAGGTCGAAGGGTTGGTAGATCTACCGGGGGTCATGTTGTGTCTATCCTCTCTCTCTCTGCGGAACTAAGGTAGGTTCTGCGTGCGACCGGGGTTTTTGTGTGTGTGTGTGTGAGAGGTCCGCGCGCCGCACGTGCCTACTTGCACGTGCGTACTCGCGCGATCTCTGCTTCCTCCCTGCTAGTGTGCGGTCACCAGTATCGCTATTCCAACATATGCTGAGCAGCCCTAATAAAAATATATATAACTCGGTGCAGGGCAAATAAAGTAGTATAAACGGTCAATTAAAGCAAGATGTACGATAAATTAATTGGTCTAAACTGTTAAAGAAAGCAAGATAGAGTATAAACCGAGTCATACTTTGATGGTTAAGTAATAATATGTTTTTATATTTTTGTAAGAGAAGGCAGGTACGCCGGATCAAGGTGGTCACAATGCAGGTAAGAAGGTGGGCGAGCAACGAGTAGTATTGGTGTGAGACTTCAACCTGGCCCTCGCAAAGGAAGGTGGGCGAGGGCCACTGTTTATATACGTGCTCAGGGGCTCAGGCCCGGGGCGCCATGGCGTGGCGTAGTGGCTTGTGCCAACTGGCAGTGTTCCGGCCAGTTGGTAACAGGTGGTGAGCGCGCACCCTGTGCGCGCGGCTGGTGTTTGGGTTGTCCTTTCCTTACAATTTTCCAGTGTTCGGCATATGCTGAGCCCTCATTCGAAGCATACGTGACTTGGCGTTCTGCGATCGGCTCACGCATGCACTGAAAATAAGCGAAGTGGGTGGGGGGTGTACTGCTAAGCCACTAGGATGTGGCCCAAGCGGCGGTAATAATCTAAGGAAATCGAGCTATTCGTTATGGGATAAAGATATCTAGTAATAAGTTGTATTGATGATGCTTTGTATTACTCCGACCTTGTGGATGGTCGAAGCTGTTACGAATCCTTGTCGAATGCGCAATAGTGGGGCACGCTCAGTTTGGTGTGGACCAATCAGGAGCGTCCCATGGAAAGAACCAATTAGGAGTGTCCCTGGGTCCCGAGGTTCGGGACCACTTAAGGTCGGGGACGCGGGACAGTGTCCCGCGCGCCCGGCGTCCCGAGACCGCAAGTCTCGGGACCACGGGCCAGTGGAACCATTGTTATTGGTTACACAGTTAGATATATACGATGACCGTACCCACGGTCTTAGATAGTTCTTGCTTGGTCCTTCAAGCAAGCAATACACATTCACTGCACTCATATACTTTGAGTGGCATTCCGATTTGACTGTATTACCGGTGCGATAGGAGCTTGCCCTTTGTTCTATCTTCATAATTGCCAACCCCAGCACCCTGTGGAGCCCGTGCTCCCTTACAGACAGACGACCCTAACAGTCGAGTGGTTTGTAATAGAAGCCTAGAAGATGGTAAGTATATGTATTTATATAAAGGATAAAAACGTACCATAATATTTTCGTCTTGCTATAGGTGATGCCAGCCACCTATATTCAGCATCGACTGAGACAGCTGCTCCACATACTTTCACTCCTGTATACTTATAAGCTATGTGCTAGGCGGAGTTTAACGACGTATTATTGCTGTCTCGGTTTAGTGTAAACTTAAGCTTAGCTTGAAAGATACTTACCTTAAGAATTTCAGCTTCGTTTTTAAAATTGTTGTAGTCGTTCTACCTTTAAAGGTAGTGTGAAATTGAATCTTCATATATATTAGCTTCAACTTTATTTGGGCAAATGCTAAGTACGTACCTGATCCTGCACCCGAGCAAACTCCTGAAGAATATCTGTATTCGACGGGTCGCCTTGTAGAATTGGTTCTGGTAGGTGAATAAAAGTGGCTATGCCATCCTTATGAGTCAAAGGATAGCTTGGAATAGTAATACTATTAACAATCTCAGCCACAGAGATAATATGTTTACGGCCACCGCCAATAATTAGGCCGTAATCCTTGAGAGTATTCTGCTTCAAGTCAGTCGAGGTTCAGCATATGCTGGAGCAGCTTACCTTGGTAAACCCCATCCTCGGACGACCTCTCTCGCTATCTCCGTAATCGGATTATCGTCATCGTTCCAGAATTGTTCTATCGTATTGTCTACACTTTGCTCGAGCACCTACTCATCCTCATCGCCTGCAGACTCTTCGTCGCCGGTATCGCTAAGGGTCCCGTCTGAAGGATGGGGGGACGGCGTAGGCTCATGCCCATACTCGGCATAAGCTACGTAGGGCCTGAAGGCTCTGTTCTCAAAGTCGGCTGTTGCTCCTCTATGGTTTGGTGATGTATCTATTACAGATCAATTCCCCTAAATTGTTATTATTGAATTGGTGTATTGAGTAAAAGTTCGGCATATGCTAAAGCAGAGTAATAATTGTGTGGCAATATTATTTTGAATCTAAATTTTTTTGTGCGTTGCAGATGTCTACCTTTGGTCGCCGGTCTTTTCTACTTTGGGTTGGTCGGCTGACCTTCAGCATATGCTATGTGCTGACTGAAAAGCTCAACATGGGTCATAACAGCTCAACATTGGTCATACGGCTCAACATGGGTCAAACTCTATGACCCATGTTGAGCTGTGACCTCGTGATATCCTGGCTTAAGCTAGTGTGCCTTGCAAGGCAGGGATCCGATGCATGGCGGCTCCATCTAAAAGACCGAATTTACTACGGTAAAAACCGGGCAGTTGATGTCAAGTGCCAGGGCTATGATTTTATCAGGGGGTGGGTGCGCCGAGCAATCCACTTCTTATAAAGGGGGAGTCTCCGCATACTGTTAAATCGTCCCCATCTACTGTAGGTACATAGACCACCAAGCGTTACAACTCACCGCCCAGGAAAATACCACATTTTAGAGCCAAAATTACCGCATTCGCTGGCTGCCCTGCTCCAAGCGCTGGCAACGCAGTTATACCGCAATTGCACCTCGCCGCCGTCGCCAACGTCGCCAGCGCCAACACACTTCCGAATGCGGTAATTCCAGCTCAGGGCCGTAGATTAGCTCAAATCGTTCAAATCTGCAATAAAAAGCGAAGCTGGGTTCGCTGGATTCGCTTACGTAACAGGGCCAAAAATGCAATAAGAAACTGCAGGCCTACTTACAACCACTCTCCACTGCTCATAACTGACTACCCTACTGACCCATGCCTTCCAATGCCCGGGCGGTCGGCCGAGGAACCCTTCCACTACGTGTAGGCTTTTCAACACGACCTACAGCTACTACAGAGGCTGCAGGGCCACGTGAGGCTCGTGATGTTGTGTCGCCCCGGCCACCCGTTGTATACCTTGGTGTTGTGAAGGTCGTGATGCCGTGCCGCCCCGGCCACTGCGTTATGTGCCTCGGCTTCCTATTGCCCGACTTCCTGTGGTTCCTGTTGCCCGGCTTCCTGTACCCCGGCTTCCTCTACCCCGACTTCCTGTGCCCAGGCTACCCCGAGCCGCATTGAGGTTGTTGACAGTACGGCGAGGAGGTCCCGTAGGTTGGCTGAGCTCATCAACGTCGTCATCAACGTCGTCATCAACGTTGTCATCAACGTCGTCATCATCGGCGTCGTCGTCGATGTCGTCGTCATCGTCAAGGGAGACTCCCTCCCACTGTGAGTATGCCGGCGAATTGAGGGCATGAGTCCGGACTGCCTGCCCGGTTGACCGGCCGGCTGTGTGGCTCTCGGCTGTGTAGTTGGGACCTTCGGTGCGTTCGGTCGGCGGCGAAGGCATTCGAGTTGCGTGGCCTGCCGCGAAGGTTTCCGACTCTATCAAACTCTTGGTACTGTAAGTAATTGTCTTCGTCAAGTAACGACCTATCCAGGTACTAATATGGATGGAAATCGGTCTTTTGAAGCTTCAGATTACCGGCCTGGTGACGCTGAAGGAGATCATGAGCGCAAGGAATGCCATACTGTGCCCGGAACCGACCGGTGCAGGGCTTCAGGGGCCGGGCGCGGTCCCCGAGAGCAGATTCCATCTTTGTGTGTTGCTTTACAACAAGATCGAGGGCATCGTAACATATGTTGTAGGTAGCATCACTAAGCTACTGCTGAGCTAGGTAGTCGAAGCGAATGCGCTCTTTTTGCTTCGCAGTCAGCTTCTCGTAGGCTTCCTTCATACCCTCTACCATGTTGAGTGACTGTTGTACGGTTTGGAAGGTATTGCTGTTGCCGGTGATAACAAAAGACTGGAGAAGCTTGTTGACTGACTCAACTGGTGATGTGGTACGTTGACCGAAGTTGAGGACGTTATTGGTATAGCAAGTCGCCCACTCTTCAACAAGTGGCCTGTAGGTTCGTTCGAGATACCGAATTATGGCTTTTTGGGCGGAAAAAGTAGCTTTCATCATCTCCCATGCCTGTGTGTGGCCATCGAGAGTAGGCGAGTACATCATATGCTCCCAAAGTAGGTATATTCCTACCTTGGTGTACGGGATCTCGGCCGGCAAGGCACCAATGTTGACTTCCTGTCCATCACGAAGTCTTCTTGTACGGTAGACAACCTGCTCTTCTTCCTCGCTGTCTTCTTCCTCGCTGTCTTCTTCCTCGTTGTCTTCTTCTTCATCGTTGTTTTCCTCCTCTTGTTGCGCGCCTGGGTCCTGAGCCCGAGCCTGAGCCCGGGCAACCTGCTTTGTAGCGGCCTTGTTCCATTTCTTCTTAAATTTCAGGACCACATTCTTGTTGATGTGGAAAATGCAGAGTTGTGAGTAAGCGTCAGGGTAAATACGTGCAATTGCAGGCCTCATCGCCTTCTCAAAGTCGGTAATTGTGACTGTAGGGCGTTGAGCGCCGATTTCTTCGCGATGCTCGTTGACCTTGTCCATCAGCCACTTGAAGCGTTCCTCACGTTCGTTATAGATCAAGCCGAACGCACAACTGACTGATTTACCTAGGTGGTTCTTGTGGACGATTTGGAAGAGAGCCAGGCCCTTGTTGTTAGTACTATATGTGTTATCGTACAACTGGACCCAGGGGTAACGCTTCCACTGCTCCTCACACCAGCGAGGAGACCAAAAAAGACCTCTCGGCTTGTCTTTTTCATCATCCGACCAAAGGACTTCGTAATGGATCTGTTCATCGTCAAGCAATTTCTTCGTGGCCTGGAATAGAGAGTATCCCTTGAGGGCAAGTCTGCGTATACGAGAGCGGCATTTTCGTAGGTCAATGTGGTCGAATTCCAGGCCCGGAAAAGCCCTTCGCAAGTCTTTGGCAATCTCTCTGTTCGGGACAGCTGGTCGGCCGATGTAGGAAGGAATAAATATCTTATACTCAGGGCCAAAGATTACTCTATGCTTCAACTTGTTGAAGTCTCTCTCGACAGGTGGATGATTTGCATGGTTGGTATGCTCAGGAAGAAACTCAAAGGTCCATTTCCGGTCGTCGGAAACAAGCGCTTTGGCTACGCCCTGCCAAGGGCAGTCCCGGTGGTCGGTGTTGGTGATGTTTTTCCTCACCCTGGACTTGATGATTTTCCCTCGGTAACAGCCAAAATCCACCCTTGTTGGGCCGAAGTCTTTGGCATAGTTGGAAGGTCGCAGCTTGCATGCACCGAACCGTGCAGAAGAGGCCCATTCGTTCAAATCAACGATTAGATCGTCGAGGGTGTCATATTTGAAGGTGAAAAGCTTATGGTTCGCGGGCGGATTGGAAAGTGGTGGCGCGGGCTGCGCGGGCGCATTCTGGGCGGGCGCATCCTCATCTCACTGGGCGCGTCGCTGGAACCGCCGGAATCGCTCAAATCGCGGAAGTCTTCAAGATCGGGCATTTCTGAAGCTAAATTAGCATAGCCGCGATGAAAAGGAGTGCAGGAAATGAAGCCTTACTGATGCATCGATTGATTGAAGTTGTTGGCGATGATTTTGGTGGTGGTTTGGTTGCATAGGAAGGTTGTGTCGCATACAACGGTGCAAGAAAACGTCGTCAAAAGAGTGCTTATTATTAGGAAGAAGAAGAGCGGCCTGTATAGCCTAGGTGCGCTGCTACTTAGATGAAAATGAAGCCTTTGTTCCAAAATGTAGATCAGGCCACATTTTGGCCGGAAATGGTCAATTACGTCACGTGGCGCACCTTCTTCCGACAGGTTGTAGTGGAATACGAAGGTTGCAGCGTAATTAGGTTGGGTTGTGGTGAACGTGGTAAATTACGTGGCGGCAGAATCTTGGATGGGGACGATTTAACAGCATGCGGAGACTCCCCCTTATAAAGATGGACTTTTCATGATGAATCAAGAGACTTGCTGGCCATTTTAACTTTATAGTCGGTGGCAGAGGCTACGTTGAAGGGCGTTGATAGCTTGGGCGACGAGCTTTGGGTTCTCGGGCTGAGGCAAGGGATTCCAAGACAAGCAGTCAAGCTCACCTCTCAGGCACAAACTCCGTTCCAGCTGCCTGGTCGACTGCCGGGGGATCCAGGGGCTGCGGAAACTGAACGTGCTAGGAGAGCTCGACCATGACGCCGTTCCAGTCCAAGCGAGTTACTCTAATTCCCGTGCCGTCGACTTCGGGCCGCGGAGGTAGTTCAGGTATGCCTGGCAGCGGATAGCATCCTGCAGGCTGGCGAATATGAGGAGGCCACTATCGGGGACACTCCGGGTCTGGGGACGCAACGCCAAGGTCCAGTTCTAGAGACTGGTTACTGCGGTCGGCTTGAAGAAGCGAGGGTATCCGGGCTTCATGATGTCGACGATACGCGGGTCTTTCTTGGCCCACATGACAGTGTGGTCCCAGTTGGGGAAGTGGCAACTGATTCCAGGTTGAGAGATGACTTCACAGAATGGAAGAAATAGTTAAGCGGGTAGGGAAACTGGCTCCCGGGATGAGAAGATGACTGCGCAGAAGCAGGTGGTGGGTTTGTTGGATGTGGATGTATACAACTAATTTAAGAGAAGATGGTTCCGAGAAGATGGTTCCGACAAGATCGGTAGTTCTGCAGAACGAAAGACGGTTGAAGTAACAGGGAAGCTATTTCGGAAATTCGAAAACCGATGAGAAGAATCCCATCGAAGCTGTGAGGTAAAGTGGAAAGTGGGGTTGAGGGATGCGAAGAAGGCTGCTGGCCAGGTGAATTTCAGGTGAGGTCTGAATGCCAGTGTCAGCGCCAGTGTCAGTGCCAGTGTCAGCGCCAGTGTCAGCGCCAGTGTCAGCGCAAGTGTCAGCGATAGTGTCAGCGCCAGTGTCAGCGACAGTGTCAGTCATGACAGCCACCTGGTGGTCAGTAAGCTCAGGTAAAGAAACACACAGGTTCCCTTTTACCTGCTGAATCAGCTTCTGATCTCGATTAGCAGGGCTGAGAGCCTGGAAATTCTCTTCTCAGTTGTCTTTTGTAGCACTTGGTTGATTTGAAGCTGACTCGGTTGCCCTGTAGCCTTTTATCTACAAATTCCAGACGCGATCGCCTGTTTCCTTCCCCGCTGTGTCGGAATGGGGGTTTATTTATAAGAAGAATTCGACGCTAGGACAAACGAATATGGGCGCGCGTGCCGACAGACAGAGGTGAGCTAGCCAGGGTGCCAGGAGGTGAGGCCCAAACCCAGTAATGCAAGGACGAGAAGCTCCAAGTTAAATAGAGCAGTCCGCCCCAAGATCATGTGAGAATGGGTGAAACTATCAATGCGACAGAGGACTGCTAATGCGCAGATGTCGACGACGCAACGAACACGGGAGCAGTTCAGACGAGCCGGGGCTGTCGATGATGTGTAGAGTTCGAAGACGAAATTGGGAGAGGTTGAATACAGCTAGACTGCCAGTGACACGGAGAGGTTTACGCAGGAACGGGATGATGCACGAAAGATACCCCTGGGCTTGGGAGACCGGAGGACGCTTGAATCGGGGCTAGCTATCCGGGCAGGGGGCGTCAGGTAGGTGATTACAAACGAAGCAACGAGATTTAGCAACTAATCCTCGATAACTATGTATTTCTCGACTGGAATCAAGCTCTTCTCGACGAAGGGTTGCTACATTGGTTGAAGCGGATATCAATAACATGGACCTCGAAAGCTTCAAACACTCCAACCGAGAGAACTCCAGGACATAGATTGCGGTACTGAGAGGCTGCTGGAAAATTAGAGAGTTGATTGGTGATCAAGTCGGGGAACCTCATAAGCACTGTTGAATGTAAACGGCGAGATTGAGGTGCTTGTCAGGGCTTCAAAAACGCGTGGCCAAGGAAGCAACCCCATATCAACCGCAACATGGTCAAACGGGTAGTTTGGAAACCCTGATGACTACCGTGAGTTGAAATGTACATGACCTTGCAAACATTGGAAATTGTCAATAATGCTAAACCTGTAAATACCAAGCGTTATCGGGATTTAAACTCGGGTGATGACCCATGCAGGACAGGGGACGTGTAGTCAGCGTGTTTGAGATGCCGCGTCTGACCCCCCTCAGCGTGTCTGCTCGGCGGGTATACCCCTGCAGCGTTGCTGCATGTCAGACCCGTGCAGCACCGCTGGGCTCACTTGGGGAAAATGTTCCTGAAGGTTTCCACGTCCCGGGCCCTCGGAACTGCTTTGGCATCGGATCTCGGAGGATCTAGTGCTCACTGGGGGCCACTTGGCACTCCTCGCTACCCCACCCGCTCAAGCTCAAGCTGACTGCCTTGCTTCTTTCTCTGCTGTGCTCGATGGCTGTATTCTTGGCGGCTGTGCTTCGCTCGTTTCGGCGCAGAGTTCAAGTCGAGCGAAAACGCGCGTCGTGCCACGATGAATACGCCTTTGGACAGATGCGCCTGCGTGTTTGCTCGGGATCATTTAATGTGTTCGAGGCTATACAGAGAGAATTTGGTTCCACAAAACGTGACTTGAGGTGCCGAGAAGTACGCTGCGCGCCGGGTACCAGGATCGGAACCACAGCCGCCGGCAGACGAGTACCGAACCCGCTTGTGACCCTGTCTTCGTTGCCGAGCTGTTGCCGCCTGTGCCGGATGCCTACGTTAGTTATCCGCAAATGCCCGACAGCGTCATGCATTCCTAAAATAGGTTGGTTGACATGGGGTACCCACTCACCTTGAGGTAGTTAGTTGGTCGCTGGTTCTCAAGCCCTTATCAGTAAGAGCCTTTTCTGACCTGTGCCACGAGAGGCCCATCGAAACCCGCGTTCCTGTCCGCTCTCTTGTCAGCACCTTGAGTTGGGTCGAGTTCGTCAACAGTTGGAGCGAACCTGCAATAACAATCATGCGGCTGTTCAGCTTCAGCATCGGGGCAGCCCCTGCTGTCACGAGCGCTTTCCTGAGCATCGAGATCGTAGACGCCCAGGCTCCTGACTGTGCCTCCTCTTGGGGCACGGGCTTCGCGCTAGATGTTGCCTCCGTGGACATACCACCGACAACCACGAACCCGCCTTATGAAGTATCCACCGCACCAGATCTCGCCGACAGTGACTCTGGCAACTCAACGGAGCCGGTCGCTGACTTGGTGCGGCGTGCTGACAAGAAGAGGGACTTCTTCCTCCAGGTGATGCCCCTTGGCGCTTCCATCACCCGGGGTTTGAGGTTAGCAGATGGCACGGGCTACCGAGAATGGATCCGGTGGCAGCTTCGCTCAACGAGGTGGAAAGCCAACATGGTCGGCTCGGAGCAAGATAGAGTCATGGTAGACCGTGTATGTCCCTTTCAAAGGGGGGTTTCCTTTGTTGAACAAGTGCGGCGATCGCGTGTGCTGACGACATGATAGCTTCGAGGTAGGAGAGCGAGGGCCATCCGGGTTGGCTCATGGACGAGGTCTTCGAAAACGGCTAGAGGGCATCAAAGTGGATGAAGCCAAACCTGGCGCTAGTGAATATTGGAATGTAAGTCACGGTTACCTTGAGACAAGATGCGTGCTGTTGTATCATGGGCTGCTCACTTACCTAGCCCCTTTTCCTTGATAGAAACGAGTGCCGAAAGGACAACCCCGACGGCGCCGGCCAGAGAATCAAGCTCATGATTGACGATATCTTTGCCAGCGTGGAGAGTGTCACTGTCAATACCCCGGACCACCTCTCTCGGTGTGGTTAACGATTCTATGCGCCTAATAGTTGCTCCTGGAAGGGAGGTGGGGGCGACAGCTACTACTGGCAGAACTTCACAACGCCAAAGGGCCTCTGCGGTCCTGTATTTAATCACGAGATTGGCGACAAAAAGCTCCGTCATTTTGAGTTAGTTGAGTTCCATCTTTCGCTTTGGCCAGCCCTTTAAACTCTACAGACAATGCTGACTTTGAAGCTCTGGCTGATTTCAATGGAGAGTAAGCCCCCGCTTTCGTTCCTTGCCTCTTTGCACACAAGGGCCGACGGAACATCTGCTTACACCTCAGCAAGCCACCGAAGCGACTTCCTGTACACCGGCGACAGCGGCAGAGTGGAATAATGGATCAACAGACGATGCTGGGGCCGAGAAATCGTAAAACACCTCCATGCCGCAAGAGCTAGCACGAGGCTGACAGGTCTAGGTGCCCTCATAGAGCTCTAGTAGTATCACACATGCGAGAGTGTCAGACACAGGCATCCGTGACCGCATCAAGTTTGAGCGAATCTACGGTTCCGGCCGGCTCGACTACATCTACATCAAAGAAAAGGGTTGGGGCGTTTCTATCTTTGACCGCGACATGCGGCTCGCAGACACCGAGTGAGTGTTTTCTCCTTCTCTCCCGTGATAGAGGCTGACTGAAGCTTCTCCCCAACAACAGCGGGGACAAGCGTGCCGACGTGCTCTGCCTCGAGAAGAACGGGAATACCACGGCGTGGCTCAACCCCTCTGGCGGCCTGATGGTCAACGTCGGCCGGGTCAAGTATCCCGAGGGCTGGGATCTGGTCAACATGCGCTTCGCCGACGTCGAGGCTTCAGGCAAAGCCGACCTCATCTACCTTGACAAATACACGGGCGCGGGCGGCCGTCTTCGAGGACAACGGCCAAGCCTCAGCCGGCAAGAGCTCGTTCTCTTAGACCAACTGCGGGTTCGATACAGCTCGATCGGTCGAGGAGAAAACATGGTGAGTACATCGGCATGCAGAGCAGCCGTGCCAGATCCAGGCGGTTCCTGGATGGCGGAAAGGAGCCGACGTCTCGGGACACCCATGCTGACAACATGTCTGTTCAACCAGTATTTCACCAACCAACGCGGGCTCGGGCGCGCCGACCTTGTGCATGTTCTACCAGTAACCAATAGGGTAAGCAGGAGCCCCGTTTTCGATGGCTCTCTCGCACGGATGCTGGCCGAGCATGAATTAACAGGCGTACACCTACTTCAACGAGTATAGCAGAGGCAGTGGCAGAGGGAGTGGCGGAGGGAGTGGCGGAGGCAGTGGCAGAAGGAGTGGCGGAAGGAGCGGCAGAGACGATAGCAGCGCTAAGCACTGGATTACTCGATGGTTCATAGGAGCCAACTAACCTACTTAAGCAGGGTTCTTAATTTTTGCTTGGAGGTATTTTGCTGACCCTCTATCGAGGGGACCAGGAACTTCCTTCTTATCCCTAGTCTGGACGGATAGAGAGAGCAGACAGCTATTTTATCAACTTCATTGGAATTACACGGCGCGTCTTGAATCTAGCGCGGACGTCAAAGAATAGTTGGCGTTGATAGGCTGTTTTTGGTTGATTTCCGGGCGACCGAGAACTTGAAATGTCTCTTTGGTTGCTACCTAAGGGTATAGAATAAGCCTCGTGATAAGAAAAAGATGCATAGTCTTTAATAAATCCCCGTTCATCTGCGTCGTTTTATCTCCTAGTTCTTCACTCACGCTTGCTTTATCTATTTCCGCATCACATTCAACAGATTAAAGGTCACGGAACTACTCGTGGATAAAGCCTAGCGGCTAGATATGTAGTCTTGAATCGAAACAGCTGTCATGCCCAAGAAATCAGGAGTGTCAAGCCGTTGGGAGCCAAGCATCCAGTTGTGAGGGCCTTGATTCTCTCGGATATGCACATGACTAGTCCTCCCGAGGCACCGGGTTTTTTACCAGGCTCCGATAAACATTTTTAGCAGTAATCCTTCACCGCTCAAGCACCTCACCAGCCATCGACCTGCCCACGACCAGCAAGACGCCGGAGCTCATGGAGCTGCCCGTCGAGATCCTCATCGAGATTACGCAGCGCCTCGGCCCCGCTCTGAGACACAACATCAGTCTCCTCACCCTCTGCGAGCTGTGGTACGATGTGGCGAAGCGATGGTTTTCGGAACCGCCCCCGCATGTCCTATGGTGCCCTCTCCCGCACGAACCCGTCGTCTCCTCGACGCAGCCCTGTCAATCAGTCCCGGCTGTCTCAAAACTATTCACAGGCAAGCCAAGAGCATTGTCTCGGAGTACAACGTCTTCTTTCGACGCCCCTACAGTTCGCGACCTTGAGGCACTCATGGGGGAATATACACCTAGTTTTTATCATTCTAATACCGTATTGGATCGTGCCTTCCCCAACTACGATGTCAAGCTGAGCAGGATTAAGGATGACCAGCTGCGCGCCCTCGAGTCTCTGCGGATCGTCAGCCAAGACAGCATAACGGGCGCCTATGGCCCTGGAGAGACAGATGATCTTGAACCCGGAGGCAACGAATCACGTTTCTGTGAATATCGTTTACCAGCTGGTCTAATCATTCAAAGCCGATATGCTGATAGTTTCCTTGTCTCAGACCGCGGGTTCATGCCCAACACCGTTGCCGAAATTGCACCCTCTGCCTTTTGCTCCCTCTGCCTTTTGCTCCCTCTACCTTCAGCCTAACCTCTCTTGAGATCGACTTTGAGACCTTTGAACCAATAGACTCCTCGCCATTCTTTTTGATACCTGCCTGGCACCTCTGCGAGACGGTCGCAAAGGTCACCCCGCAGCTGGAGTGCCTCCCCGTGCGAACGCATGGAGTCCCCAAAGCTCCTGCGCGTGTGTGGCTGCCTGAGGGTGAGGATACAGCTGTCCATGTGTGGGATGGACCGGGTGAGAGGGTCATCGGCCAGTTGGCGCCTGATAAGCGGTGGGATGCTGATGTCGAGCCCATCGAGGAGATTATAGAGGATTAAGGGGAGAGGAGCCAAGGCGGGGATTAATTGCGCAGCGGTGTTCTCGTCATCGCCTTGCTTCTTGGGGTGAATGATAGCGGCATTTCAGTGGTCTTGCAGCTTGGTTGTTGGCCTGCGCGAGACGAGAACGGGCATAGAAGATAAAGGGCATAGAGGATAACGATTAGGCAAGACGCAGATTCAGTTCTTCAATGGCATCAAAATTCAATTACAGGTGCTGGTGCCATGGTTCTCAGTCTTTTTCTTGCGACCTTTCAAGTTTGGGCTACGGCATTTCCTCTTCTTTTGAGCCGCGTGGGGCGTGGGGGAACAAGGGATGAAATTGACCGTCGCTTCACCCCTGAGCGTTGTTGAGGGCCTCTAGCTAGACTAGACCTTTTGGTGCCGGATCAAATGCAGTGTGTCTCAACTGTGAAGTGGCGTTCAAAATACTTTCTAACGCATGGTATTTAATACATTTTCCTTATTTAGCTTCACCCTTAGAACCCATCCCTTCGCGGTACTCGCTAATTTAAAAGAAATTAAAGAGGGCTTTACGACACACTAGGTACCCAGTACGTTTAGCTATTAATTTAATATGCAGCAAAGTCCGGCATTGGGGGCCACCTGAAATCTCGCTACGGAAAGCTCTCAAGAACCCTGAATCTTCTCGTTAGTATCCAAGGTCTATTGATACCTACTTGTGCCGTCTAGATGCTTATTCTAGCAATGGATGTGTCTGTTGATCTTATGTGCCTGTTGACCTTATGTACCTGTTGACCTTATGTGTCTGTTGACCTGGTCAAAGACACTCCGGCACTCTGAAATGCGTAATACGGAAATGCGTAATACGGAAGATCATGAATCTAAGTGTCTTGGTCCAAGGATCGGCGTAGCTAGTGAATTGTGTTGCTATTGTTCTACGTCTCACCCATCTCGTCCTATTATTGCTGAAGGGCCTGGGTTTTTGGCTTTCCCGCTCAGCCTGGCATAGCTCTGCTGCTGACTTGGGTTTCTCCCCTGTTGCACTCAGCTGAAGCCGGTAGTCTCTGAGGATTCTCCCATGACCTATACGGTAAGTGGTCCTCTCTTGGCCTAGGTCTCGTCCTCTCACCTTTCCCTCACATCCCAGTTACACTTTTTGACTTCCAACCCAGGGCTGTTCCCACCACAAAGGCTAGCGGTATATTCTCTCATCCAGCCAAAATTCCGAAACCTGTCCTCTTTCATAATCTCCATGCCTTCATCACTGCACACGTCTACCGGCTTTCCTCCAACGCAAATCTCTACATCATCGCGGTAAGTTCTACAGCCTCATTTCTCGTATATGCGCTTCACCGCTGCCCAGTCTTGGCTTCGTATCGTGAGTTCTCTGCAACTTACTTTCCTGCCTCGTTTTCGCGCCTGGGGCCTTCTCGCGGCAGCTCTACACTTCCCTTTCTAGTAAACACCCTGCACATGCGCACGCTTAACACTACATCTTCACGTATCGCGAGACCTCGAGAGAAGCTAGCTTATTCCCTGTTCCCTAACTGCTGTCGCTTGAACTCTACACTTTCACATGTCGCTTGAACTCTACACTTTCACATCCCGCCGAAGCCCGGCAAATATCGCGGGTTTCGTATCCGCACTCCACATCTTCACTCTTCACGTATCGCGAGAACTCGAGCCTGACTTCTGCTGGGCTTCCTAACTTCTCCTGTTGGCTGAATTCACTCTTCGCACAAATCGCGGGGTTTCGAATCCTCACACTCCGAGAGTTCCGTGTTCTGCAACCCACAGCCTCACGTATCGCGAGAACTCGAGAACCAGGCTTTTGCCCGGTTTCTAACTTCTCCTCTTGCCTGGACTCACACACGTATCGCGGGGTTTCGAACCCTCACACTGCGAGAGTTGCATTTCTGCGCTTCTGCGGCAGCACTGATCTTGCACTCTCCCGCCCAGACTTTAAGTCTCGCCCCGAACCTCACATTGGCGTCCTTGTCATTCCCGCTATCTTTAGCCGTCGGCTTTTGCCCAACTCAATACCCTTGTCCCTGTCTATGCTCTACTATTGATCTGCTTCCAACCTCTAAGCCTTAAAAAACCTCGTTGTTAACCCCGAATACTCCGCTTTGGACTAAGCTAATTTCTTTCTCTGCCATACAGAACTCTCGACATGCAAGGAACCAGGATAGACTGGGTCAGAGGAGAAGGGTCTGACGAGGAAGCTTTTCTGGGCGACGCTCTGGAAGAGGAGAACGTCAAGATGGAGGACGTCCAGATCGAGGACGTGCTCGGGGCGGATGACCTTTTCGATATGTTCATTGACTTCCCCCTCGAGGGCCAAGACCACGCCGCCGCCACCCAGCCTGCCGCCACCCAGCCCGCCGCTGCCCTTCCCGCAGCCACCCAGCTCGCTGCCGTCCCTCCCGCTGCCGCCCAGCCCGCAGCCGTCCCTCCCGCTGCCGGACAGCCCGCAGCCATCCCTCACGCCGCCGGCCAGCAACTGTTTGGCTTGAACCTCGACATGGCTGGCGTCGACGTTGGTTTTGCCGATGGATCTGCTGCTCTGGCTGCCCTTGCTGGTCTCGCCGACGCTCCTCAAGTGCTCGACCAGGCTGCGCGAGCGAGCGCTTTTGCTGAGCTACTAGACCTCAGTACGAGGCTGGGACTCGTCATCTTTAACCCAGAGGCGAGCCGGTATGACTTGGCACAGCTCCTAGCATTTTTAAACAACGAGCCTCTCCCCCCCGTTGGCGGCGCTCCAATTGACGCTGCAGCGTACAATCTTCCAGCCCCCGAGCTACATTTCCTTGGTACACCCGTGGCGTCTAGTGCCGGAGTCGGGGCGCCGCTCCACCTACAAGGCGAGCGCGTGGGCAGAACGCCCCCCGAGAGCCTAACAGCAGAGGCCAGAAGGGCCGAGGGGCTTGCTTTGCTTCCCCCAAATCCACAGCTGTCTCCAGTGACACCCTGGATAAGTGCGGAGGGTACGCCGATGAACGGCGTAAAGCTCGACGCTCGCCTGCCCACAACTGCCCTCCATGTTACGGAAGATAAGCCGTACACCCCAATCGGCTATGAAGAGCATAAACACGAATACCCCATGTTTATGCCAGAAAAGATCCACCGCGTCGTGGCGATGCCGAGTCGTTACCTCGCTGTCATCGGGCAGCTGTATCCTGATGCCACCTTTGTCGTCGTCCGTGACCCGTCGCACCGCAATACAGCTGTGCGAACGACTGGATCCGGGCTTGTCAAGTTTAGCCTTTTGATGGGCTTCCCGGCGGCAACCTCGACTCGCCCGCTCACGCCCGAGCGCCGGAAAAAGGAGGGCATCTGGCGCCTCCTACTAGTCACCCGTGACTGGCCATCCGGGGGCGTCGCGAAGATGGTGTGCAACGAAGAAGGCCGCGCAACTATTAGCGAGGTCAAGAGCGCCTTTGGCGTTCTTCCCGAGGGCCGCGAGATTTGGGAATATCACCCTTCTCTTTGCAAGCACAACCTTATCCGCGACAATGACAACGACGATGACGATGACGACGACGACGACAGTTACGACAATGACAACAATCACGACCACGATGGTAGTGACGGCGACGAGTCTACCAACGTCGCCACAGGAAGGAGAGGCAAGAGAAAGGCCAAGGCCGTCGCCAAGGCAACACCCGTGAAGAGAAGGGGAAAGGGCAAGGCCGTCGCGCATACCCCAGTCACACCTCGCCGTAGCCCTCGTTGCCCTGCCACGAGCAGACAATCTTGTCTCGTGGAGTTCAAGCGGATAGATCCCAACGGACCATGGCGGGTCAAAAGAGTGACCGGGTATGGCGACGGTTCCTCGCCTTCCGAGAACGACTCGGAGCTAGGCACTACCCCGTGCAAGCACCACAAGCTCATAAGGGGCTATGAAGGTGTACGCAGCGGTGACGACGGTGCGGAATACCGGAGCATGAACCGATACGTCAATACACAGACCGGCGTTCTCAGTGGAGATGCCTACGGGCAAGCCGTGTTTGAACAAATGGGCTTCGTTGAAGAGCAGCCACGTCGCGCGCAGGCCATGGAGTATCTCCAGCCTGGAGTGCGTTGGGCGCCGGCGGCCGGGCCCTCAAACCCTCCTCCAAGCCCGCGCCCTGTGTCAGTCAGAGATGCCGAGGAGACGGAGCCCGAGGAGAGCAACGAGGAAGATGACAACGGCAGCTCCGATTACGAGAGCAGCGAATATAGCGACAGCGGCACTGAAAGCGACGACGACCTTGCCCACCACGACTGTCCCGCCTCATCCGAAAGTTCCTTCTCGCCCACTGTTAGCAGCCTAGGAGGTCTGCGGACGTCTCTTCATGGCGGAAGAGGTCGGGGTGGCGCTAGCGCGCCTCCCGCCCAGCGAGGGCAAGGTGGTCGTGGTCGTGGTCGTGGATGTGGTCGTGGACGTGGTAGTGGACGTGGTGGTGCAGATGCCACTGGAAGTGAAGCGATCGCGCGTGGCAGCTCTACGCGTGGACGAAGCCGAGGTCGCGGGCGTGGCGCCAGCTCTGCGCGTGGACGAGGCAGCGGTCGTGGGCGCGGTCGTGGACGCGGCCGTGGAAATGGAGATGGTAACGAGGTGGCTTGATTTTCTTGGGAGTCGTTAGGACGAGAACTCGGGGGTGCTGATGGGTTCCTCGTTTGCTTTTGGCCTCCGGCTTTGGGGCGTGAATCACGGATGCAGGTCCAGGAATAAAGGATCCAGGGTGCATGGCATTGCGGGTCTGATAGTGGGGCCTGGGATGATGCAGAGACAGAAATAGATGTGCCTTCGCCGCACCCCCCCTTTTCAACCCACCAAGGTTCAATTTACGCGTAAAGTGAAACTCCAGAATCTATGAATACCCACACCCAACTAAAGCTATAGTGTGGCCTAGACCAGACAACACAACACCGGTCCTTTTCTGACCCTAGATCATAGATATTCGTTGCACAGAGTAGGGGACAAGGCACGCTCAGATAGGCAGGCTTTGAACAGAAGACACTGTTGGCCCGAGGGCAACTCTCTTATCGGGATCAACCAACAGAAGCCCCGAGCTTCCCGAAGAGAAAGAAAACAAAGAGAAAACGGGAATGGAGGAGGAGCATTTCCCGGCCTCCAGACGAAGGAGTTGAAAACACTTGAGGGACAGCAACGAGCACGCTCACGGGGGTAGCTCACGGGGGGTAGCTCACGGGGGTTAGAGGAAGCAGAGCAAGGACAAGAAAACCGGCATGCCAAGGCCAATTGTGTTGGCACAGCCTGGTCACAGAAAGGGTGGTAAGGCTGTACATCATGTCCGTTGAAAGAAGAGAGAAGCGCGCAAGACCCCGCATGTTCCAGGAAATCGCTGCTCGGCAGCATTTATTTAAGCGCTAGGCTGCTGTTGGCGTAGACGAACGCCAGTAAACACGCCAGTCTTGGCCGACTCCACGGTTTCCACATCGCTCAGTCCTTGGAATTGGAATTAGCAGGCTCAGGGGTGTCACTATCTCGCAGAGATCGTGGGGACTGGGGAGACGATGAAAGATGAGACGGAAATCATGATCGGCGAATTAACGGCGAGGACCAGGGCTAGATCTCAGCCGCAGAGCCATTTCGGCATGTACGTGGCTGGCACAGTTAACGCAGTTGGCGGCTGGCATGAAGGCCCGCTTCATGTGGCTTGCTAGGATTTCGGGTTCCTGATCCTACTCAGTCCCAGGGTTTTGACCCGACAGCTCTCGAAAGATGTGACATGGCGACACGAGAGGCGACGAGAGGCGTGGGTGGGGGCCGGGCTAGTCACGGGGGATCATTTAAATTCCCAACTGGGCCGTAACGAGTGCACGTTTGGAAACGAAATTCCCAAAGTAGTTTTAGCGGCGCCGTCGGCATTGTTTTTCCGCGGAAGAGGGATTGGTCATTTTGGCCATTTATGTCGGACATGGGCACGTGGCCATTGGATCAATGTTGGTTGTGGCCTTGCCAATCGAGCGGAGCAACTGCCGAAGAAGCCAATCGGATGTTGCGAGTTCCATTTCCCATCTCCACAACATGCCAAAAACCTGGCAAGCGGTTGCCAAAATAGAAGGCACACTACCTGCGAGTACCTAGCCCTCTATAGTTAATTACTAACAACTACAAGTCACCTCCACGTACTACCACCCAGTCATCCGACCCTACTACCCAGTCATCCGACCCTCACCTAACACATCCTGCATTCGCACTACCGTAGAATCAACCCATTTGTTTATCGTCTCCTGGGTGAGTGGTGTGTGGTTCAGTGTGGTGTGATGGAAAGTGGTAGAATTGTTAAGGCTCCTGTTAGTGGGTGACCTGCATGGGCTAGTTTTGGTGTGCCTTTATTTTGGCAACCGCTTGCCTACAGTGTTGAAGTGCGGTGGAGCCCGAAAATTAGCTGATCGACTGGTCTCATCATACGCGTAAATTGGCTGATCAACTGACCTAACCATACGCGTAACTGACTCTAAAAATGGTATGTGCCGGTCGACCCCCTTTCTGCGGCTTGTTGGCAGCTTGATTGCACACCCCATTTATGGAGGCGGTTGACGCAGTATGGTGGCCCAGGCAAATTCTAATCGCGTATTTGCGGTTGCCATTTCGATTTCGATTTTGATTTTGTAAGGCTGGGAGGATCGACCCGCCACCTCGGCTTTGGGTCGACCGCCCCGACGGCTCCGTGCCATGAGTTGATTGCCAATTCTTACTAACAAGCACTAATTATTATTCTCACCCAGCGGTTGCATAATATTCGGTTTCGCAATGTTACTCTTTGCCGCATATCTCCCCCGGGGTTTGGAACCTTGGTGTGGTAGTTGACCTTGTAGAGGATGATTGCGATCAATCTTGTACCTAGCAGGTTCTCGCCAGAGTGTCGACGTGTTGGCTTGATTGGATTGCATCAGGCTATAGACCCCTAGGAGAGAACCCCCGGGAGAGATGTACTCAGTTATCAATAGATAAAGCAATGTTTGACGTGTAGTACCCTTTCTGGCCTAACTAAGCCCCTGCCCTCTTTTCGCTTCCTTTTTCATGGAAGAAGAAAAGCATTCAAAGAAACCCTTGGCCCCTTGTTCAAAGTAGGCTTGCCTGCAATGTTTCCCCAAAATGAAGTAACAGGAAAGTGCCACCCAGCCCACAGAACAGTATCTACCTAATTTCAGGAAGCTAGCCATTAAATATGCTCGTCGGAACCTACCACGAAGTAGTTATATACGGAAAGAAACTCCTTACTCAGGGATAAATGGCAGTTTGCCAGGTCAAAGAAAGCAATAAGACAAGGACAGGGAAAAGCACAAGCAAAGGATAAGCACAAGCAAGGGATAATGAGGTCTAACGTAGTCCAACTAAATTCAATATCCTCTATCTGGGTACCTAGTCTGTACATTTCCGAATTCCTCGATCAAACAGCAGCAAAATTGTCATTTAGCCAATCGTTCCATTTGTCCTCGTCCCAATTTTCGGGTATCCACCCCTGACCCTGCATTTCCCACGGAATGCTCTCCCAAAACAACTGTCTTGGTGACGGTAAGGACGGCTTGGGCGGAACATATCCCACAAGTAGCGGCAATACCTCGGCTGCGTCGAAGTCGATCACATCGACCTTGAGCCTCTCACTGGCGAGGTCCTTGGTGCTGCAAACGATATTCCGGGGGGACATGTCATTGTGGCGCACTTGGTGGTGACGGATCATGGTGTAGGCCTCGATGGCTTTGGCCACGACGCGGAGCCGCTCTGGTCCGGTATAATTGGCAGGGTCCAAGTCGCTCAGGACAGTGCCTTCGACGTAATCCATGGCCATGGCGAAGACCTTTCTTGTCATCGGAGGGCTTGATTGATGAGACGCGGGAAAGGGCATGTCGAAGATCCACAAGCCGTGGAACTTGGGGATGAAACTTCCGCCGATGTGGTGATCAAGCTGCAGGAAGGCAGCTGACTCAACCGTGGCGGCATTCTCGGCATCGGCGACGATGTTTCTAGCTCGGGAAGGGCCGAATCTTTCGGCGAAGGGAAAGCACAAAGGGTCGCATATTTTGAGAGCAGTGATGGTTTTGCCGCCCACGACCGATTGAAGCCCCTCGCAGAGAACCACCAGAGGGCCGCCATTTCGTGTACCGCCAATGCCAGCCAGTACCTTGACGATTTTGACAGTGGCTGTTTCTTTGCGTCGTACACATGGCAACGCGGGCGTCGATAGGCAGAAGTTGACCAGGGTTTTGAGATCCAAGGGGGTGCGCCGACTGTGTCGATGCTCCTCGACGAAATCTAGGTATTTCTTGAGCTGTGTATCGGATTCACGCTCGGGATGTTGGCGAAGGGCGTCCAGGTACACGCCGTAGAGAGGCCGCGGCGGTTCGACGCGATGCAGTTTAAGAGTCTGGTTGACAAAATAGGGCATGGGCGGGCGAAATGAGGACGACATAGCGGCAGTGAGCCTAGGGTGACCGTTATTGAGCAGAGCCTGGCGCAAGAGATTGACGGTCATGATGGGTACGATGGAGTGAACTCGACGGGAAATATGTTGTTGAAATATATTCTGGTCCGCCTTTCTGGATTGTCGAGTGAGGTGGAAATTCACTTGGGTTGGGCAGCGGAGGGCGGGAATTGAATACGAGCAACCTGTGACGGAACGTCGGTACCTGCAGGAAAAGCCGTGGCCGACTCGCTAGTTGTATACTCACTAGTAGTACATGTATGGCTCCTGTGCCGAGATCGTTCCCAGTTATGAACTTAACGAGGGGGCGGGGAATCTCCACCAAAATTGTTTCAAAATGGGACAAGGCTTGGCACAGCGTTGGCAAGCGTTGGCAAGCGTTAGCGGTGGCACAACGGATCTGCACAGCACATGAAACACGCTATTGATGGCAGCTAACCTTCCCAAAACCCGCCCCGGTGGAACCCGACTTTGGGCCCGGGCATCTCGAGTGTGGATTACCTACTTCAAAGGTGTCGTCTCCAACGCCCCGAATAATAGTGTGGAGTCGACAGACATGTCATTCAGCCAATTGCCCCGAGACGTCTTCGCCTCTCGCAACCGCCCCGTCTTGGATGCTCTCGCAACCGCCCCGTCTTGGATGCTCTCGCAACCGCCCCGTCTTCGATGCTTCTGGCTTTGACCCTCGCCGCGGGCTGTCCGCGCATCCAAATGCCGACCCTGCCTCTCGCATCTCCCTCATCTTGTCACCTCGTGGGCTTCCCGCCGCTGGCCCGCCATGAATCCACCAGGTTGCTTCTATTTTGGTCTCTGTTGGTCGACGCCTCCCTCTCACGATACCTTGTTGGCTTGTTTGCTTCAGGTTGTGACGTGGTTTGGTTTCTCTCTTGGGGGTAGGTCGCCGACCCGGCTGGTCTGTTGGAAAAGCCAGAAGCGTTGGGAACGTTGCAAACGGAAATCTCTATTTAACATGGCTTGCTTCCCATCTTCTTTGGCTTGCGTCTCTACTATCAGCACACTACCAGCAGAGGGCCTAATCATTCGAACCCAAAACTCTTCCCACTGCATCGTGTCCTTTCAAATTCAATCCCCATAAACCCCTGCTCCCACTGCCCAGTACATCAATTAGTCTCTTCGGTTGTGTATCTCACAAGTAACTTCCCTGAAATATCAACATGTCTGGCTCCGCTAGACCAACATTGGGCATGGTTTCGAAGTTGCTGAGCAGTCCCCAGTTCCTCCAACACTTCAATGAGTCAAGGCCAGTTCAGTGGTAAGTCGCGCTTTTTCCTTCCCTTTGAACACAATACGGTCGACAGTCAGGGTTCATCAGCTCGCACATCCTTGCGATGGCCTTTCCAGCCCCTTCTTATTTACGGGCATCTATACAAGGCACTTCAGAGCGCTCAGGATGCTGACTGAGACGAAACAAACAGGACGCAGACGAGGCCTTTCTCTGTCTTTGAATACTACACCAAGGGTGGCCCAAAGTTCGATATCCAAAAGCCCCCCAATCCGCAGACTGGCGAAGGAGGATCGTATACCCAAAGGGCAATTCCGCCAAAGGCCTGGGTCCCGTTACATACCGGCTACTTGATTGATATGGCCAAGAAATTTGTCGCAGCGCACGAAAAACAATTGGATAAAATTGATGTCATTGAGAGACTCCCAAAACTGGCCCGGTCACTCGAGCCCTCAAACGAGGGTTACGCCTCCAAGGTATTCTATATCATCATGGCACCCCCCCTCGAGTTCGCCCTGGAACATGTTGAAATGCCCGGAAAGCCTGGCGCATGGACAATGACCCTATCCCCCCAAGACACCCATGGCAAGAGAACTACAAACGACTTTGTCAAAATCGATTTGGTTCTGAAGTTGTATCACGAAGGGAATTTCGTGCAGGACCTGGCCGTTCTCGATCTCAAGGCGTCGGAAGGCCTGGGCCTCGCTGAAAGGAGCTTCAATAATGCGAAATCAGAATACTCAACGTACAAGGAAGCGATGGGGAAGTACACCCCTGCGGACGAGTCGAAGTTTCAGGGCCCAGCGGAGAAGTTGGTGAAGCAGGGCGTAGCCTATGCCGAACACACCAGGAGCTTTGACGTCTCCTTTTACGACATGAAGCAGCTATTGATCTTCGGGATGAATGACATGAAGCACAATCCCGCGGGTGCGAGGCCCACGGCGGATGGCGGGCTTGTCTGTGAAGCAGCGGTCATCTCAAGCAATATCGAGTATGCTACTCTTGGCTTTTTCCTCAATGCCATCAACAAATGGAAGCAGTCCAACCCCAACGGAAGTCCGCCAGGCTCCCGACCCAGGACCCCGGCTCCCAGGTGACAATGGACTTGAAGAATTCGCAGGCGAACTCAACAAAAGACTACCCTGGTGGAACCTTGTAACTGGGCTGGACCCCCATTGGCTATTAGGGCAAAGTTTAGAATACTTTAGGATCCCGAATTGAAAGGCCGGCCTATTCAAACGCCGTTCATTGCTAGCCCCTGACCAGGTTGCTTTGTCATGCGGTCAATGGACTAACTTGCTTGCGTACATATGTTCATTTGGAGTTGTGCTATAATTGCATAATCCTGGTTTAATGTGTTGGTCTTCCCCACCCCATTTGCTTGCATTGCGTCATCCTCCCATCCCAAATCGTAACAAACTCTTAAGTCAGGTGACCAGCTTTTGCAGTGTCAGATTCCTCTTCTTCTGAAATTTCAGAATCTATAACATTCTCCCCAGCAGCTAATATTTATGCGCGGCGGATCTCCTCAATACCAGTAAAGGCCTTATTGGGGTCGATTTCCACCCTCCTTCTCTTCCGGCATCTCGCACGTTCGAGGTCTTCCTGGGTCGCTTGCAATTGTTGTTGAATGGTAGCCAATTGGAAGGCCATGTTATCGAATCCTTTTGTAGGCTTTCCGCATAAAAAGCCGTTCGCTGGCAGTACGTTTAGTACCACGTAGAAAACGCTCCCCCTGAGCCGAGAAATCCTTGGCATTTTTAGGGGTAAACCACAAAGGCCGGCCCTCCGAATTATTGCCCAGAATGGGGTTATTGAACGACTCAAGGCCTGCAGAAGGTGTGGCTACCGTACTAATGCAGCCATTGGAATTCTTAATAACGAGGCTGTTGCTTAGGGGCTTCCTTAGGGAGACTGGCCACAACCCTGAGGCCTTCCAACCAGCCTTGATATTTGACTCGGTCATTCCGTAGATTCTGGCGCGCCTATAGCATTCTAAAAAGGCTCGTTTTGCAGCTACAGAGTCGCTGGTTAGGCTAGAAAGCAAGTCATTCAGCTGTGCCCTGTACTTAGCCTTCAGCGGGCCGAAAACGGCTACATCCACGGGCTGGAGAACGTGAGAGGTGTGGGCTGGCAGAAATAATAACTGTACGTTGTTGGTAAAAGCCAGCCACATAAATTCCTCAATGGTATGACTGCCGTGGCCATCCGAAATAAGGAGGAGTTTTTCCTTAGGGTTGGCCGGCCGAGTGGCCGGAAGAAAGACTTCGCGGAGCCATTCGACAGCAGTGTCGTCGTCAGTCCGCCCGTTTTTGGTTGGTTTGAAGGCCCAACCTTCGAATGGGGTCAAATCGCGTGGGTACCACTGTTGCTGGAGGCCCCCACCCTTGAAAATAACCAGTGGGTTCAAAAATCGGCCGTCGGCCGAAACGCACTCTAGAATGGCCGTCCAAATTCGGTCTCCAGACTTCCTCTTTTGTAAAAGCTTTCTAGATTTGGAGCCTACAACCAGATCGTTATCTCCAATGCCATTAGCTATGCCAGTTTCGTCCATATTGTACCTGTTCTCCGGCAGAATGGCCTTAACCCCTAGAAACTCCAGGTTGTCAAACCAGGGCCGAATAACGGCCTCGCAGGCTCAGTCAGCACGGTTTGCGTGGATTCTCCGTGGTCTCTTGGTAGAAATTGAAGGATTTCGGTTCAAAAACCGGCGGCACCAGTGCTTTCCAAGGTGGGTTGGTTCTCCAGAGGCGGCGAGTATTCTGGTACCCAATTTCCGGATTTGCCTGTAGGTTGAGGGGTTTCCAATGACCCCCTGGAAGAGAAGCCATTCTGCGAGACGTTCTTCCAGTGCCGGAGAAAGCTTCTGATTGATTATTTGGGAGTAGGTGGCTGGATTGCTGCCTTTGGATCGATAATATAAAGTGTTGTGAGGGATGCCGTGGTTTTTGGCCGCATCGCGGAGTTTGCCAGTTTTAGCATACTCCGCAAGGGCGTTCGGCAAATCGAACTCGGCATATGGCTTCATTTAAAAATTCTCAAGCTATTGAAAAAAGGGAAACGGATTGGAATCAAATTCGTGAAGTTGTGGGCGATTGAAATAGAAGAGTTGGGTGGCAAGGGCTAGTCATCCTTCTAGAACCTTGTGGTCTAAAAGGGGGTTGGTCTAAAAGCTGGTCACCTGACTTACTCACCCTCACCACCAGAGACACGGGCTAAACCTCAGCCCAAGTATGGCGGCAAGCGTGTTGCTAACCTAGCCGTGTTGAATATCAACGACTCGAGGTCCGTCATGAAGCAGGCCGCCAGCCTCAAGGCCGCGTGTCGCCGCACGCAAATCTCCGGGACGCCCTGGCCAAGACGGAGCCCACGGAGCCCACGGAGCCATCGAGATTCCGCGACATCTCGGCCACATACGCACAGCAAGCGACATCGTACACGGCAGAGTACAGCTGCAAGTACGTCGCCTTCTTCGACTCGTACTCGCTGTTCGCTTTCCAATTCGACGCCATGGCCGACACTCCGCCTGGCCCTCTTGCGCCTGCGGCTTTTGCCGGCCACGTATGCTACGGCTTTTACCGGCCATGTATGCTACGGACTGTTTACAAAAGGCGACACGCCTCAGCAGATCGACCACGCCATTCTGGGTTACTTCCTGAAGCCCACCCACGAATAGATCAATCAAGGCCAACACAGGGGGCCCCACACGACCCCCTAAACCGACAGCCAGGATACAGTCCTGCGTGTGTGCGTTAGATCATGTTTAGTTTCGTCTAATCAAGGAGTGACTTCCCCAGCGTTTGAGCATGTACTTTCTGTAGACTCCCTTAATGGTGTGCTTGTGCTATATAGCCGCTATTGCCCAGGGTCTAGGCAAAAGCCGTTTGTCTTGTGTAGCAACAGTATCTAGCTTACGACAAGTTAGCAGTCCGCGTTACGGTTGCCTAGAGTCTAGGCAACAGGGTCTGTGTTGTGTGCTGGTGCGGTGGTAGTAGCTTACGATAGTACCCGAACGAAAGGCTTGAATGTTGCTATTCACGCTCTATTTATACCATGCCCCGGTCGGAACTCGGGGCGGCTCGGCCGCCGAGGCCAGTCACGAACTAGGCGGGATAATAATCCCTCTGGGCACGCTACCCAATTGCATTCATTCAGGGACGGCCAATCCGACAACACTTCGACGCCGAACTACGAGAATAGTCATAGGCATCACTCGAGAAACGGTCTACTCTAGCTCCTTGACAACGCCGACAATAGAGGGAGACCTAGCCGTGCCAAACAAATCAAGACACAGAAGCAAGTAAATGTATTGGGCGCGTTGTTGATCGTTGGTGATTACGCGTTTGTTTTGCCGCGTGGTCCCTGTCAACATTGCGTGTTAAAGAAATAACTATTGCCTGACACCAGCAATAAACAAACATTTTCGGTGCCTCACTTCGCCTTGCTGGCTATCTGGTTGTCTCCGCGGCGCTCATAAAATACACTCCACAGAGAGACACCTCCACACCCCCACCATGGCCATGGTCGGTGCAGTGGCTGACGGGTATGCTACTGTTACTACGGACGCCGGGCTCAATGCTGATGGCGGCCCAGACACATGGGCCCTGGTCAGCTCGGGAAATGTTAACTTGTACGCCCTGCAGAACTTTGGGTCGGTATCGCTTAGCGACGAGGCGTGTCCTTCTCTTTCCTGTCCATCTCTTTCCTATCCATCTCTTCCCTTTTCTCTCCTTTTCTAGTTTGTTCCCTGTGGCGTATTATTCCTGACTTTAAGCTGACACATCTGCGGACAGGCCATCATTGCCAACGCGCTCATCGCGCGCTTCTACGGCCGGCCATCGGCGTACTCGTACTGGAACGGGTGCTCGCAGGGAGGGAAGCGGGACTGATATCGACGCAGTACTACAACGCGTGGCAGCGGCAGTACCCGATGCACACACCTTTTACCGCCACTAAGAGGTACCCGGACCGGGCCACTGCGTTAGAGGACCCGGCCAGCCGAGGACCCAGTGGCCAGCCGAGCGGGCTGTTCGCACAGCTGCGTGCCTGGGTCGAGAACGGCACGGCGCCCGAGTCTACCCCCGTCAACGTGACGAAGCTGGATGGAGCGGTGGAAGGTCGAGTCCCGTCCCCGTATCTGCAAAAGGCGAAACCTAATGGCGGAGCAGACCTTTCTAGGAACACGACAGCGGCCGGCTCAAAGGGGCGCTGGATCTGTGTAGAAATCTGGCATCTGTAGTTTAGTCAGTCCGCTTGCTCGTCTCTGTCCAACATATGCGGACCGAAGCTGCATCGGCGGGTAAATTGTATTCGTGTACCGCGTCAAACCCCCGACCCAGTTGTTGATGAGAGCACCTCGTTCGGCCATGCCAGCCATTCCGCCCAGTACGAGCCGAGATGCTCGGTAATCGAGCGGATGAGAAACTCTCCTGTACTGCCGACAGCCCAGTAGTTCCTTGCATGATGTAGCAGGACGGCGTAGTAGGCCAGGATTACCAACGCCTCGGGCTGCCGCTGATTCAGCAGGGATATGTACTCAGTGGGCACGCGGACCGGCCAGTCCTGGATCGGAATCTCGCTCTGCTGCACCCGGGCTACGTCGAATCTGGACTGCAATGCCTTGACGGCCCCCCTGTAGACCTCGTGGCTGCTTTTGTGGCTATTCTCCCCGAGGATTGCAGGATGGTAGGCCGCTCTAGAGTCGAGCAGCTTCATGAGCCCTGCACACTCGGTTCCCCCCTCTGGTGTGTCGCCGGGGTCTTGCGGCCCCAGAGGAAAGGGCTCGACCGGAATTCCGCCATTCATGGCAGTGAGACGGGCCTGGATGTGAGTCTGGAGCGACTGCCACGACTCGCTTGCGATGACGCGGATGCCGCGGTGCAGGCTGAGACACTGCACGAAGTTGTCGAGGAGGGTGGATAGGTCGCGATGGCCGCCGGTTATACGGTCTGGAAGCGGCGAGAAGGTGTCAAAGAGCATGTGATGCCCTAACATGGCAGAGTAAAAGAAGATGGCCACGCAGTTGTCGTCTGATAGCTCGGCCTGGGCAGCGTTGAAGTGGGCGAGCCCGCGCGTCTGGAGGCGCGTAGCTTCGGTGCGGTAGAAGGTCGCGCTGTGTGTATCGGGAGACGTGGATGATGACAAGCAGCTCTTGTGGGCAGCTGCGAGGGCGAGGAGCTCGTCCATGAGGTATGGCTTGGAAAAGGCCTCGCTCACAGCAAGCTGCATCATCCTCCCGGCGTTTGGCTGACTCGATGTGATGATGACGGTTAGTTTGCTCTGAAAGTGGTGCAGCAGTTGGAGATGCAGCAGGCTGTAGCATTCGTCGCCGCTTTGAGGACGCGGGGGCGGAGGTGGGCGTGAAGAGAGCAAGTGGTCTTGAGCCGACGGAGCCGTTGGAGCCCCTGAAGCAGCCGGTTCCGAGGTCGGTGAAAGAGACGGCTCCAGGATTGGCGACAGTGCTTGGGCGGGCGAGTCGGCGGCCTCAGAATGGTTTGAGACGCGGTAGGCCGACGACGGCGGGCCCGACGGCGTTGGGGACGGCAGTGTCGCGGCGGCGTCGAGAAAAGGGCACCGGCGGCCAGAGGTCGAGCAGCCGGAACAGGAAGGCCGCGCTTCGTCGCACTTGATCCGGCGCTTTTTGCACTCTTGGCAGCCATATCGAGACTTTTTATGGACCCGGCGCATCGTATCGTGAGATGTAGCCTGGTAGGAAATTGCGCCTGACAATTGGAGGGACGATGACGGGCCAAGGGGCAATGAAGCAGTGAAGGAGGTCGAAGCTAACAGGGGTGACTGCCCTGACTCGTGTGCGTCTTAGGCGGGGTTTGGGAACCTAGCAGCCATCCATGTGGCAAATGGCAGGGGTAGCTAGGCAGGGATTGCTGGTAATGACGCGTAACCCTCGGTTTCATGCAACCATTGCGAGGGTTAGTGGTGCAGGGGCTTGGTTTGTTAGCGGCTCGGTTTATTAGCGGCTTGGTTTATTAGCGGCTTGGTTTATTAGCGGCTCTGCTCATATCCCGGTCACCAAACAAATGGACGAATATTATACCCAAGGAACCATAATGCAACCCGCCTCATCTACTACGTACTAGGCTATAGGCTAGACTAATATAATTGCATAGAAAAAAAAGCAGTGACGGCTATAAGCCATTTCACTTTGGTGGTAGATCTGACTGTGGAGGCCCCCCCTTGAGCACACGAGATGAAACAAAGGAAATAGATGAAACAAAGGAAATAGATGAAACAAAGGAAATAGATGAAACAAAGGAAATAGAAAAGTCTAACATCCGCGCCATCTCCATCATCCTCTCCAAGTTCAAGCTTCGTTCAGAGTAACAGGACGGAAATTTCGAAATCAACCCCTACACAGCCTCCTTGTGCATCCTCTCCCTCTCAGCCACCTCAGCTCCTCCTCTCGATATCGTATTAAGATCGCTCAGAGACGTCACCTCGCCCCAACTCGCCGGCTTCGCTATTGCTGACGGGAACCACCACCAAAACACGGCCATAACGGTCAGCATGGGCAGCGAGTCAAAGACGTACAGCGGCCACTCGGTGCTGAGCAGGTATCCGTCCTGGCCCATGGAAAACTCAACGACGCGGAAGACCGAGCGGACCATGACCAGGCCGCTGACGACGTAGAGAACCCTCAGTGTCTGCCTCCAGGGCACAACCCCCCTGCGGGCGGCGATGTCGGGGACGCGCTCGGTGGCCATGACGATAGGGTCGCGGCGCATCCTGACGTGGAAGACAAACGCCGCCGCGCAAAACAGCCCAAAGATGAGCACCTGCAGCACCAGGCCGCCGATGATGATATTCTGGCCGGTTTTTGCCTGTGAGCCGCCCGCCACCATCAGTCCCGCCGCGCCGCCCTGGACCACCAGCGACAACACGTCGCCCGATACGAAGAGCTTTGTCAGCCACGCGGGCCTGATCAGCGAGTGCCTTTCTCCGCCAGAGCTGCGGATCGCGCGACCGAGCGTCATATAGATGGCGGCGGCGAACAACACGGGCGCTAGGAGAATCATGGTGTTCTGGATTGCGTACGGCATCAGCTTGGCCGTATTCTCGCGCGCTGTTGCTCGGGTCGCGTAGCCGATGACGCTCACTATTTTTGGCAGCCGCGTGGTTAGTAATAATGGTCGTGAGTCGATCCATGGCAGCGAAAGGTAGGAAGATTAGAGGATGCCAAGCGACGTACTGAGGCCGCCAACGGGGAATGGGATGCAGAACCAGCTGCGCGTCCTCCAGATGCGCCAGCAGTATGCCGCCGTTAAAACCGCAAAGAGGGCGGTAACCGCACCAGCTGCCTCAGGTGAGGGCAGGTACTTCCAGAGATAATACCCGCCCTTGTAGGGCTCGAGGACGGCCATGTCGAGAGAGGGTTGCGACACGAACGAGATTTCTGGCAAAATGTTGGAGATAGAGGAGCTCAGAACGTCTTGCGCAATATGCAATATTGTAGAAAGAAGACCCTAGAATCTTGTTTGACGGCTCTTCGGATCGGTGAGATGAAGGCTGGGAGAGGTCGAAAAGGGCGCTCGGGAAGGCAATCCTTTATAAACACTTCGGAGTCGACTGGATGCATTGCCAACTGGGAAGGGAACCCACAGCGAAAACATATTAGAGCTTAAACACCACAGCCCCCCCCCCTATATACCTAGTAGCGGTTGTCGCGTCCCAAACACGCAAGCCCCGTAGCCCGTATTCCACTTGAATGCCGGAACCGTAATCTGGGCGATGCGATTGGCTGGTGCGGGCAGGTGCATGGTTTTTGGACGATTAGCCAATCGGAATGCGCTAGATACGGCAGCCCTCGTACTGCACGAATCGAAGCTTGCATATGCCCCACCGTCCCGGGTGCATGGATGGCTGCCGTGGCAGGGCTCTGCCATCTAATTTACATAGTAGACGGCGATAAGGTGGACCCAAGAAATGCGAATTCAAATTACAGCACCAGCACCCACACATGCCTGCTTTGGGTCTGAAATTACCCAGGTTTGAGGCTTCAAAAGGGACAATTTTTCATCTTCAGGATTATCAGGACATATTAATGGTTGCCTACAAAAGTCCACAGCATCGAGAACGCGAGACAAGCACATGAAGTCGGCCCAAGATATTTGCGAAGATTAAGACCTAGATAGTAAGTAAACCAGCTGAGAAAAGCCACTAATAGGTATTTCCAGGAGAGAGAAAGGCCTCTGAGGTTTTATAATAGGGATTCGTATAGCTATTGCCTCCATCGGTGAAAAAGCTTTGGGGCGGGCTAGACGCCTAGAATGAAGGCCTTTCAACTTTTAGAAAGTCCCCCACTACTAAACTTCGAGGGTCAGGCTGCAAACCTCGTGTGGATGCTTACAAAGTTGTTGAATCAAACGACATATGGTTGCCTCGGGCAAGCAACTATCTAAACCCCTAACACGTTAGAATTTATAACACAGGCATGTCCACGGCTGCTTGGAGGCTAAGAGACAATCTTGGTGGTCTAAATGATTTCTTATTTAGGTACATTAGGGAAATCGCAACTTCCCTCTCAAGGTCTCTCTGCGTGCCGGAGCTCGCCTGCGAATTATATTCAGTGCATCCAGTGCATTTGGCAACCAGTGCATTTGGCAACCAGTGGTACCGGCTCAGTCTATTACTTCGGCAGGGCTCCGGTAGGGTTGGACGCCTTCCACTCCAAGACCGGGTTGAGGAAGAACGCCAACACGGCATACTCAATCTGGGTCTGGGTATGCAGCCCCCTGACGACAGTACCAATCTTGGGCACATTGGCCTTGTCGAAGTTCTTGATATCCTTCCCAACTTCGTACGCAGCCTTGAGGTCGATTACGGCCAAGCATTTAACGACCTTTCCCTCGTACGTAAGTCGGAGAATGAGGTCTGCGCAAACATCGGATCCATCGGTAATCTCAGGTCCAGCTGCAGCCCGTATTTGCCAGGCAGCTCGATGGTCGCTAGGGCGACCTCCAGGGGATACCCCCCCGGGCCCGTCTGAGGATTAGCCGGCTTGGGAATGTTCAGGTTTGCACGGCCGTTGGTGTAGAACTCATAAACATTGAAATCACGGGTAACCCTATTGTTCCCAAGAGGCCAAGGTTAATTGAAGACTTGTGTTTTGCCAGTATTGAGATCAACTGGCCATTGATTAGTACGCTTAAAGGCCTTGAACATCCTGAACCCTGCCAACATCTTCGACGACGATGTAGTAAGTAGGGAAGACATTGCTGTCTGAGGGCGGCCCTCGAACGAGAAGCAGGATGATTGAAGGTTGCCGAGAGTTCCAGTTGTAAGGTGAAAAATGACGATGTGGAGCGAATGCAATCTAGTCTAGAGGCTTGTGGGCTGGGGAGATTAGTGCTGTGTGAGAGTAGGGAGGCAAGTAAGACTGGCAAGCGAGGTATAATATACGGGTTGCTGTGCCTTGGAATTTTCTCTGCTCGTTCGCCCTAGAACAGCTCGGGCGACATAGATGGGACCTCATCGCGGTCGTGTTGGCGGCTCAGGCCGAGACAAAGGCCACGATAGCAGCAACATCTCCTGGACTGGTGCCGCCGCAGAATTTAATAATAGCTGCGGGTAGCAGAGTGTCAGATGCGTGAAACCGCGACGCGCCAGGGTGGCTGGTTTTCTCAGGCTCTGTTTCATCTTGGCGACACCGACTAAATGGAGGCGGGTTGTTGGAGGAGCTAGCTTGGCCATGGCTTGGAGGTCGATTTTAAACGCAGCCGTGGTGAAGGCGTGTTGGCTGGTTGTCAAAGACGTGGGCAGAGACGGCTTGAAGGCCACCCGAGATACGTTATCTGGTGGGGCACTGGAGATTTATTTCACTATCCCCACGCCTCAGGCGACGTGGTTGGTCTTGTTGCTTCTTTTTTCGCCACTGGCCGCGGCCAAGTCTGTGCCAGAGCTGGTTGGCACACGTCAGTTGATGTGTATCTAGGGGAGACAATGCCGAATTAGCTATCTATTTACGATCAAAAGTTATGGTCGTCCCCTTCGTTGTGACACGAATGTGCCGCTGTCGCTTCACTATACGAAGTCGCCGGCGGTCTTGAAATACACCGATCCTCAGGATTTACGGCGGCGGGCGCAGAGTAGGCCTCCCGTCGAACTCGGCCTCTCGTCGGACTCTGTGGAGTGTGGGCTGAGACAAATCGCGGGGTGGGACGGTGGCGCTAGGTAGGGTCCGAGGTGGAGCGAGTCGAGTCAACAGCAGCTGCTCCGAGTGTACTCCGCCAGGTTGGTGCGGTTCTTTTCCTTGTATTCTTGATTGGACCGAAACTCCAAGGATGGGCCTTTTCAAAATTAGTGGGTCCCGCAGGCACTTGAGCCACCTTTACAAAGCGGGTCTTAGTTTCCGAGACAAGCACCCGTGGCAGGGTAACTCGCCAAGTGGCGGGTAACTCGCCAAGTGGCGGGTAACTCGCCAAGTGCAGGGTAACTCGCCAAGTGCAGAGTAACTCGCCAAGTGCAGGGTAACTCGCCAAGTGCAGAGTAACTCGATTGCAGGGTAGCTCTCCAAGTGCAGGGTAACTAGCTCCCGAGGAGCTTTTTCGGATCCCCGCCCAAATGAGTTTCTCGGCTCTCGCCTACCGCGCCAAAAGCACAAGTCGAAATGCTAAATCACACCCTTACCCCCAAGCCCCTTTTTCCATGGCGATAATATGCTCTTGACACATCCACGTCCACTCTTCACGCAACCGGCGTTGCTCAACCGGGCTCCGTAGCAACAAAGAATTTAACATTCACCTACTCGCCCACCACAGATGGAAAGGATATCAACCCGCGTTCTACTCCTCAGGCGCCATGAATCCAATCGCGCGCGCCACGCTCCGTCACGCCACCCAGTCCACCGCCCCTAGCTGGCACGAAGACTCGCCCACTGCCCTCCTGTATTTCTCCGACGCAAAAGCTCAACCCGCGCCACATAAATCCGCCCCGGCCACTCCACCGAGAAAATTTTCCGAGGGAAGACGATGACTATAGGAAGTTTATCCAAACCCATCGCACCGCCATCCCAGTTCAGACCGCAGCAGCGGTGGCGCCACGCTCGTCGCCTGCAAGAGCTTCCAGACCAAGGGCAGGGCAGAGGAGACTCGGTGCTCCTCAAAATCTACGATCCTTTATATTACCCGCGCGTTGAACTGCGAACCTGATTCTACGGTAATGCGTGCGGGTCCTGTCCAGATCACTTCCCGTCGGTCTTGTGAATAATTTGGGGCTCTGGGGATCAAACGGAGGCAATCCCCTCTTCCCCAAAACTCCATTTGCGGTCTTTCTTTCTTACACATTCGTGCATCCGTCCGCCTCTCGGCTGCTTTCCTCGAGGGCCAGGGGAAGCTCCACTTCTGCTCAGAGAACGTCTCTTCCATTTTCCTTGTACCGCACAACCATTCGACTACCGTTTCCAGCAGCCAATCACAGCGCTAGGCAGCTCAATGCGGCCATGTCATTACAGCCCATTCACGAACCTGCCTCTGTATCCCGCATAGTTCGTGAAGACAAAAGAGTCAGGAACATGCTCGCAAGCCTTCTCCACGACTCCAGCCCACTTGAACCTTCCTTGGTCTCCGTTCCCGGCAACCCTGGCAACCCGGTATCCGCTCTCCAGATGTTCTGTCCCCTCCTTCCCTATCTGTCCCGCCAGTGCCAGGTACACGTGCTGTCCCATCCACGAGGTCAGCTTTGCTGGTCCCAGGAGAAGTCGAGCGAAGCAAATGAGCCATGAAAAAAAAGACAGGATGAGAAAATACATGGCCGCGTTGGAAGAGCTTCCCATCCGAATTTCGCCCCGGAGCCCCAGGTAGACAGGGTAGTGGTGTTGTGTTTCTTTTGGACCTATTATAAATTTTGACTTGTTGTATTCTGTCTCATTGAATGGCCCGTGGTCCCGTGGAGCGTGTCCTAGTTGGACCCGGCTCGAGTTCCCCAATTCCAGCTGAGAGCTCCAGCCTGCCATTGACACCCGAACAATAGCACTGATAGCCATGTGTGCACCGTTGGGGTCGCCGAGAATGATCTCATTGAGCCAGTTATTCTTAACCTGGGAGGACTGATTGTTTCCGAATGCCGTCATTGGTATGGCTTCCGTTAGTAGCTGAACCGAGTCTTGCTCTTGGTCTTCAATGCTAGAGCAGCCTCTGTTGTCAACGAGCCGCTTGACTACAGCAACCGCCAAATGCTATAGAGTCTCGTCAGCATGCAGGACGCACACACATGTCTCTGGCTAGGGAGGGGGGCTATTATTTACCGCGCTGTAGTTGATCCGTCCAATAGGTGGCCGTGGGCCAGAATTATTGATCAGCCAGCTTCCCGTCTCCGCCCACTGGATCTGCACGCTTCCTGTGTCGGCAATCTTGTAGTCAAACACCATCTCCAATTTGCTCACGTTGGCAGGCTGATCAGTGGTAACGTTCTCAATCCGTGTCCAGCCCTGATGATCTGCCGTCATGACGGACTCTCCAATTTCGTGGTTTATCTTTGCAATCATGACGATCTCTCGCGTGTAAAGGCTGCCAACGTCGGAGTCATGAAATACTCCGCCGCAGTCAGCCAAATCCACCATGGCAATGCTATCTGGGGGGCTGAACATGGTATTATTGTTGGTTTGGTTCCGGGGGTAGTAGTGGTGAACGAAAGCGCGGTTGATGTTCCCGGGCCTGTCGCTGAGCCAGGGGCTCGTCGTTCCATTCCCCAGGAGCGCTTGAACTGGGGGCGTGGAAAGGCGCACGCTCGACGAGCCTATGTGTTCGTACGCCGTGATGCGAACGGTGGAGATGCTGAATTTGTAGCCAATGGAAGCGGGAATGGCCAGCGCCATGATAAAGTACCGGAGTAGGACGAATGCCGGGAACCCGCGGAATCCCACTACTACTGGAGCCCGTGGCTGCGAGTTGAGATAGCGGGCATAATTGAGGCCTGGATATCGGCTTGCTTGGCGACTACACCACAAGTCAAACATGTGAGTGTATGTCTCGGAACAGCCGTACGAGAGCATTCCGAAGCCAGCACCAACGATGGCCAGCCATGATTGAACTGAAATTTCGGATCCGAGCCGAAATATTCTTATCAGCCCGAACCCGGCCGGTCTGCTGTCCAATTCGTCGGGATGGCCGGCTAGGGTGTTCAATGAGACAAAGGTGAGGATGGCACTGCTTGCTAGTAGCGAAAGAATGGAGGACCCACCAACTTCCTGGGTTCGAGCTATGAGTTTTGCACCAGCCGTTCGAACGCGAGTGGGAAGTCGTGGTGCCATTTCTCACGGTAGAGCTCGAACCAGTTGCAATAATTTCGACACGACGAGATAGCTCAAGCGCTCTCAGTGTTTAGCTCGGGAGGCTACTTTATGCCCATTCGTCACATTCACCACCACCACCCCTTCTCTTGGGATCCCCCTCTCTCGGGATCCCCCTCTCTTGGGATCCCCCACACGGCGACCACCACCTCTATTAAAATTCCGCGTGTATCGAATTGCACAAGGCGTTCTGGGACGGCTGAGCTTCCCGCTGCGCCACTCGGTTGAATCCAGTATAGCACCCAATCAACGGCACAATTAACGACGCGCACCAACTATTCGGTGTGAGCCACTCTGCCTTGTTAATAATTACACAGTGGCTGGAGCTGGAGTGCTGTCAAACTTGCTTGCGTTTCTCTTTCGCTCCTCTTCCCCAACCATTTCTTTAACGCATTTCACCGATTTAACAGCATCAGTTCACCGAGCTAGAAATCATGTGCCGTGACTGGCAAGGAGTGCGGCAATCTGAAAAAGTGCGTGTTGTCAATCATTACCGATCGTCTAAAAATTGCCGGTTATCCGTGGCATTCCCGCTGGTCTCAAAGGCGCATCTGGAACCGGCGCATCTAGAACCAGCTACCGGGTAATCAAAGCAACCGCCTAGCCATTGGTAGGAGCCGCCGCCATTCACAGGCTGCTTATGTTTAGATGTATGTACAACCACCGATTCAACCCAGCCACAATCACGATAGCAGTTTCCAGCACCAATGGAACCGTCAGAGCTCCACAGAGGAAACATGCTTCCTCACGTAAGCCCTCAAAAAGGGTGGAGACACCGAATAAGTATTTCTCGACCGTCTTACATGAGACACTATCTTGGTGTCTCTGCCGATTTTCGGCTTGCGAAAGGTGACGACTTTGTCCGCAGCACGTGCTCCCTTGCCTCGTATGCCTTGGACGGCCCAGCGTCGCTGACAGAGCGGGGCAATTTAGGTAGCCAGTAAGCCAAGACATCTTTCAAGACGCCATTGGAAGCGGATTCGTCATCATGAGCCCGCCGCGGTGGTCTGCTTAATAATTGTTATGGAATCGACCCTAACTCGGAGCTCTAGGCATACCCGCCAGAGGACTACTAATATTCGGTCAAATAACCACCCCCCTGATGAACCATGGTCTCCCACTCAGTACTGACCGCCCGGGAGAACCCCACCTACCCTACCTAATAGATACCGAACCTGATCCACCCGAGCCTGATCTACCCCTTAGCTCGTCTGGGCTTGGCAGGAGTCTTCTGTTTCTGCTTTTAATCACAACGACGACGCCCAGAATGTCAACCGTCAAACCAGTGCTCATCTCGGGCGGCGGCCTCGCGTCGCTGCTCCTCGCCCAGTCGCTGCGGCTGTCCAAGATACCCTTCCAGATTTTCGAACGCGATGCATCCTTCTCGTTCCGCGCCCAGGGCTACCGCCTACGCCTGTCGCCGGAGGGTCTCGACGCCATCGAGTCAGTCCTCGGCCCCGAGCACTTCCAGCGCTTCTGGGACAAGTGCGGCAAGACCGGCGGCAGCGGCGTTTCCGTAATCAATGCCGTCACCGCCGAGCTGATAAGCCAGACGAACCCCGAGGCTCTCGTCTCTCGGGGCGGCAAGGTCGTCGGCATTGCGCGCGGCGACATGCGCAAGATCTTCGCCGAGGGCTGCGAAGACCACATCGAGTGGTCCAAGCACGTCGCCGGCTACGAGCTGACCGACGACGGCGTGCGGGCCGTGTTCGCCGACGGCACCAAGTCCATCGAGGGGTCACTGCTCGTCGGCGGTGAGGGCATCTCCTCCAAGGTGGCTAAGCAGGTATCCGGCGGGAAGATCAAGGTCTACGACACGGGCGCCAGGGGGATCCACGGCCAGGCGCCGACAAGGTCCTTCAGGCTCCTGGGCGAAGGCGTCTTTCGGCTCACCGACCCAACACACCCCAACGGGACAATCTCCATCATAACCAACGTCCGCTCCGGCGACATGGACGACCCGGACATCGAGTTCGGCTGGACCATGATCGGGCCGCCCGGTGCGATCCGCGCCCCCAACGACAACTACAGCATCGTCGGCAAGGGCGCCGCAGCCATCGCCCAGGACCTGACCAAGAACTGGCACCCGAGCTTCAAGCCGCTGTTCGTCGACATGAACGAGGCCGAAGCCGCCTTCTGGAAGATCACGTGCTCCACACCGTCGGGCGTGCCCGAGTGGCCCAACGAGCCGCGCGTGACCGTGATCGGCGACGCCGCGCACTCGATGACGCCGGCGGGTGGCATCGGCGCCAACACGGCCGTCCGCGACTCGGCGCTGCTCGGGAGGCTGCTGCGCGAGGCGGGCGGCTACGGGCCAGGCGTCACGGCGGAGTACGAGAAGGGCATGAGGGAGTATGCCAGTGCGGCCGTCCACAGCAGCTATTCATCCGCCGTCAACGCCTTCGGCATCAAGATAGAGGAGGGGTCCAGTGCCACGATATAACCTGTAGAGTAGTTCATGATGCGCCACGATATAACCAATAGCAGTGCCACGATATAACCAGTAGAGTAGTTCATGATGTGCCACGATATAACCAGTAGAGCAGTTCATGATGGATTGGAAGGAAATGTCAACTATCTAGCCAATCATCCAACGAGAACAAATGTTAGAGGGGAGCTCATTGTTGATTATTCCTCGGTTGCTCAGCTCTTGCGACGCTGCACCCGGCGATCCCGCAGCGACTTGGCCAGGCTTCGCGAGGAAGCAGTGCCGAGCCCCCTTGTGAACTCGAGCAGGCTCATGTCCTCGCGGGGGCTGTCGCCGTCCTCCGCCCCCGCTCGCAGGGTGCGCACGGTGGTGTCGTCGGCCGAGTTCATGATATCGATGTCGCCAATTCCCGACGTGGCGGGCAGCGGCTCGCGCAGGCGCAGGATGCGGACGATGCCGACGTGCACCAACACCAGCAGGGCGGCGGTGGCGGCGATGAAGACGCAGCCGGTCCACGTCTCGATGACGAGGCGCTGGCCCGACGCGCCGCCCTTGGCGCGCGTGACCATCTCGGCCGGCAGCGCGAACGTGGCGTTCATGTCGGGCGGCAGCTGCAGCCCCTTCTCGGTGATGGAATAGTTGCTCCACTGCACGGCCGTGACGGTGAACTGCAGCGGGACCGACAGGAAGTTGTGCAGCAGACTGGCGAGCGTGCTGTTGTCGTTGGGGAACACCTCGCCGTAGTTGCGGTGCGACCACGTCAGCGCAAACGCCAGCGCGTTGATGTTGTAGACGGCCTCGGCGCTGGCGTTGGGGCTCGGGACCAAGATCTTGCTAAAGATCTTCATGTATTCCACGGCGCTGATGAAGACGGGCTTCGGGTCGCCGATGGCCTTGACGTCGATGATGGAGAAGTTCTGCCGGCTGTATGCCGTCGTCGTGTGCTGCCGGTACACGGTCAGGTTTGTGCTGAACTTGAGCGGTCTGTGGATCCAGGAACGGTCGTCGTTGCAGCCCTGGACGTCCAAGAGCTTTTGCGGGCAGCTAGCTTATCTTATCTGGGGCGTTAGTGGTGCAATCAACGTCGGCTCGGGTCTATGACTTACCAGCCGCGAGTGAGTTCCCCATCTGGCGTGCGCACAGCTGGAGCGAATCGTTGATAAGCCCAGCGCCGTACACACACTCTCCTACTGGGTCAAAAGTCATGCTCTCCCCAAGACTCCGGAACTCGGCGACAAAGCCCGGGGCATTCTCAATGAGGATGGTCTGGGCATTGTCGAAAGTGCCATCGTGGAAGATGGAGTAGTTCAGGAACGGCTCCAACGGGCGATGTTGCCGGGACATCTCCAAGCCGCCTGGGAGCACCAGGGCCTGGCAGAGGCTGTTGCCGCAGTCGGGAAGGGCGAAGCCGACGGCGAACTTGGACGTGCTGAGCAGACTCGACACCCACATGGAGAAGTAGACGAGTACTTCTGCTGTGGACGCGACTTCCAGGACGCGATTGTCCAGGGTGGTGAGCCCAGCGTACACGTCAAGGCCTACGCCATCCGAAACGAAATAGTACTCGAATGCGGTGTTGACTGGGCACATTTGCGTGTCAGCCTTGGTATCGTGGTCAGGATCTGCATTCAGAGATGGTGACCTACTTTTGAGGATCGAGCCGAGAGCAAGACTCAGGATAGGCAGAGCGAGTCTGTCACACCACGATTAGCATCGCTCCTTTGGTCTGGAGTTCACTCAACGTACCTGACAAGCAGCCAAAAGTTGGGCGGCTGCGTGGCCCAGGCAATCTTTGCAGCCGACAGCCAGTCGGTCGAGGGGCCGAGGGCGAGAAACGTCGTCACAGGTGCCCCGCCCGGTCGTGCCAGGAAGGCCATCCGCATGTAGCTGAGCAGGTTGCGGAGGGTTATGTCCATCAGGAAGCCCGAGATGAGTGAGAAGATGGTGACGAGGTAGTTGGCCCTGGACGCGTCAAACAGGGCAGGGCCAACTTGGATGTGTCCCTTGATGAGGACGTGGTAGACAAAGAGACAGTAAAGCAGGTCGAAAACCACGCTGCCCATGAACCAGAGGAGCAGAGGTCGGATGCTCAGCAGCTGTGTCCTCATGTCTTGGAGGGGACGAATTGCCGGGGGCAGCACTTTGGTTGCTGGTGCATCGACAGGCTTGTCTTTGCTTTCGAATGTGGTAGAGGGCGCAGGTAGCCTAGAGTCCAGTTTAGAGTCAATGCTAGAGGACTCATCCAGGCCTCTGACGTGCTCCGCGCAGGCCTCTGGCGTGCTCCGGGTCGTTGCCTCCATGTTTGCTGCTTTCGTAGGCGGGTGAAGAGATATTGGACTGCAACGAGGGCTCTGGATTTGCCCCCAATACACAAACAATGCACGCATTGCATCCGGTATTTATGAGAAACCTCACACGCAGCTCATCGGCCCACCCTTAGAGGTGCAATTTCTATGCCTGTCGATCGTGTTGTTCGCGACCTAGAAACTGCTGAAGGTGGCTCACGATGCCGACTCTATCCCCGATCGTCATCGAGACATCGATATGCCAAAAAGAGAGTTAAAGTGCTGTTTCACCTAAAATAGACTGAACAGGAAGTTGTTTGGCCGGCACCAAAAAGAAACGCCGACGGCCAATGGCCTTTGCAAAACCTCGCCGTCGTGCAGTGTACATGCCAAGAAACAGCTGTCAGCCACTCCGGTTCCGAGCTCTCCCTCCCACACAGCAAAAAAGGCACAGTGCCACCTGGCAGGAACAATCGCGCAAGAGACCCCGCAGTCGAATTCAGTTATTTGTGGCCAATGACACGTTGTCGAACAAAAGGCGGGGTCGCACAAAAAAGGCACTGTCATCATGTCTCTGGGCGGCGCCTGCCTCTGGGCGGCGCCTGCCTCTCGGTGTCATCGCCGGTCCCGGTTTAGGAAATGAGGGGCACATGCGAATCTAAAGCAGCGACACATGGCTTGTCGACCATCAAACGCCACAGAATGACTTGCTGGTTTTACTTGGGCCTCACTCAGCGCTCCCAACTCGATGATATTATTCGAGACTTTGATTCGGGGCTGAGGAAGAGGGTGTGGGGGGGTGTGGGGGGGCAGAAAGCAGTGCATCGGAGGCCATCTTGTCACATACAAGACTGCATCAATTAAGGGGAAAAGAGTGCTTTTTTTTCCAGAAGGAAAGAGAGAGGGGCATAGCCTACTATGGTAGATACCCACTTTGTATGCATCCTTCGCTTCGGTGATCTATGCCACATGTGGCTTATTGAGTACGCCACGTATGCAGACCCTCGGCTTCTTCCGACACATCTGATTGAGCTTGATTACAAGCCGTGCATAATTACAAGCCGTGCATAATTACCTTGGTTGTGTTTATAGGGAGACTGGCACGGAAAGGGTTTCCTAGCTCTCCTGTCGCCTAGATTTGAGCCACTCTGAGCCACATTTCAAGCCACAGTCGGCGAGCTCCGAATGCCCTGTACGGCTGAACGGTGTTTTTCTTCATCCTTTTCTTGAAGTATAAGAAGGCCTTCATTTATGTATCCCTAGACCGGATCTAGGCAGACAATTCAATGCGCTGTGAACTTCGTACAAGGGCAACATCTCCCTTTTATGCCCGCTGGACAACAATGGCAGAAAAAATGTTCTGGGTCAATTCATCCCCATAAATAGCGAAAACACGACCATCAAAGGCTAGTTTAGTTGTAAGTGCGGGAAAACATGAAAAAACACAACAATCATGACGTAATTTCTTCTCTCTTTGTCCCCTTTGTCCTCCTTCCACGGGTTTGGGCATGATATTCCCAAACCCATCTCCCCCTCTCCCTCCCCACAGACGAGAACCTTGATAGATTGACCAAGCTCCCAGGCATCCCACAACGTATTACCAAGCCATTCTAGCAACCAGTAGCATCTGAACCTGACCCCCCCTGCTCAAACCCGAGATCGAACGTAGCGTAGCGCAGCTTGCCTGCCCCCAAGCCAGCCAACGAGCATCGACAACGTGAACCCCGCCTCTCGGTGTTGGACCCCGGCAACAATTATATGGACGAAAGGAGATAAATCGCAAGGTGCAATTCCTTAGGGCTCCCATCCCTGCCGCGTGTACATGATAAGTGCCACTGGGACAATGGCGTCGTCTCGGTACACGACAGTCTCTGGGTAATCGACGCTCCCGCCATCGACCAGCCTGACGGCCTCGACCTAATAGCGCACAGTAGGCCTCAGTCAGCTATATCCCGACAGCCCGACATTTGGGGGGTCTCAACATACACAGTCGTAGCCAGCGTCCGGACAAATCCTCGAATGGTCTGCCACCGACACAAGCTGGGGCCGGTTGTAGGCAACGCGGCAGAGCAGCATAGCGTGCATGTTCGAGCGGACGTGGTGGTTTCTCACGTAGATATCCGCCTCTGGGACTTCGTTAGAAAGGTGCAAACACAGAGAGTCGGTGGCGAGGACTGCCTACTCGAGGAAACCTCGGTCGTGTATATTCCGGGACCAAACATGCTCCCGGGTCCTGTTCACAGTGACACGGCGATTAGAGCGGCTACCAGAGGAGCGATACCTAGTGAAGCGCGGCACTTACTCGCTCCGGTGATCGTGAAAGACTTCCGCAAGATGCCACACAGGCTGCAGCTCTCGCGGTGGCACGGCGTCAACAATCCGGTGCCTGGGTCGCCAATCCGACATGCCCGCCGCGTCCCGTGGAACAGGTGCCGGTACACACCACCGTTCATACTGCTGCAGCGGCGTCAGAAAAGCAAAAAAAGTGCAGAAGGGACTTTAGGGAGGGCGCAGCCGTACACGAACCGGGCGAACCGCTTCCCGCGATAGGACCTGGCCAAGTCGCCCTCGGTGATGCCATATATCGCATGGATCTGCGCGTATTTGCTCGTATGTAACCACTTCTTCTTGAACCCCTTTTCGACTGCCGAGTCTGTTAGCCAGCGCAATTTTTGGTCCGCGGTGCAAGATCTTGATCTACTTACCGATCTGAAATGCATGTTCGTCTCTGGATAATGGTGTCAGGGGCTGTGAGAACGTGAGAATGGTGTCCGAAGGTAGAAAGGACATTGAGGAGAACGACATTGAGTAGAACGACATTGAGGAGAACTTACTGGTGACATGTCTTTTTGGCTTTTGCTAGGGCTGTCTAGAACAAGCAGAACACGATGGCTCCGCTTCTTGCTGTTAACACCCATCCCTGTGATAAGCTGTAGCCTGTGATGTGGCCTGCGAGTATGAACGTGGTGTTGACGGGTCGAGGATGTGAGATGTGACAAACTCGAAGCAGATGTGGAATAGATGAGAAGGAAACACATCTCAAGGGTCCAGCGATAGGTACAGCTGTTTAAGTGCTGTGGTCCGATCCGCCGGATTGGATGATGTGGGACTTCCAGAACAACGATGCGAGCGTCCAGCACAGCCAGCAGCCTTTCCGCCCTGAAATCTCCAAAGACAAGGAACGCGACCACCTATCAGCAAGGAAACCCACAGATGCAGGCGCCGCACTGGCATGGGCTATTGAATTCAATAGCATCGTTTAGCACGCAGCCGACACTCTGGTATAGTTGTACCGGACAGAAGGGGTGCGATCGGACGTTCTAGCAAGACCTCGAAACAGCGATTCGCTGTCTTCGGGCGCTCTCGCTGTCTTTGACACCAACCATTGTAAGCCCGGAGCTGCTCCTTCACCTCATCATCCCACCTGACCCTCGGCTCCATCGCCGTGCATTCTGCACGCATTCTGCACGCCTGGAGCAACAGCCGGCGTGTCGCTGAACTAAACCTGGCTGGGATACCAATTAATTATCCATTGCCCACCACGGTAGCGCCAGACTTTGGGGCAAAACAGCCGCGCAGCAGACAAGGTTTATCTTGAGATTTGACCGTCTTTAAATAACTCTGCGCCGCAGCTTCTGGGAAATACTCGCAGGTAACCAGATTGTCGGTATCTGGGAACACATTAGTGATTCCGACTTTCCTAAATGAGTCACAACATGTATAGAGATGAAGCAAGCCCTGTTTTTGTTCTTTCCTGTAGAATCTGCCTTGCTGTCAACCCCCCTTGAAGGGTTCTCGCAAATGCGGCCCGTCCCTCGGCCAATGGCAGCGGCGGTAAAACGTCAATATGCAGTCAGGGGTGTGAATAAAGGGGCGCGGGAGAGGGGCGACAAAGCGATGCTAGGCGGTCGGCAGGCGGCACGCGTAGCCACTCACGTATCCCTGAGCTTACCGACACGGTGGTTCGACTACTGGCTGCGAATCAAGTGAATGCGGTTGGCGCGAGCGATACGCAGACTGCGGCCCAGGGGTTGCCAAAGTAGGGCACTGGTCCGTCCAGACGCCCCCGCTCGCGCTCCCAGTGTGTTCGTTGGCTCGGCTTTGTGACACTGTTGCGAGGTGCGTCTGGTACTCATAATGTGCAGCTGATTCTGCAATCACGCGTCGGGGGGCATGGCATGGTGTGCCCGAGGACAGAGACGACATCCCAGCAGGACCGGTTACCTTCCCGCTCCCAATCCGACACGTCATTGGCCATCAGTTGTGATAAGGGGCCAAGTCGGCTGCCTTTCCTGGGACGTCGGCCGAGAATGTGATCCCACTTGACCGGTCCCACGCATGAAGCGTTCTGCAGCAACCTGCAGGAGATACGTTCTCGAACAGATTGGCAGATAAGCGCAGCTCTGGGGTTCAGCACTGGAATAATCAGTAGTCGAGCTGCGGGCCGGGGGCAGGCAGCTCACCCATACTACAGATATGGCTCGCTGGAAATAGACGCTGGCAGCCACGGGCGGTCGCCGAGACAAAGAGACACAACACAAGTCATCTCCGGACCCCTCAGCAGGCGCCCATCCAGATCCAGGGGGGCTTTAGGCGCTTTCCTCCCACTCACTATCCCACCTCCTTCTCCCTCTCCACTATCACATACCCCAGAGGACTCACAAGACGAGTTATTGACGCAGGCAGAACATCCACATCCAAACACAGCGACATGATGGTGAGCTCGTACTGCGTGTCAAATAGCACCTCGACAAGCCTGTACTCGTCATCAACGGCCACAACCCTGCACGACGACTCGGACTGCGATTGCGACTCCGGCTCCGGCTCCGACTGCGACTACGACTGCGACTGCGTCTACGACTCAGCAATGGTTCGCGCCACGGACCAAAAGGCCGCGCTGCGGGCTACCGCCCAGGAGACGCTCGACGTCCTGCCAGGTCTCCTGAGCAAGCTCGGGCGGGCCAACGACGCGCGGCGGTCGGGAAAGTTCACGCTCAGCAGACTGCCGCGGCTGGGGCCGAGCTACTGCCCGCGCTTCCGCTCGCCGGCCACCGTCAAAGTGGTCAACGACGACACGCTCAACGCGGCGCTGTGGCAGTGGCGGCAGCAGCAGCGGTACGGGCGCGGCGGCAACGCCAGCGACGGGCGCGGCAACCCGCGGCCGGCCGTAGTCAACTTCGGAGACCAGCACTCGCCAGGCGGCGGGTGGCTCAACGGGGCGCTGGCGCAGGAGGAGGCGCTGTGCTACCGCAGCTCGCTGGCCCTCAGCCTGCACCGCCGCGACTACCCGCTGCGTCCCACCGAGGCCGTCTACAGCCCCTACGTGCTCGTGGTCCGCGATTCCCTCGCCGACGGTGCCCGTTTGTTTTATCCCCAGAACCGCGCCGCCGATCTCCCCGATGTCGCCGCCATCACCGTGTCGGCCGTCCGCAGGCCCAAGGTCTTCTCGTACCCTAGAGACCTGGCCCGCCGCGATGGAGGGGTGATCCACCGGGACGGCGCCCCCGGCCGCAGCAACATCGACAACTACGACGGCATCCGGGCCCGCGGCGCAATCGACGAACTTAGGCCTGACGACGAGCTCGAGGAGATCCGCATCCGGGACGGCAACATCGACCATCTGCGGATCCGCGATGGCGTAATTGACGAGCTGCACATCCGCGAAGACGGCGGCGGGTTCCGGAGCCGCCGCAGCAGCTTCGACGATCTCGACATTGGCTTCGGCGGGATGTGCGTCTGCAACGGCGACGACGGGTTCTGCGTGCGCGATGGTTTCAATGGCCGCGATGGGCTTCGCCGCCGTGACGGCCGCCGCGACAGCCTCGACTCGTTGCGGATCCGCGACGGCGATGATGGACGACGGTATGGCGATGACGGTCTCGGCAGGTTGCAGAGACTGCAGAATCTTCCGGGCGGTTTCGACGGCAGGAATCGACTCGCGCGCCTTCAGAGCCTGCCAAGTGGGTTCGACGGCGGGAACCGGCTGGTGCGGCTTCAGAGTTTGCGTGGCAGGTTTGATGGAGGTAACCGCGACATGTTTGATGGAGGTAACCGCGGCAGGTTTGATGGAGGTAACCGCGGCAGGTTTGATGGAGATAACCGCGGCAGGTTTGATGGAGGTAACCGCGGCAGGTTCGATGGAGGTAACCGCGGCAGGTTCGATGGAGGTAACCGCGGCAGGTTCGATGGAGATAACCGCGGCAGGTTCGATGGAGGTAACCGCGGCAGGTTTGATCGAGGTAACCGCGACGGGGCTGACGGGGCTGGGCTGCCGTACGTCAAGACAGTATTTGCAAACAACCGTGACCGCAACCACACCAAAGACAAAATGCGGTTGGTGCTGCGCATCGCGGCCATGAACGGCCACCGCAACCTCGTGCTCGGCGCCCTGGGCTGCGGCGTCTTCCAGAACCCGCCCGAGGACGTTGCCCACTGCTGGCTCGAGGTGCTGCGCGAGCACGAGTTCAAGGGCAACTGGTGGCGCAACGTGTGCTTTGCCGTCTTTGACCCGAGGAACGACGGCAATTTTGACATTTTCAAGCGTGTGCTGCACGGCAAGCAAGTCTAATCACGCATGATTTGTTTCTATTTTAATTTAGCTCGGGGCTTGTTAATCACCCTCGACAACGGATAGCCTTGGCTCTTGACAACAACGCTCCTACGAACAAATAGCACGAGGGCCTTTTGTGTGGTGGCCGTTGACTACGCGCCCGTGACTGGCCGCCTGCGCCTTGCCGTCTTTTTTGTGGCGCCGACCCTGCTCCTCGCCCTCCTTCAGGCGCCGGCCATGGCCGCCGCCCTCTTTCTCACGAATTCTTGCCAGTGGCAATTAGAAGATCGTCTACTTAAAGCAGTGCTCGTCGCTATTTCGGACTTTCGGACTGACAACAACTTCCCACCCCATCAAACCCATAAGAACACAAAGTCGCCGTGCCACATCTCACATTTCTCCAAACGCATTTCCTGCCCAGAAAGCACAGCACCACGTATTTCCTGCCTAGAAAGCACAGCACCAATCTTGACGGCCCCAAACAACCCAACTTTTGAGTCTTTATTGCCGTCTACCTCCCCAAGCAGATACAGCTGATCGCCACCGGTTAGTCCATCACCGCCAAGATGGTTCGGTTCAATACAATGATAGAACAGGATATGTTTGGCGACGCTTACGAGCAAAAAAAGAGAGAGGTCCAGGCCTACAACCAAAGACTAAGGCAGGAGGAGAAGGAAGCCAAAGCCCAGGTGAAATGGGCGAAGGAGCAGAAGAAGGCCGAGGAGAAGAAGGAAAAGCAGGAGAGGAAGGAAAGGGAGAAGAGGGAGAAGGAGGAAAGAGGGGAGAGGGGCTTTGTAGGAAAGTTGGCGGATATTTTCGTGCCAAATAGAGGGCAAGAGTAACTTGATCCAGTCTAGCCAGGTTGTCAATCGGAGACCTCTCGATCTCTCGTGCCCAAGTCGGCGCATTCCGGCGGGGACATGACTTCTGAGGGTTATGACTACCTGGAATGGCTTCCTCAGCGTTGTTTGCCTGCGTTGTTTCTCTCTTCGGGCGTTCAATCCACATTGATGTCTTCGTTCCGATACAGGTCCCCGGGAAAGTCTCATTCATTTTGACTCCATGTATTTGCAAAGTCATTGCCCTGACTGGTCTGTGCTCACGCCGAAGCTTTCTAGTAACGCCAATTAAAGTACAAAAGCAATGCTATTCTCCTGTCTCGGCTGCTAACTGTATCTCATGAGCCCACCACACCGTAGAAGCGCGCCGAATACCCCACTCACATATTCCTCTACGATCCGTTTCAACCTTCTCCCCACACCAAGCCCCAGTAAAACACGCGATCCCTTCCACTATCTCGATCCGAGTGTTCAAAATGGGCCAGATACTGAGCCTGCTAGCCTGCGGAGGACACGACAAGCACTACGGCGGGACCCGCGGAGACAGAACACAACGCCGGATAAGCCGCATAAACACGGACAGACAAGAACAGCGGGCGCTGAGGCGGCAGGGCCGCGAGGCCGGAGAAGAGCTGCCCGAGGCTCGGCGGACTCGAAAGCGGCAGGAGCGCGCCGACGAGAAAAAAGCTCGGCAGAGCGCCGCGGCAGCCGAGGGCCACAGCCCGAAACGCTCTGGCGAGCACCGTTCCCGTCGGCATTCGCGCCATGTGTCGTGGCACCCCGGCGGCCAGACAGGCGAGCAGTCCTCTAGGAGCCGCAGGCGGTCTGGGCATCACGGGCAATCTTGGAGTCATAGACTGAGGCATCCGGTGGGTCAAGTTTATCGAATTAACATCGACCAAGGTCATGCAAGCCCCCAGCATCGACATTCGGGGGTTTGAGCACTGCGGATGTATCGATTTGTCTGACCGCTCGATTCCCAGCTTCATTTTTCCTATGGTCTTGAATAACCTCGCTTTTGGCGTTTGGTTTCTGGATTTGTTTTGTACTTACATGCTTACTTCTCTGTCTTGGAGACAAGGTAGCTTTGTCGTCGTCCATACTTCTTAGCGCTCTACTTGCTTGCTTGCTTGCTAGTCATTTATTAGACTTCAATTTCTCGACCAGTCTGTCTGTTGGCACCTCGGCCCCATCCTGCACGCGATGTTATTACATCTGAGGCCGCGCTTGAGCGCTTTCCGACAGGCCTGTCAGCTCTTGGCCGGGTCCCGCACCTGTCAATGGTTCAGCCTGCGAAAGGCACTCACTGGCTGATAACTACCGTAGGATTAAGTAAGTTCTCGTCCAAACTACAACAAAAACATCTCGTTCACAGGTTTGGATTCGATTCTCACCAGCCTCACCCGAAAATGGCCGACTCAACTTTGGAATCCGGGATGGCGAGTTTACCGGCGGAGCTACTGGAATGCATCCTGGATGTAGCCACGGTACGTCTGGCAGTCTCGTACGGGGCTTTGGTGGACATCGTCAAGGTGACACGCCGACCCGAACTCGGTTACACGTGGGCGACCACGGCCGGGCGCATCTCGACACTCTCCGTTGCGGCAAAGCACTGACAGTCAGCCCTCTTCAGGGTACTTGTCGAGCTCGGCGCGCGGCTCGCAGTCCGGAAATGTATCCGCGGGAGCATAACCAGCAGCTCAAGCACCTGGTCCGGCGCCTCTGCTGGCCTGCGAATGCCGACGCACTCCGCGTCTCTTTTGAGTTTGGATTGGATAAGCGCATTGGGAGCGCTGGCAGGGGCCCAGATTTCTTAGATCCGCTACTCACCTAAACCGCGGGGAGGCGACACATCTCCTAGTGCACGCCTCACTGCCCCTCCCCGTCTCACAGCTAGCAGTCCCTGCCCCCCAACAGACAACCTAGACGACACAACCGATACCGCCAGTCCCACGCTGTTCGCCTGGCAGCAAGTCTTTGCCGAGCTAGTCGTCCCGGCGGTGCCCACGGACGAAGCGTCGTCGACCCTATCGCAATATCCAGTTCGCCTAGGCAAGCACTCGGCCGTGGACCTCGGCAACCCCGACATCCACGCAGTTTGTGTCACCGACGGGCTACTGAAAGACCGGGGCGCGGATCCGGACATTGTGGTCAAAGGCAAGAGGGCCGTTGACGTTCTGCTAGGGGGGGCTAAAAGATATAGCCAGGGGGCCCAAGAGCGGCTAGCTAAGTATTCTGCGCTCCTGAGAGCTTCAGGGAGCGGCGGAGAGACGAAGACGCTGGTCGTTTGCCAGAGTCGGCGAGACTGAGGGGGGTTTGGGCGATGTGTGAATATATAGGTGTATACATAGCTGGGCTTGTATGTAGGGACTTGTTAAGAAATCTCCTGCATCAATTTCGACAGAATTTCAAGAATTAGGCTCAGAAACTCCTACCGCTTTGTCCTGTTGATCCTGAGATCTCCGTTGTGAAAAGATGAAACGCAGCAGCTGCACAGGGTCACGTGACACTCGACGTTGACACTTCCCCGAACATGCCTGCCAGCCAACCCCGGCTACATCCAAGTAAATAAGAGCGGGAAAACCGGCTAGTACGATGATCCAGAGCATTTGGTATACAATCCTCCCTAAGTTTAGACACGAAGCCTGGTCTGGAGTTGCGGGGGTGACAATCTCGTTGGGAAAAGCTTCCCCTTTGCAAGGCCCACAACGGTTGAAGACGGGACAAGGGTCAGAATATGAGGTCGGTATGTATTTGGAGCCTGCATTGCATGGTGGAACCCGTTAGTGAGCCATAAGTATTGTTTAGAAACGTATGATTGCCCAATATATGGCTCCTTGTTCGGTAATCATGTCCTACAGACCAACCTGGCGATGCACCCCAACACGCTTGCCGGAAAGCCTCGGAAACTGCCCTGTTTCTGTGTCGGAGAGAGGGCAAGACGACGGCTCTAGTTTTGAGTACAGCGATTGTGGAACGCGGTGTATAACAGGGGCGTGGAATCTGAGTCTCTTGGGGATATATCGAGCCCACCCTCCGCGGACGCCCAAAGGTTGCACGGGGCTCGTTACACCCCAAGCCCGTGAGCTGAACGTCACAGCAAACCTCTCCAGGTCACGGGCAAACGCCCCGGGGTTTTTGAGGCTGCTTGCTGCTCTGACTTGACTGCATGGCCGAGCTGGTATGGTGCAGAAACGAGAGGGTGCAGCCCTGGGAGGGAGGTGCATGGAGGTCGGGGGTGGGCAAGGAGTGAGCCCGCGGTGCAACCTGATTGGCCGCCTCCACCACACGTCCTCCCCCCAAGGCCTGCCATATAAAATCCCCCCCCAGGTATATCTTGCTCCCTCCCCTTCTCCCTCTTTCATCTATCAAATTTTCCATTCCATCAAGCGACTCAACCAGCCCATCTGCAAAGACTTCGCGCCATCGGGAGTGACTAGTATCTAGCCCCTAGAACCCATCCAAGTCCGTCTTGGCATCAATATCAACCTCCGCCGCCCACTGTCTGCCCTCCCCAACCCGGCGGCCCAGGAGGCCACCACAGCACCGTGCTCAAGTGCAGCGCGGCTGTTCCCACATCTTATCATATCTATTCACCCTTACCACTTCCATCATATCTATTCATCCTTACCACTTCCATCATCTCGTCGTCCGCCATGTCTTCTTCACGTGACTATGACCGTGGGAGGAATCGGCGGGGACTTGCAGGCGTCGGGGACAGTTCACCACCGCCGGCGGTTCCGGATCCCCCACCCAGCAGGCCCGTCGGCGGATCATCGCTAGGGGGAGGCTCCTACTTCTCATACAGGACCGCCCTTGATAGCAGGTCGCCGACTCCATCCCAGTCCACCATCGGGGAGAGTTCGTCCCAGATACCGCAATATGAACATGAACGCACATTGCCTAGCCCGCCTCCACGTGATATTCAACGCTTTGGAGGGATCGCCTCGGCATCAAACAGCTATGGTCCACTGCAACCACGGGGGTCGGCCGGGATCTCAAGTTCGGGGCCGAGGGTCACCCAGCGGGGCTCATACACCCAAACGTCGCTGCTGTCAAGGCCGCTGCTGGAAGCCCGGAACAATGGTCCAAGCCTGTTAGCTGGCCCGGCAAGCGAAGATGGTCCGCTCTGGGAACCAGAGACACCTAGACCACCGGATCTCCCCTTCCCTTATCACCTCCCGCCCGCACCAGCCGGCATGTTTGGGCCTAGTTCTAGAACCCCCCGTGAGCGCTGTCGCTGCTGCTCGCCATCGCACAAGTCAGTAACGTGTCAGAAGATGATGTCCCAGTGTGAGTTGCTCCCTTTCTCATGCTCAAACCCACCCGCCCACTGTCTTTAACGTCTGCATCTCGGTCATGAACGCATCTCGGTCATGAACGCATCTCGGTCACGAACGCATCTCGGCCATGAACTGACAGCAGCTGCAGTGCAAGCCGCCAGCGAATACCAGCAGAGACAAAACGCGCCGCTGGACCAACGAACCCAGCTAGTTCAGCGTGCAGTCCCCCAGAATCCAGGCGATTGGAGATACGGTGCCCAGAGGCCCAATCGGCCGCGACCAAGCGGAGAGGATCCCTCGTCCGATGGACGAAAGCTCGCTCGTGTCACCGAGACGACGACGACGACTCAGTATTATTATCATGAAAGATAATTTCTTGTCCTTGGGATGAAAGCGATACCGATGCCCACGATGTTTTACATTTATTTCTTGTTTAATTCTTCCTCGCTGGTATTGGCGTTGTGGTGGGAATTTGATGCACCGGGAGGCGGACGCGTGACTGGTCACATTCCCGCTTGGCAGCCGGCTCCCAGCCGTCTCGATACGCGGAGATGAACAAAAATTGATCGAAATGGGCTGACTCAGCGCGGTTGAGGAGCGGGAGCGACGAAAGAACCTCCCTGGAGGATATTTCCTTTCTAGTCTTTGCGTTTGGTCTAGCTTTGTTGTTGTATGGCGCTCACAATGTTTGAGTTGGCCGGAGTCGAAGCAGATGATTTTTAATAGGGCAGTTCCAATACCCAAGTCCTTTCTTCCACAATCTTCAGCCGTGAGGCCTGAACGATTCGTGTAAAGGTGGCGCGGATGTTTGATGCAATGCCAGAGACGTTACCTGCCCTGCTGTTGGATAAGACGTCGTCGCCGTAACGTGTTTCTGTGTCGTGGACGAGGAGTCAGCGGCAAAGTCACCTTTCCCAGCGCTAGTCCCAAAGCGGTGTCTTCCAGGCACCCATCGCCAACTTTGCGACCAGTGCGCATCGGCTCAGGTGTCTAACCTTTCCGCATCAATCTCTGCAGTCTGTCAACGACCCTGCAAGGGGCACTAATCGGATTCGGAGTGTGGATTCTAGTTCCCGTCTTCAGACCGAGCCCACTAGTATTTCCCTTGTTTTCTTTCCATTATTATCGCCCCTCGAACTGCTTACTCCGCGCTAGTATAGTAAGCCTTGAGTTACTGCTACGGGCAACTTCTGCCTGAACCACTACCGGAGCCGGTACGTCACTAACACCACGCCACTAGCACCCATCACTAACACCACGTCAATAGCACCCGTCACTAGCACCCGTCACTAACACCACGTCACTAACACCACGCTTCCCTGGAGGTTTGGCTCACGGCGACCAAAGGAAAGCAAAACAACTGCAATTAGGGAATACCGCATAATTATCAGTAATCATATGTCTACCAGTACCGTATCTAGGGAATGAGCTCTTATTTTCGATTAGGACAGGACAGCATAAGTAATGCAAGTGCCGTCATGTCGGTGCGCCCAAAATGGAATCTCTCGAGATGGCAGTTGGGGGCGATATACCCCGGCCTGATCCTAACCTTGCCTGCCGCTGGCAGCAACCAGAGGTGCCGCCGGCATCCCAAACCCCGACGGAGCAGCATTTCGAACGGACCTCTGGCTGGATGGTTCATCCTCCGACTCTTTCGACGCCCCCGTATAATGTGCCCTACCAAGCCCGGACTTGTGCTCATGCACAAGGCGTATCACGTGATGATGGCTCAGAGGAGGACCTCTGGGGCAACGAGCCCAGACAAGAACTGCCGTTCTGAACCATGTATCACAAAACAACCAAAAACTCCTCAGCCGTTGAGAATATCAGCCGATGTTTGTTTTGCGGTAGATCCAATGCAGACATCCAATGCAGACATCAGATGCTTTGTGGTATCAAGCAAATCTCGGAGGACGACAAGTGGCCGCCGGTCTTGGCCAGCCGACACGGTCGGGATGGAAATCATCATTTCGCCTCGGGATTACAGCTTGCGGGTGCGGGCGCGGGCGCGGGCGCGGGCGCACAAAGATCTTGTGCGGGCGCCCAGATGCACGTGCCGATAGCACGCACTAATGCTAGAGGATCAGGGCAGATGGTGCTTTTGTGGGCATTTATCCATGATCAACGCCGCAACCAGCGGCGCAGCGGGCGGTGCTGGTGTTTCGTTTTTGGCGGGCAGAGAACCGGATCATGACCAACGCCAACCCAGCACGCGCTTAGTCGTGTTGGTTTGGACGCAAGTCAGCCAGGCGCCGGATGCGAAAACGAAGAGACAATTGAAAACGAAGAGACAAGTGAAAACGAAGAGACAAGTGAAAACGAAGAGACAAGTGGTGATTGGCGTGGCGCTGACAAGCAGCCCAAAGAACGACAATCGAGCCAAAGCCAGTCGCTCAGGCTCTGGAGAAGATGGTCCAAAGAACTGTCGCAAGATACGAAGGCAGCCAACGGCATTTGTTGGAACAGTGAGATGGAGGGGTTCGGCAGCATCGGTCCATCGGCGGGTTTGGTTGGTGCTGCGCCTGATTGGCAGGATTGGCAATACTGCCTGAAAGCTGCAGTGGCATGAGTGGGTGGGCCATGGGGCAGCCTGTGCGTCCCCGCTCTGTGGTTCGTTGGTGCTATGGAATCGCCGTTCTTCACTGGGCGAGCACCGAACGTGGGCGCACCTGCAGGGGAAGAAAGCTTGGTTGGAGTATTGAAAGCACGGGCTCTCATGCATTCTTTGGTTCCACTCAATCCATCCAACCCGAATCCATCCAACCCAAATCTATCAACAACGAACGCTTCGACCGCGACATGTTTGGCTTTGACTGGCAGCCTGCTTTTTATCGCCTCTTCTTGCATCAGACATCTCACCGCGATCTCAACAGTGCTCCGTGGAGCAGTTTCCCCCTCGCCGTCCGAATCTGACACGAGAGAAGAAGCATGAGGTACGGTCTGACCGGAGCTAAGCCCAAGCCGGAATGTGTCTAGGGTGGGCTGAAGGCACAGAGGGCACAGGCGCTTAGTCTGGGTGGTTCCCCTGCCTAGAAGAATCCGCCGTTGTGGCAACCTAGGTCCCAGGCGCAGAACGACGTCCGGCACGGCGTTCGGTGCCGCTGCCGCGCAGAAAGCAGGCCCTGAAACGCCACCCTCCCAAATAAACTATTCTATCTATAACACCACCCCGTCGTCGTCGTCGACGTCCATTCGCCGTGACGCACACTCGGGCCCCCACTCTTGCATCCTCCCTCGACTCCTCCTCCCACGACTCCTCCTCCCACGTGGAGCTCTCTGGGGCACAGCAGTCATCTCCCCTTCTGGAGCGACACACAGAGCGTCGTCTTGTGCCTGCCAACCAATGCAACCCTGGGCGCTGAGCGCAATGGGCCGAGTGCTCTCACCTCGGGCCCCAAAAGCCATGCCGTCGACCACATATCCTGCCATGCCCCTCCACACCCCGCCATCATTGCCTCTGCCGTGCAACAAACGCTTCGTCCTCGCCAGCGCTTCGTCCCCGCCAGCGCTTCGTCCCCGCCAGCGCTTCAGTCAGTGCGCAAACACAATCGCTCGAGTCGCCAACTCCGACCCCGACGCCAATCATCGTCCTGGATCACAGCGGGAGTGGTGACGGCTTTGGGCAGCAGGCCAGTCTCGGGACGGATGCGACATGAGGGCTCGTCCGTGATATAACAGCACCCGCCATGACGCTGTTCTAACCAACCGACACTAAAACGCCAATTTCCATCCCATCACCCCACGGAAACTACAAATCCACCCGGTCCGGCCCACGCACGCCCAGTGCACACCGAGACCATGGGCCTCTTGGGTCCCGAAGACACCCTGATGGGCCTCATCGGGGTGGCCAACAACCTCGACGAACCGCAGCCCAGCATCAACAAGAAGGAAACCATCCTAGCCCTGATAATCACATTCTTGGTACGGCATCACCCCAGGTGCACTCATGAATCTGCTCTGGCCGTCGACTCAACCGGGCACGGCGCGGCTTCTGATGACAGTGATGACGGTGCTGACTGGACGTGGCAGGCACTGGCTTGGATATGTGTGAGCATCCGACTCTACACCCGCTTCAGGCTGATCAAGTCGCCGGGGTGGGACGACTTGTTTGTCTTTCTGTCGCTAGTACGCCCGCTCCGTTTATCTATCTTCACTCTCGCCCCTTGTTGTCCGTAAGGCGGCTCGTTGACATCTCGTTGACACGTCGTTTTCAGATGGCCATGACCCCCGGTTTGATCGCCATATGTCTGGGTAAGTTGGACTTGGTTCGTCCGCGCTTTGTCTTCTCGTGTCGCTGACATGGTGACGGCAGAAACGACAACTGGCTTTGGGCAACACCTCGTGCTCCTCACGCGTGATCAGATGGCTGGATACTTTCGTGTTTGTGCCGCCCTCTCATCTCTTGCTTGCACGCATTGCTAAGACTGCCACTAGATATTCTACGTCGCCAACGCGGCTTATTGCATGTCGACGGCGCTGATCAAGATCTCGCTCCTCCTCCAGTATCTGCGCCTGTATGAGCGCGGGACGTACCTGTACAACGTCTGCCGCAGCCTCATCATTTTCATCACGCTGTGGGGCTTCACCTACTCGCTCCTCGCATGGGTGCCGTGCGTGCCCGTCAGGCAGTACTGGGACCAGGTCTACGACCCCATGGGTGAGCGCACCTGCTACGCCTACGGCTCGCAGCGCGTCGCCACCTTCACTGCGACGTACGAGAGCCACGCCGCCGTCAACATGCTGCTCGACCTGCTCGTCATGGGCCTGCCAATCCCGCTATACTTTGACAAGAACACACACAACCGGACCAAGATGGGGCTGATCGGCATCCTGACATTTGGGACAATGTGAGTCGCCCCGTGTTCCTGGGACTCTGGAATTCGTTCAATGCTTACTTTTCGTCTCACAGAGTCAACATCTTCTCCATTTGGCGCTTCGCCACCATGATCCAGCACAAGTCCACGACGTGGCCGACCTTCGACCCGACGTGGTACGGGCCCATCAGCATCGTCATGGCGGGGCTCGAGGTGTCGTCGGCGTGCATATGCGCCAGCGTGCCCATATTCTGGGGCCCCATGGCCGTCTCCATGTCGAAGCTGATGGGGCAGATCTTCGTGACCAACGAGATCCACATCACAACGGCGCGCGCCAGCGGCAGCCAGGAGGGCTTCCACAAGAGCAGCAGCAGCACCAGCAGCACTGCGGGCGCCGGGCTCGAGCTCCAGGGCGCCACTCTCACCCGCCAGACCAGCGAGATCGACGCGCCGGAGCGCCACGAGCTCCAGGCAGGCAGGGTCATTTGGCCAGCGACGAGCGAGGATGCGTTAGTCAAGCGTTACGAGCTGTGGGCCAAGGTATGACGACCGTGTTGTGCGTCATGTACTACGGATATGTATTTCAGGAGCATAGGCTCGGCGTTTGTCAAGTGTATCATCATTTGCTGTTGTACAGCCTGTCTTGGATCAATGACTCGAATTTATTATTATACCCGGTGGAATTTTCCAAGCAATTAAGACGTACGTCACTTTCGGGGAGCTAAAGAGTGTTAGTGGGCTGTCACGAAAATGTACCAGATTTCCATGCTGAATGAATCAAATGGCGGAATCGAGACATATCACGAAGGTGAGAGAGTTGAGAAGAAAAGTTGGAGGGAGTGAAATCTATTAAAACCGGCAGTATAAGATAACTGGAACAGGCTGTGTAGGTAACAACTCTATGATGCTTCAGACCCAATGCCAACACTACCACCGCATTCGCAATCCGACTTCCCCAGTACTAATTCCTCCACGAAATCACCAAAGCACAGACAAACTATGCCTTCGAGCAAGCCGTGCTCTGTCCAAAGGTGTAGAGCTTGAAGCGCAGCTGACAAAGACCCAGCAGCCACACCAGACACCCTCCGATCGAGCAAGCCAAGTAGCAAGCAAGCCAAGAAGCCAAGAAGCCAAAATCAAATCCCAAACTGTCTAACCCGTCATCGTCATCCCCGGCAAGACACCGAAAGATGTGCCGAAGCGCTTAGTTGTCATCGGCATTGGCGCGGGCAGTCTTCTGGGCGCCGCTGGACGAAGTCTGCTGGCCAAAGTTGAAGTTCTGGCGAATGCCGAAAGAGCGGGTGGCGCTCTGCTGGCGCTTGTCGTTGCCGTTGGCAGCCGCGGCTGTTGAGGTCGGCGTGGCGCTGACAAGAGTCACCTGCGAAGGCAGGGTGACGCCCGAGGGGATGGAGACGCCCGAGGGCAGCGAGATGGTCACGGCCGAGGCGACGGAGAAGACGGCAGCGAAGATGGCGACGAAAGAGGTCTTCATGGTTGCGATTGGGTGGTTGGGAGTTGTTTGGGAGTAAACGATTGTGGTAACTCGGAGAGTTATGTGGAGAGTGTTTGAGTTTTTTTTATTTTTCTGTGTGAGAGTGGTAGAGATGGTTGGAGTGTTGGATGCTGATGAGGGAGGGAAAAAAAGATCTCTATCCCGTCAGTCCGGGCCGGTTATATACATGATTTTACACTGCTTGGTGCTCAGCCATTTCCAGCCGCCTCCCCAGCGCAAGCGCCGTTTTGCCTGCCTCGTCATCCTTTCTGTCTAGCTTGGCCGTCCACAAGCGTGTTGCACGCTGCACCGTTCACGCGTTTCTCCTCTAGCTGCAACGCTTGCGTAGGTCCTCAGAGAGGTGAGGAACTTGGTGCTAGTCTAGCTTTCCCTAGGCCATTTTGTTTACTTCTTCGGCCTGCTAGCTTTTTTTTCTCATTGACGGTGGATCAGACGTGGGACGGCTACCGGTTAGTTTCAGGGCATCGCAAGTCTGCTCGACAGACTTTGGCTCCTTGATAACGTTCTCGCAGAAGAAACGGCTTCGCTTTCGCTGGCTCCTCTAACCAGGCAAGACTATCGCCGCGCCATCGGACAATCTTCTCAAGCGGTACTTGCATCGTGGCATTTTAGGTTTACCCTACGCTTCAAGGCTAATAATAGGCGGATTCCAGTTCGCGGCGTACGCGTGGCCCTGAAGAATATGTCGCCCTAGCAAAGCCTTAAGCAGTCGGCCGAAGCTTATCTGCGTCGACCCCTGACTACAGACCAAGACGGCGGAAAGTAGGGGCCTTCTCCTCCCCTTTCCCAGCCCCCATTGCAAGATGTGATGGCTCCCGGTTGTGAGAAGTAGCCGCCTAACATGGGATCCGGTGTGCGGCTGGTGAGCACACACCGTGTCCGAGCCCTCGCCGTCCCCGGGCCCGGTTTCATGCCTAGCACCACAATCTAAAGCAGGGCCTGGTCGGCCTCAGTGTGTTATGCAGTCTCAGTGTGCTATGCAGTCCTCAACGCAGAAAGGGTCGTTAGTGGGATGCCGCCTCCACGTGGAGACGGCCTTGCTGCATGTTTCAACAACAACGCGAACCGCAACCCACCACGAATCTCTCTCGCGAACTATTTTGATGACGTGGCCTGTACCGGGCAAAAGTCTGTTCATTATGTCATCGCGGAGGGAGTCCACGAAGCCGCTTAGGTAGCTGACGCGTTCTGCGTCTGATTTCGCGACACATCCTGTCCCATAACCGACCAAGAACTCAACGCGGCATATTGGCTCGCATACACCTCCCATCTCAAGAATTCACTCGCTTCTCGAAATAACGCCCTGCTGCAACACTCGACAATTACGGCATCACTTCGTATCCAGTAGCCTTCATGTCTCCTTCAAGCAGCTCTCGCCTTCACCTTCAAGCAGCCCTCGCCTTCACCTTCAAGCAGCCCTCGCCTTCACCTTCAAGCAGCCCTCGCCTTCACCTTCAAGCAGCCCTCGCCTTCACCTTCAAGCAGCCCTCGCCTTCACCTTCAAGCAGCCCTCGCCTTCACTTTCAAGCAGCCTTCGCCTTCACCTTCAAGCAGCCCTCGCCTTCTGCTTCAAGCAGCCCTCGCCTTCTCCTTCAAGCAGCCCTCGCCTTCACTTTCAAACAGCCCTCGCCTCCTCCTTCAAGCAGCCCTCGCCCTCTCCTTCAAGCAGCCCTCGCCTTCACCTTGACCGAGAAGTCGATCGGGCGAACATTGAACCAGCCGTCCTGCTTCAGCTCGTAGGCGGGATCAGCCGCCTCAAAGTCGAGGTCCTTGATCAGCTTAGCCGTGACAACGACCAAAAAATCCCATGCCCAGTGCTTGCCGATGCACTCGCGCTTGCCGTTGCCGAACCACTTCTTCGCCCCGGCCGGCAGGGCCGCAAAGGCGTCGCCCAGCATGCGCTCCGGCCGGAAGGCCAGCGGATCTTCGAACACGGCCGGGTCGCGGTTCACGCCGGCGAGCACGATGATCATGGCCTGGCTGTGCGCCACCCGGTACTTGCCGCCGGCGAGCAGCACGGGGCTGTCGTCGCCCTTCTTGGGGATCGGCTCGATGTTGAAGCCGGGCGCGGCGAACGACAGCCGTAGCGTCTCGCGCACGACGGCCGTGATGTAGGGCAGCTCCGACAGGTGCTCGGGCTTCAGCGGCCCGTCGCCGACGACGGCGTCGAGCTCGGCGCGCGCCTTGACCACGACGTCGGGGTTCTGCGTGAGGAACAAGATGCCGGCGGCGATGGCACACGGCGCCGTGCTGCTGCCGATGGGCATGGTCACGATCTCGTCGATGACCTGCGACTCGGTCAGCGCCTTGCCCGACTCGGGGTCGGTGCCGTTCAGCAGCGCCCACAGCAGGTCGTGGCGGTCGGTGGGGTTCCTCTTGCGGTGCTCGACCAGCTCAGCCCCGTAGGCGCGCAGGGTCTTGGCCGACTTCTTCCACTTCCCGCCGTACACGAGCCAGTTGAGGAGCCTGGGCCGGTTCGGCCGCTTCATAGCCTCGGACGTAGCATCTTCCATAGCGCCAATCACGGGATGCGGCGGCCCGTTGATGCTGTCGAGCTTCTTTCCGAACAGTGTGAGCGTCGTGGCTTCGAGGTTGAGGCTGTTCAGGTCGGTCAGCGGCTGCGTCTGGCGGTTGGCCCCGAGCCCCTTCCACTTCGCGATGAGCTCGTCGGTGCATTGGATCACCTCGTCCAGACGTGTTGCGATTGACTGTGTCGATAGCAGCGGGGCGACGATGCGGTGCGCGATGCCCCAGCTCTCCTCGTTGTCGTACGCCGTGAAGAGCGAGTCGTGGACCGTGTCTCGGATCTGGACGATAGGCCCGCCGACAAACTTGCGGAAGCGCTTCTCGTCGCATATCTCTTCGGCCAATGCGACGCTGGCCACAAAGACGATTGTGTGGCCCAGGACCTTGATTTGGAAGATCTCGCCTGTTTGCACGGGCCGTGGTAAGTGCTGTGCACATTGACGCGCCGAGTTGAAAGCATGCCGGAGAACCTGTCAGCACTCACCGTATCTCTCGGCCAGCTTCTTCAGCGACCACCAGGTATTGCTCGGGTCGACATCGAGGAGGTTGCCTACTAACGGGATGCCGGGGGGCTGCGGGATTGATGTTGGGGTCGCCATGGCTGCTTGTAGGTTGGAGAAAAGGCCGGTGTCCGTTTTCGCAGCTGTCGGGCAGCGTCAGGTCAAAAGCTCGGGGAGGGAGGGCAAGAAGAGGGTCAGGGAGCGCAGAACTAGCAAAGCGCGTGGCTGGCGTCGACGAGACGGATCCCGGGCTCCCGCTGCTCGCCATTCCAATTGGCGTCAGTGAGAGGGTGAGACAATATGCAGCGTGACTGGAAATCCCCAATCAGTGAGCGAGCGGGCTCCGCGGTGCATGCATCGCGGGCCTTGCCTGTAGCCCTCCGTCCATCCATTCGTCGCCTGAGGTTGAGGAGTTCGAATTCGGTTACCAGAATTCGAGACTTGCATGTCGTCGGCCCTGGAGTAGGCCCCAGACGCGGATGATCGCCGTCTTTCAGCCAGTCGGGTCCCTGGAACCCGGCCGATCTGCGCTAAATATGCACGCTAATGGGACACGGTGGGGCCTTTGGCAACCCTGGCCGGGCTCTACTCTAGCGGGCGGGACGGGCGGCAGCGGGCCTTTTTCCGAGCATCACAGTCGCGACAAAAGGGTTCGAGGGAGTTGGGCGGTCTTCGGCATACACCTTCTAATGCGCGAGACGGAGACTAGAGATCTCAAGATGGAGACTAGAGATCTAAAGACGGAGACTACAGATCTAATCTCTGTTTCTCGTGTGAGACACGCGCGTCCGGCAAAGCACCTGATAACCCGACTTCCCTAAACCCCTCCGAGGTCTTCAATCGCCACCGCGTCGACCGGCCCGTCCCGCTGGTCTCGTCTGTCGGCGGGAATATCCTCATGTGTGCCAGCCGGGCTGTCAAAAGGTAAACGGATGGCTCCGTAACTCTGCCGGTCTTTCTTGAGCTCGAAGACGGCGATTATGCCCAGCACAATTGTGGCTATCCTGCAATTGCGCGAAAAAAGAAGATGGTCAGCACACACCTGGGCATCTTCCTCAGTCCGCAGAAGACGGCGGCTCGTTCTCACCAGGCGATTAAACCAGTCGTCACGGCGCTCTGTGTGACGATGCACATGTTCGTCTCGGGGGGCAGCATGGGGTTAAAGTAAGTCACTCCCTCACTGTAGCAGAGCGGCCAGGTCCTGCGCACCACGGAAATCGAGGCGAAGGCGCCGAGGCCCAAGGTGAAGACGGCGACACTAGTCCAAGCGCTGCAGAGCTGCGTAAAGCTGTCGGGTCGCTTGTTCCGTGCCAACATGAGGATCGCCAGGCCGGTCGAGTAGAGCAGCTCCAGGGCGACGAGGACGCACTATTTCGGGCGCGTTGACACCAGTCAGCTTGCGGGAGAGCTGGCAGAGTCGGGACAACATACCGACACGACAAACATGACCTCTCCCAGCGGGACCTGGTAATTCTCTAGTTGGCTGTCGGTGCATTGGTATCTGTAGCGCGACACGGCGCAGAAATGGTGGTTGCGCATCCATATCAGATAGCATGCACCAAAGCACGAAATGGAGACGGTCGACAGCTGCGTGGCGCGGAGGAGCGAGACAAGCAATCCGGTGGTCGTCAGGCCTTGGGGCCATTTGATACCAGTCGTGTTCATGGTTGGCGGTTATGCGTTGGTATTTGACGCGAGCAACAAGAAAGCCGTCGACGGATAGGATTAAAGAGCCGAACAGGATTGAATAGACAATTGCACCAAAATCCACGAGACTTTGACTGCTTTTGAAACACGGCACCTCGTGTTTGCTGCCGAGCTCTCGTCTCAGCCGTCCAGTTGGTGGTGGCTGTGTCTGCCAAGTCCGAATTCCTGCGTCCAGCGAGGCAGATTCCTTCTCCCCACTGATGTGAGTAGCTTCAGCCTTATCATTGTCCATGAGCCATCTTGCATTATCGTTGCCATGAACCATCTTGCATTATCGTTGCCATGAGCCATCTTGCATTATCGTTGTCCATGAGCCATCTCGCATTATCGTTGTCCGTGAGCCATCTTGCAATTTGAACTGGACGTAGAGCTGAGTCTTTGCATTCTACTTAGCCTGGTTCCGGCCAAAAATTGTGAGTTTTGGAATTTATTCTCGCAACTGCGTAATTATTTCTGGGCAAATATTAACTTGAGGTCGATTTCATAATAACCTCTTCGCCCACAACTCTCTTCGATCTTATCGAATCAAGATATATATTATCAAAGTGTTAGTTATTCAAAGGTCTATTTACTTATCAGGGTGGGAACTAATTTTTGCTTGGCCGTATCATGGAATATATTGTTCACGTATTGTTCAGTATTAATTTTATTGCTACGTTGTCCATTAATTTTATCGCTACGTTGTCAATTTATTTAACACTTTGCACCAACAAAATAAAGTCCGCAAACACACAAAGCCATAGTACACATAGAGGATGTGTTTCGATTGACGAACTCTATTAGTCTGGTAGGCTCTATTAGTCGGTAGGCACATCAAGCTCAACAGTAATTATTCTTGTTCACGTCAACAATACAGTCAAAGTCCGACAACTAAGCCTCACCATCCAATTCGCATTCTGTCACGTCTATAACCATTCAACATTTAGTTATCAATAAAGGGGCAAACAAACATTCATCTAATTGCCTGTACCTGAGAATTTATCGATCGAACCCATTCCGGTGCACTCCTGTCTTGAAGGAGCCATGGGCAAAGGTTCAACAGGTGCGCATTAGCATCACACAGGGTTTCACAAATAACGAGCATATCGTCAACCCAGCTACACGGTAACAATTTCCGGAGACAGAGTGAGGTTTTATTAGACAACACATAACTATTTATGCATCACCGTGTAGATGGCGAGAATCGTATCGGTACTACGCACAGGCCGAACTATGGCGGTCGACATGAATTTCCTCACTCTGCTCTGATCAAGTTAGACGACGCCTAATCTTATGGCGAGTGAGGACGCAAGCTGATGCTTGTATGGCGAGTCCTCCGGTCCGTGCTCTCACTGAACATCCGTAGAATAGTTGCACTACCCAGAGCCAACAAATTTCCATCAGCGAGCCGTCGGTGAAGCCAAGGGCACACTATCTTGTAGTTCATCCATGTAGGGGATACCCACAGCGATGCATGTTTCGGTGGTTGCGACTGTAGGGGCGGCGATGGTTATATACACGACGCCGCCCACTTTGCGAGTCTTCAATCAGCCAAAATTCTGGAGGTTGGTTGTCCGTCCAAGTTAACTTCGAATGGGCGCCGGTGCGGTGCAATCCATTAATTGCCTTGGTCGGTTTTAGAGTTGATAGCGTACAACTCATCACAGACGGCGTTGCATCGAGACTTAGCCGGGGCCGCTCGAAGACCAGGCATAGTGGAGCCGACAACGAAGAAGAAGCAGCCTTGAGCTAATTGTGCCATGCACTATAATAATGCCAGCGTGGCTGGACCCTGAAAGCCAAAGTGCACCAGACCTGGTCGTTGGTTTGAAACATGGTCCAAGGTCCCCGAGAGACACCAGGTTTGACCAACAACCCACCTTAATTGTCTTCAAACTCCCGAAAGACCCTAGGCTTTCTATATTGGTCATATAGCTGGGTGGAAGGCTGGAATTGTGGGGGCCTTGTTGCTGATTCTTTATTGTTTTGTTGCCAAAAAGTATCCCGAGTGGGGAGTCCAGCTGACGAGCACCGACGCCAGCGCGTAGATCCAGGCGATGCAGTGTTTAGGGCCGTACAATGGGGGCCAAAAAGTCTGGCGCCAAAAAGTCTGGCGGCACCTACAAAAAATGACCCTTTCGTTCAACCACCATAGCTTTCTCATTTCTAGGCCAAAACGAACGCGAATTACACCAAAATGACCAGAACCCAGGGCGTGTACTTATTCCGCCGGCGGAAGTCTGGGCGCTTCTTTTTGTTCTTGGGAGAGATCCAGGGCTTCTTGCAGGCCCGCCTGCAGGCTTTGTTGCATAGTTTGAGCAGCCTACGAGCCGTCTTGCGGCTAAGTTGGTAGCCGGTTTTCGAGGGCGTTGCCAGGGCTGTCAAGGTCTCTGTTCGAGAGTTGACTGCATGCCGGGCCTTCGAGCGGCTCGGTCTTCAACCTTACTTGGCCTTCCGCTTCTGGGCTTTGAAACGAATGGGTTTTCGAGGCCATTGGCTAGGTTTTTGGTGATCTTTTTAACGGTCTTGTTGACAGTAGACCTTCCGACCCCCACTTGTGCCGAGATGGCACCCCCGGTAGCTCCAAAGAGGTGCAAAGCCCAAATGTCGACCATTTTGCACTTGGTTTAGTTGAAAAAGAAGAAAAGAAGGTGAAGAAATTGACCTCGGAAGGTAAAGGATCACCTAGGTCAGCCATGACGATGGTGGCTTATTTTAGTGTGCAAGTGGCGCCAGGCTTTTTGGCCCCCGTTGTACAGCGAGGACACGAGCTGGAAGCGGTCCGATTCTTCCATCGTGGACAATTTCTGGCAGTTTCCGTGAGAGATGGTGTGCGTTGTGCTGCGCATGAAACGGTGGGCAGTTCGATGTGGTTATAAGGCTACAGCTGAGGCGCAGCTGAGGCAGTGCCGGGAAGAGGCATCCGGCGCCCGGCGAATGGTGATCAAAACGAGAAACGAGACTTAAAAGTATCAGGAATCTGTGTAAAATGCACGAACGGACTGCGAACGGTCTGCGAACGGTCTGCGCCGAATGAAACCAGGATAACAACTCTAGTTAAGATATTTGAACAAATTGCTTTCTCCAACTCCAATACTTCGATAACGCGTCTTGAAATGCCAACCTAAGCAAGAAAGGTCAAGTATGGCGGCAATAAAACGGAAACATGATATACCCTCTTGAAAGAAAACGTCAGCAAAACACGTTCTATCTATTACAATCGTCATGACTCCTCTCATCTATCCTATCAGCCCGTCATTCTCCATCTTCGTCCTAACAAACCGACCGCAGCATCGCTAGAGACAACTGATTAGCCATGGCTCGGTAGCAGGTCTCAACATGAACACTTACCAGCCGTAAAGTCAGACCCTTTCAGATCAAACACCAGCTCCTCGTCAGTCTCACTCCCACTGCGGATGAGCTTGGGGCGCGAAGCGATGGGACGCTCGGCATCGGCGCGGCGGTACTCGTCCTCGACCTTGGGGACGACGTCCTGCAGCAGCTTGGAGAGCAGGCCGACGTTCTCAGCATCGCGCGGCACAATGTGGCCCAGGCCGTGGTCGTACATGCGGGCCGAGTCCTGGTCGCACACGTTGAACAGCGCGACGGCCGAGCTCAGGAACGCGTCCTCGCACCCGAAGATGTGGAACGTCGGGATGTCGATCACGATGCCTGACTCGTCGACTAGCTGCGCCACGATCTTGTCTTGGCTCTCAATTTTGAGCGGCGGCGCACCAGAGATGAAGATGGCGAACTGTTTTTGGTGCCTCGTGTCAGATATCCGTTTCTGTGTGATAGAGGTGGAAGGATCCGAGGCATACCTTGATGCGCCGTGGCGCTCCGCTGCGCTTGCACCGCAAACCCTCCTCGACAATGAGGCTGGCACCGACCATAGCGCCCTCCGAGTAGCCAATGATGGCATCGATCTCAGGGTCCTCGTCAATGGTCTTGAAGACACTGTCCATGGCCTCGCGCCAGGCGCGCTGGTGCCAGTCCTGGCCAGAACGCGCCGCCTGGAATGCCCGCATCGTGTCTTCTGGCCTCATGCCATGGGGCACGTGGCGCAGCCGGCGCAGCGTCTCAAAGGCATCTCCCCGCGATGTGTCGAGGAACCGGTACAGCGGCAGCGACCCAAAGTAATCCTCCCATCCCGTTGGCGGCGTCACCTCGTGGATGCCCTGACTGTACGTGAATGTCCCGAGGCCGCGGCTCTCGAGCTCCTCAGCGAGCGGTCCCAGCTGCACCTTGAAGTTCTGTTTGGGCAATATTAGCAGGCCATGGGAAAAGTGGTTGATGATTGCGGTGGCACTTACCTTGGCACTGCCATAGGCTCCGGGAAGGCAAAGGAACTTCATTTTGCGGGCGGTAGTTGGGTGTTAGTGAAGAAGAGAGATGTAAAAACTGGAGTTGGCAGAGAAGCGTGAGTAAGCAGTGGGTTGGTGAACGAATGTTGTTGTTATGTCTGCAGCTGAATGCAAGAAAGAGACGATGGTTTGGGATGATATGAGAATGACTGACTGGTATCGGATCTGGCAGGCAATGTTATACTCTTGTGGCTGATTCCGTCTGCGTGTGCGATTACGCACGCCATGCCTTCATCCATGCAGCGCACAGCTAGGTAAGTAACTCCCGCAGAGGACGACATTCATCATCCCCCGAGGCCTGTGCGTGGCTGTGTGCTTGAACGTTGTGGCATGGAGAATTGTAGCTCCTGTGTAAGCCGCGGCGGCATGTCGCGCTCGCAATTCCATGTTCTGCCCTGAAGCGCTGAAGCTTGTTTGCCTCGTTTCATGCGTGTTGCCCGTGAGGCTGGCGCTTGTCTGCCTCTGGTTGTTAATTTTGTATCTTTAACCTTTGAGTGTGCGTTTCTCCAACGTCGTTAAGCGCGGGCGTTGCGGCCGAACAGCAACCTGCGGGTTGCCACGGTTCTGTGTCTACGAGTAAACATGCGCCCGCTGCTTTGAACCATTAAACTCCTGCATTGCAGCAAGATTGTTCGACGAATCCTGATTGGTGGCCGGTAATCAGGAACCGATAGCATGTGAAGGTGGCTTTGGCGTTTTCACAAGGTTTAGAATAAGATGGGCTTCAGACCAAGCCAGCGGGGCCGGCAGGGCCTGAATAAGTTCCCCCGCCTAGCTGGAACAGCGGCCACCACAGTTCTTGTTCTTGTCTCGCAGCAAGCTTGGCATCTCTAGATTGGGATGACGATGGTCCGATCTGCAGTCGGGCCCCTGAGTTCCAATTTCTGGAGAAGATTGGGATAGATGATGACAGTCGGTGGGTTTCTCGGCATGAACTGGATGGATTGATACCAGATATTGGCAACCTCTCGGCCACAGCCGTCTTGTGATTGCGAGGCGACGTTACCATCATGGACATGGCCGGCCTTGGCAGGAGATTCGAGAGAAATGACTCTCCACGCGCATCCAACTTCTTCAAATGCCTGTTAGCTGCATGGCTAGCGGCCAGCCGCGTGCTGGGGCCGACAACTGTTGGCGAAATTAGGCAAGAAATTCGCCCGCCTTGACTCGCCAGGCAAGCTGGTGTTGCTTGGTGCGCAAGTGTCTTGGTGCGTAAGTGTCTTGCGTGGTGGGTTAAGATAACTCGGTAGTTAGTGCCGGTTGAAACCTTCTGCGCTCGTCCCCTCTTCATGCTTCACTGGTCTCTAGCCGCGCCGAAACCCGCAGGTTACCGGCTTCAAGTTCTCTTCGCCCGACGTAGCGCCACCCCAGGCCGTCTTCTCTCCAGAGTGAACACCCCCCATTCTCTTCAGGTCAAGCGCGCAACTATTCTTAGAGAGGACGAGCTAGTCCGGGCTCTGGGGCTGTCCGTGTAGGGGTGTGCAATGATGCCCCTTAGAGAGTTTAGTTTCCCGCCGCGCGCTGCTAGTGCTGCAAGACGCAGACTGTGCGGTTCAAGTCCAGCAAGGGAAACGACGCACCACGAACGGCCATCACGGTGCTAATGATTGGCCGGAACGTGTTGGTGTTGTGGTTTGAGGCACCGCGTTGTCGTCACCACGCCAGTCGCCTTCGATCATATTATAAGAACACCAAGAGCAGCCAGATATCCAACAAGCCCGGATTTAGAGGACAAACACCAAAGCGAGAGAATAAAAAAACCCCCATAAACACGCGCCTAGTTTCTTTTCTTACTTGCGTTGGTCGCCATATTCTCTCGTTTCTGCAACAACCTGCACCATGGCCGACCAACAACCGCCGATGCCGATTGCCATTGTGGGCATGTCGTGCCGACTGCCCGGCGATGTGTCGACACCGGGAGAGTTCTACCGCATGCTGTGCCGTGCTCGGAGCGGCTGGTCCAAGGTGCCTGCCGACCGGTTCAATGCTGCGGCCTACAACCACCCCAACCCTGAGAAGAAGGGCACCTTCAACTCCCAGGGCGGATACTTCATCAAGCAGGACATCTCAATGTTTGATGCCGCGTTTTTCGACATAACAAAGAAGGAAGCCGAATCGATGGGTACGTGACTGCCGACCTCCTTGCTTGTTTTCTGTGCTCACAGCAAAACAGATCCTGCACAGCGTCTGCTCTTGGAGTGCGCCTACGAGGCCTTCGAGAACAGTGGCATTCCCAAGGAGAAGATCTCTGGGCAAAAGGTGGGCGTCTTCATCGGCGGAAACTACAACGAGCACCGCACCGCCAACCTGCGCGACCTCGACCACATCCCGAGCTTCGATGCTACGGGTAGCCAGGGCGCCTTCCTGTCCGGCCGCGTAGCGTACTACTTCAACCTGCGCGGGCCTTCGTTCACAGTCGACACCGCGTGCTCATCGAGCATGCACGCCATCCATCTCGCCGTGCAGAGCATTCGTGCCGGCGAGTCCGAGTCAGCGATCGTCGGCGCCTCACACCTGATCACCGACCCCGACATCTGGGTGTCCATGGCCAAGCTGCGCCTCTTCGCCGACAGCGGCAAGACGTACGCTTTCGACCACCGCGCCAAGTCGGGCTATGCTAGAGGCGAGGGCGCAGGCTGCCTGGTGCTCAAGCCTCTCGCTCAGGCCGAGGCCGATAACGATCACGTCTTTTCCGTCATTCACCACACAGGCATTAGCCATAACGGCCGCACAGTTGGCATCATGGCCCCGAGCCCCGAGGAGCAGGAACAGCTCATCCGCGACGTGTTTACCCAGGCCCGCATCGATCCTCGCGATGTTGGCTTCTTCGAGGCTCACGGAACCGGCACGAAGAAGGGAGACCCGATTGAGGCGACGGCCATATACAAGGCCGTCGGCAGCCACTTCACGCCCGAGGCGCCGCTGTACATCGGCTCGACCAAGCCCAACGTCGGCCATCTCGAGTGCGCCAGCGGCATAGTCTCGGTCATCAAGTCGGTGCTGATGCTGTACTACGGCTTCGTGCTGCCCAACACCGACTTCGAGAAGGTGAACGAGGCTATTCCGCTTGCCAAGTGGAACATGCGCGTGGCGACGTCGCAGAAGCCGTGGCCGGGCAACAAGAAGTACGTGTGCGTCAACAACTTTGGTTTCAGCGGCTCCAACTCGACGTGCGTGCTCAGGGGCCCTCCCGTGACGCGCGAGCTCGAGATGGGCGATGAGGGCGCGTACACAACCGAGCGTCTTTTCGTCCTCTCTGCCAACGACGAGCCTGCACTCCGGGCGTCCATACAGAAGCTGGGCATCTGGCTCGAGCAGCACGCCGAGCTTTACCAGACCACCATGCCGCGCAACCTGGCCTACACTCTCTGCCAGCGCCGCTCGCATCTCCCCTGGAGAGTGTCCGTCGTCGCGAGCATGTGCGGCGGGCTTGCTACCGCCCTCAACAGCCACGATGTCACGCCTGCGCGGGCGTCGAGCGAGCCCCCGAGGTTGGCGTTTGTCTTCACAGGCCAGGGCGCGCAGTGGCACGCCATGGGCCGCGAGCTGATCCGCACGCATCCCGTGTTTGCCGATGCCATCAAGCGCGCCGATGCGGCCCTACGCGCCGTCGGTGCCGACTTCTCTATCCTCGAGGAGCTGTCGCGAGACAAGAAAACGTCCAAGGTGGGCCTCGCGCACATCAGCCAGCCCATCTGCAGTGCGGTGCAGCTCGCTTTGACGGAGCTGCTGGCGTCGTTTGGCATCAAGCCGACGGCCGTCACTGGCCATTCCAGCGGCGAGATTGGTGCTGCCTATGCCGCGGGTGCCATGACTTTTGACTCTGCCATGGCAGCGGCATACTACCGCGGCCAGAGCATCATCGCCCTGAAGAAGGCACACCCCGACCTCAAGGGCTCCATGATGGCTGTCGGTGCTGGCGCCGAAGAGCTCGGCCCTATGCTCAAGAGCCTGAACATGAAGAGCGGCGCCGAGGCCGTGGTAGCATGCGAGAATTCGCCCTCGTCCACGACGCTTTCTGGTGACGAGGAGGCTATTGACGAGGTGGCGAAGCTCTTCCAGGAGAAAGGCGTCTTCAACCGCAAGCTGTTCGTAGACGTCGCCTACCACTCGCCGCACATGCGCCTGATTGCTAAGGAGTATCTTGACAACATCCGCCACATCGAGGCCCCGAAGGAGATGAAGGCCTCCACCGTCGAGTTCTACTCGTCGCTGCGCGGTTGCAAGATCGGCCTCAACGAGCTTGGGCCCGACTACTGGGTCGACAACCTGACGCAGGCTGTCCGTTTCTCAACGTCGTTGCAGCAGCTGTGCAAGGACCACAAGCCCAACATCCTCATAGAGGTCGGACCCCACGCCGCGCTCAAGGGACCCATCATGCAAACGCTGAAGAAGCTCGGAGCGGCCGCATCGAAAATCTCGTATCTCCCAACGCTGATGCGCGACCAGGATGCCACCAAGACCTGCCTGGAAATGGCAGGCCAGCTGTTCATGCGCGGCTACAACCTCGACTTCTTCAACATCAATCACCGTCGTGAGGAGTTGGAGCGGCCAGACATGGTGTCCGGGCTGTACTCGTACCCCTGGTCCCGCCAGAAGTACTTCGCCGAGTCACGCATCACCCACCAGCACCGCCTCAAGCCGTTTCCGCGCCACGACCTGCTCGGCACTCTTGCCGACTGGTCGAGCGATCTGGAGCCGACATGGCGCAACATCATCCGCATGGAAGACCTGCCGTGGCTGAAGGAGTACCAGGTGCAATCGCGCATCGTGTTCCCGGCGGCCGCGTTCATGTCCATGGCCATTGAGGCAGCGAGCCAGCGCGCGTCCATGAAAGGCACCGAGGCTGGCCGGTTCGAGATCAAAAACCTCGAGATCTCCGAGCACATGTTCCTAGTCGAGGGACAGGAAGTCGAGGTCTTGCTCAACATCCGGGCATCCAATTCTGACAGCAACGAAGACGAGTTCCGCATCTCTTCGTACGAGGCCGGCCGGGGTTGGCTGCAGCACTGCTCAGGCAGCGTCAAGGGGGACGCGGCCCCGCAAGATCGCCGCAAGTCGCCATCGGCGTTCCACCTGGACCCAAAGACAGAGGCCATGTTGCGGGCCGTCACCGACGCCCACAACGACGCCTCCTCCGACTCGGCATCGTCCAACTCCAAGGTGACGTCGTCTGCGGCTTCGGACGCCGGCGCTGGCACAGCCACGCCGCAGACGCCCGACTGCGCGGGCCAGACGTGCGACAAGCCGGACCCTTCCAAGCTGCAGGCCGTGGCAGGCTCCGGACCGAGCATCTACAAGTACCTCGGGGCTCTCGGCGTGGCATATCCCCACGCATTCCAGTCTCTGGTCGAGGTCACGGCCAACGAAACCGAGGTTGCCGCCCACTGCTGCGCGCGCAACACCGTGTCCGACATGCCGCTTGAGCACGAGACGCCGTATAAAGTCCACCCGTCCGTCCTCGACACCATGCTCCAGCTGCCGCTCCTCAGCCTCGGGACCCGGGCCAAGGCAGGGGCCGACGTCACGTACCTCCCGTCAGCGATCAGGCACGTCACGGTAAGCTCGCGGTGGAAGAAGCGCATGAACGAGAGCTTCTGCGCCCACTCAACCGTTGAGCCGCGATCCGGCACCTTCATGGTTGAGATATTCTCGTCGCCCGGCTCGGAAGCTGCCTCCATTTCCATGGCGGGCTTGGAGCTCAAGGCAATGCGTATGGCCGCCCCCGGGCCGGCGAAGCCGCGCGAGCTGAGCTTTCAGTTCAAGTGGGAGAAGGTCAAGCAGCCCGAGGCCAGCGGCGAGGCCAACGGCAACACGCAGAAGGCCGCAGCCAATGTCGTGATTGTCACCGAGGCAGAGAAGAGCGAGAAGGACCCGCTCGTGGCCGCCCTGGTTCGTACGATGCAGGAGCACACCGGGTCCTCCCCTCGTGTGTCGTCGCTCCAGGCCATCAGCGACTGGTCCAGCTCCTTCATTGTCATGTCCGAGATCGAGCGCCCCATGCTCTCGTCCATCAAGGCAGTTGGCCTCGAGCAGGTCAAGCAGCTGCTCACCAGTGCGCCGGCTGTGATGTGGGTGACGCGCGGAGCCACGCGGTTCCCCACGATGCCCAACGCCAACATGGCGCTGGGCCTGATCCGCACGGCTCGCTCTGAACGCGAGGCAGTGGCATCGACGCTGGACCTCGACCCCAGCACCAAGCTCGATATCAACGCCCAGGCAGCGCTGATTCACGAGGCCTTTGCCACGTCGGTGCTCTCCGGCAGCGACGAGTCCGAGATGGAGTTTGCCGAGGAGAACGGCAATCTCACGGTGCCGCGCATCGTGACCGACGAGCAGCTGAACCTCGACGTGCACCGCACCCTAGCCAAGTCGGCGCCGTACCTGCAGGACTTCCACCAACAGGGCCGGCAGCTCCAGCTTGCCTCAAACAGCCAGGCATCTTGCGAGAACTTGTACTTTGAGGACCGCGTCGACTCACCTCTGGCCGGCGACGAAGTCGAGCTCGCTGTCGCTGCCAGCACCCTCACCAAGGACGACGTTGCCTTCTTCGACAAGGACAGCGCCACCGGGCGTGTTGCTCGCGGATGCAGCGGCACGGTCACGCGAGTCGGCCGTGCCGTCCGGGGTGTCTCGGTTGGCAGCCGGGTGGCCGCGCTGGCCCAGGGCGCGTTTGGCACACACGCGCGCGCGCGCGTTAGCAGCGTAGTCAAGATCCCGACGGCGCTCAGCATGGAGGGTGCGGCCTGCGTGCCCACGGCATACAGCGCGGCATACTACGCGCTGACGGATGTGGCGCGCGTGCGGCCCGGCGAGCGGATCCTGATCCAATTCTCGGGCCCTGTCGGCGTTGCGGCGTGCGAGGTGGCGCGCTACCTCGGCGCCAGCGCGTTCGTGCTCGTGCAAAACGACAGCGAGAGCGAGGCGGCGCAGCGCATCGGAGTCGACCGCGAACGCATTCTGGACGCGCGCAGCATCTACCTCCGCCGGCAGCTCGAGGAGGTCACCAACAACGAGGGCATGGAGGTCATCTTGAGCGTGTCGGGCAACGGGACGGCCAAGGCGTGGGAGTGCCTCGCCGACTTTGGGCGTTTCGTCGAGGTGCGCGTGTCGACCGCGCACCAAAGCACCCGCCCCGAGCTGGGCCTCAACACGACCTTCACGTCTGTCGACATGGCGCGCCTTGCTGCGGCCCGCCCGAGGGCCATGGAGGAGACTCTCAATTCCGTGATGGACAACATTGCCTCTGGGGCCATGGCGGCGCCGCTCAAGGCTGCCATCGTGCCCGTGTCGGAGCTCGCCAAGGGCTTGGAGATGGTGCGTGACGGTGCGGTACATCCGATCGTCGTGATTGCAGGCACACAGGAGCAAGTCAACGTAAGTGCCACCAGTTATCCACGCAAGCGAGAACATTCACTGACTTTGCAGCAGGCTACTCACCAGCACTCCAAGTCGGTCTTCCGCGGTGACGGCACCCACATCATCGTGGGTGGAACTGGTGGGCTTGGCCGGTCAATGGCCAAGTACATGGTCGAGCAGGGCGCACGCACCATTGTGCTGCTGTCCCGCAGCGGCGGCGGCGCCGAGATGGTCGAGAAGCTGCAGGAGGAGGTCCAGTGCCCCGACGCTCGCATTCTCGTCAAGAAGTGCGATGCCAGTGACGAGGGCCAGTTCCAGCGCCTGGTTGAGGAGTGTGTCGAGTCGCTTCCTCCGATCTGCGGCGTGATCCACGCTGCCATGGTGTTGCGGGTGAGCCGACGTCAATGTTCCCACATGATAACTGCAGCAACTAACAAGACATAGGACGTTCTCCTCGAAAGCATGAAGCATGAAGACTACGAGCAGGTCATCCGCCCCAAGGTCAGCGGCACGTGGAACGTCCACAACGCGCTGGAGAACAGCGGCGTCAAGCTCGACTACTTTGTCGTCTTGTCGTCGGCCGCGGGAATTCTCGGCAGCCGCGGGCAAGGTGCGTACGCCGCTGCCAACACGTTCCTCGACGCGTTCGTGCAGTACCGCGTGCGCAACGGGCTCCCAGGCACTTCGCTCGACTTGACGGCGGTGTTGGGCGCGGGCTACTTGGCCGAGAACGAGGCGCGCGAGGAAGATGTCCTGCGCAACTTTGGCAACGAGACAGTCGACGAACAGGAGGTGCTCGCGCTTCTGTCGGCGGCCGTGCGCGGCATGTGTGCGCCGCAGTGCCTTACGGGGCTGAAGCTGCACCTCGGCGGCGACGGGCAGTGGCCGTACTACGCCAACGACCCGCGCTTCGCCGGGCTCAAGGCCGAGAGTCTGGCGGAGGCGGAACGCGCGGGCCTCGTGCCCAAGCAGGCCGTGTCGCACGGCAACGCGTTCCGCGCGGCCAAGTCGGACGACGAGGCGGCGGCCATTGCCGGCCAGGGCATTCTGCAGAAGCTGTCCGAGGTGCTCACCATCTCGATGCAGGATCTCGACGTCGAGCGCAACATCACGTCGTACGGACTCGACTCGCTGACAGCCATCGAGCTGCGCAACTGGATCGCCAAGGAGCTCCGCGCGAACTTGCAGATCTTGGAGCTGTTGTCGAGCGGGACCGTCAACGACCTCGCAGCACTCATCATGCAGAAGACGCGGGCTGCATGAGGGAGAAGATTGATGGTGTTGATGACAGATGAATTTGAATGGGGCCTCCAGTTGGATATTGTATGATTATTAGTTTGAAGCCCAGGGGGCAGGTTATTGCGAGCAACGTTCTCTAACTGACTTGTTGTTGGATCAGCTGGAGCATGCGGCAGGATTTTCTTGCTCTGTATTACCTTTCTTGTGATGTGTGCTTTGTACTTTGCGTAATAAACTGCCTTAGTTAGACATTTCGAATACTTGATTCTTAGCAAGTCAATTCTTACTGTGAAATGTTTTCTGTCGATGCATTCCGTCCAGAATGCTTTTTGTCGATGCATTCCGTCCAGAATGCTTTTTGTCGATGCATTCCGTCTAGATTGTGAGCATTTTGAAGCGGGTCAAAGTCATCAAACCGCCCTAGACAAAGAGCCAACCACTGACTGCCATTGCTTCCGGAAGTCAGCCGCAGTCAGATTACTTTTCATCTCTTGTGCAAAGCTGCGGCACAGCAATCGCTCCCGAGCAGCAACAATCTGAACTAGTGCTTGCGGCATTGGTGCTTGCGGCATTGATGCCGAGAAGGACAAAGGTAGGTAGCCATCTCTTGGTGTTGCGGTGTTGGTGTTGCGGGGTGGAAGACGGAAATGCGGCGAGGGCGTTTCTTGGCGATGAAACCGAAGCCCGCCACTGACGCTAGGCCTTCCAGGGCGCAGCCAAGCCACGCCACAGGGACCATGCCCCTCTTCGGGTATCGCCGCCCTCAACTGTCCCCTTTTGATCCGCTGGTCAGGATACTCCGTGCAATCCAGATATTTCCGTCCGCTCAGAGCAACCCAATCCCGCTCTGGCCTGACTACGTTAATGCTGCAGATGCCACGCTGCTCGCCAATTCAATTGCTGCAATGTTTGCCCGAGGTTTCGGTTGTCTGGCTCGGCTGAAACCAGAAACGTCCCTTCCAGCCGCCAACCTCCCGTCGCTAGTCCCAACGGGATTCGCTTAGCAATGCAGCTGCATTCAAGCACGGTCTCACTGGAGCTCCGTGGCCAATTCGCAGAATTCCACCACCACCCCATTGTGGGTGGCCCCTAGGTTGCTCACGCAACACATCCGACCCGGCCACTCCCACATCTCAGCCACGCCGACGCACCTCGCTCACAGCGTCCGAACCGAATCGCGCCCCCAGCTGCGGCCGTGGAACCGCGCCTCGTTGAACGCGAAGCCCAGCCCACGGGCACGTTGCGACCATGACCGAGGCGGGGCTCAGCGGGTCGGCCCTCACCTCTTCAAACCTTCGGGTTCTGGAGGAATCCGCCGACACCACTGCCGCTACCACTACCAGGCAGTCTCCGCCGCCGCTTCCGGACCAGTCCACCGTGGCTTCCGGGGAGCAAGGCAGCCACTTCTCCACCGGATTTAGCGTAGCCACTCGCCTAGCCTGCCATTCTCCGTGGCCCCAACCCGCTAACGCATCCACAGATAGACGACGATGACAGCAGCGACTCGGCCTTGGGTGATGTCGACGGGCGGTGAGTCTCGAGGCGAAGTAATGAAATGCCGGCCGCCGCTGACCGCACCCCAGCCAATCCACCCAGTCCGTGAGAGCCAGCATCTACGAGTACATCGAAGAGCACGGCAGGACCTTCCACCGCTACAAGCAGGGCAAGTATTGGCTCCCCAACGACGAGGTCGAGCAGGAGCGCCTCGACCTGCAGCATGCCATTTTCACCATGCGTCTCGATGACCGCCTCGGCCTCGCCCCTATTGAGAGCCCGCAGTCCGTTCTCGACGTGGGCACCGGCACTGGCATCTGGGCCATCGACTGCGCGATCAAGCACCCCTCGGCCAACGTGGTCGGCACAGACCTCAGTCCCATCCAGCCCGAGTACGTGCCGCCCAACTGCCGCTTTGAAATTGACGATGCCGAGGACGAGTGGGTCTTCTCGGAGACGTTCGACTACATCCACATGCGCATGATGTTCCACTGCTTCAAGGATCACCAGGCCGTCATCCGCTCTGCCCTCGGCCACCTGCGCCCCGGCGGCTACATCGAGTTTCAAGACTGGAGCTGCGTGCTGCAGTCAAGCGACGAGAGCATCCGCGACACGCCGCTTGAGAGGTGGTCGCGCCTGTTTGTGGAGGCCGGCGGCCGCCTCGGCCGCGACATGCTCGCGCCCAAGAAGTTCAAGCAGTGGCTACTCGACGCGGGCTATGTTGACGTGACTGAAACGAAGCTCGCCGTGCCTGGAAACCCCTGGCCTAAGGGCCGAGAGAACAAGCGCATGGGGTACCTGCAGATGACCAACTTCCTCGACGGGCTCCACGGCTCCACCATGACGCTGTTCACAAAGGGGCTTGGCTGGCCGCCTGAAGAGGTCGAGCTGTTTCTTATCGACATGAGAAATGCCATCAAAAACTCGAGCATACATTTTTACTGGACCACGTAGGTTGCCAGCTTCCCGCCGGTCAGACTCGTGCTAATCGGCACAGATATGTTGTCTATGGCCGTAAGCCACCGCTCTAGCCATCTTGGCTGTGCTCTGCTGAGTTCCGAGGTCAATTTTGAATTTTTCTTTGCGCTATGTCTGTCGTTTCTTATTTTTGGCGTTTTTTATTTTTGTCGATGCGTGGCATTGTTCAGTGAATACTTGTAGCGATGGAGTTGGGGTTTTGACGAGAATTTAGAATCTCGATTTTCAAAAAAAACGCAGCTGGACCGTCTCTGGTTGGATAATTAACAGGGTAATCAACAGGTTAGAAACGTGTTCAGTCTAAGATCCGCGGGATTTGCGAATTTGAATTCGCTTAGAATGCGTGTCTTTGTCCCCACCGCCGCAGCCGCCAGCCCGCCGCGCGGCGTGGGCATGCGGCCGGCTACCGTCGTCCACCCAGCAGCCACGTCGAGCAGGTCGAGCACGAACACGGTATCCCTGGTCTCCGTCGCGCCGTCCTGCCGCCCGCCCAGCACGTAGAACTTGGACCCGACCTGCGCGTAGCCGGCGTGGGCCACGGCGTTAGCGTGGTTGAGCGGCACGGGCAGCGGCGGGCCCTGCGACCACGAGTCACTCGTGAAGCCGTACAGCAGCACCTGCCTCGTCGTCATGTTGGGCCCCGATTCCCCGCCGATCGTGGCCAGCTCTATCGGCCCGAGTGTGGGCATCGTCAACTCAGCCGGCACGGGCTCAAAGAGTGATTCACGAAGGCCATAAAACTTCAAGTCTTCAGATAGAAGGCCAGATCGATTTGAAGCTGCCTAGGTCCTACCAAGTTTACTTATTCCTGATTCTGCAAAGAAGGCGCAGACGTCAGTACCGTGGGAAGTAATTAGTCACTGTAACTAGGACTAGAGCTAGAAGCGCTAGATATATTGATTTCACTCTCGGCACCTGTGGCATTGTTAAATCGTACTCCTAAGATAAAGCCAACATAGCAGGCATTTCTCCGCGATTTATTACCCACACATTTATAGACACTCTCCCGCAAACAAAGGTGCTTTAACCAGGGCTACCTCGCAGGCTTCAAAGAGGGCAGTTCACCATTCTTACAGATGTGACAGAAGCTGGGACTAGGTTGGGGTTGCCGGGTGCAGTGAAAGGTCCCTGGCACGAGCTCAGGTCCACCTGGCTCCTTATGGGACCAAGTGAAATGAGGATCCCCACGCAGTCGGGAAACTCGAAAAGCTGCACGGAGCATTCATCGCTGCCTCCACCGGCAGGTCTGGGAGAGTTGAGGAAAAGAATAGGTTATTAGTCCATAACGTCGTTTTTCTGGCGGATATGAGATAAAAGCAGCACCGTTACTTACTCGATACCGTTCCATGCCACATTCAGATCAACACATTACTCATTACTAGTAAGCGACTGGCTTCCGGCACCTAATTGATAGCCATGGGGGCCGTTGGGTCTTTAGAAAACGTGTCGTCTGGAATTGACCCACTTTTCATGGAATTGGACAGGCCCTGGTTGACATGCCTCTGAGCTTCCTTCATTCTTTGTTATTTCCTTCATTCTTGACTCGGAATGTCCTCATTTCATTCGGAATGCCCTCTTTCGGGCTGATTACAACGCCTCCCTTGCCCTCTCTCCATGAGTATAAGGAAGCGTTCTTTTCTGTACTTTTAGACCTATTGAGCAGACAATTCAATGCGCTGTCAACTTCGATCGTGTGCAACAAAACGACATGTTAGCTTGGACTCCACCAAGTATCGGCCGTGACTCTGCCGCGGGGAAATAATTGTTAACAAGCAAGCCACCCACCCATCAGTGAAGCCTTTGAGAAACACGCCAGCCTATGTCGTAGCGGCCAACGCGGCGATACCGAGCCACTGGAAATATTGTGGGCACTCGGTGCCAGAGAGGAACGGGTAGAAGGCGGCGCGTGGAGGGGTAGAAGGACCTTCAGAACCTGCATTTTGGTTTCGGCCATGTTGTCATTTGTCTGTGGGAAGGCTGGCAACCACTTTTTGAGGTGGCCATCGAGGTGGCCATTTGAGTGTAGGCCGTGCAACTAGCATCCTCTTTAGGAAGTGCATTGGTGATTTAGGAATTCGTCCAATTAGCAACAGGCCTTTGGAAGTTAATATTCAGTGAGATCCGTGCGGGGTTTCGAGGCTTTTGCAGACAACAACTTGAGGCCTGTCTTGATATGATGCGGAACTAAAGTCCGGGGCAACAGGCCACTTGGTTATGCTCTACGTTAGGTAGACATGATCTTGCCGATATTTAAATGTATTCAACTAAGTTCAAAGCGATAATGAAATTTTGGGGATCACGTACTACTTCCCCTGCTCTCCAGGAATAAACGGCGACCTGCCATAAGGATCTGGGATAGGAAACTATGGCAAGTAGGATGTAGGCACCTGGATCGTCTGAGAACATTTCTTCATGGTCTGATTCCTCCCCCACACCACATACCACGATTTAGGAAAACATTTCAATTAATGTCGGGTGTTGCCGGCTAGTATTAGTGGGCCCGCACAGATCTGACCTGGGGAATAAGAGAGAGGGGAGTCCCTCTTCCGAATATGCATAGTATGTGGAAGCATATCGACTCAAAGGCAATTGTAAGTTTTGGGATAGGTACGTCGATGTTTCCGTGTCAATAACCGAGTGAGTATTGGCCAAATTACCGTGTCATCCAATATGACCGCATCCGCATAACGAGCAGAAATACTAGATAATTATGTCGTTGGGATCGCGGCAACGCAGCTTGAGTAGCACTCTGTAACAGTGAGCCGTTACACCAGAAGGTGCAAAACAGATATCTACCTATTGCCTTGCACTCTGGGCAACAGCAGCGATGTGCTCGCAACCCCCACAACACTCTGCCTCCAACATGGAACACTGGCTGGTGAGGTGTAATTGGTGTGACATCTCTATCGGCCTACCTGCCTGGAATACCATATATACCTTTTCAACGCCTCATTCGGTAGCATACGTAGAAAGCTTCAATCCGTATAGAAAATAAACAAGACTAGGTTGACGATACTTGAGGCTTGGCGGCGCCCACAGCTGGGGCCGCAGGCTACACCACCAAGGCTTCGTGCACGGACCATCATGAGGCCCGAGATGCACGCAGAGAGGCCCAAGTGACCTGAAACACCTACTGCGCTCCGTCACTAGCGCTCCACGCTCAGCGAACTGGAACTCTGGAGGCTTGGGCTGCTGGACGGGAAAGCCGTCACCAGACGTGACGGCGCATTTCGTGAAAGGCGCGAAACCGCAAGTCAGCCAGCTAGGCATGGATAGGTATTCATTGCGCGGCAGTCCGCAGCCATATCCTCCGTTGGCCACTGGAAGACGCTGAATACACAGACTCCCGACAGCAGCGGCGGCTCAGCCCCACCAGCTGACGACTTCCAATACAGCCCAGTGGGCTTGCTACTTGGCAGGTTATTTCCAGCACCCACGCGCCTTCCGCACTGCCCGTTCCCTAGCCTTCCGAGCCCAGCTCGCGGAAGCCAGTTGGGCGCGCATGATTCCGAGTCTACCGCACCGTCGCGTTCAAGTCTTCAGCCGATCTGTCGGCGTGCGAGGGTTTACACTTTGCATGCCGAACTCCACTGGTCCGCTGCCCGACCTTGGAAACCTAAACACGACCGCGCCCAACTCGAAGACGCCCGACGCCACGAACTTGTTCAAAACCCGAGTGCGGCGGCATCTCTGCCACTTCTCCGCGGATACAACTCTGCACCGTGACCATGGCGACAAGGCCCCATGTGGAAGCGAGGTCGTTGTCGACCATCAACTACCTGGCCGCAAACCCCCCGCAATACCCCCACTTTCCTGAACTGCGCGAGTCTCTCACGCTGTACATATCGCGCGTGCCGGGCACTCGAGGTCCGTACATGCACGCCACAGGCCATGTGTGATCACTGATCACCCGTCCCGCAAGCTGACGACGACCGACAGATATCATTCTCTCCACGTTCAAGCCGCATCGCAAAAACGTAACAGCCGAGGACGTCGCCAACTCCCTGTATTACGTCCATTTTGATCTCCCTACCGATGAGCTGCTCACAGCCGCCCGCCGGCTCGGGGATGCGACCTCGCCTCGCTCTAGCAACGAGAGCGCGAGGAGCGCGATCCCCAGGAAGCCATTGCCAGCCTCTGCGAGAGTGCCGAGGGCCGAGGGTGTTGCGTTAGATACCCCTGCACCGTCCCCAATCCCAACGGCAACCCCCCAAACCCCCAGCTTCGTTGGATATGGCAGCCCCGAGAACTCAGTGCTCTCTCCGAGTCCGGACCTAAGGCCTGCAGACATGGACGCCGATGGGTATCGTGCGAACCCAATGTTTCGGCCGCGAGCCGGCGCCGGGACGCTCGGGTCCCCGCCGTCCCCCTTGCCCCTGAACAAACCTCCGCCGTCACCAGTAATGACCACCACACTGCGGAAGCCGCTGGGACCTCGTCCACAGAACTTGCCTATAGCCTCGGAGACAGGCATGCCGGAGCCTCCCCGCCCTTTGGCGCGAGAAACCCCTTCTACCCCCGCCCAGTCTAGCTCCCCGCCTATGGCCCAGGTGGCTGAACCTGGACGGATCGCATCGCCATCCTACCTGTCAACGCCGAACATGTCGTCGTCCCCAGCGAAGCGAAGCCGAGCCGCATCTCTCCTGCCCTTCTCCCTCACGCTTATCCGCCGCGATCCAACCTCGGGCGGCCAGTGGAACATTGGCAAAGTCACTTCGTTCCAGACCAACATCCCTACGCCCGACATGGCCGACCCAAGCCTCAACCCGGAGGACATGGGCGACCTCGCTCGCGCGCACAAGATCGACATCCACCTCGAATCGTCAGGCTATGCCAAGTATCGTGGCATGCCCAGCCTTGCGGCCGTGGATGCCTTCCGCAATGCCCCGGGGCAGTCCTTTGCCCAGATGGCGAGCGGTCTCGGCTCCGCGATGGGGGGAAACATGGCCGCAGCCCCCAAGTCTACGTATAACCATATCGAAGGCGGCTTCTCCCGACAGGTCGTCATGTCGTACACGAAGAGCTGGACATCAAACATTAAGAGCGCGTTCCGCCGCCATGACCGCCCCGGGAGCCGCGAGGGGAAAGGCGATGTCTCACCCGAAGACCTGTTGCCGCCAAAGTCGCTCCACCAGCGCCATGGGAGTGCCTCGACGGTGGGCTCGACGGACTCGGCGGCGTGGGGTGACGGGCGCGAGATGCAGAAGGCTGATGGGCAGGGGCGCGAGGAACAGCGAAACGGAAAGGAAGGGCCGCAGCTGATCACACAGCCAGGGCCAGGCCTCAGGCCGAAAGGGTACGTGTTTCTCAGCCCATGGGACGGGCAGTGCGAATTCCGTACGAGCAGCAGTGGCCGGGGTCTGAAGTGCCGGCACGTCCTCGACCCGAAGAGCGCCAAGTTGGACCCCCGCGAGGTGGCCCAGCACATGCGCGAAGCACAAGCCATGGGGCGGTCCCGTGGAGACGAGTTGACCTCGGCCCTAGCGGGAGCGAAGCCCATAAGCGAGTTGCGGTTCAATCTGCCGGGTGGTGATCTCTCGTCCGCTCGGGACGGCGAGGGCAAGAAGAGCCGCTGGGACCATCATCACCTGCAAGACCAGTTCAGCAAGCTGCTGCATTTCGACCCACAGAGCAGCGGGGATGACGACGACGACGAGGATGCGCCGATGGATCTGAGCCTGGGTAGGGAACAGGCCGGAGGCGGCACTCGGGGCAACAGGGCTAAGCTGGGGAAGCTCATAATTCACGACGAGGGACTGAAGATGCTGGATCTGGTGGTTGCTGCGAACGTGGGGGTTTGGTGGACGACCTGGGAGCGGACAATGTGAAGAATGGACGCGACGAGAGACAAAGACGTAATGTTCTGGGCTCTGGCTGTTGAAGCCACGGCTGTCCCCAAGTTGAGAGATACCCCTTAACCCATATAGTATAGTTCTACGGTAAATAGACTTACTGCCGACGACCTCTTTCTTAATATACGTCGGGCCTTTTTTTCCGACAGTTTGTCGTGGTTGTTGTCCTTTTTGCTGGACCGTGGGAGTCACGTGACCGGGGCGACAACCCACACCACCCCGGGTATCCAATCAGCAGGTCGGAGTAGTAATCCCGCGAAATCGTCGCTCAAAATCCCGATAGTTTGACGTCCAGGGATCAATCCATCACGTCAAAGCATCCGCCGGGGGGAGCTCTGAATCTCGCTTCCCACGTCGCCACTTCCAATCTGAGCTGCCGGCCGCGCCTTGAGCTCTGCAGCCCTGCTCAATTGGCCCTCGAGAACGACTACTCGCCCCCGAATCGAGGAGCTTGATTGAAACTGCCGCCTCTCGCCCCAGCCGAAACGCAGTCGACGACGGGACCTTCGAAACCCCTCACCTCGACGGTGACACGATAATTTGCAACCCCCTCTCCCGCATCACATCCACCGCGATGCTTCCTGCATCCGCTGCCTCGGCGGCGGCCCGCCAGCTGCAGCTCGCCCGCGCACCCTCGGCCATCCTCCGCACAGCGCCCGCCGCGGCGCAATGGGCCATGACGACACGCCGGAGCTACGCGACGCCGTCGGGCCCGCCGCCAAAAGGCTTCCGCATGAAGCCGCCCACGCGGTGGGACGAGGAGAGCGAGAGCACGCTGGACAAGACGGGCCGGTACTTTCTGCTGACTGAGATGGCCCGCGGCATGTACCTGCTGATGGAGCAGTTCTTCCGGCCGCCGTGGGTGCTCCTGACTGGCTTGTGGGCGTGGAAGCGGCTTGTGCTGATGATGGCTGGACAGATACACGATCTACTACCCGTATGAGAAGGTGCGTTTGCAAGTCTTTTTACCGGAGCGAGGCTGGACTACGCCACTTCTAGTGCCCTTGTCCAAGACTAGACAGCTCTCGACATCCCAGGGACACGGAACGGGAGGCATGTTTGCGCTAGATAATGGAGGCTAACACACTGCCAGGGCCCGATTTCCCCCCGGTTCCGCGGCGAGCACGCCCTCCGGCGCTACCCGTCGGGTGAGGAGCGATGCATCGCCTGCAAGCTGTGCGAGGCCATCTGCCCGGCGCAGGCCATCACGATCGAGGCCGAGGAGCGTGCCGACGGGTCCCGGCGGACCACGCGCTACGACATTGACATGACCAAGTGCATCTACTGCGGCTTCTGCCAGGAGTCATGTCCCGTTGACGCCATCGTCGAGTCGCCCAACGCCGAGTACGCGACCGAGACCCGCGAGGAGCTGCTCTACAACAAAGGTACATCTGCTGTTTACTGGGATTCTTCTTCTGGAGATGTTGCTAACCATAGCGCAGAGAAACTGCTGGCCAATGGAGACAAGTGGGAGCCTGAGCTGGCTGCTGTTATCAGGGCTGATGCGCCCTACAGATAGGCGCTTAGTGTCTATGGTGCGTGGGCGGAATCTTCGGTGAAGCAAGGCACCCCTAGTTTGTAGATAGACCTGTAAATACCTTGCACGAAGCCCCTTAGCTATGTCTCATGATCCGGCTCTGTCTGTGCCCGCGTTTGTCGGCTGGAGCAGTGACCGGGTTCTGTGCTGCACTAACACAGTTGGCCTGTATCCTTGCTGCTAGTTACACAGTATTAGCGCACCAATTGGAACCGCACACACGTGATGTCGCACGGGCCACTACACCCGAGCTTCCCTGAGCTTGGTTGATGGCCGACCGAGAAATTTATCACCACCATTTCGTGCTCCACTGGACTGCTAATTCTCGATCCATCCCAATCCGCTGCCCGTCCCAATCCGCTGCCCGCCCCAACTGCCCGCCTGCCACCGAATCGAAGCTGATCAATCTCAATCTCGACGGATATTCACAATCCAAGCCGCAGCCATGTTCCGCACCGCCCTCCTGCGATCCTCGGCCGCGATGGCCGTAGCCACGCGCCCCGTCTCGGCGAGGACATTAGCTACCGCCGCCGCGCCCGCCCTCCGAATCCAGTCCTTTGCGCCCAAGAAGCTCGCCGCATGGCAGGCCGTGCGGTGTTACTCTGCCGCTGGCGGTCTGGACAAGAACACGGTCTACGAGCGCATCAAGGTGCTGCTGCAGGGCTTCGACAAGGTGCGTTCATTCTCTGGACCGACTAGCTTGGGGCGTTTGCTCGGCTGTCCACTCCTACCCGCCCCATAAAATAACTACGGGATGTCGTGGAGCGGGATATCAGCGATGGCTGCTTTGTGTCCGGGAACTCTGCCGGCACGAAATTGCAAGCAGGAGATGACATCAGGAAGCTAACTGATCTTCGTCCATACAGGTCCAAGACCCTAACAAAGTGAGTCTACTTTGAGCTGCTTACTACATACCATGGCTCGCCATATTGACGAGCGCCGCTTGGCGACGCACAGATCACAGAGAAGTCGCATTTTGCGAACGACTTGGGGCTGGACAGCCTCGATACCGTCGAGGTTGTGATGGCCATTGAGGAGGTACGTGTCCTTCTGCGTCAGGAAGGCGCTATATTAGATGCAGAGACTGCCGTCTTGCTACGGGCAGTTTGCGACAGTTTTCGGTGCACTAACAGGCCTGCCCGCATAGGAGTTCAGCATCGAGATCCCGGATAAGGATGCCGACACGATCCACAGTGGTATGTCACGATTCGTCCTCCCTGACCGAGTTTTGTGGTTGAAGCTGATACGTGTTTTTGGGACAGTGGACAAGGCTGTAGAGTACATCGTCAGCCAACCCGACGCCAACTGAGCGGACTGACTGCCACGATCTCTGCCTGTACCCAGCAAAGGGCACCCAAAACAAGGAAATAAGATTCACAAACAGAAGCAGCAGAAAGGTGTTTTCTTTACACATTGTAGAGCTAGAGCTAATAAAACCCAACTTATGTAACAACATATGCAAGTGGAGTGCCTTGGAGATCACGCAAAGCATCCTTCTTTTCATGACCAGGTTGAGTAAGAAAACAAAAATTACATCCTCACAGACAAGACCCCGCAAGAGGGAAATGACACGAAGCCGCAAAATATAATGTGACGCCTGTAAATTATCAGATCCGCCCGGCCAAATCCCCCAACCCGCCCTCAACCCGCAACAACCGCCGCAAATGTTTTTCCCATCCCCTTTAACATGGAAATGCCATAGTAACCGTTTTGCCCCGCTTTGTTTTCAACGTTGTATCTGGAGCAGTGCAGAGAAGTGGAAGAGAAACTCTCCAAGAAACATGGTGTCTCGGCGGCACAACTCATTACCCTAGGTGACTGCGAGAAGATCGCCATGAGAAACAGACAGAAATCCAGCGCCGAAGAAAAAAAACAAAAGAATAGAAGGACCCGTACTGTGCCAACGCACAATCGAGCCGCTGTATAGAAAATGCCTCAAGTAAGGAAGCCGAGGGACGTCTCTTCGATATATGTAATGCGTGATATGGCAGCTTGACAAAAAAACACACCTGGCCATCGCTCATGCAGTCATTTCGCGTCTGTCCCTTTCTTTATGTTACGTGGTGCTTGCTGATGACACGTGGCAAGTCTCGATGTCGTATTCTCATCTGCCCCCAACCGTCTCGACTGTGCTGGCTCCGTTGCGAGCGTTGTTGACGCCGGCACCGCTCGCGATATTTCGGTTGCTGGCTACCGCGGCAGCGTAGCTCCACTCGTTGTTGAGTGGGCTGGTGGCGCCCAGGTGACCCCCCGAGGCGCGCTTCCTGGCTCGGATCTGCTCTTCGTCTTCGTCCTCCATGCTGAACACAAACGACGTGTCTTCTTCGTCAATAGGCGTCGTGAAGCGCCCTGTCACGCTCGAGCCGATCGAGCCGCTGCTGACGTGCCGCTCGAGCCCCCGCTCCTTTTCCCTCTCCTTGCCGATGACCCCGGCGCTGATCGACCCCAGGCCATTTGAACTGGGATTGCGAGTCACATGGGGATGTAGATGTGGGCTGGAGCCGCCAGATGCATCCTCTGCCAGCCGTGTCCGCTGCATCTGCTGTGTAAGAAGCGCCAGAGAGTCGTTCTGCCAGCTGGCAGATGCCGATTTGCCGTTGGCCGAATCGCCGTTCAGCTCGGCGTTGAGCGCGCCGGCCAGACTCGAGTTTCGAAGGGGGCTGCCGACGTGGCCGAACGCGGACGTGTGCTTCAGCGATCGGCCTGACCCTCCCGTGTACGATGTGCCGTTATCCTGCAACGCGTCCTCTTCCTTCTGCCGCTGAAAGAGTGTACCCCACCGGCTTGGGCTCGAGGCCGTTAGGGGGCTCCCGAACTTAGATACGGGAGACGACTCTGGCATTTGTTGCTCCATGTCGACGGCGCGCAGGGTGTGAGTCGCGGATCCCCTCCTAGCCTTCTCGGCTGGCGTGAGCACCTCGTTGGCCAAAGCACCGGGCACGTAGTCCTCTTCAAATAGAAACTCGGTCTCCCAGTCTCGATCGATCTTGGGCGCGCTGCTGCTCATCAGCCGCGGCTTCGTATACCGCAGCGAGCTGCTGTGCATTGCCCGCCTTCCAAAGTATTCATCGTTAGCCAGCGCCGCGCCGTGCATTGCCGAGCCAGTCGGCGGACTGCTCGCAAAGCCGTTGACCTCAGCAGCGGCTAGGGCCGAAGGTGATAGGTGCTCGCTGCTGCCAAAGGCCGATGTGTGCAGGAGCTTTAGCGTTTCCGATGTGCGCGCATCTTTGGCCGAGTTGAGCGACGGCGACGGGGACTCGAGACCGAATTTGCTTGGCATCGACGACGGCCACGGGCCATAGCGGGCGGCGTGCGAGATGCCGTTGCTGTCGAAGGAGGCGGGCAGCGGCGCATCGAGAACCGACAGCCCCTTTACGTTGACGGGTGAGAGGCCGAGCCCGAAGCGGTTCACGTCTTCGTCGCGCGGGGAGCCATAGGCCGAGGCGGGGTTCGAGGTGTATGTTGTGTCGATGACGGGCAGGCCGTTCTCCAGGCTGGGTTGGCGGCCCAGCTGGTGGCTGTATCGGTCGTCTTGGAGGGCGTACGGGCTCGTGGCAGTATAAGGCGGAAGGGCGTCGGCACGCAAGAAGGAGTTCGTCAGGGCACTGTTGGACGGTGTGTGGTACGTGGTGGGATTAAGGCGAGCACCAAGCGTGACAGGCGATGACCCTATTGTCACACCGTTCTTGCCGTAGTTGATGCGGCGCCCGTCGGGCAACACGTGGATATTAGCGCATTTCGGACCAAACTTGCAGTTGCCCTACCGACGTGACACGGCGAGTCAGTAAAGCGTCGCTGGGAACATCCTTGCACCGCAGCCTAAAACACGCACCTTTGCGAAGTATTTGCACACATTCTCGGCGGCCTGGCTGAGATCGTGACTGAAGGGGCAGGCATTGCCAGCCTGGCAGGCGCCTTGCCGGAAGAACTTGCAAGGAACGTGCGATGTGTCTGTTGCGAGCGAGGCGCCCGTCAGCTTTGGAGCAGAGCGTGGCAACGCGCGGTGCTCGTTGCGCGGTGCGCATGGCGGTTTCGCAATCGCGGGGTGACCGCGCACCCGGCTGAGAGCCATGGGTTTCGGAAGCAGTGGGAAGGACGGCGACTCACTTGGAGGGCTCCGCGGGCCGTCAAATCTGCTCGCGGGAGGCATTGGGCCCATCATACCATCAGAGTGGTCGCTCTGCGGCGGGATGTTGAGGCTTCCGCTACGTAAATGACGGAATTCAGGCATTGTTTTGGAGTGGATGCCGAACGTGCAAGAGCGGGCGTCGAAAGGGGGGGTTAGATTTGGGCGGTGGGAGGGGCGGCCCGATTCTGCGGCGGTGGAGCGCAAATGCGAGCGGGCGTCGTCAATTGGACATGCAACGAGGAGGCCGCGACCGAGGACGGATATTTACGACGAGACGACAAGACCAGATGGCGTGACCCGTGGCAGCCAAAAGGAAGCTATTCCAACCCCCAGGAAGCGGCAGTGATAGGGTATTGTCGGATAGGGACCACGGCGGCAAGGAGGAGAGGGGAGATACGGAGTAGCGGGATGTATGAATGTGGCCAGCCGAGCGCGGTCGCTGCTGCAGGGAGGCTAGGACGCGCTGCTAGAGGACTCACGGCTGTCGGGTACCCGCCCCCAAGTGCGGCAACGACTGGGACGGAATCCGTACTGTGCAGTGCAACTCGAACCTCGAACCACAATCTCGAGTCAAGACGGCGGGAGCAGTCCAATGACGCCGCGCAGGGCAATTTTAGGTTGCAGACAGCCCCAGTGCCCGGGCGAGCCTAGAAGAGCTGCGACGCACTTTCTGGCGGAGACGAATGAACCGGGACGACGTGGAACTGCGGCGTCAATCTACGGGCTGCAACCAGGTAAGAGATCGCGGGCTGATGGGCCGGTTAAGAGCGATTGGGATGGAGGGGGCACCGACACGAGCACAAGGGAGCGAACGAGGTGGACGGGACTGTGCAGCAGCGGGGTTGCTTCTCGGCTCTCTTTTAGGGCTTTTCCCCTCGCTGCTTGATGCGCGACAGGCAGGCTGGTGGGAGCTTGACTCAGATGATGGGTGTCTTTTATGGGATGGATTTTGGCGCTGTCCAGGGTTAAAAGTGCGGAGTGTTAGTGGACCCTGAAGCCCGAAACCCTGCCCTGCAGAACGCGCGAGACCCGGTCCGATAGGGGAGGTGAGGGCGGTATCGAAGTCGATGTGACTCCACCGAGCGAGTGGGGGTCGAACAAACACACCTTGCCCCAGCGTCGCCAGACCTGCTCGGCCGGGCAAATAGTGCCCAGGGTAAGTTGTGTTTTGTATTGTATACTACAGTAATACAAATCACAGGTTGCCGTATGGTACAGCGAGGCAGGGCAACGAAGGTGTGTCGGTGTGAGTAAGGGGAAAGCCACCGAGGCATGCGCAACGCAATGCCCACCGTTCATTGGCCTGCTGCTGTCATGGAATCGAAGCCAACACGGGTCGGGGCAGGGCCAGGCAGCGGAAACTTTGAGAAGAAGCTCTGAGAAGCTGTGAGAAGAAGCTCTGAGGAATTCCGCATTCCGACATTTTCTGTCCAGATAATGCCCGCTGGCAGGATAGCAACGGCTTTCCATGGGACCTTTTGTCCCCTGTCGGTAGTGCAGCCTTGCTGTTTCAGTCTACCTAATTAACTCGGTAGGTACTGCTCTTAGCAAAATCATAGCGTGGTGGGGTTGCAAGAGGCGAATCAGCACGGGATGGAGAAGGGAGGTTTCGGAACGACAGGTCAAAACCAAGGTCGAGGCCTACAAACCTACCCAGGCGTATGCATGCACAAAGCTGGAAAGATGGAGGCTCGTGATCAATGTCGGAAATTCCATGGCTGACGGTTGTCGTCCCGCAACTGCAGGAGGAGCGAGACTGAATCGACGCTCATGGCTTGCAGCTCGCTGATCTGATTCTACCATCCAGTGCCGCCGTGTCTCGCCTGGGCTCGCAGACCCCGCGATCAAGCCCCGCTCAACCCACCCACGCTATCGTCTTTTCCTTGGCTTCACTCGGCTCCTGGACAACTGAAGCTTCAGTTGAAATGCCGCGGATGGCCCGCAGTCTGGCGCGAACTTTGCTTCTTGCCTGGCCCTTTGCCTGGCCCTTTGCCTGGCCACTTGCCTGGCCCTTTGCCTGGCCCTTCGTGTCGTAAAAGGCACCTCGGCTGATCGCCGACTTGACTTGATCTCGCTGCGGCGTTTGCCTTCGCTGCGACGTTTGCCTTCTTGCCCGTATCTGATAGGCCTGGATGGGTATGCAGCCCAACTCCTCGATCTGGGGAAGCGCGGCGGTTGAGTTGTGTGAATTAAGGGATTGGTGAGTGGTTATCGGACACCCAGGTGGCTTTTGCATGTGGATTCTGCTGGACGGCGGACGCACTAATGGCCATGCTGCAGCACCCGTAGCTGCTGCGCGTGTCTAGATCTGGTGGAGTGGTGCCAGCCTTCAGGCCGCGCTTAATTTAATCTCGAGCCCGGCAAAGCGCTTGTCGAGCATCTGAGAGTTGAGTGAGAGATGCCGGAATTGCGTCTGCGACAACCTAATGGAATAAACTAGGCGGCACGCCATCGGATTGATCGCTGGTCTGCGAGCCTCGCCGAGATTTGACGAATACCGCGCTCGGACGAGGGCCGATCGAGCGCCTCCAGTCGATTTGGGGATGGAATGCAGAGAGATCTAGCCTTTCCGGCCGCTGGCGCGACGGCGACATGGCAAGAATGTTCACATGTCTGCGGTTTCCAGTCTCCAGCGGAAGATAGGTCTAGCTCCTGAAGACCGCCTGTCTCGTTCGTTAGCTCGTGTCACCGAGACATTCTGGGTTCGTTCTGCCAATAGTAAGCTGGCCAGCCGCTTGGGCCACAGTTGCGAGGTGCGTGCATGCAGCCAGACAAAACAGGACTGTGGCGCTCTTGGGTGCACAACGTGCCGGCACGCCAGGGTCTGACGGCGGCGAAATGTGCCCCACGGCGGACAGTGGTGCTGAGGGTGCCACAACGCAGCTGCCCGTCGCATCTTGCCCGCGTCCCTTTTGAGCAAACACACGACGGGGCAAAGAAGGTGTGGCTAGCTGTTTATGTCGATGGCAAGTCGACGACACGACGACGGTGCGACCTGAGCCAAGCCGTCTCTCAGCGTCTTCCGCCGGCTCGGTTTGCTGCACCTCTGCTCGGTATTCCCCGCTATTACCCATCCACGCCTGCGCATCCTGCAATCTTCATCGTCTAGCTTCGTATGCTTTTACTGTGCCGTGATGCGGCGATAAGAATCGCGGGGCGATCTCGAGTCGAACACGGAATCTAGCGGCCATGTTGCTAGCCCGGAGACCCCGGTAGAGTTGCCCGATGGAACCCCGGCCGATCGATGCCCTGTCCAATGGCCACTGAAACAGCCCAGGGGCGTGAAGATCTCTGGGCCCGGGGATGTGCGTGCAGTGGCGTCTTTGCGCGTCTGCACGAAATGGCCCTTGCTGCCCTTCCACTTCGCAGTCACCACCGTGTCTTGGACTCGTTGCCTCAACTCCCAACGCCTGGCTTTCGCTGCAGTGGGCACTTGTTCACCATCCTTGCCTCGTGCTGGCTGCTGGGCTGTGCGATTGGCAGGGCCTTTGTTCCTCCAGACCCAGACCATGGCTGACGCGGTCGCCCAGAAGCGCAGTGCCGAACTCTCAAGCATCCAAGCACCGGTCCATAGCTCGCTGTGGATTTGAGCAGGATCCTGGCATCTCTTCTACCTCTCTTCTACCTCTCTTCTGCCTCTCTTCTGCCTCTCTTCTGCCTCTCTTCTTACCTCGTTTCTTGCCACGGGACGGCGATTATTGTTGCATCCCAACGGCGGTCGTCTCGTCGACCCGCCCCGAGTCCAAATTCCTCTCCATCCTATCCCGCCCGGCTCACCCGAGCGCTCTCGATCTCCAGTGCTGGCTGAGCCCGATCCTCCATTGCGAGTACCCCACACCACCTCCGCATTATGTCTTGGGATGGGTTCAACCCGCACACCAGTTCTCGTCTCAGTCTCAGGCATGGATTTCCGATCCACTCCCTCCCACCACTGTTTCCTATGATCGTCGTCATCTATCAACGCCCCGTTCCGCGTATTCCACATCTCTGCCGTCCTCCATAGGGCCCGTGCGTGCAGTCGTTTCGTGTTCGGTTGCTGTCGCTGCTAGCACGCGGTGTCTAGCCGTCTTCGCTCGCTTATACAAGGTTCGTAGCTGCGAGCGCGGGAGCTGCAGTGCTGGCGATCTTGCGGTTCGACGAAGCTTCCCCAACTAACCCACTCTGGACTTAACAGAAGGGAGCTGTCGGATCTGACCAAACAGGGTCCACGTCTCCTTGGAGCAGGCCTGTCCGCCTTCCGCAGGATTCCCACGCCGGAAGCTGGCTCGCGTAGCATTGGCAACGAACGGGGGGTGTGGTGGCTGCAGTCCCACGCCGCAAATCACGGAGCAAGTTCGTCCACCCTCATGCCGAGAATGGAACACCACACCACCCACCACCCTCTCGCAACACCCTCAACCTACGTCCTCGCCATGGTGCCCATGCACACATGGCCGAGACAGCTTTTTCCAAGGGAGATGCCACAAGCAGCAACGACTGCCAATCTATTGCTCATATTTCTCGTATTAAGCTTGTGGTCATGTCACACTTTCCCCGCGTGACTCCCCACGCAACGTCAAGGCAGGTTGGCGAGACTTGCTCTTCGCTCACTTCTCAGCTCTTGAAACCAGTCACACGGATTCATGATTACCAACTAATTCCCTATCCTAGGGACCCGGCTCCCCGTCTGGATCTCCATGCAAGCCACATCGCCGTTTTTGTGATCCCATGGGTGCAAATCATACACATAGCTTCGCCTGAACACCACACTGAACGATGGTGGCTTGCCCAGGCCTCCATTTCCCCAGGATTTGCCCCAGGCAGAGCAAGTCAAGGCTCCCAGGCTCCCTTTGACGATTCAGCCTCGTTGGCGGCGCGTTGTCCTGCCATCTCGCACCGCCATGTGCTCATTTTCTCTTGTATCCAGCTTGTCCTATAATTCACTACACATTAACCTTGTGCCATACCCCCTTGGCCCGCAACCATCGAGTACCTCCTTCTTGGAACCCATGACCGCGGCAGGCGGCAGCCGTCTTCCACAACCCACGACAGTGACGTAACGATCTCAGCACATGGGATTCCATGTACACCGTGCGACAAATCCCCGAGAATCCCGACCGCCCTCCTTGACGGGGAGGGTAGCTTGCTCGGCATCTGTCAATATCCGCTTCCGCTACGGTCGCTCCTAGTCCCCCTTCACACCACCTTTGATTCACGGCCCCACACACACTTCTCCAGCTTCTGCTTTTGTGGCGGATTGGGGCTGCCGTGATTCAGACAAGAAGACACCAAGCTTTCTGTCACTCTCCGTCCAGAGAAGTGATAGCCAAGAGAAGCCAAGCCTAGCGAGGCTCTACATCGACGGCCGCTGGGTTGCGGGCCACTTCGATTTGACGGCCGGGCACCGACAATATCACTCATGGCCTCTCATCCTTGGCTTATTCATGAATAGTGTCATGTGTACATGCGGGCGGATGTCACTGACGCCTCTAGCTTACGACGACAAGCCTGTCACGTAATCAGCACAGCCCCTGGTAGCGGTGGGACGCGGTATCCTGTCCGTCGACTGGGCCGTACCTTAATCCGGGGCGAGGAACTCCCGCCACTAACGTGAACAAGTCGTTTGCGCTGCCGTGACTTGAAAAATGTGTAAGATTCTCATATGTGCACCTTTCTTGAACACGGAGCATTGAATATCGCAGGTTCGGCTTTGGTGTCCTCGCACCTTGCCGTCAAAGATATAATTTTGAGCAAGCATTGCCAATTCGAACGGGTTCGGAAATGGGTGTCGTCGTATAATCTTGTTGGAAGCGAGCCACGGGCTGGCACAGAGGCAGACTTCCGTCAGTCGCGCGCAGTGAGAGTGTGGGTGGGCTGGCTCTTGGTCATGTGGATTCTAAACATAGTCTCACATTTCCGTTCGGAGAGCACACTGCGGCCGGGCCTATTGGCCGCCCTGATACCCCCAAGGTGAGACCTAGTAGTGAGGCACCCGGGAATCTAAGGTCAAGTGGCTACCCCAAACGTGGGGGTACGGTGCGCCCCTTTTGAGTAAACATTGACTTCCATTACCTTTTCCATTCTAATTACGCTCTCTTACCAAAGTTCCGGACTGTTTCCTCATGCGAATACCTTGCGCCTGTTGGTTCTCTCTGGCCAACCAATACTTAGCCAGAGGCTCACACATATTTCTTTATCCGTTGCCGACTGTTCACTGTCGATCAGCGACGGGGCTGACCGAGTTGCCCCGTGCGGATCTGAACCATGCAGACTTTTCAGAACAGGTTCGAATAATCGGCCCGTTGACCGTGTTCTCCGTCGCTATGGGCCATGGAATCAATGGTGACTTGACGAGGCACTAATTTCAGCGTACCGGTACCTGTGTGACAGCGGACACTGCCCTCGCCCGTGGAAGACGGCTAGCAAGGGCCGCACAATTATTTGCCACTTTCTACAGGCAAACCGCGTGGTCAAAAAGCACATGTCCGGTTGCCGTGTGTGACGGGTGAGCTGTCTGCAGGTGAAACATGACAAGCTACATTCCCTGTTTATACTCCATCTCACCCGTGAACCCCGGGCTCACGGGTTTCTTCGCACTTCCACTGCTGTCGCCAGCACCTTGTCCCTTGGGTCAACCTGCCTTGCTCAATGCGCACCCGGTGCTATTGGCGTAGAACATTGAATCTATCTCGTTTTTTCGACTTTGCCCTGTCCCTGTTTTGATCTCAATTCCATGCGTTCCGACATCTGAGTGGCCCAGAGTCATGGGGTTCGTCCAGCTAGACATGACTCGCCATTCCCGGGTATGATTCCTCACGAAATGAGGAGCCCAGCCAAGTCTGTGAGAAAACTAGGCCGACTTGCATCTGGGGTCTCATTACGGTAGTCGGCCTGGAAACGAAGTTCCGTGCATCGTGTCACGCGAGTGCCGCTAGCCCCGCTGCTAAACGGATACGAGTGAGACGGTATCGGGCTTGATGCCAATGCATGAGATCTGTCACTAATTATAAGTGGCAACTGCCGCGCAGTGCTACATGAATTGCGGCGTATACGGCTGGAGCCAGAGCCAATAAAATCTCTCGCCTGGTGTTGAGCCGAATGAATGATTCTCGTACTCGCCTTCTGACATTGTATCGGATTATCCGTTCCATACCTATTTGCACAAGGAAACATTTGGGGCAACCCTAAAACAACCAGCCCTGTCGCGATACCTTTCCCCCGCCTCTCTCCCTCTGAAAGCTTAACTTGGTGGAGGAGCCACCAGTGATTTCTTTTGTGTCTGATTCGTGCCAAGAAGCAGTGGTTAGATGAAAAAGTGACCCGACGATTTTTTTCAAAGCCTGATATTATCGTTTAGTATTATTGAGTAATATAATTAGAGGCAGTGAAACATGGAAGCATTTGGCATGCACGAAATGGTTCACACTACTCTTTTCCCAGGGTAATAGCAATTCCCTCGGCCGGTTTCGGGACTGGATGCTTCAAGGTGAGATAGACTGCGCCCAAATATGTCTCCAAAACCTCGAATAGTGACGGTGGAAAAGGCCATCAGTTTTGAACAGGGCCAGAACAGGGCCAGAACAGAGGGCTGACATGCTCAAACCAGCCGACGGGGAGGGAAACTAAACCAATCTGGCCACACTTAGACTGGAACGTACGAGGGCCCGTGGCGGGAGGCAATGCTAGGTGAATGGGCTTTCGTATGACTTATTACCTCTGGTAGGTAACTGTCCACCACCCAAATGGCGGCTAGATGTTGTTTCGTGTTTTTTGATGGTAAATTCCTGGAGCTCGTCTCGAGTTGAGTTTGTTCTTCCAAAGTGGCGATTCATCGTCTAGGCTCCTGTCGCTGTGAGATGGTTCAGGTGCAGTGACCGGCTAGACATATCCGACGTGCGTGACTGGATGGATGGCAGGGGCAAGAGCGAAAGCGTCAAAAGCGGCAAAACGTGCATATCACGGCTAGTTCAACCCCATGTTTGCTTCATGCAGCGAATATTTTGCGGGGTAGGTAGCTGATATTCTCAAAGGAATCGTCAACCGATGTTCTGGACCCTGATCACCTCAGGGCCGGGGACTGGAAGGCTAGTGTCTAGACTACTTCTCCGTGCCGCTAGGCTAGAGCAGCATTCACGAGGCTAGTGCTAGCGGGCCAGCATGTCGCCAATGGCATGTACCTGGGGCCCTGTCGGGATCCGTAGCTTGGGGTTTGGCATGGGGTTTAGAGGTCTTGTTGGCATGGGGTTTAGAGGTCTAGTTGGCTTGGCTTTGGGTTTGGCCCCTCGCCGTGTCTCGTGCTCTCATGCAAACTCGGTCAGCTTGCTGGCTACCGAGAACTGCGGTGAACAATTAGTTCCGACGTTCTAGCTTACGGAGATAGAAGTACGAGAGACAGGATTTCACTTCCTGACAATTATACGACGGTGAAGAAGATCAGGCAACACCAACGCCTTGTTTCAGAGCCTCGTGGCTGGATGGGGAGTGGCGTTGTGCAAATTCATCGTCATATTCACTGTGATCCAATTAGCAAAAGGTCTCCAAAGAGAAGCATGTCCTAACGATTCACACAGTTCCACGGACAAAAGATGGTAGAATTTGGATGGTAGAATTGGTGTCGCTAACAGCGCCAGCACAGCTCGGGGTGTGATGGGATAGACAGCTTTACACAAGCGGCTCTGAGACCAATGAAGAGGGAGCATTGGCTGCCCGTTTGGGAAACGCGATGAAGGCGGATATCAAAACAAGTGCCGAGAGAGGAGATGCGGGGGGCTCCCGGGCTCCCAACGACCCCAATAAAGACATGTGCTAGTTCTTCTCAACCGCCATCATTCCGCAATAGGAAACGGTAAAAGACAGGATTTATATACCCGATGGCTACCCCTCCTGGCAGCAGGCTTGGAGGGTGCTCCGAGGCAGACAGACGCGTTCTTGTATAACATCACCGCCGGCCCACGACATTGAGCCCTGTGGCCGAGAAGCATTGCACACCGCGCGCTTGGACTCGTCGAAGAACAACACGCGCACAGAACACAGACCAAACATCCGCACCCCCCTGACCCAGAATCGGCCGCAATGGCCACCGTCGCGGGCAAGACGCCGCCTCCGGTGCAGCTCCCCGAGACGTCGCTCTGGGCAAACAGGAAATGTCTGATCATCTGCAGCGTCGTGGCCATCGCCAACATGCAGTACGGGCTCGACTCGGCGTGCCTCGCCAGTCTCCAGGCCATGCCGGGGTTCCTGATCGTGTTCGGACACCCCGACGCCAAGGCGGCGGGCGGCTATGCGATTGATGTAAGTTGGCCCCTGAAACGCGCCGAATGCCGCACACACCGCGGGCCGGGACGCTGACCACACGGCACCGCCAGCCCACGTTCCAACAACTGATCGGGTCGTTCCTGACCCTCGGCGCGTTCCTCTCGTCCATCTTCGCGGGCGCGTTCGCGCACTTCTTCGGCCGCAAGCCGGCGCTCTGGGTCGCGTGCCTGCTGACGGCGGTCGGGGCGGCGATCCAGATCGGCACCGACAGCCAGGCGGCCGTCATCGTCGGGCGGCTGGTGCTGGGCATCGGCAACGGCTTCCTCGTCACCTTCTCCAACATCTACAGCGCCGAGGCGTCGCCGGCCCACCTGCGCGCCGTCATGGTCGCCCTGTTCTCCGAGTGGGTCAACATCGGGAGCATCACCGGCGCCGCCGTCACCAACGCCACCTCCAAGGTGCTCGACAAGTCGTCGTACCAGATTCCCCTGGGCATCCAGTTCATCGTGCCGGCGCTGCTGGCTATTGGCCTGTTCTTTGTGCCCGAGTCGCCGAGGTATCTCATCAACCGCGGAAAGCTAGAAGAGGGGCGCCGGGCCCTGGCCACGCTGCGGGGCGACTCGCTGACGCCGGCCGAGTTCGAGCTCGAGTACGTCGAGATGGTCATGGGCATTGAGCAGGAGAAGAAGCTGCTCAAGTCGGTGCGGCCGCTGGACATGTTCAAGGGTATGTCGTCGTCTGCTGCCGCCGTCGCAGATTTGCGTGTAGCTTAGCTGACCGAACCTGCCGCACAGGCACCGACCTGCGCCGGACGCTGCTCTGCTACGGCGTCATCGCGACGCAGACAGCCTCGGGGTCCTGGTTCCTCATCAGCTACACGACCTACTTCATGGTGGTGTCGGGCCTGCCGATCGACCAGGCGTTCAAGTACTCCATCATGAAGACGTGCTTCGGCTTCGTGGGCGTCAACGTGGGCATCTACCTGATGCGCTACGTGCTGGGGCGGCGCCAGATGATGATGACGGGGGCGCTGTTCCAGGGGCTGTTCCTGCTGGGCATGGCCATCACGGCGAGCACGGTACCGGGGACCGTGATTGCGCGCAACAGCGTCATTGCCTTTGTGTCGCTGTACATGTTTGCGTACAACGCCTTTGTCGGCGTGGCCAGCTATCCGGTCGCGACGGAGCTCGTGAGCACGCGGCTGCGGTCGTGGACGGTGGGGTCGTCCATCAGCCTGGGCTACTTTCTGGCCTGGCTCACCGGCTTCTGCTCGCCGTACTTTATCAACCCGGACAAGCTCAACTGGGTGGGTTTCCCCTTGTTTGCCGCGTGTGAGAGTGAACTGACAGAGACAAAGGGCGCCAAATACGGCTACATATGGGCCGCGTCCAATATCGCCTGCGGCGTGTTCTTTTTCTTCTTCCTCCCCGAGCTGAAAGGCCGAACGCTGGAAGAGATTGACGAGCTGTTTGAGCGGCGCATCGGGGCGTGGAAGTTCAAGGGAACCAAGACCAACATCATGGACGAGGCGCTGAAGGAGGTGCGGGAGCAAGGCCCGGCGCTGCACGGAGAGAAGTCGTCGGTTGGCATGGTGGAAAATGTGGAAAGGTCGGACAAGGACGAGAACTGAGGGCCTTGCATTGTCCGTCTGCGGCATGAGCAAGAGCGGACATCATCAATCTGCGGGCCAGGTCTTTGCGGCACGGAGATTAGAACTAATTAGAAAATTTGCCCGTGTGAATGGCAAATATCCAGGTAGATTCGCTCGGGGCCAATTCACTCGGGGGCCTAGCGGATTCTATTTATAGTCTCAGTTCCTCCGCTTCCGCGCAACTTTGCAGCCTAGAACTCCCACTGCCTGCACCAGTTCGTCATCAATTCCGGCGTGACAGCCTTCATCTCGCGCATCGTCTTGCTGCGCTCCTTGGTGCGCGTCATGTCGAACACAATGTGCTCCTGGCTCTCCTTGGCAGCCTGCGACCAGGCCTTGTACGTGTCGAGCAGCTTGACCCCCGGGTTCTTGCCGATGTCCTCCGTCTTGGCCTGGCTGCGCTCGAGCGCCGCCACCCAGTGGTCGAGCGGGATGATCTTCTTGATGCGGTCGCCGTAGAACTCCTTGACGGCCGGCACGAGCGCCTGCCACTGCGCCTTGGCCGGGTTGACGCCGTGGAAGTAGCCCTGCATGTCGTCGATGGCCACCTCGTCCGCCACGCCCGACACCTCGAGCACCAGGTTCGCGATCCCCTCGATCGGCGTCCAGTCAGCCGTCGACATCATCGGCCCCAGCCCGTCGGGCAGCAGCCCCAGGTACAGCGAGCTGGCAATCAGGCTCGGCAGCCATTCGTGACGGTTCCAGGAGCCCTTCTCGCTCACCGGGCCGCCAATCTGCCCGACGCGCACGATCTCGGTCGGCACCTTTGAGACTTCGGCCGCCTTCTCGAGGATCAAGCTGCTGACCAGCTTGGAGCGCCCGTAGCCGCCAACAGCCAGACTAAAGTCGTGGATGGGCCGCTCTGGCACGGGGCCGGGCTGGTTCCAGCCCTCGGTCGTGGCAACCGACGACACGAAGATGATGGGCACCCGCTTCGCGGCCTTGCGGCTGAAGTCGGCCAGGTTGCGCACACCGCCGATGTGCGGCTCGAATGACTCGACGGGCATGTTGAAGTTGACAGGCCACTGGTTGTGGATGACCCGGTCGACTTCCCCAAGCAGCCTGTCGTACACGTTTCTGCCGAGACCGAGATCGAGCTGCGAGAGGTCGGCGTGCAGGAACTCGGCCTTGGACAGGTCGGTGCTCAGGCCGCGCTCCTCGTTCCCCTTGGACTGGCGCTCCTTGGCGTTTTCGGAACGGTTCAGGCAGATGATCTTTTTGACTCTCGGATTCGAAGATGCAAGGTCAAGCATGTACGACCCCAAAGCGCCCGTGGTGCCCGTGATGATGATCGTCTGGTTCTCGTCTGCGGGGGCCGGTTTGTCCGTGCATCCTGGCCGCAGATCTCTCGTGTACTTCTCCACCAGAGCTTCCATGGTGCGGCTTTCTTGCTTCATGTCGATGCTCAGAGCGTCGTGGCCGCCCTTTTTAACGACCGAGTAGAGATATTCAGCGAGCCGCTTCGCCGTGGGGTGGCCGTAAACAACGCGCGTCGCTACTGCCGAAGCGTCGATGTGGATGCCCGCCGCCTCGAGCCCCGCGCGGAGGAGCTGAGACGCGTTGATGACTTGCATGGAGTCGATGCCGACGCTGAAGAAGTCGGTCTCCGCTTCCAGTCTGGGCGCATGTAGATGCTTTTCGAACATGTCCTCGATGGACCGCGTCAGGGCCACCCTGGAGGTGAGGTTCAGCTTGGGTGCCTCGGTCGTTGGCAGCTCCCCGGCGCGTTCATAGATCTTGTCAATCTCGGTCTTGTACAATTGGACGGTGCTTGCCCGCTGGATGGTTCCTTTGCTGGCACGCAGGAAGGGTATGTCGGGGCGCGCGACGGCTACGAATCGGCGGCCAATCTGGCCGTGGGCCACGGTCTCCTTGTTCGCCTTCACTATCAACGGCCAGACGCTCTCGATAAAATCTTGCTCTTCCTGCTCGTCTTGAAGCGGGTCGAATGGCTCGAGAATGAGGGCGGCCTGGAACCTGTTCATGCCTAAGACGATGGCCCCTTTGACTTTGGGGTGTTCCATGACGGTCTGCTCGATGGTGACCGGGTTCAGCTTCTCGCCGTTGGAGAAGACGAGGATGCTGTCGGACCGGCCGTAGTAGATCCAGTGGTCGGGCAGCGTGGGATGCGGCCGAAACAGGTCTTTGGTGCTGTACTCGTCCCGGTCGGGAAAGGTGAAGAAGACGCCCTGGTATCCCGGGTGCTTGCCTTTGCGCACAACCACCTGTTCATACGCGCCCTCGTCCGCGCTTTTCCGCCACTCGCATCCAAACACATCCGAGTCGATAATGAAATACTGCCAGAGCTTTGGGTCGTCTTGCAGATAAATGGGATATGGGAAGAACCTGACAGGTCAGCGGCATCCAGCCAAAGGGGAAGCCGCAGACGGAGGGGAAGCCGCAGACGGAAGGGAATGCTCCGCTTAGACGTACTCTGTAGCGCCGATCATGTTGAGCAAAGCCACGCCTTTTTCGACCAATCTATCGCCAGCTACACGATTTAGGTTGCCTGATATTCCGTCAGCAGATGCACGCCTGGATGGCCTGGCCGTGATGCTCACCGCCGCCGAACCCCACATATATGAGCTTCTTCAACTCGTCGATGGCTTCGTCAGATTGGCTCAGCTCCTCCAGGATAGCAGGAGGTAGAAGTGTCATGTCTGCGTCGTAATACTCTAGACAGCCGAGAACCATGTCGGCAGAGAGTGGGCGGCCGGGAATGCCCAGTACGATGGGCATGTCCCAGTAGTGGGCCATTACCATGATTGTAAGTATGGTGGCGGCATGGAACATTGGCACTTGGGGTCATGTGAGCTTCGCATTCGCACTTTAGCGCGGAAAAGGCAGGGGGAAGGGAAGCGAGTCGAGCATACTGGGGAGGAACATGTTTCTACATCTCCGTGAAATCTCGTCCACCCACAATCGCCTACCACCCTTCGGTGGGAGGTTGTGATACTTGTCGCCAACGGCCATCATGCCTTGCCTCACCACGATGGGTGTGGGGAACCCGGTGCTTCCGCTGGTGTGGAGGACAAGGAGCGGGTCCCATTCGGCCTCCTCGAAGGTCTTGTGGTACGGGAACGGCTCGACTTGCTCGTCGGGGAACCACGCATCGACGGGAAAGGTCGTGATGGCGTTCATGTTGCGTTCCTGCAGCCATGGCTGGACTGTTGTCTTGTAGCTCGCGTCGAGCCAAATGGTGTTGCAGTTGGTCAACTCGAACAGGTTCAGCTGGGCCTCTTGGGGGTTGCGCGGCGAGATGAACAGGGCCTGGTAACCAGCCTTGACGGCGCCCAGGGCAAAGACGACATAGCGCACGTCGTTGGGGGCGATGAAGGCAACGGTGGGAATCTCGCCTGGCTTGGGGTGGCCTGGCATGGAGACGAGCTTGTGGGCGACGCGGTTGATGGCGTTGGCGGCTTGCGCGTACGTGATGAGCTTCCAGCCGTCCTTGGGGTCCGAGGTCCTGGGAATCCATATCCATTCCATGTCAGGCGCGTTCCGAGCTCTTTCGTCGATGATGTTGACGATCAGCCGCTCGCCGTACTGGGGCTCCGGGCCATGGCGGTCGGGGATCTCGACGCTTCCGTCCATGCTGTTTTTGTACTTGTTTCGGTAGCTTCTTCTGGCTGTTAGCTGTGACTGCTGCTGGAAGGATTTCTCGACGTACGTCCTGGCCAATTGACTAGTGTGCCTGGGACCCGAGAGTGTTTTATCTCTGGCGCCCAAGCTCTCCCTCCCATTGCGCCGATCGATTCCATCGCTTTGACAATATGCGCGAAGGCCCGGAGCCGAACTCCGCGCGAACGCGACAGGAGCGAGGATGTGGGCTGGACGGATGTCGCCCGCTTCCCACTCCGATACGCCTCCCACGCGACTACCCACAAATCAAGACCCGGGCAATGCGATGCAGATGCGGGCAGTGGGGCGCCGATCGCCATCGCGGCATGTGCAGTTGTAGGGAATCACGCGCAGGGATCCGGGCCGGGTTTGGAAAGCTTGATGCTGCATACAAACCACAACTGCCGAGGCTAACAGCTGCACCAGATACAAGTACGCGCCGCCATGGCAACCCAGAACAGTGCTAGACACCGAATGTCACTGCGGCCTGCATGGAACATAGATGGTCGACACGGCTCGGCTTAGGTACGGCCAATTAGCGACTTCTAGGCGTGGCGAGCCTCTGCCTCCTGAAGACGGCACGTCGGCACGCAATGAGCCGATTACTCATCGACATCCTATCCATTACCTGTCGGGTCGGTACGCTTTCTGTTCGTGGTATTCCGGAATAGTTCGTAGTAGTACTACTGTGAGGGGGGGGGGGTTAGGGAGGGGTAATGGTTATTCATCGATTGTCTAATCCGTACAGAAGTAACTAAGGTTTCTGGGCTTGGTTTTGGTGGATCGGCACGCAGGCCCCCGTGCGCTCACGTACCACGTGAGCCGGCACGTGCCTTGCGCTACCTCCCTCCTGCACCAAAAGCACGGTCATGAATACCGCTATTCCAACACTTTCCTTCGCTGTTCTAACACTTTCCTTTCCTGTTTTCCTTCTCAAGACCCTCCCGCTCGAGCCATGCATCGCCGATCGGCTAGTTCAGACTAAGGCACGATAAGTTTTTTTTTCTCCGCGAGAGGCACACGACCCGCAGACCAGATGCGCAAATGACGTTGACCTGACGCATTCTCGTGCGGGCCGGCGTTAATGTGCCTCGGAGGCCGAGCTTAGCGAGCGAGAACTTCAACATCTGGCTGGCGGCGTTTCCTCGAGGTTCCTCGCATTCTTGACAGATTAGGGCCGTATTTGACGGCAGTCGGCAGGCATATCAATAGGACGTATATCTCTGGTCAAATTTAGGCGAGGTTTTAGCAAGCATCCCGGCGCGCTCTTGTACGAAAGAGACAGTTCGGTTCCGAGCGTGCATCATTATAATCCCGCACTACGCCGACTCGTCGCCATCTACCCAATAACTCGGGTACTAGAAACAGGAGTCTACGGTTTCTTCCGAGCGGGGCCACCGAGGAATGGCCAACAACGAAAATCCGTTCTCAACACCCCGAGGAAACCGCAACGTTCCTGGGCACCTTTGTTCCTGGGCACCTTTAATTACTCGCCTGAGGTAGCTTCCACTAAATCGGTGCAGCCAGACCAGCGCCGCATACCCGGCTCACCGGATTTCAAGTTCGAACATTGGGCATGAAACTGGTGACTGTATTGCTGCAGGACGGAAGTCTAGCTATCTGCCTAGGTAGGCCGTGGCTGAATATAGGAAGGTGGTAATATGGTCTCAAGGTGGACCCACATGCCTCGGCCCATGTATGGGCCTGGCCATCGAGCGAGAAACCTAGAATCCTATGTACCTCAGTTACGACTACGATAAATATTCTCGTAACTACAAGACTAGAGGAAACAGCCTTATGTTCCGCCAGCCGATTTCTAAACTCTTTATACCCCACCCCAGCTGCGGCAAGAGAGAGAGCGGACAGTGAAGTGAGGGATGAGTGAGAGGAGAGGCAACCATGAGAAATGTCATGGGCTGCGAGGGTCACGCCGCTCTAGTATGCGGGGACGATTTGACGGTAGTAGGAGACGCACTCATTAACCCCGTGACTGGAAACGGGCAGAACCCGGACTTAAACCAGTGCCGCAGGGGTTCACACCTACCGCGGCTGTAGCTGCGGTATTTACGGCAACCAGTAATCGGGACATACGAAAGCGGGACGGCGGGGTTAGGTTGCCAGAAGTGCCGCTTCTTGAACCTTGATAAGGCCATGGGTATGATGAACAGCATTCCACAACCACGAAAATCCCGAGTCTGTGGAAGGTCCGGTCAACGATATTTTAGGTATTAATTAACATACTGACGGCTGGGGCTGGGGAATCTCTCGCGTGTGATTCAGGAACTACTGTCAAATTCATTGCGCTGTTCAGTTTGCTATCAAGCTACCCACAGTCTCCTATGGAGAGGCCTAGATATGCAAAGGAGTGTGCGTGAACATGGCGCATTTTCGAGATCCCTGCCATTCACCCGTCGCCCTGCGTCCCTCCATTTCAGGAGGCCATGCCAGCCGGGCTGCAGACTCTACCAGCCCCACGAAAGTGACTTCCACTCCTTGGTGATGCTGGTGGGGCCGTAGAGGATCTCCTCAGTCGGCGAGCCCTGCACAAACTTGATCTTGACGTACTGGCTGCCACTGAAGAAATAGGCCTCTCCTGACTGGTCGGGGACGGGGAGCGCCGAGTCGATGGTGCTGAAGCCGGCCTTGGCCAGCGTCTTCCACTCGTCGGCGATGTTGGCCGGGCCGTAGACGATCTGCTCATCAGCGGAGCCCGGCGTGAAGCGGATCTTGACGTAGCGGTTTCCGTTGAAAAAGTAGGCTTCGTTCTCGACGCCCGGCACGGGCAGCACTGCGTCGACCGTCTCGAAGCCCGCCTGCGCGAGCGTCTTCCACTTGTCGGCGATCTTGCGCGGGCCGAAGGTGATCCGCTCGTCCGGCGTGCCGGGCGTGAAGCGGATCTTGACGTAGTTGACGCCGCTGAAGAAGTAAACTTCGCCGTCGTGGCCCGGCACCGGGAGCGCGGCGTCGACCGTGTCGAAGCCGGCCTCGACGAGCGTCTTCCACTCCTTGGCGACGCTCGCCGGGCCGTACGTGATCTCCTCGGTGGGCGAGCTGGGGACAAAGTACACACGGGCGTACTTGGTGCCGTGAAAGAAGTAGGCTTCGTTCTTCTTAGAAGAGGGAGCGAGGAACGAGGTTCTACCCATGATGAGAGCGGTTTCGGTAGATTGAGATGTGAATGAGAGGGCAACTTTTTATGACGCTTGTAGGAATCAGGGATTCAGATTGAAGACATGAGTTGGCTTGTTTGATGGAGTAAAACGAGGGCAGTTGCCCCCTTTTTATAAGTGCTCGATCGCGCACAAGGCGGCCCTTTGACGACATCAAGACGTTCCCGACGAGACACCGTCTTCTGGGATGGCCTCGCATGCGGATCCGGTCTCGGGAATAGGAATGGAGAATTTCGCGCGCGTAGGGCGCCTGACTGTCTCTCATCCAGGCGTGACTGAGTTGATGTAAGGCGTCTGTAACCGTGTTTCGTTAGAGGGGCTGAGCTTTCTCTTTTGGGAAACCGACTGAGCTCGTCAAAGGTCTCCACCCTCGTCATACCCCTAGAAAAGGCCAATCGGATGGCGCACAAGCCCGTCAGCCAGGGGACTCGGTGGGCCCCGCAGGATGCGAAGGCGTCCCGACGGCAGCTGAAAGCTGCATTGCAGTATTTGCGTCCTGCATCGACTCCTTTTTCGTCCTGCAAAACAACACTCCCGATCATGCCATACGCGTGTGCTCTGGCACGTTGATCTCGAGCAAACCGCATTGGCCGCAAGCCCCTCTGATCGCCGTTTCTCTTACCTATGAGGCTAGCAAGTGTGCATGTAGGCCGTCGGTCTGCACGGCAGGCCGACATTGAAAAAGCAGGGAGCACGTAATCCGTTGGGTTGGGGACGGTTGGGCATATACCGATGATCCCTTCCATCCCTGTTGGGCTTTGTCTTGGCTATCACGAATCGCCAAGGGCTCGAAATATCCAACCACAAAGAGCGGAGAAGTACCGGCAATTAGGTGCATCGAAGGCAGATGCAGCTTCTCAATAGTGCACAGAGAATTTGAGGACTATGAGGGGTACAGTGAGTCGTCACGATAGAGCAGAAAGGGGAGTTAAGCGGTGACTAGGCTGTGCCGCGTAAAGGTGAGTCGAGAGAAAATATGTAGATCCAGTCAAACGGCCTCGCCTCTGTGGAGTTGACAAGCTGATCCGGGGTCCGCAGGGCGTCAGCCCACCAGACCATGGCCATAAACCGGGCACCGTGCTATTTCTCGGCATATATCCCCAGTCGGCCGCCCCTCTTTGTGAGACTGGGTTTCACAAGGTCTTGGAACTTCACTGAATAGCACTTGTCAGGTGATGAATACGCAGACATGTAAGTCCCCATGTAGATCATAGCGTCACAGATGACGGAAACACCGCTTGCGTCTTGGTCGATGTTGTCTCATTTGCCATATCTTAGCTGGATGGCGATGTGGGCGATGACCGGGAGGTAGTTCTGGAAAGCCCGACATCGATCACCTGTTGTATCACAGGGCAGAGCCGAACCTTCGCGTGCCTCGTCTCAAACTGATATCGTCGTGTTTATACCAACTAAGCAAAGCCTGTTCAACCCAAAGCCGTGAGATGCGTTGCCAAATTAAAACCATGGCGCTGAACAGGGACTTTGACACGACCCCGTCACTGATCAGGTTGATTTGGTAACCACAGCCAGCCGCTCAAGACACAGAATTCTGAGACGTGACCGAGCCAGGATGTCTCGCTGATAATCCTGAAGCCACAGGTGGTCAGTTTAGCTCCTGTTAAACAGCTTGGCTCCCGTAAGAGGCCCTAGCGTCCGTGAGGGGCCCATCATCGGTGAGAAGTCCACTGCAACCTCACTACTCTGGGGGCCCACTTTTGACCACAGAGCGCTTGCTCTTCGGGCAGCTAGCAGAACTTGCAGGGCATGGATGGGAAGTGGAGTCGGGGCAGTGCAGTGGGTGACCTCTATTCCAGCTCCCTTCCGCTTCCCCGCTCTTGCCACCCGACCCGAGCGGGTGGCGCCAGGCCTTCCGCCGATCACCCTCACCCAAGGCTTCACAGCATACCACGCCATGGAAGCAGCAGTAGCAGCAGCAGCAGCAGCAGCAGGACCCGACGATGGCTGCTATGCCGAGTCGCAGGCAGGGGTGTTGTCGGGCCTCGGGCAGACGCTGGTGCAGCTGACGGCCGCCGACACGCGGGCGCTGCTGTCCGATGCCAGCGCGGTGCTACGCGGCCCCGAGAGCCAGGCGTCGGCCGCAGCCATAGTGCGCCGTCTAGGCGAGCTGAACCCCGACATTGGGAGCCAGTTCCACCCCAAGGAGGAGGCCGTGTCACGGCTCCCGCTGCGCATGCTCCTGCCTGCGGCGGCTACAGCAGAGAAGCCGGCCGTGACCTCCTTCGTTGTCGTTAGCTACTGCTGGCACTATCCCGGGTGGCCGTTGGCGGCAGCGGCGCAGCCCATCGCGCCCGGATGGGACATCTCACGGCCGATGGTAGACGCCGTGATGGGACTAGTGAAGGGGCCCGGCGAGGGGGTGTGGCTGGACAAGCTGTGCATCAACCAAGCAAGCAACCGCGACCGGACGGCCCACGTGGCTGCCATGGACATTGTGTATCGCTCAGCGCGTCGGGTGGCGATCCTGCTCGAGGACGTGCAGCTGGCGGCCGACGAGGAGGCAGCCGGACTGGTGTACGCCGGCTTCTACGCCGACTTGTCGCGGGAGCTGGCCGAGAACGGGCTCGAGGGTGCCGCCAAGTCCGACTTCTTCTTCGGGTATTTTCCCCGGCGCGAGCAGCAAGAGGCGGCGGCGTCGGCGGCGTCTGGCGGCAGCAACCCTCTCAAGGCGGGCAGGGCGTTTGCTATGAAGATGCTTGGGGCACGGTGGTATAGCCGCGCGTGGTGTGCACACGAAAGCCGCGTCGCCTCGCACCGCAAGATCGACAACCCGCTGTTCCTGTGCTATGGACACGACGGGCGCGTGCTTCAGTTTGAGTTCCGCTTCGTGCACTACGTCTCCATGTACTTGAGCGATAGTGACCCGTCCCCGTCGGATTCGGTGAGCAACGTGCACGCCATGTCGCAGGCCCTCGGTGACCCGAACCCGGTCACGCTCCGGCAGCGCTACTGGCGGATCTTGAAGCTGATGCCCGATGCCACTCGGGGGATCTCGGCCATGCAGCATCTTATCAGCATCCTGTCGCACGGTTGCGCACAGCAAGGCGACTTGATGTCCATCGCCCTGAACACGGCCGGGGTTCCGCTGTACTACCGCGGCGATGCTGTGAAAACGGTCGAGGACGTCATTTGGATATTTTCCCTGCTCGTGCTCGCAGCCGGGGATGTAATGCCGCTTGTCGTTGACGGGCCAGAGTCCAAGATTGTCTGCGGCACTGGAACCGGCGAAGAGACCTTGTCCTGGATGACCAGGCCAAGGCAAGGAGCGCGAGAGGAGCAGCTGCTTACTCCTTGGCCTCACTCGATCACAGCCGCCACCGCTCAGTATATCGAGTTAGATCTTCTCCTCTTTGCATCCCAGCCGCAGAAGCCCTCTCCCGATTCACTCGACGTAGCGACGAGCTTCATCGAAGAACATGGCCTCAAAGTCCTAGCACGAGAGTTTTTGGCTGTGGCCGACAAAGATGTCTCGCACCAAGTTCAACTTGGAGTTGACGTGCTGAAAACCCACAACCGCGACGGCCCAAGCGGGCCACTCGGCGTGTTTCTCCAGCCGTGGCTCGGGAGAGCCATCGACAGCGGGCTCGGGTGGGTACTTCAGTTTCCCGATGCCATGAGGGCCGACACCGTCGGGTGGCAGCACGGGACCATGGGCGAAGCCGCCGATCCTCGACTCGCGCACGCTGCATCCTCACTACTCTCCATTTTGAGAAAGCCCAGCAGCAGCGAACAGGGCGAGACAGAACAGGACGAGACAGAAGAGAAGGCAGACGACGAGAAGCACGGGGGGGTCGAGGTGGAAATTCAAGAATTGACAGAAAAGAGAGATCTACAAGAAAGTGCAGAGGAAAGTGAGAGGAGTGTCCAACCCGGCGGACAGGGCGCCCAACAAAAGAGCGAAGAACATGAAAGGGATGACACGACAAAGAGCGAGCACACGCTCCACACAGTCATCCGGTTCCTTACATGCCTGCTCGACCCTAGGCTTCCGCTTTTCCACTTCAACCCGCGGGGTATCAAGCTGGGGCAGGGCCCATCCGGACAGAGCCATCATATCACTACGCCGTCCGTGAGCAACCGCTCGTGGGTAGCCGTGCCGGTCGCGGTGGCGCACCTGCCGGGCTGGCAGAAAAAGGCGTGGGTGGTCGAGCCATTCGACCCCGAGGCCGCGCTCGAGGACGCCGCTGACCACCTCGCGCGCGCGCCGACGCTGGCTGAGCTAGAGGCGGCAGGGAAAGTTGTTAGTGACCTGCAGATGAAAGACGTCTACCCCGTGCTTGATTCGGGCCCTGGTAACGACTGTCGGGAACCGCGCAACGACGCCCGGGCGACGTGGCGTCTGCGACGGCGGCAGGTGTTGTTTGGCTGGGAGCGGCCGCTCGTCGACGCTGCCGTTGATGCGGACAGAGCAGGCGTGGACGGCGCGCCATATGTGGTGCGCTTGAACAAGCAGCGCATGTACGGCGCCGACGACTACGACTGGAAGGCGATACACGCTTCCGTCTTGAGAGTCAACGAGGGTTTGGGGCTGACTGCGAAGGCCGAGTAACGGTTCGTGCGCTCAGCTTGCCGGTCTGTCTGTCCTTTCCTTTGTCCTGCAAAGGAACCGGGGCGTCAGCCCCGAGGCTGATGCATGGCAGCTGTATGTGTAAATCGCACGGGCGTGTAATTGTTAGCTGCAGCTGAGTGTGTTCATAAGCCCCCTAGCACAAGGGACCAGTTTTGCACTTCGAATCTGTCACCGTGTTCCGACAGAAACGACGATCCGGAATGTGATCAGGACACATGATTTGCAGGCCCGATGTGTGTTCTCGGAACGCCTCGCTCGCACCCTAGTTTTGAAGAAGAAATGGGCCTCGACCATCTTTTTGTTTTTCTCTTCTCCTCTCTTGTCGCGGGACATGTTGCTTTTTGTGGAAGGTGTCTGCAGAGCTGTCACCGCTACTACGTAGGTATTGCCGTCAGGGTCTTGTCGTTTTTGGTGCTCGGCATGATGTACGGTGACGGATTCGTGTTTGCACAGACCCTCTCGGAGGGTGGGCAGCGAAGCTGCACCCCAGATCCCCGGTAAGCTGCAGCCATGCTTTGACCCATGAGTGGCCGACCGAGCTAGCAGGACACGGACAGGTGAAATTTCGGACCATTGGAGTCGTTGCTCTTGCTTGCGCTCGGCGCTGTAGCTGTCCTCTCCTGTTTTGGTCCTGTTTGGGTGGGTCTCCCCGGGTCATACCGCCCTCGGTGCCATGCACGATCGCCGCCCTTTTCTCCTCCCCACCCCAATATGATCGGCGTACAGCGACCGTCTCAAAACTTGTCAGAGGCAATGCGCGCCCACCTGACACACACACACGTCCCTGGTTTCCGGACCTTGTCGACAATAAGCCGGCCTCTGGCATATAGTTCTCGTCTCTTTTGAGAACGCGGCCGGTCTAGACTTTCCGTCTTTCCAGTCTTTCATCTATGTCCCCAACCGCTTTCCGACCCGTGTCTTTCGTTCTCCGTCCGCCCTCTTCTCGTTCATCTGAACTTTCGATTCCGTCAATTAGATCGGACCTTTAAGCCCTCTTTCAGCATCTGTAATCGCCAACCCGAAGAATGGCGGCCTTGAGCTCAACGATCGACTACGGCCCTCGACTGAACACGATAATCTGGCTGTTGGTGTCGTTGTCGGCTATCTTCCTCTTCACGAGGCTGTACCTCAAGAACTGCCAGAATCGGGGGCTTTGGTGGGACGACTACACCTTGCTTGCGTCGTGGTTGGCCCTGGCCGGCCAAGCCGGACTAGTCGCATACATTATTGAGCTGGGCTACGGCAAAGACCCGGCCACCATCCCAGCCGAGAACCTGGTCTTGTTCGGGCCCGTCGTCAACTCTCTGTCGACGCTGCTCGTCCTGTCGAATCTCTGGGGCAAAACATCGTTTGCCCTCACACTTCTGCGCATCCCGACCCGCTGGATGAGGTTCGCTGTTTTGTTTATTCTCATTTCGTTGACGGCCACGCTGGGCATGAGTGCCGTCCTCATATGGACGCAGTGTTTCTTCAACAACGGCAGCGGGTGCATCGACATCGAGGTATCCCTCGGTTATAACATGTTCTCCTGTGGTGAGTCATTGTCCAGGGCAGGAGACGGTTGCGAGGGTTGCGAGGAAGGCTAATGAATGCATCAAGTATATTCGGCAACCATGGACGTGCTGTTGGCCTTTTTGCCGTGGAAGTACATCTGGTCCCTCGAGATGAGCAAAAAGGAGAGGATCGGAGTTGTGGTGGCCATGAGCATGGGCGTCTTGTATGTGCACTGGTGTCCATGTTCCCCGAACGTCCCTGACATTAGCAGTGCCGGGGCCGCAGCAGCCGTCAAGACAACGACATTGCCAAACATCACATCACCAGATCCCCGTAGGTGTATTCCTGGCTCCCGAAGGGAAACTGTAAGCTACGATAAGCCGCGAATATTGACCCGGCGACAGTCGCAAGCGTGAATCTTCTTACCTGGGGCAACGCAGAATCTGCGATTTGCATCATGGCCGCCTCGATCCCAATACTGCGTGCCCTAGTCCGAGGCCACTTTGTAGCGCCACACCCAAGAGGGTACGAGACGGGAGATTCGACGGCGATGGCAGAGTCCGGCGTCGGAGCAAGCTTCAACAGCCGGACACAAATATTTTCTCGGTCCTGGTCGCCGCCGCCACGGCAGACGAACGAGCAACGGCTTAGTGCGAGCAACTTGAAATCTCTCGACCGAACTCTTACCACCGGTAGCCCGGACCCAGCAGGACGCAAATCTCTGGGCGATGGGCAGGACGACTCCAGCGACAAGGACAGCATCGAGCTAGGCTATTATCAAGCACAGCCCCTCAGTCCCACCGACTTTGTCCGCCGAGGGATGGTGTGATCAGCAGGACGGAGTGAGATGATGAGCAATTGGAACCATTGGATTTCCCGAAACCTTTTGCGCTGGAAGACGCAAGCCACACAGTGCGGGATCGCTTGCGCTCAGATGAGTGGCCGTCGACATTGTCGCTTCTGTCTTGCGTTTAACAGATTTCTAATTGAGATGCGCCATTTCAACAGACACTCAGGTCTGGACCCAGGTGAACCACGCGCTACACGACCTCGCGGAAGACTTGAGCTGGAGCGAAGCCATGAGCCTCTTACAGCCAGCTGCAACCACGGCAAGAACGTGGTATATTCTGGTGGAATGTCTTGGCCTAGCCTCAAAGGATAGCCGACTCATCTCAAGGCGCAATGATACCAGAGGGCCTAGAAGTCAGAAGCGAGATGAGCACGGCCACGCTTGTCGCCGCCGCTGATAGAATGGAAACTTCGAGTTTGCCAAGCCCAAGGGCGGTATCCGATTGCAAAATCTCATAAGAAGGATGATGCCAACTTGGACGTGGCTGCGGTTGCTTTGCGCCGCCGAGCGGTATCCGAAGAGATAGGCTGCATCACGATGCGACGAGGGCCCAAGTTGGTGCATAGAGGTCGTTCACAAATGGAACTGGGGCATGGTATTGGGTGTCGAGGAGGGGCTAGGCACAGTTGAGGACGCGAGATAAGAGATGCAGGTGTAATTAGTAAATAATGTAATTTAGTCGAGATATCCAAGGTTGCGTTGCGTCGCGTCAATTCTTTGGGAGCCAGTTGGCGATGCAGTCAGTCGTCAAAGTGGCTCGCGACGTGATGGGCAACCGCAGTGGCGTCGCCGTCAAAGGCGCTGCAAACGGGACAAGATGACGTCTCCTGGGCCACTGTCGGGCCGTCGACACTGCCGCCTCCACTCTGGCTTTTGCAGTTCGCCGACGTCGACGTTTCTTCGCTGGAAAGTTCGCTCTTGTCTGCCCCCTTCTTACCAGGCGGACGCTGTCTCGCAGGCTTCACGAAGGCGTCGAGGCCAATCTGGCCCGAGGGCAGATCGTGATCGTAGCCCTGGCCTGGCGAAGCCCAATTGGTAGACGACGAGGGGCCGGGATCGCCATGGGGAGTGGTTGTGCTCGGGCCGTGACCGGGAGCCGCTGCCATGGTCTGGACCCTGCCGACTCTGCCATCGACCAGCCGCACCTTGATGCCGTGCGGATGGTTGCCCCTCGTCAGCACGTCCTGGACAGTCCCGGCCACAGTGCGCCCCGTCGGCTGGTCCGCTTTGAGCACAATGTCGACGTACGCCCCAGGCACAACATCTCGAATCGTGGGCACTCGCGGCATTTCGGTTCGGGTACGGAATGGATGCGAGTGGAAAAGGGCGCGCTGCGCATTTGGTTTTGGCAATCAAACTCAGAACCCTGCCGGCTGGTTGGCGGGGTATGCAATGCAGCGACTAAACAGGGCGCGTGCCTGAAACTGGGGGTCCACGCCCCACTTCTTGCCACTCTCTCCGTCCTGCTGCCAGAATAGGTAAGTGACCTCGAAACTTAAATTGGGTTGGTTGAACCAATGTGGGATAGTCGGTGTCACCGACAAAAAGATTACAGAGCCACGATAATTATACATACACACCCGCCACCAATCATCGCAGCTGGGGATGGTCAGAGTCAGCACCGCCACCGAGTGCCAAAATATGCCCATTTCAGCCCTACTGCGTATGGGTGCGGATAAATGGGCCCCACTGTGGTGTTGGAACTTTGGGACAGTGGCTTTGCAAGGTTGGCGCGTCAGCTGGTGCAACCGATTGGTCGACTTGTGGGAATTTCCAGGGTCAGTTGGTTCTGCAACCGCAGGCTTGCCCGCGGACCCTGTATTACGGGTCGCTCTGCTGCGGAGCAAGGCGGTGTGCAATGTCCGACGCCGTCCTTGTCCGTCGTGTCCCAACTGCTCACAACTGCTCACAACTGCTCACATTTCCAGCCTCGCATCCAACCACGATAATACCATTCAACCATACAGGCTGGCTAACCAAGGTCCCTCATCATCAACAATCATGCTGGAGTCTGTATCGGCGACCTATGCCCTGGTGCTGAGCCTGCTGGGGGTGCTTTTGGTATTTCTATGGCGCGGGCTCTATCCAAATCCCTACCCTGGCATCCCTTACAACAAGGAATCGGCAGGCCGCATGGGCGGCGACACGCCCGCGATGGTGGTGTTGATCAAGGACATGAACGAGTTCTGCGAGGCCATGTTCACCGTCTCGACGCGGAAGCTCGGCACGCCCATCGCGCAGGTCCTGTTTCCGTCCCTGCTCCGCAAGCCCTTGGTGATGCTCGAGGATCCGCGCGAGATTGAGGACATTATCCTGCGGCGCAACAAGGAGTTCGACAAAGCGTCCACCAGCATCGACCACTTCCGGCCCATGTTCCCAAATGGCAGCATCACCCATTACACTACGCCCCAGCTCAAGGCGCAGAAGCGCCTGTGGGCCGACATTATGAGTGTAACCTTTCTGCGCAAGACGACGGCACCCAAGATTCACAAGGCGGCACTGGAGCTGGTGGATCTGTGGCGACTTAGGGCTGGCACCGTGAGCAAGGATCGGCCATTCAGCGTCGTCGGCGACTTTGAAAACCTCGCGCTCGACGCCATGTGGGTATCTCTAATGGGCGAGGAGCCGGGCATGACGAGGAACGAGACGCGCAAGATGCGGAACCAGCTGGCCGGCGTCACGTACAAAGAAGAGGCCCGGCCCGCCGCCGACATCTTCAGAGACGAGGTCAACTACATCAGCAGTGCCATCCACACCGGTTCCCAGTTTCCGTTGCCCTGGGTCAGGATGTACTTGGAGACCTTCACCGCGCGGTACCGCCAACACAGGAGAACTGTGGAGACCGAGATTTGCAAGGTCATGAAGAAGGCGGTGGAGCGCTTCCAGCATCTCGGCGCGGCCGGCCTGGAAGCCGGGGACATGGACACCTGTGCCTTGGATTTGGTCCTCCGCCGCCAGCTGCTCGACGCGAAGAAGGCGGGCAGGGCCCCGACCGATCCCACCAAGGACCAGGCAATTGTCGACGAGCTCCTCGTCATGATCAGTGGGGTATGTACCCTCTCCACCCCCCAAATCGCACCTTGCTAACCGACACAACCGATATGCAGGGCTACGACTCCACTGCCACCGCCCTCTCGTGGTTCGTCAAGCTGATGGAGGCCTTCCCAGCTGTGCAGACAGAACTGCGCGGGGTTCTGAAAGCAGCCTTTCCCGGTCCGGAGCCGCCGTCCGTGGCCGAAATCCTCGAGTCGGACATCCCGTACCTCGACGGCGCCTGCGAGGACGTCGTGCGACTCGCCGGCACAACCAAGGGCAGCCTCCGTCAGGCCGTCGTCGACACCGAGATCCTCGGCTGTCCCATCCCAAAGGGCACGGAAATACTCTTCAACTACCACATCAACCGCACCCCCGCCCCGGCCGACGAGGCCACGCGCAGTGCCACCTCAAGGGACGCGGCCATCAAGCGCGGAGACGGCTTCCAGGGCGCCGCTGGCCGGGACCTCGACCGCTTGGATCCGCGGCGCTGGCTCGTGAGGGACGACAAGACGCGCAAAGAAGTCTTCAACTCCAATGCTCTGCCGTCGCTGGCGTTTGGCGGTGGATTCAGGGGTTGCTTTGGTGAGTAAAGTGTCTTTGAGCCCCATTTCTGTCTGCGTAGCCCGCGAGCTTTGTGGCTAACCCAGAACCTTTGCAGGGCGCAAACTTGCCGTGATGGAATTCCGCATCATCGTGGTCCTCCTTATTCTGAACTTTGAGTTCCTTGAGCTGCCAACTGAGCTTGAAAACATGACGTGTGTCGAGAAGATTTTCCGGATTCCGAATATGGCGTATGCAAAGATCCGGGCTCTGTAGTTGGTGAAGGTTGAATGGTGTTGTCGCAGCCTTGGAAAAAATCAATGTTAGTCAGATCAAGATGGACCGAGTATCGTTGCGCTGTTGGTATTGGTACACAATTGCGCTGTCGGTATTGGTAAACAATTAACTGTCGAGACTTGTGGATTTGAGGGACCCCGGCTCATTAATTCCTTCAGTTTGGATACTCCAGCTTCACTTAGACCTAGTCTGAACACTTCAGCATCAGTATCCGGTTGGTGGACGGCGGCGACTTTTCATCCGACGTTGCCTCATAATTTCGGTTCTCCTGCTCCCACCAACCGTCACGTAGGGTGTTAACATGACTTGTAGTAGCACGGTGCAATTTCTCCGCGGCGCTCATTTTCTCAAATCATCCTCAACCTCTTCGACCCCGTCAACCCATCTGCTGGCAGCCTCCTTGCACCTTTTACCAACTCACAACAGCCTTTGATCGCAGAAGCGAATGCCTGATCCGTACGTGTGTTCATAAAGCTGTTCGGTACGTAGCAACCCACCCGATAATTTACCGAGTGTGCTATTCCTACCCCTCGTCCCTCAGCCGCGTCGCTGGACTCGAATGGTCTAGAAATCGCTGCCGAGGCATGACTCAGAGCTTCGATCTGTTTCCGATTGATATCATCGCAGCGGTTCAAGTCGCCGTAGCAGCCAACTCACTCTCGCCAATCAATCTTGATATTTCGTCATCTCACATATCTTTCACATGCGGAAATCGGCTTTGTTTGGGGCAGCGGCTAATTCATCCTTTGTCGCAGCCACCCCGTCACAACAACAAGTTTCTCTCTGATTAGTGCCGCCATGGCTTTGTTCAATTCCGAGGGCCCCCAGAGCGGCGCAATCACAAACACTGTCACTTCCGGTACGTTCGAATGTTACGGGTGACCCCTCCCGGCATTTCCAACTAGGAGCAAACCCAGCACCAGCCCCATACAGTATACAGGAGGTTACAAGGCCGAATGATGGGAGAATAGCACCGCTCGACCGAGGCAGCGCATCTTGCATCTTTGCCCTGTCGAACCTCCCACATTGTTCAACACCTGCCGACCTCGTTTTGTCTTGCCTTTGCTAAATTTGGGACATCAAAAGCCATCAACCGCGACCGGGCCCAAGGTCGATATGGCGGGAGAAGGTTCACGGGCAATGACGGAGTAAGCCAGTCCCACTCACTATTCGCCCCGTTGACGGTCTCGGCGCCTTTGACTCCTCCGCGACGAGCAAGAGAAACTGCTACATTGCTCACTTTGGCGGTTCTGCTCGTCGTGGTGATGTGACCTGCCGCCACGACCCTACACGCATCCGCCCTCTCCAGCAAGGCACACACTAACGTCACTCAGCTACTGAAGATCTTTCAAACTCGCTCGGTCAGAGCTCTGGCCACTGGTGCCGATAAGCTCGCCCCAATTGTCGATATACCCGCGCCCGCGCCCGCGCCCGAGCCGGCGGCGGTCAGCGACGACTCGTGTGTCCAAACCACAGAGATCGAGGCACTGCGTGCCAAGCACGAGGCTAGCATAGACCGCCTCGAGGCCATAACCGAGAAGGCGCCGAAGTATGACCTGGAGCAGTGGAATACCATAAACAAGATGCGAGTCGCGCTGCTGGAGGAAATCCTCGCCAACGCGCAGGCAATTGCGGGGTCTACCAAGCAACCTGACGGCTCGCGCCAGGAGGATGTTGCAGTGCCCAAGGTCACCGAGGCCTTGGTCAAACTGCGTTGCGCCAAGATCGACAAGCGAATGGAAGAGTTACGGGACGCGATCCGCCGCATCGACGCCAGCTTCGACAGGACGGAGGCAGAGTACAAAAAATTGCTTGCCAAGATGGACAAATACGGCGCCAAGCTTAAAAAGCTTGCTAGGATGAGAAAGATTGGAGACAAAAAGCTCGACGACATGCAGGAGCTCGACAACATGCAGGAGCTCGACGACGTACGGGCCCAAGGTGACATCGAGTGCCGGTTGGCGGCCTTGCAGGCAACTATCAAGGCAAAACTGGCTGAAGCCGAGGATGACGTATTTAGTAGACCGTCATCAGACCTAGGGAGCATGTTCATTTACTGATCGGCGGCTGGGCGTTGGTATCTGTAGCCTGCGTTGTCGGAAGTGTTCTGATCTAGAAGTCAATAGGGTTGGGGTTAGATCAATTCTTTGCCCCACTCCAAGCCACTCTGCGCGTAATTTTCATTTGTCTCCACCATGGCCCACCTTGCTTCAGCGACGCACGCTCGCCTTTCCCCCAAAACACCGCGAGACTCCGAAACACACGCGCCCTCCATGCCCACCAGCCACGCAATCTCCCGCGTAGACGAACAGACGCCGCTGATTGCTCCCCCTACATCGCAAGAAACCGGCCCGAGCAGCGGTGCCAGCATGAGCAGCGCGCTTTTCTGGAAAGTGGGGGCGCTGTCAGGGGCGCTGGCAGTCGGGCTCGGCGCGTTCGGCGCCCACGGGCTCAAGAAGCGCATCGCCGACCCGGCCAAGCTGGCCAACTGGGGCACAGCGGCGCACTACCAGGTGTGTATTTGCGGATTACTCCCTACCTGCCGGGAATAACAGATTGCCCGCCATTGCCTGGCCTCAAACCCCAGCAGTTGCTCATCTCCCCGGACCGAGCCGGGCAAGCCGCTCAAATGCCGTGCCATCAGACCCCTGCTAATGCTCACGCCAATGCGTAGCTGATCCATTCGGTCGCCATCCTGCTCGCGCACAACCACCCCGTGCCGGCGACGCTGTTCGCGGCTGGGACGGCCCTCTTCAGCGGCAGCATCTACGCGCTGACGCTGGACACGGAGCGGTTCCGGTTCCTGGGGCCCGTGACGCCGCTCGGCGGCCTGCTGCTGATTGGCGGCTGGGTGGCGCTGGCGTTTGCCAAGGGTGGTCCGCCGCCCCGGTGGCCGCGCTTCTAAGTCTGATCATGTCTCTGTGGGTTGACTGGCATGCGGAATGCTGCGGGTATTCAGCTTCTGTAGAGGTTGGCATGCGGAGTGCTGCGGGTATTCAGCTTCTGTAGAGGTTGGCATTTGAAGCTGTGTATTTTTAGCTTCCCTTTTCCCTCTCGAGAGGAGCGAGGGGGCTCGCGTGGGATCGCGACCAGGTCGTTAGTCGCTTGCTGTCAAGAACAAGAAATATCTCATCTCAGACGCGTTTCCGTCCACGTCTACTGGCTTGTGCCCGATGGTTACACACTAGGTCTGGCTTAGAGGGAACGGGCCCCTGAATACCTGGATGAAGAGATAGAATGGGCCAAAGCAAATGGGATCAACGGTCAGTCAAATTCGGCTATGTACGACGGTGTGCTAACTACAAGGAGTTTCCCAGAAATCAAAGAAGAAAATGCCACTGAATCTGTCCGTCCTGAATGCTTCAGGCTACCAACGAGGCCTCGAATTCCACCTCCAGCTCCGTAATGCAACATTCCGCCGGCGACCGAATACTTCAAGCATGATATAACACTTCTAGAAAAGAGCCCTCCGATGAACTATGTGGAGTCGCAACACCATCACGCCTTGGCGAACGCCTCCTTGAACGTCGCCTCGGCCACGCCCGCAATGTCGAGCACCTTGGCGTCGTACCCGGCGCCGCCCAGAATGGTAATGCCAAAGGGCAGCCCGGCACCCAGCTCGTCGACATAGGTGCCGGCGGGGACGTTGGCGCCGCACAGGTCGACGACGTTGGCGTAGTGCGTGAAGGTGCCCAGCTTGGAGTTGAGCCGCAGCGGGTCCGCCGTCATCTGCTCGATGGTCGGGTGTTGCGTCGTCGTCGGCACCACCAGCACGTCGATGCCGCCGCGCAGCGTGTCGAACGTCTGCTGGGCCTTGCGTGTCAGCTGGATCTGCAGCGCCTGGTCGCGAAACACGTCGTACGCCGACGGCGGCTTCTCGAGCGCGCCGCCAAAGAGCGCTTTGATGACCGGGTGCAGCTCTTCCAGCTTTGTCTGCAGGAATTCCAGGCCCAGGCACGTCATGCGCTCGTGGAGGAGGGCGCCTTCGTAGAGCAAGTCCCCGGCAACTTCGAAGATCGTGTAGTCGACTTCGACAAGGCGCCCCCCGCACGACCGGAGTAGCTTCACGGCTTGGCTGAAGAGGTCCTGGTATGCCTTGGTGCAGACTTCAAGCGAGGACGGAGGAGGGACGGCGAAGGTGAAGCCGCCCAAGCGCGGGCCGCGAAAGTCGACCTTCCACGTCACAAGCGTGTGGGGCAGCTTGGAGAAGGGGTCGTCGGGATCGTGCCTGGCTATGATCCGCCACACCTTTCGGGTGTCCGGAACCGACGGCGCAACGACGGTTATTGTGTCGAGCGTCCTGCAAGCCGGCACGAGGCCCTTGGCGGACACGGTGCCCTTGGTTGGCTTGAAGCCGACGATGCCGTTGAATGCTGCCGGAACTCGCCCGCTGCCAGCCGTGTCCGTCGCCAGGCCAAACGAGACGAGGCCGGCGCCGACCGAGACTGAGGACCCCGACGACGACCCGCCCGAAATGTGCCTCTCGCTGAACACGCTGTGCGTGATGCCATACGGCGACCGGCATCCGGACAGCCCCGTGGCCAGCTGGTCCAGGTTGACCTTGCCGATGAAGATGCCGCCGGCGTCGAGAACGTACTGGACGGCCGGTGAGTTGAAAGTGGCCGTGTACGCGTACTGTGGGCAGGCGGCCGTCGTCGGCACGCCATTGACGTCGATGGTATCTTTCACAGAGAACGGAACTCCGTACAGCGGCGGCAGCGGCTTGCCCGAGTGTCGAGAGGCCAGCTTCTCTGCGTCTTGCAGCACCTTTTCCCTAGTTTCGAGATGGATCCAAACAGCCGGGTCAGTGGCGTGGTATTTCTCGATGCGGTCAAAGACAAAGTTGACGACTTCGGCAGGTGATGTGATGCCTTTCTTGTAGCGTGAGATGAGTTCGTCGATTGGCGGTAGGCCGTCGTCGCCCAGCAGAGGGGGCGTCGCCGGCGGCGTGAGCTGCGTCAGCGACTCGTTGATTGCCGTGAAGAAATCGGCGCTTGTGCCCACGAAGCCGAAGAGGCCGTCTTGGCCGCTGACGGTGTCCAGCGACGTGGCCACCTGCTGGGCATCAAAGCCCTGGGTGCAGTCATCGAGCACGCAGCACTGGTAGCCGCGATCATTGCACTCTCGCAATGTTGTGGTGACACAGCATCTGACCAGAGCCGAGTTAGCTACGGACGGAGTTGCAATCTGGGCTGTGAGACAAACTCGGTAGTGACTCCGGCAAACAACAGGTGAGTCACGCCCCGAGCAAGCAAGACCCGGTGTATGTCAGTTCCCCAAAAGCTCCCCTTTCCAGGCTTGTCAATCACCGTCTCGCCAGGCCACGGCGTCAGCTCATCAATGATGTCGTGGCCATACTCGCCCCTGACCAGGAGCCGGCCCATGGGGCCTTGGTCACCGATGCCCATGGTGTGGTGGCCATGGGGAGACGAGATCTGGCGGAGCCTCTTTGCGGCCGGCAGGTCTGCGAGATCCGGTTGGTGTCCTTCGCGGGTGTGTATCACATGGCCCCCAACGGAGCGAAAAACATCGAGGACTTTCCTGACGGTGGGGACAATGGCGCGGGCCCTGGAAAAGATTTCATCGTTGCCGCACTGGACGGAGCCGAAGCCGCCGGGGTCGACAAAGTCCCTCTGGATGTCAATGATAATCAGAGCGGTGGTGGCAAGTGGAAACTGGAAAGCGTAGGGCTTGGCACTTGGGAGAGTGAGAGTCTGGCTCGGCGTAGACATGGTTGGACAATAGACAGCGACAGGGCCTTTGGCGGAGACAGGGCCTTTGGCGCGTGATGGATCTCAACTCCAACACCCCAAACAGTTCTGATTCAGCTTTCTCGGACAGGCCGACCGATTTTAGACCACGGCGGAAACAACACAGAGATTTTGCGAATGAGCAAAGACTCTTTGATTCAAGAAAAATGTGACAACTTGACACGGCGATGTGAGGTCTGTCCCGGTCGGGACTGGTGTTGCCGAGGTGGTGAAGCGAAGCCGGGCGCGAGATTCGGCCGAGGATGGATGTGCGGATAAGAGGTCCACCGACGGCGATGACCAGCAATTGATAGCAGCGCCGTGGGCAGTTATCGGGCCTCGAGCGTTGGTGGCTGACCGCTTGCATCTGGACCAAGCCCGCCGGGCAGGGCCTTATCATTAAATCTAGAGCCCATGGCATTGACGACATTGGTCTGTCGGCCGACATTGGCCTGTCGGCCCCCGGCTTTCAAGCCACTTCCCACGTTGGCATTGGCGGCCACTGGCCCAATGAAACCTAGAGGCGCCCCTGCATGCCACTTATCTCCGGTGGCGCGTTGCTGGTTGGGCGTTTTGGTGGTGCGGGGTAGAAACGCGCCACTGCTTTGGGCGCCCGGCGGGCCGTCGGCGGTGGGGCTGGCGCGGTGGGAAGCAGAAACACAATTAGATACGATCACTGCGGTCGTAAGAGAGAGTCCTGAATGGTTGATTGTGCAAGTTTCTATTTGTGTCGTCTTTGGGCCGAACGTTTAGAAGAGGCGACCAGGCTTCAGCGTAATTCAGCCCTGCCCGAATATTTGGAACAATGATGTTGCTAGAACTCTAGGTATTAGGGCACGTGGCTGTGAAATATAGCGACCGCCAACGAGCTCTTTTTGCGCCGTAAGCTCTGCAACACGGCTGGTACATGTACATGTACATGTACATAGCTAATGTAATTGCGTAGCTCTTGTATTATGGAAGCACAGAGTAGCCGCAGCGACGTTTGTGGCTTTGTTAGCGGGGAATTCTGCAATCCATGGGCTTTCCCTGTCTGCAGTGGGAATTGCCAGTGGCGACGGCATTCCGGCGGCCACCTGCAGCTTTGGTTATCTGGGATCAAGATGATGGTGATTAGTATCAGGGTTCCCCATAGTGGATATTGCCAAGACATCTGGCCGAATCCGTCGTCCCCGCCGGCCAGCGCAATTGCCCACGGCCCACCCCCACCCTCAACCCCAGGCTTGCGCTATCAAGCCGTCGCCAACCATCTCGCCATTGGCTGTCAAGGCTTGACCTCACATTCCCACCTGCACGACCAAGCCACAGGCCTGAGCCCGAAACGAGGTGCCCGCCACAATATTGCATCCAGCTGCGGGGAGGTGACGGCCCAGACCTGTCCTGGATCGTGTGACACAACATTCAATATTCAAGCCCAGTGAAGACCCCCCTGCCCTGCCCAACCTTGCACCCTAAGCTCGGCATCACGCCTCGTCCTCGTTATCTCTACGCCCTCCCGCTAGCTCCGAGAGCGATGCGCCGTCGGCAGACCCTCATCGACACAGGGCTATCTTATCGTGTTGCAGCCCTTTCGCTCCAGCTCTAATCGAGGCGTCGTCCGCCGCACCCCCATTCGCAGCATTTCGCAGCATCGCCAATGGGGCTTGCCGGTATCTACAGCTAATAGGTCGGCTGCGGGAGTGTCTGCAGGAGCTTACTACCCAGGGCTGTCTGCCCGGCCTGTTGGACCTCTGCATCTTGATATCGAGCTGCTCGGGGCATATATGATGCTGGCCACCTCGGATCATCTGCCTTTGTGAGACATTACCACGCAGCTTCATTCATCGGTCTCGGCATTGACAGGATCCCACTCTGCCTCTCCCGCCTGTGCACGACCACAGCCATCAGCATGATCCGGCAGCGGTTCTCGTCCATCAAGAAGGACCTGAAGTCCAAGACGTCCAAGGAAGGATGGATCTTGCCCCGTCCCGAGTCGTCATTCGCCGACCCAGGTGCTTGGTGAGCACTCGGAGTGGATTACTGGCTCAGGAGACAGTTGCTGACGAGGACCGCATTGCAGGACAAACATTGACTGCGATGTCACCCCAATCGAGCGCCGCACGTGGTCCGCCTGGACCATGTTCGGTTATTGGTTCTCGGATGCCCTCAACGCTCAGAGTTGGATGGCGCCGGCATCCATCATTGCCCTCGGCCTTACCTGGTAAGTCATTGGACACAACCCAGCAAGCGTCTAACGAGGTCTAACCCAGTTGACACTTCCACAAGGCGCGAGGCGGTAGTGTGCATCATCTTCGGCAGCTTGGTCTGCACCGTTCCGCTGGTCCTCAACGGCATGGTGGGAGCCAAGATTCACGTCCCCTACCCCGTCGCCATACGCGCGTCGTTTGGATGGTACTTCTCGCGCTTCGCCATTGTCACCCGCGCCATCACCGCTCTCTTCTGGCACGCTATCCAGACTTACACAGGCTCCACCGCCATGACCCAGATCATCCGCGCCATCTGGCCCTCGTACCTCGACATCCCCAACCATATCCCCGAGGGCGTCGGCATCACAACGCAGGGCATGGTCAGCCACCTCATCTTCTGGAGCGTGCAGTTCCCCATTCTGCTCATCCCGCCCCACAAGCTCAAGTGGTTCTTCGTCGCCAAGTGCGGTAGGTGGCATATCTTCCCTTCCGCTTGGTGAACCTTGACTAACTCGCAACAAAGTTCTGGTTCTCGTCGTCTCCATTGCCATGGTCATCACCATGACCTCCAAGGCCGGCGGCACGGGCGAGATCTGGACTCTGCCGTACGGAGTCGAAGGCTCCGACCGGTCATGGCTCATCCTGTCCTCGCTGTCCAGCATCACTGGCGGTTGGTACGTGTCAGCTCTTCAGGCGCCCACCCGCTCAAAATTCCCGTCTAATTTCCACGGGTTTCAGGGCAACCATGGCTACAAACATTCCCGATTTCACGCGTTACCTAAAGAGCGACAAGGGTGTCTACTGGCAAGTTCTTTTCCTGCCAGGGATCCAGCTCGTTCTCGGCCTCTTCGGTATCATCTGCTGCTCCGCCGCCAAGGTGGTATATGGCCGGTACATCTGGGATCCGCTCGAGATTGCCGCTCAATGGGACGGTCCTGCCGGCCGCTGTGGCGCCTTCTTTGTCGGCCTCTGCTGGGTGGTTGCTCAGATCGGTACCAATCTGTCGGCCAACGTCATCAGCTGCGCCAATGACATTTGCTGCCTGTTTCCCAAGTACGTCAACATCAAGCGCGGCGTCATTTTCGCCACCATCACGGCGGCGTGGATCATGCAGCCATGGAAGATCATCTACTCGGCCCAGTCCCTGCTCGCTTTCATGGCAGGTCTCGGCATCTTCCTTGCCCCCATTGCCGCCATGCTCAGTGCCGACTTCTGGGTCGTGCACAAGCAGCACTATGATGTCCCGGGTCTGTATCGCGCCCACGGCCGCTACAGATACAACAAGTGGGGAACCAACTGGCGTGCGGTCGTGGCTTTCATTGTCAGCGTCAGCCCAACCCTCCCCGGCATGTGAGTATTTCCCGCCCTACGTTCCGAGCTCATGTGTACTGAGACTATTTTCCAGGGCTGCGAGCGTCAACCCTGCCATCGGGCCCACGATCGGCGATGCGAATAAACTGTACTTCATGTTCTACATCTGGGGCTACATCAGCGCCTTCGCCGTTTACAGTATCCTGAGCCACTTCTTCCCGTCGCCAGAAACGCAGATCGACCACACCATCTACGAGGACAGCGATATTATCTCGGCAGCTGAGGACAAGGCCGACTCGGACGTCGCGGACGAGAAGAAAGCGGCAGAGGTGGAGACCTCAGCAGTCTGAGAATTAGTGTGAATAGTGGCGAGGCAGAATTTGTTTGATTGAGATATGAATCACTCGTGTAGGAAGTTTTGGGGCTCTTGGTTGAGCCGCTCAAAGATACCCTCGTTCGTCACTAACCTTGGAATAGCGACATGCCTTGGGACCAATGTCAGATAGCGTTCCTAGTTTGAATCCGCCGACTTGTTGTGGCTAATGCCATCCTGAAATGAAAGAAAAGATGATTGTCTAAGAAGCTAAGGTGCCCTACGAGGGCCTAAATAATTTGGTAGGTCCGTGCGCTGATTACGTAACATCCTCCAACTGTAGTTTCGACTGTAGTTGTTTCGACGTAGGCTTCTGTCATCATGACTCTAGCGAGGTCGATCGTTGAAGTAGTACGCTGAATCGAGGTCGTCGACATTGTACGCGGGACCAACGAGCAGTTGACGGTTCCTTGGGATGATCGTTGGGGGTGTACCACGGAAATCGTCGATCTTTTGAGGCAGGGCTGTGCCATTGAGGACTCTTGCACTTGCTTTGGTCTTCTCCTCCACCGAAGCGAGGTACTCATCGATTGTCATAGAGCTGTCTGGCTCGTGGATGAGCTGTTGGATACTTGGCTCAATGCCAGCGTAGATGAAGGTCATGACGTTGGTGATGTCAGTGAAACCCATTGCCTTGCAGTACCGCATCTTCTCTGCGGCGTAGGAGCGAAAGGGAACTCCTGACTTGCAATTTTCAGACGTGTAGGTGCATTTTAACAACTTGTCTCCTGCCTCGGTCTTGGTCATGGCGAAACGGCGGGTCATTCTTGCCTTCCAGTTGCTCAGATTCTCCTTCATGAATCGTCTGTCGAGGTCGCTCAAGGTCTCAATGTACCACAGTTGAGCAGATCCTTTGAGGAGCTGTGCAAGATCTCTTCTCAGGATGTCTCGTCGGGCGGGGACATTAGCGTGCTCCATCACCGAGTCGAAGAAAAGGTTGACATCCTTATAGTGGATGTCACTGCCGACCGTGGCCAACGGCTCGTCTCCGGCGACCTCGACGTCCGGATTGAAGTAGCCGACTTGGTTAATCTTCTATCCTTGACCGCCTCCTCCACCTTGGTTGGTGAGGTTATTGAGGACGCCGCCCATACTTTGTCCCAATTGCTCTGCTAAGATACGAGCAAACTGGTTCATGTCCACCATAGGGTTATTACGGGGTGGCTCATTCTTATTGCCGCCATTTCCTTCTTGTTGACCTCCTCTTTCTGTACCTTCTCCGTGTACCGTCATCGTAGGGTTCTCCTCGAAGGGGGTGGATACGAGCGAGGCTGTGTCTCCTGTGTCGCGATGCTCGAAGTGGAAGCTTTCTGGCAGGGTTGGTTGGACGACGCCGATGGGGAAATTGAAGTCGTTGATTGAGAGGGTATTAATCGGTGATGGCCCTGGCGGGGTAGTGGTCTCGGGTTCCAGCGTCTCTGCTCTGCTGCTCCCGAGGTTGAGGTCTGAAAGTCTGGCCTCGTGTATCCTCAGACGCTTCTCCTCAATACGATGTTGGTTGATCTCGTACTCGGTGAAGTGCCTGTGATGGGCCGGGTGAGGTTTCTGGGAATGTACCAGGCAGCGTGCTAGCGCTGTCCCGAGACTGGGAGGTTGACGTCGATAGATTATCAGGTTGGCGAGCTGATCTGACCATCTGCTGGTTGATGAATTTGATGACCAGGGTTGGTTGGCGTCGCCTGGTGGAAAATTGTGCCCTGTTTTGCCGATTAATCCGTTCCTTGACGTCTTTGGAGAGGATGTCGAAATATCCTTCGAGGACCTCGATTGACGAAATTGACAGGGTGTTTGGGATGGTTGCAATATAGTGAAGGATCTAGGTTCCGACAAGGTGCCCGCAGGGCTGCAGATCTATTGACAAAATTGCACAGGATTGGGTACAGTATACTAGTCTTCTGCAGTTCTTTGCAGTGTTGTGAACCGGTGGTCTGTGCGGCTGCGTGGTTGTGCAGGGTCTTGCGGGCGGGTCCCAGAAATTGACCAAAAACTGGGTAAAAAGGGCCAATTACTGGATCAGATCGCGGGATTCTGGCACAAGTTCGTAGGAAATGGCAGGGTATGGAAATTCAGGTTCCAATGCTCGCAGGGAGATGCAGAGATGAATGTGCTTGATGGAAGAGGACGGAAAACGATGCGCAATTGATGGAAAACTAAAGACAGGGTACAGGTGCTGTGGTGCGCGCGGAAGACTTTGGTGAGCTTTCCTTGTCAGCAAAAGGAGAAAAATCGTCCTATCAGCGCCTGACGAGCTCGATTATAGTATGGTATAGGTCGCTACGATGTTGTCATCTCTGCTACCATTGTTGTGGCTAAACTGTCATTTTTGGGGATAGATTTCCGGATGGGTTTTCTGGAAAAAGATCACATTCTAATGCCATCCTAAAATGAAAGAAGAAAAGAAGATGGTTGTCTAAGAAGCTAAGGTGCTCTAACGTAATCTACCACCTAGCGAGCCACACCACCTTGGCGAGCCAAAATTCTCCACCAAAACACGGCCCGCACGCGTGCCTACCACCACAGCTGCAGCGATGACCGAAGACAACCAATTGCTTAATACCCCCAAAGGGTTCAATTAGCCGTCAAGGCTTACCAACAGAGCCAGTTCAAGTCGATGCGACAGGCTGCAACAGTCTAAAATGTACCCCACCAGACATTGTCTGCGCGGCTACGTGGTAGACGACCTCGGTACAATACACAAGTCAATAACCGAAAGCTATCGGTAGCCGAGGAGACTGCTCTAGTACAATGAATCCTATCAATGGTGGCCCAGCCAGGAAATCGGGAGTGGGCAACAGTCATCGAGGCTGTCAATTGTAAAGGATGGCCTTACCACCTAAAATTATCCTACCCGGCAAGGTTCATCAAGCTGAGTGGTACTCTTGCGGTGCGCCGAGCGATTGGTCAATTGGAGTTAGTAAGAAGGGTTGGACTGATGATGATCACTGCTTTGAGTGGTTAACCAAAATCTTTGATCCAAATACTCGACGGCGGGCTGTAGGCCAATACCAACTTCTAATTCTTGATGGTCATGGCAGTCAAGTCGCCCCAGCCTTTGACCAATATTGTCGAGATAATAAGATTATTGTCTTGCAAATGCCACCACACTCCTCTCACCTATGCCAACCACTCGACGTTGCCTGTTTTTCACCACTCAAATCATTCTACGGCAGCTTAGTACAACAAAAACTCTTTGCTGGGGTTAACTATATTGATAAACTCGATTTTCTTATTTTATATATACAAGCCCGACCACTAGGCCTCTCAGATTCGAATATCCGAGCTGATTTTGCCGGGGCCGGCTTACAGCCTATCGATCCAAGCCGAGTACTACGGAGACTTCGAATTCGAGTCACAGGCGCCACCACTGGCCCAGTCAACGGCGCCGTGGCCGGTTCAGTTACGGGCGCCACCTCTAGCCCAGGCACAGCTGCTGTAGCTAGCTCGGCTATAGGCACCACTGCCGGGACCGTGGTCGACTCAGTCACAGGCGCCACCTCCGGTGCTGCCGCGGCCGGATCGGTCACAGGCGCCACTACCGGCCCAGTCATAGACGCTACTGCCGGCCCAGTCAATAGCACCACCACTAGCTCAGTTAACGACGCCGCGGCCGGCCCAGTCAACAACGCCACTACACCCAGTCCTAATGGAAGCCCACAACCTGCTAAGACTTCTTATAATCTAATCCAACTTACAGCCCATACCAGCCAATTACACCAGCAACGGCCATCAAAGCCAGATTTGCCAATTTCAGAAGCTATTAGCCAACTGGTTAAAGGTTATGAGGTAGCCCTGAATAGTGCTGTCTTGTTGGCGGAGGAAAATCGAATCTTGCGAGAAGAAAACCAACGGAGGAAGCAGAGGAAGCAACACCGATGATATATAGCCAAAGGAGGTACCCTTACTATTGCAGAGGGTCTGGCTAAGATTAGCCACCTCGATAGCCAAGCCAGCCAGGCCGGTCAAGATAGTACAGCTGGCTCGGGCAGTACAGAGGGTGCTAGGCCGGCCCGAGGTAGTAGTGTTGACCAAGGTGGTGCAGAGGCTCTTATGCAAGCCCAAGGCGGCCAGACTGGCCAAAAACGCCGTCGAGCCCCTCCAAAGTGTAGTATTTGTGGTGCCCTGGATCACAACGCTCGAGTTTGTAAGAATAAGTAGTTGTTAGTGGGGATATTTTGTTGTAAGTTAGGGGGGCCGGGGAAGTGGGGAATTTTGGCTCGCCAAGGTGGTGTGGCTCGCTAGGTGGTAGATTACGTTAAATGATTGTGGTAGGTCCGTGTATTGATTACGTAACACCACCGCTTCAAACATGGTTTCCAAGTCATGTTACTTTGATTAGGCTGAGACGTCTAGATCTGTATTCTTGTCATCATGTCATGTGATCACCGCGTATTTGCTGCTGGTCTACCTAGGTACCGTTTGTGCTGTCGTATTGGTTGCAGTTTCAGTTACGCGCCTAGACAATACTTGGTCCGAAGTCCGCCTGGTGGTTGATTACCGAGAAGACGTCGGCATTGCATTCCCAGCTCTCTGACCTCGCAGCACAAGAAAGGTCAAAAAAGGCCGAAAGAAACACGAAGTCGAGCAGACGGAGAAAGAGATGATTGCTGGACCCAGCACGGATACCCCAAGCAGTCGCCCCGCGGCCACTCTCACATCATCACCGACCGGCGACTACTAGGCATGGTGCAGCATCGACGACCCAGCACGCCTAGCACCTTACCACCTGACCATATATAATGGCCACCGAAGCAAGCAGATGGGCGCGATGTTGTGAGCAGAGACAATAAGTCCGACTGGAGCCGCGCAGACCCCAAAGGCGTTGTGAACCGTATTCACATACCCTGATGGCCTCAGGCAGCAGGCTTTAACCCTACGAACGCAGGGCAGGGCATTCATATGAGCCTAGCATTTAGATAAAATCAAATTCAAACTGATTGAGATTTCTGCCCTGGCAAGTGTTTCGCTTTAAGAACACTTTATTATTTGTGGCGAAATAAATTCCCGTCATGTTGGCGCCCGGCTCGAGGTCCTCAACTCTCCGCATACAGTGAGGGTTAAACGAAGTGAGGGATCCCTATTGGCTACAAGGAGATCGACTCACATGTGGGGCTGGTCCCCTCGGGCAGCCTGGACTGAGTGTAAGTGGTTGGTGGGCTTGGCGGCCAACCAATCTGAAGCTCGGCTTCCGTTTGCACACCCGGGACTCGAGCAAACGAAAAAGTCCAGTGCTAATGGCCACGCGCAAAACGCGTCCCGTATTGATCAGAAACTGTAGGCCTCACTCGCTTCCCTGCATGCAGCACAGGCAATTCGAGCAAATTGGGCTGCACAACGTGGTCCGAGGGAACCAGGGTTACGTATTAGGTTTTGAGCCTGAACGACCCAGCTCCCAAGTTCCAGGCCTAAAATTTCCCTGTACCGCCACTTCCTTACCTTCTTTTCTGTTGCTCTTTCTACCTTCCAGCAAGGTTCCTTCCTCGTAATTGAGCCGCTCCTCCATCTCAAATCACCAAACAACATCCGGGCATCAACATCTTCGCCATGGATAAAACCCTGTACAACCATCTTGCTCTCCCAGACAAGCTCCCGCAGTCCGAAGACTGCCCCGACGAGATTGAAAACAACCTGATCGACCGCTTTCTCGTCGGCGCTCGTCAAATGCACCAGCTTTCCACGCCGCATTCTACCGCTGCTTGGGAAGCGATCCAGCGCTGCTTGACGGCTGCCAAAGTCGTCCATTGTCGCGGAAGGCTTGATAGGTCTAGGCTATTGACGCAGCTTCGGGCATTCACCGAGTGCCGGGAAAGGCACGACTTTCTAGTCTTTCACATTCGCAGCCAGAATGCCGCTCTTTTGATCCATCGCCTTATTGGGTAAGTGCTCTATGTTGTATACTGCTCGTATATGATTATCCTTGGCTCACAAATATCCAGGTCGAGCAACGAAATAGTCGTCGAGGTGTTTGAGACTTCGCCCCGCAATGAAGATATCTTGGCCGCCAGCACCGCTCTCCAGTGGGATTTCCCCGGCAGCGCTGTTGCCATTCCACTGGCGACATTCAATGAGGAGGATTTCCAGAGCAACCTCGCGACCTTTCTGGAACAAGCTTCCTTGGAATACACCAAAACCTTTGCGGCCCACACTTTCAAGGCCGGCACCGAAATTCACGAGTGCCGAGATACCCCGGCGCCTACCATGATCAGCTCTATGCTCATGGCCATGCTCGAGGAAAGCGGGTGCAAGATATCGACGCCCCTGCTCCGCAAAAGAGTGCGTGATGATATATGCTGGAAAGGCGCCAAAAAGCCCTGGCGCCGACTACCCTTCTGGCTGGTACTGAGAGTCGCAACTGCCCGATACTTGTCGCTTGCACTAGGTGGGGACCTAGGCCGATTCGAATACAAGTTCTTCCTATGCGTGTGCTTCGCCAACTTTCTGGATTCCACCCATTCGACGCTTGACGTCGAACAGACGCACTTTCTCAAATCGAAACTGTGCCGTCGTTTAGTCAAGTTGGATGTGGACAGGGCCAGTGTTCAGGACCAAGACTTGGCGCAGAAAGTTGACTTCCTTTTTGAACAGCTCATCCCCGGAATTGACGGGATCATCAACGAGGCTGCCCTGCACGTTCAACTTGAGTGGAAGAACTTCAAGGTGGTTTCCACCAAGCACGTTCCTCCACTGCCTAAAACAGCCTCGTTGGGGGACATGACACTTCCACTGCGAGTCAGCGGCGAGGCGTTACTAGCGATGCAAACGATGGTACGCCGACCAACCCAGCCAAATCGCACAAGACCTCTGGACAATAACCTTTCCGCTGCAACAAATGAGGAGTTTCCCAAGTACGCCGAGCCGTATCTTCGTGCAGCCGAGCAGGACGAAATAGCCTACCAGCTTCTTTGGGACTCCCAGCACAAGGACGCATCCGGGTTCGTGGAAGTCAAATTATCAAAGCAGATAGAGGCGTACATTGTAAAGGGTTTGCCACTCTATCAGGAGAACACGGAGCAAATGAGTACTCTCATCCTGAACACGATGGAGCTGTGGATGAGGCTGGATGAATTAGCCTGTCAAGCTTATCCCCTCCTGCACGACTACCACCCAGTCTTCACCCCCGAACTTCTCAACGCCATCCATCTGTCCGGCTATGCTGAAATGGCCCGCTTGCAAGAAGTTCAACGTTATCTCCAGAGGCGCATCGCCGCGAGCGATCGATCGAGGACGAACGTGTTTGATGACCCTTCCAAAGCCTGCTTTGCACGGAGATACTACGACGAATGCTCAGAAGCTAAGTCCATGCATGACCTGCATGACGCCGTAGAGACCAATGCTCGGCGATTAAAAGAAACGAAGCTCAAGGAATGGCAACAAAAAAAGGGCGAGTTGGAGAAACTAGCGAAGCTGATTAGCGAGACCACCTGCATGTTCATGGTCGACGAAAACAATCCCCTGAGACAAGGCTCGCACAATCCGGCACGCTGCGCTCGGTGCAAAATGGAGAGAAGGATGAGTAACATGCGTATGCAGATTTACGAGCATCCTTTACCATCCGACAACGAGTTCATGGCCAAGGTTGTTGTCTTTGAGCTGCTATGCCCTCGCAACTTTTCGATTTATCGCGATACGACTTGGATGATCATATGCCGTCTGGGCTTGACTCCCCAAGCGCCTGGAACCATGCCCACGTGTCTCCTGAATCGCTACGCTCCTCTCTCCGAGTTTGCGAAGAATGCTCCGTCCTCCTTGACCCTGGCATCTGTCAGGAAGCCCTGTAAGTTCATCCTTCTATTCTCTGTGGCTGTTTACTAACTTGAACCCTTTAGTTTCAATGACCCATTACAGTGTGGTTCAGTTTCCTGTTGAGTGGGAAGAGGTATGCAAACCTAACGGACTTCGATTCTCATACTTCGACGTCAAAAACTCCTTTTGGACAGGTCGAAGCCGGCTTAGCCTGACGTTTGTACACCACGTACAACTGAAACTACCGCCGGACTCGCTCTTCCAGCCCCTGGTAGACCCTAAAAACTTTGCGGTTGACGGCGACGGTCAGACGTCTTACAAAATTCAAGCAAGTCAGATGAATTGCCCGTCGGGGCTCAGTCGCCATGAATTTCTCGCATTTCAGACGCTCTTGTCTGGCTTTGCAAGGCGTTGGCTGTCGATTCTTGTCGAGTTCAGCTCCAACAATCTGAACTTTTCCACTGAGGCCACCATGATTCTCCTCAACCACCTGGCACTGCAATGCGGCCCGGCATCCGGCCAGGATGACCCACTGAGACTTGTCCACTCTGCGTTTCGGGATCGCCATTTTGTCGAGAAACTCCTCGAGCAAGTAGAGTTTCGTCTCGCGACTCTCGCTGCAAACTGGAGAGAAGCCCATTTAATGAAGATCATCGTCACTCTGGCCTTGCGTGTTCATAACCTAACCAATGCAGCAGGGTTACAAGGCCTGTCCCAGAGGTCACTAAAGGCGATCATGAAAGCTAGGGAGATCTGCAGGGGTTGGTTCAGGATCCTCCGGACAGAAATCCAGGAATCTCATGACGAGTCTGTGGCCGAGAGGCTGCAGCGAAATGCCCTTGCTGCCGCCTTGCTGTGCAAACGAACATTTATCATCCATATCGGCCGGCAAACTCCGCTTGATTCACTTGCACTGGAGACGTATATCGAATCAACAATCGTCGTGCAAGAAAGTCTTGCGAGCAATATACAGTCACTTCCGCAGACATTATCGCACGACTTAGTATTTGCCATCAAACTGTCCCATCAACTCCGTGAAGTCACACTGAGCTCCCTCATCGAGTGCCAAGAGGGACTACGAAGGGCGCTGGTACAGTTCTGGCCTGGTGCAGACCGCATGGAGTCAGAGTCGGTGTCAATTACCCTCGAGCAGCCGGGCTGGGTTCGCTGCAGGATCCCCGAGACGGACACCCACAGCGAAGAGGTGGTCTACTTCAACTTTCTACTCGGCAATCTTTTGGTCAATGGCAAGCCTGTTGGGGTAAGTTGATGCCCATTTTTCTTTCCTTGACTGCCTGACTAGCTCTTTCATTCTTTTTTTCGCTAACATGTCGTCAGAGGCTTCCACGGGACTCGAAGAACTCAGTTCTACTTGGAGAGCTGTTCGGCGACCAACCGTTGCGAGTATTCCGGTCTTCAGTTCCCGGGATGACATACAGTAAGCAAATCTCTGATAGTGTATTGTTTTCATTCGTTTCACAACTAATGATCGCTCGTGTACAGCCCTGACATATCGGCCTAATGGATATAACGTCCACGTCGGCTATGAAGCCCGAAGTAAGCAGATGATTGTGTTGGCCACAACTAGAGGCCAACGGATCCGACTTGTGCTCCGTGATACATTTTACGCGGGAGAAATATGGGATCTCCCGACTCCGTTGGTGGATGGCTGTTTTCACTGGCTGTAGGTGCCTCTAGTCTTCATTCATTTCGTGTCCCCTAAGCTAACCCATGATTATATAGGGACTTGGACAAAGGAGAAGTTTACATCACACCTTCAACTAACCCGTGGCAACTCGGCCGCCGCTGCTGGACCTTGAACATTCGAAACCGGACATGCAGGAAAGAACGACCCGATAAGACCTTCGACCAAGTCGTCAATCCCCTCAGCCCCCTGTTCCAGCGTGTCGGTAGGATCCTGGAAGGGCTTACATCTAGGCGCCAACTGCTTGTCTACCAGCCTTCGAAGTTGCGAACTGGGCTGGAGGTCCGGATCCAAAGAATGCAACTGATGTTCTTTGTCAACGGCAAACAGCTGTTATACTCGCCACAGCTGGGCCTCGAGGTGGACCCAAATCAGGATGCCGGGACCTGGTATGGTTTAAAAAATAAGCTGGTGTGCAGGAAGGCCAATAATCCCTTGCGCCGAAAGGTGCTTGTCCCTCTGGGAAGTCTCCAGGCCTTGAGATCTGGATGCCACGTCTCCGTTCAAGTCAGTGAAAGCTGCGATTACGGCAAGTTCGACATAAACGACATCCTTGGCCGGATTGAGTGTGCCGCAGAACCACGTCTCGTGTATACCAAGGCGATCCTGCACGCATACACGTCGTTTGTGATTCCGGACCCCCTGACAGGTCGGACCGGGGTCGAGGAGAGTCTCCAATGGCTGCAGTCTGGGATTTGCCGCCCGTGGAACGTGATAGGACATCAGGTACAAATATTGGACCAGATAGCCGAACTTACACCCTCACGCGAGTATTACCCACCAGACAAAAAAGTTATGAAGACGGATCACTGGAACAGAAACCTAACGTGCCACATACAACACCCCTCCTACCGAATTATCGTGCAGGAAATCATGTCCATTTCAGACGAACTGGAGACATTTGACATTGCTACTCCTTCGACCCCGGAACAAACGACTCGCGAGATCCAAGGAGTCGGCAATGCAATATTGAACGACAGAGCCTTGGTACGACGGCAGCTTTATGAGCGGATATCAGCTGATGATGACGGAACACGCAGAGCTGCCGACTGTCTCTATAACGCCCGAGACAAGTCCTCACCTTCAGAGAGGCCATACCGCAGAGTAATGGAGATGGTTCATTTGCTTAGGACATGTCCGGAAACACTGAAGACGCCAGAAAACCTCGCATCAATTCTGTCACAAGGCGGTGTAATTGGCGGGTATGGAGACGATTACGACAAGGTTTCTCTCAGCGATCGAATGCAAGCCGATATCAGGGAGAACTGGGGCTCGTTGGTGCAGTTTTGCCGAAACAAATCGCGCTATAGCGTAATATTTCTGTTTGCAGCCCTAGCGTACCGTACAGAAGTTGATGATGGGCTTTTGAGAGCGGTTATAGCTTTCGCCACATTTCACGACCTCAAATGCCTACCTCTTCCTCAGTGGCCCTCATATTCCAATTTCCGACAATATAGTTCCCCTCAACTTGGTGCAATTTCCAAGATGATCCAGCTTCACAAAACGCCGCCTCCCAAGGACGACAGGGAGAACCTGGAGCATTTCGCAAGCGCCAAACAACGCCGGCGGCTGCAAGCAGATAGAGAAGCCTACGAGATGAAGACTGAAGACGATTCCCGCTACCTTGCAAAATTCTTAATCGACCAGTGGCCTTGTCGTGAGCCCGACACATCCCAACTCGTGCGACATCTCTTGATTGATGTCCCGGCTGCCATGGATACGATTCAACCGGAGTGGCTGCGTCTGTATCAAAACATGGAATTGTCTATTCATTTGCAGAAAGTTCAGCAAATTTTGGACCAACACCGTACAGATGTCGAGTACGTTCCGCCCCAAATTGTCGTATCTGAAGAGATCCTACACCAGCGGCTGAGGGGCATGGAAGTGCCTGGGCTAGGATCCCAGCTTTTGCGCAAATCTGTGAACGTTCGTACCCGAATCTCAACCCGCTCTGCAGAGCCACTACTGATATTCCCGCAGGACCGACCTCTTGTACATAGCATGGGAGTTTTGGGTACCAACTCGCAGTCGGGGTGGATGCCCCTAGCCAGCATTTCCAAGGACCAGCCAACCCAGTCGCGCGCAAATAGGCAAGCGGTTATCAGCAATGCGAGACCACAAGTCTCACCTGCTGAGAAGGAGAGGCATTTGGATGAGCTCCAGCAGATAGCAAAAGAGCTGGGGAAGAGCAAATCATTGGTGCGGCAGACGTACTCTCGAGACCTGCTGCAAAGCCTCGAAGCCTTCGAAAATATCAGGATTCCCCAGGATCTGAGTAAGCCTTTCCTATTTATCCGCAAGACTCTAACGTCGAAGCAAAATGTCATTTGCACCTTCGAAATCATCAAAGCTGCACTTGAAGATGCAGCACCTGACTTGCCGATTCGCCGAATCCGATGGCTTCAACTCGGGGGGCTTTGGCCTGCAGTTACAACAGTCGTTTTGCTGGAGCGACTACGGTCGACAGCCAGTCCTCGATTTGGCAGTGGTATGAGAGAAGCGCTAATTGCGTTTGGGCTGGCCTTGACCAATCTTCAGCGGGATATGCGATTGAACGACTGTGTCTTAGCGGGTGACACAACGCGCTTCCAGGATGAGGAGGCAAATATCGGTCATAGTAATTGGAGCCCCGAAGACCAGCCCGACTGGCTATTGTTGGAAATTGAATCCAACTTGCTGATCCGTCCTGACCAAGTCGACGTGGCTCGGGCAACGATATGCCCCGAATCAGGCGCAAACTCTGTTCTCCAGATGAACATGGGCCAAGGCAAAACGTCGTGTATCATTCCAATGGTGGCTGCCTCGATGGCCGACAAGAAGAGCTTGGTTCGCGTCATTGTTCCAAAGGCCCTCCTCCTACAGACGGCCCAGCTACTACAATCGCGCCTTGGCGGAATCCTAAACAGGAGCGTTCGCCATATACCCTTTTCGAGGCGAACTGGAATGGCACAGAAGAATATCCGCCTGTATTTTGGCATACACTTGCACATTCTGAAAACAGCCGGCGTGATGGTGTGTCTGCCCGAACACAATCTCTCGTTTATACTGAGTGGGCAACAGAAACTGCTGGACGGGAAGGTGAACGAAGCAGAGCACATGATCAAAGTCCAGACATGGCTCAAATCTGTCTGCCGCGACATTCTGGACGAGTCTGACTATACACTGGCCGCTCGCACACAGCTAATCTACCCGTCAGGGTCGCAGATGTCAGTAGATGGTCATCCCCATCGCTGGCAGGTCATTGAAACGGTTCTCAGTCTCGTCGACCGCCATCTCTATGGTTTAGCGAGCTCGTTTCCTCGGTCGATAGAGGTTGTGAGAAGACCTGGCGGTGGCTTCCCGCTGATATTTTTCCTTCGACCGGATGTCGAGGAAGAGTTAGTCCATCGGCTCGTCCTGGATATCACGAAAGGTTTTGGAGACCTGGTTCCAATGAACTCGTTAGACTCACGAGAACGCGCTGCAGTCAAGGATTTCCTCTCACCTGGGAAGCGCAAATTGCGGATTGATACGGTGAACAGGGTACAAAACCTGTGTCCGGATCGACCATGGGTCAGGCAGACGCTCTATCTCCTCCGCGGATTACTGATTAACCGTATTTTGATCATGACACTGAAGAAGCGTTGGAATGTCCAATATGGCTTGCATCCGAAACGAGACCCAATGGCAGTACCGTTCCATGCCAAAGGGGTGCCGAGCGAGCAGTCAGAGTGGGGTCACCCTGACGTGGCAATTCTTTTCACATGCCTCGTATTCTACTATGATGGCATTACTGAGGGACAACTCAAGCAAGCTCTCGGTCGCGTGCTGAAGTCGGATGACCCGTCATCCGAATACGACAAGTGGACCCAGATCTCGGAAGAGTTTCCAGAGTCTCTCAAGGCATGGAATACGATCAACGTCGACGACCAGGCTCAGATGCACGAGATCTGGAAGGCTCTGCGTTACCGGGTTGTCGTTATTGACTACTTCCTGAACAATTTTGTTTTCCCTCGACACGCCAAGCAGTTTAAGGTCAAGCTTCAGTCCAACGGGTGGGATATTCCGCTCTTCTCTGCATGCAGCGGAGAGGGAGGATCAAAGGCGGGCCTAAAACCACTCACGACAGGCTTTAGCGGGACCAACGACAACCGCACCATGCTGCCGCTTACTATCAAGCAGGAGGACTTACCTGGTCTATCCCACACGAATGCGGAAGTCTTGACGTATCTGCTCCATGGTCGCTCTCGGCGGTGTGAGGTTATCACCGATGTCAGAGGAGGGAGGGCCACGGAACGAGATCTCCTCCACATGCTGAAGAAGATGGATATCAGAATCCTAATCGACGCTGGAGCTCAAATTCTAGAGATGGACAACGAAACAGTCGCCAGGACGTGGCTCAAAATCGACCAGCGGTGTGAAGCCGCCCTCTATTTTGACTCTGCTAACAAGCCGTTCATCATAACAAAGAAAAGCCGCAAGACGCCACTACTCGCGTCGCCATTTGCGGACGATCTGACGAAGTGTCTTGTGTATCTTGATGAGGTAAGTTCCTTAGCGTTGTAGTCCGCCCGAACAGCTAACTGACTTGCGATTCCTAGGCTCACACTCGAGGAACTGACCTAAAGTTTCCTCTCCAGGCTCGTGGTGCCCTTACCGTTGGCCAAGGTCAATCCAAGGACCATACCGTTCAAGGTATGATTTGTAACCTCCTTTTCATGACGAGACAATTGCTAATGGATGAATAGCTGCAATGCGACTGCGCCAACTGGGGACAAGCCAGTCCATCACGTTCCTCATCCCCACCGAGGTTCACCAAGTCATTGTGGATCTGAGGAGGAAGACAATGAACGACAGGATTGACTCATACGACGTGTAAGTTGAATATCACACTACCTCTACGAAAAGGAGAACTAACAGTCTGCAGGATCTGTTGGCTTCTCAACAATGCGTGCGATGGAATCGAGCAGCTGCAGCCACTGTACTTCTCACAGGGCTCCGACTTCTGTCGAAGAACCCAGGCGGCCATCAATAACCCCGATTTTCTAACCGATTCAGGGCAGCGATCAAAATACGTGGCTGCCATCAAGCAGAACGAACTTCAGACATTACAAGATCTGTATGAGCCAAAGTTGAAGACAAAGGCAAACGATCTCATGGCCACGAATCCCAAGGTCGCCGAATTCATCCACGAACTCAACGTCCGGCGGAAGGGGTTCCAAGACACGGGCCGCGCCGTTCACGCGTCAGCGTTGCAAGAAGTTGAGCAAGAGCGCGAGGTCACCTACGAGGTCCAATCTGTCCGCCAGGTGAAGAAGCCCTTTAAGTGCGAAGCCCTTACCTTCCCGGGGTTTCATCGCGACCTCGAAACCTTCACCCGAACCGGCAGGCTGCCTATTGACACGAACTCGTATTATCACGTTTTCCAACTGCTCTCCAGGACTGCCCTTGGTCGCAAACATTCGGTATCGAGGGACGCAAGCAAGTCCAAGCTATATGTGTCGGTGGAATTCGAGCGAACCGCGAAGCTCTATACCGACTTGGCTAAGGACAACTTTTTGGTGAGTAAATCGCACGCACGTAACCGTCACGCTTTATCCTCGACTAACGCGATACAGCGCCCCGTGTCTTGGATTCTCTGGAGTGGGGTCACAGAAACGGCTGTCGTTCTCATCCCCGAGGAGGCCGAGTGCGTGATCCGCATGAACCGAGCGGCAGAAATGAATAGCCGCGTGTATCTGATCAACTACGCCTCGCCGGTCACAAAGAAGATGCTTGTCTTCAACAATCTGACGTACTTTAGCACGCCGCGCTTGCCAGATGGATGGGTGGCGCCATTGTGGCTCAAGATGGAGGTCGGGTTACTGTCAGGTCGGTTGTTCTTTGAGTGGGACGAATACGAAAAACTAGGCAACTTCTTTGGTCTCGAGGACAAGTCCAACGCGGCTCCAGTCGATGAGGACGAAGACAGCAGTGACGATACAGTCTTACTACAAGAGCAGGAGATCTCGGCGGCCACCAAACGGCGACGACAAGCGAACAGCTTTGCGTCACAGCCGTCGTCCTTCCTGAAGGAGTGGCTTGCGGTCCGACGATGTGGCCAAGACTTTGCCCATACCCCAATGGGTTTTCTCACACAGGGGAAGCCCCTACAGCCAAGTCACCCTTTCTTCAGCAAGGCAAGCCCAGAAGCTGCACTGGCAGCAGCTGAAGACGGGAAGGCCACCGCGACAGCAAAATCTGAATGGGGCGTTGGGGAAGTACATGGTGGTGGCGACCACGAGGCCGAGCTGTTTGATGATGGCATCGATGATATGGGGGCTAACGTCGAAGACGATGTTGACGAGGGTGGAGTTCCAGTGGTTTATGATGACGACGAGTACCCCGGTTCGGAGAATGATGACTCGATGACTGCTAGGGAGAGTACATAACAGTCACCATTGATAGGGCTTGGAGTGTATTATAAAAAATGTACATGGAATTATCTATGAGACCTATGGAGACAGGAAAGTGACTCAAAAGTCAACAATCACTACCATGCAACAATAATTGCTGGCAAAGGCACCTATAGCCATCATGATACACGAGCCGGCGAGTCTCGGGAATTCATCAATGCGCGTGTCGAGAATCTGCTAGCTAGTTGGGAATTTAGGAAGGCACTGGCCTCGAATTGGATTATACAATGGCTAATTACAATCCAATCCCTAAATTTTTGTTAACGGGGACTGTTCAAGATTTTAAAGGCCTTAATTGCTTACGGCTCGCCTTATAGGTTTTCGCCGAGGGAGACGATACCTATCTGAACCAAGCTGCGGCTAAGACTTTGACATTTTACCTACGTGTCACGAGCCTTGGCAGGGCAAACCATAATGGCCCGTGCGCTCTCGGCACCCCACTATACCCCCGCACCCTCGATCGTACCTTTGTAGACTTTCTTTCTTTCTTTCTTTACTTTTAGAATCCTACGACAATGGTATAGCCATACTAGCGACTCTTCTTCCTAGATGCTGTTGACCGCCGTCACACTACGGATGCCGTAACACTACCTATCTAGGACGCACTTGTGACAAATACTATAAGCCGTAGACTAATAATCTAGGTAGACCGGCCTGGCTAATTATATGTATTATGTAGTTCTATAAAGCAAATTAGAGCTCCCTAGCTGCCTAACACCACAACTAAACCAGGATTCAGTGAGTGTAACCCGTCTCAAGCCTGTGGGTTCATCTAGACCTGACTAATGTAGATAGAACCCTAACTCTGGGTAGAACAACCCTAGCCACGCCACAGCAGCCAACGAGTGGATAGTGTCGAGTCAAAAAGGTTTGAGCGAATAAAGGGCTTTGTCCGGTATAGAGATAGATACAATACAAATACAACACCTTAGTTGCCTTCTCAATGCTTTGTGATCTCCCGTGACATGTCCTATGTATGAATGCTGTATATACAACTTGGTCAGCCTCCTGTCCCTGAATCCACTTAGTCACAACAATCGTAGACTTTCGGCAAACTGGACGGCGCTGTCAACGCTTAAAGGCCGCATTCCGCTTAATAAACACATCTTGAACAAGTCGGAGACACAGTGAAGGCTCAAATGCCGTCTGGAATCGTCGCTGAATTATACCGCGGAATACATGTATTTTTGTGGCTGGGATCGCAGGGATCAGGCCGGAACCCGGCCTGATGCGCCCGAGCCCAGGAATAAGTAGAGCTGGGATCCACCAGTCCAGGCCATCATTTCCACATATATATTCCGCCGTGGCCCAGATAGCTAGACTTCCTGCAAGCAATCCAGTCATTCCCTTCCTGCCCACAATTTTTGTCAAGTGCTGAAGAGAACTAATGCCATGGAAGCACAAACGATCTGCGCTAGGTCTTGTGCAATAGAAATATGGTAATGTAGTTTTCCATCAAAACCTAAGCGGTAGTGCCTCGCCCGAGTGGTAGAAGAGCCACATGGAGATAGTAGATAACAACCCGCGAAGCATTCGCCGACGAGAACTAAACCTCCTTCAACCGTATGCCTGGATATCTATCCTACAGCTATCTTTCCATGCTCTCTTTCCGGCCAAGAACCGTGTAATTGACAACGCTGGGATTCGCAATTGACGTGCATTCGTCGCATTCGAAAACCAGAAATCCAAAACCGGAAATCCAGTGGCAGCAGGCCAAGCCGCTGCTTCGCAGACCAGGAGGCCAAATCGTGGTCTCACAGTCGCAGACGGTACCGTAGGTGTGGCAGCATGCGAAGACGCCGTGCCATGATCAGCGAGAACAAACTCTGCTCGGTCAAGTCGGCACGGCCCCCGGCCAGAGTCCATCAAGTTACCAGCTGGGTTCCAGAATGCAGTACCGCTGCGATTGCAAGCTGAGACGGCCAGAGTCAATCAAGTTACCAGTTGGGTTCTAGAGTGCAGTACCGCTGCGATTGCAAGCTGAGACGGCCAGAGTCAATCAAGTTACCAGTTGGGTTCCAGAGTGCAGTACCGCTGCGATTGCAAGCTGAGACGTGAATACCTGGGCGGTAGGGCGTTTTCGAACAGGCTCTGGGTTGGTAGGTCAACAGCGGGTAAATGGGATGGGTGCCAGAACAACGAGCTAGTCGGTCGAGCAAGGGTGGGTACAAGAATGGAAGGCTGTGAATGAAGTCATCGAGGAGGTTCATGGGCGAGCCGCTCTTGTCCGTCTGCATGGCCAGCTCTCTGGGCCTCAGCCCGTCGAGTCTTTTCGATCTGCTGTGCGCCCTCGAGATTGTCGACGCTTTGGAGCGTGGCCAGCCTACAGTAGCTGGAAGAAGCCGCCCTGCTAGGGTCCGAGGGTCTTGGATGCAGAGAGAAGAAGCACGGCTGGCCAGCTGATTTGAACCAGCAGCAACCAATCCCCACAAGCCACGAGATAGCGCGCGCAACATGTCTTCCTATCCCAACATTGCCCCATCATACGACCACAAGGCAAGGCTTACATGCTTTATGCCCTGGATCAGGCCCGTCTCTGTCGGCCCTCGCGGTCCAAATTTTGCGTTGGTGCTGTGCTTGTAGCCGAGAAAATGAAGTTCTTTCAACAGGCTATTTGGAGGGGCTTCCACGCGATCGGCCCATCCTGAGCACTGCTGCTTCATCAAGGTCGGCGACGCGCATGGAATCTGTTCGTGGTATTCCAACCACGTAGGTGTTCCAACGGGTCAAAAAGTGGTAGTACTACCGGGGGGGGGGGGTGTAAAGTTGTTCTGATTCATGTTCTGTTCTAGAAATCTATGGTGGGGGTTCTTGGCTTTGTACGTGGCCGTGCGAGGGCCGTGCGGCGCACGTGCATCGCACCGCCTCCCTTCCAGCGCAGAGTACGGTCACCAACATCGCTATTCCAACACTGGCAACTCTTCTTTTGTGACCGTACGATCCCTCTCCCTATCCTGCCTTCGCTGTGACTTCCCACGTGGTTGGATGAACAGATCGTACTATCTCGTCTGAATATGCTGTTTGCTAGTATCGTGCAATGAGTCCCGACCTCCTCGCACGTTTTGTCTGATAACTTGTTTGCCTGCTAGTGCCGATCCGGGGTCTCGTACGACGATATGCCCGGGATCGGGGATCGTGCGGAAGGAGCGGAGGGTCCGAAGAGTGCGCTTTCGAGGCACCCAGTCTAGGTGTGAAGCTGGCCTTCTCGCCCTCCTTCTTCCCTTCTTCTCCTTCTTCCCTTCTTCTCCTTCTTCCCTTCTTCTCCTTCTTCCCTTCTTCTCCTTCTTCCCTTCTTCTCCTTCTTCCCTTCTTCTCCTTCTTCCCTTCTTCTCCTTCTTCGTACGCTCTTCACACACATGCACATACAGGCACAATGTCTCTCGTGCCTGGCGGCGGCGGCCTGCCGCCTACACCTCTTGGTACCATCAGCTCTCGTACGAATAGTACTCGATCTCTTCCTGCTTATTCCGACCGGTTCTGAGGATAACCGCCGTTTTCTTGCGAGCCTCTGTGTCAATGTGAATACCCTCGAGAGTCTTTCTTTTTGTCGTACGAGTGGCTGATTAACCTTAGGACGATGAGCGCCGCGTCGTCGCCATGCCCTCGGTTGACGTTGAGGTCCGCGTCCTGGCTGCCGATCGTGCGTCGGTCCATTTTCTCTTCGCCCGCATCATCCGCCGGGAGTCGTACTTTCGTGCGCTCCTTGTTCAATCGCGCGGTACACGCGTGCGCCCGTGCCCGGAGAAGTGCGGCAATCCAAACGCGTCTCCCAAGTTCCGGCATTGCGTACGCGTCCCCTCATTCCAGGGCGGCGCCTATGCCGAGTGCGTCTGGCAGTCGCACGGATCTCGCTGCTCTCATTCCAACGAGGGCTCAATGTCCGCCTGGGATTCGGGCGGTAGTTCAGCCGGTGGTTCTCCTCGCGCTGGTCCTAGCCAGCGTGTTCTTCCTCCGTCTAGTTCGGGCTCGCGTCTGAACCCTTTTCTGCTTGAGGAGTAGCTTCTTGGGGTTGGGGTGTTTTTTTTTTTCTGGGGGGGGGGGGATAGTGCGTTGAGTTTCTAATGAAATGGGTTTCCTAGGGATATGAATGGAGTGATCGTGCGGTGATAATACATATGAGCCTTTCCGCTCCTCCTCAGTTCGTCTTGTCCAGTCTATCGACGAACGCCTCGATTCGTACGATGACCTTTCCGTCGTCTACCAGCTTTGTCAATGCTTGGTTGGGGTTCTTCTTAGTGAGTGCATCGGCTGGGTTGTCTTGTCCATCAATCCAACGGATTTCTGAGATCTCCCGGCGTTCATACGCTTCGCGGAGGGACATAATGTCTATCATTAGTCTCTTCTCACTCGTAGTTCCCAGCTTCACTAGGCAATCGTACAGTGACCTCGAGTCTGTACAGATTACCACTGGGATTCGTGCGATCCCGAGGACGTTTGTAATCTTGGTGAGTGTCGTACTAATAGCAATTCCGCTATCGAATCCGTTCACCATGCCGTAGAGCTCGCTTGCCAGCACGCTCCTAGTAATCCTCTTGCACTTGGTTGAGGACCAGTGTACGATATTGCCGCAGAGCTGGAATGACTTATCCGTACGGTCGTCCTCCGTTCCTAGTACGATTAGAAATCCGAGCTGTGATGACATGTCCTTGTTATTCGCGAAAGATCCATCAGTAAAGATGAATAGCTTCGCACGATCAAGATCCAGTGGTTGATAGCGAAGTCCTCGCTCCGGGTTATCGATCTGCCACTGGATCCTCTTGTTCAGGCTATCGTGGTCTCTCTTCTCTGGTTCCTTCACCTGAGCTGCGATAGATAGGTCGTACGCTGCCTCTGGCTGGCAAATGCTTGCGATATATGCACCTCTCGCACGTTGAGATACATATTGTTGGGGTGCATCTTCTTTTTCCTGGTCGATTAGGTTGAGTTGCTTGGCCTGCCCTTTCTGTGCGATTAAGATGTCTTTTCCCTGGAGTTGGAGGTGACATCCGTTGAACTCGATAGGAGAGTCGTACGTCAGGAACTTCTTTGGCTTCGCCATCAATCCTGCCTCCTTGAGCTTGACCTCCTCCTTTTCCGAAAATTGGGGGGTGGCTAGCATGAGCGTATCGTCTGTCTGCATGCCTGTGATTCCGAAGTTCTCTTGCCCGTTTTTGGTAAATAGTAGGCAAGGGTCGTACGTTGAAGTTTGCATTTCCAATGCCTCGACATGGTGCTTATTGTACGTCTTGAACCAATGGACTCCGGCCTCTGCGAGTCCATATAGGGGCTTCTTGATCCATAGGACCGTACCTTTTGGATACTTGTCCTTAAGTTCCTTCGGGAGCTGTGCGATGATTGTGCGATAAAGGGGATCTGTCGATTGGGTATAGGCTTGTGTAATGTCTCTCAGTTCGGTCTTTGCACCAATTCGCTCTTCTAGCGATGGGGCTAGTGCGAGGATCAGTCTCTGGCTCATCTTCTGGATCGTCGGAGCCTGGGTCAAAATCTCCTTTTTATCCTCGTCGCTATGACCTTGTACGATCAACCTGGACTTCTCATAAGGGATAGAGTCCTTTCCCTTTATCTCTCGCACGAGTCGGGTTTTCCAGAGTCTTAGCTTGCCATGCTTCTTCTCGTCAAAGCGGATGACTTCAATAGCGTGCGAGACCAGCAGTCCATCAATCTCCTGGGCGTCCGATTCCTCAAATGGTAGCCCAGGCACAGTGATCTTTCCTTCTTCGCGGAGTTGGATAGCTAGTGCGAGTGCGTCGACTTCCTTCTGAGTAATAAGGGTCGTGCCTTGAGCTGGGATCGGGTTCTTTCTTGGTCGTCCCCGTCCCCTCTTTTGCACGATAGGAATAGGTTCTTTCAGTACCTGGTCTTTCTCGCGCGAGATGGTTTCTCCTTGTCCTTGCTCTTCCCTATCTTTATCTTGATAGTACGGCTTGACCTGGGTTGTTCTGAACGTCTTTGGGCCGCTCTGCATCTCGACGGTAATATTGGCGTAGTCCTTGGCGATAATGGGGTATGGTCCTTCCCACCTCTTGTCCTTCCCTTCTCGCCAGACAAGCACCTCGCTCCTCAGGGGTAGTGCGAGGACTCCATTTGTCGTTGGTCCGTTCCGAGTATTGAGCGCACGATTAACGCTAACTTGTGCGCGGATCTCGCGCAACATCTTCATTGCTTTCTGCACTGCTTGCGCTCTCTCTCTGATCTCGGGTGACGGTGGCGAGTCGTGATTGATCCTGGGGTACGCTCCAAATACCAAGAGTGTTGGTACGAGCCCGTCTGGGCCAGCCGTATCGTTAAGAGCCTTAACTGCCATCTGGAGGATCGTCTCGTCGTCTGTGCGATGACTCAACTCCTGGTGGAGGATATCGTACGCCCGTTCTAATGGGCGGTGTGCTCTCTCTACCTTACAGATAGCCCAGTGTGCCTCAATCGGCATCTCTTTGCACGAGACTCCCATAATCTTGGCGTTGTTCCTGAACTCCTCAGATGCGAAGTTCGTTCCTGGGTCGTGCGATATCACATCTGGGGGCCCTTGGTATACAAAGATCCAACAGCGACATAGTGCGTCCCATGCATCGTTCGCTGACATTGATCGTAGGAACGTTGCTGCCTGAAATGATGTCGCCACATCGATAACGTGTAGCGCCTTCCTTCCATTGAGCTGTACGATATCGATGACGACCTCATAGTTGAATTCGCACTCGTCCTTGATCGTGAACTTGAATCGCTGTGGAGCTGGGTCGTGCGTCTGGCAGTGATGGCAGACTTTCTGGATTTCTTGGAGGATCTCCTCTTTTACATCCTCGTGCCCGGCTTTCTTCAAGAGCTTGTGAAGTCTCTCGGTACGAGGATGTCCAAAACGCCGGTGGAGTCTCCTCAGTTCTGGCTCAGTCAGGTAGACTCCTGCTTCCGCACGACTCGTATTGAAGAAAGGATGTCCCCATTTTCGGATAACGGGGATAGTGGTTCCATCCTCTCGTACGATGACGTCCTCAACGTTGTTGAAGTATGCTTTAAGTCTATCCGCGTCGCGCAGACTAAGCAAAAATGGCGTCGCCGTATTCAAGATGTGGTACGTGACCTTCCCGATAGCGTTCTCCATAAGCATCGTGCCTATAGAGGTGTTGACTTTTCCGCCTCCGAATCGGATTTCGGCGGTTCCTGGTGTCCAAGAGATCTTCGCACAAGGGTTCTCTCTCAGATATGCCTCGACTTGGCACTTTCCGACGGTAGATACTTGTGCGGCTCCAGTATCCCAGAGCTCGCCCTGGTACATTGTCGTATACTGATTCTCTAGTACGAACTGTTCCGCCGGTTTCTCCTCGCATTCTTGGTAGATATTCTCGCCGAATGTGCGATGAATATATGCTTTCTCTTGGAGGAATTGTGCGGCTTGTCCTTGGTCTTCCTCCTCGCCCTCATATCCGGACTCCTCATCGTCACTCTCCTCCTCCTCTGGTGGCGTACCTTCAAAACCTGCCAGGAATTGTTCAAAGTCCTTTTGGCTCTCCAATGTTTCGCACGCCTGGAGGTATTGCCTTCGAGACTTCTCTCGTTCCTCCCTTGAGTGGTTGGTTGACCAACAGCCTTCTTTCTTGCAGATGAAGCACTTCTTGTCTCTTGTATTCCCGAATCTCGCACGAGGGCGATATGAAGGATCGCGTCGTTGAAATTGACGCTTGGGAAATTGTGGCTTGTCGTTTGTGCGATTGGAACGATATCGCCGGTCGACAAAGTTCTGGTCGTACGTCTCGGTATGGAATTGTCGCGAAGCCTTGCGGTCCTCTGCAATCTTCAGGGCTGTTCTCAGCTTGTCAAATAGTGACTCGCACGATGTCCTCTGGCCCAGTAGTGCTGGTTCAAACTCTGCGACTCCTGTGCAGGCTCGCGTGACTGCGGTATGCAGTGCGATCTCGCCCTGGTATCCCTCGCCTAGGGCACGCTGCACGAGCTGGAGCTTATCGAGCATCTTCTCGAGCATCTCCTTCGCTGGTGCCTCTGGGCTCTCCCTACGCAATCGTGCGAAGCTGAGGGTAGTCCAGTCCGAGTAATACTCGGCGTGGTTCACCGTAGTATTGAAGTACGAGTCCAGCAGTTGATAGATCTCGTCCCACCTCTTATCAGGCCCAATATGGTTCATATAGTACGTCTCCGCACGGTCAGACAGGATCTCGGGGAATACTGCGTGATACATATCCTCCGGGATCTCGTGCCTCCGGCAAATACTAACGAAGTGCTTGACCTTATCGTACAAGATGTCGTACGGACGCCCTGTGTAGTTCCGTGCGGGCTTCCATGCCTTCACAAACGCCGATACTTTCCTGCTATCGACTGGGCCGTTATATATGATCCGCGTCGGTGGGATATTCTGGTACTGGATGTAGGGGGTTCCGCATAGCGGGTTCGGGTTCTGGTACGAATTGGGAGATGGAGAAGTCGTCGTACCCGGTGGGTTCGTTAGGAGTGGTGTTCCTCCTGTCTTGAGCTGTAGGGTGGGTGTCGGAGATGGTTGATAGGTATTGTGCGGCATCTCTATTGGCTGTGCGGTCGCCACGAGACTGGCGAACTTCTCTGAGGTCGTCCCTTCCGGGACTTGTACGTTCTTCTGCTCCAAGATGGTGAGCATTCGCTTCTTGAACGTACGATTGACTTCGTTGAATTGTGCGACTGTCCAGCCTTTGAAGTCTTCGCGGAAAGCTGCGCGGATTCCATCTAGGCTCATATTGAACCAGATAAACTCCATCATACTCTGTGCGAAGTACGTTGTTGCCTCCTTCTCCCGAAATGGGTTCGTGAGGTTTGGTGGCGTTTCAGAATCCCACAGGTTGAAGTCAACATTGCTCTTCCAAACCGTCGCGGGGATGCCGCTATTCTCCCAGATCTCCTCGTAGGATTCCTCCTCACTATCTAACGCCATCGTCTTCAAGTTATCGATGACTGTCGATAAGTGTGTTGGTGATTGGTCGCTGCCGTACGACCGGGGTTTTTGGCATTGAGTGGGGTTATAGCGGGGTTAATGCACTGTGGCGCGCAATTCGGGTTCCTCTTGTACCAAGCCGTGATGCTTACGATCGCCTTCCCGATTTCCAGCGGTCGTAAACATTCGCGTTTAGTACGATTGGTTCCTTAATTCTTCTAGATGAAGCCTCCTTACTCCCTCGAAAGTTCGTAGGAAACAGTCGTCTAGGCGATAGCACGAGAGATTCTCGCACGCGGGTCGCACTTCCCTCGAAAGTTCAGTGCGATCGCGCCGATAGTACGATCTCGTCTCTTCACGTAGCTTATCTGTGAGTGTTACCACTCACTGATCAGTGTTCGTGGTATTCCAACCACGTAGGTGTTCCAACGGGTCAAAAAGTGGTAGTACTACCGGGGGGGGGGGGTGTAAAGTTGTTCTGATTCATGTTCTGTTCTAGAAATCTATGGTGGGGGTTCTTGGCTTTGTACGTGGCCGTGCGAGGGCCGTGCGGCGCACGTGCATCGCACCGCCTCCCTTCCAGCGCAGAGTACGGTCACCAACATCGCTATTCCAACAGAATCAGCGATTTCGATATTGCCAACGTTTTGCCTCCAAATACCGCCCTCTACACTGTCGGAAGAAGCTGTTGGGCTGCATACGTGGCGCACATACTAGCCACCTATGGCCTAGTTCAAGAAGATCCAGGGTATCTAGGCCATACCCACCTTTCTTTCTTCTTCCTAATACAAGAACTCTTTTGCCCATTTTCTACGTGCGCCGTTGTCCTTGACATATACAACTATGGAGCCTTGCAACGAGCGTTTGAGTGGGTATGGAACCTGATGGCCGGGGCCGTCAACCTGGGGCTCGTGCACATCTACACCTCGATCTGAAGCCAGGCAGCAACACACCGCCGTTCGAGGGCGAGTTCTACTTTGGCCAGCTGGTCCTAAGCCTGCCGGCCGTCCTCGACTTGCAAATGAACATCCTCAGCGACGGCCAGATCGAGCTCAACGCGACGGGCAACTGATGGATGCCAACCGGCAATGAGGAGCTTGGAGAAGCGCATCGTGGGTTTGTCTCATGAAGTCGAGGCAGCGAGACTCGGTTTCGTGCCAGAATCTCAAGACCTAATTCACAGACAAGACACGCAGCATCTAGTGCCAGCAGGAAGTTGAACTGGAGCTGGAGCCGAGCGGAATGATGGAGCAAGGACAGGGCACCGAGGCAAAGCACCGAGGCAAAGCACCGAACGCGAACAATGCCGTCCCGCGAACTCATGCTTTTCACGACAAATGCCCACCGCAAAGGCCATGGTATTACCTTTTTTGCATCACGCACGCGAGCTGCTTTCTTCTTCAAGATACGCGCACAGGATCATCACCCCTGACCGCCGCCAAAGCTACCCGAGATTCTTGTCACCTCTCCTCTAGTAGCGCTATCCCGCCATCAATCGTGAGGAGAGGGAGCTTGACAACGGCCTCGTGGGTGTGAGACTGACAACGACCTCGTGGGTGTGAGACTGACAACGGCCTGGTGGGTGTGAGATTGACAACGGTACGCCGTGCGTGCACTGTACGATAAACGGGCCCTGGGGCTCGCTGCCGATCGTTGCCGTTCAGGGGCAAGCTCGGCCCTGCACCTCGCAAAACGCGCACGAATCGGGGATAGCAACGGCGGGAGCCCCTGTTTTTGTGGTTCCCCAGGCCTGTGTGAGTTCACTGTATACTTCCCCAGTACAAGCAGAGTTGCGTGACCCGCGATTCAATTTGGAATAAACCAAATCCAGCGAAACATTTTGGTAGCGGATAATGATGTCACAGTTATACTGCAATAAAAGCTAAGGGCCGAATGTAAACACGCCAACACCCCAAACACAAATACTACTTACTGTGCAGCCTTGTAGTCCACCTCGCCGGCCGGACCAATGACTCCCACGCGGTGGTAGTACGTCCTGGCGCGGACGTAGGGGTCGAGCTTCCAGAAGCTCTCCCGGAGCTGGTCAGCGAGCTCATCGCGGCGTGCAGCAGCCAGCTTGCGCCAGCTTGCGCCGGCCTCGGCCTCGGCACGGGCATTAACGTCGGCTGACGGCGACTCGGCCCAATCTTCCTGCGTGGCGCTAGCGCCGGCGCCAGCCCACTCGGCCGACAGCTGCTCGAAGCGGCGGACCAGGACGTCGCGCTCGGCGCGCACGGCGTCCTTCTTCTCGGAGCGCATGCGGTCATTCTCGCCCGCGTCGGCCGCCGCCACATACTTGTACTCCCACGCGTCCTGCCCGCCGTAGCACCGCTGCAGGTTCTCGGGCGCGATGAAGCGCACCAGCTCGCCGTTGCCGTGCGTGAAGTTGATCTTGGCCGCAACCACCGGGTCCAGCCACGGCCGGATCATCTTCCAGATGCCTGTGTTTAGCGCGCCCCCGCGGTGGGTTTGCAGTTTAGATGCGTGCGTCAAGTAAAGGGGGTGGATGGACGGAGAGCGGGAAATGGTGACGAACCCCAAAAGATGAACGGCGCGTTGTGCACGAGCACCACGCCGAGGTACTCTGGATATCTGGCCTCAAAGACGTGGATGAGGAACTTGACGACGTGAAAGTCCATGTTGCGGAGGCCGAACCCGGTCAGGTCGAAGATGAGGCACGACTTCTCGTGGGGGTGCCGCATCATGGTGCGCATGGTCTCGATGTTGTGCAGCACGAATCTCTCCATGACCTCGGGCGGCTGCAGCTTGGGGTCGTGCAGGCGGACCTTGATGATGAAGACGGGGCGGCGCTCGCGGTCGAAGCCGCGAACGTACGACTTGGCTGACCGGTACTGCGCCGTGAAGGCCTTGTCGTCTGGAGACGGCGCCGCCGCCAGTGCGACGCTCTCCCCCCTGCGCACCACGCCCTCGTCGACCTGGTGCTCGTGCCGCCAGCTGATGGCCGATGCCAGCATCGCCACCGACTTCTCCACGTCCCACTTGCGCGCCCGCAGGAACCGGAGCACCAGCACGTCCGGGTGGTCGGCGAGGATGAAGTTCCACAGCCGCTGCCGGAACTCGGCCGGCGACAGACTGCCGAGGTGCTGCTGGAACTCGAGGCTTCGGTCTGGTATGCCATCTCCAAGGCCCTCCTCGACGCCGCTGAGCTGGAGGAGGTGCACCCATGCCTCTTGCAGCTTGTGTTCTTCGTTGACCGTCAAGTTGCCCAGATAGCCAGGCTCGACGGGGGCAGAGTCTTGAGACATGCTGATTTCGGGCACTGGCCTGTTCCAACGATGGCCAATGTCGATTCCAAATCTGCGGGGTTGAACAGCACCCGCCGTTTAAGACCTCGGTGAAGCGTCTCCGAGATATTGATCAGATGAGTAAATTATCGCCAGCAACGTGAGTGAGTGAGTGAGTGAGTGAGGCACGGCTAGCGGTCTGGCACCGTCTCCTGAGTGTTATTGCTGTCTGAGCATTACTGAGGACAATTATTAGTGATCATTAATTTTCCCAAAACGGCAAGTTTATCATCTGGGGAGGAGTTCAATCTGTGGGGATGCTGACCACCTACTTCCCCCTTGGGCTAGTGCAGTAAGCCGACAGAGACTTAGCATGATTGTTTTCACCGACTTTTGCAGTCGAGACCAGAGACCGAGCAGAAGTATACGATGCAGCCTATAAACGATGTATGGTGATGTTGACGTCGTACGTGACATCAGCGCCTAATGCGTGGAAGAATTCAATGTCGAGACCGACCGATAGTTAGCAGAGTCTTGCCGAGCCGGGGAGCCTCGGAAAGCAGCCCCAAATTCGGACATTGGCGCCTCCCGGATCAACACGCGGCGGTGTCGATTGAATGGAATACAACTTTAGCGCCGTTTTTCCTAGACCCCTGCAGCCACGGAAAAAAAAGGGAATTGATCGATTATCTTTTTTATACTGTAAGTACAGTATAAAAAAGATGTGCATCAATTCCTTGTTAGCCTTATGCAATGGCACAAGCATTTGGTGCAATTCCAACTGATCCACGCCACACCCCCTAACCTGCCTTCAACCCTAACCCCCATCAACATAGGGAAGATTCCACGTAATTTGGAGACCCTAGAAGTATTAATACTGCCTTTGAGGCTAAACAAATTAGAACTATTCAATATAAATAAAGGCTTCGTGATGTTATTTTGGTGTTGAGTGTAGCCGTACTGCCTGGCTTGCTCGCGGTCGGCCGAATGCGGTTGTTGTGATTGGCTAAATCTGGAGGGGTGGGTCATCCGCTTAAGGGTGCACGGTACACTACGCGATTCGTACGCTAAAAAAACCAACACGCGCAACGCGTAATACGCATTCTCATTCTCATGATGCCGACGAATTCCTTCATTTTTCACCTTTTCCACACACAACCTACCGCCCTCCTACACAACCTTCCTACGCGCTGGTATTTTTATTACAAGATCAAGATGGAGTTCTTAATACCAGACGAATTTGATGAATTTGACGAATTTTTATTTGACTCCCTTTTCAAAGGCGCGCTCGTTGGGGAGATCGAATTCGATCAAGCCGATATTTTGCAGTGCGACCGCGCCGAATTTGAGCATGCCCTAGCCGCGCCTACCGCCGACCAGTTAGGTGGGGATTCGCGAAACAATTGTACACGCGTTTCACATATAACTAACGTTTTCCTTTTCTTTAGGGCCCCCCTCCTTCCTCCCCGAGCCAGCCGAAGCCTGTATTCCCGGCCTGCCTGCCCCGAAGCCACTTATTGTCATACCGCCGGGTCTGGAGGATGTGCAAACGCGGTTTTTTCGTGGCCAGGAAACCATCACTTTTTCCGCCCAAGAAGACGCGCTTTACTGTCCATTCCTAAACAATATTTACACGCCGGCCAGTAAGGAATATACGCACGTCAAGACAGCGAAGTATCACGGCCTTTTCGATGCCGCCTTCATCACGCCGAGCCAAAGATTTTCAAGGGAAGAACGACAGGCGAAACAGCGCCTGCCGGCAACGGCTCGGCACGAAGGCATCGCGACCTAGTTCGCTGTCTGAAGATAATGAGGCATACTGTAAGGCCCGACGGGAGCGTCATATACAAGCCGATTAACCCCGACGTCGTCCACAATCATGACATCAAAGCTATTCACAAAGCATTTTTTTTTAAAAAAAAATAACCAACCATTGTTTGGTCTGGACTCAATATTAGAGTGAAGTTGGGTCTGCCTGGACTTGAATGGACCAGGATAGAATTTCAGCCCGTCCTGGTCCCATCGAGAAAGTCAATCATTACAATTGACTAATTCGCGGGACTTTAAACCAACCCTCAAACTGGGGGACCAGTGCAGCCGCTCCCATTCTATACCCCCGGGACGCGCTCACATCCTGCAGGCGGAAGGCTACGACCCTTTCCCAAGTCTCCCCCGCCCTTGTCGATGGCGATATCCCTAATTTTACCAGTTTTAAGAAAAACCGTACCCCTCAGCAGGATTCGATCCTGGCAGGCTTACTCACTGTGCTCGCACTGTGATGACCGAAGCTTTTAGCGGTTGCAATACAGAGCCCCTCTTCTACCTACTTTTCATCCAGACCCAATTGGTTGTTGCAAAGCAGGTCTGCAAAGCTGCATTATAAAGGAGCTTTGATGCGCGCACCCACCTAATTTTTTGTCGCCCACTTTTAAAACCTGGCGTGCGAGGGTTTTCCGGGAAATCGCTGGCGAGCAAGTAGCTAACGGCTACGACCCTGCGGCGATTTACTGGGTCATGCGTGGCTCAAGCGGGAGACATGCCGACGTTGAAGAAGCCGTAAATCGCATCGGCTGTGACTTTTTTACTCGGCAAGATATTATTAACGCCGGGGCTTCGTACCGGGCACGCTTTCCTGACCCGCGCCGTGTTGGCCACGATTTCATGCCTGCTACTCAAGTTGAACAAGTCATTACGTACCTGTCATTACGTACCTATCAAAATAAACAAGCACAACGCCTGATAACTGGTTCGTGAAGTCCTTGAGCGTGACGCGTGAAATTGACCGTATACAGTCTTCCGGGCTTGTGTTTATTTCGGCAGCTCAACAAGAGGTCCTTTCCCGGCGTGGCCACCTTGCCCTCCTTGATGCCACACACTGCACGAACTGGCTAGAGTGGCTCTTCTTCCTGGCCCCGGCTCCCTGCCCCCGGTCGGTTCCCTGCCCCCGTACAGACCCTCATGCTCCCTAAGATTCGGGAGGGCCAGACCCTCGCCGACGACGGTGAGCTTGTACGGGGGGGCCTGCTTGAAGACATCGATGTGGAAGAAGGCGAATTCGAGTGGTCTGCAGCGCAGTGTGACTGTCGCTTTTACTGGCGTTGGTCCCTAACTTGCAGGCACTTATTTCATCATCACTTTGTGAATAGTAGTTTGACTTTGACTGAGGCACGCTTATTACAGTGGTCTAACCGTTGGCAGGAAGGAGATTTCGAGCTTTATGAGGTCAGGGAATCTTACCGTGTTGCAGCCCCTGAAGATGCCGACGAACATGCTATTTTGGCATACAACAGGGTGGCTGCACGGGAGGTTACCGAGACGATATTGACTTCTTTTTACAAGCTCGAAAGTAATGCCGTCGCCCGCCTCGGTCAGGTTGAGGGAAGAAGGTTTATTGACTAGTGGATTGGTCATCTTCGTAGTACCGCAGTTACGCTTAGAAGCATGGATTTGAATGCCTGGCGCATGCATTTGGCTCGCGAATAGCTTCAATATACTGTATTGACCTTCCTGCACACATGCATTTTGCCCCTGAGCTACACTCAATAACGTGTGTGATAAGCGAGATGAACAGACAAGCGAGTTGAACACTTTTGACGCGACGCGCCTCCTCTCTACAAAACACCAAATTCCTCAACAAACTCAAATGTCTCTTCCTTCATACGAAGCTAGGGTGAATTTGGCCCTCAGGGCTATTCAAAACGACCCAAAACTCAGTATTCGAGCTGCAGCAACAACATATCAAGTCACGGTAAATACTATACGCAACCGACGCGACGGCAAACCTGCACGACGTGATACTCCAGCCAATTCGCGTAAGCTTACGGATTTGGAAGAGAAAACGATTGTTCAGTACATCATTGAGCTATGTGCGCGCGCATTTCATCCCCGGCTTTCGTACGTAGAAGATATGGCCAATCGATTGCTACGCGAACGCGACGCGCCCTCTGTCGGTACACGCTGGGCTCACAACTTCGTCAAGCGCCAGCCAGAACTTCGGACGCGTTTTACGCGTAAATACGACTACCAGAGGGCCAAATGCGAAGATCCAAAAGTTATTCGCGAGTGGTTTGCGCTTGTGCACAACACGAAGGCCAAGTACGGTATCCTTGACGAAGATTTGTACAATTTCGACGAGACCGGCTTTATGATGGGCATTATCATCCCCGCTATGGTAGTTACTACCTCTGATGGCCGTGGTAGGGCTAAGCAAGCCCAGCCTGGTAATCGAGAGTGGGCTACAGTCATCCAAGGAGTGAATGCTCTAGGCTGGACTATCCCACCATTCATTATCTTAGCTGGGCAATATCACCTTGCTAACTGGTATCAAGAGTGCAACCTTCCGGGTACCTGGCGTATCGCAACAACCGACAATGGCTGGACTACTAATGAGAAAGGCATGGATTGGATTCGGCACTTCGATTTCCACACAGCATCTCGTACGAAGGGAATATACCGACTGTTAATTCTCGACGGCCACGATAGCCACCACTCCGAAGAATTCGAGACTTACTGCCGGGAGCACAACATCATCACACTCTGTATGCCTCCGCACTCTTCACACCTACTTCAGCCATTGGATGTTGGTTGCTTTGGGCCGTTGAAGAAGGCGTACGGCTGTCAGATTAGCAGCTGATGCGGATGAACATCACACATATTAGCAAGCTGGAGTTTCTTTGTGGGTTTAGAGAGGCGTTTTTTGCTTCGGTTACGGAAAGGAATATCCAGGGGGGGTTTGCTGGAGCCGGCCTTGTGCCGTACGATCCAGAGAGGGTGATATCCAAGCTGGATGTGCGTATTCGGACTCCAACACCCCCAGCTACAAGCCCAACTACATCGCTACCTTGGGTCTCCCAAACGCCACAAAACCCGAGAGAGGCTGCCTCACAGTCAGCGTTCATCAAAACTCGAATTTCCAACCATCAGGGCAGCTCTCCAACACCAATGCTGACTGCTGTGGATCGATTAGCCAAAGGTACGATGGCTATGATGCACGAGGTGGCTCTTTTGCGTACAGAGGTCTCAGCACTTCGGAAGGCCAATGAGGGGCTTAGTAAGCGACGGAGAGCCAAGAAAACACGTGTTCGGCTTGGAGGATCACTTACTGTACAAGAGGCACAGGATCTACTGGATCAGAAGGCTGTGGGTGGGCAGTTGGTCCAGGAAACACGACAAAATGGTGGTGGTGCAGGGGGGTCTCGTACGAAGATTCGATGCTGTGGCGTATGCGGCAAGCCTGGCCATAATGCACGTACGTGCAAGGAGGCTGCAGAATCGTCTGATTCATCTGTTTCCGATTCAGTTATTGTTATTTCCTAGTGTTGTGGTTGTGTAATTGAGGGTAGTTGTGGTGAGGTTGTGGAAATTGTTCAACTCGCTTGTCTGTTCATCTCGCTTATCACACACGTTACCAAGAAAATCATAATGAAGTCTTTGTTTGCTTTTGACATTTTACTGCCTTTCGCGCCTCTAGTTTTTGTTTACTTATAGATGATTACGCGTTTTCTGACACTGACAGAGCCACTTTGTACTGCGGAAATCGACGATTTACAACACTTTGAGCTCCAACGACGATTTTTACAAGTTCAACACACGTGCTGGCACACGTGCGACTTATGCATCGATCCTCTACTTCCGCGGCCGATGACTACTGCCCAGTTAGGAATAGGTTGTTGTGGCAGGCTACACCCATTCTAGTATGTGGACCGCCAGCCACTTGCTCCACAGACTGGGTGCGCACGTTCCATTTGTACTCCATTCAATCGACATCCACGCGGCCTACCTCCGGACCCATGCACACGCGGCGAGGATCCACGCCGCTAAACGGCGGGGTGCCCTTGTGAGCAGTGTGGGTGTTGTGGGCTTCGTGTTCAGGGGTGTTCCCGGGACCGACACGATCTATACTACGAAAACACGGCTCTCACCAATTATCCTGGCGTCATCGCAATAAGGCCCATTTGTGATCTAGGCGTCATTGGAAGGATTCCTTGCCGTGTCTTTGATCATGTCTAAATTTGGAGCCGAGAGTGTGAGTGCAGGTCAAATGCAACACTATCACAGCTACTCCGTAACACGACGCCGTCGAAATCAGGAGGTCTGTAAACAGTAAACACAACCGAGTCCACCACGCAATTTCACGTAAACTCCAAGTCCCTCGATATGCTCCCCCACTTCGCCGTCGCCATGTCCCTGAGGTAGTTCGCCTTTGGGCTCCAGGCACATCGCCGCCCTTGGGCAGTACGTCCCTGATATTCCTGAGGTAGGTCGACGTGAGGCTCATCATGGGCCTGTCGGCCATGGCCGCGGAGACCGCAGGGACGCGCGGCACGACGACGGCAGCGCCCAGCCGCTCCATCTTGGCCAGGACGCGCACGAACAGGCACGCGCTGACGTCGGCGCCCGGCGTTGACGTCGGCGCCCAGCGTCCACGACGCCGTCTCGTAGCCCGTCAGGAGCACCAGGTTGGGCATGTCCTGCAGCATGGCCGCGCGCCACGCGAACTTGTCGGCCGAGCTGAAGCGCTGCCCGTCGACCGCAAAGTCGATGCCGCCGCCGAACCGCAGCTTGAGCCCCGTCGCCGGGACGATGGCGTCCGTCTGACCGGATGCCGGGATAGCGGAACAAGTCCCAGGTGCTACCAAGCGAGTCTCGGCTTTTGAAGATGGCGTAGCTCATCTCGGCAGGGCCTTCGGTCTGGATGCGGCGCCGATGATGATGGTGTCAAAATACGTGGCACTGTTATCCTCTCCATTGGTGAGGCCTGTGCCGTCTGTAATGGTGGCCATGGCGATGGGAGGAGTAGATTACGACAAAACCGATGTGATGAGTTTATCCGGCACGGATATGTTTTGTTTGACTGAGATTTGTTTCCGCTTTCAGTGTCACTGGAGGCTGAAGATGAGCATTGTTGAACCTTCCCATAATCGCAAAAATGCCGTCGGTAAACAAAACCGAGCAAAGCCTTGGCAGTGGAACACATCCTGGGCTCTTTCCTTTCCCAGATGCCACTCGGAAGTTGGTCCCACAATAGGGTGATCGGCGATGATCAAGAGCTAAACTCGATGTTCACCTTGACCATATTTCTAGCGTCGCAAACCTAGCACACTTTGGGTGGATAATGAGTGCGCCTGACATAGAGAACTGCCACACCTGTCAAGGCTTGCGAGGCATCCTCCCTTCGTGAGCCAAGAGTTTATCAGTCGCAAGCTTCTTACTCCACGTTGCGGGCTGCATTGCAGAGTCGCACCTGGAACTGACCAGACGCCGAACAGGGGAGGATCAGTCCGCCAGTTGACAGTTGACAGGTTGACACCAGTCTAACGGACTGACGAGTGGTGGACAGCATAACATCACATGTGCCGTGGAGTCGCTCTTTGGGATCAGAACACGCGGGAAGTCCATTTCGAGGACTCTGATAGGCGCGTGTTGCATCAAGCAATCAAGCACACAACCATCAAGGCCGTGCTTGTACGACCATCAAGGCCGTGCTTGTACCGACGAGTACCCTCCGTTTCGCCATAGACACCACGCTGTGCGTTCCTTGCTTCGTTCTCCGCACCCCGCACGCCTTGCATTCACACACAGTATGGACACGACACAGTGTCTACCCCGTCGAGATGCAACTCTTCCGTGTCAAACCGGATGCGCGATGTGATTGTGCATGTCTACGCATCACTAGCGTGCCTTGAAAGCCCAAAGTAGCATACCCTGCTGCAATATGAGCTGCATTCAGCATTCTAGCACGACGGAGCTATTCAGAATGCCGTTCCGTGTGCAAGTCGGGACAGCTGGCGTGTGTGCAAGTCAGGACAGCTGGGTGCCTCGGCAGGCGCTGGAGGTTAACACAGTGCGTGCAGTTGGCATGTGACAGCAACGCGGAGGAGTGTTTGTTTACTTTGGCCATCGACAAACGGGCGGTCGAGAAGCAACGAATTAATTCGGCTAAAAAGTAAAGAGGAGTAAATATAGATAAACGTAATGGTACTTTAGCTAACGCGTAGCTGCAGGTCTGTCGCAGCCGATAGAAACGCCCGGGCGTCGCGGGCCGCAGCCTCGGCCGCACGGGCGAACCCGATCTTGGGCCCCAGCAGAATAATGTCGTGCGAGCAGCCCTTGGAGACGACCAGGTGGACGTTCCAGCCAATGTCCCCGTAGCGCTCGGAAAAGAGCTTGATGTCGTCATACAGCACCTCGCGCTCGCCGGCGTGCACGAACATGGGCACGTCGGCGGCGGCGAGCTTGAACGGGTGGAGCAGCGGCGCCAGCCACGGGCCCCCTGCGTCGACGGCACCGTACCCCGAGACGGTCGCCGCGCCCCACCGCCCAAACTCGCGGTGCAGGTAGTCGGTGGCGTAGTTGGGCGACGCGCGCATGTCGAACCGCAGCGCCCCGCTGACATCGACCCACGGCGACCACAGCGCGACGGCGCCGGGAGGAGGCACCGCCGCCGCCGCACCCAGCACCTCGCTCCCATCGCCGGCTCCCTCGTCCCCATCGCCGGCTCCCTCGCCCCCATCGCCAGCTCCCTCGCCGTGCTCGTGCATGTACCGCAGCAGCCCCAGCACGACGTTGGCGCCGGCCGAGTCGCCCGACAGGATGATCTGGCGCGCCGGGATGCCCTTGTCGCGCACCAGGCAGAGGTACGCCGTCAGGGCGTCCTGCAGCGCGGCCGGGAAGCGGTTCGCCCGGCCGCCGCTCGAGAGGCGGTACTGCGGCGTGCACACGTGCGTGCAGCCGAGGTGCCGCAGGAACGTCTTGGCCAGGTACCCCGTGTCCTTGTCGCGGCCGCTGCCGATGGCGTAGCCGCCGCCGTGGAAGTGCAGCGCCACGACGACGTCGGGCCCCGCGAGTGTGGCGGGGGGCGGCCGCGCCGGCGTCCACGTGGCGCCGAGGTCTGTGGGCTGGACGGCCGCGTCGACCAGCACGCCCTTGTACTGCTTGGGCGGGCGCGGGCGCATGACCTCGAAGCGGCTCCCTTCGCGCCCCGGCTGCAGCGTCAGCCGGTCGCCGGAGCGCGTCAGGGACCAGTAGAGCAGGAGCAGGCGGACCAGGCGCGTGCGGGCTGCCTGGCTGAACGACCACTCCGGCGTCGGCCGCGTCCACGGCGGCACGCACAGAAGAATGTCGAAGACGAAGTGCGAGAGCAGCAGGGGGCTGACCAGCAGCGCGTAAAAGTAGGTGGAGAGGATTCCGAAACGCGCTGCAAGACTCGTTGCGGGCCTTGCCCGTGGAGCGTGGGTTTCCGCCATGCTGGTGCTGCCTTGCGGTGCTGCGGCCGACGCCTGTGGGGCAGCCGTCGTGTGGATATATGGATCTGTTTGATGAGTGTGGTGGTGATGGGTGGTGGTGATGGGTGATGGATGATGGGTGATGGATGATGGGTGATGGATGACGGGTGATGGATGACGGGTGATGGATGACGGGTGATGAGTGTGTCGTGTGAAAAAAAAAACAATCCATGTGCAGCTAAGAGATCCCCATCCATGGCTTTGCCTCTACGTCTTCCATGATTGGTGAGCTTCGAGGCAAGGATCTCGGACTTTGGGTGGCGGGGAACAGGATGCACGGCGGGTCCTGGTCTTGGATGCCAAGGGTGCTCGATACGCGCCAGGCAGGCAGACCATCTTCACCAGCGCAAAGCCAGATGTTCGATGTGGGTAATGGTAATGTATTCCTATCCTGATTCCAAAGAGCTCTGAAGAAGTTGCTGGCCATCTTCGAGAGACGAGACTCTGCATTCGAGCTAGACGTCAGGGGGAAAGCATTTGCAAGTGCCGTCTGCTCCCGGTAGCCGACGCAAAGATCGAGAGGGGGAAGGTTGTACTCGCGAAACAAGATCCGCGCGGGTACGCACTAGAGCTAATTACCGCAGCACGACGTCCGCGGATCCTGCTAGCTGGAAATTTTGGCTCCGCGTGTACTCCGGAGGTACCGAGTTCGTGTAAGCTTAAAGCCTCCAATTGACCACATCCAACTACCTAGTTTCTCGCGTGCTCTGAGCCAAACAACTTCGAAGACTTGCATCATCTTTCTACCCAACAGAGAGACAGGTCGACTACCCAGAACGCCGCTCCCCAACACACACCCGTCACGCATGAGTGGCTAGCCCACGGCTGCACCCTAACGGCGACGCCTCGGGGCCGTTCCCTTCCCGACAATGTCGCGCACAAACTCCTGGAGCCACGACGGCCAGGCTCTGAGCCCAGCCAGGATCGTTGCAGAGCTCTGGATGACCCGCTGAGCGCCCCTCCGGCTCTTGATCTGGTCAACAATCACATCCGCCACCTCGCCGCTCGTGAGCAGGCGGACCCCGCCCTTCTCCAGGCGGGCAGCTAAGTCCTGGATGAGAGGCGTCCTGACAAAGTTGGGGTGGACTACGGTCGTTAGGACGTCGGGCGCCTTGTAGTGGTGCTTGAGCTCGGAAGCGAGCGTCTCGTGGAAGGCCAGGGCCCCGGCCTTGGTCGCCGAGTAGTCGGCAGCCGTGGCCAGCGCGACGAAGGAGGCGATGCTGGCGACGGTTACCACGTGGCCCTTGTTTTGCTCGATCATGGACGGCAGGAACTGCTGCGTGGTGAACCACATGGAAATGAGGTTGACGCCGAAGATGGTGCGGAGGAACGCCGGGTCGGTCTTCAGGATGGGCTTGGGCTGAGCCACGCCGGCGTTGTTGACAAGGATGGACGGGTTGCCGAAATCGCTGCGGATGGCGTCGGCAGCGGCTGCGACGGACTCGGTGGACGTCACATCGCAGTGGTAGAAGCGGATGCTTGCATTCCCCTGCATATCCTTGGGCAGGTCCTGGATGTCCAGCACGGCCACGCGCACGCCAAGGGCCGCAAGCTTCAGCGTCGTGTCCTTTCCGATGCCGCTAGCGCCGCCCGTGACCACGGCGATCTCCTTGGGCCAGTCCCACCCCTTAGCCGGACCCAAGCGCCACGAGTTGTGGGCCATGGTGCTCAGCGTGCTGTTCACCTTGCCGATGACGCCCAGGGCCACTGCGACCTTCAGGACGGTCATGGCCGTCGAGTAATCATCGGGCGTCACGCGTGACAGCAAAGCGCCAAGCTGCTCCGGGAGCCTCTCGAGGACCGAAGCGGCGGCATTGCGCAGAGTTTCGGGGTAATACGTAGCGCCAACCAGGAGAGGGCCTGAAAAGAAGGGCGAGAGGACGATGCTGCTCAGGCCTCCAAGCGGGCCCAACAGCGGGGAGTGGACTGCGGAAGCCATGATCGGGAGTCGTCCGAGTCGGAAGCGGGATCGGAATGGAGTCGGAAGTCGGAAGTCGGAAGTCGCTTCTTGGGTTGCAGCCGGCGGGAAATTGGGGCCACCGAGATGAAAGGGCCTTCACGTCTCGCAATGTTGATACCGCAAGCTGATGGGCCCGCGATTCTTATCGTAATCGAGACTTATTGCGGGTTGCCGTTAGCTTCGACGTTTCGACACGCTCCTCTGCCGACCGCCAACAACATTTCGGAAAACTTTTCTGACAAAAGCCAGGCTCAGAGGATTTCGCAAGCTAAACCGATTTGGGCGTGCTGACCCAGGCACCAGCGAACCCCCAAATGAGCACATGGGTCATCCCTGTAGAGAGGAACGTTCGAAACGAGCCCCACCAGAAAAAGGAATTGGAAGTCTTCGACGCCACAAGCGAGCAGCGGGGCTAAGAAAACTGTCGATAGAACGGGCTGTTTTTTCCAAGTTCCCAGGCCGAAGGCCAGAAGCTACGAATGCTGAATCAATCTCCCAATGTGAGGTCAACCCTAACCCTACACTAACTCCCCTGGCGGGGTTTTCAGACTGCAGATTCCCAAGCTAGCCGACCCCACTGCGGTCTGAACCCCGCTCGAAGCATGTCCACTGGAGCAGTGGGGCAGGCTGCAGCTCGGGCGTCGTGCCTTGAGGTGATTTGCCCGTCAAGGCAACGTGCTAGCCAAACCCTAAATTCCCACCTGTTCTGCCCCAGGTTTTCTCGACAGCGCCGTTGCGCCGTTGCGCCGATGCTCGCTTGCAACCTACCTCGTAGCTTGTCGCTGGCCGAATCCGCGCCGCGACAGAGATCCGATTCGGAAAAGATGGTCTTTCCCGGTCGCTTCAGCACTGGCTGCCTGCGCTGCCGTCAGCGCAAAGTGAAGGTGGGACGGCGTGCTCGCCTGCTACTGGTCCGACGAGAGGAAAGTTGCGGCTAACAACAACCGCCCGTGTCCAGTGCGACGAGGCAAAGCCCACTTGCCGCCGTTGCGCTGTCTACGGCAAGCCATGCACCGGATACACGGACCAGTTCCAATTCAGGCACAGCCGGAACAAACCCGCCCTAGCCTCCGCCCCCGCCCCCGTCGCTGTCGCCGTCGCCATTACCGTCGCCGTTAACGTCACTCTTCCAGTGGCGGTCCCGGCGCAACAGGAATGCAAGCAGGACCACGGCGCCAAGTCCCCCGAACAGAGCTTATACCGGAAACCAATTGACAATGTGCAGCAATGGCGACACCAGGAACAAGCCGCCCGGATCCAGGCCTGGTCCAATTCCATCGTGCGCGCCCCCGAGGCGTGCTACGAAGACGTCTCTCTCTTCTACTTTGTTCGCCGCTTTGTGTCACCCAACCCGGCCGATGGCTTCCCCGGGCATTTGAGCTTCCTGCCCGGCCTCTACGACTCCCACAGCAATGGCCTGCTCGAGACGGCAACCCTCAGCGTCGCCCAGATGGCCGCCTACAACAAGTTCGGCGGTGAAAAATTCCGCGTCCAGTCATACAGGAACTACGGCCGAGCCATCCGCATGCTTCAGGGCATTATAGGGACTGAAGAGCAAGCTACCGACGACAAAGTCATCGCCTCCATCTTGCTTCTCTGTACGCTCAAGGTACGCGTCGTCACCACCACCACCGCTGTGGTCAGACCTCGCCCGCCGCCCGCCCGCATGGTTGCTGACCCAGATCGATCTGTACAGGACATCAGCGGCGAAGAATCGGGCGACCCCGGCGAACACGCGCCTGGCCTCTTCTACCTCATAGAGAAGCGCGGCCCCGAGCAGATCGTGACAAGCAGGGGTGCTGAGCTCCTCTTCCTGGGCCTCATCCGCCTGGTGAGTGCCGCGCTGCCTGCTCCAGCCCCCAAGCCTCAGGCATGCCGTCTGCAGCCAGGCACTAACTGCGACCCGTCTCGCGTTACAGCAAGTCCACTCTTTCTTGCATGAGAACGACACGTACGTCGACCCCGGCGCCATCGCAACGGTGTGGGGAGTCTTTGATCCTCTGTTGCGTGCAATGTGCATGATGTCGAGGACACTGTCACTGCGCCACCGGCTACTCCCGTCCTTCGTGTCTCCCGAATTCCCGACAGGCCAAAGCCGCAGCGCCCGCTCGCGACCACAGTATGACCGGGCTGCCACCATCCACGGCTGTTTCGAGACGCTCGAAGACTTCCACACCTGGGATGCCGAGGCCGCGTCCTACTGGCAGAGCACGTTTGAGGGCCGCGGCGTGCCGACGGCCCTGGGCGAAGCCGCGTCGGGCATAGCACACTACGACCCAGAGACCGCGTGCACCGTCATCTTGATCCGGTCCGCGCGCCTGATCCTGCTGATGAGCATGATCGCGTACCACAGCATGACAGCGGACCTTCGATTGCAGGGCTTTGACGTAGGCGGGCAGCAGCCGCAGCACGACGACGTGGACCCTGCAGCGGCAGCGGCGGCGGCAGCGGCGACGGCCGCACTGGCCCACTGCGTGCCGATCCTGGAGCAGGAGGTGGGCTTGGCCATCGACGATATCCTCGCGAGCGTGCCGTACGCTCTTGGCGACGTCGGGCCCGGCGGGGCTCCCGGGTCGGTGCCCCACGACGGCGCGGCTGCCATCATCATCGTGCAGTCCATCAGGCTGGTGGCGTCGTGCGCGTACTCGACGGCCGACCAGCTGCGCAAGGCCACAGACGTGCTGGGGCGCATCAACGCCAGCATCGGCATCCGCGCGGCCCTCGGCGTCCCGGACGAGGCCCTCAACCGCACGCGGTGGGCGCACGAGCAGGAGTTTCTGCGGTCGAGGATGGCATCAACCAGACAGGGAAGCGCAAGTTCGAATTCTAGTTCTGGCTTGAGCTCCAGCCTAGACACGAACGCGAGTCCGGTGTGGGAGAGCTCCCGGGCTCATCCTGAACCGATCTCCCGGGCTCATCCTGAACCGACCTCGCCGCCCCAGTTCAAGTTCCCTGGCCAGGCTTAAATTATAGTTCCGGTAGTTGATTTCTCGAGTCCCATCAGCTAGGTACAGGAATCTAAATCTAATGGGTTCCATCATAAACAGCTGCCTGTTGTCGGCAGTTTCGCCCGACTGTTTCTATCGGCTCAGAGTGGGCCGTATTTTGTCTGGTATCGTTCTGGATTGGCATGCCGCGAAGCCGCCGGCCAGGATCGCAGATATGTGGCGCCGGCGATCGCGCGGGGCGATCGCGCGGGACGATAGATCCACCGGCACGTGGTGAAAGCGTTCTCCTTCGGCTTTAGGTTGCGAGACCCGCGTCGCGCACCGGAGGAGTGGAAAGTGTGTTCGTTGAAGATCAAGATCAAGGAATGGATGTACCGAAGCTGCCAAAAAATACAGCGCCGCTGCCCCTGTGAGTGCTGCCCCTGTGAGTGCCACCCTAGCAAATGCTGCGGAGAGCGGCTGAGATGCGTCTCGGCAGACTCGCAGGCTAGACCTAATGAGGATGCACTTTGCGACCTACTTCCGATGGGTGGCGTTGGCCAAGCTGTCCCAACACGGAAACTCCATTTGTCGATCTGTACTCACTTACTTGTGGCATATGCAACAGACGCGCGTTCGATGAGTGGCATGAGGCTGCCAGCAACTCTGTCAACGTTTGCAAAGAGGCTGGAGGCGACATCATTCCACGACATATGCCCCTGGCCTTTTGAAAGCATCTTGAAACCCCGAAGCTAGACGATGCATATTCACCCTCAATATTCGTTCACAAAGCATATTCACCCCAATGTTCGTTCACAAAGCCTCATTGCTCGTCTTGCTCAGTCTACCGCATCACCATCTCATCGGCCCGGCGGCTTGCCCATCATGACGATGGCAGCTCAGCTCTTCAGCTTCCCAGTCCTCACGGTGGCAGGGGCTGTAGAGGCACTGCTGGCTATCAAGCAGTTCCCCAGTTACTACAGCTCTGGGAGCCATCTGACAGCCGTGATTGGCATGATTCTTGCCAACTATGCGTTCGGCGTCGTTTTCTGGGCGTTTCTGTATCCGAGATTCTTCAGTCCTCTCCGCCGAATCCCTGGACCAAGGGTATTCAAGTGAAAGACCCGGCTACGGCTCGCGGGCGATTGCTTACCAAACTTGACAGGCTTTCATTGGCGCCGCGTACCGGTCCATTGTCGTCAGAGAGGGGCCTTCTGGAGACATCTTTCTCAACCTGGCCAATCAGTACCCAGGAGAAGACTTGATCGCGCTTGACGCCTTTGGCCGCCAGATGTTCGTCGCGAAACCGGGTCTGCTGGCCGACCTGCTCGTGCACAAATGCTACGACTTCGCTAAGCCCAGGAGGATCAGCGCCTTCTTACGGCGGATCCTCGGCGATGGCCTCATCATTGTAGAGGAAGACCGGCACAAGTTCCTCCGCAAAAACACCATGCCCGCCTTCCACGTCCGGCACATCAAGGACCTGTACCCGATGATCTGGAACAAAGCTGGCATCCTGACCCGAGCGTTGACGAGGGAGATTGACAGCAACGCGACCCCCGACTCCAAGGGCTCGGCCATCGTCGAGCTGACGACGTGGGCAAGCAAGGTCACGCTCGACATTATCGGCATCGCGGGCATGGGCCGCGGGCTAAACATTGTCGAGAAGAAGTCGGGCGATCCGCTACAGGAGCTTTACGAGGAGCTGCTGGAGCCGAGCCGGGAGAAGCTCATCTTCGCCATGCTATCTTTGGCCATCGGGTTCCCGGCCGTAAGGCTGCTGCCGTGGAAGATGAACAGCCTGTTCATCTACCTGACCAGTTCGCTGGACAAGATCTGCAGAGAGCTGATCAAGGAGAAAAGAGACGCCATCGTGAAGAAGGAAGACGACCATTTCGACATCTTGTCCCTGTTGATCAAGTCCGACAACTTTGACGACGAAGCCCTGAAGGATCAGCTTCTGACGTTTCTCGCTGCGGGGTTGGTCAACCTTTGCCCATCCGCGCCATTGCATGTTCGCCGCTAACGAAGCTTGTTCTTCTTGTCAGACACGAGACCACAGCATCTGCCCTTACCTGGGCGTCATATCTTCTTGCCAACCACCCAGAGATTCAGGCCAAGCTCCGAGAGGAGGTTACGTCAGCTCTCGGGGCCAACGCCATCGCGGGCGAGCCCCTGGCCAATCCCGCCGGGGTCCTGAAGCAACTGCCGTACCTCAACGGAATAATCTACGAGACGCTGCGGCTGTACCCGACTGTCCCACTGACGATGCGCGAGGCGCTGCATGACACGCAGGTGGGCGAGCAGTTCGTGCCGAAAGGCACCGAGATGGTCGTGTCCATCTGGCAGATCAACCGGTCGCCGGACCTGTGGGGCGCCGACGCCGGCGCGTTCCGGCCAGAGCGGTGGATCAACACCGACGGCGACGGCAAGCCGAACCAGCACGGCGGCGCGCGGAGCAACTACGACTTCCTGACCTTTCTGCAAGGCCCGCGCAGCTGCATCGGCCAGGAGTTCGCCAAGGCCGAGATGCGCTGCCTGCTTGCGGCTCTGGTCACCGCCTTCTCGTGGGACCTCGCCATGGACGAGGATAAGATCGTGCCCCGCGGCGTCATCACCATCAAGCCCGAGAACGGCATGCACCTGAGGATGAGGCCGCTGGGGCGGGTTGTATAGCGTATACACTATCATGGGCCGGTTAATACATCGGTTGAACACCTTGTAACGAAGACCTGCATACTCCCAGTCCTTGTAACGAAGACCTGCATAATCCCAGTGAATGTCAACAGACTGGAATATTCTTCCCACCGGACTACAATCGAGCACCTAATCCTAGCTCTCCCCCACCCACATGCCTCGATGGAATGCAAAGCGGGGGACGGCAAGCTACGCCGTCATGCACTAGTGCACCGAGGTCGGCTTACCATTTGCTCCGGTCTGGTCTGGGATCTTATTGGGCAACTGCCTTGCGGGGCAACTCAACGTTCCAAGGCATCACCAGTGCTCCTGATCTACCAACTAACTCCCTTTTACCTGCGCTCTTGTCCTGCTACTACCGGTTTCAGACCACACAAGATTCACTTCAGGGAGACAGAAACATTGAGCAACATGGCCAGGCCTTTCGCCGTCATCGACGACGAGGGGCAGACAGGCTTCACAGTCGAGACGCCCGGAGCTCTCAGCGTGCCGTCGTACAAATACGATGCTTTGCCCTCGCAAGGATCCCACTTCCGCCTGATAACGCTGCGTCCCTCCGCGGGCGAAAGCACATCAGGCGCTCGCCTGGAGTGCGACATCTCTGTCCACGAGCTGCACGCACCATCAACACTGCCGTACACGGCGCTCTCATACTGCTGGCAGAACCCCCGATTCGACGGCATGACGGTCAGCGGGCAGCCCATCGGCGCCGACGACGAGCTGCGGACAACGTACACCGTGAGCCACGCGCTGTGGTGCCGCAAAACCGACAGCAGCAGTAGCAGCAGTAGCAGCAGTAGCAGCAGTAGCAGCAGTAGCAGCAGCAGCAGCAGCAGCACGCGGCTCCTGATCTCGACCAGCCTGCGCGATGCGCTGCTAAAACTGCGGCCCGCGCCCGGATCAGACCCCATCAGGCTGTGGGTCGACGCGCTGTGCATCAACCAGGCCGACGCGGGCGAGCGCGCCGCGCAGGTCCTGCTGATGCAGTTCGTCTACCACAACGCCGCCGCCGTGTGCATGTGGCTCGGGACCGAGGACCGTTTCACGGCCGCGGCCTTCGGTCTTGTCCAGCGGCTCGGCGGCACAGAGAGCCAGCAGCGCCACGAGCCGCCGGAGCTCTCCCGCCCCGACGCCCTGCAGCGGCTCGGCCTGCCGCCGTTCCCGTCGCCCGCCTGGGAGGCGCTGGCGCGCCTGTTCGAGCGCCCGTATTTCCGGCGCATATGGATATTGCAGGAGATGATTGCGGCACCGCGCACCTCGCAAGTGTGCTGCGGCGGCGAGCGCGCCGTGCCGTGGACGACGCTGGTGCACGCCGTGGCGTTTCTGCACCGCGCAGGCTGGATCCCGGCCATCAACGCGCGGTTCGGCGACGGCAGTAGCAGCGGGCAGGACAACTTCGCGTTCGTCGCGATCGCGCTCGACGTCAGCGCGGCGTGGATGAAGGGCGCAGCGTCGCCAGAGCAGCGGTTAGCCGTCCGCCGCAGGGCGCAAGCCGCGCGGCCGTTCGACGCCACGGACCCACGCGACAAGATCTTTGCGCTCGTCGGCATCGTTAATGATTTTGGCCACCGCGACCTGTTTGGCGAGGATAGCCCGGAGGGCCTCGCGGGCGGCGGTACACCGCAAACGGCCACGCGAGACGGCACAGTCCACGCGACGTTCCGGCTCGACGAGCGCGGCAGGTCGCGCGAGGACGTCGCCATCGAGGTGCTGCAGCGGCACCCGGACGTGGCCATCCGCGGCCTGCACGCCGCGCTGCTCGACGTGTTCCGCGGGTGCGTACGCGTGGCCGACGTGATCCTGCACCCGGATGGGGACTTCACCGCGCCGGCGTTCCTGAGCAGCTACGCGGACGCCTCGGCGAAGACGATCGCTGGCCTCGGCTACCTAGGCCGGTTCAGGACGGACAGCCGCGGCCTAAGTTTAGATCACAAGCGCTGTGCTGACTTTGCGAGCAGCGCGTTTTCCATGTTCGAGACGGGTTTCAGCGCGTACACGCAGCTCATCGGCGAGTACAGCGACGCGGACTTCTTCGCGGAGCTGTGCCGGACGCCGGAGATCCGCGAGGAGGTCGCGCGCTTCCGCGAGGGCACGGCGTGGATGGTTGAGTCGCTCGAGCTGAAGCCATCTACTGCTGCTGGTGACGGCAGGTCAGGGGAACAGCAGCGGCTGACTCCGATCGTGATCGGCGACCGAGCGACGCTCGACAGCCTCGAGTACGCCGTCGCCTTCGAGCGGCAGTACCCGGACTGGGCGTGGAGTGCCGCGGGATGGGTGATGCCGGCGTACGACCGGCCGGTGGAGGACGTGTTCGCCGAGTTCGCGGCTAAGTGCGTGCTAGACGACGGCGACCTCGACATCCTCGGCGAGGTCGAGGACGCGGCTGCTAGGAAGCTTTCCGAGCTCCCGTCGTGGGTGCCCGACTTCAGCGCGCCGCTGCTGCTGCGCACGCCGCTGACGCGCTGGAAGGCGAGCACCAACGAGGGTTTCTACGCTGCTGCGGGCTATTCCAGGGCCAAGCCCTCCTGGACCGTGCAGGACCGGCGCGTGCTGGGGCTGGAGGGGTTCGAGATGGACCAGATCGCTGTGGTTGCTGGAGGGGGCGCGATCTGTTCTAATAATGGCGGCGGCGGCGGCGGCAACAACGGCACCAGGGGCCCGACAACTCTAGAACAGGCCCGTGAATGGGCTGTCTTGCTCGACCAGCTCGCGTCAGACGCAAACGGCCACTACCTGTCCGGCTGCACCAAAATTGAGGCTCTATGGCGGACGCTGCTAGGAGATCGCACGGCACAGGACGAGCACCCTGTTCCAGCCGTCTGGGCCGGCTACTTCCGCGCGCTCCGGGCCCTACTGCCTAGTAACGACAACACGGCGTCGGCCGCATCCTCCCGGGGGCTCGGCAGCTTGCGCATCGCGCCGGGCGAGCACGTGCCGCTGGCACTCAGCCAGCTGGTGGCCGACAGGGCCAAGTTCGCGCAGGCCATGGCGCCCGCCATGCTGGGGCGGCGGCTGGTCGTCACCCGCAAGGGCTATCTGGGCGCAGCACCGCGCTCGGCGCAGGTGGGAGACGGCGTATATGTGCTGGCCGGGGGCCACGTGCCATTCGTGCTCCGAAGGGACCAGTCAGGGGGGAGCGCGCCGTCCACGTTCTGGTTGGTCGGCGACTGCTATGTCCATGGGCTCATGCACGGAGAGGCGCTGCGCTGGGAGGGATCCCGCTGGGAGGACGTGCGGCTTGTTTGAGGTTACGGCAGATACGGGGGCGCGGTTGGCCGCCTAGTCCTATCCGAATTCGTCTGCCAGCCCCTTTTCTCGCCGCCGAAGCGGATTCGGATGGACTTTACTTCTTTCTATCTACTGAGACGTGTCAACACGACTTATTCCACCTCCCAGCCCCATCAATCAACAACTGCCATGTCAACACGGTGGCGGTTTCTGCACTCCGCACTCCCCCTGATGATGTGCGCCCATAGCCAGCATGCTTACGTGCTTAGACAGGGCAAAAATGACCTGCTTGATGGCCTGGTCGTGGGAGCTCGCGCGCCCTGTCTGCGGAGTTCAACGGTGCCGCAGCTTGCCTGGATGTTGCAGAAGTTTGTCGACATGTACTTGTGGTACTCGGACTTGGGCTTGGGTACTGGGACAACACGCTTCTGGTTGTCGTACATCAAGTCGACGACGTGGAGCAGGGGCCGGGACTTTGCCGTGAGGAATGGTCCCTAGACGTGGGACCAGTGCTTTGTAGAACCCTGGGCATGGAACTCGTCGTAGCGTAGCTTAGCTTGGGAATGTGTTCCGTGTTCGGCACGGCGTATGGGTTTGCATTGCGGTCCTTGGGCATGATGGTGACGAGGGATGTTCCCAGTAGCATGTGCCGCAGCAGGCAACACTGGCCATCTGCTCCTCGGTGTAGTAAGGATGGGCCGGGCTGGTTCCGGGCGTGACATGGACGTGCATAGAGCAGGAATTATTGACGTAGATGTTGAGCCAAAAGGCCAGCGACTGGTGAACCAGCTCAATCTCATCCTTCCGGGGCTCGTCGGAGCGTATGGGGCGAGACACAATTTCAAGGCACTCTTGTCCAAAACCAGCTCGGGCCCGTACTGGAGGGACGGACCATCAATGCTTTCGTCACTTAGAAAATCGCTTGGTCGGTGCCTGCAGCTCATCCAGAGACTCGTCATCCCCAACAGACCGGCCGCCCGTGTCATGTCAAATAAGCTCCTTCACGGGGGTTCTCGCGGCTTTCATCTTCCAGAGCTTGGATTACACACTACATTGACCTTGACTATCATCCATCAGAATTGTGGCTTCCTCGAGGATGTGTCTGACAGCCCGGCGAAGACGAAAACGCTGGTTGACCTTGGCGCTTTGGTGGCATCCTTCTCGTCGGCGTTGCTTGTAATGTCAAAGTCCCAACCCTGCCAAGACGCGGGAAGCACACCATCATGTTTAAAAGCCAATGCTTGTACATCTGAGACGTGGTTCTCTTTGAGTTCAAGGAGAATCTCGTGCTCGCTGCCCCGCACAGGAACGGGGTTCGACATTGTTGAGGCCTGGGGTTACTAGGGATGGGGAAGAGGCGGAACTGTCTGGACAAGGCGCAAAGAAAGAGTTAAGACAACGAATAACAAAGTATGAGACGGTTTGCTGCCGTGTGCCGATCGCTTTGAAGGCTTGTTGTTTCTGATGCTACAGCTGGCGAGGAAACGCAATCTTATTTACCCGCAGTCACAACTCAAGATGAATTGGTGTAGAATTTTGAAAGAGAGCCCACACCTGCAACCGTGTTGCTGGTTGTCACACTCCGTCACGCCTTGCCAACCGATCGAGCCTACCTAGCGAACCAGGGACGCCGCGACGGCGGCTGTACTGTCACAGAAGCCTGCGAGATGAAACAACCATGCTGCAATAAGCATAGCACCCCGCCTCAAACTCATCAGAGTTGGTCTCGCATCCCAAGAGACGAGGTTGCAACGGTCATATCGGGCCGGCTTGGCTCTCAACTTACAGGACACTAATCGAATACCAAGTTGCCCTGGATGTGCGTCGAGAATAAACAAAGTGCGACCTATTGCAAGTAGCACGTTTGTTTCGTCTTGGGTTCGTCATAGACCAGGTAGTAAGACGCGAGCTAACATGTTCTAATTTCGGCGGCGAGGCGAGGCGGAATCGGGTTCGGTGTCAGCACGGCAACACACGCCCGAAACACTTCGACTTAGGTACCACATTGCTATTTCTATCCCCCGACCTCAGTCGACAGCCTCTCCACGCTGGTGCAACACCAGGAAAGTCAATTCACCTACTTTTCACACACGGATAGGGACCATTTGTGATCTCGCGCCCTCGGATCTTACGACGGCTTCAGCCCTGGCCACTCTGACAGACAGGCGGCCACTTTCTCGGTGCCAACCAACACCACCTCAACCTGCACGAAAATACCTTTGATGGAAACAAAACGACACCCTGCCGCTCCATTTTATTGCCAATTCAGGGTTTCGCTCGTATTCGGCCACACCGTAGTGCCCAAATGCATGTTCCAGCTCTGACCAACAACGCCGCCCCAATCTTGGCCCATCTTCTGCTCTTTTGCTCTCGGCTGGCCGTCTTGTCAGACCGGGTGCGAACGGCAACTGCCAAATGATGTCGCGAGAGTCCTCTGGCCACAACGGGATACGTGATTGGTTATCGGTTTCACTTCACGTCCAGCAATATATATATACCTCAGCCGCCCCTCGCCGTGACCACTCCCTTTTCGTCGGGCAGGGCAGGGGTTTTGCATTACGTAGCTCCTGCAACTTCCACTCTTGCAATCGAACTCTCAGCGGACCCGACTCAACAACGCGTTGCTAACAATCAATCCAAACTTCGGTCAAGACAAGCCATCAATATGTCTTACGCAGAATTATCGGTTAACCTGAGAAAGACTACCCTAAGACAGGGGCTTTTTGGACAATCCACCGACGACACCAGCAAGCAGACCCTGGACTATACCGCGCCTAGAGAGCCGTGGCGAGCCAGAAGACGGCGCCGACGCCTTAGCGCTTGGTTGGTTTGTTTTGGGGTCTTTCCGCTTTAGTACGGTAACCACGAGGGCGCACTCTTGATCGGACTGGCCAAGTTTTAAAGCCCGAAGGAAAGAGAAGGGCAAGTAGGCAAGTAGGCAAGTAGGCAAGTAGGTAAATATTATAAGCCTACCTAAATAAATGGCGAGATATTCCATACTAGATCCATCCCCAAACGAATAAGTATGTTTTACCATACCCCACCCCCCAACGGATCACCCTAGCAGTGGATCACCCTTTTACACCAAAACACTCCCTTTCTGAACAACAACGTAGTCAATTGTGAAGCTATTCGCAAGTAGGCAATTGAGCTAGTTATGTAATTGCATATAGTTTAATCTTAGTATAGATTTTTTAGCCCAGAAGCCCTACTTCTTTCGCTATATCGTCGCAAAGTACTCTAAATTAACTCCAAATTAGCTTCCTGACATTCTTCTTCGCCTACCTTTGAGTATGAATTGCGTCTTATATTACCACAATGTCTGAACAAAGTGACGATAATATGGTCAATGCGTACGTAGACGTCATAGATAATAAGCTTTCTATTCGTCAATCGGCTTAAAAGTATGGAATTTCTTATACAACGTTGAACCGGCGACTCAACGGAGTCCCCCCCAAAGAAGAGGTCCTCTAAAAACAACGCAGTCTCACAGAGCCTCAAGAAAAGCGGCTTATTGAGTGTATCGTCAAGTAGGAAAGACTCGGCTTTGTTCGAGTTACTCAATAGTATCTAGCATTGCTTCAAGACTCTGTAAAGATGCGGGGCAAAAAGACCCTGTAGGGAATAACTGGATTTCTAGCTTCAAAGCTAGAAACGTTACAATCTGGAACACTGAGGGTTCCACGGAGCTAGACCCGGTCTAGGACTGTAGGGGTGGGGGTGGGTGAGCTGTAGTGCGGCGAATCACACAGGTAAAGCGAAGTATAAGGAGCAAACAATAGTGCACAGATTGCGAGAGTCTCACTCTCAATCAGTCAAGCCATGAATGACAAACCATATGCATTGATAGCTGAGGAATCAACTCTCAGGGAGTGTTCCTCCAACTTCCTATATAGAACTATGAGTAACCAATCAGAGTGCTTTCCTTATATGCTCAGTGCTCCACTTGGTACTCAGTCCTGACTGAGTACTCAAGGCCACACTGAGTGCCCTGCTCCGTGCGCTCAGCTCAGTCTTAGCAGACTGAGCGAACTGAGCGCTTCCGGATTAGCTGCAGTGACCGAAGGAAGGCCCCGCCTTCCCGACTGCATACGCCCAATCCAAGGGAGGCATTATAGCGCCTCCTGTACCCTAGACCAGGATCGTAACAAGAAACCCCGATATTCGAGCCAAAGTAGGTAAGAGAATGGAAGCCGCTCGTTTTAACGAGTTTCCTTCTAAAGCCGTCAACCAGCACTTTAATATAAGGGAAAAAGAATACGACTGGATCAGGCCTGAGCTTACCTTTAACGTCGATAAGGCCGGCATTAATATGGCGGGCTTTGGTAAGTAAATAATACCTATTTATATTATCTATTACTTATACTATATAGGGCTCAATTTATTAGTCCTGGGGATATTAGAGACGAAGAGAGCCTACCTAAAAGCGATCAAGGTCGTGGCTGGTCCACCATTATCAAATATATTAGTACTGGGGGGCCTCGCACTCGGCCCGGGTATCATTTGAAAAGAAACATTTTAAAATGCCGTAGTTTGAAGAGTAAATGTAGAAAATTTATAACTGGCGCTTCGTTACTACAGAAAAGGGCTGGACTGACAACCACATAGCGATCAGCTGGCTTGAGGATATTTTCATTCCACAAACCGACGCTGAAGAAGAGGCTGAAGAAGAAGAGTTGCCTGCAAGACTGACAAGATCTGGCCGTGCACTTCGTGTGCCAGCACAACATATGGATTAAACAATCAACCAGCTACATTTTGCTATATTTAGCTTGTAAATAGCTTTACAATTGAGTGCGCTGTTGTTGTTTACAGATGTAGTGTTTCTAGGGTGATCCGTTGGGGGGTGGGGCATGGTATACTAAGCTACTAGCCTCGATAAAATCTAGGAACTCCCTCTAAAAAAGCCGGATTAAAACTCGCCAGGGGAGGATTCGTCGGGCTAGCTGGTTAGCGCTTGTGAGACAGCCTGGTAGTTTCGTGGGGATGAAAAATACACCCGATTTGTTCGCCTGTCCCGCCGCGGTAATTGCGCACTTGGCGGCTCTCCCGTAATGGCTCATCATTTTTCAGCGTCGATACTGGCTCTAACAGCAAAGTATTGTCCTGCTCGTATGGCTTGGTACAAGCTTCATCGCGCCACTTCTCTGGTCAGGCAGGGGACCACCATGTCTTGACCAGGTCGAGACTTTCTGAGGCATACAGAAGCAGTCGCTCCTTTCCGGGAGGAGATATGTTCCGCAAGCCCGCCGTCTTCAGATTAGACTGTTCGGTGCTCCAGTCGCAAAGTACCGCAGTTACGCATACTTCAGTGCAGTCGCATTATATCTACAAGGATGCTATGAACATGGTCTGATCTTTACTCTAAACGTGCTCATTCATGAACCCCGCCGTGGGAAAAGGGAGCAATTCGGCGATAGCAGAAGCACAGGTTATGAAGACTTCAATGACTGGCTACCTACACTCTTGCCTGCCGCTATCCCAAGTCTAACGTCACCAAACTGCGAGCAGCTGAGAATCCATCTACACCAGCATGGCCACCCCTACGCCGACAGGGCCAAAGACCGGATCACGAGCGAGACGAGACGACGTGGAGTACAGACGACGTGGAGTACGTGGGTACAGACCCGACGTGTAGGAATATGCAGGACTCTGGGTGACTGACAGGTGTACTGTGACGTTGCCAATACGAGAGACGTGAGGGTGCTGGTTTCATTCCGTGGCAGGTCACTAGGCCCTTGCCAACAAGGCAGCTGCTCTGCTGGGGCATGGTCTCATTGCCCTATCTGCGCACGCTTGCCTGGCTGGGGAGGTGGCAGCCTAGTCCCAATCTGGCGAATGTGACCTCAGATTAAGCTTCTGTCACCCGCGCGAGTCCCGTTCTGACTGCTGCACAGATAATGTAGCACCATGCTGCACAGCCGTTTGCAAGTTGCATTAGCCCCTCGTAGAAAGATTATTTGCGGCAGGGATTGCAAGTGCAAAGTTTTGGCCGAGGAACCAAGGGACCGAGGAACCAAGGGAAAAAAAAAAGTGAAAAAAAAGTGAAAACTTTAGATCAAAACACATATCGAAAAAGAGAAGTAAATGGGAAAGGCCTCAATTAGGCAGCTCCTTTTCTTGGCAGTTACCAAGTAAATTGCTAGACCTCAGGTGCCACTCCAGTGCATATTACGTGCTGCAAGTCTTCATTGAGGCTACCCGAATGCCGGGGCAGCCAAGCGGTCCGAGGAAGCGGGTGCAAAGGCTAGAGCTTTATTTATCCGCGAACCTTTGGAGCGTCGCGTCTGGGTGGCGTCTGATAGTGGGATGCTGGTTGGCAGACCCCGTCTAGGAAGGTCGGAGGCTGAATGCAGTGGCAGATGGTCAATCGCAGCGAAGCCCAGGCCGAATATGCGGAGGCGCACTGTGTGTAGCCTGTCGGGTTAATATGTAACGTTGAATTCGGTTGCGGGGAACAGGACAGGCTGGACTCGGGAGCCACGGCCAGCAAAAAACCCAGCGGCGACGGTCAGGCTCGACGCTAGAGAATGAAATGCCATTTATGGGCAGCCGCCTCCCCATATGCACATGCCAGGCTAGATCCACGACACAAGACGCAGTCCGAGGAACCTTCGTGAGAGGCAAACCGGCCCCTACATTGACCATGCAGCCAAAAACGGCGGTTGCCCTCTGCCTGGCCGCCGCGGGCCTCCAGGCGGCCGAGGCCGCCAAACGCCTTGTCTCTGCCGCCGGTCAGGCCGCGGCGATCCCGTCGTGGGACCTGCAGTCGAGTTCAAAGGCGGGCGGGGACCTCGCAGCCCTGTCCAAGACGGGCGTCGACACCTCCTCGTGGCACCACGTCGCCGCGTCGAAGTGCACGCTGATGGGCTGCCTCGTGCAGAGCGGCGTCTACGACGACACGCAGCTGTTCTTCTCTGACAACCTTAGCAAGGTCGACTCGGACCAGTTCCTGGTCCCGTGGCTCTACCGCAACGAGTTCGCCCTCGACGATCCCGCCCCGGGCAAGCACTACTTCCTCAAGACGCACGGCATCACCTCGCGCGCCGACATCTTCCTTAACGGGAAGCAGGTCGCCGACAAGAGCGTCCAGGCCGGCGCCTACGGGGGCCACACGTACGATATCACCAGCTTCGCCGACAGGAAGAACGCCATCGTCATCCGTGCCTACCCGACGAGCTACTACTACGACTTCGCCATCGGCTGGGTCGACTGGAACTACTGGCCCAACGACAACGGCACGGGCGTGTGGCGCGACGTCGAGGTCAAGCAGACCGGCTCCGTGGCCCTCGGCCCGCTCCGCGTGGTCACTCAGCTCGACTCATCGCTCGGTGCGCAGCCGGCAAACGTGACGCTCAAGTCCAAGGCGCAGAATCTGGAAACGACGGCCGTCACCGTCACGGCCACCGGCTCCGTCACGCCCGCCTCCGGGGGGGACCCGGTCGCGTTCAGCAAGAAAGTGACGATCCCGGCGCTGTCGACGGTCGATATCGTCCTCGGCACCGCCATCAAGAAGCCCGCCATCTGGTGGCCCAAGCAGTGGGGCGACCAGCCGCTCTACCTGGCCAACCTGACGGTTTCCACCGCCGACGGGGACGTCTCGGACTCTGCGGGAAGCCAGTTCGGGTTCCGCACCGTCACGTCGCAGTACAAAAACAACGACACCATGTTCATCGTCAACGGACAGCCCTTCCAGGTCATCGGCGGCGGCTACGCCCCGGACATCTTCCTCCGGTGGGACGGCGCCCGGCTGGAGTCGGAGCTCGAGTACGTCCTCGACTTGGGCTTCAACACGATCCGGCTCGAGGGCAAGAACGAGCACCCGGAGCTTTACGACGCTGCCGACCGAATGGGCGTCATGATCATGCCCGGGTGGGAGTGCTGCGACAAGTGGGAGGCGTGGAGCTACAACAACGACCTGGCGGTGACCACACCCGTGTGGAACGACGCCGACTACGCCATCGCCAACGCGAGCATGATGCACGAGGTGGCCATGATGCAGACGCACCCGAGCCTGCTCATGTACTTCATCGGCAGCGACTACTACCCCGACGACCGGGCCGCGCCCATGTACCTCGACGCGTTCGGCGCCGGCGACTGGCAGGTGCCCGTCATCGACTCGGCGTCGTTCAGGGGCGACGACTCCAAGTACGGGCCGGCCGGCATGAAGATGGAGGGGCCGTACGACTGGGTGCCGCCCAACTACTGGTACGACACGGAGCCGTACGGCAGCCGGCTCGGCGCGGCCTACGGCTTCAACACGGAGCTCAGCGCGGGCGTCGGCACGCCTGACCTATCGAGCCTCAAGAAGTTCCTCTCGGCGGCGGACCTCGACGACCTGTGGAAGAAGCCCAGCAAGAACCTGTTCCACATGTCGACAGCCACGTCGTCCTTCCACAACCGCGCCATCTACAACAATGCGCTGTGGAAACGATTGGGCGCCCCGACGTCGCTCGAGGACTACGTGCAGAAGGCGCAGATCAGCGACTACGAGGCCAACCGCGCGCAGTTCGAGGGCTACTCGTCGCTGTGGAGCGCCAAGCGGCCGGCCACGGGCGTCATCTACTGGATGCTGACGGGCGCGTACCCCAGCCTGCACTGGAACGTCTGGGACTACTACATGCACCCGGCGGGCGGCTACTTTGGCGCCAAGGCCGGCAGCCGGCAGGAGCACGTTACGTACGACTACGTGCGCCAGGCCGTGTACCTGGTCAACCACTCACTGGGCAAGACCGGGCCGCGGACCGTCGACATCCAGGTCATCGACACGGCCGGCAAGCTGACGTACAGCGGCAGCGTGGCAGCAGCGACAGCACCCAACGCCAGCAAGAACATCGCGTCGCTCAAGTCGGCGCTCGGCGGCATCAAGGACGTCGTGTTCCTGCGACTAGTGCTATCCGACACCAAGAGCGGCGCAGTGCTCAGCCGCAACGTCTACTGGCTGGCCAAGACAACCGACGTGCTCGACTGGGACAACTCGGACTGGTTCGTGACACCCGTGACGACGTACAGCGACTATACGGCGCTCAACAGGCTGGCGGCCGCCAACGTGACGGTGACGGCCGCGCAGCAGCAGCTGGCTAAGAGTGGCCCAGTGACGGTCACTCTCGAGAACCTGTCGGCCGTGCCCGCCTTCTTCGTCAGCCTCAACCTCGTCGACAAGGCCGGCCACGACGTCGTGCCGCTGACGTGGTCCGACAACTACGTCACGCTGTGGCCCAAGGAGAAGCTGACACTCACTGCCACGCCGATTGGGGGCGCATCGGCGGGTGCTTCTGTGTTGGTCACTGGGAAGAATGTGGCCAAGCAGACTGTGGCTGTGTCGTAGGTTCCGGTTCCAGTCTGGTTGTGTCGTAGGTTCCGGTTCCGATCTGGTTGATCGGCGGCTTCCTTTGGCGTTGGCACCTATTGGTTCTTGTCTATAGCCATCTTTGATCAGGTACACGAATCGAATTCGAGTAAACACTGTCCAGTGATTGTTTCTTCAATTAGGCGACGGGAAAAGGTGATCTCGCTTTCATATCTCATCTGGCCTGCCCCTGAGCAGTTAAACTTTGACCCTGTATTCCCTCCAGGGGGTCCAGGGAGTAAGACTGCTTGTCCGATTGGCGATTTTTTACCCAAAAGAATCAGACGCTGACAGGATCTGGAAGAGCGTATTGATCCGGCTGCTAGACGTAAATCTGCCGCCGCTAGTTCAACCACATCCTTACCCCTCTTGCTCACCGCTGTTCCAATTCCAAAGCTTACCTTCAGGTTTGCCCCACCACAGTCTCTTCCTAGCCTCAAAGCCGTGCGAGTCGATCCGCCAGTCCGACACGCCCTATGGGGCTTTCACAACCTGGAGCTGCTGTCTCTCGCGGTGCCGAACCTCGAGGGCAGAGCAGTCAAGAATTTCATCGTCATACGGGCCCTACAAGCACGCCTCAATCACCTCCGCGCACTGCACCTCCAGCACGGCGACCTCGACGCCGGCGAGTTCGAGCAGCTGCTTAGCATTTGCCCGTAGCTGGCGGAGCTCGGGTACCACATCCGCAAAGAAGTTCCCCCATACAAGCGGTTCACGCCGCGGCAGGCCCGAGCCGGCTTCATCGCTCCGAGTCCATGGACAGGTTGTCCCATTTCTTCAAGAGAGCGCCCAGGTCGCGGCCGTGCTTCCTCGAGTCTTCATCCTCGTCGCTGCCCGACTGCGCCTCGAGGAGCTCGTTCTGCGTGGGCACGATGAATGAGATGGACAGATCCTTGGGGTCGCACTTGTGCCGTGTGAGCCCCTCGACATAGGGCCGGGCTTCGCGGGGAATGGGCTTGTTCGTCGCGGCGGCCAGGGCCAGCACACCCTGCATGGCCAGTCGAACAAGGGGCAGGTCGCGCTCGACGACGTGCATCAGAGCACAGCCGCGGGTGAAGAGATTCTGCGCGTACGCTTCACCCAGGAGGGGCACGAGCGTTGGAGCGATGTTCCAGATGCAAATGAAAAACATGGGCGAGTACTCTCCGAAGCCCCATCGGCGCGCATATGACTCTGCGAGCTCGACGTCGGTGGTGCAAAGCTGCAGTATGACTAGCCTAACGGTATAACGATCCCGGATCCAAGCGTCTGGGTGTAAAGGCCTAATGATATGATACGCCGTGAGGTTGAAGACAGCCCTAGCATTCGCGAGTTGGGTGAGCAGTTGGACACTTGGATAAGAGAGAACCCTAAAGGGCCTGCTTACTTGAGATAAAGCGTCTGGGGCGCAGGATTGTTTTGGTACAGCAGGTGAGGTGGCACCGCTTGTTCTACTGCCGCGAGCTCTGCGAAGAAGCGCCTTCTCGCCTTCGTGTCTTCGTCATCCCCGACAGCATGTTTTGACTGTATGCTGTACGTAATGACCTTTTGCTGGAGGATGGACAGCTCGCAGGCGACATGGAGAACCGCAGGAACCAGTGGCGGTTGTGGTGATGTCGGCCCAAATGGAAGCCCAAGAACGTCTTGATTTCCGGGGCCACCCGCAGAGCCAACGTGGTCGAACACACATGGTATCGTGGGCGGAGGCGCCAGCGGCTTGAAATATGCACCAGACATGAGGCTGCTGTAAGGTTTTAGCCAGCCAGTCAACAATCAAAGAGGGCGAGAGTTGTTGTTCAGTCTCGTTCGGAACGGTCTATGCCAGCTCCAACCCTCAAGGACTTACCTTTCAATAAAGAACAGACCCCAGCATGTCTTGGACAGTGCGACACGTTTCTCGGCATTTTCCGGTTTCTGGGGATCCAGACTGAGAAAACGCTTCTCCGGTTTTAGTCTCTCCAGCACGTCGAACGCCGCGAAGCGATACATGGCCCCTGCCCGGTTCGTGCCCTGACAGCACGACACGATATACATCAGGTACAGGCCATGTGCTGTTGCGAGATTAGGCTTAACCACCTCGAAATCCATATGCTTCTTAGCCTCGGCAAAGAAGAGGGCTCCGAGGTCAGTCTTTGTCACGCGGCCGAGGTTCCTCGCCCGGTCCGAGAGTAGCTGTACACTGCAGTTAGTATTTTAGGCTTCCAGGAATGAGCAATTACGGGCAACGGACCGACCGTAGTGCGCAGATGGCGTTGACCAGGAGCGGGGTGCAGTACTGGGCGCCTAGGATTCCGCGGCGCATATCGTTGATGAACAAAGCTTGGTCGACAAAGAAATAGGGGAAACCGGCATCCCATTTGAAGAAGGCCGTGATGAGGCTTGAAACGAGACCATCGCCAGCAACCGGAGTCCAGGGAAGTGCCGGGACCTTCAGAGCGCTCTGAGCCAGGGCTTCGGCATCCAAGTCGGCGACATGGCGGTCGGCCATGCCCGAGCCGGCAGTTGAGGGAACAACGAGCAGTGTCTCGGCCTCCCGGAAGTACTGCAGGACCGACAGCGGGTTGTCGGATGCGCGAAGGCGGCGGTAGAGTTCGAAGGCCTCTTTCTCGGGCCTGAAGCGGAGGTAGGCGAGGAGGTCCTTAAAGTCGCTGTTTTCGCGCTCCAGCTGTTCAGACGTCACCTTGAGGTCGGCGTAGCGCGAGATCGCGCCCTCCCTCACGGCGTACTCGCACTGGGTGTCGCCGTTGCGTCTGACGCAGGCGCTGCAGACGGGGCGGACGCCATCGCACTGATATGTGGAGAAGGCTTGTCAGGCGTGTGCCGTGTCGGACGGGGGCTGATATAGCAACCTTCGTTTTCTTCTTCTGACAGGCGAAGCAGGCGAATTTGTTGAGCGGCCGTCTCCTGGCTTGCTTGACGGCGGCGCGCTGGGCCGACAGAGACAGGTCTGGCTGGGCCGACGAAAAGGACGACGAGGTTATGGTTGGAGACGGCAGAGAAACGGGTGTAGTGGGCTTTTTGGCGCGGGCCGATTGCGGTGGTCGAGGCTTTGTGGACGTGGGCGTGGATGTGGACGTGGGCGTGGATGTGTATGTGGGCGTGGATGTGGATGCGGGCGTGGATGTGGACGCGGGCGTGGATATGGACGCGGGCGTGGATGAAGGGGGGCCGGGCTCGGATGCGTCGGTAGGCGCAAAGCCCAGGGCTGGCTGCTGGAGCGGCGGCGTAGGCGGCGAGCTTTTTCGCATCGTCGCCCGAGTCGAAAGGCCAGCGGAGCGGGTGCAGGGAGGCGCCAATTGGACCAGCGCTCGATGCCCGTCGCGTCGGGTCGACAAGATGACACCTCGTCCACGACTTTTGCTAGGTTTTGGCTGGGGTTTGGCCAGCAGGGCGAGTTTGAAGGGACGAAAAGCCGGGGGAGTCACGGAAAGTGGGGAAAGGGCCCTGCCAAAAAGACAAACCCTCGGAGGCAGGTCCAGAATTATTGGGCGTAAAGTTGCGAGCAGGGGAAGCATGTCGTGTTTCCCCGGCAGGCACGACAAGCTCTCTCCCAAACCCGCAACGAACTGATGATTTGCGCAAGAAACTAGCTCCAGTTGGCATCGTATTTTTGGGAATTGGTCGGGCCATTCCGTAAGCTAATCGTGCTATTCTTGTCCATACCTAGGAGCCCGTTGGACTTATCGCAAGCCTTCCTAGCGCAAAGTCTAGGACACGATCGAAAGATGGAGGAAAGCTTTTCCGTTGCCAGTAATCGATCCACGTACCAGCAAATTGAAATTGGCTTGTATTAGTGTGACAGGAACTGAACCAACAGACGAACCTTGGGTACTTGTGGCCGAGCTTTTCTCAACCGAAACGAGCATGGGGTGCAGGCATGCGCCATCTGTGACCCCGCATTTTACCTGGAGACGAGGGTGATGGGATGAGCTTAGCTGCACTTAAGCCGGGCTCCCAGTAGTTAGACGCACAAATGTGTGCGCTTACGTAAGTGTGAAATTGCTTATGTAATCCTGAAAATGCAATTTTTTCGCACCCTTTTCCACTACAGCCAACCTATCGCCCACACTGCAGCCATAGCCAACACTGCAGCCCTAGCCACCTTTCCAGACGGCTGCTTCGACAGGCCTTATTCGAATCAATCAACGCGTACGCAAAGCCATTTTATATTTACGTAAATGCGCACACCGTGTGCGTCTAGTAGGAGCCCTTAATTAAGGCCGCTAGCAAGCACGTAAGCCGCCAGCAAGCACGTCCCGAGGTGTGCCAATCACTGGTGACGCCCCGAGGTGTGTCATTCACTGGTGGTGCCTAGCTGCACAGTCGGTGACGCCATATGTTTGACTCTGCTGAGACGCACGTCAGGCTACACATCCGTCTCGAAGTTCTCATGGGCCACAAAGCTGGTCAACGACGTCCCAGTCCGGAGCTGGGGGACCGAGGTACAGACGCAATCACCATGCCTGGGAACCGCCCAAGGCAGCGCTTGCAGCTGGGGCCAGGCCAGGCCCAGTATCGTCTCAATGCTGATTCCTTTGTGCCACTCGCATTGATATGGTGCTTGGAGAGGCATCGTGGCCCAGCGGCCTGTCCAGACCTTGCATTTGACAGTAAGCTTGGCAGTTTCACTGGCGTCGCTTACACATGTGCGGGGCGTGGGGCGGCGGGCCTGTGGCGGACCACAGACCCCACCCAGCGAACCAGGTCACTGGCAAGAGCCCTGAAGCCTGCTGGTCAGGGGTTCGGCAAACCGCCCAGGGCCCGCACGCCGATCCCCTTCGCAATCCCCTCCCGCCTCGTGAAACCCAGAGCCGACATTGGCACATTCCAGACCCCGCAAGGCCGCCGGCCACGGCCGATGGATTTGTCCATTGTTTCCCCAAACAGCGCCGACCGCAGTCCCTGGACGGGATTTCGCAAGCCACCAAGCGCCTTACACCCCCGTTGGTCTGATTCATGCCCCGGTTCCCAAGGGGTAGCGAGACGGCACCATCTGCGTGCTTCCGCTTGGCGAAAAGAATCCCCATGTTTTTCGTCCGATTTTCCACGGCGGCGTCGAATAACCAAACAAAATTGCACGCGAGGTAAGGTGCCATGGGAGCTGGCCCCTGGGCTCAGATCCGGCACGGGCTGCACATGCATAAGAATGAGCTCTCGGCTTCGATGCTCACTTGACATCACCTTGATAGACGGTAGTAGCACTCTTTCGCTTCCCTCCTCTTTTCTTCACTCCTTGGGCTTCAGCCTCGTTCGTTCCTTGCCATAGTAGCCATTCTGTCCTTCTCTTCGTCTCTATATCCTTCGTTACGGCCAGCCCGAACGAGTTTCCACTCCACAAAGACCATCTACGTCAAGTTCCATCACAACCCACAACAATCATGCACCTCTCGACTGTGGCACTGGCACTGGTGCTTGCCGCCAGCAAGGTATCGGCCCACACTACCATGTTCAGCGTCCAGGTCGACGGGGCAGACCAAGGAGACGGCAGGAACGTCTACATCAGGTCGCCCCCCAACAACAGCCCGGTGAAGGACCTGGCCAGCCCGGACCTCGTGTGCAACGTCAACGGCGGCAGGGCCGTCAGCTCCTTTGTCAAGGCGGCCGCCGGCGCCACCCTGACGTTTGAGTGGTTCCACGACAACCGAAACGACGACATCATCGACGGCACGCACAAGGGCCCCATCATCACCTACATCGCGCCCTTCACGGCAACCAACGGGGCGCAGTCCATCTGGACCAAGATCGCCGAGGACGGCTTTGACAGCGCCACCAAGCTGTGGGCCATCGACAAGCTCAAGTCTAACGCCGGCAAGAACAGCTTCGTCCTTCCCGCCAGCATCGCCCCTGGCCAGTACCTAGTCCGCCAGGAGATCATTGCGCTGCACGAGTCCGACGCCACGTTCAACGTCAACCCCGCCCGCGGTGCTCAGTTCTATCCCAGCTGCGTCCAGGTCGAGGTTACCGGCTCCGGCACCGTCGTCCCGAGCGACAACTTCAACTTCAACACGGGCTACACCTACTCGGACCCCGGCATTGCCTTCAACCTGTATGCTGCGTTCACCAGCTACACCATCCCCGGCCCCAAGGTCTTCTCCGGCGCCGCGGCTGTCGGCGGCTCGCCTGCTACTGCCCCCGTAGCGACCGCCACCGCTGTGTCATCCAGGGCCGTTGTGGTCCCCACCACCGCCCCGGCTGCCGTCCCGACGACGCTCTCCACCGTCACGCGCGCGGCAACTTCCAGCACCACCGCGGTTCCGGCCGTCGTCTCGCCTACCACGAGCCGAACCCCCGCCGTCATTGTCCGACCAAGCAGTACCCGCCGGACGTCTTCCAAGCCCACTCCTGTCCGCTGCGGCGGCAAATAAGTGTCTTGGAGACTGGCGGCGGCGTGCAGACTCGATGGCCGATGTGCCATTGATATTCTTCTTCTACCATGTGCTTCTTCTACCATGTGCTTCTTCTACCATGTGTTTATCTACTTCATTTGCGGGATGGGTCGCACATTCTGATCTGGCGAGCTAGATATTGTTGCCTTCTCGGGCAGAATCGCTCTTTGGCGGTTATGCTTCTCGCGTATATATTTTTTATCATTCTTACGTTGTGCAGCGTTGTATATAAACTCCAAAGCTGCTTTTGCCACCACAACTTTGCATCTTTATCATCGTGGTCCTAATTATGCGTGTGCCACACAATGACGTCTGACAGTCGGTAATTATGGAGTACGCCCTTGGTCAATGGTACTTCAGGTGACGACATGACACTAATTTCTTCTATATGAATGAATGATGCAACTCCTCTGCAACTCCTCTATGTTCCCTTCTCTCTTTATGCAAGCTTAAAATGTTGACATTTCGTCCCAGTTAAAGATGGAACTCCGACCTGTGGTCCTCAACCCACCGGTCAAACGTGGTGGATGCCCTGCCGCCGTACTTCTCCACATTCGCAGCCGCCTCCTGGTGCCCGGAATAGTTAAACGGCGTGCTAAGCATCTCGACGAACCCCTTGGCCAGGAACGCCGGGCGACCACCGGCAACTAAGTAGTCAAGTGCGTCCTGGTCGCGCAGCCCCGTCACTGCAATGTCCTTGCCGAGCGCCTTTCCAACAAGCGCCACGGCCTCCTCCTGCGAGAGCAGCCGCGGCCCGGACAGCGTGATGGCCGACGGCCCGGTGTAGGCGGCGGGCCCATGGGCCAGAACGATCCCACCGACGCGGCCAATGTCCTCGGGCGCGATGAAGTCCCACACGGCCTCGGGGTAGGGCAGGTGGATGTGGACGCCGCCGGCCTCGGTGGGCACCGTCTTCTTGAACCACGGCAGCACGTTGCGAGCGAAGAAGGTGGGGCGCAGGGCGACGAAGCCGGCGAGCCCAAACACGTCCTCGATGGCGATTTCGACCTGCGCGTGGGCGTAGGCCAGCGGCAGGCTCGGCGGGATGGCGCGCGCGGCGGGGCCCTGCGGCGCCGCGCTGATGGCGTAGCTGCTGAGGTAGACGACAAAGTCGATGCCTGCCGCCCGCAGGGCCTCGAACCCCGCCCGCTGGTGGTCTGCCGTGCCGGAGGCCATGTACAGGAAGGCGCGCGTCGCGCCCGTCTGCGCCACGGCCGCCCGCAGCGTCTCGGGGTTCGTCAGGTCCGCGTACACGCGCTCAAAGCCGGCGGCTGCCTCGTCGGCGGCGCTGAGCCCGGGGATGGGCTTCTCTGTGTCGCGCAGGGCGAGGTAGACCTTGGCGCCTTGCTCTTGTGCGGTCCGGGCTGCGAAGGGGCCGATGGTGCCCGTGGCGCCGAAGACGATGACCTTGGGAGAAGACATTGTGAATGTTTGGATGTGATGCTGGCCGGGATGGCTTCTGTGGCCGAGATGCGCTGGTCTGGTGGGATGCCGCGGGTAGAGTTGTGAGCTGATCATTAAAAGGTGTGATGTTGCTGTGAGTTGATGGAATGAGAGGCGGCAGAGTGTCGGATCATGTTGGCTTTAAGTATACATTGGGAGACAAGAGAATTTGAAATCGAAATGCCATTCCATTCTACCATTTGTCACCGTGTTGCATGCTGCCACGAAACTGGTCGCGTTGTCGTCATTTCGCCCTACACCCGTCCTAAGCCCCGGCCATCCCCTCTAACCTCCGAGAATCTCGGTGTCATCAGCCAATGAGTGCGCTTCGTGTTGTTCGGTGTTAAGCCCACCTTTCCGAAAGCGGCATAACAGCGAGCGCCGACCTTGGCCGCTATCTCCGGGAGGATTCCGGGGATAAGTCGCACGTAAAACAGGTAAGCGCACGTGAAACAAGTAAGCTAAGCAGGGGAAGCATTGGTAAAAGGGGTGTTTTAGTGATTGAAGGATCCTGCGCGTCCTAAACGGCTGGGAATCTAACCCTTGCTTATTACCCATTCAATGCGATATTTGCGACCACAGGCTAGGAAGACTAAATGTTGGGTCGCCCAGCTCCAGCAGTTGCAACATCACGATCCGTCACAGCACGCTTCGCAATTTACATCCAAAAACCACATCTTTCCCGTCTCGCGGGTTGCTCGTCCATTCGTCCCCTAGCCAAGTCTTTGTTGGGTTGAGTACTCCTCGCCCCTGCTTCTTTTGGGCATTGCTCGGCAAAATGGAGAACAATACTAAGGACGACAATACTAAGCATGAGAAGACTCGGTTCATTGTCCCTCTGCAAAGACACCCCGTGGTCCAGATTCCTGCAGAACTCATTTCCTGAACTGCTCCCACTCAACCCAACAGGACCAAACCCTCCAAGCCCTAGTCCACGGCCGAGAGACATCCAAGCAAGTCACCAACTAGCCGCCAAGACACACGCAACCAACATGGCAGACAGCCAATCCGCAGAAGATTTCTTCAGTGTCGCCGAACAGCTCCTCGACCGAGGCATTGCCGCTCTCAAAGCGCTGATCCCCATCATCTGGCTGCAGAGCAAGACGACGCCCATCCAGTTCCTCGTCGGTGGCACCGTGGTGCTGCTCGTTTCGCTACTGCTCGGCATCTCACCACCGCAGGACCCGGCCGAGCCGCCACTGATCAAGCCGCGCATCCCCGTCGTCGGGCACTTCTGGGGCCTGTTCCGGGGCCACGCGGCCTACTTCACGCGGCTATACGACCGCACGAAGCTGCCCATCGCCACGGTGACGGTGGGGCACCAGAAGCTGTACGTCATCTACGACGGCGCGCTGCAGCAGGCGGCGCTGCGGGCCAAGGACATGGACGCGCAGACGCTGATGGTCGACGCCGTCGCGCTCATCTTCGGCGTGCACCAGACCACCGTCGACACACTGCTCGGCCGCGACGGCGTGCACCCCAGCATCATGGCGCCTATGGAGCACGTCTTCAAGCTCACGCTGCAGGGCGAAAACATGAGCCGCCTCGCGCGCACCGCCCTGGGCGCCCTTGCTGACACCCTCAATAGCGTCGACAACGCCGCCGGCGGCATCCCCGTGCCCAACCTCTACCGCTGGCTGCAGACTCTCGTCAGCCAGACCACCTCCAAGGCCCTGTGGGGCGAGCACAACCCGTACCAGAATGGGAGCTTGATCAGCGCGCAGTGGTAGGTTACTGTCTTCAGTGTCTTGTCGTCTCGCCCCCCCGCCCCCCCCCCCTTCACCCCCCTCAAAATCCCCCCTCCCACCCCCCAAAAATCCCTCCCAAACCGCTTTCTCCAGCGGATAGCACAAACACTAACAAGCGCCGCCCACACAGGGAATTCGACGACAACGTCAGCCCGGTCATGATGCTCGGCATATTCCCAAGCCTGCTAGCGCGCAAAGCCCACCGAGCAAGGGTACGGATCGCCGCGGCGCTGGAGCGGTACTTTTCGGCGCGGCACGACAGCGACAGCGACAGCGGCGCGAGCGCGTTCGTGCGCGAGCGGTCGCGGCTGCTGCGCAGCTACGGCGTCGACGACGGCGAGCTGGCGCGCAACGAGACGGCCATCACGCTGGTTGCTACCAGCAACGCCGTGTCGACGCTGTTCTGGTGCCTCGCCGAGGTGTTTGCGCGCCCGGATTTGCTGCGCGATGTGCGCGCCGAGGCTGCGAGGGCTGTTATTGTTACAGAGAGTGGCAGGGATAGCCAAGAGACGGCGGGCAAGGGGCAGTGGCAGCGCGCCACGGTGCCGGCGGTCGGGCTCGAGGCGCGCGTGCCACTGCTGGCCAGCGCGTACCGCGACGCGATACGGCTGGCGAGCCAGAGCGTAGCGTCGCGGCGGGTACTGCGCGACACGGTGATCTTGGGCGGCGGCGGCGGCGGGCCCTCGTACCTGCTCAAGGCGGGCACCGACGTGTTCCTGCCGGCGAAGCAGGTGCACCGCGACCGGGCCGTGTGGGGCGACGACGCCGAGGCGTTCAACGCGCGGCGTTTTCTGTCACGCGCCCAGGGCGGCGACGCGTCCGACGACACGCTGCGCCTTCGCAAGGCCGCGTTCGTGCCCTTTGGCGGCGGCAAGCACCTGTGTCCCGGCCGCCACTTCGCCTTTGTCGAGAACCTGGCCACCATGACTGCCCTGGCGCTTGGGTTCGAGCTCGACGGGCTTGACGCGGTGCGGCTGGACATGGCCGAGTCCAAGCGCGGCGAGACGGCCAAGCCGGTGCCTGGCATGGCTGGGGGGCCTGTGGTGCTGCGCCGGCGGAAGGGCTGGGAGCATGTTGTTTGGGAGTTTTCTTGCTGAGTGGCGGGTGCAGGCAAGGCCGAGTTATTATGGAAAGCAGTTATTATGGAAAGGGAGGCATGAAAGGGACCCATGGAAGCGGACTCATGGAATACATGTGCCGTGGTCGGGACTGCCGAATTCTGATTGCTCAGCGTTCCCTGCTGGATCCACCGAGGCTAGTCAATCAGATTCCGCGCTCGGGTCACTGTTAAAGTACCATGTCTTGATAAATACAACCACATCCTCCCCTGCTTGCTTGTTCTCAACTTCCTCCTTCTTCCTTCTTCCCTCTCCTCCATTCCGGTTCCGGGCCGTAGTTCAGCCAATAGGACACTCTGCAAGTGCACACAGCCGGCGTGGTCTACATGTCACCACCCTGGTGTCACCGCACAGTCAACTAATTGAGGCAGGGCTGCAATATGGTTGCTGTATTCGTAGAATCTAAAGCTAAGGAAAGAAAAAGGAAAGAAAATTACAATGCTTGTGCGGTGCGCAAGGAAATAAGGTGGGTTGTGGATCACGTGTCAGGGCTACGCACAGACCACGTCCCAAGTTGCTGCAGCCAGTCGGCACGTGCTTCCCAGCTCCTTGTCTTGGTACCTGCCGTGGCACCTTGGCTTGTTTGTAACTGTCAGACTGCAACAGCACTTCTAGGATTGTGTGCACCAGAGTGAATTGCTCTTATTCTCGTCCTCCAGTCTTTCCACAAAAGACTCTCTCTCTTATACTTCCTTATGTGGCAATTACATGACGAAACCCAGTGGCGAAGATTACGCACCATAGATTCCAGAACCTTCTAGGCCATTCCATCTGACAGTAACAGGCTTCTTCCTCATTGCGATATCTGCTTGGCTGTACCAAGAGCAGGCGTACAGAGCTGCGCTCTTGCCGTAACCAGTCGCCGCAACGAGCAGCGTGTCAGCTTGTTCGAAGACCAATCGAGCGACCGCCTTGACCTACCTTCGCGGGCATTTTCGTGGCCAGTAATCGAGAATATCGTCGCTTTGATGAGCTCTAGATCGCCTAGAGAAGTCATTTTAAAGCTTTTAAGGCTAGTGCAAGAGCAGCAGATTGATTAAACGATCAAAAATCACACACCGAGGTTGTTAGGAAGGAGAGGATCCTCGGCATCAAATTTTTACACTTACAACTATTTTAGCTGCTTTTTTGGATGGGGGTCATCGAGTCAAATGAAAAGCGTAACTCAGTAACTTTTGAAGGTCTAGTTGTGCTAAAATCAGCAATTTACATGCAAATGCGTTCAAACCGGCTTCAGAATAATCCCCAGAATGGAGTTTAAGCTATTAAACTATGACTGGCGGTAGCGAGGACAATGCTGTAATGAAGATTTGCCGTCAATACGAGCCTAGAAGCCTTGCAGAAGCTCTCGATCGGCTGCGAGGAGAGAATCAACTACCAAATCGTATTTAAGGACGGGGTTTTCCTCGCTTAGAAAGGGGGAGCCGGAAAGATACCGAGGCGTTTATCGGCGGATCCGAGCTAATTGGAAAAAACCCCACTACAGTTTTGGAGGGGCTAAAATTGCAGTGCATTGCCCTACCAGTACCAAAAACACCTTTCCTCCTCGCCGCTACCACCACCACCGACACCGGCACCGGCGCCACCACTACCGGCAATGGCACCGGCACCGGCACAGCCGCCAACCACTGCCACCTGTCTCGGTGCCCGTGCGGGGCCATCCACCTTGCCCCCGGCCGACTCCGCTGCTATATAAGTCGGACTATAATCCTGCTTTAATCCGATATCTCGAATATGTGCTAATTAGATGTTAGGGAGGGGGTCGCCTTGCTGGGTTGGGGGAACGAGAGGATGCTGGCCGCCGATTGACTCGGGAGCGGTGGCTGCGATACCGGCGGATGGTGGTGGGCTGGGCCGGCTTAATGGCCTTTTCGTTCTCTATCGTCGCTAAGTTTGCCATTATTATATCTCTCCCCTCGCTCTCTCCCTTTAATTGCCTTCAGTCTCCCTCTAATCATTGCGTCTCTTGACTATGGTATGATGTGACAAAAGTTATATGTTGGAGCTAGACGCTCGGTCACGGCATTACGGCCATAGTCGTGGCGGTCATCCTCATCTCTGGGGACATAACGCTGGGGGGCGTGGCGCGAGCGGCGCGGGCGTGGTTTACGAATTTTAAAGTACATAAGCATTCCTAAGGAGTAATTTTACTTTTTTTTTCCTTCTCAATTTTCACTTGAACCAGCGTGATCGCATCGTACGGAGTCTGGGCTTTGGAAAAGGGTCACCCTCCCTAGGCCAAGGATAACGCCAGGTCCTAAAAGAGGTTGGATTGGACTCGCCAGCTACCTGGTTAATAAGCCAATCTTTCACGGGATAAGAAGATAACTGTCTTTAGCGCTATTAATTACAGGGGGTTTAGCTTGAACTGATCCATAGGTGAAGGGCGGCGCCGAGTAAACGAACTAGCACTTGACCCTTTATTTTTGGCCCGAGGCTCCATACGGAGCGGTCCCCGCTAAGCTACTACCTAAACCCCTATCTCTGCTATTAAAAAGAAGAGATTATTAGCTAGCCCATTCATATTTAGCTAGGGGTTATTAGTACCCGGGTATTATCACGTTAATTAGGTACTGTTGGAATCACCAGGTACCGGTACTAGAAGCAGCAGGGCGTAACTGCACGCTGAAAACTGGTTCAAGTGATAGATTCGTTGATGTCTGTGTGTATCCAGAAGACAGAGGATGGAAGTGGCTTACGGCCACTTATATAGAATCTGTGGCCCTGTGCCACCACAGCTGCCTTCGTGGATGACCCTCTGTGGCTGAATAGCGCGTCATTCCAACAGGTATGGAGTACAGAGTCCTAGGCTTCATCTAATAGATGCTTAGCCTTTCGAGCCCATTACCTACCTGAGTAGAGGAGGAATTACTAGGGATTCGCGTGGTGCTGTAACGACCCGTTAGCCTGCTATCATATACAACTTCATCGTAGAAAAAGTCGAGTTTTACTAGGGGGTCCTAGGTGCAATTCGCCCTACAGTCCGAAAGTGTGGTGGGGTTTATGGCAGCTGTTGCCCGGAGTGCCAGGCAACAGGTACCTGTTTTGCGCTTGCTGGCGTACTGGCACACCGTTATATAAGAACGTTTTTAATAATCAGTCCGAACAGACATCCTCTTCTAGTGCCCGCATATGTGCACGGCCCTCTCAGGTTCTTTCCTTTTCTCCACATACGTCGGTATCTAAGGTCCGTTTCGCCATTCTTTTTCACCCTCGAATTTTCACTTCTAAATCAGGGCACAAACTCCATTTCCAGAGCATTCATTCAGCACAATTCTTGACATCAGGTAAGCAAGCACTCTAGCTCTCATAGCTAAGTATATCTCATTCTGAAGATCTATGCTAACGCATTTACGTATTAGCAGCGCCAAAATGACCAACCAGCCTGGATCTTCTGCCCGGCCCGAGAAGGAGCCCTACTATGGCCCTAAATCGTTCTTACATGCCGATAAAGTCGAGATGCGTCGCATAAATTGGGAGTTCTGGCCCAAAGCCAGCAAGACAGATGCGGAGGCAGAAAAGGCCGTCGAGAAGGACGGAGTGGGAGCGGGTGACAAGTCGGGCGCAGCGTGCGCTATCATTGTGGTTCGGCACTTGCTTTCTCTGCTGGATCCCGAGGACCGGAAGAGGTCATGAGCGCCGAGAACCTGGCTAACAGCGGCGTTTTGTCAGGGGCGCTGTAGCTTCGTCCGGAACGATCCGTCGCCGAGGTTGAGAGACGGTGCTCGCCGGGCTGCTCGTTTGAGCAGCTGATGGAAGGCAAGCACATGCTGGACACGATCTGGGCTGATCCACGGTTCTCAATGTCCCTGCCACTTTTCCGGGATTCAGGTGTCGATCGATCGAGACTGTTGGAGATATACCTGGGTGCTAGGGCTGATCGAGGGCTCCTGCGCTGGGATGGCAAGGAGGGAGGATCACTCTCGGCATGGATGAGCAGCCGCTTCGCCGAGAACTACACGCGCGACGCAGCCACGCTCAAGACGATACCCGGCCGCCCTTGGATTGTGCGAATGCGGCTTTCCAACACCAGCAAGCTGCGTTTGTATCAGGACCTGGCCCGCTTCAAGGTGCCAAGATATCAGGTCGCCGAGGACGCTGTGGAGAAAAGCCCGCAGTATGTAAAGCGGGGCTACTACTACAGCTGTGTCGCTGTCGTCAAGCTTCGTGACCGAGACACGGCGGCCGACACCTTGCGGCTGTACTCGAAAAAATGCACTCGCTTGATCTTTGATTTTACCTTCCCTTGGTCCGAAGAGTGGCTCGTCGAAGACGGTGGCGAGTACATGCTTTACTTTTTCCGGTCCAGCGCCTAAGATACGGAGGCATGTTTGCGATATGGGGTCAAGTCGACGCCGGATGCAAGCTTGGGGGGCCTTGGGAGTGTGCACCACATGGGCTGGCAAAACTGGCATGGCAAAGGGGGGCAGCCGGGCGAGATGGAGTGGTGATGGAGGCCAAGAGAACGGGGCCTGTTTGTACCCCAAGTAAACTGGGCCACGGGCTTTAATTGTTGTATTCCACGCCCACTTTTCCTTCTTGATCAGCCTAACACATGAGGTAGTTGGGCTACTCCTTAGTCTTGGTAGTTTTTTTTTTTTTTTTTTTTTTTAAAAAACCCCCCCCCCCCCCCCCCCCCCCCCTTTTTTTTTTCTACGATTGCTGCTATTACCCTGATTTATCAGAACTGGGAGCAGTATCCTGGGTGTTTCTTTTGAATTTGCTCAGTAATAATTAAATATGATTGTCTAGCTATCGACTGTAGGACGGGCGAGTACGTTTGGCTCACGAACGACATAATTCAAGAGTTGATGGCTGACTGAAGTCGTGTGCGTAGGTCCCGCGGGCCAAAAGGGAATATCAAAATGACTTGTATTGATCGTGCTTCCAAGATGCGGTTCAGTTGAGATGTAATAATTGCAAAACTAGATGTATCACTCTGAATGTAATGATAGATCGAACGCGAGTGCGGACTCTAGGCCAAAACCCTCAATCCTCAATCCTCAATCCTCAGGCATACCGGCAGGCCTATGCGCGCGCAACGAATTCGAAGCTATCGCCAATCAACCTTTTCCACATCATACTTCCTAGCCTGGCGTTCGAGTGCTCTCGAATGCGGGGCGTTTACGCCTTTCTGACTGCGCAGAGCCCTGACCTTGATTTCCTGATTTCTTTTCACCAACCTGACACAATGCCTGCAGTCATTTCTCGGCCCTCGCCCGAGCCATCCACGCCTGTGCAGAGAGGTCATTTGGATCACTCTCCTCAGCAGATTGCCCTGTCCATTCGATCTCGCCCGCTTCAAAGTAGTCCTTTCGATCCTTCTAGTCAAGAGACCCCGACCCGCACACGCACAACTGAGGCTCAGGGAACTGCATCCTACATTTGCTTGGTACCGTTTAGGGCAACCGACGTACAGGACAATGTCTGACGCAGAATACACTGGCTTCGCTCTCAAGCGTTATTTCTAGCGTCACACCCGTCTGCTGCTTTTGGGATTTTCTGGCCATTGTGCTCAAGTGGTGACTCAGCTGAGGAAGCATTTTTGGTTGCGTGTTACGTGACTTTTGAAGACTGGTGGCTGTTGCTTTTCTCCCAAGGGGAGTCTTCACTGTTTCTTCACTATTTTGAGTTCCCATTTTTTGTTACGCGTAACCGGGGACACAATAGATATCTGGTCAGCGTTGAATGGTGAGATGGTAATGATCAGCCTATTATGTGGGGGTTATGTGGTGATTGTGAGATTGTTCGTGTGGTGATGAACCTTTCACGTTTTCCCGTACAAAAAATTTAGCTTTGCTCCTATTGTCTTCCGGAGTGATGGCCACAGTGTGACTCTTGAGTACAACAGCAAATTATTCTCCGGGCCATTGGAAGAGGGGTCCATAGAAAAAGTAAATGCGCAACGTCCCTATTGTTCCGAACGCTTCTTCAAAATTGTAGAGTCCCGTAGCCAGAGAGCAGTGCTATAAAACCCCGAGCTCTACCTTCTAAACTTCAAACTTATGCAACGGAAATATCACGACCTCCAAGTCTCACCTAACAATATCGACATAGGAGCGAATGTAATTTAGGAGCGAATGTAGTCGTCCTCAAATCCTGGCAGCGAACCGCGCGCGCTAATCATACATACAGCCTAACCTCACAATCACACAAGAAGAATCAGGATGGCAAACCAGCTGGCACATATCAAATGGGTGACCGTGGTCGGAGATACTACGCCCCTTGGCAAGGCAGTGGTGGAAGCCCTCATTCCGCGTAAGTTCAACCAACAGGTGCCGTGTGAAACAAGGAATGCTAACATGTTTTCAGACCCTGGATATGTGCTGAGAGTGCTGCGGCCGGTCTCGTCGGAGGAGCCTGTGGCCCAACCTTACATAGTGGTGGACAGGGTGCCAGATGACTGGGACTCGGAGATGACGATGGACGCTCTTTCGGCGTCCCATGCTGTCGTCAACTGCTTGGATGTCACCTGGGAAAACCGATGGAAGCACCATCGGGTGGCCGAGGCTGCCTTCCGCGGCGAGGTGAGCCGGTACATCCCGGCCACCTTTGGCTCAGTCGACTGCCGCAACCAGCAAGCCCGCCGTGCCCTCAAGCTGTACGAAGAGAAGTACAAGCTGCTCAAATACGTCAAGGACAAGGCCCTGGGGCCCGATAACATCATCGAGCACCCAGACGGCAGCCTCACCCGGCCTTTTTCGTGGACCAGCATTGTGACTGGTCTGTTTCTAGACCGCGGCATCAAGGACCGCTCGCTCAGCATCGACCCGGCATTGCGCAGAATCGGCATCTTCGACGGCGGCTACACCTACTGTTCGTACTCTACCGTCTGCCTCGCCGCCGCGGCCGTCCTGCGTGTCCTGGACAACCCGGACAAGACAAAGAACAAGGTGGTGCACGTGCAGAGCTTCTGCGTGTCCCAGGACGAGCTCAAGGCGTCACTTGAACGTGTCACGCATGAACAATGGACTCCCGTCAAAATGGGTCCGCTAGTATACACGCCTTTCCTTGTGAATCTAGCGCAGAATGATCATTTCGGGGCGACCCAAATACTGAACCATGTAGTGGGCGTGGCCGAGGGCGAATATGCTACGGAAAGCGGCCTCGATATGAGCGAACTCGGCATGCCGATGCAAATGGAGCCCCTTGATTATGTCGTTAGAAAGGCTCTTGAACTTGAGGGAAACTAAGGAGGTTGAGTAGGTGCTTTCACATGTTTATTATGTGGTTTGGTGAGCACTCTCGAGGGTGAGGTGGGCGGATATCCCTATTAAGTGCAGGGTGGTTAGCATAGGTCAAACTGCTTCAGCATGATATATTAATACCGAGGCAGGTCCCTCAAATGCACCGAGGGCTTAGGTATAGAAATAGCAACCCAATTTTTGACTTGCAAGTTTTGGATTTCTAGGAGTGACCGCTGTGTTGGTCCTTCCAATGTCAATCTAGTACCGATCGTTGTACTACCGGAACAACCGTCAAGGTGACAAACACCTGCCAACTCCCGATCAGGGTGAGCACCCGGAAGATACCAAGTCGGGCCCGATTCTGCTGGTATTTTGCTGCAGTTTCCGGCAAAGGCCTATTGCTCGATCCCTGCATGTTTCTTTCCGCTGCTAAGTACCTCAAAGTGAGTGAGCTGTTTATGATGCAACCTAGCCGGCTTGGGGTAGATGCACGGGTGGGTAGATGCACGGGTGGGTAGATGCACGGGTGGGTAGATGCAAGGGTAGGTAGTTAAGCCCGGGCAGCCCGCTCCAAAGGTCTCTTGCCCATAAAATCCAGATAAAGAATGAACTTATTAGCGCTAACATGACCGTAACCCACCCGGAGTATCGAGAGGCCAGGGGTTTCCTAGGCTGAAATCCCGCCTTCAGCCCCTTCTGTGCAGGTCAAAGGCGTGGGCAGCCAATGGCTATTGTAAACCCTTTCTCCACTTTGTCCTGCCGCTTCCCACGAGCACACTGCTCTGGTACTGTCACACCCGCAGTTCCAATCTCCCAAATAATTCCCCCCGCACCATGAGCAGCAATCTTGATCTTCAGCTGCCCGACCGAAGGTGGTATTTTCATCAACAGCCAACACAGCTCGCCCTCCACGAGATCACACTTCTCTACCCCTACCTGTGATCAGCAGAAGTACCTCCAAGCACCATCTGCGAGGCATCTCTTGATCTTGCCGCATCCTTTCCCAATCCTCCGACCGTTGGTTCCTTGCTGCCCTCTGTAAACGTTTTCCTGGCACCTGCCTGGGCCCCGGAGAATCGGAAAACGATGCGGCTGCCAAAAAGTCCCGGCGAACAGCAGAAGTCGAGACGGGGTTCTCCTCTGGAAGATCACTGATGCCCTCGCTAGTTGGAACCAAGCGTTGGGTGAATGATGGTGATGGCTTTGTCGCTCGCTGTCTTTGAGCTTTTCTGTTTGCCTCCTCTATGGTAAGAGACTATAGCAGAAATCCCCCTTCCCTAACTCTACTGACATTCGTTATTAGGTTTCTCTAGCCAAACAGAAGACAATGTTCCTATTAGCTTCCTCACACGGGCAGGCATAGCAGGAAATACTTTGACACAAGGGAGCCCCATTCCCCCTTTTCGTTCCCGACAGGCAAAGCGTCTCCTCCGATACCCCCCTGCAAACTTCCATTTCCCAGTCTGCCTCTATCAAGCTGTTGAATTCACCATATGGAATCTTCTAGTGGATGATAAATACTAGATTATTCAGCTGATGTGAGCCAAAATTGCCACACAGCTCGCCACCACTCATATGTATAAAACCTGCACCTCTGGCATAGCCTGAGGGGAGGAGAGGAGAAATAGAACACAACACTTCATATTTTTTTCGGTCTGAATGTAAAATCCAACACAAGCTGCAACTCGCGAGAATTCTGAACACAACAGCCCCCTTGCAATCCAGAAGAGCTTATCGACATGCCTACAGAAACCCTGAACAGCCTCTACAGCACCCTCGACATCTACCGCCGCTCCCGCGGACAACTGCAGCGCTCGGAGGCGTTAGAGAACACTAGAAGTCTTGGAATACACGGTGGAATCACAGCTACATCTACGGCAGACGGTGTATGCCCAGAAGTTTCTCGGCCCTCCATGACAACAGAGGGCACAACTGCAGTGGAACAATATGGCCGCTTGCTTTCTACGTTCAGCATGACACAGATGCTGAACTTGAAGATCCCGACGCAATTATTCTACTCGATCGGCACCGGCTCTGTCAGTTTCTCTCGCTGATCTGAGCTCCCGAACGAGAAAGCCCTGCCCTTGGCCATTCTTCTTTGACCATCCCTGTCTTGCCAAATATCCTTGGGCGTCCAGAAACACGAAGAGAAATGACCTTTGACAGCAATTCTCTTGCCTGCCAGCAAACCAGAGTCAGCAAAGCAAAGCGGAGCTCAGGGTTTAGGTTGTGGTGGTACACACGTCGGGCGATAGCTCTCTCGCAGCTATCTAGTTCGCTCGACACCCTCAAGATAAGGTAACAACTTCTCGTCTCCTTTTACGGGGCTGCTCGTTTACTGTCTCGCCATTTGTCAGCATTTCCCAGAGCCCAAGGGAGGGTTTCCGGTCCTTGGCGAGATTCGCTTGTCTTCACGCCTCATGCGGAGCGACATGACAGAGGGAGAACGGTTGCAAGGTTGCAGCACATCTACTCGGTTGGTAATTCCACCCCTCTTCACCCTTCATCTCAAATGGTTGACTAGTCCCCCTTGTTCTCCTTGGTCGGGCTCGACTCGACATCCCCGTTCTCCTCTCAGCATGCTACCTCATTTGGAAGCCGTCCACGTACACAGGCCGGGCGCCACGAAGCAGAAGACAGTCAACCTAGCAGGCAAAGTCGGTCTTTGCATCAACGTCCAAGGGGCACATCTAGCCTTTCGCTCCAATCTTAGACACTGGGTGTCAATAAACAGATTGGTTTTACTGGACATGTTCGAAGTCACTCAAGTCACCCGCACCATCGACTTAGCAAGCACAGATGGTACCGCCCCTGAAAAGGCCTTCATCCACGACCACGCATACAACGGACGGAACCTCTCGGGCTGGAGCATCCAGGAAAGCGTTTGAGATTGACCACTACGGCTAAGAGAGAGCAAGATAGCCGCCACGGCCGGAGGCATCGTTAATACATGGCAGCTGTGTCGGGCTACAGCTGCCCAGAGGACAAAACCCAACACGTTGCCTGTCACTCTTGGGAACAGAATTTATATCGCTGACCCCCCGCAACTGCAGCAGGCAACAGCGACGACTACTCTATTGTGGCTGGAACAAGAGAGCCAAACGCAGCCGCGGCCCTTCCAGAAAGGATATTATTAAGCTGCACTAGACAAATCTCTCAGCTGTTCTCTGTCAATGAAAAGGCACTACAAAACATGAACGCTAGCTCGGGCAGCGTCCAGCCGCGGCGGAACCAGCGGCTGCGCACCACATCCTAGCCACCACATCATCCAGCGCGCCGTACGTGGCGCCGCCGATGTTGGGCAGGTGGACGAAGCAGGCTAGCGAGCCATAAATTTCGGAAAAGGGGTGGAGAGAGATGAACGAAAGGAAAAAACAAAAAAAAACAAGAAAAGAGCACTACCATGTTGACCGAATTCATGCCGCAGCGCAGCAGCGCCGGTGTCAAGTGCAGAGTAGGTCGCCAAGTGCAGGGTAGGTCGCCAAGTGCAGGGTAGGTCGCCAAGTGCAGGGTAGGCCGCTAAGTGCAGGGTAGGTCGCCAAGTGTAGGGTAACATCTTTTTGTGCACAGCCAGCCGTCGCCCAGCCGTAATCAATACTATGGGCAACGGCTGGCTGTGCACTAGGATTGGACTGTTGGCCTGGACCACGGCCAGTTGGCCATCTGGGCTCTCCGGAGCGCGGCCCTGCAAAGAGAACAGGAACGGGAAACGGAAAAGTTTGGGTAATGGTGTTGGCTATGGCGGAGAGGCAGAGATGCGGGACATTGTTGTTTTGGTGAACAAGGCCAATTCCATTGGGGTGGCCGCCCTAGGTAGCCCAATAGGACCGTTGCGTGATCGAGTTTACGCTTCGCCCTCGGTGCGAAACTGGGCAACAACGCCGAAGCCACTGCGTACCGGGCAAAGAAAAAGACAACGGGTGGCATAGTAGAGTTTTTTTCTCCGTCTTCTTTGTTCTTGTTCTTGTTTTCCTTTTATACTCTTTTTTTTAGTTATTTATTTATTGTGTTTATTTATTGCATCTCCTTCCTGTATCTCTCTTCTCAATTGCTTTTCCCTATTCTTGTTTTCCGTTTGTTCTTGTTCGTGGTACTCAAACTACGTAGGGATCCTACAGGTCGAAGGGTTGGTAGATCTACCGGGGGTAATCTTGTGTCTCCTCCATCCCTCTCTCTGCGGAACTAAGGTAGGTTCTGCGTGCGACCGGGGTTTTTGTGTGTGTGTGTGAGAGGTCCGCGCGCCGCACGTGCCTACTTGCACGTGCGTACTCGCGCGATCTCTGCTTCCTCCCTGCTAGTGTGCGGTCACCAGTATCGCTATTCCAACAGTTCTTATATTACTTTGGGTTTTGCAGGAATCACTGATCAATCAGGGTTACGCGGCCCAATCAGGGTTATGCGGCTTAATCAAGCATGAGAGTGCATGGGGTATCAGGTCAGCGCACGGGTCACACCCGCTCAACACGAGATGCAACACGTGACCGTGAGGCACCCTGATTGAGCGTTCGTGTCCTGAAAGAACGGTATAGAATAGGTTGTCCTCTCTAAAAACTACAGGCCGAAGACCACCAGCTATGAAGCGCGATTCCAGGTGTGGGGTAAACCCTAGCCCTGAGGATAATCCTGTGGTGGGCTTTCAGTCCCAGTAGTTCGTGATCCTCTAGATAGACATAGAAGAATACGATCAACACCACCACCCCACCCTTCCGTAGCGGTTATGTCGCCTGGATTTGAGCCACCCTGAGCCACATTTCAAGCCACAGTCGGCGAGCTCTGAAAGCCCTGTACGGTGAAATTCAAAATAAACCCTGTATGGCTGAACTTCGAATATAGCCCTGTATGGCTGAATTTCGAATACCCCCTGTACGGCTAAACGGTGTTTTCGTTCATCCTTTTCTTAAAGTATAAGAAGGCCTTCATTCATGTATCCCTAGACCGGATTTAGGCAGACAATTCAATGCGCTGTCAACTTCGGTCGCGTGCAACAGGTTACTATAGTGACTAGCACGGATGACCTTGTCATTCCAACAGGCTTGTTTCTCTTTTATTAGTCTGTTTTGTTTTGCAGCACCTGACGGAGCACAAAGACTGTCAATGGAGAGGTCTCGTTGTTGACGACCCCATAACAAAAAGGAGAGAACCAACGTAGTCACTGGAGGAAGAGGCTGCACTCGTTCGCATTCTGTCTGAGGCCATCGTTGACAATTCAAACTTTATCGATATGCCACGCAAGGAGCAGGGCTGAAGGCTAGTGCAGGCGGTACACAAGATGGCATGCTGAGGTGTTTGTCGGTGCTGTTTCTGTTGATGTTGTTGTGAATAAAACTTTGGTTCTCCAAGGAGTTATTATGGTTGAGAGTTTAGCGTCAAGTTGATGTCTGCTGTCAGCTTTGTCGATCTTTTCCTTCTCTCGAAGTGCAATTTCAAGATCTAAGTACAACGAAGCTCGCCGTCCCTCTCTTATTGTTGACAACGTAATTGCCTCTGATAAGGCATCGCAGTTTTTAAAAGTGAACTTTGGGGCTTTTGGACAAGGCAACACCCGCTTTCCCCAATCCGGCAACAAAGTCCCGATAAGCACCAACTGTCTCGGCACACACAGGCACAGCGATGAGGGGAAACAAGTCTCAACTCCACAACTACCTATCAATTTGCGATAAGACAACCGTAAACTCACCAAAATCCTCCATCAAAAACGTGGACAGCCCCGGCCACCTAAGCGTAAACTCTGGTCGTCGGTCATCTCAGAGACGCCTCGATGACAGCCAGTTCCGCTCTGCGTCGACATAAAGATTCGCCATGGCGGCCCTCAATATCCTGGGATATGTCGCGCACCACTACGCTCTCGCAATCGTCGGCATCATAGCGTTGGCCATTTCGCCACTTCTAATACGCCTGCGGTGGCCAGCACTGGCCCTCCAGACGGCAGCAGCAACACTCCCCGGCAAGCAAAGCAGGCAGCAGCAGGAGCAGCGTGAGTGGGGCAAGTGGACTCCGTCCGACTTCAAGATGCCCACGCCCGAGCCGTATCCAGACTGGTCTATCGAGACGACCAAGCCGCTGCCGTACCGGCCGTTCCGCTACGGGCCCAAATACCACGTCACCATGGGCCTGCGCACGGCGCGGCACGCCGAATGGATCGAGCTCGACAACCACTACCCGCGCTACCACGCCGACAAGGCCCGCCGCATCCTCGAGCGCGGCCCCCAGTGCTGCCGCACCACCCCCGAAGCCTACCCCGCCGCCGTCGAGCTGCTCGAGGACCTCGCCGCCTACCTCCCCGCGCGGTACCCGTCGCTCTACCGCCGGGCCGGCCCCGACGCCCCGCTCGAAAATCTCTGGTCGGGCGAGAAGTTCGACATGTCCGCCCGCCCACTCCCCGAGGACCCCATGCAGATGTGCGCGCGGCTGGTGCAGGACGACCTGGCACTCATGATCGAGCGCGCCGACGGGCAGTACTACCTGCTGGCGGGCGCCATCTTGCTGCCGGGGTTCTGGCGGCTGGGCGACAAGTTCGGCATGGCGCTGCCCGAGATCCACACGTCGGGCGACGTGCCGCAGTTCCGCGAGAAGCTCGAGCGCGGCATGACCAACTTCTTCCGCCGCGTGCGCCCCGATGAGATGGTCGCGCGCAACAACTACTTCCTGCAGGTCGACGACGACCTGGCGTGGAGCTGGAGCATCGGCGACGAGGATTCTGCGCACGTCAGTTGGTCCACGGCCGAGAAGAACCGCGCGATCGCCCACCACTTCTTCCGCTCCGAGCGCCAGACGCTGCGCCGCCTGCCGCGCACCGGCGCCGTGGTGTTTACTATCCGCACCTACTTCCATCCTGTGACCGAGATTGCGCAGGAGGAGTATGTGCCCGGCCGCCTAGCGAGTGCCGTGCGCAGCTGGGGCGATGATGTCAGTAGGTACAAGGGCAAGGAGCGGTACGGCGACGTGTTGCTTGAGTACCTGGACAAGAAGCACGCAGAGCAGGTGGAGCGCGGGCTGGACATGAGCCGCGAGGACAAGGCCCGGGCATATCCGTACTGACGAGACACGTCCCTTTTCTCTTTTCATTTCCGAGTCCGATCAGGACATGAGCCGCGAGGACGAGGCCCGGGCATATCCGTACTGACGAGACATGTCCCTCTTCTCTTCTTTTTCATTTCCGAGTCCGACCAGGGACACACGGGGCGCGTGGTGTTTTGACGGTGGAATTTATCATCTATAACCTGTGACATTTGTTTTCCCGCCAATTACAGCATATGTGATGTATTGATGTATGCATTGATGTATAGGTCTCCTGGCTTCCTTGTAAACGGCCAACTCTCTCTCTTCTGCTGGTTATTCTCCTGGTTATAGCGTCTCCGGGTGACTTTCAATCGGGTGGCTCGCAAGCCAGCTAACGGCCCACGCCGAGTCCTGGTCCCACGGGGCCGTCATGGCCGCCGCCATGTCCTGCATGACGCTCTGGCTCCATCCTCTGGTGAACCAGTAGCCCCGCCCCGAGATGTGCAGCACGACGCAGTAGTACGACAGCAGGGCCAGGGCCATCTGGTTCTTCTGCCGGAGCAACGTGATGAACTCGTCGCCGGCAGCGATGATCCACTCGGCGATGATGCGGTACTCGGGGCTCTTCAGCGTGGCGCACGTGGTGGCGATGACGCGGTTGAGGTGGTTGCCGGCAGCTTCGACGACGTCCCTTCCCCGCGTTGTCTGCACCTGGCTGGCAAAATGGATGGCTTCGTTGTCGTCACCACCGATGCTGTTGTGGCCGCCGGCCTGGCGAACCCGGGAGAGAAAATCTTCGATCTGGGTCATCAGCTGCTGGAGCTCGACGGTCAAGCCGTTGCCTTCCTCCTGGTGGGAGAACATCCTGCCGAGCGGACCGCTGCGGAGCAAGTCTCCGGACGCTTCCAGAACGCACGTGATGCCGCGCAGCAGACGGAAGACGTCGACTAGGTCGTCTATCTTGGGGCCGGCGCCGTCGGGGGTGTTCTCGTCGGGCCGCGAGGCGGCAAAGCCGCTGACAAAGAACAGCCCCGACGAGGCAAACAAGGCGTGACAGTTGTCGGGCGTGATGTCGGTCAGCGCGACGCGGATGCCCTGGATGGCCAGGCTCTGGTGATGCGAGGCCTGCAGCGCACGCTTAGCTCGCTGCGCCGGGTGCAGGAAGGCCAGGTGGAGGGCCGACGTGGCGAGGATCTGGTGCAGCAGGAACACGTTCTGGAAGCTCTGCTTCGGGATGTCGACCTGCCACAGGTCGCTCAGCTTGTGGACGCCGTGCTGGGACAGCGTCTTCCAGGTTGTGGCGGTGAAGTGGTGCAGCAGCTCGAGGTCCTCGAGCCAGCTTGCTGTCCCCCGTTCCGCCCTGTCGGTGGAGAACTTGGCAAAGTAGGGAAATGGGTCCGGAGAGGATGTTATGGGCGTGTCTGCTGGCTCAAACGAGAGAGGGGAAGCAGCGGGTAGAGGAGTTGGCGTGTCGATCAAGGCCGGGGGGGTAGATGCCTCAGCTGACGACGGGCGGCGTGGCTGGATGAGCCGTGGTCTCTCGACTATCCACGCGACAGGGCTATGTGATGAAACTGCCTTGGGGAAGCTGTTAATAAGCGTGATAAGTAAGAAGTAGAGGCAAGTTCCTGGACCCACTGGCGATGTTTCTCGTGATAGCGAGGACGAAGTCTGTGCCGAAGTGCCAGAGCTTGGCACCCCGAGACTGCACACAACTCCGTGACGCACGCAAGCCCTGCAGGGGCGGTTTTCATCGCACTAAAATCACAGCACCGGTCAGAGGTTGCTTGTGTGGCTGTTGGCTTGGCTGCACGCAGGTGGCTTTCGTGACATTCGGTACCTTGACGCGTCGCTTCTTACACCTCAGACAGCCTGCACGGGATTTCCTGTAGCCCAGGCGTGGAGGAGCCATTGAGACCCCCACTGGAACCTGCAAACGGGACGGGTACCGCTCCCAGACTCAGGCTAGCCTCCACTGTTTCAAGGTTGTGCACCGGTTGGTGACTTCCCAGGATGCACTTGGCCCAGTAAATTCGGTTTGGGGGTACCTACTTGCACCAACACGGACGGGATTTGTGTTTTCACATTCCGGGTTGCGAACGAAAAGTCAGAAAAAGGAGCGACAAAACGGTGTCTCACATTGTCAATATCCACCCCACCCTCCCGCATCATCCGGAGGCTTGCCTTCACTTCTTGACGAATTAGGTGTTAATACGCTCTTCGCAGGTGGGGGCCGCTACTGTGAGATCCGGCGCAGCCAATGAAAGAATGATCCGAATACGAGGTGTGTACGCGTACACATACCCTAACCCTGTTTCCCGATCTGTGACCGAAGTATGGACCCCAACTCTGACTAGGGACGCTGGTCACACGTGCTCGAACTTGAACATCAAATCTTTCGAATGGCTCGGTATCTAGGTAAACATGTGGTATTGAAGCAGCAGCAATCGTCAGCAGCAATTGTGATAGCCCCGAGCGCCGAGACTGCCGGTAGTGGCGGGGAATTATTGAATCCATTGCTGATTTGAGCGAGCAGTCTTTTTTCTCCTTGTCACGACCAAAGGCCATGATCAAAGTGAAAAAAAAAAATGTTTTTAGTCCCAGTGTGTGTCACCTTTAGTGCAGAGGTTATGCTAGTATGATGCCCGAAGGCAGGGGAAAAAAGAAGAAAGGTGAAAGAGAGCGAGGGAGCGGTTGGCTTTTTATACAGAATTGTAGTTGGTCCGTGCACGGCTGTAAATTTTGGTGTGGATCGTATGTGGGGCGCCTGTGGGGCGCCTGTGGGTCCTTTCACTTGTAGGTCCAGGCCTCAATGAACTGAAGGCCCAAGGGAGCGCATTTCTTCTGGCGCCCAATTTAATTTGGTATCTTTTGCAAACAACTTCCACCGTATATCTAGCCGGCGTGGAAGCAATTCCGAAGATGGTCGTCGACACGCTGCCTTTGCTGCTTGCGGCAGCGGCAGCCATCCTTGTCGTTACTCTTCTTCGGAATGTCGCACAGCACGATCCGCTTTCCAATATCCCTTTTATTGGCATGAGCATGACAGTGAGGAGAAGAAGAGACAGGCCCTTCTCCTCAACGCTTGCGATCTCTATCTCGGGGGATGCAGAAAGGTAAGCAATTCCTATCTCTCGCCAAATACTAAGCAATTAAAACACACGCTATTAAACACACGCTAATGACGGAACCACACACAGTTCAAGAATGGCATCTATAGGATCGGGGCGTCCAACGGTACGTTTCTTATCTAATACCTGCAACCTCAGCAGTATCTCTTAATCACCAGGGTCAACCGTTGTCGTTCTATCGCCCAAGTTCTACCCGAGTTGAACAAGCTGCCAGACGACGTCCTCAGCCTTGCCGTTGCTGTCGAGGTAAGATCGACCCGCCCGACGATAGCGATTTTTTTTATGAGCGAGAGCGTGAAAGGGAAACTAAATGGTGGCCGACTTTGACAGGTGGTACATTCCCGCTACACCAAGATCAAGCTGGGAAATCCGGCCATTCTACACCATCTCCAGCATGCCGCCGTGGAAGAGGTTGTTTGCGGCCAGTCGGCTGCCCGAGGTCAAGAAGCTAAACGAGAGGCTCGAGCAGGCCCACGCGCTCCTACGTTCAGTCATCATGGCTCGCTAGCAACTCGCCGACGCTGGAGGCAGAGCGCCTTGTGACATATTGTAGTGGCTGATAAAGAGCCAAGTCGAGCGGAGGTCCGCAGAGTGCTGTCCAGACATGGCGACGTCCTCTGCCCTAGAGCGCTGCAGTGCACGAGAAGGCTAGACAGCTTCGTTACCGAGACGATGCGCGTCGGCCCGCACTCAATAAACACGTTTCAGCGCGAAGTGACGCGGCCGTTCCGCCCGTCAACCGGCCAGGAGATGCCCGCGGGAGTTGTGATCGAGGTGCCTGCCCACGCTGTCGCTCACGACCCGGAAATCTTCCCCGATCCGGACCGCTTCGACGGCCTGCGATTCTACAGAAGCCGAGCGTGTCCGCAAAGCGCAACCTGTCAGGGAGGGCCGTCATTTTGTGCCCGACTACCAGCACCATTTCGACTCCTGCAAGGAGACGTTTTTGACGTTTGGATACGGCCACCACGCGTTCCCCGGCCGCTCCTTGGCCTCCAAGAATGTCAAGGCGATTGTTGCCAAAGTACTGATCCTGTGCGAGACCAAGTTGGTTGACGGCGTGACGGAGCAATACCCGAACCTAACGTTCGGCCCAATGGTTAGTTTGTTCAGCTCATTCTCTTAGAAACCAAACGCTAACTTAGTACACTATAGTCTTTCCCTAGTCCGACGAAAGAGTTACTGTTCAAGAAGATCAACCAGTGTCGAAATTACTTGTTGGTGAGTTCTGTTTTTAAATTCGGGCCCAGAATGAATTACACATGACTTTGACTAAAAACATCTATCTAATCTCGGCCTCGTTTGTGTTTTTGAGGCATGATTTCGTGACTGCACTAAATAATAGTGTTGCGGGACTGTGAACAGCTGTACTTTGCTGGACCGTGAACAGCTGTAGTTTGCTCGCTCAAGCCAACCCCTCTCTGTGATTGGTTCGCCTGCCCCGGCAGTCCAGCCTCTCGGGCAGAATCCAACCACTTCAACCTCCCATATCCATAAACCTTCGCCTGACATGGCTGGGGGGGGAGGAGCGCTAGTCGTTGCTCTAGTGATTCCGAGTAGGCGGTTGAAACTTTGTTGGTGATAGCGCCAGCCACAACATTGACGGTCTTCACAAGATCACGCCGGTACTTAACCAGCGACAAGTCGGCGCCACTTTGGCCTCGACGGTGGCTGGCGGTTGCTCGCGCTACTAACCTCCATATGTCAGAAAATTTGCGCGCATATCCCGCCACCGAAGACAGAGCCAACCTCGTGGCTGGCACCGCGTGACTGAGCTTCCAACCACTAAAAGAAAACAACGAGGCTCGGATCGTGGGCTGGATCATCGCCGCCAACCTCCCGCAATAGCGATGCCTTCAAATTTTCTTGCAAGAAGTCTGGAGATTTAAAATGCCCTCGTGCTATCGGTCAATGCCACGAAAGAACTCACCTCTGAGCCTCGACTCGATACATCGATCGCCCTTTCAAGCCAGCTTCTAATCAGCCATGTCGTCTCACGCTGACCCACAACCCCTGTCTGGGGACAGCCTTCTCGGCATTGGCATAACCGCTGCCCTACTTCTCTTCATTATCCTGCCCATATTCGACAGCAAGACTGGCATCGAACTGCAGGAAAGAAACATTTCATGCAACTCCACAGCCATCCTCCAATCCGCCCAGAGAGCAGCAGCCACGATCTCCAACGCTTGCGCCCTCCTTTGGAACTTGCTTCATCAGATCACGATGCTCACAGCCTCTCTCGTCACTAGCGTATGCCACATCGCTGTGCTCGGGACGCGATATTACAGCAACATGCTTGAGACAGACCACAATGATCCCTCCGAGACAACACAGGCCTCGACAAAGGACAGCATTCTGGGCAGCAGCGGCGGCGCCATCTCGCACGTGCTCTGTGTTGTCGTGGCTACGGGACTGGCGCCACCGTTGCGCGGCTGCGAGACGCGGCTGTTCATCACCCTCCGCCGCCAGCTGCTCGAGTTCTACGGCCCGCGGCCGTCGCTAGCTGCGCCGGTGGCGAGGGAGGCAAAGCCCGTTGCCGATGCTCAGAGTGGTCGTGGGGACAATGCACTTGCTGTGGCGGCACCTGAGCCTTCTGAGCAGACGAGCAACGAAATGACGGAGACAGCTACGCCGAGCGTCAACAAGCTAACCCGCACCCGCGGAACCAGCCGAAACATGCGGGCCGGGGGCAGGACCGACGACACGCGAATGGCAACAATATCTGCGAGGAAATCCTCTCTGGGCGTTGCAGCATCTCCCACCGCCATGTGCGGCGGGCGGGTCATTCTGCCTGACCCGAAGCGGAGACCGGCTGCGCCTGGCCGTGGCAGGAGGAGGAGCAACCGGATCAAGCTGCCGGGATTCGATCTCGACTCGAGGATTTACGAGTCGTTCCCGCCTCTGGAGCAGGAGCAGGAGCAGGAGGAGGATGTACAGGAGGTTTAGAAGTTCGCTGTGGAAAGTTTTGACTTGCTTTTGGCGTGGACTTCCTTTGGCTTTAGCTTTGATGTGTTATGATCACACAGGTTTATGAATATCAATGATTGTTAATGATTATTATGGGAAATTCAATTTGGGGACTATGGACTTGTGGGTTGCCGAACGGAATAGATATCGTGTGTGTTCATTCAAATCTAGGCCCGAGCTATCTGTTAATTACTGCTTTTTGGCGTCAATCCAAACCATTTCTAGCTAACAAATGAAGATCTATCTCTAAAATTTGCACTCTTTCTAACAAAAAGTGAATCACCGCCTCCTGTGATTGCGATATCATGTGTATCCTTCTCTCCAGCACTTGTCCTAGACTTGGTGTGACTGAACCATGGATTTTCCCCGTCAATCCTTGTCCTGTTGTGAGAATGACTCACTTGGAGGCTTGTTACGCACATCCCTCAGCTCAGACGTTGCTGTAGTTAGCGGACTACCACTACACCAGCAGACAAAACAGACCGCTGTTGCTTGGCACTCTGGGCAACAGCAGCTATATGGTCGCAAGCCCCGCTACACCCGGCCTGTTCCGGCCAGATGGTGAATTTCTCCCCTCGCCACTTGCCCTTTTGTGGGTGTTTTTGTCCTCGTGGCTTGTTCTCTAGCGACCAAGCCGAGAAGAGCCACCATTACCGATTGCCTCATTGCCAATGTCCTTCATCTTAAAGCTTGTACTGTTCCGAGTCTCCTTCTCTTTTGCCCTTCACGCCATGTTTCTGTGCCTCCACGTCCGCGCCCTGATCTTCGGGCTCCGACCGACCTGCGTCTCTTGGTCGGCGACGGGACAGCCCAAGGATGCTTCTCCACGCACCACGCTCCTCTCTCCACGCGCCACGCTCCTCTCTCCACGCACCACGCACCTCTCTCCACGCACCACGCTCCTCCTCTACTCCCCTTGATAGCTTTCTTGAGAATAGTCCCGACGGAAGGTGGTGGGCCATCTGGAGACTTGCCAAGAGGGTTGTTGTTGTGATGCTTTACTCTCCAAGCCTTAAGTGGCGCCCTTATCTAGGCCCTTTGGTCAAGACCAGTGAGTATAGCCAGGGCAATGACGTACGTCAAGCCTGACACAACTCCCAGCACACGCCAAAACTGCTGCTGGTTGCGGACGCGTCTGCGTCGTCGAACGAGTGCGTGCCGTAAAGGTCTGCTCGGCCATGATATTGCACTTGTCAGAAATTGCCCCTATTTGGTGGTGGGTGTTCTTGCTATCACTTACCGCAACGAAGGCTGGTGGCAGATAGAGTAGGGCGAAAACTGTGAAGGCGAGAAGGTGCTGGTCGATGTGGGTCCCTTTTACAGCCTCCCTGATCTATAGGCAGGAGCTGGAGAAGCCAAAAGCTCACGCCACTGGCCAAACCTCCGGCAAATGGGCAAAACCGATAGCTGGCTGGAACGGATTTTCTAAATGTGTAGTCGTACGTGATAAAATTGCAATCATCTTTATTGTATCAGGAAAATGGCGGAGCGATGCCTCCGTGCTGTATTTCTCTTGGATAAGGGACTTTGGCCACTCGTTTTCGATTAGACGCCAAGCGCCATCATCGTTCGAATTTTTTGAAGTCTTGGTGGTCGAATTGGATCTTTGGCTTCGCAAAGATTTCGGGGGACTGTATCTTTGCCAACTTGAAGCGCTCTCGAGCCGTCTCGAGGGAGTCTAGCGTGACAAGTACACTGGACCAGAACTTGTTGCTTTCCTTATTGCCAATGACACCGCCAAAGAGATCTGAGTGTCTTCCAGCGTCCCGGGCTTGTTCGTGCCGAGCCCGCAATCCCTCTCCGGACGCTTAGTCCCGGGGGAACAGGTTGTTAGTGTCCTAAGCAGGAAATGGATTATGAATGTGAAACTGGGACCTACCGTCCTAACCGCTAGGGGCCTTTCCGCCGCGAGACAGAGAGCTATCGTCTCTAAGGATGAGGTGACTCTGCGATACAGGGAGTCGTCGTCGTCGTCGTCATCTTGAGAGCGCATGGGCTTGTCGACGTGGTAAACGCGTAAGGTATTACGGACGAGGGATAGGGAACTGTTGTCCTGAGCAGGCGAGGGATTTCTAACATGGAATAGGGAGTTATTATCCTTTGCGATTACGGAATTTTCATCCCGGGGGGCATGGAGCTATTGTCCTGCGTTGGCAAGGGCCACTCCTCTCGCGAGGACAAGGACCTGGACCTTGTTCTGCTGGCTCTGATGCTGGTTGTTATGGTGGCGCGCCTTTTGGCGCCAGCAGGGTGATGGGAGTGATTTGGCGCTGGACAGTTCGCTCGAGGAGAGAAACTAGCCTTGCCTGCTGGTCGACCAAACGCCTAATCTCGTCCACCAGCCTTCGTGGTGTCATCTCTGAATGGCGGTGCCGACGCTGTGTGGTCGATAGCAGGTGACGGGCCCATCGAAACAAAACCTTGAATGAAATGATTCGAGGTTTGGGAAGATTCGCGCCAACGGAGGTGAGTGGGTGAGTGTCAAAGTCGTTGGGTCCAATGCCGCAAAATGCTGCAAAGGACAGAAGGACTGGGGAGGGATTTCCACGCCTTTGGGGAGGGATTTTCACGCCTTGGGGAAACTTCAAAAGAGGGGCTTCCACCGGCAAGTCCAAGTTCCATACCTTACAGCACACCTGAGCTGCAGTGTGCAGGTCAGCCGGCGGATTCGGAGTAGTAGGTGATTTGCAGCTGATAAACTTGATAAGGGAACCGAGGGGTCAAGTTAAGGCAGTTCCTTGGTGGAACCGAACCATGTTAGGAAATCAACCCCCAGTTATTTCTCGCAAGAGCACTTACCGCGGACCTATCAGGATATGAGAGTCCCCATAGTACTTACTACTGTACGCTCACTGCACGCTACGCTCACTGCACGCTCCCTTTTCATGTATAATATGGGCCCCATCCGATCCATCTTTAAATTATATAGAAAACGGCAAAAGTCTTCCAACTACTTCCACCAGCCCCTCGACGCAGCGACACATTTTCATGTCAAAGATGAAGGGTACTCAAGACCCTGGACGGGATCAGTCTGTTGGAATTTGTCAAGCAGAAGGGCCTCGAAGGTTCTAGATAGAGACTTCGCCACCCACTTCGCCACCACAATAGTAGTATAAGAAGGGGCTTCTGGCACTGCCAGAAAGCTAGAGAGAAGAACACACATCTACAATCCATCACTTGAACCACCAGCTTTCGGCGTACAGTTACGCCCTGTTGATTCCAGTACCGGTACCCTGGTGAATCCAACACAGTCCTTACAGGCACTGCGAGTAAAGTGACGAGGCCTGGGTCAGGTCCGACCTCCAACACACAAACCCAAAACCCCACGAGAATGCCCCGTCACTCATCTCTTCATTTGAGCCCTGTTGATCCGACTCCTAGGCCGAAGGCGGCGGCGCACTGCGGATCTCGTCGACCACCGACTTGACCACGGCATCCAGGTCCTCCTGCTCAATGCCGAGCGCGGCATAATCGACCACCTTGTCATTGTAGTCTCCGCCGTAACCAGCGCGGGCCACAGTGGCATACAGCAGCCTGGAGTCGAAGGGCTCCTTGGCCGCCTCGGCGACAACCTCCTCGGCGCTGCGCTCTTCAACGACCCAGCCGCTCTCGGATTCGCCCGTCGCCTTCAACACGCTGGCGAGGAGATCCCGCTGGCTGACGTGGAACGAGCTTGCGTGCAGCCACGCGTTCCTGTACTTGGCGAGCTCGGCGTCGGGCAGCGCGAGCACGGCGGCCAGCGTGCGGCCGACCTTGGGATAGGTTGTCGTGTTGAGCTTGGTGTTGCCGCCGTCGTACAGCGTCGCCTTCCTGGCCGCAATGTCGATGCCGAAGGCCGGGGCACCCCGGCGCAGGCTGAACTCGGTCCACGGGTTGTTGACCACGCCGATCCAGCCGGCGACGCCCAGCTCCTCGATCTGCTTGCGGAATGCCGCCTTGCCGGCGAAGATGGGGTTGAGGAGCTCGAGCGGGTCTGTCACCACGGTCTGGCTCCCGTACTCGGTCGGCACGACCCAAGGCACTCCGGCGGCGGCAGCCGCCGTGATCAAGTGCCCCTGCACGGCCTTCATGGCCATGAAGCCGATGGCGAGCACGAGCACGTCCTGTCCCTTGAGCAAGGCCGTGACGGCTGCGACGTCGTCGTACGCTGCGCGATGGATGGCGGCAACACCCGGGGGAATGCTCGATGTGTCGGATTCCAGGCGCGTGACGACCGACACCGTGTGGCCGGCCTCGAGCGCGCCCTTGAGGATCCAGCTCCCTATTCCACCGCCGGTGGCGCCGACGACGGTGATCTTGCGGAGTTGCTGCGGCATGGTTCTGGGTGTGGATGGATGGATGGATCTTGGCTTGTGGGTGGATGATTTGAATTGGATGAATATGGTAGATAATATCTTTTCTTCTGTCTCTTCTCTCTCGGGACAGAGTGATACTCAGTACTTATACAAAACCCCCAGGGCTCCCTTTTCCCATTATTCATCGTTGACGAGGCCGGTTTTAGCTCGGGAGCCAAGACCACCGACCCCCGACGAGCCCCCCTTCTCTCGTCGTCGTTCTAAATTTGTCAGCGCCCTTCGACCGCGCACGGCGGAGAAGACGCCCGGGTACCAGAACAGGTCCGTCGACCGACATATCGGTACGGCCATATCATTAGTGACCCAATAACATCAAAAACTCGGGGCCGAGAGCTGGACGCTATCGAGTGGTTACCAACACTGATGTTAAATTGGTTCCGGGGCTGCGCCATTCTGCGTTTTAGTTTCTCAAACCTTCTGCCCAATTATGTACACGAAATATGGAGCGTCCCACCACGGACGGTATTTACATCGCTAGGCTACCTCGCCATGCCATTTCAAACTCAGTCGTCACAGGCCATGCCATTTTGAACTCAGTCGTCATAGGCCATGCCGTTTTGAACTCAGTCGTCACAGGCACTGCGAGTACCAAGCGTTGGAGAACTTGCACGTCCAAGGGCTCTCGCAGACCGTTGGCCCCGTCCAGCCGTTGCCGCCGCACTGGCCCCAGTGAGCTGCGAGCGCAGTGGTCGGGGGCGCAGAGCTGGTCGGCTTCGAACTGCTCGAAGAGGAGGAAGACGTGACGGGAGCCGGGGTGGTGGTGCTGGTGCTGGTAGTGACGACCGAAGTGATGAGGGTGGTGGCCGGGGGAGGCGTGGTGGTGGCCTTGGCGGCGAGGACGGACGAGATGGACGTCCAGGCGGCCTTCTTGTTGAAGTTCTTGTCGTAGATGAGGGCGTCGCCTTGGCCGCTGAACGTCTCGGGGATCCAGCTGTACTTGTCGGTAAAACTCCACACCGTCACGCCGACGCAGCCGGCCACGTCGAGGCACGACCCAACTACGCTGGCAAAGTCGTTGCCCTGCGTGACCTGCGCCGCCGACGAGGCCGGCAGGCTCGAGTGCCGGATGTCGAGCTCGGTGTAGGCGACCTCGACGCCGAGCGCCGTGAAGCGCTTAAGCACCGTGGCGAGGCTCGACCGCGACGGCGTGCTGCCCACGATGAGATGGCCCTGGAAGCCGACGCCGTCGATGGGCGCGCCGGCGCTCTGCACGATCTGCACCAGCTCGACGGCGCGGTTCGTCTTGGCGCCGTTGTACTCTAGGTTGTAGTCGTTATAGTACCTAGCGCGCGTCTAGGGTCAGCCTCAATGCTCGGCTGCCGCGGAGTGAAAGGGAAGAGGGGCAGGACTCACAGCTTGGTGTTGGGGTCGACCTTCTTGGCGGCGCTGAACGAGATGGGGAGAAAGTCGGTGCCAAACGTCCGGTAGAAGATGCTGTCGCGCCAGCTTCCGTCATCGGCAACAGCCTCGTTTGCAACGTCCCAAGCATAGCACTGTCCGAGGTAGTGGCCCATGACATTCGCCATGTGCGTCTCGATGACCGACGTCAGGGTTGCTCGTGTCCAAGAGCCCCCGGACACTATTAAGCCAAGCTGTCAACACCCATGCAGAGTTGCGGACTTCCGCTCAGCTGTGCCGCCGTTTTCACTCACCCCAGTTGGGAAGTTGGCTGTACCACACCATGGTGTGGCACCTGAGTCCCTGGCCAGTGCTCTTGGCCACGTTCGCCGTGATGTCGCCCTGCGTGTAGGTGAAGGTGCCGCGCGAGGCTTCGGTGGCGTCCCACTTCTGCCCGTTCTCGGGAACGAGCTGGCCGAACTCGCTCTTGTTCTTGAGGATGGCCGCGTAGGCCGCGTCGCTGTTTATGGCGCCTTCGCGGAGGGCCGTGCCGAAGTACTTGAGCCCGGCGCGGACGGCAAGGTCGTTCAGCTGCGCCGAGACGGCCGCCGGTGCGAGCAGCGCTGCTAGGAGGGCGTTGGCGTGCATCGTGGGCGAAAGGCGTGTGGCTAGCGACGGGAAGGCTTGGGATCGTTAAGAGAAAGCTTGCTGGCGTCGACCAGAACGCGCATCTCCGGGGCGTGGACCGAGAGTATATATAAATTCATCGTGCGGATGGATACCTGAGAGCATGTGATTAGCGAAATACGAAAAACGGGAACCGCCGGGGGAATCTTAGTCTGTGATCTCGCTTGTATCGCCAGGGCTGCAGTGGCGAGCTTGGCTGTGATCCCAGTTCCTGGTTGAGATCCAGCTCTTCTAGCAGACCATTCCCCATCCAGTAGCTTCAGCGAGCATCAAGCCGAGGGCTGCCATCGGGCAGCGCGCCGTTAACGCGTCGGTGTGGGTAGTAGCGAGCCCGAGGCGGTCCAAGCCTGGCGTAGCACGACCCGGTTTTCCTCGGAGGGTGCTCCGTTGCATCGCAAATAGGGAAGTTGATGCTTGAGTGGAGTCCAAGGGAACCGGGGAACTGGCGCTGAAAATTTCTTGGCCCCTGTATTTGGCGGCCCGCGAAGTCGAGTGGGCCCCCTAGAGACATTGACGAGCCTTCCCTAATTTCGAAAACTGGGGAAGCAGTGGCTTCCCACACGTGCAATTTAGCCTGAATTCCGTGGGCGAGCTGCATACTGCACCATACCCCAGCCTTGGCGCCGGAGGCGTTTTGCCAAGTCCCGCAGACAAAAACAGGACACTTCCCGAGGAAAGGGGCCTGGGTCTTTTCGCGCTAGGATGTTGATGGCGGACGGCCTCTGGCAATGTTCCGGTTGACCGCCGCGACGGAGATGGCATCCGGTAGGTTGGTGGGATAGAGCTGGGGCTACATCGATCATCCAAGATCTTCTCCTAGCGAGTGCAACTCTCTGTGAGCTACCTCATGACACATGCGCAACTGGTTCTGCTCCTTGTGTCGTAGAACCAGCTGCTTAGTCTGAAACCCTGATGGCCAGGAGTCTGGAAGACGATCTCAGTCAAAGACAATGCATCAAGACGCAATCAAAGAATCAAGGAATCGGAGAAGAATATCATTAATCATTCACGAATTACTACTAGGTGCGTATGCATCCTAAGCTTTTGTCCTCACTTTTCCTGCTTTTGTCTTGCTTTTCCTGCTTTTGTCTTGCTTTTGTCCCCAATTCATTGTCAAGCTTAGAGCTGGCTTAGCTTTTCGTGGTGCGGACTCACGAGCTTGGAGATGTCGCGAAGCTTGCTGCGGCTACGGCGCCTTGGAGCGACCAACCGTGGCGGCACTCCCTCGAGAGAGTTGGCCACAACGGCAAGGGCACGAGCGGCTGCCTTTGCATTGATGGTAAGCGCCTCCCAGTTGATGTTGTCCAGGTCATCGCATGCCTGATGGTAGCACGGGTCCCAAGGGGCATCGGCACCCGTGAAGAGAGCTGCAACGGGAATCCCGAGGTTTACAAACCCAGCGTAGTCGGAGCGGCCGTCGAAATCCCTAAGCAACAAAAGTCAGCGAGCATCACCAGGGGCCCTGAGGGATTAGCATACGAAAACTCCACCGTCTTGCCCTTGGACACGAGGTAATCTTGGAGGAGCTTGGGACCAATCCCGCTGTTGTTGTAGCTCGAGATCTCATACTTGGGAAAAGGCGAGCCAATCATGTCGTAGTTGAAGTAGTACTTGATCTTGTCCGCTTCGGCCGGTGACAGCTTCGCGGTATAATAAGATGAGCCAATCAAGCCGTTCTCCTCGGCTCCCCACCAACCAAACCGGATCTTGTGTGGGAAGCCCTTATACTTCTTGACCGAGCCGGCAATCTCCAGGATGGCCGCCGTTCCACTGCCGTCGTCGTTTATTCCAGGGCCTGCCTGCACGCTGTCCAGATGCGCACCCACCATGACGACCTTGTTTGGATCGCCTGCCTTGGTCTCGGAGATGATATTCCACGACTCTCTTTGTTCGGAAATAGCGTCAACGAGCAGGTTGACAACAACATTCTCGTTAGCCTTCAGCCGGTCTATCCATGCGTTTCCGACCTCTAGCGGGATGATTCCGACCGGGACCAGCTGCCCGATGTTCTCAGCACCCAAGGTAGGGGTGGGGTAGTCCGTTCCAGGCAACTGGTTATACAGTATGACACCTTCAAAACATCAGCGCATGGTCAAAGAAAGTGCGCTTTCCAGGTGGAAAGGGGACACAAGCTAGAAGAGGGGAGAAAAGAAAAAGGGAGAAAAGAAAAAGGGAGAAAAGAAAAAGGGAGAAAAGAAAAGGGAGAAACCGACCCAGAGCGCCATGAGCTTTGGCAAACTTTAGCTTGTCGGCTACGGCACAGGTGCCGCGCTTGACCAGGGCGAGTTTCCCCGTTGCGTCAATGCCGTCCCACTGTGACTCGATGCACATGGATCCGGTGGCGTCGTTAACCGGTGTGTTGATCAGACTGGCCGTAATGCCGCCGGGCAACGGAGTGGCGGGGTTGTACTGGGGGCTAACAACAAATACGTTCTCGCCCTCCGGGCCCGTGACAGAGATGTTAAGCGTCTGGTCAAAGGTCCAGGTGAACGGCTGCACGAATGTGTCGAGTTCCCGGGCGAAACGCTTCTGCAAACGCTCTAGGACAAAGTCGAGGGATGCCTTGTAGCCGGGAGTTCCAAAGGCTCGGGTGCCGCCATTGTCGCGGGCGATCTTGTTCAGGTTCCATAGCACTCGCTGCAGTCTATGAAGAACGACCGGGTGTGTCAGCGATGTGCAAAGCCTCTTCTGTCCTTGCTGGGTAGTTGGGGGGTGGCGCTTACTCGACTGTGTTGATGTCGGCTTCGGCCTTGTCTGCCGTCAGAAGCTCTGCAGCAACCCTCGCTGATGCGAGCAGCAAGACGGACGCTGCCACCATGGGGAACTTCATCTTGGCCGTCTTGGATGGATTTGATGCTCGTCGGGTGGTCAATTGCCTGCGAACACGGCGTACCAGCAGACACAGAGCCCGCTCCAAGAAAACAAGCCACAGTTCGATATCTGGAGGCAGTGTGCAGCACAGTTCGATATCTGGAAGCAGTGTGCAGGTCCCTCGTAATGCTTGGGGAAGGGGGTCTCTTGTAGGAACAGCTCGATTATGGTGGCCAAGAGGGCAAGGAGATGGCAGTTAAGGACCTGCCTTGTTTGAACGAGGGGATGCACCACAGCCGAAGCTCAACGCAGGAAACGGACGGCGCAGCTGCAGGACACTGACGAGTGATGGTCGATGTCGGGCTCGATAAACGACCCAGGCACCGTCCAGCAGCATGGAGAAAGGTCGAGAAGAGCGCGGGGCATGCATCGTCGCACAAATAAAAGTCCAATCGTGGCCATTGGCGACGGCAGGAACGATGCCAAGCGGCCAAGACGTTGTGTTGAGGGTCTTGGCAGCGACGATGAGCGAGTTACTGATTCGCCGACACAACCTCTATCGTTGCCCCAAAGGGCAGGTGCAAGCTTTCATGGCCCGAACCGCCACCTCGTTCGCTCGGTCTCTCCTTCCTCGGTCGGCCGAGATCCGTCGTAAGCTGCGGGTGCCTGCACGTCGGAGTAGGCCAGGAAGGTGTGATGCGGGACTCGAAGACCGGGCGGTGTCGATCTACATGTCGAGCTGTCGGTACCTGCCGACAAAGGGTAGTGGGCGTACCTGCCGACAAAGGGTACTGGGCGAAGGATTGATGACGAAAATGCCGGCAAGCGTATTGGATAACTCTGGTTTGTAGCAAAAGTCTCGGCGGCCGTCTGTTGGTGGGACTATGGTCGGTTCTAGAATCTCAGATGACGGATAGCTGCTGCTGGTTTTCGTTGCTCATTTCGTTTGACTAGATTGGCCAAGAAACGCAAGGCACACACCAGTGATGCAGCACCCAGTCGATTACTTCATCGTGCTTCTTCCGACGCGCACGCTCGCGACCAGACACGCCGCCGTGCTCCAGAATGCCAAAGCAGATCTCCCTCAAGGCTCCAGAATGCCAAAGCAGATCCCCTCAAGGCCCCAGAATGCCAAAGCAGATCGCCCTCAAGGCCATGTGTGCTCCAGATGTGCCAGTAACTTCGCCGAAAACCCCAGTCGCCCCGTTCACGCCTCCAAGCAGAGGTTCTGCTGCTCCATCAGCTGCTGCCAGGCCGTGGATTATGATGATCAACCCTCTCCTTTGGTCAGTTCGTACCTTTCTGAGACCCAGAGCCCATCACTTGATGTAATCCGCTGTGCTTCCCAGCCTGTTGCGGGAACGGGGTCGGGAATATCTGCTTTCAAAATTGTGGCATTCGTGAGACAACAGGAGAGTAGTGAAGACGACAGCAGATTCCCAATGAAGATTAAGCTTGGTCACCTATGACGACGTGGCATCTATGCCGAGGACTGACACGCATTGGTAAGTGTTGCCCGTGTTATTTCCCCAGATGTTTGATTCTGCGCCAAGGTCAGGATGTGCTATCGTTTATCGGTTATGGGCGGATGTGCTGCCGTTTATCGGTTATGGGCGGATGTGCTGCCGTTTATCGGTTATGGGCGCGACGAGCAGGCACGGGTTGCATTGCCGCGGGTGTTTCCGATGGAGCTGCAATGCATGGCAATTAGTGAGGATATTTCAACGCGACAGAGGTTGGGGTTTGAACGTATCTTCGGTATCGTCTATTTGCAATCAGGCAATCAGGTCTTACATACGCCATCGTCGCCGTGAAGTCGGCCTCTCGTTCAATGCTTCGCCGGGTCTCAGGTGATGGACATCAGGAAATGAGTTCGCCCTGGTTCGAAATACTCCATGTCGCGTGAAGAACAGGCGGCTTTCATGCTCAATCTCGAGGCCACGCGGTCGGTGATGTAAGGCCGGGGGTGGGTTTGGCAACTTGCAGGTCTTCGACCTCTGTTGTTTTGACACCTGTCGGCCTTCGTTGTCAAATCAGACTCCCTGGTCTGGCTGGTTCCCACCTGCAAGTCCTTGTTTTGTCATCTCTTCGCAGTCGTGGCATTGGAGGTAATAGGTGCGACCTTGCAGGGGTCTGGGGGCGGAAAAATTGGGTGCCAGGAAACAGGGACTGCGAGCTGCAAGGCCAGGGTACCCGTTCTGCACTCAGACTCTGCACTATCGACACCCCCACCACTCAGGCGAATTTAAGGGTTGGCTTTGGTCAAGCTTGACACCCAGCTTGCAGGGCATTTGGCTGCTATAGCTCAGCCGAGCCTGTAAGCCTGGTAAGGGATTTTCTGGCAAACCCGCGCCCAACCAACCTCTCAGCACCACAGGTCACGCTGTGCCTGGACGAAAAAGAAAGAAACACGAAGACGAGCAGCAGTAATGGGTTTTCGGCCGAGAACCAAAATCCGGGAGCTTTTGCAGTCAGTGGTCTTTTCGACGTGACCTGGGGTAAGCTGATCTACCCGATCATTTCAGATATCAAGAAGCTTGCCCGCACTATCATCACCCCAAGAAAGCCTTCACCTCTCATGGCTTCAACATGGGTAACGTTCGCCAAGACTCGCCTCCGTCACTGTACTTCCGCCCAGTTACCTCGCCACTGATAGCGATATAGGCTCAAGTGCCGGATTTGAGTCATGATGTGCCAGGAGGGGGACGGCGAATATAGCTTTAGAGAGTATTGTGGCATGGATAAAAGTTTTGTTGTTACCTAATATGACGTGTTTCCCATCAATAAATGAGTTTACTGACTATCCAGCCATTTGATAATCGGTTGTTGGCTGTTTCCCTGACGTTGGAAGCAATGTCACCAACCTTGCCAATACTTTTTCCTGTGCTAATTTCGCTATATATACGAAAGACACACCTAGAGGACACTCCCGGGCTTAGTTAGTCCCCAGCGTTGTAACATATCCTAGATCCATAAGGGCTTCAATGGCCAGCATCACACACATTCCCCTATCGCTGGTTACATGAATGATACGTTTTTATATCTGCAACTTGGGCTCCTCGGCCGAAATTCGATACGGAAGGAGAGACGGTTAGCTGGAAAGAAAAAAAAAACTCGCTAGGGAAAAATAATACGAAGAGAGTAGTGATTTCCCCTTCTATGCCAAGACATAAAAAGGGAATTCAAGTTTGAGATTCGCGATTCGAAAATTCTAGTAAAATGTGGTTATACACGCTGCCACTTTTGAGGACCTCATAATAATGTTCCTTTAATTTATTAGAAATTATCGTGGACTCTAGGCCTTATATCCCCCTTGCCGCTAGTAAAGATAAAGATAGTAGGTGTCAACCGCACTACGAGCCATCAAGATTACACCGTAGGCGTGTTCAAATTAGCATCGCTACGGTATACCAACTTCATCAAAATTCTCCTAGACAGAGGTCTCCGGTGAAGCTTGCCTTGCCCCTCCCAGCGCTAGCATCAATTCAATCAGGCCAAATATGAAGCCTTATTTGACTGTATTTGAGGCCCAAAATGGTGTATTTATGTGTAAAAGGCTCTCTCTGATTGGGTGGGTTTTATTTGGCTTAATTGACGGAATTTGCCGCTCCACCAAAAAACGAGGAAATCGAGCCCCGAATGGCACGGGAAAAGGCCCTTGGCCTTCAGGATCCTCATTTACTCGCCCAAGGACGATTTTCGGTAGTAGGGAGGCTTGTCGAGAGGGTCGTGACATCAACGGTGGAGGCAGGCATGTTGTCGAGGACTCGGGAGCCAAGGAAGCAGGGAAATTGCTGCAGGAAGGTAGGATTCGGCAGTTTGTTTACAGCGGTTGGCGATAGTTGCATTGCAGCGGCACGGCGGCACTCGAATTCGGGGCATTCGAGGATTTTCCCGGGACCAGAAAACGCAGGGTTGGCCTTGGTCAGGGACTGAGGTGCCAGGAAAACCCGGAAAATTGGGCCAAAAAATGGCTCAACCAATGGGAAATATTTACAAATATGCAATTAACCTGACTCTCGATTTGGCCTGAATTTGACCTCTAAAACGGCTTATTTGCCTGCAAATACGGTTTTTTGGAGGTCAAATTGATTTGGCATTTATTTGGATTGGTGCTAGCGCTGGCCCCTCCTAAATATAAGCGAGTCGAGAGCAAGCGGTACTTGCTCGATATCACAGTAGGTATTAGCTGCGGGGAAGACGTAGCTACAGTGATGGCTAAATTGTGACGGCGCCAGCTTGCAGCACCTAGACGCTACGCTAAACCACCCTCTCAAAGGAACGTCAAAGTTGCAAGCTGCCAAGATTGCAACCTGAAGCACGGCCCTAGCCTAGGCTGCCATTTGGCCCCTACAGCCTTCCCCCCCACTATGGATTTCCCGCCTACGAGCCGATAGCTTAGATTTCACAGCCAATCCACCTCTCATTCCCTTGCTTACATGCTGCTCTTATAGATCACTCTATGACGGAGGGGCACAACACCTGCTACCATTACGTCAACACAATCTAAGAGGATGTTAGGACTGCAATTTAAGGGGGTTTGTGAACAAGAGGGTTGAGAGTAGTAAAGGTAACGAAGTCTAGGCAGCATTAGCACATAGCACAAATCTCCAGCTTGTAGCCAAGTCTCTTAAGCTATTTCGCCTCTTTACACCCACAGCGTGAGAGCCTGCGAGTCCCTAAGCCGTAGGTGGACCTTCTTATCCTTAAAACCCCGAACCTTAACTAACTGACCTCGACTACAAGACTCGAAGCTCTATCCTGAAAAGAAGAGGCTTATAAGCACATAATTACTATAACTGGATAGGTTAACAGAGTGACTTTATTAGCTAGCACTTAGCAGTCTCCAACAATGAAGTTATTCAACGTTATGTTAAGAGGTGCGTTTGAGATCAAAAGGTGGAGCTCTAGTCAACCGCGCACAGTATCTCGCCGGCCTACATTGCCATCAGGTCCGTACTAGACCGAAAGGTACCGTTTAGCAGTTAATTTCCCGCATTGCCGTATTTCTTCACGCAACGCCATCGTGTGCAGATAGGTAGGAAGTCTTCCACGTTGGTAACTCTCCACATCAGTACGCTTCGTGACGCAGCCGCGACGAGAAACGAGCCTCGGTAGCCGCTAGGTGATAAAACGCTCAGCTTCGTTTCTTCTTCCTCCTTCACCTTAGCAATTGCCCTCTCGTCTCCCCTCCGCACCGATTGCTGAGATAACTTGGAGTAGCAACCTATTGCTGGAACAACTTGGAGTTCCAACCCAGACTGCCAACTCGCCTCTCGTCTGGCCTCCACGCCCATTGCTGGGCAACTTGGATGCCACCCAAACTAGTGTGTAAGTTAGGGTAGCTCACACCGCCTTCGCCCTTCTTCCCCGACGTACATAACTTCCCCGGCCTCCTTGATCAGAACCTTCCCTCAACACAAAACTTCCACACATCGCAACGGTCACCAGCAAAGATCACAATCAAGCCAGCCTTGGTCATTTAGGTGAGCTCTTATAGCCTTTGCCCTCCTGCCCTCCTGCCCTCCTGCCCAATCATTCTTCACCTACACTGTCTCCCCAGCCGCCACCGACTTGCACGCATCAAGATTGCGCGGACCTCGCTATCCCCGGCACACATCCGCAGCGAAACTATTCGTTTTAATTCGGGTCATCCGGCACGGCATGTTCCTTATCTCGCATATCTTCTGCTCTTGCCACATCCACATTGCCCTCCTGCCACATCTACTAGCTTCTCACACCTGTCAAACCTGCCACATCTGCCACCCTCTCACACCTGGCGCACCTGCCGCGCCTGCCGCACCTCCAGTCACACCGCCCTCTTCAACATTACCCTCTTCAACATTACCCTTTTTTCAAATTTCACCCCCGTCACCTCGCTTCTTCATCGAAGCACCTTAATCTCGCATCACTAGAGCTAATTGCCCCACTACCACAGAGCAGCACACGTACAAGCAAAATCATCCAAGATGTCGAACATCACAAGTAACATCTTCTCTCATCGCGAGCAGGAGCTGCTTGCAAATGTCATGATCTGCATCGAGTCGTTCCCAATTGTAAGCACGCATTCCTCATTCTATTCCGCACAACTCGTCGTCAATGAGCTGTCGCACTAACCGGCCTATCTCCAGATCGACTTTACCAAGCTGGCCACCCTCCAGAGAATGACCAACGTGCGCTCGGCGAGCAACGCCTGGACGGCGGTGAAGAAGAAGATTGAGGACTACCACGGGCGTCGGGAGGACGCGGACGAGCTGTTCCATAGTCCCCCCAGGATTAAGACGGCCCTGCGCAAACGCCCTGCCAAGGTCAGCGCCAAAGACATAGAAGAGTACTCCTCGGAGTACTCGGATGACTCGGAAGACGTGAAACCCATCGCAAAGCGCAGCCGCAGCGGCTCGGCAAGAAAGTCGCGCGAATCCAAGCCGGCCCCCCCTGCGCCCAAGAAGACAGTCGTCGTAGATCTCGTGTCGTTGTCGTCCGAGGAGGACAAGAAGCCCGTCGTCAAAGTCGAGAAGCAGCCCATCCTCCACACGCCTGTTCTCGATGGGCGTATCCTCCGCGGCCCTTCCGATACGGCTATGTTTCTCGATCCGGAGGCGTACTCCCTGCCCGAGCAGAAAGGGGCCCTGCTTCCCAAGTTCGCTCACCCTCCTCGTGCCCCTGCCGTTGCTGCTACCCCGGCCCGGGCCAGCAACGACGACCTCGAGGAGCTCGACGATGACGTGATTGCTGGCCTGCATCTCATGGCCAAGACTCAGGCTCGTGCTTAGCCCTCGGCTGTTATGAGGGATGAGGCCGTTTCCAAGGGCGGGGAATCTTCCCAGTTTTTGACGGTCGGCCAGGACTTCAACCATTTGTGTGATGATCAAACAACTACGACTACACGTGATCACGATGGTGGGCCGGTTTGCAGGTTAGCGGGTTTTCGTGTTGGCTGTTTGGCGTTTTATTCGGATGGGATCGCTTTTCGGAGATACTCGAAATCTCCAAAGCCTTGTAAGGGCGTTCGTAGATTTCGGTACAAATCGATTCTTTTCCCACAATGAGATAAACACCTCCAAGGAATGATTTGCTATGACTCTAGGGGCCGAGATAATAGCACTGAGCTTGCCGGGGTCTTCTGTTGGTTGGTGTTTTCAATTGGCGGGTGTTTCTGTTGGCATTGTGGCTGTTGCCAAGTAGGCTAGGCCACTTCGGACTGACGCCCTGACAACCGTTGATGCAGAACTAATTCCACCAGCAACGGCCCTGTGATTACATGCTAGAACTCGCTTTTTTTCTTCTTCTGCGGTACATGACCTTTACCACCTTTTTTTACTACTTTATGCGTGATAGATCCTGCTTGGATGTTCACGTTGGTGGGAAGGTTCACGATCGTGGGAAGGTTCACGATCGTGGGAAGGTTCACGATCGTGGGAAGGTTCACGTTCGTGGGAAGGTTCACGTTCGTGGGAAGGTTCACGGAACCTGTGGAGGTCTAGGATTTGTTTATTCTTCATGGCCAGCTTACTCCCAACCAAATCGCGCTACTTTTCTCCATTCTTGTGCACCCTGCTTGTAAAGATCCCGAGATATGCGTGAATATAGCAGGGTGGACGGCTGGTCTCTATTCGTATGATGTGCTCTAGGCTGTCGAAACGACCCCCTGTGCGTGTTCGCTATCCTCGGATGATCGTTGGCTCATCAGTTAATCGGTGGAGATATGTGAGATATTCTAAACTCTCCTCTAACGACGTCACTCAGCCCACACCATGATATCTCGTTCAGAGACCCATTAAATCCCATTATTCCTCCTCATCGCCATATTATGCCGAAATAAGATCTTCTATTCACTTCGCAGATCTCCCCATATTGGACTACTGTGCACCGCTGCTCTCTGGTCGTTTACAGTTAATGTCCAGAAGCAGTATGCTCCGAGGTTTGCTAAGGAGTGATTATTTCACATGGCAACCGAATCTCAACCCCAGTCCACCACGGCCCCTAGGTCCCTCCGTCAAGTTCCATTCCACTCGCAGTTTTCACACGGTTAGCTGAGACTCGCATATGTCGGCATTGGAGTGTGATGTTTCGTTTCAGATACTCAGCCTATCTACATTCAGTGCTATTAGGTCTGATCCTCGGAGGAGCTGGGAAACATGGAGCAAGCTTCTCGTGCTATGGGAGCCGGAGTCTGCATATATTGCAGGGTGTCGTTGAGAAGGTATACCTGCCCTTTGTTCACCCGGTATTGGAAACTGGTCGATCCAGAGCACCACGTTTGGGATAGCTTGGGTATTGCAAAGCTGTTCCTGTTAAATCCGATGGAGTCTCGGCGGAATGGAGAGAATGGTCTTTGGGACGGAGAACGTATCCCCTTGGATAGATACCGTGATCTGAAAGACAATGGCACATCCACCAGCGTTCGAAGTGAGGGGTAAGGGAATGATATCTAAATGCTGCTGGAGGGCCAGCTTCCAGGCGGCAAGTACACTGCAGGCGGTGCATGCGAAGAACGGCTAGTGTGACGGTGGAGGTGGGGGCTGCGTGGAGCGGTATTACAAGTCATAGAACGAGGGAACAAGGTGTATTGAGGTATCCGTTTGTCCTCAACTACGCAATGTTCATGCACCATGTAGCAATGGCCAGTATCTGGCACCCAAGTACCTAATACCTAATTAAAGGGGGTTGTTGTGGTAGATACAGGGTGTCTGTGACAGTAGGTATGACTTTCCTATCCTTCACCGGGGATGAAATTGCCCAAGAACCGGGTGATCTTCCTTTTCCACCAGCCCTAGCCGGACTTTCCGTGTTGGGCTTCCCTCAAACTGCAAGCTCACATCGGCAATTACCAAACGCAGTGTCTCAGGTAAATCATGCACCGGTCCGTCCTGCCATGCCAGCCCTGATCTGATTGGACCGCTGCGGTTCCAGCTACCAACACACAGCTCACCCAGCTCAAATACTTTTCCCTCGCAAATATTTCAAAGAAAGGCTGCCTCAACAAACACCCGTTTCTGCTCTTGAACTGAGAAAATAACCAGCCCCATCATATCATCTCGGTCAATCAAAATGTGCCACAGCATCACGAGAACCCTTTGCCGCGTCTGCGAAAAGCAGATCGGCGAGCCTCAAATCGCCCAAATCCCCTGTCTGCCGCCTACAGTGCGGCCCGCGTGGTGGTCTGGCGCCGGACACATGGAACAGCACCGCGTCAGGCGTTTCAAGAAAACTACCGGCCAGTGCAGCGAGTGCACACAGGCAATAACATGAGCCGAACTGGTAAACTAGATGCTACCATCTCAACTTACATGTGTCAAGGACGTTGATTGTGGCTAACGACGTATTTCCCCCCAGGCCGGCTCCGGTAGCAGCGGTTACAATCGCGACTACCGCGATATTGCGTCAGCGAGTCTGCAGCTCCAACAAGATCTAGACATCGCGGCTCTGGCCCGGGGATCTCTTCTGGTGCGGCCGCAGCGACGGCGACGAGGTGAAGCGGGACCGGGAGATCACATCGGTCTTCATGGCCAACATAGCCTCCGACATAGCTTTGACGAAAGTCGAGTCAAGCAGTTCTTCCGCGAATACGGCCACGTCAACGACATTGATGTGCAGAGAGAAGAAGAGGCCCCACGAGAAGCTTGTCGGATCTTACTGGAAAATTGTACACGTCTTTTCCGGTATTGGCCTTCGACTGCCTGCCTGATTGCCGGCCCCATAACGGTGTTGGGCCGCCCACAGTTTGTCCAGTGGGCCGACACCATGGTGCCATATTATCCGAACCTAGCCGAGGACGGCGTTGACCGCGGAGAGCTCGCGATCGTGAGAGTGGAGGTGTTGGATTCACCATGGTACCGGTACTGGAAACGACAGGGCGTAACTATACGCCGAAAACTGGTGGTTCAAGTGATGGATTGTTCTGTATATCTTCCTCCCCCTTTCTGGCAGTGCCAGAAAGCCCCCTTTTTATACTGCTATTGTAGTAGCGAAATATGTAGCGAAGTAGGCCGCGAAGTAGGTCGCGATTTAGACTGCGAGGGAGGCCGCGAAGTAGCTGCAAATCCTCTGCCTGGCTCCTTCGAGGCCCACATTCCAACAGGAGGGTCAAGGGGATGGTGTGATACAGAATACGGAGCTGGGGAGCTACATTAAGAAAGGATGTAAATTGGAAGTGTCCTACGAAGAAAAGAGTCTGGTGATTTATACAAAAGAGAGAGCACAGGGCGGGTACCCTATACAGAGTAAATGCGAGCACGGCAGGACGGTTGTGAGCACCGGGGTATGTGGCTCAAATGCTCGGGAGCCACACTACTGCGCCTTGACAGGGGTATGTTTACCGTGTCCCAGATGGTGTGAGCTACACATTGAAATTTGTATCCTAGTACCTGGGCCGAGGGCCGTAATGCAGAGGACATGGGTGCGGCTCTCAGTACGTACATGTAAGATTTATGGCAGTGCCCTAATCAAGGTCCTCCCGGTCTCCACCAAGGCGATCACGGCAGAGCCCATTGTTCTTGTCTGGTTGCATGGGAGACACCTTGCGGGCCGGAGAGGGAGGATCTCCGAATTGGGAGGATGGGCACCGCAAGGTTGAGGCAGAAATAGAGCAAGCTCGGGTTCTTGCCGACTCAGTTCTCAAATGGCAAGCAGAAGAAATGGAGCGACGACCGGGAGTTCTAGCCGCCGAACACGAGGGATTCATGATCTATGTGGCTGGCTCGTGTATTTTATTTCTTTAGGACGTTGTGGCTGTTGGGTATTGATGTTGGTATCGGGAAGCAGTCAAATGTCAAAATTCACCAGTGGTAACAAGTGGAATGAAGTTGCTCGGAGCTTAGCCACAATCAAATTCCTCACGAACCATATTCATATTGCTTTATGACGAGGAAATTACCCTCCAGTCGCCACGCTAATACAACAAGATTACAAAGGTCATACATCTATGAACAATGTTGTTTCAGGCTCAAGACATAGTTGTGGGTGTATCAGTTCCGGTCTAGGCTGCCATCGCGGAAGATATAGGCGAGGTGGTAGTCCTGATTATGCACGTGTTGGGTAGCACGTGTTGGGTAAGGACGAAGGGTCTGAGGGTGTGGGTTGCTGTGAGATCCCGTCATGGTCGATTTAATAACCTTCCACTTCAAGAGGAGCGGCCGCAGCGTTGGTAGAGTGGCGCTGATGATGGAAACGTCGGTTTCGATGACGGTCCAGTACACAACGGGCGCCCGAGTATCTAGTAGTCGAGCGTAAGGCGAGGATTTGTGAGCATTGATGACGGTATACTTACATGTCCAGTCGAGCTCGGTGTTGGACGACTCGAGGACGGGGACGGTCAGCACGCAGCGGGCAATATCCGCACCGATAACGAAATAACCGAGAACAAAGACGGTCACAACCTGGATCTTCGTTGAGGTCGACATGCGAAGGTTCCAGATCTGTGGCCACGGCATCGTCAGGATAACGACTTGAAGAGTAGAGCGTTTGTTAGGACAAAGTCAGTGAAAGCTGCAATGCTGTGGGGAGTTGCTACTCGCCATCTGTCAGTGTATCTGAGAGGCTGCCAGCCCAAAATACCTTGGCCGAATCAATGCATCTGCCGTCAATGGGCTCTGTGACAGGGCGCCAGTTGACGCTGATGGGTATGCAAATGACTAAATGTGCGAGACATGTACATCTCCGAGTCAGTATTTGAACAATGAGCCGTCTCTGGCGGCTGTAGAGCGGCTGTAGAATGTCTTACGCAAGTTCGCGAAGAAGATGCCAACCGTACCGATCGACACGATGGCAATCATGGTCCAGGCTGCGAATTCAAATATCCGCGATACAGAAAATATCTTTTTGTAGAGGAACAAGATGCTCAACTTGGCCATACCCAGCGAGATGGCGACGACAAATTCCAAGACCCATAATGTCTATGAGGGTCCAGAGTCAGCAACGCGGGCGAGTCCAGAGACGGAGTCCAAAGAGGAGACCCGAGTGGAGGCAGCCTGGTCAAACATACCTTGGCAAATGCCTCGTATTCGCGTGGGTGCTGTATCCGGCCATTTTCACCGAGCTCTAGATGGTTGCCAACTCCGCCAAGGTAAACAGCTAAGAGCCACGATGAACATTTACATAGCATGACAATATAAAAAACGAAACTCACCCAGTAAAGAACAGACCGACACGGCGTACCCAAACACCTGTAGTTTTGTCAGGGGCATTTAGTAAACACGAACTTCAAAGGGTCAAACAGGGGGGATAATCAGGAATGCATCCGTACCAAAGACCCCATGATCAAGTAGTCGTCGGCCTGGAGCCGAAGCCTCTTGAGCGAGACGCGGGTATAGACACGGAGTCCGACAACAAGGGTAGCGATGAGCGGCATAGAAATGGACAACCCAATGACGGTTGTCTGCTCGCTGGACATGATTGCCGTTGTTTGTCCCAATTCTGCAATGCGTCCCACATTGGTTCCCCTCAGCTTCCTGTGTTTGCTGTGTGCGAAGAGAGTCGTCATTTCACGTGCGCTCTCCACAGCAACGTCATGATGATGAACGTCATGATGATGATGTCCACATGCTAGAAAGAAGAAGTCAATGCAATCGCATCGCCCCCACCCTAGCTTTCGTACTTTATGGTCATATCGTGGGAAAGTGGGCTGAGTAAATCTTATAGGATTTGAATCTTAGGGATTTGTCTATCCTGGGCTAGGCAAGCAAGGGGAGGCAATCCTTCAACTTCAAGCCCCGGCAGAAGCTAGCATCACGACCTCACTTGCTGAAGCCTCCTAGTTGACAGACCCGAGCTAGTGCAAAGTTATTCCGGGCCCGCTTTCGTGCCTAAAGATAAGGACTCAACGGCACTGTCCAGTGCTCGTGGGCTGCGGCCAGATCCATCCAAAGCGACTGCTGGCCGCAATTATGGTTCACCAACCGACAAGCGGGACTGATGTTGCAGTGAGAATAACCTGCGCTATGTCTTTTCGACACGAAGAAGACAATGACGAACACGCCGTACCACTAGCACGAAGATACCACAGGGACAAAGATACCGAGGCACAAAGATATGGCCGAACTGCAAAAGGTATCACTTTATTTGCGGCTTGATAACTAGATATAGGAAATACACGTGCGCTGCAACCAAGTAAACTGAAACCTCTGCGTGCTTAGAACGCTGCCTTTCACATGCTGTGCCCTCGTTTAAGCGCTATCGTGACTTAATTTGGGATTCTACTGCTCATCTTCATTTTCCTCGGTCTTCTTGGCAGGCACGGCGTCCTCGTCGTCATCCTCGACGTCGCGCTTGACATCTTGCTCGGCCTCGGCCTCGGTATCTGCCTCAGCCTTCTGCTCCATGTCTTGCTCTGCCTCTGGCTCGACTTTCTGCTGAGCAGCGACCTTGGCAGCCTCCTCGGCCGCCTTCTTCGCGGCTTCGTCCTTGGTAGCTTGCTGGGCGAGCTGGGCCTTCTTGACGGCGTCGCTGCTGGCAGCCAGGCGGGCCTGCTCGGCGTGGCGGCTCTCCTCGTCGATGCGCAGGCGCTCAGCCAGCTCGTGCAAGTCGCCAGCAGGCCCGTTCTTATGCGCCTCACGGCTGCGCGCCTCGTTGAACCGCCGCAGCGCCAGCACCATCTCGTGCTCGTGGATCTCGTTGGGCGGCCACGAGATCTTGCCCGCGTCCATCTCCTTGTTCCACCGCTCGTACGGCGTCAGCGGGTTCTCAGGCTCCTTGTGGTGCGAGAAGAGCCCTATCAGCCCGTGGGCGGCGTCGTGGTGCGGGTGGCCATCGGCCGCGGGCTTGGAGGTGCCAGTCATGATGGCAGAGAGCTTGTGAAGGGGTGTGGGTTTTTCTCTGCAGTGGGAGACGCCGACGGGGGAGTCTGCAGTGTTTGATTCCTCTCGGGAACACAGGTGCTCGTGCTCAGTCCGTCGGCGGTGCAATGAGCGCGGAGTGCTAATTTATCATCGACTAACCGCTGGTTGGCAGAGCCAACGCTTTCCGGCCGCATGGTGCAACGACGTCGCAGCCGGGTTGGTGAGCTGTGGCCTTGGCCAAGGACGGGCGTGAAACGGGGGCGGGCTGACGAGTGCCGGCATGGTCTCCAGAAAAGCGCCGAGTTGGGGGCGCCAAGTGCTCCGAGGACCCGGATTTTGACCCTGTGACGTGGCGGAAACGGTGTTGGTTCGTCGCGGCCGGCTCGCGTTGGCCGCATGCCTCAGTACCACAGTGGTGCCGTTGGCTCGCGGTGGGTCGGTGGTCGGTCGGTGGTCGGTCGGTGGTTGGCCGGCGGCGGCCACCGCGCCGCTGATGCTATTCTCGGATTTCGACAGTTTTCCATGAGGATCCCGCATCACACCTCATTGCACTCCAAAATACCGTTCTCGAAGAGAATCAATCAGGTGGGGGTGTTTGGGGGTGTTTGGGGGTGTTTGAGGTTGAAATATAGTCAAGAGAAACAAAGTGGAAGTGTCGAGTGCAGCCTGAGGAACTGGGGAAATGAGGTCTCTCAATGTTGCAACTTGAGGAGAATTAAAAGAGACTACGCGAATCCTGTTCAGTGAAATTTCGGTGCATTTCGGTTGCGAAGGGATTTATGGTCTGGGGTGCGGTTCAAGTTGGGGTGTGAAAAGAACGGTGTGGAATGCGTGTCCTCTAAAACTACAGGCCGAAGGACACCAGCTATGAAGCGCGATTCTGGGTGGGGTATACCCTAACCCTGAGGATAATCATGTGGTGGGGCTTTCAGGTGCGGTTCAAGTTGGGGTCCGGTTCAAGTTCGGCAGTTTTGGAGTGATAAAATTTAACATTGTGCACCGTGCAGAAATCCAATAAACACGACAAAACAAGCAAGGAAATTAATCGAGAACGTTAATTCCGTGACAAAGGCCGGAATCGGACCAGCAAACCGAATTCAAGAACACACACCACGCGACAGAGAGGACAAACAGAAACCGTGAAGATCTTCCAGCAATCCCCATGACCGCACATCCGAGACGCTCAAGACCACACATCCGAGACGCTCAAAACCACTCGCCGGCAGACAAAAAGCGCCGCCTCTCGCACAATTCCCAGCCAACTAAAGACGAACGAAATCGCACCGGATGTGCATCCACGCTCAAACGGCAATGGGGACCTAGACGAAAAAAAATGTCAGCGTGATTCTGCTCGGCGGTGCGCGCATTCCATTCCGAGCGATTCCAGCAAACGGCGACGCACACTTCGTCTTTCAGGCCACACACTCGGACCCGACCCAGTCGACGCCGTCGCGGTTGCCGTCGTCGATGCGAGGCGGGTGGCAATGACTGCCTGAACTTGGATGCGATGGCGGCAATTTGTCACCACCCTCGCCGCCCTCGATCGGCGCCTCCTCAACATCGCCCTCGTCGGCTCCCGCGCCTGCATCCTGCGTAGACCGCTGCTCCTGCTCACCGTTGCCGGGAGAAGAACCAAACGAGACCGACGGCATGGCCATCGCCATCATCGCCACGGGCGGGGACTGGGGCTGGGGCTGGGGAGGCGGAGGCGGCCGAGACGGAAGCGCGACGAACTCGACGCGCCTCTGCACGCGCCGCGCACCACTCGAAACCGAAACTTTGCTTACCTGGGCGGCGTGGCCGTTGATGCCGTTGGCGTTGCTGAAGCCGTTGATGGCGGCGAGCTTCTTTGCGCGGTCGACAGGGACCGGGCGGATGGGCGCGAGCGGCACGACGTCGTTGGGCAAGCCATTGAATCCGGCCTCAGCCTGCGGCGCCACAGCGTTGAGCAGCACTGGCACGGCAGTGCGCAGGACCGCCGGTGCGACCTTGAGCACGGCCGGCCCGATCTTCTGCACCGTCTTGAGCAGGCCGTCCAGGAAGCCCTCGGGCGCGACGGTGCTGCTGTCGCCGAGCGTCACGCTGGCCTTGAGGTCGGCCATGTCGGCCTCGAGCACCGCCTGCAGTGCGCACTCGGCGACGACGGCGCGCGTCGCCAGCAGCGCCGCGGCCTTCTCGTCCGTGATCGGGTTGCTGATGTCGGTCGTGTCGCTCTCGTCCAGCAGCGACTCGGTCAGCGGGTCCTGGCTCTTGGCGAGAATCTCGTCGAGCTTCTTGAGCCCAGCCCGCGTGCCCGTCAGCAGCACCGGCTTGGCCAGCTGCAGACCCTTGCTGAGGAACGCGCCCAGCCCGTCGAAGAAGGCCTCGCTGTCGCTCTCGGACAGCCCGCCGGCTTCGGTGCCCGACTCGCTTTTGCCGGACGTGGCGGTGTCCGACTCGCGCAGCACTTGCACGTCGCTCTCGCCGACGGCCTTGAGGAAGCTCTCGCCGTTGGCGTCGCCCGAGTCGAGCGCGGCCTCGGCGGCGCTGACGGCGACGGGCTTGCGCACGGGGCCGAACTCGGTTTCCTTGGTGAGGAGGCTCTCGGTGACGGCGACGCGGAGGCCCGCCTGCGACAGCAGGGGGACGAGCTTGGGCCCGATAGTCTCGGCCTGCGCGGTCGTGAAGCCCGACTCGGCGTACTTCTTGGCCATGCGGTCGAAGATGCCCTTGCTGGTGCGGCCGTGCTCCATGCGCAGCACCGTCTGCAGCGCCGCCTCGGCGATGACGGCGCGCTCGGCGCGTCCAGCCTCGAGCGTGATGCGCGACGCGATGCCCGTGGGACCGGCGCCGGGGCTGGCGGGGCCGTTGCCGAGGTCTGACTCGGACACGGCCTTGTCGAGCGCGCCGAGCGCGATGCTGCCGATGGCCGACACGGGCGCGCCCAGGGGTCCGAGGAGCGGCGAGGCGAACGACAGCGCCGTCTGCGCGATGGGGCTGATGACGCGCCCGATGCTCTTGAGCACGTCCAGGAAGCCCTCGGTCTCGCCGCTCTCGGTGCCGCCGCTCTCGGTGCCGCCGCTCTCGGTGCCGCCGCTCTCGGTGGATCCGCCCCCGGTGGTGCCGCCCTCGGTGCCCGACTCGGTGTTGCTGGGACGCGTGCTCTTGGTGATGTCCTTGACCAGGGGGTTCGCGGCGACGAGGGCCTTGATGAAGGTGGGGTAGTTGGGGCCGTACTGGCCGTTGATGACGCTGGCCGAGTTGAGGCTCTCTCCGCCGTAGCAGTGCGTGCCGATGACGGTCTGGCGTCCAGCGACCATGGTCTCGCCCTTGCGGATGACGGGCGCGCCCGACTGGCCCTTGAAGGTCGAGATGGGGTACTGCAGCATGTGCAGCGGGTTGGTCTTGGTCTCGAGGTCGTAGCTGACCGTCTCGCTCAGCTCGTACATCTGCGCGCCCTTCTCGTCGTTGTAGTACTTGTCGCCGGGGTAGCCGACGACGCAGAGCAGCGACCCGCGCTCCCGGATCGGCGTCTCCTGGAAGACGAAGGTGCGCAGCCCGCTCTCGCCCTTCTTGTTGGTGCTGCCCGTGAAGGGGCTGTCAACCTTGACAAAGGCCACGTCGCGCGTGCGGTCCGAGTTGAGCACCCATTCAGACGTCGTCACGACCTTGACGGCCGTGCGCGCCTGCACGATGCTGTCGGCGCCGTCGACCGACGCCCGGCCGCGGTAGCCGATGTACACCTTCATCAGCGTGACGCGGCCGAAGCCGGTGCCCTCGCCGCTGTGGTCGAACACGCAGTGGCCGGCCGTGATGAATGTGTCTGGCGAGATGAGATAGCCCGAGCCAATGCTATAGCTGCGTGTTAGCGTCTGGTGGAGTTGTTATCAGGGGCCGGCCACTTACGCCCAGCGGTTGTCGTTGGCGCCCATGCCCTCATACTTCATCATGATTTTGACAATGGCTTCCCTTGGTCAGCACACGAGCTCGTGGCGGTGGGTAGAGCGCACTCACAGCGATATTTGCCGCCATCTTGGTAGTCGCTGGGGTCGACGGGCTTGCGGTTGTCGGGCTCAAACACCGCCTCGCCGTAGTCTCCGATGGTGAAGGTGGACTCGGAATCGGCTGGTGTCAGGTCGCTTGGCTTGCCCACGGTCCAGGTTGCCCCGAACACGCCTTTTTGCTGGAGGGAGCTTTCGATGGTGGACGACATTGTGTCAGATGTGCAATGTCGCAGAGTTGAATGACACCCCCGACAAAACAATCAATACCAGCAAGCTGTGGGACGCAAAGATTTGGTGAAGCAAGAGAGGTGGCTGGTTGATTGCTGGTGGCTGGTTGATTGCTAGAGTGTTTGGAGTGAGGAGGATGGCGAATGCGGTGATGCTAGAGTGTTTGGAGTGAGGAGGATGGCGAATGCGGCGATGCTCGAGTGCAGAGAAGATGATCTGATTCGGAAGAGAAATGTCGACCCTCAACGGCGTCAAGACTGTTGATTATATACTTTTTTATGCCTCGACGGCCTCGAAGCCCTCGGCATGATGTTAGTCCTCTCCTGCCTCGAACCATCCTACTCCTTTTGCCATAGCCCCTTGCCCCTTGGATTGAACTACCACCTCGTGCTTCCCTCTCCCTCTCAACCTGGGGGCTATGGCCTCACTGTTGAGGTATGCCCCACCATGCGGTCTGTAGCACAGTTGTTCATGATGCAGAGCGTCGCCAACTGACTAGCCGCAACTAGCCTAAGCGAATTAGGCCTGGTGTAGAGGTAGCCCTATGGCCCTATGATGCAAGACGCCAATGAGAAATAGGCATGCCGGGTGGCCGGGAGCGCCGTGGGGCAGGGCTCTCGCCCAACGACGGGGACTATCCAATATCCATCTCCCGCAGCACGGGTTCAACGGCCATAGAAAACAGTCCGGGGGCTATGGAGAAGGCGTTTGGGGAATGACAAATCAGGGCTTTGGCCGTCGGGGCGACTCGCCTGCCGTCGGCGCGCGATGGTATTGGCGGCCCCGTAGCCGCAGATCGATCTCCCTAGCTTGATTACTTTGTGAGACATAAAATCTGGGGAGGCCGCCCTGGGCGTCAGCCCTAAGGCAAAGCCCAGACCAGCCCCTGCCGGCTCCAATCACGGCGCTCCAACAACTGGGTGAGGGCTTCATCGAGGATCCCCAACCGGGCACAACAGGAGCTCTGTGGCTGCCTGAGATCGGGGGCCCGGAGTTGCATCGGACCCATTGCAGGGGTCAGTAGTTCCAATCAAACGGATCCGGCCTGCAGCTGATGCGGCAAGAGTCCGAATCGAGCTCTAGCGCAGGGAAAGGGCCTTCAGCTTTCTTACTAGGGCCAAGAGAAACTGCTCGGCTGCATATGCGTATGCGGTGCTACATACGGTGTTGTGTGAATATTTGGAGGGAACCCCGTGTGCCTGGCTGTCATTTGATAGACGGCTTCCTCTGGCGTCCACCCCAAGCGCGCACATGGGCATAAGCTAACCCATTGGTAGCATGGAGATTGCAAGCCCCGGTTCCGTTTGCATGTTATCTTGCCGTCTACATGCAATGGCATGGGTCGATTGGACCTCGAAGCCTTCACTTGTGGCCGTGGTTCCACCAACGTGCCTCGAGACCGCGCTCAAGGGCCGTGTGCACCCGATAATTATTGTTCTCTTCCCAATCCCCTCTGAATAAGCGCAGCTGACGGCGCGCTATTGATTTTAGCCTGCTATTCTGAGAATACGCACCGACTGTGGCTTGCGTCGGCGTTGAAGCGCGTCAAACAATGACGCAGACGGAGCAAAGGAGCAATGACGCAGACGGAGCAAGGGAGCAATGACGCAAGGCCACTAGAGGGTTGATATACGAGGGCTGAAAGACCTGGACCTAGACGACCCAGACCATCACTACCCTCTTCTCGGAAATCTCGGCTTACCATTTTAGGGAGTGCACTATCCATCTTTGCTTAGCTTGTGACTGGCCCTACGCTTCCTGGCAGTCGTTTACAACCAGGCCAGGTCCAGCGCTTCCTGGCAGTCGTTTACAGCCAGGCCAGGTCCATGGCCCAACCTCTCTCAAATCCTATCATCAACCGCTCCGATTCCCCAAAGGATGCGAGATGCTCTAGGTTGAGGGAAATTCCAGGGCTGGGAGAGAAGAGGCCAACCGCGGCTCGGGGACATGTCGGAGTCCGAGGGAACAGACAAGTGCATGGCCTCCGGCTGTCGACGAAGCTATGATGAGCTCCTACCGAGAGACGTGATTGGAACATCAGCGAGACGTCGCATTCATTCCTGAATATCACAACGACCAAGGAAGTCGAGACCATCCTCGCCGGACAAGGCGAGGAGAGCTGAGTCCCACAACATCCGACGCATTGGCGACAAGACGAACCGTGATGACCCACAGGAAACACACTCGACAGATTCCAGACTCGCTGGCTCGTGAGACGCGCTTATCGTTTGAGGATGGATCTCGTCTTCAATATTCTGTTTGTCATTTTTCATGGATTTCAGCTCGAAGCAAACATAATCACTAGGCCACCCATCCCGCTCACGCCGATAATGAGCTACCAACGGCAATTCCTTATCACTTTGATACCTCATCTAAGGCGTGCGAGCTCATCAGGGCGCTGACCGTAGACCGATAAGAAAGGGGACGGAAAGGCGTCAAAAAGGAAACTAAGATGCATCCGTTTCTTTCTCCATTCTCTCCCACCCCCGATCAAGGCCTCATGAATGCCGGGATCAAGGCCTCATGAATGCTAGGATCAAGCCTCATGAATGTCGGCACCTGCCTAGTAGCCGTGGTAGTCAAGATTTTAATACGGCCTTCTGAGAACTTTGCCAGGCATATTGAATGGTCCAATTAGGCATCTGGACAGCACCAAATACTTTCGAGGGATCCCAGAAGACAACTAGGTGCCCATCCAGAGCTCTATCGGTCGCAAAGTACGCCACCTAACCACCTGACCAGTCGGGAAGGCGTAGCTGCGTGGTCTTTTCTCTCATCCTTGCTCTCTGCGGCCTTCGGGAGCGCCTGGGCCCAACATCAGACCCCCGCTGGCCTCGTGTGATTTTGTGAAACTTGATTCCTCTTCCTGTCTCATACCCCATTTCGTGATTCGTATCGAAGAACATTGCTGGAAAGAACAACAATCACTGTACACGATTATAAACAAAGGACTACTAAAAACAAACAATACACCGGCTAGCAGCACATGTCAGAATTCACCCAAGCGTGACCTGGATCTCTTCCGTGGCAACTGCCTCCCAGACGGCCTTGTCCACGCGGCCCACAGCAAGACGGCACGCAACGCCGTCGCCAGCAAGACCCCCTTCCTTCAAGTCCACCCACATGGCATTATAGAAGCGGTACGTCCCCGTCTTCTGCTCCCACGACGGAATCGACCACTCGTCAAAGACATCCGCCAGAGGATGGTTCAGCAGATCCCCGTCCGCCGCAGCCGGGTGGCCAAGCTCCACGACGCCCGCGGAGAGCTCCACCAAGAGACACGGCTCGGCGGGCAAGTTTCCGCGCACGTTCTGTTCGTAGTCGTTCAGCCGCAGACAGCCCGCCAGCCTGCCGTCCGGGCCCGCCAGCCCCGCAACCGCGCACCCGCTAGCAAAGGCGCGGTATGCTGTGGGGAGCATGCGCAGCCGGGCCTGGCGTGTCTTGGCGTGCAGGAAGCGCGAGCGCACGGCTCGGCCGTCGCTGAGGCCGATGGGGATCGGGTAGTTGAACTCGTGGCCGGGGAGGGTGCTGTGGGTGAAATGTGTATCGGGGCCTTCGGGGCCAGTGCTTCTCTGCCAGCCGGAGGGGAGGGGATGGGTGGGTGAATCGGCGAAGCGCTTTCGCCACTCGGCGGCTTCGACGGTGATGGGGAACCGAGCTGTGTCGAGGCTTGCGGAGTGGAACCACTGCAGGGTGGAGAGCGTGTGCCAGGCATTGTCCACTGTGTGTTGCTCTTCAGAGTCTTGTGTTGCCTGGCGCTTGATGTAGTCATGGCCACTCTGCCAGCTTTCGGAGTGAACGTTCCCGCGCCACGAGACCCACGACCAGCTGGGCAGGATGGCGTCCTCGTCAGACATGACAGCCGGCTTCCTCCGCTCGAGCGGGTGGTAGGGCTGCCAGATAAGCGCTGCGTCAAAGACCATTGCCGGCAGCCCAGCGACGAGCCCGCCGGCATATACACGGGCGAAGGCAGCGGATGCGCCCGCAAACGCGTCCAGGACGTCCTCGGCGTATGTCAGGTGTCGGGGCGTGAACAGAGCTGCGAGACGCGCGTAGCGGTGGAAATTGGGCCATGGATCGATGTCCACGCCAAGGGATGATGTCTGTGGAGCCTCGCACTGGCAGGGCTCCTCTTGTAGCACTTGCTGGGTCTCGTGTGTCGAGGTGCAGTGGCATTCCCAGTTGACTGTGTTGTTGTGGAAGATGATCTTCCGGCGGGAGAAGAGAAGCTCCTGGAATGTCCACCCGCGCGAGAACCAAATCGTCCGGAGCAGGTCCAGTGCCATGAGCTTCATCACCTCCTTATCCGTCTCGGGGCCGCGCCAGGGACTTGGCGCGATAGTTTGCGCTAGATCAGAACGATGGCGTTGTGCGAGCGACTTCGAAACTGCCTTGGCCCAGGAACTCATTGTCTTGGCGGCCGACTTTGCCAGCATGCCTGTCCATCCCGGCGGCGCCGAGCTTCGGAGCGGCCTGGAAGACAGCGGCCCCGAGGCGTCAAAGCTCTGAGCTGCGACGAGTGTGAAGTAGGACTGGGCGTAGATGGATCCCATTGCTTTGATCTGGGCGTGTTTCTCGGCATCGTCATCCTGCACGATGCACAGTCTGTCAACCCACAGATGTGTCAAGTCGAGGGCTGCAACCAAGTGCATCGCGTCGCGGATGGTCCTGGGCAGGACCACGTTATCGAGTGACCCAAGGATCAGCAGACTGTCCACGGTCGTCGTCGTCAGCGAAACAGACTCGGTCTTGCCCCAGACATAGCTGAGGGCGACGTAGCGGTGCCCCGGGCAGGCGCGCTCGATGCACTGGCGGCGCACATTGACGAGCCACGTGGGCGTTTGATGGGCGTTGACGAAATGTTGACTTTGGCAGTGGCCGTTGTGGTGCGTGTCACATGTCTCGAGCCATCTGGCGAGCGTGCCAATCTCGATGGGTCGCGACAAACTGTCGGGCATGTGCCAATCGGAGCTGAAACGGGTCGACCTCGCCTTCTCGATGTACGGCAGAAATGGCGTCAGGTGCGACGAGACGCCGTATTCAGGCATTCTGGGTGCGCCCCTCGCCAAATAATCATTTGGCGGCGGTTGTCCTCACTCCCCTGCTGTTGTGGATTGCAGTGCTCAGGTGTGCAGAAAAATAATGACAAAGTACAGTACTCTGTAAGGTAGGGCTGAGTTGGGGGAGGGGCAGGGGGTTGGGGAGGGGCATGTATCACGTGACTCATCCGACAGCCTTGGGCCATTGCTACTAAAGCAAGGACGTTCGAACCACAAGAGACAGGGGCGCATCAAAACATTCCTTTAGATAAGAACGTAGCTACATAGCATAGTGAAGCAATGATGCCTTTTGTGAGATCAGTAGGTAGTAAAGAAGGGTAAATGACTTTGAATATCAATCACTATCACTAAAATAGGTTACCTGACGGATCAGGAAGGGGTCAGCTGAACGGAGCCTCTTTTTTTCTTGTTTTTTGCCTCCGGCGGCGCCTGCGGCGAGCTGTCCTCGCTTCGCTCGAGGGAATGGGTGGCCGGCCGAGGGGTGCTAGTTATGTTTGACCAAGTTATAACCACGGCATTTCTTGTATTCGGGAGTAATCTGGTCGTTTGGCGTCTCTTTAGGTATAGGGAGGATCGGGCGGTCAGGAGGCTGGCCACCGCGCCTGGATTTGGCGCATCGGGCGGTGGGGGCGGTGGGGCTGCGGTTGAGGGACCCCGACCGCAGCCATGGCGGCGGCTCGAAAAACACGCGTTCCTAGTGATATATTAGAAGGGATTAATAGGGTCATAATCGTAAAGTATTCGGCGTGCCTGTCCATAGCTGGAAAGCGATGAATCATACGATTGACTGAGGTTGAATTGCGAAGATTGAGGAAGAAAGCCGTTTATTTGGGGGGGAGCTGGCTAGAATGTTGCAGGTACCGATTGACAGCCATTCTACCTCACGACACAGCAAAGCAGCATTTGATGGCTTAACACGTCCGAGGATTATCCGATCGACCAGTCCCCCGAGTCCATTTCGACATGGACGAGAACTGGCCAATCCCCGGGCGAGAAACTTTCAGCACCTTCACACTGTAAAGTAGAAAAGACAGCCTCTCTACGCCACCTCCGGCTCGCAAGCTCGCCTACGGTGGCTCCGTTTAGCTGAATCAATATCGGACAAAGTCTTGACTGCAGTCAAATAAATGGATATTACGACGTCTAGTGAATTGTTTTCAGCTAGTTAGGCTAGATGCTGGTGCTTTCCTACCACAAATATGTACAATACAACAGTAACACCCATCGCCTCCGCGAGGGATCGTATGCCTTTCTTCCCATCTTCTTCCTGGTTGTCCAAACTCAGCCCAAGAGCCTTCATGACCATCTGAACAGTCCTCTGTCGCAAGCCGGATCCAAGTTTCGACGCACATCTGTGAGCGCGGCGCCTCGTGCAAGCAGAAGAATCAGCGCTTGAAGCCGAGGTCTGAGCTTTTCAAATTACTCTCAATCCTGTGAAGTGGTGATCTGTATAGGTCGTTGTCTGATTCAGCTTGACGGAGCCACCGTAGGCGAGCTTGCGAGCCGGAGGTGGCGTAGAGAGGCTGTACTCTATATTACCGTGAGGGTGCTGAAAGTTTCTCGCACAGCGATTGGCCAGTTTTCGTCCGTGTCGAAATGGACTCGAGGGACTGGTCGATCGGATAAACTTCCGGCAGGTTAAGCCGTGAAATGGCGCTTTTCTGTGTCGTGGTTGTGTCAGGAAGGAGCAATTTCCTAATTAGTAGATATAACGCGTAAGCTGTATGAAGGAAAGCGCCACAGGCACTAGGGGTCCTAGAGGGCTTGCCCCCTAGAAATCCAACAATTAGACCATGAACATCGAAACATCGAATTATCATGAGAATTTGTTCTGGTATTGAGGGGCTAGAATAGCTGTAAATCCGTTGTCCCGAAGTTCAGCTAGGCAGAGTCCTTACTTCCGAAGTTTTATAACATCGCTTGGGCTGCCGACGTGGAAGACCTGGCCGCGAGGCTACTTTGTTCTGCTTGTCAAGATGGACAAGTATGACGGCCCGGCTTGCTTCCCAGCGCTCGCAACAATGCAAATAAATATGCCCGGCACCGTATTTGTATTTAATTTGCAAAGTGAGGCCATATTTGAGCTTTTCCAACATATCTTTGAGTTAACTAGTTGTTTTATTTACAAATATTTGACCGGGGTGAAAAACAATATTTCGGCCCGGGTAAACCCCGGCATAGAAAAAACCTGCCAGCCGAGACGCCGAAAGCCAGCCAAAGCCATGCCGAAGCTTCAAAACAGGCCATATCGCCGCCAATTCAACAGGCACAATAGCTTGTTGATGATATCGCTACTGAGCCGGTGTCTCTGCAGTCCAACGATCAATTTGGCCATACTGAATAGCCTCTCGCAGTCTGAAGACACGGCCGGGATCGAAAGAAGGTCAAAGGCCATTCGTGATAACCGTGGAAAGCCGTCTTTATTGTCGGTCCACCAAGCTAGAATGTCATCAACAGGCTTAGTACTTCACAGTCCACTTGTCCTCATGCCCAGGGTGCAGAATCATCGAGACCCAGTAAACCGGTGTAATTTCCAACTTCTTGATGCATTTCTTGAGCTTCGCAATTGAGCGATCAAGGCTTTGAGCCAGGAAGGCCTCACTTTCGCCAGCCAAAGGAAGCTCGGGCGCGGCGGCAGGCTCGGGGTGTAACAGGCGAATATTAACGGCGAGCCGGGGGAGTTTGGAGGACTGTCGGAAATGGAAAAGGGACTTCCGGGGGGGCTCTTCATCGTGTTGACAGGTCGGAATGGCATCAGTTGCGGTAGAAATGCGGGTTTTCGTAAGTATGGTGGTGTTCAGAAAGTGGTTCAGAAAGTCGTTCAGAGCCTACCAGGTAAATGCAGGATTTCGCCTAGAAATCCACTTCTTCCTAGGCCGGTAACCCACTGTTAGCACCCCGAACCCAGGAAGATGGGCCACATAAAATGGCCCTACATATCTCAAATATATTTACGGATCTACGGCTTTATATTTGTATTTAATTTCGTCTTTTTTGGCCTATTTTTATTTGCTTTGTTTGTGTTACCGTATATGCTTTGTTGCGAGCGCTGTTGCTTCCCTAACGATGAGGCTATTCTGAGAAATATAGTGCCGATCTTCCAGCCCTTGCGGGACTTCCAGAGCGGTAATGCGGCCTGCTCTCGCCGTCAGTTCCCCGCTACAAGTGCCTTGCGTGCGGCGGATTACCAGCGCCGTGTTGACGCGGCGAGGTGTTGGTTCCGGTGTAGCCTAGATAGCAGAATCGACTTTTTCTGCCTCAACACCATGCTGTTTACGTTATGATGACTCGTATGTTTTTTACTTTTAACACAGTTGACACAGTTGACACAGTTGACACAGTTGACACAGTTGACACAGTTGACACAGTTGACACAGTTGACACAGTTGAGTCAACCCTTGGCTACGAGCTATTGCACAAAGCGGGGTTTTCCTTACTAATTTCTAAGTAAAATGGCCTAGCCACCCATTCCCTCGAGCGAAGCGAGGACAGCCCGCGGCAGGCGCCGCCAGAGGCAAAAAACAAGAAAAAAAGAGGCTCCGTTCAGCTGACCCCTTCCTGACTGGTCAGGAAGCTTATTTTTTCCCTCTATACTACCCCGCGCGAGGAAGAGAACGAAAGAACGATTCTCCGAGTCATCATTGGATTCAGACTCTGCGCGCTGAAATAAAAATGTCATAACGCGGACAGCTTGCTTGTGGAGGCGGCCATGGTACTGGGGTCTTGGGCTCAAGCCAACTTGTCGATTTGGGAGATTTATTGGTGGTAGAGGTTGCTAGATCAGGAGAAGCCGAAGAGAGAGAGATTGGGAGAAACCGAAGAGAGAGGAAGAGGAAGAGATGGCGCGTAGGTAGTTATGAAAACAAATGAAAAACACCATTGTAAAAGTTGCTCCCAGTACTTACCCAGAGTTTACGAACAATGACAATGAGGAAGCAAAAAGAAATCTTGAGGTGCCTGCATGATTTCGGGTGAACATCGTCAAGTCACAAAATTAAGTACGGAATGTGCGGCAACACGGTTCAATATGTCGTTGGTAATGTCAGATGGAAAGGGGTAAAACGAACTGGACTGGATTTTGTCAGCATGCTTACCAACTACCGCCACCTATTATCGCCACCCACTGTACTATATTATAGGCTCCCTGGATCAGCCAGAGAGAGGACAGAATTGAACAAGATCTTAAACCAAATCATCTTTATCATTAGAAGTGTAACACTTCTGACAGGTAATAATAAGCCCAAATATGTACAATGAAGCAATTCAACCACGTTGCAGGCACAACTCAACTCCCCAAGACCCGGTTACGGCACCGACAGGCAACCAGTCACACTCACACCTCCCACCAGTCACACCCCCACCCCCCGCCAGTCACACCCTCACCTCCCACCAGTCACAGCCCCACCTCCCACCACTCAATGCGCCATATCCCAAGTCAGTTGAGGCACTGCGAATACCACTGGTTGGACGCCTTGCACGTGCCCTGCGAGCAGCACGTAGCGCCCGCCCACCCAGAGCCGCCGCACTGGCCCCAGAGCGCAGAGCACGCCCCGCCGTTGCCTGGCGCAGGGGTAGGGGTGCTGCCGGTAGCAGAGGAAGAAGTCGCAGGCGACCCCCCGGGCGACGAGCTCAGCTTGGCTTTGATAAAGGTCAGTGCCTGCTGGCCGTACTTTGCGCCGTAGCCCTGGTGCGTGGCCTGGTCGCTGCCCGTGCAGCAGTACGGGTCGGCCGCGTCGCAGTAGTTCTGGATCTTGGCGCCGCCTGACGGGCATGTGTAGCCGCTGGGGCGGGGGGCGAACTGGGGAAATGTCAGTGGCAATTCTGCTTCACATTCTGTTCGGGTCTGCTCACGCCCTGCGCGGCGCATGTGCCCACGTCATATGACAGCCCGGCCACGTAGCGCGGGTTGCCCATGAGGATGACGGCCTTGATCATGTCCAGCGCGCCGGCCGAGATGGGCACCGTCGAGCTGCTGATGCCGGACCCGGTGTCGGGGCCGCCGCAGTACGCGTTGTCCATGATTTGCCCGCCCTGCGAATACCCGACCAGCACGAGCTGCGTGCTGGGGCACTGCGTGTGGAAAGCGTTGACTGCGTTGGCGACGGCCGTCGTGCCCTGGCCGGCCGAGTTGCCGTAGCTGACGCCGCCGCACGACGACTGCCCGCCGCACGCCGGGTACACGATGGCCTCCGAGGTCGACCCGGGGTAGGCGCTGAGGACCAGGTTGACAACGACGCTCGACGTGCCGTAGCCCGGCGACACTGTCGTCTCGCGCGCGCCGAAGACGTGGACCGCCGGGCAGGCCCGCCTGGTGAGTTCCCCTGACGCCACATCGACAGGCGATGCGCTGGCGAGCAGCGAGTGCGCCGAGAGGAGGAGGAAGGCGGCTTTTGGTGTTGGCCACATTGTGATGCAATGGACAAGTTGTTAGAAGATGATGCTGCAGGTAATGGATATATCTAGGTGAGTGCACGAGATATACCGTGGTGTTTATCAAGCTCGGGAACTCGGTGAGAGAAGAAGCAGTTAAAGACTTCCATTCTTGGCGCATTATATAAATTTTCTGCTCCTTTTTTCCAACAGAGTGAACTAGAACATGGTGGTCTCCACCACTACCAATGACGGTATGACCAGAATACGTTGGAACCCTGAGACGCGCATCTATCGTCAAGTCCTGTTACATTCCGCTCCTCCGCTCCTCCGCAAACCGTCTAGGTAGTCTCGGGAAAGCAAAACTTCGACATCCTCCGATGACGACTCCATGAGTTCTAGCACCGGAGTACTAGCGCCTGACACCTATTACGGTAGCATCTTAGATCTTAGCTTGTAATTGTGGCTAAGGAGGCAAGGACTGTTTTCGGCCGAGATGCCCATGTCCCTTGGTCCGGGAAGACTGGCAACGGAAGCAGGACACACGTGGCCCAAGTGGCAGCCTCATTTGCCTTGCGTTGCAGTGGCCGGAACAGAACTTGGCTGGCCAGTGTGAAAATGCTGGGCTGACCGTGGCCCGGATTTTTTCACGCTGCCCGATCTCCTTAACGAGAGTAGAGTTGCATTTTGACATTAGCCGCTCTTGGACGCCCTGTGGAGATGGTCCCGAGATGCATGAGCTGAGGTTGCATGAACCCCCTCAATACCGGCGGCCCCGCTTCCAATTTCGATTTTGTCCCCCAGGCCCTGGTACCCGGTCCAGTGTTTTGCTGGCCTGCACCAGCGGGAACAGAATGTGGGGATATTTAGAAGTGTGGACCTTTTTCCGGGGCAGCAAGTCGACTGTTGACTCCGGTTTTAGCCTGAATGCCACGGCACCTGGGACCGCTAACATCGGCGCTTGCTACTAGCCTGCTGGATGGGCCCAACGCCCGGCGATGGCTGTTTTGAGCACGGAATATTCGCCGGTTCTCAAACTGGACTGGGCAACCCTTGATGGACCCGAGTTTGGAGAATTTCTTGTTTAGTATCATGGATGGAGTAACAACCACATGGGCACAGAAAGAGTAACAATTACATGGGCACAGAAAGAGTAACAACCACATGGGGCACAGAAAGAGTAACAACCACACGGGACACAGAAAGAGTAACAACCACATGGGGCACAGAAACATCAAGCGCCATGAAAAGACTCCAGGGCAATATCGTGCTTTCACTATGGAATATCATCGAGTTCTTTGACTTGATCTCTCGGCAAAGAGTCCGGCCAAGGCAACAAAATTCGATGCCACTCGTAAATGGCAGCTCTGAACACGCCCCCTGGCGTGCGTGTGTAGAGGATAAAGCTCAAGGAGATAAAGACATGCGCAACCTTGAAGACACCAAGGATAGTGTACAAGCCAGAAAGAAATATTGAAAGAAAACACATTCCCCACTTATCTTCTAGAAACGCCAGATACCACCAACACTCATAAATCAGTCAACGGATATTCGCACCCTCTCACACCTCGCCATTCTCAAGAACGACCCTCTCCCCGTCAAAGACCTCAGCCGGCCAGCCCTGCATCGTGACACCGGCCTCGACCGTCTCGCCGCCCATAACCATTGTGTGCTCCAGCAGGCAGCTGTCCTCTTGCATGGTGGCGCCAGAGAGCAGCCTGCTCCCCGTCCTCAGCACACACCGGCCACCGACCTCGAGCCAGTTTAAATCAAACTTGCCGCGGGTGTTGATATGCCCAACCAAGCTCGCATCGTCCACCACGACTCTGTCTCCGAGCGTGAGCAGATCAGGCTCGGTGAGCAACAAACTCGGCCGGCCGTTGGCAAACAGGGCACAGTCCTTGCCGATCTTTGCCCCGAGCGCCCGGAAGTAGAGCACTAGCCAGTGCGTGCCCGTGAGCATGCCCAACACGCCGCAGCCGCGGAAGCAGGACCGGCGGAGCGTCTCGATGGCCAGAAACGCCTGCCATCGCTGGCAGTACGGGTGCGTGTCCCAGCTGTAGCTGCCTGGCTGCCGGCGGCCGAGGAGGGCCCACTTCGCAGCTATGACGAGGAGTAGAGCGAGGAGAGACTGCAGCGTGACGAGCGCAGCGTAGCAGGCTGTAAAGAGACCGAAGAGGTGCAGCGGGTTGACGTCGGGTGGGGGATCGTTCCTGCTGGCTGTAGCGGGGGTATTGGATATGGCTGTAGCGGGGGTATTGGACATGGTTGTAGCGGGGGTATTGGATATGGAGAATGTGGACAGCTGGTACCACCGGTCGAAGAGCTGGACCGACACGATGAAGGGGGCGTTCCAGTACACCGCAGTAAACACGCGGATGAAGCTTGAGTAGGCGAAGATGGAAGACTGTCCGAGCACGTGGTATGGCACCTGCTTCAGGTAGAAGGCGCGGCCGAACGGGGTGGAAGCGTCGGCGACGTCTGCAGTCTTGCTGTCGTTGTTGGCATCCGGCACGGGAGGCGACTTTGGCCGCAGCTCCGCTTGCGAGCCCTGGTCGTGGAGGACCTGCACTTGGATTATTGCCTTCTCTAGATCAAGGCCGGTAGGGTTTACCGTGACTGCCTGGGTTGCCGAGCTGGTAACTGATGGCGACTCTGTGCTTGCAAACGACGAGGGCATGGACAGGGCGCTGACAATGGATTCCTGCGTCTCGCTCCTCCCGTGCGGCCGCCTCCTCGATGGCTGACTGCCAGGGTTTGGCTGAGCCGAAGCACTGGTAGTCGACATACACGGAGCATCGCCGCCTTTCGACAAACACGGGGCATCACCGCCTTTCGGCAAACACGGGGCATCACCGCCTTTAGACAAACACAGGGCATCGCCGCCTTTCGACCCGACAAACACGCCCTGGGCCGGATATGTCTTGCCACGACGAGTGAGGGCACCTGACCCCATGACCGTGTTCTCGCCGACCGTCACACCAGGGAGACAAGTGACGCGGTCGGCGATCATGGCGCGGTCGCGGATGGTGATGGCGTCGGAGCCGGCCGCGTCAGACGTGATCAGGTGGGCGCGCGAGCCAAACACGACGTCATCGCCCACGTCCAGCAAGTGGTAGTCGCCGATGCCCGGGCCGGTGCCGGGCCAGTACACGCGGCGGCCGACCTTGGCGCCCAGCAGCCGCATCACCACCGATGTCGACTCGTAGTGGTGTCCGAACAACGCTGTCAGGTCGTGCAGCGCCGACACTGGGTACATAGCTTTCATCAGCGCCATGCGCCACCGCTCGACCTGCGACCGGCCCTCGGCGCGGCTCGGGCCCAGCTTGCCGAACGCGGCGTCGAGCGCCTCCTTGATAGCGAGAACGGCAGCGATCAGGAATAGCGGCCCAAACAGACAGCCGAGCGCAAGCGCCAGGAAGTGGAACGTAATGCGCTGACCGCCGGCGAACCAGTGCAGGATACTGACGAGGGGCGCGTTGGAGCGCTCGGGCTCGCTGCGCACGAGGCCGAGCAGGCCGAGCAGCCAAGGAACGGAGCGGACGGCGCGCGTGAGCGCGACCAGCGGCGCCGTGGCAACCACGGTCAGCAACCAGTGCGGCTTGGGGACGAAGTCCGAGGCCAGGTCACGGTTGGACTCGGAAGCGTCGGCCAGCTCCCAGCTCGACGAGTTGGCGCCGATGCAGACGCCCGCCGGCACCGCCGTACCCGGCGCCACGACCGAAGCCACGCCCACGTACGCGGCGGCCCCGATCGAGATCCGCCCCAGGTACATGGCCGTGTTGCGCTCGCCGGCGAACGGCCGGCAGATGCACTTGCCCAGGATCGCCCCGTCGCCCACCTCGACCAGGTCCCACTCGCCCAGCTGCGCGCCGTGCAGCTTGACGCCCTTACCGATCTTGGCTCCGAGCAGCCGGTAGTAGCACACGCGCGTCGTGTTGGAGCATCTGGGAAGCAGTCAGCATTCTGCCCCTGAATCAAACCAAATCCGCGAAGAGGATCTGGAAACGCACCCAAACACACCCATGCCGCAAATGTCGACAATCTTCTGCACGAACCACCAGCGCGTGTGGTACAGCCCCCACATGGGATACACGCCCTCGCGGTAGCGGCCGATGATGGCCCACTTGGCGAGGATGCCGGCAAACGGCATAGTGGCGCGGATCACGAAGCGCGTGAGTAGGATGCACCCCACGATGTTGAGCAGCCGGCCCGCCGTCGTGTCGCTCGTCGGCCAGTCCTTCGTGTAGGCCAGTGCCATGAGGAAGGTCGTCCACTGCGCGCCGCGGCGCACGGGGTACAGCACCGCCATCGGTGTGAGCTGCAGGACGAGCAGGAACGGGTTCGTCGAGCTGTGCGTCTTCTTCACTTGCGGCGGGGACCCGGCGTGCTTGTTGGCCGGCTCGCCGTCGCGTGTCCGGGATGTTGTTGTTGACGAGCTTGACGAGCTCGAGGACGGCCGCTTAGCTGGCCGCTTAGCTGGCCGCTTAGCTAGTCGGGCCGTGTGCTGCAGCCGCTCGTCCAGGTGCGCGGCCAGGCTGGCAACGCTGCCATCGCGGAAGACGAGATCGACGGGCGGGCTAGCGCCGAACTCGGACCGCAATGCTGAGATCAGCTTGCCCGCGCGGATCGAGTCGCCGCCGAGGGCGAAGAAGCTGGCGTGCCGGGGGATGTCGGCCGGGGCGCAGGAGAGGATGGAGGCGAAGATGCGAGTGACTCGGCTTGTGGTCGTGGCGTCGTCCGCTCGGCCCTCCAAAGTCTGTTCTCGTGCGCGTATCGACTCTCGCAGAGAGATGATGTCAAGTTCGCCGCTGCTGTCGAGGGGGATAGGGTGCGGGAGAAACATGTATTTGTGTGGTACGAGACAGCCGTCAACTAGTTTCGGGAGGGCTGCCACTAGGTTCTCTTGGAATGCCTCGTCGAGCTCGGGAGCTCCGTGGGATATTGAAATCCCGGCCACCGGCGCAATGTAGACTTCCAAAGTCCCTGTGGTTGGGCTCAGCACGACCCGTCGGTGTATGGCTCGTGGCAGCAACGATGTTACGGCCTCGGAAATTTTGGCCTCGTCGAACACATAACGCCTCGACGGGATGCTCGCCGTGATGCTCGCCGTCATTTCCGTGTCTGCTGGGGGGCAGATGGCTTCCCAATGAAGGTTACTGTATAGTGTGCTTTCAGTTATTTTCGGTAGGCCGAGGCGCCCACTCAACCTGATCCGTATAACCTTGTTGTTCCGTCGCGGGAGATCATCCATGTACACAATCAGCGCGGGCCACTTTGCCTGCTGCAGAGACGACCTGAGGGCCTGCCGGAGCTGACGGACGTCAACGCGTCGTGTGTGTGGCGGCGTGACGAGAACAACACCGACAACTTCTTGGAGGATATCGTGCAGAACGGAGAAGGCAAGGGCTTGGGCCACTCGGCCAAAAATCGGCGAGCTGCTGTCTTGTGCGGCGGAGATGATGGCGTTCTCGACCTCGAAGGGGGAAATGATCTCGCCGCCGCGGTTGATGACCTCCTTGCTGCGGCCGGTGATGAAGAGGTAGCCATCCTTCGACATGTGTCCGAGATCCCCCGTGTCGAACCACCCGTCGTGGGTCAAGGCGCTCCTGTCTACCTCGCCACTTGGCAAAAGATAGCCAGGGAAGACTGGCTCACCTCTGACGCAGATCCTGCCAATGATTCCTCTCGGTAGAGGCCGGCCATCGCTGTCGAGAATCTTCAGCTCAGGGCCTACCGTGAGGCCCGACGTTCCTGGCTGGTCGAGCTCGTAGTCGATCGGAGGAGAGGAGATGGGCATGCACCTATTTAGCCAGATCAGTATTTGTGAGAAAAAAAATCAGTGTTTGAGAAAGAAAAAATCAGCATTTGTGAGAGAAAAAATCAGTATTTGTGAGAGAAAAAAATAAAATCGGTCGAAACTCACTCCGTCATGCCGTAGCTGGGCAAAACCGTGCACTTAAAGGCGCGCTGGAGCTTGTTGGCCAGCGCCGGGAGCAGGCCTCCTGCGGCATTGCAGACGAGGCGGATTCTGCTCTTGGCGAGTGGGGCCCGCCGTGTTTCCGTCTGGGCGAGGAGCATCTGGTGCATCGAGGGCGACGCGTAGTACCAGGTGGGGTTCGATTTTTTCACCACGTCCCAAAACAGGTTAGGGTCGAAGGCTGGGCAGCAGATGACAGAGCCCCCTGAGAGGATGGGCGAGAAGATGTTCCTCACTAAACCCCCACTAAAATACAGCACTCGTCAGCTTCTCCCTTGATTATCAGCATACGGGCTGTTTCCGGGCACAACTTACATGTGGTACAGCGGCATCATATTCAAACACACGTCATCCTCGGCCAGCGCCCACGACTCGATGACAAACGCCACTCCCGAGAAGATGTTGTGCACCGTGATGGGAACCAGTTTCTTCGTCCCTGAAGTGCCGCTGGTGAAGAGAACGATGGCGATATCGTCGGCCTTGTTCGGCTCGAAACGTTCCTTGTTTGGGAGCAACAGAGTCCCGTCGAGAAGTCTTATCCCGACTTGACAGCTCCTCTGTTTGTCGTCGTCGCCTTTGCGGCCACTACTGACCAAAAAGACAGGCAGCGCTCCGGTTCTCGACCCCTTGTTCGATGAGGACCCTAGCCCGAGACGATCGGCATCCTCTTTCGTCGTTAGAATGCACGACGCTCCTGACAGTCGCACATCGGCCTCGAACTGCTCCGTGCACACAGCTGGGTTCACAGGCGCCGCAATAAACCTGTTCGCCACGGCCAGACACACGGCAGCAAGAATTGGCCCGCTGGGGATTGCTATACAGACGATGGGTTTTAGCCCACTTCTGCTCCGAGTATCGGCAATTGGAAGGTCGAAGTCGGCTGCAAACTTCCGCAGGTCCCTGTGGCTAATGGATCCCCGGCTGTCATCTGGGAATCTCAGCGCCGGCTTGTCGGCCGGCTCGATGAGAGACGCGATGCTGTCGTACGAGCATTTGACTTGCTCGAGAGTGTGTCCGTCCGGCGACTCTCCTCTGCGCGCAGCTTCGACGACGAGTTTCGCATAGTTCTGGAGGAGGTCACGAGGTGGCCACAGAGACCGGCACGAGGATGGTCTGGGGCTTGTCTCGGCCGGCTCCGGTAGAAGCGCTTCCGCGGCCATTGTGCTACCGACGCGGCAAAGTACCGGATACTGTTGAGGAGGAGCAAAGGAGAGCCTTGGAGGGCACACTAATTCATGCCGGAGCAGAACGCGCCGGGACGCCACCCAACACGAATGCAAGAGCTCAAAACGGCGCGGGTGGACAGTATTTAACTGAACGGGAAAGAGAACGGAAAGTAAAAGGGTATGCGTCACGACTCGGCGGCGGCTCTTCAACCTTTCTTGTGGCTGCTGCTGACGGGACGGGTGTGGCCTGTCACGACCAGAGTTTGCGAAAACTCTAGATCTATCTCGGCGGGCAACCCAGAGTCTAGATTCCCGGCATACTTTATGCACGAAACTCAGCGAGTCGGGCCGGTGACGGTGATGCGCAACTTGAACCTCAATACGCCAGCCATCAGCGTCGAGGGAATGGATATCGAGTTGACGTTGAAACGGCCGAAAGCGGTTTACCGCCACACGGCCTTCCCTGTTGTTACCGGCCGAACAGGGCTACTAGCACGCGGCTACTAGCACCTGACTGGAATTGCCCTGACCGCGAGTAGGGCCGGTTTTCGCGGTGCGACGGGCGCGCATCGCGGTGTCCATTCCAGTTTGGCGCGCCTGCGAGACATCGCCATTCCAGTTTGGCGCGCCTGCGAGACATCGCCATTCCACGCAAACCCGGCCCACCTCGGCCTTCCGGCCGACATTCTGGCCCTGCCAAGCATCACAAGCACATAAAACCGGGCTCTGCAGCCAAAATCAAGCCTGGGCTCCGCAATTCGGCTTCTTTCTGGAAAATGTCAAACGCCACCAACCCACAATTGTCCCGCTAGACAGTAGCCGATAGACTCACTCACCCTAGTCGTCCCGGTAAGCAAAATGACAGCTGTCCCTCTTTGCCGGCTGCTAGACGTCATAGGGGGATCGGTACTGGGCTAGTCTCACCCACTTGACGGAGGGAACGGGCAAAATGATTCGCATTGCTCACAGATGAACCCGTTTCAACTGTCAGCTAGACTTGACTAGTCCCGTTGTTCAACCCGAGATAATGAGGCGCCAAGATTTTGAGCAGCGTGCTCGACAGGACGTTGCGCAAACTCGCAGAAATGCCCTGTCCCTGCCAAGCTCCTGGTCCCGGCCACATGAAAACAACTCACTGCGAGATGATGGACATGAGGATTCCATTTATACTCTGATAATAGCATTTGGAAAACTATTGGCACAGAATCATGTTTTTTTTCCAACACTGTACCAAAGCGTGCGAAATCGGAGCCGTCGAGGCAGCCCAATGCCGTAGGGTTAGGGTTGTAGAAGGAAATGGAGTCAGGGGCGGAAAAGGGGGGGTAAATAGCAACAAAGAGACAGCGACAATAAAGAGCTCTATGATGTTGCATAAGCAAGGCTGTGAAACGTGCAAGTCAACTTGCCAATGCCCGTCCTGAGAGGTGCCTTTCCGCAAGCATAATTGTGTGATTTGTTCCTCCGTCTCCACGGCAAAAGATTCCCAAAATCCCATCCCTTTTCTGAAGGTGGAGGCCATGACATTTTTGCTGGCTCGAGACATATACGATCCCATCCAAGTTGAGAGCCTCTCAATGGCACGCCAATCCATACCTCTCGAGCGCATAACACGATCTGAAACTCCGAATCCCAAGCCAGGAGATTGATCCCTACAAAACTTGACGACTGCATGCAAGTGCTCGCAACCGCGTGGGTGGCGCCGAAGAACCTCTTACGCTAGGCATCCCTTGCCAAAGCCTCCTGTATTACAGATTTTCAATGTGCCAAATGCGAGGCGAACGAGGCAATTTGATTCGCTGGTTCTGCGCAAGACGCTACCGCGTTCCATTGCGCTGATGACAGATTGTACTGATACATGCGAGGGATTTTTTGTCTCATAGTCCATGTCAAAATACATTCCCTGGCGTTTAACTTTCCTAAATAGTGTTGGGATATATCATTGCTCCCTAGCATATCTGGAGACAGGTCGATCGATATCGAACAGCATACACTGGAACCACCACCAGATACACATCACTTACACCCACACTGTTAGATAGAACTTCGTCGGGTGGCGGCAACGTAGTACCGACCCCCTCCACTTCGACTCTCCGCTGCCTCGAGAATCTGGACACCATGCCGGTGACACTCAGGTGAACACAACCTATTACCCCTCCCAACATATGCCCAGCCGCGGGACGGCGCTCGTTCGATCGGGAGAGGCGAGACAGAAAAAAGGACAAGACATCTCTTCTCCCACTTCTCAAGTAAAGTAATTGTGATCATGATAGGTTTTACGAAACATACCATAGGAGAGCCTGAACTCCATTCTGGAATGCTACCGGACATATCATGGACATAGGGCACATCATCTCCAAAGACTATGTTCTGCGTGGAAGCTACGATGCATGCTGTGGTACCTTCATCGCCATTAAACACTTGGGGTGATGGCAAACAAGAACGTCAATCGGGCATCGCGATCGTCATTATTCCGATGGAATCGGCCGCTTGTCGCGCAGCAGGCGAGCCTCTAGTCACTCGTCGAGATCATCGCCGCCGACCTCCTCAACGACCTGCCCGTCGTCGTCGGATACGTCGAGTTCCTCGTCTGCTCGCGGACCCTCAAACCTGCGTGGGACGACCTCGATCTATATTCACCCGATGACGCCCAACGTCCTAGGTGATTCGACCTCGGCCTCTGTGCCCACCGCCGCGATGCCCTCGAGACGGTCCTCCACGCCTACAGCATCACTGGTCCTGAAGTTCACGTTACACATAGCACCGACGTAGTAGCACAAAAAGCCACTTTACCATCATGATAAATAAATCTAGCTTCTGGAACTAGCTATACGAATGAGTCAATGGCTGGATAGGAGACAAGTAGCTTAATCCCTTTTTTATGTTTTCTCCTAAGCAGTACATAGCTACGACCAAGAGATGCATGCCACCCGGTGCCAATCTGCGGAATGCAGTTTAATCGTCTTCTAAGCTAGCTTCCAGGCATGGCAGCAGGCAGCAGTTCAGTTACTGCCTTTGTATTCGGGTATCGATCAGATATCTTCTGGTCTCGGTTCAGGCGATGGTGACTGCGATCCGAGATCGTTTGAGGTGCTGCAAGCTTTCTCACGGTTCTCAGGAGTTCCGCTTACTTGGCCAGCTCGAGACCGCCTGACCTCCCAAGCACGTCGCTAGACTTATTTCTTCTCCCCAACGGAACTATCACGATTTCCGAAATGCTCGTACAATGCCGGGGTGCTTGCGAAGGGGTGCTAGAAGTGGCTGAGACAAATGCAAAAGTTGACGAGAGCGTCCTTTCTTGCCCCTATCATGTCCAGAAAATATCCCTCTCACAGCTCTCTTTCTAGCCCTTCGGATCGCCCCAAAGCCCTCGTTCTGGCCTTCTTTCGTCATGGTCCCTCTGCCTGTTTTGGTGCTTTGTGAAAGGCGGAGCTTCGACCTCTCCTCTGGCCTGCCTGATTCCCAGCCCAGATATTCCATGAAAATGTTTCTGGAGCTCAGCATTGCCAGACTTGGCGCGAGATTGCAGGCGCATCTCGAATAGGTCGCGTAGCTCGTACAGGCGATTAGCGTCCCTCGAGTCCTTGGCGAGCTTCTTTTCTCTTCTGGACTCCCCTCCGGCGTTGTCGAGTGCAACGTTCACGAGCGTGCCCATGACTAACATGCAAAAAGCAAGATGGGTTAGCGGGTGCTACGCGCCAATCTTGAGGAGAGTCGCGGGATTTTCCATGGAGACTTGCCCTCCTGCACGTCATTGAACTTGACCGTGATGCGCTGGTCCATGTGTTTCTGGAGTTTGAGGATGTTCTCCTTCTTGGGGCGCTCTCTCTAGGTGCTACCCCCGGATCTGGGCGAGTGAAAAGCAGGGAGCACCGGCAGCCGTAGCTCGATTGCTTCAATGTCGACAAGTGCAGCATGACAATCGAGAATCTCACGGAAGTTCCGTGCCAAGAACTTGGGACGTGACCGTTCCCCAAATTCGAGGTTTAAGGAATCGATCCGCGCGAAGCTTTTCACCTCGGCCTTGAGGTCTGCCCTCTGGTTAGTAGAGATGGCCTTCTAGACGCCCTCTTCGGCTCGGGTCTAGGTGGCGAGGTCCGGTCAAGAACTTGGGACGCGATTGTTTTTCGAATTCCAGGTTCAAGGAATCGATCCGACCAAGAGCTCATCAAGGGGAGATATATCGTCCCGAGGACATCACGGATCGGGTTCAGAAAGCCGGACAATGGGCTATTGAAGTCTTCTAAATCCGATAGAAAATATGAGCCGGGGTCGTCGGTGGGGAGCCAAACAATTTTGCGGACTTTCAGCTTCATCGACGAGTACCACATCCGGCTTGAACGAGTCGTCAGAGCATGGAGAAATGCAGGTAAAAATATGAAGTGAAGCAAAGAAATAATTACCTTGGAGAGGGGCACGTACGAAGGTCGTGAGGCTTCCGCTTACTAGGAGGGTCCTGGTGATTGCCTAGGCCAAGTAGGGAATCCCCGCCGGCGGCCGTCGTTAGCAAGTCTCCAGCCCCCATCTGGAACTTGAAGACACGCCTAGGCCAGTTGGCCGTCATTGGCAATGCCTCCAAGTCCCAGATCTTATTGACGTCGCCTAGGCTGGGTAGTCGTCATCGGCGGCATCTCTAAGTTCTCGGTAATCGAAACGAAAGCGTCCCGGAGCGCCTCAAAAGCATCGGTTTTGAACCGCCAGATCATTCCTAGTGGCCATTTTGAGGATCGTTGTAAAACTCTGCTTTCAACTTTTGTCTCTGCTGGCACCTTCGCTAGCAACGGCCTCGCAGGAAAAATTCGCCTGGGGGCGCGCAGAAATGGATTGACTAGCTTACCTCTGGACCTGCGAGATCCCTTCGCGGGCCGACTTGGGTTGTTGAAGAAATTTTCAGGTGGGGAGTCTGGATGGCGTGGCCGAGAAGAGCCGCATGTGGTTTTTCTCTTGTCAGGGTCGGAAAGTTTCGCACCGCAGAATTGCAAGGGAGTTTTTGGGAGAAGGAAGTTGGAACAAGAAAAGTGGATCACTGATGCGGGGAGGTCTTTGCAAGAGAGGTAGGAGTGCGGTTTATCTGACCTCGGTATTACGTCTGGGGTCTTGTTTTCCCTGCCCGGGTTTTGTTGTACGTGCAGAGGAAACTCGCAATCTTGATGGCCAGCACACATTCCCTTTGATCTAAAGGCACGTAAATTCACTCAAGTGCCCAACTGCAACTGCTTTGGTGCGTGTTAGTTCTTACCCGTGTGCCAAGTCCACCCTTGTTGCTGCTCCGCAAGTAGACAGTTCTCTGAAAGGAGGAAGGGAACCCTAGTTTTCGAAATGCTGCCCTTTGTATTCTCCTCGTTACCAAGTCCTGAGGCGTTTCTGTAGGCCAACAAAATTTGCGGCCGCTATAGAAGTCGGAATTGCGCGCTTTGCTACGAATCCGCAAGGGCCATTGTGTTTCGACGGGGTATGCATAAAGGTCTCTCTGGAGGTGAGCTTCTTATTGCGTACACTACCTATATTGTCAGCCCTCTGCCTTTAGCCCCAAGGAGCAGAAAAAAGACACGTAGACAAGGTCTACGAGGCAAATAGTTGAGTAAAGCAACCGACAGCCCCTTCTCGCAGTTCAGCACGTGTGTTCCTGTCCTCAGCTCCCAGCCATCGGTCTTCTCGTTGGAACCACGACATCCATGTTCTAGCCCTTCGCCGGTATATAGAACCTCCCTTCCCTTTAATGCCCCGGTTTGTAGAGCAGCACAATACAAATTGACCCCTGCCACATGATATCTTTCTTCGTTCTGCCGGGTTTTTGTGTCTGAGCCGCTGGGCGGGGGGGGGGGGGGGGAACTGGATGCTTTCAGAGTACAGCACTGACGGAATCGACGCTTCTCGGTCGGCTTAGCGAAGACGATAGACAACGGTCTGCGTCGGCGAGAATAAAGGATGTGGAAGCAGAGTCCGATGAAGATATTTGAAATCGCTACCGTCGGAACGCGTGTCGTCGGGGAAACGAGAGAATCGAATGAAAAGCATGGAGCATCAAGATTTAGAGGCTGTCTAAATAACCAAAAATCGTGCTCCGTATATATTCGGTCGTAGATAGGCCGTCGTGCGCACCTCTGAAGCTGGTATTTCTGGCTTTGAACGTGCTGGCGGTTGCTTCTCAAGCCTCTCGATGCATTTGCGGCGAGTCTTCGTGTACGCGGGCGGGGTCGCGATGTCTTGAACGTCACAGTCAGTCAGCGGTTCATTTTCTGGGAGCCAAAGCAGTGGCAGTCGGTGGTGGGCAGTCGGTGGTGGTATAGACAAGGAAAGGAGAGTACGATAGCGCTGTTTATTATAGTCGGACGCTCGCTTGTGTGAAGGGTCGTTGACGACGAGGGATGTGTGATCGATCTTGTCTGTTGGGTGCCGATTGTGGATACTGGCTACTGAACAGCTCCACTCAGCGCCGCCATTTTCGCCAGCTCCGCGGGAAATGTGAATGTGCGGTCCTGCGGATCTCACAGTAAATTTTGTCGTGTGGGGGATTTGATTTCACCAAAGCGGTGTCATCTAGGCACGTCAGGCGCAGTTGCCTCACCCACAAGGCGACACTCGAATCCAACGGCAGTCGTGAGATCTGCAGCCAGAAAAGGCAGACAAACAAAAAGGGAGGCAGGCAGGGCAACACTAGACACGGCAAGGCAGCGAGAAATAGGGCAAGACAGCGAGAAACAAGGCAACCAGAGCGAAGGAGAGCAAACCAAGGATAAACCTTCTTCTCCATGTCACCACACAAGGCGGCGAGCACAGTGAAAAAAAAACAGAGGGCGGCGACACACCTGGAGGTAGTGTAATACCAGGGCATCGCCTTGACAAAAAATCGGGCAGATAATTCTGGTGGGTATGTGTAATTATCCCCAGGGTATTGCACCCAAGATGCCACCAGAGACCGAGATGGCGACAAAAAATTATGCCTAAGAGTGGCCAGGCCGTACGGCCTGGTCCCCGCCTGCCCCCCCGCCAGTTGGGAGCGTTTTGGCAAGCCTGACTCAGAGGAACAGGAGCCCGGAAACTCAAGGACAGTATGAGGGAAAGAAAGAAAAGAAAAAGAGAAGAATGGTGGTCGGGGCGGTTTATTTTAATTAGTGGAGGCATGTCTTACCGTTGGCATGTTGCTTCGTGACATCGGCGTTTCGATCAATGCTCTCAACGCTAAAGCTACCTGAATAGCGAACTGTGGCCAGCAGAGACAGGCCACTCGTCAATTTCGCTGTTTGCATCGACAAACCCAGTGCCAAAGTCAAGGAGCACTTTTATCGATTCCTGCAGTATGAGTTAACACAATATTCTTTTCGACCATAGACTTTGATGTTTAGTGAACGCAAATAACACACCGGTACATTGATAGAATAGATATAGCCGACTATGATCCCGTCTAATTCAGAATCAACCAAGACCGGAATAGTCGGATCGCAGCCAGCTTCAAGGAGATACTTGCGACAAACTAGGATCGCTTCGAAAAGCGAAATTTTAGCCTCGTGGTCGTTGACAGTGCTTCTGAGCGCATTTGAATCAAAGTGACAAGCAAAAATTGTCCATTAGAGGCTGCTGTATCTTGGGGAAAGGGTTTTTGAGCTGGCGACATTTGGATATGCGCTCGAGGGTGAGACTGAGAGCTTCAACGTTGGCTGTCGCTTTCCTGACGTTTTCAGGCCCATCCTTGGAAGGTGGAAAGAATCTCGTGGACGATTTTGGCGGTTTTGAGGCCGAGCAGGACAAAGGGGAGAACGCTTGCGCCGGCGCCGATGGGATCCGCCATCGCTTCAATGGGAGCCGTCCGTGTCGCGGATATTGCTTCTGCAATACGAACAGCGCACGCCGGTGTTAGAGGCTGAGGGGTTCTGCCCAGGAAGCCAGGCCAGAGGACGACAAAGTGGACCGAGAATCTTGCGTGCAGCGCGGAACGTTGCGAATTCAAATCTCAGCAGCACCTGAAAAATGATACGCCCAGGCAGACTTCAGAAGCTCAGACGTTCTGGGCCGGGTGATTTCGTTGGGCTTCAGTGTCTGAACCCCACCATTATCCTCAGGGTTAGGGTTTACCCCGCGCCTAGCATCACACTTCGTAGCTGGCGGCCTTCGGCCTGTGGTTTTAGACCGAACAACCCATTCCATACCGTTCTTTTCATGTCCCTCTAAGCGCCGATGGAGCCGCTATGGCTACGCCCTGCTTAGCCGGGCTTAAGTACATTTTACCTTTGCTCACCGCCATTCTGATAGTAGAGCTGAATTTCAAGGTTCTTGTTGGGTTCACCAGGGTACCGGTACTGGACTCAACAGGGCGTGGCTGCACGCCGAAAACTGGTGGTTCAAGTGATGGATTGTAGATGTCTGTTCTTCTCTCTAGCTTTCTGGCAGTGCCAGAAAGCCCGTTCTTATACTACTATTGTGGTGGCGAAGTGGGTGGCGAAGTCTCTATCTAGAACCTTCGAGGCCCTTCTGCTTGACAAATTCCAACAGTTCTGCCTTGGCTCCGCAGTCTGCCTGAGCTGGAGGTGGGTGCCGAGACGATACAAAAGTGGCCGCGAGATGTGGACTTTACGGCCTTGACCTGATAATATCTACTAGACCTGAAGTCAACTTAGATAAGAATGGCAAAACGCAAAAACGACGCTAAATATCATAACTGCCGTTCTCGTCCTCGATTTCGGTCGAACAATCATGGCCTCCAATCGACTCACTACCCTCCAGCCGAGTTCTGTCCCGGCCCCAATACAAGTACCGCAGGCAGAGGAACAGTGGCCCCAGACGCCAACAACGAGCTGGAGGAGCCGAAACGAGTTCCTCGAGGCACTGGCGGCGGAGGACGCGGATGGTCTGTATCCCAGGCCGCCTGCCGCTGCACCTCGGCCTGCTGCATATCCGCCTTGTAGTTTGACGATTCCGGCAACGATCCAATCCGTAGCTGCATCTGGTTGCGCCGCGCCTCCTCGGCCTCCAAAAGCTCCTCCCACGTCGGGCCGTTCTGGAGCGGGATGCCATTGGGCGGTGGCGGCGTGGGCGGTGGGCCTCGCCAGCCCCAGGATAACCACGACCATTTTTTATTTTTGCTGGCCTTGTTGCTGCGGATTCGCATGAATAACAGGCAGTCGCTGAAGTTCATCTTGCTGCCGCACGACGATGGGGTGGCGTGATGTGAGGTGCGGTGTGCGAGAGGCTGTTTGGAAGAAAAGAGATGCTCGAAGCGCGAAAGAACGTGGTTGTCGAAGATGAAGTTGCTGCTGAGGATGATGTCACAGGGTAGGTTCTCGACGACGTACAGGTCACAGGTGAAGGTCGACTTCGTTCTCGAAGACGCTGCTCCGCCTCCCTTGTCCAGGAGCTCTGAAAGTGTGCGGTCGTATTTGGAGTACTGTTCCCAATCTAGTTCGCGAGGTGAAGTCATGGGCGGCGCGTCAAACTCTAGCTCAGCGCCGAGGACCATGCCGTCCGTGCGGATGTAGGAGCCGTTAGCAACCTCGAAATGGCGCCGGTATTTGTTTCCGTGGTGCATCTTGAAGCCGTGGCGGCGCGCAAAGTCGCCCGACACAAGCATCAGGTCGGACCCCGTGTCGGGAAACGCTGCCGCGTCGATGCCGTCGACGGTGCAGCGGATGAGATCTTTGGGGACTTGTCCAGCAGGAACAGACGGCCCCCTCTCTGTAGGCAGGGCCGCAGCCGGGTGACGATGCGGTGGCAGAAATAGGTCAGCGTCTTTGTCTGCTTGAGGAATTCCCTGCCGAGCACCATGTCGAAGACGCACTTCCGAAGCACGCGGAAATTTCGCGTGTATGTTTCTCGCTCGCCCTGGAACTTGAAGTCCCCGACGACAAATCCAAAACTCTCCGCGACGTTTCCTCCCAGGAGCTCAATCGACGGCTTATCTGCAGGCTTGATCTCCATGCCGTGCTTCCGCGCAAAGCCCTCGGATATGGCGTCGACCGAGGATCCATAGTCTGGGACCGCGTAGACGGGAATGTTGTTAACCGTGGCCGGAACCTCTCTGCGCTTCAGGCCATGGAGGCGAGAAAAGCAGCGCTGCTTGACTTCCGCAGATCTGTCTCTTTCAGTCTTTGATAATATACTGTTCGGCACAGGAAGTCCCGGAAAGACTTTTGGCCACAATATTCGCCTCTCTTTAGAACTCTTCGGCACCGCGTGCTGCACCCCTCATGGGCCCTTAGACGATGGACTTCCATCCAACCTGGCCCATTGCATGTGCGTGAGGTAGGCGAAAAGCTAGGATGGGTTCTGCTTTTCTCGGCCAACTTGACGATCTTCACATCGTGGGAATTCTCATCACCATGATAGTCGGGACCCCGGTACCGCTTTAATCCACCCCTTCTAATGACTGGCTGCGATGTGAACCATTCATCTATTTGTTATTTACCATGGATAGTGACTCGGCCACGATTTTCTTCTTCCGTTGTAAGAGTGTTGGAGATAAATCATCATCTTCCCCGGGCTGGTACTCCTTCGGCCGGAAGTCAGGATTGCTGTAGTGGGCTGCATGGAAGGTGCTGTTCCTGAATTTGAAAGTCTGGAATATCGAAGTCTGGAGTATCGAAGTCTGGAATATCGAAGTCTGGAATATCGGCCGCGTCAGCGCGTCTTGGCCGAAATCCTCTGAAAACTCGACCTTCTCGCTGTGCGGCAGTAGCCAGTGGGAGAGACCGTCAGCAGACGGCACAGGCGACCCCAGGCCGGGCACGACTCTGAACAGATAGCTAGATCCTTCATCCATGGGTTGGAGACAAACGGGTTGGAGACAAAGTTGAAGGGTGGGTCGATAGAAGGGGCGGCATGGTCATGGGAGGAACAAAGAGGGGAGGAAACTCTGAAAGGGGGGAGAAAAAGTTTTTCGATTGTGGCGGCTTGCTCGACCAGGCCGACGAGCAAGCTGCTCTGAGCCCAGACAACGAGACGCGCCGCTCCGTCCGTGCTTGGGAGGCTTTTGACGAAAACGCGGCGAGTCCGTCCCGGCCCGAACACACGCAAATGAAGCTCGTCGAGGAGCTGCAGGAGACGCTCCAGACATACCGTGAGATTCATGGCAATCTATCAAATTGGAGCTTGCACAGATGCTTAGCAAGTCTCCGAACAGAAGAAGCACTGCTCAGACAAAGCCAAATCGCTGCCCTCGAAGCACCAAAGAAACGAGCACGGGATGTCGCGCAGAGCCAGTTCTACGACGACATCAAAGACGAGTTTGGCCAAGTCACACGGCGCAGGCCCATCCTCGCCGGACTTGCTGAGTCTCGACTAGCGAACTACAGCAGCCGAGATCTGGTAGCTGTCCGGCGGCCAGCCGAAAAGGACCTCCTCTCGCGCTTCCTTCAAGACCATTGGATGTTCAAGGTAATTCTGCCTCCAACCGGCCCTATTCTGCCTCGAACCGGTCCTATTCTGCCTCCAACCGGTCCCAGAGCACGAGTACAACTGATACTCTACGGGTTTCTAACAGACATCACCAAGACAACAAAAGTCTCCGACGAAACCGAGTACATCAAAGAGCACCACGTCGCCTGAGTGGCCGCCGGCGCGAGCACCGTCGTTGCAGCGATCCTGATGCTCGGCGCCATCGTGCTGCTGCGGCTTCTGCGCGACCAGGACGTCCAGCTCGGCGTCATCGCCATGTTCACGGTCCTGTTTGCCGCCAGCGTCGGCGTCTTGACCAACGCGCGGCGCGCCGAGGTTTTTGCCTCGACGGCCGCGTATGCCGCTGTCGTAGTTGTGTTTGTGTCGTCGAGTCCGGGGAGTTGCAGTTGTTCGCCGGGAGACTGACTGTTCGGTCATCGGGACTTGGGTGGTCACGTAGCAGTCGAGAGATATTGTCCTTGAGTCCTGGATTGGGGGTTCTCACTGGTGTCGAGCTTGAAGTGATAGAGTGATGTCATTAATCAGGCCAGGCTAGAAGGGTAAGACTCGCCTTGAACAAAACTACTTGAACTATTATAAATCGATCTGGTGGATCTCGGTAGAGATGTGCGACGGCAGTCTCATGTGGCCGATGCCTTTTCCGAGGTTTCAACAACCTCGCCGATGAGGCGCTGGATCTCCTTCGCACCTTCCACCTGGCCATCTCTCGACACAATGTCCATCAGGGCTTCGTCGTCTATCTCCAGGATGTTTTCCGGGCTGAAGATCTCTCGAATGCCCTTCATGATATGTCGCTCCATGACTTGGACGACGATATTTCTGGGAAAGGTACGGGCATTGATCTTGGTGTTGAGTTTACGGTCGGAGTAATCCTAGGCACGCTTCCCTTGGCCGTCACGGCATTTGAGAAGTACGCTAAAGCCGCTAGAGCCTTCTCAACAGTCCGCGAAGCTCCAAGGGAACTCAGAAAACGCCTAAATGTCGTTGGAGCCCAGAGAACGCTCTTCCGCAGTGAAGTAATAAGCCTGACAGCCATCATCACCGGCGACCACAATGCCATTCAGACTTAGCTTTCGAGACAGACAGAATCGGGGTCGGGAATCTCCACGCCGTCGACAAGGCCACATGAACTTGGCTTGGCCCTCGATCATATTTATCGAAACCAGATTGACTCGTTGAATGAGCTGTTCCAAAGCTGCAAGGAAACTCTCGACATGGTCGTCACCGCTCTGAAGGCAATAGCTGGTGAGCTAGAAACAATGGTGGCGGCAATCGGAAACGACTCAGAGGTTGTATATAACTCTCATGTGGATAACTCTTATATGGACATCATTCACATATGACACGCTGCTGACTGATTCTCAGTCACTCTTATCAACAGGTCGGGAGTGGTTTCAAAGATTCCAGCTGGCCATCAAAAAGAGCGAACTTGACAAGGCCATTTCGGATCTCAGAAACCTCAGCACCGACTTCAGTCTCATCAGCAAGAGGATCATAAAAAGCATGAAGGAGATTCGGGACGGCTCCCGTCGGGTCACTGTTGTCCAGAATCCACCTGCCACCGCAAACGCAGGCAGGAGGAACAAGAACCGCATGCCGTGAGGCTCGACTTTGCCCTTGCCGCAAGTGACAGCGACTCGGACGAGCAGCGTGAAGATCGGCTTTGGCTAGGAATCAAATACTCGAGAGCCCGTTCACTAGAGCCAGAGATCGAGTTCTCTAATATAGCGACCACAAGCAGTGATGCTCTCACAAACATGACCATTAGGCTTGTGAAATACTCCTAGAAGTTGGAAACAACTACCCCTACTAACACGTCTAGCTTGCGAACTCGGATCGTCGGGCGGCTACGAAAGGTCAAATTCGAGGACACCCAAGTCTCACGTTTTGAAGGCACACTAGGAGGAAACAAAGGCCAAAGCACGGCTCAGAGCACAGCTCAGATCCCAGTCAGAGACTCGAGTCCAGGCGAAGATGAAGAGCTGCATGAGCTAGTCCGCATCCAAAGCATCTGCGAACTGTTCCACTCGCAAGATCGCACAGAGCTGCGGCGTAAAGACAAATGCCTCGGATACTTGGGATCGCAGCACCACCTCCAGCTGTTCTACATCCCAGTCTCCGATCAGCTTCTCCAGTCCACGCCGCAGTCCCTTGCTGATATCCTGTCGCAATTTGACGATAACCCGATCATCAAGACGCTCCCGCTCAAGTCCACTCTCCACGTTGCCTTGTCACTCGCACAGTCATTCCTGCAGTTTCACTCGACCCCGTGGCTTCCGCAAACATGGGGAAGTCGGGATGTCCTGTTCTTCGTGCCCAAGGACCATCGACAACAAGGGCTGCAGCTCGAAAGCCCCTATCTCAAGCTCGAGCTTCACAAGACCAATAAGGGCAAAGGCAAAGCCGTCGAGACGTCAGGGTGTTGCCAAGGCATTGTCAACATGGGCGAGGACGTAGGCCTCGTGTCGACAGCAGCAGCAACGCAGCAAGAAGTGCTCTTCCGGTTCGCCATCGTGTTACTCGAGATTGGCTTCTCACGGCCGTGGTTCGCCTTGCGCGACCTCGTCCGCAACGCGCTGCCCCCCAGCAGGCAGACCGACTACCACATGGCCGAGACGCTGTCGGGGTTGCTGATCCGCCAGATGGGGCCCAACTACGTGCGCATCATCCGGAAGTGCATCGGCGGTCGTTTCTTGGCAGCGAGCGGGTCGCAGGTTGACGTGCACAACTATCTCTCCGGCGAGGAGGATATGCAGACGGGGTTTCTAGCTGACGTCCTTCGTCCGCTGCAGGCGCTGAGAGATGGCATTAGCTGTCTAGGCTGAGAAAAAGGAGTATCGGGCTTTTCATGGGCTGGGGAGAGGGGGGCTTGTTGCGAGATTGTACCCGGTGAGCTCGGTTGTCTGCAGGTCATGACCATGATGTTAGGTTGTGGCGGGCAATCGTGTGTAGCAGATCGAAAGGGGCAGGCCAACTACGCCTGTGCAACTGAGTTTGTTTCGAAAACGGCTGCGTTACGGAGGGGTGTTCGGCTCTTTTGGCATTCAGCAGGTTTTGGTTGTGTAAGATTGGAAATTGGAAGCATGGCTCTGGGATGGCAGAGGCAGGAGTTTCAAATTAGGTCTAGACGCATAAGAAAGGGACCCACTGGGGCAGGTGTCACACTGGCAAACTATCAGATGCCGAGGGAGGTCGGTGCCGATCTCGACTTGCAATACACTCTGGCAAATAAAACCACCACCAAGTTCTAGCAAATAAAATCACCAAGTTCTAAGTTAACTAACCCAGATTTGGCCAGGCCCTACATTTGGCCCATGCGCAAGCCACCATGCACTTACACCAAGGGTGATTGACCGATTTTTCTTCATCACACCGCAACTTCCTCAAAACAAGACCAAATTCTTCCATTTCTTGGTTAATCGAGAGCTCAATCAATCCTCTATTTACCATGCCTGAATACGACGAATTGGAGATGCTGACCGCGATGAAGTTTGTGCGAGACGGCGGCAGTGTGCGTCAGGCGGCAGCAAAATATTGTGTGCCGAGGAGTACACTTCGGCACCGGCTGGCCGGCACAAAAGCCCGTTGCATTGCGTTTGAACACATGCAGACTCTAGATAAGCCTGTGGAAGAGCGTTTGACCAAGTGGATCGTCATGCAGGGTGCCCTCGGCCTGGTTCAAATACCTGGCCCTCCCGGTTATTCGGGGCATCAAGCCCGAGCACCGTTGGAATAAAGATGAGACAGGCATTCTTGAAGGCCAGGGTTCCAACGGCCAGGTCATAGGAAGCTCAGAAAACAAGGTGTTGATGAAGGAACAACCCGGATCTCGCAGCTGGACTACCTTCGTGGAATGTATCTCTGCAACTGGCCAGTCCCTACCTCCTGCGGTCATTATGAAAGGAAAGACCGTTCAACAACAACACTACCCAGAAAAGCTCAAATGCTTCGTTGGTTGGCACTTCACAAGCCAGGAAAAAGGCTGGATTGACGATGCAAGGGCATTGGAATGGCTTCAGAAGGTCTTCATTCCTAGGACCCGGCCAGCCAACGGAGAAAAACGACTACTTATTATTGACGGCCACGGCAGTCATACCACCGATGATTATATGTGGTCATGCTTCAAAAACAACATCTACCTTCTTTATTCACCTCCACACGCTTCTCATGTTCTTCAACCTCTCGATTTGACTGTCTTCTCAGTCCTGAAGAGGGCATACAGGAAGGAGCTCAATAGCAGGCCGACGTTATCGCACAGCACGATTCTAGGGCGCCGGCTTATGTTGATTTGTTATTTCAAAGCCCGGAAAACCGCATTTCAGCCCAGCAACTGCAAGGCAGGTTGGCATGCCGCCGGGTTGTGGCCTGTCAACAAGCAAAAGCCCCTGCGAAGCAAGTTGTTGCTAGAAAACAGGAACCAAGGCACCACAAATACAGCTTCACAGGCCCTGGAGGAAGCCAGGTCATTAGCTTACCTGCAGCAACAGGTATATGATAAATACGGCGTCTGGAAGACTCCTCAAAAGGTCACGGAGCTCACGGTCTCCCTAGCGAAATTGAACATACATTCGGCGGCTCGCCGCACTCGCCGTACGCTATTCAGGAAGATCGAAAAGGCATTCAACATCAAGGACTTCGAATTGGCTAAGCTACGACGTGAGAATGAAGCTCTCAAGGCCGAAATTGAGAACAAGAAAGGCAGCAAGAAGAAGAAGGTCCAATTGAGCCCGAATTCCAAGTTTGCTACGATTGAGGACATTCGCAAGGCACAGAGGGCAGCTGGGCGCGATATTGACAGTTCAGACGAACCAGAGGGCTCGGAAGATGAAGAAGAAGACGAAAGTTGCATTGTAATTAGTTGATTTGACCTTTTTCTATAGCTTCAAATGTCATGCGTTGCGTTGTGTAAGTGTGGGCGGCGCCCGGGCCAAAAGTGGGGCCTGGCCAAATCTGGGTAAGCTAACTTAGCAAATAAAACCACCAAGTTCTAGCAAATAAAATCACCAAGTTCTAGCAAATAAACTACCAACTCCTGAGCAAATGTTTGACATTGCAAGATACACGTCTTCCAGGAAACCCCGACATTCGCAATTTCCGACCACTATCCCTACCCCCCTCGTTGAGGTCGTTCTATCGAATTTAACAAAACTCCGAAATGATGGCTGCAAATACTCTCGCGCTTCTTAATCTCCTTACCTTGCAGCTAGTCAGCTGTATTCAACTCCCACAGAATTGCCCTCTGGCACAATCCGGAATCATTGGTGAGCGAAACCGCAACCGCGAATGTTTCTGTTGGAACAACGCGCTAGTCAGCCACAGATGTGGCGGTGGAGGCGCAAGTAGCCACATGTGGCTGTGGAGGCGCAGGGGCGCAGGGCCACCGAACCTAAATAAGTGGCTGTAGGCTACTTCCACCTTCCTTCTTAGAGACACAGACGACGAAATCCAACACTTGAACCACCAGTATACGGCGCGCAGCGCGCCCTGTTGATTCCAGTACCGGTACCTGGTGATTCCAACAGTTTCTCACGCTGACGGCCATCTTTGCAAGCCAAGCGAGCTTCCCATTCCTGCTCTAAAGTCGATATACGGGGCACGACCTCCGCGATTCCGGTAATCGCTTCAATCGCCACGACCACCGCAAGTGCCGTCGTGACGACTACAAGTGCCCCCGCCACCACCACAAGCGCCGCAGTAGCTCCGGTCGCTATGACCGCCATTCCGGAGCTCAATTGCCCTGCCGACCACAACCGCACCCTCTCGTCGAATAGCTTCAGCTTCGTGCTGAACTGTTTCAACAACCACACTGAGTTCAAGCAATTTGGCGGCTACACGATCTCAAGCGCCACCATGGACGAGTGCATTGCGGCCTGCAGAGTTGTTGCGGCCTGCGGAGTTGTTGCGGCGTGTCGCGCAGCTGAGTTGGACCCCGCTTTTCCCAGTTGCCTGCTGTACTCCGACACACCAGGCAATTTGACTTACAGCGGGACTATGGCCAGGTGGTCAGCGGAGAAAATCCGTCCCCAGACCCAGTGAGCATGGACGTTGGTGGCTGCTGGGGTGCCAAGGCCAGCTGAGAATTTGGGTTGCACATGTTTCGGGGGCAAGTTTGCGTGGACTGGATAAGCTGGGCATAGACAGAATTTGGATCAGAGTTATATATACCTTGACCAAGCAAACGATCTGGAGTGTCTTGAGGGGTTGTTGCATCTCCTCTTACTCTTGACACAGTAGCTGTTTGGACATGAGCGTGCCTCTTGCATTTCACGATTATTAGATTTTGGTAGTCGCAGCCAGAACGCTTTATCTCCACTCTTGTCTAATCAATAGACAGGCGAGCAAAGACTTCCTGTAACGCACTTGCAAAACTTCCATCCATTTTCCCAATCCTGTTTGGCCTTGCATGAGACGGGTCACACCGGAAGGTCGTCACAGCATTCAAACCCACAGAGAAAGCGTAACAGATCAATATGATCAATATGTAGTACCTAGAAAAGCCCATCTGGGTATAAAATATTTCAGATTCGCCAAGTCCGGTTGCTCATATGCTGTGCTCAAAGATGCTCACATTTACACGTCTCGCTACCATTCCAACTCTAAGATGCTCATCACTATCGTCCTCCTATTCTTCTCTCCCTTCACTATTGCGCTGGTGTCCATCTGCCCTATGGTGACTCTTAAGGGCCTTTGACCACATATGGTGAGCTCAATGAACCATACAAACAAAATACCTACAACTGACTCCAATTTCAGCGAAGCGAGATTCAGAGTCCTCCCCGACACTCACCATTATTAAGACCCCTACACCGGCTCAGTCAGCGGTACAAGTGCCCTGAAGACGACGGCAAATCTTTTTCAACGGCTTCAGGTTCCATATCCATAGCACTAATGAGAAAACTTTCGACTCTAGAGGCACGATCTACGGCTTATCAACCGTTACATTCGGCGAGTGCATCATGGCATGTTCCATGTTCGGAGGTTCCATGTTCGGAGATTGTCGGGGGGTGGTGTTTGTCGCCGGGCCCGGAACTGTTAATGTTACCAGAACTTGCCACTTCCGGCCGACGTCCTCGAATGCTTTTCCTGGCCAATCCAGTGGAACAACCTGAACGGCTGGTGGACTACAATACAACAAGTTCAGGACTAGGTGGAGATGCGATCAGCCAAGGTCGCATCACTGCTGCTTGTTGAAAGGGGTTTATTCAATTTTCCAAAGTCTCGCGAATAGTACCTGCGTTGTATTTTGCGAATGGATTTAGACTCTCAATCCCTTACTTTCCACAGCGCACATGCGGGGTTGGGTATTTATACGTTTATCGAGGTGAAAACTGCCTTAGCTATATAACTAGGTAGGTAGATATGATAGAATCGTGGAATTGTGGCCAAGATGAGTAAAGGTTTTTCGAGACATCGTCAAATTTCTAATCACATATTTTCTATCCGTCTTGAAATGGGTATTGGTGTAGGGACGTTTGCCAACCACATGGGATTTGGGGAAGGCGGAAAAACTTCCGAGAATCATGGATGGAGCTTGATGGAAACAGGCCCGGGCGAATGATTAAAAAGTGGAGCATCCCACTCGTCAGCACCACCATTTAACTTGGTAAAAGTAGGACCACCAAGCCGTTGGTCTACCAAAGCTTCCGTTACTAATTAGATAGCAACGGGGTTGTAAGTTGTACTTTAAAGACCCCGGTATTTCTTCAAGTCGACGTAGTGACCCAATAAGAAAATCGCCCCAAACGAAATCTCTGCCCCTGTCATCTAATTTCCCACCCTGCAACTTCAAAACACCACAACTTCATCAAATCGAGCCCAAATTGCTTCAAAATAGGCCATGTCTGACCGCCGCAAACAGCTCATTGAAGCTGCAATATTTGCTGTTAAGCAGGGCGCTTCGCAGAAGGACGCCGCCAAATTACATGGCATCCCTGCCTCCACCCTCTACAAACGCATCCATGGCGTAGAAAATCGAGCAAAAAGTAAATAGATGGAAAGAAATCTCTCGATGCGCAGAAAAGCTTGCTAGCCGACTAGTGCCTCAATAAGGAAGCTGCAGGGCGTACGCCTAGCCGCCGTCAGGTCCAGAGATTCGCTCAAGCTATACTCAATATACCTGCGCCCGTCTTGCTAACCGTGTAATTCGCACCCGCGGCAGCAGTCATTATAGGCTACGACGGGAGCAACGTGGTCCGTGATATGCAAGACAACACCCTCCTCGACCAAATCCTCGACCGAGAGCATGGTCCACCGCTCATGGACATTCCAGGAACTCCTGCTGGCCCGCCGTCCTGTCATCCTCTGTAGCCATCAGTCCATCTAAGAGGAGGAGTGGGTCAGCGCGGTCTGCGTGACGCTTAGTGAAAAGCACCACCCAGAATCAAGAGCTAGAGGGCCGGAGAATTATGACACTGAAACGTTCCCGGCGTCTGTGCGTGTTGTGACGCATTGGCGGTCCATGATAGAGCTGTGTTTCAGCTTGCCACGCCCTGACCATGAAAAAGGTGCAGCTGTAGCTGGATTTAGGGCTAGAGTTGGGCCCTCGTCGGCAAAGAAGCAACAGCCGCCGCAGCAACACGAACACGCGCCGTCTTCGTTTGAGAGCCGGATTCAAGCCTACTGGAAGGATCACGGTCTCGCTTTCGACGGCCGGAATCCTAGTCACCGTGCTCCTCTGGGCCCCGTGGTGGTACCCATGCTAGTGAGCCGTGCTGTCCTTCGGGGATCTTATTGGCGACCGCAAGTGGCCTTGGTTTCTGTTCGCCGTCACCTGGTACTGCGCCACGTCTCTTCCGTGGGAATTGTGGATGGGTTTCGTCCGGTTCGTGCTCGTGGGCAGGGGCTCGGCAAGGTAGCAATTTTACATTTCTCAATTCATCACAGATGCCGCCCCCGTGTCGGTGCGCGCCCTCGACGGCATCCGCGCTGCTCTCCGCGAGCGCAACAGCACCGACCCCCTCGACCACGCATTCGCGCTCTGGGGTGATCTCCAGACATGCGACGCCACGACGTCTCATCCCGATTACTCGCTCAACACCGAGGATACATTCCGCCTCCTCTGGGACACTCTGATCGCGTGGGATCCCCGCAAGTCTACATCATGCTTCTAGGTGCCGCCGGCGGCAGCAGCAGCAACGCCGACAACGCCGCCTCTTGGGTGCCCGACTGGAGCGCTCAGCGGCCCGGTGCCTGGCTGAGGTCCATGTACCAGCTGCGGGCGACTGAGCATGCTGCACCTACCACCTCGGGTCCGGTTTTCGCCGTCACAGATTCGGGGCGCCTAAAGGTGCAGGGCCAAGACATTGATGTGGATGTAAAATGGCCATGTCTATGTACTGTGAATCAAGGATATTTCTCAAGCTAATTATGAAGAAAATGAGTTTGAGCCCTTTGTTGCAACTAGACAGCTAGTCACGAGAAGAGCACAATCAACGCCGCTAGTCGGCTACACTGTCTTTCCTGGGGTTTCGCCCGCTTGATTAGCGATTAAGGGGAAGAAATGCAGCTTCAAGTAAAATGTTCACCGCACCGCTAACTCGATTTGTGGATAGTCGGAAGCTCCCTTAGTGGAAGAATCTCGGCGGTTAACGTCATCCGCCAGAACCTGTTCTGCGAGGTACTCTTATCGGTTACGAGCTCGGAGAGAAATGAGACAATACAGCCATTGCCATCACGGCGGAGTTCCTCGTTGCTAAATGCAACTACCGACGTCCGTGGGATCTTGTAGTAACGCAGCTTGCCTAAGGCGTTCTGGCCATGCAGGGATCGTGGCCCATCTCTGCCTGCAACTCCCTAATGGCCGCCTATGCATCCTGTAGTCGACGACGGAGCATTGTAGGTCATTTAAGCTGAGTTTTGCCCAACCTAGGACGAAGAGCATGGCTTCAAATTTGACCGTGTATTCTTTCGGCTGTGCCCGGACCCCATTGTCCCTGTCCTCTCTAGACCAGACGCCGTATTGACGATCAATCGCAGCATCCTCACGTCTTGGTCAGACTGGAACTGTGACAAGAAGAATACGCTGTCCTCGATGTCGAAGCTTGCCTTGGGCCTCTCGTCAGTTATCCGCCCCCTTCCTGCAGCCTGGCCTGGACAACTTGGGAACGCGTCTGCGCAATCTTGAGCCCGTCTTGAGGACATTCGTCGTCAAAAGGAGCACCGCCGGGCAGCTGCGTCAGGAAAGACACCTCGATGGCCCTGCCGGGCATATTCAAAATGCGGGGATACCACACGAGACTCCAGGGGTCCTCCAGTCGGGGGTGGCACCAGCGACCAGCCAAAAATGCCCATGTCAGCGACCAACGCGATGATCTCATGCTGTAGCCGCTGAAACGTCTTCTCTTCCTCGCCGTAGATCAGGGGCATGTGGACGTCGAAGATGCCGAACAGAAAGTACGCCATGTCTTCAATGCGCGTTGTCTCGCGGTTGGCGGCCCAAGACATACGCTGGGCGACGGACATGGACGAGAGTGGCTCGGTGTGTGAGAGGATGGCGTACTTGGGCACATTTCTGCCAATAAACTCCAAAAAGGCCAGTGGTCGTGTTGATCAACCTCATGGCGGACTCGAGCGGGAATTAAACAATCGCTAGTGCTTGGGGAGATAGGTAACGAAACCAGTGGCGTGTAGTTCATATCACGCGGCGATGTAACTCTGAAGGGTCAAAGAGAGGAGCTAAGAACGGTGCGGGAGATTCCCAGCTCACCCCGCCTCTTTCCTCGCAACCGCCGCAAGCCTGCATAGTGTGTTGCTGCCTGAGGCTTCACACATATCGTCCCAGTCCAAGGTGGCACACTCTGGAAGAGAGCCTTGTCTAAACCCGGGCTGGAAAAACACTGCGATGGTAGAGGAATTCCTGATAACTTGATATGTTGTGCAAAAGCTGAGACCATATAAGATGATCACCCTCCGCAGTGCCTGACTGGGATGTAAAATATTACGGTACCAGTTCCTTTCCTAGATGATGACCTTTTATCCCGGATCCATCCGTTCAAGCTCGTTAGTAGTAGGCCTGCTAGCGGGTTGAGTCTAACCCATTTTAAGACGTGGATCTCTAGGCCTTGTATTCGTACAGTTACTGTTTGGTACTGTGAGAATTTCTCAACTATTTAGTTTTTTCGTCTGAAGTGCATTCTAGCCACAAAATAAAGGGAAATTTGAGAAATCAACCTGTGCCGCTCACTCATCGCATCGTCACCGCACCAGTCCTTCATTAATCCAGTCCGGTATTCCTCAGATACGCAGTCAACATCTCGTAAGTTTCGCATTCCTCTGATAATTAAGGTCGGTATTTTCTAGTCTAATCTGAATAATGCAAGGTCGGAATCAGATAAAAGCTTTCCACAACCGCGCAAGATGAACTACGGGTTCATCTCGAATGGCTCCCCCGGCGGCCAGGACTGGGAGTCCAAGAATAAGCAGGTGACCTGGCCCTATAGCCAGGGCCTGGTGCCCAGCTCGGCGGAGAAAACCGCCAAGGTCGCGTGTCAGTTCCGCGCGGCCGATGACGAGGACGACGAGGACGACAAGCCTTGGCTTGTCATGATTGTTGGGTACGAGGGGGGTATCGACCCTGCTCCCAGTTTCGGCGACAACAGTGAGAATATACAAAGAATCCAATAAGACGAAACATACGACTTTGCTAACACTTTTCTCCATTGCCCTAGATTTCAAGGTGATCAGCTTCGTCACCGTGAGCTTTGAGGGTGTAAAGCCGAGCGAGTGCATGGAGCACCACGAGCGTCTTTCTGCGTTTTGGGAGTCCGAGTTCGACTTCACCTCGGCCGCAAGGCGGCGACGAACGAGATCGCGTTCTCGGCGTCGTTCCAGGGCAGAGACTTGCCCTGCGAGTTTTATCTTCTCCCTCGCTACAGATAGGTAGCTGTGGCTTCTTGTGAGCAAGGTGCCAAACTTCTATGATGATATGCAATAATATCGACAACATTGCTGCCAGATAAGGCAGCTACAAGTCATCCACGGCCACTGTAACACGCATTTCCATTGTCTTGTGTGAGTATTACGAAATTCAGTGTCTTGTGTGAGTTCTACGAAATTGTTATTAGGCGTTCAGGGCGTCCATCAACGCATAAAAGCTTTAACCAACCGCCTTGAACGCCTTACACACCCTAGTTACCCATCCAATTGATTATGAAAATATAATCTTCATGTCAACTGTTGGAATGTGGGCCTCGAAGAAGCCAGGCGGAGGATTTGCAGCCTACTTCGCGACTTACTTCGCGGCCTACTTCGCCACCTATTTTGCCACCACAATAGCAGTATAACAAGGGGGCTTTCTGGCACTGCCAGAAAGGGAGAAGAAGAAAATATACAGAACAATCCATCACTTGAACCACCAGTTTTCGGCGTACAGTTACGCCCTGTTGCTTCCAGTACCGGTACCCTGGTGAATCCAACATCAACCAAGTCACATAGCAAGGCACCAGTGAGACTCTCACTCGGCGTCGTCATCAGTTGGAACGGGCCCGTCCCCCCCGCATCCGCCCCCGCCGCATGCCTCATCGAGCAGGAGGCTGCGATCGACGCACACATGCTTTGAACGAGGTTGTCCTTCGTCGTCGAGCTCGCACTGATGCTTGGTGCGCAAGTCGTCGACAACGGCGCGGTGGGCCTCGTGCAGGGCGCGCGCGGCGTCGGCGTGGTGTTCCTTCATGCGCGTCAGGTGCGGCGGCGGCCAGGGCACCTGGGGAGGCACTTCATCAAGGTGACCGACGGTGCCTCCGTAGAAGCACGTCGCCACGGTGTTGAAGCGCCGCACCACGGCCGCAAACCGCTCCCATTGCCGCCGCCGCCGCGCCAGCAGCCACGGCCGCTCGATCGCCCGCTCTAGCCCTCGATGCTCCTCGCGCATCTCCCCTAGCCGCGCTGCATACGCCTCGCACGCCGCGTCCAACTCGTTGTGGAACCGCGTCCTGTCTTCCTGCGCCTTCTTCATCTGCCATCGGGCGGTCAGTCCACCGCCCAGCTACTTGTGGGATTTTCCAATGTGACAACTCACGGGTGTAAATATGCGCTCAAATTCGCCCTCCAGCTCCGTCGCGGCTTCGGCGAGGTCTTCGGGTGGAGGCCTTTGCCGTCTTGGGCGCCGCGTGTCTTTCTGCGACGACCCAGCGGCGCTGTCGCCGCGAGAAGCTTTGGAGATATCGTGCAGCTCGTGACTCCCGTCGTGCAGCGGATCTTGTTCCCAGATTTCCGAGTGGTTCGGTGTTGTCCGTCCCGAGTCCGCAGACTGCACATTGTCCCACGCGGTGCCGCGCGCTGTCTCATCTGTCTCGAGGGCGCTATCGTCGTGTTCGAGCAGGTGGTGGCCGGCCTCTTTGTCCTCGTCGCCGAAGCCAAACATTGCGGGGGTGGCGCTTCGATTGAGGGGTGGATTACCAGGTTAAATCCGACCGATATTGAGCGTGTTGGTTGCGGGTTGAAGCGCCGAGACCGAGTTCTCTTGCAAAAGGAAGACCTTTCCCTCTCGTTGTTTCGACCTTTGAATTTCTGGCGCTGCGATTTCCGGGTATAAACGTTGAAATGGGGTACCGAATGGAATTTGGGGGTGACGCGGCGGTTGGCGTATTGGCCCAGTTCCGGCCCAGGCAGCATTATAGGCTTTCCCTTGAACGGCCGTGGCGCAGCGAGCTGGATGGGAGCATAAGAAGCGATTGGCCACGCACAGCCGCAACTGGCTTCCTCAGAGCATGGCAGCCAATGGGCGTTGCAGATACGAAATACGTGCCCAATCAGAGTGCTCCAAGAGGCTCGAAGGATTTTACCTTTCCAGTCAAAGAAGGCTCCCTCAGGCCGGGCCAACTTTCAGCCGTGACGGATGTTATTGCCGTGTTATTCCACAGACTGCAGGCCGTCCTGCAAGCCATTCGGTGGCCTGTCAGATTAAGCATTGTTTTCACACTCTAGTAAAAGGGACAGGGGATGATTAACCTAACCCACCTCAACCGTCCAACCAAACTGGCCCTAAAGGTTAGAAACAAGTGAAGCCTAAAAGGAGAACGCCATTTCTTTCACAACGTGCCGCGGATTAAATCCGAATGAAGCGACGAGAATAACAGGAAACAAAACTGCCTTTTCTATCGACCACAGACTCAAAATAAACCTCCCGCGGTGGCTCGAAAACCTCCACCCAAGCCATGCTCGCCATCGCCATCAATGCAAACGTGGAAAAGGTGATGTCAATGGATCCACACACAAAGCCACTGACGACAACATGGACAGCAGACATTTCGACGACCCGAGCCCCACACCTGTACATAAGCAGACATACTTGAAATACTCGTATGCTGCTTTACTTCACGCCCAGCTAAATTGAGAACAAAGCAGATGGCAAAGCAGATGGGCGTGCCGGGCAGGCGGACGGTTGTGGCTCTGCAGCTCTGAAGGTTGGCCAATTGATGGCAATGGCGGAAGTCCCAAACGAACAAGCCGACCAGATTTAATTACCGTTGCTTCAAAGCTGCAAGCCCCATGCCTTCGATTCGGACTTCAGGTCAGCAGTGGGCAGATCTGAAACGGCTAACGAGGTCGATGATACGAGCGAGGTACGACGTTTCGTCATACAAAGCGAGATATTGCAAGCGCCGTTGATTGCTTGCCTTGACAGCTTCAACTTGAGCCAGCCGGACATGGTCTAAGGAACTGACAATACAATCTGCAGACGTCACTGTCAGTCCTGAACCGCTGTCCACATGGTGCTCTCACCCTCTCGGCCTTAATTCTCGAACAACCATGGCGAATCTTTCGACATTCTGGTACGACTTCGGCACGGCCCCTGGTGGCTGGCTTGTCAAACCACCTCGCGAAAGCCTAGGGCCGAGTCAACACCAGCCAGGGGCCACAAGCCGCACGCTCGTCGGGTATATAAAAATACACCTTTCTTCTTCTCCTGTAACATCCTAGACTATCAACGCCTAGCAGAGATCTACTACACCATAGCCCAGTCTCACGAGCCTCGAGAGCAAACCAAAACCACGAGGTCCCGCCTGCAGCCTTGCACACACAAACACACAGACAGACAGACAGACACACCCACACACAGACAGACACGCACACACACAGACAGACAGATACACAGACAGATAGACACACACACACACACACACACACACACACACACACACACACACAGCGATCCAAAGCAGCTCACGCCAAAATGTGCACCAACTATTATTACGAGTGGGAATGCGGACAGTACCGGTACCAAGGCACCGGGAGGTGCGACAAGGCGAAGAAACGCAGAAACCGGGAAGCGTGCGAGGGCGATGATCTGAAGTCGCACTACTTGAAGGTCACGGGGAAGTGCCAAAAGCCACTCACTTGCTATATCTGCCGCCCGGAGACGAAACCCTAAAGCGCCAGGGAGGTTTCTCCAAGAGCAAGGGAGCGGCGTTGAAAGTGATGTGTGTCTTCTTCTGAGGGTCATGAAGGTTCAAGGAGAGGGCGCTCCCGCTTGGACGATATCTCAGAGCTCTGTTCTTGGAGATAAGTCGGAGCGAGGTCGACAACTGAAGTGGTTTTGTTGGAGATATGGAAGAGTTAGCACAACAGACAGTGTGGTTTTGAGCTCGGGAGGATTAAGGCGTGGAGGCATTCGTTTGGGGGAAGAGGTGGTATCCGCCCGAGGTACGTGGCTGGATGCTGGTGTTTTTATTTGCAATCGCAGAGATATCTAGCCACAAATCGATGTGTTCGTCTCTCGTTACGCTGCCTTGGCACGATGGTTTCTCTGTGGGGAGCTAACTGTGCGATTACGTCTTGCGCCAATATTCACTGGGGTACTCAAAGATCGATATCACACTCACATAATTAGGCCCATGCGCTTGCTGACAATTATTTATGGGCAGCGAAGTTGCTTCAAGGCGTGGAGCGTTGTCAAATCATGCCTTGACGACCTGCTTCTCCCCTTTGCCTTTGTACCGAGCTAAGCTCTGGCGGCGAGGGCACCAACTGCTCAAGCAACATGCTCGCAACCGACATACTCGGCGGTGCCGTCATTGTCAACGCAGACCTGTCGGCCCGCATCCTCGGCTGCCCGGTACTGGCCAAAATTCACCACGAACTCACGCGGCTCCCAGTGGTACACCACTTGGCGGCACATTTTGGCGACGGGGCGAGCGTCAGGGTACCAATCTCTTGCTAAATGATGAGACTGTATTTAGTCAAGTTCTTGGACTGTCACCGGGGTGAAATAGGGTTGTTTCTTGCGTACTTGCAACGGGGTAGGTACCTACTTTTGCGGAGTTGGTGAGGATATTTTTGGTTTCTGCTTCGTTGCTTATACAATTCTTATCATTTTGTGGAAAGTCTAGCTATCCAATGCTTGTAAAGGTAGTAAGCACGCATGTTTGGTATTCTCGCAACGGAGTCATGTGTCTTCAATTGCCTTGAAATATGCCGTTACAGAATGTAGGAAGGCCTGTCACGAATGCAATACGGTCTATAGGACTACCTAGGACTCCAAGTACACGCAAACAATTAAATGGTTCATACAATTCTCACGAAACTTAAGCTTAAGCCCCAAAGCCTAGCTTTTACATTGAAGGCCTTAATCACACCGTGAAGAGTTTATCACACCAGAGTAAGGTCTCCATTATGCTGTGATACTCCTTAACCTATGAGGTGTCGGTTTTCATGGTGAACCCTCGCTCGACTCTTCCATCACACTATTTGGCTCCCATCCATAATCTGGGCCCCAAAAGCTATCCGAATCACCACCAGTACTTGACTCTTCAACTTTATTCAACCCATTGCCGAGATTCGCAACATGCAATGGACAAAACGCAGTTCTCCGCCTCCATACGATTCGATTGTACTCCATCGGTAGGCTTCGGCAGCCTTTCACCACCGACCAATAACGCCGCTGTTGTCAGGGAGTTGGCAGTATGCCCTGTCACTCGAGCGACCATAGTTTCCATTGCTAACATTATCCACTCCCGCAGCATCCATCACGGCGGCCTCTCTGGTTGCTTCCCCGGGTCCTGAGCGGAGAGAGATACAGCACCGAGGAAGCAGCCTTTCCTCTACCCACAAAGTCACAACTACATCAGCTTCTGTTGTGATGTCGATGGATTCCTTGATACATACCCTAAATGTTAACGAAAATGCCAACGGGGCTTCGATAAAGTTCCGCTCAGGTTTCAAATTGATGCAGTATAACCTCTTAGAATTCCACGGGGCCTCGCCTTGGATCCTCACGAGATGGCCGAAAAACCGGATCGGTGGGAAGCATTCGACAAAGTTGACGGTGCTCCGACGCCTTGACGATAGTATGACCCTAAGGTCCTTGCGCTCGCTAACATCGAGGGAACGGCGTCTTGGAGTGAAAAAACTGTCGTTTGTTGTCGTTTGTTGTTAGGTATCTCTCCGCCAGCTGAAACGTCCCAATTCCCGCCGCATCCACTAGATTTACTTGGTTGGGTTGGCTTCTTCCGTACGTCCACGACGTGCCTGCTCTGTTGAGAGCAAGAGATATGCACCGGCACATTCCTCGGTACATATATCCTGTCCAAAGAGTACTGAGACTCGTGCGCGTCTTCGGATTCCGGGGGCTGTTTTCGAGCGAACATATGTACGTACAATTCCCGGCTTGTGAGTTGATGAGGTTTCCGAGACCCCTGTATCGGAAGAGATTTCCGTCCGGCGTGCCCTCAAAGTCATGAGGGGGTTTGATTTCTTCCCACTGGCATTGTTCCCCCATGGGCAGGGCTGTCCAGACGGCCAAAAAGGGATGGTCGGTCGTTAGCACCGCCCATGGCGAGTGGTGCGGAGAGCATTGCTTGTCGTGTTCTGCGCATGATACGTCGCGGTATCGGTCATTTTCTAGTAGGTCTAGTCAGTTCCAGTCAGTCCATAATAAGGAGTAATCCTCATTTTGGGCCGGGATCTCTTTCTGCAGACGCAAGAACGCATTTCGCCCTTCTCCGTAGAGTAGAGGCATATCGATGCCAAATATGCTTAGGAGGCAATATGCCAGGTCTTCGTCCCTAGTGGTCTCCCTTGTTGATGCCCATGACATCTTCTGCGCCGCTGAATAGTCCTCCAAATGACGAAAACGAAGCGCATTCTCAGTAATACCGGTAATTTCCGTGATAAGTGGCTGCAAACTCCATTTCGTCCCAATATCGGTCCAGTTTGCCGAGTAGAACTCGACATTATCGGGGGCGATAAGCTCTTGAAGACACCAGCCTCGTGTGAACCAGCGAGCCTCCCGGAACTCGGCCTCTGGGAAATGTGGGTTTCGAGAAGGGACATCTTCGAGGAGCGTGTAGTAGACCGCTGCGCGAAAATACTAGTTGAACATCGAATTGGTGGCTTCTGAAAGCTCTGGGCTGCTTGTCTTATCGATGCAGGTGTCAATCCAGACCCATTTGATACCATCCTTCCTCGCTTGCTTGCAACAGGCCAATATCTTTCGGAACCCCTTCATCGATGTCCCCGCAGGAGTTTGAAGATCTTGAAATGTAACCTCCTCGTCTCCCCAGGTATGGGACAGAATGGCGTACCGAGGCGCATATTCGGCATCTTGAGGGCCTGCCAGCGCCAGAGTGTCAACACTGAGGAGACGCATCTTGAAAGCGCCTGCTGAGCTGAGGGATTGTTGGTGAAATTCGAGTTTGGGTTCGAAATTTGAGCGGGGAAAGCAAATTGATCGCTGCAGCCTTAGGGCGATCAAACGTCGGGCCATGTCCGGGTTGCCCCGCGCTATCGATCAATTAGCAGTACTTGGCAGGTCTTGTAATCGTACCTACCTAGGCAAGCGGTTGGCAAAATAACACGAACTGCAAAGAGGGATTGGTCTGTGCAGGTGGCTTTACACTAGCGGACACTACCAATTTTACAGCGACACTACAACATTCGATGGCATCCGACTCACACCACAGCTGTTGGCACCACACCGCCAGTCCATCACCACCATCACTGCCATCATGGCACCGCATTACCCAACGCCAGTGAAGACGCACCTCATTGGAACAGCTGCATTCCTCGACCACCACGCCCAGTACTTCCACACTGATCTTTTCAAAGAGTTCGGCATCCGCAGTAAAACCCAGGGCTAGGAGATCCTACGCAATGCCAAGGACCGGAGGTATCCAAAATGCATCGCTTGCGAAAAAGGATTTGTTTCTCTATTAAGTGCCAACCGCCGTATCCAAGCCGCCAAGCTCGCGCTTCAATATTGTCCTCGTCCAGAGGACTGGCACCATATCCGGTGGTCAGATGAATGCCATTTTGGACTCTTTTCCGAAGGGACGATTCGGATTATCAGGAAGCCAGGGGAACGTTATTGTCCAGACTGTATTCACCACCATGAGCCTGAACCAGCGGCAGGAACCGAAATCCGAAGATATCACGTCTGGGCGGCCGTCGGATGGAATTTCAAGTCCGAGATGCATTTTTACAAAGTCCCAACAAATACCAGTAGAAAGATGAGCTTACAGACCTATCGCGACGAGATTCTGGAGAAGGTTGTTAGTCCTTGGCTTCTCCGTGGCGATGCTTCCGTGCTGGAAGAAGACGGATATTCAGGGCATGGAGGTGGAAATTCGAAGCGTGGGAATATCGTGAAGCAGTGGAAGCAAGATCACGGATTGAAGCATTACTTCAATACCTCTGGCTCTCCAGATTTATCGCTAATGAGAATTGCTGGAGGGCTGTAAAGCAGTATATACGTGCCAATCTTCGAATTGATGCGAATATTATAGCCTGGCAGTTGAAGCAGGGCCTGGCAGTTGAAGCAGGGCCTGGCAGTTGAAGCAGGGCCTGGCAGTTGAAGTAGGGCCTGGCAGTTGAAGCATGGAGGCGACTGAGTCAAGCGAAAATCAATGAGTACGTAGATTCCATAGTAAGGCGGATGCATTTTGCGGATGCAAGATGTGTTAGAGGGCGAAGGTCGTATGACAGGGTGGTAACAGCCACTACATAGAGATACCTAGATTTATATGTAAATCTGGCCTCCAGGGATGTACCTTAAAGTAATGAGTTCGTCTTTTTTTGTCAACCGCTTGCTAGGTAGGTAGAGTGTCTCAGTGCCTGTTTAGCAGAGCTACAACGGTAAGGCACTGTCAGAAAGAAGGCCATTTCGGTGACCATCGACGGCCGCCTCGGCGACCATTACGGCCACCTCGGTGACACTAAACAACAAGTATAAGAATAAGGTGTCTGGCATGCCACAAAAGACACATCAATCAATCTACATCGTTTTCTCCCCATATCACATGCAGTGCAGTACTTCTGACAGGCACATCTCCGTTAGGAGGTTAGCCTGTGAGCTTCTTAATTCTCGCTGCCGAGAAATACGTGCAACCAACGAGCCAACTCTGACATCGCGACGAGGGAAATCTGGTAGCCCTTGGGGCTTGCTAGTGTTGGCGCGACCGGAGATGCGGAAACCATAGCGCCCAGCTGGCAGCACTGCGTCAAGTGCCGGGCACGCGCGCATGCTGTCGCGACTGGGCTGGAGTTGAAAGCAAGAACAGGCACACCTGCCCGCCTGAAGAACACCGGGGCCCTCAATTAGCCCACCTGCGCGTATTTTCCCGTCGTTGTGGCGAGTACCAGCTTTCTGCCTCGGGCGCCATTGTCTTTTAGCTTTTACTAAACCGTGAACTTTCCAGTTGTCTGCCAGATAAGTCATCGATGCGCACCTCGCAAGCTCGCTAGAATTCCCTGAGATTCCGTGATCCTCAGCCACCTAATTAATTAATTAAGTCTCGAATCTGTGGAATAGAGACCGACGATTCCACAAGGCGATGAGCGACCAAGGACCTCAAAGCCACTGGTCACCCACATCAGATCGTTGCTACGTCATGGTGGAAACATGGGACAGTCTTATTCACTCAATTGGAGGGCTGAGCCTTGAGGGCGGCACTGCCAAGTTGTCTGGGTCAACGTCTAGCCACTGTCGTTCTATTCAGACTCTCGTGGAAGAGCTTGCACAAGCTGCCGAAGCCACTGCCGCGCAAGCGAAGCAAGTTCCCCTGACTGGGAGCCCGGACACTCGAGCAGGCCAGCGCAACTGATCTCTCTGAGACAACAAGCCAAAACCCTCGCAAATACTGCAGCGAAATTCGGCGATGCAACCGACCGCTACTTTGTAGCTCATATTACCTCGCTTGCTGGTCAAGGAACAAGCACGCGAAAAATACTGTCGCATTTCCATGGCTCTTTGATGCGCATCGTTAAGGAGGTTCTCAATAGAACCACCGATGACAGTCGCGTCTTGTTGGAATACTGGAGCGCTGCTACAAGAGGTGTCTTGACGGCTCCGGTACCCTGCGCTACGAAAACTACTCCATTCCCCTGCGCGAAGCCAGCCTCGGACGGCCTTACGACGCCGACTTCGAGAGCGAGGAATACTACGACCATGAAGAGCGCCTAGCCGACGATCAATATGCTAAAGCCTCCAGTGTGCAATGCGAGCGCAAATTAGACGGCGAGCGCAAATTAGACAACGAGAGGAAGCAAGACGAAAACTGGATCGGCTTTTGGGTTCGGGCGCTCAGCAGTTTTCCAAATGGACCGACATTATTTTATCCGGCAACAAGTCGCTTTCCTAAACTGCGTTTGGCAGATGTTCCGCGGTGCCTATTCGGGGCATTTGATCCAGCCAGTTCTGGTCGGAATGACGACTATGTCTTCGCTTCCTCAGAGAGTGTCTCCGCGGAATCGTGGCGCAGCAAGGTCGATCTCCTTTCAAGGGTAGAAGAGGAGGCAACAGGAAGGCTACACAGGCATTTGACCAAGTCATGTTTTGGGGCAGGGAATGGCGACGACAATCTGGTGTCGTGGAGCAGTTCACTGATATTTGTCATTCAGTACGCGATCTGGAGATGTTGCAATCGTTGCTGTGCCAATAGCGAGGTCAAGATTTGCGCAGTCGACACGACCATGTTTCCCCAAGGGCAGTTTGTGCGGGATATAACGTTGATCCGGGCGTATCATCAAACTTCCGACCTCGACGAAAAGATGCGGGATTTTTAAATTTTCGTCTCGATACCCCATGTTATGATAACGGGGATTATCTTTCCCAGGGAGAATTGCACCACAGGGGGCGATCTTGTGTGTTCTCGCTTGACCAACTCATCAAGGCCGGACTACATGGCCTGTACCCTGAATTTGCAGAAAATACCGCAAAGAAAAAATGGACAAACCGCGTGAAATGTCTTCGTTCAAGGTGGTGGTCTAATGAGCATACAACGACCCAACTAGATATAAAAAGAGCCCTTGAAATGACCAGAGCATGCTTCAGCATCTTTAATGCTAATGACGTGGCATTGCTACTCTTGTCATTCAAAAACCGCAAGCTTCGGCCCACAACTGCAACCGGCCCATCTCGACCGTACGACGGCCACGAGAGCGTCGAAGGAGCCTGACGGACTACGGGCCGAAAGAGATTCAGTGATACACGGAAATTGCGGAAACGAGAATGCCGGAGAAGGGTGATCTGAGTTAGCTCGTCTGATTTAATAGCAACTTACTTGAGGGAGTCTTTGAATGCCCGTGAGAAATCCGGCATGCAAGTGATCTTCGATGAAAAAAGGCTCAAGCCAGTTATATGTCTGGTTCATGGAGCAAAATGACACACCAAAAACACCGCAGGGAGAGTACATGGAGTAGCATGGTCGCCCTCGGTGGCAAAGCTGAGTGGCTTCCCTCCTGACAAAAGGAAGATGGTCTTCTCCGGAAGCAAAGTGCAGACTAGAACATTTCTCAGTATCTCAGGCGATAGGTGCATTAGCCGATCTGGCTATCTAGATACCTGATTATTTACATGGTCCTGGCATTCAGCTTTCGCCCCTTGGTCGCCGATGAACTGACGGTTTTGCCTCGAATGCCTCAGACTCTGCCAAGACAAGCTACTGAGGATTTTTCTGGTGTCGCTGACGCCGATAATTATTACTGCTGCCTGCTCCCCCAAAAAAATGAGACGCATGAGTATCCCACCGCTCGACTACCCAAATTGGTATGCCGTATATGCAACAGTGGCTGATTGGGCAGGTTAGGATGAAACCCTCCGGTTTTGGCGCTGGAAAAACGACACTGCGACGTACGTGCGCCACCTTGGAGCAAGTAAGCAACCAAGCCAACCATCTGATGGCTGACGGCGCAGCATAGCCAATTGACTTCTGGCCGTCTTTCCGGGCGGTTTCTATCAGGCCCCAATTCTTGGGTTACAATCCGGCAGTGCTTAGAAGTAGAACCGTAGCTTTGTACCGTGGTCAACGCTGAATAGCTCACCGCCATCAATTTCGCTTGTAAACATATTACACAATAACAACTGATGCCTGGTGCAGTGAATGTGAGAATGAGGTCAGCATGGTCCTTTGACCCACGCCAGGCCAGTTTGACGACGGGCTAGTTAAGCACGTAGACGAGTTGCCCAAGGATGGCCATGGGGGGGGGGGGGGGGGGGGGGGGGTTGCGAGGAAGAGCACGACCAGCAGAAAGAACATAAATACTGGCCTCCTTCTCAGTCCGTCTTGTCTAGTCTTTTTTATTCACAGACGGCCCATTAGCTCATTCTCAGTCTCTCAAATTCCCACCATTCCAATCCTGTCGGTCTACGTCTCGCAACTACCAAAATGGTCGCTATCAAGCTCGCTTTCATCAGCACTTTGCTGGCCACTGCCTTCGCCTTGCCCGCGGCCAGCGGCCCAAGCGAGAGCCCCGTCCTTGATGTGAGCGAGATTGATGCGCGAGGAGAGATTGCCAGACGCGGACAAGGCATCCACCTGGTCAACTGCCCCAGGAACTCGCTCATCGTGGTAAGAAAGCGCCATCTCTGCCCCCTCTTTCCCAGGCCGACAGCTTGCTAACCGTAGACCTAACTGGCACAGTACTGCGCAAATGACGGCAGCAGCAGCTGCAACTCGTACCCGTCGTCCAACAACGTCGTCAGGTTCGGATCCCTCTTCCAGTGGGAGGGTGGCAACTACGGCGGCACCTTCTCGACGGGCGTCGTCTTCTCGTGGCAGATTGCATTCAACGCCCAGACCAACCTCTATCCCAACTATTCGGGGGTTGGCTCGGGCACCAACGGCTTCACCACGTTCGACTGCTTCAAGGACGACAAGCACACCATGTTCAACGACGCCAACGGCTCAGGCGCCTGCAAGGCCATCTACTACTGCCTGCCCGGCACCGGAATGGTTGGAAACGGGCGGGTGAAGGAGCGGGAAGCCCTGGGCGACTCTGCGCCGGCTGTGCCTGTATAGATAGTCTCATTGTCACACCGTTACCGAATTATACTACATGCTCGTCTTTCTCACGCTTTACCTGATGATTGTCAAGTTTTCACTTCCCTCGATTCTTGCGACTGAGATGATGCAAGTAGGTGCGTCTCTGGCTTGGTGACTGGATGAATGTAGATGCAGGAGTCAGCAGTGAAAGTCACCAGCAATGGGCGACGGACCAGGAGAGACGACTGTACATCCCAACCCCTGGCCCCTGAATTTTGCGAGTAACAAAAAATGTTTGTAATTAATATCCCTGACGCAATATAATCATGGACGGCTTAATTAAACGCTGACCATTGAAGCCCACCACAATTAGCCTGTGCCGGCGATATATGAACACACGGGGAAAGTGGCCTCGGCCGCAGTCAGATCATCCAGCGCGACCTGGTTTTTTCCGCTCTTGCACATCTCCAACGGAAACACGATCGGCAGTCATCTGCGTGCACGCATTCGCTCTTATATGAATTTTGCCTGGTTGGGGCGGTGAGCTCCCAAGAGTCTGAAACTTGGCGTGTTTGATCTCACACTCGACCCCTTTTTTCGAGATCAGACCACCGCGCGCCGTTTCGTCAGGGCATTGCGGACATGGGCAAGGAAGGACCGGGCCGTCCGAGAGCCCGGGTTTAGGCGTCGCTTGTTTGTTTCTGCTTCTGCTCTTTCGTGTCGGCTTTTGTTCGTCTTCTGCTCTTTCCTGTCGGCTTTTGTTCGTTTTCCATTTTGTGCTTGTTCGCATGCAGCTTCGCGCGCGACTTGCGCCCCAATCCAACCTGCAGTTCCGTGGCGCAGTTTCTCTCCCGGGGCGACGTAGAATCAGCCTATTATAAACGAAACGAGCCCCTTTCTCAGCGCGAGCGAGCCAGCCTGTGCTGGGCTCCACGGCCGCCGTTTCCCTTTGTGATCTGACGTTAAGCGACCAGCACTCCAGAGGGGCCAAACGTCCGGCACTGCGAGGTGGGGGCTGGGATGGGCAATGCACGTCATCCACGGCGATCCCTCGTGCCGTTCCCATCAAAAACCCCGAGCGCGACTGTCTCGCTAGGACGGATAACCCCTCCCGGCCATTGCTACATAAGCCAGCCATCGCTCTCGACAAGGGCCCTAACCTGCCTATGATTCCAGATCTGGCGCCGATCTGACCACTTGGTTGGTTTGTTCGTGGCGACTGCCTGTCTCTGACCACTCTTTTACGTTTCACTCGTTTTATCCTGTGGCTTTCTCGTAAAGACCACCGTCACTCGTTGATTTACATATTGCACGCGAGCGACCGTTCATTCACCATGCTTTCAAAGTCACTCGTTTATTCCGCGCTCGTGTCTCTGGCAGCCGCGAGAGTTCAGTACTTGGTAAATCACCGCACCTTGTGTCTGACGGAGGCATCCGCGTCGAGGTCTACATACTAATGCGGCTTCTTGTAGGGAGTTGGAATTGCAGGAGGAGATTTTGGCTGCCAAATTGATGTATGTCTCAAGCTAACTCAAACATCACGCTCAAGCTGACTGTGTATTCACTCCACCAGGGCTCTTGTCCAACTGGGTCGACACAGCTGCCGCTGAGCTCGCTCGGTGGCGGCGATGGCGAGGGGCAGATGAAGCACTTTGTCCAGGACAACCAGATGAACATGTTCCGGTTGCGTGCGTTTCCCGCACCTCGTTCCCTCCCGCTTCCTCCGTGCTGACGCCGCCCCTGTGCAGCGATATCGTGGCAGTTCCTCGTCAACAACAAGCTCGGCGCCACGCTGGACAGCACCAACCTGGCCAAGTACGACAAGCTCGTGCAGGCCTGCCTGGCGACGGGCGCGCACTGCATGGTTGAGATCCACAACTTTGCGCGGTGGAACAAGGTAGTCATCGGGCAGGGCGACGGCTCCGTCACCGACGACCACTTCGTGTCGCTCTGGGCGCAGCTGGCAACAAAGTACGCCGCAGCCGACCGCGTCGTGTTCGAGCTGATGAACGAGCCGCACGACCTCGACGTGACCATATGGGCGGCGACGTGCGGCAAGGCCATCGCGGCGATCCGCAACGCCGGCGCGACCACGCACACGATCCTGCTGCCGGGCACCAACTTCAACAGCGCGGCCAAGCTCGTGTCGAGCGGCAGCGCCGACGCGCTGGCCGCACTGACGAACCCGGACGGCACCGCCGACGGGCTGCTGCTCGACGTGCACAAGTACCTCGACACGGACAACAGCGGCACGCACGCCGAGTGCGTCACCAACAACACGGACGCCTTCGCCGAGGTCGCCGCGTTCCTGCGGCGCACGGGTCGCAAGGCCATCGTCAGCGAGACGGGCGCCGCGCCGGGCGACGCGGCCTGCCTGGCCATGTTCTGCGAGCAAAACGCCTTCATCAACGCCAACGCTGACGTCTTCGTCGGCCTCGTGACCTGGGGCGCCGGCAGCTTCAGCCCGTCGTACCTGCTCAGCGCCACGCCCAGCCGCCAGGGCGGCAAGTACGTCGACAACGACCTGATGGCGCAGTGCGTGGTTCGGACGTGGCGCGAGGCCAGCGATGTCGCCGCGGCCCCGCCCAGCAGCAACAGCAACGGCAGTGTCGTGCTCAGCGCCACCAACAGTGGCGACACTGTCGCGGCACCAACCGCACCTGCGGCAGGGACGGGTACGTGGGCCACGGCCATCACGGCCGCATCTGCAGCACTTGCGGGCGCCGCCAGCCCTACGACGCTAATACTTGCCCAACCCGCAGGAGCGTCTGGTCTGGGAGTGCCCACCGGGGGGGATGCGCCGCACGTGTCGGCGACAAGCGCGCCTGTGGCACCTGACACGGGCGTGTTCCCAACCGCCTCGGCGACGGAGAACGGGACGGGCTTCGTGACTGGGTCTGGCCCGGCGTCGCCCTCGACCTTTGTCAAGGTCAGCTGGGCCGTCCGCGTCCAGATGGCGCCCAATGGGCTGCTGTTGCTGGTGATGGGTCTGGTGGCGGCCGCTCTCGTGTGAAAGGGGTGACATATTACCTTGTGATGGCATGGAGGAGGTGCGGGGGGTGGGGAGGGGTGTGGGAAGGGGGGGAGATGAGTTTGGTTGCGAAGGAGTAGTCTTGCTATTATTGACTGTTATTTTGACTGCTATTTGGGGAAATATTAATGAGGATGAGGTTTCTGGATCCGGCATGCTTAAAATTGTGCCTTCCTCCCTTCGTATAGGATCTCTGCGCCTCCCTTTCCCTGGACAGTGCAGGGTGCAGTGCTTGATCACTCCCCGTGTTCGTGGGTGGTGGCCTGGGCATGTGCGTTGATGGTGACACAAATGAGGTCTAACTCCGTGGTAGGCAGGATTCTTCTCGTCCGGCAGTGCAGATGCTAGCCGGTTGGCCACAAAGTTTTGGAGCAGGTGTGGCGTCAGAGGCCGGGTGACGGAATAAGGGAGGCCGGGCATGATGTCCATCTCGTAGACGTGGGCCGGCATGAGTCTGTCACCGAGGGTGCTGCGGTAGACACAGGCGGGCACGACCTGGGGGGTGGATTCTCTGGGCAGTCTGGATCAGGTCCATAGACGAGTCGTGAGCGCGGAACTGGAACACTCTAGGCGGGCCGCTGACGCCCGTCACCAGGCGGTGTAGCTGAAGGCACCCTGCACGGGGGTGGGCGAGACGTGGGCGGCGCCGTTCCAGAAGACGTACTCGCCGCACTGCTGCCGTGTCGCCATCTTCTTGAGCCCGAAGAAGCTTTGGATGGCGCTGTTGAGGACCCTCGTGAACCCCCTCGTATCAGACTCTCCATCTGCCGAACCTGCCGACTCCGCCAACAACATGTCATTGAACCCATCAAACCGGTCGGCGACCTCATTCTCAGAGACACGAGCCACGTAGAGGGCTTGCGCCGCTGGTGGGACCTCTCCGAGGTCGAACACGACCCAGCCGACCGGGTTCGCGTCCGCGTCGGTGATGTGGAGGACCCTCTGCGAAGACACGGCCGCGCCGCCGACGAGATACATGGACCGCGGCTGGAACCTGAAGAGGTCCACAAAGGCGGCGCCCGACTGGTACGGGCTGCTAAACCCGTGGGACGTCACGCCCAGGGCTTGACTTTGGCCCCACCGAGCACGACGAGCCAAGACACCGCCATGTACGGGGTTGTTGAAGTAACATGTGGCGCTGTTTCGGGTGGCGGCGCTGGAGACGGACCTGGATGTATGCGGATGCTGTCGACAAGCGGCTTGGAGGTTTGCACAGGGCCGTGGAACCAGATGCGCCCATGGTCGAAGTCCAGGCCCAAGACGGCTGGTCCTGGAGGACGGACGGCCTGTTGACTGTCACTTTGGGGAACCAAAGGAATTGCATCATCAGCAGACGCGTATGTGAGGTCGCGGGATGTGTACGTCGACACCAAGGCGTTCCAGTTCGCGATGAAGTCGGCCGTGTCTTCCAAGTCGGAGGATTGGGGCGCCGCTCCCTGCACGAGCCTGCCCTTGGCAGCTTTGAAGCTATCGGCCATTTTAATGAGCCACTGCTCGTCCATCTAAGCCACGGCGTCCCGGTCTTCGGCTTCCAGCGCCGACCGGCACGCCCAGATCATGCGTGCGTGTGTAGTGGATCGTCCGACGAGAGCATCCACTCCTGGGTAATCCAGGCCCGCCCCGAGAGGCGCTGTTGTGAGGCTCGTCACGTCTTCGTCTTGGTAGATCCGCCCCATCTTCGTCGACTCTCGCTGCCAGTCAGCGACATGGTCCTAGACGATGCAGAGACTGTCGATCCACAGGTAGCGGAGGCCCAGTCTCCGCGTGATGATTACAGCGTCCTGAAACGTTCGCGAGAGGGCGGAAAATGGGACATGCTCGCGGTGATGGTCAATATTGCCCCTCCTGGTGGTGAGAATTTGCGTCTTCCCCCAGCAGTGGCTCAGTGCGGCGTACGCGGCCGAGGAGGATGGATCAGATATGTACAGCCGCGGCTCGGCAGATCCGTCCGGAGGCCCGACATCAAGAACCCGGCCAGGAAGCCTCGGCACCTCGTCCGAGGCCGGCATGTCTAGCGGGGAGAATAGCCTTCGGCACTCTAAATGGTTGGCGACGCAAGTTTGGTGCCCGTCTTGGAGAAGATTGAACGCTTCCTCTGAACCTGCGTCCTGAAGGAGTGGTCTGCCGAGCACAGTTTGGCTGGCCTCTGCTTTGCTACCTAGGTAGAGAGTAGAGGGGTTAGGGGCTTTGTTGACCTTCGAGCGTGAATTCTACAAGGGAGAGGCTGCTGGGGAGAAGTGGGGGTCAAACCAGGTTTGGCAAAGAGACTCGGGTTGACTGTGTCTCAATCGTCGCCGCTTGGGAGGGAATATGGGCGTCGATTCCAATGAGCATCAGGGGGCCGACGAATTCAGCGATGCGAGGCGCGCCATTAACTGTACTGGCGTCTGTGCGGTTCTGATCCATCCCCTTCCATCAGGCCGCAAAGAGGGCACCTTGCCGCCGATGCTAGAATGGTCTGGGCATTTTGAAGATGACGAAGCCATCCGGCTCGCACAGCGCGTCGAGAGTAATCCCAGCGCATAAAGGCCTGCCGCGCTCAAATTGCCTACCGTGTGTGTTGTTATATCTGCATCCCAGGGAGGGGACTGTATCAGCTCCCCGTGCAGTATTTTCTCACTCAACACGGAAATCACAGGCCTGTATCATGATATTAGATGTACGGGTGATGTGCCCGGACTATCTAATCTCGGGCGTTTGTCCTAGAATTAACAAAAAAGCGGATCTGAAATCTTTTGATTGTGGCGCCCCCCAAATCTTCCACACACCCCATTTGTTGGGGAGACATCGTGTGATTTGCATTGGCTAGCTAACTCTTTGGGAGGCAGAGCCCCGTGCTAAATGTGTGGACGGGACCCCGTGCGCGGGCTTCTCCAGCTCGGCTTCATGTAGACTAGCTGTAAGTCATGCAACAGTAGCTCTGTAGGTGCTGAATGTACGGTTTCCGGGCTTCAACAGGAAGGCCGGTGGCGGTTGCAAAGACTTTATGAGGGCTGAGCTCGTCTTCATTTGCAGCGGTAGGTAGAAGATTAGTTACCTTCACCACGCTTTCCGCTACAAAAGGCCACAGCCAATCTGGTATGTTCCATGCCCCTACCAGCTAGTGCCAAGTCCCGCAACACCCTCCCCTCGACAAGAGATCAGATAAATCCTCAAAGAGGTTTCGACAGGCATCTAATTTTCCTAAGGTGAAAGTAGGTTTTTAGAGTGCCCTCACCATCTGCTTAGTTGGTCGCCTCTTTACTAGGGTTGGGCAATTAATCTCCCAGAGGCTCCTGCCTTCTTTGACCAGAATCTCGACAGTAAACTAGGCATGAAAGCCATAATTTCCGTCTGACTTCTTGAGAAAAAAAGAGAATTCGGGGCTTTTGGGTCGGTCTCTCGCAATCTAATTAATCTCTGCCACATACCTGGGATAATATTTGCCCCGCTACTTCCTTCTACAAACTCCGTCGTCTTCTACTTACAAATTGTTTCTAGCGCCCTTCTACTTACAAATTATTTCTAGCGCCCCTCCACATCCAATTTTCTTAGCAAATCGTGCTCACTCCAGAGGTTCGTTTCTCGCCAATTATGTCTTCTCTTGTCCCAAATATGCCCGTCGCAACGCCCTGCACCCCTTTGTCATGTTCCAAGGACAGTTTAGGCACAACGTGCCTTGGCCTATTCCCCACAGCTGGCCATTCTTTGCTGCTCGGTGTGCCGGGTGCTGGGACTGGTAGCTGCAATGGAACCAAGGCGATGCTTCTCAAACTGCAGGTCCTTTTGCTTTTTTAGCTTTGATGCGGCATTTGGCTTGGGCGGACCCGGCATCCCGACACCCGTATCAACCGCTCCTCCTCCATCCCCGCGGCGGCGACGATCACTGAGACTGGATCAAAATATCGTTGACAGCACGTATGCAGCTAAACTTCGTAGCCTCCGTCGCCCCGCCGAAGACGACCCCTCTCCAGCCCCGAGACTCCCACGATGGCCCCGGCCATATCTTCCAAGACAAGAGTCGTCCAAAATAGGGGATCTCACGAATGAAAACACATCAAATCACGCGGCTTTTCCGAGCCCACCTTACTTGAAGTCACTTTCAATATCTTTGGAGCCACTGGAGAATATCCGCGGTCCAACTCCCACAGCCATTCATTCATCCTCTCGAACCGACACAGCTTTCTCGTATTCCTCGCTACTCAGCCACACAGCTCTCCCAGCTAACTCGCTGCTTGTAGGAACATAACCCACTACCCCAGCCCACCACATCTCTCGTCGCCTGCCAAGATGGAGTCGGCCAACATCACTGCTTGGGAGCTACAGATCGGCGGAGAGCTCGAACGGGAGGCCACACGGATGCTACTTGTCGCGCGTGGAACAGGGCATCCCCACGCGCACATCTTCAGAGTCCATAATCACAATCATGGCGAAGCGAACATTGATGACTGCCTGGTCGTGGATGCCAGGTGGTTTGGCTCGCACATGCACGAGTGCGAACTGAACTTGACCGCCCCGTTCTGCATACCCCTTCCCGGCGGCAGATCCTCAGGATGAGAAGGAGGCCAGAGTCAGAGCCAAGACGGGCATGAAGAAGATAACGGGGCAGACGAGGACACGCATCAGGACAGGGACGACAGAGCGCGCTCGCTCGCCCGCTTATGGACGCGCAACAACTGGTCCCGCCACCTCGCCGCCGACTCCAGTTTCTGCCCGGGGCTGCTCGACAACGACACGCAGGCCGCAATCTGCCGCGCTCTAGATAGGCACTTTGTATGGGTGTTATACATGTCCTACAGTAGCCCGAATACGAGATTCCCCTCCTGGGCGCACCTAAATAGTGGCTACGCAGTTGCCTCATTTTTGTATCACGGCATGTTCTCCTCGGTGGGACATCGATTATGGGCCTTCTGATATCAGCTGCATCTTAGATCGGGGCTCAGTCGCTGTTTGCGTGGCAGTGCATATTTGTACATGTACAACCATTGCCATTGCAGGGCAACGAGGGACTTGCCATGTGCTTGCGAGAGAAGTTGCCTTAACCTTCCCAACCCCCGACCAGCAGCCCGTGGCATTTCCTGAAGCGTTTAAACACCTTTTTTACTTCCAAGAGTGATCCTAGAGTGACAAAGATGGAAGCTTTTGCCGTGCTTGGGGTTTTCTGTAACGTTTTACAGCTAGTCCAGGCGAGCCTCGAAACCTTTTCATTAGTGAGGCGCCTTTTCAAGGATGGAGAAGCCGACCCAAGTCTTGGCCCCAGTGCTGCCGCCACGGCCGCCCTCGTGGGGAATCTACAGACGCTTCTGGCCAATAATCCGAACCCAGAAAACAATGCGGAACGCGAGCTCCGAGGCATCGCCGACGCTTGTCTGGCGTCATCGAAGAAACTCATTGCAGAAATCGACAAGTCAGTGAACAACAAGAGCAAAGGGAACATCTTTGCGTCAATTTGCTCAGCATTGAAATTGGGCTTATTCAAGAAGCTTCGATTCAAAAGACTCGAAAATGATATGCGAAGATATCAAAGAACGCTTGATTCGGGGTTTCTGCAGAAAATGTGGTTGGTTTTTGCTTCTTGCTAGTCTCTCGCTGTTGTATAAGCTGACGCATCACCCGAAGCACTGTCACAGAAGCAAACGCTCTCCGCGCCAGAGACGAGTTTCACGTCCTCAACAATTCACTGAAGAATTTCATTCTCCGCTATTCCGATGGCATGACAGAGATATCCGCACTTTTAGAAGCTATTAGGAGCCAAGTTAAATTAGAGTTCTTCCAGGTTCGAATCGACCAGGAACGAAGACGACTTCTCGGGAGCATCAAGTATCCCGGTATGAAAGAGCGACGGAACTCAATCTCTCAGCACCACAAAGACACATTTGAATGGACTTTCCCTGGCCAGAACGTTAGCGGCTCTGAGCAACCCCAAATCATCGTGACATCGCGGAGAGCTAACATGACACAGGACAAAACCGACGTTGATGATCAAAAAAAAACCCGCTGGAACAGCTTTACGGACTGGATCAAATCTGATGACAATATATACTAGATTTCCGGCAAGCCTGGGTCAGGGAAAAGCACCTTGATGGCATTCTTTATCAAGCATCCCCACACCATTGCGGCTCTTGAGGGCTGGAATCCCAATTCCAGAATAATCTCGCATTTCTTTTGGAGTGCTGGCCAGTCAATGCAGAAGAGTTTCAAGGGGTTGCTCTGTTCATTGCTGCACCAACTCCTCTCGGAAGACGATTCTCTTGCCAGTTCGTATCTATCGTCATTCCCAGAAGCCGGCCAAAAGGACTCCGACACAGATTAGTCCGAACATGAACTCGAGAAAGCTCTCTTTCACACAATATCTCTGCCAAGCAAATCGATATGCATCTTCATTGATGGGCTTGACGAGATTGCTGATGCGGATGGTTGTCCGAAACTCCTCGGCTTTCTTTCAGCGCTGGAGAGAGTCCAGAATATGAAGTTCTGTGTCCAGTCGTCCAGAACGGGCTTTGCAGGAGAGATTGGATCAATACCGCAAGCTGCGAGTCCAGGATCTCACGAGAAACGACATCCGCCGCTATGTCACGTCGACTTTACGGCCCTACTTTACCTCCACGTCCAATTCGGAAAATATATCCTCTCGGCACCGCGAGTTCATCGACGCTCTCTGTAGCAAAGCTGAAGGGGTATTTCTTTGGGTCCGAGTCGTTGTAAGGAGTCTCCAAAAGGGACTTACCAATCAAGACTCCATAAACGACCTCTATCAAAGACTTGGCACATATCCCGGTGACTTGCACAACCTCTTCAACGATATGTGGAACCGACTAGGCGAAGATGCCAAAGTCTACCAAGCCAAGGCAGCAAAGCTCCTCAACTTGATTATTCAGTCAACGAATAGGGACTTCTTTCGACCCATTGAACGCTCAAACATTAGCGTACTCGAAATAGTGCTTGTTATGGAACCGTCAGTTGAAAGGCTATTTAATGACCCAGACCCCAGCTACCTTGTAAGAGAATGCAACAAGGTTATTAACTACGTCGAAACACGGTGCGCCGGACTGTTGGAATGCCTGCCAAATGGTCAGTTCAACGTCTTTGCGGAGAGCCCGACTCAATATGACGCATTGCTTCACTTCCACAAATTATTCGTCCGCTTCATTCACCGAACCGCCTTTGACTTTCTAGTCACCACGCCAGAAGGCAGCCAGATACTCAGTTATGACAATTCCGTTACCGAAGGCCATTACGCATACCGGTTTACCCACTTGGAGTTGGTAATTTCGCGCATGTTTGTCCTAAGAACAGTTGACAGATCTCACAAACCCATATATCCTATTGTTGCCCCGGCCTGGCTCCAGGATCTCGCATCCCTAGGAAAGCACGCCATTCGTATGGACTCTCGCGAGTTCAAGGATCTTGTTTGGCGAGGCTTTCAGACTTTTAAGCGTGGCTGCTTCCCAGTTTTCCGGTCTCCCCTAGTTTCATCAACCATGTCAACCAAGCTAGACTTTATTTGGGCACTCATAACCGCTCCAATTCCAGATATATTGCATTCTCTTCTTCAAATTGGGCCATCGCAGGCGGCATCCTTCTATGGGACATACCTGCTGAGCTGCGTGGTCGACGAACTTTTTGATATCGATTGGTCTTCTGAGCGTGAACATCTTTCATGCTTCGGCAAAATGGCCTCGACACTCCTAGGGCACGGCATAGATCCTGCTGGTCGAGTTCTTCTTCCCTATCAATACAACACCGAAGACTTCTTGGAGCCTGGTCGTCTATGTCGAGATTCTCGGTCCGCTATCATGCGCCTTGCTCGATTTTTCATTGAGTACAATGGCAATGACGGCGAGAAAGTAGCAGAAATTCTTCAGGTTCTCGACGCCTTCCTCAGTCAGGAGATTCCTTTAGACGAGTTAAACTATGTGGCGTTTGAGTGTAGAGATCGAAGCCTTGGGGGACAGAGCAATGCTGAATGGATTCCAATTGACTCGATACTCACGTGCACGCTATTTACGTCGAGATACAGTCAATCCCGGCTCGCAATCTTCGCATTTTCATCAGCGGATCTTCTAAAGACTGGATTGCAAAGATGCCTCGCAAACCGAAGTTTTGGTAATTCTAATCAGGCTAAGCTCAGAGACTTGGCACACGTCTGTCTAGACAGAGTCCAAACTTCACGCAAGTTGCTAACAACGAACAAAAGTAGCAACGGACCGCAACTAGTGGCCATCTCAGATGGACATACTGAAGGAGATTTTAAGTTTTGGAGACCAAAGCAAGCAATCAACGGCGCTGTGAGAATCACAGATGATGCACCGACGAATAGGAGTTCAAGCCACAAAATGCCCAATATTCATTTAGTATTCTCCGCAATGGCCACACATGGGATAGTAACTCGTTTCAAGACATCGGCAAGACTACACACGAGTACGAAGGAATTGATATTGACGAGCTGCTGGCGGGACAGCTGGAGGAATAACACACGTGCTCAGAGGAAGGCGTCTGCACAAAGTATCTCCCGAGTATACCTTCTTCTCTAGTGGAAACTATCGTGAAGGACTACGTTACTAACTGAATAGAGGACATATTAGCAAACTAGAGGTCGTTAGCTTGGTCATTACTGATATTCCCTCCGCTATGGTGCTTCATCATTGATTAGCGAAGAGTCGGAACGATCCCGCCATTGTCATTTTTTGGAGTAGATCTGTTTCGCGAGTATGGAATTCCTGGCTGGATTTGGAATTGCATGCAACGCAACGTAGTTCTGTTAAATCCTGGAGTATTTTCTTCAAGTGACGATCTAATATAACCATCCAATGACTTAGCATATTTCTTTTACAGCGCTTGGAAAGTTTCAGGCCTCAATAACGAGCCAGCAAACAAAAAATGAAATTTGGAGACGGATAGATCACAGAGTTCTGGATCTGTCAGGGAAAAACTCACGGGTGAGTGGCCAAAGGCCAGTTAAGCGGGGAGCTGGCTCGTTTCCGTGCCGAGGAGTGCTTCTACGATGAAGAGATAAAAGGGCTGAGTGGGTAATTTCAAGGAGCTCAAATTTTCATCCAAAATATATTCTAATTATTGAGCCCAAAAAGCAACGAAGCTGCACAGGAACAGAAGAATAGGGTGGGGTTGAGGTCCATTCAGATCCCACTATCATGTTTCATTCGCTGGAAAGTCGACCCTCCGGCAGGACAGCCACCTCACCTCTTTATACAGTTGTTAGGGGGGAGTAACTTAAGCCGCAGCCTAAGTAAAAATATATGCGGTATGAGGCTTGAACTGCATGTAGAATAGCTATCCGAGATTGGGTTAGAATTTAACGATTTCTCTCTGATGGTCGTATTATCTCTAATTACCCAGGGGGCTAAGTCGCTGCGATCACTTTTTACACCAAAACACCACATCTTTGAACAACCGTAGAATGGTTAATTGTAAAGCCATTCACAAGTGAAATGTATATTTCGTTAGGTAATTGCATGCAATCTGATATTAGTTGTCACGGCACGGCGGTAGGCGCTGAGGCCCTACGGGTGCGTGACCATACTATAACCCACTATAGAATTGCAGCCTGACGGCTTGTAATTCTCGCATCCTTTTGGAAGGTGTGGTGCAGCGGTAGTGGGTGTTGCTAAACGCCGTCACATTAGTGTAGATGTTTTAGCCCAGAAACCTTACTTTCTACGCTACACCGTCGCAAATTAATTCCAAGTTAGCGTCCTTTTAGCTTTCTTGACTTCTTTCCTCCCTACCTCTGAGTATGTATTGTGTTGTACCCCCACCATGTCTACCTATACCGAAGACGATATGCTTAATACATACCTTAATGTCATAGATAATAAGCTTTCGATTCGAAAATCTGCTCAAAAACATAGTATACCGTACACAACACTAAACGACAGACTCAAAGGAATACCCCCTAAAGATGAGGCTGATCAGCCGCATCGTCGCCTTACGGCTGAAGAAGGAAAGCGGCTCATTCAATAGATCCTTCATCAAGAGAGCCTCGGCTATGCCCCTAGCCATTCGCAAGAATGTAATATTGTCAGAACACTACTTATAAAAAAGGGAGATAAAGAAGTCCTAGGGAAAAAGTGGACTGAGGGCTTCAAAGCTCGTAATCCCGAGATAAAAGCCAAAATAGGCAAGAGAATAAAAGCCGCTCGGTTCAATGGCTTCACTCCCAAAGCCGTCAACTGGTATTTTGACATTAGGGAGAAAGAATACGGCTGGGTTAGGCCTAAGCTCACTTTTAACGTCGATAAGGCCAGCATTATAGCGGGCTTTGGTAAGAAAAGAGTCTCCGTAATGTTTTCTGCGGCTAATTCTATATAGGGCTTGACTCTTTAGTCTTAAGGAGTTCAGAGACCAGAAAAACATACCTCAAAAGTAACCAGGGCCGTGGCTAGTCTACTACAATCGAATACATTAGTATAGACGGCAAATTGCTTAATCCGGTGTTACGGATCCCTGAAGGGATGCACCTCGGTAGGTCCTGCTGAGTCAATCTCGGCCAATCAGGAGTGTCCCACGCCTCTAGCGCGGGACATAGGACCGGGCCTGGTTAACAGCCAATAAGAGGTGTCCCGTTTCCCGTTCGCGGGACACGGGACCTTTCTTTCAGGTCCCGCGTCCCGGGCACGGGGGCCGGGACCCTGCGACCATTTTTATTAGTTCTACAGATAGATATATACGATGACCGTACCCACGGTCTTAGATAGTTCTTGCTTGGTTCTGCAAGCAAGCAATACACATTCACTACACTCATACACTTTGAGTGGCATTCCAATTTGACTGTATTACCCGTGCGATAGGAGCTTGCCCTTTGTTCTATCTTCATAATTACCAACCCCAGCATCCTGTGGAGCCCGTGCTCCCTTACAGACAGACGACCCTAACAGTCGAGTGGTTTGTAATAATTATCCATAGATTCAATAAGATAGAAAAAAGATCCCAGAACCCCCGGCCCTTCCTGAAGTCCCTGACATCCCCGTGTTAAGGCCGCCCGAGTAGTTGACGGGCTTCAAGCCAAGTTGGTTTTGAAGCAGGCACGAATCGAAACCCTAGAGGTCGAACTGGAACGCTTGAAGCTAAAGAAAAGGAGGAAAATTCCAAACCTGAATAACCGGTTCATGACTTTGGCTACCATACTACTGGGTGGCGAGGCTCCCGCAGAGCCTCAAGTTGAGGCTCAAAATGCGGCCCAAAATCAGAGCCGCAAGAAGAAGAGGTGGATGAAAAAGACGATGAGGATGACGCTGCAGATGACGACATTCCACCTGAAAGAATGACTAGGTCAGGGCGTGCAACTAGAGTGCCGGTACAATACATAGATTGAGCGACTAATTAGTTACATTTGCCACGTTTTATTTGTAAATAGCTTTACAATTCACCATCCTATGGCTGTTTAAAGTTGTAGTGTTTTGGTGTAAAAAGTGATTGCCTAGCCTAGGTGATCGGGTGGGGGAGATGGTACCTGTTTCTGGCCCCCAAGGCAAATGTAGCCCTCTTACACTTCTCCAGATTTACTCGCTGCTAATTGAGTCTATCATAATATGTAAAACGCGGGTTGAGGCATGATCCAAACGCGTTCTATATAAGCAGACGTGAAACAGGTGTTCAATCGTAGCAAACTTGGAATTTGGGCTCAATTCCACTTTCTTCTTACAGCCTTTCTTATTCTTAATTTCGGCCTTAAGACCTTCATTTTCGCGTCGCAGCTTAGCCAATTCGAAATCCTAACGCTAAATACCTTCTGGACCTTCCTAAACAGCGTATGGCGTATACGGCGAGCCGCCGAATACATGTTCAATTTCGCCAGGGAGACCGTAAGGTCTGTGACCTTGTGGGGGAAAAGTTGCGCTACATAAGCAGACAAAACATCTGCTTGCTGCCTGTATAACAGGGCAACTGCAACTAAGGTTTATAGGTATCAAATACAGTCTCCCGTATGTTATCCACATATCTTAACTAACTTTATCTAGGTACATAGTCCCTTACAATGGCCTCTATCACGCTAATAGGCAAGCTCCGAATGTACTTCGAGCAAAACTCTTCCTCCTCGCACGCATGACCCGCTTCCGACTGGCCGGCCAGGAGCTCATCCGTATCGATCTTCTCAAAGTCCTCCTCTATTCCGTTGGCCACGTTGAAAACTAGGACTCGGTTCCAGACGTGGCCGTAATGGACCACGTTAAAACATGCCCCGTCGTACTACCTAAAGGCCGCATTTATTCACCAATTCTCACGTATCGTATTGTCCGAGACTTGGCTCGGGAAGATTACCCCGAGCCTGTTTTTATTTCTCGGCCTTGCAGAACCCCTTGCGATCATCGAACCGGATATGCTGTTGCTTGGCTTTTAGGGGCTGCCTAAGCACAGAAGTGGATTCATTCCTTGGCAGCTTCGCAATTGGAGGACCGAGAATGGTCAGCAGCAGGGTCGCACAAGGTCACAACGTTGCACACAAGCTTTCCGCGTAAGAGCCTCATTGGTTAATCCGGATCTCGAAGGATCGCGCAAGCCACCCTCGACATACTAAGCAGTGAAATTGCGGTTGCATTGACACTTGCCTACCTTCCCTCCCTGGGACTGACTGTAGGCAGCCAACAGGCTTGGCTACAAATCAATCGTGGATCACCAACAAACCCTTTCGTTTTTTTTCCTTTCACTTTTTTACCTTGTCCTTTCTCTCAGACTCGATTTCGCGTCCTTGCCTTCAGTTCCGGCGTTACTTTCTCGTATTTTTTTTCTCGTATTTTGAACCACACATTCTTTACCGACATTTCTGCAAAAAGGTCCACCATGGCTTCCTTTGCATCGCTTCCTGCGGGACGACTTTTCTCGACGGCCATCCTGGCCTTCCTCTCCTTCTCCACTCTCGCCAGTGCCCAGGTCCTCGCGCGCGCCCAGGCCGACGCGCTCGTCACACCCGTCGCGGAGCTGGTTCCCCGAGCCACAGACAGCGCCATTATTACCAGCGCGAGCACTCGGGCCAGAGGCGGCGACTGCGCTGCTTCCCTCTCGTACGACCTCTCTCGTCTGGAGCGGTGGGCATTTCTGCAGCGGGCCGCTAACATTGGGTCCCAGAGAATTCGCCTCTTGCGTCATCAGCGACTACGCGAGTGACGATCCATGCATGGCCACGACTCGCAGTGTCGCCGGCTTTGATTCTACTTGCGGGTGCAGCCAAGCTACGTCCGTGTTCAGGTGAGCCCCCTTTCCCAGACCCAAAGCGTGCCCTTGATCGGCCCAGAGTTCTGACTTGTGGGGTGCCGTTCCATCAATCACCAGCTGCTTCACGAAATTCTGCACCACGGGCACCGATTTCCCCACCTACTACGCCCCCGTCAGCGCATGCGCGGCGGGTGGCTTCGGGGCGGTTCCGGCAGCGCTGACGGGCGCGGCAGCAAGCATTGTGTCGACTTCGAAGCTCTTCCCGACTTCGCCCAATTCGCTGGCCAAGCAGAACGCAGCGCCGCCCACCGCCGTGGGACCCAGTGAGGCTGGCATCTGGTCCCTATGGGTTGGGCTAGGTCTGGCATCCTTTGTGGCTATGCTTGTGTGAGGCACGAACGTCCAGGCGTCGAGATACGAAAGGAAACGCTTCGTCGGCTGTCTGTGGCTGTCGACCTGTGTGGTGTCTGGCTTATTTTGGTGTTGATGGAAGAATGCTACGATAAAACGATTAAAAGCGGGATAGGTGCAAAGCGCGAGGGGTAAAAATGCATGCATATTAAGAATTAAGGAGGCTTGTTTCACGTCTGCTTATTGGAACGCGTTGGAATCATGCCTTAACCCACGGTTTACATATTCTGATAGCCGGATCTGAATGGACCTCAACCCCACCCCCTTCTTCCATTGCTGTGCAGCTTCGTTGATAGTCGGATCTGAATGGACCTCAACCCCATCCCATTCTTCTATTGCTGTGCACCTTCGTTTATAGTCGGACCTGAATGGACCTCAACCCCACCCCATTCTTCTATTGCTGTGCATCTTCGTTGTCTTTTAGGCTCGATTCGAGAGCGCTGCCCCAATAGCAGATGTGCTTGCCTAATTCCCAGAAATACTTAGCATGGTGGCAATAACAGGCAAAGATTTCCGAGCCCTTACCGTCCATTGCGACTACCTTGTGAGAAACGCCCGTATCCACGACTTTGGCGAGTTTCTATGGAATACAGGGTTAGCTCCAGTAACCAACTATGGATTGGTCGTGAACGTGAGTAGTTTGTTGGGTAACCTACCAGGCAGTCATTGCAAAGAGAATGCCCCTCTATAAGATGCTACTTCTTATCGCATGGTTTGAAGGGTCCCAAATCCGGCCGCAATCAAATTTGCGATCTTTGTTCTTGTCTGTCGGAATATTGCGCGAGAGGGACTGTAGTGATAATCGCAGTGGGAATCGGTCCACGATCGCATTAAACTTCCCAGTTGAATAATTACGTCAAGGGGGAATGGCGGAGCGCCATTTCATTATCATACCATTTGAGAAAGGGAGCTAGATAGTTGGAATGAAAAGTCGCTCTTGAGAACCTAATAATCTAGGTCTAGATTTTCATCTCTTTATTACTCCTCAGCGCCGAATATATTTAGGATGAAAATTTGAGCTGCCTCTTGAAATTACCTACTCAACTCTTTTATCTCTTCATCGTAGAAGTACTCCTCAGCACCGAAACGAGCTAGCTCCCCGCTTAACTGGCCTTTGGTCGCTCATACGTGAGTTTCTCACTGACAGATCTAGAACTCTGATCCAAGTTAACTAACCCCGATTTGGCCACGCCATACATTTAGCCAGTGCGCTTTCAATGTGCCAGCCCGGCCGTTAGAGTCGAATACCTCTAAAGGTGTCAAACCGTTTGAAAGACCGGGAGGCATCTTTTCCGTCGTATTTTCCGTTTGGGAGATTTCTGGTACGTAACAGGGCCACTTTAGAATGGCGCGTTTACGGGTGTTGATATACGCCAACAACGGCCTAGTGCTTGCATGCTACGGATTAGAACGCAGGCATATAACTGCCACAAGCAGGGATTTCCGCCCTTCTTCCCTCTACAGTACATCATATTCTACCCTCTGATTGACTTCGTTGAACGTAACAATTTCTCGATGACTTCAGCCGGCCCCAAGGTAACTGGTTGCGAAGAGGAAATTAATTAAATTTGTCCCAGGTCCGGACACCTAGGATCACGCTCAGAAGTTGGAAAACGAGCTCTCCAAGACGGAGGACACAGCTACCGGAGCTCTAGACATGGTACTGTAAGAGGAAGTAACGTATAATATAGACACACCCTTATCCCCTAACTACAACATGCTGATAGTCGTTAGTTCTTCTCATTATTACTCGAATAATACAAAGAGATGGTCGTTAGTTCTTCTCATTATTACTCAAATAATACAAAGGGAAAATATCCCAGACGTCTCTTATCCCGACCCCCAGCAAGAAGTAAACATCCCACGCCATTATGCTAAAAACGTCGAACAGTGGAGGTATAGATACTGCGCCATACGCCAATAGACCAAAGCACCCTGACAGCCAGCACATATTCAAGCTAAAACAAACAACCACAGGCCCTCCATTACGCGGGCGCCTGCACCATCCGGAACCCTTCCGACACAACCTTGGCAATGTCTTCGTTCTTGTGCTGCAGCAGGCCGAGCGCAAACGCAACATCGTTCCAGTCGCGCTCGTTGTCGCAGCGCGAGAGCCGGGCCGCCAGCTTCTCGGCCAGTTGCTTGGCATGCTTGTCCTGTATTGGTGTCGGTCAGTGTGCCACACGAAAAAGGAATACCCGAGACAGAAACATACCTTTTCGACGAACCCAAGCAGGAACCTGACGATGCGGCGGAAGCTCTCGTTGTCCATCGACTGGTCCGCCAACAGCAGGCTGAACATGTCGACAAAGTGGTTGTAGACGGCATTGTCCTTGGTGCTGAGCTCAGTGAAGAACATGCGCGCCAGATCGGCGATGCGCTTGTCGTCGTCCTCGAGGCACTTGGCCATCTCGCCGAGCTGGCCCTTGACCTTGACCTGGCCAGCCAGGATCAAGAAAGTCAGCGTCATGAGGCACGTGCGCTTGACCGACGGCTCTGGATCTGCCAGGCGGCGGTACAAGAAGTCTGTGTTCTCGTCAATGAGATGGTTGAAGCAGACCGCCATGTCGCCAAGTGCAATCACGGCATTGCTACGCACGGTGGCATCTGTCGAGCGCTCCATGATGGTGATGAGCAGAGGCAGATGCGCCTCGCAGTACTCGGACGACACGCACATCAGCTTGGCCAGGCAGAGCGTCGCCGCCTGCTGCAGCTCGCGGTCCTTGTACGTCGTGTTGTTGGCGCATATCTCGCTGACCATGGGCCCGAACATGGCAAGAAGGGAAGTCGGCCCGTAAAGCAGCTCGCGCTCCCGGATGTGCGCCATCGCCTCTGTAAAGTCATCCTCGGTCGTGCCACCGATGAGGTCAAGCTCGTCGCCTTCGTCTTCCTCCTTGGGCTTCTCCTTGGCTTGGGCAGAGGATTTGCGGCTCGTAGGGGCTGCAGAGAGCGACGCACGCTCCTTGGCCGCCTGGTCGCTCTTCTCCTTTTCTTGCTTACGGCGCTTAAAGTTGAGCTCGCACAGCTCGAGGTGCACGATTTGCTTGATGGCGACGTGTCCGACGATAAAGAGCAGCTGCGACAAGGCGACGGCATTGTCTTTCTTTTGTCTCTTCACCGGACTTGCCGGTGGCTGCTGTGACTGTCCGACGACGGCTGCGTCGCCTCCCTCTTCTTCATCAGCAGGGCTGGACCCGGGCCTGACCGAGTCACGAGAGCTGGGGCGAGAGCTCGACGGCGAAAACACAGCCTTGGTCCGGCGGCGGATGATCTCAGAGCAGAGAACATCGGGGTGTCTGGAGATGGCGTAAATAGCGTTGATGGCTTGCTCTGCGACGCCATACCACTCCTTGCTCTCAGTGGGCACCTCGGTGATCGCCGCCAGCCTTACCAGAACAGCGTGTTCATTTGGTAGCCTCGAGAACTGAAGTGTCGGCTCTTTGACCTGGCGACCACTGGGATTGAAGCGGCGAAGAGCGACGCAGGTGTACTTGGCCAGCTGCAAATCATCACGCCCGTGCTGGCCGAGCCCGGTGCGCAGCATTGTCTCCATCTCGCCGACCACGATCTCTGGGTTTGCCGTCGCAAGCATGCCGAGAACGATGATGGCGCCCCGTCTCTGGGTCCGCGAAATCTCCCGTTTCTGAACTCCGTACACCTGCCAAAGTTTCGCGATGACAATATCGGGGATCATGCCGCCTTTCATCATGGTGCTCAGCAGCTGTTCAAGCGAGGTGAGCTCTGCCGGCGTGGCCCCAAAGGTAAGACTGATCATGTTCCTGGCAATGTAGTTCGCAGCGTCGTTCGGGCTGAACGTATCTGGAGCCTCGAAAAACAGGCGTCTGTAGCAGTCGATGAGGTGCGTCTGCACGCCCTTGCCCTCGTCACTGTTACCCTTCGTCCAGATCAGCTTGAGCATGCGGCGGATGCCCAGCTTGTTCTGCTCGATATTGTATGCGTCGCCAATCTCAAAGTAGTCCATGGCTTCGATGACCTCGCTCTTGTTCTTTGACCCGAGCAGTTGGCAGATCATGCCTGTAGACTCGTGCAGCACGTCGATGAACTTCAGCGCCTCGCTGTAGTACCGTTTGGTGAGGGTGAGCTTTTCGATGGCTTCTGATGTCGCAGCCTCTTCTTGCGCTTTTTGGATGGCTGCTAACTTTTCCTCGTCCGTCATCTCGGCAGGTTGCTTCCTCGGCGACTCGATCTGAGTAACATCGTCGAGCAGCGCTTGGTCGACCGTGGTATTTCCCTGGTCTCCATCGAGTCCGGGAGCATCAACAGGAGGCTTCAGGGCATTGAGCTCAGCCTCAACCTTGTCGAGACGCTCCTGCCAGTCTTTCCTTGCAAGTTGCGCGCCATGCAGCGCGGTGAAGGGATGCGTCCTGATCAGAGTGCCAAGAAGCTTGACAGCATTCCTTCTCACGTGGCTGCTTTTGTCCTCGAGACTGCGGCACGCAAGTTCGGCAGCCTTCTGCCTACGTTTGGGGAACTTCTGGTCCAGTTCGCACAACTTGACATAAACCTGGATGGTTCTGCACCGGCAGTAGGGGTTGATGTCGAGGAAACGCTCTTCGAGCACGTCGAAGAAAGCATTCATCTGGCTCTTGTGGTTCTCGCCGCGCTCGTCCGATTTGGTGAGGTGGGCAAGCATGTTGCCGAAAACTTCAATCAACGCGGACCGCAGGGTGTACGACTACAGAATTAGCAACTAGCACCCAGACAACACCTGCGCCGTTCAGCCATGACATACCTCGCTGTCTAGCTGCTTGGCTAGCAGAGTGACCTGCTTAATGACAAGTCTGGGAGCCAACTCGGAGAGCTTGACCATGAAGCTTGAGACGGACTTCGGCCCCCTGGTGTCGTTGCCATTGAACTCTCTGTTGCTGAGTTCTCGTAGAATCTCGTCGGCCAGCTGGGGGTAGTCGTATTGCTCGGCCAGAATATGGAGAAACTCGGCCATTGGCTCGGCGAGGTGTTCGAAATAGGTCAGGTTCTGGACGATGGAAATTTGGGCAGCTGATGCGCGTTAGTAACTTTTTCCCTACGTAAAAGAACGGCACCACACCCACCGTATCCATGGCCATGGTGCTTGACAGCGATGCACAGAACCTTGAAGGTGTGCATGCGAATGCTGGTATTTTTGACGCGCTGTTCGCTTTCGAGAATCATGTAGACGGGTCGCGTCAGGAGCCCGATAAAGGTGTCCCGCTCAGAAGTGGTCAGAAAGATCTTGCCCAGCTTCAGCCGAAGCACCTTACACATCGTGTTGAGCGCCGTCTCGAGCTGCGTCGACGAGTCCCAGCTGCCGTCCTTGTTCGCGCCCGCATCTTTCTTACCCTTAGGCTTGCCGCGACCTCGTGTGGACAGTGTGGCCGAGGACTTCTCGGCAGCCTTTGTTTCGACGGCTGCAATGGTCCACTGGAGGAGGAAGCCGTAAATCTCGAGCAGCTGCTTGTGGTGTGCGACGAGCTCCTGCTCGTCGGATTCGAGGTCGTGGTGGATGGCATCGGCCTCGGCGGCGAGGCCCGAGGTGATCAGATCAAACATCTTGCTCAGCGCATGTGCAGAAAGGAAGGAGGTGTACCTGGATTGTTCGAACAGTTTAGAAAGCGGTTCTCGCGGCAAGCGGCGCGCATCAGAATCGCGAGGGCGCAGGGGACGAACAGGGGTGGGTAGTAATGCCCCGAGCGATAAACAATCTTGCGAAGAATAGGGAGGGGTAGAGGAAATGGGTGCACACTTTAACAGGAACTGCAACGAGTCGAAGACGTGACTGCGCGTGATGGCATCCAGGTTGTTAGCAACAGCGTCGACAATGGGGTTGAGGACGCTGTTGACGATGCCGTTGTCTGTCAGCGACTCGGGGTCGTTCTCGCAATCGACCAGCGCACCGTCAGCCTCGGGCGTCGGGATGCTAGCCGGATCGCTCATGTAGTGCTTGAGGGCATCGTTGATGTCGAACGTGATGTTGTCCATGGCGGGCAACAAGAGCCTGGGCGGCGGGGTACGACGTCGCGGGGCGCTGCAGGACACCGCAGCGGTCGGTAGTGGGCGACGAGGTAGGCAGTGACACAGGGAGAGGCAGTAGCACAGGGAGAGGGAGGGAGAAGTGCAGAGGCGATCCTGTCAATGGAATGCAAAAGGTAGTGGGCCGCCTGCAGGCGCTGTGATGATTGTCGCAAACCCAAATTCGTGGTGGATTTGGAGTCTCTGGGGTTTGTGAAGGTTTGTGACGAAAGCCGGTCCGTTCGTTGCTGGTGCGCTTGTTTTGCGCCTGTTTGCGCTTTCCCGTTCCCTGTAGTGGGGGACCCTAGCAACGGCGGGCTTTGTTTGTTGACTTTGCGCCAGTCGCGCTGGCTGGTTTGGGGTTGCTCGACCCACTGCGAACCGCGTCATGGCCCGTGCGCCCACTGCCCCTCCATCGCCGCTGCCTCTGCTCGGTTCGCAACTGCCATGCAACCACGCAACAATTGATTACCAACGGCACACCACATCAATAGCGGACAATCCCTGCCAATTGGCTTCCTTCTCCTGCAACGCGATACGTGAGAGGTTCGGGCGAAGCTTTGCGTGCTGCCGAGAGTTTATGCACCGCCAATAACCTTTGAACCGGGTTGGGGTTGGCTTTTGGTGGCTTTCGTTTTCCTTGCCGCTGTCGCTCGTCAGCCGTCGCATCAACCTGTCCTAGTCGCAGATGGCCACCGCGGTCGCTGCCCGTCGCCGCCGAGCAGATTCGTTCCGAATCCACGAGGATGTAGCAGCAATGGATGACGCCGAAATGCACGGGGAGGCCCTAAAAGAGGAGGAGAATGGGACATACAGAGACGACGAGGAGGAGAATGGGACATATAGAGACGACGAGGAGGAAGTTGAGCCGGCAGACGACCAAGAATCCAACTACTCGGAGAGCTCCGAGGACGAGCCGGTGATCGACGTCAATATCCAGCACGACATGGAGAAGTTGCAAAGCTCTTTCTCCGGCCTCCGCCATCGATACCGGCTCATCAAGCGCATTGGTGAAGGTTGGTGGGAACAGTCGGGCTCTGGCGAATCGCACTGCTGACCAACTGCCACGCAGGCACCTTCTCTACCGTCTACAAAGCCGAGGACCTCCAGTACGATCATTTCGATAACTCGTGGGATATCGAGAAGGAGAACGAGAAATGGACGCCTCCTCCCCTCAAGAGCTTTACGAGCCAGTCCACCACGACACTCGGCCTGGCCGCCGAAGACCCGAGCCAGCACCTCCAGCGACGCCGCAAGCCCAAATACGTCGCCATCAAGAAAATCTACGTCACTTCTTCTCCGACGCGCATCCTCAACGAACTCGAGCTGCTGCACGATCTCCGTGGCTGCAGCTCTGTGTGCCCCCTCATAACATCCTTCCGCCAAACCGACCAAGTGGTGGCCATCCTGCCCTACTTCCGCCACGCCGACTTTCGCGAATACTTCCGTAAGATGACAGTCCGCGACACGTCCATCTATCTCCGGTCGCTCTTCTCGGCTCTGGCCAGCGTGCATTCTCGCAACATTCTACACCGCGACATCAAGCCGACCAACTTCCTCTACGACCCCCTCACGCAGCGGGGCGTGCTCGTCGACTTTGGCTTGGCCGAGCGTGAGGGCCTTGACTGCAAGCCGTGTCTGTGCCACGAAGATGCGCTCATGCGCAAGACCCGGCTCCGCAATGCCGTCATGGGGAGCACCGCGCCGGCCGGGGGATATCCGAAGCAAGACACGCGCCCCTCTCGCAGAGCCAACCGTGCCGGCACGCGCGGCTTCCGTGCGCCCGAGGTGCTGTTCAAGTGCACGGAACAGACGACCAAGCTCGACATCTGGAGCGCGGGCGTCATCCTGCTGACGATATTATCCCGTCGTTTTCCCTTCTTCAACTCGGCCGACGACGTCGAGGCCATGATCGAGATTGCCACCATCTTTGGGCAGAAGCGCATGAAGGCCGCTGGCCAGCTGCATGGCTGCTCCTTCGAGACGACCATCCCTACGATCGGCACGTTTGGCTTCAGCTTCGAGCGCATCGTCTTGTGGAGCACGTGTCGCAGCGATACGGGTGAGACCCTGTCCAAGGACGAGAAGTTGGCGATCGACTTCCTCAACAAATGCATGGAGTTGGATCCCAGCCGGCGGATCAGTGCCCAGGAAGCGTTGTCGCACGACTTCTTGCGCATGGGGCTAGAGGATGAAGTGTCGCCGGAAGAAGAGGAGATGGATATCATGATGGCCTGAAGGCCCGCTCAGCATGAACACGGAGCCGCTTTTTATTTTTGTTGTTTGGCCCTTGACTGTATCATAGCCTGTAAATAGGGGTTGGTGTTGTTGCGGCGCGTTCCTGGGGTGGAGTTGCGGCGCTTTGCTGGGGAGGAGTTGGGGCGCGCTACTGGGGAAGAGTCATGGGATGGCTGCCGTTGGAATTGGGACCTGTCTTTATCAATCAGCCAAGGTACGAGAAGCCCCGCTCGCGAGCTGGCTTTATCTGTTTGTTGCCACTACAGACTTCGGTCCGGTTACTGTATCTAGGTATGTATTGTTGACCCGAACCAGCCTGCATCTTGAAGCCCCTTTTCCCATCCCGCGGGAGCACGTGACTTGCTCTCCGTCCGAACTTGACCCCAAACCATCAAAATTGGGGCCGAATATTCTCATTTTCCGTGCCGATGCCAGATCTTGCGCCTCCAAGGTATTGCGACAACAATTGCGACATCTCTCCACGGCCACCTCAAACTGCCGCCGTCAATTGTCATGATTTATTCTGCTACTCTACTTCTTCTTTCTTCGAATCCTAGCCCGTTACCCAACTAGAAAGTCGCAATCTTCGTCAGTGGCCATGACGGCAGCAACGACAAATCCTGACAATGACTTGCGAGTCGAGGCGCTTGACTTCCACCACCCTTTCACTCCTTACAATGTCCAACTCCAGTTCATGAGGGCCGCGTATGATGTGCTAGAGAAAGGAAATGGCCAGGTGGGGATTTTGGAAAGCCCCACGGGAACGGTGAGTCCTTTCTTATCGCACTTTCACTGCTCACACCGAGCGCATAATATTTTATCTAGGGTGGGGATATCATTGGAGTGGGTAAAGATGTATCGCAGTGCTAACAATAGGCTGTTCTTCCCTCGAGCATAGGGGAAATCCCTCTCTCTGATCTGCTCGACCCTGACGTGGCTGCGCAACCACAAGCGACAGCAGTATGAGGCCACGTTCGAAGCGACGGCGGCAGGTATGGAGGGCGAGCCCGACTGGATGGTCGAAGCCACGCTGCGGCGGAAGCGAGACGAGCTGGCGAGGCGGTGGGAAGAAAGAGAAGCGCAGCTCGAGCGCGTGCGAGCTCGAGAAAAGGATTTGGAAGAAAAGGCCGGTCGCGCCAGCAAAAGACAGCGTTTGGACGACGGCGATGATGAAGGCCCCTCCTCAAAGGGAAAACGGAAGGCGCTGGATGAAGAAGCCGAGTTCCTGATTGATGACTGGCATGATTCCACTGACGGTGTGTCGGATGACGACCCGTTGTCTCAGTTGAGCAAGGAGACGAGAGCCTTGCTGGCCAGAGTCGGACTCGGCGGAGCAAAGAAGATTGAGGAGGAAGAGTACGAGGCAGAAGATGAAATAAAGGCTAGTCGCGACCTCACGAAACCTGTTTAGGCCACGTGGCTAACTCGACAATAGATATACTACACATCTCGGACACATTCGCAACTAACTCAGTTTATCGCGGAGCTGCGGCGACCAACGTTTCCCCCATCTATTCCATCAGAGTTGCTCTCGAAGGGGGGCCAAGGAGACCGGCAGAGCAATGAGGTCGTGAAGCAGCTGCCCTTATCCTCACGGCAAAAGCTGTGCATCAACCCGGCCGTCTCCCGGCTTGGATCTCTTTCGGCGATCAATGATCGCTGCACAGAGCTGCAACAATCAAAATCAGACGCAAAATGCGCCTTTATGCCGAATGCCGACAACCTGAAGCAGACCCACCAGTTCCGTGATACCGTCTTGGCAATGGTCCCCGACATTGAGGACATGTACCGGATAGGAAAGCAGATACAAGTCTGCCCATACTACGCCTCGCGGACGGCGATTCCTGGCGCAGAGGTCATTACGCTGCCCTACCCACTACTCCTGCAGAAAAGTGCCAGAGATGCACTCGGCATCAAGTTGGAGGGGAACGTTGTCATCATTGACGAGGCTCACAATATTATGGATGCCGTGGCAAACGTATATGCCGCAGAGATCTGTCTAAGCGAGCTCAGGAGAGCGAGGCAGATGCTGGGTGCGTATGTGAAGAGGTTTGGGAAAAAGCTGAAAGGCGAGAACCGGGTCATGGTTGCCCGAGTTGGCAGGGTGGTGGAATCGCTGAGTGAGTGGCTGGATGGAGCGTCGAGCTCAAAGGTACAGCGATGAGTCCCAAGCCGCTAAAGTGGCCATCATGAACCAAGACTGACGGATACGCAGGTCGATCAAGGGATTGCGGACCCCAATATGCTCCTAAAGAGCCGCGGCGCAGACCAGACCAACCTGTACAAGCTGATCCGGTACATACAGGAGTCCAAGCTGGCATATAAGATCGAGAGTTATATGAGCCACGCCGAGAGCGAACAGGACCCTTCGACGGCCAAAAAAGGTACCCGTTCGAGTCCAGTACTCCACACCTTAGTCTCGTTCCTCACGGCACTTACGAACCTGAGTGCCGAAGGCAGGATATTCTACGAGAAAATCGCAGGAAGCCCGCCAGACATCAAGCTCTCCTATCTGCTGCTCTCGCCGACGCACGCCTTCTCCTCTATCGCATCCAGCGCGCGCGCAGTGATTCTCGCTGGCGGGACCATGTCGCCGTTTGATGACTACAAAGCACATCTATTTCCCACTTTTAGCCCAGAGAAGATCACGACGCTGAGCTGCGGCCACGTCATACCATCCTCGAGCCTCTGCGTGTGGACGCTGGCGTCGACAATGCCGATACCAGCGGGTAGCAGCAGCAACGCAGCCGCGCCTGACGCCTTCGAGTTCAGCTTCCAGAAGCGCAGCGACCGCACCATGATCCGGCAGCTCGGCCTGGCCCTCCTCAACATGTGCTCCGTCGTGCCTGACGGCGTAGTGGTCTTCTTCCCGAGCTACGGCTATCTCGACCAAGTCGTGGCGGTGTGGCAGGCCGCCGACCCGTCCCAGCTGCCGTCCAAGCCAGAGAACAGCACCCCCCCCACAAAGCCACTGACGCTGTGGGACCGGCTCACCGCGAAGAAGTTTGTGTTTCGGGAGACCAAGGGCAGCTCGAGCGACGAGGTGCTGCAGAGCTACACCCAGGCCATACTCTCCCCTCCGCCTCCGAATCCCAGCAGTGCTGCCGCATCAGCAGATCCCAAGCCACGGCAGGCGGGAGCCCTGCTGCTGAGCGTCGTGGGAGGCAAGATGAGCGAGGGCATCAACTTTTCCGACCGGCTGGGGCGGTGCGTGGTGATCGTCGGGCTGCCGTACCCCAACATGCAGTCGGCCGAGTGGAAGGCGCGGATCGAGTACATCGAGTCGTCGACGGTAGCGCGGCTGATGGCAACGCACACGGATGCGACCAACGGCAACGGCGGCAACGGCGCGGCGGCGCCCGCAGGAGCGCCACCGACGCGCGAGCAGGCCGTGGCGCAGGCCAAGCAGGTAGCGCGCGACTTTTACGAGAACGCGTGCATGCGCGCTGTCAACCAGAGCATCGGCCGCGCCATCCGCCACCGCGGCGACTACGCCGCCATCGTGCTCGCCGACCGCCGCTTCGCCACCGACCGCATCCGCGCCAAGCTGCCGGGCTGGATCCGCGGCGGCATGGCGCCGGGCACCGAGGCCAAGGGGCTGCAGGGCCTGATGGGTGCGATGAGTGGCTTTTTCCGGGGGAAGAGAGGAGGCGCGGTAGATTCGTGTAGTTAGGCCAAAATTCAGCGAGCTATGTTATACCTTTTGAGATGTTCTTAACCTAAATTGTTCGAACTTTCCAAATGCCTCTCGAGCTAAACTTGCGTTTACCAAGAATTACAAGTGTAATTATAAACAAAATTTTCACTCGGCTTTTATTTTAGCTTCGCAGCGGCTCGTTCAAGCTTAAAAATTTTGACTCCTAAACTAGTCCGACTCCTAAACTCGTCCAACTCCTCTGATTTCTCACCCATGCCCAATAATAACACGGGCAAGACAAACCCGTCATGGCCAAGATGCACCCATTCTCCGCCATCCACCAAGCATGGAAAGACTAGAAAGCAGGCCGTGCGCTGCGCAAAAACACAAACACAAGCGCAGAAAAGCAACCCAAACCAACCGAAAGAAAAAGACACGACCCCTCGCCCTAGCCAGCACGGCCTTCCCCCAGACTCGGGTGTCATTTCGACCAGACGGCTTACCACGCAGGAAGCAAAGCATCTATCCCCCCTCCGCCTCGGCCCGCACGGCCTTCGCGCAAACGCGGGTGGAAGTTCGACCGGACGGCCGAGTATCCCTGGCGGCTCGAGCGGGTGGTCGACGCGGAGAGCAACTGGCGCGGGACGTGGGTGCTGGAGGTCAAGGACATGCAGGCCATGGTGTGGGAGACGGCGCGCGTGCCCAAGGAGCGGCGCGGGCGCGGGGGCAAGTACCAGCGGACGCCAACTAGGCAGTTACCGTTCATGCCCGAGCGGTTGCAGGGTGGTGACCTGGGCGGCGGAGGGCAAGATGATATGATGGTTTGGTCGGGGAAGAGGTGAGCGAAAGTATTTGGTAATTACAAGGCCTCGTGGGATGGGGGGCCATGGACAGAAACACTGGAGCGAACGCAAATAAGTTGGCTGCCCAGCCAGACTGGTGGAACCCGTTCTCTGACGTGCCAGTCTTTGATCTGACCCTGGAAGGATTCCAACTCGGGCGGTGGAACTTATTGATCAGTTCTGCAGAGGTTATGTAACATGAGAGAAAGGAGGAAGTCTATTCTAATTATCAAAAACGTCGGCCGACACTATAGTACATAATTATAACACGACGACTTGATCGGCTTTGAGGGATATAACTGGTGCATGATTAAGAACGGGGGGGGGGGTGCTTTGTATTCTTGCTGAGCCTATAGTATTTTTCACCTGGCTCTCGGGTTTCCCACAGCTTTAGGTTTCTCTGATAGGCCTTAAACTGATTAGGAGAAGTAATTCGTCTCTGGTGCAGGATCGAAACAGACTTCCTCAAGGAAAAGCAAGAAAAACGAGAAAAGCTAGAAAAATAAGACAAATTGAAAAAATTAGAAGGCAAGAAATTCGTAAACTATGAATGCATAAGCTGTGCCATTCCCTTGTCGCACCCAAAATTGCCCCCCCAGTTCCACTTCCTAGGCACTGCCTGATATACCGGTGCCTCTCCAACGTGATCGGCCCCCACAACACACAACCGGAGCCTCTAGATATAACCGAACCTTACCAAGGCCCCTCTACATCGTATTGAGGTACTTGTCGAAGCGGCTTGAGACCTTGATGACGTGCTTGAGATGGGCGTATGACATCTTGACCTTCTTGAACTTTGCCAGCTGGCGGCCCGTCGTGATGGCGTTGCGGATCTGGCGGCCGTTCATCTCCTCCTCGGCCAGCTCGGGGAGGTAGCACTCGATCTCGTCAAAGTCGATGGCGGCTGGCCGGCCATCGTCGTCGCCGTCGTCCTGGCCGGCAAACTTGCGTTTCCCAGCCCCTGTCCTTGCCTGGCCTTCAGGGTCAGCCTTGCGCTTGCCATCAGCAATCTCCTGGCACTCCAGCGCCTTAAGCCGGCCGAGGAAGTTCTTCCATATTTGGCCGCGCTGTAGCTTGTTGAGCGTATCGTAGTGCAGCGATAGTTGGATGCGTGACTTGAACGCCTCGTCGAAGGTCCCGACGCGGTTCGACGTCAGGATCAGGATTCCCTCATAGTACTCGAGCACGCGCAGGAAGACGGAGACGAGGGCGTTGCGCTCGAGGTCGTTGAGCGTTCGCTGCTCGAGGAACACGTCGGCCTCGTCCAGCAGCACTACGCATCCCCAGATCTTGCCCAGGTGCAGGACCGACTCGAGATACTTCTCCACGTCCTCGGGCTTGACGCCCACGTCGCCGCATGTCACGCGGAAGAGCGGCTTCTCGGCGATCTCGGCTACGCTCTCGGCCGTGAACGTCTTTCCCGTTCCCGGGCCGCCGTGGAGCAGGATGATGAGCCCGTTGCCCTTGCCCTTGATTAGGTCGGTGCTCTGTTCCGTCTGCAGCTTGCTGGTGACGAGTGCGTGGATCAGGTCCTTGGTCTCTTGGTCGACGACAAGATGCTCGAACGCCTCCTTGTTCCACGCCACATCCTGGATGCGGTCGACTCTCAGGTCTTCTGCAAACGGGGGAAGTAGGTTAGTTGCTGACAAGGGTTGGAAGAAAACTTCGTCAGGTCTACTCACGCCACTTCTTCTCTCGCAAATTGTATGCGACAAGCATGCTCGGGAAGATCAACAGCTCCGGGGCCGGGGGCGGCTCGTTGCATCTCATCACCTCCGGCGCCATCTCCCTCCGGTTGGCCTGGTTCATGATCATGTTTTTGTACTTCATAGTGTCTGTATGCAGTTTCTTGTACGTGTCGAAATCAACCATATACCTCTCGCCTTGCTAGTCCGGATTAGTACGTGACAACCTCGGTTCCAAAGTCGTCTGAACTTACCCCGGAGAGGTTATTTCTAGTCCCGTCGTTGTCATACGAGACCAGCTTTGTGTGTCGACAAGCCCACCACATGACACCCCGGCGCTCGAGCCTGGCACGGAAATCTTCGCCTGCAGACCTCAACGGCACGACTTGGAGTGTCGCCATGTCGAGGTCTGGCTGCCCGTCCTCGTACTCCAGCTTGATGTCCAAAGTAGAATATTCGCGGTAAAATGCGCCATCGTATTTGTAAGACCAAGCCCTCACGGTCCAGGTTTCGGTCATCTTTGCTGGCTCGCTCGCGGAAGGGGATGGCCGGGCATCTATTTTGGGCGAGGCTTTCATGGTCCAGGAATCGGCTATCCAGCCTTGAATTCCCTTGCTGCTCTTCTCGAGCAGAACCTCACCGGGCCTCACCAAGTAGGGCATCGCAGAGCTCGAGATGCGGCCGTTCGAAAGCTGGCGGTCTACTTCGCTGTGGACCCAACCGTAGTTCTGATCAATCCACCCGGTAAGCAACTGCATCTGAGTCCTATTGGGTTCTTGCAGTGCCTCGAGGTTCGCCGTGGGGCGGTGGCGATACCAGAACAAGTAGGGGTACTCGATAGGGACGCGCGAGTTCCACATGGGAAAGTCTAAGAAGAATGAGGGTTGAACGGCAGTAAAGGCGTTGAATGCAGCGACCATCTCGTCAGAAAGCAATGCGATAGTCTCTCGAGCCGGGACAGGGTCGGGGAGCGTGGCGCCATCGTCTAGGGCCTTCTTGATGTCCTTTTGTTGGTGGGCGGGAGTAAAGTGTCGGTAGACAACGAAAGCTACGTCGGGCCTCTGTCGAAGGTATCCGAGCTCATCTGCGAGCGGCAAGTTTCCTTTGAAGCACGGTTCCTTCCGCGCGGTGGAGCTCCACGAAGGCTCGGCCAAGTAAGCTGCTTCGTCGCCTTCGATTTTATAAAGAATCTGCCACGTGACGGATCTCATGGCGCTCTGTCGGAGGTTCCGAACTTCTTCTTCTAGCTGGGCCACACGGTCGATCAAGTACTTGGGGGCCTGTGCCTGAGCCTGGGCCTGGAGGTCGGACTCCTCGCCGACAGGCTCTTCGGCAGCGGGTGCAGCTGTGGCGGGGACACCTGGCGCAGATGTGCTTCCATTGTTAGCTGGCCGTGCAACGACCGCCGGACTCGGATTGTCGAAAGATCCCATGACCACGGAAGCGTCGTGTTCCTTCCTGGCCATCATGAGTCTCTTCTTGTTCTGTTGCTCCAATAACATGAGTTGCATCTGATAATCCTGAAGTGCGTAGGCCCCTCCCACAGGAGCGGGCTGGTCGGTAGGATGGCTAGGCAGGAGCGCCCCAAGTCTTTCTTTCTCAAACGAGCTCGCTTCAGTCTGGTCACGGGAGATGGTCATGTGGCGGAGGTAGCCCCAGTTATCTTCGGCCGCCGAGCCAAGCCCCTGTTGCCGTTGTAGCTCGGCTATTCTTGTGGCCTGGCTTAGCTGTTGCTGATGCTGTGTCCCAGCTTGGCCCTGCATATGGAGATTCTGGGGCAGAGGCTGCACGGCTCCTCGCGCATGTAGATGCTGGGCCGCACGCTGCTGCTGCTGCTGCTGCTGCTGCTGCTGCTGCTGCTGCTGCTGCTGCTGCTGCTGCTGCTGCTGCTGCTGCTGCTGCTGTTGTTGTTGTTGTTGATGAAACCGCGGCCGTTGGTGTTGTTGTAGTAGCTCAAGCTGGTCCTGGGGATGTAGCATCCGCGGCGCCGGTTGCTGCTGTTGCTGGATCCCAATTTGCTTCAATACCTGCTGCTCTCGCAAGTCATCATATTCGAGCAGATCTTGTTCCTGTGGCCGGGAGGAGCGTGGCGGTTAGACATATGCACGGTCGGGCACGCTTTGCCGGGCGTTGGTTGAAGGAGGAAGCAGGGGTACTGAGATTGAGATTACATACCGTTGGGCCCCGGGGAGAAATGGTGCCGGGCGATCGGTGGTCGTCGGGCCCTTGTCCCGTCTCGGGGGAGGCCGAATGAGATTCAGAATCCCACTGCTCGTGCTCCGCAATAGTAACCGGGACCCACTGCAGAGAATGGTCGTGTTCGTCGTTCATTTGGAAGCTGGGCGGATTTCTCCGGCTTGACTTCGTCTCGTGCAGTTCACCAAGTTTATGACGCAGGTAGGCAGGTATGAAGGCAACAGTTGCAGCTGGTCGGTCAGGGAGCTGAAGTGCAGATGCGACACGTCGAGCCGATTGCGAGAGACGACTGACTGGGAGGGAAGAAGAGAGGGCGAGGACTAACGCGTCGACCCCAAAACGCAAGATCAGGCGGCTGCTGCCTTCCAGTTGGGTGGCAGCCCGCCCTGCTTGAACTTTGTCTTAGGGTGTCAATTGGTCTGCCTGAAACTTTTGGCTCTCCAACGTCAACAATCTGATTGGACGTAAACGACTCTGTACGAATTAAAACACAGGCAGGGAAGTACCGCGAAGGTGCAGGCAGGTGCCAGACCCACCCCGCAAGGCAGGTGTGCTGCAGCGCGCACCACTGCTGCAGGCAAGGGGCGGGACTAGCCTAAACTGCTGCATAATGGCCTGGAGATCAAAGGCGGGACAGTAGGGTGTTGGTGTTTCTTTCCCATCTCGGGAATACCCTCGGGCCAGTTAAGGCGCCGCCCAATTGGCTGGCCCCCTGAAGTGCCTTAAGCTCCAGAAAATAAAATTACCCCAATCGTCGTATTTGTCGTCCCGGATTGCAGTGGCGTCCCGACTCTCGATGCCAGTTATCTTGCCAATGTGATTCGCCGCACCTACATACAATTTATACCTCGCCGTTCACGCACCATTTCACCTGGAACCTAGACTCAATAAGCTCTTTGGATAACATTTGTGCCTAGATTTGGAGGCGGTTTAAACAGGCCTTAGAAGGCGTAACTAACTGGAACCTAAAGTTTTCCATTGTGCCTGTTGTAGCCATTGTGGCCATTGTGACCATTGTTGCCTGTTTAGTGTTTTCCCAATTCGGCCGTCGGCATGCATGCAAGGCAGCCCATGGGGCAGTAACTGCGCCGTGTCTCCGATTCGTCAACGACCCATCCGTGGATGTAGTGGTATCCGAGCCCTCGCTGAGCTCTCGCTGAGCCGGCTGACTATGGCCCGTGCCCCCCCTTGCGCTCGCCGGCCTATCGTATTTTGGGATCTCCACACCAGGCCACCACACAAATGCAGCCTAGATCCCAGTCTCTCCATCCACTCAGCTGATTGCGCAGCTGAGTTGGGTCTAGTACGCTAGCGCTACAGCGCTTCCCAGTTAGACAGGCCGCTGTAACTAGCCTAGCTTGGCTGATCGAGCCGCTGTGGCCCCCCATTGACCGGCCTGCCCGCGGGGCGTGCCAGCGAGTTGGCTGCTCGAATGCGTATAAGGCCTATCGCTCGCTCCACGTCTGGCCGGCTAGCCGTAGAGCTAGCCAGCTTCCTGCGCATCTTATCAATCAATTGACCTCTTTTTAACTATGGCCCGCAAGCGACAGAGGGCGCCGGCGGCGCAGCCGGCTCCGGCTACGGCTCCGGCTGACGGCCAGAATGGGGATGTGATTACGGTTAGCGGCCTAACCCCTGTCCTAGGCTTGGGACGCGTGCAACGCGACGCACACAACAACGCAGAACTACACGCCAACGCGCAAAGCATCCTCTCGGTAATCCATAATATGCGGCCAAAGAATACGACCTCTACGTACGAGCCAAAGCAGCGGGAATTCCAAAATTTCTGTAGGCTACAGCAGTATTACGATGGGGATACCGTCACAGAAGACAAGCTCCTTTACTTCCTCACCAAGAGCGTCACCAGCCGGCCGTTACGAGCCAAAAGCCGGAAGGCGGCCGTGGATACCCCACAAGAAGAGACACGGCTAGCCTGGCGATCGGTCCGTAGCTATATCACGGCAATTACGGATCTCTACCGCACGCAAAAGGCATGCGGTATGAACATCCACCCATCTCCACGCGAAGACAATGTCCGGGACTATCTCAAGTCCTTACAGCGGCGCGATGCCGAGCAGGCCAAGACCAGCTATGCGGATAAAGGCTCTGATACTCTGCTGGATGGCTATACGGAGCTGGAGTTCGAGACGATATGCCACAAGCTGTGGGTACATACGGCCACCGGCCTAGCCGAGAGCCACCTACGGACCCTTGTCGACCTGCTTCTTGGCCACTATATGCTTACACGTGGAGGCGACCGGAGGGCTTTAGAGCTATCCGATCTATTTACCTTTGAGTTCCCGGACGAAGGCCCTACTCCTTGTATGCCGTTAATTATGACGACGCGGGCCGGGAAGACCAACCAGCACGGCCGGCTCGAGACAGCCGGGGCCCTACGGAACCGCAAGCCACTGATTTGTGTATTGAGCGGCCTCGCATTTTACCTCCTTTTTCGCTGGGACCTTACAGAAGAGCCGTTCCCAGACTTCAGCCAGCGGCCGGCGTGGTACGACATCCGCCTGATTACGAGCAGTAGTACGGGGCGGACGGCAGGTCTCTCCTACAACTCGCAACGGGAGTGGGCGGCCCGGGCCCTCTCGTATGCCGGGATCAGCTCCCAAAAGAAGACACACATCGGCCGTAGCTCGGGAGCGAAGGTGGCCGAATTGAAGGGTGTTAGCGAGGATCAAATCCGCCGGGCCGGCCGTTGGAACCAAGAGCAGATGATCGGCTGTTACCTCAACTCCCTGCCCCGCACGTTTATGCGTACTATGGCCGGCCATCCTCCGCAGATGGGATGCTTTGAGGTCCGGAGGGCCGGCGTGGCGCCGCCAGCCGACCTCCTTTCGATGATTTGGCCGCAGTTGGACCAGTGGCAAGGCCGGTTTGGCCCAGGGCCTGGCCAAATTAACGATCTAGCTGCTATGGGCTTTACTAACCTCCTTTTTTACCTCCGTGGGGTAGTTCTACAAGACTCGGCTGTCCTGATGGATAGGTTCCCGAACAGCCCAGTTTGGAGCCACCCAGTATTCCAACACCCGGGATATAAGCCATTCGCCAAGCAGGTGGCTGCTTTCGTACAGGAAGAAGAGCGGCCCAGCCAACTGGCTGTGTTAACCCAAGCGCTTCCAGTCCTATCAGACTACTTAAAATCGATCGATGCTCGTAATGAGGCCCGGGTCCTAGAGCTCACAGCAAAGCTCCAAGCCACCGAGATGCGGCTTATCGAGGCCCAGTCGCAGCAGACAGTTAAGCTCCACAATATCCTTTCTGCTGGTCTTACAGTCCATATACAAGCAACCGCTCCACAGCCGGTCCTAGCCGAAGCGGGCCAACGAACTGGCCCTATAAATGGGCCGGGAGCTGGCCCTATGGCTAGGCCGGGAGCTGGCCCTATGGCTAGGCCGGGAGCTGGCCCAGATGAACAAAGCCAGTATGGCTCTGCTACTAGCCGCCTTTGCAGCCCGGCTCCCACAATTAGCTGGCTACCGGTCGAAGGAGAAGAACAGCCGCCACAGTACCGTATGAGCCGTGCAGTCAGGACGGTGGCAGACCTTTGGCGTGAGTGGACTGTTGGCCTCCAGGGCGGGCCGGCCGTGGCTACTCTTGATCGGAGATGGGGGAACCGGTGGCGGGCCGGCCGGCAGACTGAACTGCAGTGGTATTCTTTACGGTCCGAAGTTGTTAAGGAGGTTCAGCGGATTGTGCGAGCCCAGCGTACGAGCGAGGAAGCTGCCGTCCGCATAGTTCATCTTCAACAGCAGCAAATTGGCTGCTCCATTGACAAGTTTTGTAAGCAGCTACGGGCCAGCCGCAAAGCAAGACTTGTGGGCCATAAGCCAAAATAACTCGCAAATAAAACCACCTTTTACCTTGCTTTTCGAGCCATTTTAGAGCCCCGATTAAAACCCTCCTTTAAACCTTTTCTTCGAATTTTTTGACCTTTTTTAAGACCCTTTTTGCACTCTTTTCGTGGCCTCCTTCGGCGGGGCCGACAGTGCATATGGTAGGATCTTTTAACGTGCTGATCGCACGGGCGTTTTTTGGCGCTAAAATGCAGCTAAGCGGCTGAATCACCCACCACCTGGCCCACGTGGATATACTACTGACCTTTTTAAGACCCTTTTTTGCACTCTTTTCGTGGCCTCCTTCGGCGGGGCCGACAGTGCATATGGTGGGATCTTTTAACGTGCTGATCGCACGGGCGTTTTTTGGCGCTAAAATGCAGCTAGGCGGCTGAATCACCCACCACCTGGCCCAAGTGGATATACTACTGCTATGCCAAGCGAATGAGTGGCAGTTCTGCGGGCGTGTAATACGCCATCGCAAATTCTCATATACACGGGTAAGAATTTGGATGGCCGCGGGGATAGCGAATACATTCGGGAGAGGTGTTGTGGCTAATGCCAGCCTGAAATGAGAGAAGAAAAGAAGATGATTTGTTTAAGAAGCTAGGGTGCCCTACGAGGGCCTTAATGATCGTGGTAGGGCCGTGCACTAATCACGTAACATCGCCGCGGGGATAGCGAATACATTCGGGAGAGGCCTCATCCCCTGTGAGAAATGAGGACAATGCGGCTGATGCGGGGACCGTCTTGAAAGAGGCCTGCGCTTCCCTCTTGTTCATTTTGTGAACCCATCCTAGTTCATAATTCATCAGCAATCGGAAGAGCATAGTCATTCCCGGTTTACCCAGTCCACCATGATCTTCACCTTATACAGGATAAGGGGAAACTGGCACGGATGCAATACGTCGTCACACTCGGGGTACAAGCAGACTCCGCCTCCCGGAAACTCAAACGGTCTGTCTTCCGTCGCCTCACAAGCTTCCAGTCTTCCCGCTTTACGTCTAGGCGAAGTCTAATCTAACGACCACTCGGCCCTAGAAGTCGACTCCACTCCAAATGATCCCCACTATTACACTCCCTTGGCTGGCAGAGCACGGTGGTGTTGGCCCGCACTTTGTGGGTTACGAGTCCGGAGTCAAATAGACTTTCCGTGTTTTGGGGTGGGGGACCCCAACCTCGGAGAAAGTGTTTAGCCGTTGGTCGACCCCTGTAATAATTAATCCGTACGTCATGTGTATTTACCTCTGCAGAACGCGACGCACGCAACGACCGAACGTATGGCTCACTATCATCTCAAACAAAACGAATGGTCCACAATCATCTCAAACAAAACGAATGGTCCACAATCATCTCAAACAAACCGTATAGCCCACAATCATCTCAAACAATCCGGTACCGAATGGCCCGGAGAGCAGTGGCAATGCCTCGTGCAAATCACAATGATCGGGAATCACTCATGTCCCGGCTGGAGGAGCACGCCGGGGAGTGGATTGGTGACATAACGCTCCGCAAGGCCATGTCGGTCGCGTCTTACTACTTCTCCCTGCCCAACCACCGCGGCGGAGTCGTCGATCCGTACGCGCGCTATTATACCACGGATGGGGACGAAGTCACCTTCAACGACGTGCCTCTCGCCAAGATCGCCAAAGACGTCGAGAGCATGGTCAAGACGAATGTCCCTATCGACCGCCGCACCGAAATCTACCACAAGGTCCTCGCCGGGATGCCGGGCCACCAGGAAGTCCCCGAATGGGACACGAAAAGCACTGCCAGCATCTATGCGAAGCCCCTGACGCCCTTCTCGAAACCTCGTGATGCCACAGTTACCAACCAGGACCTCCTCGATGCCCTCGCCCCCGCCGCAGAGATCACGCTCGCACACGCGAGGGGTATCGGCATCCAAGCCACCTGGTGGGACGCCATGTCCAATGGGGCGTTTTCCTGCTCCATGTCATTCGGCGATGGCGTCAAAGGCGGCCGACTCGGTCGTCCCCACACTCTCGAGGACGTCCCCGTCCATTACTTTCGCGACAGGTTGATGGACTGGATCGCTGAGAGCCTCAAAGGGTCCAACGAGAGGAAGCAAGTCGCGCGCAAGGCCATCTGCCTGGACTTGGCCGACACCGAGATAGAGGAGTACACGCGTCTTGTAGCTGAGGACCGCGAGAAGCTGAATGAAGAGGCGGAACGCCCGTCGACCCCGCCTACGCGTGAGGAGTGGGCAAGGCAAATCCTAGAGGACGGCGGGGTCGTCAAGACGATCGGTCAGGCGATGAAGATCGTCTTGATGAACGAGGCTGTCGAGGAAGTCGACGGGACTATCGACTGGGAGACACCGAAGCCGATGGGAATCCGGCGAGGCCGGAAGGGGGTCGAAGGATCGGTGGTTACGCCGCACTGGGCTCCGCTGGTATACGAAGGCGGGCTCGTTCCGGATACGCACGTGGACCGGGACTGTGACCAGGTGCGGGCCATGATCAAGACGTTCCTTTCGTCCTGGGAGTGGTCGGCCGAGACTTTCCGTTTAGCACTGGGGGCGAGCGTATCGAGGGATAAGTTCACTACATTCCTAAAGAAGCGCGGCGCCGATGCTGCCCAGTTGCGGTCTGCGGCATACTTACTAAGCTGGGAGTTCTTCAATCGGCGCCAAAAGCTAGCTCTGTCCATCGTCGACGTGGACTTTCGGGATGACCTGAAGACTCTTGAGAAGAATTGTCGAAACGAAAGTCTTTCTGAGCCGCAGCGCGCCCTGGGAAAGGCCCAAGAGGAAGAGCTTGAAGCTCTGACAGAGAAACACTACAAGGAGCTGGATGCTCTGCTAAAGGCTCAGAAGGAGCGGACTGGGGCTTTGGATAAGACCCACATAGATCAATTGAAGGTTTTGAGAGAGGCTCAGCCGAGGAGGTCGACCCGAAGAAGCAGAGCCCCTACGCACGGTCTTCGAAACGAGAGTCTGTCGGAGCAGATGCGCGTCCTGGCAGAGGCCCAGGAGAAAGAGAGCAAGGCTCTGAGCAAGGAGCATGAGAAGGAGCTAGAGGCTCTGCAGACCACTCAATACCAGGAGTCGAAAACTTTGGAGAGGGCCAGCGAGGAGTCGATGAAAGCTCTAGTCGAAGCCCATCCGGGAAGTTCGAACCGAGGAAAGAGAGCGTCGAACGGCCCAGATGGTAGTCGGACCAAGAGGACGCGCAGTTCGGGTTGAACGCTCCTTGGAATATCGTACATTATTTAATCGTACATTATTAATTACATTTCACACTCCACGGATGGCCTGATTGGTTGGACATACAGACTGATTCAAGAGGTGGAGGTTCACTTCATAGCAGCTTAGTTATATGAGACGAATTTGGAGCTCCCCTCGTTGACTTCGCCTGCTCAAAAGACAAGGTCAGGAAGTCGGAGGCACACTCGCGCTCAACAACAACAAAGAAGGTCAACTATCCCTGGGCAGCTTGCGCTAAAGCCCTCGCAGTGAACCAGCCGAAATGTACCTTCACCACTAAGTATGCGAGGCACGTTCATGAGGCCACAGAAAAGCACAAAGGCGTGGCATCTGAGCGGCAATACGTGTCATCTGAGCGGCAATGCGATGTGGACCTGAACACAGGGAATTTGTGGCTAGATTCGTCACACGGCCGTCGGTCAGCAACCGTGGGATTGCGGCTGAACTGCGCACTCGGTTCCCTAACCTCGTCTTTACTGGCCGTCAACTTCGAAACCTTGGCTGCAGCATTCGAAAGGAAACTCTTGGTGGACTCACGCCTTTCCAGGACGATGAAGCTTCTTGAAGAGTGACAGATTCCCTATTCAGTGCGCTGGTCAGAGCCAAATCCTATTAAGCCATAGGGTCAGTTTTGGACCACTTCTTGGTGCGAGAAGATGTGGAAGCTGTATCTCTGGGTCTGGATGTATGACAGGACATACAAAACGAACAACAAAGGGCTAGCTTTCTTCCAAGTTATGGGTGTGAATAGCCTCGGAAAGTTCTTTTGCTGTGCGTTTGGCTTGATCAATTCAGAGCGCCACTAAGGTTTTGACTGGCTCACAGCGCAAGTTAACTCACATGGAGAGAGGATCAGTGCACAACGCCTAGTTATTACGATCACGGATTTCGATAACGCTATGAAATTAGCAGTGGCCCAGGTTTACCCTGATGCGGGCTCTCTGCTCTGTATTTTTCACACCAATAAGACGTAGCCCTTCACATCAAGCGCAATGGGACAAAAAGGCGGCTACAGGGGTAAATACAGCGCACTAAGCACAGCAGGGCAACCAGGGAGCCTCGGCCACGAACGACGACAAGCTGGATGAGGAAGACCAGGGCATAGTTAACCGCCTCAACCGCATCGCTGCGAATGAAGCGGTGGTTGGCCCACCTCCCGCCGTCGTTGAGCACTCGTGCGGGGCTTTATAAGCTCTGGGAGCACGTCTTGTACGCAGCGACCCTCGAGGACTTCAACCTCGAGGACTTCAACCTAGCTTAGGAAAAGATGAAGGCTTTCTCTCCTCAACAGGAAGATATACTCAACTACTTGCAGGAGACTTATATGCCTATTGCAAGGCAGTGGGCGACTTGCTATAGTAATGGACGGCTTAACTCTAGCTACCGTACTACATCAGTAGTCGAGTCGGTAAATAGGGTTCTGAAGTCCTTTGCAGTCACAGGGAATTCCTCAGTCTTTGAACTCGTTTAGCAATCGTTTAGAATGGTCGATGAGATGGAGAGGGTCACCGAGGAAGCTCGTTGGAAGGAAAAAGAACGACTAAAACGCGACGTTTTAGGTCTTGAGTAGCTCGGTGAGGCACCTTATATGGTCTCTGCACTGGCCCTGAACAAGGTAATGCACCAATTTCGTCTTCCCCTCGGCGCCTTTCCAACTAGGACTGGACCGCGCCCCCCCCCGCCTCTTCCTGGCCTTACAGCACAATTTACAGCGCAGTTTGGTCTTCCTTGTAGCCACGTGCTGTTCAGAGGACTTTGTGAGAATAATTTCTCGATTTTCATCCATACTAGCGGTTGGATAGGTCGATACTTGACGAGGATCATTATCTTCGTTACCACGAATTCGACCGCGCTGCACGACTGCGCGGCAGACCTCGAGGCTCAACTGCCTATGCCCCTGACCCGACCGCTCCTCGATCGAACGCGCCGATTTCTACGGCGCCTTCGTCAACAGCGCCCTCATCTACGCACCCATAGCGTCGGGTTTGATGCCCTCGATTCGTCGTGATCCCTCGCAGTGGGAGGGCGTTGACCTGCACAGGGAATACGCACGCGATGCGGCCGAGCAGGGCAGTCAGCCTGTACAACAACAGAACACACGCGGGCAAAGCGGCACACGCGGCGGGCGTGCAAGAGGCGGGCGTGGAAGACGTGGCCGAGCTGGGCTGCTTGTAGCGGCCGCGGCAGCCGAGGCACCTATGCCAGAGCCCTCACAACAACAAAGCAGTGCTTCACGGCCTGCACGGGCCAGTCGAAAGATTGGCACGCGGGCTCAAAAGGCCACAGGAAGAGTGACAAGTGGGGGAATAACCAAGCGTTCAAGGGCAGGGAAAGCGCCCCAGTCAACACCGGGCGCGTTGGAAGACGAGTTGGCCGCCCAGGAACCCGGAGAGGTCGTCCCGAGCGACCCAGCGCAACTGGCCTGTCGATGCGGGCCAGGATGAGCTGCAGCGGTAAGCCACGCCATGAATCTGCCTTGCCGGATGGGCTGGTTTCGGATGGGTCGTTCCGATGATTGCATGGGAGGGAGAAGTGCTGCAGTCGGGGGACTAGGCGGACGATGTGGGTGACTTCATCTACTATAGCGATTAGGATGCAGTTACGTGTAGGTCTTACAGGGCGCAGTAGAAGCGGCACTTTTAACAAGTGGATTTTTACTGCAGTTTTGAACGAATTGGCCTGTAGGCGACTCAGCCTGCGGGCGACCCCCTAGCCTACAGCTGCGAATAGCTTCAAATGCGTGCGCATGCAAGTTGGTGCACGTGCAAGTGGGCGTAATTGCAGGTGCGAGGTGTAATTGCCAGTTTGCCAGATGTTGTGCGCGTGTTTGGCTGTAAAAATCGAAAATTTCATGGGCGCAATCAGCCAAAACGTTCATTTGTTAACAGCGTCTGCAGTCTCGGCTAACGGCCACACCTATCTCTTTTCCACGGACCAACTTGTCACTCCGGCATTTTTTGACGCGATCGACGACCCCTTCGCGCCTGCCAATCGACAAGGCGCCACCAGGCCGGAGCCCAATGCGAGACCGCTCGCTAGTGTGATGGAGGCGTCCACACGTGACCCTACTGGCCTCATTTCGAGAAGCCGCTTCTCCTCAGCCCCCCGCATTTGACCGCCGTCAAACCCACAACAACAGCGGACCGGACCCTCTTGAGGACCCTGTAGTCGAAAAGCGCAACAAAGATGGACGCCAATGATGCTGAGGCGTCTCGGGGCGCATTTCCGGACGATATCGATGAAGACATGCATCAATTCCTACAGCTCAGGTTCCAGGACCGCGTGTCCGCAAGGAAGCGCGACAACCAGTTAATATTCGAGCAGGAGAAGAAGGCGCTCGGAGAGGCCAAAGAAGTGCGGAAAGAGGAGATGCGAAAGCGAGAGCAGAAGATGCGAGAGCTCGAGCAGGAGATGCGAGAGCTCGAGCGCGAGGACGCCGCAGATACTGACAAGGAAAGATGTTTGGAGACCAACTACCACGTTGCGATGCGCAAGTTGAACAGGTTGCGATGCGTAGTTAATCTCCAGCAATCTGCGCCCAGTGAGGTGAGCGAGTTTCCCTTTCTTTGTCACATGCTGGTCTCCATCTCGAGCAAGGTATCTGACCCCTTGGTAGGAGCCGACTCGTCCGGCCGTTGAACCCTCGAATGTCGCTGCCACACTAGTGCCGCTTGCTGCATCGATACCCCGCACAGGGCCTGATACTGAGGACGAGCAAGCGCAGAACTCTAGGGATATGCAGCAGGGACGATCGAACAGGTCGAGGCGACTGACCGCCATAGCGCAACCCCGAAACACGGATGCAGAACCTGGTGTGAGATCCGACGCCACCGCAGCTCCGTCTTCACCGTTGCAACGAACGAGTTCTCCACCCCGCCAAACTAGATCCCACGGTCTATCAACTCCTGCCATCACACACCAACAGGGCAGGCGAAGGCGCAAGGCTGGGGATGATAATGATAAAGAAGATGGGGACGACGCCAACCATCGGCCACCGAAACGGTTGAGGGACAACAATCGGACAGTCTCGTTTGAAGAGGTCTACGGTAATGGACGTCCCGAGTACAGTCACACAATCGTCGAGTACCCAGAGGATAGCGGGAACTGGTTCATCATTCGCTGCGAAGAATGCGGTCTCCACTTCGGACGGAACGCGATTCAAGGAGGCGCGAAACATCTCAGCAGTGCAAGGCACGGTCGGCTCCCTAGGAAGTGGGCCTTGGCTGTCCAAGAATTCGGGTTTCGCGTTCTGGGCTGTGACAAGGACAAGGCAAAACGTAACAATGATGCATTTAATCGGGCCTCCGAGGCGGGATATGTTCCCCGCAAGGGATTCGCCCGTCAGACGCGCAATCAACGCCAGCAATCGGCCGAGACTTCTGATGAAGAGCCTAGCGAGCCCTTTCAGACAGGCCATCCCCGCATAAACGCAACTAGTCTGCAGGGGCAACACCAAAAGGGGAGGGTATTTGAGGGCGTCAGTGACCCCGTCGTGGGCAGACTGTACCGCGCGTGGTACCGCGGAAAGGGTTTCTACGCAGCCCTGCTGCTACCGCTCGACAGCTTCGAGACCGTTGGCGTTGTGGGCGACATATCCAACATAGACCAACAAAAGAAGGCACCGAAATGCTATCGACGATCCGCAGAGCGCATCCTCGGCTGGGCCAGTGGTTATGAGGACGGCGGCCCGAAGTCCCGTGAGAGGAAATTTCCCATGATGTACTTTGAAGGCTCGGCAGATCTATCGTTCAGAGGCAGCCTGGTGATTCCTCCGAGTCTGGGCTGGGTGGCAGCCAAGAATCTGCGGCCATTCGATCCCGAATGTCAGCGCACTAAAGGTTCCAACAATGCCCAGACTTTCCTCGAAAGAGCGCGGATGTCAAACGCCATAACGGCGGGAGGGACAAGTGCAGGAAAAGAGAGCGACAGAGGGAGTGGTCAGTTGCTTGTCTAGTTACTACTACCGTCAGCTTCTTCCTTTCTTGCCTGGACTGACCAGGCAGTGACGACCAGACGGCCGGGGAACAAACTCGCACCACAGCAACACTCAGACGGCAGATCGGGCCAGCCAGGACAAAGATGACCGCGACAAAAACACACAGAACGACGACGCAGAAACCGAGAACGAAGTACAGGGCAGTATCCGAAACAAACGCGTGTCCGCATCTGCCAGTATTCCCTACAACGCTACCCCGGTGACGGTCCAAGACGACGATCAGGACGGCGAGGACGGCGAGGACGGCGAGGACGGCGAGGACGGCGAGGACGGCGAGGACGGCGAGGACGGCGAGGACGGCGAGGACGGCGAGGACGGCGAGGACGGCGAGGACGGCGAGGACGGCGAGGACGGCGAGGACGGCGAGGACGGCGAGGACGGCGAGGACGAAGATGAAGACGACAAGGAGGGCGATGTCGAGATGGTAGACGACGAGGACGCAGGCGGTGGCGGCAACGGCGGCGGCAAGCACGGCTCAGGTGCGCAGGAAGACGGCCAAGAAACTGAGGACGAGACACAGGACAGAGTTTCTATCAGACCTCTCCCCGCAGCAGTCTGCCCGCTTGTCTCGGAAGCACACACGCAAGGAGAATTTGTCGCTGCGGCAGCAGACCATGGGGGTTACTCGCACAACTCGCGCAGAGAGCCAAATGTGCCCGCCATAGACAGCGAGCCTCGCTCGGGTAATCTAGGGTGTTGGGGGGAGGTCACCTCTCAACGAGACTCCGCTCAGGAGAGAAGTGACCAGGACGAGCAAGCCAGGCAGAATGGACCCATGTGCATGCAAAATCTCGAGGCCACAGGCCAGAAGCAGCCGCATGCGGCAGCCCAGAGTGTTATGTCTGGCGAAGCTGTACTAGACCCCACTGCCCTTCATCAGGCAGCCCCCGCAAGGTCAGCTGCTCAGGGCCCTGTTCCGGAGAACACGGAGCAGGGTAGCTTGCTTCGCATGTCGGATGATGTCCAATTTTTGGTGGATGTCCATCTCGGCACCGAAGACCTTTTAAAAGAGTCCAGAGCCGCCAAGTTGAGGGCCGGCGGTACTATTGGCAGAGGTGTACCACTCCGGGCCGCGCGCAGAGAACCCATCAGCGTTGATATCCTAGAGCCTGCAGATCTGCTCAGCATTGATGAAGATGAGCCTCTCGATAACCTCGACGATTCACCAAGTGCAGAATGGTCAACCCCTATCAATATTGCACAACGAGCGCTATATCTAAACATGGTTTTCCGCTCTAACGAGGAACTTGAAGAACGCTCTATTTCACGACGGACCCCCGGTTTCTCACCGGGTGCTTCGCAGGCGAACAAGAAACTCGAAGAGCCAGCACGAGCCCCACCGTTTCCGCTCTCCACAGGTGCAGCGCCGCAGACAAACTATTATCGGGTCGAGCACGAAGCCCCGCCCGTGCACATAACAGGCCAACAAATGCCGATCCTACCAGCCATCGTGCAACCGCCGGACGAGACCCATTGGTTTGGCCAGACCCAGCATGGTCCAACCCTCTCCCCCCCCAGTCCGGACCACGGGCAACCCTTCCGCCATAGCTGCTTCAGCCAGGTCCAGCCGCTGCCAGCTACACCGGGCCCGCTGCCGGCACCTACGCCATTCTCAACGTTGCCGGTTTCGCAGCAGAAGGACGAGTGTCCGTCCCCATCCCAGTTTGTGTATCTTCTCTGAACCGACCCCCCAAGGCAACTTCTGAGCCGGTCTTCCATGTATAGGGAATAGTAGTCCTTGGGCCCGACACTCGCTGTTGCCACGCTGTGGGTCATCCTTTGACCTTGTCTTGGTTGTCACTCGTTTTGGAGCAATAAGCTCGACTTAGTTCTCATCCAAGATGGGTGACATTTAATAGTATAGTAATGGTTAGGGGAGATAATAAGAAGTGCTTGCTAAGATTTTTGAGGCATAGTGGGGATACAGTAAAGTGGCGTGAAGGGGAAATATGATTTGCGTTCATGTATCATTTTTCTCTATTGTTCGGGCTCCAAGGAAGGCAGACCCCCCCTTGAATGACGACGATCGTCAGCTTGGAAACTATTCAACTCCAAGACCGTTTTTATAAAGTCCTAGTTAAAGGGGTGGGAGGTAGATTGGGGAAGACCCACCTCTTGTGCGTTAGTGCGAGGTAGTTGGATAACATACTAGTAACGTTATACAATGTACGGGCCTAGAATATGTACTAGAATATAAATCTAACCTTTAATCACTGCCATTTGTTGTGTCCAATTTCGAGACTCAACACGATCAGGCTCGTCAAGGAAACGATATAGGAGTAACACTTGACCTAAGCGAAGATCCCTCGCACCTAGCTCAGGTTGCTGGTATTATAACGTAGATGACCATACGAGAAAGCCGTGGATACTGCTTTCTCCGCTCAGCCAGAAGCCCTAAGCAGAGCCTACATATATTTACCCAATTCATTTGTAGTAAGAACCTCACCTGGTGAATCCCGAGAGCCGTGATTGGAGTAAGGGTAGGTATCCAGGATTGCCACCGGTAAAGAGAGCCGTCTAGGTCCAGCAGGCTACAAACAAGAATGCAGCCGAACATCTTTGGCTTGCCAGCTTCCTCTTTGTCTGCACGCCACTATTAAACATAGCTACCACGACGAAACACTCCCCCTGAATACTGCGGGTGTTGCCCACCTTAGTTCCGTCTGAGAGGCAAGATATCTTTCGTCTCGCACACGCTGGAGAGCATGCTTAGCAAAATATACGGCGATTTGGATCCTGTTGGTCAAGGACGTGGACCGCTATATTGCCTACCGTCAGTTGCTAATTGAAATGATCGATTCTGATATATCCGGCTTGCAGACGACTATTGATAGCAGGCTGGGTACTGCGAGCAAGTTGGAGCCACTTCTTAAGACTAAGGATATTGAGAGCATTCAGTGCATGATTAACTAGCAGACGACCGCATTGTCGCTGCTTCTAACGGCGTGTGACATCTACCTACGCGCGATCACTTGAAGGTGCGCGCCGGAATCAACGCTCTATAGCGCTTAATCGTGATGAGGTCATCTCCAAGGAGTGTATATCGTTCTCGCGCAACGTAGGGGTCGAAGGTGCCACAAGAGTAAAATACCACCTGATGGAAAGAATGCTGCAGTTACATTTTGATCTTATAACGCACCGAAATCCGCGGTCTCTTAAGAACTCTTGCTGCTTATCCTGTGAAGGACTGACCCCAACTCCCACTATTGATCAAGCTTATAAGTTAGATGGGGGAGTAAGCGAACGCCACTGATCCAGAACATTCTAGATAAGCGAGGAACACAACCAACCCTCTTATATAAAAGCCCATAACTCAACCAATTCTTTTCCAATTCTCTTCATCTTCAATTCGTTTTATTCTTCTCTTGACAATGGTTTCATATACAGAAGAAGACCTCCGCAAGGCTTGCGAGGAAGCCGTCAGAACACATCGATTACGCAAAGTCGCGCGAAAATGGAATGTTCCACCCTCCACCCTTTATGGCCGTCTACATGGCTCCCTACCTCGAAATGTTGCTCATCAAGATGAGCAAAGGCTTACACAGACCTAAGAGGATCGTTTAGTCGAATGGATTCTTCTTCAACAAGATTTAGGATTGCCCCCTACACATGCACAGATCAGGGAGCTTGCACGCCGTATTCTAGCTGAAAGGGGGGACTCCTTACCACTTGGAAAGGGGTGGTGCCGTGCCTTTCTTAACCGCAATCGAATTTTGAAGACTCAGAGGGCCAAGAGAGTCGATTCGGTCCGCGTCAACTGCGCTACAGAGTCAACAATTCGACCTTGGTTCAACCATTTCCAAACACCAGCTATCAAGGCGATTAAGCCAGAGAATCGCTGGAACAAGGACGAATCTGGTATTATGGAAGGCAGAGGAACCAACGGCCTTGTCATTGGAAGCCGTGCCTTTAAGGCGCTTCAAAAAAAACAGCCTGGAACCCGCACTTGGACCACTTTTGTCGAATGCATCTCAGCAGCTGGCCGTTGCCTTCCTCCTTTGGTCATTTTTAAGGGGAAAAGCGTTCAACAACAACGGTTTCCTTTGGATATGAAGCCATTTCAGGATTGGTTCTTTACAGCAACTGAGAAAGGATGGACTACCGATGAGACAAGCCTCAAATGGTTAAAAAATGTGTTCATTCCTCTCACCAAGCCAGCAAACTCCTCTGAGAAACGACTCCTTATTATTGATGGCCATGGCAGCCACACAACTGCCGATTATATGTGGGAGGCATACACAAACAATATTCACATTATTTTTCTGCCTCCCCATACTTCCCATGTCCTCCAACCCCTAGATTTGGCCATATTTGGCCCCCTAAAACGACTTTATCGCAGACGGCTTGAGGACCTTCTTGCTAACGCCTTTGACGACTCTTCTGTAGCCGGAAAACGTGCGTTTCTGGAATGCTACCAGATTTCACGCACAGAGGCAATTACTAAGAGTAATGCTAAGTCAGGATGGAAGGCATCAGGCCTTTGGCCCTTGAATGTCAACAAACCGCTAAGAAGCCCACTCCTCCTCAAGAATTCTAATACTTCACGCCCCTTAAGAACTACTGTAGTTACCCCAGAGGTTCGCACACTCCGTATGCCAATCCTGGAGGATTATGGAGACGATCGGGTGCAGTGGAGGACTCCTAGAAAGGCACGTGATTACGTTGAGCAGGCAAAGAAGTTCGCACGCATCATCAAAGCAATGCCAGCGGATAAGCTCTTCCTCAGAAAGATTGGTAAGGCTTTGGATGAACAGGCCTTTGAACTGGCTATTAGGAAGCGAAAGATTGAAGGTCTAGAACACACTCTCGAATCAATAAGAGCCAGAAAGAAGAAGAAGGTTGAAGAAGATCCAAATACCACCTTTGCGAATATTCAGACTATTCGTGAGGCCCAGAGAGCTGTAGGGCGTGCAGCAGAGGTTTTAGAAGATGCGGAAGAAGCGGATGATTCAGAGGATATCAAAGATTGTATTGAAGTTTTGTAAATAAAAAGATCACCCTTTCTTTTGTTGGAGGGTTAGTTGGGACTCCTGCTTATACAGAATGTTCTAAATCAGTAGTGTTCGCTTACCCCCCCACCTAACTTAGACTTCAGAAGAGGCCTTGTCAGATCCCAACATACCCGACGAAAGCAGTAAAAACGCGAGCGTTTAGAGCTCCATCAGCTGCTCTGACAACCAGCCGTCACGCAATCTCAACCCTCTAATATATTCCCAGAGTCTTGTTATTATCTGCAAGAATCACATAAGAAAAGAAAGGCGATAAAGAAAAAGTCCCTTAACAATCAGCCCTGACCGGCACTTCCTGGCACGACTCCTGGCCCGGAAACGGAGTGGTGCATAGCTCGTCGCACTCGACGCCGGGCGCCACAAAGACACGATGCTCCTGGCCCAGGAACGCGAGCCGGAACTGTCGCGGATCCGTCGGCGCCAGGCCGCCACTGGCCCGGTACCCGGCGCGGCAGGCACAGTAGAATCGATCGCGCACGCTGCCCGAGGAGCCGATGCAGGATGTCGTGATGGTGCATTTGTTGAAGAAGGGGTTGGGGCTGCATGTTTCGCATTTTCCTCCTCCAGGCGGCGCCGGCACGGGAGAGGGAGAGGAGGAGGGAGAGGGGATGGAGGGTTCCGGGCTGGACGTGGCCACGTCAGTGGTGATGGGAATATCGGTGGCTGTTGTGGCGACGGTGGTGAGGAGGGTGGTGGGAGTGGGTTCGGAGGAAACGCCGGTGATGTCTGTTGTGATTATCTCTTCGCTTGTTGTTGTTGGTGTTGGGACGTCGGTCAATGTTAGCATGGAGCTGAGACCGGGGGGTGGCGTGGTAAGAGTGGTGAGAGTGTCTTGGGTGGCGGCGGTGGTGGTCTCTGGCGTGGCCGTCTCTGTCTCTGTTGTCGCAGTCGGATCGGTTGCGGTCGATAGGGTCTCTATTCCAGAGGTAGTAATTGCGTCCGTGATAGTAGCTGTTTCTCCGACCGAACTCGAAGTCTCCGTTGGCGCAGCTGGGAGAGAGTTTGGTTGTGTGCTAGTCTCCGGAGCCGGCAGGCTCAATGCGGATCCACAGTCAACGCCGTCACATGAGACGGTCTGCCCCGCGACCACTCCAGCGAGGATGGCAAAGAGAAGCGATTTATCGACCAGCATCTTGGAAGAGTTGTGCTTGGTGTTGTCCTGAGTATGGTATAGTGTGCGCTTTGCGAAACCCTTTGATGGCAAGACGTATCCAGTAGTTCACAAAGTTGGAGGTTGCGTCTTATATCTACAGCAACGGCCGCGCACAGTAATCATGTCTATTGTGGGGCCTTTGGCTCGACCCTGCCTGTGGGCCTTTGGCTTGACCCTGCCTGTGGCTTCGTGTGTTGGGCTGATATGGCCGATGTCATCTGTCATGATCATGATGTCTTGTCGGCGGAGTAAGCCTCCCCGACCTGGTCCGCTGTGGTGAGCCGTAGGTACTGAGCAGGGCAGAGATAGCCAATCACGGTAAGAAATGCTGTAAACGTAATGCTTGGCGCGGAAATGAAGATTCTCACGCGAGGGCGGTGCGGTACACGACAATGAGAAAAATACGTGTGGCTGGAGGCTGAACTGCGAAGAGACCGTTACGCGTACGGTACCCATTGCTTGTCGTCGTGCCACTGGGTAGGACATGTTGTAAGCGTATGGTTGCCTTTCGGGGCTGACTTTACGGGGCTCTCTCAGTTTCGCCGAGGACCAGCAGCCTTACCCAGGCTAACGAAAACTTTAGCGTGCACTGCCATTTGGGGAGCTGTTCTGACATCTTCATAAGCCTCCACCGCTGGTGGCAGGCCAGCGCGCCACAGCACTCTTGCTCCAAGTGTTGTCTGCCATGTTTCAAATAGCGGGATGCATCTTGTCGGGACAGTGGACGGTAGACGCTAACGCTAATTCATTTTTTTTGGGACGAGCTGATTTGCTGGGCATTACATGTCTTAAGTAATGGATCCTCCAGCCCTCTGTTTCGGAGGGGCTGTGTGCCGCCCTCCGAATTTCAGCCCAATGCTCTGTCATCAGCTCTGCCCTGAGTATTCCGTAGGCCCAGTGGGCGCAGCCTCTCAAATTCTTGACACATGGCTTCCTAAAATTAGAAACGCCTCAACTGAAGTAAGTGTAAGGCTTTCTTCTTCCTTAGCAGAGGCAGAACGTACGCAGACGACCTTATAACTGTACCGCATGTAAGTCGGCTGCGTGCCTTCCCGGAGATGCGCGAGCCGATTGCGCGCCTTGCAATTGTCTTACGTGTGCTGCATCTTCCACAAGTTGTGTGAGCACGCCTGGCGCAGAAGTCTGGCAGTTGCCGGTTGTAAGGCTTTGACAGACTGGCGCACGTCAGTTACTTGCAAGATGTGTAGTCAACTCGTACATAACCTGGAAAGAGGTAACTGCGCGCTTGCCCCAGCGCCCGATTGGCGCTGTAGTGCACCTCGAAGTGCACCTCGAAGTGCACCTCGATGCCTTTTGGAGACAGCGCTATCCTTCCCGGGAAGCCGAATGTGCAGAGGAGAACCGGCGAGGTCCCTTGGTTGAGACTGAAGTTGACATTGGCGTTTTCCACCTCTCTGAAAGCGCCACAGACTGCGAGCATGTCAAAATCTAGCCAGATGCACTCCGAGGCAGACGCAGGACAGACAAAAGACAGAGACGTGACGCTGCCCGCCGCCCCCAAAGACGCAGTCTAGAACGCCAAAGCTGAGTTAGATGGTCGTGGTCAGCTCGCGTTGAAAGGTTGCAGCGAAAATGAAAATTCTACTTACAACTGCTACTGATGTTGCATGTGTCGGTCCGCGCCAGCAATGCTGCTGAACCCCAAGGGCCACGGCTAGCGTCCTCCAGGCGCTGCATTTGCTCGACGGTCACGTCCCCCTTTCTCAGCACAGCATACCATTTGATCTGGCGAGACACGATACCACAGCGGCCAACATGCCTCCTCTTGCTGCTGTCGTCGGGGTTGCAATGAAGAAATGAGGCTCGACGGGCAAAGTCCACTCTTCTCTAGGTGAAGCGTCGATTCTGATCGGACAGACAGCCAAGAGAGATGGCGAGAGGACGCTCCAGAATGCCGCCACAACCTCTCACCACCATGATCCGGACGAGTGCCCTACTGAATGCGTGTCCGAGTCCTACTGAATGCGTGTCCGAGCGTGGTTAGGTCAGGTGAGTTGAACGGGCTGGGGCTCGCAGGCGGCGGCCTCGTGTTGGAGAGAGGAACCTGGAAGGCCGACAAGGTGGGTCGTTTCGCGACTTCTTAGTGGTTCCCGGTTAATCGACACGAAATCAAGGAACCAAGCGACGCATCTGGCTCTGGTCTGAATTCCGTGAAATCGACCAACACATGGTATTCTAATCTCTTATATGACGGTCGGTATAGCGGTAGTGACCGACTCGGCCTATAACGGCAGGCCATCACACTCCTTCCAAGCCACTATCGATCCCTTCCATTGGGAGGCCAAACCTCGTTAGTATCGTACGAGGATAAAATACTGTCAAAAAGAGGCCGACGGTGAATTTGAACTAGTCGCACGCTGCGACAATGTCCACGACATCGGCGGATAGTCTGCACCCTGCGCTGACGACGCCTTTTTTTGCGCCGCAAAGGTGCGCCGACCAGTTCCAGACCACCAGCTTCAGATCGAGCTTCTCATGGAACAACTACTCCACGAAAATTCGTTGAGTTATTGACCTCAGGCCCAGCAGACCTCGGATCTGCATCGTGCCAGCCTTCGGGATGGGATCAGGGGAGCGTCAGTTATGATTTCAGCCCTACTTCAGCCCTACGGGATGGACCGCGTACAGCCTTGGGGGGAGAATGACTGGAGTGTGAAGTCCAATAACTGGGAGTAAGCTGGTTTCCACAGCGTATTGCTGTTCAAGATTGGCAGCCCTTCATCTCCCTGACACTGAAGCATAAGCTTCGCCAGTACTGAGCTCTCTGCCGCAGCGGATTTAAATTCTCTTTCATCAACACCTTTCCTGTCGGCGGCATCCTGAGTACCGCTTGCTTCGGCGACCTCCTGCACCTCTCACCAGCGGGGACATCACACATACATGATACGAACCCCGGCATCATCACTTCACCAGCCCTCCAACCTCGCTTCAATGATCCAACCGAACATCCTTTCCCCAACGGCCTTCGCGCACACAACGCCTGGGTCATTACCTGGGAACCCTCCGACACGCCCTCGATCAACCCTCCCCCGCCACAGCTCGCGTGCTCGACATCCGTGCTGGCCTCAAGAGTGCCCGGCGCGACCGTCGACGCGAGCGTGCGCGACGCTACGTGCACGCCCACCAACGGCGGTGCGTCGCACTAGAGCGCGTCCGGGACGGCGGGTATGATGTTTGTTGTCATTGGGCTGCCGCTTATCGGTGGACGGTATGCAGCAGAGTGCCCCCCTGCAGGCTGCAGAGCAAAGGAGCAGCAGTGGCGCTTGCACCAAGGAAGCTAAATCTGGACCGAAGCTCACAGAAAGCCATTCATCTTTATATCGTGTTGAAGGGCCATAATGTAGAGCTTATCACGGGGGTCCGAGGTGTCATGTCCGTGGTAAATATCGAGCAACTCGCCTAGCGGGTGGATCTAGAAACAAAAGCCGACATAGTCAGCTTAAAACGCGCCACTGAACGTTAGCTGTCGCATCAGAGAAGTCATCGACTCGTTCACGTCCTTTGCGTCGGGTCGGTCTTTGTACGTCCCGTTATCCGGTGTTTCCGGGCTTAATGTAGTTATATCTATCCTGGCTTGATTTATGCCTCAGAACTCAAAAATGGTATTTGGTATTCATTAAGACGAAGAGTGCCTCAAGAATGGCGCAGATACGACGTTTAGTCCCGCGCAGAAATGAAACAGGTCTGTCTCGTCTGCATAATTTCTCGGTCCGGGAATCACTCGAGTGCTTATAAGATGTATAGAATGCTCCAGTGTGCCGGTCCAGTGCATTCGAGGGAAAGAGAATACCTGGTATCCTCCAATCGCAATATCCCTTATTTAGTCTGACGCCCTTCGAAGCCCCAAAAGATAGTCTTTTACTGATGTAGTCTCTTAACATAAACAGGCCAGTCATGGGGCAGCGTGTTGAAGTAAGCCTCATAGCTCCATTCCTGTCCAGGATTGACTTGGCGAACATCGTAGTCCCGGACCAGACTCGCGGCGAGCTTTGACATTTGGATCTTGGCGAGGTTAATACCGGGACAGCCGCCATAGCCAAGCCCAAACTGTAGTTGCAAAGAAGGTCAGTTTACAGCCTCCAGTAAAAGGGACAAGGGCAGATCTCACCGGCATGTAGAAGCGCTCCAGCTCGACGCTATCATCCTTCAGCCACCGGTCTGGGTTGAACGCCTCTGCATCAGGCCCCCAGAAGCTCTTGTCTCTCATCATAGAACTGGCAACCCGTTAACCAACCAAACGCACAACATCCTTCACCCAGAGCAAAAAGACTTACTAGGGATGTATCGCGAGCGTCGTCCCCTCCGGAAACGTCATATCCCCAATCGTCGTGCCCCCCTCAAGCGCCACCCTCGGCAACCCCGTCCCAAGCGGCCCAAAAAGACGCAACGCCTCCTTAATACACGCCTGCAGGTACGGCATCTCCTGGGCATCAGCAAACGGAACAATCCTGGTCGGCGGCCTATCGCTCTTTTCCAAATGCGCCACGACCTCCTCACGACACCGCCGCCACGCAGTCGGGTGGCGCATGGTGTGATACACAAACGTCTGCAGGCCCGTCGACATGGCGTCGGTGCCAGCCACGATCCCGAGTGTCGTCTGTGCCTGCACGTCGCGCAGCGTGACCTTGCCATCGGCCAGGGCCTGCAGCCAGAGCGTCAGGATGTCGGGGTCGTTATCGTTGGTGTCGGTTTTCCTTGAGCGGCGCGCGGCGATGGCGTCCATGGCCGTGACAAAAACAAGCCGGAAGGGCAGCACGCCGGTCCACGTCACGAAGGGGTTGGCGACGAGCTTGTTCAGGTAGGGAAAGTAGCCGGTTGCGGTGCCGATGCCGACGATCGCGTGCGAGCGCGCGAGCGTCTTGTCGATGTCGTAGCCCTTTTCGAGGAAGCCAAAGGGCTTGGAGAAGAGAAGCTCGCCGGTGATGTCGGCTGCGGTGAAGCTGAAGAATTGGTCGAGATTCATGGGCTTGCCGTTGTCGTCAGCGGCAAACTTGTCGATCCAGTTGAGGAGCTGGGTGAAGAGCTTGTCGATGCGGTGCTCAAAGGTGAGGAGGGTCGAGGTTGAGAATCCTTGCATGAACTGCTTGGCGCGCGCGACTTTGGCTTTGGGGTCGGTGATGGAGAGGGTCGTCTGGAAGCGGTAGTCGGGGAGGGCGCCGGCGCGGTACCAGCTGTCCTGTCAGGGAGTCAAAGAGAGTGCCACATGAAGAGTCTCTCACTACCAGTGATGAGGAGGATAATGTCTTACCTTGGGCAGCGCAGTGAGGAGGATCTTGCGGGGCGCATCGCGATGGCAGACACTCACTTCGTTCGGAGCAACTCGGACAAAGGGTCCGTGTTTCTGATGCAGTGCATGAATCACACCAATCGAGTCGCCTCGGATCAGCGTGGCGACCTGCCAGAACCTGGTAATGGAGGCAAGAAAGGGACCCGGTATATGGCTCAGGGGAGAGAAGTAGCGCCGCCTTATCACAATCGACATAATAGCGACGAGGACGAGACTGAGAAGGGAGGAGGGTGTGAGGCTAGTGCTAAGCACATTGCTCATGAAGGTGGCCATAGTGAACTCGTGGCGGCAATCGTGATTGGCTAGAGTGCAAGTTGTCAGAAGAGAGACGGCCGAAAAATTTGAATTGTTGTCATCACCAGGAATGCGGGGCACGACAGAAGATAAATACCACTGCTGGGCTGGCTACCCCACTTTCGGTGAGGTGTCACAATGTGAGGTGTCACAAAGGAGAGCTGCGTATATGTGGGGCAAGAGCGCTATTTTACAGGTCGATCCTGCTGAGAAGGATTGAGACTAATTAAAGCTCATGTGTGCCAGTGTGAGTCGTCGGGATCATGTTCGAGCAGTAAGCTAACAGCCGCATCGGGCTCGATATTCAGTGCGGACAATAGATAGAACTGGTGTGACCGACATTATTGTAATTCTGTGTCTTAAGTTCTATTTGTGCTCAGCGTAGGCAGTTGGACGGATCAAGCGGAACACAGAATCTCAACGTAAGCGGCCTGCACACTCTGAGTTGTCAGCTGTGGCTGACCTGCGCTCCAAGTTGACTAATCAAGCTAGTTTGATGATCTCGATCAAGCAGCCACGCGATTTTGGAATCGTTGAGGTCTTGGTTGATCCTTCTGCTTGGTGTCGGCGAAGACATGAGCCATGCAACCGAATGTACGAAGGTACTCCGGCCGCGGTTTTGTACATACATGCAGGTAGTCTACCTCTAAATAAAAAGAATTCTCTTCGCGGCCGAGGACGGTTAGCTAAAAATTAACGTTGCTTCAGCCTCGGCTCGGCTTCGACTTATCCCGGCTCAGCCACGCTTACGCTTACTATTCTACAGAACCATCAACTTTACGCGACCCTATAAGAGATGAGTTTTAGGCCTTACTCTTTAATAGCTTAAAGAAGGGCTAAGTAAGCAGGACTTATTCTTGTCTGCCCCGCTAGTAGTGATAACCTTTAAAACGGAGGCTTAGAAATAGTCCCGATAGTGATAGTATAACATATTTATTCTCCGTTTTTAGAAGTTTCTAGTCGTAGTCTTATCTTAGTCGTAGTCTTGTTGTCACGGCAGGGCCAAAACCCGCTGGTTGGGCGCATCGGTTTTAGGCTTTGTGGCTCGTGCAATCTTGCAGGAGCTCCACTCTCTAGCGCCCACAACTATTTCCCTACGGCCGCCCGGCCGCTCTCGATTCCTTGCTTCGTTCTTTCCTTAGCTTTAGATTCTACGAATACAGCCCGGTAAATGCAGCCTTGTCTCATTCGATCGACTGTGCGGTGATACTTGTCTTATATTTTGTCAAAGTACAGCTAGTAACTGGGCCCTGAAGTGTTCAGGTGGTCCTGATTCTGTCGTTTCATAGAAACAAGGCGCTAAATTACGCCTTCTATTCTATCAGGGGCTAAAGTATTATCGACTAAGGGGAAGGTTCGTAAAGACTTTTGCACTATTTTATATAGCCCCACTCCGCTACACTGCGCGTGCGTTAAAAAACATCTGATCCGAAATGTGCTCTTTCTTTTGCGAGCCGGTGCGGACGTAGAAGCCAAGTCAAATTCAGGGTACAGACCCCTCCTAGCTGCCAGTTTCCTGGGAAACGCAGCCAACGTAACGATCTTGCTGGAGCACGGCGCCGATATCGCCGCGCGCGATAGTTACGGCCGAACCGCACTCCATGACGCCGGCTCAGTCGAGGTTTGCCAGGTGCTTTTACGGGCCTGAAAAGTACGGATAATATTACATCTTTGCCACTAATGAACAAGGCAACCGCATGGATGGCTTCTGGGAGAAACGATCACCGAGACATGGAAGACGAGGCACCAAGGTGCCTCCTCGACACCGCTGGTACCATCGACGTTCGGGACGACGCCGGACAGACACCGCTGCACGTTACCTGCAGCTAGGAAGACCGTGAATGTCCACCGAAAGTGGATGTTGCCTGCCTGCTGCTGGGAAATGGGGCAGATGCGGGCAAAACAGACGACAACGGCGTGACGCTACTAGATCTTGTGAGGTTGGCCGAACGGGGAGACAGCGAGAGCGATAAACTTCTTCTCCCGCTGGCAGAACTACTGAACGCTTATCTTGGCATGCCGGACGTGGATGGTGAACCGAAGCGAGACTAGACCAGCGTTTCGGAGCCTTTGTATTGCTCCAAGGGCTGACTGGATATTGCTCTAGCGGGATACGGAAGAAGGAAGAAGGGATAGCGGTTTACTAGCCCGTGTCCTGGAATGGGGATAGACGGGCGTTTTTTCTCTTCTATTACTCAGGAGACGAGCCAGGTGGGAGGGGGATTGGTGCCTCGCACTATTGGGTCTATGCCATTTCTCTTTTTGGTCATCTGCACCGCTAACAGTTGTCCCGTTACCGAGCCATCGGGTCGGTGTGTTGTGTTGTATTTGCTCTTTGCTCTCGCGTCTGTCTGGCTGGTGATTCACTTGGCATCCAACGTGAAATCCCGGGGGCGGGCTTTGAACAGGTGGAGGATTGAAGGTCAGAATTGCAAGAGTAGTCACTCTATATACTGCATTGTTCAGAAAGAGGGTTGTCTGATCCTCTCAATTTTGTACATGGTCTTTTCCTTGCTTGGTTGCGCCGGGGGGTTTTTTACGCGCCATACCCGACGCGATTGTCAAAGGTAACTGTACGTTAGAAGTAACGTAGGACGTCTGATTCAATCATATGCGTCACATGCGTCCTATGCGTCACATGCGTCACATGTGCCCGCTGGCTTCGAACTTCGTAATGGCGTTCACACAGCGTGAAGCTACACGACGTGAATCATCACGGCGTGAATCATCACGGCGTGAATCATGCTAGCAACAAAGTTCGACGTCATCACGGCGTGAATCATGCTAGCAGCAGAGTTCGACGTCAATGGCCAGTTATCTCATTCTTATGGGCTACAGACGGCAGGAGGGAGTTGCGCGCCACAACGGTACGGTCAAGAGACTGCAGGTTCGCTGAGAAACATCGATGCCTCCCCTCACACTCCAGAGTCATTCTGGAACACGTCCCCATCGCAGCCCTCCCACCAGTTCTTGCAGGCCGCCTGCCACGTCCTCCAGTTCTGGCATACCCGGTTTGCCTCTTGTATGGCGTGGGAGGTAGCATTGGACGGCCACTGCCGCAAGAAATCTAGTCAGGTCTCTATTGCCAAAAAAGATTGTTTTCGCACTTACGATTTTCTGGGCATCGGCCCGTCGCTCGAGAATCTGTAGGCCCAGGCCCATGGCGGCGTGTTCCGCTAGCCATCCTTGAGTGAGCATCTAATCCAGGTGCTGCTCTGAGAGCAATAGGGTTGCCTTACCAATGTGGCAATGGACGAGCCATGCGCCGGGGTTGTCGGCGTGGAAGGCGATAGTGACAGACCCTCGATTCGGCACCAGGATGACGTCCCGACGTGGAGGGTTGAACCAATCCTGGACGGTAAACGAGTTGGTTGGGTGATTCGGGTCCTGCTTATCGAGGATAGCAAAGTCGTGGCCGTGGAGGTGGATCTAGCAATTTCGGTGGCAGAATTCCAATCAGCAGTGTGATTTGGAGGTTCGACAAGTCAAGGCAGTTTTGCTGATAGGCTTGTTTGAGATCTAGACTTGGGCGACTTACTGGGTGGGTGCCGGCGATGGATGAAATTTGGAGGAATATCTACGCATCAGCTTGGCATTAGCGAACTGTGTGGACAGGGCAAGGTAGGCAGTTGAGGGACACGTGTTGGATGGGGAAAAGGGGTCGCGACCTACCCAGTCTGTGCTCGTCAGGTTGTCTTCGAGAACAACCATTGCGCTGGGCTTCCACGGACCCGTGTTGTTCAGGTTCAGGAATGTTGGGTCTGAGTAATTCACCTGGAGCGCTGTCCAATTCTGGAGGGTGGTGGGGTTCAGCGCGAAGCCGGCTAGCGGGAAGGGCTTTGGCGAAAGGTTCTTGAATGATATTTCCTCGTTCTCGCCCTGGCCCCCGTTGTTGGAGGGCTTGGTCACGTCCCAAGCTACAACGGGCCTGAGGTTGGCAAGCGGCTCCTCGATGCAGTTCCTGTCCAGGTTCGGCCAGGGTTGGGTGCTTGGCTTTGCGGTGCTGGAGCTGTCGTACCGTAGGATTCCCGTCTTCATGTATGTGTCGCCGGGTGGGATCGGGGCGTCAGGGCAGTCGCCTATAATGTCGGTACGGATCCAGTAGTTGCGCACGGTAGACAGGTTTTGGTTGGGGTATGGAATCGGCAACGCCTCGACGATTACTTGGTACCGCTGTCCGATGCCAATGTGAAGGTGGCTGGTGATATAACTGCCGTCGACTGGAACAAAATCGACCTCGACGACCTGCAACTGATGGTTGTCAATCGAAAAGACGAATGGGGTCTGGAAGGATGTGTTGATGATGCGCAGCAAGTATTTCAGCGGCTTCGCGGGGTTGGCCTCGAAATTGAGTGTATACGGCGTCGGAATGGTCAGGTTGGATGGCAATCCCGAATAGCCGAATGCAGTGACGTTGCCCTTGCCGTTCAGCAAGATTGTGGGATACAGAATGTCGGCACCAGAGATGAATTCGTACGCGCTGTTGTGGGCTACAAACAAAAGAGTCAACCACCATTCGGGTTATTCATATGCGAAGTTGGCTAGGTGAGGTAGTCCCACCCCAGTCTGTGATAAGCAGCGGCACATCAGGAGCAATATCGTACTGCTGCGACGACGGACCATGGATAGTCTGTAAACATGGCGTTAATTAGTGTGCACGTTTCACGAGTCTGCAGGCTCCAACTTACGATTGGTGCGACCAGGCCATCAGCATATTGCTTTATCCAATGTCAGCAGACGTCTCGGCAATTCTAGACGACAGAAAGGGAGTCGTTGGAAGAGGTAGACACAAACCACGCTGTAATGACTGTGTAGCCTGTTTACCGAGCTGTCAGCAAGATGGCTACCCTCGGTAAGGTCATTAATGGGATGATATCGTGGCATCTCCAACGTACCACGAACTGCCGTATTGAGTAGCGAGGAACTTGTAGGTGAAGCTGTCGCCGGGACGGATTGGGCATTGGGTTACTCCATTTACGCCATCCATGTGCATTGTGCGGAACTGGCGGATGCCGTGCCAGTGGATACTGGTGCCATTACCCTTGAGATTGTTTATGACGGTTACCTAGTACCCGGTGCATGTCATGCGTCAGCGCTAGGACCGAATTCACAACACACATGGCCGACAAACCTGAATTGTATCACCCCAGCAGGCCTCCGGAATGTCAGTACAGGTTGCTTAACGAGCTATCAGGCGCGACTGGTGGCATACCTGGATCCAGGGTCCGGGATACTGTCCGTTGAACCACTTTCCCTGCTTGAAGTCGAGACCGTCGGCGTTGATGACGTGATTTGTAAGGTTAAGCGTGTAGTTTCGGGTGATTCCTGTGGGTGTCAGAGGCACCACGGTGCCGTCGGACAATGTGGTGGTCGCCTCATAGTTGGTCAAGATGTTCCACTGGTTTTTTCCCGACTTGTCTACGAGCCAGCAGCGACGGTCGGTGCTGGAGCACTCGGACCAGTTTGTCATGGCCGAATAGTCGCAAGTGAAATTGGACCCGTCGGCAGCGCCGGGAGGCTTGAAAATGGGCCCCCGCGATGGCCTGGCCCCATGATGGCTTGGCAGGTCAAGCGGGAGGCGATCGAGGTCCTGCAGCGACTTTTGCAAGGGCAAATCGGTCCCAAAGCCAAAGAGACAGGTCAAGGCCGTCCAGAACCTCTGGCCTAGCAGCATGATGGTGGTGTTGATGAGAAGGCACTGCTAAAGCTGGTGAATTTGTGGCATCAACGGCAAAGGGCAAGAGGCTGTTGCTGCGAGAGAAGGGAGCAAGGAAGTATTAGCACTGTTTCGAAATGCGTTTATAGGCCTTTTTTCTTTCCTGGATGTCTCCCCTTCGCATTCATTGTCCAAGGGAGGGGATGTGAGCGTGGCCGACACCAGCTCAGCTCGCCACGATTTGCGCTTACTCCTCCTTTGGGATACACTCCTCCTTTGGGATGCCATCCCCGCGCTAAGATGCGAAAATGCAACCTCGACTGTGGCCAGGACCAATATAAGCGCGTGAAAATGAAGAGATATCAATATTGTCGCTGCAGGGCTGGAATGCATGCGACAATCTTATCAAATCCGAGACCAGATTAGCCGGCCTCGAGCAAGCCCCCAGTGCTCGTTTACGGCGTCCCAGGTATCTCCTGTCGATTGACGCCAAGTTGATCTATCTCCAGACTTCTGACTAGATTCTCGAATGCGCACCCGACCTACAAACGCCAATGCCTATTGGATCCAGCGACACCCAAGGAGGTCAGTGATGAGAGTCTGCCGTCCTGGCTCTTACAGCCAACTGCACACCGGACAGGCCAGTCCGTCAGCTGCGCGATAGGGCGAAGGGTCTCAATATTCATGCTAATCGGGAGTTACAATATTGTTATGGCAAGTGGCGTCATCCCACTGTCTAGATTCTGGAAAGACCTTCTGATCGTGGATGCGTAGGCGAACGGATGTGGCAGCCGTAACCGGAGTTTTCATGCTTGGTCTCAAGCTTCCCCTTTTGTCGTCATCCTACAGCCTCGATTCCCACCCATCTCTCACCCTCTCGCCGTTTCAAGCATCAATCCTTTCCAGGGCTTGACCGTTTTCTTCTTATATTGGCTTTCCCGTTTTAAATCCGTTGTCTATTGCGCAGCCCTCCCAGACTCCTTGTCCTCCTCTCTTTACCTCGTCAGCTTATTCAGTGTCTTATCCCGAACCGCCTCGTACATTGATACTCCCCTCCCGCGGGTCGTTGAGCTTTTTGAGGGGGAGAGTCTACTCGGGCCGCCAAACCCGTCTTGTAAACTGTAGCCACATATAAAAGATACATGGGGCCATCACGCCAAGCCACTAGCCCAGCCAAAATCGGGTTCTTTGCGCCCAAAAAGGCCTAGCTCAATGGCCCAGCTCACTGGCCTAGCTCAATGGCCTAGCTCAATGGCCGGCCGGCTCGCTTTTCTTGACGGGAGCCTGCATCATGCGCCCCGCGCCCTAACCACCCGCCTACCCCCACCCCCAACTAGGCCAAAATTTTCCCCGCAAATGAGGCCATCGCCAAATCCACCACCAAAGCCTTCCATGTTCAACACCACCATACCGTCAAGTGAGCCACAACAACACCTACGCGGTCGGTCATCAATATTTTGAGCTCGCCGGCACATACCACTTTTGCAGGGCGTTGTTCCCGGGCAAATGCTTGGTTGTGTCGATGAGAAACCCGGTAAATGCTGCCAGCGCCCAATGCTCACTGGTCTCGAGTGCGCCCGTAACCCGCTGGATGCCCTATCGTTATTCATCACCTGCGGGAAGGTAGCACGTCCCCCAGATCGAGAAGTGTTTGTTCCGCCGTGTGACCGAAACCGTAGCGCGCGATCAGATCCGCGGGCGGGCCTAGCCTGGTTGTGTTGGGCGACGAGGCGGCGACGATGGAGCCAAAGAGGCCAAGCATGTTGTTGGACGTGAATGCGAGGTAGGCCCTATAGAAACTGTCCATTGTCTTTGACGTCGGTGCTGTCACGACATGAATGACTGTTAGACAGCAGTCCCCAGTGGCTACTTGTTCCTACATAGACTAAGGATAGCCGGGCAAGCGGTTGCCAAAATAAAAGAGACTGCGTACTTTACGGATACTTATTTACAGGCAAAATTTACTAGCCCTGCCAAGTCCCTCTTTGTACTATCACCCTACCAACCCGTCATCTAACCCTCGCCGGCTAACACATCCTGCATTCGTACTACCATAGAATCTACATACTTATTGATCGTCACCTGTTTGATGTCACGCCATCCTTCAATTACCAACGCCTTGAATTCTTCCTCAGTCATTCCAATTTTGTAGTTTGCTTTGACAAACTGCTTGACTACGCGCCAGTAATTCTCAATTGGTAATATATCTGGAGAGCTAGGTATATTGAAGAAGTATTTCAAATGATATTCGTCTTTCCAGTTCTGAATAATATTGTTTGGATTTTGATGGCCGGCTCCATGCCCAGAATCGCCATCTTCTTCCAGAACGAACTATTGACCTAATACTAGCTAGGGCTTGCCGACCTTCTCTAAGATCTCGTCGTAATATACTTGCAAGGTCATCTTTCCGTTTGTATTAGTTAGAATATCGTAGAAGTGTAATTCGGATTTGAACTCCCAACCGACAGCTGCCCAAATATGGAACCGGCGGGCTTCAGGATCTAGCTGGTCCGATTCGCAATGTTAAATATAATCTGGACAATATCGTTCGCCTGGCTTCCGGATAATCCGTATCTTTCCTTCTGGACTGACGGAAAAATGGCATTCATCCGACCATCGAATACCGCGCTAGTCCTCCGAATTTGGGCGGAAATGAAGTGCTGATTCGGCGTCATGAACCCGGCGTTTCGCGTATGACGGCGAGGCCCAGCCCTTCTGGTAGGCGATGTATTTCCGATAGTTGAGTATGCCCATCGCTCGTTCAATTATTCTAGCGCTAGCTTGAATACCAGATGTATTGCCTAATGCTTACCAGCTCAGTTTACGCGCCTGGTAACCGTACTGCTAGATAATTGATTCCATTGGGTGGAGGTCTTCGATTGTGATAATTCTATACCGGCCGCGTATTTCTGTTTCCAGACGCCGGCGTTCATGCCTCTATCGTAGAATTTCCCAGCCGCGCGGCTTACTGGCGCCAAATTGTCGGAACATATCGGCCTTATAGAAAGGAATATTATGGGTTGAGGTAGTCTACCGCTCCAAGAATCTTGGCCTTCGCAGGCGTGTGGTGGTGTTGGTCGCCTGCAGCCATTACAGTAATTGCTGGTGGAGTGTTGTGGTAGAGAGCCGAAGGCTGTGGAATTGAAATAATTGTTAGATATTTGTTAGTGGCTGCAACAAGTGACCTCCACTTGCAATTTGGAGCATCTTTTATTTTGGCAACCGCTTGGCGGGACATCTCTGGGACTTATTGGCTCGGCCTAGGGTGATACTGTGCTAGGCACAGGCCAAGCTGGCCTAGCCCGGACCACTTAATGGTCCATGCACCACCAGCCTATCCCCCCACCATAGATTTTCGCCTGCGGGTAGATAGCTTAGATTCTTTAAGCAATCCACCACGTTTTCCAGTAAACTGTGCACCTCGCATAGATACTCAGTGCACCCCAGCTCCTGCTCAGGTTCTAAGCCTAATACGAATTGGCTAGTACGGATTTGGCTAAAAAACATTGTCGGAGGTGACTATAGAGGTACACAGCATATTACAGCCCGGCACGAGACTGCAAATCCAGTGGCAAACATCAGGTGACGAATGGACAAGAAATCCACCAAACGGCAAATTGCTTGCACAGTCCAGCAAAGCCACGTTTTGGCAAACTAACTGAATCTGGCCGTCTATATAGGTATGCTTTACCTTCTTTTGTGAGCCCCCGAAACATGAATTCCAACACATGTCTAGCAGGGAAGTCATCCCTAGAGTGGACAAAATTGCCTAAACATGATACATGATTAATCATAATTAGTATATATATTGCAAAATAATATCACAGCACGTCCCCTTGTCCTGGCTTTATTTCTCGCCCATTTTGCTGCCGCGACGTGCTCACGCCAAAAAAACTGACACCCGTACGCGTCACATGTTCCCAATCACCCCGTCTTTTGCGCGGCCGCCTTCTCGACAGCCGCCCGCTTCACCCACACCTCGCCCACAGGATCGCCCTCCTCGGCCACACACACCCAGTCGCCCATTCCCGTCTCCTTGGGGGCGACGCGGACGCCTCTGCCGCCGCCGCCAACAATCAGGTTGCCGGGGCGGTAGCCGTCGTCTTGCCGAATGCGGCGGATGACGCTGCCGTGCACGCGCGCGTTGGCGGGGATGTCGCGCACCTCGCCGCACGGCAGCGGCCAGCGGATCGGCTTCCACGATCCGTCGTGCCCCAGGTCCAGCCGCCGGAACGGCAGGTACTCCATGATCTTCCACCCCAGCACCGTCGTCCACCCCAGCCCGCAGTCGAACTGCAGCGAGTCGTGAATGCGTGCCGTGTGCGCGCCGTGCATCAGCGAGTGCCATGACGGCTTTTTCTGTTTTCCGTTTCCCGCCGAGCCGCTGCTGGCCCCCTTTTCGTCGGAGGGTGGTGTGGTGGGCTGGAACGGCTCTGTGAATGTCGGTTTCTGCTGCGGCGACGAGCCGGTCTGCGTCTGCAGCAGCTTGGGCGCGCTCGTGCTGGGGCTCCGGACCACGATGCCCGGGATTACCGGCGGGGCCGCGGCCTTGTCGTGGACGTCGGTGTCGCTGGGCGGCGCTCCGATGGCATCGTCGCAGTCGTCTTGGCCGTCCAGCGCGTCCATGCAGCCCAGCTCGCGGACCTTTTCGAGGTCGAACTGCAGGCCGGCCTTGATGGCCTCGCGCACCATCCACGACAGCGGCACGTGGCTGGCGGCCTTGCAGCCGGGCGTCGTCTCCCACCCGCCGCCAATGTCGCCGTGCCCGCCCGAGAACCACACCTCGTCAATGTCCTGGTCGTTCTCGTCCTCGCTGTCGGCCTGCGAGTCGCCGTCGCCGCCGTCGCCGTCGCCGTCGCCGCCGTGCGGGTGCGGCTTGACCGAGAACTCGGACTGCGCGTCCGACGCGTCCGTCCGCCGCGTCGCCTGCGACCGCGCCGAGTGAGACCGGCTGCGGTACGGCGCCATGTCGTCGTCGGGAACCGCCAATGTCTGCCGCCGGCCGCGGTCGGCGTCTTGCTGCTGCTGGCTGGGCGCCGCGGAGCTCCGGCGGCGGTACTTTTCGTGGATCTCGTGCAGCTTCTGCTGGGCGGGGTTGCGCTCCTTGTTGTTGCTGTCGCGCTTGGCGCCGCTCTGGTAGATGAGGTCCTGGCGGAACTTTGCGCGGCGCTCGTCGATGCTGACGGCGTGGCGGATGACCTTGGCCGACGTGCGCGCCGTGTAGGGGAACTTTGAGCGCTCCATCCAGGCCGTCTCGAAGCGCGGCACGCTGTTGACCGTGTCGAACAGGCCCAAGAAGCGGATGCGCCGCACCGGCCGCGAAAAGGTCTCGCGGAAGCCCTTCATGAAGCGGTACATGTCCTTCTTCTTGCGCTCGCCGTCGGCCGACTTGTCGCTGCGCCGGCTCTGCCAGTTGGAGAAGGCCTTCCAGCTGAAGCGCACCAGCTCCTCGTTGCCGACGCTCAGCAGCCCTACGTAGTCGAGCATCTCGGCCAGGAAGCGTGCGATGTACGCGCCGCGCGAGAAGCCGAAGATGTAGATCTCGTCGCCCGGCTGGTAGAACTGCATCAGGAACCGGTAGCCGCCCACGACGTGTTGGTCGAACGACGACCCCACCGCCGAGTCTTTGGCTTTCATGTACCACGACTTCATCTTGGCGATGGAGCCCGTGTTTGTGAGGCTCGTGGAAACGACGTAGGTGCCGATTCCAGCTGGTTGGGGTGGTTAGTTGTAGGTCTTGATTACGGAGACTCTTGTCCACTTAGTTATTGATCAACATACGCTGGTAGTAGTGATCTAACACTATCGTCAGCGCTCACCTCGGGTCTTGGAGATTTGTTATCAAGGATGAGGGGTTACATACACTGGTCTGCCGCTGTTCGGTCCAGCATGCTGTAGATCTTGAGGATGTTGCTGTTCTGCTCCGTGTTGCTCTCGAAGCGATTCCCGGTGCCGTCAAAGCACAGCACAATCTTGCGCGGCTTGCGGTGGTGTGACGGCCGGTGGGTCCTTGGCTGCTCCATCCCGCTGGGTCGTCGCGAAGTATTGTTGTCGACGTTGTTGTGGTTGTTGACGTTGTTGTGGTTGTTGACGTTGTTGTGGTTGTTGACGTTGTTGACGTTGTTGTAGTTGTTGTGGTTGTTGTGGTTCTGTTGGTGGTGCGGCGAGAAGAAGCCTTCCCGGTGCTCCGCTATGGGAGACTCCTGGCCAAAGTCACCCTCTCCTCCTCTTTGATCATGGTGCTCAATAACGTCGTCGTCGGGCGCGAGATGAAACTTGCCCATCGTTTGAGTCTGCTGCTGCCTGTTCTCGAGCACCAGAAATAATTGATGGACGGAAATTTTCAACCTGAACAATGCGGCGAAGCAGGGAGGGAAGAGCGGACAGCGCCCTGCGAGCGGAACCTATCACGGCAGACGGCACTTGGCAGAAGACCACAAAACGTCTTTCTTATCCTATCTGCGGGAATCCGAGTTTCCCGGCCTGCTTCCAAGGTTTCGCTGCAGGCTTCCGTCATAACGCGTGGTGTCTGAGACGGATGGGCACCTGGTCGGGGACTTGTCTGAACGCCACCTTCGACCCCGCCTGTCACCAACCAGCTTGATCTACTGCTTGCGTATTTGATCAGTCTGTCGGGGAGCAGAGGGGGCGTGCGAGGTAAGAGAGTGTCGAACTTTTGACTGGCAGATGCAGCTGCAAGCGGGCTGCAAAGCGGGTTGGCCAGGCAAAGGGCCGAACGACGCCGTGTCTCAGTGCCCCAGAACCTATTCCGAACAAAGCCGAGGGAGGGTTGGTTCTCGCGGGTGGGGGTGGGGGGGGGCCCCCGGGTAGGGGTAGTTCTACAGATGATTGGGTAGTGTGGGAAGTCGTGCTTTGCCATACGTGGTTGGGATCTGCGGGCTTGAACAAAAGCGGTCTTTCAGCTGGCATGCGGAAAGCAAATAATGTCATGAGTTGCAGGCTCGCCGGCTGGCCAGCCAGTCTGGGCTAGCGAGGGCCAGAGCGGCACCGGCGCATCTTCTCGTCCCCAGCTCGTGCAGGCCAGCGTGATTGGCTTTGGCCCCAGTCTTGTGCATGGGAGAGTGCCACTAGATCGACCCTAAATCCCCGGCCCGAGCCCTGGTTTGACGCCTCTTTTACTGGTTGGACGCTAGGGAGGCAAATGAACTCGTGAAGTCAAGTGAGGAGCAACACTAACCCCCAGTCTGGCGCCCGGCCGCCGGATCCTCGCCGAGATGAAGACGGCATGTCGATCCCACCGCGCTCTTCCCTTTTGGGGGGGAGCCGCGTTTCCCACGCCGCAAATCACTCGTTCCGTGGCACTGGCCTAGCATCCACCCGACTGCGCTGCGTTGCCGCTGATCTGCACAGGGAACAGCGGGCTTCCGGATCGTCCAATCGCCAGCTGCATGCCCTCACAATTTGTTCCGAGAAGGGCTCGTCGACCAACGAATGCCTCTCATTTCCCCGGGTTGCATGGCTCGAGACCCGACATCCCGCGCTCGGCCTCTTGTTAGCTGCTCCCCTCTCCCACGCTCCCTCCCACCTGCTGTCCGCTGTCAAGGCCAGGAAGCAATTGCGTCTGTTGACGCCCCACCCAGCTCGACTTGTCTCCCGTTTGTTTCTTCTTCAATCAGCTGGACATGATGGTTTGGTGCGTTCCAATTGAAGCGAGACGGGCTCTGGGCATTATGACTGGCTAATGCGTGGTAGCACCGTACCTCGCTGTGCCTCGCTACCGCGTATTCCCGAGCCCGCGGCAGGGATGCGATCGGGTGCCGTTGGGCCGGGGCCCGGGGGATGCTCTGGGGGAAGCGGAGAGAAACAGCGTGCTGACCACCATCTCTGAGGATCGAGACTGGCCAGTGCTGACCGCTGCACAGCACTACTATGTAAGAGTGCAGAAAGTGGTCGCCGTCCACAGGACAGAAGGGGGTTGGCGTCGCCTGCCTTGACCTCGATTCGCCGCAGAAGTGAGACAAGCCCCGCCAGAGCTTGCAGAGGTCGCGTGGTGGCTTCGAATAGCTCCGGCTTCCGCATCCCAGTCAAGCGCCCCCCAACTCGTGTCGACCCTGGAGTCTTCCCTTCGCGAGCGGCGCGAGGAGCGGTACACGTCCTGTCCGGTACACGTCCTGTCCAGCACACTCAAGCTCCGACCGAAGATGGGGGTGGTTGGAACTGAGGGAACTCGGGCGGGCGAGCTCAGACACGCGTGCAGCATGTGTTACATCGTTGCACCGAGCTCCATTCATTCCCAGGAGCTCTGCATTTCTATGAGACCCCTTCCATTCTTTCCCATTGTCCTCGAATCAGCCACTCCACCACTGCTTGGCACCTTGTCAGCACCGGCGTCTCATTGCATCGATTGTCCTGCAGACCGGCATCTGGCCCAGAACAACCACTTCGGACCAGTGCGCCCTTGACCATCACCATCACCGCACCGTCACCGTCACCGCACCGTCACCGTCACCGCACCGTCACCGTCACCGCACCGCCACCGCACCGCACCGTCACCGTCACTGTCGTTAGCCATGGCGAGCTACCAGAACGGCTCGTCGGCCACAAACGGCTCCGAAAAGACCAACGGCTCCAAGCTGCCGGCCCGCAGCTCCAGCAGCCACGGCGAGAGGCTCGCGAGCCAGGCAAAGCCCAAGCCGGCGCCCCTCAAGCTGAAGCAGACCAAGGCCAACCGCGAGGGCGTCACCAACGCGTTCGAGCGATATGGCCAAGTCATCCACGCCGCCGTCGAGCCGCTGCCCGTCCAAGGAGGTGCCGGTACCTTCAGCGAGAACAAGAAATGGACCAAGCTCCGGACGGACCTCAAGAACCTCCGCGTGGCGGATTACAAGACGCTCAAGACCATGGTCCTGTCCAAGCTGCGGGGCGAGCAGTGGTCCGACGACAAGACCATGATCATGGAGTCCGTCATCCAGCTCGTCGCCAACCTGCCGAGCCACTCCAAGACCAGGGCCCAGCTGACCGACTCCTTCATCACGCAGCTGTGGGACAGCCTGGAGCATCCCCCGTCGCTGTTCGTCGGAGACAAGTACCAGTATCGCCAGGCCGATGGCTCATACAACGTGCGTATACCCGGCACGACCCGGCACGGTTTCCATTCGGCTCAAGACTTTGAGCGCGTGACCTGACATGATGTGCGTGTTCCAGAATGTCATGTACCCCCAGCTCGGGGCCGCCGGCACCGCGTACGCGCGGTCCGTCAACACGAGCGTGCTCCGGCCCGGGGCATTGCCGGACCCAGCCCTCATCTACGACGCCGTCATGAAGCGCGTCGAGTACAAGAAGCACCCCAACAACGTGTCGAGCGTGCTGTGGTACTGGGCCAGCATCATCATCCACGGTATGTCACCCCCGGCAAATACACGCCAGCCAGGACATGACTGACCCACGGCGCGCAGATCTGTTCTGGACCGACTACCGCGACATGAACAAGTCTAAGACGTCGTCGTACCTGGACCTGTCGCCGCTGTACGGCAGCAACCAGGAGATGCAAGACACGATCCGCACGTTCGAGGCCGGCAAGCTCAAGCCCGACTGCTTCGCCGACAAGCGCCTGCTGGGCATGCCGCCCGGCGTCGGCGTGCTGCTGATCATGTTCAACCGCTTCCACAACCACGTGGCCGAGAACCTGGCCGCCATCAACGAGGACGGCAAGTTCACGCCGCCCGCGGCGTCGCTCGAGGGCGACCAGGCGGCCGCCGCGTGGAAGAAGCACGACAACGACCTCTTCCAGACGGCCCGCCTTGTCACCTCGGGCCTCTACATCAACATCACGCTCGTCGACTACGTGCGCAACATTGTCAACGTAGGTGTTCGTCCTCTCCTCCTCTGCACTATGCGTAGCTGACGACAGCGCAGCTGAACCGCGTTGACACAGACTGGACGCTGGATCCGCGGCAGGCGTCGGGGATCGACGTGGGCACCAAGAAGGGGTCCGCGCGCGGCACGGGCAACGTGGTCAGCGCCGAGTTCAACCTGTGCTACCGGTGGCACTCGTGCGTGTCGGAGAAGGACGACAAGTGGATCGAGGAGTTTTACCACGACCTGTTCAAGAAGCCGGCGGCCGACGTCACCGTGCCCGAGCTGATCATGGGCTTCGCCAAGTTTGAGAAGATGATCCCCGAGGACCCGGCCGAGCGCCCGTTTGGCAAGTTCAAGAGGGGCGCCGACGGCAAGTTCAGCGACGACGACCTGGCCGAGTGCATGGCCTCGGCCGTCGAGGACTGCGCGGGCTCCTTTGGCGCCCGCAACGTGCCGGCGTCCATGCGCGCCATCGAGATCCTGGGCATCATCCAGGGCCGCAAGTGGAACGTGTCGGGCCTGAACGAGTTCCGGAAGCACTTCGGCCTCAAGCCGTACGAGACCTTTGAGGATATCAACTCGGACCCGGTGGTGTCGGGGTCGCTGCGCCGCCTCTACGACCACCCGGACTTCGTCGAGCTGTACCCGGGCCTGGTTGCCGAGGAGCACAAGCCGCCCAAGGTGCCCGGCGTGGGCATCGCCCCGACCTACACCATCTCGCGCGTGGTGCTGTCCGACGCCGTGTGCCTGGTGCGCGGCGATCGACACTACACGACCGACTACGGGCCGCGCAACCTGACCAACTGGGGCTACAACGAGGCCCAGTACGACCTCAACATCAACCACGGCTGCGTCTTCTACAAGCTCTTCATCCGCGCGCTGCCCAGCCACTTCAAGAGCAACTCGGTCTACGCCCACTACCCCATGGTGATCCCGTCCGAGACGGAGAAGATCCAGAAGGACCTCGAGCGCGCCGACCTCTTCGACTACTCGCGGCCCGCGCGCTCGACCCAGCTCACTGAGGTGGCCTCGTACAGCGGCGGCAAGTACGTCCTGGAGAGCCAGGACAAGTACCGGCCGACGTGGCACGAGAGCCTTGTGTCGCTGGTCGGCGGCGCCGCCAAGCTGTCGGGCGACTCGGCCCACCACGACAGCCAGCGCAGGGCGGTGCAGCAGCAGCTATCGGCCATCGACTGGCTGTCGCAGGTCAAGGCGCTGTACGCCCAGACGACAGAACGACTCCTCGTGGCCAGCAGCTACAACGTGGCCGGGCACCGGCTCATCGACGTGGTGCGCGACGTCGGCAACATCGCGCCCGTGCACTTCGCGTCGCGCGTGTTCGGGCTGCCGCTGCGCACGCCGGAGAACCCCAAGGGCATCTACACAGAGCACGAACTGTACGCGGTGCTGGCGGTCGTCGTCGAGGCGCTGTTCTACAACAGCGACCCCGTCAAGGCGTTCCCCATCAACCAGGCGGCCAAGACGGTCGCCGTGCAGCTGGCCACGGTCATCGAGCGCACCGTCAAGAGCCCCAAGGCCAAGAAGACCGACGCCCTCGCTACCTACGGCGCCAGCCTCGTCAAGGGCCTGGCCAAGGCCGGCCTCAGCAATGAGGACATTGCCTGGAGCCAGATCCTGCCCACGGCGGCTGCGCTCGTGCCGACGCAGGCCGAGCTGGTAAGTCTCGCCGTCCATTATATGCCAACCATGCATTCTCGGACTGTCACTAACCTGTGTGCCACAGTTTGCCCTCGCGGTCGACTACTACCTGTCACCTGCGGGCGCGACGCATTTGGCCGAGATCCACGCGGTAGCGACGCAGCCGGCATCAGACGCGACCGACGCGCTGCTGCTCGGGTTCGCGCTCGAGGGCGTGCGGCTGTCGGGCGTGGCGCGGTCGTCGTGCGTGTACGAGGCGGCGGCGGCCGACACGATCGAGGACGACGGCAGCGAGATCTCGGTGCACGCCAAGGACCGCGTCGCCGTGAGCTTTGTGCGTGTTCTGCGCCCCCCCCCTCTCCTCTTTAGTATCTCTACTAATTTGTGGCAACAGGTCGAAGCAGCACGCGACCCGGCACACTTCCCCGACCCCACGACCGTCAACCCGCGCCGGCCCGTCGACAAGCACCTGCACCACGCGGCGGGCCCGCACACGTTCCTGGGGCGCGACGCCAGCCACGCCGCGCTGACCGAGATGTTCCGCGCCCTGTTCCGGCGCAAGAACGTGCGCCGCGCCCCCGGCCCCCAGGGCGAGCTGAAAAAGGTCCCCTCGCAGGCTGGCGGCGATGGCGAGGTGTCGTACCTGCGCGACGATTGGGGCGCGCTGACGCCGTTCCCCGTGACTATGAAGGTTACCTGGGATGAGGAGTAGAGGGAGTGTTGTGTTGCATGATGTGTGTCGTTGTTTGGTTTTGGTTTCGTGTCTCTTCTTTTTTTTCGTGTTTGAGAAGAAAATGCTAGCAGAGAAGCGGAAAATTGTAACGCGGGAGGAGCGCGTGCGCGTTGTTTGGTTTATGCTGCGATAATCACTATATCCTTTGCTTTGGTCGCTCGTTGATAGCTTCTATTCGAAAATTTCGTATACTCGAGCCAGCCTGCGGCGGTCTTTTGTCGGCTTCTGGTGTTAATTATGAGTAATGGGAATTCAATTTTCGGCATCCCTAAAGGTCGTTGGTGACTTCGCTATAGAACCTACGTAGGCGGTTGACAGACGTGCAAAAGTGTTGGCAATGTCGTCTCCTTGGAGCTAAAAATTGCAGTGCACGGCAAAGTTGCCTAATGTCTTGGCATGTCCTCTCCTTAAAGCTAAAAATTGCAGTCAAGGAAGGAAGTCCAGTGATAATGAAAATGCGCCAAGGCGCGGGCTGTTGCCATTGGCCAAAAGAGATGCAAATGTCTTGGCATATCTTCTCTTTAGAGCTAGAAATTGCAGTGCAGTAGTTGGTCTGCTTCCAAAATGGCGGAGCGTGTCTCTCGAAGGGGTTGGAGAATGCAGATTGTAATGTGTAGGCACGGCCAAGCCTGACCTCGCCTGGACCACTTAATGGTCCATGCACCACCAGCCTATCCCCCACCATAGATTTCCCGCCTGCGGGCTGATAGATTTTAGCTTCCCCAAGCAATTCATCACCTTTCATACATCGCCGTACCTTGCATAGTTAACATCTACCCCATTTTCACCGACTCGTCGTTGGAGTCGATCCCAGCGATTTAATCTTCGGGGGCTTGAATTTCGGCGGCAGTTGCCCGACTATTTCTCCATTTTGAGCCATAAGTATTCCCGGGCAACAAATAACTCGGGTCAAGTGCCGTGGGGGAAAAACTGTGGCCAGTATTCGCGTGTTACTGTGAGTGGTTAATTACTGATCCTGAAAAAGTCAAAGCCCGCTTGACCGAGTACATGTGGCGACACTTCCGTTTGCATGTGTGCAAGTCTGCCTACTGCTTGACCAAAGCGCCATACAATGAGCAATCTACGCCTGAGGCACGAAACACTAGATTCATTGAGACCATAATTGAGGCGCAATTTTTCCTTTGTGTACTTGCCTTCTGCGGTCCTTCGTTGCGTATCTTCACATCGGAGAATCGCCGGCTCATACTCACTGCCACATACATCTACAAAACTGCTCGCCCAACATCCTCACACTACATCTACAAAACTGCCCGCCCAACATCCTCACACTACATCTACAAAACTGCCCGCCCAACATCCTCACACTACATCTACAAAACTACCCGCCCAACATCCTCACACCTGGTCATGCGGCCGTAAAGCCCTCGTGTCGCTCTCCCAGTGCTGCCCGGGCCCGCCGCTCCTCTCGCTCGGCGTCTTGGACATGGTCTTCATGGGAAATTGCAAGCTCTCGGCCGTGCTGGGCCCCTCGCCGATATTGGACGTCTTGGTGGAGCCCTCGGTCGAGCGGCGCGACCTGCCCATGGACGAGATGAGGGACATGAAGGCGTCGGTAGGCAGGAGGTGAGACAGTATGACGCGGAGGGTGGGCCCGCAGGCGGCCACGATGCCCACCTGCACCTCGACGAGGTTCCAGATCGAGATGGCGGTGAGAGACACTAGACGGCCACGATGTTAGTCTCATGACGTATGAGGAGAAGAAACCTGAGTGGGGCTTACGGATTGCGTCCTGGGTGGACGAACCCAGCGCTACCTCGATGTAGATGTACGCCTTAGCAATGGACGCGCCAACAGAGCTGTCGGCAGTTCGCCATTTTCAGCTCTCATACACTCGACGAGCAGTTGACTCAAAGGCTTCGACTCACAAGGCACCAATCATAAACGTCAGCAGCGTCAGCACCTTGGTCCGGGTGTCCATGATCAGCGTCAAGATGACGGGCACGGGGATGACCAGGGTAATCAGGTCCGTGGCGAGGTCGCTGGCAATCATGCCGTAGCCAGCGGGCACCGCACTGCCGCAGTACCGGTAGTAGACCTGGGGCGAGGAGAACAGTGCCGACAGCTGGGAGCCGCACTCGAGCAGGCCGGCCAGCAGGAAGGCGACGGTCCAGCAGACAACAACAACACACCAGACGGCCAGGAACCGCCGGAACATGACGCGCGCGAACAGCCGCCAGTAGAGCAGGCACACGGAGAACTTGACGAGCCCCGTCGTGGCGACCCCGAGGAGCATGTACGCGAGCTCGATCTGGGCGCGTTAGCATTTCTTTTGGTCATGAGGCACAGAAGAAACGGAGTAGGGGTCGTCTTGATCCGTACATGCTTGGTGATGATGATCCGCTCCGTCACAGCAGCCGCGTCGAGGCTGTTGCCCAGCGGGTAGCCGAGGTATGTCCCTTGCACGGCTTCAGGCACTTGTTAGCTCGATGTCCCCCTTTTATTGTCTCGTAAATCACACCAATATCTAGGGTGAGAGGCACTCACCGTAGATTTCCATCGCAGTCAGGCCTGTGGCAAAGATGAGAGCAACCAAAATAACCCAGTCGCTCGCAATGAACACCTGGCCCTTCCAGCTCCGCGAGTAGAACCTCAGGCTCACGCACGCCACTGCGAGGAGTTCCATGATCACGGAGGCCGCTATCAGGCCGGCTGGGTCGTCGTAGTACCCCATGGTCGACTGGAGGGCAGTGACAAGAGTGGGGCTGTGAAAGAGAGTTTATGAAAAAAGCTGCAAGGTTAACGATGAGACTAGATACCAAGACAAAGGCTGAGCAGCTGGCCTGGGCGCACAATAGCAACGGAGTGATTAGACCGCCAAGGATGGGGTATATATCAGACAAGCCCCCGTCAACACAACAACACAGACATTCGGTATCTCAACTCCAAGCAAGCACCGGCGCATATCATCAAGCTTCCCCCTGACTCGAACCAAATAGTAGCAATGGTAGTATAGTCCGCGCCGCACCGCCCCGTGCCCACATGGTGCTTTGCAACAGGCCGTTTTGTGCGTCTGCAGCGCCACTGCCACCGCGTACGGGTACTGAGTGCTGGATTTGGCAGCTCACAAAGCCGCTGCCAAGTTCCGGTATGCCGGGTCGCGGCGCAGGGCTGGTGCGAGGGTGTGTTGCTGCACCCCCCGGGCCCAGTCGCCGTGCGACAGACGACGCGTTCTGCTACTACTACCACCACAACGCCACATCGAGCAGGTTACCTTGGCGCCGGGAGTTGATATCTGGCTAAGCCACCACTTCGTTACTATACAAGTGTACTTGCGTTTAAGCTGCGTCCGTCTGGCTGTTGGCCCCCAGCCAAGAAGAAAATGCCGATCCATGCCCGCTGTAGCAACCGGCCCTGAGCAATATCACACGGAGTGTTATTCCCGGCCACACACAGTCCCACCACACACAGTCCCGCCCACACAGTCCCGCCCACACAGTCCCGCCACACACAGTCCCGCCCACACAGTCCCGCCACACACAGTCCCAGCTCAGCCATCAGTGGCCCAGCTTCTCCGCCAGCGAGTTGATGAACGCGCACCGCTGGAACAGCTTCTGGCGGCCCAGCTCGCGCCTGCGCACGGCAGACACGTCTCCAAACTCGATCCCGCCCGCCAGTGGCACCTGCATGCCGTCGTCGTCAGGGACCCTTTCGTGCCCGTCTCCAGCGTGCTGCACCAGCGCGGGCCCCGTCCCCAGCGGCCCGCCCACAACCTGCACGACCACGCTCGCGAGCTCCTCGCCCTCCTTGGCCCCAGGGAACGCCGGCGGCCAGGCCCCCAGCCCACTCTCGCCGCCAGCGGTCTCAGGACTACCCGTGTATGCGAACTGCGCGAACGCGCCGACCATGTCGCGCGCCAGCTGCGCGTCGGCCGCGGATACGTCGGGAATTTCGGGCGCCACGCCCGCCATCACGTAGTTCATGTCGCTGCCGTGCGGCGTGCCGAGGTACGGCATGCCAGCAGCACGAAACAACGGCGTCAGCATGGTCTGGTTGAGGCTGTACGTGCGCACCCAGTCGGACACGGGCGACTGCCGCGCCATCTCGTGCCCCAGGTCGAGCGACGAGCACGTGAACAGCAGGTCGCGCAGCAGCCGTGAGATGCGGAACCAGTGGATCGGCACGTCTGGGTCGGAAGCCTGCTTGCTGGAGGCGTATGCGGCGGCCTCGGGCGCAAAGTCTGCTGCCGCGTACAGCGCGAACAGTTCCGCGTGGTCGTCGTCTGTCAGCGCGTGCGCGAATGCCTGGATCCGCGATTTCATGTCGTCTTCGCTCTGGAACATGGACGCCGGCCCTGCTTGCGTGGCGCCGTCGTCGTGCGTCCAGCTCAGGACCGTGGGGATGCCTATACTTCGATCGCGTCAGCCTCCGCATGTCACAGGTGGGCGGAGTTGTCAGCCTCCGCATGTTATAGGTGAGCGGCGTTGTCTGGGTGCGTGCCTTTGGCGAACCTGCCGCTCCTATACAGCGTCGACGTGCGGTCGGGGAAGAAATCGCCGTCCACCGACGGGATGAACGTGAAGAGGCCCATGGGAGGGTGGTTCTCGACCGAGTAGGCGACGGCGGCGTCCAGCAGCTGTTCCATGGGCAGCTGCCGCAGACACGCGAGCGTGCTCTCGTCGCCGCCGTGCGCACAGCCCAGCTTCTCGGCCACAGCGCGCGTGTGCGCCTCAGTGGCGTCGCTCGACATGTTCAGCGCGGTGCCCGGCGGGCCCGACATGGTCCACACCTGCGTGAACGGCACGCCTTTGCACCCGCCGTACGCCACCAGCTGCAGCGCCGTCATGGTGCCGGCGGCGCTGAGCCCCCACGCGGTGATGCGCTGCGGGTCGCCGCCGAACGCCGCGATGTTGTCGCGCACCCACTCCATGCCCGCGCGCTGGTCGCGCATCCCCGCGTTGAGCGACTGCCGGTCCCTCAGCAGCGGCAGCCGCGCGAAGCCGAACATGGTCAGCCGCGACTGCAGCGCCACGTACATGACGGGCTTGCCCAGCTCAGCGGCCAGGGCGACCAGCGGCTCCGGGTCGGCGTGCGGGTCGTAGGCCCAGCCCTTGATGACGCCACCCTCGACGACGTGGACGACTACGGGCAGGCGCGCGCCGGGCGCCGTGCCGGCCGGCCGAGCGATGCGCACCGTCAGGCAGTCCTCGCTGATGTCGGGCGTGGCGTCGAAGAAGGGCGGCAGCCCGCCCTGGGTCTGCGCGCACGCGGGGCCCGGCCGCGTCGCGTCGACTTCGCTGCCGGCCGGCGGTGTGTAGGGCTCGGGCGGGGCGAAGCGCCGGGGCCCGGACGTGTCGTGCGCGAAGCGGATGTTGAGGAAGTGCTCGACTGTGCCCGTCGTCGTGCCGCGGTACGTCACGTCGCCGTGTGCCACTACTGTGGGAGCCGGGGGGCTACTGGCTGCGACGGGGGCAGCGGCCAGGCCTAGGAAGGCCGCGTGCAGCAGGCTTGAAACCATCACGAGTGGGCAGGCTAGAACTGCTAGAACTGGGTTAGCTGAGGGTGGTGCGGCACGGCGTCAGTGGCCCGAGGTCTTGGGGGAAATGGACTCGGACGCAGAGCAAACGTTTAAAGCCAAGTGATAATGCGTGGCTTGGGGGCCGTTTCGTCGCCGCACTGGCGCAAAAGAAGAAATGCAACATCGTTTCGGTGTTGGGGGTGCTCAATCACAGTTGTAATTAACTCCAAGACGTGCTCGGGTCGATATTGGACAGCAGGTTAAGTTCTGACACCAGCTGCCATCTGCGATGGCACTCGATCCCTGCGGGGTGGCAAACTACCTTGCATGAACCACTATGCAAAGCCGTTGATAGATGAATTGGGCCGGTTGAGCTGATGTTATGGCAGAAGAGCGCCGTCCAACGACACGACATGCCCCGCGAATTGATTACCACCTGACTGTTCCGAAGAATAGTGCCGCGGCGGGACGCACGGGTGCCGCACATGTGCATATGCAGTTGGAGCTTGACCTTGTGAAAGTGCTACAGACCAGTATAGGTTGCTACAGACCAGTATAGGTACAGACCAGTATAGGTTGCTACAGACCAGGTTGCTACAGACTAGTATAGGTTGCTACAGACTAGTATAGGTTACAGACCAGTATAGGTTGCTACTGACCAGTATAGGTCGGGAGATGTATCTGCGTGTGGCGTATGTTAAGAACTACCGCGGGCCTTGCATTGACGACAGCGGCACAGGGGCTCGGCGGATTAATGAGCCGAGTTAACTCGCATCGATACATGATACAAGCGTTGCTATTGGACCACCTCAGCCACCACCACCTTGCTCTCGATACACCAACTACTACAGCTACAAACTCGTGACGGAGAGAAAGCGAAGATCAACCTTCCCAATCGAGAGCACCCCTATCCAGAATCTTGACAAGCACTGTCCCAAGTCTACGACAAGACTAGAGCTACATCACGCGCCTTGTTCACGCAGCCTTTAGGCCCAATGCCGTTGATTCCGCGCTTGACGGGGCACAAGTCGGCGTCGAACTCGGTCGCGCCATCTCTCTTGGAGACACCGCCTGGACCAACGAGTCAGTGCCCAGGCCGGAAGCATAGAGTTGTGGGTAGAACTTGCCTGGACCTGCGACGGGAGCTGCGAGCACGAGCGCTGCCGTGGCGGACAGGAGCGACAGCATTGCTGCAAACTTCATTTCGGCGGTCGAAAGGGATACTGGTCGAAAGGGATACCGGGTCAAGTGGATAGCTGGATAGGGCAAGTAGGTTAGGCGCCTTTTTGAGGATGTCTTTGATGCTCAGCGGGGGAGCAAGTCTACATTTGTAATGGAGAACAAACCGCTACCTTTATAGATGACAAGGTTGTGATTCGGGAGATGGAGTGAAGGGCGCCTGGCTTGCCCACCTGCCTTCACTATTAGGTGCCTCATCCACCGCCTTAACAAGTAGTCTAATCGTATCACGCGCCGCACCTTTAGTTGCGCCGCTATATTTCATGCTCGGTGCGTTCTGGCAATCGGCGTCACGCTCTTCAGCAACCTCTGAACTAGATCGGCGACAAAAAAGAGCGCCGTGTTGTTGCCAAGTTGTTGTTGCCAAGTAATTAGTTGTAGTTCTGGGCTTGGGTTGCATTCAGTCCTAATCGATGACACTGTCTACTGCCTGGTCATTCAGTCCTAAGCGATGACACTGTCTACTGCCTGGCCATACCCAGCAAGATCTTGTTATCTCCACCTCTTTCTCTTTGAAGACTCTCGGCCCACGTCTATTTTTGTAGCGTACGGCGGAGCATCATGCACTGGGACCAGGATCGGCAAATAGCCACCATGCACCACTGCCAGCCCATTAGCGACGAGGCATGATGTCCTGATCATGCCAGCCATGCCTGTATTAAGGTTCTCTCCACATATCATGTCCGTTCCAAGCCTGGAAATATGCCGACGTTGCAGCTTGGACAACCTGTCGATCGCTTCCACGCCACAGCCCTACAGATCTCTCAACGGTCCGGTGCTGTCAACCCATCGCCGTGGCGAGGCAAATCCCTTATCTGTCCGTGTTGACCTTCCCGAACAGGAACCCACGCCCCGGGCCGCCGTGGTAGTCTGGTGTGCAACGCCTCGCCAGGCATGTTATTCCCGACAGGCACTCGCGCACGGACGGGCACGCCAGGCACTCCTCTGCGGTTGTTTCTTGGGGGTTCAATGTCTGGTTCGGACTGGGTTCGTTTTGTTTTCGACTTGTATGTCACGTCCGGCCTGCCCCTGGCCTCGTGTTGTGTGTTAGCACTGCAACCAACAGATTCAGAGAAGCTCTCCATGCCAGCCACCAGTATGCATCGTGCGGACGAAAAGAGCGAATATTCTCGCCTCCACAGCCAAGACGAGAGCCGCGACTCTCGTGATGAGCTCGTCGATGACGACGTCGCCGAGACGCCACGCTCTCCTATGCTGAGAACCCGTTGGCACCAGGCTGTTTTTGTCCTCTTGCTCTTGTCCTTATCCGCCAACTTCATCCTCACGGCCATCGTCGCGTTCAAAACCAGAACCCCCGCGTGTCTCGTGGCAATGCCGGGCGTCAAGATTCCGTACAGTGAGCGGTTCTTTGCTCCGAGGCTCGCTCGTAAAGCAGCATTGCTGACCGCATTCGCACAGCGCCCGCACCGGTGAAATGGGCCAACAAGAAGCTGGACCCAGACCATCGGTTCATGGGGCAGCCCCGCCTCGAGATGGACCAGGCGTGGCACGAGATTCTCGAGGGGACGCTGATTCGGTTCTCTGACGAGGAGCTCGCGCTCGCGAACCATTCTACGTCGGTCAAATTCGCAGACGGTCCGGGCTCGGTCGGCGGGCTGGGCGTGTCGCATTCGCTGCACTGTCTGGTAGGTCATCTTCATTCTCGTCGGCCGCTTTCTCTCGTTTTCTCGTCGTTGAACCCGCGACGCTCGCACCGCTCTCCTAACCCACCGCATAGAAACGTATGAAACAGTACCTGCACAAGGACTACTACTACGGGCAGGAGGAGCAGGACTGGGACGAGCTGTTCGCGCACGTCGACCACTGCCTCGAGTCGATCCGGCAGTACATTGTGTGCAAGGCCGACGTGAACGTTTTCACCCTCGTGTGGACCGCGCACAGCAGGACCAAGCCGTCCACGCACGTGCCGCAGCAGCACGCCTGTGTTGATTGGGAGCCGCTGCAGGAGTGGATGATTGCGAGGGCGGCGCGGGGCGACCAGATGGTCGGGCCGCCGGACAGTTTGTACGAGAACGGGGTCGTGGGCGAGCCCACTGTGGACTGATTGTTGGCGTCTGGATGAGGCGATGGGCGTCTGGATGAAGCGATGTCCTGCAGTTTGTGGGATGCTGAGCGGCTGCAAAGAGGGCCCATTTGACAGGTAGGTAGGCAGGTAGGAGGCAGGTAGGTAGGCAGGTAGCTAGGTAGGTAGCAGAAAGTGCGAGGTAGGGGGTTCACCGAACACACGTCCAGCATGGAGCCAGATTTGTTCTTGCGTCAGCCCACTTCTGCCCGACGGCGTGGAGGTGTGCGTACCTAGTATGTGTAGAATTCGAAACAGAAATTACATTTGGCTTGCAGACGTAGTGCTTACCGTATCTCTGCTGCTTACCGTGTCGTGCTACTTCGCTGCCCACACGCGTCTTTGCTCTTCGCGGATCGCGATTCTACCGAGTCTGGTCCACATCTGAGCGAAGCGCAATCACCAGCGGGGATTCGAATAATTAGAACACAACGCGTCTAGATAGTTCCTAGCTGCAAACCCACCCTTCAAAACGCCTGGCTTCCAACCAGCTCTAGGCAGTCACAAGCAAACGCGGGGCGGCAGAAATCCGCACGGCATCGAGAATACGGCATGTACAGGTCGCGGTCTTCAGTGCCTATCACTGGACGCGTTTAGGCTGCCTCAAATCCACACCAGGGCCGCGAAGAGCAGCGCTGCCTGCTCGTGCAGGACAGCGAACACAACGAAGCGCCGTCGTCTACAGTGACAAACACGTGGCGATCATATAGCAAATCACGGAGAGACCGACGTGATCATAAGAACACGAAAGGAAGACAGCAAGCAAACAAGCATTTTTCTCCATGTCACCACTAGAGCGGCGATCACAGCGGAAAAGAAGAAGTTGGGTGGACTATCAAAAGTTATGGCGGTGACGGGGTCCCGAAGGGCCCACGAACGAGCAGCGCGCCACGGAGTGCACTGCAGGCTCTCTCTCGTGGAGCAGGGGAATCTTGAGCTCCCTGCCCCCAGCCAAAGTATAGAGGAAGAAAAGAAGAGGAGGAAGCGTGGTAGCTAGCGGTTTCTTTTATACACAACTAAGTTGGTCCGTGCACGGCTGCAAAAAATAGGGGATCCACTCTGTTGTTGCTGGTGGGTCTCCCTGGCAACTGCGAAAGGAGATGGGTCGGCTGCTTCCCGGGAGGGGGAGGGCTTTCTTTTGTCGAAGCCCCGCTTTCTGGCCACCTCTATCGAGGGAGGGGCAAACCCAGGGCTTCTAGCTGCCCTTTCGGCGGCTGTCAGAGGAAGAATTACGCCTGCAGAGGAGGCGACAGCAGTTTCGTGACTGATACGGTTGTAGATTGTAAACAGCAGGACCGTATCCAGTGTCCTCTCATTCCACAGCAATTCTCCTGCTGGCTGAGCACTGCAAATCTTTGGCCCCGGGCATGAGTTCACGGTTGGTCATTTCCTGGTTTGGTGTCGTGGCAGGAACCGCAACAGGTTCGATAACTACCTACTCGGTTACTTGATGGGTAGATAGCAAAAGGTCTGTGACCCCATATGACGTCTTCCACTCGGAGTGCTGGAAGGTTGGAGACACGTAGCGGTACGCTCGTCGGGGCTGGCGATTTGGAGACACGAGCCTTCAACTATTCCATCTACCTCCCAAATATCTACCTCCCAAATAACACCGCTAGAGCACGTGCTTGCGCTGTTTCAATAAATGAGCTGGTGCTAGCTAGCTGGCAGCTGCATTTCAAGTTGTCATTTAGATGATTTTTTGCTGCTGGTTCGTGACTATTCTGGCAGCACGAGGATCTGGGCCACTTCGCGCCGCCAGAGCTTTTCGCCAGGCTCGCAACCTTTCTCCACCGCACCGCTCCCATCAACACCACAGCACTCTCACACGCAGTTTTCACACTTGAACTGGAACCTCTCGTTGCCGGAAGTCATTTGTCAATGTCGACTCTTTAAAGATGTCGACATCAGCAAAGATGTCAATACCAGCAAAGATGTCGACCCTAGCAAAGATGTCAATCCCGGCAAAGATGTCGACCCCTCTCACGATGTCGACCTTTGAAAAAATGTCGACCCCATACAGGATGTCGACCCTCCAAAGCGAATCGGCGACCAAACCACTCCTAAAAAAGGCGACACGAGGCTCAGAGACGGACCGAGGACTGATTCGCCCACGTCGGCCCCATGGCCAAAGACAGCACCGTGATAGATCGGACACGCACCGACCAGAACCACAAGCGTCTGTTGGCGGTCTTGAGGCTGACAAGCTCGGTTGACCGTTAAGTCAAAGTCTGACTTTGGTAGCAGCGTCTCGGGTGAATGTTGGAGGGTGTTTGTGCGCGTTGATCTGTGTAGAAAGGAAAGTGCGGTCGTTGGACCCGTTGGAGTCTAGGTTGATTGATGTTGGTTAACTATTCAGTATCTATCTTCGTCTGTTCTTCCTAGCTATCTATGATCAAAGGGAACCAGAGGGCTGCCTAGGCCAGGTCAAAGTTAATTTTGCTATTGTCTAAATCTTCGTTCCTGTCCAGATGGCTTCGACCAGGTCAAAGTTAACTACAACCATTTTGCTATCGTCTAAATCTTCGTTCCTGTCCAGATGACTTCGACCAGGCCATCGTATGCCTTACCGACAATTCCCCTGGCCAATTTCTGCTGGGCCAATCTCCGTCGGCCGATTTGCAGGACCGTATCTGTTTTTCTCCGGAAAATGCAAGGACGCAGTTTTTCTCCGGAAAATGGAAGCACTGTCTCATCAGAACATAAAAAAGCGGCAGGTCGAGCCTCTAACCCGCAGGCTCCAAGTCAACATCTTCCAGAGCTCTCAACTCATTCTCATGGGAAAGATCAGCACTTGCTTGCTGTCCAGGCAGGTAGGTACGTATCATCCAGGCATCCATGCTTCGCAATCGGGGAATCAACAGTCCTAACGCCATCCACCACCACACGCTCCACGATTAACTGATTGTCCACGCAATGAATCACCGCTCAGGCAAGCCGTCGCCCCATTCGACAATCTCGGCGCTGCTGCGCCCAAGCCCGCCGTGCTCGTGCGTGAGATCCCACTCGACAAGCTGGACCCTAGCGCTCTCGTCCTCCTCTCCTTCTGCAACCGGCGGCGCAAAGTCAAAGACGCGGTAGTCGGCGTTGGCGAACCAGCGGCCAGCAACGCTACGACGCAGGAACCCCGAGTGCGTGACGACCAGCACGAGCTCCCCGTCGGCGCACCCGCTGCAGTCCCGCACGTCCTGCAATGCTGCCCGCCCGCGCGCCAGCACCGCCGCCCGCGAGTACCGGTACGCCGCGCCCGCCGCCGACGTCTTGTCCGGGTAAACGGGGTCCAACCGCGAGAAATCGAACTGCGGGAACTCGGCTGCCAGCTGCGCCGCCGACACGCCCGTGTCGCAGGGTTTGTCCCAGAGCTCTGAAGATGGAGGGTGTCAGTTTCTGCTTGGGTCGTTCGTTGCGCGGGCTTGCAAGGACAGGGGATGTTTGGGTTGTTTGAAAGTGCAGAGGGAAGGGTCGGTCGGGTTGGAGCACACGCACCTTGCCACCGAGCGTCGGGCTCGACCCGCACGCCCTGGTCCATCAGCCAGCCCAGCGCGATGAGGCACGTCTCGAGCGTCCTGCGCATGGGGCTGACGACTATGAGCCCGACCTTTCGGTTGGCGAGGAGGCCTCCCTTGAGGTGCTCGCCCAGCTCGGCCGCCTGCTTCCTCCCCAGGTCGGACAGCCCCGGATCAAGAATGCCCTCGCCGGTGACTGCTTGGTCGTCGTCGGGGTGGGCGAGCATGTGTTCCTTGGCGGCATTATGGAGCGCCTCGGCGTGTCTGATGAGGACTACGGAGGGCGGCATCGCGAGGAGCGAGACGGTCGCCAGGCGGTGTCGAATGGTGTGTGGCGCTCACTGTGAGACAGCGACGGTATGTCGCTGATGGGCGATTGAGTGCAGCTCAGATCAATGCAGAGGTCGGGTGATCTGGCAGCTGGCAGAATTGGGGATGAGTGAGCAGCAGCAGCAGCAGCAGCAGCAGCAGCAGCAGCAGCCAGCTCGCGACAAAATTCAGGTTTGGGTTTACCATGGCTGGCGGCAGGGCGGCAGGCCAAACAAGCTGCAGCGGCCTGGCGTGGAACTGGAATGACCCCATCCAGGTCCCCACAACGAGGGCCGGTTGGCGCCCCGCCCAGCTGGAAACAGCTACGAGCTCGCGGTTGGTGGCGCAATTGGCCGCTTTGAAACGGGAAAAACACGCCCGCCCGCTGACTTGACAAGGGGCAAAGGCCCGCTTGCGCACTGTGCGGGCGGGAACCCTAACCCCCGCATTGCAAGCCCCTTTTCTGGGCCGTCGAGTCCAGAATTCACCTTCAATCTCACCGAATTCTAGGCTATTAGTGGATACCAATACGGTTGACAGCAGCCACGGGATGCAGCAGTACGACGAGCACGGAAGCCAGACAACATCAGCAAATTTGACTGCAGCACCATCAACAACAGCAGCAGCAGCAGCAACAGCAGCAGCAACAGCAGCAACAGCGGCAAGGGATTGATCTCATTATGTCGGCCAATTTTGAGCCACATTGTCAAGCCACATGCCTGCATATCCCTCCAAACACTGCATATTGTCACGTAATCATGCCCCCCTGACCGAACTTTGCTACCAACTAGGCCACCAACGCTGATCGGCCCCTATATAGGCCTTGATGCCTATATTGTTGACTAATCCCGGTCTTTTGGTCGAAGCATCAAAGGCCTTCTTTCCTGTATTACTAGCTTGGATTTAAGCAGACAATTCAATGCGCTGTCAACTTCGATCGCGTGCAACACATTAACACCTTTGGTGGCTGCAGCGTCGCCGTCAACGGCCTCAACATGGACACCCTCAACATGGACACCACCAGTGCCCCTACGCCACCCGAGTCCGCCAACAACGCGCAGCGGCGCCGACATGCCGACTCGGGAGACGTCACACCGACACACAGCAGCGAGCGCGACAGCATGGACGTGTCGGTTACGTGTTCGCGGCCGCGGCTGCGGCTGAAGGCCATGGTGAGTATTGTCATTTTGACCAGGTCTGCTTTCTCTGTCCTAGTGCTGATATTATCTACCTATCAACTACCCAGGTGTGCCACACGCTCGAGGGGGTGCTGGCCGAGACGGCAAGCCTATCCGACGACGAGCTGCTAACGTGTCTCTGCGGCTTATCAAGCGAACAAGCATAAGATGCAAGCACAAGATGCAAGCATACGGTGTAAGCATAAGATGCAAGCATGAGATGCAAGCACAAGATGCAACCAGAAGATGCAACCAGAAGATGCAAGCACAAGATGCAAGCACAAGACGCAAGCACAAGATGAACCGATTACGGCGCAGGGCCGCACATCGGTTGAAGCTACCTCGGCCCACGAAACAAGACAGCGAAACTCGCCGCAACCCCGCCGACCCCCCTTAAAAGCAGAAAGTACTGAAGCTTTTGAATGAGTTGCCGCCGTTGGCCACACACTGGTTGTAGACGTGCTGTCCGCCGACGGTGTTCTTCACATTACAGTTGCTACCGCTGTACCAGTTGCTCCGCTGTAAAAGTAGACGGCGCACTCCCGCTGAGCTGAACCGAGTGCATGTCGCGCACCTGGCTGCCGCTGTAGTAGGCGAGGCAGCCATCACTGGTCACCGTCCACGTGCAGTGCTTGCCTGTGCAGCCGGTGGTCCGGAAGTAGGCGCTGTACGTTTCCGTCTGGTGCTTGTCGACGAGTGAGGCGGCTGTCTTGTTGGATACTGTCACGACAATAAGGATTAGTGGGCAAAAGAAGGACCTAGAAGCTGCCACTTGATTCTTTGCCATAAGATTTTGCCACTATTCATAACTATAAAGAGAGACTTTGGCCCTCCTAAAGGAAACAAAAGACAGACTTTTTCAGAAAATTCAAGCTTTACCTCCCTGCAATGACAGGCGTGATTGAAAATGAACGGGGGGTTGTTAGAGATGTCAAAGGCTTGACGTGAGCTGCAGCCAGGATAACAGCGGAGACTAGACATCTATTCAGTCTTTCCTTCCCGAGGCCATGAAATCGGTTTCCGAGACGGAGCCTACCATTGGTACACAGCGAAAGCCAGCAAGACCACAATAGTGCAAAGCCATCAAGACCACAACAGTGCAACCATCGCGCGCTAATGTGGACAAGGCTCGTAAAGCGCGCTCGTCTAGGCGCCGAGCTAAAAGTCGGAGGAGTCTAGATCCGGTAAGTGAGTGGTTGCCTTCCAAGTCGACGTGAATGCAGTGGACGGCTGGTTCTGCAGCGTCTGGCTGCCCGAGTATTGACTATTGATGCGGCTGTGAGACGGAACGCCAGTGAAGCATCAGCACGCCACTAAGACGGACCAGCTTGGTGGTGCTTACACATCCTCCATCCCCGAAAGACCAGCAGACCACTCCCAGCAGACCACTCCCAGCAAAGATAGCTATAACACCTTACACCTTACATACTGCCAAGCTCCACCTTCCACAATAACCAAAACCAACAACACGGTGGGCCGCATGCGAGCCCTCAAGGCTCGTCGCACATTCACAAAAAGTAGTGAAAAGAAAAGAGAAACACGCCGGACCGGGGTTTGTTCGGTTTAGCAAAACAGTTGCTACTTATTTAGTTTCAATGCAGATAAAAGTGACTAGTTGCGTAGGAAGAAAGAAGTGCGGAAGACCTTCCTACATGTAGGTAAAAGGTGCCTTTCGATATGCAAGCGCTAGGCTTGCGCCTATCTGAGAGGTCCGATCGTTCAGCTCGGGGGCCATGTCCGATACTGCCAGGATACGAGGATATATAGTCTTTCGCCAAAAAGCGGCTTAGAACTAGTTTAATCACCCTCCCCCTACACCGACGACACCCGACACAGCCGCCCATTCTGCGAGTTCGGGTACCCATCAACCGTCTGCACGTCCCACGACTCGCTACCAACGGTAGTGCGCGCCCAGAAGATGCCCCACGGGTCGTAGCGGCGCTTGATTTCCAGCAGGCGGGGGTAGTTGTCAGCGCCGTAGAAGCTTTGCTGCCAGTTGGGCTCCGCCGGATCGCCCTCGGCCATGTACGCGCCGGACCCGTGCGTCACCGCGCGCCAGGCATCGACGTAGGCCTCGACATCGGCGTCGAACGCGCGCGCCTGCGCCGCCGTCAGCGCCGCCGGCTGCACCTGCATCAGGCTGCCGTGCAGCACGGCAGAGCGCCACGCCGGGTTCACCGCGCTGTCGGCGCCCGGGGAACCGGCCACCGCCAGCGTCGGCCCGTAGGCGATGCCGTGGAACGTGTACCCGCCGACGTCCACGGCGCGCCGGATCGCCGCGAACGTCGACGCGAACAGCGCGTCGTCGGCCCAGTTCGCCCGCGGGAACAGCCGCGACCGGTAGCGCGTGTTGACGGGGCTGTCGCCGCCGCCCGTCTGCCGGAACGGCGAGCCGCCGGCGTACGGGAACGACGAGAAGGTTGAGAGGGTTGGCATGGCGGCTTTGATGCCGGCCGCGTTGAGCTCGTCGTACAGCGGCTGCATGAGCGTTGTCACGGCGCTGTTGTCGAGCCCCGGGATTGACGCCGAGGACGTGAAGCTGAAGCTGTTGTTGCCGAGAGGGTAGATGTAGCTGTAGCAGTACCCGCCGGCGTCGATCACGCGCGGGTTGAAGCGGTACGTGATGCTCACGCCCTTCCAGAACGTCTCGACGCTGCTGAGCGCCGCCGGCGGGCTGCCGAACCCGGGGAAGCTGCCGTTAAATCCGCCAGTGATGTTGGGGAAGGTAAAGTTGAAGCCGGTGATGTTGGGGAAGGTGAAGTTGAAGCCGGTAAAGTTGAAGCCGGTAAAGTTGAGCGGCGACGTGAAGTTGAAGTCGGGGAACGGCGACGCCGGCTGCGACGTGCCCTGCCCGACCGAGAAGGTCACGGGCATGCTGGTGACGCTGATTGGCGCGTGCGCTTTCAGGACCACCGAGGTCACGACGCCGTAGGTGCCTGCCACGGTGACTACGTGTGAGACGCTGCAGAGATGGGCCATGACCAATTACAGCAAAGAATTAAGGAGGTGGGCAGACACGTCACTTACTCGGACCGCCGCCCCGCAGCGCCCAGAACAGGTCCCGGTTTGTCTTGGAGTCGGCCGTCGCGAACTGCCCGTCGGGCGTGACGATGTTGAGCGCGAGCGCCTGGTCGGCGCCGAGCCCGTACTTGGACGTCAGGATGCCGTGGCCGCCCGACGCCAGCCAGCCGCCGACGGCGCCAACCGTGCTGCCGCCCGGCGACACCACGGTGATGTTGTGGTCGGCCATGTGGTTGAACAGCTCCCAGCTCTCGACGCCCGCGCCGACGCGCACCGCCATCCCCGTGTACACGTCCGACGCGTACTCGGGCACGAAGTCGAAGCTCTTCAGGTTGTGCACCCAGATGCTCAGCGAGCCCGCACCCGTCGACCGCCCGCCAAAGTCGTGGCCGGTGTTTCTGGGCTCGTCAGTCTCGGCTGTCTGTCTGCGACTCCCTTTCGTGCCCGTCTGGCAGACTCACTTGATGACGAGCCGCACGTTCTTGTTGCGCGCAAAGTTGACGGCGGCCTGGACGTCCTTGACGCTGCCAGCCTTGACCACGTACTCGGGCGAGCCGCCACGCGTGCAGTTGCCCTTGGCGTTCAGCACAGCCGGGCACGTGTTGCCCTGCGGCCACTGAGTCAGGACTGACAACGGGTCGTCGATCCAGAAGTGCGTCCGCCCGGCCTGCTGGACGAGATAGCGGCACGTTCCGGCGTTGTAGGCCTCGCCTTGGTAGCACGCCGAGCCCACGGGCTCGGGGCGCAGCAGCGCGCCGCCGAGCGTGACGTTGAGTTGCTTCCTGTTCACGGTCAGCTGTCTTGCCAAGTCGGACCGATGTCCATGATTATTACCATTCGGCGTCGCTCGGCCAGTCCTGACTGCCCGGCCACGCACGGCAGCTGGGGGCGTCGTTGTTGGGCTGTGTGGCATGCAGGTCGCCAAAGTTGAGGGCCGAAAAGTTTCCAATGTCAGCTCGCGACAACTGTATCGTCTCAAATGGAAACAAGGACGAAGCCTGGCCTGTGCCAGCGAGGGCGGCCATGACGGCCGCAACCAGAGCGTGCATGGTGGTTGGCAGCGACTCTCAGCAATAAGACGACTCTCAGCAATAAGACGACTCTCAGCTAATAAGACGACTCTCAGCAAATAAGACGGACCTTGAGTCTGTGCGACGACACCAGTCCCGGGAATCGGGGTGCCTCGGCCAGTTATAGCGGCGGGGTGCTTGGCATAGCTGCCGGTCGAGGTCCCAACCTGGTTCCCACGGGACTTGGGAGCATTCTCCATACTTGGTCTCTAGGCCGTGGCGGCTCGGTATTAGTGCGTGGTGCTTGCGACATTCTGGGTAAATTCGGCGACTCGGCGGACGCTCCCTATCCGGGTTCCCAACCCATCTTGGCTTTCCTGCTGTCACCAGCCGAGGCTAAAAAGCCGCAGCGCCTTTTTAAATGGCCGCGCCACGAACGGCCCACACTCGCACTACCGGCAGGCGTTGGAGATAAGGAACCGCGGACTCGGGCTTGCCAATGGCACGGGTTGACGCGTCACTCTGCAGTTGATGCAAGTGCGGCATCATTTCCAACAAGCGGCTGCTTCGGAGAGGTCGCGGCAGTGCGGGCGGGCTACAGAGTGTAGACAAGGGCTCATACTCTGTTCAGGCTCCTACTTGCACATTGGCCTTGGTTTGAGTAGCCTTGGTTTGAGTACTTGACATGACCGTTCACAATATAGTCCTTCCAGTCAGAGAGCCATTCACCACCTGTTCAATGCAAGCAACGACACTGTGACTGTCGCCCAAATTTCAGGCCCGCTCAGAAACACTGGCAAGAGACATTTGGCTAGAGTAACCAGCAGCCCTTCCCAGTCCCTAGAGGTAATTTCACGCAAACCACCATCCTCGACTCCCATGGAAAATGCAGCAAATGGCCACCGCCAGAACACAAAACAGACAAGAAAGGAAATGTCCAAAAAGACCTCCGCCTCCCTACGCTAGGTACCCAACCACGAAAGAAAACACCCAAGACTCCAGCCGTCGTTCGCCCGCTCAGACCCGTAACGCAGTGAGAAACCGTTGCGCCACGTCGCCCACATTGCCCTTGTCCAGCGTCCACGCGTCCGCCGCAGGGCGATACTCGACGGCCTCGACATCGGGCTGTAGACACAGCCAGCAGGCGAGCAGCAGGCCCTCGACGGCCCAGAGGACGCGCTCGCCGTCATCGGCAAACGGGCCGCTCCCACTCGCAATCCCACTCGCAATCCCACTCCCAACAGTCCCTCGCACCCCGCGCTGTTTCTGGAGCAATCCCGCCTCGTAGACGGCGCGGTCGGCGCGCTCCGTCCAGTCGGCGAAGCCGTCGAACCAGTCGGGCGCGTAGCGCGCCTCGAGGTCCGCGTCGCCGACGTGCTGCGGCCGCGCGCGGTGGCCGAACGGCGGTGGCGCTGGCGCCGGGTTGCCTGCCCACCCCGCTGCGTAGAAGACGTAGTGATGGCAGCCTGACGACGGGGATGGTGGGGACGTCCAGTCGGGCTGCAGGCGGTATTTATAGCCCACCCGTTTCGGGTTCGAGGGGGATGTGTTGTGGCGGGGTACTGGTGCTGATTGTTGTGCTGATTGTTGTGCTGATTGTTGTGCTGATTGTTGTGCTGATTGTCGTGCTGATTGTTGTGCTGATTGTCGTGCTGATGGTTGTGCTGATTGCTTTGCTGATTGTTGTGCTGATGGTTGTGCTGATTGTTGTGCTGATGACGGGGGAAGGGCGTTGCTGCTGGGCATTGGGGGGGACTTGCACGGGGGGGACTTGCACGGCGGCATGGTGCCGGCGCCCCCGCCGAAGACGCCAAACGACCCCGACACGGGGCTCAGCAGGATGGCGTCGATGCTGCTCAGGGCGCCCACGGCGGCGTGGTCGGGCACGGCGAGGGCCGGAGGTGGGGCGAAGCCGTGGTGGCCCTTGGCGCTGCCGCGCCGGACGAGACCGCCGTGGCCGGGGCCGGGGGCAGTCTTGTCTGGGGCCGGGGCCGGCGGGCGCTGCAGGCTGACGGCGATGGTGCCGTCGGCGCCGAGCTGCAGCGCCAGGCCGTAGTCGGTGGCCAACGACAGCCGGAAACACGCGCCGCTCTGCTGCTTCTGCTGCAGCGACGTGCAGAGCAGAAACGCGATGTCGGCCGTGGTCAGGCTGCGCATCATGGTGAGTTGTATGATGGTGTACACTGCAACGGTAAACAAGCCGGAAATGAGTCGAGGTCGGACGGGACGGGACATGGCATGCTAAGGCAGGTAGGTAAGGTATGTAGACGGCAAAGGGGGACGAGGTCGATATTAAGTGGGCTTGCTCGTCGGGGAGATCTGCCCCAGGAGGCGATCTGGCACATCTTGGGTGGGTGCGGGAGTGGGACGGTGGTGTGACGGGATGACGGCAGGAGGCCCTTGCCAGACAGCCCCATCACTCATTGGGGAAAGACGAACCATGAGTTGCTAAAAATGACCTGAGGCGCAGCGACGAAACCGCCGACACGTTGCACGCCCGTCATCCTTCCCCGTGCTTTACCAAGGAATTAAAAAAAAAATAGGAAAAGAAGGCAACTGGACAGGGTCGTCGTTTTGGCCGTTCCCCGGCCTGCATGGGCGAATCTCGTGCGCGGGGCTATCGCCGAGAGCTGCGAGGGATTGTGCCCGTTCCCGGCGTCTGGGTAACTCCGGGGTCAGCAAGGGGCGGCCAGTCGCGGTTTCGGCTATTTGTGGAAGCCAGGGGTTGCCGTGCTGCCATTGGCTGTCACCGCCTGCCATTGGTTGCTGCCCCTAGACGCGGTGCTTAAGCGCCCACGGTGAGGGCTGAAAATAGATGCCCACGCCCAGTCACATGCGGTTGGTCTTCTGGAAGCGGTTTGTGGCTGCGGGATCGTTCCGTGTTGGCCCGGTTCGACCGCTCTCCGAACGGATTTGTGTTTAGTGTTACAGAGTTTGAAGGCCTTGGTTCCGACTTTGACCCTGGCGGGTTCCGCGTCGGACAACTCGAGAAGAAATAACAGGTTAAGACCAGCCAATGAGATCGTTTGATTGTTGGAGATGACGTGTGGCAACGAATGGCAAAGCTTTCGGACCCCCAAAGCTGGCTGTGGATGGCCCGAGATCTGCTGGCGAAGAGAGAAATATTGAGAGATCCAAAGGCTTGGGCGGAGAAGAGAAGAAAGTTTCCGCTGAAGTTAAATAGGAGGGTGGGTGGTTACAAACCCGTGGTTCCGACTTGAGCTCCCTCGATTACTTCTCAGATAGCGCTCTGCTGTCAGTTAATATAGAATTAAATGCTCCCCTTTTTAAGTCCACTATTCTTCATGTCTGAATGCAAGAGACCATGGGCAAGTCGGAAGAGCCTCTCATCCCAAAGCACCAATATTTGACATTCCAACGAGTTTACGAGGTTGCAATGGACACTTGTACTATTTTAACAACACGTAACAGAACCAGATGAAGATGGACTGAGACTGCAAGTACAATGCTCGATTGTAATTCGTTGCTTCGGATTTTCGGTTATTACTGTCGCACAGTAACAGAGGCCAAAACAGGGGAGCAAGGATATGGGCTATTAGCCGGAATCCGGACTGTCCATTGCAACTCCCACTCTGCAATTGTCACCATCTGCAATTGACACCATCTGCAATTGACACCACACTGCATCTACTCTCCATCCATCTTATATGCTGCACAGATGAGGTGTCTAACTCCTACTCACCTATCTGAAAAACCCCCGTGATGGAAGCATTCCATAATTGTCGCGCATATCCTCGCTAGTCGTCTCCATAACAACCGGATCACCTCCGACTCCCCTACAACAACGCGCTCATATCTTGGCCACAGCCGCAGAAATACCCATAATTGTTCCCCAAGTAATAGTACCATGGCGGACCCACTCAGCATCGTGGCCAGTACTATCGCAGTAATCCAGGCCAGCGGCCGCCTCATTGCCCTCTGGCAAAAGCCCACACACCAATTTGGACCCCCTGAGGGCCCTTCTACATCGATATGCCGCACTTCTCGACTGCATGGAGTCTCTTGTCCAAAAGTACCTCGTCAAGCCGGGCAAAGCATACGATGGGGTCCAAAATGTCAAAAACACTGCGCTTCGACTCGGGTGGCTGAGAAAGAAGGTCAAGGTTTCCGAACTACGAGGCAGAATCAGCCAGGCCCGGCTCCTGGTGTCCGGGGAGCTGGCAGCAATATCTGCGTAAGTCCTGGTGTTTTACTGCGTCCTGAATACTGTAGACGGATTTGGCTGGTACTGCCGACCTGCCCCCAGCATCACGCAAGCCGGGCACCAAGCGACCATAGAGGCCCGATTCGAGCGTCAAGAGAAGTTATTGAACGAGCTTGCGCGTAATCAGGGCGCATATTCTGCTTAGTACGAGGATGCTTCGACTCGGTGTGAAGCTGCTTCGACCAGTATGAAGGTGCCTCGATCCGACATGATGAAGCTTCCATTCTTCACGAATATCCGATTTCACGGGGAGAGAAAGTCCATGCATTTAAATCTTCGACCAAAGAGCCATCTCGACCCGACGCTCTGTCCTCGGGCTTGGATTGGATGACCCAAGCCGTCCCATCCGACCTCTGCGAGAGTTGTCCGTGCCAATGCCACTCACAGTGGATCTTTACAACATCCAGCTGGAGCTTCCTGGCAGGATCAATGACGGTCCAGTCCCAGGGAAGTCCCATCCTCGCCAGGGGCTGCAACACGAAATCGTGCAGGAGAAAGTCCCTGCCGATGCTCACCAGCATCCTCTATCTTCCACACTGGCTCGCCGCTCGTGCCATCGCCATCACCCTCATCAACGGCCCATCCTTTTCCGTCACCCTCACTGCCAAACAGATCGTGTCCGTGAACTCGGAGTTCTTCACCTGCATACGGACCGGCGACTGCGAGCGGATCTAACAACTCCTCGCCAGCGGCGAAGCCTCGCTCGCCGCCGCGGTCAAGGTCCCCTCTGGAGCCAAGGACGGCCTGCTCTTCGCCCTGAACTACAAGTAGTACTAGGTCTGCCGCCTCCTCATCTCGTGGGGCGCAAACCCGCACGCGGCAAGCGACACGAGGCCGCTCCCCGGCTCGCCAGCGGACCTGGCCTGGGAGCACATGCAGGCATGGGCCGACAACGACACCGACAAGAACTTGATCCGAGCCATCTTCCCGGCCCCGCTCGACCTCGACCGCCGGCGCTTCTCCAAACTGCACCTCTCCGTCCTCGGCATCCACCACGCCGCCATCGACGCCCTCCTCCTCTCTGATCCCGCCCTCCTCCTCTCTGATCCCGCCCTCCTCCTCTCTGATCCCGCCCTCCTCGACGCACAAGACCGCCACGGCCGCGCCGCCGCGCACTGGGCCGCATGGAAAGGCGACGTCAGCACTCTAACCAAGCTCCTCAGCCACGGCGCCAGCCCGAACCTCGCCGACACCCGCGGCCCGACCCCCCTGCACTACGCGTGCATGACGGGGCTGGCCGCGTGCACGGCAGCCCTCGTGGCCGCGGGCGCCGACCTAAACAGCGCCGACCACCTCGGCATCACGCCGCTGCTGGGTTTGCCGCTGGGGACGTGCAGAGCTGATGCGCTGACTGCGGGAGGGCTGACGCCGCTGGAGACGCTGAGACAGAGGGGCCGTGTCACGAAGGAGCTTATCGAGGTGTTTGGTGCTTTGTTGGTCAAGGCGGGGTGGGGAGCAAGGGGTGTTGTTTTGAGTGGCTTTTTGGGGACGGAGGATGAGAGCGAGAGCGAGGCGGGTTCAGAGGGAGATGTCTTTGTTTTGGCCGACGAGGGAGCTGATGTCTGACTGGGACATCAGCTAATTATTTGGGTGTTGTGGTTCGGTGCTGATGCGGCGGCTTAGAAGTCTTTTCGGAAGTCGAAACGCCTTAAGGGGACATAATAATTGATGGTTCATATATTGTTAGCAGAGTCGTTTAGTGTAGGCTCGCGGTGAATGTTTCCGTCCCCGGTTCATAATGCCTACCGGAGCCTTTTCTTTCTCCTTCTTTCTCTTCTCCATGTACATCGCAACCTTTTAGTAGGGGAGTTTCTGGTAGATCGACGAGTCTGTCCCTACTTCTATCGCATATACTTTGTTATCTCACAAGGGCTAGTAGGTCCAGTTTTAAACCGATAATTACTCCAGTGCTCTCTGCTCACCATCGGGACGCGGTGCATGTGGTGGCGAAGCCGCCCGGCGCGATCTCGACGGCCGGGTCCGGGAGGAGGGGTTGGGCTCGCGGACGCAGGAACCCGGCGCCGCAGTCGGGGGCCGCGGCGGCGGCGATGGCGACGAGAGCGCCTTGGTAGATGCGAGATATCTGCGCGTACTGCTCCTCCCAGTCGCGCTTTGAATCTTGCACGATGCACAGCGAGTCGATCCACAGGTATCGCAGATATTCTTGCTTGACTTTCGTTTCGAGGTAACATGGACAGTATCGACTATCGGAGGCAGCCTTAACGCGCAGCCGCCTGTCAGACCGGCCTCCTCACCTTGGCTAGCTGCTGAGGATACCTGGCCTGCGGGCTTGGTGCGGCAATGACATACAGTCCACGTTAGCCGCTCATACCCGCTTCTCATCGCCCCCAGCCATTGAAAGTATTGGCACCGGGTGGAGACTCTGTCGTTACCAGCCCGAGGCGTGATTCGTGGCCACGAGGGCTGAACGAGCGAATCGAGTCTAGTTCCGGTTTCAAGTAGCTCCTTCGAGTTTGATCACGAACGACAGTCAGCAGTAACTCACATCTTATACCAAGAAAGAACATATCCTGAATCAACAGCATTTGAACCCTAAATGGTGCGAAGAACGAAGAATATAAATATAACGCTGCAAAGTTGTATCTACAAAACGCTCAAAGTATTGATGGGTATGAAATAAAAGTCTGTACAAATAAAAGTCTGTACAGATTAATGACATGGCCGGCCGTGCTCATCAGAATATTCGCATCACACCCACCACCGTTTGATGGCGATTGGCTGCCGGCCTCCAAAATGCCATTTCGTGGATGGTAATGTGACAATTAGACGGCCGTTTCCTGTCGTCTTCTCCCCCTGCCCTGTCCCAGGAGGTCTGACTGCTTCACCTATTCGCGGCTTATCTCCGAGACCGCATCCCCAGCGCCCTCTCTATACGCGCCCGGCTCTTCCGTGCACTCCACTCCCTTTTTCGGGGGAAATCATGAATGACGAGTGCGAGTTGCTGCGGCTCCGTTGTCCATCCCTCTCCCGCGGCCTAGCCAAGTGCCCGTCGCAGATGCCCAAAGCTGCGATCTGCTGATGTCGTCGGCCTGCGCAGCATCGTCTGGCCGCTCGGTTCGTCCGAGCACCGCCCGGCGTCCCTCAGCGACGCCGGCAGTCACGCGGTGGCTACTACCGATTTTCAACGGCGAAATAGACGAGGATGGCGGGCCAGGCGACGGATAATATGAAGGCGGCTATGAAGCCGACGAAGCCGACTTCTTTTTCGCCGTGCGAACCAGCCCAGCGGCTCATGAGCCTCGTAGAGCAGAAGATCATGCCGATGCCGTAGAGGCTGCCAGCCCAGAGGGCGCCGAGGATGATCTGGGCGTACCGGTCCGTGGGCGACAGCACCGCCTTGGACGTGTCGAAGGGCTGGACTATTGCGAGATTGGCACCCATCGTGTAGATTTGGAGTGATGGATGCGGTGTGGTGGAGAAGAGACGATTGAAGAGAACTCGACCAGCGACGGAAGCAAGCGACGGAAGCAAGCGGCGGAAGCAAGCGAGCAGAGGTGCGTCAGAAAAGGGACCCGAGTGGCCGATGACCGACGGTCGAATTGAAATGAAAAGATGTCGATTATATAATACGCGACCTGCGACCTGCGACCTGCGACTCGCGAACTGACTGCGACGGGCAACTGGCGATCTCTTGGCCTGCAATGAGTAAACCACACAGAACAGAAAAAGAGAGAAAAGAAAGGACAGACAGCAAAATTAGAACTAGTTGGAGAGAGCAACAACGCCCGCAATGCAACTTGAGCTCATGGGGAAAAGAGCAAAGGAAAACTGGACCGCGGCCAATTCTTGAATCATCTCTGCAGGCCGGGGGGTTGGGGTTCAGTGTCTGGGGCAGCCCGTCCCTCGACGGAGGCTGTCTCGCTCTCGCTCCCGGGGCGGCGGCGATCTAACGCTGACGGGGCGGCGCGATTGGCTGGCCGCCAAAAGCTTGTCTCAGATGCAGCCAGCGCTGGGTTGCAGGCGAGACCCGCCCACCGACTTGAGACGGCTGCTGCTTTGGACGCCCCGTCGCTCCGGTTTTAGAGGGCTTGGCGCCCGAGCTCTCCCAACCCCAATCCCAAAATCAATCCACAATCCAATTCCCTCCTGCGGCTGCCGCTGCCAGTCTCCAACTGACCAGAAACATGCCACTGCACTGGCCAAACATGCCAGACCAAGCAGGAGTCGGCCGCTGATCTGCAGACGAGGAAGCTCATTTCGCTCCCGCGGGGGTCTGTCAATCCGTGCGCTCTGCTCGTCTTGCCAGATTCCCCCTGACGAGCATGCCACGCTGGCATGGGAATGTTGCGATTCCCATGCGAGCCCCAAGATTCAGGCTGCCCATTGCCTGGAGGAGCTTGCCTGCATCTCACGAGGGCAGGGGCGTGTCACACCACTGGAGCGACCCGCGGGACGGGGAGACGAGCAGGATCTGATCTGTTGCCTGTTGTTCCATCCAGAGATGAATGCCCGATCGCAGAGTCAAATCCCGATTGCGTCCACCCATTGCGTCCACCATTGCGTCCATCCCATTGCGTCCTCCCCATTGCGTCTATCCCCATTGCGTCCATCCCCATTGCGTCCATCCCCATTCCCATCTCCATCCCATCGCATTTCCACATCAGCGGGATAGGTACCGCACACACAGAGAGAGAAAGATCCCATGCAATCCCTCCCCAGCGGGCTCCTTGCCCCGCAGCGGTCTTTGCATCGGGTGGGCCGCCAAAACACGCCCCCAAGAGCCGTCTCTGGCGCGACGTGTTTCCGCCGCTTTCGCAGGCCCCGACTCGGCGGCCACCCAGCCAGTGCCTGGCACAAAGCTTATTCTCGCTGCGTCACTGTGTTACTGTGTGGACTCTGCGCAGATCCGAACCAACGAACCAGACAGAGACTACCTGTGGCCGGACAGAAAAGCCGCGCGCTTGCGATTCGGTCCTACTCGTGTATATACATAGTAATGGGGCCGGATCAGCCAGCAGCCGGTAGCTGCAGTTGCGGCTGTTGGCAGTCGAAGGCGATTGTTTGCTAAAATGGAGGGAGGGTTAGGGTCCAACGTGATCTTTACAAGACACGCTCGCTCCGCCCAGGCTTGCTCCTAGACCCCAGACCCCCTGGGCTGACAATCCGTTGACGGACAGATGAAGGCAGACAGAGAGTGGGCACCGCCCCAAAACAAACCCGTGGAACTCCTGGGCTCGGTCTGATCACGAGCAATGCGCTCTGTCCCCGGCTGAGAGCGAGTACGCTGCGCGACTGCCACTGCGCGACTGCGCGACGACGTCATTTCCTCCCTTGCAGGCCGCCTCAGCTGGGAAAAAAAAGGGGGGATTCCAAAGGAAGGAGCAGTAAGCCCTCCCGCCCTCCCCCCCGACAGTTGCTGCATCAAATACAGGGAACATGCTGAGATGCGAGATCAGACCCCCTTTCCCCTCTATCGGAGTCAGTGAAACATTCATCTTTTCACGCCACCAATCTTTTGTCTGCACGAAGCAAATCTGATTGATTCATCGCTCGCTGTCCAGCTACCGTGCCAGGGCCCCATTGTCCCAAAACCCATAGCCCGTGACGGCTTGACCTAGTTATGAACCTATGTTGTAATTCAGCGTTGTCGCTCGTCATCAGCAGTAATTATCATTACACATCTCCCGTGATCCGGGGCCATTATGATGTAGGCCTGCCTTGCACAATCCGACCCTCTCAGGCGGATGCCGATGCAGCTGCAGCTGCAGCAGGCCCCGCCTCGGGCTCCTCGGTCTCGGGCTTCTTTCCGTAGACGACGCGCATGCGGAAGAAGGCGTGCACGTGGGGATCGCGTAGCTGCTTGCGGAGGTGCGCTATGTAGACGTGAATCTGCTGGGGGCTCCAGCCCATCACTTGGCTCCAGACGAACAAGACGTAGCCTATCAAGAGCGCCGTTAGTTGCTTTGGGATGGGTGAGGCGGGATAGAGGTGTCTGCCTGTAAGACCTTGGGGCGGGGCGGGGGGTCGGGTCGGAGATGGGAGAAGGTCACTCGCCTTCGACATCTTGCTCGAGTGCGAGGCGACTGAACGCTCCAATCTCTTTGAGCTTCGGGTCCGCCGGCCAGGGTATGAGCGGGCACTGCAAGTCACGATTCGAGTCAGTTTGTTTCTCCCACACAAACCCATTGCCTCGACCAATTCCCAAACGGCAAGAGATGGCTTCACCTTGAAGTCCCACGCCTCGATATCCACAAACCCAGCCTCCTCCATGCCCTTCCTCTGCAGCTCGTCCTCATACACCCGAAACGAGCGGCCAAACTTCTTCCCAGCAGCGTGGAAGACCTTGCCCCACTCGTTCATGGGCGAGCCGGGGGCGACGGAGCCGTCGTCCGAGTCTATGACGCACGACGCCTCGAAGCTCTCGACGTAGCCGCCGGGCCGGCACGCGCGGTGCGCCTGCCGGAAGAGCGCCGGCCAGTCCGCCACCGACCCGAACAGGTACCGCATGTGCACCAGGTCGAAGCTGCCCGCCTTGTACGTCCACTCGAGCGTCGCGTCCTCGATCTCGAACCGCAGGTTCGGCGGCACCCATGTCGGCTGGATCGGCGACAGGTCGGTTCCGACAACCGAGGCTTGTGGGTGCTGGTCGGCGAAGTCGCTGCGCGGCAGGTTAGTTGGTTGGCGGCTTCTCGGTTCTGCGATGGGGGTGAGGCGTGTTTACATTGCCCAGAGACCAGTCCCGGTCCCAACGTCAATGACAGACTAGAAAATGGGTTAGTCTCTGAATGAGCCTTCGGCCATAAGATACCGTTGTGGAGGAACCCACATTGATCTCGTCGTCCTTGAGCGGTGCGCGAAAGAGCTTCCCGCCCAGCACGAGCGTCAGGAGGTGGTGGCTGTATTTATCAGAGAGTTTCATTCACGAGTTAGCACGAGGCAAATGTGTCTCTGCTGACAGCCGCCTAGATGGTGCTCGCCTACTTGATGTCCATGGACTCATTTTGCTTCTCGTCGTTGGGCGTCCTGATCATTAGCAGGGGGGAGCATGAGCATATTTTCACCCGTGATTTGTTTATCAGTTGGTTGGCAATCCATCAACCCACCAGTACTGTGCGTCTGTGCTCTTGTCGCTGTGAAATGTCCGTCCGTAGATGGTGCGGTACTCGAGGATGCTGGCCGACAGGGACGCCGTCGAGCTGCCGCCGCCGTCGCCGAGGGAGGAGTCGTTATCGTCTTCACGGGGAAGCTCCTAATTTAGCACACGCGCAGTCAGTGATGACATGGTACAGTACCAGAATGCGGCGATGACGCTGTGTGACCGTGGCATACTTGCTCGGCCCAGTGTTCGGCAGGGAGGATATCAGTTGGCTGGGCACCAGCTGCTGCTGCCGCCGGCGACGATGCGGCCGCTCCCGGCGACGAGGCCCCCGCTCTAGCCGGAGACGATGCGGCACCCATGACTCAGTCTTAGGTCTTGATAGCACGCTGGGACGCGGTCGGGCGCGGGCTGGGGCTGGCTGGACTGGGAACTGCAATATCTATCGATTGGAGAGGATGCTAGCAGACGCAGCTTGACCGAATTTTCCGACGAGAGATAAGCTCGCCGCCAAAACGTGTGGACCGAAGCTATGGAAGGACCAGGTGCAGTATTGAACGGGACGGAACCTGGGGTCGGCCGGCCCAGCGAGGACGCTCATGTGGTGAGTGTCACGGTCTGGGAGTCAAGTGAGCGAACGGGCAATACTAGGAAACGGACCGCGGGCGGGCGGGCGGGCGGGCAGGAGACGCGAAAGAAATTGAAGCGGGAGCGGGGGAGCCATCGGGACGATTGACCAGAACTTGGCGTTGCGTGCCGCTCACTCAATCAATATTGTGGCTTCTAGCTCTCCTCCACTCGCAGGATGCCTGCCTACAAGACAGTACATGGTGGCACAAATCACACTTCATGAGGCCGCTCTCGGCCCAGTCACGATGGAGGTAGGGCCTGCCCTCTTCCGCGCTCTTATGCTCGTCTTGGTTAGGCTATCCGGGTGGGGAGAGTGGGTGCGTGGCCGGGGAGTGTCGCTGGGGTGGCCATGTGCGCGCGCCGTGACGGGATCCGGACTCTGCGTTCTTTTGCATTACATGTGCATTGTGGGGGCCGACGACGGGACAGTCCAGCAGCGGCCAGACCGTCAACTGTATTTGCACGGAGCGATATGCGGCTGGCCAGCAACGGCCAGCAACGGCTAGGCTGCCACCCGGCTAGTGTGTGCGGAGTTATCCGTTGAACTAGGTGGTGTGTGAAGAGGCCAAATGGGGCGGCAGCGATCGACAGCAAGCCCACAATTCAACACTGACAGCGGAGCCACAATTCAACACTGACAACGGAGCCACAATCCAACACTGACAACGGAGCACAATTCAACACTAACAACGGGGCCACAATTCAACACTTACAACGGGGCCACAATTCAACACTGACAACGGAGCCTCCATGGTGCTATAGCGGCCGCGGCCGGCGTCGTGAGCAGCTACGGGCGTGTCCTGAACTGACTCCCTGAGAAAATGGCGCCGGGTTATTTTTCTCTTTTCGCTCAGGTGAACAAGCTAGCGCAACACAATCTCAACGCGGTGGTGCTGTCTCGTTTTCAGTTGAGTATGCAACCCCCCCCCCTCACCCCTCACCTCACCCCCCTCTTCATCCCCCCCGGTAGCCGAAGCCACTCGGCTATGCTCTCACACCCGGCTCGCATGCAGCTCGCGCGCGCCACTCTTCTCGGCGCACGAGACTAGAATCGTAACTTACCACAACTACGTAAGCTGAACCCACCCACAGTACGACTCTTTGTTACTAGACAAGTTGTGCAAAAGAAGATGACTGATCACATCTTCAAGTTGGGCGGTGAGGAGAATATCAGGGGGTCCCTAAACCCATGATTAGTAGGTTTGTACATGCCTACCCCCTCGACAAACAAGCAAGTTCAAGCCACACTGATCAATTATTGGGCACTGGTGTCCGGGGGATAAGGCGTGACAAATGGGAATTACCAAAGTCCAAGGGCTTATGAGATTACTGCAAGCTAGGTTAGGTTTCTGTTCGAGTTTGTCAAGAGGTCATGATCAACAGAGGAAAGTGTGCAAAAATACCATGGCTTTTACGAACACGGTTCCAAGTATGCAGTGAAAAACTCTGCACATCTATTTCCTAACAGGCTGACACAAGCAAGATCCACGAGTGCTTCATTGTGTTTCTTTTAGTGTGTGCATGGCCATAGGTATAAGCCATTTCACGCTGGGGAATCAGGGGTAGCTCTAACGATGGACGTCGCGCCAGAGTAGACGAAATAAAACAAAAAATAAACGACTCGAGTCTATGGCCCAACTGCATCGGTTCTCGTTCAACGCAGAATCAGAGCCGACCGCAAGAAACAAAGCCGTGGAAACAATCACACGACACTTCCACCCATACACACCCATACACACCCATGCCTCGCATAAGTCACAACTAGAACGAACAGGAATACAAAGGCGGGATAACTAAGCTAGAACAAGGTACGTATGTACGTATGTACATACGTACGTAGGTAATCAAGGCAGGCAACAAAAACAAGCAGAAACGAACCGTCAATCCCCCACAGCATTACTAGTATGCAACGCATCAAAGTATACTTTACGCCCCTGCCGATCAATCAATCAATCCTCGTCTTTATCACCGTGTCCCAGCAAAAAAAAAAACTCCAATGACTCCAGACCAACCACATCTTATCGTCCTCCTTTTGTTCACTCCAGGCCTCTGAACCTGCGGTTGAACTCCTCCACCGCCACCGCCACCATCTTGTAAATAAACGTCCGCCCGCTCTCCTCGCCAATGGGAATGAAGGGCCCGTTGGTGCCGCCGCGCAGCGTGAGGCTCAGCCCCGTGCGCTCCTTGGCAATCGTCTGGATGTCCTTGAGGGGGACCTCCCACTCTGTCTGCAGACGCCGGGTGCGGATGAGCAGGATGCGCGCAAACGTCACCATGACCACCATGTCCTCGGCGGGCAGCTCCAGGTGTGCAATGTACTGCTCGTCAAAGTACTTGCCGTTGTCGACCTGCTTGAGCCACGACTGTCCGAGAGCCTCGCGCTGGTTGTAGGGCCGCACGATGCCGTCGGCAGGGATGTAGCGCGGCAGGCGCACGCGGTCGAGCTCCGAGCCGTCGAACACGGTTGTCGTGTTGCGGACTCCTTCGCTGACGTTGGATGCAAAGTCGAGAACGCCGATGGCGGGCTTGGTGGCTAGGCCAACCACGCCCTTGCCGATGCCCTTGAAGAATCCGAGCGCGCCTTCCTGTTCGGCGCCCTCGAGCGGCTTCCGGGCGAGGCCCCCGACTCCCGAGGCAACCGACGTGAACAGGCTGTTAGCGCCCGCTGTTACCCCGTATATGGCGTGTTTGGGCCGGTTGCGGGCGCGTGTGATCCTCCGGCGGTCCTGGAATTGCTTGTCCATCGTGGCGGCCGCGAGACCCTTGGCAAAGCTCCCCGTCACCTTGGAGAAGGAGTCGGTAAAGCCGTATACCGACTTCTTGAAGAAAGACCCAGCCCCGCGGGCGAGTCCGATGCCAAAGTCTTCGGGCTTGTCAGACATGATGAGGCCCTGGTATGGTTCGTAGAAGATGTCGGCAAAGCCGGAGCTGATGTTGTTGAACAGGCCGACCGGGTTCCCCAGGAAGTCGGCACTTCCCAAAATCTTGTGGATCTGGTACAGCGCTTCTTGGCTGTAGTGGTTCGAGACGTGCTGCACGAGCAGCGGAACCGACACGCGCACGTTTTCGAGCATCAGGGCGTTGAACCGCACTGGCGCATCGTTGATGTTGCCGATGGCCATCGTCATGACGTTGAAGAAGAACATGACGGGGTTGCGCGACGACGTCTTGTCTTCCACGTTGACCCGTTCGGTCCGGACGAACGATAGGTCGAGCTGCATGGGCTGGATATTGAGGACTTCAAAATATATGTCCCTGCCAGATTGCTGTTGCTTCGGCTCCGGGATGTCGATGTTGTCGTCGCAGAGCTTGTCCTCTTCGTCTGCCGACGTCCACGAAGCTCCCGGGACCTTGGAAAAGTCCAGCACAGCGTAGATGAAGTCCTCGTCCAGCTCCACCGTCATCTCCTGGAGGAGAACGGTGGCGTACTTGATGTACTCGACTCCGTACGAGTCGTCCTTGACCCGCGTGACCATGGCGTGCAAGGACGGGTGCGCGTCAATCTCTTGGGCCCGCTTCGGAACCACGCTGGGGTAAAGGATCATGGGGAATATTCCGCCATACAGCTGGTTGTCTATCTGGATCCACTTGACGGCAAGGCTCACCGTCTGGTACAACGGCGAGTCGCTGTACCGGAGCTGAACATCTCTGAACGTGAGATAGGCTAGCTCCTTGAGCTGCGAGTTGATGATCGAGATACCGATCCCAGACAGCTTCAGCTGTGCGCTGAAAGTGGTGCCCGTGTCCAGCTCTTTGGCCTCGAATCCTCCCTGGCTGACGGACGAGCCTGCGTTGGACCGCTGCCGATAGAGACTCTTGGACTGCTTGAAGTTGGACAAGATCAGCGTCTGGGTCGGCCCATCGGCAGTGACGTTGATGTCGATGATCTTGGATTGTCCGTCGGTGCCAACAAACTTCATGGGCATCAGGTTGCCGATTTCTGCCAGCTTGACATATCGTTCCCTGTTGTAGGCGCTGATGCAGACCTCCTTGCGCTTGGCTGACGGGAAGTCCCAGGCGTATGGCATGATGCTGCGGGGCGGCAGGCGGTACCGCACCGGCCTCCATCCAGACCGGTCTTCGGTGCCGTCCTCGTCGACGTTGGGGTTGGCCTGGTAGAAAGTGAACTCGGTGTCGCTTTCGTTACGCATAGAGAAGGGCCAGTTCTTGTTTTCCATGCCGAGGTTCAGGAAAATCGTGGAATCTTCCATCAGGACCTCCACCCGGATGAGCTTTTGGCGCAGACCAGCTCTAGCGACCTTGATGTGGGTGATGCCCAAGTCGGATATGGTGAACGGCGCCGTCCACTGGTTGTCGACACCTGGATAGCAGAGGCAGAGCTGCTTGACGCCGCCGCGCTGGAGGAAGTGCAAGGGCCGCAGCGCGCCACTCTTCAACGCCAACAGATCGGAGGAGCTGGGTTCGCGGATGTTGATATCGTCGCCCAGCTTGTTATGGATCACGTACCGAGGAGCTAGCGTCACCGTCTTGACCATCTTGTACTTGCCGTGGCCCGAGTCGACGGTGATGCCAACATGGACTTCGGCATTGCGGCTTGGCGAATTAAGCACAACCTCTGCAGAACTCCCAATGGCATCAAAGCTCTGAGGCTTGCTCCATTCTGAGTCGCCGACCTTTAGCAGTGCGCGGTTCTTCTGGTCGTCATTGTTGAACGAGAACATGAGGGGAAGCGCCTTGCGCCCGCCATCTTCCGAGGTGTCGACGAGGGACTGGCCCGCTGCAGCCCTGGCTTGCTGCATGAAACCCTTTGTGCGGATGCTCAGGTCCAAGCCCGTCTTGTTCAGGATGACATACGGGCTGTATACGGTGACCTTGAATGCACCACCACCATCGGGAATACGGTAGTAGTGCAGCTTGAGGTTCAGGTTCAGGCCTGCGTCGTCCTTGCAGACGAGGTTTGCTTCTTTCTTGAAGTCATCCGTGGAGCCCGAGTTGATGATGGCGAATTCGCTGGGTTTGAAGACGGTGTCTTGCATGTCGATGCTAAGGAGCAGGAGGTGGGACAGCTCGACAACATGGACGGGACTTACGCCGCCCTTGCGCAAAAAGTTTGACCAATCTTTCTTCGTGTTCTTGTCGTATATCCTGTATTTGAAGTCATATGGCAGCAAGTTCTCCAGGGTAACCGGCGCCGACAGCTTCAGACGCATGTATGGGTAGTTCCTAGACACGGGACGCGTTAGCTGTGCCTACGCATTTATGCCCTCAACGTGTTGCTTACCTTGTCATTGGATTAGCTCGGTCGTAGCGAGCAGACATCTGGAAGTAGAAGGGCTCGCTATTCTCTCCCCGACACACCAGTGTCCTTGTCGGCCGCTTAAGCAGGTCGCGCCACCACAGGGAATCGTTGCTCCACCCATACCCAAACCCAGGATCGGGACGGACGAGCAAGCTCTTTAGGTATGCGGCCCCGACAGGAGCTGGCCTGCTCTCGCCGGGTGCGATCTTTTCAATTTTGAGCAGGTGACCCTCGTGGGCATCGTACACGCCAAGTTCCACGGGAATGTCCGTGTCGTTCTCCACCAGAAGAGGGCTGCGAAGCGTCACATACTTGACATTGTCAGCCCCGAGCTTGATGTCGACCATGAGCTTGTGCAGAACCTCGTCCGCCTTCGGGCGAAGTGCGAAGAGGAATTCGCCCTCTCGGTTGAGTCGGATATTCTTCACGGTATCGAACCCGCTGGCCTCGAGTTGGACAGCCACGATGCTAGCGCTAGCGCTGTCCACGAGCAAATTCTCTCGCATCTTTTCCCAATCCTCGAAGCTCCACGGCGCTTCTTGGCCGTCCTCAAGACGGAGCGAAGTGTTCTCGTCGGTGCTCTGTCGCTTGGCGTTGAGGACAACATCGAAACCTGTGTAGTTGCGGATGCGATATGGTGCTTCCGTGCCACGTGGCTTGCTGAGTACGTCTTGGTCCTGGGTGAGGAAGACAAAGGACTTGGAAGCGAGCGCAATGGTGGCAGTCGTGATGGTCACGTCGAAGCTCCTCTTGGAGGACACGTCAATCGACATTAGGCCAGTCGCTTGCTCCCGTGCCACACCTAAACCGACCTGCCATGGCTCGATCAGGGGCTCCCAGGCAGACTTTGCAAAGTTGTAAATGTTTGTGTACATGTCAATTGCCACTTCCGCCTTGAGGTTCGTGGACCAATTTTTCGCAGTACTAGTGAAGTTCTTAATGCTCAGGTCGAGGATGGGAAGTTCATGAAGGTCGCCAATAAGCACAATACGGATTCCATCGATGTTGGCCGTTAGTTCTTCGTGCCGCGCAATGGGTTTGGAGATGTCGTGCGGTTGGGGGCTGCCTTTATTTAGGGGCTGGCCAGGAGATGTTCCACCAGCAACGCTTTTACTTGTGGCCCTTGTTCGCGCCGCCATGGTCGAGGCTCCCCTTCCGCTGGCTGTTCTTTGCTTGATCCCCGATGCCTTGAGTTGTTTGGCCTTTTGGTCCGATGCCGTGGTATTGGGCGGTTTGGGCTCTCCTCCCGACAATTCAGAGGCTTTGCTGATCGTTTGCATGACCAGCAGGATGTCTCGCAGGGACAACCGCAGAATTAACGGCTCAATATCGAGATAGATAGCAGTGGTCATTGGTTTGGAACTGTCCACGGACATTTGTATCGAGAAGTCATCCAGGATCCTCAGACGCGAGTCGTCAAACCGATCCATGCGACACAGGAACATGCCGCACTGGGAGACTTGGAAAGTGAAGGCGTGCTGCTGCGAGAGGAGGACTTGCTTCGTCCCCAAAACAATCGCTTCCGAGCTGGCGCTGAGGGGGTTGGCGATCAAGATGACCTGGGCGTCAACAATATTGACCCTATAAGCGAAGGTCATCTTGGACTGCTCGCTGCCGGGAGCCTGCCTTGAGCCCTTTCCAGCGTCGTCGGGGCCGCTGCTTTCCGATTTCCTCCCAGTGAACGACACTTGCATCGAGTCGGTGTCGCTCATTTCGTCGGGACTTTCCAGAGGGCTGGTGGCCGGCAAGTCCGGCTCATTTGACTGCATGCCGGTCACGACAAAGTTCTGGATGGCAAAGAGATAGTCGAGCGCGAAAATAATCCGGGGGCTGTCGACAGCTACCATGGCAATCACATTCCTATTCTTCCCCCCCGACATGGTAACGCTGGCCATGAACTGCTGCACGTTCTTATTGCCGCTCGTCATGATGCGCCGGAATTTGTTGGTTTCGCCCCGGCGAGAATCGGATATCGTGAACGACTGTATGATGAACTCGGCCTCAAGGCTACCATTGGAGTCCATCCGAGTCTTCAGCTGGCTAGCATCGAGACTGAACCTGGAAAGACTGGCAGCATCGAGATCCCCAACAGGCGTGTCTTCTGACGCGTTGACCAGCTCCAGGCCAATGATGTTGACTTTGAAGATCAAATCAAGCTTCGTCCAGGACGCCCCATGCGTGCCAAGTTCGGGGCTCATGTCGATTAGCTGCGCATTCTTATCCTCGTCGCTAAAGCCCGACATGGTCCTTGCCCTGCTAAGGGTTGCATCGTCGACGTCGCGTTCGGCGTCTGCGGCTCCTGCTTCCGAGTCTCCGGAGAAGGCAGCGGGGACTGACTGTGAGATCTCAAGAAGAGAGCGGAGCTGATATGGGGTGATCCGCAGGTTGAAGTCTGTCATGTGTCCCTCTATCTCAAGATCCGGTCGCTTGATGCCGTCCTTGTGCTCGGCGTAGATGATCTTGAAGTCAAGGTCGACGTGGTCAATGAGCTCCAGCTCTTCCTCTCGGTCGTCGGTGTAATGGAAGTTGGACGTCAATCTGATGTTGCGGATCCCGGCAGACAGTTTCATGGCAATTTCGGAGTTTTTGGAATCGTCAAGCGGGGCGAACTTGTTTTGAGCGTAGATCTCTCCAAGGTATGCAGTAACCAGGTCCCGTTTTGCCTTGCCTGGGATCACATCACGGGGGAAGACGACAATGGGCGTCTTGACCACAACATCAAACCTGATGCGGCTCTGGCTCTGCTGAAGCTGATTGGCCTGGTTGGCCGCGGCCTGTCTCGCAGCATTATAGATGGCTTGCATCTTTCCAAACTTGACAAGGAAGGCGACAATCTTGCGAAATGGCTCTTCAACAAAGTTGATCTTGACCGATCCAGCACGCAGATAGATGGAGGAATCGTAACCCGGATACAGGTCTGGCCTGGAGGGGTCGAACGTCTCATAACGGAAATCGGCGAGCTCTTCGCCCTGGATGGTAACGAGTTGGCGTAAGCTGGATGCCTCAGACACGCCAAGATTCACATCGTCAACAAGGCTGAGATCCCCAAGCTTTGTTGAGACGCGCATCGTCTTCCCAAGGAGGAAGACGCCAACATCGGCGTGGTTGAAGGACAACGTGGCAAGGCGAATACCGTCGTTGTTGAGGATCAGTCGGATCGTCTTAAGATCGACTTTCACCCTGATGGCGCCAGTATCGCTCTGCTGCTCGGCGGGGGAGGGGGGCGCAATCTCGACGTTGGTCTCCGAGCCGTCATCCGTTATCGCCTTTTTAGAAACTGGTCTGGCGGCCTCGTTATTAGTGAAGGTCACGAGAATGAAGTCCAGGAGAGTGAGCAACGTCTTGCGTGTTACGACGAGGTTGATGGTGGAAATGGCAACGTCCACATTGGTCTCGACACCTTCGTACACGGGCATGAACTCGGGGGACTCCTTCTTCACTTTAACGAACTTGACGTGCACGAGGTCCCTCTGCTGCTTCCGATCTTCGACATCGCCGGAAGATACAATGGACTTGAACTCGGCTGGCGGATTATCCACAAAGTCGTCCACGGTCACGGAGCCGAGCGAGACCTTGGCAGCCATGTCAAACGGCCTTAGATAGAACTCCAGGTCAAAGTTTTCGGCGACAAGGTCGACGAGTAGCTGATCGGGCCGTTTTCTGTCGGGGTCGCTGCGGTAAAGAGATCCCTTCAGCTTGTCAACAGAAAACTTGAACTCGAAGCTTCGTTGCTGCATCCTGAGCTGCTCATTCGCTGAGCCGTCCTTAGCGTCTTCGAACTTATCGTCGTCGTCGTCCAAGTCGTCATCATGGAGTATGATGGCTTGCTGCTGCATAGTAAACGGCAGGAACTGGGATGAAGGTCGTCGGCTTCGCCTCCTATGCGACCGACTAGACGCGCTGCTGTAAAGCCGAGGACGACTCGGTGAGCGAGTATCTCCATACGAAGGCCGCTGGGGGCTATCGAGTTTTGGTATGGCCACGTCGATGATACGCATGAGACTCTTGTACTTGGCATCAGAAGCGGTGGCATGGAGGACGGGGAGGTGGCCCGAAACTCGGAGTTTTGTCAGGTTGGGGGCCTTTGGCAAGATGGACATCTCGACGACGAAGTCAACATTGATCTTGTCGACGACGTGGAACATGAGTTTATCGTCCTTCTCCACTAGCTGCTGCTTCGTCTCGTCGACCGAAGGCCCGATCAATACCTGGGTAGACGTAAGCTTGACGGTAAATCGGTCGTACATGAGAGACTCCAATCTCTTGAAGTCCTCGTCCGTGTAGGTCTGGTTCTGCTTGGATTGGACCTGCTTCATCGTGTCCTTGTCGACGAGCTCGCTATTCACACTGATGTGACCGGCATCTAGGATGAGACATGTTGAAGTTTTGCGCGTGACGCTCTCGGGAATGATGATAAGAGGAGCTTGCAGATCCAACTTTGCATTGACAGTCTTGTGTTCTTCGAGGGCAAACTCAAGGCCAGCTCTAGTCTGTTCGCGCAGACCCTCCACTGTCGCGCCAGCCGTCTCCATGAGCGCGTTGATGGATTCCATATGGCGCTCGGGGGGCCTGAAGAAGTCAACCACGCCGATCACGACATTGGGGTTCCAGACAATCTCGAGCGGCTTCAACTTGGCCTTCAAAGCAATGTCTCCCTGTCCGTCGAGGGGATTTTGCTCCAATTGGAACTGGAAGAACGCCTCATCACTGCCTGGCTCAAGCTCGGCGACGGACAACCGCTTTTGCGCGCTGGACGAGTCCCCCGCTGCTGCGCCATCCAATTCAGCGACAGATAGGCGCTTCTGCGTGTCGTACCTGGGCGCATCCTTGACTCGGACGATCTCCTTGTACAGGCTGTCTGGTGTGGTGCCATCATTGACACGCAAGCCGCCCAGACTCAAATCCGCCAGGAACGAATCAGGCCTCTTAAGACCCTTCGCCCGGAAAAAGTCGAAATGGAGGCTGACCAAGTCTTTTGTGTTTTCATGGGGATTCTGCTTGAGGGTGAAGCTGCCCGTGCTCAGCGAAGCTTCAATCTGCAGTTTGACGGTGTCTCTCGGCACGTCAACCTCGGCGGCAAGAGCGTTCTTCTCGTCCCAGTCAATAGCATCATAAAGCTCCTTGCGCTGCTCTTCGGTTATCTGGATGTTTTCCATCTCGTCCTGCTTCTCTTGCTGGTGGGGTTTCGAGCCCCACGCCCAGGCCAACCAGCCTTGCTGCTGCTGCTGTGGTTGGGGCGGCGGCCGGTTCTTGAGAGCCTCGGCGTTCTCCTTCTTAAGCTGGCTGCGTGCCAATGACCGCCAGAACCGGAGGTCCTCGTAATCCAGCTTCCACTCCAGCTTGTTCAGGTCGTCACTCTCCTGGGGGGACAGCTCCTGGTTTTGTTTCTTCTTCTTGAACAGGACTACGTACCGTTTCCTGTCGTCGCGGCGTTCGCGGAAGTAGTCCCACGACCAGCGCCGGTTCCTGTCGTGGATCTTGCTAAGCACCGCATTTCCAGCAAATTGCAGCCAAGCGCGGGGGTCCTCCTTAGGACCGACGTCTTTGGGTTGGAGCTTCTTGTATTCTTGGTGCCGAATAAAGTAGTGGAACAGGTCCACCATCATCAGGGCATCGCGGTATTGCTGGTCGTCAAGCACAAGCCCAATCTCGTCGAACAGCAGATTGGCCTTGAATTTGGGAACATGGGGGCTGCCCGTCTTGTCGAGCTCGATCTTGGCCTGGCCCGAGACGGGCTTGAGGATGAACTGGTGGTTCCCGGTCTGCTCGCTGTCGCTCTTCACAATCATGGACTTGAAGCTCTGCAGCAATTCATCGTGTGGTGTCAGCTCCACCCCTGGCGTGTGCACCTCGCGTCCGGGGCCCATCAGCTTCGTGTCCGTGTTCCAGTACACAGCCAATGCGCCCAGCGTTGCCAGCTTGTGTGTGGTCTTGGTGGAGTCCGTTATGAATGTCGGCTTCCACTCGCCGTCGGTGCTGACGGCGCTGAACTCCTCCAGGGTCAGGCCCAAGGCGAAGGGGTGGCCGGGGGCCGAGATTGCATCTTCGTATCGAATGTGGATGTTCTTGACCGTGACCTGGAGGTTGTCGACGATCTTGGTGACGAGGCTCTCGGTGAAGCTCTGGGTGCGCTTCTGTTCCTCCTGGCTGAGACCCTCCTGTGATCTCTCCTTGAGCAGCTCGGCCGAGTCGAGCTTCTCCATCTTGATGCGCTGTCTCCGCCGCTCCTCCTCTTCCTCGTTGTATTCCGCCTCCTCCTTGGGGGACGCCAGAAGAAACACGTCCTCGATGAAGACCTTGACGGGAGCGCCGCGGAGGTTGGACCACGGTATGGTCAACGTCAGCTGGCCCAGGTGGCCCTCGACGACATTAATGGGGAGCTTGAGCTGGTCGAGGGCTTCGCGCCGGAGCTCGAGATCGCGGAGTTTGACATCGCCCGACCAAATTCCGACCTTGAGCTGGGTTGGGTCAAAGTTCTTGACATACATGCCCAAGAAGCGGTTCAAGAGCCCCGCCACGAGGCCTTCCAACATTTCGAGAAAGAGGTGCCGTTACCCAGGCGGGGTCGATTGAGGAGAGGTAGTTATCGAGTGTGGTTCAGGGGCTTCATTTGAACTCCCTGGGTCGTCGAAGGGTTCGGCAGTCAGGGGTCAGGGCTTGGGAGTCGGCAGTCGAGGGGTTCGAAGCTAGGATAGGATATAGATAGACGGCCTTGGGCTTCGATCGCGTCGTTGGGAGTCGCCCGCAGGGTCACACCAGGCAGATGGGAAAGCCTGGCGTCATGGACTCGGACTCGCTCCGCCGCGCTTCCTGGTGCGGGGGTGCGCCGGGGTAGCAATGGTTTCCGTCGAAGATGGGATCGTGTGCGTTGTTGTCGCCGGTCGGTTGAGGAGCGCAATGCGACAGAAGCCAAAACATGCAATCTAGGTGGTTGAAATGCTAAAGCTCATCAGGTAATTGCAGCCACGCTGCTAGGCTCTGCGTTGAGAGACGAAGGTCAGATTTTCCAAGTTTGGCGGGCAGGCCTGTGGCGCCGATGACGACGTGCCTCGATTTCGTGTTGGTGCCCGCTCCACAGTTTCCGAGAGCTCGCTGGCCCACCAACTCCAATCTCAGACGACGATTAGTGGTAGGCAGGAGCTCGCTGCACGAGCCAAGGGCGGCCCTGCGTCGACGGCAGGGGTGTGCACAAAGTTAGGTTTCGGCCAAACCGCAGGAAGCGCTGTGGCCTGATGATGCTGGACTTTAGCGTTGCTTCTGGGCACGAACGAGCTGCAACGGGTAGCTCTGCAGCATCTAGTGCAGCTAAGCAAGATCGGGCACATTTTTAGGAACAATTTTCATCCCAAAAATTTACCTTCGTATAAAAACTGAAACTACTTCTGGGCGCTACCTAGCTCTGTACGCGAGCTTGTCTGGGTATTTTGCATCCTTTCTTCCTGCGTTTTTGCGCGTTCATGTTTCATTTCTCAGGCACAACCAATACACCCTGTTGCTTCCTCGTATTACAGCGGCTGTGTGGGCTGCGGGGGGTGGGGTTGAAATCCTAGCTAGACGGAAGGCGTGCACACATAATTTTAAAGACCCGCCTGGGAAATGGAGAATTACGTCACTGGAGTGAAGCACTGCGGGACAGCACCTGCCAGAAGCAGGATGGAAGGCATCTAGAGCTAGAGCTTGCAAACAATGTCGAGCATTCCATAGTAGTGTCGGAGAGCTTTAAATACAAATATTTTCCGGCTCTTTTTTACCTCCATATTTGCGTCTTCCGCTCAACCCTCTGATCCGCAAAGTGACGTCCCACTACTCGTTTCCGAACCAGCGACGACCGCTTCAGCTCCCATTGACACTTTGCACTTTCAGGTGTTAAAGTTTAAACCATGCTGCGACGCGCGCAACCGTTTCCGGGCGGTTCCCGAGGGCTGCATCTTGCCAGCCAAGCTCCGCGAGTACAATTGCGGTTCCAACTATCCCCCTTTTCCTCGCGAACTTCCTCAAGCCTGCGATTGGCATCTATTGCGCCGCGGCGCGCAACGGCGGCCCGCCCAATAACACCCCCGACGCTGCATATAACCTTCTCCTCCAAACCCCCTCTCCAGCCCAACACCCGCGATACGGAATTCGAGAAGGAGGGGGCCCAGAAGAAGCTCGAGGCTCACCCAGAACTCGTGTCATCTAAGTCGTCGGTTCGGTCTGTCGTCGAACAGAGCCAGGCTCCGCCTACAGCCGACCCGGACTTTGGAAAGGATCTCAAGTCCGATGTGGCATGTTGCCCCACATCAAACTCCCGATGCAGTATCGCAATAGTCTCGGGCCAGATTGCTAACTACGCTTGCAGAATGCCGTTATTGATACGTTTGCGCTGCAGATGGTGCCGAAAGAGCCCTTCGCTCTTGGCTTGGCTGGTACCTTGCCCTACCTGGCCACGTCTCTTTCCACTGTTTACCTTACCTGGGACATCAAGACCACATGGCCAACCGGGTCGACGATGCTCGACAGCTTCATGATCCCACATGAAGAGGCTGCCCGCTACCTGCAGCTTCTCGAGCCCATCCAGGTCGGCTACGGGGCTGTCATCATCTCGTTCCTCGGTGCCATCCACTGGGGGCTCGAGTACGCAGAGAAGGAGAAGGGCCACGCGCGGACCCGGTTCCGGTACGGCCTCGGTGTTCTCGCGCCGGCCCTGGCATGGCCTACCACGTTTATGCCCGTCGAGTGGGCACTGTCGACCCAGTTCCTGGCATTCACAATCCTGTACATGGCGGACACGCGCGCTGCGACGAAGGGGTGGGCGCCGACGTGGTACGGGTCCTACCGCTTTGTCCTGACTGCCGTGGTGGGCGCCGCCATTGTCATCAGCTTGATCGGGCGCACCCAGATCGACACGCACCACCCGCGCCTGACGCGGGCCGAGCTGGATGATTTGATGGGGCAACGAGCAGGCCCGAACAGGCCTCACCACAACTGGGCCAAGGAAGAAGCGGAGGAGAGAGAGAAGATCAAGCAAGAAAAGGAGAAGGAGGAGAGGAGGAAGAAGCAGGAGGAACGGGAAAGGAAGCGGGAGCAGAAGAACAAAGAGCAAAACGAGGCGAGCAAGGGGGATGATGGTGAGGACTCTGGCCACAAGAAGAAGCAACGGGGAGAAGACGGGGAGGATAACTCCGAGAAGGATGATAAGAAGCAGGAAGGTTGAGATGGAGATGCAAACCGGCGTTCAGCATCATTGACTCTGGAGTATGTCACGGCAGTGGACTCTCTTGGGATTTCGGCGTTTTGGTACTCAATTGGTTCGGATCAAGTTCATTTTGTTTGGGTCATGATAGCTCAGGGGTTGCGAGAGAATGACAGCACGTCCGGATGAAGTTGTTAATCAATTTCTCCACTTTCTGATTTCGGTCCCATATTCCATGGGGAGGCCGCAGGGCGAGTGGTCAGAGTGGCCACGCCTGCGTCGTGTTTTGTTTCGTTGCAGAAATGGCCGCATGCTGCGGCGTGACATCCCGCGGCCCTGGCTGCGGTCTCGATACGCCTGCCACCGGCCCCCCCCCCCCGATGACATGATTACTATTGCCTGGTCACCGTCTGCAAAGAACCTAATCAGCTATGAGGGAACCAACATCCTCTGCAAGAAAACAGAAAAACACAATGCAAGGGGAGAGAATGAGCGTTGAAAATGGCAGCTCACCAAGACCTAAGCAGCACGGGGACGGTCTCAACAGACTTCAGTCTTCCGATTTGGGAAGGTATCGGACAAAATCTTCTCAGCCGCAGGCCCCGCCTTGGCCGCAGTACAGGGGCTGTCATCTGAAGCTGATCAGATCACCAGGTAGACCGGCCGGCCTCGGGACGCCGGCCAAGAAGGCCGATCTCCCCGATGCTGATTAGCTTGTCGTCTCCGGATCATGGTACGACGCCTAAGGTCAATGTGTTTCTTCTTCGTGTTCCCTCACACAAAACACATAATATGGACGATAGCCCAGGCCGCGGTTCACGGTGTTCTTGGCATATTATGGGCCATGCAGTATATAAGAGGGAGAATTGCCTTGGGCTTTCTGACATCATGTAATAGCCATTTTAAATCCTGCAACGCCTCCCTCCCTCACTCGATCTGGTACCAAACAAATCCCCCTTGGGACGCTACATAAAATGCCTTTCATCTTACACTCCGTCCTTCTAGCTGCCGTCGCTTCGGCGTCGGTAGCCGTAGCCGAGGTCTTCAAGGTCACTCCCCACGAGCAATACTCGTCTTCGATCGGCGTGCTGGGGTGCAAGATCGACACGAACCGCGTGGCGTACTTCCCCACCGCTGTTGGCTGCAATAACATATGCATCAAGGTGTCGAGGGAGGGCCGCTCCCTGAACCTCCTGCGCATCGACCAGTCCCAGGGCGCGCACGACATCTCGTACGACGCCTGGAACTTCCTGATGACGGGGTCCAGCGCCAAGGACAAGCCAACCACGGGCGGCGGCGAGGACATGACAGTCGATGAGGTGGCGCCCGAGCAGTGCGCAAGCCTGATCAAGACGCCCGGCAACAAGCTGCCGCTGTCGGCGTCCAACAGCATGAACTACCTCACCAGCTGCCTCGCCCAGGCCTCCAGCTTCGTCGCCAAGAACCACGTGCTCATCAACATCCAGGATCCCCAATGCCACTTCGGCCATGACGAGGTGTGCGAACTCCCGCCCCCAGAAGTCAGCAACCAGGCCAAGTGCCCCAGCGTGCTAGGCACAGCAAACGGGAGGCTCCCGGACACTGTCTTCAATATCCAGGTCGGAACCGGCAAATCGGTTGCCGCCGCTTGATGAGCCACGCCACGAGAGTTGTTCCTTTATTTCATTATTCAGCGAGCCTAGCAAGGGGCCGGGGGATGCGGTCTATCCTGGCTTCATGTTTAGAATCACTCATTAGGTTTTGAATTTTATTTGATTACATGTCCGTCTCACGAGTTCCATCCGATGCTGATGTCCCGACTGTGAACCTGCCCGGTTCCAACGATAACTACCTAACTGGGTGAGGTAACTAATTACAGCAGAAGCTAGAATGCCAGCGTCTTTGCTGTGGCGGCATCGTCTCTGATGAAAATTCTACTTGACACGGATTTGATTCCATTCTGGCCTGCAATTCCGTGGATGCATGCACCCCAGTGACCGACCCCTTGATTAAGTGGGGCTACGTGTTTGAAAAAGAAAGGGGTCTGCCTCCAACCCAAACCTTCACCGAGAGAATGACAGCCATACGGAAAGAAATAGAGGAGAGACTGTGAAAGAATTACAGGAGGAAAGAAGAAAGAAGAAAGAAGAAAAGAAAGAAGAAAGAGGAAGAAAAGAAGAAGAAAGAAAGAAGAAGAGAGATAAAAAGAGAAAAAAATGCAAGGAAAAATAAGAGTGATGCTGTTGGGCTGCGCCTCGGGGAAAAGAGGGGGCCCGCACACAACCTGACTTTGGCCGGTTCCTCGAACGAAAAATAAAAAGTAGGAAAAGAAACAAGAGGATGATTTCCGAGCTAGATTACATTTGAGATACGAACAATGCGATTTTTTTAGGCCGCTTGGGCGGTTGGTTAGCCGGAAAATCCGAGAGGCGCCAAGACGACCGCGGCCGCCGCCGGCCAACAAGACCTCGGTGCCGCTAGCATGTGTCACTCATCCGATCCCCCTGACGGCCAACAACGCCGAGACCCAAATGTGCCGTTTGCTGAACTTGAAACACCAAAAAGCGGCGCAATGAACCCGAAGATGGACACGGAAATGTCAGCGCCCCGGGACTCCGCCCGGCCTGGCCGCACGAGCTGGCTGCTGACAATATTTTTTGTCATTTTTTTTTTCGTTTTAATTAGTAGCCGCCTACTGATCCCGTTCACCTCCCCGCTCCCGACTCTTGGATTTTCTGCCACCCTCCCTAATTGCTTCAATTTCTGCTGAGCGGGACGGCCAGTTTGATGAATCCAGCTCCGATCCGCGATCAGACCAGTATATAATATCCGGGCACCATCGTCCAAACCAACCATCCCGCCCGCCCAGTCGGCACTTTGACATTCTCATCTGCCACTCTCGGGACCGGCACTTAAAAGACGACAGACACCATGGGCCACGACGACGCCACGGGCGGCCCAGGGCCCCAAGGGTCGACGAAGCGGTGGGTGCTTGATTCGCGCGGCATAGGCAGCTTCAACACGTTCAAGCTGGTCGGCGTCAAGGGCGGAGATCACCCGTGGTCGTGCGTGACGCGCCATCACTGGGAGTGGCTTCACTTCCCCCGGCGGCGCATGGAGATGTTCTCCAAGGGGCACAAGTCGGGGTCGGAGCGGGTGGCGACCATCCGCCGAGCGCGGGGGCTCGGCAACTGGTGCCTCGTCATGACCGGCCTCGGCGCGTTCGCCACCGACCGCCGGTTCAAGATCGTGCTGCTCCCGTACGGCAAGGAGCGCAAGCGAGACGAGGTGACCATCATCATGCAGACCCAGAAACGAGACTTCTGGAAGGCGGCTTTCAGTTTCGGCGTCCACCTATACCACTTCGAGATGAATATCGGCAAAGGGGGGACGCCGCAAAAGTTTGAGTGGCGCGAGCAGAATGCCTTCCGCGGCGACGCTCACGAGGAGCTATACGCCACGCAGGACGTCCGTCATCCGGTGGTCTCGTCGGGTGGAAAGAAGAAACATCTCAACAGGATGGACGCCTTGCGCAAGACGACCGGCTGGGTGCTGGTCCGCATCCGCGGGCATTCTGCCACTGGCCCCACCAATAACATCGTCGGGTGGACTGACGACAAAGCCGAGATCGTCGCCACCTTCTGCCAGCCCGTCTCGTGGATCCCCTTCAAGGACGCGCTCCGCCGCGACAAGATGGTCTTCCAGTGGTGGGGCTCCGCAGTCCAGGGCGATCTTGCCTCCTCGCCCGACTTTATTCACGTCGCGGCGCTGACGGCCTGTGGGATCTGGGACGACGAGCAGCGCAGGTTAGCGGCAAAGAACAAGGGCGAGGAGTCATGAAATATGAAGGAGCGATCCACCGAGGAGGAAACGGTGTTCGGCATATGAGTTGGGGTATGAGTTGGGGTTTTTCTTTTTCAGATAATACTGGAGAGTTGTAACACCACACGGGCGCGCAGTTGAGAGGGCTTTGTTGTTCCCGGGGCGTCTTTCTTTCGTTGAATTAATTTCGTATCACTCATTTGAGAATGAGCTTTTACAGCACTTAACTACATACCTAATTTCAAGTGAGACTTCCACGGTGCTTATCACTAATCATCTTCCCCCTATTCGCTGCTAAAAACGGCACAATTTCATGCCAACAACTATCATCCACCATCCACCGCAACGCGAGATGAAATAGCACATGTTTCAGACCACAAATAGCTATAATGCTTCATGAGTCCAGAGTCGTGAACCAATTCCCATCAAATCGTTGACCGCGACCTAATACCCATCAAACGACTCACCAACTCCTCAGCCAGCATTTCCACCGCCAGACCCCAGCTCCGGATACTCTGGCATATTCCACTTGTACTTTGGCGGCCCCTGCAACCACGCCGCAATCTTATCAACGCGGGCCGCCATAGCCAGCCACGCGAGCCAGTGCAGCACGCTGATGCCCCACGCCGTGGCAGGCATAGCGAGCAGGGGGCCGGCAAAATGAGTCTCCTGCGAAGTCTTGATGAACGGCCGCAGCTCGCGCTCGTACGCGGCCAGCGCCGCAGGGACGCCTTGGCCGGGGCCATCATCACCGCCAGCGTCCGAACCGGCACCGCAGGCCTTTACCAGCTCGCCGGCAAGCACGCCCGCGCCGACAATGGCCACCGTGGTGCCTAGCCCCGACAGCGGCGAGGGGCAATATCCAGCATCGCCGAGCAGCACCACGCGGCCCTTGGACCAGGCCTCGGCGCGCACCTGGCCGAGCAGCTGCGTGTAAAAGTCATCGGCCACGGGGGAATGCAGCAGCGCGTCGAGGTAGCGCGGCAGCTGGGCGGTGGCTTCAGCCGCGGGCGCGAACAGGTCGGCCCACGCGCGCTTCTGCTCGGCGACGGAGCCGGTCTTGATGACGGCGTCGAGGCGGCGCGCGGCCACATCGCCGCCATCATCAGGCTTGCTGCCCAGGCTCAGGTACACGCGCAGCGAGTCGGGCGCGTCCTTGCGCGTGATGATCACCCGCCGCCCCGGCAGGTGCGTCGCGGTCGCCGCGACCGGGTCGCCCGCGCGCGCCGGGATCGAGAAGAAGGCGACCGCCCACCCCAGCGGCACGCGGACCGCGCGGTCGGCGGCGTCGCGGCTGCCGGCGTCGTCGTTGCTGTTGAGTTGGTTGCTGTTAAGTTGGTGTGCGTCGAGCAGCGGCATCAGCTGCCGCCGCACGCGCGAGCCAATGCCGTCGGCCCCGACGAGCACGTCGAACTCGTCGCCGGCGGCCGTGGCGGCGGGCGTACCCGCGCCGGGCCCGGAGAGACGCACACGCACGGCGTCGGGCGTCTGCGTGAAGCTCGCGACGGTGCAGTCGAAGACGTAGCGCACGGCGTGGGCGGTGGTGGCGGCGGCGGCGAGGGTGCCGTCGTACAGGATCTCGCACAGGTCGCCGCGCATGATCTCGAACTCGCTCGAGAAGCTCTGGCGGCCCGAGCCCGACGTGTTGGCGGCGAAGTAGGCGACGCGGCGGCCGGCGCGGCCGCGCAGCTCGATGCCCGGCTCGTGCACCACGCGCGCCCGCACCGCGTCGAAGATGCCCAGCCGCCGCACCGCGTCGATGCCTTGGTCGCGCAGGTCGATCTGCTGCCCGTTGGACCGCAGCGTCGCGTGCTTCTCCACGATGGTGATGTCGCACTCGAGCGCCGCCGGCGAGATCCGCGACAGCCACAGGGCCAGCGCTGGGCCGGCGATGCCGCCGCCGCTGATGAGCACGCGCAGAGGCCGCCGTCGAGGGGCTGCCATGGCTGGTGCTTGTCGGTTTGCCCGACTAAAAGACGTGTCTTGGTCAAAGATGCAGGGCTGGTATCAAGTGTGTTCCCGAGAGCTGCTCCGTGAAATAGCCACGAGATCGAAACGCGAGGACGCTGCCGGCAGGACGTCTATCCTTTTCATAACGTCGAAGCAGAGCCGGGCTCGTGTGGCTCATGTTATCCCCGAGTCGCTCCGAGTCGCTCCGAGATTGCCTGTGTCGTGGACACAGAAAGGATGCTGCTGGCAATTCGGTAGTCGTCAGCTCGTGTAAATGAGCAAGCCACATTTGGCTGCCGCGCAAGACGGAGACGTCACGGCCCCTCAGATTCATGGGGTGGTAATCTGCTGTCGCGTACCAGCGGCGAGCCTCGCTTCGATCTCATGATATATCACGCTAATTTGTCGACTAACTTGTGATTCGTGAAGTTTCTCGGTTTCTTCTGCATGGCGGCACGAGAGGGCCTGCAGTGGGACGCTGGCGCGGCCCGTTGGCCATGTATGCTTGCACATGCGTACCCCGCGAACCTGAATGCCTCCGTCCCCGGCATCTGATAGCAGGTCTGCCGGCGCGGGGACGACGGGTTCGGCTCCTCGCGTTGATTGTTTGACCCGGCTGGCACGCTGCCTTCGCTCGCGACTCGGTGTCAGGGACAGGCCGAGCCTCTCCCTCCCAGGAGTTCCTCCCAGGAGGTTGTATCTGGTGGTTTGGTGCGACCATGATTATCCCCGCGCTCCCTCCGACATCTCCCAAGCGGCGTAAGTTAGGTGCTTGGCCCCCAACTCAAAGAGTCCCAAAGCCCCAAAGCTGTTTGTGATGTGAGGGTTTGACATCCGTCGCGGTCAGCAGCTGGAGGTTATTTCGACGACACGGTCTTAGCCGCGACTGGAACAAGGAAGAGACTGAATAGCAGGGGTCGGGATGATTATTGAGAGAAGGCTCTCCCATCGTCACTTTTCGTGTCTCTGGATATCAAGCCGAGTGGGCTGCTAAGTAGGCTTCTGGCTGCCAGTCGCGCTGGTGGAATGAAACGTAGCGCTCCATGTTCAAATCCAAAGTCGCGATGTGACCACGAATATAACTCTGGTGGATGACAGGCAATTAAAGATTAATTCTCCCATGATTTCCAGCCCTGCCACGACAAAAATATTTGTTTGCTGCATTTGGCGCAGCTTACTTATCAAAGGGCGCCAAGGAGTTACGACAGGGGCCGCCTGGGGGCGAAAGAGATGGTCGCAAGGCCAACATGCTTGGATGCAAGGGCACAACGCCAGGTGAGACACAAAATGGAAAGTGCCATCCATCTTGAGATGCAAGGGAGAAAGTGCGCGCCCGTTGAAATGTCTCACTGAAATGGATGCCATTTCGTGCTGACAGGGGCATTCGGCACTTCCCGGTGGTGAAACATTTCTTCGATTTTAAGTGCTTTAAATTTGGTGGGCCTAACGGCGCGCTAGGATGCGCGATCCGCGTTCGCCATGCCAAGACAAATTTTTAAACTTCGCTTTTCTCCGTCCCTCTCTGGTTAACGGAATAGATCCTCACTACTTGACCAATAAGGGCAGCAATGTGCACAGTCTTTGATGCCGAAAAGGGAAGCGGTGACGTGTCGATTGGCGTGTTGGTGGTCTCCCCTGCCCATCCACTGCAGCCCCACCCTTTTTTACTGACTGCCATGCCGATGCCCACCCAAAAGACGTTCAAAGTCGAAGCTCCATTTTGAGTTTACCTGTCCACGCGTCCGGCTTCAAGGTGCAAAGTCTCACTCCTTGCCAGCCATCGACGCCAGGCACAAAGTCATTTGGGGCCTCACGCGAACAACAAGCAAACCCCTTATTCCGGGTCCCAGCCAAGTAAGGCACTTCCTATGTACGTGTAATTACTGATTGCCTGTACCCTCCTCTGGCAGTGCCGGCTGCGCTGCTCCGGGGCTCCCATCTGTACACGGATTCGAGGTACCGAGTATTCGTACATACTCAGCAGTAGTGGGCACAGTGCTGTATAAACAGAAATGAATGCATGCTCCATCCCATGAAGCGTCGTCATGCTGCACTCAGACAGCTCCCACCCCGTTCTCACATCCCACTCAGACCGGACTAGCTGCACTGCAGTCACACTCACCACTCCCCGACAGCCTTGGCTCCTTGGCTGCCTTCCTTCTCACAGCAGCCAAATCCAGATTCCAGGTCCGTCTCCCCTGCAAACCTACCCTGCTGCACTGCACCTGCAAGCCGGCGCGGGACCTGGCCTAGCGCAGTCAGCACAGCCCGACCGACGCACTGGTGCCCTTTCGTCTTTCGCGGCAGCCTGCTCCTTACTAGTACTTTCCCTTTCCGCGTCACCAGTCACCGTACTTGATCACCGCACTTGAGCACCACGCGCGCACCTTCCTCACCCCCGACACCCTTTCACAGCGAGGCTGACCGAGCTATGCGGGCGGTTCGGGCCGCACACCAATTGTCATCATGTTGATTACCATGCCGAACCTGCGGCAGCTGTCCGTCATCGCCATTTCACTCGTGTCGTTTGCGCTGCTGTTCGGCGCCCTCCCCAACCTGTTCCACGAGGACGAGAAGTCCAAGCCGCCACAGGCCCCGCAGCGCCCTCCCGGCCCCAGGTACAAGCCGACGCCGACGTGGACCCCGCCGCCCGTCAAGAACAACTTCCCCTCGCTGGCCACGTCGACCCCGCCGCCCATCCCCAAGTGGAACGTCGCGCGCAAGGACGTGCACAAAGAGTACGACCTCGACGTGGCGCCGCCACTACTAATCGGTTTCACGCGCAGCTGGCCCATCCTCCTACAGGCCGTCGTCGCCTACATCACGGCGGGGTGGCCGGCCGACCAGATCTACGTCGTCGAGAACACGGGCGTGCAGCAGGCCAACGCGCGCGGGCAGCTGTCGCTCCAGAACCAGTTCCACCTCAACCACACGACGCTCAAGACGCTGGGCGTCAACGTGGTCACGACGCCGACACTGCTCAGCTTCGCCCAGCTGCAGAACTTCTACCTCTCTCTGACCTACGCCCACGGCTGGCCATATTACTTCTGGAGCCACATGGACGTGCTGCCCATGTCGTTCGAGGATGGCTTCGCCGGCAAGACACCCAAGTACAGCGACGCGGGCTACAAGAGCATCTACACGCTGGCGCTCGAGGCGCTGCGCGACGCGCGCGCCAACTCGCCGCGCTGGGCCATCCGCTTCTTCGCCTACGACCACCTGGCGCTGGTCAACCCGGCCGCCTTCGAGGACGTCGGCGGCTGGGACACGCTGATCCCCTACTACATCACCGACTGCGACATGCACTCGCGCCTGGGCATGCGCAACTGGACCATGGCCGACGCCAAGGCCGGCATCATCACTGATGTCAGCGTCGCCCTCGACGACCTACTCGTCCTGTACCGCGTCGACGACATCGAGCCCTCCTTCTCCGACCCCAACCCGCCGCCGCCCAAGCCCCCCAAGCCAGAGGAGGGAGACGACAAGGAGAAGCCCGCCAAGGACAAGAGGGCGGCAGCAGAAGACGAACTCGCCGTCCCGCTACCCGGCCGCCGCCGCTCGTCGCCTCGCGCGCAGCGACTGCCGCCATCGGCAATGCTAGACGCGCGTGCCCGCGTGGCAGCATACCGCCCCATCTCTGAACCCGAAGCCGAACCCGAAGACAAGGCCGACAGCGTGCTCTCGCGCCGCGACGGCGACGACGACAAAAAACAAGACGAGAACTACCGGCGGTGGCGGCACATCGTGACGACGGCCGACGAGATGTACATGTACAAGCACGGGGAGCGGGGGCGCAACACGTGGCAGTCGGGCCAGCGCGGCGGGCACGGCGAGCCGTTTTACTATGATGCCGCCGGGCTCGCCGACGCCATCGAGCTGCTGACCGAGACGGGCCGCGAGGTGTTCCGCCGCAAGTGGGGCCACCGCGACTGCGACCTCGCGTCTGGCGCGAAGTTGAAGTTTGATGACCAGTGGCGGGTCGAGAAGGACTGGGAGTGAGTGGCTGGCTGGTGGGGGTTTGAGGGAGTGAGTGGAGTGGAGAGAGAGGTGGGCTGACCGCTTGTCTTCTCTTTCTCGTTCCACTTCTTGCTTCCCGCTTGGTTTTCTTCTCTGTCCGTTTCCGCGGCGCTGGTTATTTGATGCATGGTTGGTTTGGTACACGTTTTTTTTTTTACTACTACGATTGGAGTCTGGACTAGACTGGACTGGACTGGACTGGGCTGGGCTGGGCTGGACTGGATTGGGCTGGACTGGACTGGACTGGACTGGATTGTTATGATGAGAGGATAAAGAAAAGGGCGGGGGACAGGCGGGAAAGAGGTTGCCCGCCCACTTCTTGTCATGTGGCAACTACCACATGTGGGTGGGTTGGTTGGCAAGAACGGGTTTTGTATACTACTACTACACAGCGACTACAGTACCGGCGGTACCTGGTATTTATCCGCGACGCATACTTGGTATCTATCCGCGACGCAACGCGAGACGGGCAGACCGGCTTTGGCTTGGCGTTGGTCGACAGACACCCTCACATATATCTTTTGAGGGGACATCTTGTGTTGTTGGTTGGGGAACGGGCGCTCTCGGTTACGGTATTATCATTATTATCATAATCATACACGCACACACGACACTCCAGGCTACAGACAGTATCTCTGTATGGCTTACGAGATGCGGCGAGCACGGTGTTGGCGGACTGGGTAGATAGGTGCTGGGTAGGTAGGTAATCAACACGCGAATAGGCGTCTTTATATGAATAATAGCATATGATATTGCATCACAAAGCCGCTTAACTGGGTCCATTTTGGTGTGTGTAGTGAGTAATTGTAAGGCATTTCACTTTGGTGATAGATCTAACAGTAGAAGTCCCTCTGCGAGCAGACGAAACAAAGCACATCATAAAGCCAACTTCACGTGCTGCCCTCGGAAAATCAAGGATGGGTGAGGGTGGAGGCGCTTGGTTTATTTCTTGCCCTCTGGGTTGGCTTCGACACGCCGGCGGCCGCTGCCTGTTTTTCTTGGCTAATTCGGTGTTTGGAGATGCTATGAACTTCAGAGTTCACATTCATAGGGTGGTGTGAGATAAGGTATTTCGGTAGAAGCAGTAGATTGCGCGTCCCAATAATCACTGCTAGGTTCTGAGAAGTCCATCGAAGGCGATGGTGGTGCAGGCGGCGATGGAACATATCTGCGCTGAGGAATAGGACGAATAATCTCGGGCTCTTTCACTGGCGGCGGCATATTCCTCATCCACGCATTGAACGCCAGCGACAGGACTTCGCCCGCCACAAGCTTGAAGCTCGTGTCGTTTGCGTCCACGTACTGCGTGAGCGTGCAGTGGTTTTTCTCCTGCAGCTCCATCTTATGTTCTTTGTAGATGCCGATACCAGCAGCGTGGTCCGGGACGACCTATGACGGACACGGCGGGTCAGATATCAGATGCGGACTCGCTGTCGAGCAAAGGAGCTGGCTTACCATGACGCCGTTGACTGGCGTCGTCTCGGAGAAGTTCCGGACCTCGATCGCTGGGCCCGTTGCATGTTTCAGCCACTCCCGTGTGACCCGATTCAGTTCTCTCCAGCCCGCCTTCACTCGCTTGCCCCAGTCCTTGCGGCCGAAGTGGCCCATACCGTATGCTCTGGCACAGTTCATTGCGACTTCTTTCCAGAAAGCTTCGCCAAAGCCGAAGTGGGGCGTTCCGAGGAACACGACGCCCTCTATTTTCTTTTGCGCCTCAACCATGCACGGGTACAACTCATTTTCCGCCAGCATGATTGCCTGCTAGCAGAATTAGACGCATGTACATTGACAGATATAGGGGCCGAGGTAGGGGGCGGGCATCAGAGAACGGTATCTGCTCCATCGATAGCAGTGTATAAAGCGTGGATGGTTGGTCAAAGCAGGGATTCATACCTTCTTGACAAGGATCCCCCCAAAGCTGTGAGCCACAAACACTATGGGCCGAGATTTCTGTTTCGGGAATTGCCGTTTGGCGGAAATCTCTGCGAGCAGCCGCTTTGCTGCGGCGACCAGGACCGTCTCTGGGTTTTCCGAGACCGTGTTGAACGTGAATGCCCATTCGGCTGGGTACCTGTATGACCAGATCGAGGCTAGGATTCCCCCTGATATAATGAAATCGGGGAGTAGCTTCTTGGGCTAGAGTTTTCCGTGTTTTGTCTTCTAGGTGTTAGCGTCGGCATGCAATCCGTGAACAAAGATTATGCTGAACAATAATTACAACGGTGTTGGTTAGTATGAGTTGAGCAACTTGCGGGGGCCATCTTGCTGAGAAGATGTGCATTCTTACTCGGTGACTGGGCCATCAAAGACACCAGGTGGGAGATTTTGACCTGCGTTTATATTCGCTGCTTGGCTGAGGCGCTCTAGCCCAAACTGGGAAGGAGGTGCCGGAGCCGGTTCTGGGCTGGCGTTGGGAGCGCCTTGGCCATCTTTCTTCTCAGATATGTTCCTCAAGAAGCGAGGCTCGGCTTTCAGTAGGTGAAGAAGCGTGTAATTGGATTTGATCGGAGTGCTGTGATCGGAGTGCTGTGATCGGAGTGCTGTGATCGGTGAGAAGGGAGCAGTGGGGAATCACGTTCGGCAACAAGCGCGGCGAGTTTTGACTGGAGTATTTGAGAACGAATTATTTTGTTCAAGACTCATAGCTATCAAGGGGCAGGAGTCACGCGGTTGTTTGCTTCTCGGTTGTCACGCCATCTGCCATGAGATCGAAAGCCTCGCCCGTATCGGACTGCCATTATCACAATATTATCAGATGTTTGGCCAGTTTGGCCAGATTGGCCAGATTGGCTAGAACATAAGTATTCTGCATCAGGCGCTCTTGCTAACGCAATATTGCGAGTATGATGTTAGTCTAGTTGGTCACGGATACGATTGCAAATGGCGGTTCTATCTGGCTAGCATTCCAAAGAAAACTATGCGGGAGAGCCCCCTAAATCAACTTGATAACACCTGAACGTTCGGTACTTACTGGCTATGCTTGCCCTTCGAGCCTCAATGATGTTATCGCAGCCTGCAGAGCAACAACACCAGAGCCTATAAACAGTGGTTTCATTAATACTCATACACCAAGTCTAGATTGGAAGTCACTCATGACTTGAAATCCCCGAACCTAATTGTCATATCTGTCTAGAGAGCCAGACATTGTGGCCTGTTTGACTCTGTAGCCACGAGGCTGCTCGACTTGCAAGTTTTTTTTTTATTTAGAAAAGAGATGAGGCCGGATGGCTCATCGTGCGATGCGTACCTCTAATATTAATTTCCTCAAAATAGGACAATCATATCATATAATTCTAGTAAATACCTACCCTAGAATGAGATGAAACCAAAATGAAGAAAGCTAAACACTGGGATATATGACCGAGACCTAATTAGTTACAGTCCAGTGTTCCAGGGTAGTTAGAAACCATTATGCAACAGTCAAATCCCTATTCCTTCCCTCAACACACGCTACACTCATTGTGTGCCCAGGGCAGAGCAAACGAACTTCGAAACGTCTTTGCACAATTCGGGACAGAGCGGAACACCCTGTGACGTATCGAGGCTAAGCAAACAAGGCACAAAACAAACCGTGCAACGAACGCCGTCTGAAGAAGGAAAGAGAAGTGCACTGTCATCCGAATACCTGGAACTGACGATGCAAGAAAAAACATGGCAATCACATACGGGCGAAAAATAAAACCACATTTCAGTGTTGCGAATACTACTCCCCGGAAAGATATCGTGACGTCATTTTAGTCTCCGAAGCCGCTCGCTGCGCTGCACCTCAGCGGGGCGACATCCATGATGTGCAGCGGAAACAGCAGCCAGCGCGCGCCAGCCAGGGTCCTGGTGCATTTGCATTTGCATTTGCATTTGCCTGCCGGCCGCTTTGCAAAAAAAAAAAAAAACTCTCAAAACGGGCAACTTATCGACTCTCTTTCGGGGCGCGGGATCGTCGGCAGCGTCTTTTTTTTTCTGGTTGAATGCTGTCGTTTACGCAATGCAGGCATCATGTTATGTTGACTAGAAGTGATAGGATTTCACCTAGGTCCCTTTCCGATTCTTCAGCACGCAAAACAAGCACCGGCAGAAGCTTTCCTGGAATGCCCCCCACCCCAACCCCGGGCCCTGGCTACTTATTCACTGGATAGGAGGCCGAGGAAAAGCAACGAACGGGAGTGGGATTGGATAGATCGGCAGTGGATTTGGCTGATCACGCCACGATCACCGATGGCCCGCCGCCGTTCGGCCGCTAACCCAACTTTACGATGATGGGGGACTTCCCGCTTCCGCTTGCGGCGTACCGTACCTACCGACATCACATCACGACATTGTTGTCTTGTACAGGCAGGTCGTGTCCATCTGGGCGGTTTCTGTCTGCAAGTTGCTGGAGTTATTTTGGCAGGTACTGTCATAGGTACCTACCTATCGGTACTCCGTATCTCACAGAAACCGCTGCCACCCGTGATCGACTTGGGCTCGTCGCAGGTAGGTGTTTGTTCCCCAGCCTGCATTCGGTAGAGTGGCAGGTCGGGAAAACGGCGCCGCGTGACTCGCGACCTCGGCAAACGCAAGCGATTTATTTCGGCGTGGCTTATTTTTAGGACGGACACGGGATGAGTCTTTGCGGCTTGTTGGTGGTTGCGGAGGCTGGTAGAGGGTGGAGGAGGGGAGGGGTCGGGAATTGCATCACAGCCCGTAGAGCGGGGCCGGGCGCTCACCTCTTGACTGCTTATGCGTATGCGTGACATCTCGGCAAAGAGGCGGTCAAAAAGGTAATAATGACGGATGCACGACAATGCGACCTGTCATCGAGTTCCAAATCCTCACCGTTTACGCTTCAGCGACACAACCAGAAGTCCTTTGGGGTCCGGCTAGAGGCGGACCTGCTCGTGGGTGTTGAAGACAGACGTCCCTAGACCCTGTTTACTCCGGCAATCGATCCCCGCGGATTCGTAGAGTAGAGGAAAGTCGCTAAACAAGGAAACAAACGATTTCATCGTTGACGATGCAATCCGCAATCCGAAGGGATCCGGGATCTCCTTTTCGGGAAGGACGCAAGATTATGTGCAGCGGTTGATGGGCTTCCGCTCATGCCGAAACGGTGCTTTTGGAGAATGGCTCCGTTTTTGGCATCAGCCCTACCGCAGCTAGCTCCAAATTGAAGATCGGGAATTATCGCTGCTGCATAGCCCCGAAGCGTGAGCATCGTTGAACCGAGTGAGAATGATAAAAAATAGTCTAATCGCTGTATAATGCAGTATCGAGTGCCAAAAAACCTCAGATTTGGTGTCCTGTTTTCTTAAGAAACCCCTCATTCGGTTTTCCTTACGCTACAACCATCAATTAATCGCCACGCTTGTCTAGTATTCTATACTCCGCGTAGCAACGTATAGCTCAGAAATGCGTAGTAGCACTTGTTCCATTCACGAGCTCTTCCTTCTTCAGGCGCGCAGCCTCGATCATCTTGTCAAGGCACCCGGAGCTCGCCGCAATGAAGCCGAGAAACTAGATCTTAGTCAGTTTAGGAGCCAAGAAGGCTAGAGTTGGGGACCGTCTTACCGGAGGCGATGGGTCTAGCACCTTGCTGGTGAATTCGGGATGGGCTTGCACTCTGAGACAAGTTAGCAACCGCCACAACTTCCAATGGGCTGGTTCTGCTGCTTACGCGACAAAGAATGGGTGGTCCTTTAACTCGATTGACTCGACTCGAACGCCGTGATCGTCCATGGCAGTCAAAGTAAGACCGGCCTTATCGAGCTCCTCGATGTATTCGGGGTTGACCTCGTAGCGGTGCCTGTGACGCTCTTCAAAGACCTCAACGCCTCCGTACATGGCGCGAAGCTTGCTCCATTCTGTGCCGGGCTTGAAGTGGGACGCCCTGGTGCCGAGTCTCATTGTGCCGCCCATTTGCCTGTGAACCTGTGTTAGCTCTTATCATCCACCGTACATCTCGGCAGCTTGGGTTCGCTTACTCTTTGGATCCCTCCGGCATGAAGATGATGACGCGGTTCTCTGCGGTAGCCGATATCTCTTCAGATGTTGCGTTTTTATATCCCAGCTTGTTGCGGGCGTACTCCATGACGGCTACTTGCATGCCGAGGCAGAGTCCGAGGAACGGGACATTGCGCTCCCGAGCCCATTTGGTGACGTCAATCATGCCTTCAATGCCTCTCGACCCAAATCCTCCGGGAACGACTTTGATTTTGATTGTCAGCTTTTTCAACCACAACTCGACCACTCGTACAAGGTCGTTTGAAAGGGAAACGGTATTGACACTTACCTATTCCCTGTGCCTCACAAACAGCCTTCCAGGCGTTGTGGTACTTGGTGGGGTCCTTCTGCTGCATGTCGTGTTCCAGAAACTCCGAATCCACAGAAATGAGGTTCAGCTTGCGCTTGCATCGCATGGCCGAATGCTCGAGCGACTTCCGGACGCTTAGATAGGCGTCGTCGAGGTTGATGTACTTGCCCACCAAAACTATGTTGACGGGGTCAAGGTGCTTCTCGGGGATGACAGTCTTCTTCCAAAGCTCCCACAGCGCCTGGCCCTTTTGAACCCTAGCAGGTGACAGCTCAACCTGGTCGAGAGCTAGGCCTTTCTTCAACAGCTTGAGAAGGCCCTCTTCCTCGAGGAGGAGCGGAACTTGGTAGATGGTGTCCATGTTGCGAACGCCGATGACTTGCTCGTCTTCGACTTGGCAGCTCCTAGCTACCTTCTCGATGGTGGCCTCGTCAAGTTCCCGCTCGCAACGGCATGCAATCTGCATGCTTGTTAGCTGGCTCTGTTGCTTGGACGAAAGACGAATCGCGTGCTTACGGCATCAGGAATCAAACCCGCGCTTCTCATTTGCTTAACGGCATGTTGAGTTGGCTTGGTCTTCTCCTCTCCATTGATGATCGGGACGTATGACACGCCAATGCTGAGAAAGTTGTTTCGGCCTAGTCTATGTCTGAGCTGTACCAGCGCCTCGACGAACGGACCAGACTCAAGGTCGCTGCCAGGGTGTCAGCTGGACAATTCAAAGACAAGTTTCAACAGAACAGAAATGCCGGAAGGTTGCAATCAGCGCAGAAGAGCGGTAATGCTTACCCAACTGTGCCACCCTACAACATTAAGAGTCAGAAGACGCAATTCACGAGGATACCACGGAGGACATACCAACTCGACTAGGGAAAAGAAGTTAGCGTCTCTCCATTTCGCGCCGTGGCTGTCACAACATACCGATACAGATATCCGGCTCTTCGCCCGAATCATCTACCGGAATCTTGGCAACTCGCTCAATCCATTCCTGGATTGCATCGGTGATGTGGGGAACGACCTGGACCGTCTTGCCCAAGTAATCGCCCCGGCGCTCTCTATCCTGTAGGAAGCTTGTTAGCCGTCTCGTCATGCAGTACGCAGATGGCTTGCTGGGTTCGTACAATGACCAGCTTGTAGATTTTGCCTGTGGTCATGTTGCTCTCACGGCTGAGTTGAATACCGAGATATCTAACTATGCCGTTAGCAATGTTGCCGAGTCGAAAACTGGTACAGATAGACGTGGAGCCTACCTCTCATAGTTGCCGAGATCTAGATCCGTTTCTGTATCATGTCAGCGTTGGTCCGTAGCTTGGAGCCTCAAGTCGTCAGCATCTCACCTCCTCCATCGGCCAAGACGTAGCACTCTCCATGCCTAGACATTTGTTAGCAGAAGCCATATCAAAGGAGGCTGCAAAGCCTCACTCTAGCGGATTAAGAAGTCCTGCATCTGTGTTGATGTACGGATCTATTTTGAGCGCCTACGTGGTGTGGAGTCAGCAAGGTGGAAGCACAATACATGATTTTGAGGGCCATGGCGGGGTCATACTGTGACGCGGAGACCCAGGGTCTTAAGGAGAAGTCCAGCACTACTAGCTTTAACGAACGAAGGCCGTTAGTAAAACTGAAAGACCCAAGACTTGTCGAGTGCTGCTATACCGATAATGCCTATGGAACTTCAAGTCAGCGCGTCGATCCAGGCCAAATGTAGAAGGTGGAGTGGATGGAATTGGGGGTGGCTTTGTGCCCATATCCCATCTCGCAAGCAGCTGCAGCCACCAGCGGCAGCCCGCGACAGAGCAAGCCACGGCAAACAATGTCTAGCAGGGCGAGGAGCTCACCTTTGCCCACCCCGGAGATGACTCCGCCACTGACGAGTACCACACGCATCTTGACGGTCGCTGACTAGAATTGATTGATGGCGCTTTGGAAAGATGCTCGGTAGAATTCAGCGACGCGACGCAAAAAACTGATGCGCGTCGTCCAGCGAAGGAAAAAATTTCGACCCCACCACTGGAGCTCAAAGTCTCTGCTCCTGCAGTTCCAGATTGTTTGGGCACGGCGGGGCCGTCGCTGACTAAGGTGGCCCTTCCATCCTTCCTGGATCCATCCAAATTGGAGGCCAGGTTCGACCGGCCCAGGGACCTTATCTTATCAGCAGTCTCCAAGTCCCTCTCGTCTCTCCACCACTCAGGACTCAGCGCAACCCGAGTTTCTTTGGTACCAGAGCTACCCGACCAAACCATCGTGGCCAGTCTTGAACAATTTCAGGGCTGTCGACCGACACAATGCCAGAGCGCTGGCCGGCGCGAACGGCCCAGAAACACCCAGCAAAGTCCAGACCAGCCTCGCCATGCCGAAGCGCATGCACCACCAAGAGCTGGCATGCGGCCTTGGGGCCTGGATTGCGATAGAAGCATCGGCTTTCATCCAGGTGGTGTTCGCCAACCATCTTGGCTGGCTTCCTTGCTCATCGCTATCGCAGGCAACTCGCATATGAGACAAGCAATTGTCACGACGGTTAACCTGACCGGGCGGCCGTATTACTCAAGTAAGCACGAATCCTCTTCAACATGTTTGCTGCACCTGCGGGACCTTGCCGAGTTACGGATACGGATGCCCGGCTTGGCAGTCTTGGGCCCTTTTCAGCCCGCCCAAACTGCGCCCGCATCCTGCGCCCTGCAGGGTGGGCCTCAAATCATCAGAGCTCTAGGTTGCGTGCAGGACCCTTCGATGCCTAGTCGGAATGTTCTAGGGCCCAAAGGTGGTCAACGCAGAGCCTTAGGCATATTGTTCTCTTTGGGACGGGATACATGTTTGCATCATTTGTCCAGGTTCTGTTGCTGGAGGATCGAGCAGCGAGACAATCCTCCCGACAATCCTCCCGTCCGGCCTTGGCCATGCTATTAAGGTAATAACGGAATAACGGAGGTGCGTTGCAACGGAGACCTCGGTCCGTTTTCTCAGTCCTACACGGCGCACCGGGGAAAGACCTTGGCAGATGATATTTAAGCTTCTTCTCGCAGCCCGTGATGTCCTAGCTCGGATTTGAGATTCCGGAGTACTCCCCGGTCGCCAATCATGTCTCCTAGGTTAGTATCGGATGTAAAGTTATGTTCCCTCCTTCCCGTTTACTGTGTAGAGTGTTGCGCAGTTCAAAGAGATTCGTACGTGTGTAGGGACATTCGAGGTATTTGGCCAGGACTCTCCGTATCCGTAACGAACGCTGAGGCCTCATTGAGGACCGCCCACTGATAACCATGCACGACAGCCCTGCAGCTCGAAGCCGCCAGTCCACAACTTTCCACGCTGCTGGGCCCTGTTGGCTTGCGAATCGTCTGCCCGATGCTAGCTTCGGGGTACTCTACGGAGATCTACACCTACGGACAGAATAGTTCCTTGGTTTGTCGGCGAGGACTGGGGGACCAGGCTTTGTACTTCATCGCCCCGGAGTTTTTTGTGCGGGTGGTGGCGACAGGCGGCCGTGTCAATCAGGTACCGTTTTAGGGGAACCGCAACGCCGAAAGCGCGCCTCAGCAAAACGTCATTACCACCAAGATTCGCATGCATTTCGCCTGCCCCCCCTTCCCCCGACGGAGCACACTGGAGCAAGTTGACGCTCAGAGGGCTGGCTGGAATCTTGATGGCTGCCCAGCTAGGCGGTATCTATTTAATAGAGGCTTGTCCAGCCCGCCAACCGCTGCATCGACTTTAGCGTCTGATCGAACGTCAGCTGCGCCAACACCCACCCATCTCCATTGTCACGTCGTATTTGGCCGACCGACATCCGACGTCGACATCCGTTCCCGCCGTCGCCGTATCTCACTCGCTTCCACAGCCTCCAGGGAAAATCAGCTGAGGCGAATCGCCTTGGGCTGCCAGGAGCGCGCTGACACCGCTGGGCCCGAGTCTTAAACCGCCTAGCCCGCCGTCTGCTCGACCTGGCTCGACTTTTGGGCCCCTCCCAAGTCTCATCCATTTTTTGCGATCGGCCGGCACAGCAGTGGCCTTCTTGAAGGAGCAACCCCACCGCGCGGTCCGATTTTAGGGAAACCGAGAAGCACGCCTGGCACCTCGACCACCCCCCTATTGTTTCCGAGCTACCTAATTCGGCACAAACCCCGCGCCTGGCGACGACGTATTTGAGTTTGCCGAAACGCGACGGAGACCTGCACCCCGCGTTTCCATGCCGAAGCTTATGAACCGGAGACGCGCCTTGTCCAACCACCTGGGATCGATTTTAAATTCGCAGCAGAGCAGCCTGCCTCGGCTCGTAGGTGGTCGATAGGAATTGCGGAGGACGAAGCTCAGCTAGCGCTCGCAGCTAGGACGTCGCACTGCACGTCGCACGCTCTGCTCCCTGCCACTGCAAGAGACCACAGCACAGGAAGCTCCCCTCTCTCTTACGCGGCCTAACTTTGTGACCGCTGCCTTGCTTGCTTGGCCTTGCTTGCTGGCCAAGCTCCCGACGACTTGTGTCACCGACAGCCTGACCAACGCACCAAGACAAACAGCACATCCTTTCGCCTTATTTGTGGCAGCCCCACCCCCACCACAACTGACAGAGCTCTCCTCTCTTTCTTCTACTACAACAACAAAGAGGCTCTGCTGCTCTAGAAGGTGAAGAAGCATTCTTTCTTTGTCTGCCGAACGGACATCTTTCTGTCGCCCGCCTACTTGCCATCGACGTCGCGACTTTACACCGTCCCGTCTTCTCTCACGCCTACCAACACCATGTCTTCGCCCAAGAGCTCGCCGTCAGAGCGAGCCACCTCTCAGCCCTACACGCTCGTTCCCAACCTCCACGTTCCGGACCCGACGGTGCGCGAGATTGATCTGGGCAGCTACTCATGGATGATGGCCACAGTCATCGAGGACGATGACCTCATGTTTGGCGGCAAGCCGTTGAGCACCTGGTACGAGGAAGAGCGGAGGAGGCTCAGCAACGGCGGCAACAATGAGGAAGAGAGCCGCGGGAGACCACGGGAGCGATCCAGGATCGACAACACCCACCACTTACACGGGTGCAAGACAGCTGCAACAACAAAAGACGGCAAACAATAAAAGGCTGCTTGTCGGCTTTCTGCTTGTCGGCTTTCTGCTTGTCGGCTTTCTGCTTGCCGTCGCCCTCGCTGTTTTTATTTCTCCCCTCGATAATCTTTGGCGTCTACACCGGCGCCCCGGCCCGACCCGACCCGGCATTCCCACGGCATCTGGCATTCGCTGCACGGTTGCACAACAGCATTGTCACACCGAGACTCATCAGCGCACACTCTGACTGGCTCCTCCCCCCTCTTTTCAGGACCCTCCTCGCGAGCGAGGCAGGCCTAGCCGATGGAGCAACCTAGGCAGCAACCCAACCATACGCCGCCCACCAGCCGATCATATCCGTGTGCATCTTCATCTAATTTATTGGTCGCACCCGCTTCATACACCGCATAACATATTCGCACTTTTCGCATCACACAAGCTGGGAAAAGCATCTCTATCGTCTCACCGCAAGTCACCGACTAGAATCTCCCCATTTCGCCGTACGCTAGCTCTTACACACGCACACACAGACGGGCATATTAGATTAGGTTACACTACATCCGACGTCGGCATTTTCTTGGGGCTGGTCTAGGGAGGAGCTGCATTGCTTTCCTTTTTGTTTCTTTTTCTCTCTCGGCGTATGCAGGTTCTGCTTTGGGTGTTTGGCTGTCTGGGTCTGTGCGTCTCGACGCCTCGACTACCGCCGCTAGACGCCTTGAAGTGATCACACCTCGGTTTGATGGACAACAAACTCGGGAGCTTGCGATCTCGGCGTGCTAAACCATTCGCTTCGGACGGCAGCAGTCACACGCATACATACCCGCCGTCTACCATTGTCAATACCTTGTGATTTCGAGTACTTACACAGTCAGCGAACACATCTACATTGCTTCGTCTTTGGTTTCGTTGGATACTTACTCGGTATGATCTTACGACTCGGCATCGATGCCCTTTTTTTATTTCTTATTAGAGGGCGTGTCATTCTCACATTTGGGCTCAATGAACATACCAGAGTTCTTTCTCTTACACATTTTTGTGGATATCACTTACATGGGATATGGGATATGGGACATGGGGACTGATGGTCTTAGACTCATTGGGAGTGAGGGCTTTCTCATGGTTGACTAACTCATTGCTGGGCTTTTTGGCAGTCAGTCAGCGTTTTCATTTCTTTGGATGCATGTTCAGATGCTGGGACGATATAATGGTTAGAAGTCATGGGACAGGACAACTGGGAGGAAGGAACTCTTTTTTTTCTACGGATAACTAGCGACAGATGCATTCATGCGTTTCCTTGCCACGGTTCAAGTCTCGCACTATGTGTGTGTCTTCAAGGGACTGCTGAGCTGAATTGTATTGTGCGCATCGGGCATGACGTGTGGCTGCTATCATCATTGCGTTGGTTGTGTGTGTGAGGGACAGGTGCCCGACGCTGTGGCTATTATGCCGTGACTAGGCGAGCACATAATAGTCAGCATGAGCTAGCGCAGGTGAGTACCTTAGCAGCTTAGGTAGCTAGAGACCGCACGCCTTGAAACGGTGGTAGGGCTGCGTCAAGACTGCCGATGTGTCGAGCAAGCGCGCATTTTCATTTTCGACTACTGCTACTGCGGTTATTTGTTGTTGCGACAGCTTTGATGGGAGCCATCTAGTTACAACAGAACGGTCATGACGGAATAATTAAGAATTTAGTAATTAAGCTTGAGGCACACCCCATTGAGGCACCATTGAGGCACCATTGAGGCACACATCTGTAGGAGCTTTGTCGCCCGTTCAGTGAACGTCTAATGATTGTGCTTATATTTTGATTCGTGCTTGCATTGATTGAGCTACAGGATTGGTTGCGTTTTTCTCCTCAATTATCAAGTTTCATCGAGGACTGTGTTTTGAGTGCATACTGGAACACAAACGGCGACTAGCTCTCAACGGCGGCTAGCTCTCCTCCCACAACAATGTGCGAACGGTTGGACGTCAAGACAGGCTGCCTTGCTAGTGACGACGACAGTTGTCATTGATGCACTTTCTCAACCTGCATCAGGGTTCGTGGCAACGCGACATCACGCCACTTTTCTTCCGGCCAGGCCTGCATAACCCTAACCCAATCATGAAATTGCCCAACTGTGCCTGACCACCGCTGGGACCCCCTGGAACACGACGGCCTCGAGCTTTTCAGGCGACGTAAGAGATGCGGGCGGGGCAGCTCGGTCAAGGCAATTGCTCATTCTCACTGTTCCGTTTGACTTGCCCTTGTTTAGACAAGCAACAACACTCTGCACTCGAGACATGTTGGCCAGTAACAGGCCGCATTCCGTTGGCTGCAGCACGCACAGCACACGAAAACAACCATGACACTCTCGTTGCTCGCCCCACCTGCTGCGACCTAGGAGATAACCAACCCGACGCTGCAAATCGTCGAACCATAAATTTGGCATGCAGGGGACGGATCGCGAGCTCTTCATCCCGCCACCACTGGCACCAGCAGCAGCAGCAGAGCTCGCGCACCACCACGACCATCGCCGCTCCAAGATGGCGACCGGCGTAAGGGATCACCAACTCGAGATTGATCTAGAACAACAGCGCAACCGCGATGCAGCGGCCGACAAGGCGCCGGAGACAGCCCCGGCCGCCGTCGACCCCCACAACGCGCCCTGGCCCCGAAGAGACTCGGTGGCAACTTGCGCCCCGGCAGCGGCCGAGCTGGAGCCGCGTCTCGTCCTCGAGAAGGTGCCGACGTATATGCAGCCCAGCCTGCCATGGCGCGAGAGGCTCATGCACTTCACCTTTGCATGGTACACGTTAACGTACGTCTCTCCCGATTACCTCAAACAAACCCCCAGCTGACATGTCCCGTCCCCCCCCCCCCCCCCAATGAAGCATGTCGACAAGCGGCATTGCCCTGATCCTGGCCATAACCCCGCACCGCTTCCCGGGGCTGTCATACATTGGCCTCGTCATCTTCATCCTAGACCTCGTCTTCTTCGCCATCATCTCCGTCGCCCTGGTGCTGCGCTTTGTGCTGTACAAGCGCACCGTGCGGCGCGTCTTCACGCACCCGACCGAGGCGCTCTTCATCCCGACCCTGTTCCTGTCTGCCGCGGCCATCCTCACCAACATCAAGCAGTACACGGCGCTGTTCCTGCCGGCCGACGCCGGGCCGGCGTCCCCGGGCCTGTCCGGCTTCCTGCGCGTCACCTTCTGGATCTACCTCGCCGTGACCTTCGCCTTCTCCATCATCCAGTACCACCTGCTGTTCACCGTCAAGGCCGAGCGCCGCCTGACGCTCGGCGCCATGACGCCCGCCTGGATCCTGCCTATCTTCCCCGTCATGCTGACCGGCACGCTGGCCGGGTCCTTCTCCGACACGCAGCCCGCCGACCAGGCCCTCGCCATCGACTGCGCCGGCCTCGCCGCCCAAGGCCTCGGCATTTTGGTGTCCGTCTTCTTCTTCGCTACCTACCTCCACCGCCTCATGGCCTACGGGCTCCCCGTCCAACGCCCCGGCATGTTCATCGCCGTCGGCCCGCCGAGCTTCACCTGCGCCGCCCTCGTCGCCATGGCCGCCGACGTGCCGCGCATCTTCGCCGCGCTGTACCCGTCGCCGTCGTTGTCGCCGCCGTCGTACTCGGCGGCAGCGGCAGCACCCACCACCGCCGTCATCGCGTCGGCGCTGGCCGGGCTCGGCGACACGGACACGCTGGCCGCGGGGATCCAGCTGCTGGCGCTCAGCGCGGCCGTGTTCCTGTGGGGGCTGAGCTTCTGGTTCTTCGCGTCGGCGTCGGCGGCCGTGGCCGCCGCCGGCATGCCCGACGCGCGCTTCCACCTCAGCTGGTGGAGCTTCGTGTTCCCCAACGTCGGGTTCTGCATCGCTACCGTCCGCATCGGCGCCGCGCTGCACTCGGACGGTGTCCTCTGGCTTGCCTCTGTCATGACCGCGCTGCTGTTCCTCGCGTGGCTGGTTATCGGCTATCGCTGCGTCAGGGCCGTGTACCGCCGCGAGATCGTCTGGCCGGGGCATGATGAGGACTCGGATTGATGATGTCTTGTGTTTTTCTTTCTTAAGGGGGGGAGGGTTTTTTGGCGCCTGCTCTAATTAATTACTGGCTTCTCTCCGCAATGTGTGAGAGGTCATGCATGACAAAGTCCACGCTGCGCTATCTGCTAGTTTGTATTTGACTGGACATAGACTGGGTAGATTGGTTTCTCTTCTTTTCCGTGGGGTTTGATCTGGGGGCGTGGCTAGAACTAGACGGAATACGGCGGAATACGGCGCTCTAATTCTTTTTGATGATTATAATGACTCATTAGTTCTAATTAGACCAACGGGCAGGCAGCGCGCGTTGTGGACTTAGACGGGGCTTATTTCATGACCTGAATTTAAGAGCCTAGTTTTCTTGTTATTGTAAGTTCGTTGTGAACGTGTCGAGCAACGGCGGTGAACATGGTGAAGCCATCAACTGTATGTATGTAACTAACATCAACAAATAAAAAGCAAACAGACCCCTTAGCGGCCAGCACCGCGACCAGCACCGCGACCGGCAAAAGTATACGCATATTCGGATACCGGGAATCGAACCCGGGGCTAGTGAGTGAGAGTCACTGATGTTACCGTTACACCGTACCCGATTGATCTTGTTGTTCCTCAAGTCGTTTGTGCGACAGCGGAAGCTTGTTGGACTTGGGCTGCGCGGGTGGATATGTAAAGATAGATCACGTCTGTCACTTGCCCGGCCCGCCGGGTTCCTTGGCGAAGGCGGAACCCCCTGGACCCCTATTGTCTGACCTCTAGCTCTATTTGGTCCTGGTGATTCCCTACCATATCCCATTTGCAACATGTCTCTACAAACAAGAACTAGAACTCCAATGTCTAAAGACAGGAGAAGCCTGGGACTCTAATTCTAACCCCGGACTTAATTAGTATCTGGCCATCAAACCAGGCATTACAGCTTATCAAGAAACCGGGCTATCTTCGTGTACTGTACACGAACAACGCCAGACTTTCCACTTGATCAAGCCTTCCGCGAGCGGCCTGTCTTTGTGGGCGGTCGATTTTTCCGCTAGCCAAGTCTTCATCTTCCGCGGTAGTCTAGATATCTGTCGCCGCCAACGCCTCGAGTGTCTTCCGATGGGCTCGATTCCCGGTATTTCGCGTCGTCGCACACCAGCAAATTCCGAGCGGGACTCCGAGTCTGCCCCTGCCCGGCAACGCCAGCATGGCGCGCCTGATCATCATGCAGCCTGGCGCGCTCCTCTTGGACGAGCGCCTTGAGCACGGCGAGGTTGAGGCGGGCTGAGCCCGTGACGCGGTTCTGCGTGATATTGTGCGTCAGGACGACGCCGGCTACGGGCGGGATATCGATTGCCGGGCTGGAAGCGATGAAGTTGGCGACGGCGCGCAGGATGTCGAGGTCGTCGCGGTTCGTGTCGTTGAAGCCCGGCGTGTCTACGAGGATGAACTCGGTGGCATACCTGTCGAGGCGGCACGGGGTGTGCATACTGAGGTGTCTGTTGATTTTTCTGTCGGCTCGTGCCCAGTCTGTTAATTAACTAGGCGGAGAGGGAACGGCACCTACGTGACTCGATGCCATGGCTGACGATGTCGGCGTCCTGTCTCAGCCCGCGCGGCGCGGACATGAAGGTCGACTTGCCCGACCCGGAAGGTCCCAGGACGAGCAGACAGACTCGAAGCTTGGCGCCTTTCTTGCGCTGTCGGCGGCTGCTATTGTGCGGCACCTCGTGGCCTTTGCAGACGGCGGCTGCCCCGTCGAGCTGCAGGGCCAGGGCGAGCTCGCTGCCAACGGCGGCAAACTGGCCGAGACCGCCGCGGGCCGTCACCTCCACAGCGAGCTGGGCGAGACTATCAAGGAGGTCATCGGTAGGATCGCCGAGCTGCAGCGCAAGCGTCTTGCAAGGACTAACGAGATCAATAAGCTGCGCGCCCAGGTCGACAAGCTGGAGGAGGGCTTGAAGCGAATGCGCTAGTAACTGTCCGATATAGGGAATGGTTTCCGACTATTACAATTTGAGACACTTTCTCATTTGACTGACATTAAGTTGACCGCCGTAATTAGTTCTAATAGGAGAATTGTCCTATATAAGCCGTAAGTCGTTGAGTCCGCAGGGCGGCTTCTCCAAATCTAGTCATCAAGGGGGTGTAAACAAAGCGCTCGTCAGCTTCCCGTCAATCAGGCCGCTATCTTCCTTCAATCCCACAACGCCAATCCAATCAACAAAGCGAGCGAGCGAGCTTAACACACCCAGTCACTAAGCGATCTGCAAGCACTTCCATCCCCACCGCCCAATCCACGACATTAATCATCAATCATCAGAGACAGAAAGCGACAGCACAAACGAAGCCCGCGGCAAGGAGGCTGCTATAGGCGAGGAGGCTGCTGTAGAAGAGCGGGAGACTGCTGCTGCCGGCGCTGCTCTTGGTGGACGTGGACTGCGAGCCGGCGGCCGTACCAGTGCCCGTAGGCGGCGGCGTAGTCACAGCCGGGCTGCCGGTTCCCGGAGTGGTAGGCGCGGGCGTGGGCTTGCCGCCGGTCCCGAGGTCGCGCACGCAGCGCGAGTAGTTGTCGACGAAGATGGAGTAGCCTGTCTGGTCGCACCACGCAGACGCACATGGTCTGGTGGCCGGGTGGGTGTTGTTAGCTTCCCGGGGAGTCAATTGGACTTGCAACGGGCGTGCGCAGAGAGACTTACGACGCCGCAAGGTAGAAGCTGCAGATGCACTCCGTGTCGATGAGGGCCGTGGCCGAATCGGCATTGTTAGAGTGCAGCGAGCTGACGCAGTTCGTCTGGACGGCCGTGTAGGACAGCACGCAGGACTCATATGCCCTGTGGGAGTTGCGTTAGGCACGTCTAGTCAAGAGAGGCGCGGATGGTGTTTGGGACTTAATTACTCGGTTGCGGCCGCAACTTGCGGGCAGTGCGTGCCTAGAGGGCTGTTGTAGTTCTCCGTGTTGGTGGCCATGAGGTTCTGGGCTGCCGATAGGGGCACCAGGAGTGCCACGAGAGAGATGGCCCAGATGAGTTTGGCCATGATGCTGTGAGTTTCAGAGTCTGGCTGTTGCTGGGTGATGTGGAATGTGGAGATGGCGGTGGGGACGGAAGATGGAAAAAGAGAACGAAGCCAAGGAGACTTTGAGAATATATAGAAACCAACTTCTCTGAAAGCTGAGATGCGGCTCAGGCACCGCGGGGCGAAGCACAAAGCATAGCCGCGTGATGGCTTGGCCAGCGAATTCAGGTCTCTCGTATTGATTGGTTCGAGGCAGATTCGGCTGTTGGGCAAGTTGGTGGCGTCAGGGGGCACCCCCTATTGGCCGCCTGCCTCACCAAGCCTCCCGTCAGCTCTGCCAGCTCTCGGACATATATACGTAAGACACTACGGCTAGAAAATGCCAAGCAAGGCCAAGCAACGCGGGATTGGCCAAGACGTGTTTGCCTGGGGCACGACATGCACGATTACATGCCAACTCAACTCTCTTTGCGCTTTAAACCTTTGTGGCCAACACGTGTGACAGGTTGGGTTGAATTCAGGCACTGCTCCCGGCCACCGAGATTGAACCGCGGCTTTGTGGTGCGCTGCTTTTTTTTCTTCCAGTTGGCTGGAGGTGTGCGGCTATTACTAGCAGCCTGCTGGCACAGGGAGGTCCAGACCATGGCCCCGTTGGCCTGAAGGGCGCGAGTTTGCAAGCAGCAACGACACCCTTTGTTGTTCTCCTTCACCATCATTCAGTGTTATTGGACGCGAGATTGTGCCCAAGACGCCTGTAGCACTGATGCGATGCCAGTCCTTTGCTCTAGGAATTCCCCAAAACTCCCATTGATCACACCCATTCCGGGTCCCAGGCGACCCGCACTACCCTCACGGGTCACGATACCACCTCAGCGCCACATTCTATCGATCGAGATGCAGCTCGTCAGGGGGTGCAGCAGACCAAAACACGAGGCGGCAGGCCATGTCGGCAAGCCATGTCTATTTAGGGCTGCCAAAACCCGCGTTTCTCTGAAATTCTGCATACCATCATAACGTCTCTCGAAAGCACACAGAAATGTAGGCAAGGTGCTCGACTTGATCCTTTCACTCCCTATGCAGTGTCCTGCTCTCTCCCTATGCAGTGTCCTGCTCTCTCCCTATGCAATGTCCTGCTCTCTCCCTCTACGAACAAAAGGTCCATATATACGCAAATATCCCCCTTCAATTGTCGAGGGGAAATTAGGAATGGGTGTCTCGTTTTGGAAGTGCAACGGAACTAGGCTATAGAGTCAATAGACCGGCCAGACCGGCCAACTTTGGTGCCGTCGTCAGCTACTGACTCCATTGCCAACTCGAAACCCCTCACCGACATTGCCGCACGCAAGTCCCGTCCTTCGGAATCCGACATCGTCTCTCAATGGAGAGTCTGGCTGAGCATCATTGCTATTACCTCGCGCCGTTATCTCCTATCTTCACGGCTCCTAATCGGGAGGGGTTGGCGTTCGTGCTAGACTGGTTGCGAAGCAATGGCGTCTTGGCACAGCCCGAAAACCGGCCGGCCGGCATCTTCGGTTCTATTGTGGCCGCCGCACTGCGATTCCGCATCTGGAAGGCGGGCTTGGCTGCCTCGAACTAAGCACAGTACCGCAAAATACTGGGTGACTGACGGAAACGACTGGCTTGCAACGCTCCGGAAATTCAGTTGGTCATAGCATTTCTTGATATTCCACGCGGCAATCTTATCAGCTCCAAGACTTTGCCTCCGCTTTCGACGTCCATTAGGACTAGGAATAGATATTGGGGGTGTCCAGTCCTCGAGATGCCGGCCGAGATCAAGATCTGGGAGAAGCAGCCACACCGCTCGGATAGGATAGCACACCTGCAGTCAACACCTGTGATGGCTAATTATCCCTCTTGCAGCATGTCTCGGCTAGACGACCAACCTCCGCGTGTGATACGTGCATAGGACCGGGGAAACCCACGCCAGCGACGTGTGGCATCTGTTCCGCATGCTCGGAACCCGCCAAGACCAATGGAGGATATCGGATAGTCTTTACATTTGCTTTCAAAGCTGCCAAGACTGAAAAACGCCACGGAATCCCTCCCACGGCACCGGATAGGAGCGGAGATGCAGACGAAAACAGCGATGTCGTCATGCTTTGTCGACAGGACAAGGCTGGGAAGGATTCGGCGGGTTCTGAATCATCGTCAATAGACTGAGTTCCGGTGGAGATCGTCTGCGCTCTTATCTTTTGCTGCCAAGTAAATGCCTCCTCTGTGGTGCTTGGCGTTCGGCAAGCGCACCGACGCATTGGAGTTCTGTCAAGCAGGCTGCCCGCCACCACCTTGGTGAGACGTCCGGCCGGCTACTGCCTCTGCTGCTGAGCATATAAGCCCCCTACTCCTCGGCCCAGAGACTGAAGCTCCATCGCCATCCAGCATCCCTGACTGTCCAACATCCACGACAGTCCAACATCAACTCAACATGATAACCCAGTGCTTGCTGGCAGCCCTCGTGGCCACGGCCACGCCGGTGGCCGCTCGTCCCGACGCCGGATTTTGGCGCCGGGCCATGAGCTTCACCAACGGCACGACCCCCTGCGGCTTGTCTGACTCGGCCCCGACCGTCAAGGCTCCCAAGGCAAACCCGTGGTCCTCGATTTCTCCCGCCGATGCCAAGGCCGTCTACGAATTCGTACACGCCCCTGAAACCGGCCTCAACCTCACGGCATCGGAAAATGCGACCCTCACCGACAATTATGTCTGGTTCATCGACACCCTGAGTGAGTTGTGCCGGCCATTGCTTGATTCACGGGAGGAAGAAGCTGACCCATATTAGACACCAACAAGTCCCAGATTCTGCCCTACATTGACGGCAACGAGGCGGCGCCGCCAAAGTACGCCCGTGTCGTCATCTTCGAGGGCGGCAAGGCGGAGCCGGTTTCCCAAGAGTACATGGTCGGGCCGCTGCCGTTCTCGTCGGACACGACCATCCAGAAGTACGACTTCGCCTTCAACGGCGGCAAGGGCGGCCAGGTCCCCTACAACGGGCGGTACTTTGATGGAAAGCGCTCGGCCGCGGTCCAGCCGCTGCTGAAGGCGGTCATGACCGAGGTCGCCGACATCACCGTCGCCCTCTTCGACGGCGCGTACCTCGGGTCCGCCGACAAGGGCACCAACCTCACGGCAGCCAGCACCACGCCCACCTCGCGCGACGGCGAGACGGCCTACCTGACCTTCATGTTCCGCTACCCCGGGCTTGCATCCTACATGACGCCCATCGACCTCTTTGTGCTGCTGGACATCACGGGTACCGACGCGAGCAAGTACGCGCTCAAGGGCTACGTGACCAACGAGCGCTTCTTCGCGACGGCCTCGGAGCTGCGCGCGGCGTTCGACGCCGGCGAGCTGACGAGCGAGTTCCCGCAGACGCGCGACCAGACGTGGGCGCTGCTGGACCACAAGCCCGAGACGGGGGTGCGCGACCTCGAGGACCGCCTAGCGCCGCAGAGCATCGAGATCGGCGGCAAGCGGTACAAGGTCGACGTCGAGCAGCAGTACGTCGAGTACATGGGCTGGAGCTTCTACATGGCCTTCACGCGCACGCTGGGCCTGCAGTTCTACGACATCAAGTTCAAGGGCGACCGCGTGCTGTACGAGCTCACCCTGCAGGAGGCGGCGGCGCAGTACGCCGGCTTCCAGCCCAAAGCCGCCGGCACCGTCTACCACGACACGTACTACGCCTTCGGCACGTACTCGGCGACGCTGCTCGAGGGCTTCGACTGCCCGTTCGGCAGCACCATGCTCAACGCGACGTTCCCCGAGGGCCCCGGCAACACCGAGGTGCACCCCGACGCCATCTGCATCTTCGAGGCCGACGACGGGTTCCCGCTGGCACGGCACCGCAGCGGATCGGGCAACGCGTACGGCTTCGCCAACATCGCGTCCGTGAAGAGCACCACGCTGCACGCGCGCACCGTGGCCACGGTCGGCAACTACGACTACCTGTTCGACTACGCGTTCCACCTCGACGGGTCGCTCGACATCACGGCGCGCGCGTCGGGGTACCTGCAGAGCTCGCCGTACTACAAGAGCCAGGCCCGCTTCGGGTCGCGCATCTCGCAGGGCACGCAGGGCAGCTTCCACGACCACGTGCTGACGTACAAGGCCGACTTCGACGTGGCGGGGGCGTCCAACAGCCTCGAAGTCACGGAGCTGGTCGTGGTCAACCAGACGCAGCCGTGGTACCCGGAGCTGGGCAGCTTCGAGCAGATGGAGTACCGCACGTCCAACATGGCGACCGAGGCTCAGTTCAACTGGGCGGCCAACGGGCAGACCATGTACTGCGTCGTCAACAACAATGCGACCAACGCGTGGGGCGAGAAGCGCGGGTACCGGCTGGTGCCGGGGCGCAGCAACGTGCACCTAAGCATCCGAGACTCGCCCTTCACGCGCAAGTCGAGCAGCTTCCTCAAGTCGCACCTAGCCGTCACGCAGCAGCACGACACGGAGGTGTACGCCAACAGCTGGCAGAACGTCAACCTGGCCGAGGCGCCGCAGCACGACTTCCTCAAGTTTTTTGACGGGGAGAGCGTTGACGACACGGACCTGGTGGTGTGGTTCAACCTGGGCATGCACCACTTCACGCGGGCCGAGGACGTGCCCGTCACACTCTACACCGAGGCCGTCAGCAGCATCTCGTTTGCGCCGCACAACTTCAACGACCGCGCGCAGGAGGGCGACCTGCTCAACCGCCGCTGGATCGTGCCCGACGCCGACGGCGTGCTGGCCTACGACGACTACGGCGTCACCCTGCCCACCTGCCAGATCGAGCTGGACGAGCCCGCGACCAAGATCGAGCCGTGGGTCACCATCTGAGTTGGCAACGACGAGAGACGCAAGCTACTAGTCACGACCTTTGATGAATGGCCTGTTTATGGGTTCGGTGCAGGTGTGAAGTATGAATTATTGACGATCTGGGAGGGGGAGACGGCCGAGGAGGCATTAACTTGTATCAATGATTCGTGAAACTACCCGTAATTAGCTTCCCATTGTTGATAATAACCCACAGCCTCTCAGGTTCCGATACAATTGCCTTTTCTGTCCTGTGGATAACCGACTCTCCTCCCGCCCATCAGTACACGTAGATGAAGTCTTCATTCTTGACATCTGTCATGTCGCGCATGGCATTGTCCTCGTCGAGCGCTCTCTGGTTTCTGTTCGCGCCGCCCCCTTCAATCTCGACGGCCTTGCTGTTTTCCATCTGGTTCTTTGCTAGCATCGACTCGTCAACAAGTACCGCATCCTTCCCTAGCCTCTCGCGTTGCTTAGCGTGTTGACGGTTGAGAATGATGAGGTACAGGGGGATGAGTCTATCGTCAACAAGCCCGGCCGAGTTAGTAGTTAGTATGTCGTCAAGTCTCCAAGTCACAGAACGCGGGGAGGTGCACATACGCTGACAGCCCGCCCACCGTCACAAACATAATCAAAGCAGCAATAAGACCCGGCCGGTAGAGCGGCGCCTGGTCGGTCGAGAAGAGCAGCGGCCCAATGACGTTCCCGGTGCACATCCCTATGAACACCACGGCCGAGGTGCACTTCTTCTTGGTGTCTCCGCCCGTGTTCTGCGCCTGCCAGGCATAGATGAGCGGTGTGATCGCTGCAAGGCATGAGACCTAGAGAGCATCGTTCATCAGCAAGACATCACTCGACCTAGAGCTGCCAAGTAGCAGGTGTAACCCACCAAGTAGTAGCCAAACAGCAACACTCCCTTGTACGCGCGGGGAACTGTGAGCATCAGGATGGTCCCCACGGCCGGCAAGACGCTGACACCCGCAATCACGAGCCCTTTGCTCTGGAACCGGGTGGCGACCCAGCCGGACCCGATGATGACAATGATTTGGATGGCTCCGAACGGGATGTTGAACAGAATGGCCTCGAAGTTGGTGTATCCAAAGGACTTGACGATGAGGCTGCCAAAAGTGGAAATGCCGCCGCTGGCAATTCTAGTTATCGACACTATTAGTCGCGCCCCTCCAGTTAACAAGTGAAGGAGGGTGAAGACGTACGAAATGGCAACAATGATGACAAACCAGCACCACGTCTTCAAGTCCCACAGAGTCTCCCACACGTGGTCCCAGCGCCACTCTCTCGAAGCGACGCCCATCTGATTCGCCCGCAGCCTCTCGACGGCTATCACCTTCTCGCGATCCCTGAGGTACTTCGCTTCCATAGGCGAGTCCGGCATGAGGACAAATACGACAACCGAAAACAGGACCGTCAGGAGGCCGCAGAACATGAAGATAATCTGGTACTTGAACAGGCGCTCGCTCTGAATGTGGCCCAGGCCGTAGGTGAAGAGACTACCGACGATGGCCGTAACGCCATTCATGGCGTTCCAGTAGCTGTTGCGCATCGTCTGCTCGCCGCGGCGCCACCACATCTGCGTGATAGCGACGCAGCACGGCGCGATCATGGCCTCGAACGAGCCGAGCACGAAGCGGAGCCCCAGCAGCGACGGGAAGTTTGTGCACGACGACATGATGGCCAGCGCCGAGCCCCAGAGGAAGATGGCCGTGGCTAGCACCTTGCCCGTGGGCAGCTTCACGAGCACAAAGGCCGCCAGCGGCTGCATGACCAGCTGCGCTAGGTAGAGAATCGAGCCCAGCCACGAGTACTGCTGGCCCACGAGGTGCGCATCGTCGCTGATACCGAAGATGGAAACGTAGCTGTTTTAAAATCTGGTCAGCTTTCTTGAAGTAGAACTAGACAAGATTAATGTTGGTTGGTGTTGGGTTTCGTCGGCTGCTGCATACCTCAGAGAACTTTTGTCCAGCTGCTGGAAGAAGTACGCGCCCAGAATCAGGGGCAAGACTCGGCGGTCGATGCGGCCCACCACCGCCTTCTCCTCTTCGTACGTAAAAGAAGTGTCGTCCGAGCCGTGGCTGGCGAGGAAGTCTGTCGCCTTGTCGCGCAACCCGCTGGCCGCAGTCGCGTCACGGTCGGGAGCCGGCACGATCTCGTCCCACTCCTGCGCAGGAGCCCCTTTACCCGGAGAGGCCATGATACCGATGACGCCCTCTTGCTGCCCGGTGGCGTTGGGTGCGATAAGTGGTGCAATCAAAAGACAATGTTTGGATCAAAGTCAGAGCTGACTCCAACACGCGGAAGTTGGGTCGAAGATTGACTGGAGGAGCCACGGCAGGACATGGAGCTGCCCATGCTATGGCAATTGCCTTCGTAGGTATATCAGCCCGCACGCCTGCAGACGGGATTGCTGATCGCCATGGTCGGGCAAAAGAAAAGCAGGTGCATTCTGGCTCGGCAAGATATTGATTGCCAAGTGTGGATGAAATGCCAGAGGTGCAGATGTGGGTGCTGTTTCCCGGATCGATTATTTGGAGTTTGGAGCTAGAGCTTGACGGCGGCCATGATTGGGGGGACCAATTTAGCCTGTACTTGCCCACCTCGCAGATGGGACCGTCTCCAACCTGATGGGTGGCATTCTCTGGGAGTTGACGGGCGGGGAAGGTGCGAATGGGGGCCTACTGGCTGGTCTTCAGCCTGCGGCAACCACGACCAATCCCTTTGGACCTTCCCGCTGCGTGCCTCTCTAACTCTCTCGCATGGCGGGGAACCTCGAAGGACAGGACGCCGAACATGTCGTGCTTGCTAAGGTGGTCTTGCTTGCTGACGTGGTCTTGCTTGCCCGTTTGCCCACCCGCCTTTCCTCTTTTGCCTAATCTTCGGCCACTGGGACATCTGAGTCCGAGATGGCCGTTATCGTGTGACTGCCCGAATGGGCCGCGATCCGACCCCGTCACTGCCCAACACACCTCTCAGTCCATCCATTTAATTGTTTCTGGTGATTGGCATTTTGCGCCGAGAACAGCACTTGCATTTGATCTTGTTAATTGGCGCTGCTCGAGGGTGACGCCCACTGACAAACAGACCGAGCAGAATAATTGACCAACCAGTTTCATAATTGACCAGCTCCTTTTGTTCGCATCGTTGACCATTGACCAGAGAGGAGAACCGCATCGCGATGGGCCAGAACACAGAGATATCGACGGCTTCCGGCAAGAAGCGCTACGCCCTGGTCGGCACCGGCGGGCGGTCAAGCTTCTTCTACAGCGCCATCGCAACCGACTACAGCTCGACGTCGTGCATCGTCGGGCTCTGCGACACCAACCAGACGCGCATGAGCTATGCCAACGACAAGCTCGAGTCACTCGGCCACGCCAAGGTCCCGACCTTCCTCGCCGCAGACTTCGACGCCATGATCAAGGCTACTAAGCCTGACGAGGTCATTGTCACCACAATGGACCGCACCCATAACATCTACATTGTCCGGGCCCTCGAGCTGGGCTGCAATGTCGTTACTGAGAAGCCCATGACCATCGACGCCCCCCGCTGCCGCGAGATCTTCTCGGCCGTCGACCGCACCGGCAAGTCGGTGCGCGTCACTTTCAACTACCGCTACGCGCCGCACAACACAAAGGTCTTTGAGCTGCTGCGGTCCGGCGCCATCGGCACCGTGACGTCGGTGCACTTTGAGTGGATGCTCAACACGTCGCACGGCGCCGACTACTTCCGCCGTTGGCACCGCGACAAGCGCAACAGCGGCGGCCTGCTCGTGCACAAGTCGACGCACCACTTCGACCTGGTCAACTTCTGGCTGCAGACGCGCCCCCTCTCCGTCTACGCCCAGGGCGACCTCAAGTTCTACGGCCGCGAGAACGCCGAGAAGCGCGGCGTCACCAAGTTCTACTCGCGCACCCGCGGCAGCGAGCTGGCCAAGGACGACCCCTTTGCCCTCGACCTCGAGACGGTCCCTGCCCTCAAGGTCATGTACCTAGACGCAGAGCACGAGGACGGCTACTACCGCGACCAGAGCGTCTTTGGCGACGGCATCAGCATCGAGGACACGATGAACCTGCTCGTGCGCTACCGCAACGGTGCCGTCATGTCGTACTCGATGACGGCGTACGCGCCCTGGGAAGGCTTCCGGGTCAACTTCAACGGGACGGGCGGCCGGCTCGAGGTGGAGGTTGTCGAGAACAGCTATGTCAACTCGGGAGGCGAGCAGGCGCTTGAGGGCTCGCTCGAGCGGCGGTCCATCTTGCTGAGGCCGCTGTTTGAGAAGCCGCGCGAGATTGAGATTGGCGGCAGCACGGGTGCGCACGGAGGCGGCGACACGGTTCTCCTCAACGACCTCTTTGGTGAGCCCGTGACGGACGAGTACATGCGGGCCGCCAGCCACATCGACGGGGCGGCGTCTATCCTGACCGGCATTGCGGCGAACAGGTCGATCGCTACGGGCCAGGTCGTCTATGTCGACGACATCCTGCAGGTTCCTGGCTAGCTAGCTCGATGCCTGACGTGCTAGGATACGTTAGGGATGTGTCGCTCCTGGATATATCTGTCTGCCAATTCAGCTGCATATTGGTGTTGGAAGCATTTACAATTGGATGATTATGGCTTTCAACCGGGATGCCCTGGCCGCGCTTTTATCTGGAAACTTGTATACCCGATGACTTTGTTAAACCAGAATGCTTAAACCGATTCTCTTCGGTTGACTCGCAAGCTCGAGGCACCTTCACGCCGCCTTCTTCCTCCTGCTCCCGTCGGTCTGGTGCAGCCAATCCAGCAAGCCCACAGCCCCATAGTGTTGAGTAAACTTCTCATGATGAGCGTCATGCTTCCGCGCGATGCCGCCGGCAAAGTCGTAGCCGCTGTGGACGGTGCACGTCTCGACCAGCACCGACGCCAGAAACACCCACATGGTGACAATGTGCGCGCCGAGGGCGATGGGCGGCAGCACCACGGGCAGCGTGTTGGCCAGCAGGTGCTCCACGGGGTGCGCGTACTGCGCCGCGAGCGCCACCGGCGCCGTGAACTCGTGGTGCTTCTTGTGCACCGCCCGGTACAGCGCCGGCGTGTGCAGCAGCCGGTGCGAGTAGTAGAACAGCACCTCGCGCAGCACCACGCACGCCGCCACCTGCCACGCCACCTCGCCGGGCCCCGGCAGCGCGCTGGTTATCCGGAACTGCGACGCCCGGTTCCCCGTCTGCACCGCCGCCCAGCCGAGCGCCAGCGCGAACGCGATAGATTGCGCCTGGTTCTGCAGCACCACCGCCGCGCAATGTCGCACCTCGGCTGCTGTAGGCTGCTTGGGTGCCGGCTGCAGCTTATGCCGCGCCGCGAAGTCTGGGGAGAGTGCGTCGAGGCACGTGTATGCCAGCGCCGGTCCCCAGAAGAAAACCAGCTGCACGAGTAGCGACCCGACGAACTCGATCTGTAGCGGGCTGTACGTGTGCACGATGGTTGCCCAGACCGCGGGCAGGCTCTGCGGTGCTGCTGCTGCGGGAGTCATGGCTGCTGCTGGTTGCTGATGTTGTGTTTGCGTCGAGGAGTTGATGTCTACGCGACGTGCTGAAGACGGCAGACGAAGGCGCCGGCCTTCAGATGCAGCTGGATCAGGCTTGTCGCGAAGCACGGCCGCTAGGTGAAGATGCCGAGGCAACTTCTCCGCTCGCCACCTCCAACAAGACACGCTCAACCACCCACACTGCGCCGGCGCGCTGCGGTTCGCCACCCCATGCCATACCGAAAGCGGAAGTACATAAGTAGGGGAGAAAACCCCGCACCGAGAGCACGGGAACAAAACGGCATGTGAAGCTAGCGTGGTTTCTGCTAGACCACTTCTGATAACCGGTTCTGTGGCTCTGCTCTTTGTGCTTCTCTCCTATCGGCGTCCTTTGTTCCGTGTTGGGTGAGATTGAGCGGTTTTGTTGTGTTTGTTGACAGGCCCCCTAAACGTCTCCCAGTCACCGCCAATGGGTCTTGGGGGCTGATTGTGGACTCTTTCCGATTCGAGTGTGGTTGTTGTTGTTGATAATGTGTTCTTGGTAGGGTCTTCCGGAGAGGGTCACAGCCGTCTCACTTATGATTCTTTTGCATGAACCACTGTGCTGAGATGTGTGCACTCTCGCGTTGGACCTCAGGTGAGGGATACTAGCCGTGTGAGACGAGAGACGGTTGCAGCAAGGCACTGCTGGCCTACACTACAATCTCCCTGTCGTCACTAGGTCCGGGGTGCAATGCAGACACCCTGGTCGTGGTTGACCAGACCTTGAGTGCCGTACGAGCTGGACGAGGGATCCCGCTTGTCCATCTTCAGCATGGCCATAGGTCGACCTGGTAACCACATCGTTTCCCATAGCGAAACAAGCGGAGAACAATAGTCCTGAGCTTTCCCTCATTCTTCCCTAAGCTTGGGTGATCCCACAATCGTACTGGAGTACCGGAAGCCGCTGTGGCAGATGTTTGACAACGAATCATACACGAGTATGGTTCCTGCCGTCCCAACCCCGTAATGAGACGTGTCGTAACTAAAATGAGACGTGTCGGGACTAAAATGAGACGTGTCAGGACTAATAGCCGACCGTGTTGGCCAGCGGGCAATATTCTCTACAGCTCTGACTTTGGCGATGGGTGGGAACACGAGATCACTGTCAAGGGCCGGGACGCAGCCACGGATCACTTTGCCTACCTCTCGAGATCGGGGCACGCCGTCGCCGAGGACGTCGGCAGCCATTGCAGATGCGGATGGGAGGAGCTCAAGAAGGCCTACCGCACCGCGAACCCGGACGAGCACCAGCTCAGGCGCCGCAGGTGGTACGAGCGGGTAGCGGAGGCCGAAGACCGCCGCGGCCGGCGGGCGATATTCCCAACGAGTGGAACAAGAGGGTGGTCAACCACCAGCTTGAGCGGATGAAGATGAGGCCGAAGACAGTGTGTTGACGGGCACCTTTTATTCGAGTGCAGGGTCGTGGTTGGCAGGCCGATTGGCATCCGGCACGGTGGGTTCCGAAAAGTCACAGCATCACGCGGGTTAAAAAACGTCTCCCATGAAAATGCTCTAGATTGCGCAACCCTGGTAGAACCCACTATCCCTACAGGAACCCCTCTATCATCTGACCTTTGGATATCTCCGCCCTGACGAGTGAACATGTCGTTTATAATTACACGGTATTTGCGCTCTCTAGAGCCTTCTGCTCCATCTGAATCTGCTGTAACGAGATAGGCCGAATGACCTAGCCTAAAAGCCTTAGGCAGGGAATCGCATCACCGTGAGACTTGATAGCAGCGATATCCAGCCGCTCTTGCACTACACCGAGACTCCAACTATCATCATATCGATGATGTACGACGGCTTCCCAAGCCCGGATTGACGAAGGCTCCATGGTCGATTCCCAGTGGCCAAGTGAGCCAGTTTGCAGCCGTCTTTTATCAGGGCTTCGAGGATCAGGAGACAGATTTCTCCCGGCAAGCCATCCCATCTTTGCTTTTTGCAGGGTAAGATGGAAGACATGATGGTAGACCGGGAGTAGTGATGTTTTCGGTAATCGAGCAATGCAAGAATACACGGCCGTTGAGAGAAAGCTGCAGACTGTCCAAGAGCTGTGTTTTCGGACGTACTTAGGCTTATTGACGGGTTTGACAAGTAAAAGTGAGAAAGTGGTTAGCAGAATCAGCTTAGCGGACGGGGTGAGCGCTGGGGATTATATATCTACCTACGTGGTCGAATTCAAGCTTTCTGTGTACAAGGCTCGCTTGAGTCACTGCTCAAGGATTTCCCAAGCCGCTCAGATGCTCAAGATGCAGCCCAGAAACCGCCATAATGAAGTTTTTTAGGCTTATCGCTGGGATGGGCGAAGTTTATCGGCGCTACCGGCGTCGAAACACAGGCAAAGCTTGTGGCTAGCCCCGGCGATTGGCTCTTTGGATGGTTATCTGTCAGAAGCACTGTCAAAGATGTGGTCAAATTATTCAAGGAAGAAAAAGGTTGTCGATTGATCTGTAGGTTGTGGCCAGATGCCCTTCTATTTATGGACTTTCCAGTCCTCAACAATAGGTTAGTAATGCTCGGCTTCTTGACCGGAACATTGGACTGATGATTCAATGGATGAAACTTCAATGCAGGGTCCTTTGTGTACGGTTGTTGACTTTGCATATTTATCCACCTTCGAGATGTCTTCAACCGACCCTGCTAAACCCACTGTATCCTTCGCTAGGTCCCCTGTACCAAGCCACGTAGTATCTAGATCATAGTCCCAACATGACAACCGCAGGAAAATTTGCAGCGCGCAACGCCGTCAGGCCGGGGCAAGAGCCAAAAAAATCGGCATTGAAGATGACGAAAATTCTTCAAGATTCTTCGAAAAAAAGCAAAAATTTCCTAATTAGGAAGTCGGTCGCATTCGATGACAAATCGTTCAGAAATGCAGTCTTCGTCAAATGTGTTCAAATTGTTCAGGCTGATTAAGAATGACATAAAATCTATGCCTGGAAGTAGTCAAATTGCCCACCAAACTGGCCCTGCGTTGGCCGTGTTGCCTGAGAGCTCGGGAGAACGGTGTGTAGGCTGTTTATCGCGTAATGAACGTTCTGTTGAACCCCGTACTGCCCATGTGCCTGTTGTTGATGTGTTAGAAAGGGCGGCAGTAATTGTGAGGGCATCGCGGGCCTGAACTGCGGTGCCTGCGGGGGCCGGGCATACGAAATGCCGAATTGTGATGCTGCCTGCGTGCCATATTGTGATGCCGCCTGCATGCCGTGTTGTCCAGGTGTGACTGTCAGAGCCAGGCCTGCTCCAATCGCAGCTGTAAGTGGCCACTGCGGTTGACTCGTTCGTGCCATCGCTAGACGGGAGCCGTTGCGACTGCCTTCGATCCCCCCGGCCAATCTCCATAACATCTCACAATATCGATCGGCTTTTGCTAAAATTCAACACATTCTCGCCCTTGCTCACGATGGCATTGCCCGCGTGAATGAGAATGAGCGGCTGCAGCTTTGCCTCGACAAAGCCATGGCCGACGCTAAGCTCGGGCTGCTGGTCGCCCTGACCCGCTACCTCCTCGACGACGTTCGCCGCCAGGAGTACCTCGGCGTATTCCCGTTCCGGCTCCCTGCGGCCAGATTCGAACGTTCCAAAGAGCTCCCGTGTGCCGTCTGTGGACTTGGATATCTACCCTAGGTCGGTCCGCATGCACATGCCAGCGCACACAAGATCGGCGTCTCTGCCAACGATAAGAGTGGGCTCTTCGACCGAGAAAGAACAGGCCTTAATATAGACCTAGGACAGGCCCTCTAGAAGGTTCTAGAGGTCCACAGACTACGTAAGTGGCCCTGTATTCGACAGTCTTCTAGCTCAGCTTAAAGCGGCAACTGCTCAGCTCCGAAGGCGGAAATAGAAATTCTCCTTGTCGGTTTTGGGGTCATGCAATGGCCGTTTCACCACCCTAAAATCGGCGACCACCCATGCTCATAGTCACGTGACTCTTCGTCACCTTTGATCAGTCCAGATCAGCCCCGGCTCAGTTTCGGCCAATGTCTGCCCATTAAACAGCACAGCCTTCCAAGGAGGTGCAGTTTGCCGAAGGGCCCAAAACTGGTCCCGTGAAAGCAAAGGGCCCAGAATTAGGACATTCACACCCGCAATAGCTACCACCTAGAACTTCATGGACAATTCGTCCAGCTGTTACAGCCTGCACCCGAAGGAGGCTAAGACAGGTCGCCGGGTTAAGTCACAACGAGGGGTTGCGAGGCAACGCCGTGGGGATTGGTAATCGTGGGCTGGTGTTGTACGCAAGAGCTCTCAACGGGGGTCTGTCAACTGTCACTGTAGGCCGTTGTCACCATAGTACACAAAGGAACTTGGTATAGTAGGACACAATGAACAATGACGTTACTTGCGTGAGGAACCAGAATCCTCACGCTGCTATCGTGGCTACGATGATGGTATCTATACTGGGCTATCTGATGCGTAGTGTCCTGGACCCGAACTCTTTTCCGTCCGGGTCCTCGACCGGAACTGGGCCGTTCTTTCGTCGGGTCCATCCTCATTGGTCGTGGCCGGACCCGAGGTCCTATCCCTCCGGGCCCTCATAATTAGTCTGCTGTTAAACCAGAAGGTTTTCCCTCCCGGGTCCCTCATGATTGGTTGGGCCGGGCCCCGCACTGCCCCTCCTGGTCCGTGCTTCCTCCCTGAGGTCATGGCTTGGGTTGTGACAAAAGCGTAGTATCTTATATGATGTGGCCCAGATTCTGGCGAGCTGACTCGTATGGAACTCCGAAGACATGAATGGGCCGTGGGCGTTGTTAGTTTATGTCACGGCCGGCTTGGAATGAGGGCGGAACTCCTCTATTGGGCGCTATAGACGAAGATTCTAAACTAAAGGGAAAAGGGAAAAGAAGCTCAAAAGCCTCCCCTCGCGAGATTCTTCCAGGGCGTCTCAAGGTGGGGCTCTGGCTGGTCGGGTGGATCCACCCAACTGGCGTCTGATTAGTCAGAGCGTCTGGGAGGCCTGGAGGACCAGGCCCTCACAGTTTACGGCATTACCATTACAACGACTCCTGCGGTGCCCATGTTTTAGGCCTGGCATATACTGGTACATGTTGTGGGATAGTATATGACATCCTCGTCTAATCCCTGGGACAGTACGTAATATCCTGGCACCAAAACTAGGATAGTATTTAATAGCTAGTATATTATATAACATAGTACATAATGTACTAGCCTAGAGCATACTAATTGTCGGCCATGCTTTTTACATCGCAGGAAGTTTAGTGGCAGCGATTTCTCAACGAGAGGGTGGCAAGTACGTGGCGAGTTGGTGACTTTGAGTTGTGGTGGTCTTGAACAAGTTGTGTTGATGATTATGGTGATGAACTAACTTCTAAGGGTGCAGATGGTAGCCATCTAAATACCCTGCAAGTATTAGCTATCTCCCTTTGATCACACTGGGCCGGTCAATCCCGCAAGCCATGGGCCTGCGGATCCGTACACCTGGTGCAACCGAGGTCGTCACGACCGGGTCTCGTAGCCAGATAGTGATCTGGCCACATGCTGTATCACGTACTGTATCACATGACCTCTTGGAATATCCAACACATAATTACCAATAAATACTCTTCAAGTCTAAATATTTTATCTATCCTATAAACTTCACTCCTAGGCGGCACCTCCACGCCGATTTCGTGATCGAGGCTACTGGCTTGGAGCTGGATTTGCCCCGCATCCAATCCCCATTAATACAGTCTCTCCTATCGTCGAGCCTAGTTGAGAAGCACCCTTTTGGAGGGCTCTCAGGGGGCCAGCATACGCTCGAGTCATCTATAACAGCACGTTGTTTTGCACCAAAGTTACCTTCAGAAATTTCCATGTGTGTACGTGACTTAGAGCTGCCCTCATCTAGGGTAAGCCACGGATGAGCCTAGCACGCACAGCAAAGGTAGCACAATTTTAGTACCTCGACCAAAGTTGCCATCCGGAGATTCCGGTGCATTCCCATAGTGCAGCCACGTCAGCGGTAGCTTTGGTCGCTAAATAGGATTCTGTTGGCATAACTTGGATTTATCCGATTTAAGTTAGTGAAGTTAATTGCGAAAAGGGACGCACAGGATAAAGATCCACTTCTTCCTTTCTGTTGGAATTTGTCAAGCAGAAGGGCCTCGAAGGTTCTAGATAGAGACTTCGCCACCCACTTCGCCACCACAATAGTAGTATAAGAACGGGCTTTCTGGCACTGCCAGAAAGCTAGAGAGAAGAACAGACATCTACAATCCATCACTTGAACCACCAGTTTTCGGCGTGCAGCCACGCCCTGTTGAGTCCAGTACCGGTACCCTGGTGAATCCAACACTTTCTTCAACCTTAAATTACACTAAATGGATAAGTTTTGGTCTGCACCACCCACTGCGGCCTTATTCCATCTACCGTAACAGAATAACACGTAGGAGCGGAGCCACTTATATGCTCCGGTCGGAAATCCGGTCCGTCGTAGAACGCAAATAGTAGCAAATATTTATCCAAGGAAAAGTCCCGCGTGGGCTTACCTACCTAATCCACCTATAACCACCTTGCTAAATACATATATAAACTGGAATAACAAAAGCTTAACTCATCCATCTACATTGGCTTTAAATCATTTCCCGAGAATAGATACTCGGGGAGCAGTTTTGACTCGCTTAGAGAAACCGCCGAACTCTATGTCGAGGGCCCACAGATATCACTGGGAATGGAAGCGGGGCATATCTGGGTAGACACCTGGCGCACCCCGCGCACCATTCGTTCCTTCCTGTGCATCGTGACTACCTTCATAAGGGAAAGAGCGTGACGTGATGGCCGGGCTAGTGCTGACGTGGCGAGTCTCGCCAAACCCAGAGTGCGAAATTTGCGTCTGTCCATCCACCCAACCCCAGACTTGTGCTGGCGAATACCTGTCACCAGTCCCCAGCTTCATACCTCGGCCCGAAGCATGGACGCCACCGTGACACTAACGTATACACCGCCCCGCGAGCACAGACGGGTTAAATCTTTAAATGCTCCCCCCCCATTCCCTCCCGATCACGCACAGGCGGAACAACAGCGAGCCCCCTCCGATCGCATCCACCATGTCACCAGCCGACGAACTGAAAGACGAGCTCGACGGCGAGCACGTATACTTCGGCGGCCCCTACGATGCCCGGCCCCGGCCGGCATTTCGTTCGTTGGGCCTAACGGTAGCGTGCTGATTGGGAATGCCGAGCTGGGAGCATTTGAGACGGCTCGAAACTACCTCCACTACAAGTTCGGCGTTACCGTCGTCCATGTTTCCGGACGTTGACTTGTGCTCGGATGTGAGCCAACGGTTCCCAGCTACAGGATTCCCGGCACGGCAGGTGGTTTCCTGGCGATCTGGAGGCCAGCTAGCGACATGTCCTTCAATCCGTTCATCGAAAGAGCCGGCGGGAAGTACATTGACGTAGAAGAGGAGGACGAAGTGAATATCGACGGGGCCATCATCGCGGCGTTTGAACAGTACGCCATTCCAACAAAGGATGCCATCGTCGGCCTCGCTAGCGTCTTCCCCGACTGCGACGCCATAACATTCGTCATCGACACGATTATTATCGAGTACCCCGCAACAGACGAACAGTCTTTTCGGAGGCGGTTACAAACCCTACCCGACTACATCCCCGGGGCGCCATTCCACATACGGTACCACAACGGGCCGCTTCCTAACAAATCACAGCGACGACGCCTCCGCTGTCCACAACCTGAGCTGGACGAGGAGGACGAGAATAGAGTAGAGGACGATACCGACTACGTCGCGCGGGACGGGAGGTTCTACCCAGGGAGCATGATCTCATCCACTGCCCGTGACGGCACTACGTACACGTCAGTAACAGCCGGCGTCTTGGTCTTCAAGGGTGACGAAAAGAGGCTTACCTGTTCTTGGCACAACTGGGAGAAACACGAGGACCAGTACCCAGGACTGCTCGGCGCCGATGACGATGAGGCACGCCGAGTATTTACGGTACTCCAGGGTGAACCCGGATCCAAGGTCGGCCACGTGGTGCGGCGCGTCGCGAGCACCGAAATTGCCCTGGCGAAGCTCGACGAGGAGATTGTCTTCGAAAACACGTTCATGGACATCCGAGCGTCTGCCAAAAGACTCGTGCACAGTGACTCAGTCCATGTCGGCGACGAGTACGTCGTCGACGGCTTCCCGATCGGCAAGCGGATACTTCCCGGCCTAGGTGCGCGGTTTGAGTTAAAAAGGGGCCCTATTCATCCAACCCTCGTCCCGCCAAATAACGACCAATCGAGCCTGCCACCCCCGGGGACATATGTCGCTGTGGTGCAAGGTGTGTGTGCGGCGACCGACGAGCTCGACACCAATCAGCCAATCATACACGGTAGGACGTGTGGAGCGGTGTTGGTACGAACCCGCGACGCGAGTAACCCCAGCCTCAACAGGACGCAGATGCTGGCACGTGGGGAAATATGTGGGTTTTTCTACTACGTCAATCTAACGCCGAAGCACGCCAGCGAGGCGTTGTACTGTCTCGCGTACACCGAAGTCTTCGACCTGTTGATCGACGAGGGTTGGCGGACTGTGCCTCTTCTAGGTGAGCAGGTCTATGAGAACGTGCGGAAGTATCTACCGGGTGGGCCTGTGGACCCCCCGAGTACGCCGGCACCCAGCACTCCGCGTCGTGCGGGTCTAGTCCCCGGAGTGGGGCAAGAAGAGGAAGAACGCAGCCCCAACACTCGTGGCGCCTCCCCCCAATCCGAACGCAGCGCGCAGGGCTGGCGTACCCACCTACTTGAAACCCAATCTCAACTAGAGTCATTTTAGCTTGACCTACATCGTGTGCGACGAGAACGGGTCGGCCGCGAACGACCAATTCCTCCGGCTCACCGACGGCCTCACCATGGCGCAGGCCCATTCAGACGCCATCAAGCACTTGGACAAGCACGAGTCGCGCCGGGTGACACAATACAACAACGAGTTGGGTGTCTGTTGGGGTCGCTCGCGTCTCCTAACGCACGTGCGTACCTGTGGTTTTGCGAACAACCAGGGTCTGGAGGTGCCCCAGGGGGCCGCCCGAAGATGAACGCGGGTGAAATCCTCATTAAAACCGGGCAGCTCGTTAAGCTTGAGACGTGCTACAGCCGTATACAGAACATCATAGGGCTCGTACACGACTCGGCTGCTATTGCTACAGCGTCACGGGGGGTAAGATACGCGGACCACCGGGAGAAGTATCCGTATGGGCGAGGGCGGATGTCTTTGTTGTTTTGAAATGGGCATGGCGGCAGTGGGCATTGGTTGGGAGGCAGGGAGTCTAGTCGTTGCGGCATGTAAATTCGACCACACGAAGTCAAACGGGACGCGTTACGGTGATCACCCTCGGCACCGATGACGGAACCCTAAGGACCCCACCCTAATTTTAGATTTTGATAATTGACATCCCTCCTAGGGGATTAGCCTTTGGACTGTGGACATGATCGTCAATTCTGTGACAGGAAGCCAAGCCAGGATCTGAAGGCTGTGTCTATGGTCTGAGTGCGACGTTGTGAAGTAACGACTGCGTACGCGACCGACGCGACGGGACGCCTCCTATAGACTTATGGGTGTACGGTGTGTGTGACATGCATGTTTACTGCGTTAAGAAGAACGCGAAACACGTAAAACGCGCTTCGTAAGGGAATGTAAAGAAAAATCAAAACAAAAAAAATCAGAGAAGTAGATACCTAAAGATTCAAACACCGACCCTACAAGAAAGGGAATCGCTCCTACAGGAAGGCCGGTAAACTCTCGCCAGCTTAACTACTACGCCAGTTGCCCTTTGTAGTAGTCCCACTTCTCTAATAGGGAGGGGAAGCGTTGACCCGGATATAATAATGGCAGGCTCGTACGTATAATCGGATTGTTGGACGGATAGATGGGAGGTAAAAAAGAGGAGGGTAATATTTGGTTACGACTAAGGGTGTTACATGCCTGGCTATATTAACAACCAGCGCCGCCCCCTAAGTACGGCTAACGACAATTTGAGCTCCGACAAATGATTAAGGTCTCTAAACGTGATAATACACAACATTTTGTATCGTTGGCGTGTAAGTTAGGTGGGGTAGTAAGCGAACGCCACTGATCCAGAACATTCTAGATAAGCGAGGAACACAACCAACCCTCTTATATAAAAAGCCCATAACTCAACCAATTCTTTTCCAATTCTCTTCATCTTCAATTCGTTTTATTCTTCTCTTGACAATGGTTTCATATACAGAAGAAGACCTCCGCAAGGCTTGCGAGGAAGCCGTCAGAACACATCGATTACGCAAAGTCGCGCGAAAATGGAACGTTCCACCCTCCACCCTTTATGGCCGTCTACATGGCTCCCTACCTCGAAATGTTGCTCATCAAGATGAGCAAAGGCTTACACAGACCCAAGAGGATCGTTTAGTCGAATGGATTCTTCTTCAACAAGATTTAGGATTGCCCCCTACACATGCACAGATCAGGGAGCTTGCACGCCGTATTCTAGCTGAAAGGGGGGACTCCTTACCACTTGGAAAGGGGTGGTGCCGTGCCTTTCTTAACCGCAATCGAATTTTGAAGACTCAGAGGGCCAAGAGAGTCGATTCGGTCCGCGTCAACTGCGCTACAGAGTCAACAATTCGACCTTGGTTCAACCATTTCCAAACACCAGCTATCAAGGCGATTAAGCCAGAGAATCGCTGGAACAAGGACGAATCTGGTATTATGGAAGGCAGAGGAACCAACGGCCTTGTCATTGAAAGCCGTGCCTTTAAGGCGCTTCAAAAAAAACAGCCTGGAACCCGCACTTGGACCACTTTTGTCGAATGCATCTCAGCAGCTGGCCGTTGCCTTCCTCCTTTGGTTATTTTTAAGGGGAAAAGCGTTCAACAACAATGGTTTCCTTTGGATATGAAGCCATTTCAGGATTGGTTCTTTACAGCAACTGAGAAAGGATGGACTACCGATGAGACAAGCCTCAAATGGTTAAAAAATGTGTTCATTCCTCTCACCAAGCCAGCAAACTCCTCTGAGAAACGACTCCTTATTATTGATGGCCATGGCAGCCACACAACTGCCGATTATATGTGGGAGGCATTCACAAACAATATTCACATTATTTATCTGCCTCCCCATACTTCCCATGTCCTCCAACCCCTAGATTTGGCCATATTTGGCCCCCTAAAACGACTTTATCGCAGACGGCTTGAGGACCTTCTTGCTAACGCCTTTGACGACTCTTCTGTAGCCGGAAAACGTGCGTTTCTGGAATGCTACCAGATTTCACGCACAGAGGCAATTACTAAGAGTAATGCTAAGTCAGGATGGGAGGCATCAGGCCTTTGGCCCTTGAATGTCAACAAACCGCTAAGAAGCCCACTCCTCCTCAAGAATTCTAATACTTCACGCCCCTTAAGAACTACTATAGTTACCCCAGAGGTTCGCACACTCCGTATGCCAATCCTGGAGGATTATGGAGACGATCGGGTGCAGTGGAGGACTCCTAGAAAGGCACGTGATTACGTTGAGCAGGCAAAGAAGTTCGCACGCATCATCAAAGCAATGCCAGCGGATAAGCTCTTCCTCAGAAAGATTGGTAAGGCTTTGGATGAACAGGCCTTTGAACTAGCTATTAGGAAGCGAAAGATTGAAGGTCTAGAACACACTCTCGAATCAATAAGAGCCAGAAAGAAGAAGAAGGTTGAAGAAGATCCAAATACCACCTTTGCGAATATTCAGACTATTCGTGAGGCCCAGAGAGCTGTAGGGCGTGCAGCAGAGGTTTTAGAAGATGCGGAAGAAGCGGATGATTCAGAGGATATCAAAGATTGTATTGAAGTTTTGTAAATAAAAAGATCACCCTTTCTTTTGTTGGAGGGTTAGTTGGGACTCCTGCTTATACAGAATGTTCTAAATCAGTAGTGTTCGCTTACCCCCCCACCTAACTTATCAGGTTAGTAACCAAGTGGAGGGATAGACGCGTCAATGATGTTATCAACAGGAGAATAGTTATAGAAAGTATAAATGCGAGACTTGGAAAACATCTAGCGCTTAGGTAAGTAATACGAATACAAGACTATGAGTTTTGAAAGTGGGATATATTTTGGTTATCTTTATGTATGGGACTAGTTCTTACCCTCGGCTAGTTAGAGTTTAAGTAAGCTGGAGTGAAGGAAAGGGAAATTCATGGTGTTGGTTTTAGGATGGTGAACTATTTGTTTCAGGAAACATTGTGCCGATCCTGCGGCGAGGGCTGTCTTCGCACAACTGTCCAAAGCTCACTGGACAAGCAAAGCACGGCCGAGTCCTTCCAACTGGCTTCTTTTCACGGCCGGCGACAGCTCTCAGGCGAACTGGACATCGAGGGTAACAACGACGTGGTTGGGCGTGCTGATGCTCTTGTGCTTGACGTATTTCTGGTTGGGCCACGTGACCGAGTACGCGCCGAGGTTGCCAAAGGCCTCGCCGGGGTTCGCGTCGGTGCCGGCGACGACCAGGTTGATGATGCCGACGAGGATGGCGCTGATGAGGCCCCACCACGCGGCGAGCAGCCATTTCCACCACTCCATCCACCGCGACTGGTTCTGCCCCTCCTTGATCTTCTTCAGGCCGATCTTGTCGCCGCCCGTGAACTCGAACTGGTGCCAGATCTTGTCCGTCGCCTCGACCTGTATGTCCAGGAACGTGACGTCTGCCTGGACGTCGACGTCGAAGTAGAGGGCCTGAGGGCCTGCTCTGGCGTGTCGATCTCGGCGGTGAAGGAGTGGATCCACGGGTTATGGTCCATGCTGAGATTGAGGATTGAGGTCCTATTTGTTGGAAATCCGGTAGAGCTCGCTGCCGCCAATCTGGTTCAGCGTGATGTTGTTGGCCACGCCGTTGGGGCTCCTAGCCTTGCCCTTGATGCTGGAAACAACCTGGGGGAGGATGTACTGTTCGAGGAGAAGCTTGTTGGACACGAGGACCATGAAGTTCTCGTTCGGCGGCAAGAGCGGGTGGCTGAAGTAGACGCCGCCCTTGAACTTGTTGGACGTCTGCATGAGCACCAGGAGGTTGCTGCGGCCGGGGAAATCGCGGTCCTGGACGAAGGGAAAGTCGGCATAGACTGGAATCAGGGGCTGGAGCTGCTCGGCTTGCTTCTTGCCCAGCGAGAAGGTGGCAACCTTGTAGTCCTTGCCGTTGCTAATGTCCTGCCGGATGAGCAGCTCTAACATGGTCTGCATGCCGGTGAGCGACGGAATGTCGATGTTCAGGTCGATGTTGACAATGATGTCCTTGCTCTCAAGGTCGAGAATGAGGTCGTAGTTGGTCTGGTTCGCGTCCGGGTGGGGGTTAAGCTTCGCCTCCAACTGCGCGAGCTGCGTCGTCATCGTGATAACTTCCCCGTTGGGAATGGGAATCGGGGTGGTGTTCATTATGACGGTGCCGCTCATAGGCAGCAAGGCGTCCACCTGGCGACCTGAGCCGTCCTTGAACTTCACCTGGGGAGGACTAAGAGTGACGTTGGCATGAGCAGTGATAGGCGTGCCAAATATCTCGAACGGGACGTCCCGCTTGACTAGAATCAAGGGAAGCTTGGAAAGCTGCTTGTTGAGTGCGTCCTGGCTGGCGGCCGCGATCAGACCCCATCCATTGCTGGCAAAGGCGTTTTGCACCATGGGTTGGGCTTGGACGTTGGGATTTGGGATTTGGAGATGAAAATGGTAATTATAAGCTTCGGTAGATGAGTGACTGGGTTTTGATACTGTGCGTTGCGTTGTCTATTGATTAATCCACCGAAAGAGAGTCAGAGAGCCTCGAGGAGACATCTTTATACACCATCTCACTCATCCCTGCCCCTAGTTCACAGACGCTTTCACGTTCACCATACGTTTGTTGCTAGCTGCGGAGGAGACAACTCTTGCGAACCGGATGGCAAGATCGCGTTCAATGCAATATTTACAAGAGCCATGCCAACCAGTTCAGCTTGCACAGGATGCTCAGCTTGCTCGGACAAGCCTCCTTTGATCCTAAGATGGAAATCCAAACCTGCAAGTCCAATCGGAACAAGCTACGTAGCATGCGTCTGAGGTTGAAAACCTGTTCACAACCCACTAACATCAGGTGATCACACAGTCTATATTGTTCAACTCCCTCAGACAGGCCTGAGGGAACGATTTCGAAATCGCGCATAGAAAACAAGATCGTGAGGCACATGCCTCTCCATCACTGCCACCTTGCCAGTGCAGTGTCAGAGTCGGAAATATTCGTCAGGCGCACCGAATCAGACCACAGCGACGTCCTCTTCTCCATGTCCTGCGATTCCTCACTTGTCGACGCCGACGCCCTACCGTCGAGATACACACCACGCGGGTACTCTCCCAGCACCTGGGTATCGAACACGGCGCGGAGGACGTCGCCGGCCGATCTCTGTGTGAGTCTCAGTTGAGGATTTTCGGCGAAAAGGGACATGACGGTAGCAGCGAGCGGCAGCAGTGGCGGCGCAATGACACGCAACAAGAAGTTGCTACGCCGGAACAGGGACGACCCCATGCCGCCGGGGTCGACAGCCAGAGCACAGATGTTGGAGAGGGCCGGGTCATCGGCCAGGCGGGACTGGAGTTCATGCCTGTGTTATTCAGTTCAGCAGCAGGACCTGTTGGAGGCAAGACGCGGGGAGCGCACATCATCATGATCAGGCAGAGTTTACCAGCCCCGTAACGCCGGATCCCGGCGTCGGCAGTGGGGTAGTCTTTGGACGAGCTCCATGTGCCCCTGGCCAGGCTCTCTGTGTTATGGTAGAGGGACTTCCACTCGTCTCCGGCATACCACGAGAATCCAGCATTGCGCTTGTCGAGAGGGCTTTGCACGAAATGAGAGGTCAGAATATCGCGGTCTGGCGCACTAGTAGACTTGTAGAGGATGGAGCTTACTTGTGGCCATAGCTCCCTATAACAATCACCCTGCCGTGCTCCTTGTCCATGCTCTGCAGCAGTAGCAGGGTCAGCACGAAGTGGGCTAGGTAGTTGACCTGCCAGCTCATGTCGAAGCCGTCGGGCGTAAAGCACTGCTCAGCACCCTCCATGTACGCAGCGTTGAGGATGAGGGCGCGCAGCCGAGGTAGCGAGCCCTCAGCCACGCGCCTGTTGATGTCTGCGGCAGCCTGCCGGACGCTGTCGAGGCGTGAGAGGTCCAGGTCGATTACGTCGTGCTGGTGCGAGAGAGAGGCAGCGCGCGAGAGGGAGCGATGAAGGGCTGTCGCCGTCGCCGCGTTGCGCACGCCGTAAAGGCCGTGGTAGCCGGCACCCCATGCCTGGGACTCGGCAAGGCCAGCGGCGATGGCTGAGCCCAGTCCTCCGTTGGCTCCCGTAACAAGGATGCTGCCTTTGGCGCTCGTTGTCGACGTCGACATGGCTGATAATTAGAGGGCGCCGGCTAGATTAGACTCTGACTAGTAGACTCTAGATGAATGCGATTGTGGGGTCGAACTAATGAGGAGCGGGATGAGTGAAGCGAAGTTGCAGATTGCTACCTGAATAAATCCAGGAAGGCAAGGTGCTACTAGTGTGTACAAGAACAGAACAGACAGCAGTGCCTGCGGGCTAATCCGATGATGGCAAGCGAAGCCTTGATAAGCGTCCAGGGTTAGGGTCGCTTCCGACTGCCGGAAGACACGGTCCGCCATTATTTACCTCTCCACCTCCTCTCCACAAGCTCGACGCTTAGCGAGACCGGACCGGGCCTGCAGCATGCGCTGAAATCTTTGACATCACTCCAGGCAAGGGAAAGAGCAGCCACCATGCTTAGTTCACGTGTCGGGCGCTCTTTCCTACATTCGGGCAGGGAGAGAGCGGGACTGCTAATTTCCTCGCGCACCGCACTCACTCTGGACACAAACTCGACCTGCAGCATTCCCCGTGGCAACTTCCTCGCGTCGAAAACCACAACAAGCTTGTCATTTCAATCTCCATCTCCATCTCGGCGCCAAGCAAGCTCGGACTCCAGCTCGCACTCATCTCCACCGCCTCCCCCCTCAGACAACGACAGTAGCAGCAGCACCAGCACCAGCGGGCGTATCCGCAATTGGCGCGGCATGGCGCAGGAGGACATCTCGCGCTACCTGCGACAGACGCACGACCGCGTCTTCGAGCACAACCGTTCGTGGGCGGCCGAGCAGGCGCGCAAGGACCCGGACTTCTTCTCCAAGATCTCGGCCGGGCAGAACCCCGAGTACCTGTGGATCGGGTGCAGCGACTCGCGCATCCCGGCGGAGCAGATCACGGGCTTGGAGCCGGGCGATGCCTTTGTGCACCGCAACATCGCCAACCTGGTGTGCAACACGGACCTCAACGCCATGAGCGTCATCACGTACGCCGTGCAGCACCTGCAGGTTAAGCACATCGTCGTGTGCGGCCACTACGGCTGCGGCGGCGTCAAGGCCGCCATGACCGCCACCGACATGGGCCTGCTCAACCCGTGGCTGCGCAACATCCGCGACGTCTACCGCCTGTACGAGCGCGAGCTCGACGCCATCCCCGACGAGGCCGCGCGCTACGACCGCCTCGTCGAGCTCAACGTCATCGAGCAATGCCGCAACGTCATCAAGACGGCCGCCGTCCAGCAGTCGTACGCAAAGAACCACTTCCCCATCGTCCACGGCTGGGTCTTTGGCCTCAACGACGGCCTGCTCAAGGACCTCGAGATCGACTTCCCCCAGATCCTGCGCGACATTCAGAAGATCTACAACCTCACTGACAGCAAGTAGACTTTTGGTCTCCAGCGGCGCTAGGCTGATGGGTGATTCCTCTGGCCTGTATAGTTTTGGTATCTACTTCTGTGCTGGGGAACTGTTTTGTCCAACGACAGAGATCGGCTTTCACTCGGCATCTTCCAGGTTATCGGGGCTAGATTGGATAGAGTAAGTAGACTATTTCTAGACATGAATTTTGAGAATGACATTATTCTCATATTATACACGACTATTCTCCGTATACGTGATGAAATCCATCACATGCATAATTAGAGACGGCGATTTTGAGTCTTGGTCGATAATCCCAAATCCAATAGTGTGATAACAGGTTTCTCGCCACGGATAAGCTTTCTGTATCGTGGAAGGCAGACAAGCCTAGTATATCTGCTGGAAATTATTACGCAGTGCCCCCTTCGTTAAGGCTCGCCTACTAGCTCCTTCGACTGGATAGTCGAATCATCCAATAAACGTTATAGGGGCAAACGGTTCAGGAACGGGGCCCGATAATGAGTTTTCCAAGTCAAATATAATCGGTAGTTCATTCTATGCGAGCAGCGCTCTTCTAAACAGCGTTCTTCTAATCATGCACATCACCAAGTAAATCACCGGCGGCCTGCCCAATCTATCCACACCTATAGTCACATCAGGAAAAAAAGAACGAATCCTCCTAGGTCCTAACTAATACCCAACATGCTGTTAGTACTTGTGCAAAATAAACCCCGCCAGCGAGCTCATGAACTGCCCGAGCCGCGCGCCGACGTCGGCGGCGCGCCTGTACCGCAGCGCGAAGAACACGCCACCGGCAATCAGCGGCATGCCGAGGGCGCCGACGAGGCCGCGCAGCAGCACCCTGCCCTGGTGCTCGCTCTTGGCGACGACGTCCGAGTAGCACTCGTTGCCGAACGAGACGCGCGAGTACTTTGTCTGCCAGCCCAGGCGGGGCACGTAGACGGACAGCGACTCCTCGAGGAACTTGCGCAGCCGGTAGGCGGGCGAGAGCACCGACGCGCGCATCTCGGTGTAGTTCTGCAGCGCTAGGTCGTTGATGGCGTGCGCGTCCGGCACGCGCACCGCCGAGTACTCGGCGAGGGCTAGCGCGCGCTGCGATGCGGCCGCGTCGGCGGGCAGAACGCCCGCCTCGATCGCCGCCGCCGTGCCGTTCTCGCGCGAGTGCTTGTCCAGGATCCCAAATAGAATGCGCACGTCCTCGAGCCCGGCGTTCATGCCCTGCCCGTAGAAGGGCACCATGGCGTGCGCGGCGTCGCCGAGGACCACGACAGACGATGAGTGGTGGTAGGGCTTGCACTTGACGCTAATGAGCGGGAGGTGCGGGTTTTGGCGGAAGGATGCTACAAGCTCTTCGGGCAGGATGAGAGATGTGACTCCGGGAAAGTACTTGTCGAAAAACTCTGGGATTTGAGTCCCCGCTGCGTCGGCTTCAAGCTCCTCAAAGCGGGCGACCGGTGCAAACAGCGTACATGTAAAGGAGCCGTCCTTTGAAAAAGGTCAGCCATTTGCGACGTTGCAAACTCCTGGCTGTCTCACGGGGGCAAGCTTACCTCGCTAGGAATGGCGATAAACATGAAATCACGGCCCGGCCAGATGTGGAGATGGTTTGGTGATATCTTGAACTTGGAAGTTGAACCAGGCTGAGACTCCTTTCTCGGCTGGATCTGAAACTCGCACCACAGAGTATCGATGTACTCTTGCTGGTAGTCCATCCGTGCATACTTCATCATGTGGTATCGAACGGCGGAATGGGCGCCATCAGCACCAATCATCATGTCAAATTGGACTTCGATTTCTTTGGGCCGCTGCTCTCGAGTCTCCGTGTCGCGGACTTCAAACCAGGCTTTGTTCCTCTGGAAGTCGGCTCCCGTCAGCTTATGGTTGAAGAAGAAGGTCACGTTCGGCATGTCTTCTAGAATGTCAAGTATACGCTTATTAAGGCCGCCACGGTCGATGGCAAGAATTGACTGCACAGTCAGCGCCAGCTTTTGAAGCGGGGGAAGTGGTGATTTACCCTTCCGTGGACATCGTAGTCTTGAGCCTGCTCGTAAAGCTCGCCGTTTGGAAGCTTGCCATGAATCATGCGACCCCGCATGGGGATGGTGACGGCCATGACATGGTCGATAAGTCTCGGCTGGCCGGCATGGCGCATAGCATTGAGACCGCGTTCTGAGAGAGCGAGGTTGATAGATCTGGTGAAGTTGAGTGGCGTGGTCGACGGGTCGCGAAGATCTGGCCCACGTCAGTCAGTCACTGAGCTCTGAAGTGAGGGAATAACCGAAACAGAGTGCATTTGTGTCACCTCCAAGAGTGAAACAACCAGGGGTCTCCGTTTGTATAGGACAAAAGTATCAAAGCTGATGGAAAAAAACAATGGAATTGGAGGAATGCCAAGACTAGAGATGGAAGATAAAAAAACTAGTGACTTGAAACTCACCACTTCGAAGCTCGTATATTTCAACTGCATGGCCGCGGTTTGCTGCGTACAATGCCGCCAATGAACCCACCGGGCCAGCGCCGACAACAACAACTTTCTGTGTTGAGCCCATGTCAATCCAGCAACTACTGTTGGACAGAGGTGGAAGAATCGCGTTGCTTGGTGGATGTTTTCTGGCTGTTTCAGTGGTCCAGAGCAACAACCAACTGGTCAGCTCACTATCGCGGCGGGCTTACCGGCAATTATCAGATCCCAATTGGCTTTGCGGGGGTCTGACGGCGGGCTCAATTAGGTAAGCAAGCCCATGGCCCACTGTCCCTCCCGCATGCGACTTTCCGCTTTTTGGGGGCCTGGTGCAAGCATCCCACCACTGGGCGCGCCCTTTGCAGACAGGCAGTACGGAGTTGGCCCGAAAATTTCACCGCCTGCTCCAAAGCGAAGGCTACACGAATAATTCCAGATTGGCTTTATCTCTGGAAGTCGGGTTACGCTGTCATCCCGGCGCCGAAACAAGAACCGCTCCCAACTGCAACCTGACTTGATCACGGATCCAGCATCAGCGCACCCCGCCATCCTGCTCCCAACCGTGATTTCGACTTTGCGAAAGTCTAGACAGTCGCCATGGCCGTAGAACCGCCCACAAAAAGGAAATGCCTTGGCGCTGATTGCGACAACGATGCCGGCTCCCTCCAGTGCCCCAAGTGCTTGAGCCTGGATATCAAGGACAGCTTCTTCTGCTCTCAAGACTGCTTCAAGAGGAATTGGGTGCGTTGGGACTCCGTACCGCCAAGCGCCTTGCCCCTCCAGGCTCTGCGCCTGGCTTCGTTACCGGCCCCCGCGATCCCTTGCTAAACGGAGTTGTAGAGCACGCACAAGTCTTTACACAAGCAAGAAAACAGTATTTTGAACCGAGTCTTCCCTCCCAGAGTGGTATCTAAACCTGATCCAGATACCGGTTTCTACAACCCCTTCCCGACGTTCAACTACACCGGCCCCCTTCGCCCCGTCTACCCGCTCTCTCCCAGACGAGACGTGCCCAAGTCGATACCCTATCCCGACTACGCCGATGACGGTATACCGAAATATGGCAGGTCTATGGGCCGACCCAACAAGATCGAGCTCCTGGACGCCAAAGCCCAAAATGCCATGCGCAAGGTTTGTCGGTTGGCCAGAGAGGTTCTCGATATCGCTGCGGCGGCACTTCGGCCAGGCATCACGACAGACGAGATTGACGAGATCGTACACAATGCTTGCATCGAGCGCAATGTGAGGAGAATCTCCGTTCTTGCTCGTTAATTTGCGATTGGGCAGCTAACAACGGAGTAGTCCTACCCGTCACCCTTAAATTACAACCACTTTCCCAAGTCGGTCTGCACGTCGGTCAACGAGGTTATTTGCCACGGTATTCCAGACAAGCGGGTGTTGCTAGACGGGGATATCGTCAATCTCGACGTGACTCTGTACCACGAGGGCTATCACGGAGACCTGAACGAGACCTACTATGTAGGCGACAAGGCCAAGGCGGATCCCGACACGGTGCGCGTGACTGAGACGGCGCGCGAGTGTCTCGAGGAGGCCATCAAACTAGTGAAGCCGGGCACGCTGATCCGCGAGTTTGGCAACGTGATCGAGAAGCACGCCAAGTCCAAGGGCTGCAGTGTCATCCGTACCTATGTCGGCCACGGCATTAACAGCATCTTCCACTGCCCGCCCAATATTCCCCATTACGCGAAGAACAAGGCCATCGGCGAATGCAAGCCCGGCATGACATTTACGATCGAGCCCATGATTGCCCTCGGGAAATACCGCGATGTGACATGGCCGGACAACTGGACGAGCACCACCATTGACGGAAAGAAGACTGCCCAGTTTGGTAAGATATAAAATGTTCCGCCCCTGCACAAGGCATGATAACTCACATACCTGTGCAGAACACACGCTGTTGGTTACCGAGACGGGCGTGGAGATCCTGACTGCTCGGAAGGCGGACTCGCCTGGAGGGCCTTTCGTGCTCGAGACTGAGAAACCCGAGACAGCCGTGGAGAGTCTGACTGCCAAGACTGAGAAGCTTGAGACTCTGGAAAGCTCGAATGCCGAGGCTGAGATAACAGAGTAGGAACCCTTTAAATTAGCTAGCAAGCGGTTTGCCCGGCGGAAAAAAAATAAATAAAAAGAGAACAAAAATATTTCCAAGACTAGCGCTTTAAGCATAGTGTTTCGGCGCAAGTGCAATGTTTTGGGCTCGCGAGGCCCAGAAATATCGGTCATGTTAACAGAGCTTGAACCTTGCGCGAAGTAAGACAGGCAGGCACACAACCAGAACAAATTACACCGTGGCGGAAACCATCCAGTTAAACGAACTGGTGGCGTACGTACACCACTATCAACCGAGATACGTACCGAACAATGGCTATTATTGTGACTGTTTGGAAAAGCCGTCCGCCTTTGCCTAGCATGTCTTTGAACTTATTGGTGAGGTTGTTAATTCCCCCCATTCCAGTCCCAGTACATTGCTGAGAGCCGGAGATTGTGGGTGTCACTGGTGAAAAATACACTTCGGGTATTTTGGGCATTTACATGAATATCGAGAAATATCAGATGTTCAAGTTTGACAGCGTAGTACGTATCAAACAAACGCTTTGTCTCGATCGGCCTTGGCCTGTAAAAGCGCGTCATCTCTTATCGGGCTCCAAGCCTTCGAGGAGGCTCGACGTAACCCCACACCCGCCCCTCCTGGTTGGCGTGCTGCTCGAGGCAGCAGAAGCTTGGGCCACCACAAAAACCAGCGGCAGGGCATCATTTGGAGCCAACCTAATCGCCCCGACCTCCACGCCCCCAACCTCAGGAACCTATCCACATACTTCCACCACGTGTGACAAAGCCTCACTTCCCTTTTTAGGCCTCTCTCCAGCCACGTATACTCGAAGCGCCAGACACCATCGTTTTTTCCGCGCCCATATCTATCTTTGGCTGTGCGACGCTCGAGACCGAACCGACGGGATCAATCACGCTAGGACCTGCCGAGCCCTTGTCTTGGCAAACCGCTCGCAAACCGCACATCGCGCATTTCACGCCGCTTCCGAGACCCTCGACCAAGCTCCTCCTTCGCACGCCGATTCGAGCCTGCAAGAGCCGGCAAACCCCCACACCAGCTGCACCCTCTCCCAAACCGCCATCATGTCGGGCGAAGCGTGGTTATACCTCTTTGCCGTGCTGATAAACGCCGTCAACCTATTTCTCCAAGTCTTCTTCACCATCATGTATAGCGATTTGGAATGGTACGGCTTCCCCGCCCTAGCTTGCGCGCATCCGAGTCGTCGAGCATCTTTCCTGTTCAACCGACGGGGAGCTCGACTTGGACACTTGCCAGCGCGTTTGCCCCGAGCGCAATCATGGGTGGAATGCTGACTGTCGTCCGTGTGTGCCGTGTAGCGACTACATCAACCCGATTGACCTCTGCAACCGCCTCAACACCTACATCATCCCCGAAGTCGCCGTCCACGGATTCATTACCTTCCTGTTCCTCATCAACGGATACTGGGTACCTTTGATCCTCAACCTGCCGCTCCTTGGGTGGAACGTCAAGAAGTGAGTTCAACTCTTTCCCGGAGCCTCTCTCAAGTTTCCCGGAGCCTCTCTCAAGGCTCCCGTGCCTGGGTAGCCGGGAGGATAATATGCTGACACTCTGGGCTAGAATCGTCGACAACACGCACCTTCTGGACGCGACCGAGATCTTCCGGAAGCTCAACGTACACAAGAAGGTAAGGGATGGAAGATACTGTAAAGCTCATGGCTTCTCCGAAGACAACGCTAACCACCTGGCTTTCTTCTCTGTAGGAATCATTCACTAAGCTGGGTTTCCATCTTGTCCTCTTCTTCTTCTACCTTTACAGCATGATCGTCGCCCTGATCAAGGACGAGGCTCACTAGAGTCCCCCCAACTGGCCACTGCGTGCAGCCGGACCCGTTATCGTGCGCAGGCCCTCTGGAAGAACCCCTCTCGTATATATGGGACGGCGTTGAAGCGCGCGCGCGCGTGCATGAATGCTCGGGCATCAGATAGAAACTACGCGGCGGTCACTTTGGATCGCAAACGGCCCGCCAAGGATACGAAGAACACGGTGGGTTAATTCGCGGGGCGATGGATGGGCTGGCTTTGTAATGATTTGGGTGGGAAGATGACAGCGTGGCCTTGTTTTCAGCTCAAGAAGTCAAGATAAGTAAGGACGGAAGGGTGAGGAAGCAAAGGCGTGTAAACTTGCGAGACATTTCTTGGGCGGCGGGGGCTCTGTGTTTGCGTGTTGGGGAGGGGATCGTGGAGATGGGAGGGGAAGAGAGAGAATGGGCCTTATATCTCGAACTGTCTGTCACACGGGTTTGCTTGTTAGAGAATACCTATCTCCCATCGGTTGGTTATCTTAGCTCGAGCATTTTCTTGAACTATATTTCCCTTTCTTCTGAACCCCGTTGCTTGTGTTTTGTACTGTCTCGTTACCGGCTTTCCTTTGTTTTCCAGGCGGGCCGGTGGCATCAGATGGAAGTACAGGGTTCAGCTTGTATTTGGTGCCCCAAGAGCGGAAAGCTTGTTTGTGGCCGTTGCAGCTTATCACTTCGGCAGTGGCGCCATGGTGGCACTGACAGAGTTGTAGTCCGTGCGCCACTTTACAGTTTTGCCAAGCTTTATTCCGGAGCAAGAACGCGCCCCGCGACGGCCTAGCTTCTGCAACTTTCAACATCGAATTTGGTCGCGCACAACAAGAACCATGGATCAATTCGGCGAGTACCCTCCAAACCTCACCGTCAAGGACGCTCTTGTCGTCCGTCAAGAGGCGACCGTAGACCATGCAGTTGTTCCGTACACAGGCGACGACCTCAGCCGCCCTCGCCTCGGCCCCGCGAATCCCTTCAAGGACGAAAACGACAAGAGCCTTGGAAAGCGCAAAAATGTTTTGACGGGCCAGGCAAACGAGGTCTTTATCAGCGAGCACACCTTCCGCAGTAAGCACCGTGCCGTCGAGCGCGCCGGCGGCCCCGAGCGCGAGTACATTTCGCCCGCCCAGGCCAAAGAGCAAGCTGCTAAGCGTCGCGCCACGCGCGAGAGCAAGGGGAGGGCCACAATTGCCGACGGCGACGGCTCGTATGTCGGACCCTGGGCCAAATACAAGAAGCCAGAGTATGAGCAGGTTGAGGTCGATCTGGACGAGTTAGGCAGCGACGAGGAATACGAAATTGTAGACGAGGATGACGAGGATGTTGTGCCGAGCGGCACTGTAGTGCAGGCTCCGGCCGGATCCCTGGCGCGCAGAATAGAGGTCGAAGAGCAGGGCGAGGAGACTACGACTTTCCACGGCGCGAGCGAGTACGACTACCAGGGCCGTACGTACATGCATGTGCCGCGGGACCTGGACATTTCGCTGCAGAAGGAGGCCGGCAGCATCACCAATTACATCCCCAAGAAGCTCATGCACACCTGGCGCCACCACACGAAGGCCGTCACGTCGCTGCGACTTTTCCCACGCTCGAGCCACCTTGGCCTGTCGGCCTGCGCCGACGGCACGATCAAGATCTGGGACGTGTACCGCTCGCGCGAGCTGCTGCGCACCTACTCTGGTCACTCCAAGGCAGTCACGGATCTCTCGTTCAACAACAACGGCACGCGGTTCCTGTCGGGTTCCTTTGACCGCCGCATCAAGCTGTGGGACACGGAGACGGGCCAGTGCGTCAATCGGTTCAACCCAAACAAGACGCCCCACGTCATCCGCTTCAACCCGTCTGCTGAGAACGGCCACGAGTTCTTGGCTGGCCTCTCGGACAATCGCATCCTTCAGTACGACACCCGCGCCGGCAATGAAACTGTGCAGGAGTACGACCATCACCTAGGTGCTATCAACACCCTTGAGTTCGTCGACGAGAACCGTCGTTTTATGTCAACCTCTGATGATCGCTCCCTGCGCGTCTGGGAATATGGGATTCCTGTGGAGATTAAGACCATTAGGCAGGTTTTCCCCCCTCAATCCCTGCCCCCACCCCTATTTTTACTACCCATGCTTACTCTGCACCGATTAGCGAACCTGACATGTTCGCCCTGACAAACTCGACCCAGCACCCGAGCGGTAAGTATGTGCTGTTCCAGTGCAGCGACAATTCCATCGTGGCCTACTCAGCGGCGTCGGACAAGTTCCGACAGAACCGTAAGAAGTCGTGGCGCGGCCACAACACGGCCGGTACCGCCATCGGCCTCACGTGCAGCCCCGACGGCCAGTTCGTCGTGTCGGGCGACACGGCCGGCTACGTCTGCTTCTGGGACTTCAAGACGTGCAAGATGTACCACAAGATTCAGGCCGACAGCGCCGGCGGATCGGTGAACTGCGTCGTGTGGTCCGAGCAGGAGACCAGCAAGGTGTTTACGGCGGGCGCCAAGGGGGACATTCGCATGTGGGACTAAAAAGAAAGCGCAAAGGCAAACGCCATGATACCAATGAATATATGATACCCGTGGATAATACGATGCCAGTGAAACCAGTGAATAATGAGGTAGGGCTGACATTCTCTAATAGGCCTGTAATGTCGTGTACGGGGCCTTTGGATTTCTCCAACAGGGCTTTGGACTTCTCTATTATAGGCCTTGACGCCTGAAGCACGCCGTCTTCTTGTGTCGGGACGGACTTGGCATCGGCCGATCCGAAGATCCACAGTCGGTTCCAGAGCGATCGGCATGATGTAATGAGACAAGCCCGTGACCGGCGTTGCCGACTGACTAATGGGCATGGCCGGTGGCGGGGTCAACCTTTGCCCGCAATGCAATTAGTGGACTCGCCGTCTCGTTCTGTTTTTCTCTTATGACTAGTCTGCGAGGCGGGACATGAAAGTGAAACCCAAGACCTACGTTCAGTCCAAAAAAGAAAAGGATATAAACCCCGCCTCCTCCTCCTCCCCACTCTTTTCCAAAAAAGGTTCCTTCCACCTAGCGCCACAACCGCAACCCCTATCCTATCCACGGACGTAATAATTACCAAAGACAATAACAACAACAACAACAACAACAACAGAAATGGCCACATCAGCAGCAGCTCACCACGTCCTAGTCCTCGGCGGCCACGGCAAGATCGCCCAGCTGCTGACCCCGCTGCTGCTGCAGCGCGGCTGGGCCGTGACGAGCGTGATCCGCAGCAGCGAGCAGGTGGCGGCCATTGAGAAGCTTGGGGACTCTCGTAAAGGACGCCTCAGCGTGCTGGTGCGCAGCATCGAGGACGTCAAGAGCGAGGCGCAGGCGCGGGCTGTTCTTGAAGAGGCTGGTCGGCCGGATTATGTTGTCTGGAGCGCGGGTATGTTTGCCCCTTTCTTCGTTGGCGGGGCTGTCTCGCTGCACTGTTCGGACTGTGTTGTGTTGTGTTGTGTTGTGTTGTGGTGGCTTCGAGATTATGCTTGCCATACAAACAATCATTGCTAACGTCTCATATTGTGGATAACTAGGTGCGGCCGGCAAAGGTGGTCCAGAAAGGGTATGTTGTCCATTTGGCTTTGCCCTCCCTGCATTCATCCATTGATTCCAGACATCCTCCCAAATTCCTTCCTCTTTAATCACAAACCCAGATTTCATCCCTATATAAAACCAACACCTCCATGATTCATCCCCTATTAATCAGCTGCAATGCCCTGACACAAGTATATCTACTAACACAACACCCAGACCTTCGCCATCGACCGCGACGCCGCCGTGCACTTCATCCGCGCCTCCGCAGCGCCATCCTCCGGCGTAACCCGCTTCCTGCTGGTCTCGTACAACTGCTCGCGGCGCACGAAACCGGCATGGTGGGACGGCGCGTCCTGGACCGCCGCGCAGGAGATCAACTCCAGAGCGCTGAAAACGTACTACGCGGCCAAAGTTGTCGCAGACGAGGCGCTGTACGCGGCGTCCAAGGGGCGTACCGATGGCGGGTTCGTGGGGATCGATCTGCGGCCGGGCACTTTGAGCGACGAGCCGGCTTGGGGGGTAGAGCTGGGGAAGACGAAAGGGTCCGCTGGCAAAGTTAGCCGGGCGAGCGTGGCGCGCGTGGCGGATCAGCTGCTGGCTGCGGACGGGGTGAAGAACTCGTGGATTGACATGCTCGACGGCGATGAGGAGATTTCTGCGGCTGCGAAGCGTGTTGTTGAGGAGGGCGTGAATGCCGCTGAGGGCGAATCCGTGTTTTGATTCATGAATCATGTGGTATTATTGACGGCATCGACAGTTCGACACAGGAATAGCATCACAGCCCAGACAACACTGGACCAATGCAAGAATTATGGAATTGGCCTGAAGCACGCCTATTCTAGACTAAAGTGTCTGTTTTATTTTGTTTACTCAAGGAGGGACTTCCACGTTTATATCCAACTAACGTGAAATTGCTTATGCCTAATTCTACGCACACACTAGCATGAACACAGTTAAGTACTGCCGCTGTACAGCAGAAAGTCAAACAAGTGAATGGCACTGCTTCGACAAAGTCATACCCAGGTCAATGTGTAAAGAGTAATAGATCGTGTCTTCATTATTATATATATAATAGGATGCAGTTAAGGTAACTAGATAAATCTCGCTATGCCAAATCAACTAAAGAGATAGGAAACTGTTGCTTAGCAGAGCGCACTAATTACCATCCTAGGGCGCGCTGCACCTAGTAACATCGACTTGCGGTGCCGTATCTCATAACTCGTTAGTTGGTAAAGCTCCAGGAAAACACCCAAAAAACATCGCTGATGCAAAAAAATGACCCAAGACAACTCGCCACCTGAAGAGCCCTAATGAAAAGACGATGATGCCTCATTTGTAAAAGAAAACACAAGGAAATTGCCGCCCGCCTCGACTAATTCTAGCCCTTGATAATGTCAAACAGAAACTGATAGCCAGGGGCCACCTGCTCGTCCCACGCCGGCATACCAGGCTTCAGCCGCATGTCGTGGATATGAGGGCCGTTGGGAACAGGCAAGAACCCGCAGCGGAGGCCCAGCCGGCTCATCTCGTTGTGAAACTGTGTGGCAGATCTGAACAGGGCAAGCTCGTCCGCGTCGCCGTGGATGATGAACGTGGGGACCTTGTACTGTCCTGCCCGCAGGCGGGCTGTTGGGCAGATGGCCGCCTGTCTCTCTGCCGCGGGAGCGTCTAGCACAACCTGTTCAACCTTTGTCTCGTGCTTCTGCGTGCCGTTCAACATGAGAGACATGGCGAATTCCCTCGGCTCTCTCAAAATGGAGAGAACCAGCTCCGACCGAGCATCGCCAGGCTTGACCCAGCCGAGCCCTGGCCCTTCCCCGTCGTGAATGACATCGTAGCCCGTGAGTGGGCTCGGCAAAAGATCCATCTGGAGGAGCTGCTCTCGTGACAGGCGCGGGGGGATCCGAGAGATGGTAGCCCGAGGCGAAAACACATCGGCTGCCAGCCAATCTGTGGGAGCATAGAAAACCAAAATGGCCTTCGGCGGGCTCATTCCTACTGCCTCCAGGGTCCAGGCAGTCGACATGGCAAGATGACCCCCTGTCGACCAACCGATAACGACGATCTGCTCCGTGTCCAGTACAATACCATGCGGGGCCACGATGGCTGGAAGCTTGCGCTTTGCCCAGATGTAGGCATCGCGGACGTCTGCCATGGCGCCATCTACGATATTGACTTCAGGACACAGTCGGTAGTCGAGGCTGACGGGCAGAATGCCATTCGCAAGGAGGTGGGCTGTTTGCGCAGGCCGAACCGAGTTCCGGGACAGAGTCATGTAAGCGCCGCCGTGCACCATCAGCGCAATCGGCATGGGCCGCCGGGACGATGGTTTGGCTGGTAGAAAGATGTCGGCTTCAATCTGGACGCCGTCCTCCTCCTTGTAGATGACCGTCTGCTTCTTGAACAGAGGCGAGGCAGCCAGTGGCCGCATGAAGCCCCCGTTCGGAGAGTCGGGAATGGTATAGTTGCAGCCAATCAGCAGCAGCTGTGTGTTGGCATCCTCGGAATCTCCGCGCGAGAACATGCCTGCGCCGAATCCGGCTTTGCAGAAGATGTTCATCCACGACTCCGCCGACTGCAGTGGGTACGAAGACCCGCCGTCGGCCAGCCACCAGCCCTCGAGCAGGCCAAAGACGAGATCAAGCCAATCCACGACTCGGGTGATTTCCGACAGGACCATGAAGCCGTCTCGGTTGAGCATCTGCCGAATCCGCCGCGTGGTGGCCACCCGGTCCCGCGTAGCGTGCACGCAGTTTGTGCCGAGAATAATGTCAAATTTATCCGTCAGATGGGCCGGCGGGTCATATTCGAGGTCGACCTTCTCAAAGAACATCCAGTCGCTATACTGAGAAAACCTGGTCTTTGCCTTTGCAACCATTGTTGAAGAGATGTCGGTGAAGATATACTCGACCTTGACAGCGCCGGACTTGTGAATTTTGGCAAGACTCTCGGCAAGCTCGGCGGTCGTGCCTCCTGTCCCGGCACCGACCTCAAGAATTCTCAAGGTTCTCGGCCGCTGGTCTCGAACAGCTGGGCTCTCAATGCATCCCGAAATAAAGGATATGAGCTGGCTCGTCAAGGTAGCCAACATTGGAGACTTGCTGTAGTACTCGGCTAGCAGGTCGCGGGAGCTCGCGGTTCCAAACAAGAGCTTAATGGGGTCGGCTTCGCCAGTCAAGCACTCTGCCATCTTTGTGCTTGTGATTGCCAAAAGGCGCGCCTCGACTGCATACGCCGGATATTTCTGCAAGAACTCAGCATGCAGCCATGCAGCTGGCTGAGCCGGGACGGCCTGACTGGTGCGGACTATTCTCGCATCGCCCCTGAAGCTGACGAGGCCGTGTCTCTCGACGATGCCCCATAGGCGCTCGACGACGTTGGAATGTTTGGGGCGATAGCTGATCTGCGGCACAATTCCCTCTTCGGAGAAAGACGACAGGTCTACGCCAAGCTTCTGGAATGCTTCCAGTATGTATGCGAGGCACAGCTTGCCCTGCTGAACTGCGACATCGTCCCAGTAATGCTGGAAGCCGCGGCTTTGTGCAGCAGCTTCAAACTGCGCGTCACAGGCTCGCAGTCCCGCTCTGGGATCCGTCTTTACGCGTGTCTCGAGCAGCTGCGTTGTTGGCGTCCTGATCTGCAGCTCCCGAGCATTAGACGGCAGGGCGGTGTTGGATTGGGCAGATACCAAAACCTCCAGAGGCATAGTTCGGGCTTCTCCAGGACTGACAGGCTCCCAGTCGTCCTCGTCGTCACCGTCAGCATCGTCGTCGCCACTGCCCACTGTCACTGTCCGGACAACACGAAGAAGTTCTTCGATCGTGGATTGCAATGTGATGTCGCTCGTGTCGAAGGAAGTCCCAATGGGGGAGGCGTCTGTCACCGATGACAGGATCTCAGTCAAAGCAAGAGAATCGACCCCAAGCTCTTCCAAAGTCAAATCTGCTTTGATGGAAGAAGCAGCCACCCCAGTAATTTCCACAAGCAATTCTGTGACTTTGCCCTCCCACAGCCCAGCAGTACCCACCGGTGGGAGGGGCGCTTGTTGATGCTTGGGCTTGGGCGAGGCCGTCTTTGGAGAACCAAGGAAGGCCCCCTTTGCTGCGGCAGCCAGTCTAGCACTCGCTGGAGCCTTTTTTGCAGAAACCCCGTACACGTGTTGTTCGAGTTGCTTGACAGTCATGGACAGGATATCTTGGCTGTCCATTGCTGCCGCTTGGTTCAGAATCCCCAGCTCTTCCGCCATCTCAGCGGCGGCAAGCGAGTCAAGGCCCAATTCGGCAAGAACTGCATCTCCGGGGATAGCCGAAGCCGCCACTCCCGTGTAAGTTTGCAGAGTGCTGCGGATATCTGGACTTTCTTCGTCTGAGGAGAGCTGGGTGTCCAAATCACTCACCGCCCAGCTGCTGTCAGAGTCCTGCCCATGGAAGCTGCTCGCCTTTTCTGAAAGAGAAGAAATGCCTGGTGAGGGATGCGATTGTGGCATCTCGGCGACATTGGGTCGAGCTTGGGTCTGCTTGCTGCCAGGAACTCGGTTTGTTGCGTCGAGCAGGCGTTCCAGTCGCGTTACGTCGAGTTTTGCGAACCGGCAGCCTGTGAAAGCCGCAGCAACGGACCCGTCGACCTCTGAAAACGCAAACACGTCGCCGATCACTTGTGACGAGCCTGTCGACGTGTAGGATGCGTGCACCTTCCAGGATTGGCAGTCCAACATGTTGCAACCGCTGGCAATTGCCGCATTGTCGACACCAGTGCAGATCATGACCTCGTTCTTCCCGACATGGTCGCTGGTATTCAAGAGAAGACCCACAACCTGAATGAAGCTGTCCAGCGACACGGCATCGCAGTCGCGGATGACAGTGCTCTCCTCCACACCGGGCTGGCCGGGGGGAATGCGAATCTTTCCAATGGCTTCTGTGCCGTTCATCGTGATGCTGGAGATGCCCTGCAGAAATCTATCGTAGGAAACTACGCGGGAGAAAAGGTCATATGCGCGCTTCTGCAACATCCTTTCGGCATCCTCGCTCGTTGCAAGAGTTCTCATTCGGCTATTCACAAGGCGTGCCATGGTCGCCAGCTTGGATGTGGATGACTTGGCCACACGACCCTTGGCGTGTAAGGTTGTCTTGTCCAGCTTACTTGAGCGGTTCCGGCTAACAATGCTGAACTCCCACTGCTGGGAGCCGGTAGAGCTGCTCGGCTCCTGAAGGATGACCCTGACGTCTTCTGCTCCAAGACCCAATGGCGCCTGGATGTCCAGGTCTTCAAACTCGAGTCCTGACTTGGGCAAGCCGGACCCAGCATTCAACAGGTCCAATGCCATGGCAGTGCATTCGAGATAGAACGAGGCAGGGCATAAGGGCCTGTTTCGAACAGAATGACCAGTTACCATGGTCCTGAAACGTTGGCCCTCGGCCAGAATGCTAAAGTGCTTGGTCTTGCCGGATTTGTCGGCCTCGGGCAACAGCGTGACAAGCTTGCGCCTCTGTTCAACAAGAACCGGCTCGCTCTTGATCTCAGGTCGCTCATCTAACTGCCGTTTTAGCACAGCCGCATGGTCAATGTTTTCAAGCCACGCAATAGTGGGGTCAAACTTGTACGGAGGGAGCCAGGTGGGACTTGTTGCGCGATCGGTTGGGAGGAATGACCAATGTGTGACGTCCAACGAAGATCGCCACAAGCCACAGACTGCTCGTGAGATGGCGTTCACGGGGGTCTCGTCATCCTTCGTCGACAATGCATGGAAGGTGTGGTCGTCCAACCGCAGAGCCGCCCTCTTTGTCATTTGCACGATTGTCGTATTCATTCCAGCTTCGAGCCAGACACAGCCACCGAGCTTTTCCTCGACGCGCTGAACAGCATTCGCAAAGAAGACGGGGCTCCGTGCCTGGAGCGAAGGGTTGTAGTTGGATTCACCCGGCAGGCGAGATGTCTCGGAGCAGAGCTCAATGGGAATACTGGGTGGCCTCCAGTCAAGCTCAGAGCTGATCTTGTCAAGATCTCCAAGAATTGGATCGACAAGGTGCGAGTGAAATCCATGGCTGGTGCCGAGACGCAAACACTTGACAGGCGGCAGCCTTGAGACAAGGTGAGACTCGAGTTCGGCAATGGCGCCGCTGTCTCCCGACACAACTTGGCTCTTGTCCGAGTTGTAGCAAGCAATCACAAGATTCTTGGCACTGCCGGATAGTTTGAGACTGGCAATAATATCTTCGACAACAGTCGGGCTGGCCATGACGGCGAGCATCGCGCCCTTTTCCTGGCCCCACTTCGTCTTCATCAGAGTTGCGCGGGTAGCGACAAGCTTCAGGCAGTCGCGCAGCGACAAGGTGCCGCTGACGGCCAATGCTGCAAGCTCGCCAAGGCTATGGCCGACCATGGCACTGGCTTTAAGTCCGGCCTTGATCCAAGTTGCGGCGCTGGCGTACTGGATCGCCACAGAGCCCGTCTGAAGAACGACAATGTCGGGTATATCAGTAGGCTGAAAGATTGCTGGCACAATTGAAGGAAACCCAAGATCTTTCAGAATGGTGTCGCACATGTCGACGTAGGTCCTAAACGTCGTGAAGCGATCATAGAATTCCCTGCCGAGATTGATAGTCTGCCTGCTTTGACCCCCAAACAGAAGCACGACAGGCTTGGGGGTAGACAGCTCGAGGGCCTCTTCTTGCCCGCTCATCAATGTCTTGATGAGGCCTGAAGTTTCACTTGCTTCAAAGACAACACGATGCTTGTGCTGCTGCCGCTTCTCGCTCAGCGTGTAGGCAAGTTCGGCAAGACTTGGTTGCGGGATTGCCTTTGTGAGGTAGTTGCCAAGAAGCGCTTGGTAGTTCTTCAGGCTCGACAATGACTTGGCACTGATGATGATGGGCTGTTTCATACCCGATCCCGGCTGCGAATAATCCTTTGACGATACTGCTGGAGCCTCGCAGCACAGGACAGCGGCATTCGAACCAGCGGCGCCGTACGAGTTGACGAGGGCGGCGCGGACGGGGGCGTCCCAAGTCGTCAAGGTCTTGGAGATGGTCATCCTATCAGGCTCGATGGCTGGTATCTTTGGGTTCCAAGTCTTGTGGCTGGCCTGGGGCGGTATGCTCCGATGCTCAAGCATGCAGATGACTTTCAGCAGACCAGCCACTCCGGCGGCAGTCTCGCAGTGACCAAAGTTTCCCTTGATCGAGCCAATGTGCAATGGAATGGCTCTTGTGGAACTCCCAAAGACGGATCGGAGGCTCAATATTTCAAGGGGATCGCCAGCCTGTGTGCCTGTGCCGTGGGCCTCGACAAACGTGACCTGGTCTGGGCTGATGCAGGCTTGTTTCAGCACAGAACGATATAGCTGAGACTGCGCATTGGATTCGGGAACGGTGAGACTGCGTGACAGGCCGCTCTGGTTTGTGGCAGCTCCAGAAACGACAGCCATGATGCGGTCGCCGTCGGCCTGAGCCTGTTTGAGGGACTTGAGAACAATGAGTCCAGCGCCTTCGGCCCGGCAGTATCCGTCTGCATCTTTGTCGAACGGCTTGCATTGGCCCGTCGGACTCAAGAAGCCACCCCTTCCCAGGTCGAGGAAGTTGTTTGCTCCCGCCATGACGTTGATGCCTCCAGCAAGAGCAATGCTGCATTCGCCTCCCTGGATCGCCTTCACCGCACGGTTAATCGCCACCAGCGACGACGAACAAGCCGTATCAATGACCTCGGCCGGACCGGTCCAGCCGAAATAGTAGGCCAGTCTGCCGCACAGGAACGCCCTCAGAGTACCGGTTGACGTGTGTGCGGTGGGTGAATGCGCACTTGTGTTATCGAGATACTCGACAAAGCTCGCGCCAACAAAACATCCGACAGCGTCGCCGCGCGATCGCACATGGGAGCGTGTGTAGCCGCTGCACTCCATCGCCTCGTAGGCGAGCTCGAGCAGAATGCGTTGCTGTGGGTCCATATTGATTGTCTCGCGGGCGTTGATGCCAAAGAAAGCGTTATCGAACCTGTCCACGCCGTCGACGAAATTGCCGTAAAACTTGCGGTTCTTGGTGAAGTTTCCGCTCTGCGAAGCCCGGTATCCGCCGTACAAATCAAAGCGGTCGGCCTTCACCTCCTCGTGTCTGTCCTGACCTTGAACGAGCAGATCCCAGAGCTCATCGAGATTGTTCGCACCCGGGAGACGGCATGACGCGCCAACGACGGCCACGGAGTTATCAGGATATTGAAAGCCACTGGACATCTCTGTGGCCGAAATGGTGGGCCCGGTCCTTGGTTCCCGGCTCCAATCCGATTTTGTGATGCGGAGGCCGAGCCTATCAAAAGGGGTCAATGGGACGCAGTCGCCAATGCCGAAGGAGACGACATTGTGCGAGATGGTGCCTGCCCTCCCAAGGTCCGCGGCAACGTTTGATAGGAGGCGAAACCAATCGCACTTTGACGCAAGGATGGCCTCGACGGACTCCCTAGTCAGAGAACATTTCTCGATGAGGTTCCCCGTTCGATTGGACCTTGCGGGGACTTGCAAGAGGTCTGACGCCGGGAAGTTGAGCAGCTCAGACTTTTCGCACAGTGTGGAGAGCTGGGCGGCCAGATGCACATTCTCTGGGCTGTGCATCTTGCCCCTGACATCCACGCTCTGAACCGTCAGCCCCTGCTGAGTGGCGCTGGCTTGCAGGCGAGAAATTTGTTTGATTGGCCCAGCGATGCTGATAGACTTTGGATCTGTGACAGCCGATATATATGTCTATCACGTTGTGAGCCCCTATACCAAGACATGGGCAACGTCGAGGACCGCCGTTTCGGGACTTACATGTGGAAACATGCCGACGAGCTCTTCGGCCTGGCCTTCTTTCTTGAGCCTGATAACAACGGTTGTGGTGCCCGGAATTCTCGAGTCATCGCCGAGCTCCGCATAGATGCCGACTGCGAATGCGAGACGGATGGCGATTGGTAAGGATTCGGCCAGCTCCTGGTCACGTGTGGCGCAGGAAAGGGCGAAAGCCGGTATCAGGCCAACGCAGTAGCCCTGGATGCCGCCGACATGGCAGGCCTGGGCGAGGAATTCAGAGTGCGTCAAGCTCCTGCTCTCGAGGAACTGAAAGTACTGGGCGAGTTGAATAATGACGAGCCTGGGGAGGGCTACAATGGGCGACAAGGCGGAGGCGGCAGGGCCCGACACGCCGTCGGCCAGCCATTGCGTGAGGAGGGGGACGAATGCTTGCGGCCCCTGGGAGATACGGGCGATATCAGGGTTGTCCCCGGCAAGGAGTGCCCAGACGCTGAGCAGCGAGGCGCCCGAGGCGATGTCACGGACAAGCGGGGCGAGCACGGCGTGTCCGAGGCAGAAGGCGCGTATGTCGTCCAGATAGGACGGCAACGGGGCGCGGATCAGGGGGCCAAAGACGGCGAGGGAGACGGCGGCCATCGCACAGGCTGAGGGTGCCAGTGGCTGGCTACCTAGAACCAACTGCCTTGGTTTTGCCTTGGCATCTGACTTTGTATGGTTCCGCCGGGTCGGGTCGGGTTTTGAGGATCGAGGGTCGGGATTTGGGGCTCAAGGGTCGGGGCTGCTCTATATATAAATGAAATTGGCAAGGCACCACGTGGGTGGTCGTCGAGGTCGCGTCTTATCAGTAGTCTGCCTTAGTTCGCTCTGTGGGTTTGCCATGGAAGTCGTCTGTCGTCGAGCTTGGGCCCTTGCTGATCTGGATTGGGATGAAATTGAAAATGGAACCTTGACTAATTCACATGTACGTACCATGTAAGGTAGGTCGAGGTGGGAATTGAGCCTCGAATCTCCCGTTGGTGGCACAATCCGGCGGCCAGGGTAGGTACCTTAGCTGGTGGTGGTAGTATACAGGATGAGGTGGGTGGGTGTGACCTGGTATGGAGACGAGCACCCACAGCCCACCAAGCACTTTGCTGGAGCATCTCGCTGGAGCACTCGCTGGAGCACTCGCTGGAGCACTCGCTGGAGCATGGCTGCAGGAGGCCACCTTGGGAGGAAGGTCCGAAATGGACACAAAGTCCACTGAGGCAAGCAAGGAAGGCACGTCTCTTGCCCGGTCCTAACCCCTTCCAGCATAGGGGCCGACGCGCATGCCGACCTGGTTGGACAAGCAGCAGAGCCTGCAGTGACGGGGAACGCAAAGAGCTCTCTTTGCGCCATCAACAACTTCCATTAATAGAGCCAAGACGACTGATCAACACGGAGGCGACAAGGACCGAAGCGGGCGCAAGCGGGCATCGTCGAGTTTGGCTAAGCCGTTGGTGATTCAACGAGAGAGTGGCAGGTGCGAGAGCGTCCCCGGGACAGGCAATGCCAATCGTGCATTTGCTTGGAATCCTTTGACGCAAACAGAATGATTCAGACCATTGGGACAACCGACGAACTCCGACGTACCTTTCTAGCGGCTGCAAAAAAATGGCGTACCGAGAGGGCCCGGGGGATCCAGAGAGCCGGGACTGAGGATGGGTGATAGTGGGGGAGCACAAGAACCAAGAGGGGTTGGGTGACGCGGGCGCGCTTCTCTCCACCTCTTTTTCCGCTTCCCCCCCCCCCCCCCTCCGGCACTCTGTACCTCCATCCTACGTCGACGTCAAACCTCCGATTGATTGACTGATTGACTGATGCTGATAGTGTACGACACCTCGAAGCAGTATCTTGCATCGCAGCGGCACTGCAAGCCATGCCTCCGGTATCCTGGCGTGCGCCCATTGCCATTGCCATCGCCATTGCCAGGACATGCCATGCCATCCTCGATACCAGTCTATCGTGCAGCAGCGAACCACTGCCGGCCACGTATGACACGTACGGGTTGTTGAGGGGCTGCTGGGTCGGATGCACCCGGCCGGGTCCAGCTTTGTTTAGCCAGTCTGCTGCATCGCCGACTGACCTGCCTAACGTGGAAAGCAGCAACTTGACAGGTCACCTCGCCTCACCTCGCCTCCGCGGCGGTCGAAATCCGGTCCGCTAGGTCTGGCCGAGGTGGACGGTCGATGGCGGACGGCATCGCCAGTGGGTTGAGGTGGAATTTTTTCCATGCAAACTTGCGTGCTTAGAAATGCCTACCTCTTTCGGTCCCCAGGCCTCAGTTCCTTGACCGGATGCGAAAGCGAGCAGCCGTGATAGGTGCTCAAGCTAGATTGCGGATTTAAGAGTCAAGACCGAGCCAAACCCTTGTTTTCTTTCTTCGATTGATTTGTTGGTCGGCTGGTCCCACCTAAATAGCTGTGATCACCGAGCGAGAACCCCGCTCACGGCCAGTCGTGGAACACTTCTACTGGCAAACAGAACAGGGACGGGCGTAGCCCGGGAAGATGTGAGAGAATCCCAAGGTCCCAGGTTCCCACCTCGCTGGAGACGAGCGTCCCAAAGATGGTGCCATGTGCCGCCATGCTGGGGAGAGTGAGACTACAATCGGTGGGAAGCGGGAGAGAGCCGTGCGTGTCTCTGCGCCACAAATCCCCTCGCTCGGGCCTCCCCTGGTGTTGGCATCGAGTCCCGACGGGGCGGCACCGTCTTCAGCATGGCGAACAGGCTAAGGTAATGTGGTGAAGTGCCCGGCGCGGTACCTCCGTACCCCCTCGTCGAATTGGGCTTGATGTGCTACGACATCGGGTACGGGAGGCTCGGGGTAAGGCTCCTTCCCACCCCTCCACCCCTCCCGGGCCACCCAGGAAAACGGTCTGGCTGGCCCGCCATACCCCGCCAGCGCCCAATGAGAGCCTGCGGCACGGACCACGTCGGTTGAGACAGTGGTCCACTCGGCCTGCAACAGAGCGCTCTGCCCGGTGATTTGGGTCGCCCTCCTATTCAAAGTCCTTGACGTCTTGCTGCAGGCGATGGCGTATCGGACGCACAACAGTCCACGATGCGCGGGATATTTGGACGCGAGAGTCGGCGATGCCAGAAACCCTCTGCCAAACGCCCACACTATGCATTCTACTGTGCTCGATGCGAATTGCCCAGGATGAGGAAGCGGCTTGGCCCCATACAGGCAAGCCGAGCCGAAGCGCTAGTCCCTTTGGCCCGAGCCGTCCGCACCGAGATTTGCTGATGATGGACGTGGCATGGGAACGTCTTTCTTTTCTTTTTTTCGTTCCCGCCTATCTGCCCGCCTCTGCCCCCTTCGCTCCACTCCGTCTGGGGGACCCGCCCGCACTATTCCCAAAGCTAGAAGAACCGTTCGGACGACGAATACTACACTACGTACAGTTAGACTACGTACAGTTAGACCAGCATGCTCGTCGTACTCTTTACCGCGTGCAGCAAATATTATACCTTATTGATCCCATCTCCCATCCCCACCTTTCCCCCCACAATCCAAGCATCCCTTCACCGCTCCGAGTGACACGAGACAGCACAAATCCCTGTGATGTGCCTATCTATCTGCTGGCTGCTCCTGCTCCTGTCGCTGCTCGCTGCTGGTTGCTGGTTGCTGCGTCGCCCATGGCGCGAGAACTAGACCGAGCATGGAGCCATTATTGCGTGCATAACCCAGTATTCCGGGGGGCGAGACCGGCCGTAGCTGCCTGTCCATGTCCATGTTGGCCGTACTCTTTGGAGCGCGCTGCACGTCAGTCGTTAGAAGCGGAGAGACGATGATCATCGTCTTGGCACGATAGCGATAACGCAGTTCTCGGGAATGCGTCCACGCTCAACGGCATGCAATACTCGTGGGGTTCTTGGGTCTTGGAGTGTGCCAGCTAATGCTGCCGAGGAGGCAGGAGTGGAGGCTTCCGACATCCGCACTCGTCACATTCCCAGCGCCCAGCAGCAGCCCACAACCAATTTGTCACGGCGTCCATCCTCAGACTTGGTTGCAGACGGAGTATTCCGTCCAGAGCCCACAATTCACGCAGGTCTGGTCTAGGTCCAGTCCTAACCAAAGCAGATGCCGCCCGCGTCAGCAAGTGATGACTCGGTACGGATACTGTACCAGAGCGAGCCGTGGGTTAGTTCACTCGTCCCGCCCATCCAGACGCTCCGAACCCGCTCATGCGCCTCTAAAGCTTAGCAACCTACCTACCTACCTTTGTCAAGGGCCCATGGGATCATCCAAGACCTACCCTACCCTGTTACGGCCATATATCCACCACGTCATGCTGCAGCCGTATGCAGCCGCCGCCCTTTGTGGGAGAGTCTGAATTGATAGTTGCAAGCCGTGCAACTAAACCCTAAACCAGACACGTTACTGTGGCTCTGGTCCCACCTCCAAGGCGCTGCTCTGCAGCTTCACATCGTTCGCTCGCCGGTCGTTGGTAATAATTAAGGCAGCATTTCCCAATCTGAGTGCCGAGGGTGTGTGGCCGTTGCGCGGCAGCTACTTGTAGTTGGATTGCTAAGTTTGTTAGTTCCCGTCTCGATGGCTTAGTCTAATGCCGAGGGAGTTCTTGAATCAGCGATGTTGAAGTCTCGACGCCAAACGCATTTACCGACTTTCCAGCGGCTGCAGTGTAGTTCTTAGATGCTGACGGTGATGGCTATTCGTGCACCGCTACACAACAGTACATACGCTAGGACAACCAGACTTGGACAGTAGAACGAAGCGTTGCAGTTTCCAACCACCCACCACGTAGTCAACTCGGACGGACTTTACCCCTTATGTGAAACGCTGGTCAGATAGGCTGATGCAAACTCCCTCCATACCCAGTCGAGAAGTTAAGCGAGACTAAGCATATCATGCAAATCTAGAACCCGAGATTTTCAGTCTGATGGCTGCCAAAGCCCGAGAGTTCGACGTTATTAGCCAAGTACTTTCAATACAAAGAAAAATCGTTCATCTCTACTTTTAGGTAGAGGTTCTAATTTCTGTCGGCGAATTAGCGCAGTTTAATTTGCCTGATTGGAATCCTTTGACGCAAACAGAATGATTCAGACAGACTATTAGAGCAACCAACGAACTCCGAGGTGGCTTCCTAGCGGCTGCAACAAAGAGGCGAGGCGAAGCGAGGCGACCTGTCAAGTCGATGCTTCCACCGACCGGTACCGAAGCAACTCCCTTCTAGCCGAGTTGCTCCGAGCCTCATTACCAAGAGTTGATCCCGTTGGCTTGGCACAGAGATAAGCTAGCTATGACAACCTCCTCGGGGCTGTGTGTGCTACACTACTGCTTTAACTAACGAGAAAATGGAGAGAGGATAAAAGAAGAGAGGAGAGAGGGTAAAAGAAGAGGAGAGAGGGTAAAAGAAGAGGAGAGAGGGTAAAAGAAGAGGAGAGAGGGTAAAAGAAGAGGAGAGAGGATAAAAGAAGAAGAACCAGAAAGAGAAAATGGAAAGTTGAAGACTTGGCTTTACAAGCAGCACTGATGCGGCTAACGTTGATGACTTTTTGCTCAAAGTTGGATCTGATAAGCAGCAAGTTGAAAGATATCAAGGTAAGAAGAACAAACCGCAACCATGATTTCGCCAACACGCCACAGCCAAGCCATGTTCGTAACATTCGTGACTAATGCTGATTCCCATCCTGCGCAATGAAAAGGCAATGAAAAGGCAATGTCAGTGAAAAGGCAATGCCAGGCAAAAGCAGACACCAGAAAACGAGAAGAAATGAAATAGAAAAGGATTGAAAGACAGTGAAGCTGAAGAGAACAGGCCTGCCTCATTGGATACCCAATGAACTCTGACACGGGCCCCAAGTAAGATATGTCCCATTTTATCTACCTCTCCCGTCCAACTTGATTCATCTCAACTATCCTACCTCAAGCCATCAACACAACCCAGCACAGCACTACCCCTGTTGTCATTGCAACTCAAATATGATCACCTACCAGACAGACAATTAGACTCATTCAATCATCAACCTCGGCAATGTGTGTGGACGCTCCAAACCCAAAGAAGCCAGAACCAGAACCGGTGCTAAGAAAAGAAAAAGAAAAGAAGGGAAGAAAAAACAGGAAGGGAGAGAAGAAAATCACAAAAACAAAAACTCAACCTCCCCCCAGCTCACAAACTCGCCATCGAAAAGCAGCGACCCCTGCACAGAGCGGACGAGGTTCTCGCGCGCAGCCTCTGCGTCGCCGGCGCGCTCGGCGATGCGCGCCGCGTGGTAGCGTGCGCAGCGCGCAATGGCGCGAGCGCGAGTTTTTTGTGCTGTTGATGTGGATGTGGATGTGGATGTGGATGTGGATGATGGATTTGATTGTGAAGGTGAGCGTGGATTTGGTTGGGGATGTAACCCTATCAATCGTACTGTGTGACTAGAACTGGACGATGTAGGGAGTGGTTGCGGTGACGCTGGCGATGGTTGCGGGTTGTTATTGCCGCCACTGGTAGCCTGCTGCTGTGTCCCTGACATATTACCACCAGCTACACTCATGCCGCTGGCGGTAGTAGTATCCAGCGCCAGCAGCGGCCGCAGACACTCTACAGCCAGCGCATCGTCGCGCCGCCTTGCCAGCGCCCACACGGCGGCGTCCAGTGCCGCCGCCGGCGGATCTCGCTCCGTCCCGCCGTAAGCCGCGTAGCGCGTGTCTGCGAACCCCGGCGGAAAGGGGAGGGTTGAGACAGATGGCGCGGTGCTGCTGTTTGCTGGCGGCGGTTCCGGCGTGCCGCTGTCTAGCAGCGGGTATCCGTCGCGGTCCTTGTCGAGCAGCAGGACGGCGGCAGCGGGCAGCACCACGCCGAGCCGCTGCACCATGCTGTCGAGCACCGCGGCCAGGAAGCGGCCCGCCGACTCGGTGAAATCGAGGTGGCTTTCTAGCACTAAAAGCGGACGGGGCGTTGCGGCGGCGCCCGTGGGAGATGCAGGCGGTGGCACGGCGCTGCTGCTGCTGCTGCTCCTGCTGCTGCTGGCCCTCTTGTCGTGACTCTGCCCGCCGTGACTCTGCCCGCCGTGATGCTGCGGAGGGTACCGGTGGATGCGGAAATCCTCGCCGGTCCCCGCCATGACGACATCGCCGCCGCCGCCGCCGCCGCTGCCGCCGCCGGCGTCCACGCAGCCACTTCCCTGCGCGTATTGCGGCGGCAGCGCAACGCAGGCGGTGTGCACGACGGTGGCGAGCTGGCGCGCGGTGGCGGCGAAGGGGTTGTGGAAGGGGCTCGCGTGGCCAAAAGCGTGGAAGAAGTTGACGAGGTAGAACAGGCGCACGCCGATGATCCCCGCGCTGGCGGGCTCTAGCAAAGCAAAGCTGCGGTTGAGCGCGCGGAAGCTGCGGACCGCGGCGCTGCCGGCCGCCGTCTCGGCCTCGATGAACCCCCGGTACATAGCCAGCTTGTACCGCAGCGTCATGATCCACTCCTGCGACCGCGCGTTGCGCAGCCAGTACTCGGTCGTGCCCCACGCCTTGTCGCCGTCCTCGAACAGCACCGTGTGGTAGGCGCGTGTGAGGAACTTCTGGAATACCTGCAGACCTTCCGCGCTCTGCGGCGCTGGCGCGCTGGCCGGGGTGGCTGTTGTGTTTTGGTAGTGGTGGCTGCTTTCGTCCTGCCGCGGGAGGGGTCCGGGTTGGTGGTGTGAGTAGTGGCTCGCCGACGGAGATATTGGCGTTCGAGAGGCGGCAAGGGCTGGAGCCGGGCCGGGCCCCGGCGACGACGAAAACGCCGACGGGGCAGACGAGACCATGGACGACGAAGACATGGGCGAAGTTGTCACGTCGAGATACGTGTCGATAGGGGCAAGCCCGCCGCCATGTCTGTAGCTAGCCGCAGCCACACCGGCGGCGGCGGGATCTGGGGCGGGCGAGGGCGTTCGACAGGCAATCTCCCTGGCGGCCGCGGGACTGAGGTGGGGCGCCGTGTCGACGAGCCGCGGGATATCGAGGCCCTTTCTCCTGACGTACGTATTGACGCGGTCCCAGTCGACCTCGCGCCCGCGGATCGTGTAAGTCGCCGCGGCCGCGCTCTTGCCCGCCCGCTCCCGCTCCCGCCGGAGCCGGAACAGCTCGACCACCTCCGACTCCTTGAATTTCTTGTCGAGGCCCCACGACTTTATCCGCGTCTTGTACATTCGCTGGCTGCTTCCCGGCGCGGTTACATGTTCATCATCAGCAACCCCACGATACACCCTTGGTATTTTGTTCTTTATCTCCCTATGTTGTAAAAACGGAAAGGATGGTGAGGGAATCTTCTTACGTCGCTCGGAACCCATGCCGGTCTTCCATGACCTTCATGACATCCTTGAGGGGCATGTTCTGGGCCTGGTAGAGCTCCTGGATGGTCGCCCGGTGCGTGTCCCACTCATCGCCGGCCACCCAGCCAGCCGTCGGCTGGAGGTGCGGGCCGTGGTCAGCTTGGTCCATGTCGACGTGTTCTGCTTGACATCACTTCGCTACATGACATGCTCCCCAGAGACAGGACGATGCGGCCGAGGAGGGGCAAGATATGTGGAGCCAAGCGGTGTCGCGAGCGAGCGTGGCTTCAAAGTTCGTTCAGCCGGCTATCCACTCGGCTCCCGTGCTGCGCCACCGTCTAGCTCGACATTGGATTTGGCAGGGCGAGTCGGAGGGGAGGAGGCCCAGGGCCAGAAGGGGGGCCGGCAGGCAGGCTGGTTTTTGGGCGGCCGCAACATGCGAGACCGTGTTTACGTTGGAGGCCTAGAGTCATGTCGTAATTAGGGAGTCAGTCGGGGACGCGTGTTTATTAGCACTTCAATCAGTATTCAGCAACACGGGCTCCTGCTCCTGGGCCCGCCGGCGCCCGGCATAATTCGAGGCCATCCTCATCACGGCCGTTGGCTCGTTGGCCTAACCCAAAGAGCATTGGATGAGGCTTGGGGAATCCTCCCTTAGTGTGGAAACTCACAGGTCGTGTGGGATTGACCCCTTGGCTCGTCGTGTTTTGGCCGCAGAAAGGCTTGTTTTTATCATCCCTTGTTGATATGAAACAAGAGGCTTCCGCAGTTAGGCTGAATTTAGCTATGAGCTCTTTTTATCCCTCTCCTCCCCCTCAGAGAGAGAAATCCTTCGAGCTAGGCCATTCCAGGGAGGCGTGTGGTAGCAGTCTCTGGGGTTGGTTCAGGTTGGGTATGAGCCGAGTCGAGCACTGCCACCGCACGAGGCAACTGTGGTTAATTGGGCAGCAGCATGGGCTTGCGTCCGCCCCGGGTCCCGCACGTCAGCTTATTTATAATACCGGGCAGTCAGCACGCACATGGACCCGGGTGGTCGAGTTGAAAAAAGGCAGCAAAAGTCCCTGGGGCTCAAGTTTACTCGTGGAATTGCCCTTGCACGGTGCATCGCCGGTGGCAAATCCGGCCGCCGCTCGTATTCCGTGGGGAGAAACACAGCGTCTCAGGGGTCTTACCCTCCCTTTGCCAAATGGCACGAGGTACGGCCAGAGGCCTCCTCTACGGTGGCCTCTTCGGTGGCCTCCACCTCGAGTCTGCAAAAGCCCGCTTTGAGCCAACGCCGGATGTGGTGATGGGGCAAAGCCTCGCCTTCGGGCCCCACAACCTCCGCCCGATGTTTTATTGAATACACCGCGCCGGCGACCCTGTGACGAGGGCGACCGCCCATGACTAAAGATCAAGATGGCTCGAATCCGGCCCCCAACCGGCAACTATTTATCCGGATGATGGAACGACGGCTCACAGCGATCCGGGGGTTCCCATGTCGCCAGTGGCATACATGTAAGACGACGTTGGCCGGGACAATGCGGCCGAGTAAACATGGCGCACGGATCGGAATGGCGGCGTCTAGTGAGGAGTGAGGCGTTCATGCAGAAGGCTAGGTACCTTACCTAGAGCTGAGCTATGGGTCTATGTGTAGCAGCGGCGCAGCGCACTGACGTTGTGCCTTCCTTGCTCGGATGACATTGGGACTGCAGAAACAAGCTACTCGCTCTGCTGGAGTAGGCGGGGAGGTAGGGGTGCCGGGTAAGCAGATCGGCCGTAATCCTCCGCCCGAGACCCGGCTTGGTGAGTCCAAGACGGGCACTTATGATTTGCCCCGGTTGCCCTCGGCCTTAGTCTGGCGAACTGCAACGTCCTTTTGCTATCTACCAGGCGTAAGATGCCATGCGAGGTCTTTGCGGGTGCACCATATTGGTACTTTTGCAGCACAACTACCTTCATGTTTGGCGCAATCTCAATTCAAAGTTCGTCCAACATGGGCGACCAGAGATGTGGCTAGACACGAATGAATGTACTTGTTCGACAGCGGCAACGGCACCGACGACGGCAAGCAGAACCTCCAATTTGATTTGATTTGATTCAGCCACGGGCCCCAACGCCTCCAGTCTGCATCGTCGTGACTGAGCAGACCGCATAATCAGACCCTGCTCTGTTTCAATGTCTCCTAATTACGGCCGGGCAGAATTTGGCCCCCATAAATGGGCCATAATTAACTTCCAACCAGCAGAGAGACAAAACCAAAGACACCCGGCAGTGAAATCTAACAGAGGAAACGATTCCGCCCCGCGAGGCCGACGGGAGAGGCCTTGCCGAAGAAATCGGTCATTGAATGAGCCACATAAGCAGACGCCGCTCTGTTTTCATGTCTCCCGTGGCTGGGCAGAATTTGGCCCCCATACATGGGCCATAATTAACTTCCAACCAGCAGAGAGACAAAACCAAACAAGCCCGACAGACAGTAGAATCCTACGGTAGAAAAGATTACGCTCCGCAAGGCCGACACGACAGGCTCGACCTTGCCAAAGACACCGCACATGAGAACCAGCGGCGCGTTTGAAAGCGGCAACAACGTCCTCTGCGCCCCCAACGGCAACGAGCCCCTAGCAACCACGTCTGTACCCTGCTGGATTCGCCCAAACCGAACCGAATCGGGAGACATGGGGCCTGCAAGGGGGCCGGATTCCCGTTTTGGTATGAATGAACAGTTAGCAGCCAGCATGGGTTGATTCTGTGGCGCGAGCTTCGGGCCGACGACGCCAAGCAAGTATACCGAGTCTGCCTTCGAAAACGCCAGACAAACACAAACCAGCGCTATTGAAACACACGAGGCGGAGTGAGCACATGCAATCAGGTGAGTGAGTACCTAGCTAGTTACTTCGTACGTAAAACGAACAAGACTGAGAATAAATTAGGCGCGGAGGGCTCCGCACTTCTCATTCGACTAAGCAGTTAGCAATGTACCGCCCAGGCGCGGACGGTACACATATGACGATACTCAATCCCTGACGCGTTCCGTTCATTGAGCTCGAGGTGAACACGACAGTGATTCATTCCTTTGACCCGTTGACCTCGAAGTAAGGGGTCTATCAGTCTACCCACCTGCCAGATTGCATTAGCCTAGCCACACAGCCCACGTGTCTTGAATATTGAAATGGGAAGCCTGGCACGGCAATTGCAAACTGGGCAGGTAATTAGCTGTCGCCTTGAAAGGCTGTGCGTGGTTTATGCCGAGCGAGATCCGAAGGAGGAAGGCGCCTTGGAGTCTGCCTTGCCATTGCGGTTTGTGCGAGCCCTAACAAAGCGCCCCTCCCACAAATTGGGGACGGCAAGGCAGAGAGCCAGCGAATACGGATGCAGCTCCCTAATAACAATGACAATTGTGTGCCCCTGGCCTAGTCATACAGAAGGATTCCAGAACAAAAGGCTCCAAGCCATCTGGGTTAGGTTTCCCGTTGCCAAGGCTGCAGGACAGAGGCAGGAACATAATGAACAAATCAAACCAGAGCGACCAGCTGTTCGATCCCGTCTAAACTCTATGCTAGGTTAAGAGACAGATGGCTAAGATAATCCAGAAAACCTCGCTATCCAGTACACCGTATCCTGCTCTCGGCGGAAAGGTAACAAAAAAGTAGCCCATGGGAAAACACTACTAGAGATCGTCGTGATGCTGCGCCAGAAACTCGGGCGGCACTTCGTTCTCGCTGTCTTCCCTACTCAGCGTTGGACTGTCATGATCCTGTGGCAGGGTCACAAGAAGGTCCGCCGGTACTTCGTTGTCGCTCTCTACGTTCTTGTCTTCGTGTTCGACGTCTACAAGCGTAGTGATATTGCCTCCGGAACCCGAAACGCCTCGCTGAGGAGAGATTCCGCCGAGCCGTGAGACCGAGGTCCTCACGCTGGCAGAGACTCCTAACTGAGGCGTAAGCGTGTCGAGTTCATCGTGTTCATCAACGTCGCCGCCGCTGTCGTGGTCGATGTTATATCCAGCAGCCCGCAGCGCATCGCGCAGCATGGTGTCTGCTTCTCTAAATGCCTCGAGCTCGGCGCCAATGGCACAGATTAGGAGGTTCCAGCCCTTTTCTTCGGCCAGATGCAATCGCTCATCAAGTGCCGTCATAACTGTAGCCATCTTGTCAAGCTGGGCAAACATCGCTTGCTCCGGGGTTGGTGCATGCATCTTGCCCTTGCTTCCGCCGCCGCCGCCGCCGTCGTGGCCGTTGACTGTCATCTCGCTCCGGAGATCGGCTTCAAAGTCTGCGACAAGCTTGATAGCGCCTCTCCAAACCTCGACGCCTTCCTCTAGTGCGCTTCGTTCCTTGTCTACGTCGCCCTTGCGCCGCTCGAGGAGGGCTACCTCGCTCTCCCACCACTCCTTGGCCATCTCGACCGTCCGCCGTTCGGGGCGCATGCGCAAAAACTCGGTTCCTCCAGGCGACTGCATCCCCGCGTCTTGATCGCCGTTCTTGCTGCCGTCCTCGGTCCCGTGATCCTGTGGCCCGGCGATAGCCTCAATATCGAGCGGCTTGACGGGCGGTCTCTTCAACATGGCCAACAGTTTGCTGTCAACCTCCTTCAGGGCGCCCTTGTAGCCGCTCAGGCCCGCCTCGCGGCGGTTCCTGACGTCCAGGATCCTGCCATCAAGCCACCGCTTCCTATTACGCAGGCCCACGAGCCGCTCCTCCAGCTCGGCGATCTCGGTCGTGACGCTTCCGTGCTGATCACCCAACTCGCGCAGCTCCCGGGCCAAGGGCTCCTCGTCGTCCGATTCTAGGATGCGCAGCTCTTCCGCGATCCCTTCCTTTTTGGCTGAGAGCCTGCGCAACTGTGAGAGCGCCTTCTTGCGCGTGCTCAACGCAGCTGCCAGGTTCACATCCTCTTCGGTTTTGAGGTCTGCCAGCAATGCAATGTTCCGAGCCAGTCCCGTGCGTGCCGCCCGCAAGCCAAGGGGTTTCTTACGCGGCTGTCGCACGGGGATTATCTCGCCGGCCGGAGTCGCGCGCGTGGGCTGCTCGACAAGGATGTGTGATCGGCGCGCGGTGGAGCCGTCAGTGTAGAGGGACCCCGTGGGTGTGCTGCTCCCCGCATCGCTCGCGTTGGAGCGTGCGCTCGACGGTGGAGCGCCGTGCGGGTCCAGATTCACGGCCAGACCCGCCGACTGCGCGTCAAGGAGGTACTGGAGCTCCTTCTGGAGGGCGTTTTCGCGACGCTGCAGGTTCCGCCAGATAGCATCGGGCTCGTATTCTTGTGCCTGGCCCCTGGTGCGTACGGACGAGCTCCTATCGAAAAGGACGCTGTTGACGTTGCGGGCAAAGGACGAGGCCTCGAGGTTACGGGGCGCAGCTGAAGCGGCCCTGTCCTCCTCGTCTCGGTAGAACACCCGTGACGCCGCGATTGGAGGAGGCGGGCCCGCGAACAGGACCCGTGGCCTCATCTTAGAGGAGGATCCGGCACTGCTCACGTTGTCGCTGAGTCCTGCCGAAGGAGACGCGCTGCGATAGCGCGACGAGGAACCTGGGCCCCGGGATGGCGGCTTAGGGGTTAGGAGAGGTTCTTCAGGGCGGGGAGAGAGATCGGACAAGTCATACTCGCTGGGCTTCTTGCGAATCGGAGAGCCTGGCGGGTTGTGGAAAGGGAGGACGGGAATGTCGCTACGCGAGAAGCGAGGAAGGAAGGAAGATTTCGTGGTCATCTTGTGGTTTGGACTCGCTGCCGGGTGAAATGCTCAACTATTGAAGGGTGCCTGCATCAGTCAGCGCGCGCACTTCGCGGAATAGCAGTGTAAGACCTAGAGCAAGAAGCACGAGGTGTACCCAGACAACGTGTCCCATGGCCTGCTGCCTGCGGAACGAAGAGGAGCTCGCAGCTCTCAGCTTAGTTCTAGAGAATGCAGCCAACACTCCGTGTAACAGTGAGTCAACGGTGAGGTCGGACGAATGACGACCGATTATCAGGTGAGATGGACGTTTGCGAAGTGTATAGACGGTTGGAGGCAGATGACGATGCTCGGCTCTTTCTGCCACACACTCTAGCAATCGAAGCTCACGAGCAGTTGGCATGTGCTCCCTCCCGCTGAGACCTGCAGCAATCAGTGGTCTCAGCGACATCGCTATTGGCTGGGACACCAACATGTGGGGCCCAAATCCTCCGTGTGGGTCGCCAACGGTGGGTGGCTTGAGGCTCTGCCAAGCCCAGGCATCCCAAGACCCAGGTCACCTCAGTCAACCCCAATCTCGCCTTACCTCCGGGTCTACCTTGGTGCTGGCGGATATTTCGACTGGTTGAAACACGTACCGTGCGTGATAATATATTGAACGTCGCAAATTTGTCTGGCCCAAGGTTGCCAGCTCAAGTGGAATCGAACCACGGTCAAAGAGGGACGAGGTGTTTGTCGGCCCACGTTTTTCGCTTTCCCGAGGCCAAGGGCAGATTCTGTACGTGTGACTGTATGAGCGCGTCTTTGAACTCACATGGGTCGACATTCGTTTGGCTGTACTATATTGAGTGCAAACTACAGTTTAGCCGATGAAACCCGTGGATAATCCCCGAGCAACAAGATTATAGATGTGTGCACTGGTGGTCACCTTAGGATGCATTCCAGGGCAGTTATGAAAGTCTATTGTTAAGGACTGATGTACCAATGTTTGGCCCTTGTCCGTATTTTCCCCCTGAACTGAACACCCACTCGCCCATGTCCTCTTAGCGGCGAAGGGCAAAGATGCGTTTAGTCTCTACGCGAAGCAAACAACCGCCATACCCACGCACTTCCCACATAACCTCGCAGAGGAAAGCCAACTACAATTCGAATTTATTGTTGTCCAATTCCAAGGTGGTTGACATCGGCCTTGACAATACGCAGGGTATTGGTGTTGCCCATGCCGCCCTGTATACGTGTTAGCAACACTTCCGAGGTATTTGTAGGAACATGCGTGTATCTTACCTTCCAGCCCTGCACAACGACGACGGTCTCGTCCTGGTTCAGGATGTTGAGGCCAATGGCATTGCTGAGTCCCCACTTGATGCGGCGATCAACATCCTCTTGCCAGTTAACCTTGGTGAAGTCGGGCTTGGCCTCGGGGAAGAGGAAGGGGTAGACGCCGCGGTAAAGATGGGCGTATCTGGAGGCCGAGGGGCTGCGGGTAATCATGATGATGGGGCACACGGGGCGGTACTTGGATAGGAGGCGAGCCGACTCCCCGGAAGTCGAGAGCACGAAGATGGCAGAGGCGTTGAGATCCAGCGAGGCCCGAACAGCAGCCATGGCGCAGGACTCCGTGATGGACACTGGCCGCTTAACGAGAGTGCACAGCTCTTCAAAATGACTAACGTAAGGGATAGTGTTTTCGGCCTTCAAGCACGCTTCGCTCATCTCGCGCACAGCCTCGTTGGGGTAGATACCCTTGGCTGTCTCGCCGGACAACTGGAAACCAAGTTAGCCTCTCTGATATAGAGTAAAATCGGGAACGATCTTTCTTACCATGACGCAGTCGGCACCGTCCGTAACTGCGTTACCGACATCGCTGATCTCGGCTCTGGTGGGTCTGGGGTTCTTGATCATGGACTCGAGCATCTGTGTTGCGCAGATGACTGGCTTGCCAGCAATGTTGCACATGGCAATAATCTTCTTCTGGGCTGCGAAAACCTCAGCCGCGGGAATCTCAATGCCCAAGTCACCACGAGCAACCATCACACCGTCCGTCTCAGCCAAGATCTCGGCGAAATTGTTGAGACCTTGACGGTTCTCAATCTTGGCAATGATCTGGATGTGGGCACCGTCCTTTCCAAGCACTTCGCGGATATCCTTGATGTCCTGGCCCCGACGGATGAAGGCTGTTGCGGATATTAGCATACGGCTTAACAATCCAGGAGGCATGTCACCGTTTGGCATGGCACATACAGGCAAACACCATATCGACATTGTTCTTCACGCCGAACCGCAGATCGTTCTTATCTTTCTCTGAAAGAGCGGGAAGATCGACATCTGTGTTGGGGAGATTGACGCCCTTGCGCGACGAGATGAAACCATTGTTTCTCGCCTTGACCTTGACGGTCTTGTCGTCTGTGATCTCAATCACGTCGAAAGCCAAAACACCATCGTCAACGTAGATGATGCGGCCTGGCGTAATCACCTTGGTGATGTTCTTGTAGTCGACATACCTGGGGAAACGTTAGCTAATATAGCCCTAGTGATGGTAAAAAGCATAGATAACCAACATGTTCTCCGTGTCACACGAAGTGGCGTATTTCTCATCGGTGGTGAAGTTCATCACGGTACCGGCAGCAATAGGGATGTCGGCATCGCCGGTCGTGTTGCCGGTACGGATCTCAGGTCCCTTGGTGTCAAGAGCGATCGCCACTTGGCGGCCCTTCTGGGCCTTCTCCGCAGCACGGGCATTGTCAATCACCGACTCTGCGGTGGGCTAGCGTCAGCGGGTAATATATTTAAAATAGGGATCATATTAGGACGGCCCCATTCGCGCCCGTGGCCCATCACCACCACATGTCCAGGTTGCACGTCAGGCACGTACGGTGATATTCATGGCTGCCGTGGGAAAAGTTCATCCGCACAACGTTCAAGCCAGCCTCGCGGAGCTTGTTGATCGCCTCGACCGAGTTCGTCTTGGGACCAATAGTGCAGATGATAGATGTCCGACGCAGGTTGCGCTCGGGCTGGAAAGCAGTGTCGAGCTGGGCAAGCCAGTCGATTCTGCCGCCGAGCTGGAGGTGATCCAGAGCCGTGGCCGCCATTCTAACGACTATCTGGTCCGAAAAGAGGTTTCGGGTGTGGTTGTGGGAAGCCTAATAAGGCAGGCTCTGGTCGCTAGGAGGGGCAGAGCAGATGGTGGTGGGGGGACGTAAAAATTCCTGTTGCGAGGCCTTTTTAATCAGCAAACCGGTTCCGATCCGGGTGAGAGGTTTTCGGGAGATGAAAAAAAAAACCAGTTCGATCAGCTGCAGGCCAGCGGAGATAGGCGAGTGAATGGCTGAGGCAAAAGCAGAGCCAAGGGATGATGCCCGAAAGTCACACGGCTGTCGAGTTCTGAGGTAGCTCGAAAATTGCCCCTCCTTCGGTTGGGTCCCGAAGGAGCAACCACCGCAGGCGAAGCCGGAACAAATGCGGTGAAAAACACCAGCCGTCCGGGGATAGCAGAAAATGGCAAAGTTTGAGAGAAACGTACCTGGGAGATGATCGATGTCGGTCGGAGTGTGGAGAGGTTGATTGATGGAGGGAGAAGGGAGCAAGAATGAAATTTCGACGGAGTTGTGCTGAGGGAATTGGCTTTTTGGTTTGACTTCTGCGCGAGAAAAGTCCCCCCCTCAACACGAGTGTAATCGAGCTCCAGAGCTCCTCCTCAACATCCCACCCAACCAGCGATTACAGATTGCCCAGTGCCCCACGCACCCCTCCTTCGCCCCGATTAGGTCTAGCGGAGTGACAAGGCACGGGCCAACCACCGTTAAGCTAGGCGAGGCGTGGCTTCGAGTTAGTCTCGTGATCGTGCACGTGTTTTGATGGTCTGTGCTTAAGCTTTCGGTTCCCGGGCCGTCGTGTGATCAGCCACACGGCTTGTTATCGATGGGGGGGCCTTGCGCGGTCGCTTGCCTCCCCCTCCAACCATCGACCAAACCAGCTTGACCAAGACATCCACCGCCAATCATCACGCCAGCAACATACAACTGCTGTTTCGGAGAGGAGTTTGAGAGTCACCATCCGCGGTCGAAGATTGTCGTGTAGAGATCGAGGCATTCTCTCAAGATGGTGGTGAGTTGGGCCCTTCCCCACCTCTTTGTCTTCCCGTCCAAACTGTCTTCTCTCGTGTCGCCATGTTGTTACTCGAGGTCTAAAGCGCTCCCAGTTTCTCGATTTGCTGACTTTGGGGTTATGGTCGAAGCTCGGACGACTTACCCACTACGCCTTCGATGCGGTCTTGTGTGAGTCGTCCCTATTCGAAGGTTGATGCCCTTGGCTTTGCTCGCTGGCTGACCCGGCTTGCTCGAATAGTTTCCGCCTTCCTCGCCGGAATGAAGCGGTCGACTGGTCTGACGTGAGTTTTCTCCCGGCCGTTGCAGTGGTCCTCTGTCGACGGAGGATGGTGGTGCGCGGCGGCGGCTAACTCTTGCCCTTCTTATGGGGACCTCCTAGACCCAGTTTCAAAACAGACAAGGTCGCCGGTGACAACAAAGAAGTTACGAAGTGGGTAGACAAGTACCTCGGCGTTGGAGAATGGGTGATGGACCAGTCGGTCGCCATCGCGGGCTCGAGCGGGTGGTTCGAAAGGACGAGGTAGGGTGTCGGATAAGGTTGGGTCGTTCGGGCGGGCGACTCCGAGGCACAACAGGGCATGGTCCCGCATTTCCCGGATGACGGGATAGGGTCTTCTTATGGTGCTGCGTGGGAATGCTCAATCTCCTTCACGGATGGGCCGGCTGTTTGCCGACTTCTCCTGCGACTCCTTGTCTCGGGTGTCTCATGGAAAGGCGTTTAGGGATGGACCTTGATTGCGGTATATTTTTCTCACGGTTCTGGAATACGTATAAAGCCCATTCTTCTCTGCCCCAAAGTATTGTGTGCGTGGCTCTTGCTATTCGGTCTCGAGCTCCGCCTGCCCGAGGACCTGGAGATGGGGAATTAGGTAATGCCCGGTAGTTTCCCGGCACCCCAGGTTGTCTGGCCTTAGCCGAGGTTATCCACCAGTCGGAGCCGTTCGGGGTACTGTCTTTGATGCACGACAGAGAAAAATGGTCATGGCTATTTACTCGAATGTACAGAAGTCGGCATCCATTTAAAGAGAACCGAAGGATTGCCCCGAACAAACTTGCAAAACTCACGCCCGGTAGCTATCCACAAGTAATTAAAAGGCTTAAAAGAAAATAAAAACCCCGGGGAAAACATGGCCCGGGGCCCAGTTGCTAAGCGCTACCAGATCACAGGTTCTTGATCGGATATTTCGTTCTCAGAAGCTCGCCATACCGAATTATCGAGAACGCGCCGGGGGCTATGGCCACCGCGATAAACGCCAACAGATTGTTTCCCCAGCCGAGCCCGAGTGCCTCGTACATTTTGAGGCCAAGAAGAGGGAGGACCGCACCAAAGACGCTCCTCGCCACTGTGTTGGCGGCTAGTACCGAGGCCGTGATTTAACAAGGACGACGAGCACGATGAAAGAAATGTGTAGTTCATAGACTAGATAACTATGAATACCTCCTACTACTCCTGTTCTCCGACGCGCTCCTCTTCTTCGGTTTATGGAATAACGACGCAACTCGAGACCGCTTGAACTTGCCCGGCACCTCCTTGAGCCTGCGGTAGCTTCCCTTGAGGCTCAGCTTGGAGAGCTTGCGCGTGAGCGTAAACGTCTCCCCCTCGCCATGGTCAGTGCCCTTGTCCTTGTCCGTACTGATACTTATCTTTCTCTTCCCTCCGGTATCCTCTTCTGCTCCTCGTGGCCAACGTCATGCTTGCTCTGCTCCATTAGCAGACGTTCCTCCTTGAGACTACCAATCCCGCTGCCCGTCTTGGTAGGTTGGCTGACCTGAATACTATCTGTACGCAGCGCTGGGAGTATGGTGTTGGAGTATGACTTCTAGTCATCCTCGGCCTCCTCTCCTTCTTTCTCCTGATCTGAATCGCTCTCGCCCATCAATACCTTGTACGCCCGAACTTTCTTTAGAGCTTCATCGTACGCCATCTCGAGAAGGGATTTTCTCCAAATCGCTTCTGTCCTCGAGCTCAAGATACCGAGCTCGAGAGCGTCTCGGAGCATATCGTCCCAGTCGGTAGGCAAAAATGCCTCATTTCGAGCCGAACCTGGTGTCATCGTCGGGGGGGGGGAAAGATAGCTTGAAGGGCTCCGGCGGCTTTTATACAGGCAAACATCTACTACATGGCATATTGCATCTAGAAGAAGCAGATGTGTGGCAGCGGGCGTTTCTCCGGGTCAGACGTGCTTAATTCATAGATATCGCCGTGTACGACATATCTGGCGCCAGCCCAATCGAGTCCACCGTCTTCCGCCCACAATCTAACAAGTTGGTCTTCTTGCTATGACCCTGGCCGTTACTAGTAAGACCTAGCTCGGTATGTCGGTCCTTGAACTAGACGACCTGGAGGTACATCCTGTGTTCCGGGTCGGTTGGGTGCTGAATAGGACGGAGTGCAAATCTGTACCGATCCCAAAGCCGATGGGCTGCAGGTTATAGGGGGAGAATGTTCCGATTCTCATGGCCGATGATCTCGAGCTGTTAGATGTCATCCAAAGGCCAGAATGCCTGAAGCATACTCCAAAACTCAATAGGATTCGTTATGGATATTGTAGCTTGGACGTCGATAATATGCGCTACGTCGACTATCTAAACACTGGTTAAGGAGCAGCAGTCTGGTACCAAGGTGGCACCGTCCGCTGGGCTTTTTTGTCCTCTTTGCTGTGGTCTGCCGCTTTGCCTTTGGTCGATGTCTGCTCACCTCCCTCTTCCATAACCATCCCAACCAAAATCTCGGTAGGTGTATTGACCTAGATGCCGATCATCTTCTCGGTGTGTGAAATCAACATCTCCAAATAACGCTCGAAGGCTTGGCAGTACCGCGGATCAGCACGCAGTTAAGCACCTTGGTCCACGTTGGCCAGTTGTAGGGGTTGGCCGGGTCGTTGTCGTTCCACCAGACGATGTTCGGGTCGTCGTCGTCAGCGACAGGGGCATCGTTGTCTTTGGCGTCCTTCTCGACGTCGCCTGACAGACTGCGTTTACGGGCGAGCGAGGCGCGCCGCTGCTGCTGCTCCGCGATGGCGTGCTGGCATGCTGGCGTGCTGGCGTTGGTTCTCGCCCTGCTCGTCCAGCACGACGCTTATGTCGGACGGGATGTCGGCGTCGTGGCCCTCGACCACGGCCTGGTCAATGCTCCGCTGTCTCTGCAGCGCGGCCGCATCACCACCGTCGTCTGGCATCGCCATTGGAGATGCCGTCACGTCACTGCATCGTAGTAGTTCGTCAATGCGCCAGAAGACGTCGAGACGAAAGCTGCACATGTAATCCATGCGCCCACTGCACGCCTCGGCGTGTTTTCCGTGCATTTCTGTGGTGTTGTTCAAGATGTGAAGCTTTAGGTAATGTATGCATATTCCCATCGGGTCGCCCTGCCCGTGTCCGGTCCCCTACTTCCAATTGCTCGGCGTTCTTGGGTAAGGCAGAATGCTTACTGTAGGCATGCGGGAGTGCTTCTTGCAAAAGCCGGAGTGGAGTAACCGGGGCGATCAACGGTGCGGATCTGAACCCAAGCCCACTATAAATTAGAAGCCGGCCTCCGAGAGAGGAACTGCAACAGGCAAAAAGCAGCTCCCGTCAACCGACAACTGCAGTCGAATCGGAAATGTCTGCAAGTTGTGGGACAGACGGGTCAGGAAACGTCCAAGTAATTTACGCCAGAAAAACAAATAAACGCTCCACCCCTTCCACGGGCCCGCTACAGGTCACTTCGCACTGCCATTCGTAGGCGGCGTGCCGCTTAATTGCCTCGTTTCCATCGCGCCTGTTCTGAGCCCGTGCACAGGACTTGCATAACCCGGCCAGCGAGCGCAACTGCCGAATAATGCGTACATAAAACCTGCACAAAGCGCCCTTTTCGGGAGCCTCGCTGGATATCTGCGCGCCCATTGCGCTGAGGCCGCCCCCGCGTGACGTGACGGGATGTCGATCGGAGTTTGCCAGCGCCATCTGGCCTCCTTTTGTCATACTGCAACGACGCAAACTAAAGGCTTCAAACGGCTACCAAAGGTATGTAAAGGGGGTGACGATGCAAGTCGGGCTTGATCGCACTACGGAATAAAAGCGGACAATTCCTCAGCCCGAATTACCAGCCCATTTCCCCGTCTTGTCCATAGAGGGTGTGTAGTACAATACCAAATGTCTTTGCATAACTAGTTTCGGCTGCAAAGCCACTTTGCGATCAGAAACTGACCGTCTCTTTGTTGCCGCCTCGATGACCTCGCTGTTCATAATGGGGCAAGTGGATCAAGCTAAATTTCTGGCGTGTTCTTAGGATATGTGTAGTTATTGGTACAAGATGGGATCACAAATTCATGGTAATAAAGCTTATGAGTTCTGGCTCGGTCAGCATCACTCACTCACGTAACAAAAACAAATTCTGACAACACGGCCTGGTTTGATGCTAATAGCGCCGCTTTATTTGTGTTTCACCTGAAATTATCAAGGCCGCGAGATTATGACGAGGACGTGGGGTCTTTATGATCATACAAGGGTCGCTGCTCAAGGGAATAATTATCTCATCTCATCAGTAGCCTCACATCACTGCCACACGAGAAGAAAAATGCCACTCCCCTTCATTGCTAAGATACTAAACACGAAAAATACTACAGGGATAAAAAAGTGCCGGGTTAATTACACAAGGCAATATAAGCGTGCGTACAAGTGTGGGTGGTTCGCCTAGTTACTAGTTGGGAGAGAGTTTTCTTTTTGGTTGGCCATATTTGGATGGAAACCGAAGTATTTTGACATTAGTGATCGGGTTAAAGCTTATCTTGCTTATTTTTTTGCCATTACCGGATCAATATTCACCTATCCAGATACCTGCGTAGGACTTGTGTGACAGTAGATCTGAGCAAAGACTGTTTCACAGTCTTTGATATGTCTTGATGCAAGCTGTCATGCTATTACCCGACCAATTACGTCACGTCACACCCTTCCAGACTCTGAAATGTTTGCCATCATCACTTCCGAGTTACGTTGTGGCCGTGGTGGAAGAAGCCGGCACAGTCTTCAAGACATAAAACGTCTGGAATATTGCAGCCCTTCACCAAACCCTAACCCTAGTTACAGCTGGCTTCTCGATCAAAGAGACTTGGACGAATCCGTCAAGTTGCTTGCTTGGCCAGTCGTTCACGGCGGCAGGTGCACTTTTCACACGTGTCGGGCGATAGTTGGGCGTTGCTTATCACATCACCTAATCATCAGCCCCAATTACCTTTCTACCCAGGTCCCAGACCAGAGTTGCGTCATTGAGTTTTGTCATTAATGACGGAACTCTGCGGTGAGCTCCTCGACGACTCCATGGCTGGATTGTGACGCAACATGAAGACGACCTATATCAATCCCGACTCTCTGTTCTGCAGCCGTTATTTGTCGAATCTGACCGCCTCCTCCTGCCGCAGCGTCCGTGTGTGCGTGCGTGCTTGATGCAGCACGTACACGCTGCAGACGGCACCATGCCATCATCGTGCCGCAGCACCAGCACCGACTTCCCGCAGTTCGCGCTGCTGCCGGCCGAGATCCAGCTCATGATCTGGGCTGAAGCGGCTGCGCAGCCGCCCCAAGTGCACTTCTTTCAGAATCTCGAGCCAAAGTTTGAAAAGTGGATGGACGAGGACGTGTTGTTGGTGCCCAACGGGCAGTCAGGCGCACGGGGGCTGGTGCATCTGTCGCGGGCTTGCAAGGACGCGCATTCGGCCGTCGCCCGGCGCGAGCAAGCCATCGATACCAAGACGCTGCTGCGCATCATGCTCGGCGAGGCCCGGACGGGCACGACACTGCGACTGACCCTGGATCTGAGGGCCGACCTCGTCTGCCTCGGCGGCCCCGACGCCAGCCGTCAGGAACTGGACGCCATGCTCGAGTGGGCCAACCCGTCGCACATCCTCTTCACTGGCGCGAGGCATCTGGCGGTGCGCTACCATCCGGAGTGGGACCGCTTCCGTGTTAAGCCGGTGGACCACGGCGACACGTGCCATCGAACCTCGTGGAGACGCCGGGATGGCATGCCGTTTTGCGGCGTGTGCATCCGATGCCTGATGGCCAGGTTCAAGAAGCTAGAGAGCTTCTACCTTATTGTCGACGGGTGCAGTCCGTCCGAGTCGGCCACGCCTAACAACATCGAAGCCCAGCGAGCTTTTGAGTGTCCAGGGCTCAAGCCGAGGGCACGGGAATTCCAGGCCTACAACCGTACATATTTCGAGCTTCTTGATCCATGGCGAAGAGATGAGCTACGGCTCCCAGTAACATCGTTGAAGGAGGTCGAGAACAGCATAGTGAGTATTTGCCATGCACATCCAATCGTGAAACTTTAAAGCCACTTACCGGAATGCCCTCTTTATCTAGCGTCAACCCAGTCGTACAAGTTTTGTGCCTCGCTGGTTCAGTGATGTACAGTTTGGGCTGCTATCATGGCGCGAAGACTCGTTCGGATTACCTGTTCCCAAGTGAAGGGATTTAGAGAAATCCCTCACGGGGTGAGAGCTGAATGATGGTCTAGAGATTAAAATAGAGTATACACCCGACTGGGTTCCACAGAACGGGGCATTGGTTTTGCATGGTTAATGATCTCTGATCTTCATGGATAAATTCATAAGGTTCAGCGTGTTTCGGCGGCATAGCTTGGATCTTATGTTCGCCGATCAGAACGTAGAGACGAACAATGGGACCCGTGTAACGAAAAACAGATCTACCTGGGGCCCAGTTTAGAAGCCGCCTTACCATCGCGGATCAGCTGATCTGATCCGGTGTTTGCGGTTAGTGGGCAATTATCATCGACTCTGAGAGCACAAGTGGAGGGGGAAAGGTGATCTAGTCGGTATGAGGAGTGCAGCCACCTTGATTAATATGAGTTGAGATCTATATCGTTCGACGAACAAGACATTGAGTAGAGGCGATGTGGTGATCTCGTGGCTGTGCTCTCAGTGTGTTATGGGCATAAAGAAGTGAGCGGGATTCCAAGGAGCGGTCTGAGAAGGCGGGGATTAACAAGGACTGAAGTTAGCAATGGTCTAATGGAGGCCACGGCTGTGAAGTTTGTGAATGCTTTCTGCCCTCCAAAGGTTGCCGAGGCGCGTCACTGCGTCACTGCCCGTTTGCATTAGCGACAGATCTCCTTCAGAGGCGCCAAGTGACACGCTGGAAGCTGGGTTAGGCGTGCGCGCAGCGTTTCTGCGACAGCGCAGGCGCAATTCCTCCATCTCGTGCGAGTTCCCGTCAGCGCAATCTCCCCCAGGGAGCAGCGTCGCCGTCGGCGAGGGCGACTACGCTATAAGGCGCTAGCATGATGTCTCGGGTGTGTCTCAGCAGGGCTGGATGGGGCGGTTTGATCTGGTCCGATCTGATCAAGCGCCGGGCGGCGAGTGGCTGACAGGGGGCGATCCCGGTCTCAGGCCCGAAGCGAGCGCCATCCGAACCGAATTTGGATGGCAGCCGCCAAGAATCCGGGGCAGGGCACCCTCAACTGTCGACATTGGCGGAAAACCTCGTGGTCGAGCTGCATTCGTCCCATTCCGTCGTGCTTCCTTGCGCCACATTCGAGCCATGGCGTCAATCATCGCGTAAGGCCTCTGCTGGTGGGAGGCACGGAGAATGGGGCTCTAATCCAATGTTGAGGTGATGGGATGCGTGCCTGAACTTCCAGAGAAGGCCGTCAAGACTGGGCACACAATTACAGTGCATTAGGCTGAGAATTGGACAGGCTACGGGAACACTGGAAACGAGCACAGCCAGAGCAAAACAGACGCATTGGGAGTGCAAGCGCCGGCCGGACCCGCTGCACTTGGAGCTCGGATTGCAAACTCAGGTCGAGGCCTGTTTCGATGATCAACTACGCAATTAGTTGGGTTTGAAGGTTAACGATCAAAGGTCAAGGTGGACCCCGTTCCGTTCATTGTAGAAATAACCGAGAACCTAATGATGCGACGACTGCCCGCTCAGTGGGAGGGGCAGAAACAAAGGGCGGGGCCTCGCTAAAGCAAGACGCGTTCAGCGCCCGTTCCTACTGGGGGCCCGCCCCGTCTTTCGCGACGCCGCCTCCACCCGACTCCCTTCCCCTCAATCCGTCCCATCTTAGACCGCCTGAGCTGTCAGCGCCAACACAGCTGGAACCCAACACAGCTGGAACCTCACCCCACCTCACCACACCCCCAGATGGAAGGCAACGACAGAACCCCTTGAAACTGGTTGATGCCGGTACCAGTGTCTCCAACGCTGGTAAGCTCGATGGAGACGGCGGCACGCTTGCCGATTCGTTGCTTAGCGGCGTCCATTGCTGGCGGCGGCGGTTGGAATTCGAGGCGAGGGTCTACCGAGTAGTGCCCAAACTATGGATCCAGGGCAGGCGCTGCTGCCGTCTGGTATTTTCCCGTCAGTCATTCCGTTTCTCGCCTGGCCGCCCGTCGTCCCGCGATCACCAGCCTAGTGGAGTGAGCAGACAATGGGACGAGCCACTGCCGGGTCGCTGGGGACGATGTCTTCGCTTCGCAATGCGCATCACGAAAATCCCCTATCGTCCCAACACAGGGCCTGAAGGCAGGGTTCCAGGGCTGGGAGAGGTGCGGGATCTGTCAAGACCTAGTAGGTTCGATCCGGGGCACAGGCATTCCACGAATCCCATGCCAAGAAATCTCAAGGAGGCTCTTCTTTTCTGGGCAGGGGGGCTCCGGGGGGCTCGCCTCATCATACTGCAGGCCCGTGACACAAGACACAAGCGACGAGGCGTCCATTGCCCTACCCCTGGCAAAGACGCCCCCCCGGCGCGGATTCCCGTCTAGACGGCGGTGCTGTTTATTCATGCCACCGAATTCGAGTCTAGCCATGCGCCAGTATGATCGCCATCATGGGGAGGATCCGCAAAATGACTCCGTTCCCTGGCTTGCGGCACCCGTTGTTCTGTCCATCTTTGCCCAGCATCTGATGTCGTGGTTGGCGCTCCCTGCTTGAGGCCCATGTCTACGAGGTATATATCCTCAAGACGTGGCCGCCCTGGATGGTCCTGTCTCTCTCTTCAGCATCCAACAACGCCTTTCGCTACTTTTTGTGTCTCTTGCTTGGTTCTGTGAACCCTTTCGGTTCTTATCACTCTTTATTTACATTCTCTTCGCTTACACCCGCTCGGCCGGCTTCGCTTCTTTCTTCGACCTTGTCTTCGCCTTTTTTGCGATCTCACGTCTCCAATACCACCAGTATCCCACCCCATATCGATCACCATGTATCCCAAGATTGCACTCGTTGCTGCCCTGCTGGCTTCGGTCGAGGCTCGGTTCGGAGAGGAACAGTCCGTTGCCAACGACATCCAGTCTCTGAGCAACTTTGGTAACCCCGGCGAGGCTGCTACCCTTGCGGGCGCAAGCCCCGGCGTCCTGCTCGCGGGTGCCAATGCCTGTGCCAAGGTAGGAAGACATGGGCCGAAGATGAAGTGAAAGTATTGTCCAACTAACCTCGAATGCAGCTCCAACTTGCCGACAAGATCGTCGCTCAGCTCGGAAACGATGCGGTAGTCATTGCGGTCGCTGCCAAGCTTGTTGCTGCCGAGAAGAACACCAACCCGTTCGTCGTCTCCATCCCCAGCATCTGCTCGGATGTGGGTCTGCCCGCCACCGCCGAACTTCGCGGCATTGTTCCTTTGATCGACCCTGCTACCACTGGTTCGGACGTTGAGAACGCCAACTCGGCTTCTTCTCTCGCAAAGCCGCTTGGCGCCAACGGCCTCAGCGTCGCTCAGGTTGCCATTAACGCGGGCTTTTCCAACTTCACAGCCCAGGGCTCTGACGGGAAGACGGCGGCTGCCGCCGACCTTGCTGGTGGCGCCGCCGCTGCGCCTCCTCCCGCTGCCACTACTGCCGCTGCCGTCGCCGCCTCCAGCACTGCGGTTGCCTGCACTCCAGTGACTCGCACCAAGTTCGTCTCGGCCGCGCCCGCTGCCGCCACCACCGCTGCCGCCGCCGTCGACAACAAGAACAACAACAACGGTGTGGCCAAGTCAACGATTGCGGGTCTCGACTTTGGTCTCTGCGCCCCCACTATCAAGTTTGAGGGTGGCCTCGGCGGCCGCCCGGCCACGGAATTCACCTTCCAGGCCATTGACCCTCTGGTCTCCAAGGGCCAGCAGGAGGCGCTCAACCCCAACATCATCACCAACCGCATCTGCGACCAGCTGACCAATGTCTGCGAGGCCAACGCCGCGGCCAAGGCGGCTTGCCTGGCCGCAAAGGCCCAGATCCTGGCGCTGGGAACCCGCAACGCCGACACTGCCAACACATGGAACACGGTCCTGGGCTTTGCCGGCACTGACATCAGCCCCGACGCTTAAGCGAGCAACGACAAGGCCAGACTTGGCCGTTTTTTTTTCTTCTCTAGGGCAATGGACTAGTTGAGGGCCACAACAGCTTTTGTTGTCTCTCATGAATATACGATTTGTTGTTGCCGTTTCCGCAAGGCGTATGCTGTAGTCTTGCATGTTTCTTGCTGTGTAGTTTGCGTTTCTGGAGTCTCTCGGTCGTGCTAAATTGCGATGAAGCATCTCATTGCGTGTTGCACTGCAAGCGGGAGGGTTTCGTATATTTTTCGATGTTGGACGGCGTCCGGGGGTGGGCATATTATCATGTATCTTCTCTGTACGATACGATACGATACCTTAGGACATGACTATGGAATCTTGCAAAAGTGACATTCTCGGGTGTATTTCCTCTGTCCATCTTTCCGTCTCGTCTTCTCTCCAGCTGGGCGCCTGGCATTGGTGGAATCGAGTCTGCGGCCGAGCCATGACCAGTGTCCGTCTCGTGCTCCTCGGGAAGCGCGCGCGGTGGTTCTGACGGCTTCTCGGTCGGCACGTACCGAACGACGCCCGCCTCCTCGTGGCTGGCTGCCAGATCTGGGTCCCGAGACGAGCCGGATCGTATATTATGGGGAATTCTGGGAGTGTAAGTGGGGGAATCCCATATGTTGCGCGCCGGAATCCGCATTCCGCCACAGCCCCCTCCCCCTTTCTCTTTTCCTTGGGGACGGGACGGGATGTGATGGGCTAGCTGCCAGCCAGCCGTAGGGACGAGATATGCTGTGCCTGTACCAGCCGATCCCGTTCCCGTCACCCGGTGGGTGGAAGCGATCGGACCTCCTCCCACGCAGCCCCCTGGACAGATTCCAAGGTTGGTCGCTTTGTGTGCGTGTCTCTCTCTCTCGTGTCTTTTTCTTCCGTGTGTCGCAGCCGGAGGGAGGCTTACTGCAATTGCGACGGCATTGATATCCCCCAATTTTCTCAAATTGTTTGCGGGTAATGTTGACTGCCGCCCGCGAAAGCTAGCTTAGTCCAAACGTCCCGCTCAGTCCGCCTCTTAGAAAAGTCTAGAGAGCAGTTCGTGTGGTGTTGGAGGCAGTGCGCTGCGGGGAGGGCTACCTATGTAAGGTCAGGGAAGGGCGGTTCTGTGTCTGTCATATAAGATCTCGGAGATCGGCTCGCTCCCGCCCACCACCGAAGAGTTGGCTGGCTCCGCTTGCTTGGAGAGAGAGACCTAGCTCTTATATACCGCAGTGCCAAGCCCCAGATGCCGCCGCATGCGATGCGATGATTCATGACTTTACTTTGGATGCGTCATCTCATCTCCACTGCGTGATCAGCTTGAGACGTAACAGAGCCCAAGCCAGAATACAGGATAACATTCGGGTCAAGCAACAGCAGTCGCCATGAAGGAAGCACTTGTTACCAAAGGTACGAGTGCAGCTTCCATCCTTTTCCCTCTCCCTCTCCCTCTTCCTCTCCCTTCCCTCTCCCTCTCCCTCTCCCTCTCCCTCTTCCTCTCCCTTCCCTCTCCCTCTCCCTCTCCCTCTCCCTCTCCCTCTCCCTCTCCCTCTCCCTCTCCCTCTCCCTCTCCCTCTCCCCCTTTTCTTTCTGCAAGGTATTCCCAGAACAGGGTGCAGTTGCCATGTTTTGTGCGACTAACAATGGCCACCCTAATAACCACCCCCCAATGTCCCTGCCCTTGTGACTAACCAGCATTCCAACACAGGCCCCGAGGTGCAGGTGGTGGACTCGCCGGTCCCATCACCCAACGACGACCAGGTGCTCATCCGCGTGGTGGTCAGCGGCAGCAACCCCAAGGACTGGAAGATGGCCGAGTGGTTCCGCAAGGCGCCGTCCAACGAGGGCGACGACATCGCCGGCGTGGTCGAGCGCGTCGGAGCCAACGTGTTCGAGTTCAAGCCCGGCGACCGTGTTGCCGCCTTCCACGAGATGGCCACCCCGCACGGCAGCTACGCCGAGTATGCTGTCGCCTGGGCCCACACCACGTTCCACATTCCCCACGAGACGACGTTTGAGGGTCAGCCAGTCTCTCCCAGCCCCTCCCCGCAGCAGGTTCCCACTGACACCCATACAGAAGCCGCCGCGTTGCCCCTCGCCGCCATGACAGCCGCCGTCGGACTATACGCGCGGCTGGGGCTGCCGCAGCCGCTGGCCCCACGGCCCGACGACGCCCCGCCCCTGCCGCTCATCATCTACGGCGCGTCGTCGGCGGTCGGCATCTACGCAGTGCAGCTCGCACGGCGCAGCAATATCCACCCACTGATCTGCGTCGCCGGGCGCGCGCGCGACTACGTTTCGGGGTTCCTCGACAAGGCCCGCGGCGACGTCGTCGTCGACTACCGCGATGGCGACGACGCTGTCGTGGCAGGGATTCTCTTAGCCGCTGGAGACAAAAAATTGATGTACGCCCTCGACGCCGTGTCCGAGGGCAGCTCGCCGGCGAACCTCGCGCGCGTGCTGGACGCCGGCGGCGGCGCGCAGGCCACCTTCGTGCTGTACGGCCGCCAGGACCTACCGGCGCATATCGTGCAGAACGTGACGACTGTGGGGAGCGTGCATAAGGATTTGAAGGACTTCGGGCATGTGTATTACCGGTACTTTGCGCGCGGGCTGCAGGAGGGCTGGTTCAAAGGCCAGCGCACGCAGGTTATGCCGGGGGGGCTGGGTGGGATTGAGGCGGCGCTGAAAGATCTCAAGGCCGGGAATGCGAGTGCGGTGAAGTATGTTTTCCGCATTGCCGAGACGGAGGGGGTTGTGGGTAGTAGGGAGGGGGAGTAGGGGGTGGTGATGGTGGGGAGGGGGAAAGGGGGATTGTTTACTTTGTGCTCTTTGAGAGCTTTGCCGTGACATTTTTGAGTCGGGCAGGTTGGTAGGTGCGTAGGTAGTCTATGCCGTCTTTCAGGGCATCTTTTGCTTTTGTCTTGCTTTCCAGCTGCCTGCTGTTGTGCAGTCTTGCAAGTTTGTGAGCCCATCCATCCCTGCATGCAGCCAAGACAGCCCGCAAAACAAAACCCACTCCTCCCTCTTGAGTCCCACCAAGTGGACTCATATCGTCTAGGAAACATCAAGGCCCGCATGGCTCAGCGGTAGAGCGTATCACTAGTACTGATTTCGGTCTTTCCATGATAAGATCCTCGGTTCAACCCCGAGTGGGGGCAGTCGCATCCTTTCAGTCGACTTTCCTTTCGAGGGGTGGTCACTCATTTTTGCTTCTGGTGGTGCTTTATTATCCGCATGTGCACAACTATTAAGACTGCTTCAATTTTCCAATATTCCTGCTTTGTGAACGCCGCCGTTGTCTCGATTGGCTTTGAACTCTTTTATTTTGCAGGTGAATCTCCGCGTACAAAACGATGCAGGCACACACCAACAACAGGACAAACATGGTTCGACCCAACCAGCTCAACTTGGAGCCTCAGCTGCATGTCAAAACCCGATAAACGAGATATGATCGAGCAGAAATTCGCCCTCAGAGTCGACATGGCACGACCAGCCAGGGCACAGCTCGACCGGGTCCTCGATGCGCTGCTGCCGCCCCAGCGCAGCAGCACCAACCGAGGCTGAACTCGAGCCTCTCAGCAGAGCCGTGAAGAAAGCCGTCTGAACCCCCTGCAAGTCCCACTCGTCCACCGCGGGCGCCGGGTCCGGGCGGGAAGGTGTCTGCTGAGCCACGGTGATGCTGGCGTGGAGTGTACTGTTGGCGGCGCCGGGGCGGTCCTGGGAAGGCTCTGGCCCGCACTGCTCGTACCCGTGTCCCATGGGGCACTGCAACATTCTGTTGAACTGGTCGGCTAGGCACGACTGGTCGCTGCTGGTATTGGTATTGGCGTTCGTGTTGGGTCTTCGAGGCACTGGAAATCGGAATTCTGGCGAGCCGGGGATTGGCGAGCCGGGGATTGGCGAGCCGGGGATTGGCGAGCCGGGGATTGGCGAGCCGGGAATTGGCGAGTTGGCGGTCGCCGCCAAAGGTTGGTATTGCTGCGGCGGTGCCTCTCCCCGTGAATGCGGTCCGGGGTCCTCTCGTGCGATGCTCGGGCCCTGCCGCGTAATCGTGATGATGCCGAGACGGGGAACGCGTAGGCGCAGCTCTCTGCTGCCTGCACTTGTTCGCTCGTCTTGCACCCCGGCGGCGTCGGCCTCGATGGCGAGTAGCCGGCGGACCAGCTCGGCGCTGTCGTCCGCCACGGCGTCGCCGTTAGCGTCGCGCATGGACTCCATACACTCGAGGGCCTGGCCGAGCATGGCGCGGTCGCTCAGGCGCTGGTGGGCGAGCACGTTGACCGCTTCCCGGCGGAATTGGGCGTCGAGGTGGACCACCAGCAGCGTCATGGCCGCCAGCAGCGCGAAGAAGTCGACGGGCCGTGAGCACGACGACGCCGGGTTGAAGCTCCGGTGAGCGATAAAGCGCGCCAGGACCTCGCGGCTGGCACTGACGCACGTCATCTTGGAGTACTCGTTGTCGGGCGTCACGTTGTCTCTGCTGCGGTCGGCGGGCACAATGTGAGGTAGGTGCAGCTGGATCAGCAGGCCAAAGTAGCACACCTGGGACTCCAGGCGCAACGTCTCCAGGAAGGTGTCGGGCTGCCCCACGACGAGACCCTGGAAGGTCACGGGCCGCCAAAAGCTCGCCGGCACGCCCTTCGACACCCCCAGCAGCTTGGAGTCGATGGACTGGGTTGTCTTGAGGTCATCCGGGGTAAAGGGGCGCTCGTTGCGCTCGAGTATGTGGCATGCGGCGAGCGTGAGAAGGCGGTCAAACTTTCCCAGCGGCGGCTCTCCCTGCAAGACCGCCAGGTTCGCCATGTTCGTGTCCGACGACCCCTGAGGAAGACCGAGCAGCAGGCTGAGATGGCGGTCCATGTAAACGATGCGGAACCACATTGCCTGTGGTTTGGCATCGGTCGCCGGGTCGAGACATTTGAGAGGGCGCTGGAGGTCTATCATTTGGGCGAACGTCATGGCTCGGCGGTAGACTGCCCATGCCCGCCGAAGATTGCCGCAGTTTGTCTCAAAGGCACCCTCGAGAAGAACGCAAACCAGGCTCTCGACGGTGCCCTGCATCTCCGCCTTGGTGGTCACCCATGTCGTTGCAGCCGCCACCAAACGACGCATTATTGTGTCTGGGGGTTCGGACAGGCCAACGAGCCTTTTGCTTCTCGGGCTCTGGAGCGTGAGGGCGAGCATGAGCATGGATTTGGCCAGCAGGACCGGGTGGCTATTCCGGGGAGGGAGTCTAACTTCGCAACGCGCTTCTGCGAGCTCCTCGCGTGTCAGTCTGCTATGCGGCTGTGTGAGAGCTAACTGGGTATAAATGGGCATCCTGGTGCTCTCTCTGATTATGCAGTCGGCGTCGTTTTGGCAAGGAAGAGCCGCAAGCAAGTGTTCGCGCGCTGTTTTGGTATCTGGCAGGTCTGATCTCAAGACAGCGTACGGGTCGGGTTCAAGTGATGAGGCCGTCCCGGTGTCTTCAAGGCTCTAAGTGCTAGTTAGAGATCCAAAACGGAAAGCAGTTTCGACAAATGGGCGGTGTACCTCTGTATACGTGACAGGGGCTTCGTTTGTCGGGGTGGCTGAATTCTCGGAGCGAGCTGTCGAGGCGTCCGACTCTGATAGCCGGTGCTGCCGGTGTTGCCGTAAGCCCTCTGCTTCTGCCTCGGGGCCACTAGTGCTGCTGGCATGGGCTACGGCTACGCCGGCCTCGTTGCTGGCAAGAAGATCTTTCATGAGCTCCTCGACCCGTGCAATGCGCTCGCCGAGATGGCGGTTGCCCTTTTTTTCCGGAGCCAGCTCTTCGGGCAAATCCTGGCTGACACAAGGCGCGCGGCGTCGCTGGCATCCGAGACAGACGTCATGGCCCAGGGATTCGAAAATGCACCTGATCTTGCGCCGCTTGCATTCCCAGCAAGACCGAGTGCCCTTGCGGACCTTTCGCCGCTTGGCTGGCCGGGGAGCGAGTCGGTCGTCGCCGTCATTGTCAGCAAGGTCTGGCGGCGTCTCCACGTCGTCGCCCTCGACTGTCTCTCGCGTGTCCATCTGCATCATGGAAGTTGGCGCCACCTAATACGCATCTCTCACGTGGCGGAAAAAAAAAAGGCTAGTGCAGTTTGAGAAGGTTGTTGTCGTGGGCCTGCCAGGATGAGGTCGAGGAATTGCACTTCTAAAAATATTATTATTCCGCCGTGACGGCGAACAGGCCTCGCTTTACTCCGACGGTAGCATTACTAATACAGACGGCAGGCAAACACCGCCATGCTTGGTCGCCCTTGCGGCGGAACAACACCACAGTCCAATCAATCCTTCGAACCGGGCCCGGCGCTAAACTGCTTCGAGACGAGTGGCTTGGAATACTTCATCTAATTCGATCGACCTACGGGCACTCCGTGCGATCGGGATATTTACTTCGGGACATTTTCATCGGGATGTTTCCTTCGGGGTATTTACTTCTGCCAAACAGATGCCAACTTCGTTTTGTATGGCCACGTCTACGGATTCAGCGCCACGGTCGAACCGACGGTGCCAAACCGAATGTTGGACCACGTCACCTTGCTGCACAGGTCAGTCGCTTTCGAGTACTAATCGCTGATGAAATTCACATACGCATTTGGGTGCTGAGCCACGGCAGCAAAAGCATCTTCATCGACGGGGCAGTCGCCGCGGGCCTGGCCAGCCCCGTCCTGGGGCGGATATAGCGAGTCCAGCCAGCGGTTATTGGAGTCGTACTGTTAATTATCAAATCAGATACCTGTGCCCTCGCGTGAAATAATCGGACGGAAACCAACATCGACGGAAATCGACATGGCCAGCACCATGAGCCGGCGCAGCAGCGCAGCGTGCGCCCGCCACCCACCGCCCTCGGCGAAACTGTCGCGCTCGCCAAACACTGCGGGCACCTGGGCGCACGTCTCGGCCGCGAGCCCGCTCTCGCGGGGCAGGCCGGCCCATGTCGGCGGCGGGACGGTGACGGTCTTGCCGTCTTGGACGAAGAACTGCGAGACGCGCGCGTCCTCGAACCGAGTAACGACACTGCGGCGTGGTTAGTTGGCTGTGCGGCGAACGTTCCTGTGGTGAGTGGGAGGGGCGCACGTGAACCTCCTCGCCGTGTCTACTGCCTTGCCCTGGCCGTAGAAGCCTTGACTGCCCATCCGGAAGGGGTTGTAGCTGCAGCCCCGCGGGTCGCATTGCCCGCTCGAAGCCTCACCAGGGGCGCGGGCCGAGGCATTGCAGAGGAGTCCCTCGCAGACGTGGTAGCCGCTTTGCGGGCAGGGGTGGGAGGACATGGAGAATGAGTGGGCGTTGGAGTTCCTGTTGACCAAAAGGGTCAGCAGCATCCCCGTCGTCAGTAGGGAAGTGAATGCATGATTACCACACTGCAAACTCGGGACAGCACGCGCCGTACTTCCCAGCGCCGGAGGACGGGTCGGTCTCGGAGGGGACCCAGCCGTCCGAGTTGGCCTGCGTGCGAGAAGAAAAGACGCGGCATTAGACCCAACACAGCCGACCAATAGACTCCCGCCAACTGTCTTACCTTCCCGCCGACAAAGCGTTGGTCTCGCGAGCACCGAGCGTCGCAGTACTCGGTGCCGTACGCGGCGCCGGCCGTGTTGGCGGCCGCGGGAAAGCGTGACACGCCGCCGTCGGCGTCCATGGCCACCAAGCGCAGCGCGCTGTTGATGCCGCACGCGACCGTCGACAGGTCGATGTCAAATGCCAGCTCGTTGCCCCGCAGCGTGAACGTCTGGTAATAGCTGTTCTCGGACGCGGAGTCGAGCAGGAACAGCCGCGAGCCGACGGTGGACGCATAGTCCAGGCTGGTCTTGAGCCGGAGCGAGATGCTGTCGTTGGTCGCGTTGACGCCTTTCAGTCTCTGGTTAGAGTTGGGTACACCAGCTGTCACCAAGGCAGGTATTTACAGATGGAAAGGGGGGAGTTGGGCGTTCCACACCGTAGGCGCTGTACTGCGCGCCCTCGACAGCGCAGGTGTCGGTGCAGTCAGCGCTCGACCTGCAGACGTTCGAGTCCCATCCGAGGTCGTCGCAGCACGTCCGGTAGCCGCCGACTTGGTGCAGCCAGCGCATATTGGCGTCAAGCACAAGCGAGTCGCTGACCTGCCGGCAGCCGTCGGCGGTGCATCTGCTCCATTGCAGCTTCGGGTGCACTTCCTTCTCGAGGCTGCCCGCCTGCTGCGCGGCTGCAAGAGGCAGAACTGTCAGCAGTGGCAAACTTGTGAAAAGCATTGTGGTCTGGCACTGACGCGGCTCACTGTGACTGAGAATAGCACGACAAACAATGCTGTCTTATAGACCCAAGCCAGCTCATGGTACGGGATACGCGTGCAAGTGAGTGACTGCTGGCTGCCACACAGCCACGGCCAAGGCCGCATGCAATTCTCGCTGCAGGACGAAATGTGGGGATATAGATTGAGAATGAAACACTGTGAATCCTTCCAGAAAACAGAGGCTCGCTTTTGAGAGTGGAGTTGGGCCGGTATCCCCTTATTCAAAGCCAGAAAATATAGGCTCTGCTCATTTACACTACAGGTCTTATTGGCTGCTTAAACTTGGAGAGCAAGCCTCGCACTTTGATCCGTCCGCTATCTAGTTACTTGTTGGTTTCTTCTTCCATTGGGCAGAATACGTCCAGTCAAACAACAAGGCCGTGTTTGTAGCTTTCCAAAGAGAAACGCCTAAAATTGAGAACTAAAACGAATAACTTTAAACAGTAATTCGGAGGTTTCTTTTCTTCCTTCAACCTTATCTATTCGTTCGAGCCTTTTATTACTAGGTGCTAACATTATGCACATGCGCCTTGACATAGGTCTGCTTACTGTGGTCAAGCGGCGTGAATGGTGATGTTCGGATAGGTCGCCATGAATCTCACGACATGCCGGCCCCGATTCAAGAAGAAAAAAGCCGCGAGGACCAATCACGACTTTGGAATGGACGTCACATATGTCGACATGATATAATGTCACAGCTCAGTCTATGCTGTAAAATATACTCACTTTTCTCATGGAGCAGTGTATTTTCTTCCTTGTTTCCTGCTGCCGGGGGAGCCGACCGCCCGTCATATCTGGCGGATAAGTTCATTTGGAATGAGATATAAATACGCACTTAACTACCTAAGTAATCATTCAGGCACTCGTTCATGCAACAACATACAGACAAGTCTCATTCCACCAGATTCAGATTCAGATTCAAATAAATATGAGCACAAATCCAATAAACTACATTGCCTAGCCTAGAAACCAACTAGATAGTGCAAACATCAATCTCACACAACAACTTCAGACGCCCCTACGGTCCCCGCTGCCGCCGCCGCCGCCTCTGATTCGCGTGACAGTCTGGGTAACAGTTGTAGTCACAGCCGGCGGCGCCTCGGTCGCCGTAACAACACGCGTGCGCGTGCGCGTCTCGGTGATGGTGGCGGTCGCGAAGACGGTGCTGGACGCCGTCTCGGTGGTGCGGCGCGTGCGCGTCGTAGTCTCAGTGACATTGGCCGTCGACGTCAGCAGCACCGTCGACGTGGTCGTGTCGGTCGTGAGGCGCGTCCGGAACTCGGTGGCCGTCACGGTCGCGTTGGTCGTCGCCGTCACCACCACCGTGCCCGTCACCGTCTCGCGCCGCGTCCGCGTCGTGATCACCTCCACCGTGCTGGTTGCTAGTGCCACCGATGTGCTAGTCGTCGTCTCCGTCACCCGCCGCGTGATGGTCCGCGTCTCGCTGCAGCTGCTTGCTGGCGCGGCCGCCGTCACCGTCGTGGTGCTGACGCTGCCCGGCGCCGTGATGGTGCGGATGTACGTCGCCGTCGACGTCTCCGTCGCCGTGACCGTCGACCGCAGCACCGTGATGCGCTGGATCGTGTCGGTGGCCGTGACGGTCGCGGTCACCGTGGCGGGCGCCGGGCACGTGGGCACGGGCGCGGCGGTGCCGTCCACGCAGTACCGCGTCCCCGACCCCAGGAACTCGCACCGCGTTATGCCGGGGTTGTTGCGCAGGAACTGCTCCAGGCTGATGCCCGCCTCGGCCGCCAGCGTCGCGCACGTGTCGCCCCGCCGCGCCGTCACGTAGCTGCCGCATGCTCGCGTTTCCAGGACTGCGGCCGACGCGCCCGCCGCGGCGAGCCACGCCGTGCCGGCGAGGAGCGTTGCCAGGCGGAAGGCCATGGCAATGTGTTGGTGTTGGTGCTGCTGCTTCACGAGGCTGGGTCTTGCAAGTGGCGTGTCTTGCTTGCGCTCGGTCAGAAAATTCAGGCAGGTGAAGGTCAGTTTCCTGGGAACTTCAGGAATGAGTGTGAACCCGGATCCCTGTGAAGCTCTTGGCCCATGGCATATATAGACTGGGCCCAGTTCCAAGTTTGTCGCTGATCGACGATGTCATAGGCCCCGTCGTTCAATCAACTCTGATTTATTTAGTTTGGTGGCGAGAGTCTCGACTTTGACAGCGGCACTAAGGCCTCAGAGCTGTAGTCCGGGGCAATGGACAAGCTTGGGCGCCTACACCTGCAGCGGCTGGGGCAATCTGTTCTCGGTCTTTGAGGGACGGGGCCGATATTGCGGATGTGGAGGATCGCCCTTGTCGCCCCGGCTATGTATGCGTCGGGCTCGTATTTCCTGCACAACGTATAACCGGGGAGGGGGCGCCCCGCCGGCAAGTCGTCTGCTTCCCTGCCCCATCCGCTCGACAGACTAGAAAGGCTGTCGCTCGTCTAATAGTCCTGCACCATGTCGTCAGAGGAGAATATTGCTGCTGGGCAGTGACTACGTATCCTGATAGGCAAGATTATTGTGTGTTGCCGAGACCTCTGCCGCGCTTGATTCGTCTATTCTACCACGGACGACTCCGCTGGTTTCTCTCAAGGTAGGTAGGCAGAGAACCAACTCTTCCGCCACGTCCAATTCCTTATTACTTTGGATTGCGGGTTTTCCTGCGTACCCTAAAAACGAACAAAAGGTGGCAATGGGTGTTGCTTACTTTTGCCCCAGGTGAGAGTCCCAGCCAGATTCTTCCGAATCTAAACAGTTGCCCAGTTTTATTACCGAGCATACGTGCGCAGAAAGAAATCTGTACACCTCAGCCTAATTCTAAAGACACCTTGGGGTTGGCCGCGGAATGATCATGTTGCAGCTGTTCTGTCAGTCAGGTACACGGAGTGTTTCTTGACAGCAAGAATATGTACGGCTCCCACCTTGTTTGAGCCGGCTCCGGCTAATCCAAAGTCGGGATGGCTGGACGCGATGCCATCCGAACAATTACCTCTCTGAATTCCAGACCTGAAAGCTTGAATCTGCATTTGATGTGCACGCTTAGGAATCTGGCTGTTTTTGATTTGGAATTGGCAAAGTTCGTTCCTTGCTGTAATTGGGCACAAATCAGGCTCGAGATGACTGGCCAATCTCGATGTAACTGGCCAATCTCGACGTGACTGGCCAATCTTGACGTAACTGGCCAATCTCATGTCAAAGTATATAGGTGCGCAAGGTAGCCTTTACCACGATAGAAACCCACATCCTCTATACGTTACATCGTCCTGTCCCAGAAAATTTCAGGTCGAACCTCCCCCTCATATTCACTCAAGGCGTCACCTCGGTGCAGTTGTCACTCCCCTGGCAGACCTGGACACTTGTAACGACGGCCTGGACCTCGGCGGGCCCGACGTAGCGCTCGCCCCGGTAGATGTCGGCGGGCGGGACGGTGTGCACGGCGCGCTGGATGACGTAGATGGGCAGGACCGTCACACCGTCTCCCCGCGCGCCGTCGCCCAGCCTGAGACCGTTTGCCTCGGCAAGGACCGCAGCGTCGGCCAATGTGAGAGAGATGTTTGACGCGACCCGCAGCAGCGCGCCGCCGCCGCTGCTCGCGCTGTGCTCGTCCCACTTGAACACGACCCACTCCCGTCTCGTGTGGTGGTGCGTCGCGTTGGCGTTCTTGTGCGTCTTTTGCTCGTCGACGGTGCACCCGAGCCAGCCGGTGCTGACGAGCCCGAGGCTGCCCTTGGGGCTGGGGACGCGGGCGTGGCAGGTCGATGCGGGCTGGAAGGTCGTGTTGGAGATGTTGAACTGGTAACTGTGCAGAAGAAGAGGGGCACACTGTTAGTGCACATTTTCTTCAATGGAAGAGAGAGTGCCGAGTTGTGTGCCAAAGAAATGCGTACGTGACATAGGGAAGTGAGTGTGGCGCTGTGGCAGCCAGGCTGGTGACAGTGACGTTTCGCGAGCTATCGTCGTTGCTGGTGGTTGTATTGTTACGCGGCTGGAGGGGACCAAGGCGGAGAAGCTCGGGCTGATTCATCGCTATGACCATGGCCCCAATGGCCCAGGGGGCCCAGAGCGAGCAGACGACGAGGGCGAGGAATCTCATCTTGGGAAGTGAAGTTGAAAAACTTGGGACTCGACTTTCGTGTTTACAAGATTACAGTCTTTAGTCAAGTTTAATGCACTCGAATTTGGCAGAGCTATAAGTTAAAAAAAAAAAATTAAAAAAATTAAAAAATGGAACAGACTGCCGGACAGTATGCCAAGAGATTTGATACTAGCCTTGGTCTTCGAGGAAGGTGCGGCCCTCGACTACCTACTCGTGGTAACCAGTGCCGCTTGTCCAACCGAGTGGCTCTTTCCATCTCCTGGAGCGTGTAAATCGGCCATTTCTTGGCACTCCCTCCTTTAAACTCTAATCTCTGAAGGTTTGCTGGCGTGGTACTTGGAAAATAAATAAAATAATAAATGAACCGACTAATTAGTATAGGTCTTTAATAGAAGGCATTTCCAGAGAATGGACAGGCCTCTAGGATTCTAAAATAGGGATTCAAATGACTATTAGGTAGCTCCCTCAGCAAAAGACCTTTACAGAGTCGCAAGACATTGAGGTCCTTAAGATCTTGGAAAATCACACGCTAACAACTATTCAGGGATTGGAGTGTACTTAAAATGTACCTTACAACTGAGGGCTTCAAATCCGTCGAAATATCACCCTGCAATTTCAGTATCTAGGCTTCGCTTCATTTTATTAGCTGTGCTCACTATAAGTAAGGTTCTTTAATGTACTAAACCTAATCTCGCTGACGAGGAAAAAACCCCCCACCTCGATGGCCGATTTACACCGGACGCCTGGGGAGATTGTCTTGGCAGTTTTTCTCCTTGCGCATATGGTCAGCGTACCTGCGGGGAGTTAGCAAGTCTCTTTAACCTTTTTTCTTTGTCGACTCACCTCTTCCACGTTCCGGGGTCCGCGTATAGACGTATCTCCTCGTTGGACATTATCCGGTGGCAAGGCGGGTAAGGGCACGGAAGATTGTCTACAACACCCCCTTGCAGCATCCGGACCTTCCGTTTCATGTATCCAGCCAGGCATGCCGTGCAGAAATGGAAGGGGTGGTTGCATGACAGAGCAAGCTTCAGAGGAAAGTCGAATACTTGCCACATTCAGTCACCCTCAATGCCCTCGCATGCACCGACCCAGCCCCCAATGGTGTCAAAGTCAACTTCGAAGAACCTTTCGAGGCAAAAGTCGCACTTCCGGCCATGCCCGACCTGCCGGCGACGCAGTGCCTCGATGAAGATGGGAACGCAACGGAGGCCGACCCCATTGCGGGGGTCGACGTTGAGCATCCTGATTGTACCAGGGTTCAACTCGGGGATCCACCCCTCCTCGTCGGGCTCTGAAGACTGGGGGTCGAGGTCGAAAAAGGATTTCCTCATGTACCCGTGATGCGTCAGCTGAGAGTGTAGAATGGCCGCCGTCATGAGAGTTAGGATGGCCGCCGTCATGAGAGTAGATGGCTCAGGTCACTGGTCAAGGGCCTCGAAAGCCCTTCGCAACACGGCTACTCGCGCATATTTGTCTACCCATGGCTTAATATCCTTGACTCCGAGCCAGTTGAGGACGTGGGACAGTTCGTTCGCGTGTTTGATGTTGAGGAACCGGCCACATGTCGCTGGACACAGGAGCCACGAAGATTGTCCCAAGTTATCATACCAGCGGAATTCGAATGAGTTCATGATATGCCCAGCGAGGCATTCGAAGCAAATCTTTTCCAAGCATCTAGTCAGGGGCGAAATGTGAGGATCCGTTGGGAATTAGTCGCTCGTGCAGAAGCCAGAGGGCGTAGTGTTTGCAATCTCTCCTTGGCATAACTCGCAGAGATATGTTGCCTTTGAAGAGTCAGCACAGGAAAGACTTTCGGCGTTGCCGATGGCTTTTCTAACGACATGGGACTCTAGTCAACTTGGCGTCAGCCCACTAGCCTTTAAGAGCGCCTGGAGATGGTTGGCTGCCATACTGTAATAAAACACGAATTCGGATTGATAGGGCGTTCGGACTTGCGAGTGGGAGGGTATCAATGGAGGCTGAAAGTGGAACGACTGTTGGGAACGAAGAGCGGGCAAAACTAAAGAGATATGTCGCGACAGAATACGGTGAAGACCATTGTCGGGTGTAGGTCCATAGAGCCTGGGCCACCAATTCGTCTTCGATATCGAACTCCACATTTTTTTAGAGAGAGAACTCTGATCGACGTACCTACCTTGCCTAATTTTTCCGCATATCCTCCTGTGTGTCCCCGGCACCTGCTGGTAGTTGAGATGCTCGAGGCCTACCGAGTAGGTAATTCGGACAAATTTGAAGCTGCCAAATCCGCCAGTACCCCTGAAACGATGTTTTCCGAGGTGTCTTCCTTCTAGGATAACAGTGCGGCCTAGATTTGTACGTAAAATTATTAAGTCATAGCAAGCGGCCAGTAAGTTATGTAATATCTCCCTGTCTCCAAACGTCTTTAATAGGTATTTCTAGAGAAGAAATAGACCTCTAGGATTCCAAAATAGGGGTTTAAATAGCTATTAGCTTTCTTAGCGAAAAACCTTTACGGCGAGTCGCAAGATGCCAAGGCCATCATTTGGATCTTGGAAAGTACCACGCCAACAAACATCCAGGGAAATGATTGTCTGCCGGGGAGACGACAACACCGTTGAATTTGCGGCACACTATTAACACGACCGTTTCGCCAGCTTCACCGTTGCGGCGGCGGCGCCGCAGTCTATTTAAGGGGAGCTGGGCCTCCCTGTCTGTTGGCAGCTCTCGCTATCGCAAATTTCGCAGCGCGTGCATTTCGCAAAAAGCATCCCTACCGAGTCGTCGCGCCAAAATGTCCCGACGCCCCGTTATTGTTCTCAGTAAACCTATCAACAAGTTGCGCGACCACAAAGAGCGACAACAAAAAGCGGACGAAGACGATAAGTTACTCGTAGATGATAATATCGATAGCAAGCGGAAAGTATGTTTTCGTCTGCAAGAAGAGCGGTTTCGCGCATAGCAAACGATGCGGCTGTAAGTAATCTCGCGGGTTATATTATTTGCTCTCGTTAACGATAAAATATTAGATTCGTTGAGAAATATAAGGGCGAGAACTTTGACCAAATTTGGTTGGGTCTTTGCAAGGACCAGAAACGCGAAAAGACTATCATAAGGTCGTACTTTCGAGATTATGTTGAGTCATCGCAGAAAACCCGCCCAGCCTTCGAGAATGGGGACAACGAAAGCCAGAGTATCCAGACGATTACTAGTACGAAGACCGTAATATCGCATTGGAGGAACTTGGTTGCAGAGGCGGACAACACGATCCTTAGAGAAAAGAGGCGCAACGACCCCAGCACACGTGGGCTGTGGAAGTTGAGGTGGGATAAAGGGGATTCTAGAGACAGCCCGGTAGCTGACAATGTCTGGCTCGGGCGGCTTTTACAAATATCGCTGAAAATACTTTCTATCCAATAGCTGCCAGAATTGGGTTTGGGTAAACTATGCTGCTTGTGCTACTTGCTTAGTACGTTTTTATGTCTATGCGTGTTATTAGTTCTCTATTAATATTTTAGAAGGCCGAAGGGAGAGAAACAGCACAAGCTCGTGACAGTGGAGTGAGCCCAATGGGGGGACAGGGTGAATCTCGGACCGATACTTCAAGCTATGCCTCTCCCGCAATCGAGGACCCGGATCACGTCCATATATACATGGGCACCTCCAAGGTGATAACTGGGTAAACAGGCTGTGGTATCTTCGCGTCTTAGGGGTACGACATGAAGGGGATCACAGTCGGATTCACTGTTAGTTGCAGATTTCTGGGAGAATTTTTAACCCTGGAAACTACATACCATCAGAACTGAAAAGCAGATGCCACCAGCATTCATATTCAAGGTTCAGCTAGTGATATCTCTTCAATATGGAAGAAATTCGTGCACCAACCTTTCCCAGTTGCCCGCGCTAAGTATTGGCTCGAGTTTCTATGGGTACGTCATTCAAGCCACCACCCTCTTCCGAAGCTGACAATTTAGGTAGCTGATAACAGCTACCAGCCTGAGCCAAGTCCTCATACGAACGTAGCAACAACCAAGGCCGGCGAGGCAAATTATCAGGTCCAATGTGTTAGATGGTGAGCGTATTTTTTTTCCCCTACCGCGATAGTTGAGTGCGACGTGGCAAGGTGTATTATAAAGTCAACACCAAGCCGCTAACACGGTGGTCAAGCATCGTCGCTAGGAGCTGGCCTCTTCTTCCTCCCCCTTTTTCAAGCTTTTCCGAACAAATATAACAACGCTTTCACACCAACGTAACCGGAACAAACTGGTCATGATTCGACGGAACAGCCTGCCCTTCCATGATGCCATAAACATAGGCCTCCCCGACAACGCGGAACCGCCCATCGCCGTCGCCCGCAGGCCGCAGAATAAACGGCACGCTTGCCCCGCGCAGCAGCCAGACCTGGTCCCCATCGCCCGCCGTCGACTTGGGTCCCAGGCCGACCAGCCCGCCCGCCCCGCGTCTTCAACATGCACCGCCCGGCTGTAGCCTCGCGCATGCGCGTTTCAAAGTCGGTAATCCGCTCTTGCGTAGGCGCATTGAGCAAGCTTTTGGTGTCGGTAACGGCTCGCATGGGCAGCAGCATCGGCCCATTTTTACTCGGATCCACCCCATAAGAGGTACTTGTACTACTCGTCTTCTCCTTGGCTGCCGAAGCCTGAATATCGGTCGCCCGTATCGCGGCCCGTCCCTGGTCCTGCGCCAGCTGCAAGTTGAGGAACGGCAGCGGTCCGGGCAAATTGGGGTCGAACATCAAGTCCAACGGGCTATTGTCGTCTCCTTCGGACGCGGGATCCACGACTCGGTGGTGGTGGTCGGCGGCAATAGAGTGGAGCACGTATCCTGCACATAGGGTGTAGATCTTGAACCACGCGGCGATGTCGGTGGTCGAGGCGAGGAAGGCCTTTGCCCCCACGATTCTGTCGAAAGCATCGCCGGCGATACCGGAATCACTAGGGCCCGGGCCGCCGCCGCCTTTGTTGCGGATGCAGTAGATGCTCAAATCCATCCACGCATCGAGCTTCCTGCGCACGCGATTGAGTAAGAGACGCTTTTGGGTTTTGAGCAGCGGGGACGCTTCTCTTTGCGTCTCCTCTACATCACCCTCTATCCCTGTCTGTGATTCTGAGGCGTGCAGTCGGGCTATGGTGTCGGGTGTGAGCCCTATCCAGTCGAGCGGGGATGCTTCTTCTTTTTGCCTAGTGTCTTCTGTATTAGTACTATCCTCTGCCTCCTCCGTCTGTGACGATGATGATGATGAGGCGAGAACGAGGTCGATGACGTCGGTCGCGAGTCGGTACGAATCGATCATCGAACACAGCAGCCAATCGGAGAAGGATTTCCCCAAGGCACTGGAATTCTCTGTCCCTGGGTTGGCCAGATCGCGGTTGTGCCAGCCGTCGGCAGTAAGACATCGCCATAGGATCTCTGAAGGTGGTGGTGGGACGGCTGCTTCTTGCTCAGCAGAAGTCTCGGCTTCGTTGGTGCCATTTCCATTGGCGCTGATAGTAGTAGTATCGGTGAGGTCGGGAAGCGGGGCCTCCACCAGAGATCCTTCGACGGCGAGGTAGAGCTTTGCGTCTGGTAGCTGAGGGAGCATGGTAGTGAAGAATTCGCCAAGGCCATCAATATATTTCATAGGCCCAAGAAAGTTCTCTAAAGTCGCTCTCATGCCGTGGCTGAGATTAGGATACGGCGTGGGAATCTCTAGTCCGAAGCGAAGCACACTGGTTGCCAAATCATGGCCATGATCAAATCCGAAGACTCGAGCTACGTCGTCGACTTTGTAGCCCTCGAGGCAGAATTCTGAGTTATTCGTCGCTATCTTGCACAAGAATTCTAGCCTGCGGCCCGATGCGTTGAATATGGTTGAACGGTGCTCTGTGACGGCTGTCTTCCCGAGAGGAGACACAAAGTCTGGGACCCAGCTCGGCAGTCCTGGAGTCGTGGTGTCTCCCAGATCTTGGATGTGAGAGAGCAACACCAACCCCCCTCCTTGCGCCAAGATGGTCCCTGCCGTGGTCCGAAAGGCGTCTACGACAGAAATACCGTAGTCTGGGACGATTCCAAGATTTCGGGTTGCGATGCCTAGAAACGCATAGACCTTATCTCGGGGATCTGTCGAGCTACAGCTTCGGAAGGCGGAGAGGACCTCGATAAGCCCCAGGCTTCTGTCAATACAGAGTATGCTGGTTGCTATATCGCTCACCAAGCCAAGCACGATGCTATTCTTCTTGTCGTGGGACATTTTCCTGATTAGGGGAATCAGATCCTTCCCTTTCTTGATTGGCGTATTGCCCGGTATCCCGGTCTCGGGCCCTCGGTACGTGAGCCTCTCCGCGTACACGGTTTTAGAGGCTCGGAACCCCTGGTCCTTGCGCAAGCTCTCTCGCATCTCGGATTTCTGGCGTTCATAGACAAGACGGCCGGCTGGGGTAAGCCCCAGGCGCTCCCGTATATACCTCACGCCCAAGATGAAGGTGTAGGCATCTTTTGGTCGGATTTGAAGATGGGGAGCGGCTCCGCCACCGCTAATACCTTTGGCCTTGCCCAGAATTCCGCAAATCATAGCGTCATGCCACATTCTTTTCAGTTCAGGTTGCAAAATGTCGCCGGTCAGGAGCGAATGGCCAAGAGTATTCAGCTCCTCCTCCAAGCCGCTGTCGTGGGGAAAGGAGACGATCTGGGCGAGGTATTCTCATGGCAGGAATAGACGGTTGCCCGTCCCGAAGCCGGGGAAAAGGATGAGGCGTTTGGCGAAAGTGACCTCCTGCGCCACCCAGGCGCGTCGAAACCACAGTCTCTGCAGCAAAGCATAAACCGAGAACCACAGGCCGTTGTTCATGCCAGGCACGCTGTCGAGCGATGTCACAATCGTAGTCTCCGCTTTGTCCTGGAAGTCGAAGAGAATGAGTGCCGCATGGAAAAATAGATCCGCCAGTCGATCTTTGGGACCCAGCCAACCGATGACAGTCACTGCCGATCGGAAGGTCCTGCTCATCAGCATCACCTGCGCCTTGCGCTCGTCGAGGTCGCTCTGGTTGATGCAGATGGCGTCGACCCAGATGGGCTTGCGAAGGGACTGTCGAAGATTCTCCGCGTCATCGGATATCTTGTCCCATGCTTCCCAGAGACCGATTAAGCTCAGGTACTCGAGGATGCCATACAGGCTCTCGCTGACGTCAAGCGTCTGCCCGTTGCACTCGATCTGGCGGGTGCCCGAAATATCCCACTGGACGCTCTCGCGGGGAAGCCACGGGTTTTCATAAAAGTATTTCGCCAGTTCGCCGTCTATTAGATTGATTCCCCTGCTTGGGGTCCCATCGGGGAGATCCAGGCGCTCTGGGAAAGTGATGCAGCCGCGGTCTCGTAAGAGGTCTATAACCTTTTCCATTGTCGGGCCTTTCACCGTGTCGCCGAGCAAAGTCTCGCGAATCGTTGTGGGGTTCCCCCACGTGTAGGAGAGGGCGTTGAATTCGATGTTATCGTCCAGATCGACGACTTTGACCTCGCACTTGACTTCGTGCTGACCCAGCGGTGCTTCGGGACCCGGTGCAGGTAGTACGTAGAGAAGGCGTATAGACGCTGCCGTGGGAAGAGGAGCGTATCGGAATTTGGGCATTTCATGTTCGTTAGACCGGTCATTAGGCTGCGACGCCATAGGTACTTTAATATAATGAGTGCTTTTTTCCTGAATTTTAGTGAGCCCGAATAAGCCCCTGTAGATCTGCGATGTCGCTGGTTGGGAACTCTTGGCAGATAGAAGGTCAAACGATGAGATTCAGTTGCCTAGTAGCATTTGGTGCAAAGTGATAAAAGGTAGCGCCTTGGCGCCAGAATACGCCATCTCCATCTCCGTTGGAAAGTCGCCGATTTTATATAGACAACTGGTGTGTTACACCGTACGCTTCCAGGAGGGTGGCTTGCCACTTCCTCACAGCTCCCTGCAAGGCAAATCAGGCAATATATGCATGGTGAATCTTACACTGCCTTCGTCCCGTTGGCCCTTCGCCACAAGTCTCTCAACGGCTTTGACTTATCTAATTAGCACTTCACATGGGCGTCTTTACCAAACTCTCACAGACCACCGTAATTATGAAGCTAGCTCTCATTTGCAATTTAAGGCTCCGGCAAATCTGGCAAGAATTAAATCTGACTACGGCGAATGTACAAGATTTCCAGGGCTTATATATCTCAAGCTACCTGGATCAAAATGCCATAAGGCTCTGGGTGGGGTAATAACACTTCAATGCAGCCTTATGCAGGCTCTGCAGCAGTTCACAGCTTGCTAAGCCCATTGCATTGACATAACATGCATTAGACATGCAGATGTAAACCAATCGACGCGGCCAAATGCAGCACACCCTTTGTAAGAGAAGGCAGGTACGCCTGATCAAGGTGGTCACAATGGAGGCAATAAGTAGGTCGAGCAATGTGGTATTGGCGTAAGACTTCAACCTGGCCCTCGTAAAGGAAGGTGGGCGAGGGCCGTGGCTTATATACATGCTCAGGGCTTTGTGTGCTTTGTGGCAACTGGCAGTGGCTCTGCCAGTTGGTGACAGGTGTGGGTGTGTGTGTGTTTCCTTACACCCTTGACATGTGCCAGTTCTCCAGGGTACGTTGTGCCAGCACAGAGGGCCCCAAGGCTCCCGACCGGCGCATCTACTATGCCGCCCGCGACTTCCCCAAGAACATCAGAATCGCAGAGGCAGGGCTCCGCGATGATGGACCAAACGCAGTTACCGATCATTGAGAAAAACTCCTATTGGGAATGGTCTCGATGCCTTTCATTTTAGTCGTTTGTAGAACGGGCTAGAAGCTGACGGGTAGCCGGTGGAGGATTTTGTGGAATTGCGGTTGTGGGACAGTGGCGGGTGAGCTATTTACGGGAAGCCTAACGGTGCTAGTGTAGTGTGCGTGCGTGCGTGCGTGCGCCATGCTCGAGCCGTGCTACGATACATTGTAGCACCTCCTCGGGGAGGCCGGCCTGGCCTTGAAGCGCCCCGATAGTCGCCTGTCGGACGTCCGAGTCGCTATCCTCGAGTCGTGCTGCGATGCGTTGTAGCACCTCCTCGGTAAGGCCGGCCTGGCCTTGAAGCGCCTCGATAGCTGCCTTCCTTATGCTGGCAAGGAGGTAGCTTGGTGATGAAGTCCAGGCTAATCTCTTCGAAAGGTTGAGTGGGTAACGGTAGCGAGCTGAGCCTACCGTATGGCTTATGTCGAGGTTATCGGTTGCCGAGGCATACTTGGCACTGTTTCGTGTAAGCTTGTACTTCTGCGTCCAGGTTTTCCCAATGGAATCTTCGTTTCAATAGGTCTACTGTCTTACGGCTCCCAAAATTCCCGGCTCTAGGGTCATCGTGGTGCAACCGTATGAGTTCTCTCCGCACTGCTGGCGCTGCAGGAATCATCAGCCTGCCTTTGTAACGGAGGGCCCCCTCGTCATCAACGCTGTCGTTTCCTGGTCTGCCCTAGGCACCAGTACCCGCGTCTCTTTGACCCTCGAGCACCTCCTCAATACGTCTTCTACATTCGAGATCCCCTTTCTGGAGGGCGATCATCGACCTATAGAACCTATGCATAGGATCCTATTCCTCAGCTGCCTCACCGGCGCAAACCTCTGCCGCAACCGCGTAGGGAATCAACAGGTCGGCACCCTGAGCTTCTTGCTACAGTTACTCCTCAACCCTCTGATCTGACCGCCCCGGCGAGATCGTCTGCTCTGGCGAGTCCTTAGTAGTTCTCCTAGTACGGCGTCCCAGCCCCTCCATCGGGGTGCATTCATCCCGCTAGTGGCTCCTTTTCCGGGGTTCCGCTTTATCAAACGCCACGCGTCCGGTGGCCCCGAGGGCAAAACCCTAGCTACACCTTCAACTCGAGGATATTGAAGGGCTTATTTAACTCGTCTAACCGCTCGGCGGTACTTTCGGGACACTCCAGCTCTGATCTGGGCCACAACTGCCCTTACGGCTGCTGGTAGCTCTGTTGCTAACCGTAGCTTCTTCGTCAAGGTCGGCAGTACATCGCCATAGGCGATCTCTCCTACCATATAATCGGGTCTTTTTGAAAGGGGGTCGGCTGGGTTGGTGGCCTCAGGCCGGTGTTCGATATCGAAGTCGAAGGGGGATAGGCGGTATACCCACCTTACTAGGCGGCCTTTGAGGTCCCGGGCCGGGGCTGTAATCACCCCTTTGAGTGCCTCGTGGTCGGTGAGGACCATGAACCTCTGGTCGGTACCGCTTAGGTAGTGGCCCTAGTGTTCGAGGGATTCGATGATGGCGATGAGTTCCTTCTGACTAGTGGCCCACCTGAGCTCCGCGTCGGTGAGTTTCCTCGACCAGCAGGCTATAGGGCGCCACTAAGAGTCGACTAGCTACGAGAGGATCCCCGAGATCGCCTTATTGCTAGCATCTGTTTCGACTCGGGTTCGGCGGCTTAGGTCCTAGTGGGTTACGAAGTCTGCTCGGCTAAAAGCCGTTTTGAGCTGATCGAAGGCGGTATTGGCCTCTGGCGGCTACTAGAAAGGGTTGGTTACCTCTCCTTTTAGTAGAGCGGTAATGGGGGCCGTAATCCTAAAGTACCCCTAAATGAACCAGCGGTAGAAATTGGCGAATCCGAGGAAGACTTGTATGTCCCGGGTTGACTGTGGTGTAGGCCACTCTTGGATTGCTTCGACCCGTTTAGGGTCCAGTGCAATACCTTGATGGCTGATGATGAAGCCTAGGAACTCGACCTGGTCCTGGTAAAAGGAGCATTTTGACCGTTTGGCGAAGAGCTGGGCTTGCTCGAGGCGGTCGAGTACCTCTAGGATGTGGCGGGTATGCTCCTTCGGGGTCATCGTCTACCGTTCCTCGTTTTCCGAGTCGTCTTCCGAGTCGGAGGGGCCGAGGTACGGGTCACCGGGGTTGCCGCCATCCTCGATCCCGACAGTCTGGATCCGGGCGTCCGGGCCTAGTGTGGCCGTAGTGCGCGGGAGGGTGCATTGGCGTTGTACGTGCCCTGGCTTACCACAGTTGTAGCATGTGACAGGTTCTCTAGCGCGAGGTAGCGCCTGGTTGTTAGACCCGGTGGTTGGTGGAGGCCTGTCGGTACTAGGGGGGTCCCTAGGGGGTGGTTCCCTGAGCTCCCGGCGTTGGATCCGGGCTTTGTCATGGCGAGGTCCGGAATACGATTCCTCTGTCGTGCGAGGGAGTTTCCGGGTTTCGTTGATGTTGGTGGGGGACCCTAGCCTTTTCCGGTACGTTTCTTTGTCGTTGCCGTTCCGTAGGTAGGACCGGGCGAGCCAAATCCTTTCGCACCATTCGGCGCATTCCTTTGCTGAGGTGACGTCAGGGACGGCCTCGGCGTACCGGTTATGGTAAAAGTGGTCGAGCTTGATCCAGTAGTCCCGGGCCATGAAGGTGCTATTGATTTCCACATCCGGAAGGCGCATCACCAAGGTGGCCCATTCGCGGTAGAACTCTTAGGGGACCTGCCACACGCATGCCAGTCTTTGTGTGCTTGGACTTCACCGGATTTGCTACCTAGGTAAGTCCGAATTGATGTATTTTTTTGAACTCTTACCACATGATCCGCTCGAAGTCCCCATCATGAAGCTGCTTCTGGTAGGCCCGCCATTGTTGCTGCGTTTCGTGCTCCATCTAGGTGCTGGCCCATTGAACCTGGAGCTATTGAGGCTGGTCTTGGCGGGTGGCGTTTCCTTGTTCTACGACTAGGAGCCAGTCTTTTCTGTCCTGGAAGGAGGCATCAACTTTGAGCTTGCTGACCGCATAGGTAGGCGGGCGATCGCCCTTCGATCGATGGGATCCTCCTTGGGTTCCTAGGTTGGCTAAGGTAGTGGAGAAGTTGGTCATGGCCTGCATCATAAAGGCCTGGAATTGCTAGGGATCCATAGTAGAGGACACGGCTGCCGGGGGCTCTCGGGGCGAGTCCCTTATCTCAAATGGTTCCTCTCTCTGACGGTCTTGGGTCTGGGTGTCGAGGTCCTCCAGGACTTCGAATGCCGTCCTCCGTGACGGGCCAGGTTGGGGGGTGGTCCTGTCTTTTCCACGGGTGTTGCTTACCATGGTGACCGGCTCGATCGTTACCGGAAGGTAGGGAGGTTGAAGAATTGTAAGAGAAGGTAGGTACGCCTGATCAAGGTGGTCACGAATGGAGGCAACAAGTAGGTCGAGCAATGACTAGTATTGGCGTAAGACTTTAACCTAGCCCTCGCAAAGGAAGGTGGGCGAGGGCCACAGCTTATATACATGCTCAGGGCTTTGTGTGCTTTGTGACAACTGGCAGTGGCCCGGCCAGTTAGTGACAGGTGCTTGGGGTGTCCTTTCCTTACAACCTACCTACCTAATAGTTTAACGTGTAGATAAGGTGGGCAGATAGGGCCCTAACTTTTTAGAGGTAGCTAGCACCTATCTACCGCGAGTCTTAGATGCTATGCAAGAACCTCATCAATAGCGGTAAGCTACTGGCATTAACCTAATACTCTAGCGCTGGCTAAGTTGCCGCGAGTGGTGGGAGGCAGCCTGTTCGAAAACGGAAGTCACCGTTTTATAACGGTCAATTTTATACAGGTCCGTGGGTCACTAACAGAGGGAAAGAGGGACCCGTTTTTGGATCCCAAGTACCCCGGTTTTTGACCCCCCCTACCTCGTAGGGCAAGCTTCTAGGGATTGGATTGTCCTCATTACTTCTCTGGGCCTGAATTTTCGACAAGTATATTCTCCTTCATATTTTACTTGTTTAGAGTACGTAGTCTCGCGAGAGACATGGTCACTTTTGCCGCGCGACTTTGTGAAGCACGTTGTAGTCTTCGGTCTTCTGTTGCGATCAGTCGCGCTGGCTGAGCCGAGGCACGTCCCAGTGGCGCGGGTGGGTTACGTCACTGGCTGGGGGTTTAGGGGCCGGGTTCAGGGGCCGGGTTCAGGGGCCAGGGAGTTGAACATGGGATGCGGGCGGTGGCCAGTAGGGTGTCGCTGCGGACATGCCATGGAGTGCAGCCACTGCAACAAGTCAGCAACGACCCAACACCAAAGAATGACAAAGAAAAAGACACGCGCACCAAGACTCGGCAACAATTCCACGCGCAGAGGTGCCCCAAATACAGAATGTAAGTCGCTTTACCAGCCCTGCAAAAGAATTCTACTCGTACAGTACTCCCAGACTCTCCGCTAATTGGACCCCTGGTAAATCTGGCAGGGCGACTGCGACCCCCCCACAGCGCGTGTCCCCGGTCATTCCGACGGCCGCCGAGACGGCCCAGCACCCGGCCTTCCCAACGGCGATATGGAATCTCGAGGCCGACCGCAAGGGCGTTGTGCCCGTGGCCGAGGGCCGCGGCGGGCCACTCAAGATTAGCTGGGAGATTCACGGCGACGGCCCCGTTAAAGTCATTGTGAGCCTCTCCTCTGCGCTGCCTGCAGCAGCAGCCGCACTCTGACCAAAAACTAACCACGACCTTCCCATTGCTTCTAGTTCATCATGGGCCTCGGCGGACTCAAGACGACGTGGCAGCGGCAGACGCTGCACTTCGGGCACGAGCGGCGCGAGCATTACTCGGTGCTGGTGATGGACAACCGGGGGATGGGCGACAGCGACAAGCCGCTGATGCGGTACAGCACGAGCGAGATGGCGCGGGACGTGGCCGAGGTGCTGGCGCACGTGGGGTGGCTGCCCTCGTACCCTCCCACATCAACACCACCACCAGCGCGGAACCTGCACATCGTGGGCATCTCGCTGGGCGGCATGATCGCGCAGGAGCTCGCGTGCCTGGTGGCTGAGCACGTCAGCTCGCTCAGCATGTGCTGCACGGCAGCAGCCATCGAGAACACGACGACGTTCGCCGAGAACATGGCCAACCGCGCGCAGCTGCTGGTGCCCAAGTCGCTGGACCGCAGCATCGCCGACGGCGCGCGCAACATGTTTGGCGACGCGTGGCTGGCCGAGCCCGACAACGCGCACGTGCCGGACCCCGCGACGACGCCCAAGGTCCTGCCCCCGACAACAATCATCACTGCAGCAGCAGAAACAGCAGCATCAGCGCCGGGGCCACCGGCGAAATACCTCAAGTTCGACAGCAACGCGGAGCGCTTCGTAGCGCAGGAGCTGACGAAGCGGCAGGACCGCGCGCGGTTCGGGCGCAAGGGGTTCCTGCTGCAGCTGATCGCGGCGGGATGGCACCACAAGAGCGCGGATCAGCTGCGGGAGATTGGCGACCGCGTCGGGCGGGAGCGCATTCTCGTGATGCACGGGACCGAGGACCGTATGATCACGGTGCCGCACGGGCGGAAGCTAATCGCGCAGCTCGAGCCGGGCACGGCGCTGTTGGTCGAGGGCATGGGCCACGCGCCCATCGTGGAGCGGTGGGAGTGGTACAACGGCCTGCTCGAAGACCACTTTGCTGTGGGCGAGAAGCTGGATGGGCGGGCGTGACGTGATGAAGGACTTGCGTGTTGATGATAGACGTGATATACATGAACGATATACCTGTGTAAGAGCAGCAAAGCGGGACTGTAAACTAGAGCCTTTATTTCCCACTTCCATATCCCCTGTCCATTTTATAGGGCCAGCAAATATGGCATTTCGCTTATATTTTGGATATTACCAGGGAGTTGAACGCATTACTTGATCTTGGTCTGCTGCCCTAGCGGCTCTCAAAGAAGTGTAGATATAACATGCAAACCTATGAGTATCTCGTGCCGCTTTAAATCCAGCCTGCCATCAGCAACGAGCGGCAACGAACGGCATGTTGTCCGTCATCGAATGCTTGGGATCTCTCGCTTGCCACATTGGAAAACAACATGTGTACCACCATCCAAGCCAACAATGATCAAAACATACAGGAACCCATACACAAAGTAGGAAATGCCAACGTGGCACACGCCCGGTATAGTGCCAATGGCTGGTGACCTAGAGCATGATAAATCCTACGCCGCTCGAAGTCTTCTCGTCCAGCTGGTTCTTCTTGTCAACGCCTCCGTGGATCGGGTTGGCCCTATAGTTGAAGAGGTAGTAGTGAAGCTGGCCATCGCCGGGTCCAAACTTCTGGTCCTCCAGGAAAAGACCATTGTCCATCAGAGAAAGTGCATTAAACACGTCATAGCCGAACCGCTTCGCAAGGACAAGCGCGTCGGCAACCAGCAAGTTCAACCGAGCCTTGATAGCCGGGCGATCTTCGGGCGTGGTGAGCCCGGTCTCGGTTGCGTAGTAGAACAGATACGCCGCCTTGATGGACGAATGCTTGGGCGAACGGAGGACGGATGAATCAAGGCCGTAGAACGAAAAGAAGTCGGTAATCTTGCCGTTAGCATCCTGCAATCAATGTTAGCGTCGTAATCGCAGCAAGAGCATGGCGTAAGTGTAGTCTTACCTCGACTACGTATGTCCAAACCACCTGCTCTCCAGGGGCATCCTTCTTGTGCAGCAGCCAATGATCAATTTCTTCCTTGTCGAACACGGGCGTGAGGTCGTATCGCTTGAGGTAGCGCTCGAGGAGACTTCCCACGGCATCTATATCCTTGGCCTCCATTTCACGGAGCCCCCGGATCGACGTGTTGTCGCCCAGTGCAAACTTGCGCGCCTGGAATGCGGGCTTGCTGGTGGGCGGGCACGGGCTGAATCCTACTTCGTAAAGCTTCATCCAGTTCAGAGCGCGGTGGTAGTACCGGCAGGTGCTGACTGGTGTGGGAAGCACCACACCGCCGGTGTAGATAGCTTGCCAGATGCCCTCCCGATTGATGCGGCGAGTGATCTCCTTAATGAGAACCGGAGCCAGCCGCTTTCCCCTGAGCTTCTTGTGCACGCAGATGAAGTTCACTTCTGATCCGTGCACGACCTTGTCCCGCACGCGGATCTCGGTCGGGACCGCGCCAATGAAGGCGCAGAGAGCTCCGGACTTTGCCCGGATGCCGACATGCCACTCCTTCTTCCAGCCCGGCGACATTAGAGACCTAGCACCAGAGCTTTAGCCAAGCAATGATAGTTTGAACCGGGGTCGATTGTTAAGACCTACCATCTCAGGAGCGACGGGGAATACTTGAATCTGAACATGGCCTCGTTGTCCTCAACATAATGGCCGTACAGAAGCTTTTCCACTTCTTGCATCTGGCTCTCGTTCGTGAGGTCCATAGTGTCCCACTCAAACTGGTCTAGCGACAGTGGTATCGGATCAGGAGAAATGTCCTTAATTTCCTGAACCTTCAAAGGCCCCTCCTCAAAGAGCCCGGGCTTCTCCTCGCCGAATTGTGGGACGGGCTGCGTGGCCCAGAACTTGTACGACGCCATGTCCTTGCGGTTCTTGCCGCTGCTTGCTAGGCCCGTCATGATATCCTGAAGTTGGAGCTTCTTGAATGCCTCGGCAGTGGTGGAGGCGGAGGAGCCCTCGCTGCCGGATGCCAGGAGCTCGTTTGCCAAGGCTGGGTTCAGGGCCATGAACTCTTGGATCTGCTCTGGCGTCAAGCTATCAATGGCCTTTTTGGGATCCGTCTCGGTTTTGACGCTCCCAACGGCACCTTCTAGAGTTTTCTTGATCTTATTCCTCTTGCTCTTCTTCTTTTTCTTCTTTGACGAGCCCTCACCCTCTGCCAGTCCTGAGGTGCCCTGTCCAGTCGTGGCCTCGCCGTCGTCCGAAGAGAGATCGCCATCGGGCTCGGCGGCGGCGGGCTTGGCAGATTTCAGGCTGGCCAGAATTTTCGCAGCATCTTCCTCGGGGTGCTGCTTGCTCGCATCAGCTGGCTTGGATTCGTCCGCCATTTTGGAGGCCGGGGTGAAGGGCTGCGTCGATCGAACTATGCTAAGAGGATGCAGAGCAAAGAGTATGTAGTGTTGGGAATCAAACGTCTGGACAATTGGAGGGCAGGGAAGTTGGGGTGTATATATTTAGGTCGTGTTGTGTTCGGGATCTTGGTCGAATTCCCGAAGTTTGCGGCGTTGTGAAAGAATACAGCTTGCGACAGCTCAACCAACTCAACCTTGTAGTGCGTCGGGGCACCGCGGGGTCGAAGTAAGTAGAAGCTTAACAGCCGATGCTGGGAATTCCTTGCTAGTGTGCTAAGGGGCCGTCAGGTGGGTCATTTTTTACCACCGAGCCTAAAATTCTAGCTATTCCAGACTCCAGCTCTTTAAGTTGCACAGGTGGAGTTCCTAAATTGTCGTCACCTGAACACTGTCACTCCATCCGCAACATCCTTTTTCTCCAATTTACTAGTGCAGACCTGGTAGCTGTATGTGGCGACAGGATCTATAAGGTGGACTGCCTGGTTAATGCAGCAGCCGACTCGTTTTGCTTCAAGTGCTGCCAGGGGGGACACACGCCCACCACTGCTCCATCACCGCTGCATTCAGAGACTAGGCCCTAATTGGCTAAGCAGATTCCAGGAGGGGCAAGAGTGCTGCGCCACTGCTGCCTATTCCTCCAACTTCATTCGAGTCCTCGGTGTTTTGAATTGTCTTCTCCGTCGCGAATCACCTTGTTGCTCCCCGCTGTGTCGGCATTGCGGGTACTCTATCTCTTAGCGGCCTTGATTAGTATCGAGTTTTGCCCCCCCTGAAACCTCCATACGTTCGTTTACACTGCGAGTGACGCCGGCAACCATGGGCAGGCCGTCTCTTAACAATCGTCCCGATGGCGACGCCCTGTCCCTGCACACGCAACCCGGGGACCGATTGCTTGACGATGATGCGCCCGAGCTCCAAGTTGACGACTTCCCGCCTCTCTACGAGGATGTCGCCGAGTCGAGCACCAGCAGTGCCCCGCTCCTAGCGAACCCATCTGGGCCCCCGAGCATGGTGAATGCCCCGAATATGGCGAATGAGTGGAAAAGAGATGACCAGGGCAACGAATACTACATCGACGAGCGGCTCAACACGGATCCCAAGTTCCTCGAGAAACATGTCGAGTGGTGGGCTCAGACACCGCCTCGGCCCTATGTGCGCATCTTTGGCACGCACAAGCAGAACGTGGACAATGCGGGCAAGAAGGAGAAGCAGACGGTCACCGACTTCGACGTCCAGGTAGAGCTCACGCCCTACCTCTACTCGGACGCCACCAATCGCGTCTCGTGGCGGGAGCTGCGAACCATCGAGAACAGCGAGTTTGCGCGCCGCGGCACCGTCCTGCGCAAGAGGGCGCCTGGCTCAAGCCAGAATATCGAGGTCGGCCTGGCCGAGAAGCCGACGCTCGCCGAGTGGACGCACCGCTACTGCGCCAGCTCTGCCGGGCTCAAGTGTCTGGCCCTAGAGCGGCGTGTCGTGGGCTTCGACGCCGAAAAGGTCAAGCAGAAGCTGAACAGCATGGTACGCGCGACCAACTACCGCGGCTGCGTCCAGATCACCTTCCCCACCAAAGATGCTCGCGTCGAAGTCTACAACGACTGCAAGACGAACCGGTGGCGGATGTCCACCTGGGTCTGGTGGCTGTGTACCCTAACTCTGATGGTCCTCTTCACGTGGCCGTATCTCTTCTTTCGCACCAAGCGGTTCGAAGTCGTCGTCGTCGAATGGCCCTTCTCGAAACCCGGCGAGAACGGCCGCAAGAAGTATGTCAGCATCAGCGAGGACCAATGGTACAACATGTGGGGAAGGGCTATCAGCCGCGCTGTTTTGGAAAAGAGACAGTGTACGCTCGATCAGCAAGACCTAATCGCGTCGCAGGGCGCAGACCCCGTGTATGGTGATGGCATCGTAGACGAGGCCATGGGCTTCCTCCGCGCCGGAATCAACGCTATGAATGAGGTGAACCGCCACCTTGGATGGGGCCATGATTCATAGACACCCCACATCAACACCTAGGATGGAACTATCTTTACCACTAGCTGGACCTGCTCTAAGTTGGTTTTTGCTTATTGGACTGTGGACTTGGTTGCTTAGGAGGTTTAGGTGGATACGCTGTTCCGGCTGAGTTCTCTAAATTTTCTTTCCTATACTTCTTGCCTTTTTCCCTATATATTGAGGCTATATGACTTTTTTGACAAACTCTGGATTTTCTTTGCCGTTTCCCGAGCAAGCCTTGTCGTGATAAGCGTTTCTTATTCGTACTGTTTGTTTCTCATCGCAGATCAAGCCTGCGCTTTGTAACTCGTCTTACATGAAGTAAAAGAGGTGATTGATGTGTTATTGCTTCTCGCGTTAGAGTCTCTTTCGAATAACATCTGCGGCGGTTGGCTGCATGATGTGGCCCTGTAGGTAACATTGTTGATTTATAAAACCCCTGAGGCAGCAGAACAGACCTGGTTGGCGGTTGTTCGTCCAACTTAATCTCGTCACGCGGGGCTAACGACCACTTCATCAACAATGCCGAAAGACCGCATGACGGCGAGAAGCATGGGACTGTAGTACATAATGTCGTTGTGTCCTAATAAAGTTAATACATCTGACATAGTAACCCTCGCCGTTATAAGGGGTTATGTAGATGTAGATTGACTCACCTCCGTACGGAAACACCTCGCGGCGGACAACAATGTCCTGCTCCGCCCACTCGGCGACAAAGGCATCTTTCCAAGGCGTAGTAATCGTGTTCTCGCCCTTCTCAAACGTCCTCATTGCTTGCTCTGGCGTCAACATGCCGTCGCCGCCCGGCACTACTCTCCCGTTGACAGCAGCCGCAAACAGGATGTCGTCCTCGTGGCACGGTATGTCCCAATCGTTCGCTGCGTGTATGAGATGCAGCCTGAGCCTTCCATTCCGGGCCTTGACGGTTCTTACCACCTCCTCAAGCCGGTTGCTGCTCTGCCACCTATCGACGATGCACTTTTCGACCTGCTTCAGAACCCAAGGCCAGGCCCGGAAGGGCGCCAGAACAGGCACCCAGCCCGCGATGGCGTAGCCGCTCAGCATCTTGGGCAGGCTGCTGAAGGCGCTGACCAGAACAACTCCCGCAAAGTCGACGCCCTCCTTGGCGAAGAACTCGGCCACGGCCGACGCGACCGCCGTGCCGAGACTGTGGCCCAGGAGCACAATCCGGTCGGCCGGCACGCCCGTAACGTTCATGGCCCATTCCACCGCGGCCGTTGCGTCAAGAATTAGCCCGGTTTCGCTGGGCGACCCCGTGCTGCGTCCGAAGCCGCGGTAGTCGATGGCCAGGACGTGGTACGCCGATGTGTCAGTGAGGGCGTGGTACGACGGAGGCCGGATGGCCTGCGCAATGTGGCCCGCGTTACCATGTACTGGTGGCAAGTAAAATATTGCCAGTCAGATAAACGAGACCTTGCACAGCTTGAGGGAGAATACAAAGAGTAGCTGGTGGAGGGCACGCACGATAGATGACGAGACGTGAAGTAGGGTCCTCCCTCAATAGCCTAAAGTTTTCCGTCTGTGTGATGTCCTTACAGAATCCAGTGCTCTGTGCGGATAGCACGGCTTCATGCTGGCCATACAAAGGAAGAGGCAGAATATGCCAAGCATACAGAACCTCGCCGTCAGCCGTGGGCAGAGAAAATGGGGTGACTTGGTTCTCTAGAGTTTGCGCCACGGTGTTTTCACGTCAGCCTTCGGGGTTTTTTATTTGCCTATTGCTTGCTTAGGCGCCAGGCTCCATGTGATGCAGCCCAATGCCATTTTCACGAAAGGCAGAAACTGACTGGCAAAACCCCATTGCGTTGGCTCATTGATCTCGTGCCACCACAACGTGTGAATCTTGTGCGCATACAAAAAACTAGGCGAAAGACGCAATCAGCCTAAGCGATCCCCGGGACGCTCCAGCATCTACGACGTGAGACCAGACATGCACACTAGAGTAGAATGGCCGTATGGAAGTCGGGCTGCCCTTACTGGCGCTGGAAGAAAGGAATGGAACCCAAGCCTAGGAACGCGCTGTAGAGACCCAGAGGCACCGCAACTACCAGGCTTGCGATCCAATATGAAACGGATTTTGCCATGGCGATTAAACACGCTGCTGGAGCAAGTTGGACTCAAGAGGTATGTTTCGATCTATACGTGTATATCCCTATACGCAGCTGCTGGGGGCCGAGCTCGACGCCATCTCCGAAGTGGAAGGAATTCCAGGTTGGTTGTTGGAACTTGGACACGTGCGTGGCTTGCGTGTGGGATTCTGCGGCGGCCAGAGGAGCTGACGTTGGACCTGCAAGAGGGACTGGGGTCGAGGAGCCGTTAAGGACATTATTAGCGCGGATGGGGCCTGCACAGAATATCACCAGACTTGGGTGCAAACCAAAGGCGCGCTAGATAGTGCGGCTATGAGCACCGCTGCAGATATGCGGCTTATCCTGCGTTCCCACAGGAGGCAGTCAGCCGCAAGAGCCACCTTTACGGCTGGCTTGTATCAAGCCCCGTCACCGTCAATGAGATTTTAAAGTTTGTAGGCGACGGCTATATGCAACGCAAGAAACACAAACAGTGACTCGTCGGCGAATAAGAGATAGATCAAAGAATCTTTCAAGCTTTCGAACAATGTACGTGTAGGAAATTTCATCCAATCCACGGGGTTTCAAGAGAAACGTCGGGAATTCCTGCTTCTGACATGGAAGGCCGGAACGCTTTGCGAACCCCAAATTATAAATCCGTGCCCTGCAGCCAATCAGCGGCATTTGCAGCTCACGGATCCAGCGAGGGTTCAGCGAGGGTTTAGCGCGCCTGCGCCTGAGCGAACAGCCCCCAGAACAGAGTGTGCCCTTCCAGACCATCCAGCCAGGCCACCCACCTGCACCCATTTCTTGGGGAGGTCTCCATCTTTCGTCCAAGCCGCATTTGCAACCTTCAACACGCCCAGGCTCACACCACGCCTCGCCCCAACAACTTCTGGGGTTCCTCGTCGCGCCAGACTTGTAGTCCGCCGCCATTCGAATTTCCTGTTCGCTCCTTAAAATCTCGAAGTCACGTCAAGCTCCAATCCTCCAATCCTCCAATTCTCGCGGCAGCACGGATTCGATCAAGCGATTCCGATGACTTTATGACGGATCTTCCCAAGCCCTCCCGAACTCGGCTCGCCAAGCCGCTCCAATGGAGAAAAAGAGGAAGCTGCCAGCGCGCGCTGCTGCGAGGGTCGAGCAGGCTTCCAAGAAGAGGACCATGACTCCTCCGCAGAGGTCGCTTACGCCTGCGTCTGTGCCCGAGCCCGAGCCCGAGCCCGAGCCGTCTCCCGCCGCCGACCCTCCGCCGTTGCCAAAGTCGATAACTGCCGGCAAACCTCTGCCCGCAGTTGAGACTCCCCAGCCCGACGACCTCTCGGCCAAGGAGTGGCAGTCTATTTCGGAAAGGTGTGTGCTTTCGTCTCTAGCCGTGCCCTTCGCTTCCCTGCCTTTGCTTTCCTGCTTTCCCGGGCTGTGCAACTAACGGGCGATAAAGTGGCGTCCTAGCCGAGTCCCTCTCACGCTCGCGCCAAAAATGGATCACCGAGGGTATTTTCGAAAAATTTTGGACGAAACCAACCAAACGAAAGGGCGTTGTAATCGAAGATTCGAACAATCCACCAAAGGATAGCATGGTCAAGCTAGGCCAAGTCACAATCACGGTCGAACCTCACGTTTTCGAAGCTACTATGTATGGCGTTAAGGACCCGAAACCTCCGCCCGTCCCTCCTACGGACTCGCGTCCCGTTGTCCTCTATGGACCTCCGAATGGTATCATGCCCCCTCCCCCTCCCCCGAAACCGGCCCCTTCCAAGAAGGTCTCAACCCCGACATTGGCCAAGTCGCAACACCAGCCCCAGCCCCAGCCCCCGCCCCCAACCCAATCCCCGGCGCCGAATCCGAACCAGCCAACAGCGGAAGCTCAGTCGGCGCCACAAAACGTATCTCAGCAAGCCAACCCTTCAACCGCTCGAGATTCCCCGTCTTCAGAACCCATGGTGGTGCCAGCCGCGGGGAGACCGCTCGTAGCCTCGTCTCCCCGTGGAATGGAGTCGGTTCTCTCGCCTCCTGTTGTCGCCCCCCATGCACCCACCCAGAGACCCCCTCCGCTCACAACACCGCCTACAGCCCCTCAGCCTCCTCGGCCCTCTCCCTCTCCCTCTCCCCATTTAATGGCTGGGTCACACTCAATGGTACCCCCTGGTCCTCCCGCGGGTCCCGGGAGACCTTCTGGTCCACCATCAGCATCTGCGTTGGGAAGACCCCCGGCTGCCAATGGCACGCCTACTGCACCCATCACTGGAGCACCAGGGAAGCCGGCTCCGGGGACAGACCCCATCATTCTTACTCTGGCAGAAAAGGCAGGAGAGGACCCTCAGCTACGCGACCTGATGAAACGTGTGGCACAGGGCGATGCCGCGAAAGATGAACTGGCAAAGTTTCAAGCCATCATAGATGCGATCACGGTTGAGAGCAAGCGGAAGGGCATGATGGGCCCGTCCGCAGATAGGTTGCTGGTCGATGGGCGAACGGTCCGGTATTTTGCCCACGAGGTGCGGGCAATTCTGGATATTGTCTTGTCGTCCAAGCCAAATCAGACGGCTGCCGATCTGCGACCGCCAGCAAGAAGCGATCCATTAGTGGTGACGTTGGTCAAGAGGGCTCTCGACGACAACATGGTCAAGGATATGGTCCGACGCATCGCCGACAACAAACCCCAGTTCGCAGATGCGTCGGATCTCAAGGCAATCCTAGATGATCTACGTCAGAAGCTCCTTAAAGAGAAGGAAAAGCAACGCACGCAATCGCCTGTTCCTGCAACTGCCGCGACAACCCCAAAGTCTAGCAGTGCCCCCGATAAGCAACCTGCCGCAACACCCGCCGTTGCGACTCCCACCCCCCAGCAGCCCCCCCCTGCGCAACAGGCTCTCCGCTCCAAGGGCCCGCCGCCACCGCCAAAACTCGATGTTTCGGCCGTCGTCTTCGAGTTTGCAGGCGGTACCGGGGATCGATACCTGTTTCCCAAGTTCAGCATCATAGAATATACTACAGTGACCACCGGACAGCAGGCGGTAGCCTCCTTCATGATTGTGCGCAAAGGAAGCAAGTCGGAGTACCCCATGGCCGATCCCGATTTGGATTACTACCAGCCTCTGACAATTCGGCTCTTTTCTCCCACCGGCCGGCACCTGGAGAATCTGACCAAAGTAGTGGCTCCGAGGGAAGAGGTGAGAAGGTACATGGAGGACATCATGGACAAGATGACGCGTGCCGAGTACATCCTACTTGCAATGCGACTGCCTAGGGGCGAGGGCAAGGATGAGCCCGGAGCCGACGAGAAAGAAAAGGAGAAGGAGTCAGAACCGGACAGCACGGGATCGAAGACAGGCGAGATTGAAGCTGCAAAGAAGACCCCACAGCCAGGGGTGCTCTGGGCGAAGCCGCCCAAGCCGGAGATCAGAGAACTGCCGCCACGGTCGAGAGTGTACAAGATGGACGTGGATGACCAGTACCAGAGCTTCATATCCGGCGTCAGCCGCAAGGAGCCAAAGGAGACATGATGACGCGGCAGGGTTCCGTCCCGAAGTGGATCAGATCGGACAATGTTCGACCGAGGTTGCGGGGCCGTTGTCCCAGTACTCCCCTATCACTATTTTTTGTTCTGTCTTGCTGTGTAAAGCTAAGGCGCGGGGAGGGGTGGAAAGGCAGTGTGCTGCCGATCGCCGTAGTGCGAGTAAGCGTCTTCTTTTTAGGAGGGTTTTTGGACGGAAGGGCGGTGTGGAAACTCATGGCAGCGGTTCATGCTAAAAAGGCGTTATTAGGATGGGTGCCCGGACGAGAAACTCGATAAAAACCACAAGTTTGGGGGAGGTGTCTGCTTTTTTTTCCTCCCCCGGCACCCAATGTTGTACTATGTAAGGTTCGATGGCACGCGGCAGTATTAGCTAGGCCTCCTAGGCGAGACGTTACGGGGCATATTTTTGATGCGTAGCCTTTTAACTAGCTACTAGCAGCAGAGGTTACCTTGCAGCGGAAGTTGGTCTTGTTCCCGTCAGCCCTGCACTAATGAGGATTTTCCCCATGGTGAAGCAGTGGACAAGATGGAAAACACGAGAGACGTTCTGCGCATTCCTTGCTCGGTAAGCTTTCGTTGGATGCCTTCCGAACCAAGCCTTGCCCAAAACTGGGACGGTCGTTTATTTGGCACCCTTCTGCCCGGCGGCCCAGCACGCTGTTTCTTGCTGGCGAGGATGCGTTCGCTACTCGAGGTCAACTTCGTCACCTAGACTTTTAGAGTGTCGTCGCCTAGTTGTCTAGTGTCATGAACTCGCGTGCGTCCGGGTTCTTGCCCCCGGAAGGCGCATGCCCATGCCCATGCATGCAATGTTGTTTCCAACCTGGGCACTTGTGGAATCCGTCCCAAACAAAGAATGAGACCAGGCCCGGAGAAAAACAACGGCCGTTTTGTTTCCGTCCTGGTCGGGCCGATGCATCAAATCACCACGCTTTCGCCCATTCCCCTTTCTTTTCTTCTTCTCTTTTTTTTTTTTTTTTTTTTTTGCTTTGTTCTTTTTTGAGTCCACTGTCGGGAGCTATGGTTGTTTCCCCTCCTTGTGTGTACGTAATTAGCTACGGCGGGAGGTTAATGGGACCGGGATGGACCGAGTCGTCATCATCGACGTCGGAATCCTTCTCGAAAAAGCATGAGCATGGAATGGAACATGGGTAATATGGGCATGGATATGAGAGTAATCCACAACCAAAAGTCCGAACTCCTTCCTTCCAGAACCTTTTGGAACTTTTTTTGCTTGCATCTACTGTGAGAACATCCCTGCCCCATTCGATACCAAGAAACGGTTTTCGGGGAACGGCCAGGTCGGAGATGAGTCGGATTAAAAGAGAATTCACTTCGTACGAGTCTTTGACTACGCCATGATTAAAAATAAAAGAAAATTCCATGACATAGGTAATCCCTACCGGAATGCGAAAGCAGACGCCTTCCGCAGTAGCGTCTATTATCAATCGATAATATTCTGGCAGTCTGGAACTGGGAAGTGTCCAGAACTTGCCGCCCGAAACCCGATTCCGACGGTCCGCCTCGTTTCGTTCGTCGTTGGCCTGGCTTCGCTTGGCACCTGCCGAATCCGGGCAGGCAACTCGGCCCAAGCCCGGGAGGCTGCCCTGCCCTGGCCTGCCCTGCCCCGCCCTGCCCCGCCCTTCTCTTCCCTGCTGCATAACTGCATCTCGTCGGTCGGCTACTCAGGGTCTGGGTCTGGGTCTGGGGAGGAGGAGTTCTCCCGAGCGGTGCAGGTCATTATTTTACAGTCCCCTTCCCCTTTCATTTTTCTCGTGTGTGCATGTGTCCCAGGGAAGATGCCAGGGGGCCATGACCCGACATCTGTACGCCTGCGTAGGTGGCGCGTTCCCCGACTTAAAAGCTTACTTGCTTGGGTCTTATAGATCCCTACGTTTAGTCTAGTACGGCGGCACTGCTCCAGGTCCCTCCCGGGGTCGCCTTCCTTCCCATAGACGGATTTAGATGGGGAGTCGAAGAACCCTCTCATGAGTCTGAGAGTGTCTTCTTCCCCGTGCTGGGCCCGTCTACGCCGCCGCCACTTAGATTGCCATTGATGCCGTGGCATGGCTTCGCCGCCGCGCCCCGTGCCTCGAAGAAAAATGAAAAGAAAATTGAACACACGTCGACCCGTTGCAGTGTTGATAAATCTCCGATCTACCATAGGCTCTCCCAAAATCCACCATTGGCCAGCAGGTGCATTAGCCAATGACTGCATGTGCGGTCGAGATGCGCCATAGGGATTTGTCGGGATTCCCTTCCACATATAAAAACTCCGTGAGAGTCCACGGTGATATTGCTTGCCTCGGAACTGCTATTTTCCTCGTGGGAGCCAGCCACGGAGACGTAGAATCCCGCCCCCGTCCGAGGTCGCGTCTGAGTCTGACAAACATATACTAGGTCTAGGATATACTGGAGCCCAGTCGTATCGTGATCTTCATCTGCACAGCGGTAGTGGGGCGGCGGCGAGCATGGACGCTTTGCAGTATCGGGCCTTACAGACACGAGGCCTATCTATCTACCTACTACCCAGCCTATCTAGCAAGTGGACCAAGGCGGATTCCAAGTCTGTCCAAGCCCGCGGTCCAATGGGCCCGCTTCCCGAAATCAGCCATCTTAATGCCCGCAAGCCCAGGATCTGGCTTCTATATAGGCAAGGTAGGAGCCTCTGGTGGCCTCAGCTTTTGCGCCCCCAACGCCACATAATACCACATGCGGCGCGTTTCATTTTGAAAACAAGACAATGCCTCTCTGTACGGCTATCCATTTCCCAGCCGGTCAGCGTTGACTTTTCCTCCCTGGCCACTTGGGCACCCGGAAAGTATCACCCGCATCCTCTTGGCTCCTTCACCCCGTTCCTTTCCTTGCTCAGTGTTGTTTTGGGACATGGTCCCCACTCCCGCCCCGGCAATCATCTAGCTGCGTTCATTGGCTCTCCGAAAATCGGGGGCTTGGTGACGCGACGGGGCCGGACGGGGAGGCTCAATGCGCATGTCAATTCATAAGGGGCGTGGATACAGCGACTGAACTATAATGGATGACTATTTGCTGGATTTGTCAACCTGGGCCCGCCGTGGCATCGGCTTTGGCCCTTGGCACTGGCAAAACCCTCTCTCAGTCTCTATCTCTAGGTATCTGGGCTTATCTTTTTACTTTCGGCCTGAGAATGTTTCGAATGGGGGGGGGAAAGGAGACGTTGATGAGTAGGCGAGTGAGAGAGAGGTATGCATCGTGAATAAGGTAATGGCCCGAGAAAGAAGACTGAATTTGTCTCGTATAGGGTACTCGTAATGGCTAACTATGACGGCTAGCTATCTACCTCACCTAGTATAGGTCAAAGCACCTTGGTGAGTATGTGCCCGTCCCTCCCTGCATATCTGTCAGAGTCTTCCTTGACTGACTCTAAAGTGCCAGGCAGGCAGGAGGATGTGATGAGACACAAGGCCCATGAGCCAGTCACGTTCATGTAAGATCCCGGCTTTCATTATGAAAGTATATACCATACTCTCCCTGTAGCCGTATAAATGCCTTTTACGCCCCCTTTCCCTTCTTACGGTCGATGCGTTGCCTACCCCGGTTGTACAGGTGTCGCCTATGCCTGGTGCTTTCGGCCCTCCGCCCGCTGCTGCCTACCTGTGTCTCGCTCAACCTGTCCGCTCCCGTCTGTGCCGTCGCTTTGCCACACGTCACCGACCAAGGGGGTGAGGCAGACGGGTAGAGAGACGTTTGATTTGAGATTTTTGTATCCCAAGTATTCTCAGTTGTCTGTGGTCCCGTCCACCTCTGCGTTGGCCGTCCTTCTTCTTACTTTTGGTTTCAAGGAGGTAGCCGACTTCCGATCGGGGAGACAAATACCCCATCGCTGGGTAACTCACCCCAGGGGCACAGAGACATGTCTACCGACTCGGACACCAAGAAAGAGAAGACGGCCTATACGGATCCCGGCACTTCGGATGGCGACGGGCCTGACTCTGCACCGCACATCCTCCCGCCCCTGAGAGCAACAACACCCTTTTCCTCTCTATATCCCTCGACGGCTAACCTTGGCCCGTCGGTGCCGCATAGTCCCGTCCACTCAAGTCACTCGCAGCTTTCTTCCACAGTCCAGCTCACAACTGGCGGCGATGAGAAGGAGAAGGGCCATGTCGTCGTCATATCATCAACCCTAACCCACGATGACCTGCATCGCCTGTCCATCATCTCCGCCTCGGGGTCGCCGCCGCCAGAGGGCGGCCTGCAGGCCTGGCTGACCGTGCTGGGGTCGTTCTGCGTCACCACGGCGGTGTACGGCCTCAGCAACAGTGTCGGCGTGATCCAGCCCTTCTGGGCCAAGCATCAGCTGGCCGCCTTCTCCGTGCAGAACATCGCCTGGATCTCGGGCGCCAACAATTTCCTGTGCCTCTTCCTCGGCGTGCAGTTCGGGCCGTGGTTCGACCGCTTCGGCCCGCGCTGGCTGCTGCTTGCCGGCAGTGTTATCTACATTAGCGGCCTGCTGGGAATAGGGTTCCTGTCGCAGGACGCCAGCGCAGACGAAGGAGGGGTCCACGCGCCCGGCACCCTGTTCGGCCTGCTGATGCTGCTGTGGGGCGCTGTCATGGGCACCGGCGCTGCGCTGTGCTGCACCGTCGCACTGTCGGTGCTGGCCCACTGGTTCGACCGCCGCCGCGGGCTCGCGGCGGGCATCGTCTTTGTGGGCAGCAGTGTTGGCGGCATAGTGTTCCCGCTCGTGCTGCGCGCCACGCTCGAGCCCCTCGGCTGGGCCTGGAGCATGCGCATCCTCGCGCTCGTCGTCGCTGTGCTGCTGTGTCTCGGCAACCTGCTGATTCGTGGCCGTATAAAGGGGAAGAAGGGATCGGGTGCCGTCGACTTCCGGTGTTTTAGGGACTGGCGGTTTGTGTGGACGACGGTGGGAGTCTTCAGTCAGTACCCACCCACCACCCACTCTGTCATGATTACTGCCTTTGAAAGCCGGAGCGTGAGACCTGGCGGGAGTTGATGGTGATGCTGACACCTGCCACGGCCACAAGTGAACCAGTTCATTCTCATAGCCGGGCTGGGAATGGTCCCCACATGGGCCACGGCCCAGGGCTTCTCCAGCGACTCGACTTATGCCATCCTGGCTACCATGAGCGGGTGAGTTCCTCCCTCCTCTCCAGGGGTGAGATGTCCCATGAAAACAAAGCCAGGACGGATAGATAAGAGGGGCTGCGGGAGGTTTTGCAGCTGCAGACACGGCGGCTAACATGCTCCCTCGAATTGCTCAGGGGGTCGGGATTTGGCCGACTCACCGCGGGTGCCATCTCGGATCGGATAGGCCGGTTCAACACCATGATCCTGACCACCATCTTCTCCATCGTCACCACCTTTGGCGTCTGGCTTCTAGTAGAGACATATAGAATGTGGCTCTTCTACCTGTTCGCCGCCATGTTCGGCTTCGGTACCGGCTGCGTTATCAGCGTCGGCCCTATCTGTGTCGGACAGTAAGGCCACCTCTATACAGCTTGCGCACACAGCCTTTACTGACGCAGCGCCTCCAGGCTCACCAAGCCTAGCAAGTTCGGCCAGTTTTACGGAACAAGCTATAGCGTAGTCAGTTTCTCGTAAGTGCCCCTCGTTGATTTCCTTTGTCTCTACGGACTCAACCCAACACGGTGCGATGACGACTGTGAGCAAATCCAAGGAACCGCAGTTATGTTTGCTGACACCAGACTTTCCAGGGCCCTGCTTTGTATTCCCCTGAGCGCCGCCATTCTCGATGGCCTCGGGACCCGGGGATTCGTCCTCATCTTTGGCGGCGTGCTCTTGATCGCCTTGGCCGCCTTCACCATGGCCCGGTTCGCCATCCAGGAATACCACTGGAAGTGGAAAGAGGCCATCTAAGTGCGCTCGCTCTCGCTCTACGAGTTTGAATCGTGTGCAGCAGTAGAGTTGAGTCTCCCAATCGATGACTCATTTCACTGCTTCAAAATTGGGATTGGTTGGAGCATCGTTGTAAGGAAGCTTGTCTTCTCGCTTTTGGGCTCATCGACCGAGTATAGGCGGGGCTGTTTGAGTTGTTGCACTGGAGGCAAAGAATCAGCGAAAAGGATTCTCGGAAAATGGACTGAGGAAGTTTATGACGTGACGGTACTGACGGATGTAGAAAAAAGAACTGGGACTTGCCAAACGTGCTGGTCTGGCTTTCTACCTACCCATATTCCCTGTTATATTTCCGTATCCGATTCAGTCATGTCGCTGTGAAAGCTGCACTTCACTAGCGCAAAAAGTTCATATGATGATTATTGCAGAATACCTTTTTTTTGTCTGGTACCTATTTGGGTGTATCCGTATTCTTTCTAGACGATTCAGAATAATAAAAACCGAGAGATAGTAAAATGGAAGGTAAATGTATCTTGAGGCAAGCGCATCTTGAGGAGAACTCGAATTTCTAATTATGCTCAATTTTTGTGTCTATATGGCTTCCATTTGCAAGCAACGTGAAGTGGCCGCACGTCAAAAGCCATGTGCGCAATACTTCCTGGTGAGGTCCACTTGCAGCTGAAACCCCTGACTTGCGTCTGCCCCACGCTGTGGAGAGCCTGGCCCGGAGAAAAGCTCTTGCCTGAGCCGGCACTAGTCTCAATACAGCCTAGCGGCGACCTTGCTTTGATCTCCAACTGGCCATGCTTGAGCTTGCCGTCGCCTTGCCTCAAAAAGACATCGACTCGACTGCCTGAGCAGGCTTTCTTTGTCTGCATTTCTCCTCCCACAAAAACCAGCACAGGCCATCCTCTTTGCATGCATCGCAATCGCCTCTCCTGACTGCGGTTTTCATTTCGCATCCTCTGAAATATCCACCGATTGTGTCAGCAGGAATGGCGTCAAGCACCACTTACGGCGGCGACTCGGAGTCGGACGAGGAAACCTTCAATCCTGCGCCTGCCGACATGTCCGACGACGAGGGTGGCGCTGCTAGCAGCCCCGTCCGCAAGGCAGTCGCGCGCACTAGCAGCCCGGCCGCCGACGATGACGACGATGGTGACGATGACGACGAAGACGGCCCTCCCCCCCCTAAACACGCGACGAAGCGACCGCGTCCCGTCCCCGTGAACGAGGCTGTCGAAGATGAAGATGAAGACGAAGAGGAGGAGGAAGAGGAAGATGACGAGGATGAAGATGACGTGCAAGGAGTAAGCCTGCTTTAAATCCCAGCTTCACATGTCCGCCAAAGCCTCGCGTTCATTTGAACGCGATGCGATTGACGGCCATTTCTATGCTCAACCCCCGCTGCCGCCATGCCTTAAAACTAACGCGATTGCGCAGGGCCACCGCCGTAAACGCCGCCGAGACCGCCATGCTGCTTTCTTCGATATCGAGGCCGAGGTCGACGACGAAGACGAGGGCGAAGACGAGGAGAAAGACGGCGAAGAGATTGAGGGCTTCATTGACAATGCCCATCCCGATGACATTGCCGACGGCGGTCGCCTGAACGATGATAGAAGACACCGCGAGCTCGATCGCCGGCGTGAGATGGAGGCCAGTCTTGATGCCGAAAAGCAAGCCGAGATCCTCCGGGAGCGCTACGGCAAACGCGCCCCTGTGAGAGGCTATGGCGACATGGCCGTAGTGCCCAAGCGCCTGCTACTCCCTAGTGTGGAGGACCCCGGAATCTGGGCAGTCAGGTGCAAGGAAGGCAAGGAGCGCGAAGTTGTCTTCTCCATCATGCGCCGTGTCGAGGAGAGACTCGGCACAAAGGACGAAGTCCCCGTCATCTCTGCCTTTGAGCGCGGAGGCGTAACCTCGGTCATGAAAGGCTACATCTACATCGAGGCGCAGCGGCAAAACGACATCATGATTGCCCTCGACGGCGTTCTCAACGTCTATCCGAGAACAAAGATGATTCTTGTCGAGATCAAGGAAATGCCCGACCTCCTGCGTGTCATCAAGACCCCGAACCTGGAGCCTGGGGCCTGGGTGCGCCTCAAGAAGCCCGCGAAGCACGCCGGCGATCTTGCCCAGGTCCTCGATGTGACGGAGAACGGGCTGGAGGCCCGCGTTAAGTTCATCCCCCGACTGGATTACGGCGTCCGCGACGAGTCGATCAACCAAGCTGCAAAGCGCAAGCGACCCGGCATGCCTGGTCCTCGTCCGCCTCAGCGGCTCTTCAGCGAGGCGGAGGCAAGAAAGAGACACCCACGCTTCGTGCAAGGCAATCCCTCCACCAACACCTGGACGTACATGAACGAGGATTTCGAGAACGGCTTCCAGGTCAAGGACATCAAGATCCAGCAGCTCGACGTGAAGAATGTGAACCCTACACTGGAAGAGGTCACCAAGTTTGCTAGCGGTGCCGAGGATGGCACAGAAAATCTCGACCTCAAGGCTCTGGCTTCCACTTTGAAGGACAGCAACTTCAACGTCGCCTATGTGCCGGGCGATGTTATCGAGGTCTACGAGGGCGAGCAACGTGGAGTCATCGGCAAGGCAACCAATGTCCAAGGCGATATCGTGACTCTCCAAGTCACCGAAGGAGACCTAGTTGGCCAGACGATCGAGGTGCCTAACAAAGGTCTTCGCAAGCGCTTCAGGCCTGGTGATCACGTCAAGGTCATTGGCGGGAGCCGGTACCGAGACGAAGTTGGCATGGTCGTCAACATCGTCGACGACCGTGTGACGCTCTTGACCGACCAAACAAACAACGAGATCACAGTATTCAGCAAGGACTTGCGCGAGGCCGACGACATTGGTGGCCAGGGCTCTCTAGGCCAATACGAGCTTCTCGACCTCGTCCAGCTGGATCCCACTACCGTGGGCTGCATTGTCAAAGTTGACCGAGAATCGGTTGTGGTCATGGACCAGAATGGCGAGAACAGGCAGGTGAATCCGTCCCAGATTACCAACAAGCTTCCCAAGAGGAAGACAGCCGTGGCGGCCGACCGAACTGGGTCAGAAATCCGACTCGACGATGTTGTTCGAGAGTATGGCGGGCAGCAGCGACAAGGCAAGATCATCCACATACACCGGTCATTCATCTTCCTCCACAGCACCGCGACCAACGAAAACGCTGGCGTGTTTGTCACTCGGGCCAGCAATGTCAACACGGTTGCTGCAAAGGGTGGCCGTATCAATAACTTGTCGGGCGGCCCCGACTTGTCATCCATGAATCCAGCTTTGAAGCGGAACCCTACCGGAAATAACATGCCGGTGCCCAAGACCTTTGGACCCGACCGCGCCATTAACCAGACGGTGACCATTCGCAGAGGTGGCTACAAGGGTCTGTTGGGAATTGTCAAGGATACGACAGACACGCATGCTCGTGTCGAGCTTCACACCAAGGGCAAGATCATCACGGTGCCCAAGGTAGATCTATCCTTCAGAGACAAGGTCACCGGGCGCCCCATTGACATCAACGGCCGTGGCCGTGGAGGGTTCTCGGGATCTGGCGGACGAGGCGGATTTGGCGGCGGCGGTGGAGGCGGCGGCGGAGGCGGCGGCGGAGGCGGTGGCGGAGGCGGGGACTGGGCAGGCGGAAGCAGGACACCCATGGCATCAGGAGGCCCTGAAAGAACACCAGCATGGGGTGCCAAGCGTGAGTTATCTGCACTACTAGACATCGAGAGAACATGTGCTAACATTTGTCTTCAGCAACGTCTACTGCGCGCACCCCGGCTTGGGGACGTGGACCCGAAGTGTCTGGTTCTCGGACGCCAGCCTGGGGCGAAGGCTCTCGCACTGTCAACCCGTACGATGGCAACCGTACTGCCTATGGAGGCGCGACTTCTTATGGCGGTGCGACCGCTTATGGCGGCGGATCTCGGACACCAGCCTGGTCATCTGGAGCCAAGACCCCAGCTCTAGACGGGTTTGGCCATGGTTCCAAGACGCCGGCCTATGGTGGAGTCGACACCTGGGGTGGCAAAACACCCGCCTACGGAGTCTCGGCTCCAACTCCGGGTGCCAGCGGCGATTCCTGGGGCTACACTCCTGGCCACAGTGGGTCCGCGCATCCTTACGACGCCCCAACCCCCGGCGTCGGACTCGGTGCGCCGACGCCGGCTCTCAACGCCCCAACCCCCGGTCCGTACTCGGCACCGACGCCTGGCGCGGTCAGTGCCCCGACGCCTGGCGCCTGGCAAGGTGGTTGGGGTGCGGAATCGGCGCCCACACCTGCAGCTGGCGCACCAACGCCGGCTGCGAGCGGGTACTATGGCGCGCCGACCCCCGCCGCATATGGTGCCCCTGAGACACCGGCGGCGAGCGGGCCTCGGTATACTGATGACGATTGAGATTGAGACGGGGTCATGTTGAGCGGATGGAATGGTCTTGGTCTGTCTGGCGTTTGGGGTTAGCTGTTGGAGGTTAGGATTGCGACAACAGCAGTGCAGCAGTCGTCTTATCGGTCTTGGGTTTATGGCGTCTGCAGTGCAAAGGGGCAAAATATAGCATATTTCGGTAGAGAAGGGTCTGTCGCATGTAATTTAGGTAGACACTAAATCCCATGACAATTTTTTGTTATGCTTGTCAGTGTCCACTAGTGAAACGAATAGCGTTTGTTTTGGCCCGGGTCTCCAATATTGGGCTGTCGGCTCGTCGACGCTCTGCTTTTGCCGGCAAAACCGTCTTGTCCCGTCGTGCTGTCACCAGCCCACCCTAAGATTAACTTTGGTACAGTACATCACCTTTCCTCCTAGCCTAGCTCGGCTATATTCTTTTATTTGTCTGCCCAATGAGGCTCTGCTAAAGGAGGGACTTCCATAGGTTTATCAAAAAAGTGAAGTAGCTCATACCCATCACGACGTACACATTAAAAGGTTAACACCGGCATTTGCCGCGGTACAGCAAAAGGTCAAACAATTGAAAGACACCGACAGAGTCATACCGGCCGACTTACGAACCTTACCACCGCCTAGCTCGGCTATCTAACTGGTTAGCGATACTTCCCAAAGTTGTGGATAGTAGGAGGAAGAGCTGCCTTCCCGAGAAAGAAATAACCAGGAGAAGAGCTCTGATAAGTAATTAGGGAACACAGGATCAAAGCAAGCTCCCCGAGAACTCCAAGCGCGGCGTATTCAACAACAACTACTTGGGGAGCCCCTTTTTTCGACATCAGAAGAGCGGTCCCTGATTAGCCTGTAGGTTCCTATTGAGTCCTACGGGAGGGTGCCGTCAAGATCGCCTCAACTATTACCTTACCGGCAGGGAGTCCCGATCCCAAGCTCGTCTCTTTTAAAGCCGAGAGTTCAGGGAATTATTATAATTTCCGTTCGCCGTAGACAAGTCGTCAAGCATCCTCGTGATATACCGTCCCTTTTGGCCCCTTTGGGGTGACACACCACCAGCCGCTGGCGGGGTGATTCATCTTTCACATGTTTTATTCTCTTACGTCTTCCGCTATCTCATGCCTTGTCCTCACTAATATGTCGCTAACTAGTCAACTAGATCAGCAAATGTGCGTCGTGCGAGTAAGTAAGTACCGCGCGATCCTGGATTTCCCAACAGGTTAACAGCTAATTTTGGTTGAATTTGTCAGTCTTTCTGTTGCAAGTTACTTTAGTGTGGAAAGTGAAATAAAGTGAAACTTATGGTTAGTAGTACCTTAAACCTTGGTAGTAAACAGCTGAGGCACGCTGGACGGAATCCGCATGGATGTAAATGCACAAGGGGCGGGTGTTTGGGTCTTGGCTACGTTTGATTCTCTGTGGCGAACTTTGTAACAAGCTTTGGGTTGAATTCAGCTCAACGCGTTGAAGAACAGGCTGAAAGAACTTGGGCGAGTACGATAATTATCTGAAATGTTATATGAAGCGCTCGGGGATCAAAGCATAATTAACTGAAGAAACCTGAACTTAACTAAAAATGAGTGAGAGAGGGATCTCGAGATGTGAAATCCGAGTTCTAGGGCAAATTCCGAGGATTTGAGTCGCGCACAAATCTCGTCTCTGGCTTCCCGAGAGCCCTAGCCTGTAATAGAGAGGCAGGTTCCTCTTATTCATACAAGCAGTAATCAGCTGGTCGCCAGACTTCTGCGTTGACTAACAGTCTCATGGTCAGTTTTTCCCACCGCAGGCAGCAAAAGTCACCAAACACAACTGAGGACGATGCATGGGAATAAGTAATGATTTTATATATCTTGCATTTACTCGTCTCCCGCACATACAAGCATTGCCAACCCATCGGCAACGTCGGGCCGATTCCCTTGGTTGCGTATGAACTCGCTCTCCATCTACATCCCTCTCAAGGGCCTGTGTCACTGGGGCGACTCTCCCTTCCCACCCCCACAGTGGTCACTGGGCTGGAGAGCGGGTTCCGAAAAGCCCATCACCATCCGTTCCGCGTCCCACACGGTGTAGTACGACTTGAGAAGCGGGCTGCCAAACACCCAAGCCGGCAGTTGGTGGAGCGGATCCCGCGCCGGCCCCGCTGGCGGGTGGAGATAGAGAGCCTGGCACACGCCGGGCTGCCCAGGGTACTCGCCGAGATTGAAGAAGCGCGCTGGGACCGTCAGGTTGGCCGCGAGTCCGTCTCTGCCCACCTCGAAGGTAACCTCTTTTGCGACTCGGTCCAGGGTTTCGCACCCACAACCCCAAGACCCCAGCGCGTCGAGTGGCTGGATCTCCTCTGAGATTTGCGCATACAGGTCTTCTGCTGTCTGTCGGTCCGGCACCAGAATGAAGGCCGTTCCGGTATCAAGGAGACTAACCCCCGGGTTGAGCGGCTGACTACGATTGGTTGACTTAAGTTCGTCCACACCCACGTAGACGGAGCGAACGTCAATAACCCAGCCTTCACGGAGTATCGAGAGTTCGGGATTGAGTGGAACCGTGTTTGTGTCGTTTTGGTATCTTGCCGGGTCAGTGCCCCCAATCGTGATCACACTGCCGGTCCTTTCGCCAGGGAGGTATGAGATGCCAAACTCTGAGCTCGACAGGTTATTAGAGTTGACAAGACGCCAGTAAGGCGTCTCGTAACTGTCTTCGCCATCCCATGTCGACGTCTTTGCCGGGCCCAGGCCAACTATTCCATCTGCAGGCTGGCCCGCCAGTCCGCCCCCATACTCGCAGAGGAGGAACTGCTGGTTCAACGAATGGAGGCCACCGACAGATACTGTATCCGTGACAACGGAACAATTGGCACCCTGTGGCTCGACGAGGGGGATGGTGTCGCTTCCAGTCCCAAACTGAGGCGTAACGTGAACCCCTGGCTGGCTTGAGAAGGTGCTGGACTTGCTAGAGTCGAACAGGTTGTGGGGTCCGCAGGTAGTGCAGTTGCTCCGGGGAAGCAGCAAGGCAGAAGAGCCGGTGTCAAAGATGACATTGCTTCATTGCAAGGTTAGCCACGGTTTTGTCAGGTTCCAGGGAGTATTGCACTGCTTACAATTTCTGCGGCGGCGTACCAACAGTGATTGTACCCTGCCACTGCAAATCTGTCTTGCCCCTGATCCAGTTCGTCAATTCCACTTCAACAGCCTCGGCGCTTCTGCGGACGCTTGGGGTCTCGGTATTAGAGGTGGGACCACCCCGGATCAAGGCTGCTGCCAGGGCGATGGAAGCATGAAATGCCAGTGAAGTTAAGTTCTTCATGGCGGAGAGGGACGAAGATGGCTAAGGGAGGTTCGGTAGTTGTGACGTTCTTCGGATCTTGAAAGTCTTCAAATAGAATGGGCAGCGGTCTCATCCGAGCGTTTGAAGCTGCTGCAGGGCGTTTCATTTGGTGTGAAGAAGGAATTTATTCCAAGAAAACCAACAAATATTTGTAGGAACACGTCGTGCGCGAAAGCCTTGGAGGGAAGAATGTCTCGACGAAGCTTGCGATAGCCATTGTTCAGCTATTCCAAGGTGGGTTCTCATTGGCCACAAGCTTCGGAATCAGATCTCGGTGTGTTTCGGCCAACAATATCTGGACTCAGGAGAACAATACTAAGGCGCCAGAGATAGCCCCACTTTTTGGAAATGGCTGCACCAGCTTTCCACCCGCACATGTAGAATGCATTTTCCGCTGCTTAGTATTGTTCTGCACGTAGACGGGCTGCTGCACCTATTGGGGCCGGTCGAATGTCGCCTTGAGTATTGAGATTGCTTGTCCCTCAAAATTCCCTGCAGCCACTGCTGTAGTCCAGGCCGCGAATTGTGGCAGGGTCAGGTGGTATTATTTCCGCACCCATCAATCGGGTCGCGCTGGTTGCACGACCCGGCTAACTACTCCAGGTCGACGCTTCAGCGACCAAAGCCTGTCCCTCGACCGATCTTGCGGCATGCCACGTTGGTAGTCGTACAGATCCGCTGGTTCAGCGGAGCTGGCTTGGTGTCCGCGGGGCCCTCCTGCTCTGGGGTGGTTGCCAGATGTGAAGTTCCTCGCCCGTGTGGTTCCACGCAGGCAAAACGCCTGACTCATGACGCGAGGATTGCATGCGGACCGGCACTGTCGTACCTGGAAGTTCCGCCAGAGTAGAAGCCCGCATTGGGACCGTCTCGCCACCAGACAGCTCGGCGAGATTGGGGCTGTTCTCGAGTTCGGCCAGCGGCTGAGGTGCTACACCGCTGCTAGGGACTTGGGACGTATCATGGCTGTGGCTGTGGGTATTATATGGACGATACTTTACAGCAGAGACTTCTTCTCTCGTTGTGCCGCTCTTGTAGCTGAGCGGGGGGGATGCAAGGCCGTCGGGGGAGTAGTGGTAGGGGGAGTTGGCGAACTGATTAGGCGGCGGCGGCGGCGGCGATGTGGGTAGAGGACCATGGCTGGAGGGACTGAACATGGGCACATGTGATGCTGGGAGCATTTGTCAGGCCTCGTACTGTGTTGTAGGATGGAAGAGGGACTTACGTGGGCGCGAATGGGGGGCTTGGACCTGGGTAGGCTCATCCCCGCTACCTCGATCCGACACGGGACCAAAAGAAAGCCTGTGGGACCTTTTCGAGCTGGGCTTCCCGCGGTGCCTTTTTTGGTGCCACTTGTACATGACAAATGCGGCCAGCGCGATGACGGCAAGGGCGCCGGCAATCGCAATGCCGGCAATCGCCCCGTCAGGCAAGCCTTTGGCCTCCTCAGCGGCAGCATCATTGCCTCCAGCAGCGTCCCTTGTGGCCTTATTTGCAGGGATGACATGGGATGGCGTGGGACTCGTTGGCGTCGTGGTTGGCTTGCTCGACGACGTTGACGAGCTCGCCGTGTTGGTCGCTGACTTGGACAAAAAGGGGCTCCGAGCGCCAGCATCCGAATTGAGTTTTGCTGCCGCCAGGTTGCCTGACGGGCATGAACCCGACGAGCAAGGGTTGGCAGTACAGCATCCGAGGAACGGGGGGGCGGTCAGGGCGCACGTGTACCATAGAGCGGCAGGGTCGCTACCGCTGCCGCTGCCAGCACCCGAGCTACCGCATTCCTGGGGTGGGATGTCGTAGTAGAGCTCGGCTGGAAAGGAGGCCGGCCGGAGGTTGGCGACGGGGCAGCGTCCGGAGCCATCCCGGCACGGGTCGCTGGTACAGCAGCCCAAAAACTCGGTCGCATTGTTTTGGCACGTGTAGAATGCACCGCCACTGGGACAAGTGATTCCAAGCGGGTTGGCTGCCATTGCGCACTGCTGGTGGTGGCTACCGCGAATCTCCCGGCCTGGTCGACGGTGCAGTGCTCGGAGTGAAAACTGGACGAAACCTGCGTGCTCGGTGCGGGAGAGGGCGGATGGTAGAAGGCAGGGTTTAGATGGAAGTAAGGCAGATACGTGGACAGTGGGCGTAGTTCCCTTGGCTACCGATTTGCAGATCCAAACTCTGCCGGCAACATTGGTCTTCGTTTGCTTGTTGAGAGAGAGCCGGAGAGATCGGGGTGCTCAGTGCCGGACTGGCAGCATCAACGAGAACGAGACTGGAGGCCGAGACGAGAACCGCAAGCCACAACTCGCAAAGAATCGCAATCGCAATCGCAATCGCAGTCGCAAAGCTCAAACGCAGACGCAGACGCAAACCGAAAGAAGCCGAAAACCGGAAAATGCAAAACTTGGAAATGGGGACGGCCGTTGGGCCATGATTACGGGTTTTGCAACGGCGGCGGCACAAGCTACCTTTTCCTTTTTCCTCTCTTTTTCCTCTGTCCTCTCTCTTGGGTAGGTCCTTCGCTTCCGGGCGCTTCGGGCGTCTGTTGCCGCCGCCTGCACCACATGTTACATCCATGGGCGTTGGTTGCTGCTCTGCCACCGAGGCTCAAGGCTGCTGAGCCTCATCCCAGTTGCCCCAGGAGCGGATGGGGGCGGACGGCGGGCCGATTTAAAAGGCGCTGGGCCCGTCTAGACACCAACGATGCTGACGGGCCCCGCTTGCCTTGGTGGGCAGACAGTGAGCTCTCGGTTTCCGCGGGGCTCTTGCGCGTATTCCATGCCGGATTTCCATTCAGGTCCCAGGGTTTTGCGGCGCGAGCCTGCAGGTTTTTGGTTCTTGGACCCCAGAGGAAGTACGTAATGTGTGGAATGGATGGATCGATGGCTGCGTTGCCTTGCGATGGCGGCGTGTACGACATGTACTGTCTGTATGTGCGGGCCATACGGATATGCCAGGGCCGACCGATCCAGATGCATGGCGCGGCTGCAAGCTGCAAGCTGCCAGATGGGACGCACCAAGGTTCCGCATCTCTACTGGCTGTACCTGCACCGTACGTCCTGTGTGTGCATACCTACATATACACTGCCTCCCTTTGACCCACCACAGAGAGATATTGGAGGTTCAGTGTCGACGGCTAGGTAACTGGATGGAAGAGCGCCGCCTCGCTCTCGAGGGGAGACTCGGACGAGACGCTGTTGGGAAGGAAATGACCAGAGCCACCGATACTGCTGGAATGGAAGCCGAATGGAAGCCGAATGCTCCCACTAACTGCGTTACGTCAACGGCGAGCGAGGGATTCCCAACGACCTACCTTGGATAGAAGCGACAGAGCACCGGCGGGCTTTTCTGTCCTGTTGCGGCAAAGCCGATTCAGGGCAATCCAGCGCAGCGCCGTTGGCGTTGGAGCGAGGGATCAAATAAAGCTGCAGCTCGACGGCGCTGGTCGACATGACGGCCACCCGAAATAAAACGCCGACTCCACCAGATTGCCGACTTCTCCCAACTGGGCAGGCGCTGAGTGCAAGTGGGGTCTAGGCAGCCAAATTCCGCTTCAGTTCTCCGTTCCGGGCAGCCCCCCCTGCAAGTGCCGAAGTGATTGAGGTCGGCTGATTGGTCATTCATTGCCTCTCCCGAACCGAAGACCGGGAATAGGCCTGGATTTTAGGGAGCTGAGCTTGAATTCCGCGCAACTTCACTGAGCGATGTGCACACCTTGGGTACAGTACGTACTGATTCGTGAGACGCCTCGGGACTCCATTCATCCATGTGAGCATGTTGACGTGGGTAACTGGACACAGACATCTGTTGGTGCTTCAGTTGGACGGTCGACCATTGGCATTGCACATCGCAAAAGTACCCGTCGCCTTTAATGCCCACCCATGCATGCAGTCCATCCGAGAGAGGCGAGATGGCGAATACTCCCACTCGAGAGGTCACGTGCTGATCCAAAGGCCCTTCTGTTGTGTTAGTCACACAGACTCTGTCGAATGGCTATTGGCGCCTGCCTCTTGGCAATTCACGATGAAAAAGAATGTCACGTAAAATAGGGCAGGCTGTCTCACCCAACGTACCGCCCGCTCGGCATGAGTTGATGATGGGCCGGTTGAGCTCACCGCAGTCGCTCTCGCCTTGGAGCATGTTACCGTCGCACTTTACAGCTCAGCGGTCATACCCCTCGACCGAGGGAAAAAAGGGAGGCATCCTAGACTGAGAAGCGTCGTTTTATGGCCATGGATGAAAATGAAGACATCCTCGCCGAATCTCACTCCAGCTTGGTGCTGATGATTCTGAAGCCCGCTAGCAGCATTGTTTGAGTCATCATGATCAATATCTTGGCTGCAAGTCTCATTGTTATCGTGGCCATTGCGGCCGCCCACGCCCTCCCAGACCAGAGCCCAGAAACACCCACCCGGCACGGTCATGAGAGGCAAGCCCGCGAGCAGGGGAAGCGTGGGTCTCCACTATCCTCGTACGTGTGAACCCCCAGCATACTCACTGACCGGCTCTGGAATATGAAAGGGATGAAAGCTAAAAGTGACCAATTCGCAGCTCTACTAGTCATAACACCAGTCGTCGCCCACGCGCCAACGCAGCCCAGTTCTCGTGCGATTTCCCAGTCTTCGGCCTCGACTCGGTCGACTGCGAGTACATGGCGTCGATTGGCATGCTGGGCCAGGGCTTTAACGCGCAGGACGAGAACGGGCGCATCTGGATCGGCTCGCAGGGGCCCAACCGGTTTACGTTTGTCAACGCCGCCGGCGTGCCGATAACGCTGATCGTCTGGTACATGGCGCCGTACGACGACCAGGCGTCCTTCATGAACGCCCGCGCGCCCGACATCAGCTACTCGCTGCCGACCACGGGGAGCGCCGTCGAGGTGTCGCTGGCCAACGGCGTGCCCGGGGCCTGGTCGGCGCTGTACAACCACTCGACCACGCTGTCGCCATACGGCCAGATCAACAACACGTTTGGCGAGTTCAGCACCGGTTCGTACGCTACCATCGACCTCTCGCGCCTGGTCAACATGCGGGGTGACCAGATGACCGTCATCGTCTCGGGCGGCTGCGTCTCCAACATGGCCACGTGCGTCTACACGTGCGTGTCCGAGGGCGACAATTCGTGCGGCGCCGCCGGCACTTACAACCTGCTCAACTGCGTCGGCCCCAACGCCGTCCAGTACATCGACCCCGAGGGGAACCCCACGGGCGGCTGCCAGGGCTGGAGCTTCGGGGGAGACATCCAAATTGTGATGACTTGAAGGGAAATTGAGTCTGGGATCTTGTGTAATGCAGCCTGCCGGCTCCGAGTTTGGTTAGCACCGGTAGCCAACCGGCATTGTTTGGTCTTTCGAGGGTCTAGGGTTCTGATTATGGTGTGCCAACGCAACTGACTCACCGAGATTCGGCTTGCTTGTTTTGATTGGCGCAAGACTAGACTGAGCAGCGTAGCGAAATGATTATATACCTAGGTGATAATTTCACTTTTGCTTGAGGATTGTCAATGATGAGGATGCATCTCAAGGTAGTAGTCTGTCTCTAAAATGTTTTAACATGGCAGGAAACGGCTTGATCTGGACACTTCTGTTCATCGTGGCGCAACTGGCTTTTCCTTCTTCCGCTTCTCACGATCCTTTCAAGTTGCTCGGTCTGCAAGTGACATTGATGCTAGACAAGTAGCCAACTAGGTAGTGTCAGTTGTTCCAGTATGATAACGTCTCCTATGGATCGTATGCCGTTCAGTCAATCTCTCGGAAGTCGAAGATTGAGGTAGAGCAGATTAATGGAGAAAGAAGATCTGCGCAGCCTTCAGCCAATATGAAGGAAGAAATACTGTAATCCGAGGGACTTTTCCATGCCTTTATCCACTCCAATCTTCGACCTTCGAGAGAGACTGGCAATTCAAGTTGATCAGAGCATCTCGATTTGGCTACCAACTTTGTCAACTATTTACTTCACTCTGTGCCTAAGTATCTTAGGGTTTCTAACAGACCTGACAAAGACAATGGATGTCGTCAGTGGCTTGTTTAGACTTTGGGATTCTGCGGCTTCACAAAAGTTTCAGCCGTCTTCGAATTGACGATCCGGTTTGCTACGCTGTGTCATCTGATGATTTATTTAGCCGAGGCATGTATTAATTGCTGCTTCTATGAAGTGCTTGGAAACGATACGATTTGAGGTAAAGCGGGGCATCCACTCTTTTTCTCTCCCCCCGCTCTTCCTTTCTTATTAGAATGTTTGATGTCATTGTACTCAGACGCTGAGAGCTAGATTCAAGACTTGTTGAAGAGAGAAACGGTAGGTAAAGTTGATATAGCAGCTGGGCCTCCCGGTTCGGCTCATTTTCTGAGTAGAAGCAATAAGTGAGATACGACGGTGGTAGGTAATCTTTTCGCAATGCGCTGGGGGAAGAAGGCATGATTGGGAGCCCTGACAAACCTGAAGGGATTCAACAGGCAGAGGCTTCACGAGAATGGGAATAATATCTGCAGCTGGCCATGAGGACAAAAGCTGCCAGCGATTACATATCTAGTAATTGCCCGACACTCGTCTTCTTCGGTCTTCCGCCATCGGAGAGCTTAGCAGAACGATGACGATGGGACGGGGAGGGAACTTACCCAGCTTCACCCCCTTAGACGGCGGAGGTAGAAGAAAATCGCTAACTCTCGTTACCAACAAAGTTGCCGGCCGGCAAACACGACGACATGCTCGTCGAAGAAAAGGAGTTAGTGAGAAGAAGAACCACTCAATATTTGCATCGAATGATGGAGCCCAATGCGTAAAAGTCACCATGGCTTGCCTGAAGAGTGCTACTAAGTACAGGCTGCCGACCACCTGATGTGGGTCTTGCTCGCAAAACACTTCGGACTTTTGGACGTACAGCGGGACTTCCATTGGACGAGCCAACGGTTGTCAGTGGGAAGCAAGATGAGTGGGCACCTACGGCATATGCACGAGTGCACCCCGGGCTTGGCTCGGGCGCGAGATGCAACGGGCCGGCCAAATGCAGAAAGCGTGGCCGTTGAGGAAATGGCGACCTACCTACATCGCTTTCACTGTGCAGGCGTGCAAGTAACGGCGGTGTGTTACGTAGTAGATTCGGGGGAAAGCGTGGCCCTGGATGGACTAGGTTCCATGGGTTGTCATCCACCGTCCTCGTCCGACGGATTGCAAAAATCCAACCCCAACCTTGCCCCGCATCCAAGCTTTTCTTCGTTTTCTTCACATTGCTTTCTGCATTTGCTTTGTTTGCCCATCAATTCCCGTTTTGGGCTTTCGCCGCAGGCCACCCGCGGGCTGATCAGCGGGCCCGGGCTAGCAAGGGACTGGAGACCCTGAATCCCAGGTAGTAGTGAAAAGATCAATCGGCACAACGGCTCTTCGAGCGGCCCTGACGTCAGCCAAGACAAAGCCGGCCTAGCCTTTAGGCACATGCAGCGAGTTACCTCAACGGCCCACGCTGCCATCACCAGGACAGGCAGTTTTGTGATGACAGAAAGAACTTCTGGATGAAGTTAAGGATTTGGCTGGAGAAAAATACCAATGTCGATGCCGGAATGTCCCAATACGCACCAATCACGGTCCCTAGAGAGACCATATCGGAGTGTCCGAGAAGATCAGGAGAGGGGCAGGTAGGAATATGCAAAAGAGTGCCGTCGGTGTTACGACACACAACAGATCTGCCCCTCCAACATGCGTCCAGATGAGACTCGATGCTCCGTTGACGAGGGCGGTGAGGACGGATCTCGAATCCTACAGCTGCTCGCCTGACCTGATTCCCTGCCGGCATTAGTTTGTTTGTGTCCCAATGATGAAAGTGAGGGGCACTGGTCTAAGAAAGAACAACTATCCAAGATGCGAAGCCATCAAGGCGAGCCGCCGCTTGGGGCCTAGTGGGGCTCTCTGAGCGTGTGCGGCCAGCCGTCCGCATTTGCTAAGTTTCCGGAATCCGCACGCGCCGATCCTTCAAGATCAATCTGCGGGGGAGGGCAGGGCAAGCAAGGCAAACTGGTTGGGGCTTTTTGCGGGGGGGAGGGGGGCGTTGTGGAGTTGTGTGCCGTCGATGGATAGATGGATGTTGACGGCAATGACAGGCCTGAGGCCATCCACCGACGTGCCATGGGCGGATAGTGGATAGAGTTTGCCAGTTGCATAATAAGTTGCCCGTCTCCCTGGCAGGACCCTGATGATCTTCTCTCCCTTTTTTTTTATTCAAGTCTCTGCGCGACCTTGTCTCACCTTGCGTTCCCGTTTCTCCCCCGTCGCCCGCGCAAGCACTTACATACGTCACTTCGGGAATAATTGTTTCCCGTTTTCGGCCATGGCCGACACCACCCCCGGCTCGGACGCCGCCCGGACCGGCAGCAGCCACGAGTACATGCCCCCGTGATCCCGTCTAATTCTAGTTTCCTGGCTAGCGCTAGTGTAACTGCAATTTTTTACGTCGTTTCATTTCGGTTGCTGATTACGTCTTGTTCGACCAAGCAGAGATGTTCCCAAAGGGGTCGAAGGAAACCACCTCGAAAATGGCGTTCCGGCCTCGCACCACGTTGACATGAACACAAACCTGGAGGCTAGGTACGCGTAAAGCCCAATCCTACTGTCAATCCATTGCAGCTTGTTGTTGTAAGATCCCGCCGGCTTACAACGCCCTTTGTTCCTTGCGCAAAACAGAATCCGGAACCCGCTAAAGGGTCTCTCGTACGAGCAGCTCATGAGCTGCGTTGAGGCGTTTGCGCACGAAAAGGGCCTGGCCGAGCACATGCCGGCGTTGCGTAAAGGGGCGCTGGTGGCACAGGACCCTACCGGCTACCAAGACATCACTGGCGATGAGGCGCTGGACGAAGATGAGAAGCGCGTCCTCCACGATGAGGTCGCGCACAAGTGGCGCCTCCCCATAAAGCTGTACCTGACCATTGCGACTTGCTCCATCGGCGCCGCCGTCCAGGGCTGGGACCAGACCGGCTCCAACGGCGCCACCATCTTCTTTCCCGAGATTTACGGCATCGGCGGCGACAGTGCGAGAGACAAGCTGCTCGTTGGCTTGGTCAATTCGGGCCCGTACATTGGTAGCGCGTACGTTTTTCACTCTCACCCCTATATGAAATCGGGTTCTTGTTTCTCAATAAACCCGCGATGACAGATTAATTGGGTGTTGGCTATCCGACCCCATCAACAACTGGATTGGCCGTCGGGGTAAGTAGACCAAACATGCCTCAACACGCCAGAACAGACTCTAACCTTGCGGTAGGAACCATCTTCGTCGCGGCGCATTTCTGTCTCTGGCCCGTCATCGGCTCTGCATTCAGCAATACCTGGGAGCAGCAGCTGGCAAACCGCTTGCTGATGGGCATCGGAATGGGCGTCAAAGCGTCAACGGGTTCGTCGCTATCCCCTCTCTAGCCGTATGTCTGTGTGTCTCGGTCTCTTACTTACCTGCAAGCGCGTACTCAGTCCCCATCTATGCGGCCGAAAACTCTCCTGCGGCGATTCGTGGCGCTCTGGTCATGTCTTGGCGTGAGTTATGCTCCAACGGAGGCCTCCCTTGTCAAAGAAAACCAGCTAACAGTGGAAAGAAATGTGGACGGCATTCGGTATCATGTTGGGCACCGCCATCAATCTGGCTGTGTGGAGCAGCGACATCAACTGGCGGCTGATGCTAGGTTTGTTCTGCCTCTTAGTGTGTTTCTGACTCTCAGGCTGACACGGCTCTCCCAACCAGGCGCCCCCTTCATTCCCGCTGTGCCTCTGCTCCTGCTCATCTATCTCTGCCCCGAGTCGCCGCGATGGTACATGAAGAAAGACCGCTATTCAAAGGCCTGGGACTCGATGCTGCGGCTCCGCCACCACAAGATCCAAGTTGCCCGCGACATCTTCTACATCCACTCCCAGCTCGAGATTGAGAACCAGCTGCTCCGAAACACCACTTATGTCAGCAGGTTCACTGAGCTGTTTACGATCCCCCGAGTCAGACGGGCAAGTATGGCTGCCTTTGTCGTCATGATTGCGCAGCAGATGTGTGGGTATGTACAAGCCTCGCTTTCATTCACTCGTGGCTTCATCCAGAGTCGAATTCATTTTCGCTTTGCTGACATCTGGCCTTGACTGCAGAATCAACATCATTGCCTTTTACAGCAGCACCGTCTTCAAGGACGCTGGATCGAGTGACCACGAGGCGTTACTGGCCTCGTTCGGATTCGGCCTGGTCAACTTCTTCTTCGCGTTCCCGGCCTTTTGGACCATCGACACCTTTGGCCGACGGTCCCTTCTGCTCTTCACCTTCCCGCAGATGACGTGGACGCTGCTGGCCGCCGGGCTGTGCACGCTGCTGCAACAGGGCACGGCACGCACGGCACTGGTAGCACTATTCGTCTATCTCTTCGCGGCCTTCTACTCGCCCGGCGAGGGGCCGGTGCCGTACGCGTACAGCGCCGAGGTGTTTCCGCTGTCGCACCGCGAGGTCGGCATGGGCTTCGCTGTGGCCACGTGCCTTTTCTGGGCGGCGGTGTTGAACATCACGTTCCCGTTCCTGCTGCAGTCGCTGACCACGGCTGGCGCCTTCGGCCTGTACGCGGGCTTCAATGTTGCCGCCTTCATCATGATCTTTTTCCTCGTCCCCGAGACCAAGCAGCGCACGCTCGAGGAGCTCGACTACGTTTTCGCCGTCCCCTCCCGCAAGTTTGCCCTGCACCAGATCGAAGAGGCCCTGCCGTACTTCTTCAAGCGTTGGGTCTTCTTCCGGCGCAGCGCCACCCTCAAGCCGCTGTACCAGTTTGACCAGGAGCACAAGAAGAAGAAGTCTACCAGCAGCGACGTTAGTGTGGCGCATGCGGCTAATGGGGGACACCATGTCAACGGAGCGGGGGGGGGGTTGACGGGGAGAAGACGAGACTGGATGGCGTGTGAGATGAAGAGTGGGGTATGAGTTTGGACTAGAGTTTGGACTAAGTAGTCTGAGAGTGTTTGGGAGTTGAGGGAGTGAGAGGATGCGAGGGCTTTCAGTCCCAACTGTGTTTGCCGCTCAATGATACCTCTTTGCTCAGTATACTGTCCGTATTGCCTATGAACGTTTCTAATTACTTATGCGTAAATACAGACCGCGATCTTTGTGAAGTAGCTGCTCCACGCAGCCGCCCTTATTTTTGTCGTTTTTCTTTGTTTTATTCTTTCCCCCCCTTAACCTCTGTTATAATCAGCGTCAGCGAGAAGAATTTTGAAACGCAGGCATGTTCCCACTCGCTATTCCTTCAATATGCATGTCCTTCCAAGCCTCATCATTCATCAACATTCCCATGAGATGGCCTTCGCTTGACCGCGCCTCGTTCATGACATGACATCTAAAAGCCGCCGCCCATGGAACCACCACCCCGAATCACTCTAGCAGATCCCCCAGAGCCTCCACAGCCTGGTCAACCAGCGTGTCGTACTGGTCTAGAATCTCGTCCACGAGCCAGCGGTTGTGCGCTGTAGCAGTAACAGCCTGGATCTTGTCGGGCGAGCCAAACGTGTCCGCCATTCTCTGCAGCATGGTCTCGATGGCGGCCAGCTGGCGCTCGAGGAACGCAATCCCGTCGCGCAGCTCCTCGGCGCGCTCCGGATCGCCCTCAGCCACCGCCGCAGCCCGCGCCTCGAGCACGCCGATGCCGTCGACCAGCAAGCTGCCACGGTCCGAGCTGCGCCGCTGCTGCCGCACAAACAGCACCACGTTGACCATGGCGCAGAACCGGATCTTCTTCACTCCGTGGCTGCTCATCGCCCGCCCGTCGCGCCCCAAGGCGAATGCAGCGTCTGTCATACCGAGGATCTCGAGCACGTACAGGTCCAGCACGGAGTCTTCTATGGTTAGGTAGTCGTCCTCGTAGTCGCAGTCGATTAGGGTTCGTAGGTCGTCGCGCACGATCAGCTTCGCGTTCGTGCGGCCTTCTAACGGCCTGAGGCGAGACATAGCGGCGGCCACAGGGAGTTTGCAGATGGGGTTGTGTGTTGGTACCTAGAACGAGGTGGGATGGGTTGGTGTGTGTCGTGGTGGTACGGGACGGGTTCTTCTTTCCCGTGTCGTGTACTGTGACTATTTGGCGGGTGCTCGGTGGCGAAGCGTGTAAAATGAGGGTGCTTCCAGATCAGACCGGCTAGGCGGGGGAGATATGCTGTGAGATTTGCGTGGTTTTCTCTTTTTGCAGTGGTGAAGTGGTGAAGTGCTTCTCACTGGTCAGATCCGGCTCAGTATCTCTTGGGACACGGCGGCAAGAGCCAGCACACAAATATGGCCTCGACCTCGCCACAAACGCATGTCAGTTTCACATGACCACTTTTGGATGATTTTGTCACGGGCTGGGGTCTGGGGGACCGACTGCAGAGCTCCGATGGAATCTCTAATTTTGGGGTGTTTGGTCACTTTTTCTTCGAGGGACTCTTTGCCTTTTTTTGACTCAGGCACGAAGATTGAGTTTGTGCTACAGTATGTGTATACCTTTACTCGTTAGATTTCACGCAGGTCGGCTCTCGGTACTTTTGAGCTTCTTCCTCGAGCCAGTCGGTATGCCGAAACTAAATTTCCGCTCAGACGTCGCACTTGGCCAATCAGGCTGGAGTTAAACTCCACGAGTTTTAGTTACTTCTAGTTCAGTTTCATCTAATGTGGTGGGATGAATGTAGAGATTCAACTTGCCAAATCAACGACAACCGAGGTACCGTCGGTGACTGGCATTTGGTGTGTGGCACTGAGAGAAAATAGACTTGATGGGAGATAAAGGTTGGGAGTCTCTGGGATTGTCTGGAAGTAAGGTAAAGCAGAAAGCTGCTGTTGCTTTTGTGCGGTAATTATTACAGCAGCGGCCTTGAAACAAGGTCGAAGCAAGACATGGGATAGAAAGCAAAGCCAGCCAAAACTAGTAGGGTCTCAAATTGTAGTGCTATTCTTTAGGAGCCTTGCCACCAAACGCTAAATCGAAAATATTAAAGAGCAAGACGTCTTCCGGCTCCAAAAGTGTTAGTGATATTAGTCCCGCCTCCGTTCCGAGCGGCCGCAGACTCCCCGACATACAATCGCAAGTAAGCTGAACGTGTCGCCGTAGCAGAAGCCCTGGTCTCTCTCAAAAAGGGTAATATTCGGTGTTGCCTTTGGGTCGATTCCCAGCACTTATTTTCAGAAGCCGCTCGTCTAAAAAATAACATCTCTCTCTCTTACCTTACTGCACTAAAATTCCAACTGCCACCACCAAAAACCTATTAAGCACCATTTGAATCTGCAACTTCACGTGATCCCAAAGTTCAACTCCTCCGAACTCTATCACGTAATTACGCCTCCCACGGCTTCCTCACGCTCAGACACGTCTCGACGTTTTGCAGAATTTCTCACCCTAGCTAGGAATTCAGATACAGCTTGTCGCAGACTATCTGTTACGGGCTACCTCCACACGAGACAAAACAGATGCTTGTTGGCTGGCATTGTGGTTAACAGAAGCTACCTAATCGCAACGCCCACCACACCACCTACAACATTTGGAGGGCACCGATATCGCCCCGGCCGATCAAGTAAGTGTCTGCAATGTCACATTTACTCAGATAAATGTGTCTAATTACGTACCCTAAGCATGGGCAAAGCCATGATGCAGCCATTCTCTGCTCCCCACCGGGCGTGGAAAGACTACAGAGCCGGCCGCTCGATGCGCAAGAACGCGACAGATCAAAAGGGAGCCGAATACGCAGAAAGCAAAGCAAGCGAACCTCGGCCTCGGCCGGCAAGCCCTCAGCCGGCAAGCCCTCGCCCGGCACGGCCTTCGCCGAACGAAGATGGCAATTTGACAAAGCGGCCGAGTTTCCCTGGCGCCTCGAGCAGGTCATCGAAGAGGAAAGCAACTGGTGCGGGATATGGGTACTGGAGGTCAAGAATATGCAAGCCATGGTTTGGGAGACGGTTCACGTAGCTAAGGAGAGCGGGTATGGTGGTAAATACTAGCGGGCGCCAACTACGCACTTACCGTTCCCGGAATGGGAGCGGGGCGATTTGAGCGCCGGAGGACACGATGATCTAATGGCATGGTTGGGTAAAAGGTAAAATGACGCCGATGGCAGATGCATCAATCGAGTGCCTCCTAATAGGACATACACCTAGTTAGATATACTTGACCTAAGGTATCTAATCAAAGAGCCTCCCACTTTCGAGATGATAGAAATAACTTAAACTCCCTGCTAGATCACCAAAACCGCATTTTTTGGTATTCTTTGGCTGCGTTCGGCTGGGTAGTCTCAGGCGAGGACTTTGGGGATATTAGGAAGGGATGTTGATGGACTTCAAAATTTGGGGTAATGGGAAGCGCTCGGTTTGGGAGATTATTTGGGGGAGTTTAGGATGGGGTAGTGGGGGAGTTTGGGTTTAGGTTTAGGTTTGGGTTTGGGTTTAGGGGGCTGGACATGGTTGTCGTATCTATGGAAGGGTGCTGTTGGAATCACCAGGTACCGGTACTGGAAGCAACAGGGCGTAACACGCCGAAGTCTGGTGGTTCAAGTGTTGATTGTTCTTGTCTGTGTATCTAGAAGAAGGGGGTGGCCGTAGGCCACTTATGTGGAAATCCGAGGGGGGGGGGCTACGCCTCCACCGCCAACCGTGTGGCTAGTGTATGCGCCACCACCCCCACCTCCGTGGCTGACTGGCGCGTTGTTCTAACAGGTGTTTTGTTATATCACACTTATTGTTGGCGTCGTGGAAAATTATTACTTCCCTTTTGGTTGCCAAGGATACGACGGAAATTGTCTATTACGACTTCCACGCTGTCAATCATCTTTCCAAGATAGGGCTGGCAGGCAGAAGTGGAGCTGGAGTTCCATGCGTCCTCGCTCTTGCCTGTTATTAGGAGCCTAAGGATATCAAGAAGGCAAGAGTCCTATCCTCAACCTAACAGACACTAGGCAAGTAACTTAGGGACAAGTGCCCCTTTCCTTCCAAGTGGCAAACATGATTGATGACCCCAAAGCCCATTTGCATGTTCCCGAACTTCTCTTCTCCTCTCTTCGTCAAACATCAACATTCGCTCAGTACGCGCAATACCTCAGACCCTTTCTTGATTCCCAACCTTCCAGGCTCTCGTTCGTTGCTAACGTGTATTATATAGGAATTTTAGAATAATTTTGTTGAAAAGAGTTTTGAAAGGACTGCGCCAGCGCAGGGCCAGGGTGGCCGCCCCCCTCCTCCTCGGGCCACCATCTTCCTTCGTCCCTCCTCCCGTCCTGGCCGAGTCGTCACCCCCTTGACCCACCCCCTCCATATCCGGATTCCTCTCCTCTCAGAGGCCGCCCTCCCTCCGAACCATAAGCGGTAGTTTTTTTTTTTTTTTTTTTTTTAGTTTTTTTTAGCATTGATTTTTCAGCGTCGTTTTTTCAGCATCGGGGTTTTCCGGAGTTTTGGCGTTCAACGTTGGGCGTTTGAGTAGGAGCTGGTTGGATGTCCGCCGACATTCCCCTCTTTCACAACATAAACAGCAACAGCACTGGCAATTGGTGTTCGGCGGTTGGGCGTTTAACATTTGACGTTTGGCGTTTGAGTGGGAGCTGGTTGGATGTCCGCCGACACTACCCCCTTTCACGACATAAACACCACCAGCACTGGAAACTGGGGTTCGGAACTTGACGCTTAACGTTTAGCGTTTGAGTGGGAACTGTCGGATATCTATCAACACCATTCACTGTTGCACTCGCCGACAACGCCTTCTATGACGACATAAAAACCAACGAAATCTGGTAATTCGCGTTTGGAATTTGGCGTTTGGCGTTTGGCGTTTGATTAGGAGCTAGGCTGGACATCTACTTACACCATTCGCTCCTACACTCGCCTGCATCACCGCCTTGGCGAACGCAAACGGCAACGGTGCAAAACCCACAAAGCCTCACCCCAACAAATAACATCCGACGCCACCATTGTCGTATTCGGGTCCCCGACGTTAATGAGCCTCGACTAGTCTGCCATGTCCTCCGGCATGAATCTCGCCCGCAGTTTTCCCCGCCGACTTGTCAGACCATTGTCGACTTATTTCGGGCTCAACTACCGCACAACAGTGCATTCGACCACACGGCAATTGCATCCCGGTTGACGTGTATGGCCATCTGTCCAGCGAACTGGGTTTTCACTGTCGACCTTCCCCAAACCAAGCCTGAGATGTACCGCTGAGTCTCTCCTTCAACTGTAGGTCGATGCATTTTTATCACTAGTCACTTCCACGACACTATCACCGCCGTCAACTCCTTAGACATCAAACGGCTTTCAACTTCAAAATTATGGTTCCCTGGCATCATCGAAACAGGATGCTCCGGCACAACTACCAACTCGTAGGAACACGCCACATACAACACCAGGGATTTGCTGGTAGTCACCCGCCCCCAACTACTAGTCTGGCGGTCGCTAGGCACTGGAAAATTCGGGATTCCGTCCGCTCTCCCATAAATAAGCCATGGCGACACGCCCGTCTTGGTGGGATAAGATCTAGACATCGCACCTGACAAAGGCCCGCTTGAGATAAGACACATCGAAGCCGCTGCGGATTTTCTGCGCAAACGATCCCCCCCATATGCCTTTGAAGCTGTCGATATCCATGCTAAAGTCTGGCCCGAGCATCATTTTCATCACCATTAGGAGTGGAATGACGACCGCGGAGCGCAGACTATGTGGTATTCTTCGTCCGCTGCGGCGATATCTGGGCTTCCTGGATCGGAGATATGTGTCCCGAGGTCGATCAAGGCCATGGCAACGACCGGGCAGATGTCAATTTCCACGAGAACGATATTCCTTTCGAGCAGTCCGTACATCTGCACGACGGTACCTATACCATCCTCAACGTTGTTGGTGTCCAAGGTTGGCGGGACAAGGAGTGGGAGTTCTACCAAGGTCTGGTGGTACAGAAGCCATACCCAACTCAAGCCGCCAAAACCGCGTTTATGTGCGTGGCTTTGCGGAGCAGGTGGGAAAAAGTGAGGGTTTTTGTGAGAACATTATCTTGAGATGGAGGGTGGGTAAGGCAAAGAGAGCCGCAAAGGATCTCTACAGGCAGCGTTAGACATGGCCGCTTACGTGTCGGTCTAAGCGGCGAGAAGGGGATATCATCTTCTTTATCCAAGGGGATAGCCGATTAGCTTTAAATGAGAGTGGCGGGATAAGGCGGAATAAGAGCAGCAGAAGAGGCGTTGCGTTTAATTCACTTACTGGTTGCATTCATTCTGCTCTGTCCATGTACGAACTATGGGGCCAGGCAGAGGGTCTTTATGGAGGCGGCACGTGCTTGTGGCACGGGCTACAGAGCGTGTTGTGCGTGGCTCATGTGTTGCTGCATTGATATTCGGTATAAATAGGTTATTGACGAGGTTAGCAAAAAGGAAATTGCCCTCTTTCACATATTAGGCAAAGAGATGCCTGCAGACGGACTTACCAAGCCCCTGGTACAGGATTTACATGTTAAATTCGTCAAAATTCTGGGACTGGAGTCCAGGAAGGTCCCTTAGTATAAGCCTTAACGAGACGGAGGATATTTGTACACTACTCATTTTCCCCACCACACTAATACTGCCGTTAACCTATAGCATGTTACTGTTTACTTTACATAGACATATGAGAATATGTTACGATCCTGGTTCAAAGGTGCAGAGGGCGCTGCCCGCCTTCTGTGGATTGGCTGGAACAGCATTTAAGGTGGGGGGCTCTCGCTCGAAGGTGCATCCAATGAGGGAGTGCTCAGTGGGGCCATTGCCGAGACCCACTGAGCGCACTAAGCGGGGAGCTCAGTAGGATCAGTGCCGAGACCCACTGAGCGCACTGAGCGGAGAGCTCAGTAGGGATCAGTGCATCTAGGACTGAGCACGACTGAGCATGTGAGTCAGGAACTCTGATTGGTCCTCCTTAGATAGATATATACGACGACCGTAGCCACGGTCCCAGATAGTTCTTGCTTGGTTCTTCAAGCAAGCAATACACATTCACTGCACTCATACACTTTGAGTGGCATTCCGATTTGACTGTATTACCCGTGCGATAGGAGCTTGCCCTTTGTTCTATCTTTATAATTACCAACCCCAGCATTCTGTGGAGCCCGTGCTCCCTTACAGACAGACGACCCTAACAGTCGAGTGGTTTGTAATAGAATAGCCTCACACTTGAGTGTAGACGAAGGGGGTGTGCTGCGGGGTTCCTAGCCCTAGGCTGTAGCGCATAGGCTACGTCTCCTTGCACGGGTTTTCGCCTATACATCTAGTACTGGGCTTCGCTATTACAAACCACTCGACTGTTAGGGTCGTCTGTCTGTAAGGGAGCACGGGCTCCACAGAATGCTGGGGTTGGTAATTATGAAGATAGAACAAAGGGCAAGCTCCTATCGCGCGGGTAATACAGTCAAATCGGAATGCCACTCAAAGTGTATGAGTGCAGTGAATGTGTATTGCTTGCTTGAAGAACCAAGCAAGAACTACCTAAGACCGGTGCCACGGTCATCGTATATATCTATCTAAGCTGGGCCAATTGGAGCGTTGCTCTGTTGCTCTCTGACAGAGCTACAGAGCGTTGCTCTGTTGCTCTCCGACAGAGCTACAGAGCAGCCAACCAAACCGTTGCTCTGTTGCTCCCCGACAGAGCTACAGAGCAGCCAACCAGACTGTTGCTCTGTACTCCACCGTGCAGAGCAAATGCGGGCCCTTCTGCTCTGTTCTCCACCGAACAGAGCAACTGTGGGTCCAAGCCCCTCCTTTAACGTGACTAGCCGAGGCGGGTCCAGCCACCCCTGCCCTGCTTCCCAACCAGTACGAACAGGGATTCGTGACATTCGCCCCTCCACGAGTTAGCTAGCCAATTCACATCACACATTATCCCCCCAACAATAAGGATAAAACAAAGGGTACATAGATTACGAGAATCTCAGTCTCAACCGGTTCTCCAAGAACTAGTAAACTGTGAGGGCCTGGTCCTCCAGGCCTCCCAGACGCTCTGACTAATCAGACGCCAGTTGGGTGGATCCACCCGACCAGCCAGAGCCCCACCTTGAGACGCCCTGGAAGAATCTCGCGAGGGGAGGCTTTTGAGCTTCTTTTCCCTTTTCCCTTTAGTTTAGAATCTTCGTCTATAGCGCCCAATAGAGGAGTTCCGCCCTCATTCCAAGCCGGCCGTGACATAAACTATGTCTATTAATAGCTGAGGAACCTTCTCCCGGAGAGGGTCCTCAGCGCTACCTATATAGAAGAACTACGAATAGCTCTTTTTGAGCGCTCCGTACGCTCTGCGGCACTCTATTCATAGCTCTGTAGACAGAGCGCATAGGTTGATCTGGGATCCACAAGTCCAGGCCATCACTTCCACATATACATTCCGCCGTGGCCCAGATAGCTAGACTTCCTGCAAGCAATCCAGTCATTCCCTTCCTGCCCACACTAACTCTTTTTGGGGGAGGCGTCAGCTTAATTTATAGATGAGGTATAAGCCGCGACAGGAATCGGCGTGGTCAACAGGGCGTCGCGAGTACTATCAGTATATGGTAAAGTACCTACCTTGTCACGGCGCGCAACGGCCGCAGCACACTATAACCCACTACAGGTTGCAAGTCGACGACTTGCAATTCTGGCATCCTTTTGGGGGTTCTAGCGTAGTGATAGTGGGTGCTGTGAGCTGGCGCCGTCACAATTGCAAGTCAAACGGCTGTGGGTTCGAGCCCTGCAGTTGCAAATGAGCCCCACCTCTTTAAATGCCCGGCACGACCGATAGGAGATCGGGAAAACAGTGGGGGTTTATATGTGGTTAGTTTGGGGATCTCTATAGTGCGATTGAACCCGGATCTAGAGCTCGCGAGTATGCTCGCTCAGCTGGGGGGTTGAGGCTCGGGACGAACCTCTAGCGAACCCGGGAGATGTCACGGCGCGCAACGGCCGTAGCACACTATAACCCACTACAGGTTGCAAGTCGACGACTTGCAATTCTGGCATCCTTTTGGGGGTTCTAGCGCAGTGGTAGTGGGTGCTGTGAGCTGGCGCCGTCACATACCTACTATTTGGCTGAGTGAGCAGCAACAGCACTTGGGACTGTAGGGGGGCGCTGAGGGGGTGGGTCTGGCCCCGAAATACTTTTGGAGGGAGGAACATAGGTTTCTGCACTCTGCGCTTGAAGCTCTTTTTTTTTTCAGACATACATTCGCCTCTCACCTGGGGCAAAAATTCATTCCTCGACGAGTTCCCCTTAAATCATATCAGGATTGGGGGAGGTTTTTCTATCTGGAAATCAGTCTACTAGACCGATGAGGCTTCAGAGGGCCAGAGAACAATTGCAGCGTAAACCAGAATTGATTTAACTGAACTATGGATTGTGACTTTAAATTGCAACTGACACTTAAGAGGACGAACAATCTCGAGCCCCACCGTGCTCTTTCCACGTCACTGGCAGCGAGACTAATCGATCACGTGTTCCAGTTTTCTAAGAACTCACACCTTTTGGAGTGACAATCCGAACTTTTTCGTGCTCCTTCCCATTCAGCATCATCCGGCCAAGAGTCGGTTCTCGTGTCGTATTGAACCTGACCAGAGGTGCTCCGTAAAATGTAGACACACCTGTGCCAGGAGACCGCTAGCTCAAGTATTCGGCAAGGCCTGAACCTAAAGCAACCCACTGCAGGAGGGGATTTACATGGTTGCCACTTGAATTGACAAAGAATATTTCCGGGTGGGCGTGTGAACTTGAGAAGGATCGGGGTCCTAAAACGCATACGTATTTAGGAGAGGACCTGTTCCATAGTTGGCCTTGTTAAAGACTTACGCTGCAAAACAGTAAGAGTAATGGAAAAGGCCGTTGGAATCTGAGAGCGCTGAGGAGAACAAAGAAGATTTAGCGGGGAGAGAGGAGCCATTTATAAATGTATTGGTGGAGAGAAGGGCCGCATAGATATAATGCAAGCTCTTGTTGTCACCTTCCTTAGCTGCCCTCCTACCTAACCTTCTTGGCTGCCCTCCCACCCAACTTCCTTAGCTACCCCCCCCACCCAATTTCTTTGGCTGCCCTCCCACCCAATTTCCTTGGCTGCCCTCCACCTAATCTAGCCAATTATCCAAAATGTAGGGCTTCGTTGCAACATGGCAATGAATGTAATTCGTCGTTCATTTGCCGGCATCACGCCAGGAATTCGAATGGTTGGGTCACACGAGTGACGTGTTATCAATTCATGCTAATGCCTTGGGAAGCAATGGGTAGTACGAAGCAACCGTGTCCAGTGGATGTGGCAGCCAACATCAGACTCTTATCATACTTCGAATTTTGCATTTATTTTAGATGAGGATCCCCCTCTCCGTGTTTCGCCCCTAGAATTCGCATTGCCAGTATCTCTCTTCCAAAGTTCAGGGAGGACGTAGCTCAGCCGTTCAAGTCTATGCTAGTACAACCACAGTACTACAGTACAGTAAGGGAATAAAAGTCTCCTGCCACACCGAATTTCCCCGACCTCCTACCTTATAACGGTGGAACTTTATCTTCAGATATCGTAACTAATGCGGGCTGTACTGCGAGTTGCACGAGGCTGCCACGGCTGCTGGTGTGCTGTGCCATGGCTTGGCAGATAAGGGAGCCTTGGGCCCATGGCGCATGAGTGTGCCCCGTGCCCCGCATAGATTCTCAAAGAGCCCTCTTTTTCTGCAAGCTCTTTATTTTCCACAGCAATGTTAATCTTCCCACCAGCTGCAACTGCCATAGCAAGATTACTATTGCCGTGATAACTGTAGGATTGAAGATAGGGATTAGGGGGTTTCTGGTGTGTTCAACTAAAGCCAGTTCATCTTTCGTTGGGAGGGGCAACCAGCCTGCTCTCTCTTGATAACAGGCCTTCCGGAAGCGGCAGGGCCCTCGGGGACTTGTTCTGGATCTTCTACGGATTTGTACAGCACGGCACGACGGAACCAAAAGGCGAGTCCCGGTGTGTACATAGCATTGCAGCTTAGATATCGCGCTACAGACACAGCGAGTTCGCGGCGATTCCACCATAGTTTAAGGACGGTAAGGCGCTACGCGAGTTTCTCGGTCATGATACAAACGCCGGTCAAGTCAAGGCCGAGGCCATTTTTATGCAGTCGAAATTTGCGAGTCCCGACAAGTGGGAGGTCTGGCCCGTGATGAAAGTTGACAGTGGCTTGAAGAGTCTTGAATTGTCTGTCTAAAAAAGGTCTAGAGATGCAGGAAAGAAGCCACTATTTATACCCAAAAAGTAAAACAAAGGAAATCTCGTGATACTAGGAAGTGAGCGTCATAGAGGGCCTTTTAAGGTTCAACTCGGTTATGGCTCGGATGTGGCTCAATTATCAGGTGACAGGAGGCCTAGAGTATGTGGTCGGGCTTTTTTCCAAGCCATCTCGCCACGTGTCATTCTCCAAACCATGAAGAAAGTTGCCACGACGACTTGGGCCGCTTTTTAGGTTGAATAAAGTGTCGTTCAAGACCCCCAAGAGCGGCCAAAATACTAGCTTTGTTACCTGTTGATCAAGCCATGCACACACCCGACAGCACTTCGGCCTCTAGCCTTTAGTGCGGCATCCGCCTCACTGTCACTGATAGTGGGTCGTCGGCTTCCAAACTTTGCACACTTTCTGAGACATTGTGTTTGCCCAAAGCGGATCCGCGTCGGCGAAGTTGGATTGTTCCTACCCGACGAGAGGGACCTTGTGCCAAACTTATCGTGGGGGTGTTTTGCTGAGTACTTTCCGTTAATTGGGTGTGATTACTCAGATCTTACAGATAAGCGATTTTAGGTCCTGATCCACACATACCAGCTAGAGGACCAGCCAGGCTAGCGATTGCACAATTTATGCAAAGAGTACAACGCCACAGCCAAAAAAACACGTCCAAGTACTGGCCAGGACCCAATGCAGGTCGGTTAGACTTGATTCGGTTAGTTTGGGCACTAAATTTAGACCCTTGATGCCTTACGTGATGCCCTGTCCCGCCAAATCTGGTGTTTTTGTTGTCTTGTGCCCTGAACCTTTGTTCATGAAGTAAACAAGCCGTATTTCCTTGGTGTTGTTGTAAGCCCGCGCGCCGACCCCACGATGACCTCTCGAAGCTCGCACTTGGACCGCACGATGAATGAACCCCTGACAAAGCCGCCCTATCTCCCTGTCCGGCGACTCCGACTATGGAGAAGGTAATACCGAAGACGCCGTACAACGGCCTTACGAAGACGACCTTTCCAACCGGGACGAAAATGACGATGCTAACCTTTCTGTGCCCGGCTGGCAGCCGCAGAAGAAGCTCCTGATTCAGTTGTCGCCTCAGCGGCAGAGAGAGCGCCCGACCCCGGCTACGTTGACAGCCCTGTTGACAGTCCTGTTGACGGCCCTGTTGACAGTCCTGTTGGCAGTCAGTCTGACAGTCATGCTCAGGCGAAGAAATCCCGTATAACCCGGTCGTTGGAGCTCACATACGAATTAATTAAGGAGGCATACGTCTCTTATTCAGAAGGTTTGCTCGTAACCACCAAAAATGGCGGCGGCTTTCTTCGTGATGTGTTTGAGGCGTGGCCCAGCGAGCTCAGCAAGCGGACTAGCCTCGCTCCCATATTCCACCAATGCGGTGAAATCGGTCTGGGTTATTCGAAAGAGTTCGAAGAAGCTCCACCTGTCAATCCAACCACATCTACGCGAGGTCTTCCAGGTTTCCGACAAGTACACCTGCTATTTTGACGATATCTGCGATCTATTCAGGGACACAGGCGCTTTGCGATTCCGTCTCGAGTCATTGAAGCTCAGCGGACTTCTCTGCACTTGGAGGCTTGCCTCACTCGAGAAGCTCACCGATCCGAACCATCTTAAGGAAGTCTACATCTCAAACCGGTTCTTGTCTGAGAATATCCCTTATCGCCTATCTGGACCCGCGCACTGTCCCAATTTACGCCACTTTGGCGTCGACTAGTATAACGTGGGGGTCCATAATATCCTGTCTACTATTGGCGATCGATCATTTGCCCGCCAACTTGCCATTTTGTGTATGTTCCACGTCGATGGTTGTGAGATGTGGATGCTGTAACGGAAGTCACAAGAAGCCGGCTCTGCCACTGCACGTTAGGATGCTTGAAATTGGCCTAAGACGACGCTACAGGAGCCTGAAACCAAGATACGATTCGGAGGTGGTCGTGGATGAAAGCCTAGGGCCAGACGAAGCCGTAAATGGAGATGAACGGGAAGACGGGGACGAGTTCACCGACGAGAAAGAAGGCAAGGATGAGGACGAGGACGAAGACGAAGACGAAGACGAATACGAAGAAAAAAAAGAACTAGAAGAAAAAGAACTAGAAGAAAAAGAACTAGAAGAAAAAGAAAAAGACGAAGCCGAGTATTCAGCCACCGAGCAGATCCCTTCAGGTCTTGTCTCGAACGACGTGGGTGTACTTGAGGGACTTTTGGTCCATGTACCCTTGGTTTACATATCTAGGACATTGAGAGAAGACTATACATATCTCACTAGATTCATTTGGACCTTCTCGAACGCACTATTTCCGGTCTTCCTGGCTTGACGCAGATCGTTATACAGGTCGGTACAAAATACTAGCGATATCAACTAAGAGAACATCCCATGAGCCGAGAAGGCTTGAGGCACCGAATCCTCGATCAGGAAGGCCGCCATGAGGTGTGAAGCTGCCGCCCCAGGGCTACGCTATGTTAAACTGTACGACAGACATTACAGGATCTGGCGCAGCAAGGATGGCATCATCGGGCTTGATACCATGGAGGACAGAGAAATTACGGACGTGGAGCTATTCAGGCATTCCGCGTTCGCACGGAGCGTAAAGGATCGTTTGACGGATATGTAGCTTAAGTACCCCTGTTGGTTCTCATAGACGTCAAATGAGATCTATAATTATAATCTATCCGTCCACTAAATTGGAAGAAGTGACAATGAGGCTAGACCGAGCCGGTGCGAGCCGGTGTGATTTTGCGGAGGTCTTATCGCCGGGATCGGGATGCCGAGCGAAGCACCTCTACGACGCTACGCAGATTATCTGCCGACTTCGCATTGGCTGGTGGTGGGCGCTAGATTGATCTGCCCCCTCACACGACTCCCGAGATACGTCACCCGCCCTTATTACATGCTCATGGGTGACATCTTCTGGACCTATTGTCTCAACAGAAACCCATCCACGTCCTGCTCGAGATTCTGCTCAAGATTCTGCTCAAGATTCTGCTCACATACAAGAATGGCATTTCTTTCTACTGCGCTGGCGGCATTGGCTTTTGTGGCAACCGTTGCATGGCTGAGGTGGTCGGGCCTTCGTCTCCCCTCATGGCTGACTTTAGTTTTACGCTCGAAGGAAACCAAGCCGCACATGGCATGGAAGCATGTAGTTTCCGAAAAGAAGAGCAACGACGCAAGCGCCGCCAGTCAGTCAGCCCCGAAAGACGCAATCGAGCCATTGGCAGACTTCGACTGGACGCAAACCGAGCCGCGGCGGTTCCGGCCGTTCAAGCCCGCATACAACATCACAATGGGTTTGCCGCGTCTGCCACTCTCCGCGTAATTAGTTGTCACGCAGGCTGAGATGTAGCCAGCCCTCCAAAGCAGCACCCCGTCCGACCTCATCGTCATCGACCGCACGTACCTCGAGGGGATCACAGAGCGGCGTAGGATCATAGCCGAAAACGCAGCGACCGTGCTGGGCGCCATTCCCCAAGGGCACGGCGCCGTCATGGAGACATACACCTACCTCCTCGGCGAGTACTTGCCAGCACGGTATCCCACCATGTTTGAGCTCCGAACCAGCACCGACGGCAGCAGCACCACCTTTATCAACAAAGTCACGTCTGCCGAGTTTCCGCTCTCGCCGCCGCCCGACGACGCGCTGGCTGCGCTGCGGATCCTCGCCGAGACGGTCGAGGACGACATGTTCCTGCTCGTGCAGCAGCCGGACGGCACAGACTCTGCGTCGGCGGGCGAACACATGGCCGTCGCGTTCGTGTGCTGCCATGCGGGAGGCTTCGACCCGGCCGAGAAGCTGGGAAAGCTACTGGCCGCCGTGCATGCGCCGGTGCCCGCGTATGACAAGATCGGCCCCAGCATGGAGCGCTTCTTTGCACGCGCCGACGTCGGTAAGAGCGTCAAGCGCATCAATGTGCGTGTCACCCCTATTCCTGTGCGATGTCGCACAAATACAATGTCAACATGCCGCGTATCGCTAAATAAACAATTCATGTGTAATCAGTGGGCCATCCAGACGCACGCTAATATGTTCGCGCCGACTGGCAACCACGTGCACGCGGGCGACGCAGCCGCCGTGCGCGAGGCCGAGCCCGGCGACGTCGACGTGGCCGCCGCGCGCCTGCGCGTCGAGCTGCAGACGCTCTCGCGCCTGCCGCGCACGCGCGCCCTGCTGTTCAGCTTCAAGACGTATCTGTACTCGTTGGCTGATGTTAAGGCCGAGGGCCTCGGACCGCAGCTGGCTGAGGCGGTCGACGGGCTCAGGAAGGGGAATGCGCCGGCCATGTGGGTGTACAAGGGCGGTGTCCGCTGGGGGAGGGCAGTTTGTGAGCATTTGAGATCGTGACTTTGAGGGGGTGGTGTTGGGGTTTGTTGTTGGGGTTTGTTGTTGGGGATGTTGTAGCCGTGGAGTTCGCGATGATGACAGGATAGTTGGGATAAGTTGTAGAGGCTGAACTGCTGTAACAAGTGAGAAAGAATATAATGTGAAGCACCCACTAAATCGGCTAATCTCCCTTGCTGAACGCAGAATTCTACGAGCGTGACACTACTTCCACAAATGGACATGGCCATCTTCGCCAAGCATCGCATCCCTTATCTCAGTAGCATCTGCAACATTGCTCTGTCCAACCAGGCACCATGCGACCAGAGATGCTACGAGGAAGTTCTAATGCGTCGTCCTGTTTAACATACAGACGTAACATTAGCGCGCTGATACCAGGCGACGCCCACGCGGGCATCCGGCAAAAGTGCCCCGACGCAACGCCAACTTCAGCCGCCTAATTAGCTCAATATGTGCGTTGCGACATGGACTAGAAGGGCGTGTTCTGTTATATAGACGTACGGTAAAAGACACTCTCGCAACAACAGCGGAGTGACGCCGATGCATGTACCAGCTCTGTCCCATAACCACAAATCACGAGCCACGAACACAGTTACGACAATGAAGTCCCTCATCACCACCAGCCTCGTCCTCCTCCTCTCCCCACTGGCCAGCGCAGGCTACCCGCCGCCGCCGGGGCCGTGGACGCTGGGGGCGTGGCGGCCGCCGACCGTCGACTCGCTGCCCCTCTGGGTCGGGCGCGCGATCCAGGCCAACGGCGGGCGCTTCTGGATCGGCAAGCCGCCGTCGGCGTACTGCCCGCCCGACGTGGCGGGGCTCGACTGCTCGGTGTATCCCGGCGCGTCGACGGTTTTTTCGGGGGGCAATGACACCGTGTTCTTGAATGTTGCGGTTCCTGGCGGGCAGCAGGGTGAGTTTTACTGTTGGCAGGGCGGGCTGTTTGATGCATGGCCGAAGAAGGGGGTAGCCATGCTGACCATCTGACCCAGTGTACATTGCGCCTGACGGCGCCATGGGATATACGCCGCCGCACTCGGCATTCATGCCCGATGGGTCGGTTGTGTCGGGCTGGTGGCGTGAGATTAGCGTTGCAGGTGGCGCCCCGACGATTGTGGGAAATGGGCAGTCATCGATGATGGCTTGCCCGGCGGCTGGCCAGGACGGTGTCTACCAAGTCTTCTTTGGCGTGTCTAGGGCGCAGCTCACGTCCTGCGTGTCGTTTCAGATGCGCACGTATACGGCTTCTGGCGTGGTCGCGTGGGAGTATTGAAATGGACATGTCATGTGGAGGGAGTGTTGAAACAAGCCCACGCGTGGGAGATCGCGCGGTTCGGGTTACATACTTCAGTAAGCGCGTGTGAAGATATAATAGGGATTCAAAGTGTTGTTCCTCTCTCTACCCCAGCCTATGGTCCTGGCTTCCAATTCTGGACCGTGATAAGACCTTGATCTCAACATTGCGTATGTTTATCTTTATATCTGCCGAGCACGTACTCCAGATACCTCAGACTAATACTTACATTGCCACAAAGGGATTGAGTTTACGGGACTGACCTAACTAGTGGATAGAAAGCTTTCGTCCCTTTTGAGTGACACATGGCCAAGTTTTCAGGCCTGCTAGGGTTGTCTTGTCAATATATCAGAGCCAAGGACGTACTAGGTTTCGAGATGGACGGTGTGACTTTGAAAGAAGCTGTTTGACACATTCGTAGCTTGTGATCAATTACACCCGTGAACAGCTTTCAACGGCCGACCCATGGACTTACAAAGACACAGCTGATGCGGCGGTACCAATGCGGCGGTACCAACACGACTGCCCTCCCTACTCGGTGGAGGTTAGAAATATACCTAGTTATGGTCTAGGGCGTGCTTCTTCTGCTCCAGCCCAGTCGCCAAGTTCACCCACATCACTCCACGGATCCATTGGCCGCTACTTACGACATACCGACACAAGCAATAATCACTCAAAGAACCACGGGGCGATTGCCATCAAATACAAGGTTCGTTTTCTGAGCCTCGGGAGGATTCCGATCCAGCGGTCGAAAGTAGGTCATGTTGCTTCCCACCTACGTCATGGCCAAGTGAACTAATATATCAACTCCAGGATGCCCAAGAAACAGGCGACCTCATCCGATGTTCTGAATACTGTCAAATCCGTTGTCAGTTCAGAAATCCGAAATTGAGTCGACTTCAGCTACAAAAGCGTGTACGATATGTTCAAGGAACAAATTCTCAAGGACTACGTTCAAAATGTCCTCAACATAAAACCCGATTTCTCTCACGCACAAGTCCAGTCGGCTCTTGGTTTACACCCTCTAGTAAAAGACCATTTCGGCGGAATTTTGAACAAGGTGCTCGAGATTTTGGCCGAACTGGGTGCCAACGGCGGCTCCGACGAGTTCAAAAAGGCCATCAAGAAGGATATTAAGCAGTGCGAGAAAGATGCTAAGGAGGAAAAGCATGACCCAGAACGAAAGCAGAACCTTCTGAACATGGCCAAGGAAGCGAAAGAGGGATTTAATTCCGTTAAGAGTTGCCTGGATACCCTGGAGAAGCTTTACGGAAAGTTACTTATTGGATCAATCTTCAGAGAGACTGGAAAGCAGGTCAAACTCGACGAGGATCTCGCAAACTACAAAGACTTGAAGGTCAAAGTCGAGTGAATCTACAATTCTCCGAGCGAATCCAGTACCAGCCCCTCCGACCAGTCAGGAAGAGGCGGATATACACCACAGTACTGACGGATCCCTCCCAGTCAGAGATCAGAACCTAGCGGGCGACTACGAAGCTGAAAACAGGGCTGTTATGCGGAAGACAGCGGGCCAAGTTACTCTTATGGATTGGGTTTGCGGTTTTTTGGACTTTTATTTTCTTTTTTCCATTTAAGAATGGGCCATAACGAAGTTCTAGACTTCCTAGGTACCTAGTAATAAACCAGCCCAGACATTTATTATTGCCGTATTTATCTATCCTTCTTCTAGAAACCTGCCTCTCCCAAGCTCCAAGAAAACCAACGGCCAACCCTTACCCAGATACATGATGATTGTTGTCTGGAACATTGGAATATACTACTGCCCCTCGCATGGAAAATGAGAGTGATGTATTGTTGCCGCTGAAGTGATTAGGTACCAAAAAGCACCACGTGCATGCTGCGGCAGCTCTCATCAACCGTCATTGTATTTTGCGGAACATTTCACCTCTTGCTTGCCGTCGCAGTTTCCCCCGCCTCTCTATAAACAGAAGGGTAGTATCGGGGTTGCTAGTCTCAGGCATCATCGGGTCTTGTCGTAGTTGTAGTCATGTCGACGGCTGGGCCGGATTTAACGGCAATCCCGTGTGCCATGGATGGGTTGAAGGACTGGCGAGAATCATGATAAGCCCAGGGTGTGTCTTATTTCAATTCAGGCTTTTTCCAACGAATGCCGAAGACGGGCCAGGGTAGGGATAGGGATTGGGGCCCTGGCCGTCGAATCCTACCTTATTCGCCTCCCAGCAAACCCAGGGCTCGGGTCGTCATCAAATGAAAAGTGTTCTTACATGGTACCCCGACACCCCGACCCTGAGGCGCGCAGTGGCAACCAACCGTCGAATCGGGATTCGGCCCCGCAACTTTACGCGGCTCCGTGCCAACAGATATTGATCCAACCAACAGTCAAGTAAAATCTGACTGTTCAGCATGAGCTGACGAGAGTAGGGAGGTGCGCCTTCGCCCAATTCTTATATGAATTGTGCATAAACACACCATTCTCTCAAACTACACTGCATTCGCTAACTATCACACAGGATATTTGACATCTATACGCTATCAGCCATGTCCACAGAAACACCTCAGCGACGCAGCGCCTGTGGATTGAGTTCCATGATGGAGAGGCTGTCCCCCCGCGTCTACCTGTTGCGCCCGCCGCCCAATAAAACAATACGCGGACCTGGGACCGACGCCGACGCTCCCGGGCTGATCGTCATCTTTGGCTGGATGAACGCCGGCGATGGCCCGCTCGCCAAGTACGTCAGCCAGTACCAGGCCCTCTTCCCGGCGTCGGCTATCCTCCTCGTCACCTGCACCTTCGCCGGCATGACCTTCCCGTGGATAGGCTTGCGAGAGGCGCGCATGGCCGCCACCGCCACCCGCGCCATCCTCGAGCCGGACGACGAGGTGACCCAGATATCATCACCTCACAGCAACGCGGCGGCCAATCCGCCCCCACACCTGCGCCTGCTGGTCCACGTCTTCTCCAACGCAGGCTCGACCATGCTGTACCACCTGTACACGGCCTACGCGACGACGGGCTCCTCCTACAACGGCAAGACCGCCGCGCTGCCCCTGCACGCCACCATCTTCGACTCGACGCCCGCGCCGTTCACCTTCCAGACGCTGCTGCAGGGGATCCTGTCCGGGGCGCCGTCGGCGGCGGCGCGGCTCGCCATCACGCCCGCCGCCTACATCTACGTCGCGCTCGTGTGGGTCGTGGTCGCGGTGTTGCGGCTGCCGGACCACATCGGCGACCTCGGCCCGCGCGCGCACAACGACGCGGGCCGCGTGCGAGAGGCTGATCGGGTGTATTGTTACGGCCCCGCCGACCGCATCACACCGGCCGCCGCCGTCGAGCGCCACGCCGCCGACGCCGAAGCCGCCGGTTTCCGCGTCCGCCGCGAGGTCTTTGACGGCTCTGGCCATGTTGCGCATGCTAGGAAGCATGCTGATCGCTACTGGAGTGTTGTGCGGCGGACTTGGGACGAGGCGAGGTTCGAGGCGCGTCCATGATGCGTGGTTAGGGCGACTCGGGAGCGTGGTTATTACCGACTGGGTCTAACTATTAAAGCCGGGACGTAATCAGAATGGCTAGAATACTTTGAGTATAGGAGAAGGCGTGCCATGTTTCTGGAGGCTGTTAACAGCCATTTGACTGAATATAAATGCACTTGGGTTTAAAAGGTTCAGTTGAGTGCCGTTGGTGATGTTCACGTTTGAGGCTGAGTTATCTTTACCCCCTCAACGTAAGGTTTGAGAGGCAGGCGCTTGCTTAGGCAAAAGAAACAAGGTATCGTGGATGCTACATACCTACTCTTCCAAGGTTTGGTGTGGTGCTCCTCTTTTTGGGGGGGGTGGAGAAGTAAGTCTATTCCGCTACATTAATTACCATGTCAAGACCACAACTCATATATGAGATGTCGGGGTTAAGAGGAAGCCATTTGAAAACGGTAACCCCAGCCGGAGCACATGGTTTCCAGTTCCTGGTGGAATTCCGTTCCTGGTAGAATTCCGTTCCTGGTGGAATTCGCATAATCTTCTTTTAGCCTTATGGAAAGACCTTGGTTAGTTGAGCTTTAGGTTCTAGCTTCTTTTCTTTCTCACAAGCAACACAATGACATCAAGACACGCTGAGAGCGTGCACGTTCCTTATACTCTGGATATTATCCATGTTGGTCATGAGCTGCGGCTTAAACACAGGCTTCACAATGCCGCAAGCTTCAGAGCCTGCCCATGGAACTCTTTACATTCCGCACCCTTGTGTTCCTCAGTCGCCCTTGTAACGGTGTGACGACGACCCGTTCTCAACCTCGATCTTGCCCTCTAGCATCATGTGTTATCGAGATTGCAGAGCGGCAACACGTCTCCGCTTGACATTGGCAATTACCAAATCTCCAGCGCGTCCATCGGCAAGTACCCGCTAATTGGTGCGTAGCCTCGGCCAAGCCTTATCCAAGGCGGACGAGACGAGATGCTCAACACGGTCAGGAAGCCGGGGGGGGTCTTTGCGAGGCTAGCCTAGACGATGGCCGTGTCGTGGGCCGCCGCTGCGGCCAAAATTCTTTGGGTTTGCCGGGCAGGCACAAAGATAAACGAATAGGCCTGACCCAATTGGGACAACAAGTCCAAGACCCCCCACCACAGCCTAACCCTGGAGGAAAATCAATATAGCTGGAGGCGGGGTCTGTCGGAGGCGGGGTCGACAGACCCCGGTCCGGGCAGGAAGCTCGGATCCAGTGCGTACTGGATTCTCCACGCAGCCCTCCGGATTCTCCCTCGTTCCCTGGCAAAACATGTGATGATAAGGCGTCACGATAACTAGCGCACGCAATCCCAATCCCAATCCATGGCAAGCAAACAGACCGGAAAAAGAAGCAAGTGTGCGATCCCGGCTGAGATGGGGCAAGGATGCTGAAAAGGCGGGGGGCTGAGGTGGGGTCAGACGGTGTGGATGCTGCGGGGTCCGAGCCGATAAGCAGCCCAGGGCACCCGCGGAAGGCGCTCGGGCAGGCCGGAGTTTGTAGACAAATGCAGAAGGCTAATCCAAAGACACGGTTGAGAAGCTCAAATATCTTGTTGGGTCTTCTGGAATCTACCGTGCCTTACTAAGATCGGCGTGCCTTACCAAGATCGGCGTGCAATCCCCGCGACATAATATCGCGCGATAGCTGATGGATCTTGGGATCCAGTTGGGGCAGTTGCTGTGGTTAGTCAGGCAGGCCCTTGGGCAGCCCTGCCAACCCATCGACGACCTTGCATCCCCACTCCACCCACCACGTCCCGTTTCATGCACGCGGCCGAGCTGCAGCTCGCATTCCCACCGCTCCCCTCGTCAAGTCCAGTCCAGATGAAATGTCTCGATAGAGGCGGGCCGAAAGGTGCTTGTACCGCAGCCATGGCAGTTCACAGCATCTATTTTCCGAACAATTAATTTGCGCGGGTATTTCAGAGATTTACGGATTACCTAGGCCTTTGGGACCGTCGCTTTGAGTGCTTGTTTCGGACATCGGACCCAAATGGCACCTGCAAGACACGCTGTGCCGCGTCCGGCAGCGGGTCTCCGGCGAGCTGGGACGGGGGCCGAAGCGAGTCTGGACTCGGGGCCACTGTACCTGACCTGGCCTGCCCTGACCTGCCTTGACGAGGTCGGCGAGCTACCCAAGGTGCCCACCTGGCCGCCTATATTCGCTTCCTGCAGGACCACCACCACGGTCACCCACCAACGTCCCAAGACTGGCCGAGGCTGCCCTACTAGCGCCGCGATAAGAGACCCTGTAGACCTGGCTAGTTGGGGTCTGCGTGCTACGCTGCAGCTCTGCTCTGCTGAGCTTACGGATAGCATCAAGCTGCAAACGCCATGACGTACAGGAATCGCTCGGATTGGCCCCGGACCTTCATTCGTTGGGGGTTCGAGAAGGAATAAAAGAAGGAGCCGCCCGGTTCCCAGCTTGAACATCACTCTCTCCATCCCCCTGTCCCCAACACTGCCCACGTCCCGCAGTACAGTGACAATGGGTCTCCTCGACCGCATCAGCCCCAGGGCTATTGTGACCTCGGCCCTGCTGCTTAGCACCGTCGCACACGATGTCCTCGCCCGGCCGAGCCCCAAAGTCCCTTGGGTGCGCAATAAGGGGTCTACACAAAAGAAGATCTCGGATGCCGTCAAGCGCGCCATAAACGGCCAGCAGCGCCGCAATAACAGCGAGCCCGAGCCCGAGCCCGAGTGCGCTTCGGTCTTGACCACCACCGCCATTGCTCCCAAGACGAACATCTGGGCGCCCCTGAGTGACGTCGAGACGGCTGGCGTCGTCGAATGGCTCTTTGCTCAGGCGGACCTCAATCTGACCGTGAGCGAGAATGCCACGGCCTGGGACAATAGCATGTGAGTGCAGCTTGACAAGTGGACGCGGCCGCGGGCCCGGCATTCGTGCACCCGCTAACCGCTCGCAGCACCCTCGTCGAAGCCCTGTGGCCGAACAAAACGGATGCCATCGCCTACATTGATGCCAATGCCACGGCGCCGACCAAGTACGCCCATGTTGTGCTGAACAACCGTGCAACCGAAAACCCCCACTATGCCGACATCGTGGTTGGGCCTCTCCCCGTCGACAACACGACGGCGACCTGGGAGCCCCTCACCTACCCTTACAACAAGCAGAGCGGTGGCGGTACGGTGCGCAACCTCGACGCCGATTCAGACGCCCTGTACAGCGAATGGATATACGTCATCGGAGCATCCGTTGCCGACATCACGCTGGACCTGTGGAACGGCACGGCCGCAGGTCTTGACAACGATACCCTCGACATTTGGGGCATCGACCCCTTGTGGCAAGACGACGGACGTATAATCCGTTGGGATGCCTTCTGGAGCCTTCCAACCAGTGATTTCGATTCGGAAACGCTGCTACCGCTCGGTCTTTACTTCAAGTCGGACGTCACGGGTCGCGACCCAAGCCAGTGGGCGTTCGAGGGTTGGCTATACAACAACACCTTCTATGCCACCACAGATGACTTCCGGGCTGCGTGGTCGTCTGATTCTTTCAAGAAGAACGGCCCCAACGTCGACGGCGAATGGGCGCACACCGACCAGCAGGGAACCGTAATTCCCCTGGACGCAGCACCACCGCCGGTCACCGTCACCCCGGCCGGTTCCAGATTCGCTGTCGACAAGGAGCAGAAGTATGTCGAGTGGATGGACTTTAGCTTCTACATTGGCTTCACTCGTGACACCGGCATGGCCTTCTACGACATTCGGTACAAGGGCGAGCGGATTCTGTACGAGCTTGGGCTTCAAGAGGCGCTGGCGCACTATGCGGGTAAGAACGAATCTTTTGCTGTTTTGATTTTGATTATCAGCTAACGCAGCAACTAGGCAACGATCCGATGCAGTCGGGGACGGCATATCTCGATACTTTCTACGGATTTGGGCCCTACGCGTTTGAGTTAGTCCCCGGCTATGACTGCCCCGCATATGCTGAGTACCTCAACACGTCCTTCTATGTCGAGGAGACGACGCACACACACGTCAACAGCATCTGCTTGTTCGAGTACGTGGCCGACTACCCGATTCAGAGGCACACGACGAGCCATTACACCAGCGTCACCAAGAACACGTATTTCACCGTGAGGTCCGTGTCGACCGTCGGCAACTACGATTACACGTTCAGCTACTCGTTTTTCCTCGACGGGTCCATCGCCGTCGAAGTCCGCGCTTCGGGATACATCCAGTCGGCATACTATGCAGGCAACGAGGACTATGGATTCCATATCCACGATTTCCTCTCGGGCAGCATGCACGACCACGTTCTCAACTTCAAGGCCGACTTTGACATTCTCGGCACAAACAACTCTGTCCAGCTCATGTCGCTGGTTCCCGTGGAAAAGAGCTACCCGTGGTCGGGCGGCAAGAAGCGCAGTACCATGACGCTGGAGCGATCGTATGTTGAGAGCGAGGACGAGGGCCGCTTCAACTGGGCCCCCAACAGCGCCACCCAAGTGATTGTGGTCAACGAGGGTGAGCAGAACGCCTTGGGCGAGAACCGCGGCTATCGCGTGCTGCCCTACACGGGCACGTCGCACCTGACGGTCCAGAACAGCAGCAACCTGAACAACGCGGGCCGCTTTGCCGAGTTCGACGTGCAGATCACGAAGCAAAAAGACACGGAGCCCCGCGCCGCCCATGCCTACAACAGCCAGGATACGTTCGACCCACCAGTTGACTTTGCCAAGTTCTTTGACGGCGAAAGTCTCCGCAACGAGGACGTCGTGCTGTGGCTGAACATGGGCATGCACCACGTGCCCCACTCGGGCGATCTGCCGAACACGGTCATGACGACGGCGCACTCTGGGATACGTAAGGTTTTCTCTAGTAAACGCGTGAGAGTGCAAGCTGACAGATCTTTTTCGCAGAATTCATGCCCAGCAACTACTTCTCCATCGACGAGAGCCGCAAGACGGTCAACCAGGTGCGCATCACTTACGACGAGGGCAAGACGTCCGACGTCGCCACGTTTGGCCAGGGCATCGCCACGCCGTGCGCCCTCAACTTCACGCCCGCCGAGCCCGATCTGTGGGGCTACACGGGCGACATTGTCGTGCGCAAGTTCCCCTTTGACCCCAACAATCCGTTCTACCAAACGGACTCGATCGTCTGAGTGGGCTGGTTGGATAATAATGGGAGGCTATATATGATGCAAGATACCTAATTAGTTTATGAGGAAGTGAATATAAGGCTGAGATGTCACGCGCGCTGTTGTGTCTTGTGGTTCTCATGTGTACGCGTGCCCTCGTCTGTGTCTGGTCTTGTTGCTCTGCCTGAAAGGAAGGTTTAGAGTGAGTTTGGTTTGACTAGTAAAGTATGTTCCTTCATGGCCGCCTCATGTGACCTATCTCAACCCCGCTGGGAAAATAGTTCTACGTAGGTAGTCATTCTAACTAACCAAGACCTGGGATTTCAAAGCGGTCTCAACTCTAGTTAGAACGACGATAATAGCGACGACTATGAGAAGGGCTATGAAAAGGACTATAAGAAGAACCGTAAGGGATGTGAAAGAGAGGAAGAAAGAAGGAAAGAGAGGAAGAAGGAAGAAAGAGAGGAAGAAAGAAGGAAAGAGAGGAAGAAAGAAGAGGAAGAAAGGAAGAAAGGAAAGAGAGGAAGAAAGAAGGAAAGAGAAGAGAGGCCTGTTAAGAACTTGAGGAAAGGAAAGGGTGACAGTCTCGGTTCTCAGCGATAGTTTATTTTCACATACCTTTCACCTACCTACCCACCATAACATCTTCAACGAAACAGAAACCCTGGTATAAAGCATTAGAGACTCATACCACCTACTTGGCGAGTGAGATTACTGGTAATAAATCGAAGGCCCAGTCAAGAGGGACTCCTAGGGAAGATTACTGGCCTCACACTGAGGGTTGCTGGTATTAGAATTGGGTTCAAGCCAAGAAGACACGACAGATGCAGCCGTAAAGCAACTGATATCCTGTACCTAGATAAGCTTCAGCCAAGTTTTGGACTTCTGGTAGGACCTGACCCTACTGAGTCACTCTATAATTACAAATAGCATTCTCTAGGAAATAGGAGAACACCAGTCCATTGCCCAAATAACGCCTTCCGCAATGCCTGCGCCACTCTCAACAAAAGCAGTGACGAGAGAGACTCCAACGAGAGCTCGGACCGAAATAGAGACGACTTCCACGCAGCAGGCCATGGTGGATCGTGGGAAGTCTCTTCGGTTGTGTTGTACCTTGTTACTGAACCGACGCACGTATAGACCTGTATATAGGTAGGCCCAGACAAAAAAACAGCCCTCACAGCCAACCCAGCCCCCACAACCAACCCAGCCCTCACAACCAACCCAGCAACCGTCCTCTAGTGGCCCCAATTATCACCAAACTCCAAAAAGTTAGCCATCTCGCGAATAGCAATCTTCAGATTGCCGTAATTGTCCCACGCCTTCTTCAGCGCGGCCTGCTCGTCCTCGTCGTCTACCACAGCAGGCATCTTATCAAACGTGCCGTAGGCACGCACCAGCTCCGCCATCTCGGCCTTGACATCCCCAATATCCCGACGCAGATGCTCAGCGCCCTCCACAAGGTACACCGCGCGCCTGTGCCTTCCGTCCGCCTCCGCCTTCGCAGCCAGCGCGTCGAGCGCGCCGGCCCGCTCGGCCATGACCTCGCAGAACAGCGGGCAGCGCTCCGCCGCCTCGGTCCGAATGTCGACAAACTTGCGCAGCACAGTGCAGAAAACGCCCTGCTTCAGCGAGTGCCTGCAGAACGCGCCCGCGTCGCGGCCCGCCGCGAAGGCGCCGTCCGTCATCCCCAGCACATCCTGCACGTAGATGGTCAGGACCTCGTCTTCGACCTCCAGGTACTCGGGTATGAGGTACCCGCCGACGCCCTGCTGGATATCCGGACGTACGATCTCTTTGGCGCCGGCGCGGCCCTCCTCGGGGGTGAGCGGCATGGTGGTGGGTGGGTGGGCGGGCGGGCGGGCGGCGACTGTGTGACTAGAGGCTATAGCAGTGGAGAGTTAGTATATTTAATTTGAAAGCTTGTATACGTGCGTAGTTCGGAACGGTGTAGATCATTTACTCGGTCGATAGGTAGGTTGGTGCGTGAGCGGTCGGGCGGCGGTGGTTATGGTGGAAGCTATAGTAGTGTATAGTTAAGATTTTTGAAAGCTTGCATACGTAGCAGTATGGAATGATGTGAATTATTTACCAGGTAGGTAGATTCGTGCGTGCGTGCGTTTTTGTATGGCTCTCTCTCTCTCTGTGTGTGTGTGTGTATAGGCGGCAGATGGGTACGTTTTTTGCAGAGCTGGTTGGGCTGGAAGACAGCGCAGGTAATGGTGCGATTTCTTCCATCTGACTTTTGCAAAAACGTCTATTCGGACGGTAAGGTACATTGCTGTTCAGTAACAACATAATTTTCACCCCTAACAAGACGCCGATTCCCAGGAGAAAACCATAGTCAATAGGGGGCCACATGAGGGTACGACCACTTGGCCGAAACGTCACCAAACCTGCCCAGTTATGGCTGTTGTCATATATATCTTACCAAAGCCCTCATATTCTAGTTAATTAATTTACTACTACGTGTGGCCTTTAGGACGCCCCTTCTGCCCACCCTAGCTAGTGGTAAAGTCAGAAGCCGGAGCATAAAACCCCTGCAGTTAAAGCTAGATTTGGCGACAACTTCAAGTGCGGGCACCGAGGAGGGGAGAGTGGGTAGCTTGGCGGAAGTTCCATTGTACCTTACCGTCCGATCCTCTTTTGAAAAGTTGGGTCGCTGGTTTTAAGGGCTCGTGCTAGGGTAATGGGGCGGCTTTCTTGCTTGGTTCTTGCAGATTTGGTGCGCTTGAAAATTTGTGAAATGGTGCAATGCTTTCCTTTCGCCAGGATTTATTTTACGGATTTTAAGTGCCAGCTAGCTCTCCCCACGTCGGCACCGACATAATTCAAGTGCGTTGGAAATTGCAGCAAATTGAACAAAGAGGCGGCAGCATAAGCGAGTCGCCAATTCCAGTTATTAGATGAGTGAGTGTGATTCGCTCTCAGTTTTGATTCAGATCGCCGGTCCTCCGGCCTGGTATGAGTTCCGGGGCTTTTGTCTCTTCTGTTGACGTTCTCTCGAGACGCCTAACACGACAAGTTGGAAAACTCGCTGCAAGCTCATTTCGAAGCCATTGTACAGATTTCTTGCAGGTGTCTGCTGAGCTCATTTTCTATACTCTGTAATAGTCACCTCGGCATATGTCATTAAAAGATCCAATATCCCCCGCTAGGTAAATTCAAGTTTATTCCTGGGGATTTGGTGAAGTTAATAGCGGATTCAGCATCAGACTTTCGAAACACTTATACGCTTGACTCTAATTAGTTTCTTTGTTAGCATTGGCAATGGCGGAGAATGCATGTAAGTAGTTAAACAACTCAATAATAAACACGCCTTGTTGCTAGTCTGTACCTGAATAATTTCTCACTCCAAGAAGAAATGACAATTACAACAACACTAACCAAGTCCACTGGCTATTCATACAGCCGCTTCATAATCCACGTAGATGAAATTAGAATGCCCCGAAGCCTCTCCCGTCTTGTTTTACACGTTGGCCGGGGAGAAGGGTCTATCAAATACTTGTCATGGGCATCTCCCCTCACCAGTCGGAGCCGCTGTCGTCAAAGAACATCTCCTCAGTGCTGCTCTTTTTATCGCAGTAGAGACCGAGATCCTTGCTGAGATCTCTCTGCTTCTTCTTGCTCTCGTAGACCGGCACAATGTCCATGTTCCCGTATTTTTCGTGCAGGCCGTCCAGAAGCCTCTTGGTCGACTCCAAGTCGTCTCTCGCTTCCTGGGCTGAGTCTAAGAGGTACTGTCTGCGGGTACTGTCCGTTTCCCTGCTGGCTTGCTCCTCGTACTTGCTGGCCTCACGCTCGATGGACTTTTGGTGCTGCGCATAGCCCCCGCCGGCGCCTGCCTCGGCCGCGACCTCGAGGCCTTGGTTCAAGATGCGGCAGAATCGGGCTTTGCTTTCTGGGTGCCTGAGGAAAACGGCCTCGGCGGCTTCGGTATTGGAAGAGCCTGAGGACAGCCCGATTACATCGCGAAGGTAGTCGTTAACAACTCGGTCCTTGACTTTGTTGTATTCGGTCTTGAACTCTGAGCCCACTAGTTCTGAAATTTCTTGCTCAATGTAGCGTTTTCCCTCCTTGTGGGGATCGTCGGACATCTTCGAGATATTACTTATTTCTGTGAACTGGGCTGTGGCGTTTTCAGGAAGTTACCAAGACGAACCTTCAACTGTAGCTCTGGGACTTTGAGAGTCTCGAAACACGATGTTTTCGCTTGCAGTACTACCCCGTGCTTGTCTTAACGCTAAATGCCGTTGCTGTTTACAATTCTCGAAAGTGTTCATTAATGGTGGATGGGACGTGAAGGAAATTGGTGTTAGTAAACTGGACAGTGCAAAATAATAACCCTCCTGTATTTATACCCTTGCCCATCCAGGTAGCCAACAGTCGTGTCTGCATCAGCCAACTCAACTCACTAGTCATACGGTTGACATCAGTCCTTCGTAATATCCAGTTACTAACATCCCCATGAGACAGGCCCTTTAGAGTACAGCATTCATTATTCCTTCGGACGGCTTCAGTTGTGACTCATTAGGTAAGTCACGACCTTCCCCCAGGTCCCATGTTGTCCGACTAGAGTGAAAGATTTCATCTACAGTCTGAAGGCATGATGTATCTGTCTTGTTTTTAATTAGCTACTTCTGTCTCTAAGGCTTTTCATCGATGCTCTTTCTGTCAGCTGAACAAACAGCGTGTTCACAGACTTGCACTGGGATATATGTGAGACTGGAGCGCTCTGTATATGTGGTATAAATGTGGCGAGGTCGGGCTATACAATAGGCCATACTGACTCGCAACCTAGACCCTCATCTCCCTGCCCTAGGCCCTGGGTACCTTCTCCGGACGTAGTCTTTAGGCTATCAAAGGTCTATATAATACCCGGCTGTCTACAAGATAGAAGACAGACAACGAGACAGACAACGAGACAGACAACGAGACAGACAACGAGACGGACAAGAAGACAGACAACAAGACAGGCATCTTCCAACTACTTCCCCATCCCGCTCCAGTATAATATAAGTTTTCGTAGTGCTTCCTTTTGTTCGTGTTTTGCTGTCAATCCCTTGGCGAACTTACGGTCTGCAAAGTCAAGCGCTGTCTTTGAGTCGTTGTAGCGGAACACTGGTGAATGTATATCGGCGCCGTTGTCCAATAGAAGTCGTACCATGGAAAGATCCAACTTAGAAATGGCGATTTTTAGCGGCGTAAAGATTTCTCCAAAAATGGAGACCTTGACTTCAATGTCTGCGCTATTTTCGAGTAGAATCTTGGCGACAGCGAGATGATTGTTCTGAACGGCTTGGAAAAAAGGGGGCGGGGTTGCTTTAACATCGGCGCCATATTTAATCAGGGACTGTACGGCGCTGACATTGCCTATCCTAGCGGCGTACCACAGGGCTGTCTTGTGATATTGGTCTTGGGTGTTAACTTGAGTCCCGTAACGTAATAGTATATCGACAGTTTTGTCCCCTCCGCTATGGCTCGCTGCAAGATGTAGTGGTGTTTTGGCGTTTTCGGACGTGGATGCGCCGCTGGCGCCGTTTTCGAGCAGCATGCTAGTGATGGCGGTGTGGTCGTTCCCGGCGGTAAACATAAGAGGCGTTAGGTTCGCCGCATCTTTCGACTCGGCGTCACCCCTTCCGCGGTCCAGTAGCAATGAAATAATAGGTTCATGCCCTTTCACAACTGCTATATCTAGCGGTGTGTGGCCGTGCCTATCACACCGGCCGGCATCCGCGCCGCTGTCGAGTAATAGCCGGACGATTTCTAGCTGACCACAAGAGACTGCCATAGCGATGGGTGTAGTGTAGTATAGAGTCCCGCACTCTATGTTGACGTCGGCGCCGTGCTCGAGTAGCAGCTTGACGTAGGCTAGTGAGCTTTGTGAGGCCCAGACTAGTGTCGTCTGTGCAACCAAGTCATCTCGAATTGGGATCCACTCAAGGAGATGCTTCGGGATAGTCGTATCTACAAGCTTCAGAACGGCTAGGCGTATGAGTGGGATTCTGGGGCTGTCGGACTGCATTGCCACCCAATCAAGCACCTGCTTGATCTGGAGGCCAAGGGATCCGTCTCTTGGTTGTCCACGTGTTAATAGCAGCTCCAAAATTATTTCCCCACTTTCCTGATTGCTCGCGGCGCTCCTCAGGATCCTTTCCGTGAGCTGGTATGTCACTCCACGCTCGAGGATAACCCTGGCTATTTGCGCACCGCACGCGTCATTTCTCGCAGCAGCTTCGATGACACTGGGCCTGATGTGCAAACCGGCGTCGCCGCAATGTTTCAATAACTGTTCGATAAGTCTTGCTCCCTTCGACCGGTTCCCCGCCGCTGCGACTAGAGTCTCGTTTGTAAGCGGCGGCTCCTTTGTCGCGTAACTCAGTAGGCACTGGAGAGCCTCGTCGCCGCTAATTTCGTTGGATGCTGCAGCCCTCGTGAAGTCGGGGTTCTGGGCCAGGGCTTGCTGCTGCGATGGCAGTTTATCAAGATGCTTTAACAGAATTCCAAGTAGCCTTGGTGCCTTCGCACCGTTTCTCGCAGCGGAGATCACCGTGCTGTGGCGCACAGCTATCTTGGGATATCGATCCAGAATGAAAGCCGTCAGCTCGTCTCCGTCCGTTTCGTCCTGAACAGCCATCTCAAGGGCTAGTTGACTGAAATGGGATATGCGCCCACAAAAATCGCGAAGTGACGTCGGCTTGGCGGATACTAGGGTGGCGGTGTCTAGATCCACGCGGTACAAGAAGTGGGAAACGGTCTTGACCACTGAGATCTCGTCATTTTTGTACTCTGGGCGTATGTGGTGAATGGCGTCCGTGGTCATGCTGAGCAGGGCGTAGACCAAGTCCCGCGGCTCAGATGCTTCGCTGCCGCCAAAGCGTTCCAAGAGGGTGTACAGATCTTGATTCCCGCCAAACCAGGACTCCTTTCGGAAGGGGCCGGGCATCATGTCCAATATTGCCTGGGAGTGCTCTGTGGGCCGCAGCCCCATCAGGAAGGGGGCCAAGCTGAATATCCGCGCTGAGACGTAGGTCTTGCCACACCAAACCACGGCCGCATTTGAATGGGCAACCTCCTGCAAAATCCAAACCCTTCGGAACCATGGCCGACCTAATAGATCACGCAACCCCTCGCGCTGCTGGGCACGGCAGCTTCCGCTCGAGGCTTTCCAAAGACCCATCCACTGCTCTCGGGTCCAGTTCTTGTGAGCAACAGACCTGCTGTTCGTTTCTAGCGACCGAAGAGCCCGGAGGCAGTGATCTGTCTCGAATGTGGGCGGCCCTAGCCAGTAAATCACTCGGGATGCGCGCTTGTAGATTTGGCTCATGTGCCGAACTTGATGGCCGCGTTCGTCTTTGTTGCCCTGATTGATACACACTGCGTCAGCCCACACGATGCGATCTCGAGTAGGAAGCTGGAGTTGCTGGAGCGCGTCGTGCAAGTTTCTGGTGACCATGAAACGCTTCCCGTTGATCTCGATGACGCGGTCTCTCTTGTCGGAGCCCCACACGTAGGAGAGCGCTTCGTACGAAATCGCATCTGTTCTGTCAGCAGCCCTGGTCAGGAATGCCTGAAAGAGCTCACAGCAGACCATAAGGCCTCGGCCTTTCAGGATCCGAAGAAGTCGAAATGCCGGGCGCGCGAGGTCGATGGGGCCATAATCGAAACGGTCGACATGGAACTCGGCCATTGCGCGATACCAGGGGATTGTTTTGGTGGTGACGTCAAGCAAATAAATATCATACGCCGACGACGACGACGACGACGACGACGGGGGTGACGATGAAAACCTGGTAAACGACAAGAATTCGGTAATTTCAAGTCCATGTCAGGTGAGGGGTCGTAGACTTTCGAAACATGCACTGCCACACTCCCGTCTCAGGCAGACGTGCACTGCCACACTTCTGGTTCCATTACATGGCTTCTCAGAGCGCTAATCAATGCCCGAGATTGGCAGACTTGGCTTCATGCGTTCATGTTGCAGTCCCAAGAATCGAGTGGCTGTCATGGCATCAGAGCCTGGCCTGGCGCAGCCCCTAGACTAACGCCACACCAAGACTCCGAGGGGGCAGTTTACAGACACCCTAGAAATCAATCATGGCGCGCATCCTGCTCTCCAATAAGATATAGCCACTCTCATTGTCCATGCGAAAGTGCGCGCGGGAACTGCAAAATTGTAGGCAGTAAGTGTGTTGAGTATAGGAAGATAAAGCCTACTGGTTGTGAATACTTGGTAACGACTGGATGTGACCACGACTTTCAGACAAGGCTCGCTATTACTCCCAACGCCTGCTTGCCACCGCTCTTAACAAAAACAAAGACCATCTGACTGAGAGGGACAACGGCATAGCCGTCAGTAGGTCCTGCTCCACGGGACCTCGAGGGCGCCGTCCTCCATGCCGGTGACGCACTGGATCTTCTTGGAGTCCAAGAAACGGAAGTAGACAGTCCACGACTTGCGGTGGTTGGGCCAGGGGTCGGCCTTGAAGAAGGCGTTGGTCATGCGGATCTGGCCGCGGCGGCCCTCGAAAAAGCGAGCCAGCTCGTTCAGCACCGAGGGGGTCTCGATGCGGTCAGGGCCGTAGAGCACGGCTAGGATCTCGACCTCGCCGTGCGGCCCGGCCGTCCACGGCCGGGCCAGCGCGCGGATGTGCTCCGTCGCCGAGAGCTTGTGGGCGGTCGGGTAAATGTTCAGCATCCGGGCGGGGCCCTGCTCGGGCGCGTTGAGCACACACAGCTCGCCGTCGGCGCCCTCGTACTGGTACAGCACGCTCAGCGTCTTCTGGACGCCGAAGACGGGGTCGGGCATGAGGACGCAGTAGATGTTGACCATGTCGAGCGCCAGCGTCTCGTCGGCCATGACCATGGACCGGATGTCCTCCGTCACGTTGACGCCGCCCCACGTGGCGGAGACGACGTTGAGGCGGGCGGGCAGGCCGGGCGCGCGGAAGTCGATGACGCTGTCCTCGTACGGCGGCGTCGGGTCGACATCTTCGTCGGTCACGGAGGGTGCGGTTTTGAACGACATCTCGGATTTGGCTTTGGATTTGGATCTGGTGCGGTCGGGCACGTTTTGCCAACCGTCTTGCAGGGTCATGGCAGCAGTGGAACGTTGGACGGCAATTGAGAGTCTGAGGTTATTGTTGGAGGGATGCGGGGGCGTCGTGAAACCAGTTCCACGGCGTTTTTTGATGCTTGTGTTTTCAATCTCTCAGCTGGTGATGATGAAAGACGAAGGAAGAAGGAAAGAGTGAGGGATGCGACTGTGCCTGTTTTGGTGGGGGGCTGTCTGTCCACTCACGTCAGCTGTAATTAAGTCCGAGCTTAAAGTTTGTTGGTTTCGTCTTGGGGTTGGATTTGGGCAGGTCGTTCCTTCCAGACCTTATTTCTGCCTGACCTTGCTGGCTCCAAGTTCCAGCCGTTGCTGTTGATGAATGACGTGACGTGACTGCCAGCAACTCAAACTCGCCACCCGCTGTTGTTTCCTAAAAGTCCAGACCGTGGCGACTGACGCAGTGCAACCAACCATGGCTGGCAGAGACGAATTTAATTGGACTACACTCAGCTGACGGGCCAATAACACACCTCCGGTTTGCCACACAAAAGGGAGTGGTCGCGACGCGCAACTCTTTTCCAGCCATTCAACAGAAGGCCGCTTCTTGATTTGTCTTTGTCGCTGGAATTTGCATTTCTTCTATCCGGCTTTGATGTGCAGAACCTCGGTGTTTATGGAAAACCAGCCAATTCGCGGGTTCAGTCCGAGGTACCAGGAAGAGCCAACACTTCCATCCTTTCAAGAATGTTTGGCAAGAGAAGATAAATCATCATCATTGTTTGTGTCGCGCTGAAATGAAAATATGGAACATAACACGGCTGTATTATAGAGTGGCGAGATCCCCCGAGAATTTGGACACAAACAACGAGACGTGTCCATGTGTTCAGGACATCGCCGCATCTTGTTCTTCGATAGACTCTCTGACTGCAACACTGCCGTGACTCGGTTCATATTAAAGCCCGGGGATTCCAGAACGCAGCAACCAAACGCTGTCCCGACAAACATCACAATATGCCGAATAATCACCGCGCCGGTCCGCCGGGGAAGATTTCCTCGGCGACAAGGTCAATGGCGATCATGATATTTCTGCTACTTCTTTCTGCTCCGTGCACCCAGACAAGCGATGTCCCGAGAAGACAGCAACCAGGACGGCGACTGCGACCGCCGCCGCCGTTCTCCGCGATCTCAACAACACCGTCCACAACAACGTCCTCAACAGAGTTCTTCCGCGCAACGAGGCCGTCAACGCCACCTCTGACCACCAACACGACAGAAACCACCACCGCGGACACAGGCGCGCCCGAGCCGGCGACGATATGGACAACGGTACCCATGGCACAGGTCATGACCATGGAGCCCTTCTGCGTCAACGCGGCAGATCCCGACCAGGGCGTTGGCAACCACTGCGTGTGCAAGAACGGCGCCACCCTGACCCCCATCCCCTACTCCACCGGCAAGAACCTGTCCGACTACCAGCCCTGCGCGTACACTACGGTCGACGTCGCAAACACTACCAGCGTCGCCGCTGTCAATGCGACCGTCACCGCCGCCGCCAACGGCTCGGCTGTCCTCGTCACCCCCGGGCCGCGGGCATGGGTGCGCGATTTTGCCGTTGTTGAGACGCTCAGGGGGTGGGAGTCGGCGGTATAAATCACATTTCTAGAATTGCAGAATCGAAGATCATCTCGTTACCTCTCTTCTCGTCAGTGTGCAGCCGTGGCATGTTGGCCTGTTTATGAGTTGCGAGATCCAAACTGGCATGATTACATCTCGCTGCGTGATTGCGCTGCAGAGGGGTGGGTGTCTTGGGTATGAGGTGGGTGCATGCTGAGTCGGCGTCGCATTTTAGCAGAATGTCAACAGTGTGATTACCTCCAAGTCAATTAGGCCAAAGGCGGAACACCCTGGCTGCGGAACATGCCGTATAAGCCACAAACGCTATCACATCCTTTGCGCAGCTCATACCGCTAAATACGCATAACTTCTTCAATTATTTTTAAGTTCCTTTGTTTCTTCTTCATTCAACGTAGAATTAACGAGGTATCGTAACTACAACAAAACTCCTCTCAGTCTTCTTCAGCACCGTCTATTGCCCCCCGAAGACCCTGACTGCAGGGCAGAGTCTCCTGCAGCCTACGAGGTAGACTGCTGAGCAGAGCCCGCAGTCCAAGTCTACCCTGCACTTGGTCGACCTACGCTGCACTTGGTCGACCTACTCTGCACTTGGTCGACCTACCCTGCACTTATCGACCTCCCTTGCACTTCGCTCCCCGCCTTCGCTACCGCTTCCGCTCCGCCAGCTACAGAACCGAGCTCACTGTAGGACCCTGTACAGGTGCACCCTCACAGGCCTGTCAGGCATGCAGTTCAATAATAGACAAGTTTATAGATACCAAATTTGTAGCCGATTACAAATAGTAGTTTTGATTGGTTTCATGCCGGTATTTAATTGCGCCCGTAGTGGAAAAACGGAAGTCATGGGTCGGTGTCCCACAATTCTTGGTCTTACTGGAGGGTCATTTTGTAGCTTAGAAATGGGCAGACACGCACTGGCCAGTCCTGGCAGCCCCAAAACGTGAACCCTTTGTTCAGAATTAATACTGTCCGTTCTAGAGTAACAATTTAGTTTGGTAGATTCCTTTGCTTCAGTCTCTGCCCTTTAACTAATCATAGTTCTCGGCGCTATATATGAGATGCTCTGCCTCTCACTGTCTCTGGCATTCGGCGCTCTTTCGATGGCGCCCAAACCAATAAATCATCGCAAAGCGATACCCCTCAGTTTGTGTAACCACACATATCCTAATGTCCTCTCAAGCCAGAGATGGGAGCCTTGTCTTCGATCAGTATCTTACACAACACAGAAATGCTTCATCCACCACACAAAGGTCAATATCTGTTAGCTGCTGAACTTCTTTCTCTTCGGGGCCGAGTGTGCAAAATGAAGCTCTTCGTGATCAGCCCCGACTGCGCGCCCGAAGACCAACGTCTGCATATCAACGGAACCGGGTGGGGCCTTCTCGAGCAAGAAACCCCCTCTACCCTCGGCACCCTCTCCGACTTCCTCTGTGTTTCCTACACTTGGGGCGCCGGCCGCTTCCCAAGCCCCTTCCACCCCGAATTCAAAGTCTCAGACCGTACCCTATGTGTCCTCCTCACCGCCATCGTCCAGCATCCCACCGCTCGCAAAATCTGGATCGACGCCTTCTGCGTGCCGCCTCCCTCGGAACCGTCCCTTCGCGCCTCGACCCTCCAAAGCATGGGCTTCATCTACTCCCGCGCCTCCGAGGTCCTCGTAGTCCTCACCTCCGCCGCCATCCCCGTGCTCCAACAAGCCAGCCGTTCCCATCACCTCTCCCCATTCCACCTTTCCATCCTCGAAGCCGAAGACTGGGTCACGCGCGCCTGGACCTACCAAGAGGCCGTCAACGCCTGCCAGCTACGCATCGTATGTACCAATCCGAAGGGCTTTTCTTCCTCTTCTGTCCTCTTTTGTCTCCGTTGTCGCAGTGGTAGATCCCCTTTAGGAAAGTCTTCATGGGACATACCAGGTAGCTGATGCAGACCACAGACCTGCGACGACAGCCCTCCTTCTACCGCAATAGACATGATGTCCTTCTTCTCCCTCCTAGGCTCCTCCCTCGGCTCTCTGACTCCCGCACAGCGCAAACTCTACCCACGCCTCAGCTCTCTAGAGGATCTCTTCGCTGACTGCGCTGTCGCCAAGTACTTGGAACGCTCCGCTCTCCAGGTTATGACCATCATGGACGGACGAACCCAAACACAGCCAGAAGATCACTTCTATGCAATGATGGGTGCAATTTCTATAGAGCCGACAAATGCGGTGGAGGAGATTGGGCCTTGCGAGGCGTTCATGAGGCTGTGTGAGAGGAAGGGAGATTATAGTTTCCTGTTTTGTAAGGAAGACAGGGACGAGGGGATGGGGAGGATGTGGAGGCCAGTGGGGTGTGAGTTGAGGCCTTTGATCAAGTGGCATAGTTGGGGAGGGGGTTTGAGAGGGAGTGCGGATAGAGAGAGGGTCGTGCTAGAGGGGATTGCGGTATTAGAACTAGGAAAGCTTGGGGAGAGGGCGAGGACGTTTATTGAGGGGTGGTTACTCGCGTTTGAGAGGATGAATTATGGAAGCTGGCCGGATTTGGAGACGGAAAGGGCGGCGTATGAAGCACTGAGAGTGCTGGAGTTCTCGGGAAACGAGGAGTATCTAGCCACGGAGTGCGGGTTGGTCTTCCCGCAAAACCCGGCACCCCAGTCGGCTCAGGTCAAGGTCATTGTCGCTGTGGGGATCAGGTGGACGCTTGGATCACCGGCGCTGATTCAATTCCGCGACGATGCCAGCTCTGACGAGTATTTCTATGAGCCTGGGGTTTTCTTTGGGCAGGTTCCCGATGGTGGTGTCGCCCTACGGAATTTTATGCTCTGCTGATACTGGGATTTTACCAGTACGTATCTTAACTGTCCATTAGAGCAAACAACTTAACTTGGCGGGTAAGAAGATAAGCTGAAGGGAAAAATCTCAAGCAACACCCGTCTTCTCGACACGATGCGGCTTTCTAATAGAATACACGATTCCAAGTTGTGAAACGCCATGCCTCGATGAATCACCCACCACTGATCGCGCTGGTGCAGCGGAATGGGATCGGATACGGGCGACCAACCACAACTAGCGGCCTAACAGAGTGGAGACGCGCAAGGCTTTCCGTCGGGAAGAATAAGTAGCATGATGCGACGGAGCAGGGAGCAAGTGCGGTGGCACGTGTTTCTCTGGATCCTAGTTCGAGCTAAGATATGTTCTGTTACGTCTGCGTTTGAGGCACGGATTGAGTTACGAATACAGAAAACCAAGTCGGGGATGACGAGCAAGGGGCCAATGAGCCAGCGGACCGCGATGTAGAGGACAGTTCCATGTTTGCTTCCCTCTCTCTCTTATCGATGGGTTGCACAAGTGTCAGAATAGTGCAGAATAGTGAATGGGAAGTGTGCGATGTCTCCCAGGTCTCGTCCAGGTCGGGGCGCTCGAAATCCGGTAAAGGCCTCGGAAAAGGCTCGAGGCTGTTGATTTTTGCCTCAAAGCTCGCGCTTAGGCCACCTTGCAAGATAACAGTGCTAGCCTGAAATGGAGTTGGCGGTGCGGTGTCAAAAACCACCAAAGCAAGGCAGTCCACACCGGCGTAGGACACCGATAATTAAGTCAAAGATAGCTCCAGTCTCACAGAGCCACTGCCTTTTGACTCCCGGATCCCGTCGGTGACTTTTATACCTCGCCGGCTTTTTTGGGCTGGTCCATAAAGAGTAAGGTCGCGAAATGAGGCGCACTGCTACATTAGGCGGAGTATTTTAAAGAGCATGAGTCGCCCACTCTAATCTTTTCAATGAGCCCCCCGCCCCCTCCCCCCCGCAGGAATAAGTTTTGCATATGGAGTTGTAGCACGAGGGGCTCAATAGCATTGAGAGGAAAGAAAACAAAGAAAACAACTTGAAAGAATAGTTGTCTCCTCATTGGGGTGTTTAAGGCTCACCTCTGTCCTATTCCTCAGTCACTTTACTAACAGCCCCATCTCAATAACTATTATATTCCCTATAGTGAGGTTCACATATCTCATCTGCGCCAGCCTCTTCGCCCTTTCTAGCGCCTTGCCGTCCGCAGGCCCCATCAAGTGCCCAGCGGAAGAACGCGCGTGCAGCTGGGCCTGTAACGTCTTCAGAGACGTTGAATGCAACTCGAACTGCAAATGATGTGGTTGTATCAGCGGCTCGGTGCATATCTCTTTGGTCCGAAGCTTCAGGGCCTCGACTCCCGCTGGCATTCAAGAGCTGAGACAGACTTATAGTGCGTTACCGATCACGGGGTTGCGGCGGGTCATTGTGAATGTAGTGGCTGTGGGGCTTGCTGAGCGTTTAGTTTTGTCTATAGTTGATGGAAGAGATGGGCGGAAAGGTCAGAGTGCTGGTTGGAACGACGCGTCAGACCCCGGCTAGGCAAATTATTGGTAACTAACATTACCCGAATCATTAAAGTTACAACATCAGAGGCAATACCTTTCAATCCTTGGACCCATTTTATCTGCAAGCTCTGGCTCCAGTCTACCATTCTGATTCTGGCGCAGAGAATCTGTCGCTGAGCCGTATTAGCTCTCAACTCCCTCTGTGTGAGCGGCTCCGCGCGCCAGTGGATTTTTTCGAATGCTATACCCATGGGATAGTCAGCATCAACTGCCCGTCTCCCAGGTGAGTGGCGGCGGTTCCATGAACGACTGCACGGAAGACACGCAGATACCTAATCAAGGCTTCATAACGCTAGATTGAACCCAACCACAAAATTATTCGTCAATGACATCCCTTCAATCGTCTTGGCCGCCACACGCGGATCCGTCCCCTCCGGCACCGAGTTGACGTCCTGCGCAAACACAAACACATACCAGTTCACAGGCGCGACGACATCAACCGGCATCCACCAGAAGTGCCTGTTCCTGCCTTGGGTTTCTGCTCCCTGTCATCGTCCAGGAAACTCGCTAGGCTGCCATACCCGTCGTCGCGCAGCTCGACAGCCACGCGGCGGCCCGTGTCCGACACCAGCAGCGCAAACACGTAGAGCTCGGCGCCGCGGAATAGGCTGCCGTCCGGCTTGACGAAGCGCGCGCCGATTATGACGGGCTGGCGCGACGCATGCGTGTAGTACTTGTCGGGCGAGACGGCGCCGTCGATGCTGACTTTGTAGGATTTGAGGTAGTGGATGTTTTTGAAGGGTTCGTGTTGCTTGGAGAAGCGGAGGGTGGTGTCTTGGGTTGTGAATGGTGTGAATCCGTTGCCTCAGGATAGGGAGGAAATCATACGGGAGGTGCATGTACAATACATACCTGTATTAAGCACGCGCTCATAACTGAAACTCACCCTCCCATTGAACGGCCCCCCCACCCCCGGGTCTTCCGTGTAGTCAATGTCAAATTTGACAAACTCCGCCGTCGTGAGGGCATTTTTGTCCGGCGGCGGCGTGGCCGCCTGCCCACGATGGCCTTTTCTATTTTGGATATGGACTACGGGACCACGGTTTACTAGATAGACGGTTTTGACAGTCCAAGTGGGCTCTCCCTTAATCTATACATTCTTCATGGGAGCGACGATAACTGCGCCGATATTCAGTTTAAACGCTATTCTCGACGTTGATGAAAATTCAACTCGGAGGTATATTTGGACGCCTCTTCCCTCCTTTAGCCACATACCGACCTATTAAGGCCAGGCATCTTTCCGGATAAATGTGTAAGTGCATGAATGGCTCTTGCGTACAAGCGCTGCAAACTCTCTGTGACGTACCATCGATTAGACTCGCCTCAAATCAGGCGCGGCTCAACTACTCTACTGGCAAGGAGCCCGCGCCTACGAATCTAATCAGATCCCCCAAACCAAAAGCCGAGAACAACCCACTCCTCAGGCCAACTATCCTGCCGACAAGCCCAATTGCTTTGATCGGCCCTGTCGCTTGGCTTGCGGTGCGTGTCAAGATGGGTAATCTGTTTCATGCCATTCCCAGGAGTGGCTTGTGCGGCGGGAACGGGCTGATGCAATTTCACTGTTCTCAAAAAGAGGCGTTGAACATCCTACGGCGTAGACCACCTTTAAGCCTAGAATTCCTTCTGTCGCTCATTTCGAAATAGCCAGGTAGGCAGGGGGAAAAAGTCGCAAGAAAGCCGCAGCATCGCGGATTATACCTGTGTAGTTCCTAGCTATTCCTGCTTTCCTCTCGACTCTCGACAGCATCGACTCTTTCCGAACTCGCCAAGTCGCCATGGTTGTTGGACTACAAAGACGGCTGCGGGCCTTCTGGCCTGTGAGCTTTGTGCTGGTCCTCATCACTTCAAACGTGGCTGTTGCAGACGAGGCGCTCTACTTTATTGATGGTGAAGATATCTGTACAGCGTTGAGCGAGGAGGCGGTTGCTTCGTGAGTTCCTTAATTGTCGTCTCGCTTCTTCGTTTCGTTTCTTCTCCTTCCCCTAATCGGTTGGTCTCTCGTCGCGAATCGAGTTTGCTTCCTGATTGACACCCAAATGCACTCCGCAGGTCCGCGTTCGACTGCATCAACCCCAGAACCGACGACCCCTTTTGGTTCTCCACCATGGACGGATGCAGCGAGCAGATCTCCATCCTCGCGGCAACCGCCACGCCCACGGCTTCAGCTTCAGTCGGTGATAAGTGTAATTGCAATATGCTGTTGGGAATCCATGCGTACGTACGGGGGTTTTCCATTCATTTTTTATGTCAGACTCTCTTCTGCACACAACCGAGCCTGCTCACGTGGGATGCGCTATTTACCAGATCATGTATCAAAGACGCCTGCTAGGCAACCAGTTCCAACTCTTCACCGAGTCCGTGTCCTCGCATTACCACTGTTCTGCCACCGGCAGTCCGGTCGCCACGGGAACCAGCGTAGGGGGCGGGGCGGCATCCGTCACGCCGCCGCTCATCTCAAGCATCAGCAGGACAGCTGAAAATGCGGCGCAGTCGACTTCTTCGACTACTATTACGTACCACGTGGTGGGTCCAGCGGCGGGCGGTGTTCTCGGCGCGGTTATCGGTGTGTTGGCAATTGCTCTGTAATCGTCTTGGGATCCTGCGTGTCAAGTCGGCTTGGTGGAAAGTACTTTGTTGGTTTTGCAGGAGACAGGTTTAGTAAGGAAGTCCTCTTGGGGAACTATGCGATGGAGTCGTATATTTCTTGGTGCATTGTGGCTAGATCCGTGAAGAGTGTTGGATGCCACTATCAGAGACCCAAAAAACAGGAACGGAGACAAATTAGATCCCAAACTCAGCCCTTAGGGACTCCGCGACATGCCACAACCCCATCCGCTCCTTATAATTGTACAGTACCTGGTCTCAACGCGCCGACAGATCAACCGGCTACGGTCTCCGCTCACCTCACCTCTCCATTAAGAATCTGCGTCCGCTCTTCCCAAAACGACCCGACTGTGCCGTCCTCTTTTCTCTTTTTCCACAACAGGCCGCGAGTTCAGGCTCATGACGCGAGCATTACACGAGATGACGATCTTGACGTGGCGACGAGACCCGTTCCGGAACTGATCTACGAAGATTTATAGCGAAGTAAATTAGATACGGTAACGCCAATTCTCTATTTATGCTTGGTCTCGACTGCAAGCTCCTGTGGTTCCCCAGCCTCCTTTCACCAGCCTCCTTTCACCAGCCTCCTCCCGAGGCCGGATCCGTTGAAGCCATCGCCACTACCGGATGCGACAGCCGTACCGGCCTCGCTTTGCCAATTGCCGCATCCCACCCCGTGGCCACGATCGGCGTATTCCAGGCCCGCAGCCACTGGCATCCTGGCTCCACAATCGCATTCCTTCGATCGGAGGTATGCCCAGGAATGACCAGCCTCCGGCTTGCTCAGGCAACTGCTAGAGCGATTGGCTCAATCGCTGCACCTGGTCTCGCAACCACTGGCACGAAGGGTTGGCCCCTGGCGACCCTGTTACATTTAGAGCAGCGGTAAGACTAAGCTACTGTAATTTCGAAGCTGAATTCCATAAAAACCCCTACACAGGAGGCTACGTATAGAGACTTTTCCTGGTTGTTGGTCGGCGCCTGATAGGCCTTTTATAGTGCAGTTAAGCTCCCTGAATGGCATGATTATGGGGCAAATAGACACTCTCCATCTAATTTCAGAGACTGGAACTAAGCTCGGCAGCCTCCAGATCGGCTACAATTCTAGCACAGAGCTCCCTTTCGCTAGCCTTTGCTATCTCATCATTAGTGCTATTAACCATGATGCAACTGAGCACAACGTCCGCGTAAGTGTCCCCGCATTCCCATCTGAGGCGATCCAGATACACTTGACAAATCCGCCGTCTTCGTTCATAATGATCCTCTTCGTCATCAAGACTCCGAAGACTGTAGCTTGACAATTCCTCCCACAGGCCGACTTCGAGTAGGAGAACACCGAGAGTATACGTCGTACGCATGGCGATATTGGCGCATTGGATCTGCGTGCTTTGCGGGATGCTGATAATAGTCAAGTGTGAAGCCACTGATCTTGATATCTTTGGTTTGGTCGGAAACAGTGAGTTGGTTAAGCGCATTACGACCGTAGATGCTGTCAGCTCGAGGGGTTCCTACTCTGCGTTTCGACTTTGCTCTCTTGTCCATTGGGTCATCCCATGCTAAGCTCGATGATGGATAGCGCATGGTGAATGCCATTGGCTCTTGCTCAGATGGCTCCGTAGAGATGATGATATCGTCTGGCCGGGAGAAGATGTAGCCCATCAGAATTAGCTTCGAAACATCGATCTCGATTTTAACCTCATACCGATCCTCTTGGAGCGCATTCACGTGTTCTGTGAAGAACATCACTGCATCCGCGCGTATATTGTGCAGTCACCCGCTGGAATGAAGGAAGCAAACGGCACCCACAAGATTTCTAGCAAGTTCTAAACGCGCACCGAGAATAGACCGTATGCCTTTCTGCTGTTTCTTTCCAAGGAGAGACTTCAGTGTCATAGGTGCCCGAAGTTTTAGGTTTTCCGCGGGCCACTGACGATTTTGGACGCCGATAGTGCCGGGCAGCCTGTAGAGAATGCTGCAATGGCCTCTGTGCTCGCCATCGGTGTGGTCGATCATACCTGCTATATCCAAGCCATAGACACTTTTCATCACGTTTGCGCCTTGAAACGTGTTGAAGAAGTTTCTGGTAAGAGCGTGAAGCTTAGGGTCGGCTGGTCTGTCCATTTCGATTGGTTCGTCATCTTCAGACTCGGCGCTGCTGTCTTCTGCAACCCGATCTACGGAGATGTTGGCCTTGCTATAGTGGCGAGTCGTCATGCCATCGTTGGGCAATTATTCTAAAACTCGCGCTCGGTTCCGGCGACGCTTGAGTTTCTGCTTTTGCTTCGGAGTGAGCTCCGCCGGCGGTCCACGGTAGTCTCGCATTTCCACGTAGACGACTTGACCCTCGAACAGGGCCAGACCCTTTCCCAAATAACACATATTAGGTTGCTCCTCGTCAATGGTGGTAAGACTATTGTCATCCGCCTCCACCCTGTCCCTGTTTTCGTTGACTGACGCTTTCAAAGTAGCTGCCGATGCTAACAATTCGTAGCCCGCCCGCACCGAGGATCTTTCGTCGACCTCTGCATTCTCAGTTGCGAGTCTTGAAGTCCACTTCAGACCTGCCGGGGACTCCTGCTGAGCCAGGCATTCCATTGTGATATAGATGTTCATCGACCCGAATGCACTTTCAGGGCATAGGCGATAGAGAGACTCGCTGTGAGATCTCAAGTCGGAGATAAGGCTTCTGAAGTTGTCTCTGTCCTTCAGAGCCCACTTGAACTTGTTAAGCACGGAGAGGCGGTGTTTGCTTCACTGATGACAGGCTGGATGTTGTCGATTTTGGCGTCCTGGATGGCCAACCGGACGTTGTTGATTGACTCTGATGCATCCTGGATCGCTTGCGTTGGATGTAGCTGGATTCCGTAGCCCTTGATGAGTTTCTCCTGGTTCGACAGAGTATCGGCAAGAGCAGAAAGGGTGTTGAAAACGCCTTCTGCCTTAAATCGGTTGTTCAAGAGGTACTCTTGAAGCTTAGTTCGCTTTTGTCTAGTAAGATCGAGCTGTTCTGGCTCGTTACCGTCTTCATTTTGATCTGCCAATGGAATCCCCAGGCTTTGAGGATCGATTGCTAAATGAGCAATTCGCGAAGGTGTGCTGAAGCTTCTGCCTCTGCTGTTTTCACGGTGGTGAAGAAGCTGTAACAATCCCGACATGTCGTGTAGAGACCCACGATGCCGATGGCAAGACCAGCGACCTCCATGATAATGACCAGCAAATTTATGAGGTATGAGGTATGTGTTGTAAGGAAGTGTGGTAAGAATTCCGGACCTGTGGACACTTGGTTGGATGGAGTTGGGGACTCAAGGTCTCTGTCCTCTGTCTACAATTTTATTAGCGACGAGGCTCTTAATCTCAGAGGCGGGAAGCCAGGAACTTCAAGACAGCCTTAGCTGCATAAATAGTTCAACAAGCATTGAGACTGTGCCAGGAATGGCCAGTCAAGATGCCAGACCTCTCTGTGCAACATGCGGTCCGCTTCATTCTGTCGACGTCGAGACCAATGAGGAGAGATCTGCCCCGCGCTGGGCTCGAAATTGTATTCTGCCTTGGCGTCCAGGCGTATTGGAGCCTAGACTACACCGCTCTTCAGGGCCCCAGCTGGCCAATCCTGCTGGAGCCGGCAGGCACACAGCTTGGAATCAAGGCCTCAGGGAGGGTGGGATTGCATTTGCAGTGGGGAGCGGTGGGGACGAGTTAATTAGGAGAGCGACCATTTGCGCCATAGCAAACCCTCTAGTGTGAAAGGGCGTCCCAGTGTGCATAGCTGCGAATGGCTTCCTGCATCTGGAAAAGTGAAAGGAAACGAAAGCGAGGAAGAGAAACGAGAGATCTCAAATATTGGAACTAGATTAACTTGAAAGAGTCACTTGACTAGAAGATCACTGTCTCTGAAAACTTGTGAGCTTGCCATCGTTCAAAAAATTAGAATATCTATTTGCACTATGACGCCAGAGTGCCCAATCGCATCCGCGATTGCATTTGCGACTGTCAAAAACACTACACTCTGGATTTGGTGGAAATGATGGGGGTCGCAACTGCTTGATTGTTGCTTGTCGGTACTCTGGTTTGGCCGGAGTGCTCCTTTTTATAGACTTGTGAATGGTGGCAACGCTTGCGCGTTGCTTGGCCAATGTTACCAATCCTTCTTTTAGTCGGTCCCATCTCAGAAACTCAGACCAGCTTGGTGTGGCTCAGGTGCCTGCGGCCCCACTTTTGAAGAATTGGACCTACTCTATATTTTTGAACCAATAAGAACACAAAGAAAAGAACCACCACCAAGCTGGTCTGAGTGCAATATTGGATCCGAATCTGACCCCCTCCACATTAATTGACGGCATTCACGGAATGCATGATATTTTACGCGCAAACCGGTCAAAACTATGCCGTTAGTACTTTTAGAATCCCCTCAATTTAAGCTGTCGATTGGTACTAATTTTATGTGTAGAACATGTCTTCCGGGTCAGATTCCGAGCAGCAGCCCTCTCAAGGTCAAAATATACGATTGGTTGTCTTTATCCAGGGTCGCCGTAAAACCGAACCAGGGCACGCTCCGTGGCAACAGTGCTCTGAGAGTGTGTATATATGTGAAGTCCGGTCGGAATTCTCGCCACTCGCCGACAACATGCAGCTCATCTATCGCAAAAAGCCCGATTCTTTCGTGAAATGCTAGATCACGAAGGACGGCTTTGAACTTCGGTGAAAAGGCTTGTTCTGGGCTCAAAAGCACATGAGTATATTGACCTTGTTTGACTTGGTCCCAAACGTTCCGGTTCTAGCTAACTTTTAATAGAAGTTATTGAGGGGCTCAGGGGCTCAGGGCAATAGACCTTGAGATGCGTGTCGGCGTCGATCCATACCGGCTTCGGATTAGGGACATTTCTGGTGATATCGTCACGCTGATTCTCGCCTAGCTTCGTCAAGGGAACGATTTGTATCGTGATCTTCTCGGTCAGGGCAGAAACAGTGTAGAGAACGGCGCTTTTGCCGTAGCCTGTTGCCGCAACGAGGACTGTATCGTCATGCTGGTAAACCAAACGCTGCACAGCCTGTACCTGGCCAGCGCGAGCCTCTGGAGCGCCTGTGATGCCACAAATGGCTCTGTTTATGCGCTTCTTTTGCTCGTCGAGGTCCACCAGGGCGGCGAAAACGATGTAGGAGAGCTGGGTTTAGGAAGTGCGTTGTTTGAGAAAGAAAGTTAGGTTCTGAGGATGCCCTCGGCGCAGAGTAAGTGTATAAAAATTTTCACGAAGTTCAGATCAAAATTAAGTGTTTACTAGCAGGCGCGACTAAGCTGTGAAGGGGGGGTGTTTTTTTGCTTTAAATATAACGTATTTGATAAGCGAGTTAGCCATGATAAGCAAGTTGGCCACCTTAACGAGACCGGGTAGCGTGCGCAGCCAAATGCGATAAGAAATTGATAAGATCACTAACAATTTACTAACATCTTTTTGCTTGTGCCCCACCAAATCTCGTTAAGGTGGCCAACTCGCTTATCATGGCTAACTCGCATATCATGAACGTTACGAAAATTACAACGCCCTATAAATACGACTCCAAAATAGAGCTGTTTCAAATCCCTGTCAATTACGAAGCTCCGCAGCTAGCTTGTATATTCTCACGATGTGGAATGGTAATGTTGTTGCGCGTTAATTGAACCAGTTTTTTTTGTTGTATAGAGCCTGTGAAGGGGGTCACGGTTCAGATCAAATAATGCACTCAGACGTCTTTCTTGAGCGTTCTTGTCAATTGTGGCTTAATATGGGGCGCCACAGCCAATTTTTAGTGTGATCCACCATCCTAATCCATTTTAGTACAAGGGCCCGCCAAGGCCCCTGTCATGGGCGCACGTGTGCGCGCAGCGCGCCCCGCCCAAGAAAGACGGCCTGATTTCTGAGATAATCCAAGAGACGGTTGGAAACATCCATTACTGTACCTAGGTACACAGTACACCCGAACAAGATTGACGCACTAAGGTATCTATGTATCATATGATTATGTGCATCCATTTTAAGCTATGGGCTGTGGGATCTAATTTTGACAAGCGACCAGCCCAACCCACGGTCAATCGATCACTTCAAATAACCAACACCTTCAGAATCCTCTCCACGCCAGAGAGCACCGACAGCGCATAACGGAATTGGCGCCTCTATTGTTTGAGATTTCGCCCGCGTCGCAACCCACGCGCCTCGACAGACCTTCCAGTCACTTCGGTTGTCGACATTATCGAGCTGCCACAAACCAACTCCCATCCTTGCCCAGACCCGGCCATCCAACTACCAGCAGCCGCCTGGCTTCCTCGACCTTTGCTGGCCCGTTTTCCCACCCTTGTGGTAACACAGCAACATTGGGAATCTCAAGTTCATTCTTTATCGTTCTTGAAGTAGTTAAATGTCCCAATGCCTTTCGGCATATTCGTCGGTACGGAGAATACTCTCCATGTTACTGGATTTCCCCTCGATCAATCCCGTCACCCAGAGACAAAAACACCCCGAGCTTGTCTACTGTTTCTCCACATACACCATCCCGAACTCTACCCCTCAGATAATACAATCCATTGCGCGCAAACACTTCATAACATACTCTCCGTCCCGTTGGTCGAGAAGCATGTTCCCAAGGGCCGGGTCTTAACTACCATTGCTCAGTGCAACCGAAATGAGTTGCCTGCTGACTCTACCGAGATGGTGGCTTACGCCGAAGGGGGAAAGTTAGCGATCGTTGCTCTTTATGTTGTCTCGCCTGGTCATCGAGCCAAATTCTTGGATCGAATAAATGTTCTCTCTGGGGACGAGAAGAGACAGTTATTCTCGGTCCTATCCACCACCCAACCAGACAAATCTTTTATCACATTCCTCAACACCTATGTTACTGATGATCTGGTGGATAGCTATAGTAGGGCCTAACTTACTAATATATAAATGGGAACTTGCTAATATCCTCTTAGGAATCCGATCCAAGTGTCATATCCTCTCTGTCAAACGGAAGTCCCCTTATAAGGACGGCGTTGATCTGGTCAGGAGGGTGGAGAGAGGAGAGCGGGCCACTGAGAGCCCGGGATCTGGTGGTGGTGAGTCTTGTGCTTCGTTAGAAGCCGGGATGATGTGCTAATAGGCTGTTTCCCATTCTAGATTCACGCGTCCATTCCAATTCCACACAATCAGACCTCTCTGATATTTCCAACTTTTCCCTCGGTAACACTGCACCCATGTTGCAGTCGCAGGCAGAACCAAGCATGCCGACACATGCGTTTGACACTAACAACACCGACCCACGAGCATGTTCAGACGCCGATAATGACGCCAGAGGGACGGACTTGCGAGAAACAGGCAGGGAGTTCCAAGTTATCAACGCCAGCCGCCGTGGAGACCCTCACCACGGCAACTCCAGCGAGATTTTGGTTCAAGATGCGTCGCCTCTCCACTGGCTTGCTGCTGTGGCTCAACAGGCGCAGGGTAGGATCGAACAATCAGATCTGTGCGACATAAACGGCCACGGAGAATCGGGTGCCTAGATGGACGAGACAGTTACCCATGACATCAACTCACGCGGACTTTCCCGTATTATCTGGCCCGGGGAACTAACCCCCTCAAATTCCATAGTAGCTTCCAGTTCATTAGCAGGACTTAGTCTAAGGATCCCAGGACCTGATAGACCACCTATAAATTCAGGTCGGCTCGTTGCGCATCTTTCGTTGACTAGCCCTACCTCACCTAACATGGGGTACATTAATCCAACTTTCTTAGACATCTCACACACCAAATCTCCGTCGCATCCCTATAAGCTTGCTACTGCTACTGCTGCTTCGCCACAGACCGCAGACCGGCCTTCACGTTCAGTTATATAGTCGTCTATAGGCACAGAGCAATCTACTCTATCTCCTAGCCCCAATAAGGGCGACTCTCCGCCAGTTCGCGGCACTAAAGGGTTGTTTGGATTAGAAAAGCCGACCCAACAACGAAATCGCCCATCAACGAAATTGACCCACACCATGCCCACACCCACCCTACGGGCGCAAATTATCCATTTCTACACAAAGTAACTAGCAAAAAAAAAATACTCAATCCTCTTCTTCAGCCTCTCTATATTGCTCAAGGCCACGGGCGATTATTTCCCGGGCCTCTTCGACTGCATGTGGCTGCGCAGGTGCCCGGGCCGCTCTTCTTCGCTTGTGGGGCATTTGACTAGCTTTTTGGGCCTTGTCAATTTCCTCAATGCGTGCAAATTTGTCATTTCCATCTTCGTATACCCTCTTACGCGTGCGAGGCTTTGAAACCTTTAATTCGGTCGTTAGATGCGTAATTTGTGCCTTCAAAGAAGCGATCTCGGTATTCTTCAGATCCAGGGACCTCCCGACCTTAGTAAACAATACCCTCACACGCCTGTGAGCCGGACTGAGGGCATTCCGAATGCTGTCCTGGTATTTCCGAATATCCTGACTTCCTTTTGGTGTTTTGAATGCCCTGTCTTCGTCATGCAGGTCCTCCTATGGTGGTGTGGAAGGCCGGGCAGGGAGGGCATCTTCCTGGATGACTGCCTCTGGGTCATCTAGTACGCGGGCCTGGTTGTACGGCTAAATGCCCGTATTCCGGATGCCGGAGAGTATATTGCGGGCACTCATACCCTGGGCCGAGGCATCTCTGTAGCAAAAAAGGAACCGTTGCTTGTTGATAGGTGCCGACGATGTGAAGCCCGCTAGAGCCTTGATGTTTTGCCTGAAGTAGTTCTTCAAAGGTGAAAAGACAGAGCGATCGAGAGGCTGCGTCTTGTGCGATGTATGTGAGGGTAAAAAGACAAGCTGAACCTTGTTTTTCCATGCCGTCAACATGAATTATTCGTTCATGTGGCTGGAATGTTCGTCAAGGCCATTCGCCCGGCGTTTTGGGCTCGGTTTGGATCAGGTAGACCTCTCTGAGCCACCGCGAGGCGATTTGGGCGTTGCTCCAGCCTGTAGTTGAGTAATCATACTTCCATTCCGGGAATTTGTCCTCTAGCTTGAAGTTATCCGGAAAGTGTTGTCCTTGTAGACTGGCCCCGGTAAATATGACCACGGGCTTCAAACGAACGCCCTCTGCAGTGCCGCATTCGATAATTGAGACCCAGGTAGTTGCATCAGAGCTTTTTACGTGGGTCCGCTTTGTCAGGGAGCTTCTGATGACCTCTCCGGCCTGGGTCTCAAGCTCCTGCATGCCGTGCTCATCCATGTTGGCGATGTTGGCAGCAATAGCCCTTTTATCCTTGATCTGGAAGGCCAGGCGCTTGTAGAAATCTTCGTAAGCCTCACGAGTAGAGCCCTTAACGCGAGACGATTCCAACAAGGCCGAATTCCTCATCTTTACCGCAGGGTTGCGGCGTAGGAAGCGATCCACATATCGCTCGCCAACGGTCTTTTTCGTGCCGGCCTCATTGAGTATAGCTTGAGCGAATCTCTGCACCTGACGACGGCTAGGAGCGCGCCCTGCAGCTTTCCTGCGCATCGGAGAGGTTTCTTTCGGCTTGTTTACTTTTGGCACGATTTTCTGCCCCATGGATGCGTTTGCAGAGGGTGGAGGCAGGGATGCCATGCAACTTAGCGGCGTCTTTCTGCGAGGCGCCCTGCTCAACAGCAAGTATTGCAGCTTGAATGAGTTGCTCACGGCGGTTCGATATGGCTTATTTTGAAGCAATTCGGGCTTGAATTAATGAAGTTGTGGTGTTTTGAAGTTGGAGGGCGGGAAATTAGATGACAGGGGCAGAGATTTCGTTGTGGGGCGATTTCTTTGTTGGGTCGCCACGTCTATATGGTACTGAGTTATTTATGTCTAGTATAATGGACACCATGATAGAACTAAGCGATAAATAGTACATTATAAACATCTTGTCATGGGATAAGCGGCAATTATATTCTCGATACTTTATATAATAGCACCAACAGAGTAACTGTCACGGCGGGTGCCGTGGTGGTGTCAATGACGTAGTGCTGGAGTGTGGTCTGTGCGTACCTATCACGTGGTCCGCACCATACCTAGAACCCCGCGCCTTACCCGCTCCCCGCAACATCTTCCTTTTCCTTCTTTAGCTTTAGATTCCACAATACAGGTTACGGTTATACTGCGTGTTATGCCAGTCGAATCCTCTCCTTCGTGACAGTAACAACACAGCTTTACCCTTCTATCCTCCTGCTGCTCTGTGTTTCTTGTGAGGTTATTGCTACCGCACCCGTTGCGCTCACGTAGAAGAGGCTATAGTAGAATATGAGATCTCCTTGCAAGGGTAGAATACCCGTCGCTTCATCGAGGTGGAGAACCGACCCGGATTCCCATTTGATCGAGTACTCATCACTACTACCTAGAATACGAACCAAGACCTCCATCGTACCCTTGAAAAAAGGCACTATCAGGCAGACATAGCCATTATCCGTCCACACCGTATCGCCCTCTTTCTTAAGCGGGTAGAATTGCGGCTGATAGCGGGGACGTTCAAAGTCGTTAATATTAAAACCCTTCTGTTGCGACTCTGCCCATTTCTTCATATCGTCGGCCTTCGGCGCTTATAAGTTAAAGTTTTGTGAATATGATAGTGGACATACCATTGGTTTTACAACCGCATCGAAGACCTTTCGGCAAGAGCTCGGTAAATCGTAGGTATATAGCAATCCTCTCTTCTGTGTCGGGGTCTGGCTTGCCAGCTGTTCCTCGACGTCTTTAAGCAGGTCTTGAGGCTCGAGGGGGATAAACGTGTGTCTAGGCGATGACATATCGAGGTCGTTCAGAGCAAAGGTATGAGGTTAATGCTTAGCTTAGCCGCCCGATTGGTAAACGTTTGTAGAATCATGGTTTAAGTTGCACTGCTACGGAACCCCGGGCCAAAAGAATTTGGACACCAGCTTGGACCCATCTTACGTAAGATTAGTGCCAAAAAGTAGCCCGTTATTTATCTGTCTCGCTACAATCGCTGAATTATGAAGAAGTTAGGGATCAACTAACTAGAGTCTAGTGACTAGGGCGCTAAATCTCAGCACGGAGTCCCTAAATATTCTATGGGAAGCCAGGTTTTAACGCACTGTTCTAAGATAGGTACAAGTTGGGAGTTCAAATTCTTTTGGCCCCGAGTTCCGTAAATCGTCTCCCCACCTAATCCTAACCCCGGTCGCCACCTCACCTACCAACATTGAGCCAATCAAGTGCGATTGCGCTACATCGCCATCCACCATAATATTCTAAGAAGAATCACGTATCAGTTGGCAGTTGAAAGTACTGAGTTAAATTTACTTTAAGTACTTCGCGCAAGAACACAAGTAGCTTCATTATTACTACGCTCCGCCATCTTCCACCATAATATCGGCCATGAAAATATCAAGACGAGCGCTGTTGGCGTCATCCACATTTATAGGCTTAGGTATAGGGTCGTTCTCCCCATTCCTGCCATTGGCTTAGGCAGGAGGAGGAGAAGGAGGAGAAGCATCGTGATTCGGATCTCCATTATTTCCGTTAGGAGAGGTATTGGGTTTCGAATTGCCGTTCCTCTTATCGGATATAATGGATCAACGTGCTTTTGAGCTAGTCGTATATTTATTAGTCTAAATCCCGATCTCGTAGCAAGGGGCTCTATTTATTAAATTAACTGGAACCTCTTATATGATATGTAGTAGGTGGAATTTTTGGATAGGTTATAAGGATAGCCAGTCTCGTCTTGAATCAGTGCCCGGAGAACGAACGTATCCGGGTAGCCGAGCGCCAGAGTCTGAAGCCGCCTTTGATACGTATCTAGGTAATTGTGGTTCAGTTCTGAGATGGAACTGCGATGTCTACTTTATGTGGCGAGTTAATCTTTATTCCGTAATAGTCTTGGGACCGTCCGTCTTAAATTGTTGAACGAAGACTATCCGGAGAAAAGCGGTTAGAGCCAGGTACTTCTCACAAAAGCATGCCCATACTGATATACCTTCCCTACTAGTCCTATTGCAGTTGGTCATACAGTCCAAGCAAGCTGGTATACTTACTACAATGTACAAGCCTTATCCACGTAGGATTTTTCCATCAAAATCCCAATTTGGCCGTATCGCTGGTCGATATAATTGCTACTTCAACCATATTTATAACGTAGAGCAATCACCGCGAACCAACTCGGAATTGGATCAGGATACTCCACTCCCATTGACATTGGCAAAGAGACGCACCTACTTCTGCGGTCCGTTCTTGATACGATCTCGCTTTTATTGCCTTCCTATTACTGACTTACGTTTATAAATGATCTAAGGAATAATACCCGTGCCTAGAATGTTAAGATAGAAAAGAGTAGCATCTTCGGCTATCTGATTCACGATTAACATCGTCTACTTCAGGGCCCTCAAATTGCTGCCGTTGGTCAATCTCGGAGGGTTCTCCTACGTCATGGCAACATACCGGTACCCTTCCGTCAAGGGCTAGGGCTTGGAAAGCATTTCCGGGGTTTTCCGTGCGTAAAGGAAGCCCGTGTTGCGTCGTCAAAACGAGGCTTCTGGCGCCATTCCGGATATCCAATCATTACAGGCCAGCTGCGAAGTGAAAGCCGCTGTAGTCTTGGTAAAAATGGTCCGCCAAATACGGGATGCTTTGTTGAGGTTCACGTAATTATTGCTGACACTTTGACCCACCTCCAAAACTTACCACATCTCCAAAACTTACCACACCAAAACTATTAAAGGCGCGCCGTGTACATGTTTCCCGGCACCAAAGGGCCAGTTGGCAGGTGCACGATTCTCTGCACCAAAGGCGCGCCGAGTGCATGATTTACCACAGGGCGAGTTGGCAGGTGCACGATTCTCTGCACAAACGGACGCGCGAGTGCACGATCCGCTGCACTTAAGGGCAATTTGGCAGGGGCGCGATTCTCTGCACCAAGGCAAGCCCACGATCCGCCAGTCCAAGTCAAGTACACTATTCTCCACCATACCAGTCCATTCGAACACGAATCCATCATCTTTGCATTTCGGACCGCTAGGTGCCTTCTACGTATTTACTCAAGCGCCCGCGGTAGGGCAATGATTCCAGTACTTACTTGTTCCCCCATCCTAGAGGCTTGCCTTTCCCATCAACCGGAACGCACTCGCAGTTCAAGTGTTCGTATTTTCCACATAACTCAACTACTCGTCTGTTTCGATGCCAACACTGTTTGGGCTATTAGGCGCGGCTCTTAGCAAGGAATTGGGTTAGGATTAACTTACCTTATCGCAAAACCAGTGTGTAGATATGTCAGGTGGCATGATTCTTTAGAAAATAGGGTTTGCGTCCTGAGTGTTCGAGTTAAGGATTTGGTCGTCGTATGACTAGTATCTTTCACGCCCTCTGTTCCTTCAGGTTCTCTAATCATATACGTAGAACCACGAGGTTGAGGTCACAACAAACTCCGGCGGGCCTAGGTACTTAAACATGCCGAAAGTTGCATGGGGACATTTGACCCTCACACAAGGTCCAGCAGCTCATCCGAAATCCCTGACATCCTCGTTTGGTATGTCAGCCCATGTCGACAGGCGAATGATGCTTGAAGTGACAACATGACCTGCAATATCAATGCCGACACACACTTATGTCAAGATCGAGTTAGACCCTTGGATGCTTGTATATTGTTGGTCCGACCATGTTAGAAATCTTACAAAGGGAGGCTTCATCGAGATTGGCCTGCCGAACAGATACCTGTAGAATTATTACGTTTCCGTGCTAATGTTGCTTGAGTGCCCAGTATCTCAGTCTAGTATCTATGTCCAATTTGTAAGGATTGGTCCACATTGGAGATATAGCTGAGTCTAGAATATCTATCGGTGGCACGCCCGTAATCTAGCTATATTGGGCTATTAAAGGGAAATGTACTACATGGATGAGACCCTGAAGCCACCAAGACATATACGTGGTCAATGGCGCACTATTACATTGTTAGTCGTGGACCGGTAAGGCTCGCCTTATAACTAGAGATATGAAGGTTTCGAACCGCTCTTCTCAAACATCTCGGTCGATGGGAGTTAGGACGGCGATAGTGGCGAGATAGGCGGGGCGCTTGTGCCACGATGGAGGCCAGGCGAAGAGGGTCGCTGCGTGGACGTGGAAGGGCGGCGTATCCGCGATGCCCTGTGCATCCGATGATCTAAATGAATGGATGCCGATTCCTTAGAGCGGCGCAACAGGTCGGAAGGGGCAGAAGGAGGCTAGATGCTGTTGGTGCGCGATAAGGTGAGAAAAATTGAACGGGGACAGAGGAGGGCTGAGGAATGCCTTCCAGCTCTCTACTGGCTGGCTGGGATTCCCCTTTTTGGTATTACCCCGCTACTCCGTAATCTGCCTCTCATCAGCGCCTTGTAGATCGCGCCTTCATCCCTTGTGTTGGGAAGGCGGTTTATGTAGGCATCTAACGGGAAGGGTCCTTGCTCTAACACACTTAAAGAACGCGTAGTAAGCAGCGGAAACAAGAACCCGGAGCCCGGGTTCTTGTCAGAGGCAACTGGACACCGTCGTTGGGTGGAGTGCTGTGGTTGTAGTCCTGGCAATGACTACTCCGAGGTTTCGGTTGGCGCATTATTTTGACTGGCCATCCTCCCAAGAGAAAGAGGTGGCGCAAAGGGTTGATGTGGTCAGCGAGACATCGATTGATGGGTTGTCAGCGCGACGGCTTCGCACTTCGGATTTCCAGCTTCCCGCACGGGCCACTTTGCCCGGTAACCCCGCATTGCGCTCAAACCTGCTGGCCGTTGAGAGCATGGCAAAGATGCCATCAAACTGGTGTCAGCTCGCGCACCGCCCGAGGATGCATTGTAAAAGTGGCCCCATCGTGTGCGTTTAACTTTGTTAGCGCCGTGACCAAGAATCGAAGACGGCAAGATACAACAAAATACTCAAGGGGGATACACCGGTCATAGGCGTACATGCCTCTCGGGCTCGGCACACCTTGTCAAGACTGCATCGGCGGATCACAATAGTGTGTGGAGCACTTTCCTAGACAGCCAATCTCCCGCTTTCATAGTCAATTCACTTTTATCAGTACTACCTTTATCTATCTTACCCCTCTTACGGAGGAATACCTAACTACGCTCGATTGCTGAGCCTGGGGATTGGGTCAGCCGTCTTTCGGTTATCAGCCTTCTCTCCTTGCACGAGCATACCGGCCGCTTTTGGTTTTTTTTCGCACACTTTTACAGCCCACTGAGTCCTCCGCTGCATTCTCCTCAGCCTACCCCGCGCTACGGATTACCTAGACCCCACTTTGCGGCTCTTTAGATCAAACCCCGACGCTGCATCTCCGTTATTGGTATACGTTCTCGGCGCTCGGCCTGCGTGCCGGCCAAACACCCATATATCAGGCTGACTCGTGCGAGCCACCTCCGTGAGGGTGCCACTGTTTTGCTGGCGGCCTGTTTCAGCAGTTCCGTGAGTTTAGGAGAGTTCAATCGCTTTTTTGCTACGGATGGCCTTCCGTGGCAACAGGGATCATATCACCGGGGCACCGTCACTTTGCGCCGCAATGTAGTCGGCGGAAATTTGTCAAGTCAGCTCCCCTCCGCGTACAGCCAGAAGGCGCTCTTTGTGAGGAACGTGGAGGAATCGGCGGTCTGGTATGCCGAGACGGGGTTTTGGATGAAGCTGTGGTTGTATTTGCGAATGTTGGTTTAGGCAAGCTTGGCTATGTTGAGGATGTGAATGGAGAAGAGGGCTCGGATGCGGTGGTTCTGGCCATGTGCTATCTTTTAGATTGATTGATGCTACAGGTGGCTGGCTCTCTCATGACAGCTCCTGATTGCGGCAGTTGGCTGGGTCTGGAACGGGATGGAGGCGGGGAAGATGACGACAATCGGCGCGCTGCACGTTGTTCTGGCGGGAGGAGTGTTGTGCCCAAAAAAAAATTGACTTGAGCCTGCGATGGAGGAGGAACAGGGTCACTTTTCACGGTGACCCCACTGCGGGGTAGTGCGGAGTAGTGGTGCAGTTTTCATGTCATCTCAGAACGTGGCGCTGGAACTTTTTGTGCTGGCAGTCAACCCGACGACATGCGAACGATAGAATCTTTCTAGCTTGGTATCGGATAGCAGATACGACGGAGGGGCTCGGCAATCCCGCTCGCGCTGGCCGCTTTGGAACAGCACTCCGCACGGACCACAAAGCCACGATGCTTAGTTTCTGCATGTCTTACCGCTGGCTAGAAAGAGCTCACGATCGTGGAACCTCTGGTCAATCACTCCCCTCTCGCTCTATCTATTCGGCAAACCCAAAGATCCCCAACACTTGATAGTGGGCGTCCCCGAAACCTCCGCGCCTCCCTTCAATCCGCCTTCCCCGGCCCACGCTGCCAAGGCGGATTTCTCGCCGTCCGACCTACCAAAGACGAGGGCGATGCTCGGGAATTTTGGCGTTGTGGTTGGAGCGCGCCCCCCTTTCCCGTCCACTGCGTTGACTGACCAGCGACGCTGTCTCTGGGTTCGCAAAGATATCGCGCAGCCTGGATCAAGACCTAGGAAAGCCACGTGCTGTTGCACGTGCTGGGTACGTACTCCCAAATCCGCTGTTGCGTGCCCACAGCACGCAATCGCGCGACATGCAGCACCACAACAAACAAGCAGCCAGCTACAGCCCCTCCATCCATGCGCCGTCAGCAGATATCCCGCAATTGCTGCCGCCCATCTTCCGACATGGCCTACCGTCGCTCAAGCAGAACCACAAGCAGCTCCAGCGCGATCGAGAGCTGGCTGAAATCGCTCGACGACCCCGATAAACTTCGAGCATCGCCTTGAGATACCGCGACGCCAGTGGTCCGGTAGGTACGAATTCGTCGCCTGGTGCTGTGGGTAGTAATCGGTATTCGCATCCCCTCCATCGACGGCACCTGCGACAGGCGAACCAGCTTGCCCACCCCCTTGCCATCATTATTGCTCCCTTTCGGCAGATGACGGTGGTCCCTCTGCCCCGCGGAGCTGCGGCGGGAGGATGTAGTCATGTTGGATGGTGACTCGCCCGAAAACCCTTGCTGCTCGTGATCGAAGGCTACCCGTTCGGGCACGCTCGTAGGGGGGGCGCCGCCAAGGGTGACCAAGTTTCCTGGCCTCGATCGATCGCCCCACGTTGGCTAGCCAAGTTTCGGTCCCACTGCTGCCGGCCCGGATGTGACGGAACTTGGCAATAGGCTTTGGGTACGCTTTGCATAGTGGCGATCGTGAGCTTTGATTCTGTGACGTAGATTGATAGTGTTTAGTTTCCCCGATCTCTTGAGGGTTAAAGCTGGAAAGGTAAGTTGCGGCCTGCAGAATGGCTAGGCAGCCGCTCGTCAATGCAGGTGTCGAAGCACTGCGTGCCGGCGATGGGGGGAGGGGAGCACGAGTATGGGTGGGTGGGCACCGCACTACTGCTGGATGATGTGCGGAAACCGTTGCGGCAGGCGGTGATGATGATGGACGACAGTTTGGAATGTGGGAAAGGAACAGAGAGAAATCTGCTCCGGGGGGCATGCCGCGGCCGTCGGTGGCCGAGCTAGATGGTAAGAAGGGTGCAGTTGCACGAGGACGCGAGCAAAAGAATCGCGCGTCCCTGTATCATGATGACCTTTGTCATTCTGTCCTCTGCCATTTGGTAGGCTTGCCACGGCGTGCCTCCCTGGCGCCGTAAAACTAAAGGTGGGACGGCGGCTGAACACAACTCACTGGAACAGCCGTCTCCCCTAGCTTCAACCAAGACGTTTCCATCGGGCATCAAAACTAACCTATACGTTAGGTCGATTTTCCGACCTTTCTAACATGTAACCTTGAATACAAATTGACTGAACTGAGTTGACTAGTCACAGTAGCTGAGCTATCCGGACTAGACTTGGCTGAACTGGCTGGACTGACTAGCTACAGGAGCTAAACCGACTAGCTGTCTAGGTCGGCTTCCGTCCTGGTAGTTATCCTTCTTTCTGACAGGCACCCTACCCCCTATGATGAAGACATGAGGGGGGTTACAGGGTCGTAGCGAGGCTACAAAGTCCTCATCCCAATACAAGAGAGTGTTGGCCTGTGTGTTCTAGAATGCAGCGGCCTCCCGTCATATCCCCCTTCCGTGCCCTCTTGGACGTGACACATATGGGATACGATGGCGAGGCTGCGGAGAGGGTACGGGTGGACGAGGTCGATGGTGCCCAGGTAGACGGGAATCCGGATACCATGGAGCTCCCGGCAGTGAGAATAGATTAGCGCCTCGCCCTTTAGGTAATTAGCGTCGACTTTCTGGATTCCCTTGGCGACAAAGGTATATCCATATATTGGACCTGTCATCTTGAACAAGACACCCGTCGCACCAAACATGCCGTGCTTGTCTAGGCACTCGCAGCCATGATCAAGATCGCGGGCAAGCCGGTCCGGAACACGCAGGCATACCTTGGATGCCGAGATAGGGTGGCGTGACAAGTAGCCCTGTCTGCTGTGTACGGGTGTGTTAGGGCAGGCGGGATCGAAAGGGCCTTTGCGACAGAGGCCGAGCAGACAGGCATGCGTGCAGTATTGCCTAGGATCAGTCCCGGCGCCCTTGTAGGAAGATGAGTTGTGAGAGGTCTCGTCACCGCCGCGGCCGTCATGGGAAGATGGCGCCGTGGGTCTTGTTTGTTCCCTCTTTCGCTTAGCTATGGCCGCTCTCGAACCATTGTTGTCGGCATCATCATCATCATCATCATCATCATCATCACGTCGGTTGTCTTTTGCTATCGCAGGGCTGCGACAAGAAGAAGCAAGGGGTTCGGGTGGAGGAAGGGATGGGGCGTCAAACGTGATGCCGGCATCTGACTGGTTCCCCTTTTTCCCCTTGGGCGACGGCCACTGGTGGGAGGGTCCGCTTAGTATCGAGTATCCACTGGGCAGGGGGGACATCGGCCTCTAGGGCGAGCAGGGCGAATGTTGCTAGCTGTACAGCGTGTAATTGTTTAGGTAACTAGACGTTGGGAGGCTCGCCAAGGTAGACGAGCAAGACATCGGGGGCATCGTAAGGAATTTTTAGAAAGATTTGATGCAGTCCCTCGATGCGACGTATCCATACTCCAGACCGCTGATGATCATGTAGTGATACGCCTGGCACAGAACCTTGGCCACGAGTATGCTATGTTGAGGGGGACCGGAGGCAGCTCTGCGCTCGGCGCCGGGCTCGGTTTGGCCTTCGGCTTCGGATTCGGCGGCTTCGGAGGACCGAGCGCAATCCTCAAAGAGCGTCTCGGGAAAAGGGTCGTTGCCGAGGACCTGGCCGAAGCTCCGCGCCGGGGCCTTGTGGGCCGCCTTGTACTCGCCTACCAGGGCTGTCCTTTGGATATCGTCTAGGGCGATGCGAATTCCCCATCAGTCGGGGACCAAGCCGGTTATCCGATCTGGAGACCTCTTTTTAGATGGCGGGCTCTCTCCATCCCGAGACGGCTTGGGATGAAGGTCATAGGCGTTTTTGCCGAAGCGAAACTTCTTGATTCCTTGGAAGGGCGAATGTATTGTGACAAACTTGTTAATAATTCGCATCGCAGGTTTTTCGGCGTAGGCGCGGATGACGGGATGTCCTGCTCGTCCTTTCTTGAATCCGACGAGAGGTTGCTCTCGGCCCCCTTTACCGAGTACCAGGACGGGAATAGCAGCTCCTCTCCAAATGTCTCGACGAAGGCGGCAAATTGCTTATCGCAAAGGCTAGGAAAGTCGTCCCATCGGCGTAGGGCTCGGGGGTAGACTTTGCCGTGGACTTTTGTGGCGGCTCCGCTGGACTGCGCCGTGGTCTTGTTCTTGATGATCAAGCTCGGAGTCACCATGGTCTGTAAGTGGTGTAGGTACTCGAGAAAGGTCGTAGGTTGATCCTTTGCTTCTGCTTGGTTCGCTCGTTCGTTCGCGTTCTCGGTTCGCTCGTTCGTTCGCTTCATCCAGTTGCGCACGGAGCCTCGCAAGCTCATGCTCAAGCTCCAACATGATGAAGGCGCGAGCGCGATAGAGGAATGTGCCAAGACGTGACTGGAAACCGTCAAGATATGACAAGAGTGCTTCAAAAAGTGGCGTAGGTTCTTCAAGGGGTGCGTCCAGACGACAATGATGCTACGAAGCAGCTGATGGGGTGCAGCTGTCGAGGAGGAGGCTCGGAGGGGAAAAGTGGGCAATTTCGGGGCGCGTTCCAGAATTGACATTGGCTGGACCCCGCAGCTGACTTGTGCTGCAGGGGTTACAGCTGTGGGGAAGTGCCCCACTCAACGCGAGTAGCATTTCCGACACGAGACGACAGCTCCTGTCAGCCGAACGTAACTGCCCAGCGTGATAGTCACAGCAGCGGCCGCGCTGTGCTGCCGTGAGATTTGTCTTGTCTTACCGCCGTGGGGGCTGTCTGAAGAGCAATGTGATGCATCCAAGTAGACTCTTAGCTACACCTTCCAATTGGTTGCTTGTGTACACATTATGGCCTCTGCAGATCCAATCATCCATCATAAACATATCGATTCCGGCTTGATTTGGCATCCCACGTGAAAAACTACAGCTGCTCGCCACGATTTAGACCGTTCGGTCTGCCGTCAGTGATCTCTTTCGGAAGGATGACCGTCTCCGAGTACACACCGACCTTGAGCGACGGGACACGATGGACACGCAAGCCATCAGCCTGGTAAGAAAACAAGCATCTGATTAGCATCTTTTTCAAGTCATGCCCTCGAGAGCATGTGCGCGGTGCGGCGACTACTGCTAATCACCTTTCCGCACACGCCGGCGAGCGTGGTGCTGGAGCCGTCGAGGGCAAACCTTGTGTGGCATACATGTGAGTTTGGTTGTCCCCTCACCTCGATGCAAGGATAGTTAGAAGAGATGGGGTGGATGCTTACTTGTCCACGGAGATGGAGAGGCTGATGGCATTGGCGATTATGAGCTAGTTCTGCGCTTTCCTCACAGCTGAGATCGCTATCCTCAAACTACTACACACGGAAGCATATATGCATCTGTAGAGCCGGAGACCTATCACTTCCAATCCTGGTTCTCTCTTTGATGAACCAATGTCAGTCCGGAGGCAGCCTCGTCTGGTCATTCGGCGTCGCGGGGTACACGTCTTGGCCGTACGTGGCGTTGAGAGTTACTGAACCCACAGCAGCGCCCGACTCAAGCCGAATGTACGTGTCAATGGCGAGATCCTCGAGCTTCTCCCGAGATACGACGACCTGCCGGGCGCCGCGGATCCACCTGCCGTAGCCGCCGTACCCTGAGTGCTGGCCAAAGCACAGGTTGATCCCGTTTCCCTTGACAGGAAAGTCGGGGAGCAGGTCGTTGTCCCATTTGTAGCACCACGTGTTGCCGTGATTGTGGGCCGAGAACAGGGCCATGAAGCCCGGCGTGGCCGCGAGCGCCTCTAAAAAAGGGATATCTTGCTCGCACTCCTCGTACCCGACTTTACCTGGATACGGTAAATCGCCCTGCTGGGCGACGGGCACATCGTCGTTGATCCCCGGCTGAAGGCGCGGGTCCAGACCTTTTGCCTGCAATGCTAGTGAGGCACTGGTGGGAATGTGCGTAAAGGCAAGCGCCGGAACTGGCCTCCCAGCCTTGCTGACGAGGTCTTGATTGGTCTGCTTGAACCAGTCCACGACGGTGCTGTCCACCCAGCCGGGGCGGCCGACTCGCTCGCCCGTAACCCCATCTCTCTGCTGGAACTGGAAACCGCCACGGCTGTCGAAGAACCATAACAGCAGTGCCGGCGTGCAATCCGAGTCGTCGCATGGCTCGAGGTAGACGGGCAGGTAGTAATTGGTCACGCCGGCGGTATCGCTATGCACCATCTGCGAGGTTCGCGAATTGAGCCAGCGTTGCTCGCGCTCTAGAAGGAGCGAGGCGGATATGTTGTAGTCGCTATCGTGGTTGCCGTAGGTTGACGCCCATGTCAGCCCGCGGTCGAGCATGGGCTTGGCAATCTGGTCCATGTACTCGGTGCTATTCTCGAGGAACGTGTTCTCTCCTGTGATGAGGTCGCCATTGAGAACCACGAGGCTGGTTTGTGGCTCTGCGTCTAGGATCTGTTCCATCACCCTGACGGAATATACGTCTTGTCGGGGTCCCCAGGCTTCCCATGCATCTGGGGGTTGCGCATGTGAGCATGTAAGTGAGAGACTAATTGGCTGGATGCTAAGAAAGACAACTTTTCCTATAGACAAACATACTCTCACCGAAATGAAGGTCCTCAAAGATGGAAATGCGGAAGAGGCCGTCAGAGTCAAAAGCGAGAGGGCCAGTTTGGGCGCCGCTGATGCTGGTGCCCGTTGCCGTCTGCTGGGCCGGACCACGTGGCAGGGCAGCCAAGAGGAGAAGGCCAAAGACAAGAGTAAAAACCATGGCAGTTGCGGGGACCTGGTAGATGGACGGGAGGGTACCGTTTCGACTGCTCCAGCCTCGTGTCATGACATGGTGGCGGCGGCCATCATGGCCACGGGCCGTGAATGGAAGAGGAGGGAAATGCCAGCCCCGATCCTGCTTGCGCCGGCGACGACCGTCGCCCGAGTTGTAGCGAGTCATGGTTAGCAACGGCTGGGGATTATCATAGTGGTGGCCGCATTTATGGGCTCGAGCGGTGGTTGCCGGTCACAGCGGTAAATAAATTGAATACCGCCTAATGTTTTACGTCGATTGCAACCACTTGGGACGCGGCAAAGGCGAACGTGCGCGTCCTTGGGCCAATCCGACAGGGCCTCCAATTGAACGGGATGGGCGTCAGTGATCCCAACCTTTACTGGGATGCGACCTGGGGTTTAGACGTGGAAGGCGACGGGCTGCGATGGAAGAAGGGCGGTCCGAAAAATCGAGTAGGTCTGGGTAAATTGTAAAATAATCACGAATGATGATGAGTGGTGAATCCAACAGACCCACAGATGTCAGTTTCGAACCTCGCTATGATGGCCACCCCGGTAGATGCATAGGCCACCTCCACCTGCATACAGAAGCAAAAAACTCTTGTTATGCAACTGGCCATCCTCGGGTTCATCGAACGCACAACCCTACCTTCTGCTTATCAGCCCCTTTTGCCCTCGCCTTTCGCTACCTGTACCTTAGTGCATCCGTCGTGTGTCTGGCTAGTACTTGAGTTACCACTGGTTCATTCTGGCGACAACCCCGGCAGGAAGTAAAATTTTGTCAACCTTTGGTGCATCAGTTGTTCGCTGCCACAGGCTCAGCACATACGCGACATTCCTGGTTCGAATTTGGGCGCATGCCTTGATCAAGTAGGAGCTACCAAGGTCGCGCCAAAACTTGACTAGATTTAATTCGCGCCCGAATATAGCGTCAGAAAAGCCTAGTGGCAACCGAAAGGTCTAGTTCTAACTGTGATGGCTTCAGGGAACCCCGTGGTAGCCCCAAGTTTAACGAAATGGCTTCAGACATAAGGTTCCAGTCTCCTACACCCTTTCTGAAAACCCTTCACCCCCTCACCAACATCCCCCGCGCAATGCCCACCAACTGCTCGTATTCTCTTCCCATCTCGGCTTCAGAATCCGACGATAACCCTTCGAGTCCGCCCAAGAGGATAATCTTCAGTGCCTGGTGAAAGAGGTACAAGAACGACACGGAAAGCGGCTCAGGATGCATTGCTCCGAGTTCCAAATCAGCGAGCCACGAGCTCAATGGATGCAATAGAACCTCTTTCTCCTTTTGCAGGCTACTCATGTCGTCTACCCAACCGGCTCTATGCGACGCCAACTTGTCGAGCAGCTCGATCGTCGAGGCAGCAATCCTCGTCAGCTCGGTCCGCATGTCTGGAGCGATCGTGCAGAGCTGCCGGCTGCGGGACTCGACGGCAGCATTTGCACTTTCCCTTACGCCTAATTCGGCTGCTGAGCTTGCTGCCTTGGCTGGACGGGGAGTGTGGTCGGCAAACTTGCATGGCGTAGCGAACAGCTTGATGACGAAGACATCTAGCAAGCAAGGCGGGTCCGTGGGGGCGAGGCCAAAAGAGCGCTGACGCTCTGCCAGACGGCGCTGCTCACGCATGATGCGGAGTTCGTGGACCATGTGCTGGGTCATGGCGAGGAAATTGCCCGGCCTTGCTCGATGCTGATGAAGATTTGGCAGGAGAGGAGTGTCGACTTTAGGCCGTCGCTGGAGGACCAGGGACTCGGAGGGCGCGACAACAGGTTCAAAGGGCGCGACAACAGGTTCGAAGAAAGACGCCCCAGAGCCATGCAGTATTGCTGGAGACTGTACTCATCGTGCGAATTAGACTGCAGCTCCGAAGCTGCGAGAGATTTCGCCAGGACCCCGTGTTGTGATGTCTCGAGATACTGGGGGAGAGCTCGGAGGGACAAGATGGCGTGTCGTATCGCCGGATCAGTCATGCTGGCGCACAGAACTTGGCTCGCTTCTTCGGTACAGCCGAGTTTTACTCCGTCAAACATGGTCTTGGTCGAGAAGTACCAGCTGAGGAGGTCAATGTCCTGCGGGGTGATCACTTTGGGGGCGCAAATTTGTGAGACTGAGCCACCAGCGCCAGACTTGGGATTGATACCGCCCTCGAGAGGTGGTCGACCGCTGCTGATTGGCTGACTGGTGAAAAATCGAAAGGGGGACTCGTAGCCGTCGCAAATCCTGCCGGTATCGATGCATTTTCGGCAAGATGGCTTGGCCTCGTCGCATTTGGCCTTTCTTACTCTGTCCCGGACGTAGTATGATATGTGAGCAGGCGGTATTACGGCAGCGCACACCTTCCATCTGATGCGTTAACCAACGGGGTGCGACTCGGGACCGACCAACCTGTAGGTGGCGCATCCCGTCTTCACCTTTGCTCTTCTCTGCATGCTCCGCTTCTGCGCGGCAGCTTAGCTTTCCGCCATGATCGAGCGATTTCAGGATGGCAACCTTGGGTCTTCGAGTAATACCGCTCAGGACTAGACGGGGTTCCGAAACGAGGAAGAAATCCGGTCCGATGAATCCAATAATGCACCTTGACTCACTATAGGCGCGCCACGGATGAGGCGGGATGTTGGTGGAAAAGAGTTGGTCTTCAGCTGCTAGCCGGACTGGGTGTCAACAGCGAACTCACCAATCAAAAGCGCTGGGACAGCCTAGGACCTGCATCCTTCCTCGTTTCCGGCCCCCGACAGCTATGGCAGCCCCTAGCTCCTTCGCAACCAGCCTAACACAGTCCCAAGACATGGAATTTTCTTCCATGTACAGACTCATCAAGCACAGACCTGGACTTGGGTCAAGCCTGTTTCACAGCTTCAAGATGCCTCAGTTTACTCTTTATGGCGCACGCAGTTCGACCAACACCGACCACGTCCGCTTGACATTCGCCGAAGCCAGTCTCACAGACTACGACCTCGTGCTTCTCAACCTGCAAAAGGCAGAACAGAAGGTGGGGAAGCTCCGGTCACTACTAAAGCTCTGGACGCGACAACGCGTGCTCACCATGCGTGGCTTCTGTCCCCTGAGAACATGAAGCGACACCCATGGGGCAAAGTTCCCGTCATAACCTTCCCCAACGGATTCACCCTCTACGAGAGCCGCGCCATCTGTCGCCATCTCGCCAAGAGGTACTCCCCCTTGTGCCCGCAGATGGCTTGGGCCAGGGCGAAGCGGCGGCGCTGTTTGACCAAGCCCAGTCAGAGGAGATGCACTACTTTGCCGAGCCTGCAGGCCGAATCTCGTTTGAGAGGTTTGCCAAACGCTTTATGAGGCTGCCGGCCAACGAGAGCGTGGTCTAGGATGCCCTGGGGTCGGTCGGCAGGTTTTTCGACGTGGCCGAGGGTTTCTTGCCACGCAGGGGCGGATACATGGCGGGCCCTAGCTTCACGCTCGTGGATATTTACTATATACCTCTCGTCCAGCGGCTGTTTGCGTCCAGGTATGGGAGTGTCATCCTTGATCGGGAGGCCGTGAGCGCGTGGTGGCGTCGGTGCATCAGTCGACCCGGCATACAGGCCATGCTGGCCGCTGACGAGGAGGCCGCCGCTCGGTTTCAAAACTTGGCGCAGGCAAACGAAGTTCAGCTTGGGAAGGAATAGCAGACATCATGTTTTCAAACAGATTGAACAGCAAAATTTGAATTCACCTTCCACACCAGCTCATGCACCCCTTCCCCCACAGGCCCAAGAGCAACCCTCTTCGTCCAGACATCGTCCGTCACATGGGCCAACCACTCGGGCGGGATGTCCCCTACCGTCGGATTCTTGATATAATCGCCTAACACGCGCGTGAAGTTGGCCGGGTTCTCATCCAACGTCAACGAAAACTCCATCTTGAACCGCGGGTCCGTGTCCAGCCCGGCCGTGATATAGACCGTCGCGTTGACGCTGCCAGTCGCACGCGGCAGCCAGATCCTGTAGCGCACCAGGGCGGCAGCTGCGTCGGCCTTTGACGCGCGCGCCGCGAGAAACGGCTCGAGCGCGACTGCGCCTGACTCGCTGCGCGTGCTGAGGAGGGAAAAGCTCGAGAAGTCGTACACGGCCTGGTCCATCATGCCCGCCCACTTCCCGTCCATCATGCCGTCCCACTGCTCGACCAGATCGTACGCTGCCTCAAAGTCGGCCAGCACCTGCTGCGCGATCGCGTTGGCCGAGTTGCGCCGTTCGAGCGCGAAGCGGTAGTTGGCGCCGACGCCCAGCGTGACGTTGAAGTACAGTGCGCCCGACACGACAGGGTGATACACCAGCTGAAAGAACGCGGGCCTCGCGCGGGCCTCGACACGCTCATACAGCTCTGCCGCGCGCGCAGCGAGCGCCTGCCACCGCACCAGCACGCGCTCCGCCTCGTAGTAGTTGAGATGCGAGAACGTGGCGGGCGTGACGAGCTCGTACCGGCGCATGCCCACGAGACGAGTATGCTCAAGCAGAATGTCCGCCACGTCGGCCGCATATCCCTCGCCAAACTCGCGTTCTGCCAACCGTCTCAGGAACCGCGGCACAAACCCCATCGCATCCCCTCTTCCCCCCCTTTCCATCTATGTCCTCCTCCTCCTCATGCTCCGCCACAACAGCGGCATCCCACGCCAACGCCAGCCCAAACCCCAACGGCACCTCCATCGGCTTGACATCGCCGATATTGAAAATCCACATCCGCCTCGCCCCTCGCAGATACGCATGCCTCAACTCCTTCAACACTTTTGCCAAACTGTTCGAATTCCCCCACTTATAACTCCTCGGCAGCCCGACGTACTCAAAATGGAAATACACCCCCGTGTCCCCCTTTCTCCTCTCCTCGTCCCTATCCCCGCCCGTCGGCAACCGATACACATTCCCAGCGTTGTCATCCAGGAACAGCACCGTCACGTCCCCTCCGGGCGCCTCCAGCCCGGCATCGTAATAACCCGCGACCTCCTTGTACAGCACCCAGACCTGCGGCACGGCGTCCTCGGCCCCGTACTCCCGCCGGATGATCTCCTGCTAGACGGCAAACACACCCCGCAGCAGCTCCGCCGCCAAACTGGTATTCGCCACCAGCCGCTCGTCGCCCAGCCCGCGCATGCCGATGGCGATGACCGACTCGTTCCGTCCCGCGCGGGCGACGCCCTCGGCCATGAACCGCGTGATGTTGGCACGGTTCCGCGACCAGTCCCAAGGTCCGGTGGCCGAGTCGTTCCATTCGTTGGTGGCGCAGTGCATGGGCTCGTGGTGGGCGGTGCCGATGACCATGCCGTACGCTTCGGCGAGGGGTTGGGAGCGGGCGTCGTCGGTGAAGAAGATGTTCCCTGGCGGAGGGGTGGAGGATTTCCACATCGCCGGCCAGAGGTAGTTGGCTTTGAGCCGGAGGAGGAGGTTGAAGATGTGGGCGTAGAACTCGGCGTTGAGGGGGACGCGGACCCGCGGAATGGTATTGTTGGTGGTGTTGTAGAGATGGGACTGGGCGTACCGGTCTACCAGTTGTTGGGCGCGGGTTCCTCGTCGTTGATGAAGAGCCCGCGGTACTTAACCGACGGCTCGCCGTGGAGCGTGGTCACGGGCCGCGCAAAGATGTGGGCGTGCTATGTCGCGGGCACGTCGGCGAGCCAGTGGAAGGGGGACTGGCCGGACTGTTCGGCCAGGGTGTGGATCCCGAGGATGGCGCCGCGCTTGTCGCTTCCGGCAATGACCAGCGCGCGGCGGACTCCGGGGAGAGGGTGGTTGATGAGCGTGGTTTTGAAGAATTCCCATTTTCCGACGAGGTCCGAGATGTTGAGGGATTGGGTGGGTGATGCTCAGGTGGGCGCTCGTCGGCGCCGTGTCTTCAAACGAGACGAATTTCTCCTCGAAGAGGCCTAAGCAGTGCCTCACCAGGCCCACCGCGGCCAAAAGGGCTGCGAGACGGGGTCTCATGATTCCAAAGTCACCGGTTCGGCTATACTCGTTTGGCCTCGTCCTACTGGCAAGTCGAGAGACCCGCTGACGGCACATGGTCGGCGTTTTATACTTTTCAACAATATGACGCCAAGCACCCGCGTTCTGGATCCGTATGCAGGTACAGTACCATCTCTCCGCACTGGCGGCTGATTTGGCCCTGGCCACAGCCATGGTTGTTGCCAATTCAGGCCGAGTTTAGCCTGCGAATCACACTGGGATGTTACGCCTCCCGAATCTTACCCTCCTCAACCCTTATAGACTATAAGACCCCTCGCCGCTTTTGCTCAGGTGACTACCTGTCACGGCATGGCGCATTGCGGGTTCCTTATCGGGTCCCTTATCGCTAGCTGTGTGACATCAATTCTAGACTAAGCCTGAATAAGCTTAGTTCTCTGCGCCACGTCCACTGAGCCCTGCGCCCACAAACCCTCAATCGCAGCCTTTGCGATTCTTTCCTTTTTTCCTTTCCCTTTTTCTTCTTTAGCTTAGTTTTACACTTAATCAATACGGTATTTTATTGGCATAGTCCTTCATTTCCTATTATCCGTGACACTACCTAAGAAACAATTGAAGAAGTAACTAAAATAGGTTTAGACTCGATAAGTAGTTGTTACGGATCCCTGAAGGGATGCACCTCGGTGGGTCCTGCTGAGTCAATCTCGGCCAATCAGGAGTGTCCCACGCCTCTGGCGCGGGACATGGGACCGGGCCTGGTTGACAGCCAATAAGAGGTGTCCCGTTTCCCGTTCGCGGGACACGGGACCTTTCTTTCAGGTCCCGCGTCCCGGGCACGGGGGCCGGGACCCTGCGACCATTTTTATTGGTTCTACAGATAGATATATACGATGACCGTACCCACGGTCTTAGATAGTTCTTGCTTGGTTCTGCAAGCAAGCAATACACATTCACTGCACTCATACACTTTGAGTGGCATTCCAATTTGACTGTATTACCCGTGCGATAGGAGCTTGCCCTTTGTTCTATCTTCATAATTACCAACCCCAGCATCCTGTGGAGCCCGTGCTCCCTTACAGACAGACGACCCTAACAGTCGAGTGGTTTGTAATACTTAGTCTTCTTCAGCACTCCGCTTTTGCCGGCTATAACACTCAGAAAGGTGGTAGTATCCTTACGTTCCGAGCCAAAATACCTAGAGCGTCAAGTCGTTTTGAATTTGGTATAGTGCTATCTCGAAAGATGAGCCCAGCTATTGCCTTAAGTCCGACGATACTAGCCCTGTCGGCGGGGTTGCAGATGCAGCCATCTGTCCGCGGGGGCCACAGTCATCAGTGTTTGACATGTCAGGGGCAGTCGACTAAAATAATAGGTAAATATGTACCTCAGCTCCTACTCCGGCGAAAGCTAGCCCCAAGCTGGGTGCGACTACAGAGCCAGTACTGCTCCCCGACGCCTTCATGTTCGGGTAGAAGGCGACAGTGCCCTGGCTGCGCCTTGCGGATCACCTGGGGGGCTGGTTTGTATATCAAAAGTTCTGCCACTCGGTGAGCGCCGCCTTACCCAGCACCACACAGCCGACTCGTCGTAGATTCGCTGCCACGGTCGACTCGTTCTCTAGTCAGGCACCGAGGAGGTTGGTAGACCCCGAAGTTGCTTCCATGTCGAAGGTGAGGATGCTGTCCTTGAACACTACAGAAACCCATGGAGCGACCTAGCATAACACCACAAACGGTTAGGACTATACTATCCATGGCAGGTGCATTTGGCTGGCCAGGGAACACTGACACCTCCTAAAGCCAAGTTCGGCAAGTGATGCCATAGCCAAGATCAGTAGAATGTGCCCGCGTGCCAATTTGAAATAAATTTCAGGGCATGTCTACGAGGTGCAAGGTGAGCCGCTTGCCTTGCGCTCCGGAAATTCTGAATCCAGAGACCGCTGCGTGAACCGGTGAAGTGAAGAGAGTCGTGGGTATCGGCGGAGTGCCGACCAACAACTGTGCCGCTTCTGGCCGCAAGGCGAATATCATCCGAACATGATCTCTAGCGTGGCCTCGGCGGGGTCTGGCCTGCGACTTCCAAAAATCCTCTATTATATTGAATTCTTTGACGGTACATAAGTAAGTATCACAGAGTGTTGGTTCTGAAGCATTGATTTTGCAGGACTAATTACTCGTAATGATCCGAAGATATAAACTCACTAGTTTGAAAGGTAATGATGATAGGGTAGGACTCTAGATATAATCACAGCCCATTGAGTAAATGAGAGCTCATGATTGGTGATATTGTCTAGGTACGTTATCTTGGACTGTTAAAGTTTTTTTCACCTCGAGTCGAACAAACAGCGTTTTCTCGCCCTACCCCCTACACTTCTATCTAGTCTTAAATCCATTCAGAAACCGCTGCTTATACATCATCCCAAGTTCCCGTCCCTTAAGGGTATACCAGCCACTTTCTCGCCGCTATTCTGCAACGTAGTCGGTATTCGTTCACTTTGGCCGAGCGGTAGTGAGCACAGATATAGTACGCTACTTCACAACCATTTGCACGCGACATCAAGGGTCCGAGTCTCGACTAATAAGCCAGGTAAGTACCCCCCTTCCCCCCCCCTCCCCCCCCTATTTACTGATTACTCTTTTTTTTTTTTCTGTTTTTCCTTTTTATATTTTAAGGTTTAGGGAGATATTATTTACGTGATTCTGCCTCTGAATGTATAGCTAAGCTAACGATAATAAGGGGCTTACTGAAAGCATTAACAAATCCACTCACGGCAAAATAAACCATTAACTATGCGCTTTCTCATTTTGGTGCCGGAAATTCCCTTCAAAGTGCTTTTTGATTTTGCTTTTGCCTACGTATCGCGGCGGAGGAAGCCATGTGATGTGCTCAGCCCAGACCTCGCAGAACAACCGCATTGTGACGAAGGTGGCCAGAACCAGTTCTATGCTTTATCAAATGAATAGTTTCCTGTATTCATTTACGAAGACGGGCGGGGCTAAGCAGAACCCGCCTACGCACTTTCCGTCTGCTTCTAGCTCCTGCCGTTCCTGCCATGATCCCAAAAGTATTTGAGCTCTTGTTCCTCAAACTTGTCCCCCGTCCAACTTCTCTTCCACAAGCCTTCGGTAGTATCGCAACCTAAGCAGCACATCCAACTCATCAACAACACTATCGTCTTGTAGCAGACCAATAACCATGCTTCGCACGGTCATCTTCCTCCTGGCTGCCCTGGTCGCGGGCGCCCTCTGCGGTCCCATTACGTTCGAGGCTGCTGTTGCTCAGCGAGACACGGCGGCAGACATCAACTGTGTTCCCTACACGGTGGCGCCCGTCGAGACCGAGTACTCGAACGTCATTAGCTGGATCTACTGTACGCACGCCACCTTGACCCCCGAGGTGGGAGAATCAAACCTCGACCTCGTACTCGTACTGACTGAATCACTTGCTCGCTAGTGAATGGGCCGACGTTCCTCAATCCTGGCACCGACAACCGCGTTCAAGGCACCGTGGGCTGTTGCATGGCGAGCCTGTGCAACCTTAAGGGCTCTGGCATCGTAGTCGACCGTCACACCCTGGCGGGTGATCTCTGGGGCTCCGTCTACACCAGCTGCATTCGTAAGGGTGTTTGGGGTGACTGGTTCACCAGTGACCTAAAGGTCTACTTCTATCCAGCTCCTCCCCCTCCGTAAACGACCTTCGGAGCTCCCAATAGTGGTAAACAGTCATGACCATGTAAGAACCTTCGCTCTATATCCGATCTTCTTGGAGAGATATTACTGACTCATTATAGTCACAGCGATTCGCCGATCGACAGAATATATATAGGAAATCAAAAGCGACATTTGTCATGGCCACGATGACATGAGAGGCAGGATTTTGAGGAAGCAGAGTATGAAAGCATTCTGGACTCGGAAGATAAGCACAATCTGGAGATGAGAGAGAGATAAGATGGTTCGAGACATTATTTCACGGATTTAGAGGTAGCCTGAAATAAGCGAGGCCTGGAATAAATCCAAACTTGTACTCTGCTCTGACACCTCTGGGAACCGTTATGCCGTGAAGGTGAAGCTCTTTGACTCTATATGCGAGAACCTATATAATTGCGGCGGATCTGCCTACTTTATCGTAGAAACCATCTACACGAACAATCAATGACCGGCCACATAGGCCACCGGATACTCTCACCTCACGATTTTTTGATGATATGTTTTTATTCCGGGTGACAGCGCGGCAAAGAACTTGACCACTAAACGTCCTCCAGCTGTTGACAAGGTTTTATCTGCGTGGATGCGATCTCGAAAGCGAAATCTACCATAATAATATCCGGCAATACCACCCTATCATGCACTCCATCTAGACTTGCAGGCGAATGACGCATCCCGTATATTCACATGATTATGTGCTGGGCGAATCGGTCAGTAAGAGGGCATAGAGAGATAAATTTCCCGTATCACCTTCCAAGTTCGACGTAAGGCTTACAATCAAACAAGAATTTTTTCAACGATCACGTTCATAGTCAATTATGAAACCCTCGGAAGCTTCTCGTAGGGAATGGTTTCGATCCTAAGGATGAAGCCTAGTATTGGGGGGCTGAAAAAAGGCCAACCGCTATAGTTAGATCTCCACTGCCGTTTGGAGTTCGTAACGCGTGCACTTGAGCCCTCTAAGGTTAGGATATTCACTCTAAGCTCCCCCCAGAACTGGATAGCACAACCGCGAAGCATGGTGGGGGGGTATATGATTAATGTTTTGATGCACGTATTTCAACAGAAACAAAGACAGGTTGGCCGAGCGGTCTTCTGCAATGCGATGCGACGAGCCTTATTCTTCCCCCTCCCCCGAGTAAAGCCGCCTCCGCCCGCAGAAGGTCGTCGGTTCGACTCAAGCTTGGGGAGGTTCTTTGCATTTGAGGTTTCTAAAAAATTGCCAACACAATCTAAGTCTCTGAATGTGTCCCAAGGGTGTCTTTGTTTCTGTTCGGTGTAAAATCCCACAAGGGGTTTTCGTAGCTGACTACCCCCACCCCCCAAAACCAAGGGTTAGTCAGTGAGCTTTTTGCCTGCCTTGTTATCCAAACAAAGTCTACTACTAACTATTATGAGGGAGGGTCTTTGTTTATGGTTTTTTTATCCCTCCCCCTGCATTTATTACGAATTGCCAAGGTAAGTATTTATGAGGCTATTTAAAGAGAGGGTATATTTCTAAAAGCAAATGATGTTGGTTAATACCAAGCTGGGTACAGTGCTTAGAGACCGCCGTGGCAAAACAGCAAGAAACATAACCATAGCATCAGCACCCCCAAGGAGAGAATCTTAAATTATCAACGGATTCTCAGGCCGCATCCTGCTTTTCGGCGTTGTGCGTCCAGCCGAAACCGCTCGCCCAGCCCATTGGGTACGGCGATGGGCAACCGCAGCCTGCGCACCTGGTTTTACACAAGGAAGCACAGCATCAGCGAGAAGTTCAAGTTTAGGAGCCTGCTTGCTGTGAATGGATGGATAGGTGGAAGCATAACCTCTCCTCGAGTGAATAAAAAGAAAAATTAAACTTACTTGACGTAGCGAGAAGGCGCCTTATTCGGCTCGCCCTTCTTGACGGCAGCGATCATGAACTCGGCAGTGTGGACCTGGTCGACGAGCGCCGTGTACACCGAGTCGGCGAACCCGGACAGCTTGCCGCACCCTAGGCACTTGTACTGCGGCGCGACGACCCATGTCGAGGGTGACTCAAAGTCCGCGTCGTCGCCGGTCTGGAGGAGCGCACGCACGAACTTGTCGTCTTCTGGGCTAGTGGGCCACGCGTAGTCGTAGACGTTGGATTCCGAGTCACTTGACGACGCCGAGTCTAGGCGGAGTTTCTTCTCGCCGCCGAGCATGACTTCCACGCCGTTTAGCTTCGCTTCTTGCCAGGTTTTGTACTGTGCCACCTTTTCTGGGGTGGAGGGCTTCTGGAGGGGGAAGGCGGATGGGCCTGCGGATAGGTCTGGGGTGGTGTCTGACATTTTTAGAGAGAGAGAGTTGGACGTGGGAAAATGATCAAGGGCAGTTGTAGTATTCTGTTTATCCAGTGTTCACCGATGGTCGATGGCGTAGAACCGATGAGGGATACGAGATTTCAGGAAGTGGAGGGTAATTATGAGTCCTTAAATACCTGGGTATGTAGCAGAATGTATTCCTCAGGAATGGGAAGTCCATGGTTTTCTTTCCCTGTTTATTTCGACTTTGCGTCTGTATGTCAAAACTGCCGCGCTCTGACCCCCCTTACTATTTGTGAGTCGATAAAGTGGTTGCAATGCGTTGTTTGTGCATGATAGCTATTCGTTTCTGGGCCATGATTCGCACGGCTGAGATGCAGAATACCATAGTTCCATCATCATGATCATCTGTGTGGCTAAAACCTGTGTCCTGTTCACAGCTGGGTCTAGATTCTTGTGAAAACCACACACCTTTACAAAATGCTTGCCGTGCTTCACATCCAATTAGTTTAAAGAGGACAACGATTGCTAGCATGGTTCGGGTCCTTGAAAAGAGAGCTTCAGCTGATGCAAGAACGCCTCCCTCTTAACTAAGTTGGGCCTGACTACTGCACTCCTGTGTTGCGATCGCGGAGTCGGGGCAGTCTCCGTGTGAGCGCCAACCCCTCACTCCACGAGGGACGTGTCCCCATTTGATTCGCTGTCCCGCCAATCCGAGGTATCTTGAAGAGTTGAAAACGTACTTTGATGAGGTTTGTTGGATTTTCGAGGTCCTGACTAAGCCCGGAAATCGCCGGCAGTCTGACCTGGAGGCGCATGCAGGGCAACCTTCTGGGCCTAGCCTAGGAAAACCCCTCTTTTTCTAGGTAAAATGGGGTGCCCAGCTGGGAGGCCCCCAGGACTTACCCCAAGACTTTACACACAATAAGACTGTTACATTGAACCGATTTAGGGCCTACTTTGGGGCCAGCTATCCAAGAGGTATCATAAATCAAAATTTCAAAGTCAGACAAGTACGCTAACCAAGGTACAAAGAGCAGTAACAAGGGCGCGGCAAGTGCGAGTGAAAACCAACAGTTCTTAGCGACCCATCCATCCCACTCTTGGCATGTGCTAGAAGGGTTGCTGCTCCGCGTTTTCAGGGTTGTTGTGGATTCTATGCTCAAGACTAGGGCGTTGGTAAGTGTGTTCGACAAATGCCCCACTTGACGCCGGGATTGTAGCTGTCTACGCGCCCGGTAAAAAAAAGGCATACCAAAATATAACCCTACCACTTGAGCATCTAGAACACAGCTAAATGTAGGCCAAAATAGGTAAAACCAATTGTATTTTAATGCCCTGTAATTGCGCCTTCTAGCTCTATATAGTCTTTAAAGATCTGAGGGATATTGTTGACCTATTTGTTAATTGTTGACTGCTTGAAGGCCCCCCATATTTGGGCCCCTTGCGGCGTAACAAGCGGAGGAGGGGTGACGTTTGATGGGGAGAGTTAATAGCCCCAATTTCGGGCTACAAGAAAGACTAGTTAGCCCCGGGCCAAGATTTGTTGAAGAGGACTGAGACGAGTATATTTTTATCTTTTCGAGAATGTGTTGTTGGTGTTGCACCCTCTGTCTTGGGCAACGCTTGGAGGTGCAAAAGCGCCCCGCAATTCAACTTTGCGCACGGCTAGCCACCGGAACTGAGCAACCCCACGCACGCAAAAGGCCTGGCAGGTTCTGCAATCCGTATCCTAGCACGCCCGACAAACGACTACCCCGCTATGTAACTTAAGCACGTAACTGCAGATGCTGTGCTTAATATGACCCATATTACCAGCGTTGCCGCTCTGATAACTTTCGCGCCGTAGAGAAACATCGCTGGTGTCGTTGCGCACGGCGGCATACGGGACGATTGCGGGCGGCTGCCTCAAGAAGCTACTGTCAAAGACGCTGTGACAGCGGGCCGGGAAGGCAGATTGAAGAGCGGCGCCTGCCGACGGCTCGAAATTTTGTCATGATGGTTGAAATGCATCCCCCCTTCCCCTTCTCAATGACATGTCTTCAGCCTCCCACTTCAAACTACTCGCCCTTTGACATGATTGCGAACGCGCCGCGCCGCGCCGGCGCTTGAATGAGGATGCTGCCTAAGATAGATTGGAGAGGAAGCCGTGAAACTAAGAAGGAATGGTTTGATTTACCTAGTGAAATAAATGACGGCGACTTGGTGTGCCTGCTGAGAGCGAGCGCATCGTCCTCGAGGCTGCGTGAAAACAACACACGCGCAATACAAGGTGCCGAGCAGTCGCCCCACCCCGTCAGTTGGTGCACATGCCTGACACCTGGTATCTCTGCAATGTCCGGAGCCTTCTCAGGCGTCTGCGGATGCCATTGACCCACCCAATCTCGGTCTCCGAGTTATCGCTTGTTTCACGAAACTCGCGAGGCGGATCTGAGTCTTGGACACCACAGGCAACGAGCATGAATCTGATAAATGTGTGCTGAATATTTTGCCTCGACTGGAAAGGAACGAAAAGGAGAAGACTTGTTTGTCGACCTATCAGGGAACACATGCGACGCTGCAAGCAACCGAGGGCGAGACCAGGGGACAGACAGTGCGAGACCAAATTAACGAAGCCACATAGTTTGTCGGGTCCATGAAAACCGTCATCTCCTGCTGGCTTTTGATGGCGTAGCAGTACTTCTTCGGGGGCGTCGCCGTCACCCCCGACAAGAGCTACGCGCCCCAGAACATCTAGGGCGGTCTCTATATCTGCGCAATGGGGTTGGGAGTGATTGAGATGGGTTGCACGAATCACGATGGCCACGGAGGACAAGGGGTGGGTTTGGTAATTAATTAGGTTTCAGGACAAGAGATAATTCACATTACATTCAAAACACTACTTACACTGCTCAGCTGAGCCAACACAGTTTTGGGGCGGTCCTGCGCAGATCAACTTCGAGATGGGCTATGTCTCGCAACATCGGCCGTAGCGCGGGACATGAGCGCCACCGGGACCAAGGCACTCGCCGCAAGGCTCTGCCTCGCCATGACTGGACAGCTCCAGAGCGGTTATCTTTCAGTCATGGGCCTACGGCGCCTGGACATGCGCCGGAAGCATCTTTGCTACGCTCGCGAGCATGGCCATGATCCCCCTTCTCGAGCCCTCATTGGGCTGGACTTTGCAACCACATTAGGCGAGGATGGCTTCCAGAATTTTAACACCTAGAATTCTTCTAGCGCCAAGTTAATGCACGATGGCGCTACTTGCGCGCACAAGGTTTGCGCGCACGTCAAGGTTTACGCGCACAAGGTTTGCGCGCACGGCAAGTTTGCCTGCCCGTCTCCTTGACACGCACGAGGCACTTGGACGAGCGTCGTGTCGAGCCTGCTGAGAGTGCTTCTCTGCGAGCGTGCAAGGCGAGCGTGCAAGGCGAGCGTGCAAGTGGGTGACACGGGACCTTCCTGAGAGCGGCTGCTCGCCCGATCCATCTAAAGCTTGGTGCCTCCTTCCCAAGACAGGACGCGGCAGGGGCAGATCAGAAATCGTATGACCCCCCCTCGGATTCCTTCCCTCTCTTTTCTTCTGCTCTCCGCCCTTTGCACTTGCTCAACTCGATCGCAACACTCGGTGCTACCAAGCACAAGTACACCCTTCTTTCGTCAGCCACGCAACTGCTCTGCTCTCGTGCTGCCACTTTCTTTCGTCAGCCATCTTAGTGCCCACGCAACCTGCCCACGCAACCTGCCCTCTGACTAACTTCTTGCACACCCGCCTCCTTGCCAACTTGTCGACTGATCTTTGCACGCTCGCCTCTGCAACTTGATGCCACGGATCAACCTCTTGCACGCCCGCCTCTGCAACTTGATGCCATCAACCAACCTCTTACATGCCCGCCTCTTTGCCAATTTTAAGCATCATGGAACCAAAGCCATGCAGCCGTAGCAGCCCAAAGCCGCGCAACCGTGGCAGCCCGAAACCTTGATCACATTCTCGACGCCACACCAACCACAAATCCACAGCGAGTCCACGGCAACAGCTGATTCGTTTTGGCTTTTCCTTGTGCCGGTAAAGGGGCACGGACTAGCCTGGGGCCGTGGGCGAACCGCGTGGGCGTGCTCGCGTACTCGCTGACGCCGCTGTCGGTGCTGCTCGCCAGCCGCGAGTCGGCGCCGTCTCTGGCCACGGGGCTGCCCTACACGTCGTTACGCATCTCACACAATACAACTTGTTAGCACACACACACATACACACACACACACGTGGATCAAAGGTGCCGTGCTTCTGACAGGTGAGCCCTATAATGGTTAAAATGCCAAGAAGGCGGTGAGCGGATTCTTTTGGGAGGAGTATCCGTAGCAGTGTCGACTTGATTGAGGAGCAAGATGATTGCGATACGATGGAGGCTACGCTAGTGGGTTTAGAGAAGCTAGTTGGTAATTTGGACTCGCTGCGGGGCTAAGAATTGATTTGATGGGAGAATTGAGAAGGACCGGAGGGCTGAGAGAAACGGAGGGTCGAGAAGGAACGAGAGTGGTAAGAAGGAATGGAAGACTCTGCCATGTAAGATAGTTGGATCAGAGAATAGAGCTTTGCAGGCATCAAAGACACCGAAGAAGGCGCTGTAAAGTTGAGAGGTGCTGAAAGCGTCCACACATGCACACATCCACACGCGTACACATTGTAGGTACATGTGCAAACCCAAACGAACTTCCACTCTTCCCGTACGGACAAATGTGTTATACATGCATTGCGATATCGCTACATCTCATTCTCCTTCACTCCTCATCGTTCTCGCTGTCCTCCTCCTCTTCACTCTCGTCCTCTAGGCCTCTCTCCGCACGAGCGATAGCTTCATCCACCGCCAAATGAATACGACGAGCTACTTCAGCGCTCTCGTCATCGTTGAGTATCAATGGCGAATCAAAGCCGTGATCTACAATCCACGATTTGATAGGCCCGCGATGTTGGGCTCCAGTCTGTCTCGAACGCGCTCTTATTCCCGCTGGTTCTTTTTCGTCGGTGCTTTGTTTCTTCTCTCTCTATCTCCCGCCCGGCTTTTCCGAGTGATCCTTTGCTGGATATTCTCGTACTATTACGAGTAATCAAACCAGCTACTTAAAAGCTCAAAGAGACATAACCCCCCGGGGTTTCTCTTGGTTATTAGCAAAGCTATTACAAGAATCTGGAAAATATATTATTAGGAAGGGAAAGTACTACTACCCCCATACTGCCCGACCTAAGACTTCCCTCCATAATCCCACGTCCCGCGGCCGGCTCGGCCAGTTCGTGGGTACTCGGGCTGCAGCTACCCGCCTATTATCTCTCCATATCAATGCTACGGTCTTACGGGAGAGGTTAGGGTCCCGGATTATAAGAACTAATTTCGGACGTCATACTCCTCGACGCCTGTCTCGGCTTCACTTGGACTAGTATGTAGACACGCTGAGCCTGTCGGTGGCTGCACCTCTCTATGAGAGGAATTTATATCTAGCTCAAGCCCTGAAATAGAGGCCAACCGAGCGACCAATTATAGCCGATATTCCTCTCGATGTGGGGTGGTGGTGCATCATTTGCCGGATCTCTGACCCCATCGATGCTCTCGTTATCTACCGTGACTCTGGACGACAATATGTATGAGGACGACAACACATTTGAACACGATATGAGGTTTTAGATATTAGGGACACTCGTTTCATTAAATATCGCGCCAAGAACATGGGAGGCTTAATCATAAACGCTCCGATAATACGATAAGCGAGAAATAGGCTCGTAACTACACGTTTTTTTTTCTCTTCTCTATCTATATATACATTAAGGTCTAGACTAGTCTATAGGTGTCAGCCTGCGATAGTGTTTTTAACTCATTTGTAACTAGATGCCCCCTGATACGAAGGATATACAGCAGATGTAGTATTAATGTTTTGTTCCTGGGTTGACTAAACCAATCCCAAAAAGGGCCAAAGGGGTCAACGCCCAATTCTGGGCAAAACTATTCTGCGTCATGTAGCCAAATACACGTGCGCTGAGTATATTTCTGCGTCAACTAATTACAAGCTCCCTGGTCTAAACGGGGGACCGCAAGGATTCCATCGGTGGCTCTAAAGAAGCTCCCAGCCGTCATCCTTCTCAAGAACTGGTAACTTGTCAAGTGGGACGACCTCCCACGAATCAGACATCTTCCGCTTGGCTTCCCGGCGGGGGAGACCTTCCTTGTTCACGCTGAACCAGTCCTCATCAAGGTTATCGAGGAGCTCGTTGTGCCCGTCGTTCTTTGAGCTTGCCTTATCTGTCAGCGAGTCGGCCTGGGAAGTAGTTCCTTGGTGTTGGTGGGGGACAGCTGGATTGCTTGTGGGATGGAGAAATGTTGATTCCTCGGCCACGGCCGGCTTGGCGTTAATACAAGTATCACAAGCGCCGGGGGTGTGGCTTGGCTGCTGTGCCCGGAGCTGGGAAATGAGATATCCGTCTCCCTCGTTCCTCGTCACGTCTCTAACGGGTGAGATCTGGGTAGTCGCTCGGAAGCGGTAGGGTGCCGGAGATCTCATGCGACTTGGCCAGGTCGAGTCCTGGATTTCCCTGATCTCATCCTTGGTTGGGCGTTAGTAGCAGATGCTTCCCTGGAACTAGAGCAACATGATTCCGGGAAATGACTCACTGGTGTTAACTTTTGTTTCGAGTGGTAGACATCAAATTCGAAGACTTCCACCGCCGGGTTGTGATTCAAAATCTGGTAAATTAGCTCGTCAGCACTCTTATATTTCACAGGTCGGACACTTGCTGTAGGAATTGAGAGACCGTACCGGAATGTAGTACTTTTCACTGCCAAGGACCCCATCTAACTCTTGCCTGAGGAACTCAAGGCTGCCGACATGTCGGAAAGTTTGCTTGTGTTTCCAGTGATGTTTCGGCATGGCTGCTAGGTTCAGAAAAGCTGAGGAAATGTAGAGTGATAGTAAGGAGTTAAGAGGCAGGTCTAGTGGTGAGCTTGGGAATGCTCCAAGATTCTTGAAGGGCCTGTAAAAATAATTAGAAAAGACGACCACGTTGCAGAGACACAGAAGGCAGCTTTATATACATGGCGTCAGTGGCGAGGAAACAAGTCTGATTGCGGCTCAATGACTCCAGATCAACACACCCGAGTATATGGGGGGATTTTTGGACTGCGACGAAGAGTAAAGTACCCAACAGTCATTGTTTTAGCGCAATACACTTGGCTAGGTATGTAGTTAGAATTGTAATTACATAGGTGGAACAAACGACAGCACAGACATTAAACATGGCTCCTGCAGCTGAGACGATGGACGTGGTTGCACAAAGCCGCGAACTAATCAGCCCATTTTCGAGCGGCCAGTGGTGGCGCTGTACAGCTATTTGTGTTTATCAAATTAAGTGTCCCAATTTCATGTCTATGTCCCTGCATCACTCAACTCAAACGCCACTCACATGACACATTTGAGGTGTGTCTCCGATCCGTGTCTCCAGCTCGCTCGCTCAGATGCTTTCCCAGCACAGCTGCTCTTTCCACTCATCAATCTCGTCATAGTCGTCAGAGTCAATGGACGTGCGGATTCCTGACGTGGCCGAATCCCGCCCAAGCACCCTGCTCGATTCTTCGTCTATCCTCTTCGGGCTGGCCCCATTCTCGCCTGCAAGATTGAATTTCTGGGTCGTCGCTCTGTCTTTCAGCGTCTCGAAGTCGCGCTAGACATGGCATCAGCATCGAGTTTCAGCACACCAGCGGGGAGGATAATTAGAACTCACATCACTGAGAGCATTGCCTGAGTAGTGGATGGACCAAAACATCTTGCCTGCGTAGGGCTAATTCGACTGCACTGTCAGCGACCCGGCTTGAAAAACATGATTCATCACACTTCGCGTGAGCGAGTGCAAACTGGGCCACGCACCTCTAGGCGGTAGGTGTCCTTGCCGAAGCACTCGTCTAGTGTTTTCCTGAGGCGGGCAGCATCCAAGTAGCTGCCATTCCGCATGATCCGGTAGTGCTCATAGTCAGGAAGCCAGGATTTTGATGGTGCCATGGTTGGTGTGCGGTGTCAATGTGAATATAAGACAGGTGCCCGGCAGTGAGGTTCCGAAGTACTATTTATGGCGGCCAGCGTCGCAGCAGGTTGACGTCAAATTGTCAGTTGACTGTAAGACAGTGGCCAGCAGTGAGGTTCCGGAAGTGGTATTTACGGCGACCAGCTTCGAGGCAGGTTGACGTCAAATTGACGGTTTAGAAGGATCAATTGCAATCCCGTTGGCTGTCGGGGGTTGGTTGGGGGTCAGGGCGGAGTTTGGGGTCTAGCGCAGAGTCGGAGTTGCCTTGCACAGACAGCGTCGAATCTAATTATGGGCGGATCTCACCAAACTTTGCAGTCCCGCCGCATGCAATGAAACCTGTTGCTGTATCACGAAATTCCAAAGCACGCCGCGCTTCGCCACGAGAGAAGGAAACGGGGGCTGTTGGTATTACATATGAGCCGTCTGCAGACGGGAAGGAGCCAGGGAGACCTCAGGGAGCCAACACGTGTGTTCCTGCCAACAGCAGCCTACAACATCGTATCACTGACAAATGTGCCTGCCCTCTCCCCAAAAGTCCGCTAGCGGCATGTAGTCAAGATAAGAGCTGAAGACGAGCACACAACTTATTTTCTGATCCATTATCTAAAACCAATGAACGTGCCAAATGGCGCATTTGCTAGTTCGGAATTCTCCCCCCCCTTCGCTCTTCCTCAGCGCCTCAACCCAATCCGTGGGACGACGGAGCCAATCATGCACAGCAGCGGCCGCCAAGTCTGGCCAGCTCGTGGGCTGTCATGCAGGCCGCTGGGTTTCATCCCCACTAGTTGCGTGGCTGTGTGTGGGAAACTCTCCTAGACCCCCATTTCCAAAAACAAAAAGTCTGAAGCTTGTCAACCCGCGCCGTAGGCCAGCCTGGACTCGTCGGCCCCCGTCCGGATGATCCGACTATCGGACCCTGCATTCAATCTTCAATTGGTGTGCCCGAATCAGCGAAACATGGCGCCCCCTTTGTACACCCCACTTCCCACGGACGCGAAAGATGCCGAGATCCGGCTGCTTACCGTCTTCCCCGCTGACGGCGGCGACCCGGCGTCGGTCGTCTGCTGCTCCATGTAGGTTGTGCGGCTGAGCAGCGACCCGCCTACAAGGCTTTGTCGTACACCTGGGGCAACCCCTCGCTCAGCAGCACTCTCATAGTCAACGGCCAGCCGCTCCCAGTCAGAGAGCCTGGCCGTTGCGCTGGCTGGCGTCCGGGCCCACAACGCACCAAATGACTTCACCATCTGGGCAGACGCTATATGCATCAACCAGAGCGACCTCGCTGAGAAGTCGAGCCAGGTGGCGCTGATGAGCAGCATCTACTCCAGCGCGGCCAGGGTCGTTGGCTGGCTGGGCGAGGCCGCAGGCGAGAGCAACTATGCCATCGAACTCATCGCGAGGATCCGGGGCTAGATACTTGTCAACGACGGAGATATTGTTCGCTTTCCCCGTGGACCCTTTTCTACTGGGACTCGAGAGCACTGGCTTTTGGACTCGTCAATTGCGCTGAGTGGTGCTAATCATATGATAAATAATAAAGGCCCAGGCGGATGCCGCACGGTTGCGGGATGCCGCAGGATTGCGGAAGACGCTAAAAAAGAAACTACGTCGCATATTTCGCCACGAGTCGTCAGGGCTCGAGAGCGCCGTAGCTGCTACTACTCCCGTGGATGACGTCGACAGAAGTGTGCCTGGCTGTTGCGCAAACCGGAACTGACCCAGCTTCCACCCGAAGAGCTAAATCCGAATAACCAGGCTTGGGCGGCCATCTCCAATCTCTTCCTGCGGCCATTCTGGGAACAGCTGTGGATAATTCAGGAGTTAGTACTCGCGAGGGATCTGCTGATTATGTGCGGAACTACGCAAACGACGTGGGACGTTCTTTGTTTTTTTTTTCGCGGCTTGCCGTGGCCCTGCTGGGAATATCCAAGTCGGACAACATTTGTGCCGAGTACTCTAGGCCAGTTGAAGATCTTCATCTCAGCCTTTCCTCACGCGCGGTCGTGGAGTCGGCTTCTTCGGTCGGCACAGCCGCCACTTTAGGGTTTCCCTTGAACTACGCGGGAATCGGACTAAGGCGCTCTTTTTCTCTTGCGTCTTGGGCCGCTGATATTTCGGCGCCGAGCGCTTTTGACTTGATGTGGTTTTCAAGGACCGGTACTAAGCATGCGGCAGCACTTCGAGGAGCTTGGCATCGATGACTATCCGTGGCACGAGTCTATTGCTTAAATGTGCCACTGTGGACACTATAATTATGCTACCGAGCGACAATTGAGCCTCAACCTGGTTCAGACAATCCGCAAGAGACATTGCGCCTTATCCCTCGACTATTGCGTAGGCTAGATGGCGACGGCCCAGATTCTCTAGGACTGGACGCAAAAAGCACATGATATTTCGAACGCTACAGCGCAACACGTCGCCGTAATATTGCAAACTCTCTAAAATTGTTTAGCCGAATACGATAGACTATTTGCTGGATTCCTATACGCGACGCTTCCTCCTATTGAAGTTGAGAGCGATTCGGGGTTGGAAATATCCGCGCCTCAGGGGCATCGAGATGGGTTGCTGCAAATGATTGCCGCATTACCCTCGCAATACCACAATCACCCTACCAACCTCACAGTGGAGGCAGTGACATTATTCCAGGGTTGGTACGGCTTGCAAGCCCGTCAGTACAGCATTTTCATTACCAAGAATGGGCGCATGGGCCATGGACTGCCCGATTCTCAACCTAGCGATGTCGTGTGCGTTGTACCTGGCCACATTGTCCCACTTCTGTTAAGACCGCGCGGGAATCGCTACCAGTTGGTTTCGGTTGTCTATGTTGAGGGTTTGGTTGACGGGGAGGCAGTAGGGGACGACGTTGACTCGTGGCTGACGTCGTTGGAGGAGGTCGAGATTCAAGAAGCCGAGTATCGCTCGAAAGAAGGACTTGGAAGAAGCAATCTCTCCACACATCTCACTATTACCATGTACCTGTGCTAGTGTCATGTAATCGTGGATTCATAGAAAGTAACAAAGAAATCAAAGGTCCTCGGCCTGCACACCCAGTTTCCCGTCCGAAGCCGAAGGCAAAAGCGACCGCACGAGATGGAACCGCTCCTGCCTGCCATACACCCAGATCCACTCCGACTCTGGCTTCTCGCCTCTGTCATATGCGTCGGAATCCGCGGGGACGTGGAGAATGTCTTCCTCGAGCGGGAAGCGCAGCGTCGCATCCCTCTCGGGCACAAAGTGCTCCACTAGCAGCTCGACGCTGTAGTACGTCGACGGGAGCAGCGGGAGCTCGCCAAGCACGGGAACGCCGTCTTGCAAGTTGGTCATGCCTGTTTCCTCCTCAACTGTCGGTCAGTTACGGATCAAAGTGGTCGACTCTGTGCCGGCGAGTGGAACAAGACGGAAAAACACAACGGAAAAACAAAACGGAAAAACAAGACAAGCCAATGAATAGGGGTAAACACAAAGGAGAGAAAGCCAACGCACCAACCAGCGTCCCGGCTGCATGCCCCCAGTCGCCAATGGGGTGCGAGTAGACCTTTGCGTCAATGCCCTCGGCGCGCAGCTGCGCGAGCGCGGCCGCGAGGATGTCGTTGCCGGAGCGGCCGACGACCATGTGCGCCTTGACGACGTCCTGGGCGCGGTTGGCCTTGCGCAGACCAGCAACAAGGCCCGCCGGCGCGTCCGCCTCGCCCTGCCGCAGCACGTAGCCCAAGTGCTGCGTGTCCGTGTTCAAGCCCAGAGCCGTTACGCCGAAGTCGACGTGCAGCAGGTCGCCGGGTTGGATGGTTCTAACGGTCTCGCTCGCTGCACCACCCGCTGCTGACGACGCCGCCGACGACGCCGCCGACGACACCGCCGTGACGTTAAAGGCGTGCTCGTCGATGACAGTCACGTCCGGGTGGAACCACGTCGTGTAATTCATCTGCTGGATGCGCTCGCGCAGCCACCACTCGACGTCCTAAAACGCATTTTAGTGAAGATTTCTGGTTTTGACTTGGTTGTTTCAGCAGTGGCAATGAAGGCAGCGTACCGTTGTGGTCGTCACGCCCGGCGTGATAACGCGGCTGCTAAAGGCCTCGGAGATCATAGCCCACGCTGTCGACTGGAGGCGCCTGTACCAGATGGCGCGGCTCTCTGTCATGGTGGCGATATACTCGACGGCGAGCATGGGCTTGGACACGAAGCGCGCGGCCCAGTGCTTGCCGATGCCCGCGGAGACGGCCTCGAGCTCGCCGGCGTGCAGGCCCGAGCTGAAGGAGATCTCGGGGCTCGTGTCGAGGGCGATGGACTGCGGGTCGCGCGCGGCCAGCACGCCGCGCAGCTCGCTCCACAGCCCTGGCGTGTTGTCGATCCATTTGTAAGCTGACGCCGCGGTGCTGTTGTCGCCCTCGGCGAGGAACAGCAGCGTCGTCCGCCGCCGCGCCGAGAACTCGCGCGCGGACTTGAGCGACCAGAAGACTGTTTCTTCAGCATATTCACGCTGGCTTATCTGGGGGTCAAAACAGTGGTTAGTCACTAAATACTGTTGAGAAAAGGTTGGCCTGAGACTGACCAGCCAGGCATCGACGCCGTACTTTTTTAGGAGGGCGGGGATCTTGGCTCGCCGCTCCTGCGTCCATGCGTCTTGGATTTCGGCCTGCTCACGCAGCGACGGCAGCGTGTAGTATCTCGGCAAATGGGGCCATTGTGCTGGTGATTCAAGGACTGGCTCCGAAGGCCCCAGCTTGACCTGGGCATCCCTGGCCGCGACGATGGTCACAAGAGTTGCGGCAAAGACACCGCTCACTAGATGGATCCGCATGGCAATTGGCCGTACTGTGTCTTGTCTGTTAAATTGTTTGTCAGCGTTTGGATCCTTTCCACTGGGCCTGTGATGAATACAGGTAATTACGACACGATTCGACAGGGTCAACCGACCGAATGTCTGTGCGTGCACGGCCGAATCACTCACTTACACGTATAGTAATGTTGATTACAAATCCGAGAGTCACTGGCCAGCGATGGGGCGGGGGCTTGGGAGTGAGTCCTCGACGTCAAAGGTGGAGACGAAACGGCTCGCGCTCCTCTAAATGAAACGGCGGCAATATCTTTTCCTGGTCCGGATTTACTGGTGAGGGACGGCCTTACATCGCTGTCGCGGCAAAAGCCGAGCCACTCCGATCCCTTCGCGCCCGGGCTTAATAATGAGAGTCCGGGTTTTGGCGATACGAGCTTGACAAAGGTAAGGCTCAGCTCAACTCAGTTCAGCTTAGCACTCATACTGATGGCCGTAGTAGCTAATGTCGTCGTTCTCTTGTGAGTTACATATCTAGAAAAATAAGGTTACTTTAGATGCAGCTTGTCTTATGTTTGTTGTCTTTAGGGCATCACGGAATTGAGGCCCACCAAAAGGCGCTAAGCGGAATGCGTCCGTAGCGAGTCTAGGTGACAACTTCGCCCACTTCCAGCGCTTACTGGCTGCTGTTACGGGCTTCTAGTGGACAACAACCCGCGGCGGAGTTATTCCGACTGGACCTGGTACAAACCTGCGGGCCCACCTCAGTTCTATTCCTAGCCCAGATTTATTCTGACGTCCTCCTATAGTACCAATGCATGCATATAGACGACGGCGTGCCATATCACCCCGGCCTGCATCTCATTGAAGCAGGTGCAGGACAGAGTGAGTATGTACAGGGGTGCGCGAGCGAGTGCCATATCTCCGTGACTGAGTCTACACTATCAGACAGCAAGCAAACAAGCAGCTGAAGCGGGCTCTACGCTAAGGAGAACATAGATAAAAGCAGCGAACAGCCGCTCGGCCGAAACCCGACCTACAAATGACATGACTGTGAAGGGGCATTATGTCCAGGACATCTCATCCCATCTAATCCTAACGGACGGCCCGCTCCTCTAGCGCCCGCGCGCCAGCGGCCGCACGCCCGCGGACGCCCGTTTCGCCCGTTTGCCTGCCTGCCTGCACGCTCACCTCGGTGCCTGTCGCAAAGACCGAGCCGGATATAGTAGCCCGTATCTGTATCCGTATGTCTTGGGTACTCCTACTTTTACTCCTGCTCCTGCGCTACGGCGGGTGCATGCCTGTTGCTTGTTGCCTGAGGTACCCAAGGTAGTATCCGCGTAAAAGAGAATCTCCTAAAGTGGCGGCGGAGGTGTCGTGTAAAGTAGGTACCGTTTCGCCTGCCTAGTTCTACGGCGTAAAATTGCTTCAAAGGGTCAAGGGTCCCAACACACCTAAAAGGCACAGAAACGTAGCGGGCCAATCGGAAGCCAAATGTTGCCAGGCAGTGAATTCCACCAAGGGGATGCGGCACTGTATTCTGCAGTGTACTGTCGGTGTGGAACACACTGCCGAGATACCGGACGTAGCAGCGAATGTAAGGAGCAGCAAACACGGCGCGCCGATAGGTGACATGGTAAATTCGTTGGTAATACGAGACCGCCAACGAGTTGCGCGGATCGTAAGAATACCACATGATTCTCCCTTTGCTTCTAGATCCTTTCACGCCCAAAGGTGCCCGCGGCGCGTCGTCGGAGTTGTTGGCACCACCTAGTTCCAGTCCGCATGAACGGAAATGCACCTCTCGTACATACATAAATAGGACCTCCGCGTACATGAGCTGCATCCCACCCCGCTCGTTCACTCACCCACCGGCTCACCAACACTTCGCAGACTGGGCACTCTCTTAAACCGCTCACTGACGTCGGCTTCACCTTCAACAACTCGCAGACTAGGCACTCTCTTAATTACCCCTCACAGGCACCGACTTCCACCATGGCGGGCAACATCAAGTACGACTCCGACTTCTGGAAGGCGTTCGAGCCGTTTGCGGCCATGCCGCGGCCCGTAGCCGACGATGCCCTCACACAGCGCGCAAACAGCAACGCCACCCTGGAGCTAGTGTTCGCCATGATCCCAGAGACGCCCGGCGTTGAAGAAACCGAGTTCAAGTACCAGACCAAGGATGGCACGACGCTGACCATGTACCGCTTTACCAAGTCCGCTATAGTCGCGGGCGTCGAAAAAGTTGAAAAGCCGTCATCCAGGCCGGCGGTGCTGTTTGTGCATGGCGGCGGGTTCATATCCGGCAGCGTGCCCGTCTTTCGCAATGCAATTACATATTACGTGGCAAAAACGGGCATTCCCTTCTTTGCCCCAGGGTACCGCGTAGCTCCGGAAAATCCGTTCCCAGGGCCCGTGGACGACGTTTATGCCGGGCTCGAGTGGCTGCGTGACCATGCAAAGGAGCAAGACGTTGACCCCACGCGAATCGCCGTCTTCGGCCCCAGCGCTGGGGGCGGCCTTGCCGCCGGAGTCACGCTTCTGGCGCGCGACAAGGGCTTTACGCCGCCCATCGCCAAGCTGCTGCTCATATACCCCATGCTAGACGACCGAACTTTCGTTCCGCCCGACAACTTGCTCTCCAAATTTGTCACATGGACCCAGAAGAGCAACGAAATCGGGTGGGACGCATATCTCGGCCCAGATAGAAGCAACGTATCGCCGTATGCCGCGCCGGCCAGAGCAACCGATGTCTCGGGATTTCCTGTAACCTATATCGACTGCGGCAGCCTCGACTTGTTTCGGGACGAGACCCTGGCCTTTGCCGCCAGGCTGGCGGCAGCCAATATCGACATCGAGCTTCATCTTTACCCCGGTGTTCCTCACGGGTTCGAGGCTCCGTTTTGGGATACTCCCGTCTCACAGAAGGCACAGGAAATCCGGGTTTGGGCGTTACGCGATCTGTAGAAATAGTTTGACGAGAAAAATTCACCAGCGCTTCTCCTTCCCAACTGTCCGCTCGCTCAGGGCCAAGATGCGACTTGAGAAACTGTGCCCCTTCCACATGCTGATCATAACTCGCCGTGAAGCACGCCTCCAGCAAATGTCTTGACTGCATCTCGCATGATTGGGGCTACATTACCTTGAATCCAGAAATGGCCGGCACTGGACACTTCGTGGGCCCGGAATTTCGAATCAGGCACATGCTGTAAACGGAAAGACCACTCCCGTAGCTTGCGAGCCGCAACAAAGACATCGTTGTCCCCATAGATAGCAAGAGTAGGGTTTGAGACCAGCTTATCTTCGGCGTCCGGCAGCGGCACTCCGACAAGAGTGTTACGCTTTGCGTCGTCTTGCGGAGGATTTGTCCTTGCAGACCTGCCAGGGCCCCAAGTTGACGCTCTTCTGGAGACGCCCGAAAAGGGAACGGGGAACGACATAGTAGCGAGGTTCGTGATAACTCCTTGCAGAGGCGAGATGAGCAGGTAGGCCGGCTGGTGTTTTACCCTGCCTGCCACTGCGAGTAAGCACTCCAGAGCTGGTTCATGAACCTTATCTTCCGGGGTGCCAGGTTCTCCATCAACTTGTCGGGCCCCGCGCGTTCCGCTCACTAGGCGTTTGCGTTTATTCTTTGCTTTTGCCATCAATTCCGCCACACCTTTGCAGATCTTGTCCTCCGGGTCGAGAGAAAAGGACCGACGTGAGTCGTGACTCTTGCGGTTCTCTTCGTCGCCGCCAATACGTAGCCCAAGTGACTTTCGCGGAGAGCGTTCACCAAGACGATCAAGCCCAGCAATCCTTGCACTGGCCAGCACTGTGTTCTGCATACCTGCCAAGTGTTCTGCGCGCAGTCTAATCTCAGCAGCGGGGCAACCGAATTTTGGGGTTTCGAACGGAGCTAGGATCGACTCGACAGGAGGGAGCTGAGAGGTAATCATGGCGCCGTATGAGTAACCCCCCAGCAGGAGGACCGGTGTTGTCGCTACAGAGGGACTTGGGACAGAAGGACTCGATAGGGTTGGGCTGGCTGGAGTTGTTCGGATCTGGACTTCAGATACTCCAGGCGCCTCGGCCGGAGGCGAGCTGACCTTATCGAGCTGAGGACTTTTCAACACGCGAATGTTGACCTGGCGGAATGGATCGAGGAAGTGGACGTAGTATGACATGAACCCAATCATGGACATATAGTCAGCCTTCTCGGCCTTGGCTGTCCATGACGTTCGGCCGGCCGAACCATGCGCGCCTCTGCATGACATGTTAGCCATGTAGCCTTGGCCAGGCAATCCCAAGCAACGAGAGAGAGAAATGCGCGAGGCTCGAACCTGAAATTGAAGGTCCCGACGAGGAACCCGAGGCGGAGCAATGTAGCAGCGACCATGTCGACGACAGGGTCATCGTAACAACCGCCAAGGGGCGCATAGGGATGGGCAACGATGGCGACGTGCTTTTGCCATGGTAGCGCGTGGGGCGATGGCGAGAGCGAGTGGGGGTGGTAGACGCGGCAATTGAGAGCGAGGCCGTCGTAAAGACTCGGCAGCGTAAACGTCAGCGTAGGCTCCGGGAGCATTGTTGCTGAGGTGTGGTCGGCGTCCGCCATTTTCGTCTTCCCTTTTCGTGCGAGTCTTTATCTTTCAAGGCGGGCGCAACCCCGGTTAAAATGCCATTGCTCCGGGTGGACCGCTGTTTAGAAGAAGCTTGGACGTCAAGCATCTGTGCATGGGCACATGGTGGGGCCTGGGCGCCCAGCAGCCAACGGCCCCATTGGGGTGGGGGGACGAATCAGCTGAGCTGCATCTTCAACCTAGAACCAAGAGTCTAAACAGGGAAAACAAGCCTTGAGCCAGCCTCACTTCATCCACCGTGAACATTGACTTGGCGACGGCTGGGATGCTGGCCTAATACTTTGTCATTCAACCACTGGTTACCTAGCAATTACTAATGTTCAACGGTGTATCTCGACAGCACATTTCCAACATGCAACCTCCCTACTCCAGTTGTGATGGCTGGTGGATCTCTGTCAGCTCTAGTGCGTATCCAAACGGCCCATCTTAACAGCTATCCAGAACAATTTGAGCCAGAACTGCCGAGAACTCGGTTGCAAGTATGGATGGACACGTGTAAACCAAAAGAATTGAGCGACGAGACGGCTTGCCGGTTTCAGCCAGCCACAAGATACGCGAGGGGGCGGTGAAAGGTTGGAGCGGAGTCCATGTCGTGCGAGAAATCGCGGCATGTGAAAGTTGGGGTGCCCCTGTGACGGACCACAGAGCCAACGGGACCAAGACAAGCCACATCCAAGTTGCCTGACTCGCAATGAATGCAGTGCTGTGCGACAGCTGGACTTCGAAGAGGTGGCTGTCGCTAAATCGACTCCTCGTCAAGCCTAGCTTCCGCGAGTCGCAACCTACTAAGCCCTACATTTCACGGGGCGGGCTATTTACTCGACTCTCGTCCGCGTCTTCGTACGGAACATCCGTACTTTGCACCGATTATTTGAGTATCGGACGGAGTACGGAGATCCTAAAATGGGAGGAAATACCTGGAATTCACGATCGACATTCGGTCGTCTGATCCATAGCAGGTCACAGTGCCTTCGGAGTTGGAATCGGATCAATCCTATTATAGCGATTCTAGCGCCAATCCCGCTGGCCTTTGCCTGGAAGAACCATGCACAAAATCGCTTTCAGAGTTTCGGAGCCCAGCTAAGAGCCCTTGGGTTCTGGCTGATTGGCTCTTTTCCGGGTCAGATGCGCCCCCTCAGCTCCCCAAACGCCCCGCCCTCAGCGGCGTGCAGCCCCACGTTTCTTTGTGCTGCCAGCGCTAATCCCCCACGATTCGCAGGTGGGCGGGACTTCCATGTCAGGTGGCCGCCGCTCCTCGCCTTTTCGGACCGCGCCAGCTGATCCAGGCCTGATGAACACAGGCAGGGCTGGGAACCTGCTCTGCTCTACGTCGTTGGGCCAATACCTAAGTTGCCCGCAGGCCCCAATCCTGCACACAAAGCCATTATACGGCAACCATCCTCTCGAACTGCCTCTCTGGCCTAACAGTAAAGATCAAATATCTGTCGGCTGCGGTAGACGGCACAGTTCCAACGTTCAACGTGCAATACGACCAACCACGTCAGCTGATGCTCTCCGCCCGATCCTCTCCGCCCGATCCTCTCCGCCCGATCCTCAGCGCAGCAACAGTCTCTATACCCCTTTATCCCGATGTGCCTTAAGCAGCCTAGCGGAGAGTGCTGAGCAGCCAGTCCACATCCGGCTGCTCTGTCTGCAAGGGTTTGTGGTTCAGGGACCTCCTAGTCGATCACTCCGTATCTCGGCCTCCCGCCATGACCGACCTCCTAATCCACGGCCCGCCGGTCATCCGGGTGAGCAGCGGCGCCGACGGCAAGCTAAAGACACCGGTGGAGGCATCGACCTCGACTTCGACACTGAAGAAGAAGAAGAAAACACAGCATACCCCGGTCCAGCCGCTCACCAGAGTCGTCCGCGACGCGAGCAACATCCTACTGTCGTGGCACGACGGCCTTACCGAGTCGGAGCGCGAGAGCAAAAGGAGGACAGAGGAGAGAATGCAGATTCTGGCCGCGCGCATGCAGGGTGTAGGCAACACAACCCTTAGACAAATGACCAGCTTAATTAACACCTTCATCCCTAGGCTACTACAATGCAAGAATGGGAGGCGGCCGCCGAAGAGCTCGACAGCCTCGAGGGCAACGACGAATGGAAACTAGACCGGTCAAGCGGAGACTATTACCCCGACTTCATCGAGGCGAAGCTCAAGGAGCTCGATACGGCCAGGACAAACTGCGATATCAAGACCATGATGCACCTCGTCAGAACAGCCCTGTCGCGCGATCTCGGTGGCATGGGGAACATTGATCTCTATCGCCATTCCTATATTGGGACGAAAAAGCTCATTGAGCAATACGTCGACTCTGCCACCAAGACAATCGAAGCCCTCGTCGAGAAAAGCGCCTATGCTTTGCCTGGCGATGTCGAGCAGAAGGACCTACTGGAAGGTATGCTCTGCGCAAGACAAAGCTTTGGGAGGAGCGCTCTGCTCCTGAGCGGTGGCGCGACGTTTGGTATGTCGCATATCGGAGTACTGAAGGGGCTTTTCGACGCCAAGCTTCTTCCGCGTATCATCTCAGGTGCTTCGGCAGGATCCATAGTCGCCTCGGTCCTGTGCACTCGGAAGGACGAGGAGATTCCCGCATTAATTGGACAGTTCCCGTACGGCGACTTGCGTGTTTTCGAAGGCGAGAATGATAGTATCTCTGACCATATTCGCCGACTGTTGACCGAGGGCAGCTGGTCTGACATTGCCCACTTGACACGAGTAATGCGCAGCTGGCTTGGCGACTTGACATTTCAGGAGGCCTATAATCGGACGCGAAGGATATGCAACATTTGCGTCTCGTCTGCCTCGATATACGAGCTCCCTCGACTGCTCAATTACGTCACAGCCCCCAATGTCATGATCTGGTCGGCCGTTGCTGCCTCGTGTTCCGTCCCGCTCGTCTTCCAAGCTGCGCCCCTTTTGGTGAAAGACCCAACAACCAGCGCACATGTGCCTTGGAATCCCACGCCGCAGCGATGGATCGACGGTTCCGTGGATAACGACCTCCCCATGACCCGCCTTGCCGAGATGTTCAACGTCAACCACTTCATCGTCTCGCAGGTCAACCCACATGTCGTCCCGTTTCTCTCCAAAGACGACAGGCTGTACCCGGCCGCCAATCCGGGGAAACTGCGACAGCAGAGATCAGCGCAGGGCAGTTCGGAGTGGCTCTACAGCCTTACTTCTCTGGCCAAGGATGAGGCTCTTCACAGACTGCAATTCCTCACCGAGCTGGGTGTTTTCCCGAACCTGTTTACTAAGCTGCGTTGCATCTTGAGCCAAAGGTATTCGGGCGACATTACCATACTCCCCGAAATTGCCATCCAAGATCTCCCTCTCATCCTGAAGAATCCCACCTCGGACTTTATGCGGCGCAATTGCCTCATCGGAGAGAGGGCAACATGGCCAAGACTAAGCCGCATCAAAGACCGCTGTTCCATCGAACTGGCGCTGGATCAAGCTGTACATGATCTGCGCGCGCGGGTCGTCTTCAGCAAGAGCCAAGTGGACCTTCGCAGATTAGTCGCCGTCTCCGAGCCACAGGCCATCAGAATGGGCCTTAGTAGGGGAACAAGCCTCGAGAGCGGCGATGTCCACGGCAGCAACCGGTCCGCATGCTCGGTGCACCAAGGGTCCTCGGGCAATGCTACTCCAGAGGAGCAGCCGCACAGACAGCGGAGAAGCTCAGGGTGCAGTATCCAGCTTCTGGCAGCGCAGCACAAGAAAGCATTCCAGAATTTTGAGGACAGCCTGACCGACGACCTGTCAGAAGAAGAAGAGCGCCTTGAGATGATAAACCTGCGTAAGGGCAGTCGGCCTGGACGCTCCAGCACCAGCCGGGCTATTGTAACTAAGCCTCGCCTCAAGCGATCGACCAAGAGCCAGAGCTATATCCAGACAAAACACTGGCAGCGGTACAACAACGAGCCTAGATCGCCCATGTTCGACTTCTCGAATCCATTGGCGTCGCTTGCGAACACGGGCAACGACTCGGCAGTCGCAATGGACGACAGCACCGTCGAGGACGTATCCAAGGCAATATCACCTTCAGGCTCGCCCCCCCAGGTGGGGATTAATATCGTAGCCTGTTCGCCGCAAGAGGGCGAGTCGCAGAACTCTGATGATGCCGACGTGGAAAGCGACTCAGACCCCTACCAAGCCGACTTTAATGCGGACACGACGCAATCAAATTCGCCGCGCCTAGTGTCTCGGCGTATGTGAGGAGAGAGACGGATAATGTGGGCCAAGGCCATTTTTTTCCGGGTGAAGTTTATCGTGACACGATGTGACACGATAGAATGGATCACGTGTCCAAAAAGTCATAAGGATACGAGGGGAATGTTTGATGGGAAGGCATATTGCGGGGGATGGAAGTACTTCAATCTTTTTGGGTCCAGTTAGAGGAGTTTGGTCGGTTTGTTTCCTTTGTACCAGCGTTGCATTATCATGGCATTCCGTCATGCCTCATCCAATCGCATTGCATACATGGGTGGGTAGAGGGTGGTGGGAACGATCCGCCCTGGAAAATTGGCATCTGCATCAGAGAGGCCTTGGGTCTCGCGAGGGGCACTAGTTGTTTTATCTTGGAGTTTTCGGCGGCTTGTCTGTTTGAAGCAATTAGATACCGCACGTACAACACATACCATGGAGCATCTTTACTTAAAACTCAAAATATTTTACTTGTTGTTTCTTTCCACGACGGTGTGCGATCTTTTGCAAGCAGGCAAGATCAGTCCCCCAAAGTCGCCGGTATTGTCTTTCTATCTAGGGCCTGATCGGCTCGCCGTTGCGGTGTCGTTGCGGTTGGGAAAAGATACGAGCCATGTGCATAATTAAAGTGGAGACACAGCCAATGTACCCCGAAACCCCCTGTAACTAGGCTTTTCCTAATTAATCATAGTCCCGTGTGACTTCCGCCCTGTCTTCCCGCAATTTTTTGACCAAAATACAGCCACGACAGCAACCCACCTATCGTCAAGATGCCCAGAAGACCCCGCATCAGGGCAACCGCAGTAGAGTCTCCTGCTCCTGAGGCCTCTATTGTTGTTCAAGCCGATGACCTACCCTCTGACGGCGGCCTGCAAGCCTCCGATGACGGCCCTACTTCCGAGCCGACACCTGACGCGCCTTCGTCGACCCCGCGTACGAGGCGGAGGAAAATCATCTACACAACCGAAATGCAGGCGAAGATTATCGAGTTATTCCGAGACGAGGCTATCGCTGGAGCGTTCCGTATCAACAAGTTGACCGAGACGCGGCCGGCATTCTAGAGGATCTCTGTTACAATGGAGGAATCCTTTCCAGACTTCCACTGGTCAGCAGAGAAGATCAGGGACAAGTACGATAATGAGAAGAAGCGATTCCGAACGATCAAGACCTTCTTAACAAGTCAGGTGCGAAATATAACGAAGAAGAGAGGATGGTGGAAGGCTCTGTGGAAGTCTGGAATAACTTCCTTTTGCAATATAAGGATGCTGGATGGCTTCGGACTGCTCGGTTTACTCTGTCAGACTATGAGACGATATACGCCAACCAGTCTGGTCATGGCCGTAACATTATCCGCGCGAGTAATGCCTTTCGCCCCTCTACTACGACGCCTGACGACGAGGGCGAGGGCGAGGGCGATACCGAGGATGCCATGGTCCTGAGTACGAGCTCAGCTACTGATGCTAACTCTCGCCAACCCTCTGTGGCGCCGTCGTACCAGAGGGTTCGGAAAGCCAATACAAATCCAGAGGTATTAGCACTGGCCCAGAGCCTCGATAAGCAAGCTGAGGCCTCTATGAAGCAAGCTGAAGCTATGGTTAAGCAGGCTGAGGCCATGCTTCGCCTGAAAGGGCAGGATGAGATCCAGCTTGCGATCAAGGACTTTATACACAACTTCTCTATCCAGTTAAGCCCCGCAGAGCGTGTAACGTGTATCATGCAGCTAAAAGAGCACTCAAATGCTGTTGTATGGAACACTGTAGACCGGGATATTAAAGAGGCTCTGACCGAGTCATGGAAGACTAGCTAGAAATCCCGCTCCCTCCATAGAACCTCTGCAATAGCATCCCGGATATCCTTACTATACCGACTCCTAATTATCTGCTCAGCATACCGACAAGCCTCTTGTGTAGCCTCAATTACTAGCTCTTCATCGCTGGTGTCAAGAAGGAAGTTATGGATACCAGTGACTGCGTACACAATCTGGACCTGGTTTCGTATCGAGTACTCTGGCGCAGTAGCTTGGATAATCTTCCACTTCCTCTTTAGAATACCGAATACCTTCTCAACGATAACCCGAAGGCGTGCGTGCCGGATGTTATATAGTTCTTTTGCTGTGGTCGGCGGGTTTTTGGCATTCCTCCAATCCTCGAGGTGATATCTGACACCATTATAAGGTGTAAGAATCCCTACATGCCCACCAAATGCAGCGTCTGCAAGGTAGAACCGGCCCGAGGGGACCGCAAAGTCATTCGCAGTAGCGATGCTAAGGAGCGTAGAATCGTGTGTTGAGCCCTCAGCACCAGCGAGTACGTACGAGAACGCACCATCAAATCGGACTGCGGCGAAGACGTTCTGTGCGATAAAGCCTTTCCGGGTTCGCCACTGGTGTTGCTGAGGCTCTGGAATGAAGGCGTGGATATATGTACCATCAATGGCCCCGATACAACCGTAGAATGCATCGTCGATAGACGGGTCGAGCCAGTCATCGTCTTTTGGCTTGACGAATGCGCAGTGTAGCTGTACGAGCTTGTCCAGTAGATCCGTCATAACAGAGCTCACAGTAGACTGGCTGACTCGGAACCGGTGGGCAGCATTACGCTGGCTCTCGTCGTGGGCGAATATCCATAGCACGATCATAAGCTTTAGCTCGGCTGTCAGGTATCTGGACCCCTTAAGCCCGGTATGCTCTTGTAGCCATGTAACCAATCGATGGAAAGCGGCCTTTGGCATACGAAAAAGATCAACGAATTGGGTATCCGAGCCACTGAGAATCGACTCAGCAAGATGGCAGGCCCCCGAGGGCCCCTCTGGGTGGATAATATCACAGTCGCGTGGCCCTAGTAGTCGACGGCGATCAACATCCTGTAAGGCTACATCCACTACAGCTTTCGTGATGACGGCGTTGAGCAGAGGGTTATTAATGGAAGCCATTGGCAGCAGTACGTAGGATCTCGACGGTACGGCAACCCTTCTCGAAGAAGGGTTGCCGTACTGTTGGGAAAAAGCCAACCATACTAGATTTGGCTGTGCACTATACCATATGAAGGGCGTTGACCAGGGTGTCACGAAGAGCCCCGCGAAGATACATTGCATAAATTGAGACGGATCGTTCCGGGCGCTCGGCCTCAAATTTGGTCGATAAATGTGGGAAATTACCACTCGATTGGGGTTAGTGGCCTTGCAAGGCCCCCCGCGATTTTTTTTGTGCAGGTTTTCCCAACCGCAACGACACCGCAACGGCGAGCCGATCAGGCCCCTAGTCTTCTTTCGTCTCGCTCAGTTCAGGACAATGTTTCAGTCCCTAGTGCAATCGTCCAAGACAATTCCCGTTGTTTCTACAGTACGATAAAGCATTAGTACGCAATAGCTATAAATAATAATAATAATAATAATAATAATAATACGCGTTAACAAAAGAAATTGGGCGGAGGGAGACTAAAGCCGCGGACACGGACTAAAGTCTCCATCAAAACAATTCCAGGCACGATGGCTGAGCGGTCTAAAGCGTGAGACTCGAATCATATCAACAGAATAATTCGTTGTATCTTATCTCTTCGGAGGCGTCGGTTCAAATCCGGCTCGTGTCGAACTCTACTATTCAATAAGTGGACAGGTGGGTCCGCATTTCTTTTTGCTTTTGCTTTTTTGCTTGTTTGTTCGTTGTTTCTCTTTGTGTTGTGGAGACTAGCGGACCACGGTGGAGTTCATGTTATCTTGGAAGGGTTTGTTTGTGTGTTGTGCTTTTGGCCCCTTTTCGTTTGTAAGCAAGAGACCCCTTTTGTTTACGATGGATCACCTGATTCCTATTCGTTCCGTGTTTACTTAAGCAGCTATCAGATGCAGGTTTTTCTTTCTGTCTGTCTATTACTGATGTTTGTCCGTCTTCGGGTTTGTTCTTGTATTTTACTTCAATGTACAGTGTGCATACCATTATTAGCAAAGTTCAGGGCTCCGCTCTCTCCACTATGCTCGAAACCCCTTGACTAACGGCGTCACGACGTGAAACAGTCCTTTGACACCAAATACCATGGTGGTGGCGGCTAGCCTTGCATCTTTGGTTGAATCCTTATTTCCTGGTCCCTAAAGCTCGGATAACAAAGGCTATTAACATGCTGCCATAACCAGGGTTAAAAGGTAATCAAGTAGAGATAAGCTCAGATTCTACGATTTTAATTATACGTACAAATACAGCAACCACATCCGATCCGGTCGGAATCTTGGGTCAGCTAAAGAGGTCAAAGATGGTAGTCCTTGGGGCTTGCCACCGCCACGCCGTTTCTCTCCCAGAAGCCCTCCACGCCCATATCCTCTTGGCCACTAAAAAAGGAATAGTTAGTTCGATGAAACCGTGACAAAACGGGGAAGGAATTCGTACTCATCCTTGAGATTGACAAACGGCTCTGTCGCGCCGGCTGCTGTGTCAGGGTTTCTGAAGATGACGTTTCGCGTCTGCTCACGATCCTCCTGTCAGTACGGGTAACTGCCAGGCTAAGTCAAGAGGCTAGAAACAAAAGAAGCAACTAGAAAAGAAGTAGCTCACTAGACCCAGGGTCAGATGTATTCCTGCTGGCGCCACTACGATTGTCTCGCTCGGCGCTCTCCCCGCCACCAGGCCGGCAATGTTCTTTGCGGCGATAGCCGCTTGCACGGCGCCCGGGCGGGCAGCCTTGTGAGCGCCTGAGTCTGCAATATCGCCGACAGCAAAGAGGTGCGAGAAGCGGGCGTCGCGGAACTGCAGCGTCGGCCGCACGCGGATGAAGCCGTTAGAAGGGTTCACGAGCGTGTCTGGCAAAGGCGATGCGCTGTCGGTCTCTGGCGATGCGAGGCCGCGCAGGAACTGGTTATTAGGCGTCTGCCCCGTGGCAAGGATAGCAAAGTCGGCCAGAACGGAGCGGTCACCTTGCAGGCTGACGTGGAACGGCTCGCCCGTGCCATTGGGGAAGCCGGCGGGCGGGACGACGGCACGGCTGCCGGCGACGAGGTTGATTCCAAGGGTAGCGAAGCGGGCTTTGATCAGGTCGCTCAGCCCCTCGTGGTAGACGGGCATCAGCTGCTGGCGCGAGTGCACGAGGGTGATGTTCTTGTCCGGGTAGACCTCCTTGAGGTCGCAGGCCATCTGCACGCCGACGGCGCCGCCGCCGACGACGACCACGGACTGGGCCTTGGCGATGCCCTGCTGGTAGCTCTGCAGATAGCGGACCGACGGTAGCTTGTCCTCGCTCGGCATGGAGCCGGGCGCGGCGAGCCGTGTACCCGTGGCGGCGACGAGATACTCAAACACCAGGTCCCGGGAGCCCTGCCACTCGCGGTCCAGCGTGACGTGGTTGGGGTGAAGGGAGGCCACGCGTGCTCGCACGACCTGGTGGTGAGCAGGGTCTGGGGCCGACGAGAAGACGGTGGAGTAGGGGACGAAGGCCTTGTGCTCATGGTTGGGCACAATGGCGAATCGTGGCTTTTGCATTTGTTAGCAAGAGATGCACAGCAGTCACAGGTAGAGATCTATCTGGGCTCACAAAGACGAATAGGTGGTTGAAATGGCTGTGCGGCTCGATGAGGAGAACCTATGCGAGTATAGTCAGTGATTAGAATTGTAACGGACACGACAGTGAAATCCATCGACTTACACGATGCGATGCCGGAAGGATACTAGCGAGTTCCTTGGCTGCGCGCTGTCGAGGGTGCCGAAGTCAGCACATGGCTCCTTCGTCGAGTCTGATACGGACTCGCTTCTTCACGATAACTGACCATCCCCACGTATGAGCCTCCCACGACGACCACATTCTGCAGCGATTTTGCGGCCATTTTGTCGGATGGCGTTTTCTTTTGGAATATTGTTTGGGCAAAAGTGGCTAAAACAACAGCAGCGATTGTAGCAGCGATTGTCAGACTAGACCAGATGGGGATATGAAAATACGGGAGGAGACAACGCCTCATTACTTGGAAGAGGAAATAATGGAAAGGGAGAGAAAAAAAATAAGAATAAGAATCTGAACTGGGCAAGAACATGGATGGTGTAGTAGAAAAGGATTCGTGTGACTCGTAAGCTCGGAGATGCGAGATTGGCGCGACATCTCCGAGCGATAGGTCCACCTCGTCGCGCGAGGTGCCCGGCTGCCGACATCGGGTCCACTTTGCGGGTTGAGGGGAAACGTTGAGCCTGCAACGGCAAACCGAAACAAGCAGGAACGTATTGACCCCTACACTGACGGAATGAAGCTAGGTAAATAAGAACATTTTAGTCTAAACTGCTCAGAAATGTGAGTCTCGTAGAGGGTGAATTCCTTTGCTTTGCTTTGCTTTTCTTTTCACAAAACAATAACACCATAACACCATAACACCAGGCTCACTGAAAGCCGTTAGCAATGTCTTTGGAAACTTTTGATTCAACCCGCCATCATTGTATTTTAATGAGTATGAGCTGGAATAATCAACTCGCAGGGTCTTCCCCCAACGGTGTCCATCGCCGCTGCCTCACGGCCTCGGCAATCCTCCTCGCCACTTCCCTCTCCGCCTCGTTAAAGTGGCCCGTCTCCTCTATCCAGGCTTCCTCCTCGGCCGCCGACTGCCTCCCGAGAATGGCATTCAAATACGGATACCGGCTGAGCCGATCGATGATGGGCTTCTGAATACCTATGCGCATGCTAGCCCAAAAGGTCTAGCTCTCGCGCGTCACGGCCGGGCCTAGCGGCGGGCCCTCGGCGTAGACGCGGGGGAAGCCGCGCACGTCCGCGAGGATGGGGTCGCGCCGCGCGCGGTACGGGCCCGTCAGCCCCGACAAGCGCTCGACGAACTGCCGCGTATCGTCGGTGAACTGCAGCGCCAGCGCCTGGTCTGCACGGCACTCGGCGTGCACGAACGGCGCGTTCAGCCACAGCCGCGCGCCGATCCAGTAGTCGACGCCCTGGCAGAAGAGCCGCGGGCAATATTCGAGGAGCAGCTGGAGGCCCAGGCACTGCTCTGGGTACGATGCTTCTGTTGGTGCGGGGAGGTAGGTCGTCGGGTCTGGTGCTTGGTCGAGAACGATCTTGCTCAGGGCGACCAGGGCCGGCTACACTGTGGCCCGGGGCTGGGGGTCGAAAGCGTCTTCTAGGAAGATGTCTCGGCCAAACTCGGAGAAGTTAATCTGCTTTCCTTTTGGGTACGGCAGTCGCGCCCTGACAATGGAGGTGAAGAGGTGAAGAGTGCAGGTGTTAGGAGACAGTCAAGTTCCCTGTCTCTCGGCTGGCTGGACCTCCGCCATGATGGTGGTTTTGGGGTAATTGTGTCTGTATATCTTCCTTGAAGACGGGGACTGGGAGTGCTGTTGTCAAATCTACAGACTAAACAAGAGCCACCAGCAGCCTTTATGTTTAGCTACCGGTATGGAAACATAGTGTGCCAGCCGATGTGGAGTCGAGTAGATGCGCTACAACAGTGCGATTCTCTCGAAGACGCATAAGCAATCCACCAACACTGCTCCGACTGATGCCATTGGTGGTACTGACGGTATCTAATCAAGACCGACCGCCCCAGACCCTCGCGTGAATCAGAGCAGCCAGATACGCCAAGGCGGCCATCCCAGGCAAGCAAAGGAAGGCGCGAATAGTCACGGGCTATTATGTTGATGTCAAGCGCTACTTTCTCAACCCCCCGAGCTGACATGCGAACGATGGCTTTATATTAGTTACATTGGCCTAGAAAGCGTCCCCCTCCCTCAGGTGTGCCAGCAATTGTCCTATAGCCGGATCTTAGATGCAGATGCTATCATGCGTGGCATGTCGGTTGAATTGACCAACGTTTTATTTGATCTAGACAACCGGAGTGTCAACTCCAAATCACCAGTTACCTGCCTAGGTATTACCTTCTATCCCCCCTCCCCTTTTCCCATTACCAGTTATTCTCGTTCGTTTGGGAACTGAACTAGAATGGTGAGTCTCGCCGTTCATCCGCTCATTACGCTATTATTCGCCCACTTTTCCTCATTTTCCGCGCGGTCTCGATCACAAAATTTGGTGACTTTTAATCCCGAGCCTGCTACGTAGTTCAGTCTCCAAACGAACGAGAATAAGCGGTAATTATTTCGGCGCTTCAGATTCTTCTGGTTCGCACCAATACTCTTTCCTTTGATATCCGCGGTGTTTTTCAGTTGACACCACAAAATTTTGATAGCCCACCGAGGTGTGCGCCATTCCATCTTGCTTTCGTTGTTGTTGAGAGTCACTAAACGCACGAAGTAGTCGGCCAAGTGCTTTGGTTTTAATAATATTAATTATGGGTCTCGCCCGACGACCGGGGAAGCTCCTCGGAGATCATCTGGAGTTGTTTGTCCATCTTCATCCTCTGCTCCTGGCATTGTGTCCATCTTAATCTCCTAAGGCCGGAGAAGAGCAAGGGAGAATTCTACTACCTCTGGAAAATACCGGTCTGGCCGAAGAGACCGCTTCGCAGAAAATGGTCCCGAAAGCTCATTTGGATGGTGATTATTTGCCTCGCCCCCGAACTTGGTGTCGCCACAGCCGTAAAACAATGGCAAGCTGCCCGGGAAATTCTCGAGGCAGCCAACGGTGATGAGCATGGGGAGAAAATTTTCTATGGTTCATGCATTCTTCGCTAACATGGGCGGGTCCGTCGTACGCCGTGTGCCTGCAGCTGAGGCCAAGGCGCAATCATCAGAGTCCTCTAGCCGGACGCCCAAGTCCGATGGGTCCGGTGACGGCTGCCGGGTTGGTTTGGGCGACGTGGAACAGCTCTCCGAACCTGATCCTGAACCCAATACTGTCGATATTGTGTCGGGATTAGGTGAGAACCCTACGACTCACCCGCGTGTTCGAGTTATGGAAACTTTGTTGTGCGAGACCCGCCACCTTCACGAGACTTTACCGACTTTTACTTGGCAGAGAGACTTCGGGATCCCGGAATCAACATTTCAATCACCGACGTTGAAGCCGACATCCGAGACAAAAGCCGCTCGGACGCCATTACGAAGATTCTTGCCATCGTTCAGTCCCTCTGACTCATCGTCCAAAGTATTGCGCGAACTAGCCGGGGCCTCTTTATCTCTCAGCTGGAGTTGGCAAAAATGGCATTTATACCCTGCGCCGCTGTGATGTACGGGTTTTGGTGGTACAAGCCCTTCAACACAGAACGCAGATATATTGTGCTCAGGCACGCGAGGGACGAAACTCCCGCAGACAGTGATTCGGGTCTACGTGGCCTCAATGATCGAGTAATCGAATTTGATGACGACCTTCTCGCCAATTCTGTTTTCTTGTGGTGTGTAATACTCGAAAACGGTCTCAAGGACAACACCCACGATTTATGGCCTAGCCTGGCACTGTACATGACCGGTGAGTTATTCACTGCCGTTCATGTGGCCGCATGGAACTGGGAATTTCCATGGCAGCTTGTCCGATATCTTTGGAGATGTTTTTCAATGACTGCTGTAATCAGTTCCTTTTGGCTATTCCTACCGCCCACTTTTCTCAGCATCTTTGAGATTTGGGCAGGCGATTAGAACGATATTGCCACGAGTGTCGCCGTGGCGTTAATATTGCTGGGTATCTTTGCTCACGTTATTTCATGGGTTGCCATCTTGATTCTCACATTTTACTGTTTCTCTTCCATGCTCCATACTGTTTACGAGAGATTGGAATGGGGTGGGTTTATTTCACATTTTGCGTGAGTCGCGTATTTGTTTCATTCTCGGGTCATTTCTCTCGAAGAGAAGCTGTGATAGATGAATGTTGTTAATAACCACGTATTGTAACTACCTCCTCAAGAACCTTGGCCGACTTAAACACAAATCTTGGATCTATTTAATTGCCGTATTGAACCATTCGATTGACACAAAGCTCATGGTTGTATGAGACCGTAAATAATGATTAAGGCGCCTTGAATAGGCGCGACAACTTCACTAAAAAAAGTCACCCCCGACTGCCAATTCAACAGCCTTAATGCTTACGGTTTCTTGCAGCTCATTAGCTTTTTGTCAATGGAATGAGTTGATACGATAGTTGCAGCCGAAATTTTGCACTTAGGAGCGGCAGTCTGCCAGAGAATGCTCAGACAATCCAGAGATGCAAGTTTTATCACAACGAAGCTACCTAACCAGGACTTACTTGATCAAGAAAGTATGTCTAGGGTTGCTACGGTATCGCCTCCAACCCCACCGCGGCACGAACACGGCAGCCACGTCTGAAGGAATAGCCGGCAAAATAGACTGGGGTTGGCATAAGAAATTGAGCAGCAGCGTCCCTATAGGCCGGAATGGCTACCGGCGATATTGCAAATATAGCTCTGCGGGCCAGAGCTTGATGAGCGCAATAAGTACGGCACAGACAATTCGACAAATCGACTATCTGCCTTTTCTCCAAGAACAAGTAGCAACCGTGGTTCTCCCCTGCACCGGCAACGACTGCCGGTTTCTTCGCAGGTTTACCATCCAAACTCCATCAACCTCGCTGGCTCCGAGACTGATCAAGCTCAGCACGTCGTTACGATGCTCCGGTCCTGTATGCTAGCGTTCTCGGCGCTTACGAGCTTCGCGGCTGCGCAAGGCGGCTCCGAGCTCGACGAGCCCATGTTGAGAGGAGGCGGCGGCGCGAGAGGGCCGGGCGCTATGCTGCGGTTCGGCTGCTCTCAGGCCGTGATCGAACGCCTCGACCCGTTCGTAAACCAAACCACCTCGAACATGTCACGAAAAAGAAACTGACCACTGGGTTTAGGCTTGTGGACCCCGGCTCGAACCCCTCGCCGCACATGCACCAAATAGTGGGAGGAGTACGCAACGATAAATCCCGAAAGATCTGTGATGGCTTGCTGATGTTGTCCCAGAATGCCTTCAGCTCGGCCATGCCGTCGGCGGACATCGCCAAACTTGCGACGTGCACGTCGTGCCACTTCAGCCAGGACTTCTCCAACTACTGGACGGCGAACCTGTACTTCCGGGCGCGCAACGGCACCTACAAGCGCGTCCCGCAGATCGCGAACCAGTTCAACGACGGCGACAACGCCGGCATCACGCTGTACTACACGTCGCCCGGCCCGAACCTGACGACCGCCTTCAGGCCGGTACTTATGCCCTGACATTCTGTTTGACCGGGCCATGCTGATCGTTGTCTAGGGCTTCCGCATGCTCACAGGCGACTCGATGCGGCGCACGTCGGAGAATCTGGGCAAGAACATGCAGCAGTGCTACCGCTGCTTCCCGAAGCCCGACTTTGGCGGCAGCATGTACTCGCCCTGCATGGACCCCAAGTGGGACACCGACCATCTGCCCACACAGCCGTGCCCTGGGGGCATCCGGTCCAACATCGTCTTTCCGCTGTAAGCAGCCGAACTCTCGGCTATTACCGCGAGCAGCAGGAGCGGATTCGGGAAAAAGGCTGACGGACGTTACAGGTGCTGGGACGGCAAGAACCTCGACAGCCCGAACCACAAGGACCACGTCGCCCACCCGGTGGGCGGGCCGACGTCATTCTCCGTCGTCACGGGCAAATGTCCCGCGAGCCACCCGGTGAAGATCCCTCAGCTGATGTACGAGGTACGTAAACAACCCGCCCCGCCACGAACAAGATACACCAGACTCACGTACCCATGTACTATACAGGTGATGTGGGACACGCGCGAATTCAACAACAAGGGCGATTGGCCCGCAGACGGCAGCCAGCCGCTGGTGCTGTCGACGGGCGACACGTAAGCCAGCGACACCTCTGCAATAACCACTCAAGGCAGTCCCGAACTAACATCACGTTCTAGCACCGGCTACGGACAGCACGCCGACTACGTCTTCGGGTGGCGGGACAGCACACTGCAGACGGCCATGGACAGCGGCTGCTACCTGCGCAACTGCTCGCAGCTGGCGGACCAGGCGCCCAAGGTCAAGAACCTGTGCAGCGTGCCCGTGACGGCCAACGAGGACCACCATCTCGACGAATGTGAGTTGTTTTGTTTTGTCTTGTCTGTCAACTACCTTGAATTGGAGCCGGTGCTGACGGGCATGACGCGGTAGGGCTTTCTGAGCTTCCGGGCGGAGGCACTGGCGTGTGATTGGGATGAGGACAATCTGTTGTTTGTGTATATGTGTTTCGAAGACGTGAATTTGAAAAGAGGGCAAAGTCAAACAGTCCCAATGTCCACTTGGAAATTTGTGGTTTTGGGGAATACTGCATGCTATTGTCGCGTGGCGATGCGTATGGAGCAAGTTTCATCCCCGCAATAGACCGAAAGTTAATTCTCGCCGGGAAAAGAAGAAAGTATTTCGTTTGATGATTTGTAAACACCAAGACGGTTGAGCCGAACAATTGTGGCCGACCTGGGCAACGAAGCAGCCACAATGCCACATTGGGGTTTTCGGCTTGGGCCAGGTGCGGCTGGTGAATTTCCCTCCGATGCCTTCGGCTCTCGGGTACTGTCGGGCACGCACAAAAAGGATGTGACGAAAAAATGAGGGGAATTGGAATTTGTGCGCGGTGGGGTCACGAGAATAATCCCTGCCGCGGCCGATGATCTGATGATCTGATAAGATTGGCCTGTGGCGGCGAAGGTCGCATCCAGTTGACACACGTCGGTGGGGACGCTCGACGACTGGCCAGGAGGTGCCTGCTGGTGGATACGCCGGGAGCAGGTTTGCGACTTGACCGCAAAAGACGGAATCCATTCATCAAGGCTCGCGTCCGATGCCGCAGCGCGCAACGCCAGCACGCCCCACGTCTGCCCGGACAGTGTACCGGATAGGCAGGGGCGAAGGAGGCTTGCAAGACGCCCGGGCTGCAGTGGAAGGCAACCCATCCCTGTGTGTTACCTAGGTAGATAACATTGGCCATATCTGGGTATGAGCCTACTGCTCACCAAAGCATACCGCTGTATCCAGCAACTTAACAAGCCCGTCTGTTGGTTCTGTCTTCCCCCTTCGAGTTTTGATGCAACTTGAACCTGGCATCCCTTTCCACAATCCGCCGATTTTTCGACGATATTACATCTCTTTAGCAATCTCTCCACCGCCTCTAAACCGCCAAAAGCAACAACAGCGCTAAGCCCACAAACGAGCCATCAAAGGGGCAGCACCAGTACCACAACATTCACAATGGGCTCCATGGTCGATAGCAGAGCGCCAAGCACCAGCACACCGACGCCCTTCCGCGTTCTCGTGGTCGGCGGCTCCTATGGCGGACTCTCGGCCGCCCTGAACCTGCAAGATCTGTGCAACGGACGGCGGCCACGCTGTGGTCCTGCCCCCGCCGAAGGCGAGACAGAGCAGAGCGGAACCGAGACAGAGCAGAGCGGAGTCGAGACGCCAAATATCGCCATCGACATCACCATAGTAGACGAGCGCGATGGCTTCTGTATGTGCCGACCCCGTCCCACGTCCACCCGGCAGCCTTCTGACTAGGGAACCCCAGACCACCTGATCGGCTCGCCGCTAGCCGTGGCCGACCAAGCCTACGCGCAAAAGGCCTGGGTCTTGTACAAGGACATCCCCGCGCTGCGCGAGCCCAACGTGCGCGTGCTGCACGGCTCGGTGCAGGGCCTCGACCCCAAGCGCAAGGTGGCCGCCTTCGCCGCCCGCGGCAGCGGCACCCAGACCACCGACCTACCTTACGACTACCTAGTCGCCGCCGCCGGCCTACGCCGCGTCTGGCCCGTCGTTCCCCAATCCCTGCGCAAGAAGCAGTACCTGTTTGAGACGAGCGACTACACCCGCGCGGCCACCACAGCCAGGCACGGCGCTGTCATCGTGGGCGGTGGTGCGTTGCCCCTTTCCCCCTGAACCACGCTACGGACTGACACACAGGCACAGGCGCCGTGGGCATCGAGATGGCGGCCGAGCTCAAGCTCGTGCACCCGGAGGTAAAGGTAACACTGGTGCACTCGCGCGACAAGCTGCTGTCGGCGGAGCCGCTGCCGGACGAGGTCAAGGACCGCAGCCTGGAGCTGCTGCGCGAGGCGGGCGTCGACGTGCTGCTGGCGCACCGGCTCGAGCGCACCGACGACGCGCGCGACGCCAGCGGCAACGCCTGCCTATCGCTACGCTTCGCTAATGGCCACACCCTACTCGCCGACCACGTCGCCATGGCCGTGTCCAAGAGCGTGCCGTCGACGGCCTGGCTGCCGCGCGGGGCGCTCGACGACGACGGATACGTCCGCGTCGATGCTACGTATGTCTATGCCTTTCCCCCATCTTACGACTTCCTCGGGCATGAAAGAATACTAACAAAAATTAGCCTGACGTTCCCCCCCGAGACGCCCAACGCCGCCCACCACCTGGCCGTCGGCGACATGATCCGCTGGTCGGGGATCAAGCGCTGCGGCGGCGCCATGCACATGGGCTACTACGCGGCGCACAACCTGCACCAGCGGCTTCTAGCATCATCATCATCACCAACTGCCGAGACTCCAAAGTTCCTCGAGCTCGCCGAGGTCCCGCCCATGATCGGCCTCGCCGTCGGCAAGAATGCCGTGTCGTACTGGCCGGGCGGCGGCATGACGTCGGGCGAGGACGTCATGACAGTCTTCTTTGGCGATGATCTCGGGTTTACGAGTGAGTTAGCCCCTTTTCCCCTCTCCCCCTTTCCTCTATCGCTTCTTGTGTTCCTGCCTTGAGATACCGAGGCAAGGGGGGATTAAAGCAGCGAGACAAATGTATTCTAACGCCATCAATAGTCTGCTGGAACCATCTCCGACTGGGCGGATACAAGTCCGTCCCTGAGGTTCCCAAGGCTTGAAGGGTGCATGTAGAATTGCTCTTGGTGTTTTGGCGTTGTTTGGGGGTCTGTTTTGCGGTATTTTAGGTAGAGAGTCACGATCATGAAATCTTCCGCCTTTAGTGCGGTATGTTAAGTTCTTTGGAACGAATGCTTCGTCGTTTATAAAGAGTGTGGTCCCGCGAATGCCACAGTGGAAACCAAAGAACGCGCATAAAACCTTCATGTCTCACCCAGAGATTCCTCGACACCAGACCTAGGCCTCAGCCTGCCACTCCTCCCCCGCCGGATACAGACTATCCTCGCGCTTGGCTCCACCCGGCCGGCCGGCCGTAACCTGGTACGCCGGACGGAAATCCCAAAGACGCGACAGCTCTGCCGGTTCTGGAAAGTGCTGCGCCTTGCCGGCCACGAGCGAGACCTTGAGCGACGGCAGCACAGCTTCCAAGTCGTCGACAAGAAGGCCGTCGTCGTCTGTGGTGACGCGCCAGTGCAGGTTGGCCTCCAGGAAGTGCACTAAATCGACGGGGCTCATGCTCGCCAGCGCCGCCGGCGGCGGACTGCCTCCGGAAGAAGAAGTCGACGACCTGGGCGTGTGCACCAGCTGCTGCTTCCAGCGCGTGATCAGCCCGTTCGTCAGCACCACGCGGCCCGTCGCCTGGGTGCGGTCCACGGCCTGCTGCGTGCACTTGGTGCAGCCCTGTCCTCCACCCCCGGCCTCGGTGGCCAGCGACGTGAAGCTGACCACCTGGCCCACGAGGCTGCCTTTGGGGCCATGGACGTCGTAGGGCAGCGTCGACGGGACCTTGCCGACGAAAATGTACACGGTGAATTGGCGGCCGCCGAGGGCCATTCTGTAGTTGCACTTAAGTCAGCAAGGGGTTGGCAAGTGATAGAACCATTGCTGCGTAAAAAAACCGTGGGTGCTTACTTCCCGTAGGCCACATTCACGGCGTAGTCGTCAAAGGTGCCGCCTAGCATGCCGCCGTAATCATGGCCTTCATGCTCATGAGTGGGATACCGTCCGTGTCGCCGGGGTCGGCGCTGATGACCGATTTCTCGGCAGCATTGCGCGCCGCGTTGTACTTGTCCGTCAGCTCGCTCTTGATGGCTTCCAGGTAGGCTTGTCTGTCGTACACGCCGTCGGCAATGTACGGCTGCTTATCGGGGATGAGATACGTGTACCCTAGCGACGTGATGTTGCGCGCGTCGTTGGATTCCCAGGAGCTCCCCTGTGTGTCCTTGTAGAACAGCCGCAGCAGCGCCTCAGCCGCCTCCTTCTCGCCAAAAAAAAGAGAGAATGTCCCACGTGTCGCGAGATTTATTTAATGTAGATACATACCAGTGATGAAACCAAAATAGGGACCAAAGGCGGCAACGACAACGGCGGGCATGTGTCCAAGCTGCGATACCGTGTCGCCATCCTTGGGAGCCGGGGGCTCGCCACACCAGCGGTGCATTTTGTTGCGCAGGGCTTCGCAGTTGGCGTAGACGTTTTTCTTTCCGGTGAACTCGGTGCTAGCGAAGTCTTGGAACTTGGCGATGGGGAAGAGGCGGTGGTAGGCGTCTCTGAGCCCCTCGTTCATGACCCCTGTCTTGACCGTGACCTCGTCACTATACGAAGTGATTCTCAGGTTTTTAGGGAGTTTCTTGTCTCCCATTGTCATGTCCTCAGGCATCCTGAACCGGTAGAGTCCATCGTCTGTTTTTCCAGACCCGGAGGAAATACGGATTTCCACCTTCTTGTTTGCCTCTTCAAAGGCCTGCGGGATGTTGTATTCCCACGGCTTCTCCTTGTCGGTCAGGTCTAGCTTTTTCGCGGCCAAGCCCTAGTACGGCAAACGCCACTCGTCGACAGCTTTGAGATCTTGGAGGTCGTTTCCGGTGAAGTTGTTGACGGCATAGTCTTTCATATACTCGTCGATGATTTTCTATCGGCAGACCAAAGTGGCATACCAAAGTCAGCGGCTGATTTCTTCGTCTCTCTAGGTGAGTAACATAAGACGGAAGAACTTGAACATTTTACTTCAAAAAGGAGCAGGTACGGCTGGTGCCATGTCGCGAATCTTCCTTCGCCGCGGGTTCAATAAGACTCACCGTCGCCCTCTTCAGGTTCATCCCAAGAGACATATGGCTTGCCATGAATGCCTGCGAGACTGATTAATTCATGTTCGTGTTTCCAATCCCGGGGTGAGAGGTGCGAACGTGCCAGCAATCTGGAAGAAGGAGAATTTCTTGTCGGGGCGTTGAAGGCAGGGAAGAAAAGGGAGCGCTGGTTAATGTGAATGAGCTTGTCTGAGGTGAACTAGCCATCAAGCTCCATGCGCTGGGGGGCCTTTCGCAAAGGATTGGCCTTGTCACGATCCAGGTCCTCTTGGACACCCACGATGGGATAGTAGCCCGAAGGATCGAGGGACTGGGGCACCATTGTCGTAGTTGTGGATTCACTGGTCGAATCTGCTTGTTGAGAATGGGACTGATGGAACTTGGAAGGTTTGAGTTGTTGTCTCAGAGAGATGGCAGGGTACTGAGTATTATATGCTCGTTCGATGTCTCGATGAGAGTTTCGTAATGAGCGAGAGTGTTAGCAAGAGAATGCATTTATCAATTTTGTGACAAAGTCTACATGACAGATGCGCTCGATTTCTTGCAGCGAATTCGCTAATTGCTAGAAATCCGAAACATCGAGGCCCAGGCCATTGTCAGCCAGGCTCTTGACTGTGTAATGCAGCTATTCCGGACTGCTTGCGTTTTTGCTATTGCCTTCTGGTGCATGCATGCGCTTCAAAGAGACCGGGTTAAGCGCCAATGGCCACCATTCCAAGAGTGACGGAGCCTGCAGTCCGCAGTTTCAGTGTCACAAACCGGGCGATTAGCGCACGCCCAGCTGGCACCATGCAATGTGAATCGGCTACACTGTATGTTTATTGTATTATTGAAGTTCATTGCATCGAGGTCCGGAACGCAACTGAGCGCTAACTGAAATCTAGTTGTAACACATCTAGCTGCCATTGATCGTTACAAAATTTGTCACACTAGTCTTAGGGCGGCATATTTCATCCGAACGCATGATAGCAACACATCGCGAGGCAAGGCTCGGAGGGCGAGGTCGAGGTGGCTTCTGTGTCCCACAGAATCAGGAACTCTGGGCATGCATATATCTTTGTGCCACTGCTGCATATATTGGGAGCACACGCCGAGAGCGAAAGGGGGTATTTATTAATTCTTGCACGGCAATCTCGCATGAAGACTTCCCCCACCTTTCCAACCTTTCCTTTTTGATCACAACTTGGGTAGCAGCCCGACCCCAGTTCCGCCCATGACCTTGTCGCTCTCGTCGAGCGGACACAGCTGGAAGAAGCGCTCGCGGTCGCACGAGACGAGGGCGGAACGCTTGTGGGGCAGGTCGATGAACTTGTTGACGCCGAAGCCGTGCATGAGGTCGTACATGAGCACGGAGCCGTTGGTGCTCTTGGGCTCGCCAACCACGGCGCTCGTGCGCGCCTCGTCCAGGAACAGGTAGTGCATCAGGCTCGACCACCACGCGCTGACGCGGTGCGGGCCCCGGAACCGCACGTCGCCCACCAGACTGTGCCGCCCCCGGTCGTAGTCGCCCGCCGAGTAGTACGCGCCGATGCGGTCCTCCTGGGAGTCGGTCAGTTGGGCTGTCAATCGCCAGCGAGAGACAGGGTGGGGGGCTCACCTTGCCCCAGTAGACCTCGAAGTATGCAAAGAATATGCCGTCAAAGGCCGCCAGCAGCGTGATCTGGTGCGGGTCGTCGTGGGCACGGCGCAGGTAGTCGCGGTGCTGGTCAACCGTACCGGTCTCGTTCCAGCCCTGGGAGACGCGGGGGTCGTTCTGCCAGGTGTGGAAGAGGCCGAGGTGGGTGGGGTCCGTGTAGTCGAGGGCGACCATGGAAAAGGTCTCGCCGAGGTGGGCGATGTAGCGGCTGTAGACGACCGAGCCGGGCGCTGGCTTAGCCCGCCGCCGCGGGTGCCACGTCTGCACCGAGCCCGCCTCGCTCGTCATGGTGTACGCCGCGGGCACCGCTGGGTAGTTGGCTAGGTCAACGGCCTCGTCCTGCTGCCTCTCGGGTACCCAGGCGGGCCGGGCGCCAAAGGGTGAGCCTGCGCCTTGCCAGAAAGAACCCCGCAACACGAGCAGCTCGTCGCTCTTCACCGGACCGGTGTCTTTGGCGTTGCTGGATATGGGGTGCGGGATAGCGAGTCCAACGGTTGTGAGCTGGCGGGCGAGCCTGTCGGCGCCGGACCCCTGGAGCTGCAGCCGAAAGGCCTCGTCGCGGGGCCGCACCGTGAAGATGGTGTAGGCGAGCAGCCACAGCTGGCCAACGGTGGGCTGGCGCTCATCCTTCCAGCGCGCGGTCACAGCCGGAGACCGCCTTGCCCGTCCCCAGGGCGTGTTGTTGGACTCATGTGGCCGGTCGCTCGACTTGACATCTTGAGGGGCCGTGAAGAAGAGGGAGGAATTGTGGAGGGGCTCGCGCAGGGGCTTGGTGTTTGCCTCGGCGCTGCGCGGTCGGAGCTGGAACGCGTCGGAGCCGTCTGTGGCCTTTGCGACGTCGTATGCCGTCAGGTACGGGTGCGGGAGCTTGAGGACAGGGTCTAAAGATGATGCGTAGGCAGCTAGGCCTCTTGGTGGTGATGGGGATGACATGGTGGCAGTGTCTTTTCTGTGGAGGAAGCGGAGAGAAGGGAATCGAGCAAGCAATGAGCAAAGTCATGATAGCTCAAGACAGCTCTTGCAGCAGACAGAGCTCCCTCAAGCTCACGTGTACAGATGGACGCTCATTTGGTGGGGGTAGACTGTGTGCCAAGCCGTGCCAATCCATACCCGAGCTCTTTCGATCAAGCCAAACACGTAAGGGGTGGTGCGTCTGTTCAGAATTATTCCGGGGATCCCTGTCTTTCCTTCTCCCAACCAATTTTGGTGCTCGTTCCGGACTTGCAGGCGCACCATCTCGAGGACACCCCGGCAAGTGAGCCATGGAGCCAATGAGAAACGGTGTCCAGCACGTGGACGAGGTGTTTGTAGCGGGGTCGAGGGGGTGATGGTGCACTGGTCTCGGATCTGATAACTTTAGTTGGACGCCAAAAAGCGGATCTGATAAAATTTCGACGGCCCCCGGCTTCTTGGCGACCCGACTTCGGAGCGGAGCTAAGGCCATGGATGTTACTGTCTGTCTACCGAGTCCTCGCGTGCCCCGTCATCGGGACTTCGAGTGTGGGGTGCCAGACTTGGCGTGAATAATCTTATCAGATCAAACCTGATCTCGAGCCAACCATACTCCTCTCTGCGGCATTTACCAGGGGGACGTGTCCAACGCTCATGGCACCATGTCTGCTTTTGAGTTATCAGATGGAGCTAGCAACGCTGCCAAGTGTCCACTGCTGCCCCTTAGTGCCTCCATGGTGCCATCATGCCACGCGAGGCCCGCAAGAAATTTCTGCTCCGTCTCGTCCCGTTACGGGGCCCACTCTCCTTGTTGCTGGTTCTCCGTTGCGGCTGCCCCTTGCGTGTGACCGAGGGCCGACCTCATCCCCACGATTGTGCCCACCGTATTCTAGCGGACCAATTTCTGGAAGCCAGGTACGATTGGCGAATTCGCCGCCAATACTCCGGCTTCGGGTGCTCTCCGAAAAGCCGAAAGCGGGATATGAACGAGGAGAAGCTTCAGAAATGCAAACCATAGAGCGTGCTTGAATGCACCTTATCAGATTAGATCAGACGAACCTGTGTTGTCACCCGGTGTGAGATTTTTGAGCACGTGCTAAGCACTCCGTTGCTTCGATTTCTGTGTTTCGCTTTCGACATCCCGGGCTGCACACACGTAATCACAGCTTTCCTTCGCGGTACTTTTCGTCCAGCCGCGCCGTCAGCCTGGACTCGAAGAGAGCCCATTAGAGACTCGTAAAGTGATTGTGCACCATGTCAACATCAGTCTCGACGACAGCCGCCACGGCGGATGGTCTCGTCCTTCCAGAGCCGCAACGACTGTCGATTCTCCACGGCCCTACGGACCCGCCCCTCGTCGATCTCACACTAGGCGAGTTGCTCAACCTGCAGTGTTTGCATCACGGGACGCAAGAGGGGCTCGTCATCCCCTGGACGGGCGCGCGATGGACGTACAACGAGCTCAATCAACACAGCAGGCTGGTGGCGGCGGCGCTGTTGGGGATGGGCATCGGCGTCGGTGACCGGGTGGGCATCATGGCGGGTAACTGCGAGCAGTACGTGTCCGTCTTCTTCGCGGCCACTCGCATCGGCGCCATTCTCGTCATCCTCAACAACACGTATACGCCCACTGAGGCCCAGTACGCGCTGGACTTTTCAGACTGCAAGGTGCTCTTCACAACGAAGCGGATTGGCCGCCTCGACAACGCCCCCCTGCTCACACAGCTCGCGGCGAGAGCGGCGCCGGGACCCAAAGTCTTCATTCTCCGGGGCGACTCGGAGGGGCATAGGACTTACCAGGACGTGTTGGCTGACGGCTCCAAGGCCAGCAACCCGGCGCGCCTCCAAGACGCCGAGCGCAAGGTGCTGCCTCATTTGGTGTGCAACCTCCAGTTCACAAGCGGCACCACGGGGTTACCAAAGGCAGCCATGCTTACTCACCAGTGCGTCACCTTTCGTTTTCCTGTCTTTTGTTTCGTGGCCGCTCGATATTGACAAGCCACCTCTCGTAGCAACATTGTGAACAACGCCCGCTTCATCGGCGACCGCATGCGGCTGACGCCAGACGACGTCCTGTGCTGCCCGCCGCCACTGTTCCACTGCTTCGGGCTCGTGCTCGGGCTCATGGCCGTCATGACGCACGGGGCCAAAATTGTGTACCCGGCCGAGGTGTTCGACGCGGGGGCGACGCTGCGGGCCATCGTCGACGAGCAGTGCACGGCGGTGCACGGGGTGCCGGCCATGTTCGACAGCATCCTGGCGCTGCCCGAAGCGAAGAGCCTCTCGGCGGCGGGGCTGCGGCTGCGGACGGGCATCATCGCGGGGGCGCCGGTGCCGCGGTACTTGATGGAGCAGCTCGTGTCGCGGCTAGGGATGCGCGAGTTCACGTCGAGCTACGGGCTGACCGAGGCGTCGCCGACGTGCTTCAACGCCTTCACCGACGACGCGGTGGCCACGCGGCTAACCACGGTCGGCACGTTGATGCCGCACGCCCATGCCAAGATTGTCGACGCCGACGGCCGCGTCGTGCCCCTGGGGGTCCGCGGCGAGCTCTGCATCGGCGGCTACCAGCTGCAGGCCGGCTACTGGAACAACTCGGCCAAGACGGCCGAGGTCATGGCCCGCGACGAGGCCGGTGTCTTGTGGCTGCACACGGGCGACGAGGCCGTGTTTGACGAGCGCGGCTACTGCACCATAACGGGACGCTTCAAGGACATTATCATCCGAGGTAAGTAATGACCCAGCAAAATGCCGGCACCAATAAGCCTAGGCAATTACTGACAGACGCATCGCAACACAGGCGGCGAGAACATTTATCCATTGGAGATTGAAGAGCGGCTCGTAGCCCACCCGGCTATCTCGGTTGCCGTCGTCGTCGGGCTCAAGGACGCCCACTACGGCGAGGTGGTGGCTACCTTTCTCGGTCTCGAGGACGGCCACGCGCGGCCCGCGCGAGGTGAGGTTCGCGACTGGGTGCGGCGACATCTCGGCAAACACAAGGCGCCGACGCACGTCTTTTGGTTTGGGATCGACGGCGTGCCGCCCTCGGCGCCTCTGACGGGCAGCGGCAAGGTGCGCAAGTTTGAAATGGCGCAGCTGGGGAACAAGCTTCTGGAGGCAGCGCCGGTAGCAAAGCTGTGAGGTGAGCGGTAATAAGTAATCGATAGGTTTAATCGTGCTCATAGTCAGGGCGCTGGGAATTGAGGTTTGGGTGCGCAAAAGAAAAGTTCGGCATTGGTGCGGCATTCTCATGCGGTTATCATCTTTCTCTCGTTTGTAATATTTATAAATAAAGAAGCGATTAGAAGCAGATTTGGTTTGACTTTGATAGCCTGCTATTTTATCAACTGGGCATGACGTCGCATGTGGCCCTGGCGCCGAGTTCAGTTGTCAGAGGACTTGGAGTTTTGTGTTTGGCAGTGTGACACCAGGGCTGCAATCATGGTACTTTTCCAGTGGAAAAGATTGGTCATTGGAGACAAGAGACAGATACAAAAACCGTACATGGCAGGAGCTATCCTCAGGTTTGTTTACACTGCATGTGAAATAAAGATGCCTGTTCAGGAAAGAACGACCTTGGTTGCGACCTTGGTTGCGACCTTGGTTGCTAATTCAACTTATTTCCTCTATCTAGACTCTAGTACCCGTCAAATTCAGTGCCATCTACACGCATTGTAGAATTAGCATTTCTATAAGATGCATTCCATTTATTTCATGCTTCCCCCAAACCCAAAGTCATTCATCGGCTTGAAGTCTGAACAAGAGTTCGTTATTTCCTCGCCCTCGTTACGTTATCCATATTCCGAAACTTCATCTGAATGCTCTTATCGTCCGATTTATCTTTCGTCGCATCATTACGTTTTGGTCGTCTCGTCCTAATATTCGATTGCACTTGGCGATCGGCGGTGCGGGACAGGCAACCGTCCCAAGATGAGGTCGGCGTGGCTTCTCCACGAAAACCTGATGCGCATTCACTCCCGATTTCCTCGCACTAGAGAAAATATTCCCGAGTGTGGCGGTGGCAACCGCGATAGCTAGCAATATCGGAAAGGTTAAACGTCAAACAATAATAAAGCCCGTATGGTCTAGTGGTATGACGTTCGCCTCACACTCCACAGCAGTGGTCGCGACAGGTCCCAGGTTCGAGCCCTGGTGTGGGCATACTTTTTACCTCCCGCTCTAATAAGAGGTACGTACTCTTTGTTTTAGATTGAGGGCCTCGAAGAAGAGCGCTTCCGCTGTTCACGTGGAACTAAAGTCTTTAGATTTGCGTTGTACAGGGGAGGTGATGAATATTCAGCTAACTATATATCCTCTAGAACCCCGGAAACTCAAACGGCTTCTCGGCCGTCGTGTAGCCGCCCGGGGGTATCCCGCCGTTAGGCAGGCCGCCGAGGAAGGACGTGTGCAGCGAGTATAGCTCTGGGTTCTGGGCGATGGCGGCGGCCTGGGCCAGCACGTCCTCGAGGTCCTGGCCAACGTCGATGTACTTACCGCGCAGGGCGGTCCTAGCCAGGCCCGTCGCCAGCGCCACGCACACCATGCCGTTGAGGTAGGGCGAGTCGTTGTAGATGTCGAGCGCCTTCGCGAACCACCCGCGCGCCTGGGGCGGCAGGTTGCCGACCGACTCGTCGCCGTACTCTGGGGGTTCACAAGTCAGCACCATTCCCACTCATTCACCACAAATCACGAGACACACTCTTGAGCGTCATAGCCGACTTGATGCCGCCCGGGTGCAGCGAGTACAGGTGGATGCCGTCGAGCGCCTCGGCGTCCATCTCCTTCTGCACGCAGCCCGTCAGGTTGATCAACGCCGCCTTGCTAGCGCAGTACGACGTGCTATACGGGATCGCCACGGTGCCCGCGCGCGACGCGATGTTGAGCACGCACCCGCTGCCCTGCGCCCGGAACCCCGGCAGCACCAGCCGCATCAGAAAGTACGGCCCGTGGAAGTTGACCGCGATGTCGCGGATGAAGTCGCGCGGGTCCTGCGCGTCGAGCTGCGACTAGTCAGACCTGTCCGTCATATTCATCCATATCGGGTGGGTAAACATACCGGTCCCAGGCCGTTAGCCCCGGCATTGTTGATGAGGATGTCGACCCTGCCGTGGGCTTCGATGGTCTTGAATGCTGTAAGCAGTCACCCCCCTGACAAGGCTGGACGGAAGGCGTTAATTACCTGCCGCACAAGGTCCTCGCAGCCCTTGAGCTCGGCAACATTGCACCTGACAAAGGTGGCGGCGGCGGCGCCCAGGCCGAGGCACCGGTCCTTGAACCCCGGCGGCGGGGGCGTGTTGTTGTACGTCAGGACCAGCGCCGCGCCCGCCACGGCAAACGACTCGGCCAGGCCCTGCCCGATGGCCCCGGCCGCGCCTTGGCGACTAGTCAGCTTCCCATTTCCCCATAAAACCTCGAAAAGGCGTCTTACCTGTGATTATTGTGACCTTGTCCTTGAGCGCGCCCTTGAACTTGGCTGGGTGGATGAAGGGGTACACGTCGGTGCGGAAGCGCGGCATGAACTGCGCGGGTGCGTCGTCGCCCATGTTGGCTGTAGCCTGGTGCTGCGGTCAGTTATCTATCTCGAATTATCTACGAATAAAGGCAAATGTCTGAATGTCTGCTTGGTCGCGGAAAGGCCAGACGGGACGGAGTTTTGGTTGCCGCGAGGCCAGACAGCGGGGTATTTTACCCCGACAACCGCAAGCGCGGGAACAAGTGTGGTGTAATTCATCCGGGATAAATATAAGCGGGCTCGACTGGGTCGCGGTAGCGGCAGAGTTGGCTGGTGCTCTATCTGTAATTACCAGGTTTCAATAGTCTCTTTGGCGATGTGCTTGATAAAGAAGACTAGAACGAGCTCAAGATTGGCAGTTGAAAAAGATATTAATGCTTATATTTCCATCGCTTTGCCTTGGATAAGAAATTGCCCAACTTCAAAGTCGACGGAAATATAGTAAGAATCACAAACATAACTCTAAGCCGCAAGAAAATAACGGTAACCTTTCTTTCCGAAGCATAATTATGGACTGGTGGTGGTTAGCATGTCTCGCAGGCTTTGGCCATAAAGTCGGCACGAGTCCAATCACAAGATTGAAAATCCCTGTCAATTGTAGTCGCTCATACACAGCCATTTGATTATTTTTTACAGTGATATGGATCCCATCATTTTGTGTTCCTCGCAAGACCCAGTAACCTCCGCTCGACAACGACCCCCGCCTGGTGGTTCTGGCAAAGTCTAGAGCCCGTTGTTTCTAAGCATCCGAGACATTTAAAACTCCAGGCTCCTTCATCCGATTCTCGGCCCATGTTCCCAGCCGCCAAAAAAGGCTTCTGAGTTGCCTCCGCGCCAGTCTCGTAGCGCAAACCACAGGTGGCGAAAGTCTCGTCCAGCCCGCATAACGGTATCGTAATCCGACGCGTGGTGATAGAGTTGCTGTGAAGCTCAAATCATTAGAGGTATCACTCATATAATACAGGAGAAATAACATACCTAGATATAATGCCCAGACCACGCCGCATATATCTCGCAATCGGCTTGGATCGCATCTTCCGGTAGCCGCTTGACGGCAGGTTGCCCATTCTCGTCCACAATCAGATCCACAGGGCTGACAGCGACCAACGGATCGAACAGCAGCGCAGGGCATATGCACGCCGTCTCCCAGTCGAACAGCGAGGTCACGAGGGGTTCGCCGTCGCCCCTACCAGAGGTCGTGATGGTCGTGTTGTGGACGCCGAAGTCGCCGTGCTCCAGCACAAGGCGGTAGAGGGAGTCGGGTACTCCAGCAATGGCAGTCGTATCCTGTGGTAGGATGTGCGGGATTGCGCGCAGGAGAGACTATTTTGCCGCTAGAGCAGTGGGTCCGACTGTCTCTTCGTCGTCTTCCCAGACGATCATGTCGCCTTTGTCCTGGATCGTCGCGTTGATCTTGCACTCGAGCATGTGCATCCAGAACTCACGCGTGGGAGCGACAGAAATAGATAGCGAACCTGGAATGAATTTGAATAAGCGCTCGAGAAGATACTCGGCAGCAAAGTCTCGTGGCGGGTCGTAGCGGAACAGTGCTGCGCGGACACGGGCCAGTTGTTCGAGCAGGAGGAGCTAGTATTGTCATCAGTGTTTCTTCTATTCTTGGTCTTGTGCTGTAATTACCCTATCATTGGAACTGAGAGTCGTCCACACGTTGTTTACACCTTCTGCCCTTTCAAAAACGAACAACCGGCGGCCGCTGAGGTCCCGAGGTATTACGAGACCGGGGCTGGCGTACTGCACGGGCACGCGCGAATGCAGCAGACGAGAGACTCAAATGTATGGTTCCGGGCGGAGAAGATTATAGACGGCGGCCTCGAAGCGTACCTCGGGAGCCTGCACATGGTTTGGGAACCCGCCAAAGCCGGGCATGTTGACGTCCCCGCGAGCTAAGCGAGCGACTATATCCGGTTTATTGGAGCATCTAATGTGGAAACCCTTGTCTTGATTTAATTTTGGATTCGTTCAGAGAAGCATAGACGCACTCACATAATTGTTAGAGCCTTTGTCGATAAGCGGAATCTCCGTCACCGTGTTTTCAGCTCGTCCTCAGTCTCGTAGACGAGGAGCTTGACGTCCCAGGTGCCGTCAAAGGGGCTCTTGCCACTGTGGACCAGGTTTAGAAGATCCTTGCCGTCATACGGCTCGCCATTAGGCATGGTCAGCCACTCATCTGGCCAGGCCATTGTAATAGAATGGAAAAGGATTTGCTTGTTCAGTCTAAATAGGGCAAGGCCCAAGCTGCGAGTGCCTTCCCCCAAAGAGGGGTAAACCCAACCCTAGCAAGAGTTACGGTGCGGTGAGTTACAGGGGTGCACAAACAAATTACTATCGTTTCGTTTGTGCAGACGCCACTGAATTCCCTTGTGATTACCCCCTCTAACCATATAAAGGGGGCGAGAGAGAGACGAGGTTTGTCCAACCTCTGCAAAACAAAATATCCTAACCGGCAAGTCAGGAAGGGGAGTTGTATGTCCCTTTTTCTTTCTTCGTTCTTGCCTCCGGCGGCCCTCCGGGGGCGCCTGCCGCGGGCTGCTCGCTACGCTCGAAAGTCGTTCTTTCCTCAGTCTTCAGAATTACCTCTGACCTCACTCTTATTCCGCAATTTGCAAACAAACAGACTCACCCACTCAATGACAGTCCCATTTCAAGCCCAAGACAACTGCACCCAAGCACCCACCCGAGACAATCTTAAACCCAGCAAACCACACCTTCACACCCACTCATCCCACCGCGCGCCATGGCGATAGACAAGCCCGTCAACGTCCCACTGCGGGCCCTCGGCATCAAGCAGATACCCAAGCTCGCAGCGACCATAGCTAACACGAGGTAATTCATGCTCGTAGAAGGTGTCAAAGCGCGCGTGCAGCGCGTCGTGCAGGCTCGCCACGTTGCCCGTCGGGTGCAGCGCATGCCACGGCCGCACGCACGTCTGCGCCCGGCACGACTTGAGCACCAGCAGCAGCGCGTCCAGCCGCGCGACCACCTTGCCCAGCGGCACTCCGTCGAGTAGCAGTGGCTCTGTGTTGCTTTCTGAGAGCGCGGAGGGGTGAAGCAGGTTGTGCTGCTGGTACGGGTCCGTCTGATCAAGCACACACATGGTTATGTCAGTGAGTGAGTGGCTTGCTGGGAGAAGGAGAATTTGAGAAAGCGGCCCACCGTTAGGTCGTACAGCTCGTGCTCGTTGTTGCACCACACCGAATAGTAGAAGTTGTACGTTTTGCTAATAATGCGCAGCGCCTTGTACGTGTTGTTGAGCACGAGGCGCGACTTTTCGTCGCCGAACAGCTTGCCCTCGCCGATAGCGAAGCCCCTGGGTAATGCATGCATGTCAGCCAGGTGAGTTTCCCGACTATATACCAGAAAAACAGAGAGAAAGGTATCACGCACCAGTACTCGACCGTGACGTGCTCGTGGCGCGAGCCCACGGCAGCTTCAAGGTCGCGCGCGCGCAGCGGGATGGCCTCGCCGTCAAAGTCGGCGCGGATGGGCGCGCCGGCGAGGTCTAGGATGGTGGGCGCGAGGTCGATGTGGGTGGTGACGAGGTTGGTGACGGCGCGGCCCTCTGGGACGCCCGGCCCGCGGACCACGAGCGGGATGTTGATGTCCTCCTCGAAGCCGCACTCCTTGCCGGGCTGCAGCCGGTGCTGGCCGATGTGGTAGCCGTTGTCGGTCGTGTAGAAGACGTAGGTGCTGTCGAGCAGGCCCAGCCGGCCCAGCCGCGCGAACACCCCGTCGACCAGCTCGTCAACCCCCTGCAGCGCCCGCAGCCGCTGCCGGTAGAAGTGATCGTTGAACGCCACGTTGTCGGGCCCTTGCCGCGGCAGCCGCCGCACCCAGTTGGCTCCCGACGGCTGCTCCGGGTTGAAGTGCGGCGTGCGCGGCACGCGCGCGTCGCCGAATAGGTGCTCGTGCCGCTTGGCCGGGATGGGCGGCGAGAAGACGGCCGCCTGCTCAATGTCGCCAATGTCGTCGAACAGCAGCGTCTGCACGTTGCTGTGCGGCGCGACAGGCGCGATGCCCAGGAAGAAGGGCCGGCCGTCGGCGGCGGCGGCATCAAGAAAGCCGTAGGCCTTGTCGGCCAGCACGTCGACCGTGTGCTGGCCCTTGTAGTTGACGGGCGCGTCGCGGTCGCGCTGGTAGCTGGCGTTGAGGTACATGTACGTGTAAGGGTCCAGCAGGAAGTCGGAGCCGTTCCAGCCGGCGGCGTGCGGCGCGTCGTAGTTCTCGACCGTGTGCGCGTTGAAGAGCTTGCCCGTGTAGTACGTGTTGTACCCTGCCTGCTGCAGCCACACGGGCAGGTAGGCGTTGTTGAACCCCTGGCGGATGAACTTGGGGTAGCCGCCTGTGTTGTGTCAGACTAGTGATGCAAGAGGGTGTGTGGGTGGTCAACGGCTCAACTCACCATAGGGCGGGTTCACGTCTGTGACGTTGGTGTTGTGGGCCTGCTTGCCCGTCCACAGCGACACCCGCGACGGGCAGCAGAGGGCCGTGGTGCAAAAGTGCCGCCTGTACTGGGTGCCGCGGTCGATGAGGTGTTTCTTGACCAGCGGCATGTAGTCGAGCGAGTTCATGTGTAGGTCCTGGTCGTCGGTCAGGATGAAGACAATGTTTGGCTGCGACCCCTTTTTTTCATCTCCAAGCGGCTTCTGCTGAGAGCCATCGTGGGCGGCAACACGCAGCAGAGACAGGCCTGCTGCCAGTGCCAGACTTGAGAGGCGCATCGTGGACCAGGAGCAGCCAGCTCTTGTCAGTGTGTGTGGCTGACCTGGAAACAATGTTTGTTTTGATATGACTTGATAATCTCTGAACCGGTGCACCACACAACAAGCAGAGCTCAGCCTTCGTTGATTATTACTACTACCCACGATATACGTCTCATATTATCAATCAAAGCCAGTCTGGGGAAGCGAGTGCCACGACCAGGGCGCCGGTGCCATTGGGGTTGCCACACCTGCATCGCGGCCCCTGGATTGAGACGAGACGGTTGATGGCGTAATCCAGCTCCGCGATTGCGAGGGGCAACACGCCAACGGCGACATTGAATCTTTGATATCCTACTGCACACTACGCCCACACTATGCCCCATCCGCTGCGCACTACTACTGCGCCAAAACTGCCTCATCGCTTGCCCAGATCACGTTTTCGCGTCTTTCGGTGCGACAGAGGTCCATTGTGACACACGAGCCTAGGAATTGCCTCTCACAGACTTACTACAACCAGAACTAGACCCGTCCCAGGTTAAGGGTACACTGCATTCACATTGCCACCGCCACACGTCTCAATGGACAGACAGCATCTGCAGCTAATTAATGGATGGCCGCGATTAATCAAGCAGTGACCTCATGGCGCCAAGACACGAGCTGCATCACGAATTGAGCCACACGAGATGCAGACCGAGTGCAGCAAACATAGAGTCTAGACTTGACCCAAGCGACATTGGCTACTTGCCTATCCCGTAGAAGCATGTCTCGCAGCGCGCATGGGGCTAATCGGTTTGGGACTGTGAGCGACGAGCGGGGGCGTCTTTGTGGTCGAATCACGGCCGCTCGCGCCGTCGGCGCCCGAGGCCCGCTCCGTGAGCCGACCCATACGCTCTTTCCTTCCAAATCCAGCGTCTTGAAATTCTTGTCCTGCTTTTGTTCTGGGCCTGCTTTTGTTCTTGGCCTGCCGTGGAACCTTGATGTCTGGCCGCGCAAACCCGGGCTCGCGCTGAACGAAACACCACTTGTTGCGTCTAATTACTAACTTGTGTTTCCTTTCTTGTTTTGGACTGCGAGAATAACTACACTCGTCATCATATCTATACACTACCATGGCTCAACAGCAGCAGCAACCGCCCGACGGCGCCGTTTCTGCCGAGCCCGCCACCGAGCACTCGCCCCTCCTGAACCACGTTCACGTTCACGCCCGCGCCAACGGCAGCCCACGAAGCCCGTCAGCCGATGCCGGGCCGCCCGCCAACGGCCACGGCGCCGCCGTCAAGCATGCTGCCCCGGCCGACGAGGAGCAGGCGCGCGCGCACGGCGACCGCGGGTTCAGTAGGGCCCAGGTGGCCCGCATCATTTCAGTCCTTCTCATCGGTAGGTTGTTCCGGAATGTTCAATGTAGGCGGGTTTTGCTGAGAGACGAAACCAGGCGTCTTCGTGGCCAACGCCGACGGCTCGCTGCTCATGGCCACGCACCCCATCATCGCCTCCGACTTCAACGAGCTGTCGGCGTCGAGCTGGCTCATCACCAGCTTCTCGCTCGCGGCTGCCGCCACCCAGACCTTGGTGCGTTGTCTTGTCCTAGGTTCGATGTCGAGGCCGGGCTGCTCGAGTTTGAGGCGGTTGCAAGCTAACGCCGAGCCGCCGGGGTGTCTGTGTAGTACGGCAAGCTGAGCGACATCTACGGCCGCAAGTGGCTGGTCATTGTCGCGTACAGCGTGTTTGCCCTGGGCTGGTGAGTCACCTGAACGAATCGTCCGGAACGTCAGTCCGATGGGCGGGAAAAGGCTAACTCGAGCAGTGCCATCATGTACGTGCCTCTGGTTGGTGTTAATTCCGTGGACGACGAGCAGCGCGACTGACCCGCAGCCGTGATGCAGTTCCGTCGGCCAGACCATGTGGCAGGTCGTGCTGGGGCGCGTCATCTCGGGCGCTGGCGCCTCGGGCATGACGACGCTGGTGTCGGTGCTGATCACCGGTGAGTTCAGTCCTGCCAGCCAGCCAGAAACTGAGCTGTTGACTGACCAGGCAGATATGCTGCCCATCAGGGAGGTTGCCCAGTGGCGCTCGTTCGTCAACATCATCGCCACCACCGGCCGGAGCGTGGGAGGGCCCCTGGGCGGCTGGCTGGCCGATGTCATCGGATGGCGGTGGTAAGTCACGTCCAGCGCGCAAAGCGGCAGAGGGAAGACGCGTCTGACAGTCTGCGTCTAGGTCCTTCTCGGGCCAGGTGCCCGTCATCGGCGTCGCCATCGTGCTCTGCGCCATCTACCTGCCGGGGCCCAACAGCGCCCCCGCCGCTTCCACCGGCACCGCAGCAGCAACACCTACTAGCGGCGACAACAGCAGCACCCCGCTCGTCAGCCGCAAGAGCAAGTTCAGCCGCATCGACTTCAAGGGGTCCTTCGTCTTCGCGCTCATGATCCTGGCGCTGCTGTTCCCCATGGAGCTCGGCGGCGTGACGGTGCCCTGGTCGCACCCGCTGATCGCCGGCCTGTTTGTGCTCAGCGCGGCTCTGTTGGCCGTTTTCATCGCCGTCGAGCGCCGCGCGCCCGAACCCATCCTGCCGCTCGACATCTTCAACCGCGACGCTTCATTTTCATTTCTCATCATGGGGCTGCAGTCGGCCGCGCAGATTGGCGTGAGTCTCTCTCATGCTTAATGCTCGGAATAAAGAAGAAGGACGAAACTGACACCCTAGCAGCTCATGTTCACGGTGCCCATCTACTTCAAAGTCACGGCGAGCGTGTCCAACACGTCGGCCGGCGCGCACCTAGTCCCAGCCGTCGTGGCCAACGCCGTGGGCGGCGTGCTCTCAGGGCTGATCATCAACCGGTGGGTAACTTCGGGTCTGCCCCTTTTCCCCTCCATCATCCCTATGTCAACAACAAACAAAACAAGAAGTTCCCTAACCCCTTCCAAACAGGTCTGGAAAGTACAAGTTCCTCGTCATCTTCGCCGTGGCTTGCTCGTCGTGCGGCTACCTGCTACTGATGCTGACGTGGCACGGTCACACGAACTGGTTCGAGTCGCTGTACATCATGCCGGGGTAAGTCCACCCACCCCCCACCCCCCCCCCCCCCCTCCCCTCCCCACTCCAAACCAGCCTCTGACTGTCACAGCGGCTTCGGCACGGGCATCGCGCAGAGCGCCGTGTTCATCTCACTGCAGGCCGTCGTCGACCCGGCGCACATGGCGCCCGCCGTGGCCTTCATGTACTTGTCTAGCACGGTGTGGTTCATGGTCGGGCTGGCGGCGACCAACGCTGTCCTCCAAACTACGCTACGACGCAGCCTACTGCGGCGGCTGCTGGCCATCGGGCTGGACCACGCCGCGATCCAAAAGGTTTGTCTCTCTGTCTGTCTGTCTACTTTACCCTTGGTAGAATTCTAACCAATCATGAAATCAGATCATCGCGAGCGCCATCTCCGACGTCGACTTTGTCGATCGCATGCGCGGCGCCGCGCGCACCGCCGTCATCAGCGCCTACGTGGACGCGCTGTGGTGGAGCCATGGTTAGTATTCCCACTTAGTTATCCATCCTGTTTATGTTTTCTCGTATCTGGTGAGGAGCTGTCCTTTGTCACTAACACACTTGACTCATCTGACAGGCGTGCCGTTCATCTGCTCCGTAACGGCGCTTGGGATTGCCATCTTCCTCAAGCAGAGGCGCATCGACAGGTAGAACCAAAAGGCTAGGTTAGAGAGGAAAAGTTGGAAGAGCGACGCAGAAACTAGAATTGGTGCATATTATAACAAATTGGTAATTAGGTATATAAACGGTGGGTGGTAAGATAACTCGTGAGTGAGTTCATTGTGAAATGGAATCGAGCATACTACAAGCTGGTGAGTGGGCATCGTAACTTTGGTTAACCAACAAAACAAAAGATAGAGACTAATAATATCAAAGCATTATCAAGCAGGCCTGGCTTTCAAACGAAATGCTAGTGAATCAACCGTTCTTTGACTCCTTTTATAACAAGTACTTGTCTCGACTCCATGGAATGAGGCACGCATAAACGATCACAGCCGCATACTAGATCAGACGACTGTTACAAGTACATCACAGCCATCTCGTAGGTAGCTCCTATTCCCAGTAGTTACTTGCAAATCCTGTATAGTCTCTACAGCCACGTCTATGTACTTGTACCTAATTAGCGAAACCACACCATTGCTCGTCATGGTCTCATCGGTTGCGTCATTCAGTGCGTCATAACACCTGGTATCCAAAACCTCACTTTCGAGGTTTCTTGCCTACCTTGGGCGGGTCTCAAGAACCCGCGATTCCCAGGCCCACACGCCCTTGCATACCCGTCCCGTATGCGCTGGCTCCGCCGCTCGGCCCTGGAATACCATTATTTGTCCCGCCCCTTTCCCGCATCCTCCGGCCCTCCATCAGGCCTCTCAGACCCCTCTTTTGCAGCCCAATGACGCTGCTGAGGTCGCCCGCCCAGACTTCGCGCGCCGTCCCGCGCTCGCTGTCCCCAAACTCGGAGCTCCACTCACTCCCACTGACACTGCCAGTCGCGCTCAGTTCTTCACTTGCCGGCCGTCCGCCCTGGGGCACAGCAGTGCTGATCTTCAGCCCGGCCGTACGTGCCGTCAGCCCGCTAGTACCCGTCGAAGCGGCCTCGCTGCCAGAGACGTTGCCGCCGTCCACCGGTGTCTCCGAAGAGTTGGTCAAGGCGTCGAGTCCGGCTTGGAGCGGAAAGAAGTTCGGGTTAAGGGTTCCGTCAATACCGCGTCCGCCGCCGGCTGCCATGGCAGTGGCGTTGAACACGGCCGCTGCGTTTCGGCTGTCGAGCAGGTTGTGAAGCCGCTCAACCACAGCCTCGAGAAGTCCGTCGATGCGGTAGGGCCGTGCAATTTGGAGAAGACTGCAGAGAATTTGCGGGGTGCAGAGCGGGGACGACGTCTGAGGAAGGCTCGACGTATATAGATAGTGGAGCAGCGCTTGAAGTGTCAAGTACGTGTGCGGCAAGTACAACCATCTGGGGCGGCTGTTGGGCGGCAAGGTGCGTGGTGTTGGCGCCGTGTTGATGGCTGCAGGGTCCACGGGCGGCGACATCACCCCCGGCGAGATTGTCGTGGCTGTGCCTTGTGGTTTGCCGGTTGAGCTGCCGGTCGAGTAGAGGGTGCTGGACATGGACAGCTGGCTTTCCATCGTGTTTCGATTTCCCTGCGCACTCGCCATATTGGAGCCGCGCACCGTGTTACTAGGTGCCGAAATCGAGTTGGACCTTAGTGTAATCGAGTCGCTGCCATTGTGTGTTGCCGTCCCTTCCCTTAGAAGTTGGACAAAGTAAGGGCCCCACCTCCTCGCAACAATTCTCGAGTTGATCGGTATCCTCTCGCCTCCGATGCACATAATGTCCATATCGGACAGCTCCCTCATCGCGAGGGCTTTTTCTCCCAGCTCCTCAGCGGCACGGCTGTGGAATCGACCGCCGGCAGTGAAGCCGGCCTTTCGAGCAAGGCTCAATCCTGGCCCCGTATAAGGGCTGCTGGCGCTGACGAATCCGCTCATGGGAGCCGTCTTCCGGGGATTGTCGAAAAACCCGAATGCTTCGAGCTCCACCATGCAGACGTTACTAAAGTTAATGCGGCGGTGGTTATAATCGTCGACAAGGCTTCTCTTCCTATTGCCCAGTACCACGAAAGTATTCCTCCTGTTCCACAAGACGCCACGGTTCCAGCTGCCCTGGCTAAAAACCGCCCCTCCAGCATCGATGCGGCTCCACGTCAGGGTCCGCAGGTCGAGGGCCCAGAGCGCATACTCCTGTTTTGAAGACGTGAGGTAAGTGCCGCTGACTACAAAGTGGGTGTCGATCACTCCTCCGTTCGGAAAGCGCAGCCCCGGTGGGCTATACGAGCCACTCATGGGGCGCTCACTGAGAGAGCCATCGTTTGCCCGAATCTGTAGCTCGAGTTTGACGTCGAGAAAGTTGTAGTTGCTGTATATGAGCATACTGGACCCGGGCTCTTTGGCTTCCTGGCTGATACCCCCGCCGTCCTGCCGGTTTCCGTTCGGGTACGCCTTCCCAATCTTTGACGTGACCGACGGCGGGAGGGGAGCTACCACGCTGCGGTACGCGCCGCAGCTCTTACCCAACGACTGCGTGGACACCCACTTTAGGCTGCGCAAGTTGAAGACGCTGATCTGCTCAATGTAGTGATTGGCTCCATCTTGGCCGCCAACGACAATCATCTCGGCACCGCCTGTCCCGTCAATGCTGATACCAATTCGGCCTTCGTTCGGGTTGCCGGTAGAAGGGTTGTGCTGGAGCGCCGAGAGCGGAGCTCTGTGCGACGAGAAAGTGGCCGCAGAAGGAAGAATGCATGCGCAGTGTGCATAGCGTCCTTGGGGCGCATCTTGGGTCGGGATAAAGGTCCACTTCTTGGTTGGCACGTCGTAGATGTAGATGTCAGACATGACGGTGACCTCGGGCTGCTGGTCCTGCGCGGCACCCGGCTTCGGATTAGGCATGGGTGACATGCCACCATAGCAGACCATCTTAGTGTCGCCGAGGGCGCACATCGAGTGGAAGTACCGTGGTGGCGGAACATCCCCCGACGTCTCCAGCTTCGTCCAATGCCGACGAATCAAATCGAGCTCGTACAAGTCTGCCGTCAACGGGGCAGGCCGGCTCCTAGACAGGATCCTGCCTCCAAATACGTACAGCTTGTCGCCGAGGATCGTGGTGGTCGCCCCGACCAGGGGGTGCGGTTCCCTCCCTGTCGTCCGATGAACGTTGCACATCAACCCCGACAGATGCGCCGACGAGGACGCGGTCCCAGCGGTCCCAACAGGTGCACCTGCGGGGGTCGGCCTCGACTGGCCAAAGTTGGGCGATGGCCCGGCTGACAGTGGCCCGTTGCTCTTGGGAGTCAAGTTTTCGGTCCGCTCGTCTCCTCCATCCAACCTCGAGGCGCTCGCCAGACTGCTCTGGCTACCATTCATATCCTGGCCATGGCTTTCTTGCGACCTCATGTATAGCCCGCCTCCCATATCCATCGACGAGGATGAATCCATCGTGCTCGTCCGGCTGTCCATTTCCTTGTCCTCTGCGTCCACGATCGTTGCCAAGCTCGTCTGGTGTGTGGGGTGGGTCAGGGGAGTCAGCGGACTTGCGGGTGAGAGCTGCGGCGGTGGCGGCTCGGGTAGTGGTTTTCCAAGGCTGTTCTGGAGACTCAAACTCCGCGCATGGTGTGATTTCAACAGCCCAGACCTCGACGACGGCTGGAAAGTGATGCTCGGAACAGTTGGCTCGGACGGTCGTCGGCCAAACCTGGCAACGTCGTCTCGCCCAGGCGTAACCCTCTTGATGCCACGGAAGGCCGAGGACAGGATTTCAGATGTTGTCGATTTCGAAGGCGATCGGTCTTCAGGTTCGGGATCCGAAGATCGATTGACGTCGCCGGCGGCGGTCTTCTGCTGCTGGCCTGATTTGCCGACTGTTAGTCCATACCCCGACATGGTCGCTCGTGATCCTATTCCACAAAGCTCGGCAACCGCCGGTCCAGTGTTTTGGGGGGTCGCTGCGGGACGGAAGCACAGGGTTGACAAGATCAGAAGCGAGGCAGGGCTCTCGGATGGCGCCGAGGTAGCCGGGGTGCTTAGCGCCGGGGCAGCCCTCGGGAAAAGGCGGCGCAAGATGAGGCTAAATGACGCGCGGAGGCTCTAGACAAAAGAGAATGGCCTAACACAAGGGAAGGAGGCGAAAAAAAAATTGACCGGTTTGAGAGGCCAGCGGCGGAGGCACAGACGACGAGCAAAGCCCCCATTCGGTGAGCTGACCCGCGCCACAACCTCCTCTCCTGGGTTCTGACGGGGCCAGGGGCCAAGCGGCGGCCGGGCTCCCCCGGGTTTGCAGGGTCCACCGGTGTCGCCGCAAATTCGGCACCGGCCTCCCGTCCACACACAGGCAGTGCAGAGCGGCGGCGAACGGGGAGATGCCAGGCGAGGCCGAAGCGAGCCGCGGGGAACCAGGGGAGAGCTGGCGGCGGGAGGGCAGTCTGGATGGAATGTATACAGCGCATGTCGCAGCCAGCGAGCGACAAGCTTCACGCACGGCAGCACTGGACTGGGACGGCGAGGAGGTACGGAGTAGCACGGTTGCAACCGTGACACGGCGAGGGAGGGCGAGGCGAGAGTGAGGGAGGGATACAGCAGAGAGAGTCACGGACGGGCGTACCTGATCAGGCTGATGCACAAGCACCAGCGGAGGCAAGGTTGCAGTGTTAATTTCCAGTGACCTTGGAAGTTGCGAGAGAGCAGACCGAGAGACGACGACTGCGCCAACACCAGCGCACCGCACAGACGGTCGTTTACAGATGCGAAGGGATGAGGTGCGTGGAAGAGGGCGATGTGGGAGATGATTGTCGCGCTCGCTATGGAGTAAGTATAGCGGACTGGACTGGCGGCGGAAACAAACCTGGCGGGGGCGGGGGCGGATGAAAAGGGAGCGGCCGGGATTGGTAGAAATCGAAGCCTACTGCAGAGTACCTCGACGACTTTGCAGTCCTTGCCGTGCCCTGCGCTGTGCCGCGGTTTCGGGCGCGTAGGTAAGGTAGTTTGCGTGCACAAAGAGGAGGATCCTGCAGGAAGGCGAACGGCGACTCCAGTCACCGACAACACCAAAGAGACAGGGCATTCGTTGCGGTGAGCCCAAGCCGGCCCAGCTAGCCCCAGGCAGGCAGTCGAACCACTTGGTTCCATTCCTAGTCGAAAAGTGGAGTGGGTACTTCCGTCTTCCATCTTTTCTATTGTTCCAGCCCTGCCTGCAGCAAAGCCGGACAGCGCGCGCAAAGGCCCGACCACCAAGGTAGGTTGCAGGGTAGAACCGGCCAATGGCAGCGCACAGAAAACGTGCTGGGGAGAGAAAAGCACAGGGAGCATGGAGATGTGCATCGACGAAGTAGAAGCCAAAGCTCAGGTCCGTTTCTCAACCGACTCCAATTGATCAATCAGGACAGAGACGGCAAAACAGCGACATAATTCTAGCCCGTCTCTGCCTTGAAAAAGCAGCAGAGAGCCGCCGCCCCGTGCTCTCGATTACATTGCTCTGCATTTGCATGTTTGCAGCGGCCAGCATCATCCCATCACAGCCAGTCCTTGACGCCCGCGTCCGCTCCCTCGCACTTTTGTCACACCTCGCTCGCTCCTCTGCCACGCAACGCGCAACGCAACGCAACCTCGGGGCTCTCTCATTCTCTTGTGACGTGACGAACCGTGCGATCCGAAGAGTTAGGAAGGGGAGGACCGCAAAAAGATTGCGGTCCTGATTGCGGTCCTGATTGCGGTCCTTGTGGACACCCCCCTAATCAGGAAGGCAGCCAGGCGTCAAATCAACCTGAACAAAGGGCGAGCCGGGCGGCTCGACGCGGCGTGATGACTTGCATTCGCACGCTCTAATTTGCTTGCCAGAGCCTCTCATGTCCTTTTCGTGACGAGATGACGGGATATTGCACTGCCATGCGCCTTAAGTGTAGCCGTAAAAAAAATAACTGGTCAAATCTGTAAAAGGCAAGGGCCCTTTACACAGCTTTCTCACCCAAGACGACGGCCGGGAACTCTCTTTCCCAGACAACGGAACCCAGCAATACCCTTATCCCTGTTGTATTTTCCGCATGGTTCTTCGGTGCTCGGATGCTGTAGACTGGGTGCTACTTCCACTTCCCCCCACTGGGAAGGAGACCGTCCTGCTTTGGCCATTTCTAGATCGCTTCTTCAGCCCTGTTGTCCGATTTCCCATTTCACTTTCCACAGTAAGCTTATGAGTTCTTCTGTCTTTTGTTATCCGCACTCAACAGCATGCCGCGGTACGAGAACTTCCAGCGCGTTATTGAGTTTAACAACCTCACTCAAGCCTGTTTGAACTCATAGGCAGCTTGAAAGCTAAGAAACGGCATTGACTTGGGTTTTCCAAGAACACCCAGCGGAAGGCACCCAAACTGACGAGATGTCATAGTTCCGATCTCTATTCCCATCCCATCCCATCTTAGCCACCAACTCCCGACCGGCAGACATTAGACGGGATGATGGAACGCCAGATCTGCCTCGACACGTTGTTTTTGCATGTCAAAGGCCTTAGCACACATCTCCTGACCCTGTCGTCCCGTCGCTTTGACCCCGTTCTTCCCAGGTCAACCGCATGAACCTGACCCCATTGGACATTTGCTGCGGAGCCTAGAAGCCGCATTTCTGTTTTGTTTTCTCTGTCCCATCTCGGTCTCCTTCGGAGCTCATGATTCACCGTTGGCAGATCAAAGTGAAGAAAGTCGAGGCTGCCTGACACAAATACCGCAAAGTCCAACTACAGTTTAATCCGGTGCAATTGCTTCACACGAATGAACCTGGCTGCAGGAACAGAGGAAGTCACATGGAATTAACAATCGTTGCAAGCCGATGTGACACAAAAGAGAGTGAGGCTCAATTTACTTGCTGCATTGCAGCAGCAAACCAGATCGGCGAATATAGCCCCCAACAGCCGTTACCAACGGCTTTTGGTCTGGTTTGGGAATCATGGTATACAGATAGCGCCCTGAAACTCGACCTGAGATCCCCGCCTCCCCCGCTCCACTAGCCCCTAGCAAGAAACGTCACTCCCCTTTCACCGATTTCCTTTTTTACTTTCTGTCCACTCAAGCGTCCAAAGGGAGCGCAGTGAAGCGGAGGTACGGCTTGACAGCGCGGAGGTTGGGGAACAGCTGGGTGGCCTGCTCGCCCTTGATGCTGGGGTGGACAATGACGTCGTCACCGGGAACCCAGTTGATGGGGGTGGTGACCTTGTACTTGTCGCCGGTCTGGAGCGAGTCGACGATGCGCAGGATCTCGGCGCTGTTGCGGCCGGTCGAAGCCGGGTACGAGAGAATGGTGCGGATCGTCTTCTTGGGGTCGATGACAAAGACGGAGCGGATGGTGAAGGCGATTCCCTTCTCATCCACGTTGGTGGTGTCTTGGTAGTCGATCCTACCGAGCTGTGTCAGCCATTGCCCCCTTTGCGTTACGGCCCCAAGCCTAGCCAGCCCCAGCTCTGAAACTTACATGTCGTAGAGGTAGGCAACCTTGCGCTCCTTGTCGGCAATGATGGGGAAGGAGACCTGGGAGCCCGTCACGTCCTTGATGTCGCTAATCCATCCCTCGTGGCTTCCGAGTGTGTTGGCCGACAGGCCGAGAAGCTTGACGCCACGCTTGGTGAACTCGGGCTGAAGGCGAGCCATCTCACCGAGCTCGGTGGTGCATACTGGCGTGTAGTCCTCGGGGTGAGAGAAGAGCACGACCCAGCTGTCGCCAATGAACTCATGCAGGTCAATGGGGCCCTGGGTGGTGTCGGCCTTGAAGTTGGGGGCAATGTTGCCTAGACGAAGGCTAGAAGCTGCTGTGTTAGCGATGAAGCGCCATCTGAGCTTGGGAAGACGCACGGAGCGGAGCGTTCAGCCATTGTGATGGTGTGTTTTGGGTATCAGTTTAGCTGTGACGAAGAGATGCGGTCTATACGAGTCTCGAGGGAAGGTTGAATATGTATTAGAGATCGGGGACGAGGACACGTAGAAGGTGGAAATAAGTGATGGTCTGATGAGGGGAGCCGTGGGTGGAGGTATTTAAAGGTGGCTCCACGAGCTGGAAAGCTTCAACTGGAATGGAACGTGAAGGAAACGCCTCTCTCAGGGACTTTTGCTTGCCCGCACGCACGCTACCCAGCAAATATTGGCCAGTCGCCGACTTGAATTTTCACCCCTACAGCCTTTCAACGCCGAGCGCGTCCGAAAACATCGCCTCGCGACGCTCCTCTGCGTAACCGCAACAGCTCGTGTCCCGATTTCTCATCACCAGCGCGGGGCGAATTGCCCCTCCATTGCCTTGACGTGGGGAACAACTGCCCCTCACTCGCCGAATTAGGCTTAGCGTGCAATTGCGCGATCAACGGGGCCCGTTATTGGCTGCTGTGCTGAGGTGAAATATTATGTCATTTGATGAATGTTGTCGCAACAGTCTCGCTCGACCAGGTGGGGGTTGCATTCGGCGACCACAGCGGGATGTTGAGGTATGAATTAGGAGGTACGGGTAAATCTTCTGTTACCTTATTGTTATCCTGTCGTTTTCTTCCTCGGAAATGCCATGTAGGTGGCCGTACAGCTCAACTCAAAGTCACGGCGTTCACGGCTTATTGACGGCTTGCCGGTATCTCCTCGTGGTCCAAGGCACAGTTTCCAGAACTTCAACTGACACATTCTGTTTGAGCCGTCGGCTCAGCTGTCACCCACCCAGTGCAGTTTCTGGCCCTTTGATGTGCGGGGTCGTCGATCTGCACCCCGGTCACCGTCCTCGCCAAGATTTAGTGATGAGAGGCCGCAAACGGTGGGAATGACACGTGCAAGGCCGAGTTTGCCAGCCTCCGCTGCAATTGGTGAATCTGTGTGTACAAATGCGGCTGGCGGTATTATTGTATTGTTATATATATACCCCTATGGTTGAGAGGATAATTGATGGGGCGCCAAAAACAAAACGCCGGACAAGCATTAATCGCACTATTTGTGCACCTTCCAGCTTCACACCTCACACATCAAAGCTTTGCCTGGCCCGCTTGCAGGGATTTCCAATCCGTCGGGTAGAAGTTTACATATGTCCCACCGTTGAGCCAGAAAATCTCGTCACTGCCGGTCTTCCCCGGCTCTACGCCTTCGTTGCGTAAGTGGTGCTTTTGCTGTTTGTTTGTACCCGTACTTTGCAAGGCCCCGCCACTTACGACTCGGAGAAAAAGGGGCCTCGCATACTTCGGTAGACCCGTTGTAACATGCTCGGCCAGTGTCTTTAATGTGTCACCAACCGGGAAGGCTCCCTCCCTGAAGATGACGGCAGCACATCCTGCACGCCCCTCGTGGTTCGGGACCTGAACCCCGTACACGTTGGCCTCGACGACATCTGGGTGCAGTCCGACACACTGTGAGACTTCGGCAGTTGAAACATTCTCGCTCTTCCAGCGAAACGTGTCACCGATCCGGTCGCTAAACCACAAGCGGTTTTCTTGGTCACAGCGTAGCACATCCCCGGTCCTGAACCAGGCATCCCCCTCTGTGAACACTGACCGCATGACCTTCTTCGAGGTCGCGTCCTTGTCCCCGTAGTAGCCCTGGAACCTGGACTCGACATCGCTGGCTGGAAGCTTGAACAGCAATTCGCCCGGCTCCCCGGTAGGCGTCCGGGAACAGAAGCCGGTTTTGGGGTCTCGGTAAGGCAATTCTGTGTCATGGTCGACCCCGACAATGGCGTAGGTTTTGCCAAGGAGGAAGGAATACAGACTTCCACCGCGACCCACCGCGCCCGTGCTGAAGTCGTTCCGGCTTATATTCCATGTGGCGAAGTTGCCCTCGGTTGCAGCATAAAACTCAACGATGGTCTCTATCCCGAAGCGCTCCTTGAAGCGATTCCACACGTCGGGCCGCAAACCGTTTCCAAAGGCGATTCGCAGAGAATGCTTGCGGTCAAGATTTTCACCCGTGACTGGATCTATCGCGGCAGGCGCTGCCAGGAGATACCGGCACGTCTCGCCAACATACTGAGTGATGGTCGCGTCATGCTTTCGAATATCTTCCCAGAAGTTGCTCGTCGAGAATTTACGACTCATAGCATATGTGGCACCAGCCAAGAGCGTGTGGATGAACCCAAGAAGCATTGCTGTGCTGTGATACAGTGGCATTGCCTGTGAGTTGTGTCAGTTGGTAGGCTGGGAAAACAGGGCATCTGGAGGGAAGATGAGTGACTTTGAACACCCCGAGCCCCTGCGCCTCGTCACATACCGAATAGAAAACGTCGCTCGATTTGATCCCAATCAACCTGCCGGAAAACCCGCCGATGACCAGGATTTTGGCCCAGGAGACAATGGCCCCTTTCGGTAAACCAGTTGTCCCGCTCGTGAAGATTAACATGGCCATGTCAAGAGTACTCTTTGGGTCTTCTCGAACGTCATCCGGAGGCCGAACAGGGTCCGTCTGCAGTATCTGCAGCTCCAGCTCCGGGTTCACAACCTCGAAGGCGACATCGGGAAGATCCGACCGGACATCGTCACCAACATTCCCAGCAACCACGGGGTCGACCAAGACGAGTCGGCTTTCTGCCTGCTTGATGCAGTGCACGAGCGGCTTGCCGCTCAGGTTGTAGTTGATCAAGGCCGGGCGGGCACCAATTGCCCAGAGGGCGAGGATGAGGAAGAGAAAGGTGTCGGTGTTCTGGAAGTCCAGGGCAACGAGTTCGCCCTTCTTAACGCCTCGCTGCGCACTCAGCCAGTTGGCATAGCGCAGTACAATGTCGTACGCCTGGGCATACGTGTAAGACTTATCCTCCCAGCGAAGGAAATCGCGGTCCTGGGACGATTTCGAGGTTGCCAAGGATTCCAGACGGTAAAAGAGGTTCACCTGTCCACGAGACTTCCACCAGGCCACATTGGCCAGCGTTGGCAAGAGGGACCCAAGCAGACGGAGATCATACGACACTAGGCAGCGGGCATTGATATATGCCGCAACTGCGGCCACGGCTGGGACGGCTAATGACAGGGGTACAGCAGAGACTATTCGGTGCAGGCTCGCGTTAGTGGGCTGCGCATGGGAAAAGCACGTCGTTTTTGGAGTGGTAAACTCACGGCCAGCCATCTTGGCAGAGAATTGGACAAATGTTAGGTTCCGCAGGCACTGCCAAGAGCTCAAGCTGTGGATGCGTGAAGCGTGAAGCGCAAGGCCTAGGGAGGGCAAAGTCAACAGCAGGTAATAAGGTAATGGGAACGAACTACAATGTAGCAGCGACAGGGCAACTGTAAAGTAAATTTCAGGGGAAAATGGAGACGAACACCATCCAGCTTGCCTGCTATTTCGGGCTTCGCACGGGTTGGGGAAGCCGATGGTTAAGTATTGCAAGCTAGACCTAGAAGGATGGGACCGAATTGCGTATTGGATGACATCGGGCGGGATCTCGAACTCTTCGAGAGCAACCCCAGACTCGCTGGTGGTGGGCTGCTAAACACGCCACGACACTTGTGACTTGATAGGAAAACGTGTTTGGCTCGCTTTTTGAAGCGGACTCGGACTCAAAAGTACGGACCAACTCGTGGCACCCGATTGCGCCCCTTTCCGCCATGAAGCGAAACGAAACGGGGACATCGGGAAATCCTGATTCGGCCGATGAGTAAGGTCGAAATACGCGTGTTACTAACTAACTTACTGCGTGCTTGTCTCAATCACATGGAAATGTTATCTCCACGTGCTCGCCAAAACGAGAGACGGAGCGCGCTAACCCCATTGGCGCTAACCAAGCCAGGTGGGTTTTGGTACGTACCTCCCCTGTCAGAAATAGGAACATGCATGCTGGCCAACTGCCAGGCACCTCTCTAACCTGACCAAGCGAAGAGAAAGGGTGTCAGCGCGGCAGCGAAAGTCAATGGATTGCCTGCCAGCATCGAGATGTCTGCTCGGCAACCGTTACAAGATATCCAAGATGGCACGGCGGTGACAGCCAAAGATGGTGCCCAACCCGCCATTTCAAGCGCGACCCCAACGTCGAGCCGGAAGCAGCCCCCGCCCGAGAAGCCGTCCGACATCCGCCGGCGTTCCTTGGTCATCCTCTCCTTCTGGCTGATCGTGCTGTGTCTCGGCCTGCCAATATGGTGGAAGACGACCACCATCTACCGCGCCAACCTCCCCTTGCAGGAAATGCTAGACTGGGCTGATGGCAAGGTAAGGACTACGTCGCCTGGCAATATCCTTCAACCAGCGCCTCCATTGGCAACTTCTAACTTGGCGCGTTAGGCTTGTCGCCCCGTGTTTCCCTTGCACATCGCCATCCAGGCCAACTCGCTCCAGGAACAGGAGGCTCAGAACCTCGTCCGTCTCACCCAACATGCCCTCGACGATCTTAACGACTTCTCGGGGCACCACTTACGCCTACAGCTGTCGCCGCCGTCTGGCGACAAGAAGCCGGCCAGCGACCACAGCGCCGCCTTGACCATCCGCCTAGTTCCGGGCGACTCGACCACGTCGGCGCTGGATCAATACGCGCCCGTCCTCGACATCACGTACCCGCCGAATACAATTCCGTCCCCGACTTCGTCTTCGTCGTCACTCGCCACGTATGTCGCCAGCCAACTACGGTCTACGTTCGCCGAGGAGCAGACCATTATCTCGTATCTGCTCTCTTCCTCCAGCTCCACGCCGCCCGAACATCGGGCCCAGGGCTTGACGCCCGAGGCTGCCGAGCTGCTTTCCAAGCGCACCACGAGGTCGCTAAAATACGCGCCGACCTACCACCTTACCTTTTCCCTCTTCACGAGCGGGCCGCTGCCGAGCAGCTGGGACATTGAGGCCGCCACCGACGAGTACATGAAGCCCGTGCTTGACGTGCTGGCACCTATTCACAATTTCACCATTGATACGCAGGTGCAGCTGTATGCGACGCCCGGGGTGCAAAACCAAGTTCTCAGCAAGGAGGACCTCTCGTCCTTCATCAACGCCGCGGAATGGCCGCTCTCGCCGTCCATCGGCGGTGCGCCGACTGTAAACTTTGTGGTTTTTGTCGGCAACCAAACAATCATGGCTCCTCCGACGACATCCGAGGGTGCCGACAGCGAGCTGCCGACGTTCCAGTCCTTCCTGATCCCTCAGTGGGGCACCGTCTACCTGCTGCCGCTCCCGCACAACACGCCGCACCTGTCGGTCGCGATGCTCAAGCAGCCTCTCCTGACGTTCACGTCGCACCTGCTGTCGCTGACGGGGGCGCCGCAGTCGGGCTCGCTCCCCCTGCGCCTCTCGACGCTGGCGCGCATCCGCTCGGCCGACCTGCTGCTGCGGGCGTCGTCGACGCTGGGGTCACTCGCGCGGCTCTCGCTAGCGCTGCCGTCCATCTCAATCCCCAGCAGCGTGGCGGACGGCGTGTCCAAGACCATGGCGCACTTGCGGCTGGCGTGCGAGACGCTAGGCGGCGCCGACGGGCTGGCGCACGCGCGCATCGCCGAGTCCGAGGCCGAGCGCGCCTTCTTCGAGAAGAGCATGGTCGGCCAGCTGTACTTCCCCGACGAGCACAAGATCGCCGTCTACCTGCCGCTGCTAGGGCCTGTGGCCGTCCCGCTCCTCATGGGGCTGCTGAACGAGATCAAGGCCTGGAGGAAGCGCAGGCGCGAGCGGGCGGAGAAGGGGGCCGAGAAGAAGGCCAAGTAGGACCTGTGTTGAACGATGGTGTGGTTTTGAGTGTGTTCTCTTTGTTGTCATGCATCACAGTACACGGGTATAAATGTAAAAATGAAGCAAAGAATGGGAAATTGAAGTCCTGTAACTCCAGCGGCAATAAGGCGATTGCTGTGATTCGCATCGTGTGCACAGAACGCTTCATTTAATCCATTAGCCCTATCTAGTTGATTTGTGGTCATTGTTCGGGCTAGAACTGTGCAATAATTTGCTCTAGCACACACCCACCTCAGTGAGCCGTCCTCCTTCTCGAAATTGTCCGTTGCTATCCAAACCTTTAGTTAACTAACCACTACTTTTAGCACTGAACCTGACTTTAAGTGTGCTCGGGTGGGTGGAGTCAGTCGACCCCTCTTCCTAGTGTGAGCTATCTATCCACTCTGCGGGGTGCGTGCTGTGCCGCACCGAACATAGACCCATTCTGCTAAGATTGCAATCAACCAACCAAGTCGGCCAGCATGCGGGTTTAGCTCAGTTGGGAGAGCGTCAGACTGAAGTCCACTTCATCGTTGTATCTGAAGGTCATGTGTTCGATCCACATAAACCGCATCCTCTTTTTGGCTTTTTCTCATTGTGCGCGTCGTATACGACCCCATCATTTCCTTTTTTTTAGGTACTTGTTTTGTGGTATCTGGGTTTTACGAGATTTAGTCGCGGTATGTGGCTTGTCTTAATTAACTGTATTCTGGACTGGGTACTTATTTTTAAGGTGTTTGAGATTTAGAACAGTTACTCGATTTTCACCTAGAAGGCCTGCCTGCGATGCTTATTTTGTCGTCCCCTCTTTTCGGTTTCGCAAAACAGAGAGGATTTACGGAACAGGAAGGAGCAGCTGAAAGTCACCAAAATCTTTATGCGGTAGTAGCAATATGTCTTTTGACAACGAGGTAACTGCATTTGTTGAACTTTCTACATAATTATTTCTTTCTGTGTTTTATGACACCTTAATACCCCGAAGCGGCGAACATTGCTCACCACTCATAAACACACCAGTCAGTTGCTCTTGTTCTGTCTCCTCCGCAGCTTCACCGGCACCTTCCTGTCCGGGTGACACGTACCGACGGGGAAGTTTCCCTTGTTGGGCTGCACGTTCCACGCCGTGTCAGCGTCGGGAAACTCAATGTCGAACTCGCGCATCGTGATGGCGAGCGCGGCGAGCGCGCTCTGCTTGGCGAAGAAGCGGCCCGGGCAGATGTTTTGCCCTCCTCCAAAGGGGTAGTAGTGGCCCTGGAGCCCGGTCGTGACGAGTGTAGCTGTCTTGTCGTCTTCGGCCGTCTTTTCGCGCCGTGTCCCGTCCGGCTTGTCATCCAGCGCCGGCGCCGAGTAGATAGACGCGTCAGGCTTGCGGATCGGCCCGCTCGCCGGGTCGCCCGGGTACTCGAGGAAGCGCTCGGCCCAGAACTCGTCGACGGGGTGCTCGGGCTTGCCCGACGACGCGAGCACGCGGCCTGTGTTCCAGAAGTCGGCGTCGTGCGCGCCGAACCAGTTGATGGTGAGGATGATGGCGTCACGCTCCATGGCCCACTTGCCGTCCAGCTCGAAGTTGTCCGTCAGCGCGTTGCGCGCCGTCGACGCCCCGACCGTCACGCGCAGCGTCTCCATGTGCACCGAGCTGAGCAGCGGCTTGCTGCACAGTGCCGCCACGTCGAACGACCCCGTGCGCACGTCGAAGCACGCCTCCGTCTCGGCCCGCACGCGCCGCGCCAGCCCGGGTGACCGGTGTACGAAGACCATGGCCCACACGGTCGACAGGATGGCGTTGGAGTTGGCCGCCCAGATGAGCCCGAAGTCGACGGCGGCCGTCCCGCGGTCCGAGATGCCCAGGCCCCGGAACATGTCGGCGCGGTTGCGCATCAGCCGGGCGCCCCACGCGGGCTCGAACTCGGCATCGGCGAAGCCCTCGTCGAACGTCTCGGCCGCGTGCTGGCGCCACTTGTCGACGGACTCGATCGCCCTGTCGCGCGCCGCGTACGCCTCGGGTGCAAACCACCGCGGGACCCGCCGCAGGTACGTCATCATGTTCTTGTCGAACGCCCAGAAGTCGTCGGCGAAGCCCGGCGACAGCCGCAGCAGGTTCTCGCCGCACAGCGCCGGGGAGGTGCCGTGGAACATCTCGCGCTTGAAGAACTCGAACACGTCGGGCATGCCGACCCACGACTCGCCGGCCACTACGGGCGCCGCGCGCAGGCGGGCCGTGTAGTTGGCGACGAAGCGGGCGAGCATGCCGGTGAGCCCCGCAGTGCCCGCCAGGCCGTCGTGCAGGCCCTGGTGGCTGAGGAAGAAGATGCGCTGGGCGGGGTCGATGTCCTCTGAGCCCGGCAGCGGCTTGACGTTGATGCCCGAGTCGTCGCGGGCCCAGATGGCGACGTCCTGCCGCGGCACGCCGAGCTGGCCGCGCAGCACGGCGGTGACCAGCGGCTTGGACGTCATGTCGCGCATCTGCCGGAACAGCGCCAGCACCGGCTCGCCGTAGGGCACAAAGTAGAAGGTGTCGGCGCCCGCGAAGAAGCGAAACGGCTTCCCGTCGAAGCGCCGGATCATGCTACTAATAAACCCCTCGACGTCGGGCGCGAACTGGAACGTGTTGCGCACAAACGGGATCGCGTACGGCACCTGCGCGGGCGTGCCCGGCCGGCGGCCGAACGGCGCTGATGTGAGCGCGAGCGTGACGATGAAGGGCAGGACGCAGAGACATGCGGCGACGGCCAAGGCCGTGGCTGTGGCTGTGGCAGCGAGCCGTCCGTCTCCGCCCGGCCACGAGGTCATGACGTGGGCGGCAGTCCAGGACGGCATCGTGTCAAGCTTGAGATGGGAATCTTTGGTAGGCAGATTTGGTGCCAGAGGGGCAGGGAAAACGAAAGCAACGGTCAAGCCCCCTCTTGTTGGGCTAGCTGCTTACTCTTGGCGATCGGACTCGAAGGAGTTTCTTCTGCCAGGATTCATTTGGGTAATGAGCGCGAAGTTGACCTACCACGCCAAATCTCGCGTGATATCTCCGTGCGCGTATTCTGTTTCAAAATTCAGCCCCCGATTAGCCCAGCCTTTCGAGAGGATGTCAGCTCTACCGCTTCTTCTCAGCGAAGTCGCCTTTGCACCAGCAGTCTCTGGGATTAAAAGCCACCAAATTTCGCGATCGGGATCGCGGGGAAACGAAGGGAAAAGTGGGGGAATCTCGTAATGAGCAAATAAACGACGAGATATCATCCCCTGCCTGGATATGAAGAGACAGGCCCCTAGGACTCTCAATTAGGTATCTAACGAATTTTTACGCCTGTCGGCGGAAAACATGTATGGCGAGCCGGAATGAATTGAGATCTTGGAAATTTTGGAAAGCCCCCCGTTGACAAATATTCAGGCATTAGATTGCATTCATGTTGATTGCCAATGAAGCTATTCAGATCGGTAAGTAACTACTTTCACGCTAGGAATCACGCATCTCGCGCCAGCACAGCGTCGCGGACGGCTTTCCCCAGCTCAGGAGCGACGCGCGCGAACATGTCTGTTGGGCAAGACAGGAAAACATTAGCCAGAGGCCCCTTTCAGAAACCACCTCACCTCCAACGGCCACGCTGAGAGGGGACGCGAAAAGGAAAAAGGGGGGAAACGAGAAACACATACCAAACGTCGCCTCCCAGACCTCGCGGTTCGCCAAGCCAATGTGGCCCGCCACATTCGACACAAAGTGCGCCTGCTGGCCGGGCTGGGGTCCCAGGACGTCGCGCCAGAAGGCGCGGGCCTGCACGAAATCGTCCTCCACAACATCACTAGTGTATTCAGCGACAGAACCCAGCGCCCAGACGTCGTGGGCCGTGATGCCAGGCGTGAAGGCAGCAGCAGTCTTAGAGCCCGAGGAGGCAAACGCCACGGCCCGCGTCGCCGTCGCGCGCACGTAGCTGGCGTCGCCGCCGTAGTTGCCGTTGATGCTGGCCCGCCCGTCGCGCTCGTACGGGCTGTACACGGGCGCCGCGGGCCGGTTGTTGGGCAGCTGCTGGTAGTTGGCGCCGAGCCGGTACCGTGCCGCGTCGGGGTACGCAAACATGCGCGCTTGGAGCACTGTTGTTGGGGGTGCGGCGGTTAGTTCTTATTTGCATTATTTATTTCACTTCTCTGTTTTGGGAGAGTTGGAGGCATGGCATGGGAGCATGGCACGTACTGGGATCTGCGGACGGCGCAATGCCCGGCACCATTGTCGATGGCGAAAAGGCGGCCTGCTCAATGTCGGCGAAGTAGTTGTCGGGCTGTGTTGTGAATCGTTAGCCAGCTACTCCCTTAGTGAAACGAGAAATCAAAACCAATGATGACCGGGATATCGTCGGTGCATACGTTCTTGTTTAGGGTGAGCTTGCCGACGGGCTGCAGCGGAAAGTCGGCGTGCGGCCAGACCTTTGTCATATCAAAGACGTTCCAGCGGTACGCCTCGGCCTGCTGCGGCGTCATGACCTGAACCTTGAGGGTCCACGACGGGAAGCGGCTGGCGGCGATGGAGTTGTACAGGTCGGCCGTGTGGTAGTCCGGGTCGGCGCCGGCGAGCCGCGTGGCCTCGTCGGCCGTCATGGTGTCGGTGCCTTGGTCCGAGATGAAGTGGAACTTGACGTAATGGAAACCGGTGCCGCCGGGCGCCACCAGCTTGTACGCGTGGCCGCTGTAGCCGTTGACGTGGCGCACCGAGCGGGGCGTGCCGCGGTCGCTGAAGAGGAACATGAGCGCGTGGATGCCTTCCTGGTTCTGGCTGTGGAAGTCCCAGAAGATGGTGGCGTCGGTCACGTTGGTGGCCGGGTGCCGCTTGTGCGAGCGGTTCAGGGATGGGAACTTGACGGGATCCCGCACGAAGAAGACGGGGATGTCGTTGAAGACAAAGTCCTGGTTGCCCTGCTCGGTGAAGATCTTGAGCGCCCAGCCCCGCACGTCCCGGATCGTGTCGGCGCTGCCACGCTCCGGCCCGACGGTCGAGATGCGCGACAGCGTCTTGCTCTTGGTGCCGATGCCATTGAGGAACTTGGCTGAGGTGAGGTGCGAGATGTCGTGCGTGACCTCGAACTCGCCCCAGGCGCCCACGGCGCGGGCATGGACAACGCGCTCGGGAATGCGCTCGCGGCTGAAGTGGGCGAGCGTCTCGATAAGCTGCGTGTCTTGGAGCAGCATCAAGCCCTTGATGGGCGACCCGTCGCTGAATCTCTGTGCGGTGGCAGGGTCGGCATAGGGGCAGCCTGGCCATGTCAGTGTTTACTTCGTGAGTCAGGGGTTTCTGTTTCTGGCGTCACCTTCAGCAAGCGTGTAGAGCCGAGTTTCTGTGTCAACAGACCCCATGTTTGGCGGTGCTGGTGTTAACAAAGACTTGGTCGTATAGCAAATGACTAATTATCGAGAAGTTGCGAAGTAGGTATTCAGGGCAATAACATGTAGTAGTTCACTGCCAAATACACTGTCAAAATAATATTGCAGGCTTGATTGTGGATAAGCAAATCAGCAAAGAGAACAAGAAACGTGCCAGATACATGACTTATACAGAGAGAGCAAAACGAGGCACAGAGATGGCAGAGGCTGGACCGATTGCATGAACAGGGCCTGCCGCAGTTCCGACTGAGATGTTGCAACAAGCCACTGACCAAGATACACCCAACCCGACATCGTATGGCATAGAGGCGCTCACTAAGCCGCGTGCATTCCGGCGGCGAGATTCGCATGACCCGGGCACGTCGGCGTTGTCTCGCCGCCGTGAGTCAGCGCCCAATCAAACCCAATCCCGCAGGTCCGTCTGATTCGGAGTCAGCTCGGCGTTGGCTCTCGGTTGAGCTAGCCGCTGTGCCCAAACGGTGGGCTGTAGCCGAGCATTACAACGCAACGAAGCAGGAGCTGAGCAAGCTCCTACATGTCATTACGTCCCAGGCAACCAACCTCCTAATCCGCGAAGATTTTTTGGACTGTCGAATGCCACCTCGATACCCTACAGCCTCGCCTCGCCACAGCGCGGTTGTCTGTGCCATGGAACTTGCCTTGACAATATCGAACTCGGGAGGGCTCGCAGTTGTGGTTAATTCTTCCAGAGAAGTGGTGTGTCATGGCCCTTGACTCCTTTGCATCTCGATGCCGGTTTCCGACGCCCTCGGTGCCCCTCGGCGCAATGCAGGCATCCGCGTCGGATGGGATCGGAATATAGGCCTTGACGGAGGGAGGGGGCCAACTGCAAAGTCGCTTTGCGTCGAACCAAGTTGTGAGGAGGCAGGGTACCAAGTCACAGTGGGCGACACTGGCATGATGCCTTGTTGCCATGTATAAGAAAGACGCCGTTCCGCCAGTGAATTTTCTCCACTTAGGCTACTCGGCAGCAGCAGCAGCAGCAAAAGCCAAAGCAACAGCAGTCTGGCATTATAGCAGAGATCTCAACCTCTTCCAACCCAAGCCAAATTCAACCTTGCTGCATTTCATTGTCCGTCATATTAACTAGGAACACCTCTTTCTCCCGAGACTTTTAGAACAACCTGCCCAGTGTCAGCCTCAACAAAGCAGCCCAACATGGCTAATACCACCATCGACGGCACGACCGAGTTCGACTTTATCGTTGTTGGCGGTAAGTAACTCCCTCCCTCTGTCGGTCCAAAACGCAGTGACCCAACACGTGTACACAGGCGGCACGGCCGGGTGCGTAGTGGCCGGGCGGCTGGCCGAGAATCCGGCAGTCAAGGTTCTGGTAATCGAGGCCGGGGTGGGCAACCCGGGGGACGTGGACGCGATCACGACGCCGGCCAAGGCATTCAGTCTGCGCGACAGCAAGTACGATTGGGCGTACAAGACGACCATGATCGACCGGCCCGAGTACACGCGGGTCGAAAAACCCAACACGCGTGGCAAGGCGCTGGGCGGCAGCTCGTGCCTCAACTACTTCACGTGGATCCCCGGCAGCGCGGCGACCTTCGACGACTGGGCCGCGTTCGGCGGCGACGAGTGGGCCTGGCCCGCCGTGCGCGACTACTTGTACAAGCCGGCCGCGTACCACGACGACGCCGGCCTGTTCCCGCCCGAGCTGGCCTACCTGGGCCCTGGCCGCGGGCCCATCCCCGTGTCGCACTCGGATTTGTTGCCTGAGACGGCCGGCTTCCGCGACGCCTTGACGCGCGCCTGGCTGAGCAAGGGGGGTGTCCTGACCGACGACGTGCACGGCGGCACCATGCGCGGGCTGTGGAAGTGCACAAACTCCATCTACAGGGGCGTGCGCTCGTCGGCGTGGCTGTACGTGGCCGGCAAGCCCAACGTCACGGTGCTGGCGCGCACCCACTCGAAGCGGCTGGTGCTCGAGGGAAACCGGGCGGTGGGCGTCGAGGTGATCGGGCCTGACGGGAGCGAGCTGACGTTCCGGGCGCGGCGCGAGGTGGTGGTGTCGAGCGGTGTGTTTGAGTCGCCCAAGCTGCTGCTGCTGTCGGGCATCGGGCCGGCGGCGACGCTGGCGCGGTTCGGCATCTCGGCGGCCGTCGAGTCGGCGCACGTCGGGCAGAACCTACTAGACCACCCCATCCTAGCGCACGTGTTCAAGCTCAAGGACGGCTTCGGGCTCGACCAGCACCTGCTGCGGGCCGGGCTCGAGCAGGACGCGGCCGTGTCGGCGTACCGGTGGAAGAGCAAGGGCCCGCTGGCCAGCGGGCTGCTGGAGCTGGTGGGGCTGCCGCGCATCGACGAGCGGCTGGAACGGATCCCCGAGTACGCGGCGGCCAAGGCGGCCAACGGCGGGCTCGACCCCTTCGGCCCGGCCGGCCAGCCGCACTTTGAGATTGACTTTGTGCCCATGTTCGCCGACGCCTTCCAGTGGCACATCCCGACACCGCCGACCGGCGGCTACCTCACTGTCATCGTCGACCTGCTGCGGCCGCTGTCCAAGACGGGCACTGTGACGCTGGGGTCGGCCGACCCGCTCGCGCAGCCCGAAGTCAACCTCAACTTCTTCGCCGAGGACCTCGACATCGTAGCCCTGCGCGAGGGCGTGCGCTGGGTTGATGATTTGCTGACAACGGGCGAGGGTATGAAGGACATTATCGGGGAGGACTATCCGTGGGCCATGCCGCGCACTTCGGACGAGGCCATGAACAAGCTGATTCTCGAGCGGTCGCAGACTGGGTTCCGTGAGTTCTTCTCTGTCTCTCAACCAAACAAAGTCTCTGGCTGATGACTGACTGCTCCAAACAGACCCCTGCGGCAGCCTGCGCATGGGCAAGGACGTCAGCCAGGGCGTCGTCGACAGCAAGCTGCGCGTCTACGGCGCGGAGAAGCTGCGCGTCATTGACGCCTCGGTCATTCCCGTCATCCCCGACTGCCGCATCCAAAACTCTGTCTACATGATTGGCGAGAAGGTGAGTAGTAACAAACCAACTAGCCACCTGAATCGATCACCGCTGATGCTCCTTCTTCCAAACGCAGGGTGCCGACATGATCAAGGCCGCCCACCCGGACCTGTATGCCTAGGTGGTTCTGTTCTAGGTAATTAATTAGGTGATTGTTTGGCTGATAGTTGCTGGTGGCTGACCTCTTGGTGGGAGTTGAGGGCAAGTTCTGTTCGATTAATGCCCCTGACGAGACACAGTCTTGCGACTCTAATAATCTCTCTTCTCAGTTCTGACTTTTCAAAAAAGAAATTATTACTGTTGGGTGTGACCGTGCAATCAGATCAAGTCGGCGTCAGCAGCAAAATGTGAATGTTCGCAGTGCATACCTCTCTCGCTGTCCTTGAATGGCCAGTAATTAGCATGAGAACTTGATAAAACGGTTGACCGGAATAAAGCAATAATTAATGAATCATGGCATGACTTCGCCTCCAGGCCCTGATCAAGCCGTTCATTACCATTTCAGATTCCCTTCAGCTGCGCAGGAAGGAAATATCCCGGATATAACGACTTAGCCTCCGGTGACCTAATTGAAATTCAGGCGCGCAAGGCATTTCGCAGCAGCGAATGAATGTGCTTTTGATGAGTTTCCGCCGCCGCCGCCACCAAGAGCAGCAGCTCTCACACACCGAATTTCCCGTTCCGCGTTCCCGGGTCGCCGGTTCGGGACCTTGTTGCGAGCAAGCAAGCCTCCTGTTCGGACAGGCCCCCCCCCCCGTCAGGTCACGCGTCGCCTTGAACCACAAACGCGCACAAACACATGCCGCCGGACCCGAGAGCACACACACCAGAATCTCGCTTGCGCTCTGATTCGCCCAAATCGCCCGGCGGCATTCACCCAGCTGGGCCGGATTGGGACGGAGAAGACGGGCTTGGCCCGCCAGGAACACCCAATATTGACTTGTGGCAGATTGTGGCAGCGCTAGCAACGCTCAGCTGCCCGCTTTCGCATCGAGCAGCGATAAGGGTCGGCCAAACAGACGCCCTGACCGCGCCGCCCGCACAGCCTGGACCCTGGCCAGATGGGCAGCCGCTTCACTTGAGCCTCATCGGGCTCAGGCCTCCCGCGCGCGTGGTGAGGGCAGGGACCCGAGGGGGTTCATAACCACGCTCCCCTTACCCCCCAATGTCTTGGCGCAGGAGACTCAGGCCTATTCTGCCATGACCATCCCAAGGCCGCTTGAAACTCGATAGCTGTTGCCAGCTTGCTGCGGTTTGCAGATCTTGGTGTCACTGTCGGTGCCACAAACGAGACGCGGGCAACGACATGTTCGCCTCTGCGCGACTCTCGGCATTGCTTGGTTTTCTCGCCGTCCTCATGTCCCTCCCAACCCCTGCCTTCGCCTTCAGATGGGTCAACAATGTCAACTTCACATCGTGCTACAACGATGTTGTCCAAAATATGACCCAGAACTGCAGCGACACGGCAACCCAGTACTGCGACTATGACAACGGCGTGCTCAACAACCCGGACCGCATCTTCCTCACCTTCCAAGGCTGCGAGAGGCTCTGTGGCGATGGCTACGGAACCTGGGCCATCTCCGACATCCTCCTCCGTATCACGCTCTGGGTAACGCCGGCTATCATCCTCCTCGCCCACTACCACTTCCCGCCGCTGGGCCCTGGCAACTATGGCGCCGTCATGGTGCATATTCTCGGCGACCCGATCGACACGCTCTGGTGCCTCCTGATACGCATCACGGTGCGCCGCCGCCTGTTCTTGAAGGCCCAGCAGTATAAACTGCTAAGCGCCGGGGCCATCGCAACCATCTGGTCGGCATACGACGAACTGAAATTCCACGATGATCCCCACGAGCACTTCAGGAGAGCGCTCACAAGGCTGCGGACTGAGGAGTTCGTCGTCACTCGCTCGGCCCCCACCAGCGGTCATCAAGTAGGAGACAGAGTACGCCTCCCGGCCGGCTTCCTGCAGGTCCCGCCTGATCGGGGAATGGGCATGTTTGGTACTTCGAGGTCGCTAGACGCGGACAAGACGTTCTTCGCGCGTATCGATGCCTATTTTGTCTTCCTGCTGCAGTCTCTGGTGTTTAGTCTCACGGGGCGGGGGCGGCGCCCTGACACGACCGACGACGTGGGCGGCCTCCCAAACTATTTCCAGGAATGGCACCGAGCCATCCGGGAGCTGGGGGAAGACGAGCGCCCCGTGCTGTACCACATCGAGCTCGCGGCCCAGCGCCTTGTCTTCAACCGGGACGAGTCGCAGACGACGACGTGGATATCCATTGTTGGCCTCGCGTCAGCCTTGATGGGCGCCTTTGTGCGCACCTGGACCAACAGGCTCGAAACCCAGACCTCGCACACCATCGCCACCGTCGCGCTTCTTCTCTTTGTCGTGCCCATCATCAAGCTGAGCGGAAGCCTCGGCGCCTTCACGTCGTCGTCGGCGGCGGCCAACATTATCCAGGAGCTGCGCCAAGAACTGCAAGAGCACTTTGGCTTTGACGACGGTCTGTTTCCGCCCCTCAGGATCCCGATTCTGCCCGACACTATAGAACCGGGCAGGAGAAGGTATTCCAGGGTCGGGGACAGCGAGGACGTTCCTCTCACCCACTTCAGCGGCGGCAGCTCCAACGGTGGCGGTGGGGCTGACGCGGTGCCCCTCTTGCGCTCAGAGCTAAGCGACGACGACAAGCAGCTCATTGACTGGCCCAAGGTCGCCGCCTACTCGGGCATGAACAACTCGTACCGGCCGCAGAAATCAACCAAGCTGATCCCAGCCCGCGTGTCCCTCTTGCTCTTTGTCGTCTCCTTTTTCTGGGTGGCGGCGCTGTGCTACACGCCGGCGCTGCTCATCTCGTACATGACGCCGCTCCGGGGGTTTGCATGCCGGTCTCTGGCGTGGACAGTGGTGGCCAGCTGCTGGTTGGTCAACACGGGCATCAACTACGTGTGCGCGCTGACGCTGTTCCCGTACGATGCGCGCAACGAGCACCACCCGATCGAGGCGCGGCACCAGACGGCGTGGACGGCGCGGCGGGAGCTCCTGCTGTGGCGGACGACGTGGATGCGCGACGCCTTGTTCACGGGCTTCATCACGCTCATCATCGTAGCGCAGCAGCTAGGCCTATACAACAGCTGTTGGTGCCGGTCCGGTGAGCTGTCGCGGCTGACGCGCGACACGCCGAGCTACGTCAACCTGACGCCCTTCACCAACGAGGAATGGATATCAGGTTGGTTTTTATGGGTGCCCACGCCCTTCACGGCGTACCTGCTCAGCATCGCCGGCATCCTCCTGGTCGAGATCAAGTTCTCCAAGTCGTCGAGCATGATGGGCAAGAGCAACAAGGAGCGCGAGAAGATGTTACTGCACCTGAGGATGTTAGACACTTCCCGCGCACGCCAGCCGCCGACACAGCAGGCGACACAGCAGACGACGCAGCAGGCAGCCGGCGCGGCAGGTAATATTGGCCATTATTACGGGGCCCAGGCAGTTCCAGTCACGGCTCAACCAGGTATGAACGTACCGGTATTTAGGTATTCCTAGGGGCTATAGGGGGGGGGAGGGTTGGTTGGTGGCGTTATTTGTTTCTGCTGTACTGTACTTTTCCTGCATTTTGGGTTTCTGTGTTTCAACGGGGCGAGTTCAATACCCAGGCATTTATTTGACTTATTTCTTTTTGATGTAAATGTATATCGAGATAATTTAGACCGGATTAGCCATTATTTGCTAAATTTTAAGTCGGTGTCGCGGTTGCTGCCTGCGTGACAGCGTGGGTGGCGGATTCTGCGGGATTTGGATACAGTGAAGGAGCGATGATGGCAAGATAAGTTTATGGGTTGAGGACGAGGTGCAGCGGGCGAAAACGGTTACCTTAGATAAGGAACTTCAAAGAAACTTAAACCGACTTCAACATCAATACTTGTAAGCGGATGGCAACAATACAGATTACAAGATGGATTTCGATCCCTGAAATCACGGCAAACACTTCAAATGTTTCAGGGAAATGCCTCGCGGGATGTTGCTGGAGAAGAGCAGCCGAGCGAGCATTTGCCCGCAGAACGGGGCTCGCGAGACTGACAACTATAGAGACCAAGTACCGAACATAAAAAAAGACCAGCACATCAAATCCCATCCGTAATTGCAAGGCAGGTCCTTCCCTCTTCCCCTCCCCTCTCCCGGCCCCGACGGGCCACGACATGGATGCGTCCCACCCTCCTCCCAGAAGACAGCCTTAACTCCACCAACCCGAAGAACACCAGACTATGGCGAAGGGGTGGCCGGAGGGGCGACGGTCGCATAGCCCAAGTGGCCCCGGGTGGCCGTGGCCGCGGCCGTGGCCGCCTGTGTGGCCCAGCGGGTGCCGTGGTACTCGCCGCCCTTAGGTGCGAAGCTGATCCTGCGGTCGACCTGGATCGGTACCCCCCTCGTCCACTCATTGTTTCTGTCGCAGGCTAGGGCGACAGGGTCGTAGAGGCTTCCGCAGCGAGAGCCGGACCCGCCCGGGCACCACCTGTCGAAGCCAAAGTAGAAGCCCATCTCGCGGCTCGTCTGCAGCTTGGTCCATCCCGAGGGGGACCCCGTCTTGCGGAGCAGGGCCAGCGTCTTCACGATCTGGTATCCCGAGCACCGCGCCTTGCCGCCCAGGTTGCACACGAAGGCCACCATGGCCTCGCCGCCGGCCAGCGTCGCCTCCGTCTGCGTGGAGCACCGCATCTTGCCCGTGTGCGCGTCGAGGAACTCGTCTTCATTGCACCACTGGTCGATGCACTGGGCCGCGAGGAGCATCTCCGTGTCGTTGATGTGGTTGAAGGTGGGTATGGGGGTCATGATTGGATATTCTGTATCCATGTTGGCCTGGGCCAGAGATGCGAGCGCGGCCACGACGAGGCCGATGGTGATTCTTAACTTCATTCTTGTCTGGATGGTGTGTTTGATGTGTCTGAAAACAGTCGAAAGAAAGGGTAGAGTAATAAAATTCTCAACACACGAGAGAAACTAATGGAATGGCCCAAGGGGGAAACTGTTGTACAAGAGAAGGACCCTGGCTTTTTTCGGCCGAGAGATCAACGACGAACAGATGACAGATCTTCTTTTCTTAGTACCAAGCCCAACTAGCAACCGCATCCGTTTTAATTCCTCGATCGGGCTCGGAGCCGTCAAAGTTTTCCCACAGTTTTCCTCAGATATCCAGCTGACTGCCAGAACAGAAAATTAAATTCGGGTTACTTAGTTTTGGAAACCCATTAGGCCAAGTCATTTGACTTCAATCGAAGCACCCAAAAGGCTTCTGAGCGCCTCTATTGGCCGGTAGTATCTCTCCGCATGCGTAACTGCCACAATGTACAGTACATTGCCACGGTGCCGAAGGTTGGGAAATGGGCCGGGATCGTTCATCAGGCTTTTTTTCTCTCCTCGGGTAACTACACTAGAAGCCCGCATCAGCTGACATGAACTCCGGTGTTATACATCCAGCTCAACCTGAGCAGAAATTAAGATATTCTGCGATTTCGTGACCCGTGTTTCTTGTAAGTTGTAACCTTTGAGAAACCGAAACCGAGGACACAAACTGCATCAAAAGGAAAAGGAAAAGGAACGGTAATTATCAAGGCAACCTTCCTAGCTGCCAGTTGGCCTCTCAAAAAACAGCTTCACCAGGTGAACGTTACCAGATGAAATAAAACGCCACAGCCGCGGCTATATCAAAATACCGGCAGTGAAGCATTTCTGGCGCTCGAAACCCCGGTTTTCTGCGTCAAGTGACTATTGGCTTTTTCAAAAACGCCTCCCGTTTGACCCCAGACTCGACCAAGTATTTCCTAAGTCACTGTGTTGACCCACTTCGAGTTAAATTTTGATATAACCAACTCAGTCAGCCTTTCAGGAACGACTAAAGCAAAAGCTGGCCCGAGGTTTGTTAGTCACGTCTCTTGAGCGCTCTTGTTGTGGCCAAGTGTTCTTTATGGAAACATGAGAGCATGGAAAAGTTACCCTTCGTTTAAATCTTTGCACATAAAGAGATAGAAAAACCCGAGAGTCTTAATCTAATCATCAGCTATAAAGGACCACGCGCATTTCTGTGCCCATCAAGTCTAGCCCAGTCGATGTTCTGTCTCCGGGGATTCTTTCTTTTTCACCACTTCCTGTGATCCTGGGCCCAAAGCCGTTCCCCCATTCACCACAGCCAGCAGCAAGTCACGGCTACCATGAAGCTCTCCGCCAGCCTCTTCTGGTGTCTGGTTGCCGGCGCAGTCGCCGCGCCGGCACTGGCACCGTCCAACACACTCGACAAGCGCGAAACAGCTACGACGGCCGAAGGATGGCCATTACCTCATTGTGTGAGCCATTGTCTTGATAAAAATTACCGGGCGGCTGGCTGTGCCAACCCAGACGAGTGGACTTGCCTGTGCCGGTGAGTCGGCCCCCCTCCTAGGAAGAAACGGGCATCGAGAAAGAGGGGCCAATACTGAATCTCTCTTCCCTCCTCCAGGCGCAAAGTCCTCGCACCAGAGATCAAGATGTGCACAGACGTGAAGTGTGAGAGTGTTGGAGTTGACATGTTAGTCCATGTTCCCGTTCCCGTTCCCCTGCTTTTGCACCTCACCCTTCATTCTCCCCTGCCGGCTGCTGATAGAGATGACTCGGGTTCTATAGGGGAGGCGTCCGGGGACTCGAAATGCATGCATGCACGAACCCAGACCCACCTCCGAGGGATCCAAACAACCTGTACAACCCCTTCGAAGAGAAGGGGTGGAGGGACCACCTCAAGAACAAGGATGGGTTCCTCCTGGATAAGTTCGGGGGCAGACAACATTCATAGATACTGTGTGGTTTTTTTCAAGTGGTAATCCTGCCTTGGATGGCAGGGAGGGCCGTTGCGGGCTGCTGCTGTGTCGAGGAGGTTCGTTCGTCATCGCGGGCTCGCTCGCTATTTACTTCGGAGGACCATTTGGGACTGTTTTGGTGGGATTTCATAGCCGGCAATGAACAATATTCGCACGGTATCACACATTTCCACACAGAAATGACGGTCTAGATACTCACCCAAGCTGCTCTGTTGCCTTGCTAGTTGATTTTCAATAAATTAGAAATTAGCAGCCTCGAACCGGAGCAAAATACAGCTAGTCCCTGACTAAGATGTCCCTTGACCAGCGCAATGAAATTGGAAACTACCAGTACCTCAATCTAACTAACCAACTTGCCATCCCACACTAATCAGGACGGTGACGCCAAGTGAGGCGGTTTGAGGTCGTGATAAAGAAACAAGAACGTGCCTAGCAAAAAGGGACAAGTCGATCACAAGAGGCAAAGGACAGAATTGTGCACAGTCACGAGCCTTTCAATTATTTTAACCTTTCCGTGGATCTACCCGATCAGGAATGTCCATGTCCAGCCACTGAGCCAGTCAGTACCTAAGTTACCCAACTGGATTCCGTTCGAACCGAACTCCCATCACACCGTTCTTCGGGTCCTGGGTAGGCGGCTACCGCGGTCACGGCGCAGGGCCTGAATTAAAATTAAGCTTTCATAGAGAATGTACTGTCCCCAAGTCCCTGAACCTATTTTCAAGACTCGGCCTGGAGTCTAAAGACTCAGGGTTCCAAACTATCTACCCGGCAACGCTTTCCACGCTGCCGCCCGCCTCGCCGTCGCCACTGTAAAGTTCAAGACGTGACATTCCGGCAGCAGTGATATCAGCTCCAACAGCAACCTAAAGAAAACAACAGACGGATCCAGTTTCAAAAGACGCCGCAATGGGGCGTCGATAGAGGAGCAAGAAAAACTGAAGAGGGGGCGAGAGTTAACAGCAACAAATCATGGGTTTAGATAATGCTCGGCCAATTTTCCACCTTGTCCCGCCCCCTCGTGATCGACCATATATATGCAGGAAGTAAACCAACGTCTCCACCGAGCCCTCTCCTCAGCAGCTCCCTCGAAGGACTTGTGCCGATGCATCATCCATAAGACAAGCTTCCCACGCCGCACCAAGCCAAGACACGTTCTATTTGGACCATAACATAGATTCCAAACGCCAGTCTTCGTAATACAGGTTCCGTCACCGGCAAGGTTGATCGGCTTACCAAAATACTTCTTGCCAGCTTGAGCTCCTCATGCCATCTCCGTAACCGAATTTCTCATAATTCTCTTGCGGGATACTCTTCCACTCTTCCAGAGATCATCACAGCCGGACACCCCAGACTCCGCGCCCCGCACTGACACCTAACCACTCACCATAGTCCTCGCTAGCCAGGTGAGGAACCCAGCCCAGGTTGCCCACCTCGTAGTCGCACTGCCAGGCGGCCACAGGGCTCCTGGCGCTATCGGCCGGGGTCGCGCCATTGATGGCAGAGGTCTGGTTAAGTAAGTCCCAAATGAGAACCTGGCAGTCGTCGCCGCCCGACGCAAGTGTGCCGCGCCTGGAGGGAGACCATTCGACGCAGTTCAAAGCCCCACTGTGTCCACGCAGCTCCAACAGCGCCTGGCCTGGCTGCCGAACATCTAGTATCCTGATTACGTTTGAGTCTTGGGCAAACGTGGCCAGCAAGTGATGGTCGTGCGGGGATGTTGCTAAGCGCAACAGCGGTGGAGCGTGCGACATTGTCTGCTGCGCCAGAGTAGGGCTAATGCGCCCGCCATTGGCATCTAAACACCACAACAGATTAATGATTGCACGCGGCAGTGGTCACGGGCTGGGGAGTCATCATACCTCGCTCATCCTTGGAGGTGGGCTCGTAGATGATGGTGCTGTGCTCCAGGCTGCGGAGGTCAAACATGCGAACGCTGCCGTCCTGTCCACAGCTCACGAACAGGTCGACGCTCTGGGCGCAGAATCGCACATCGTATACTTCCTTGTCGTGGGCAATAAGCTGCGTCTTTGCTGTCAAGGAGGGAATGTCCCAGATCGTGCATGTAGTATCAATACTCGAGGTAATGATCAAGCTTGGGGTGACAGTATTCCAGTCCAGGGAGGTCAGCGGGGCAGTGTGGTCCGGCGTCTTGGAGTTGGACAGAAGGGCGAGCGGCGTCAGTTTCGTGATGGGCTGGTCTCGGCCGTTCCTTGATGTTATGGAGGAACTAGGTGTGGGCATTTGCGGGTCGGAAGGTAGCGACCACAGACGGAGGTGGTCGCCCGACGTAGCCAAGAGATCTGTCGACTGCTTCTGCTGGGAAGGGGGTTCCCAGAGCAGGCGCGTGACAGGGTACGAGTGTGTGGCCTCGGCGATCCTGGTGAAATCCATTGTGTACTTGGGCCCGCCAGGCGTGTAGACGTCGCTCGGCGTGGGGGTCAGTTGGGTATCAAGAATTTGTATCTGGAAGCATCGCGGCCATTAGCAGTCCGCAGTGACGAGCCAGGGTTGACAATATAAGACAGAAGGAAAGAAGCACTACGGACAAAGTTATGACCGTCCTCCAAGTAGCTCCCTATAGCTAGTTTCCCGGCGCCACTCGTCTGGGGAGCCCATTTGCACCAGTCAAAGGCGTAGAGGGCCCAAGGCGCCATGTAATTGCTGGTGCGGGGCTGGGCGTTTGCCAGCTCATATGCGGGCGTGCCAGGCAAGCCATCCGAGAGATTCGAGTCGGCCCGTGGTCTGATATCAGAGAGCCCGAGAGGCGTGTTGGAGAAGTTGCGCTGCGAGCCTCCAGTGTTGTATTTGGACTCGGTGGGCGACATATACTGCGACGCGCCGCCGCTACTAGCGCCGGGGGTGGTCGGGGTATAGGGGAGATATCCGGAACCGCCATCATAGGGAGCCGCGGGACTTGACCGGGAGTAGCTGTGCGAGAGGTTCAGCGCGTTCGGCTTGGTGGGTGTTTGATATTCTGTCTGCTGGATCGTAGGCAGGGTTGGCGCAGTGTTGGACGACATGGTGGGCGGACGGGCGCCCAAGCCGCCGGGCTGTAGGACATTTGGCACGGCGCCAGCGCTCTGGTAGGACTGTAGGGGAGGTTGGTTTGGCGAGGCCTGCTCGAGTTTGATGTGAGGACCGCCAGCGGACGAGTAGTCGCGGGGAGACAACTGGCCGCCTTGGTGAGTGTGGCTCATGCCGGGCGACATGTGCAGTTCGTCATTGTGGGAGGCGTAGCTAGCGGTCCGCCGCTGGGGCTGGTACTGCTGCTGCTGCTGCTGTTGCTGCTGCTGTTGCTGCTGCTGTTGTTGATTCATCGTATCGGCTGCCGAGTGCCTCGAGACGAGGGCAACCTGGGCCGTCGGAGAGGAGTGGGCGATATGTTGTTGATGGCGACAACTCAAGCGATGCAACGCGGACCCCGCGCAAGGATTGGGCGTATGGGACTTGAGCTTGGGGGCTGAAGAGCAGGGCAGCGGGGCGGGACGCGAAGCGCCAATGTTTGATGCCCTGGACTCCTGGCGCCAAAAATTGTATGCGGATTACGGTCTCGAAGGGCAGGGCGGGCGCAGAGCGTCGGGAGCAAGTCCCGGTCGCAGCAAGCAGGAGAATTGCCTGCTAGGAAGTGAAAAGGATGATGCAGATTCCTAAAAGCTCTAGCCACCAAAGTCGAGCCGATTTTGGCATCAAACGCCAATCACCTCAATATGACTTGCGCACAGCGCACTGGTCCGTCTACGGATCCGTACCGCGTTGGTTAGTCAGCCAGGCGACCCCGATTAAGGTTGGGCGCGGGCAGTTACCTGCCAAAACGAGGTTTCTTGTATCGGTGCAGCTCTTCTATTTTCCCTACAATTCAGTCGCATACCTGCCTCTTAATCAATATAGAATGAACCCTAGGTAGGGCCCGATTTGGAGCTACTTCACAAGGCCAGAGTAAATTGACCTTGGTTTACGCAACGGGCAGACCTGAGGTCTCGACCCGGCGCCAAATCGTTTTGTTGAATATCCCACTTACTAGGATACCTAGCTCAAGAGCCTAGATGGAAGCCATTCCTGCTAAGCTAGCCTAAAACACTGGAGAACTCCATCGCCGCAAGCAAGCAAAAGCAACCTCACGTGTTGTCGATGCCTAACCGACCGTTTGACAGCTTTGCGCTGCACCCATCCATCCATAGGTGTCGTCTAAGCTGCTTGCTACCATGCCATGATCTACGAGACAACATGTTCCAGGCTGCACGTTATTTTTTTGTGTAGAGACAAACGGTGCCCAACTACCCCAAACCAGATCTACCCCAGTTGTTCCCGTCCTTCCATTGTCGGCCAACACATTGAAGCAGCCATTTTTGGAACCACCTGCTCGCTTCTCTGCTCATTTATTCATTTTATTGGCCAACTTGACGTAACCTGAAAGGTACTCGAGTTACCCCCTCGAAGACCTCGCATTACAAGAGAAATAAACAAGCCCCCTTTCTACATTTTTACCTGTGCAGGTAAGGTATCTTGAGGGTTATCCTTATCTGACTCTGGCCCCGTCCGTCACCATGAAGCAGCGGGACAAACTCCCCTCGCTCCTCCTTCTCCCCTTCCCGCCGGACCCCTCAGACCGCCACTTGCTCGGTGCGGCGTACCGGCCCTCGCTCGTAGCTGCGCTCTCGAGGCTGAAGAGCCCGACGGCCGCGGCAAGGCTCACGGTTGCCGTACCCTGTCCCATCTTGCACGGCCCCTATCTTCGCTCCAAGACGCTGTCGTGGCCCCATGCCCAAGCCCTAGTCGCCGGCATCTACGCCATCGTCGCCGTCGTGTGCTCGCAGTTGTCCATCGCAACCGAGGTCAATGGCGGGCCCGGCTCTGTCGACACTACAGTTGTCCTGATCGACCACGACCGCAACAAGCGCTTCTCGTCCGACTTCCGCCCCAGCATCGAGCCCAACAACACGGTCGTCGTGGACCTTGCCACCTTCGCGTCTGCTTACCACCCCTGGAACCTCATCTTCCATGTCAGCAACGAGCTCGGGACCCAGCTGCACCAGGCCTATCTCAGGTTTGCCGAGGGCAAGCAGACCCTTCTCCAGGAGCAGCTTGTCCCGGTAGAAGGCGGCCTGACCATGAACGTCGCCAAGCCGGGCCCTTCTGCGTCGCCTCCGCAAACCACAGGCCGTGCCACCGTCTGCCTGGGCGGGACCTTTGACTACCTGCACCCAGGGCATAAGCTACTCCTGACGGCCGGCGCCCTGCTGCTTCAGGTGCCCAGGAAGGACTCGGGCGAGTCTTGTCGCTACATCATTGGCATCACTGGCGAAGAGCTGCTCAAGAACAAGATGTACGCCGAGTACGTGCAGTCCTGGGACGAGCGGGCCCGGAACGTAATATCGTTCCTCTCGCAGATTCTGCAGCTCTCGGACCGCGGGTGGAAGGACGCCGCGCCGGCCGCGCCGGTCGAAGAGAAGGACGGCGACTTCCAAGCCTCGTTCCGCAACGGCACCATCCGCGTGCAGTGCGTCCGCATACAGGACCCCTTCGGCCCCACCATCACCGTAGCAGACATCGATGCGCTGGTGGTGTCTGGCGAGACGAGGTCAGGCGGGCGCGCTGTCAACGACCGCCGCACTGAGCAGGGGTGGCGCGCTCTGGAAGTTTTTGAGGTCGACGTCCTCGACGCAGAGGAGGTGTCGGACGAAGCTACCAAGACGGAGAGCTTCGCTTCAAAGATCAGCAGCTCGGCGATCCGACAGCAGCGGGCGCAGGCAAATCTCCAAGCAAAATAACGAGGTTAGACGAACCCGGTAACTGTGGGCATGACCTGTACTATTTCAGAATTGCATTTATGGAAGTAGACAGAAATCTTCAATTTTTTACAAAGCCACCGCCCGTCAGAGTCTACCGGCTGTCATCTCCAAAGTCACAAGAGTCTGTCTTATCCCCCGGGTATTAGCAACGAAAAATACAACTTGACCAAGCAAATGAATAACCTTTTACCTCCCTCCCTTTACTGCTCTCCCATCACCACCTGTAAATCTCCTAACCGTTCTCCTAGCGGCTCAAGGACCTAGCCCCCTGCGCGCGGGGATGTTGCGGATGTCGACCCAGAACAGGCCCATGGGAAAGTTAGTCTCGGGCGACAGGTCCTTGTCCATCTTGATGCCCACGCACACGTCGTCCGACGGGCACACGACGCTGCGCACAATGTCGGCGAACCCGTACGGCGCCAGGTCGCTAATGTCGGCGAACACGCGTTGGTTCAGGTACCCGATGTTCTGGCTGTACAGCGAGGTTTGGGGCGTTTTGGGGCACGGCGCCCTGCAGAAGGTAAGTCACAGTTCCGAGATCTTGCTATGGGCGTGTCACGGCATTCTTTTTCTTTTTATTTTCTAGGAGTTTCTTTTTTTAGGGGGGGTGGGGGCTTTACCGATAGAGAATGCAGCACTTGGATCCTAAGCCCTTTTTCACGGACTTGACTTTGATCGCGGCGGGTAGGTTAACTGTTGTCTCGTTGTCTTAGCATCGTGCCATTTGTCTTTTTTCCCTCAAGCTTAGCTCGTTCGGCCCCGGCAGACACATACCACACTCTCCCTCCTTCAGATCGGAGGCCTTGATCAAGCAGTTGTTCCCATCAAAGGCCGGCTCGGAGAACAGCGATATTCCGATATCGCCAACGGGCACATTGGCTACGGCGGCATCGAGACAGCTCGCCGTGGCGAGGAGCAGCAGAACGCTTGCTAGGGTGGATTTACCAAACATCGCGGCTGGAGACAGACAGATTCTAGTATGTTTGAGGAGCCAAAGAGGGGAGGGAAAAGAAACGGGACAATATCGGCGGGCACAGGCCGGGGTAGGAAGGTCAGGATAGAAGGTGTACACGTGGATAAGGACACGTCAACAGTTTCTCTTTCTTTGCAAAGTCAGTTTGGGGGTATCGATAGGCTCAGGGAGCCTCCATTTCAGTTGTCGTGGTGCGGCCAAGGTCCCTCGAACGTGATCTGAATAGAGTTGGAGCTGAAGCGGTTATGCCGCTGCCTGACGTCCAACGACGGTACCGGTACGGATACCTTTGGATGCTTCCTGCCTTAGCCGGGCTCATGCGACGTTGTCCCCACACTGGATTCAAGTGACAGGTCTGAAAGCTGCTGGGGGAAAGTATAGGTGTTCGCGGTCAACCTAAGTTCCGATTCACCGCGGATGCCAACCTTGAGTCAAACGGTGGCTTTGGAGTGTAAAGTCATGCGACTGGCAGAGACTCACACCCGAATCTTGGCCAACAAAATCTAAACCCATTCTGGTACATGCCCCATATACGTACGACAAGGGAAGACATATCTAATTATCTACCAAGGCAGTTTCCAGCGCAGGCCCTTTGTGAAGAATTCACTTCAGAAAAAAAGAAGGCCAACCCCTTTCACTCCTGTATCTCCTTCCGTCAGACAAGCACAATAACACCAAACCAAATCCTTCACCACCGTCACCATGATCGGTCTCATCAAGTCTCGCGGCAGCATGTTCACGGCACTAGTTAGCCTCTCCCTGCTCGTCCTGGCCGTAGCCGCACCAAAAGTAGAAGCCGGAGCAAGAGCCGTCGCCGCCACGGAGGCGGCAGCAGCAGCAGCCTGGACGCCGCTGGGAGCGATCCCGACCGACTTCAGCCCGAGCACGCACCACCGGCCGGGGTGGAACATCCCGACGGCTCTGCCCCTGGCGTACGAGTTCCGGTCCAGCCGGCTCCCGCACGTCTTCAGCTGGTACTCGCTGGACCGGGTCGAGTTCAACACGTTTGCCGTCGCCGTGCCGACCCAGGCAGCTGCCGCCGCCGCAAGCGAAGAAGAGCGCATAATGGCGCATGGCGACATTCTCCTACCGGCCGCGCCGCCGGTCCCGCTTCCGGCGAGACATTTCACCGCTGCCGCCGTGTACGAGAACGTGCCGCGCCCGGCCCCGACTACTCTTGCGACCCTCGTCCGCGACAAGTCTGGTTTAGACACATATCCTCGCAACCAGGCTCCCGATCGGTCTGAAGCAGAGAGCTAGATTTGCGGGTTGGTGTGCTCATTTTGCGTCTCCCTCCTATTTTACTTGGGAAACTTGGGCACGGGTAGAAAAGGGGCAGAGACATAAATTGATCATGTTCTAATGGGAATTTGGCCTACTGACTTGAGTGGAAGAGTCTGCTGTCTAGCACATTGGGTCCGTGGAGGGGCTATTTCAGTATAATTCAGGTAACCGTCTCAGCCGAAACTGAAGCAATTCAAGCCGTTGTTCTCCTCCACACCCTTAGTAGTTCCCGTGGATGTCTTGCCTTGCTGACCCCGTTATGGCCACTTTTCATGTTTCGATAAAACACTAAGTGCTAAAATCTAGGCTATTGCCTGTGGAAAGACCTTTTTTTCTTCTTCTGTTTGCTATGAGTGAATGTGATGGACACGGCAATTAACAGAAGCGCCTTGGGAAACGGCTTACGGGTTCCGAGTATACATTTACACACCCCTTTCCCGCAAATCAAGGTGTCCAAGTCAGGTACCCGAGGTAGGACTGCCGGATTCTGGTGGTTTGGGTACCTGCGTACCATATCAAGGCCCGTGAAAACAAACTCGCCACAACGAGCTACAGAGACAGTTTTGGGGATGTTGCTTCTGTCTTCCAGTGACATGTGTTGTCGCGAGACAAGAAAAAGCCAAATCCAAAAACTATAATATCAAGACTACCGAGCTTAGGCTTGCCGTTAACCTTTAGACACCCTTTTCTAGACGGTAGGGGAGTATAAGAAAGCAACCCCGAAAGAGATTTCAAGCTTTTTCTGTCAGAATGTACCCCCGTTTAAGCTCGGCGGCGGATCAGAAGACGGCAGAAGCGGTTCGCAAGCTGCAACATCTCCCGTTGGAGCCTAGTTCTGGACCTCGGCCGTGGTTCCATGTATTTCAGAAGTCCAAGATAGTTGGTCGACTGTTAACCTTGGCCAGGAGAAGGGTACTTGCTGAGCCTTGACCGTGATTGCAACGTGTCTGCCCAGTGTAATATCGTGTGCTTGAGGCCGGCGGCGGGACATGCAAAATTATAAAGCCCGCTCTTTTCCGCCGTTCCCATGTTTTTTCTTTTCTCCCTCTTTTCTCCTGGAGCGTACTCGATATCGTTGTTAGTAATGGTTCGCACTACGAGCTCAACTGCTGGACCCATGGCAGCCATGTCAAAGGCCGCGACGGTCTTGTGGACCGTCGCCAATGCATTCCATATGGCCAACGGTGCCTTTGTCCCCCGCGGCGTAGCCGCCTCCGACAACATATGTATCGACATGGACAATGCGAACCCCCCAGCCTTACGATTTGGATACCCGACGGTACAGTCCTCCTTTTCCTCATACCCCGTCCCTCACCCTGTTGACCTAGACACCGCCTGCTCACTCGCTCCTTAACTACGACGACAACAGTGGAGAACATCGGACAACCCAAACTGCCAGCCCCCGTTGGAGCTCGGTGGTGACGGAGAGTGCTTCCAGCACCTCCGGCCCGACAACAACTGCACCGCGTTCTGCCAGCTCAGCAACACGGTGCGCCAGTTCTTCGCCCCCTCCTTAGCCCCGCAAGGCTAATATGAGCAACCCTGGCATGTCTATAGTGGTTCTACGGCGCACCTATCGACACAATGGACGGCAGGTACTGCGAGAGGGGAGAAGAGTGCGGGCGGACCGTCTCGGTAGGTGTCACGGATGGCAAGACGATAACTACCGACGTTGGCGAAAGCTACACGGCGACGAACGCCACATCAGATAGTCGAACGTACACGACAACTTTGGGCATCTCATTTGATATACCCCCCGGTATGGGCGGAATCGAAATCCCTCTCCCAAAGGGTTCAGAGCTCACGGGATTGGGAGTTCCAAAGGCTGGTGTAACGTATAGCAAGGCATATGCGAAAGCCCTCAGCTGGACGCAAACCGTCGCCAGGGGGCATACGTTTAGCGTCTCCAATTCCACTTCGTACAGTCTCAACATTGGCGAATCGGATAGCCTGTCGAGGCCTAGCTGGTCACAGGGCTACTGCGGGAGCTGGTTTGCCGTGCCAGTAATAGGCTTGTGAGTCCATCCCTTTACCCCCCTCCCCTGGCTGGCTCCCTCCGGAAGAATTCCCGGGCGGGGTCCCTCGAGTCGTTTGTTTGCTCCAAACTCTTTCTGACGGGTGCTGGTGGATGCGTGGTTTAGGAGCTGTGGCCGGGGCGCGCGTGGCGATCTGGTACCTAGCGATAGGGGGGGTGGTTCACAGTGCCTCCTGAATCCCGAGGACTCGGCCTTCTCGCACTGCTTCAACTACACGTTCACGGACAACCGGCTGCCGGGCCAGACTAAGCACAAGACCGTCTTCGTGCTGCGCGACTGCGACCAGGGCTTCATCCTGCCGGGCGAGTGGCAGCACCCCGTGTTTGCGTACAGCTTCTTGCCCCAGACCCTCGTCACGGACCACATCCTCCGCTACGGCTGGAAGGAGTTCCCCGACACACGCAATAAGCCCCGAGACGACGAGTGGGTGCACCAGAAGCACCTCATGAACTTCACCAAGACCCTCGGCCCGGTCGACCACACCGTCGAGCTCTGCGGCAGGGGCAAGTACTGCTCCCGGCACAAGCTGACGCCCGGGAACTGCTGTAAGCATTTTTCCCTTGAAAATTCACATCCTCCCCGAGTCTTAACGCTTCGTCTGAAACAGACAACATTCCGCGAGGCTACGCCGGCACCAGGTCGTCGTACATCGTGTCGGCCAAGACGACGCCCGGCAACTGCTGCGTGCTGTTCAGCAGGCAAGAGTGCCACGGCGTGGCGCAGGTCGTCAAGGGCGACATCCCCGACTTCTTCGCCGTGGGCTACGAGGGCCAGGCGCACAGCGTCGTGTGCAATGTCGAGGAGTACTGCAACCCAAACATCATCGACAGCCTGACGCTGTCCTAAGTTTGGTTTGCTGGTTGTTTTTGCTGGTTGGTTTGAGTAGGAGATTGAATTTCCTTTGCGGTCGTTCATGTCTCTTTTTGTGTGCAGGGACGAAACCCGATTCCCTTGCCTGCGTTTCATGCCGTTGTGAGTCCGAGACAGGGAACTATATGTAATGACTAGGTCGCCCTTATTCCTGGTTTCGATCCTTTCTTCTTTTTCGTTGGAGTCTCTTGGAACGCGTTTGATGGGCTTGCTAAAAAGTCCAATGGACAACTTTGCAAATTAGAACTCTGTTGTCTGGGATTTTCTTACCGTCTTCTTTGTGCTACTTCATTTGCCTGTTGAAGCAAAGTAGACAGACATGAGAACGAACACCTTCGGTGCTTCCGAATGTGGAGGCACATGATATCGAATCTGAAAACAATACTTTTAAGCCACGAAGAGCAAAATGATTCGTGTCCAGGAGAAAACCGGGAGAAATATATCACGGGTCGAACTTGACCCCATATTGGTTCACCTCTGCTAGATACATTAGCTGTGTAGCTCCCTTATTATAAGTCTAGGGAGGCAACGAGGGTAAATGAGGACACATACAAGGCAAAAAGCCGAGAGGAGAAGTAAGAAAGAAAAGGTGAACAAGTGCATCTACTTCATTGGCATGGCCAACTGAGTAGCTAGCGTTTTATTTCTCGTCCACACGGGGCGCCTTTATTCCCAGGAGCTTCTCGGCGTTTTCGTAGGCAATGGCCCTGAGCTGCTCGTCGTTGACAAGGCCGCACTCCTCCAGCTCCTTGATCCACTCCAGTCCGACCGCGTTCCCCTGAAATGGGTAGTCAACGCTGTACAGGATATGGTCCAGCTTCGTATTGGCCAGAATGCACCTCAGGGGGTCTAGACTCCAGACGCCGCTGGTAGTGATCCAGATGTTCTCGTCGTAGACGGTCTTGAAGTCGCGGCGGAAGTCGCCCCACCGGCGGCTCAGCATCTGGATCCGCTGTAGCATGAACGGGATGGTCTCGCCAAAGTGGCCGATGACCAGCTTGAGCCGCGGCCGCCGGTCAAACAGGCCCGACGCGAAGAGGCGCAAGACATGCAGCGCCGTGTCAGTGTGCCACGCCAGGCCGCTGGATCCCATGCTCATGGCGGCAGCGTCGCTGAAGTTGCCCCGGTAGCGCGGCGCCATGTCGTCGCTGGGCCAGTTGGGGTGCAGATACACGGGCACCCCGAGCCCTTCAACAGCAGCCCACCACGGGTCGTACTCGGGCCCGTCAAAGAACTTGCCGTCGTAATGGTTGTCCACCAGGCCGCCGACGAAGCCCAGCTCGGCGACGGCACGCCGCAGCTCGGCAGCGGCCTCCTGTGGGTGACCCATGGGAGCGACAGCAAAGCCGGCAAAGCGGCTTTTGGCTTCGCGCGCGCTGCCGCCTGCACGCGTCTCCTCCGCTCGGATGGCAGCTGCGAGCTGGTCGTTGGCAGCGCGGCAGGCTGCTGGGTCAGTCAGGCCCGGTGCGTGGCTGACGACTTGCAGCGATATCCGGCCGGTGTCCATGTCACGCAGTCGCAGGTCGCCAAGATCACACAGTTTGTCAAAGATGCCGGGGACATGTTTGAGTTGCTCCGAGTACGCTTGCTTGAGGCTGTCGGGCACCGCGGACGAGAAGAAGTGTTCCTCAAGGGTGATGAGCGGCGGTGTCATTTTCCGACTTGATCACCGAATATGTATACGTAGATATAAATATATATATATTTACTCGATTTAATATCGATAAACGAAACTGGGTGGGCTGTAAGGCTTGTCTAGACGAGTGAAAGAAGAAGCGAGGGAGATCCGCGGAACTGGAAGTGACAAAATTGCCATCCTTCAAGAGTGCCGACAGGACGGTTCTCTCTTATTGTGGTCGTCATTGATGTCGTTAGCCCGTTGCGTCAATTCAGCGGGAGGGCACTAGAAAAGACGTTATGCTTAGTGTATGGACACAGTACGTATTCGCCTTTGCCGAGAACCGCACAATTGAGGGTTAGGGTTATAGGCAGGAATTAGACAGAGACACGTGACCTTGCTAATCTTGCCGACGAATGCTTTCGCAGCGGCACAGCTTTGGCAAGCTAAGTGCCCTCCGAACTGAGGCCCCAAACCGCCGATCCAAAACTTTTGCGCCAGCGCCCCCCTCGGCATACACACACACAATGGCGAGCCTCTCGATGCTGTCGCAGACGGTGCGGTCGGGCGTGTCGGCAACCAGGTCGCTAGCTCGATCGATGCAGGGCCTGACCCTCGCCGCGTCGGCAGCTCCCAACCCGGCGGCGCGCCCGCTTCGGTCCACTCTCACGTCGACGTCAACGACGCAGACACGATCCCTCTCGCAGAGCGTCCTCCCTTCCTCCAGCTTGTGCCAGCACGGCTGCTCCAGACCCGCGGTTGCCGCCAACAGCCGGACAGCGGGCGCCCTCGAGACTGGTGTCAAGACGGCCGTTGCTATCTTCCAGAAGCAGCAGACCAGGGGGATGAAGGTGCACAGTTCGGTAAAGAAGCGGTGCGAACATTGCAAGGTGAGACTCGATTCAGTTTTTCCTCTCTGGAGGGACACTAGACCTACCACTCTCTGATGTCTTGTTATTGACCCCAAGTTCATCTACAGGTCGTTCGACGGAAAGCTTGCAAGCGGCACAAGGGCCATCTCTATATTGTATGCCCTGCCAACCCCAGGCACAAGCAACGACAGGGATAGGTGGTGGCATAGAAGGCGGTGTTTTGTATGATATATCTATGTTGTAGCGCATACTTAGCGAAGGAGCCTTGGAATCGATGACGACTTTCGAGGAAGCCAGCTTTACGTGATCCTCTACTCCGTACCCCAGACAAATTTTACGCTGGGTCTAATTACTCGTACGGCGTCCAGGCAACGGGATCGCTGGATGCCCAAAGCCTAAAGCTCTTGAGAGCCAGGGCAGCGGGTACAGCGAGACGATCGAGACGGCACCTGTCATTACTGTTGTCTGTCGTTGCTTTACAGGCCGTCAATATACCTCTCCATGCCCTCCCACTCGGCCTTGCCCCGCGATATCAGGTATCGTATGTGACTCTTGTCGCGAGTGTCAGTGTCAACGACCTTAACGATATGCGTGCCTCTGCTTCAATTCTGGGCTACAAGAAGCCGCCATGGCTAGGGACAGGGCGGGGAGGGGCGGGGCGACAAACAATGTCTGTGACGTTGCGGTGCCGCTCAAACTCTTCGCGCGCGAACCTCATCGTCTCGGCCCGTGTCGTGGGGTCTTGGATCCGGCGCGTACCTCGGACGATGATTCGGTACAGCGACAGGACTCGAGCGCGCTGGAGGAACTGATAGATCGGCGCCTGTTAGTCAGCCAACAATCAATTGGGATGCGAGATGCCCGACAGAGGCCAATTAGCCAGTTCTCGCAAGGTAGGATGTGCTTCGGTTTTTTTTTCGTACATGCTCCAAACTCAGCGTCGCGCCAAGCCGAGACCGCGATGCCGTGGCATAGCTGCGAAGCGTGTGCCCCCGCGTGGGCAGAGGAAAGCGCATCAACGACGGGGTTCCGAGGAGGGCGGAAGGTGGCCGACAGAGGGGTGATATATCTCTACACTAGCTCTGAGGAGGGGCTCATCTGCGCCGCTGGTCGAATGTCGAGATGATAATGCTGTTGCCACCGGGTAATGGATCCGCCTCTGTCGAAATTTCTGTGCCCTGTAAGAGGCTGAGAGCCGATGGATCGGCCCCTTGCCGCCCCCCTGTGTCTGTAGTGAGTTAAGCTTAATGTGATTACTGATTAGCGGCTGCGAGGCGCGGGCGGCAGGTCCCTACTTAGCCCTGTGGGCCTGTAGAGCGGGTGACTCGTGACCCAACCTCGACAACTTCCAGGCTGTCCAGCACAGTGTGCAGTTGAAGGAACTGGGCACCGACGCGAACCGCGTCTCGTCGACTTCACTGGAAGTTGTCAGAGGCTGCATTACCTAGAGGGGGTTCCCGATGAGCATGTCAACCAACTTCTGGCCGACATCTGTCTTTCGTTCCGCTATTTTAGTTTCTTCCTTTTGATGACATTCATTCTCTATTACAATGAAACCCAAACGGCGGCGCGCCCCTACAAATCCACTAGAGTTGGCGAACCGTAAGACGGACGAACAGTTCATTGCCGATCATCTTGGGCCTCCTGGGTGAGTCCGAATACATACCTCGTCACCGAATCGAACCAGGGGTTGAGAGACCTTGCGCGAGCTTCAGGTGACCGAGCTTCGTGGAATAAGATTCTTGGATGTTTCCTTAACTTGGCACTTCGTAGCTGCTGTGGTTAATTGGCGTAAGCTGATGGATGCTGACAATGGCGCTCAACCGTCGCTGTGCATAATAGCGTTACAAAATCCCCCTGGGTCCTAGAATGGTTGCATCCCCGGACGGGGGCCAAATATAGCATCGGCCTTGCACAACCCTCAAACTTGAGCGACAATGACTTGACGGCTTGCTTCCACTTGATTGAGGAGACGAGCCGACAGGACTACGAGAACTCGGCGGGCAATTGGCATCCCGAAAATAAGCTCGCTGAGATGCGGTCTCCCGAGCTGCGCTATGTCTTGGTCAAAGACTGTGATACAGCGACTGTGTGTGGCTTTACGTCGTTGATGCCCACCTTCGAGGCTGGCCAGCCTGTTATCTACTGCTACGAGATTCACCTCAAGCCTGAGGTCCAGGGGTATTGCAACCCGCTTTTTGCCCCAACTGCCTCTATTCGTCAATGTTGCTCGACTAATAGACAATTTTTATTACAGGACTGGGCTGGGGTCGCTGCTCATGAGCTTTCACACAACGGTGGCAGCAAGCCTGCCGCCCGTCACCAAAGTCATGTTGACCTGCTTCTTGTCAAACCAGCGCGGTCTGGACTTTTACAAAAAGCTCGGGTTCGAGGTAGACGACATCTCTCCCGGGCCTAGGAATCTGCGCTCCGGAAAGGTTTTCAATCCAGACTATGTTATCATGAGCAAGGCTGTGCGCCCGAGCAAATAAATTCACTAGATCCTCGTCCGGCAACTCACGTTCGTTATCGCTTGCGGCTGTCTGGTCGAGTCTCGATCGTGTTCTAGACTCGCTGTTCGGTTGTATGCCTCTGCGGTCACACAAGGGAGGGAGCCACACGTGTGCCCAGTTGCAGCAAACCTTCCCGATTGTGTGTGTCAGCTCTGTGCAAAGGATTTGGTAACGTGTAAGCACTGCCTGCCTCGAATGGTCGATCCCCCCTCCTATGGGGAGATTTGCCCCAGAGCGTAGTCTCAGCGGCGCGGCCCATCCACGGCCCCTAGTGGCATGCTCGCTGCTGCCGTTGCTGCGCACTGCCCGGCCCTTGGCCTTGGAAACCGTGGCTAGGTAAGGCGCCAAGCCAAAGGAAGCCGCCAAGAAGCTATAAACGGGACTCAGTGTACCGGTGACTGCCTGGCTGCTATCTCCACTTGGAGTGCACACGGTGCAACGATGCTAATGTTTACTTGTCAGCCCTAATGTTCGGACCCCCTCTTGCAGCCATCTCGTCTAAGCCCGCTTTGTTAGGATGCTGCGTTCAGCCAACCACAGCCATCCCTTTCCTCATGCAGATCAACTCAGCTCCGACGCCAGCCATCTGGAGAAAAAAGGCAAACCACCAATTCGCCGGCCCTGCGCCGCCCAGCTTACCGCAGTAGGCTGCCAGCGACTGGTTAGGGTCAGACCTTCCCATGCCTGTGCCTTCTGTCCCGATTCCCTAGAGCTAGGACACGGCAGGACAGTCGAGGGAGAACCTGCACTAGCGGCCACACAGTTCTCGCAGTAATAGCCAATCAACCCTGGTCAGAGGTCCTTATGGAGGTGTGACAGCTGTTCTCGGCCTGCAATCTTATAATGCAACAGGCTGTCCCACTCCACGGTGGCAGCTTTCTCGCACTCGCCCTGCTCTCTTTTTCTTCATATTCCTGCGTGTCCTTCCGTAGTCATCACCGTCGAACAGAGCATCCGTCCCGAAGGTTGCCAAGTGAGTTGCCGTAGTCGTCGTCTTCTTCCGGACCCGCCACAACAACCCCTCAACTTTCACAATGGAGTACCGAGCACAAGCACCTGCCCAAGATGGCCAGTGGGAGTCAGGCTTCTGCAACTGCTCGCCCTGCGAGAGCTGCTTTTTGGCATGCTGCTGCCCCTGCATCAGTGAGTCTAAACCGAGAACCACGACGAGCCGCCGTCTGGGGGAATAGCATGTCCTAACCTCTTGGCTCCCCAGTACACGGCAAGACTGCCGATCGTCTCCGTGACCCCACCATGGCTACGGCAGATACCTTCAACAGCGACTGCGTGCTCTTTGGCGTTGTCCAGGCCTGCCTGGGCGTAGGCTTCATGTTAGTTTCCATCAGTCGCTAAGTGTTTTTTCTCGCACAAGCGTAAAGTAACTAACCTCTTGCCTACAGCTTCACAATGCAGCAGCGAGGCGAGATCCGCAAGAGATACGGAATTAAGGGCTCCGGGCTTGGTGACTGCTGCGCGACCTTCTGGTGCAACTGCTGCGCCCAGATCCAGGCCGACAACGAGGTTATCGCGCGCTCTGCCCGCGGCCCGATTGTCCAGGGCTACCAGCCCCACGGCCCCATGGGCACCCCGGGCCAGGAGAAGATCCAGCCTACCGTCCAGGCGCACCCTCAGCAGCAGTACCAGCAGCAGCAGTACCAGCAGCAGTACCAGCAGCAGCCCCAGCAGTACCACCAGGGCCACCCCCAATAGACGGGCAACGTGACGTCGGCGGGACCTGGCCGGAATGGATGTTGCAAAGATGTATGAAGGCGTTTCGTGATTGGGCCTGCGGTTGTCTATTCACTTCACTGGTTCCTGTTGTTTGTTGTCGGTTGTTATCCCGTCCTAGGCAAAAAAGGTCTTTCCGTGAACACGCCGCGACTGCCCGGCCCCGGCGTGGGCTCGTTATCTCTTCTGTTCAGTGGTAATAATATATATACCCCCTTTTCACCACGGCCGTGCCCGTGATATACATATTATTGGGGTGAAGCGGAATTGAAACTTCAATCTCACGATATCGTGACAAATGGCCGAGGATAGTTACACTGCAAGAGTAAGACGAGTATAGAGCAAGGCGTAGGTAGGCAAGACAGAGCCGGCGCTCTCTGTACGTCTACGCCGAATGTTGAACACAAACCACAACGGGCAGAAGTAATGGTGGGGCACGAAACACGATGCACATTCCTTCCGCAATAGCTTGTGACTCACTTCCCTTGGTTACGAGTTACTCAAGTGGGCGCTGACTGAAATTGCGGTTCTCGAGGCTTGGACGTAACTGTAGCTGACGATGTAAAGTAGGACGATGTGTACTACTAAGCCCCTTTGTTACAATAAATAATTAAAACTGCTGTTTGTGGGTGTATTAGTATAATCTAAAAATATTACCGCCTTTGAGCAACTTCACCAGCCGTCTTAAGTAGCCGTTCAAATGGCTTCGTGAATCTACCTAATCTCTAGAACTATATACTCATAGTACGTAATGCGGCTAGGGGCTAGGGGAATAGTACGGTTTACTGCCAAGAAAGTTATAAACGCATACCATGCAAATTCAAGTGGCAAGTGTTTGTGATTTCTTGGTTTCTCCTAGGTAACGGTGGGTAAAAATAACAAGATAGCTACCGCCGAGGCTAAGAGCGTAGCCCTACAAGATCTTATGTCTCTTTACTGTATAGGCGGTTTACGAACCATCGTCTTGTCTACAGTCACATAATACTCTCGCACCAACCCTCTACCCTGTCATCAGGGCAAAGTAGAGGGAATACCAAAACAAGAGATCAGGAAGCAATGGTCTGGTCTGTATTGTCAATAGCTGATAATATGTGGTCTGAAGGACCGCGCTTTAAATCGCCCCTAGAACCATTGCCGGCCTGTTCACGGAGAACGATTGCCCCCTATCATTACTCATGATGACTCTTAGCATGGCATCAAATCTTATCAATCCTTAAAGCTTCTGCATGGCAACGACGTCAGTCGACTGGACAAAGTCCTCGAACTCCTGGATCTGCTCCTGGAGCTCATCGGTCGAGACCTTCTCGTCCTCAACAACCAGGTTAATCTGTAGCTTCTTGATGCCAAAGCCGACAGCGACGAGCTTGGAACCACCCCAGACCAGGCCGTCCTTTTGAATGCTGCGGACGGCCTCCTCCAGCTTCTTCAAGTCGGTCTCATCGTCTACAAGGGATGTTAGCATACTGGCACGGGGCAGCTTTCTATATGAAGCTGAGAAGAATAAGACGAGAACATACCCCAAGGCTTCACGTCCAAGGTGACAATTGACTTGGCCGCGGGCTTAACCTTGCCCTCCTTCTTCTTGCGGTACTCCTCAAGGCGCTGCTCGCGGAGCTTGACGGCCTCGGCATCCTCCTCCTCATCGTCGCTGCCGAAAAGGTCGACATCGTCATCGTCCTCCTCGGCAGCGGGGGCCTTGGCGGGGTTCACAGCCAACTCAGATATCTCGGGTCCATAAACCGAGTAGGGCTTGCTAGCATCTCCGGAGAGGGCAGGGAACTCGTCCTCATACGAGGCGATGTGTTTATACCAGCGAGCAGCATTGGGGTACTTGGTCGCGTCCGGGGACGACTTTAGCGCCTTGAAGACGGCGACATCGGCCTGGCTCGCAGAGAAGCTGTAGTTGAGGAAGACCAGGTTAGCGGGGCTGTTGCCAAGAGGGGCAGGAAGACACAGTTCTCGAGCAAGTGCGGGTCAGAGGTGCACAGAGTGTTGGGTGGGTAATCATTTGCAGTTCTTGACGCTGCTAAGAAACACGGACCAGTGGAATCATCATAGAAATGCAAGGAGAAGTTGTCGGGTAAAAAGAAGCCAAAAGGAGAACATACCCAGTGATGTAGGAGCGGGTGAGCAGCCAGTTGTTCAGCACTGCCTAAATGTCAGCGCCATCTGCTCTGCGCCAGAGCGCTCGAACGTCAATGTAGCCTACCGGTAAGACCGGCGTCAGTGAGGAGATCGGTGAAACCCATGATGACTGAGTGTGGTTATGAAGTGCGATGTTGGACGTATGTTGGAGGTTGCAGAGTCGAGAGGTGATTGTGGAATCGTCAAAATGTACAGATTAGATGCCAGCTGCCTAAAAGATGGAGGGGTTGAAAACCTTTCGGTTGACTTGGAGGCGCTGCGCCGCTCTCCAATGGGAGCCTTGGACCGGTAACCCTAGCCCCACTAACTCGCAACGTGGTGGGGAGTCAGAGATTTGGCCCCTCATCTGGGAGGGGTTCCGGGATAAAGGAAGACCCGGCTCCGCGAACTGAATGCGGGCGCCGAGCTCCTGCATCTTCAAAACGAAAGAATAGCCAATGACATCATCATGGACATGTCACCAGCCATCCGAAGGGAATATGCCATCCAATCACCGAATGACTCCTACTTCGGTCTCTAACAGAAAAAGTTTATGGTGACGAGTACGCAAAGGTATAAACAGCATGAAGTGTATGAACACAATATGGAATGTGGCTCTCCCTGCAGTAAAGCCGTCAACTTATTTCGCCGTCTTTGTCCAGGGCACAGCGCGCCTGTTGGACGGTATTCCATCAAGGTAAAGTCCAGCGAGAAATGTTAGCCCAACCGAATGAAGTTCGGCCCTTGTCCCGGAGGTGGTCGCCACCACGTCATACGTGTACCACCTGTTTCCTCTGTGCAATGCCTTGCCAAGAATATACCTGGAGCTGGTCGGTCTTGATTTGGTTGGTTCCCGTAACCTTGATGTCAAACCTTTGTTCGATCTAAATAGTGCCTGACTTCCACCCCTCCCCGCTGCTAGCTAGCTATTATCTCCTCTCTCATCAACACCAAAGCCGCCCGACCCGTCAACTATCACAACTCTGCGCTATACGCTTTCTGCGACTACATCAAGTTCAAGTATAACAACCCAGAGCGCCCGCAAGAAAGATCTCAGCCTCCAAGATGCTGGCCTTCGTTCCCATCGCCCACCTTGTGGCGGCGGTTTTTGCCGTCATCGAGCTCGGTTTGATGGCCTATGGTGGGTTCCTTCTACTCAAGTTTCCCTCGCTGCCTGCTAGAATTGCTGGTAACTAACATTGTTTCTCTTGCAGTCGTCTCCCCTTGGTCGTCAGCACCTAGCGTTGAGGCCTTCATGCTCTTCAACGCGGTTTGGTCCTTACTTGTCCTTGCCTATGTCGGCTTGACGCCTCTTTACGCCACCCGTATCTTCCACCGCTTAGCCTCGCTGGCCCTCGAATGGATCACCATGATTTTCTGGTTTGCGGGCTCCATCGCCCTGGCCGCATATTGGGGGGCCCCGAGCTGCCACGGAAACACCTACTGCGGGAGCATCGAGGCCGCCATTGCCTTCGGCTTCTTCCTCTGGCTCCTCTTCCTCTTCCTCGTTGTCGTCGACACCATGGAGGCTCTTCGATCTCGCGGCCATGCCACTCACACTACAGCCCACGGACCTAAGCCATATGTTGGTGCATAAATCGCTTCACTTGCGATAGCCAGCTGCGGCGCCGGACCTTTCATGAACATACCACGCCATAATATGGGGCAGGGTATTCTGTTTTTCGGGGACATGGTAATTTCTTTGGGCGTACTGGGTTGGACAATTTAGTACATACCTGCGTGGAGGTTACGGGGTGAGGTTTAGTCCGAATATGAGGAAAGCAAAGTTTCGAGGCAGGAGCGCGTTATGGAGGTGAGGTCACGGGGGATATTTCTTTACCAACGAACAAAAGGCGAAGATACCCGAACGGGAGCTGTTTTGCTTTTTCTGCTTTTTGTAACTCCCAAAATCCGGCTAGTTGCAGGTTTTAATGTTATTAAATCGGCACTTATACCATTATTACATGAAATGATGCGAGTAACTTGGGATTACCTCCGGAAGAAGCAATAAAAACATGAGATGAAGCCTAACGTTTCGTTGCGACTTCGTTGCATCGTATCTTTTCTTGCTCTAGTAAGACCCTAACCCTGGTTATTGTCAGCCCAACAAAGCACTCCATTTCGCCGCCCCGGAATTTAACCGCCACCGGCGTCGAGTCACTAGCGAACATCTACTAAAAAACTAGCGAGACGCCACTTTGGAGACATTGCCAACCTCAGGTATTCCACCCAGCTCCGCGCAACCACCTCGAACCCGAACTCAATACAAACCGACAAACAACCCTCCCCCAAATACATCTTCAACATGGGCAAGGTCCACGGCTCTCTCGCCCGCGCTGGTAGGCCGCCCGCCCGCGCTTTTGCCAATCCTGGCGCACACGATTGATTTGCACGAAATCTGGACTAACGCTCCTCTGTGCAGGCAAAGTCAAGTCGCAAACTCCCAAGGTCCGTCACGAACCGTGAAATCTCGAACTCGCATCCGTCTCCGCTTGGTAATGGAATCCCCGGCTGATTTGAATGTGGTTATTCTAGGTCGAGAAGCAGGAGAAGAAGAAGACGCCCAAGGGGCGCGCCCACAAGCGGGATATCTACACTCGCCGCTTCGTCAATGTCACATTGACAGTCGGTGGCAAGCGCAAGGTATATACATCCCCAGATGGCCCCCCAGCCAGCAGCAAGCCTTTGGGCGCAAATCACGGAAGGCTTACCGAACTCGTGAAACAGATGAACCCCAACCCTACCGCATAAATCTGATAATATGGTCTTTCGTGAATTGGGGGTTTTGACGCGTTCAAGATTCTTCTGCATGGTATTTTTCAGGCACGGGAAAATGGACAGTCTTACAGCTCGTCTAGCAGAAGAGGGAGTAGCAGCATTGTGTCTTCTCTTCTAGGGCTCTAGGATCCGGCGCATTGGCGTTATAGTAATAGGAAGCTTAGAGGCCACCTTTGACGTTTCTAGTCACATATAGAGCGGTCATCCAGCAAGTTAGTTTCCGGCGAAATTGAGCAAGCAGAGTCTCGCGAGAATGGGTATGCTCTTCTCTTCCGCAAAGTGAATGAACGCTAGACTCATTTGAGCGAGTGGGGTTGCGTTTTCGACTGTCTGCCTCATGAGGCGATCCAGGATCATATCAGTGTCCTGCCAGTTCATTACCTGGTAGCCTTGTGGTCCAGTTCAAGTCAAGAACTTTAAACTTTCTCCAAGAAGTGCCCCGGCCAAGTATGTTCCGTAGCGGCTAACATAGGATGTGTGTGAGCACCTGAAGCGTGCAGCGTCGCCGCTACAGTGATGAGTCTCCTAAACTTCCACGATTCAAGAGGCCGGAGTGGAAGATGACACAGCAAGGATCAAATTACTAGTGCATGAGCGGATGGACGGTAAACTAAAAATTGAAAGTAGTAGTATTAGGGTAACAATTTCATCGAGTCGATTGTCAAAACAAGGGCTGAAATGGTCACTGAAAGAGGACTTTCACATGTTTTAAGTAGACGGAACTGAAGATATCTCATCTGGGTGAGCCAGGGGGGGGTAAAGTGGGGAGGCCGGCCTGTGCGCAAAATGGGATTGATTGGCTGCCTCGAATTCGAGGCTGCCAAAAAACTTTTAGGGTTGCTGTTTGGCACACCAGAAATCCCGAATGTCGCTGCAAAAAAGCTCCCCGCATCCGGAGAAAAAACTGTCGACTTGACCTGAAGTCCTCGACAGTCCACGACAGCAACATCCTACTTCTCGATACGACAACTTCAAAATGGCTGATCGAGGAACCAGTGCCCCGCGCGGCGGCGGCTTTGCTGCCCGTGGAGACCGTGGCGGTGACCGTGGCGGTCGTGGAGATCGCGGCCGCGGCCGTGGTGGACGTCGCGGTGGACGCCGTGGTGGAAAGAGCGAGGAGAAGGAGTGGCAGCCCGTGACCAAGCTCGGCCGCCTGGTGAAGGCCGGCAAGATCAAGAGCATGGAGGAGATCTACCTGCACTCGCTCCCCATTAAGGAGTACCAGATTGTCGACTTCTTCCTGCCCAAGCTCAAGGACGAGGTCATGAAGGTGCGCATTGCTCAATTGCCCCGCGATCCAAACCCGAGGAATTTCCAGCTGACTGGTGTTTTGCCCCGGAATTAGATCAAGCCCGTCCAGAAGCAGACCCGGGCCGGTCAGCGGACCCGGTTCAAGGCCATTGTCATCATTGGCGACTCCGAGGGCCACGTCGGTCTCGGAATCAAGACCTCGAAGGAAGTCGCGACTGCTATCCGCGCTGCCATCATTATCGCCAAGCTCAGCGTCATCCCCGTGAGACGAGGATACTGGGGCGCCAACCTCGGTCTCCCCCACTCTCTGCCCACCAAGGAGAGCGGCAAGTGCGGTTCCGTCACCGTCCGCGTAAGTACCAGAATAGCCCTGCCGTGCGGTTGAGAGGGCCCCAGTGCTAACCTAACCACACAGCTTATCCCCGCCCCCCGCGGTACCTCTCTCGTCGCTTCGCCCGCCGTTAAGCGTCTGCTCCAGCTTGCCGGTATCGAAGATGCCTACACATCCTCTTCCGGCTCCACCAAGACCCTCGAGAACACCCTGAAGGCTACCTTCGCCGCTGTCTCCAACACCTACGGTTTCCTTACTCCCAATCTGTGGAAGGAGACCAAGCTGATCCGCAGTCCTCTTGAGGAGTTCGCTGACAGCTTGAGAGATGGCAAGCGGTATGCCAACTAAGGTGCTGAATGAGGGTGGTGCTCAACAGCAGGGATGGTACTTTTGGGCGTCTGCGGATCTTTACTTCCATGGGCTCCGGCAAATGGCATGGATTGAGGCTGTCAAAAACTAGCACGACCAGCCTGGATCAATTTTAACGACTTGATATACAAATTCCGGGGCTAGCGTGGTGATGTGTTCTACGTGATGTGTATCGTGTGCAATTGTACTATTCTGACTACCCATGGCAAGTGCCGTGCCCATCGTTGGAGAGATACATGGACCAAGATCAAGGACTCTCATTGAGAAAAGTGTTGCGTGGTTGGGTTCTCTCTACTAGGGATACGGCCAATTTCGCCGGCTCGTCTCCCGGAACAGTCCACGTTTTGCCCCTTTTACCGGTTGCTCCTGCCCGGGCTATGAACATGGACAACGGGAAAGCAACGCACTTCTCCGTCTAGCTCCTGCCATTCACTTCAACTGACTGTTAGGGAAGGCAAGAAGCGGAACCTTTGCTAACAGTACGTTTAAATGGACAAGATTCGAATCCTGCATCATTTTCTTGCCTCTCTCGAGTCATCACCCTCCTGGCCTCTCTGCGCGCCGCCTCTCCTTTTTGGGCCTCGAATTTTGGACTTCGGTTTTAGAACCAATTTTGACGTCCTCGTTTTGGAGATCTATAACATACCCCGTACTGTTCTTGGAGCCGGTAGCGCCAAGCTAGGCTGTATACCATGCCGATTGTCGCTCATTTCTGCACGTTCCTTGCCCTTATTCCTCTCAGCTATGGCCTGAACGTACCCGCAAGCTTTGGAAATGTCACCAACACAACTAGTATCACAACAGCAGCTCCTGGCCCACCACAAGATCGCTCACTGCCCATGGATAGAGCCATAATTCTCGAACCGAACAGAATGGGCATCCCCGGACTTTCTATAATTCCGGCCCTGCTATCCTCGTTCTTCAATGGACGGCCTACCACTACGACTGTCATGCCAACGCTGTCCAGCCAAGTGTTGACCTCCGGTGGCTTACAGGCACCAAGCGCTGTCCCAGATCAGACTTCATCAGGGTTGAACTCGGGTTCACCCAGTCCAGCAGGCCTTGGTGGAGTTCTGTCGGCTCTGAATACAATATTAAGCCCCTTGACAAACCAGCCGAATGCTGCCCCATTGTCAACCGCCAACCCCGTGGGCACTCTCGTCTCCATCCTCGAAAGTGTTCTCTCGGTCCCAGTGGCAGATAGTAGCCTGTCTTTGTCTGTTGCAGAAGGGCCAACGTCACCGCTGTCGCCAGTACCGCCCACGACGTCTCTCATGGGATCCGCAGTCCCTCTATTGCCGACGCCACCTATATCATTGCCTCCGCCTCTGCCTAGCTTGACGATCACACTTCCATCGGTTGCTGGGAATCCATCTATTTTACAAGCGCTTACCGCGCTGCTCCCCTCAACCCCACCGGCAGCTTCTGCTATTGCACCACTGGTCTCAGAGGTGACGCCGTTGATCCCGCTACTGGGTACTCTGCTACCATCGGCGATGCCGTTTCTAACACCTCTGGAGTCGATGCTCAGCTCCCAGCTGTCGGCAGCAGCCCCGGGAGTTGGATCTCTGGCGGCAGTGATTGCATCGCAAGTGGCGTCTCTCACCCAGCAAGTCTTTTCTTCAACGTCGGTCCTAACGACAGATGTTCCCATCATGAGTGTTGAACTGCCCACAATCACCATCCCCGTCCCCATCGCGACAACTCTTGCTCCCCAGCTTTCCGGTTTAACCCTCCCCACGAACGCACCTCTGTCAGTGCTAGCAGCGACGTTATCAACTATCATCGGCTCTGGAAACCCTGGGTTGGTGAGCTCCATTGTGGGAGCAATAGTCTCGACACTGGACAGCATGATCTTGAGCGGTCAAGTAAATAGCCTCATTAGCGCCGCAACGGTGGCTGGAGGCTCTGTACTCTCGCAGGTCACTCGGGAATAGTGCTCCCAGGTGACGATAGTGGAAGGATCCATGGCTACCATCTCTGTCCCTTGTGCTGCCGCCCCAACGACAACGATGGCGACTGCGACGACAGATACACAGGCGCCTTTGGTTTCAGTTTCGGACTCGGCGACTAATTCCCAGATACCACTTGTTTCTGTTTCGGTCTCGGCTACTTCTAGCGCAGGCATCTCTCCTCTCACTTCCAGCTTACCCAGCAGTTTTTTGAGCGCTCTAGCTTCTTCGATTACTTTGCTCCCTGCTGCGCAGACTACTAGCGTACTGCCAATGCCATCAATTTCCACTCTAGTGGCAAGCTCACAGACTGTGACGGTAACAGCCATACAGGTCAGTATCGTGACTGCCTGTTCTACAACCTTGTAAGACCTCCCACCACCCCCAGCACGCTTTCCCTGCTAATTTAAAAACAAAGAACCTCGAGTACATCGTGTCCGTCAATTGCACCATGCCCTTTGTGCCCGACAATCCCTCCCTGTCCTTCTAGTCCCAGCCCCGCCGGCGGTGTATCTCCTGCCTCGGTAGGCAACGGCGCGCAGGGCCCGTGTCCAGGCGAAGGCTACACATGCAATGACTGTCTTGACGGCTGGTTCTGTCCTCCTTCACACACTCCGGCTTTGCCAGCCCCTTGTGGAAATGGCTGGCCATGCTATCACTGTTCCGGGGGGTGGTTTTGCGTCCCGTCTCCCACCCTCTTACCAACAACCGTTACCGTATGCCCATTGTCGCAAGCCGGAAGTACAACGCCCGGAGCTGGCCTGACAACTCCTTCTACACCTGGAGATGGGGAGCAGACACCCGCTGCGGCAGATTCTGCGGGAGCTCTTCCACAAGAGACTCTGCATCCTGCTATCTCCGGGTGGCAATATGCTGGCTGTTATAAAGACGACTCAGCACGAGCCCTCCAAAACGCCTCGATTACAGTATCGATTCCCCCCGGAATGACGAACGAGATGTGTATCAACTTCTGCAAAGATCAGGGTTTTAGTCTCGCGGGAACCGAGGATGGATATCAGTGTTTTTGCGGAAACGCGCTGGTAGACTCCTGGCCTGTCGGTGACTCGGAATGCAACGCGCCTTGTACGGGCGACCCGAACTGCTCTTGCGGTGGAAACTGGGCTCTGAGTGTCTGGAGCCCCGACGGCAAAGCTTCCAGGGTTATTGGGCCAGAGATGCAGTTCGTCATGCCAACCCCAACGCCAGGTCAAACAGAAATGACACTTTTCGTTGGTGGTGTCCGTGCGATGGTCATGACCATTACAACTGATGTGTTTGAGTTCCCGGCGGATATCAAAGATGCAACGACAACCAGTTCCTTAACTCCGGTGGCCCTTTCAACAGCCAACGCCTTTGTCGACAGCGACTCAGTAGCCGCTAAAGACCTTGATGTTGACGGTATCGCATCTACCGTGCACGCAATCGTCTCCGCTGCTATGAAAGAGGCACACCAGATTGCCTCAATAGAGGTTTTGAGGGCAAATTCCATGATTTCAGGGGCCAAGTCAGTTGTTGGTAAGGGGTTTAAGAGCATTGCCGACGATCTGAGTGCGGTAGTAGCCGGGGCGTTCCCGGAGAAAGTTGCTTGGACGACGTGTAGCGTCACTATTACTACGTGCAGCACAACAACAACGATCAGCACAACGACTACATGTACCGCCTCGAGCCTTCTTTCCAGCACGTCAAGTCCCGCCGGCGGCCTGGCGCCGACAGTTGGGCAGCCAAGCTCCAGCACAGGGACTACATCTAGTTCACCGACAACAACGTCCTTGAACCAAAGCCAGGGACAAGCCCCTATTACACTCGGGCCAGGGTCTTCACTTCCCCGGCCAAGCCTTTCAGGCGGATCTACCCCTAATCCCGCACCAGGCACAGCAGCAAACCCGCCGTCGCAAAATGTCAGTCCCCAGCCCGGAAGTTCTAGCCTCCCGCTGTCTCCTTTTTCGGTCACGGCCTCTACACCCCTTAGCAGAGCCCAGCCCGGTTCACCGGGAAATCCGAGTTCGGGGATATCTGCAGCGCCGACGCCGATGTCGACGCCGACGTCTACGTCTTCTATCACTCCGTCAGGAATGAGCCAAGCAGCTCCACAGCCGCAGTCGCCTACAACGGTTACTCCTCCGACATCCTCTGTGCTTCCCTCGACCCCAAGTCCGTCTAGTTCTTTGCCTACAAGTCCACCAGTGGGTCTTACAACCGGTTCACTACCAGCCTCTCCGTCGAGCGTAGGGTCTCTGCCATCAGCTACCAGTCCAACCTCTTCTGGTCCTGCAAACGCTGGAGGCGTGGCCCCGATACCAAACACACCGCCTTCTTCGGCCAGCCAGGGCAATTCACCTCCAACTTCGTCACCCAACACAAAGTCTCTACCATCAGGCCTTAGTCCCACACCTAGTGGTCCTGCTAACACTGGAGGCTTGGCCCCGGTATCTAGCTCGCCGCCATCGTCGGCGAGCCCGGGCAATCCAACTCTAAGCGGAGCGCTGCCCATGCCGAATTCTTCTCCGGCAGGCCCACCTCCGATGGAAACGTACTACAAGCTATCTGAAAGTGGCAGCGCAGGAGGTGCGCCTCGGGAGGCCCGGTATTTTACTGCCTGAGATGGTATTGCCATTACGGACATGAGGTGGACATGAATAGAGCAAGTAAACTTGTTATGCCTAAGGGGCGCCGGAAGCTGCAAAGCCGAACATGTGTATAGCGTGGTTGGCCGTTGGAATCTCATAGTAAATGACGACGCGAAGAGGAAGGGGGCGAGAGCAAGCTGGGCTATTTTTTTCAGGAGGTGGGAGTTTTTTGGTGCAACATTCAGTGACAGGAACAGAACATTTCTGCGGGGGACTATGGCATGTTAATTTGGTTCAAGAGTTTGGCCGGGCTAGGGATTTCCCTCTTATTTCGAAGTGTCCAACAGCATGGTAGAGCCGCCTATTTCTTTGTTTTTCTTTCTGTCTTGTCTTGTCTTGTCTTGTTTTTATTAGATGTGTACCTGCGCGAGGGCGGCAGTCTACCTACCCACGACTCAACTAGAAATGGAGATAGCTTCATTTGCCTCTCAGGAAAAAGGCAACTGTAATTGGTGATATGCACGCGACTTTACGCATCCAAGGCCTAGCCGCGGTAGTCTTGTCTGTGCGTCTTTCCTCACTACACATGCATGTCTCGTCTCTTTCTATTTTCCATAGGAAGGATGTTGTTCCTTGTCGCATCAAGCAGAGACGGAACTGTGGTCTGGACTTGTGTTTCACAGCTGCGAAGGTCTGAACTCGTTGCGGCACAGCAATACTGTACTGTAATGCTAAACGGGCTCCGAAGAAATATGGAAATGAATAGGATCCCGTCTAGCCTAGCACCGGCTGGCTCCTACCCTCCCTCTCGTCACACCCACTGTCCTCATTTCTTCGTCTGCGTGACTATCCCTTTCACTTTGGGCACATTGCTTATTGTGCAGAAGTTTGTAGGTAGGTAGGTAGGGTGAAGAGCAAAAAAAGCCAAGACACCCGGCATCGGCGGGCGCAAGACACGGCTCGAGATGAACCCGATGCAGCCGGCGGCTTCAAAAATACCACATGGCAAGTGGGATGGGATGGGATGGTGGGGATGCAGGTTTTGTTTTGAGCCGGCGGCCGGAGATGATGGTGATGATTAAGGAAAACGGTAGATTGCCCCCTCTCCCCTTCCGCAACCCTTTGGCGTGGTGGTCTAGATTTTCTACTTTCTCTCACTTTGTAGGTACGTACTTGGTTGGGAGTGGTGTAACTACCTATTCCGTAATATACGGGATGATGGGGGAGACCGGGGAGGGGGTGTGTGTGTATAGATATACCTAGGTATTTGTCTACATGGGTTGGGTCGTCCGTTGCGTGGGCGTGTTGCATCTAGAACCCCCAGTGTTTTAGCTCGAGATTCTCCCACTGCCGCGTAATTATGGTACTGTCCATGGTACCTAAGGTACGGAATATGTTTAGGTTGTATATGTAGGTATATGTGGCATACATAAGGTATCCAAGAGAGCAGGGGGGAAAGGGGGGAAAGGGCCGCACGAAGGCCAATAAGGACAATTTTGCCGTGCGCCAAAAATGAACACGTTTTTTTGTCTTTCCATGTCGTCCCTCGTCGGGGGAAAAGTGAGCTTGGCTACCCGGCAGGACGCCTCTCCCGTTGCTAAGCTTTTGTTGGCATGACGGCAGTTTGCTTAAGGACGTCCTTGGCTCTCTTCCCGGGAAGCGAAACCGGGGGGCATGGCGTGGCTTATAACCAACGTCAGAGCAACCTCTAAAAGCGAGTTGTCGATGTCGATGGGGTAGTTGCCGTATAATTAGTCTCTGGAAACTCAAAGGCGTCGGTGGGGAACATCCACCAATACATACCTATCTAGCAATAGGTAATACTACTATAACAGCAAGTACTCCCTATGGCTCCTAGTATGTGGTTCTCTTTACTGCCTATATTAGACCTACCTACCAGAGGGATTTAGCTAATGTCGGGAACAGGTAGCTGTATGGTCTCTACTCAAGAGACATTTCCCCGATATAGCACCCGCCGATGTCTGCGTGCTTTGAGAGATTTTACGGTATTGCCCCAAACAGCACATATCGGAGCACTCTATCCCTTCAACGGTAAGACTACAGCACGCAAGGCGATCCTGGGTCCAGGACAGGTTTTATGTATGGTGGTCAGAGCGCTTGGTTCTCGCATGGAACCCGCGCACGGGGAGGTGGAAGAGACTGTGGCATGAGAGTTGGAGACACTCGAGACGAGCAGAATCACTCAGCAAAACCTTCTCGTCGATCGGCACCGCGAGAGCCGCAGGGTCCTCGGCAGCCCACGTGGCCAAAGATGGAAGAGTAACCCACTCCTGGGTAGGGCTGTCGATGCTGCTGCATCAAGGCACCGCAGCAATAGCTGTTCCAGAGTCCTGGGAATTCTGCTGCCTTTGGTGTTCTGGAAGCCATCCCAGCCTCCAGGTGCTCCGTCTGTGAGGCCGTCAGATCATGTACCCATTGGTTCCGAACAGTCTCTCCCCTCACCTCCCGTGTGTGGTATTTCGGGGAGAGCATGGTTGTACTACTGTCTGTCGTGGCTAGACGAGCTTGCCAAGCAAAAGGGAAAAATATGTTGTGCTTGAGTAGTAATGTTAGGTACGTAAGACTGAGAATCTGTGATTCTCAGGCTAGATAACTAGGTCCGTAGAGAAATACTGCCCTTCGCAAACAGAGGAGCCAGCTGCCAATGTAGCTCGCTTATCTGAAGCTATCAACAGCACCAGTGTAAATCGAAAGAGGTGACGGACACGATCCCCAGCCCACAAGCACCGTCGCGCTGAGTGGGATTGCATCTATAGCTACCCCAAGCCCGAGCCCCGAGTAGTGCCCCAAGAGGGGAGATGCTGGGAGACACGGGACCGAGTCGGGTTGGGACTGGATGGCCATATCCGAGCCTTTAGGCACGTGTGGAATTTGGCGCCTGGGACCGTCGACGCGGAATGCATTTTCTTGCAAAACAAGATCAACGTGACTGGATAGAGCCTGGCGCTGGCAGATCGACCACTCACTCGTACCGATGAAACCAACTCTCTTGGTGGATAAAACCGACCATCTAATATTCAATTCGGGTAAATAGAAGACCGGCCAACCACGGGACATTAGAGCGAGTGATCGGCCGGGGTTTCTTTGCAAGAGACGCAGCCAGCGTGCGAATAAGCACGTACCTAGTCGGTATGGGTGTTGTGTGTGCGTCCGTACCTATCCGTACTTTCTCACTAGGTAGTCCAACAGCGCACAGCAAGAGAGCCACGGGCTCCCTTCGCATGGCCACCTTGTGTATGGTTTGCAAGCCTATCCATGGCTTACGAATATCAATAATCAGGGAGCCGGCTAGCTAGCTGTGAACCTGTGGGGGCTGCAGTGTCACCGGCGAGACCGTATATATTCATTGTCTCCTCGCTTCTCATGTCGCGAAAGAGGCGGCAACATGGTAGCGATTGGAGGGCTCGCTCGATCGGAGCCAGCGGGGTTGGAACTTTGGATACACTCGCGGCCATGTCTCTGTTTGGCAGTAGGCTAATCTGGGAGAGGCAACTCGCCCATGGCCGTCATGGCCACCATGTTGCCAATTGGCCTGGCGCCTAACGATCGGGTACAGGTACGGTGCGGGACAGGTTGCTCGGTCATTCTTTAAAAGCACACCACGGCAACGACGGCACGAGAACCACGAACTGCACAACAGCGGATAGCCATGTGCCATTGAGCCATTGGCAGGGGAAGGACGGGTCTCGCGTCGGGGACTGCTTCTGTGCTGCAGGTGCTTCTAGGTCGGGGCATTCGAAGCTTGACTCCGTAACCATTTTTTAGCTTCAATCGGGCGAAAGGGGAGAGAAAAAAGAACAAAAATGCCAGGCGAGTATGAACCCCTTTGCGGGGATTCTAGCCGGCCGGCTTTGGGTCGGGGTTTTTCTTTCTTTTTTTGCTCTGCCCAATTCATGTTCTTTTTGCAAGGGTGTTGATTTGGAGACGAAACACACCACCTATGGTAATTGCTGAGCTGCATAACTCTTCGAATTATTACCCGATAATTGCATATATTGCAGGAAAATGAGCCGTGGAGCACACCAGAATTGTGGAAATCTTGTCATTCGGGTACTATGTACTAACATGTTCAACCCACAGCCTCCTTCGCTTCCTGTACCCTCTTGGTGATTCGGCTCAAGGGGCGGTAATTTGCGTTGACCCTGAGCGAACGTACTAGTATTGGCCTTGTATGTGTAGGTATTTATGTACCTACATACCCACAGCACACGTACGGGCGCTAGTTGGGCTGACGAGGGATGAGGGGAAACGGAGACGGACGAGGGGAAAGTCACATCGCCTGATGATCATACGTCCACAGCTTGGCCGCTACGGAAACAGCGACACTAGGTCTAGATGCGGCTGGTTTCATGATGTCAGTGATGACGATGCAGGCTCACAAACGTGCAACGTAGAATCAGTCGATAGCTAGAGGTCCCTATTTAGGGAACGCTTCGGTCTCAATGTGGGAGCAAACTGGGGCCGTCCGCTTCCATCGTACAGGGGAAAGAGGAACGGTAGACAATAAATCAGCTTGAACCTGACGAGGACGTAGCAATTCAGTGGGCCTCCGCCGTAACTGCGCACCGCTCCTACGTAGCGACGACGATCAGGCCGTGAGCTTATTAGTGTTCCTATTTCTCACCTCTTCCTTTCCCTCTCCATCAAGGTCACGTCTCGATATCATTTTGCTCCCCCTCCTCTCTTCTCCCATCGGAGCCCTTCATCACCAACCAAACGCTGAACTGAAATAGCCTTCCAACCGGCAATCGGCAGTTTTGACGGGAAGGAGCTGGCAGCCAAGGACAGAAAATTTAATGCCTGGTTGGCTGATGCCAAGTCTTGCTTGGCGGTCCTTAGCCATGTGGTTTTCGACGCCACTCTCTGGGCAACGATGCCGCCAAGACTAGATGCCGCCTTGGCTTAGAATCGTTTCAAGATGAGGGCTGGAGTGGTTGTGGATTCCCACAAAGCCGTTGTGCCCTAGATCGCTTTATTCCATTCCTCGAGCTCCAGAGAATTAAGAAGCCTCACGATGCTCCGCATTGTTCGAAGTCAGCAGACGAGAAAAGGAGTTAGGTAAAGTCTCGAGCCCATTTAGGATGCAATGCCTACGTGCTGAGAAAGTCCTCGCCCAATTCATTCAATTGCGGGGAATTTCCGGGGTCTCACTTGGCAAAATGGGCGGGAAATATATTGGCGAAGTTGCATTCGAATCGACTTGCCCAATGGGGCTTAGAAATTGCTTTGCGATCTCAAATTCGATTCCACTCCGGGGAAGGAAGAAAAGGAGGGAAATAAGAAAAAAATCGTTGGAGGGGGTTGCTAGGCTAGAGTCTAGACGCGTTCGACCGAAGGTTATGTTCGTTTTCTCCGTTTCTGCGCACTTGTAGGACAGGCATACCAAGAAGTATGAGCGCAATATCCATCTGAACTAGCTCGGCCGCCTTCTTCTGACCAACAGATATTCAGATGAACCCACAACACGTACCAAGAACAAGGATAGGTGGAATACAGGCATTACTTGGAGAAAAAACTCAGATTGTTGTGCAGGAAGTGAGCACTGTGTCTATTGGTGATCGATTGGGCCACTTCGCCAAGAGATCCTTTGGCTTTGGCGTGCGGCGCCTCTCTGGGGTTGTGGAGACAGTGGGACCTCTGTCCCCTGTCGAAAACGGGGAAGAGCTTTGGCAAGAACATCGTACACCACCAGTTTGCGCCTCACCCCTTCGTCCGTTGTCCGCTTGCGCTGCTTCACACTCGAGCCACGCGGTGGGCATTGGCTTTCTATTATCAGCGCTTGGAGTCACACAGCTATCCCGATGCGTCAACGCTGCGAATGGGAGACTGGCGCGGCTGGTCACACGGCATGGCGGAGTAAAAGAGTTAGGTAGGTAAGTATCCATCGTAAGCACTCAGTCTCCATAAAGCCCCTGCTCTTTCTCCCTTTCCCCGGACCGAGTGTCCAGCTATGCGAGCAGTGCCGTAGGGTTTGCGTTGTTGCCAGCGCGGAGACACGGGTATTTGGACGCGTCCAGATGTTTTCCTGTCAGGCGTAGCATACCCAGCAGCCCACATCGATCCAGACCTTGGGCAGCTCTGGCCAGGATCCGGGAGGGCCTTTGTCAGTCCACACTCCACAGCAACACCGAGTGGGAGGAGGGACCCAGTGGCACCCTCGTTGCCCGCATCTCTGGAAATTTGGGGCCCACCGAACGGCCACAGCAGTTGCGGAGTGGGTGACTATTTCGAACTCCCATCACACCTCGGCTCACGTCCCGTTGTCCCCTTGGAAAGGTGTTGGATCGCCACTGCCTATTTGGTGCATGCTGATGCTGATGCACCACCACCGCACCACCCACAAAGCCATCTATTGAACCTAAGTGACTTAACCAACCAGCCGTGGGCTGTGGCAGGTACAGTACCTACCTGCTGTACAATATGTTCGTCAGCCAGGGTGGTAGGTAGGTGAGGTGAGGTAACATGGAGTGAATTCAATTCAACTCAATGTAGCCGGCACCTGGTGCTCATGCATCGGCTGGCATCCCAATTCCTCGTGCTCCGTTTGTGGTAGACTCTGGCCTGTCTCACTCTGCACAGACAGAGAGCCAAAGGCAATAGCTCGCATCCATGTCATACTTTCTCCCCGTGGCCCGGCCTGGCACGCTTCCATTGCTTGGCCGTTCTCCTACACCCACTCCCACCCAAGGTTGTATCCATGCTTCCGTAGAGCGACCCCTGCAATACACGGGACCGTGGTTCATTGTGGACTTTTTCGTCTCTCAGTTGACGATCCTAGACGAGACGGGCTATTTTCCCAATGATCCTCACCGTCCCCGCCTTATATTAAGCCAGCTCCCTCTCCGCTGGACGTTTCCCTCCCCCCCTCTCCCGAGACACTCCTTTACTTAGTATTGCTCTCGTGTACCTCAGGTCTCCAGTCACTCCACACGAAACGTAAACTGGTGGCCCGGCCCCGACTGTTGCTTCGCCGGCACACACATCGTCCACCTATCTTTCCCTTCTCTCGGGACTTACCTGCACGGAGAGCCTCGTTGGCCTCGACTCTAGCCTGCAATGGCGGATCTCAACCACCCCGGCTCCGAGAAGGAGATTGGCCAAACCACGGGGGCGGCGCCTGGTGTTAATGGCTCCCATGCCACTGCCCGGGACTACCACAACCCCATGGCCCACATCCACTCGAACCAGGAGGCTCGTCTACCCGCCTTTGGTGGTGAGTTTCAGCCCGGTCTCTACCGGTCGGTCGAGGCGCGCAAGTTCGCGAACCCGGCTCCGCTGGGTCTCAGCGCCTTCGCCCTCACCACCTTCGTCCTCTCGGCCGTCAACCTGGGCGCCCGCGGCGTTTCTGCTCCCAATGTTGTCGTCCCCCTAGCTCTCGGCTACGGCGGCGTCGTCCAGCTCCTGGCTGGCATGTGGTAAGTCTTGACGCGCACTTACAAGCACGGGCTACCGCCAATGATGATAGTCGCCTTGTGGGCTAACTGAGACGCTGCAGGGAAATGGCCGTCGGAAATACCTTTGGTGCCACGGCGCTCTCGTCCTACGGTGGCTTCTGGATTGCATACGGCATCTTGCTCACCCCGAACTGGAACATTCTTGGACCCAACGGACCCTATGCGTCCCCTGCAACCCAGGCCATCGACCCCAAGATGGGTGAGTCGGCTGTCGGCTTCTTCCTGACGGGCTGGTTCATCTTTACGACGATTCTACTCCTCTGCACGCTGCGCTCGACCGTCATGTTCTTCCTGCTCTTTTTCACCCTCGATCTGGCCTTCCTCATGCTTGCCTGCGGTGCCTACGCCAACGACAACAACGCCATGGACGCCTCCAAGAAGCTGACCCAGGCCGGTGGCGGTTTTGGCATGCTCGCGGCCTTTTTAGCATGGTACAACGCCTTTGCCGGTATTGCCGACAGCAGGTACGATTTACCGTCTTTTCTCTTCCTGTTTTTGTGTCACTTTCTGCTTGTCACTCCTCCCTGTCGTTGCCACTGCGGCCGCCTTCCCCCCAAAGGGATATTTTTATCGTACTTTTACATGGCGTTCCCCGCCTCCTTCCCCGCTTACACCCCCCCAACACTATCTCCCAATTTCTGGGGTAACTCCAACCAATGTCTTGGGTCTATCGATCCAGGGATAGCAAGCCACCTTCGTCAACCAAGACAATGCCCAAATCGTCCAGCAAATCACAGTTAAAGGTCCTCGCGCTAACAAGTACTCTCTGCCCACAGCAACTCTTTCTTCCTCATCCCCGTCTTCCACTTCCCGTGGTCCGAGAAGGGCCGCGAGATCCGGGTCAACAAGTCGGAGCGCGACACCGTCTAAGTTACCTCGGAATGGGAGGGGTTTCTTTGTTTTCTTTCATACGCCACGTTTCTTATTTCGCCATTGACTTGGCTCCCGCTTTTTCTGCGATTCTTATTCCCGGTATATATCCAGCAGTTATCAGGTTTTTTTGGGCTCGAGGTCACGATAATGATCTTGAACTGCACGATTGGATGAGGGGCGGGACAAAAAACCTATAGTTGACATAAAAGACTTTTTTGGACATTTTTACCGCCATGAGCAAAAAGGGGGGGGGGGTTGACAAATAGTAGTTTTAATACCGACCGACGTCTAAAGTCGACAGACAATAGCGGCGCAGCATCCCCCTGTGCCTGTGTCAGTGGTCACGTCACGCAAGGTGCAGCTTAGGCGTAAAACACGTGTTGCCAAGATGATATGATTATTTGCCAAGCCTTTCGACTCTTGGTACTGGTATTCGCATCGTTGTTCCTCCGCGAAGCATGGTGTTGCATCGGCTCGTCCCATACGGTCGGGCGCCGAGATCTCGAATGTCTAGTGGTCGCTATTCACCCTTTATCAACCCAGAGAAACAGAGCAGGATGCGCGGAAACTGTGCTCTAGGTAAATAAAAGCCCTACCATGGCAGACAGTATTGAACATATTGTGTTGATTTACGCGGTTTCCTATTATCGGCCCCGGGGTATTCCATTCTGTAGCCTCGGGGAAGATCCCTGCCAGGGGCCGGGGGAAAGACGTCAGCCATCAACCACCTTTCGATGACGATGCAGAGATCAGGTGATAACTCGCAGCGTCGGCCACCGGCGAGCCCGAACCGCTCGTGCGAAAAACTGCGATAATACCGCCCTCAGCTCCTTCTCTGCCCTTTCGTCCGGCTGTCTCTCTCGCAAGGTACCCTGCCAGGAATCAAGCTAGGTAGCCAAGGGCAGACCTGCTGCCTACACAAATCAACATTACCCCTTTCCTGGCCTACCTAATCCCGAGCCTAGCGTCGGTTTTGTTTGATCATCGCCACTTCCAACGCCCTCGGTCCTGACTGAGCATCCTCGGGCCAGGGAACCGGCGGAAAGGCAGTGTGCCTTGGCAAGATTAGCGTGTGTCGATGACTAGGCGACATCTGGTTGCACTGCCGCTTACGTTCATGGTCGCCCTGCTTGCCGTACTGTACCGCCGCGTCGCAATAGCACCTGGTTCGTTCTTACAGCCCCCTTTACACACACTGACCGGCACTATGGCATCACCACGCGCGGCCGAGGTGATCGTTGTCGGCAGTGGCCTGGCCGGACTCACGGCAGCCCTCGAGGCGTTAAACTCAGGCACGCCTAAGGTGTGCCTGCTCGAACGCGCAGCCAAGCCAGGAGGCAACAGCATCAAGGCCTCGTCGGGTATTAATGGCGCGCCCACGCGGTTCCAGAACATCACTGGTAAGGAGGAGGCCGAAGCCGCCCAGTCGTTTTTGGACGACACGATCCGGTCGGCCGGGTCGCGTCTCGCCAATTCGGGTGGCAAGCTCGCTAGAAGCCAGCGCGAGGCACTCATCACCACACTGACCAGCCACTCGGCCGAGGCCATCGAGTTTCTATCAGATCTCGGCGTCGACCTGTCTGTCGTCGCGCAGCTCGGCGGCCACAGCCATGCGAGGACGCACAGGGGCTCGGGCAAGACACCGCCCGGCGCTGCCATCGTGAGCACCCTGCTGCGGACTTTGGCAGCCAAGGGGAACCATCTCGAGCTCATGACGGGCTGTGAGGTCACCAAGCTGCTGACTCGAGCTGTTCCGCAGTCCGGTCCTGCCGCAGCCGAAGTCACGGGGGTCGAGTTCAGAAAGGACGGCGAGCTGCGCACTCTGCACGGGCTGGTCATCTTCACGGCCGGCGGCTTCGCGGGGGACACGCAGGGGCTGCTCGCCCAGTACCGTCCCGACTTGGGCGGAATCCCGTCGACCAACGAGCCGCGGCCGGGGGCCCACAAGATCCTCTCCGACGCCGGCGCGCAGCTGGTGGACATGGAGAGCGTGCAGATACACCCGACCGGCTTCATAGATCCGGCGAGCCCGCAGACGCCCCTAAAATTCCTCACCGCCGAGATGCTGCGCGGCGAGGGCGGGATCCTCCTCTACAACCACAGGCGCTTTGTCAACGAGCTTGACACGCGCGAGCGTGTCAGCAGTGCTATCATGGGTCTCCCGCCAGCCGCAGTCGAGGACAGCAGCAGCAGCAGCAGCAGCAGCGATGCCGCCGATGGCAGCCCCCCCCCCCGCTGCGGCAGTTCCCCGTCAAGCTCATCCTGGACGAGGGCGTGCACAGGCACACCCAAGGCCACGTCGGCTTCTACCTGTGGAAGGGCCTGATGCGGAAGAAGAAGGTGTCTGAGCTCGACGCCAGCATGCAGGCGGCGTTGGCCGACTATGCTGTCATCGTTCGGGGCGATAAGAGCGACGAACTTGGCCGCACGGCGTTCGGGCACTGGAGGCTCGGCGTCGACAGGCCCGTGGAGCCGGACGACGAGGTGCTCGTGGGCGACGTCACGCCCATCGTGCACTTCACCATGGGCGGCGCGCTGATCAACGAGCACGCCCAGGTTCTGGCGTCGGGGCTGGGCGACGACCCGAGGCCTCTGGCCGGGCTCTGGGCCGCCGGCGAAATCACGGGCGGTCTCCACGGAGATAACCGACTCGGCGGCTCGTCGCTGCTCGAGTGCGTTGTCTTTGGCAGGATTGCTGGACGGCAGGCGGCTGCACAACAGGCCAGCCAAAAGGCATCCATCTATCTGTAAAGAAGGCGGCGACTAGGTAGTGTGTCCGCGCGTCTAGATAGGGAGGATTTTGCTTCGTATAGCAACCCATCAAGGACCACTGATGGGACAGGGGTTAGGAAACATGATTTTTGGGCTACCGTGGCATTGTTTTGCTGGTTAATAATAAGATCCGTGAGTCTTGCGCATAAAAATTAGAGGAATACATAGCGAAAATTAATAGCCTTGAGGCCCGAATTTTGGCCCATAGTTCTTTTTTTCTTTCTTGAAACCTGGAGGATGTCAATTCAAGGGGCTTACTACATACAGCACGATGCAGAAAGCTTACAACTGTGTGGCTTCGCTCAGTCAAACGGGTTTGGTTGTAATCAGTGACTCACGTCGCCCTCTAAAAAAAATATTATGCCAGCTACCCAGTTAAACCCGTTGCAGCATATGTAGGATGCGGCACCAGGTAAGGCGTTGTGTGGATTATATAAAAAAATGCCTACCTGGGCTGACTGACCGCTGCATTTTTTGCCTGCCTGTATGCCTACTTACCTGCCTAACACCGCAGGTACGCAACTTCATTGGATACGTAGCATACTGAGTCACTTGACGATATGAAAGCCAGGCATCAGGCTGAGCACACACCACTCACACCTGCCAAAACCAAAGTGTGGACACAGAGTGTTGACACATTATGGGACTCTGCTTTTGGTGCCTGCAGCCTAGATTCTGTATCATAGGCGACTATGCATAGACGCCCGGGTGCTGTAACCGAAAAGGCGGGACTGTCGACGAATAGGTGGCTATGTGCTATATTTTGAAGTCTTGAGCGGTTACCTACTTGCTATCTGCCTCCCATTGCAGGGTTCGGGTGCATAACAGCCAACGGCGGCCTCGGAGGCCGCGTCCCGGACGTGTGTCGGGGAGTGAAGGAGTCACGATTGTTGTGGCTGGTGAGCCAAGAATGTATGGCCGCGCCGTATGAAGAAAGGCAATTATAAAACAGGAACCCCATGGATTGATACAGAGGAGTGCAGCCCCTATCAAACTTGACAGTTCTGTTCTTGGTTCCGAGGAAAAATAACGATCTCGTCCTTTTGAATGTAAATACCCCTTGACCCCTTTCACTGGTAGTTGTCGATAGAAAGAGTGCGCGGGGGATAAACGAGATGGACGCTATGAATCCTAATCTCTTGGTGGCGTTAGCTCTCCTTGTCGTACCAGCTCTTTACCTTTTTGTATTTCCCAAGCGGACTGGCAACCCAAACTCAAAGGATGACAAACACCAGCCCCTTGATGGCGGCCGATCTAAGCCGGCCACCTTGAGATCGATACTCAGCGAGTTGAGGATTTTCCTGCCATTCCTGCTTCCCAAGGACCGCGGTGTGCAACGAAAGTTGATATACTGTTACTTCCTGGTTGGCGTCTGTCTCGCTATTGACCGAGTTGTCAAGCTGATTAGCCCGATGCTGCTCCGGCGCATTGTCGACGCGCTGAATTCGGCAGAACCCACGACCCAGCTGCCCTGGGTGGAAATCGTCTTGTTCGTGCTCTTTCGAAAAATCGGCACCAAGGTCATTGGAAGAGTGTCCAGTTCATATAGGAGGAGGGCTTTGGACGAGTTGACTGATACCATCTCCATGACCCTGTACAACAAAATCCTGGACCAATCTTCCGAATACCACGAGAGTAAAGAGATGGGGACTGTGTGGAGAACCGTTTGCGACTCTGGGACCTCGGCAGTTTATTATTTCTCACACGTCACCGTCAACCAACTCCCTGTGATTTTGGACATAGCCTTGGGCATTGGGGCATGCTGGAAAATCTTCGACGGACGCATGGCACTTGCCATGGTCACCATCATTGTGCTATATGTCGGGTTTTCCGCGGCAATACCGCCATGGAACAAGGAGATGCTCGAAGAAGTCATCAGACTCAACCAAGAGGCGTCGAATATCGGCCTTGATACAATAAACAACTGGCAGACCGTCTCTTACTTCAACCGAACCCAGCACGAACGTTCCCGATATGGCAAGGCTGTGAAGGCGAGCAGAGAATCGAACATCCGGTTTATGAGGCCTGTGCGATCGGGGGATATCACAAGGCAGCTGGTAGCAAGCATCGGCGTCGGGGCCGTGTGCCTGCTTGGATGTTGGCAGATCCAACACTCGAGCAGGAGCGCTGGCGACTTTGTGCTCCTGTTTCAGTTTTGGGACGACTTGTTCACCCCGCTCGACTTCCTCGTCAACCTACTCCCAAGCACAGAGCGATATCTCGCCGAGTCGCAAAAGTTTATCGAAATCCTTCAGCTAGAGCCCAAGGTCAAAGACAAGGAGGGCGCAGCCGAGTTCAAGCTAGGGAACGGGTCCATCAGGTTCGACAACGTCAGCTTCTCCTATGACGGAAAACGCGATGCCGTCAAAAATGTCTCGTTCAAGGCCGAAGGAGGCAAGACCATCGCCATTGTCGGCGAGACGGGCGGTGGCAAGTCAACTCTCTTCAAGCTGCTGTGCCGCGCCTACGATGTCACGGGAGGGTCCATCAAGATTGACGGGCAGGATCTGCGAGACGTGACACTCGAGTCGTTCCGGAAGCACGTCAGCATCGTCCCGCAGGCCATCGGCGTCTTCAACACGACAATTTTGGACAATCTCCGATACGCAAACCTCGAGGCCACTCGAGAGGAGGTCGAAGACGCGTGTCGGGCGGCCGCGCTACACAAGCGGATCTTGGACTTCCCCAATGGCTACGAGGAAAAGGTCGGCGAGAAAGGTGCCAAGCTCTCGGGAGGCGAGCTCCAACGCATGGCCATCGCGCGGGCACTGCTGCGGAAGTCGCAGATTGTTCTGTTTGACGAAGCTACGAGCAACCTAGATGCGGAGACCGAGTCCAGGATCCAGGAATACCTGAGGAAGTGGTACACGGGCCGGACGGTCGTCGTTGTGGCCCACAGGCTGGCGACCATTGCCAACGCAGATCTCATCATTTCCTTCAAGGACGGCGTCATTGTCGAGGCTGGGCGCCACGACGAACTCCTGGCCAAACGAGGCTACTTCCACCTTTTGTGGGAAAAGCAGAGGCTTGCGTGGAATCCACCCAAAGAGGGAGGCGAAGGCAAGTCGCTGCTGGCTTCTTCTTGATGGAGTGAGGAGAAAGAAACTCTAGGCAGCTAGCTAACTAGGTAGCTCTTTAGAAGAGACGTAGACCGCGCTTTACTCGCGCTGCATGTGCCCGAAGAAACCGATGACGAGAAAATGAATGACTTACAGACTAAAATAGGATCAGATATAGATTTTCGAGCTTTATCTCTTCGTCGTTTCTTATTAGGAAGCCCGAGCTGGGTAAAAATTGAGCAATTATAGAGACAATACCAATCTACCAATGTTGGCGCTGCTGAAGTGGTTGAAGCTGTTAAAGAGAGTTTACATCTCATGCCCCATAATACCGTAAGGTACCTGTGGTGTATAAGGTAGGGCAGGTAGTAGCCCTTGGCCTGTGCTGTGATAGAAAGCCCCTCACGTGCTTCCGCGATTCTTCCGCGATTCTTGGGGCCGGGGTCTTGTTCCTACAGCGCCCTTCACGTTACCTCCGCTACGCAACAATTTCGCGACTGAACATTAAGTTCGCGCATCGCAAGCCAGGTCGCGCCGAGCCATTATCGCGGCAAATCGACGGCCAACCCTGTATTTGCATCCCACTGACCGTCACCGCAGAAGGTAGAGAAACAATGTGGCTGCTCGAAAGCAACCTTTTTGACGGTTTGTCCATTGCGCCCGCTGATTGACAATTGCGCGCGCACTGAGAGCTGACTACAACTCGCGCAGGCAGAAAGCTTTGGCTGCGACCTGGCAAGCTCTATCTCTTTGGAAGAACGGCACAGACGTATGAACGTAAGACATGCCTGCGTGGTTTCGAGACGCGAAGAGCCATTACTAACTGGACTGCAGCCGGCCAGCTCGGCATATCCGACAAGACAGTCTCCAGGAAACATCTCACTATCAAAGTCGAGAGCGTACCCGAGGGTGGTGGTGTTAGTATTCTGTGACGCATCCCCTGTTTGCTCTGGGAGATGTGGCTAATTTTAGCAACCTTGCAGCTCAATCTTCACACCCGTTCAGTAGTAGCGATTCACGATCTCGATTCGAAGAAAGGGTCGCTTCTCAATGGGGCCCAGATACGCGGCGAGACAAGGTCGCTCTCGGAAGATGTGAACGAGGTGAAGCTAGGCGCGTGTCCCAAGATTATTCGGTAAATATCCCATCCGCTAAACAGCGGCTAGAGCGCGTTTGCTTACACCCGGGAACGGTAGCATCATATGGCACCCTGTTGTCCTTAGCTTCTCTTTTACCAGCAAGGAGCTGCGAGCCGACCCGTGGGCAAAACTGCGCGAGTCCCTTGAACAGCTGGACATCAAATATTCGGCAGAATACGAGAAACTGACGTCGCACGTCGTGACAAAAAAGCGCAACACCCCCAAAGGACTCCAGGCTCTAATCAACGGCAAATATATTGTAACCGACAGCTTCATCAGTGCCATTGTCAATGCCGCAACTGTAGCCCATGGAGCCGAAGATGGCGCCCAAAGTGCTTTAGAGAAAGACTTTGAAGGCGCTTGGCCCAAAGCCATCGACCATCTACCGCCTCGCAGCGAGGAGCCTGTCGATAGGCCACCCGAATCCTACGCACCCGATGCGCGGCGGCAGGAGGTTTTTGATGGATACAAATTTGTGTTTTACGAAAAGAAGCAATACGAGAACCTATTTCCCGCTATTACGTATGGCAGAGGTAAAGCTCTACTAAAGGAGGTAATCCCGAGGGAAACTGAAATAGACGATTTCGTCCGATATGTCAAAGGGGTGGCCGGGGAAAAGGGGCTAGGGTCGTTTGAAGACGGCAGTGAAGGTAAAGGCGTCGTGGTGGTGCGCTATATGCCAGCCAAGGGCGCCGAATCCGAATGGTTTGCCCAGTTTCTCACCTCGTTTGCCCTACGGCTTGATCACCGTCCAATCGACCAGCGCGAGTTTTTGGAGGCCATTCTTGATTGCGATGCGTCCACACTGCGACGCCCTCTTGAGGAAGAGAGCCAGCCCAGAACACGCAATAAGCTAAATGCCGGCGATACTGTAGGCCGTGCAGAAGCCAACAACCCTCCCTCTCAGCATCAGGAAGAGCAACAACAGCAACAGCAAACCCCCCAGGAGGCACCTCAGGCATCTGCACCCCCCACGCGGAGGGGTCGGGCTCGGAGGGGTGTAGCAACCCGCTTTAGAGGATTTGATTTTGGTGCCGACGGGGAGGATGATGCTCCCGTGGTGGATTCGCCGGTCATGGAGACCCCCGCCATGGAGGCTTCGACTACGCAGCCCCCCGAAGCAGCTGCCGCCTTTCAAGACAGCCTGTTCGTTTCTCAGCATGAAAACTTGAGCCACGCCCCGGAAGAGACGGATGACGGAGAGGTGCGTACCACCCGACGGACCCGCAAACGCCGCCTCTCGCCACTCCCCGAGCATGACTATTCGGCGCTCATGGACGACATTGCGCCCACGGCTGCAGCCGCAAAGCGTCGGCGTATCGAGGCCGGCCAAACACCTGTGCCCCTTCCGCCGGACCCCCAGCCGAACGAGGAGGACGTAGAGATGGCCGCCGAATCGCCACCAGAGGTGACGAGCAAGACAGAAACAGCAAAGGGCAAGAGCAAGAAGGCGAAGGAGGGCGATGCCATCCTAGAGCTCGCCCGCCAGCGCCGCGAAGAAGCCGAGGCTTTGGCGGCTGCCGAGCGCAAGACTCTTACCGACTTGCAAGACGATGAGATCGACTATGCAGCCATTCGTGCGCTGCACATAATCGAGGACTGCGACGTACACTTTCCTGGCGCGAACGCCGCTCCTGGCGGGACACGCGACCAGGAGATCGCAGACGGCCGCTGGGACCCGCGGTGGAACGGCCGCAAAAACTTCAAGCGGTTCCGCAAACAGGGAGAGCAGGGGGGCCGCACGGCTCCACGCATCATCATTGCGCTGGAAGAAGTCAGGCCGAAAGAGTACGGTATTGGTGACGATTACTGGCTCGAGAACAATGATAGCTCCAGTCGGCGCAAAAAGGACAGCCAGCGGGAGTCGCAGACCCAGCAGCCAAAGACCCAACCAACCCCTACCATTGCTAGAGAGAAGGTTTCCGCAGCACGGCGGAGGGGGATCGTTGCCGTGGATAGCAGTGATGAGGATGAGGACGAAGACGATATCGAAGATACCGATGCCATGGTGCAAGACACGTTTGTAGCCCAGCCCGAGCCCCCAAGGTCCCGAACCGCCAAGGCAGCGGAAAAAGCGAACTCGCTTCGCAGCCAGTCACAGTCTCAGGCACAAACCCAGACACGGAGCAGCCAGGCAGCATCATCGGCCCGAGCGAGTAAGCGCGCCGCGCCTGCCTCGCCAGCAAAAGAACGAGCTGCTAAGCGCACGCGGAGAGGGTTCGAAGCCAAAGATAGCGACGAAAGCGACGACAGTGAGGACGAGCTCAAGTTCCGCTTCGGCAAGAGGAAATAGAAGACGGTGTCTAATGTGATTTATGTATTGTGCATCAAAGGGATGCCGTAGATGGACCGACATGATAGCTATAGCCAAATAACGAAGACATGACCTTGCTCCTTCCTATAATACATATCGGGTATCTTATATAGTATATAGAAAGCATACCTAGTCTATGTACGTACGTGTTGCATGTGCCTTGGATTAGCTGCGCATCTTTCTATCGTGCCGACAACAACGGCTATTCCCTCTTACGGCTGTAATCGTATATATGGGCACTGCGTTTTGGACTATTGCGCCCAATTTCAAACCAAATATAATTTTTCCCGGCATTTTGCGAGATTCTAGCTATCGGCAGAAAATGGTTGATATGTAATCGACTTGCTTAGATGTTTATACCCCGAAGTCGTTGTCTCTGCTACTTTGATCTCGGTTGTTCAATTGTCGCCCTCGTCGTCCTTTGGCGGTTCTTCGGGCACATATAGGCCAATAAGGCAAGCAGAGAGCATGCCCTCGTAGTTGACCCAAGGGTGAATCTCACCAAAGAGCTGAGTCCCGTCCTTGCCAGCCCCCCGAAGTAGTTCAGGCCCCCCGCCTGGATGGAAGGGCACGTACGGGCTGATATTGTAGACCCGGCCCCCTAGCACCGTCCAGGCATCGGTGCCCTTGCGTCCGGTCTGCCGCCGGAGCATACTGGGCGTCACCCGGAGATATGGGCAGTTATTGGGCAGGCCCCGCAGGTTTGCTCCAGGCCCCGTGATCCGCGCCCAGTCAAGCGGCGAGTGGCCCGGTTGAAGGACGACTTGCTTGCTTGGCTTCTTCGGCTTGGAGGAGTGCGTGGGCGGAGGCGCGAGCGTAGACGAGGTCAGACCACTGCCGCCGCCAAGAGGAGGCCCGCGATTTGGGACGGGAAGGAGGCGGCCGGGTGCGGGGGAGAGAAATGGTGACCCGGCCGGCGGTTGAGGCTGCGAGCGAAGGGTCGGCGGCCGTGGTGGCGGCGCCATGAGACCAGGCGCAGGGGGCACGTTTTTTGTTATGGCTGCTGAGGGGCTATTTATGCCAACCCCAGCTCCCGAGGCGGCTGCGGTGTTGTCGTCGCCGCTTAAACTTGGCTCCGCGCCAGAAAGCGTAAACGATGGCACTGGAGCGTCAAGCAGAATGGTTGCCGAGGCCTTGGGCGTTGTTTGCTCGTCGTAGCCTGAATCTGTCCTTGGCCCGCCAAGGCCGCCATCTTTTTCTTCTAAAACCATCGGCCGAGGAGGCGGCATCCGGGGCTGGTGCTCATCGGATTGCCGTTTTGGTGCTGCGCTCCTTTCTCTCCCCGCCGCGGCGACACCCAATCCATCTTTCTTCTTTATAGCGACGATATTTGAATCGAGCTTAGCGGGGAGATCATCCTCATCTCCCGGCGCCTTGATCAGCGGCGGGCGGGGCGGTGGCCCAAGTCGGCCCTGTTGGAGATTTCGGACGAAGTTGGGGAGCCATGCTGGCGGTCGCAGGCAGAACAGCACAACGGATGCTACGATGAGCGAAATACCCAGATACCCCATCTCGGGAAGGCTCGGAGCCGTGTTTCTCCAATTGTCGAACGTTGTTAGGACATCGGATCCAGGCTGGGCTCAACGTGGTTTCGGTGGAGACTCGACTTCGCGCAAAGTTCCTGCAGCTTGGGGTGACTCGGTAACCACATGTATATGCGCTGGCAAAAGTAGGTATGATCTTGTATCCGTAGAAAAAGTGGAAAATGCGTCCTTAGTATTTGTAGTGGTTGGATGTGCTCTGTTTCGTTTCGTTTCAGATTGAGAAACAGAAGAGGAATTCAGCAGCCGACTGTTTGGTTTGTTTCGCCCTGGGCGGCGGCCCTGAACACGATTTGGGCTGCGCACATGCCCGCCGCACCCCGCTCCGCGATCGCCCCCAGCCCAGCAGTGATTGCGGGAGACCAGGATACCTTGCGATGACGCCAAGCTGCTGGGTGCGCTGCAGGCACCTGCCCAGGGAATGGCGGGGCTTTGGGATTAATGCATGAACGTAAACAATAAATTGAGATGACAGTGACCAGAGGGCCTGTTTACTACGGGCCCAGAAAGCTGGTAAATTTGTCGGTAGCCAGCGCGTCGTGCTGGGAGATATGTCTCGAGTTTTCTTTTCTTTTCTTCGAGTTTTTATCAATCGTCTGCTCGACATTCGGCGGATCTGCATGCCACCTTTAGTGGTCTTAGCCCCTGTATCTTGCTCGGCAATGTTAACCGTTCAGACCCGAGCCGGCCGAAGCGAAATCAGGGTCTGGCAGGCTGTTCTTCGTTACCATTAAGCCAGTCTCGTCGGGCCGCTGGTCCTCAATATGATGCCATCGTCCTCGGTGCTTCCAGAGAGAGAGAGACGCCGTCCTGAGCCGGCTACATCATCACGTCCAACGTCTCGCCAGTCTGCCGTTGTCAGGAGTAGTTCAAAGTTACAGGTGTTACAGCAGCATCACGCGCTGAAGAAAACGCCACCTGCCGCTGCTACTGTGGGGAATTTGACAGCGGGCAGCTGCACCACCACCACACCTGCGGGAGCGAAAAGCACGCGAATCACGGCAACGCATCCAACCGCACCGCCAAGACAAACTGCCTCCACGCTTGTTGCAGTCAGTGTCCGGCATCCGCTTCGGGTTCGCGATCAAAATGTTGCCCCGATACGCCAACCTCTAAAACCACTGCCGAGCTCCAGATTGCGTCTGCCGACGCCCGCCAGGATGCCGTATGAAAGGCCATCCCCTGCCAGCGCCCGCATCCCCTCGGCCATGCCTCAGATGCCAACCGTCGCGAGGGCGATCAACAAACAACCACCTCTGACGCCCAAGATTGCCACGCGGGCCTCAACAACACCACAACAACATTACCAACAACCACAGCTTCAGCAAACCCCGACGCTCGCAACACCGCTCCCGCGACGAGGCCCTCGACCCGAATCCGTTGTCCTGAGCACCAATGGCGCCGTTTCGCGAGACAGGGAGGAACTGGCATCGCCCGTCACGGCATTTCTGAACTGCAACATTACTCCGCGGTCAGGCTCGAGACAGGGTCGCGTCAACAGCACAAATAGCACACCGAACGGTACCCCCAGTCTAGAGCGCCATGATTCATGGGAGACACGGTCGGGGTTGGGTATTTTGGCGCCTGGAAGCGAGGATGTTCCAACGCGGTTGGCCGTCGCCTTCAGCCCGCTCCCCGACGCCGGTGGTGGCACGAGACAGGACTCAGATCTGGATTCCAAGTTCTTCTACGCGTCTGGCGTGCAGAAACAATCGCAACAGGCTACCTCCGCGAAGCCGGTCGTGGCGCCCCAACAGAAACCGGCCACTTTTTTCTACGCAAACGGGGACACCATTGGGCAGCGGGACAATGCCTCGCCGGTGCCTCTTGGCCCTGTGCTGGCAACGCCCGCTCCTACCGACACTCTTATGAGTAAATTTATCTACGCCAACGGTTTGCCAGATCTGCAGCTGCCAGTGAAGCCTAGCTTCTCGCAGGCCACTGGGTCGGGCTCTGTTGTTTCGTCGGCCTCAAGGATACCAACTAGCAAACCTGGAGCTGGGGCCATGCAAAGCCCCTATACGTCGCCAAGACCCTCATCACCCGTCAAGATTTCTCCTTATCAGGCCTCCAAAAATGTAGTAAATTCCAGTATCCCCTCCGCCAGATCTACTGTTTCGGCGGCTCCTCTTGTCCTTGGCCAGGCAAACCAGTGGAAGCCGAACAGCGAGGCCCATTCCCGGTCCGGAGGAGCGTCATCTCACACTCGCACCGGTAGTCTGATCATTGCTGAGCCTCCCGCCGTGGCGAGGATCATGTCAGCCCATGGCTCGCTCCCATCGCCTGAAGCCCCCTCTCCATCAAATATTTCTGCTCCTCCAGCTCTCCACACCACCAACCCAGCAATCGCCGGTTTTGCCTCTCTTCTCCAAGCTGCCGACGAGTTTGCTGAGCCGGAGGAGGCTAGTTCAGAGTCTCTAAATAGCCCAACTAAGTCATCATCGCAGGAAGGCCAACTGACCGACCTCGTTGCCAGCGCGCGGCGAGAGCGCAAGGTCCAGGACTTGCAGATTACAAATGCGAGTCTAGAAGCCATCAACCGCACCCTGGAGAGGCAGCTACGAAAGCAGACGACGGAACTACGGCGCTACAGGCGGCTTTCTCGTTCTGGCCGCCTGAGCCTGAACTCCAATACTGGAAGACGTATCCCGTCAGACTCGAGTGTAGATGGCGGGGCCTTGGCTAGAGCCGGGATGGGACTCGATGACCTCAGCGAGGAGGAGAGCGAGCTGGATGCCCAGGAGGATGAGTCGGATGATGAGTACCAGTCCGACTCAGAGGCCTCAGGGGAGCTGAGCCCCAACACCATGGCGTTCAGGGACGCACGGCACCGACAGAAGGACGAGCAGAGGCTGCGATTAGATCTTTCCAAGCATCAACAGATGCTCATCGACAGCCAAAAAATCAACCAGAGCCTTAAACGGTGTCTGGGATGGACGGAGGAGCTGATCAAGGAAGGCAAGCGCGCCCTCGAGTACCGGGTCCGGGTCAGCGAAGTTGAGATCGGGGGTAGGGTTCTTGCCCCTGAAGATATAGAGGCAAGAGAGGCCCGGGAAGCCAGGGAAGCCAACGGCAATGCCGATGACAGTGGCCCGGACGGAGACGATGAAATTCTACTTCGGGTACCAAAGTCGACATTTAACTCTGAAAACGGGGCCGACATACGGCCTTGGAGCAAAGACCCGCAAGATAGGGATAGCGGGATTGAATTGCCTACGGATGGCGGGTAATGCGGCGAGCAACAAAAAATCACACAAAGACAAGAATTTAGCGGCCAGATCAGGTGGAAACACCAGCTAGACGGTCGCCCGTCGCCTCACTACTCTCCAGGCTCTGATTTTCTCTTTACTACTTTATTCGGCACGCATCCGAGAGAGGGAGTGGCGTGCATTCGATACCCCAACGTTTTTTATTTGTTTCTCGCGAAATGAGAGGAGAGGACTGTCACAACATTGGGGCTACTCTGCATCTACGCCACATTTATTATTCTTTTTTTCCCCCTTCTGTTTCCTTCTATTCTTCGGCATTGGCCGTTGTATATCTCAGTTCGTGCCCACATGCGCGTTATAGGGGTCTCTTCGCCAGAGCCCATCAGTACTTTTGTTCTCTCTTCAGGGGAAACCTCCATTCTACCTCGATCCTGAAATTTTCCTTTGTCGTTCGTTTGTAACATTAGATACCCAAGCATAGAAGGCACGTGGGTTTACGGAGAGGGAGGTTGTCTGGCTATTTATTTTCACATTTGGATTCTGGGGAACGGGGTTTTTATCTGCGGCTGATTTTGGGAACATGACCACTCCATCGAGGGTCAATATTAGCAATACCAAAAATGGGAAACAACCGCGGAAACATACAACAAGCCAAACAAGCGCCAGGATTACACTGGGCAGTACTGCTGCGGCATTGCCACTTCCAACTACCGGAGTAGTTGATGGGTGGCAACATAGTACCTGTACATGAACCCGTTTGGAAGCAAAGCCAATTAACTAACTTCCTTCGACTGCACACGTGGTTGACGGGCTCGCCAGAATAATATAAATTAACTACACTCATAGAAAAGTAAGCGCACCACCCTAGGAGAGGAATTACAAATAGTTCTACTTTAGGAGGTGAGTCGGGCCGGAAGCGGGAACGCTCGCATGCAAGCCATCTGTCGTAGCCTGTCATCTCTCGTTTTCCAAAGCGGCCTGCATTGGAAGACTGGCACTCCTGTGAGAGGTAGGTATCAAGCAAACCATATAAGTGTCGTAAGAAGCGGTGGATGAGTGAAAGGGGAAAAAAGCAGGTTGATGCAACATTGTCGACCCCATTGTCGTCCGTCGAATGACCCCCGAAGACAAGCCAACCTCCCAATTGTCCCTTTCTAACTCCCAAGTCTAGTTGAATCTCTGCAACATCCAAGATGTCTCTAACGCAGACTTAAATGTCACCCTCGGCCACCCTTTCTCGGGGCCAATACGGCAGCGGCCATGTCTGTAGTGAGATCACCGCCGTCGGAGTTTCGAAACTATGAGGAAGAGGCCTTGGGAACGTTGGGCGCGTCGCTAGCCGTTGCTGCCGCTTTCTCGGCATGGGACGCCTCCTTATCTGCCGACTTGTCCTTCTTGTCCTTATCCTTGCCCTTCTTCTTAGACTCTTTCTCTTTTTTCATTGTCGCCTCAGCAACGAGTTGCTCAAAGGCCATGTAATCGCCTTCTTCTTCGGGGGTGCGCACAGCCTGCAATTTGTCTGTTAGCTCGACGGTCCGCGGTTGTACTTTGTATCTGTGATCACGAAAATATTTACCCTTGAGCAGATGTCTCCGATCAAGACCAGAGCTTCCGCTCTTTCTAGTCTCTTGGAAAGCGGTACCTTCTTTTCGTTAAGTACCGCGTCGCAGACGTCCCGCAACACGCTCTGGATCTCAAACTTGCTGCCTCTCCATGCGGCGGTCAAGATCTTCCCTGTGACGCGTCTCTCGTACTCTACTTTCTTCTCGTCGGTCCAATCCTCTCCACCCTGCTGCTCCATACGCGCCATTTCCTCCATCGTCTGCTGGGCGTCAATAGCGCTGCTAATGGTATTCCATGTGTCCTTGACCAGCGTGCCCTTGTCCTTCACTTTGCTAAAGAAGCCACCCATACCAAAGAACTTTTGGCTTCGCAACACCACCGTAGCCTTGCTTACGTAGGTTGCACCGATAGCGTGCAGAATGTCAAGTCCAAAGGATTCCATCTTGAGATCCTCAACTTCAAGGCGCGTCTTTTCTTGGAAAGCTCTGGTGACGTCAGCGCCCTTGTCCGTCTCTGTCCACACCGAAATGCGATCTAGTAGTTTCCGGGCGAGGGTGTCAACACGTTCCTGCCGCACACGGGCGCGCTCCTTCTCGTATGCGAGGAGCTGCTCGCGCTGCTCCTTAGTCAAGCCCGATTTTGACTTTTTGTCCTTGCGCTTCAAATCCGATGATGCTGCATCGTCAGAGGTAATCTCATTAGACGCTGCCATGAGGGCCGGTCGGATTGGAATCTGAGTGCGGCCCCGCGGGGTTGAAGTTCCAGATCCAGGTACTGGCGAGGGTGATGGGGACGGCGACGGAATCTTTGCAGAACCAACCGGCGGCGAAGTTGGCGGCGCGTTAGAAACTCCTCCGGGGGTCACGTCGTCCTCGACTACGACCGCTGGGGGCTTTGCACTCGGCGGCGCTGCGCCTGCGGCCGTCTTTAGGCTCTCTTTAATGGCATCTTCGGTCCCCGGGAACTCATTGTCTCCAGTAACGGCGGCGGTGGTGGACGGTCCGGCAACTCCTTCAGCAGCCTCAGCCGCGCCCTCTTCCCCTTCCCCGGTCATGGTGATGTCCATCGTAGCCGTCAGGTCCTTCATCAAGCTGATCTCGCCAATCCAGTCAACAAACGCATCGCCGCCAAAGATGCTCGTGAAGAATTCGGCAGGGTCGACGAAGCCCTCCGTAGGGCGAGCCGACTCTTTACCATACTTGTCGTAGGCCTTCCGCAGATCAGTGTCCGACAGCACCTGGTAGGCCTCGCCAATAGCCTGGAACTTCGAGTGTGCGTTGGGGTCGTTTGGGTTCTTGTCTTGAGAGGGGGCATGTGTTGTTAGCACGACAGACAGTAGATTGGTTGTTGACCAACGACATGCCAGACAGTTATGGACTTACCGGGATGGTGGATGATAGCAAGTTTTCGGTAGGCCTTCTTGATCTCGAGCTCTGTAGCCGTTGGCGAAACGCCGAGAACGTCATAATACGCAGTGTCGACCACCATGGCGACAAGATATCTATGAGGCAGTGTCGGCGTGCGACGGCGAGGGGGACGACGGTAAGCTCAGTGCCACTTGTGACACAGAAAGAGAATGGAGGAGATCTCGAATTTGTTCGGATGCTGAGGTGCCCTATGTGGAAGTGCGAATGATTGTCTAGGCTACTTGACGACCATTGGGCTGGTAAGAAGACGGTATCCGCAACGCCGCGCCACATCTTTGGCGTCCGACCCAACCTAGCACGGCCGGCCTAAATTATGGCACTAGCTGGGCACTAACTACGTCGTAGCGCGGAGCCCAGCCGCTGTGCAACCGAGGTGGGCAGGCTTGCCTGCCGGGGGAAGTTCGGTGGTGGGGCTGCCATCATGCCTACAGCCGTTTATCGGGCATTCCATCAATTGTTCGGCTTGTGAACCCAAAACCTCCCTGATAAACTGGGCACCTAAGTCAGGTAAGGTAATTAGCTACTAATTTTCAATCCTATGTTCCTGATACATAGGTAGGTACCTATCTAGGTAGTTAACGTATCTATGTAAGTAGGAAAGATACCAAATTCCTATCACAATACTCAGTGAACCTGAATCTCGAACGTTTTGAGGTAATTCTGAAGGCCAAATAATGTCATTAGACACCCCATACCTTAAGTAACTAAGGTAGCTACCTAAATCTTCACAAAGAAATACTTGCCAGTCACTTCTGCTAGCCCGTGGACCCTAACGCTCAAGCACCTAATCAAGCAGTGACAACTGCCAGGAAACCCCATCCATACATAATATTCTGTAGTTTAGTCTAGCAATAGACGTTGAGTTTTATAGTTCTTTGCAGTTTCGAGAATAAAGGGGCTAGTAGATCTCCAGTTTAACGACAAGGTTAAGAAGCGGGTAGTCCCCAAGGCCTCGAGATTCGTGTTTGTTGATTTGCTTAGTTGCCTGTTTATATGTTAATCATGAAGTAGCAAAATATAATTCGAGCACGAAAGGGCAAATACATCATCAAACAGCTTTTACATCATTTTGTTTCCAGCATCGGTCCAAGGTCATATCTCGGCCCTCCAGCATCAACCTGAGCTCGTTTCTAACAGCATGCGGCATGCGGCGCGATTTGTTGGCGGGCACCGAACCAACTTCAGGATAGAAAAAGAGACATAACTAGTCTCACATTATCGATTCAGAAAGAGAAAACAAGGCCCTAGATTGACTTATTCTTCGCTAAACGCCTTACACCAAAAAGTCCCATCGAGCTGCTAATTAAAACAGTACTATAAACAGACTCAAAATTTTTGGGGAGCATCGCGGAACGGCACTTGTTCTCCCTCACTCGCTCGTTCGCTACCTTGCAGTTTTACCACGCCCACCGCTAACCACCTACCTACTCAACACCGGCGGCCTTCATTCGCTCAAAGCATTTCCTGTACGCATCGTGAATCTTAGGGACCACGTAGCCGTACTCGCCGAGCTTGGTCGTCAGCTTGGTCGTGTCCAGCTTGCAGTTACTGCGGCCTGCCTTGATAACCTTGGCCTGCTCGTCGAGGCTGAAGTTCTTCCACATGAAGGACGGTCGCACAATGTCCCGGAACAGAGAAAGAACCTCGTTGTGAGAGATGGCCCCGGGGTTGGTGAAGTTGTAGATACCCAGTTCGCCATGTTCGGCCAGTAAGATGGACGCTGGCAGCAGGTCTGTCAGGATCGTGTTACTATTTGGAATATCCACCACTCGCTCGTACTTGGCGATCTTGGTGACAAAGTTGCGGGGGTGCAGATCGTCTGACACAGGCATGCGAAGCCGCAAGATCAAGCAGTTATTGTAGTTTTTCATAACCTAGACTAGCACGGTCAGCATTTCCGTGACGGCGGACAAACAACCCAGCTGCGAAGAAGGCAGGAAGGAGCCAACTTGCCTCTTCGACATGCGCTTTAGTCTCGGAGTAGAAGCTGCCAGAGAAGTTGGCCGGGTCCGTCTCGAGGTAGCCCGGCCCGTCCCACGGATGGGCATCGTCGTACTGGTATATGCAGCCCGTGGCAAACACGGTGCAGTGGATGCCCTTTAGAAAGCAGCAGTCGGTCAAGTTTAGGGTGCCGATGACATTCGAGCGCATTGTGGCCTCCCTGTTGTCCTCGCACCAGTCCACGTTGGGGCGGCCGGTGCAGCCAGCCGCATTGAGCACATGCGTGGGCTTAACTCTTTCGAGCTCGGCGAGGACAGCCTCACGGTTCTCCATGCGAACTGTTGTTGCAAAGACATCCTTGCCCTGGCCCTCTAGGAGGGCCTTCAGATGCCCGGCAACCCAGCCCTCGCCACCCCAGATTAGGAAACGGTTGGGCCTGGCCCCATTCCTGCCGCTTGTAGCCATCGAGAAAGTGGCTTCTAAAAATGTGGTGGTGGCTCGGAACGGCGTGAAGTGAGTGTGGACGACACGTCAGCCACAATGGAAGAGGTAGACTAGATGTGTGAGTGCGGACGCGGACCGATTTGCCAAGAAGAGACAAGAAAGAAAACTGCTACGTATTAACAATTGACCGGGAAAACAAAGAAACTTATATATGTTCACGTAACCAAGTTATTAGACCGTAAGGAGAGAAGGGCGATGTGCACTCCATTGCTATGCAAGGGATGACAGAGCTGAACATCTCAAATATATTGGATTTTGATATACTTCAGTAGTACATGGTTTGACGCTCTTGGGACACAGAAAGAGCCTTGTCAGCAACTGCGCGACCGTACCCACCAAGTATTGGATAAACAAACCACCATGCCAGGCGTTCGGTGGCTTTGCCAATAAGAGGCCAAGGCAAACACGAAAATGGTCTCGAGCGCGGCGGGACAGCGGGACAGGACAGCGGGACGCTTGCACTTGCATGCATTCTCGTGTCCGCTGCTTGTTCCAACCATCGCTCTAACGCCTGCAAAGGCCGCGCTAATTCCCAGTGAAACTCAAAAGCTGCACTCCCGTCGCTCGTGTCGCGGTGAAGGTGGCAGGCCCAAACCCCCAAGAATGAAACCGAATCATAGGTAGCAATCTCTTTATAAGTAATCAGTTCAGGGGATCCGACCTACGGAGTATACCTATGCGCAAAGTGGAGAGAGGCGTCATACAAGCTGTAAAGACTTCCGTTATCGCCGCAAAAACGCAGCGAGAATTTAAAGGGGATACCGTTTTTCTTCTCTATTTTTTCCTACCCTTTTCCTGGCTCGGCCGGAAGAAAACCCGGAGCACGAAGCCGCGGTGGAAACCGATGGGCTATCCCGCTGCCCACAACACTTTTTCCCTTCAACATTCCTAGACTTGTGCTTTGCTTTTGGAGAATTCCGAGGATTCATTACCCCCTCAATACTAACAATGCTCAGCCTTTCAGATCCTAGTGGTAGTTCTACCGTTGGACCATGAGGTCAAGCTGGCTGAGTTCTCAAGGAGCTGTCAAGCTACCCATTGGCTAATGAGGGGCTCTGTCAGGGGCGTTGTACCGGTATAGGTTTAGCTTGTGCCCTGACCACTTTCTAAAATTTCCGGTTACCTACCTGGGTAGGAGGAACCTTGCACAGACGGGACAGTTCCCAAGCTCCTCTCCAAAGATCAAATCTCAAGCAATCCCACTCACTCCGGAAGAATACAAAGTTTCGGGGAAGGAAGGTCAAGTGCCTAAACACCCGCCTTTGCTCTCTGCTCTTCTGACACCATTCAATTCCTACCACGATATCCCCAGCTCTCTGGCGTTGTATTTTTTTTCTCTTTTCCACAAAGAACAATCGGTTATTAGCGGGCGCACACTACTCGATACCCCTAGCCTACTTCTCGCCTTCGTCGCATTTCTGCACTCGCCCGACTGCAATCGTCATCATCGCGTCTCACATTGCCTTGTCTCTCCCGTCCGGCAGCAGCCAGCCAGCCAACACCTGGGCTCGAGACTAGTCGGTCGCCAAAGTCTCGCGAACATGGGGGTAGCCAAGCAGGCTGCTTATTTCCTTTTCCACCCCAACCAGCTGAGATCTGTCATTCAATGGTAAGTGTTTACTCCAGCAGCCTCTTTCTAGATATCCCAAACCCAACCCCCGTACCCTGAAACAGATGGACTCGAGGCGCCACACTGTTCTGTTCTAACTTCAGTTTCCAGGAAGGTATGGCACGAGCCTGTTCACAAGCGTGATGTCACCAAGGAGACACCAACGGAGAAAGCATGCTATCACTACCTTGACATGACGTCTCGGTCGTTCGCCGCCGTCATCCAAGAACTGAACCCCGAGCTGCTGATGCCCGTCTGCCTCTTTTATCTGGCACTCCGTGGGCTTGACACTATTGAAGACGACATGACGCTTGATCTGGCCGTGAAGGAGCCCTTGCTGCGCACATTTCATAAAATCCTTGACCAGGACGGGTGGACTTTCGATGGGAATGGCCCCAACGAGAAGGATCGCGAGCTCCTTGTGCACTTTGACAACATCATCGCAGAGATGAGGAATGTCAAGAAGGCTTATGCGGATATCATCAAAGATATCACAGAGAAGATGGGCAATGGCATGGCTGATTATGTGGTCAACGCCGAGAAGAACGCCAACGGAGTCAACACTATCGAGGAATACGAGTTGTATTGCCATTACGTTGCTGGGCTGGTGGGCGAGGGTCTCACGCGGCTTTTCGTCGAGAGCAATCTCGCCAACCCGCAGCTATTGGTCCGCATGGACCTGACAGAGAGTATGGGCCAGTTCTTGCAAAAGACAAACATCATTCGCGACGTGGAGGAGGACTGGGTTGACAAGCGCCGCTTCTGGCCGAAAGAGATATGGAGCAAGTACGTCGACAATTGGGATGACTTGTTCGCGCCCGAAAACCGAGAGAAGGCCCTCAACTGCAGCTCCGAAATGGTCCTCAACGCCCTCAAGCACGCCGATGAGTGCTTGTTCTACATGGCGGGGATCCGGGACCAGAGTGTTTTCAACTTTGTTGCGATCCCTCAGAGCATGGCGATTGCCACCCTTGAGCTCGTATTCCGCAATCCCCGCATTTTTGACAGCCATATCAAGATCACCAAGGGTGACGCGTGCAAGCTTATGATGGAGTCGACACAGAACCTGCGGCTTGTGTGTGATGTATTCAGACGCTATGCGAGGAGGATACACAAGAAGAACGACCCGAGAGACCCGCACTACCTGGCCATCAGTGCTCAGTGTGCAAAGGTTAGCCTTTCCTGTTGAAGATATTGGTGCGGCGCATACTAACTTGGAGACAACAGATCGAGCAGTTCATTGAGTCCATCTTCCCAACTCAAGATCCCAAGATGATTGCGGCCGGACGAAGCATGAACGCGAACGCGACCAAGGAACCTAGTATGGATACTGGCGAGGCTCTCTTGCTCGTTGCTGCTTGTTTCGCTGTTTTGTTCCTTGTTGGCGGGCTGATGGTACGTTTCTGGCAATTTCCTCTCGTATTCGAACAGGCCTTATTTCTGGGATCTGCTTTGGGAGCTCCATCGCTGACATTGTTTAGATTGGTATTGCGTACTATTTTGGTGCCCGGTTCGATCGTGCCTTCCAGGGACTCGAGTCGGGGCTTCGTGCCCTCGGCAGTGTTACTAGCTCCCCTGGAGCTGTGCCTACGCTCGGCCACGAGGAGCTGTAGTATACTGATCCGGGGCTGGTCCCGTTACAGGCACTTGATATACTATCTAATGTCATACGTTCGTATCAAGTATTATGAATACGGTTATGAGAGGCCGGCGTTGTCTCGGCAGCGGGAGATCATTTAGGGGGACGGCTCTCGTCACTTGGCACCACATCCCTTGGGTTCAGGTGATTCACTAATACTACCGACACGCTAATATATGAGCCGCGGTTCTCATCTTTGTTAACATCAACAGATTTATTCTTTCGTCTTTGGCTTCGGCACACTTTTTGTCACATCGAATTCGTGACATGTTGTTATCCCCAATTATCCCAGTCGGCCACGCGCGTATATGTATAAGATCTTGAGGGACTCTTAGAAACAATCTATCGTAGTGATCTATGAGGCCTAAAACAAAGCACGGATGTCAAATTACAATCTAGTCGCCCTTTGGGCTCAGTGGCTATGGTTGCGCCGGAGATGTGCTGATATTAAACCCTGATGCAAGTAGCCTGGTATCCGGGCACGGTCTCAACTGGGCTCCTAGTCTTCTTCGATGATGGAGCTTGTTAAGCGCGGACTGCGGACATCTATTTCGCTATTATTATCTACGTTTCTCTTGATGATGCCAAATTACAAAAGAAATACACCTATCTTTTCTCGAGACTTTATTGCCGATTTCTTTTTGGTAATCACCTGTCTATGCGGTGATTCAGTATCTTAAGTACCTATCTGCCTACGTGTATGGCCATCACTTGAGTACAGGACCGTAGAACAGGTAAGATACGTTGTGTCTCTCTCCAGTCATCGGCTCGATCTCGATGGGCTTCTAGTATCCTGGAAGCAGAGATTGTACTATTTCAGGGCTGGCAAAGTTGAAAACAAAATAGAGAGTTATTACCTTGCTCTACCGCCCATTTAAAACAGCTTCTCAGTGGCGTTGTTACACTTCTAGTGGCCACCCAAGGTACTGCTGGGCCGTCTTTTTCTACAGTGAAAGTAGGCGTAGTGGATTGTTCTCGCTTATTCGTTGCTCAGCCGGATGGGTAAGATATGAGACGTTCTTATCTTCCGATTAATACGCAGAGGCTCGAACGTGGACGTCAGCTTTGTTCATCAGACGCAATAAGACCTGTCTCCCTCCCCTTTTTCTACTTCTTCTGCCTAAGGCTACTGGACTGTATCACGCTACGAAGGTAGTTTTCCCATGTAGCTGCAGCTGCATCGAGCTATTCCAGAGCAAACAAAATACGCCGGGGGACCAAAATACTGCTAAAATTGCCAAAGTATCAAGTCAAAGAAAGTATATACGATGCGTCCTTTAAACAAATCCCAGACGCGATGCTTCAAGTTCTATATATGTACATCTCGTTGCCAAATGAATTCTTCGTCCTCCATTTCGAACACGGCCCCCCTTCTCTACCCGGTGGCGTGCCTAGGCATTCAGGTTTCCGTTGTTTGCGATCAGGTTGGTAGTTCCCCGAGGGCTGCCCTTCACGGTTGCCTTTGTCACCCTGGCCAGATCCTTGATGCGGTTCGAAACAGCTGCCACGCTGGTGATGTTTTCCAGCGCCATTAGATACGCCGATAGTCCGGCAACATGTGGTGACGCCATACTGGTGCCACTCAGCGTAGCGAAAGCTGAGTTGTCTGTGATTCCCACGCTGCGTACGTTGACGCCGGGGGCAAAAATGTCGACTAAGCGACCAAAGTTCGAGAACGATGCTATCTGGTCGGTTGTCTGATCGATTGCGCCGACTGTGATGGCGGCTTCTGCAGAGCCCGGAGAGGTTCTCGCAGTGTCTTGTGCCTCGTTGCCAGCTGCGACAATGGGGACCACGCCAGCATTGGCGATGGCGTTGATGGCGGCGTTGACGGCGTTTGAGAAAGCACCGCCAAGCGACATGTTCATGACGGCTTTGCCGCTTAGTTTACTTGAAGTAGCGGTCTCGGCCACTTGTTTGCGGTTGTCATATTAGCTTCCTGGCTGTATCAAGTGTATGGCAGCATATGAGAAAAAAGGGGAAAGTCATCCATACCAAAATTCATGCCAGCAATGACACCAGAGTTTGTCCCGGACCCCTCCGCATCGAGAACTTTGACAGCAATGAGTTTGACATTTTTGGCAACGCCTACAGTTTTGCCGCCAATCGTTCCTGCAACGTGACTCCCATGCCCGTTTTCGTCATCGTCCTGTTTTCAACTTCATGTGAGCAATCTGAGCCGGGTATGAAACCAGGAGAGCAAACCCACCACATTGTTGATGAAATTGGCCCCAAATGTTGCCCGGTCCTCAAACTCTGTGTGTTGGATTCGAATACCCGTGTCGACAACAAACGCCGTGATGCCTTCGCCGGCTGAACTGTCAAATATGTACTCCCTGTTTCCGGTGGCGGCATGGCTAATGCGTCCCAGTCCTGTCGTTGCTGGACGCTGGATGAGCTTGGCATCCAGGCCGACGTAGGCGTCCTGCTCGATGTAGCTGACGGCCTCGTCTGCGAAGATTTGGTTGATCATCAGGTCGTCGGCCTCGAGGGCCATGGCGTTCCATTTGTTGATCTTGAAGGTGCGTACACTTGTGGAGAGGAGGTTTCCCGACCTCTCGCCACGCCTACCAATGTTTCGTTTTGCTATTGACTTGATGACGCTCGCCTGGTGCTGCTGGACGACATTTTGGTCGAAGGTGCTGTTGTAGACCACGATGTAACAGTGCGGGATCGCTTGGGCGATGTCTGGATTTGAGACGGGGACGCCAATATACTCCCCCTTGAAAGGGCTCGGAGCCGCTGAGACTCCAAAGACACAGACTCCAAAGACGACTGAAGCAAGTAACCTGCCCGCCATAGTGAATGTGAGAAGGGCGGAGTATCAGAGAAAAACTGAAAGAATAGATGCGCCGGCTTGAGATGGGTGTCGCTGCCTTGCCGCAAGAGAGTGTAAGAGCTTTATAAGAGAAACGAAAGACCACAAGGACTATGTAGGTATGCCAACGAAAGAAATCCTTATCTAGAAGAGTATAATATGCCCAGCACGATATGAACAAGAAGCGAAGGTCCGAAAAGGCAACCTGAAGGCGGCCTCGGGCAGTTAGTGATACAACAAACAACAAACAACGGATGAACAGTAAGTAAAAGAGAGGGGAAAAAAAGAAACAGGAACGAACGGCAAGAGGCAAGCAGCCTGTTTTTGAACCGACTTTGCATGAACTGAAGCGGCTCCATCTTGAACCCCTTTTGCGGCTTCTTGGCGGGTTTGGGCTGGGTGCGACATGAAGGGGTACTGGAATGATAGAGACGACAAATGTGGAGAAGTCTGCAGGTACGGAGGGCCTTGGAACCTGGACGCCAAGTCAAACACCTGGGAAATGGCTGCCAAGAGGGAGGAGTTACAACATGGCATGCCCAACCCAAGGATGGCTGCTCCGACAGCCCAGCCCCAGCGGGGCGGCGTCGTCAGTCTTCAGGTTACAGCACGCTATAGGCGAGAAGCCCCTCAACTTCAAACGATGCATCGTGCGAGATACAAAGCCCGGGTAGCAGGCGAGATTGGCCAGCTGATTTCCCATGTCATGGCCTCTCATCACGGCCGCTCCCCGGACAGGACAGTCTCCGCGCCGACGCGCCGACCTGTATGCTAGGCCCAGCCAGGACCAGGACGCCAGAAGGCCTCGGCTTGGGTCGTCCCAGCACCGCACCCACCGCGCCGCCGTCTTCTGAATGAACAATCAGCTGTTTTAGGAGCTCGGGCAAGGGGGCCACGCCACGGGCATTTTGCACGCCTTGCTGCATGAGAGATCGCTTTGCGATCTTCTGCCGCGACGCGGTTATAGGGCCCGTGTTTGTGGCGGCTCCTTTGGGTCGACTTGGAAGTCATGCCCGCAATTAATTGTTCCACATTGATGGCAGAGCCGCCACGCGCAATGCTCATGGGCTTGGAAGGCCTTAAGTTAGGAGGCTTGTGCTCGGCCGCGTGTCGAGCAATGGCGCCATCATGGAAAACTCAAAATACCCGGAATTCTTGGCAGACCCAGCGCCTCATGGCTGGCCCGTGGCACCATGACCATAGCTGTTGCCAGCGTGCGCGACGTGCGGGATATGGCCATGGCGAGTATGTCCGTTGCAAACCTGAAGTAATTTTTTGTCGAAATGAGTCCCAAACCGCCCTTTGACAAGAATAAAACCAATAACCTAACACAGCTACTGTACCTACCAGCATCTCCAACGCCCGTAGATAGCGGGTGTTTGTCGCGCTGGTTATATGGCACAGTCTCCCACATGCGTCGTGATGAGGCCGACATCTTGGGTCGAATTGGTGAAAGCATATTTCATATCTTCATTCAAAAATCTAACGTAGATTTCTCGACATCGCGGTTACTGGTTAGGTAGGTAAGGTATGACGGTAGCTAGGAGTTGTCAATGAAGTTGTATAAATGCCAGATTGGCTGTGCCTGTCTGCAGTCGCAGCCCCGGCGGATAAGGTAAGCGACTGCGGGGGGTGGCGTCCTGGCCTAAACTGGAAATTTCATGCCGACCTGGTTACAACCCTTAGTGAGGTTCATTGTGCGCACCTTGCCGAAACAGTAGACGTATGTATGTACTTACAAGAGGTAGTAGTACCTACCGACTCGGTAAGAACTGAAATCGACGCTCGCCATCTCCAGGACCACCTGGCTCTGTCGGTCCTTATAATGGAACGATACATCTCAGAAAGCAACCAGGACCCTCAGACAAGATTGCCATCGTGACATGATGCACATGCAATTCATTCTCACCAGCTGAAGACGTAAGCTCGAAGCTCTTTGCTTGTCGCCGCGCTGAAATATGGGCCCTGAAACATGCCATAGCTCGGCTACTCTCTAAGGTATGTGCCTAACTGCGCCACTACTAGTAGTAGACTGGCCCACAGCTTCTATAATGTAACGATCTAGACCTAGAAGCCTGCTAGCAGGTTTCAGTGCCTCCGAGTGCGACTTTCGTATTGGACGCTCGGCAATACCTGCTCTCTTGATGAAATACCCTTTGAAATGACCGACGATCATGCGTGAGGCGCTCCGGGGTATTGACATTCCAAGAGGAGACTGACGGAAGCAAAGAAGGCGTGGCACTCCCATTCGTGACCCGGAACAACCTACCTAAATCCCTCGTCCTCCGGACTGCACCTTTTATCCATCCTATGGAAGTTATTTAAGTTGTATCTGTTGAGAAGAATCGGGGAAGAGTTTCAGACGGACGTTCCCAGGTCAAGCTTTCATTTTCATTGCGGTAGACAAATACCATGGAAGGAGCACTACATGTCGACGAGCATGCATGTTTGAAGTTGGATTTGCTTAGAATGAACGATAGGTATTGTACGAAGTATGAGGTGTAGGGTACTGCACATACATACACAGGCACACAGTCGACGTGCAGGCGCCCCGGGGATGGCCGATGTTGCGATGTTGTGTGACAACAGAAGCAGCAACACTAGAAGAGGGCAATTCGAAACTTTTTACCATTTTTAGGCTTAGCAGGCTCTCTCTCGCTGGCACAACACAGAGTTTAGACCAAAAAAGGAGCTGCGGTGTTGTCCAGGAATTCGGACAAACAGAAATGGATGTCGTCATCCTTGCTCGAACCGGCGAATGGTGCCGACACTGGGCACTAGGGAACCCCTCAAACTTATCGGGCGTCTCGTCTTCTAAAGTGCAGCATAGAGACTCCCCAAAGAAGAGACTCAGAGCCCAGAGCCCCACTTCTTTCATGTCGCAGTCGGGCGGGGAAAGGACCTGCCTGTCCTTCGGTGTCATGGCGGAAATCATGAGGCCGACTGGGGACAGAATTATCGATATATAACCTCGCAGGTTACTGAGGTGCGACTAACACCTACCAAATGCTTTGTTGCTGGCCAAGACGTGGTCGCGTTGATTGATTGGCCTGTTCCGGTGGCCGTTGGGAACCGAAGTCGGCATTCCAATGCTTACCAGATGCAACCCAATTTCAGAATGGTTGTTAGCATGAGACTTCGCAATGGAGAGACCTGGCTCAAATTGGAGCCCCTGATACGGGTACACATAGAACCTCAAAGCCCAACTTCTCTCCTACAGATTGGAAGGCTTTGCGATTTATCAATGTACCCTGTTAACAGCTTTTCATGGGCTGGCCTGTAAGGATCCCGGGGTGTTTCCAGGACATACCTTACTCCGTTACGATACATTCGGGTCCGTATCCCGTACTTTGAACTTTCCTACAGAAGGGCCTGACCCGATGGCATACCTGTCTGGCGCTACAGACTCTTTCGTAGCAGATATTTGCAGTATTCTGCCAGTTCAGATACCTCGCATTTATGCCGTGCAAGGGGGGAAGCCGATAATAATTGGAAGAACAGAAATAGTCAGTCCCCTAAATTTTGGGGGATATTAAAGCCAATCCATTGGATAGCAGTCTGCTGAGCCTCTGTCTCGTGCGCCTGTGGCAGTGCCGCCGCTGCTTTGGTGTCGAGCCTCCCTCCAACGTGCCCAGTTTTTTTTCTGCTCCTACGACTCGTGGTGCACTCGTGGTGCATGACCACATCCAACCGCCACGACGCATGATTGACCTTGATACCCAACCTAACTGGAAGCCGCAAAGTAGCAACGAAACGCTCCCGTTGCTCTCTTCCTGGTATCGCTCTACAGAACCTGCCTTTCTCTCCATCGTCGGCCAACTTTCTAGGCTCTTGCACGCAAAGTCCAAAGTTTAATTACGGGACACTGCGGTGCGTGTCGGCCAACCCGGCCCAAGATCTCAACCTAACCCCGCGCCCACCCACGCGACCACGTCGACAGTGGTGCAAACAAAAGCACAGATAGAGTTTCGAGAGGAGCGCCGGCAACCTAGCGGGCTGTTTTGGTTTCCATTCTCTCAATACAGCGTATCGAGTTTGTTGCCGGGGAAGAGACCGGGGAAGAGACACAGCAGCCAGCAAACTCGCGACGCTTGTCCTCCCCCACAAGAGAACCATCCCCCCGACAAGCCCGCCTCCCCGTTCCTTCGAGCAGCCGCCACCCCTACAGCTCGCTTGCGTTGCGCCCTCGTCTTGGAATTTGGCCTGCCTCTTCCTGCTCGCTCGAGTGGGAGTAATCCCGGTTCTCCTGCCATGGTTGTCAAACCTCCGGACGATTGAAGCCAACACCAAGCACCGACGAGTTACAATGTCGTTTTCGCCCGGACCCATGGTCCTCGACGGAGACCGTGGCGACTCCGGCCTCACTATCGACACACGGCTTCCCCGCGCCGAGAGGGCACAGTCAATACACGAAGACGACGGACAAGCCACAGTCGAACTGGCCTCGATCATGATGACCACGGCTTCGAACCCCGTCTCTCCCGGCCCGTCCAGTCCACCCCTCGATCAAGTCCGTATGCAGGACTTTATACCTCCGACTCGGCCTAGCAGCACGCCATTTCCGCAGCCCGAGCCCCGCAATACCGATCTGCGATGCCTAAGTTATCCCACCGACGTCTTGATGGACTTGGACGAACGAGAACCCACCGAGCTCCTGACAACAGCCTCATCGCCCGGTGAGGCTGTGGGCATGAACCTTAATGATTTCCCCGCCGAGATACACGAGTGCATCCTCGACCACCTCTTTGGCTTTCGGGTGTCCCCGGCCTCAAAGAGCTCCATCATGCGCTGGGGAACGGCTCTGCGACATCCCCGGAGGAAAGAGCTTTCCGAACTCTCTCTAGTAAGCAGGGCATGGAGGGTGCTTATCCAGGAAAGACTTTACCGGCACATTAAGTTGAAAGCTACGGTCGAATCGTTACGGGAATCTTTTGTGTACTTTTCGGCCCACCCCCATCTACGGCCGTACATTAAACACATCGAGATTTGGTTCCCAGTGTTCCAACCGAAATACAGCCCCTTAGCCTTGTCGACGGCAAACACCCTTCCGACGGTCACGGCCGACGGCTTGACGAATGCGTCGTACATCCTGCCCGTCGACAACTGCTCGCTGGAAGAAGCATTCTACTTCGTGGCTGAGTCATTTCCAGAGGTCCGTGTCATGACTCTAGAGGGCGGGGAGCGGAAAAAGGCGCCAAAGGTGAGGCATTGGATCCGCGAGCCTGATGAGCGGCGGCAGCTCAAATCGATGCCGAAAATTGGCTCCGTCCATACACTTATCTGCAAGGGACAATGGAACCTCATCCGGGGGGAGCGAGACTTTGAGGCCATTACTACAGCCCTTCCAAATCTCCGGGAATGGCATGGCTCGTATAGCAAGCCCAAGTCCAAGAGCTATCTTACCATGGCCGAAATTCTTACAAAACCTATGCGCTTGACGACGCTCAACCTCTGCATCGAGGGCGACTACCGCCGGGAGCTTTCTTTCCCGACATATTTCCTAAAATTGTCCAATCGATTGCACTTTTGCTCAAAGTTGGCACAGGCAGTCGCCTCACCCTCGCTAGAGCACGTTTCCTACACGGGTAGGGTTTGCAAGCAGTTCTTCGTGGAGTTGATGGCGAGGCAAAAGGACCCGAGACAGGGGCGTCTCAAGTCGATTGACCTGACAGTCAAGAACTGCTGCCGGCAAGTGAACCACTGGAACGAGTCCGGTTCAGGCATCACCGACATGAATTTTATCAACTCGTTTGAGGCATTGGTTCTCGCTGGCATCAAGGCTCTCGGCAAACTCAAGGCCGTCGAGTACCTGAGGATCCGCTACGTGGATCTTGGTAGGTCTACCCCCCTTCATTACCTGTAACACTTTATGTGGCCTTTAACTGACTTCTCCCAGACTCTCCGGTGCCTCCCTTGAATCCATACTTCCTCCTTCGCGAAGGATGGTGTTCGGGCGTATGGAGCGATGCCATTATTACCGAGCTCAACCGCGTTCGACCGACGACTCGATTTGAGGAGCTATCAGAATCATTTGGCGAAATCGGCTATAACAAGGAAGGCCGGATGACCATCAGCCCCGATTTCCCAAAGTCCAAGGCACTCTCTTTGAAGCTGTCGAATTATGCCCTCTTGAGCGGCGGCATCTCGATAACATGAGATAGGGCATACAGGATCATTTCCGAACATGTAATCGAATCCTTGCTCGGGCTTTATTCTCCCTGGGCTTGCGCAGCGTAAGGCGTTCGGTTGATCTCATGCCTTTTTTTTCCTACATACTCTTTTGCCACTTTTTTTGCTCTGGGTGGTGGTGGGAATTGGTGATAGAACGAGGCGTCTTGGGGCCGTCATTTATAATAAGCCAGGCAGATTCCCTGCGACTGTGTCCTGGATTGGGGGGGGTACCTGTCTTTGATCATCACGGGGCATTCTATAACATGTCAAGGGGATGGAGTTTTCTACGGATCAGGACAGGTTGGGATATGTTAGGCGTCACTTCGGGCGCAATCAAGCGAGGAACATGCGCAGCTTTGCGATGGGAAGGTACGTGGGTAACAACCCCCGAAATGGCGGCCATGATAATGGGGTGATGTCTCTCGCGTGTCAGCCAGTGTGTGTCAGATATTGGGCTCGAAGCCTTGCTTAATGAGCTTTACATGAGCAAAATAGAACAACGAGCATGAGAACAAAATAAGTGTCGACTCTCATTCAGTCGTAATCTCTCAAATACTAAAGCGTAGTCGTGAGTACTAACTAGGCCCTTCTATCAGGTGTTTTTTCAGATATATACAACAAATACAACGCAACATAGCTGTGTTTATGAAACGGCTTAAGCAGGCCCCTCACAGCAATACATCGGCGATGATGATACCCAGGATCCAACAGTTTACTAGAAAAAAGCCCAAGGACGCAAGCCAAAGACCAGGCAAAAAGGTACTCAGCCCCAAAAACTCCAGCCCATATCCTTGGTGCAACCACAGACCTTGGGACGCAACCCACATTGACAAGGCGAATATTCCCAATTTACCGTCCTTGAGAAATGATGAACGTGGAAGGTAGAGAGGTAACAAGACCATGTACCAGAGAAAATACTATGTCGGTCATCAGTCACGGCGTGTCTTTAGCTGACATGAGCAGGTGATATGCAAACGTACTTGACTAGTGCACACTTTGTTAAAGGTGACAAAGGCAAATGTCTGCGCCAGCATCGCCGCTGGCAGGTCTTTTTTGGCCAAGACGATAGGTATCAAAAAACAAGAGAGAACAAGCTGCGGCAAGAAGGCCACAGACTCGATGCGCAGAGCCGAAAGGTCCGGGAAGGCAGAAGCAAGGTAAAGTTGAGTGTTATAAGGACTGAAGTTGTGTCTGTGGTCGATGCGCGTGACGTGATGAAGGAATGTGTGTGTTAGGAAGGGGGGACCATAGCTATTATGTGCATCAGCATATAAAAGTCGCAATGCCCTCTTATTAGACGTGCAGAGCCAAGGAAGGCAGCAAAGTCCACTTACCATATATACATAGCAGCGTTCAAGCAAACAAAAGTTGATAAACTGACGGCGGCAAGACGTATCCTCGCCGGTGTAGCAAAGGTTGTGACGCGGCTTATGAGGGAGGACTTGGACTTGTTCTGGCCCGGTGCCGGGCTCCCCTTCTTGTCGGCGCCGCCACTGCCCATCCTCTCGGCATCCATCCACCATACAATGGCGGGCGCGTAAATAAAAGGATAGATCTTGAAGTGGACGCTAAAACCAAGCAGCAGACCAGCCAGAGTGACACGGCGAGCCATGACGGCCGACAACAGGGCCATGACCAGCACGCCCAAAAGGCCCTCGGAGCTGCCTCGCGTGCTAATGGTTGCCACCATTGGGTTGAGCAACCAGATAGCAGCAAACTTGCGGGCTGCTACAGGGTCCAAGCCCGGGAGACCGCTGCCGCTGGACGTCAAGACGCGCTCAAGAAGCCATCCGGCCACCAGGTCAGCGGCTGCGAACAGGACCTTGCCGGAGCTGAACCACACGGCGTCCCACAGCGGACTCGCACCAACATGTGCCGTCGGCAGTAGGAGCCAGGCCAGCACGGGCGTGTAACGGTACGTCTCGCGATCATAGGGGCTCTGGCCGCGCGACACAAAGCGCGCGGCGTCGGTGAAGACGAGGTAGTCGATGTCGGTGTACTTGAGAGGCGAGTTGGCATCCTGCCACAGTCCGTACAGAAGCAGGCCCACGCGGAGGAGCGCGGCCGAGAAGTAGAGCGGCAGGGGCCGCTGGAACAAGGCTGAGAATGCGGGCGAAGACGCAGCCGACGGATGATCTGGAGGTGCCGATCCAGCCGCGAAAGACACCCTTTTCTTCTTCCTCGCCGACGTCTGATCCCCCGCCGACGCCGATGCTGAACGCGCAGCAACCGATGATTGCGCCATCCTGCTGCCGCTGCCGCTGCCGCTACTGCTGCTGGAGCTGCTCGTTGCTGTTCACCAAATGAGCATCCAAGACCAACTCAAGAGATGGCGTGTCGCGAGCCTGTCACACAAAGTCAACACATTGGATGATCTGGACCCTGGCACAAGAGAGACGGGATGCATGGATGCAACTAGTGTGGACCGTCGTCGTTCTGGCTCTGCCAAGAGACTGTCCAGCTGCCCTTCGAAATTGGCCTCAGTACTCTCTATTCTTCGCCTCAGGCCCAGGCCCAGGCAGTCGCTACCTATGATAGGAAAGGGCTGGTTCTCCCCCTAAGCTGCACGTCCCCCATCTCACCCTGGAGGATGGGCTGCGACAGGGGCAAGTGCTGATGCTCACAGGGCACATGCATCGCACACGCCCGGGCGTCGACTTATCTAACCACGCCAACCACCAGTTACTGTACTATAGTACATACATACCTGTATTCGTACTCTGTACAGTGCCTTACCGTCTCCAGGACTCGAAATCAAAAGAAAAACAAGGGCCAAACAACTAAATCAGGCAGTTGAAGACCAGCAAAGCCACAATCATCACAGAGACAGCTTTTGTAGTCTTCGACAAAATGGTAGGCTTTAAACGCGATTACCAAGGCAACGCGAAGAAGCACCATGGGCCCAAGCCAGCTGCGGCACCAAAGTCAACAGTGAGAAACGCATACACGCCCATGTTTGAGCGTCTGCGCGACGAACTTGACGCACACCATGACCGCCGCGACCGCATCGGCAAGGCCTCACGCGACGTCACAGCCCTGAGCAAGAAGATGTGAGCAACCAGCCACATACGCATGTGGAACAGAAAACATTTTGTATATGCGCAAACTGGCTGACCCTGTTGCTAGAATATTCTCCCTCCAGCGGTATGGCCTCTACTAATTTCTCGTGTTTTTTTCGCTTCAGCCCCTTCTTTTCCCCGGAGGGGCGGGGCAGGCCTGATATACAAAACAAAACCTCACCCTTGCAGCCCACCCTCTGAGGAAAGCTAGCTGCAATGGACCCCCCTCTTACACTGCGCAAGCGGGATGGGAGCTCATCCTTGCTAATGCCGCCGTCATCATTAGCGTTCGCCAGATCGATGCATCCCTTCCCCAGGACATCCAAGCCGAGGTTGACTCGCGCCTAGCCGAAATCGCCAAGCTCCTCGCGAGCATTGCGCCAGAAGTCCAGGACATCAACCGCTATCGCTACTCGCGGTCCCTATTCTGCCTGGAAGAGCTCGTCGAGGCTTTGACTTTTTCGCACTATCTCAAGACTCAGACGCTCGTCGACCAGGCCCACCTGGCCCAGGTTGTCGAGGACCTCGCCCGCCAAGGGGCGGCGCCCGAGGATGAGGTCATGGCCGACGCCGGCGCCACTCCTGTCCCCGGCCCGGGCGAGCAGGCCGGGCAGTTGGCCGCCGAGGCTCCAGTCATCGGCATCACCCAGGAAGACTACCTCTACGGCGTGTTCGACCTAACGGGCGAGATGATGCGCTTCGCCACCACCACGTCGGCTCTAACCGGCCGGATGGCCAGCGGCGATGGGCAGGACGAGCCCCGCACCATCGTCGAAGACATGCACGACCTGGGAAGTCTGTTCGAGATGCTCCCGCACGCAGGCGGCGGCAAAAATGTGACGTGGGAAAATAAGCTCGAGGTCATGCGCCAGTCGGTCCAGAAGGTGGAAAAGCTCGGCTACGACAGGACCATTCGGGGCAGCGAGCGCCCCAAAGGCTGGATCCCTGATCTGACCACGGACGACCAGCCGAACTCGCCTTAGCTATTTGGGCTGGGAGTGTCAAGGTTTAGCTGATGTCTTGATAGATGTTTTTTATGCCTGTGAGTTAGCATGTGTGTGGTTACTGTCTGCATGACACTACTCTGCTGTCTTTCTCTCGTTCTGTTTGCTACGTAGTCTACACAGTCATGTCTCAATGCCAGGTTGCGCATGTACTCCTGTTTTGGCGGACAGACAACACTATAATTATGGCTACAATGGAATTTAAATATTCTCCGGTACACATTCGCTCTGCGGCCCAAAAATGCGGACAGGCACGTAGTTTGTTTGCTGGCAGCATAACACCGGACAATAGATGTTTACAGGGTGTCTCTCTGTCTTTCTTGGGCGCAGCCACTAACTACCGAAGGTAGCTAGATAGATATTCATCGACGGTGGATTGCCGTGTAAAGCCGCCAGGACGGTAATTCGCAATCACCCCCGTCGGATAATTGTCCATCAGATTCGCCGGCTAGGCTTTTTAGGTAACTTTCTCTCTCACTCGGGCCAATAGAGAGTTTGTGCTATAGCCTGTGAAAAATGCTCTCTCTCCCAACTTTGTTGTCGGTTCTCCCAGTCGTAATAGTTGGTGATGACTTAGAGAACTGGTTTGATTTGTCTTATTCTCTCTCGGTTCCTTTCATTTCTCGGCTTTCTTTCCAATCCCGGGTTGAATTGTACGACAAAGATGGCTCTCTCTGATGGAAATACCCACCCTAGCGCAATATAAGAGCATATCTTTTTCTCTATAGACCAGATTTTCTGCAATTATGTGTGATAATCTACCTAATTATCCCTCTGGCCAACTTATCAGTCCTAGTCACCAACTAGCTGGCTCTGAATTACACCAATCTGGTACTACCCCGGTAATAGCTAATTAGCTCACTACATGTTTCTGTTTGAAAGTCTGCCGGTACCGTCGTGGAAGAGTCTTCTCTATCCCTGTCAGGAAAAGACTGCCCAGTCAAACAAGCAGGAGGAAGGCTCTGCAAACAGCCTCGGAGCCAACTCGGGGGACCCTGGCCAACTGAAAGACCGTTTCGAGGCAGAAAAGGTAGCCCTTGGTACAGTAGAGTCCTCGTCGTGACTGTTCAAAGGGCGTTTCGTTTTAGTTAAATAAAGGTTATTCAGGAGTTACTTACCTAGGTAGTTATATGCTCCAAGAGGGCGGTGGAGGTTGTCTATAACCAGGTCTTTGAAAGCTGCCAGAGACCAACACTGTGACTTCTTTAAAAAGGGAAAATAGGTACCTGGATTATTCATACACGCCGCATTGTCCGTCACCTTGAGGGTTATACGACATGCCATCCTAATATATCTGATTCGATTAAGTAAGCCCAAAGTTGAATAGCCACTAATTACTATCCCAGTCTCATAGCCCAGTGAACCAACCCCCTGGTGATGATTCGAATTCGAATCGCCTATCACATTAATGACCCTGGCTCTTACTCATAAGCTCCTAGTTGATTGAATGAGCAAACTTGAACTCTGTCTGGAAATGTTCCAAATTACGCAAATCCCCCCTGGGTGGGCTGGCTGAGATCTGCAGATGCGCTCTTACGGTTTTCACCGTTGCCCAAGGTTTGAAATAGGTAAGGCACTGCCCCAAGAGGGCCGGCATCATCAAACTGGAAAGCGTTCTAAGATACTTCGCGGTCCCTTGCTATTGCCTAGAAAAGTACCTCCATAATTATAGCTTAGCACTGGATAATGGCATGCTGTGTTTCGTAAACAGGTTTTTTGAGTGGCCGCCCGTTTATTTCCTTTTCTGTTCTTTTTTCAATTATTTATTCAATAGCTTTTGCCTACCCCCACAAACATGTCTCGGGAGTCCACCCTATCAACCAGGCACGAGCCTCGGATTCCAAAGCGCCAATTGTCGCAGGTGCTCTTTCCATGCCTTTATAGGATCCTCGGTCTCAGCTTGGGCACTCAGGACTAATGTCTGGTTCTTCTTGACACCATATAAATATGGTTTTTCGTCCGCATAACAGGCTGTCTCTGACTTTTCGGGTACAATGCCGTGAAGAATGTAGTTCTTGGCTATGGACTGGGTGCAGTTCGAAGTATCGGCTCTTGACGCATGTCCATAGCCGTGGTGCGCAATCAGCCTAGCGTTCTGTCCCATCTCGTCAAGCAGGCGCCTCCCGTTTCGCAACGGAGTTGCGGGGTCATATGTCACGGCAATAAGCAAAACCGGGTTCTTGAGGGGGTGGTTCAAGTCGCCCCGGAAAACTTCGGCCGGATGAGGCCAGTAAGTCACGTAGTGTCGACATGGGAAGACGCTGTAAAAACGGGAGTTCCCAGCAACCCATGACTTCGTAGTCATGTTTGCCCAGAGAGAGAGCCACCATTCCATGTCATCAGACTCGGTAGCGTCGTAGGAATCTCCACAAATGACCATCTGACCCAGCTCATCCGATGACGGCCTGGCAATTTCGGGACAGGAAGACTCCGGGTCGTAGTACCAGGAAGAGTTCTCGAGTGCCGCCACCGCCAATGTCGAATTGCCAGCCTCGAGCTCGGCTAGGATTCGAGCAAGAGTGGGCCAGCTGCTAGGGCTGTACATGGCACCATAAATGGTATCAACAAGGGCTGAGTATGTGACCAATGTTGCACCGCTTAGCACAGAATATCCGGGAATGGGACGGTCGACAAGAGAGGCCATAAGTGTGGCCATGCGCTTCACGAGGCTCGGGAGCGTGACAGGGTTGCCGTCGGTGGATTTTGCGAGAGCGCAATACTGGGACCCAGCATTCACGCATTCGCCCAAGAAGCCGTCATGCCACGCATCAGTGGTGTTATCAAGAGCGGTCCATCCAAAGCCGCCACGCTCACGGTGGTCGCGGACATATTCGGTACCGTCCAGGATAATACGACCCACGCTGCCAGGGAACATGCTGGCATACGTCTGGCCGATGCCTGTCCCGTAGCTGACGAGGTAGCCAGTTAGCTCATCTTCACCCAGCGCTATTCGAATCTGCTCCAAATCGCGGGCGACAAAAGCGGTGCCAAGAAAGCGGCCCAGATCGCCTTGCCGCTCCCAGCAGGCGCGGAAGACGGCTTCGTTCATGGCGTCGGTAAGTTCAAGCTGGGCTCTTGGAGAGTCCGACACCGCACGGTGCTTGGAAGTGAGCAGGTAGAAGTGGTCCCGGTCAGGATCATGCGGGAAACAGGCAACTGCGGGAAGCGAGACATTGACACCACGGGGGTCCCACCCCAGAACATCGAATTTGCTATCGCTCAGAAACTGGGTGATGCCCCTTGACGACTGCCAAGCATACCCGGTACCGCTTCCACCGGGACCGCCAGGCTCGATAACTATGGTTCTTTCACTCTTCCTGCCGGCCGAAGAGTTCGTGGGAGCACCGGAGCTGGGGTCGAGCCGCGCAAGCCCAGACACTTGAAGCTTAGTGACGGCAAGTCTGGCGATGCGGCTGTCGGCCTTGTTGGTGTAATCAAGAGGAACATCCAAGTAGCCGCACAGGTATATACCACGCCCGGCATAGGGATCTGTAGGTCTCACGATTTGGTTGGTTGGTGCTGGCGTCCAGTTCCAATGATCTGGGTTTGGGTCGAAGAGGGCAGCCCAGGTGCGTTCAGCGTTGGCATCCTCGATGGCGGGCGGCAGCGTAGCGCGTGTGCAAGGTAAGAAGCGGAACGGGTCTTTGGCGGCCGGAAACTGCCCATAAGGGGAGTCGGCGGCAGATTGAGCTTGGCCTCGATTGGCGTAGTCGACTCTCTGGGTACCAAATATATCGCCCTGGGAAGCTGTAAAGCAGGAGCTGGTCGGCGTCCACTGGGGAACGGCGGCGACCAAGACGACACCCACAATAGCTGCACCTGTAAGCACCCAGCCGCATCTCACACGTCGTTGCGGCGGCAGCACAGGAAGTGGCAAGCCCCGCTTCTTGCCGTCCATCGTGGTTGCCGTGCGGTTGAAAAATCCCGGCTTCTCGTCCTCTTCGTGGGGCTGTGTCTGGTCCGACCGAGAGCCTCCGAGACGTGCGGCGCTTGGCCGAACCGGGAAGGAGCAGGGCGGCTCCTCTTGCCTGTTCGACTCCGACGCGCCCAGCTCGCCCCGTCTTCTCACCGCCCGAAATCTCCTCGCACTCATTCTTGCCGGCTCAAGTTCCAAGGAGAAAAGCGTCAGAAGATTCGATGGAAATTTGCAAGCTTTTGGGGGCCCTACAGAAGGATTTGCTAGCCTATTTATCTTTATTCCCTCAACAATCATGATTAGATTCCCCTGTATCGGCTCCAGATTTTATCCAAACAATGATTCTATATCCTTTAGCCGAGCGATCACGTCAGTTGGTTCGCACGGGAAGAGCTATCAGTCCGCAATCCTACAATTGTTTGATCATAGCATGCGACTGGCTTGAAGCCGTGGGGGAATAATGAGTAGGGCATTGATTCATGAATAGTACCAAGAAGTTGGCCCTTTGGGCGATATTAGTCATTTACTGACTCAAAGAGGTTTGTGTCGAATCGTGTGTAATCAGTTGAAGCGATTGCACGATCTCGATACTCCGGAGTTCAATTAAAATTCTTAATGGATCAAATATAAACCATGGTGCAACGAGAGACGAATTTGATAGGTGCAAAATTGCCTTCTACGGTATTCAAGTTTCTCATACACACACTCATACACACTCACAAAGTAAAACCTACGGTACGGCGCCCGCCAGAGTAGAGAGTATTCCCCAACCATAGTAGCCTGTTAGGGACTGGCATCTGGACCATCATTGGTTATAGACCGTAATCGACGTGCTTCCGGGGTATACTGCCATGGGCTCGGCCATCATCTCCAAAGTCGCGTATCGGAACCTCCTTGATGTCACAGCCGCGCAGCCAAGCCAATAGTTTTTGTGGACCGGATACTGGGCTTGGGCCATGATTCACCCAAAGGGTTTCTTGCTTCGAAGTCGCTCGCGTTATTGAACAGGAAATTCTCGTCAGTGCCAAACAGAGGGAAGCTACTAATAGTCCTAGTTCTACGCTGATAATGCCCGCCGTCACCCGGTCAGTCGTTCCAAGCCTTGATAAGACGAACCACACCAAGGGAGCGAGAGAAGATGAGAGGGATGACTGTCCCATCCCCGTAGAAGCTGAACCGGTCTCTGTCCTGCTTTTCCCGATGCGTGGAAACGTGGTGAGAGGGGACCGGTGAGCTGGTAAAACGTTCATCCTCGTAATTTCAAGGCTTGCCTAATACGCAATACCACTGCTAACAGTACGTGATACCTGAGGGCAAAAGCGGAATGCGCATGAAATACTAAATGCTTCGTACATAAGTATCACGTATTGATACGACTTCCACCCAATCCAGTCCAACTCTTTGTCCCTATACCATCTCCAACCAGTATACCACTTGCGAATATGGACTCTGTAATCTCTCTTGTGTTACTCAAGTTATTGCAGGCGGTCCCCAACTTCCCAAACTTGACCGCCTCAAGCAATCTCGCTCCTCTTGGCAATGAATGGTATTGTGGCTCGCCGAGGTGGCTAAAAGTCAGCAAGTTGCACCACACAGTAAATAACCATTGGACGACTACAGTGGTTGTATTTAGGTTCTCAAGTTTAGTTTAACTACGCCTTTCTCTTAGGTCGTATTCGTCGGCGGCGCCTGCATGATGGGACGACGAGTTGGAACCGCTGCCAAACCTAAAACACTAAGGCTCCAAACATCTTTGGATATGGGGTCCGCTGCCGTCGTCCCCCTTTACCCCGATGGTAGAGGTAAGCTGTGTTTACGTTTCCGGACGTTTGCCTGAGATCATTGCAGGAGGTCTTCACAAGAGCCCTTGCTCCAAAGTCAAACTTAGCGTTCCGGCTCGTAGGGAACTCGTTTCTGTGACTGTCGACGCGGATGCAATCATCATTGTCAGCATCTGTGGCGCTGGCAGGCAGACACTACAATCCGAGACGGTAAGACGTGTTAGGCGGCACGGTGGCTATATTTTTATCTTCAAAAAGCCTAATACTCACCACCGTGTAATGGCACGACTTGGAGTCATCGATCCAGAAGTGTCTGGCATGAAATACACGCGGCGACTAACAACTGGCTTTGGAACTTCACTATTGTACGGTGTACGCTATATATAATATTAAAGATGGAGAACAATATCTCACTCTTCTTTCCCCTTGCGTATGACCCCCTCTATCGTCTTCGTCTATTTTTTGTTTGAGACTAGGCTCGTGGCCCAGGCCAGCGAGCTTGTTATGGAAGGACCAAAGCTACTAAGCGACGACGGCTTTAGGTGTGTGGCTAGAAAGGAGGACTTGTGGGGTGGGAAGAATAGAGTTTCTTGGCTGGGAAATGTCTGGCTCCCGCCTCCTCTTGAAAAGGTTTTGCGTCGGGATAGGTCATGTGCCCTAATGAGCCTAGCGGCTTTAGTGTTATCGAGTCGTCCTAGAGGCGAGTGTCGTGCCATACAAAATAATTCCATACATGGTGACCTTTGAGTGTGCATTGACGTCGGAGCCAGTCCGCCAGGGGCTGGTGCTTGTTCGGTTGTGAAGCCCAAACCTCCGCTATCGGCCGGAATAGCACACCGATTTGCCCCGGTGCATGAAAATGTGTACTAGGTTTTCAGGTGTTGCACTCGCAATTGAACTCCTGTCACAAAATCCACCTGCACCATTATTTAGCATCAACTCACCTTGGTGGCTTAAGCGTTCATGTTTTCGGCCGTACCTTCCTAGCAGACCTAGGAACTGTCGCCCGGCCCCTCCCCCCACCCACGCCTCGCGAATTACTTCATCAAGGGGAGCACTGGGCCATCTCACCGCTCTTCACGGGTCAAATCATACGCCAACTCAACAGAACGTGATGCCATCCATATGCCCCCGTCAAACCAAGTCATCGATCGCTACCGTCCCTTGCATCTTTGTGCTATAGCCTGATCTAAGCTAATAGTCTGCGATATATGTATAAACAATGCAGGAAACCCAGCACGGGCCGTTTCACCGCCCCCTGTTCCTCCCCTGGGAGGGGCTGTGAATGAACGATGAATCATCCTGAACTGAGGCCGGAGTCGGCTGTACGGATAACCTTGGGTGGTGAGCCGGCCTGGAAGCGATCGCATCCTTGACACGTCTGGCAGGGAGCTCGCACGCCTCATGGCCTGTCCAGCGCTTCCAATCCCAGTGAAGGTATCCATAAATTGAGATTGTATCAGCGAATGAATGGAAGCGAGAGAAAAGGATCGAAGGGGCTAAGAGGGAGGTCAAAGAGGAGGAAACCAAATAGCGGCGATGTAAACAAAAGATGGAGGACGCGGAAGTAAGTACGTATGTACTCACCTGCTTAATTCCCTGCTAAACGAGAGCTGGGTGCCCGTGTCCATTAGAGCCTGCGACCCCTCTGCCTTGGCGAGGGCGCGGAATTCTGTGTAAGGAGACGGGCTATGACACATCTCCAACATGGACGATGCGCGTACCGTAGCTGCGTGCCGTCGACGTTGCCTCCACCAGCCGCAAGGGCTGGACGGTGCTCGTTGACGGCGGCGCCAGTGACGGCAATTTGCTGCACGTTGTAGATCAAAGCACTTGCGGACACCAATGACGTATGCTTCGGCATGTACCGAGCGCAAAAGAGGCGCCGGCCGTCAGGCAGATGGCGTGAGAATATGGTGTTGGAGGCGCCAACGCCGCGGCACTTCTCGGCTTACTCGTCGAGATGGGAGGTTATGGCGAGTTTGATGAAGCATGTTGGCGGATGCCCCTGAATGCACAGTCGGTTGACTGGGCCCCTGGTTAACCGGCGTGCAAGACGGTGTACACAGTAGGGGTCGGTGAGGGCTCGAGGAGCGCGGATGAACAGTCGAATACAGGATGCCGTATTAGCCTGAGGAAAGACCGTCATCATGCCTGTCGAGTCAAGGTGTATCAGTGCCCATCGTAAGCTTAGCTCACGGTTTAAAAAAAAAACGTGTGCAGAACGGGCGACGTGGAGGCCACGAGTTTACCAAACAGATACGTGGTGGTATCTATCAAGGATGCTAATAAAGGCCGCTAGAAGGTGGTTCCTCACGCATGGCTGTTAATTCGATTGGAGCCTCATTTTTATAATTTATTTTTACAAATAGACAAGGGGAAGCAGAGTAAGCACCAGATTTTTATGTAAAGGGGCATATGGAATTTCGCACGAGGTAAGAAGTGTGTTTGTTTGTCCGTAGCTGTCCGTTGACAGGGGCTAACCAATGGGTGTTTAACGTGGTTTGCCGCTTTTACTATGTATTTTTGGTCGGCAGCAGCGCGCGGAGAGACACCTCCCTAAACCGGAACAGGCAATCGAATGTTGTTCTCCTGTCAGGGCAGACAGCTTGACAGGCGTACAGTTTGGTTCGAGGGTGGTGGATCCACTATCTGGGCAGTACAAGTAAGCTGCCCAAATCTTTCCTTGTTCGCTGTCGTTGGCCCATTCATTAGCGGGGGGGCCGGAACGATGCCGAAACCAAGACTTACTTTCTCTAGACGGGCTTTGTCCCTTCTCGCCAATACGGATTCCCGCGAATCTGGAGCAAGACCATGGAAACAATAATGCCACCCGTGTTTGGGGCTCGCACAATAGCCATCACGGGCGGGCGCACCACTTCGTTGGTGCTTGAATAGGTCCTACCTATTTATCCCTGTCTACTCCACTATTCCAGTGCGGCCTCGGCTTGTATGTACGTACGGTAGTACCGAGTGCTTCGTACGGCGACTGAAGTGCATCGACGTTATGTAAGATAATTGACTCCCGTCGACGTTGATGTGGCATCCCGGGATGAGATGTAGGTGGTAAACCGGCCGAAAAAGAGCACCCTAGGAAGGTAAGTAATCCGTAGTACATACGAGGTACCTGTTGCTCCTTTGTGCGAGTGCCTAATCTCTGTGCCACATACTAACAACGACAGTTGGAACCTGCGGTGAACTGAAGAGTAGAAATAAGCAGGATGAGGTTACTGAGCCCATGACATGCATGGCCCGGTGCGCCCGATGGGAAGAAGCCTCATCCCGCCTTACCTCACCTCACCAGAGTCCATGATGGAGCAAGCTTAGGCTCGCTTATCTTCGGCCCCCTCTGGTGGACCCAAAGACGCAAAAGGGTGCAGTGGATGGCGGCTTATGTCTGCAGAAAGCCGCGTGCTTTTCCGCCTTTTGCGATCCTTGGGATCCTCGAGTTAGGTCCTTCCAGAAGACGAGACAGGTATGTACATGTACAGTACGGCCCCACATATGCAATGTGCTAATCCACCGCCCAATGGATCTTATTTAGTCGCTCCTTACACGACAGGAACGCACCTCATACCTTCGGTCTACGCCAGACAGAGTAAGGAATACGGCGGGCACTATTAAAATAAGCTGCAGCGTACACCCCTCTGTTTCCTGCCTTACGGAATACCATGGATGCCATTGGAGGTAATGATAGAATGCGTACCTACTGCATCTTAGCGTATGTACATACGCAGCAACCCGGGAAGGCAGGAACATAGCGTTAGTACAAACACATAGGGACCAGGCGGAAAAAGGTCAGCACCACCAACCAACGACATTCCAGGAAGCAATTAGTCACCGCTTGCCTGGGACAGGTGGTCATGACGATAAAATGCTAACGCTACTCCCAGGAAAGTCAGTGTGTCCCTTGGATGCATTCCCTGAAACCTACCTTACCTGGGTAATACCTTGACCGCCCCCAAGGCCCGCTAGGTCCAAGCTGTCCGGCTGCTGAGTAGAAACACCACAAGCAAACGTTTCACATCATCATCCATGGATTGATTGTCCTCCTCCCCCTCGGGGTATGGACACACGCAACCAACTGCGCGGAAAAGACGTCTAGCTCGAGTTGCTGAATGTTGGTTCTCGTCTGCCGAGGTCGCCCCGACCTGACCTGACTTACTGACTGGCAACCCAGCCTGCCATGCCTGTCTCTGTCTCGCGCTGGCCTCGCTGCGCTGGCGGCGTTGCGTGAGACAAAAACGTGCAAGGTGAGACAATCGAGTTGCCGCGCTGCTGCATCCCGTCCGTCCGTCCACTCCGTCCACCGCTCATCTCATCTCATCTCGTCTCGGCCCTTTGCGCTTGTCGGCGGCGAGTGGACATCAAGTGACGAACTAGGTATGTAGGCTCTTTGTACCTAATTGGTATCCAGGTCCTAGGTACCCATCCATGGTGGTGTTATTATTGTTGTTGAGAAGTCGTCAATTCGACCAGCCCCCTTCCTCCCAAATCCCCATGACTCTTATCTCGTCTCCGCTTCGGTCCTTTGCAGTGATGATGCCTTCCCAGACCATCGGTTCACAATCTTGGCTATCTCGCAGTCCGAACTACCTAGGTACCCCAGTCACGTAAGAACCAAGGTAGGTACCTGCTTGCCTACACACCGTGTCACTTGCATTCCCGTCTTCTCGCGCCACTCGGTGGAGACAAGACACACACATTCATGTTTATATATTTATATTTGGATGTATAAATGTATATATATTAGGTAGATAAACCCGCCTCACATCCCATTGTTCCTGCCCAGCTACCTATCTCTTTCCATTGCGCCATATCCTTATCTCAGTCATCTTCAAGCACCTCATCTCTCTCAACTATCTCGATATCTCCCGATCTCTCTTATCGCTCCTTTTCCTTCTCTCTTCTCCCACTCCAGGGGCCTTGTGGCATAATAATAGAAACCCATTGTCATTCGGCACAGCGACCAGCCCAGTTTCAAGTCTATCTCTCAGTCACAGAGACTCTTGGGGACTGGAACATACTATACCAGTGACCCCCCTCCTCACAAGTCAGGATGCAGTGTAAACTCGCCATCAGCTCCATGTCGTTGGGTCGCTGCTTTGCCGGCCACTCTCTGGGTCGCAAGTTGGATGCCGCCCAAAAGTACGGCTACCGGGGCATTGAGCTATTCCACGAGGATCTGGCCGACATCGCAGATCGCCTGTCCCGCGATCCCCCCTCTCGCGCCGGTTCCTCGGCTGCCGCTCAACTGGCTGCCGCGTGCAAAATCAGGCATATGTGCAAAGTCCGGGGCCTCGATATTGTTTGCCTCCAGCCTTTCATGCACTACGATGGCCTTCTGGACCGTGCCGAGCATGAGCGGCATCTGCAAAAGCTCGACCTGTGGATCAAGCTCGCTCATGAGCTAGAAACGGACCTCATTCAGATTCCCGCGAATTTCTTACCCGCGGAGCATGTCACGGAGGACCTGGACCTGATTGTTGCCGACCTGCGCGAGGTTGCAGACATTGGCCTCCAGGCCACACCTCCCATCCGCTTTGCCTACGAGAGTCTGTGCTGGAGCACACGAGTGGACAGCTGGGAGCTCTGCTGGGAGGTTGTGCAGCGTGTCGACAGCCCCAACTTCGGCATGTGCCTCGACACCTTCAATATTGCCGGACGCATCTACGCAGACCCGGCTGCTGTCTCAGGCCGGACGCCAGACGCCGAGGAGGCTGTGAGGACGTCGATCTCGGCTTTAGTCTTGCAGGTGGATGTCTCCAAGGTGTTTTATGTGCAGGTAGTGGACGCCGAGCGGCTCAGGGAGCCGCTGCTTCCAGGCCATCCCTATTACCACCCGGATCAACCGACGAGAATGAGCTGGTCACGAAACTGCAGATTGTTCTACGGCGAGAAGCAATACGGGGCATATTTACCTGTGAGGGAGATTTCTTGGGCCTTCTTCCACGGTCTAGGCTTTGAGGGATGGGTCAGCCTGGAACTTTTCAATCGCCGCATGTCTGACGAGGGCTCTGAAGTCCCCGAGGAGCTCGCCAGGAGAGGTGCAATCTCATGGGCCAAGCTATCAAAGGACATGAGATTCCCGCTGGCGCCCGACGTACCTGCGCCACTCCCGCGGATATCAGCATTGTTGTGATTGCATTTCCTGCCCTCCAACTTCTCGGGCATAAATTTCAGCCCATAGCCGTACTGTCACGGACATACCCTGATACGCAACGACATAGAGAGTACATTAGTTTGCTGGATTTTAGACTGTACATGGCCGGTGGGGCGTTTTTTTTTTTTTTTTTTTTTGGCAAGGGCTCATCATAGAAAAATAGTTGCTCCATAGACAAAGATAATAATGTTCATATTTTTTCCAGCTCTCACAGTTAGTTGCAACTTAGTTAACTATAATTTCCTCTCCGCATACTCCATGGCTGCCGTTTATCCGTCCCCGCCCATGCCCGCAGATGAGCCGGCACCAACTGTCGCTGAAACAACTGGGATGGGCCTCGCCCCTTTCGCGTGGGTGTGAATACACGTGGACTTCGACAAAAGGAGTGTTTACGGCAAGCAGAGAGTCCTAAAAATTATACTGTTGTGCTTCAGACCAGCCAGCCCGAAGTTATTAGTTCGCCTTGGGCAGGAATGATGGCCGTCTATCGAGACATCATACATGGATCTGTGGTAGATACTTCGTACCTACCTCAAAGCACCGCTCAGCATCCATATTGGAGCTAAATATTAGAAATAAGAGTCAGCTGTGTCGGGTAACCGCACCCCCCGCCTCGGCTTGATGCCGCGGGCTTGAGTAGTTTATTCCCTGATCAGACGAGGTACGCTGTTGAAAGAATGTGGGGGACACGCGTGGTTCCTTTATAAACCCGCTCCGCAGAGCTCCATAGCCATAGGCAAAGTGATATCGACATTCTCAATATGACGACTAAGTATACGCATCGTACTTCACCTGTTTTACGCCTCCGCTGTCTCTGTCGTAGGCCGAAAACCCGCCGTCAATCTAGCGGAAATGGGGGCGCTGGGAATGGCAAGAGCAGAAGTGCCAGATGGCAAGTAGGTGGGTGTTGCAGCTAATATCGCCATTCGTGCTTAATGAGGCAGGCAGCCTGGTGACCACGAACGGCTACTCCAGGCCCCTGAGGATCCCGCGACAGCAAAAATCGACAATGCTTGTACTGAGTCAGGACGTGAAGTAGCAAGATGAGGACGGTGTGAGCTGTATGGAGCAGTGTACGTCAACTTGATTACCAAGACCCAGGTTTGCAGGAACGAAACGAATTGAGTAAACCCAGGCTGAAGACATTAAGGGTTGGGCTACAACTCTCGGCCGGTATTGGCTGTGCTCAAATCTCTACTGGAACATAATGCTCGAGTTTATCATCGCTCTTTACGAACAGAACACTAAGTGCCGGAGGATGGGGACCCCGTGAACTCTACTTTGTAGAAAACGGCTGGACTCCCAAGTGTTCCCACGAGTGGCGAGTAAGCTACAAAGGGAAGCAACCGAAAAGTAAAATATTCGGATGCAAAATCCATGTGGCTGGTGCGAGTCGTTGGCCAACCTTGGTCGGTATTTCTTTTCTCGCAGAAAAGACATTTAGTTTCTTGTCGGAGAAAGGAGGAGCCCCAAAAAGGCTGCTAGAACTTGCTAGTTATAATGTGGGTGGCCCACGTAAGTCGAAGTCTTCGGAGATAGAAATTGTCGAATATCGTTGCATATCGTTTACACAATACGGTGGCCAGTGTCAGCAGATTCAATCCAGCCCAGGAAAGGACGCCACCTTAGGCTGGCTTCCCTTGCCTTTGCGTCGTTTCTTTTTGGATTGTTTGGTTCTTGAAGGGCGGTCGTCATCGCTGTCGCTATCATCTTTGTCGGGTTCCTCGTCGCTGTCGGCGGACCTCTTGATACCATACTCTTCGTCCTCCTTACCCTCCTCATCATCACCGAAACCCGAAACGCCCGATTCACCCCAGACCTTCACCACCTTGCCACCGCCGCTTATCAGCCTGTTCTGGTAGTCGAAGGTCAGAGCCGCTGCACCTTCAACGTCATCGTGCTTCAGAACGGTTTGCACTTCCCGTCTCCTCAGGTCCACAATGCTTATGCTGCCGTCTCCGACACCAATGATAGCCTTCTTGCCCCATCCTAGCTCTTCCGGGGCAAACACGATGGCGTCAAGGCTCTCGGCATCCCTCTTATTCCGTCCAACGGCGACATTAATGCGCTCTTGCTGGTCATCCCATGCGCCGCGGTCCCACAGCGTCAGTACGCCGCCACCAGTACCGACGGCAACGACTGCATTGCTTCGCATATGCTTGGGCCCGAGACCAGACGGTATTATAGTAGAGCAAAGCAGTTCGTCCTCCTGATCCTCAGAGGTAGCAATTATGCCATGCCTGAGATCGGTGACAGAAAGCGTAGTGCCGCCCGTCGAGACCCATTGCTTGGGAAAGCCAGAGGTGCTCTCGGTTGAAGGCGTAAGGGGTGTGATGCTGGACACATAGTCCACGTGTGGGAAGTTCTTGCGGACTGGCTTGGGATCCAGATAGCCATTCTCGCGGAAGTCAAAAACGTATAGAGCGCCCGAGTCGGTACCAAGGAGCAGCGTCTGGGGGGATAAGACATGGAGAATAGCTGGGCAATCCGTAATGCTTGAGGTCGGGCTACGGGGGGGCAGGCCAATTTTGGACAGAACCAAGCCGGTCTCAGGAGAGAAGTGCTTGACGACGGAGTCGGTGCCGGCGGAGTAGAGAGCTAAGGAGTCACTGTGTTAGTTGGAGGTGCGAAAAGCTAGGGCAAATGCGCCGTGACGTCTTACCATCTCCGTCATGGCTGTAGGCAAGATACCGGCAGCTTCCCTTGTGCCGGCGCGTATTCCAGACGCTCTTGATCAGACCTTTCCCTCCATTGATGCTACTATTCTCGTCGTAATACTCGGGTGTCTCGCTATCATCACTCGAGGGTAGGCGAAAGCTCTCGACATGTCCATTCGCTAAACCCACTGTCAGGAGCGGTTGCGATGGGTGCGCGACTTGAGCGAAGACATCCGATGTTAGCGGAAGGGTGCAAAGGTTTTCCAGCATCGTGGGCCAGTTATCAGTGCAGTCAGATTATTGAGGTCTTGGTTCCTATTTCATGTCGTTTTGTTGTCCGACATACAATATAGCCAAAAAAAAAAAAAAAAAAAGTAATCGGGTCTGGGGATAGGAGTGGATTTCTTTCGCGAAGAACCTCGAGTCGCGAAAATATTTGAGGCTTGCCTGGGGGGGTTCGAAGGCTAGTTCCCGCCTTAGCACGCTGTTGCAGGTACTTTCACAGTCCCCTGTCGCTGCTCCAGAGTAGGGTGTGGGCTGAGGTGGGCCTGAGTTTTAGTCGGTATCCAGTACCTAAGGTAATGTACCGGAGTTTTACATATATATCCGTACTGAATACATACAATACATATGGATACTACAGAGTATTGTGTGTACAGTACCGTACTGCATGTCCTGCGTATCAGACGAGGATATCTGTATAAGGACGCGCTATGGAGTGCACCACCTAAAGCTGTCGCGAATTCGCGATGTGTTTCGCTAACATCTCCCCAAATTCCCATGAGCTTCATGTATACCGTAAACATCAATGAGCTTTATTAGGCCACAATCAATACCCAGGCACCTACGTATAAAAACATCCATATTGCCCAGCTTATTAGGCGATAGTTACATCACTCAGAACCTCCCGCATATCAACCTTTTTAATCGCTCTTGAATCTTGACAGCCCGATCTAACGAGCGACGCGTCTCAAGCTGCTGAGCGACACACGCCAGTGATAAGAAAGAGGCTTTGCGGGTGGTTAATATGAGATTTAATTGGTCCCTCGCTTTGCACTGGCTATCGTTGTGCATGGCAGCAGAGGTTGCCATGAGTTCTCCTCCGAGATGCATCATGTACCTCACTGGGTAACAAGGCCCCTCTGCCAACGACCTGGTCGTGGTTCCGTAGCCAGCAATATCTCAGTCGTTAACGCGCCTTTTCGTATCTATAGACAACACCCTGTCGTGCCCGCGGTTGAACAGCTCAAATATGTGACCCATGTAGCGTTGGCATTCATGCGTCCTGGCACATTTAATGACCCAGATGTGTCCGACTGGCCTCTATTCGCCACTGTCGCCGACCTCCGGCCTAAGTTCCCGGCGGGGACGAAGATCATGATTGCCATTGGCGGCTGGGGGGACACGCTTGGGTTCTCCGTTGCTGCCACTTCGGCCGAGACCCGCAAGAGGTTTGCCGACAATGTTGCCCGCATGGTCAGAGCTACCGGTGTAGATGGTTCGTCGTTATTCCTCCCGTCTTGCGTACCTAGTGTCTAGTCTAGTCACCCAAGTCTAATACAGGCGTGTATAGGAATCGACGTCGATTGGGAGTACCCGGGGTGGGTTGATCTTCCGGTTCTGTCGAGATATCAGATGCTGATACTTAGTGCTCCCTGCCGACCAAAATATCTAGAGGCAATGGCGAGGACTACAAGCAGGTTCCAAACTATGCCAAAGCGTGGGAAATTCCCGCCTATCCTCTTCTCCTCTCGGAGCTACGTGCCTCTCTAGGGCCCGACAAGATCATCTCTGCCGCAGTTCCCGGGCTCGAGCGCGATATGCTGGCTTTTACAAGCCTAACAGTGCCACGCATCATGCACCATCTCGATTTCCTAAACGTCATGACATACGATCTCATGAACCGCCGCGATACTGTGACCAAGCATCATACGGGCGTTCAGCTGAGTCTGGAGGCAGTTGATGCCTATATTGCGGCTGGTGCGGACCCCGGGAAGCTAAACCTCGGTTTTGCTTTCTATACCAAGTACTTCCAGACAGAGCATGAGGCCTGTGGTAGCGCCGCCTCGCCTGTTGGCTGCCCTACACTTCTTCTGGAAGACCCAGAGACAGGAGCAGATCTTGGTCGCGGCGGCGGTTTCTCCTGGCATGATTCTGTCCCAGAAAACGTCGCCCAGTCATTTACCAGGGCGCTTGGTGAAGGCACCTATGACGACCAGCAAGGGGGTTACTACTACTGGGACGAGGCGGAGAATCTATGGTGGTCATTTGACACGCCAGATGCCATCAAGCGTAAGTTTCCGCTTGTCTTGGAGAAGAGGGGGCTTGGTGGTGTCTTTGCCTGGGGCTTGGGTGAAGATGCGCCTCTTTTTGAGCATCTGGCAGCCTTGAACGAGGGTCTTGCCGAACACTTAAGATCCAGAGTCGCGAAGGAGGAGTTATAGGTTGGATGTTTGCCACTGGTATAGAGAACGGAAGCGGCTAGCAGGATTTTGGAAGCAACCACTGCGGTGGTGTGCTGGATTGTGGAGTGGGTAGGTAAGGTGGCTTAATGTCGGAAAGCCATGAGTAACACGTTAGACCGAGCATACTCTTGGTTGGAATACTAGTTGGTATGTGTAGGCGTGGTACGACTGTCGAGGAATCATAACCATATACGGTTTCGAGTCAATGCTACCTGCCTACCTGCCTCTTTGCCAGCCCGCCTAGTTGACAGTCTAGACGAGAAGTATATGTAATTTCCAGATCGATGGCAAACTATATCGTCTCCTCCTATTCCCTGTGTTAGACTGGAAAGCCAATAAACTTCCGCCTAGGCCGCTCGATCAGCAATGCTACTTGTACTAATCGTAAATCCCGGTATGATGTCGTTCACCCTAGTGAGACTAACTAGAAGTGCTCGACGGCAACTGCAATTGAAATCCCTCAAAATCAAAGCTGTTCTGCCCAACAACGACAGACCAAATTAGGTGAGCCCAACCCAATTTCAAGTCCCGCACGCTCTTATCCCGGCCATAGGTAAATACATGTTGTAATTATGAACTAGGTGGCCAAGGTAGGTGGACTCAAAGGCCTCCAGGCTCAATGCCTTGATGCGAAGCCATTGCTCCTCGGGCCACTCCCGTTGGTCGAGCTTGCATGAAATGGAAGTATAGACTGCATCTCCAGGGCGGAGAGCTGGTGATTGGGGGCTGATTTCGGTTCATTGGATTCTCTGCCGTCTCTCTCGCCGAGCTGGGGGCCAGCCTCCCAAGAGCAATGTAACGGTGGCAGCTATCCCGCATCCTCCAGCGGCGCTAGTGGCCTCTTGTGTAACTGCCATGTGGTAGTATATGCTCACTGGCTCGACGTATCCAGTCAACATGCCGACCACCCTAGGAGTATTAAGCCTTGGGGGGCATTGCCTACACGGCTCCCGCTTTTCTTGAGAATTTTCTTGTCTGTCGAAGGCCCCCCTCGGCGGAGATACTCTTGAACCTCGACAATGGCTCGTTTTTGTGGTGTCTGTATGGGCGGAATTTCGCTGCTCCTGATGCTGGTGGTTGCTCCGGTTACCGTCTTGTGCCTCGGCCTAGTACCACGCCACGCAACCATTGTCGACTGCCAAACAGTGGGTCAAACTACACATTTTTCATTACTGGGACTGGTATCGCTGGTCTCACCATTGCGGACCGACTTACAGAGGACCCAAGTGGTAGGTAACTGACAACCTCGCCTTGTGTTTTGACCGCAGTCGAGTTATTTTTGGCATGGTCATTGATTCCACAATGGGGCCTGGCTAATATCTAGCACATTCAGTGTCCTCATTCTCGAGGCCAGCCCTTTTGACAAGGGCGAGGACGGCATTCTAATACTAGGTGCTTGTGCTCCATGCCTCTACTTCTGACCGAACCTGGTTACTGTACCACAGGTGGGACTTAACAATAGATCTATCGGTACCGTGTGCGTGAAGGTCGTTGGCGGCAGAAGCGCTATCCACGCCATAGTGTTTCTCAGGTTAGCTAAGAGACCAATACCTACGTTTATCACGAGTGAGTGTGATATGGCAGTCCAGTGCTGACGACGGGCTAATTACCTACCTACCCTGACCGCAGGGGCGACGAAGGAGACTACGACGCATGGAGCTCACCTGGTAACCTCGGGTGGCACTGTAAAGGTCTCCTTCCGTTCTTTCTCAAGGTAGGTACAGTACGCGGCTGGCAAAATAGGTACTCAGGCGGCCGGGGCCAATGTCTTGCAAGACCAGCACTGACTGGCCAATTCGGACAGAGCGAAAACTTCACTCGCCCAGATCCGACTTTTGCAAGAGCTGGCAACATCTCATGGGATGACTCGTTTCGTGGAAATTCGGGACCGGTGCAAAACTCGTATCCAAACTACTTCTTCCTAGGCAGCGGTAAGTATCAGGCCAAATTCCGTCTGTGGCGTCGGTTCGAGTTCGAGTTCCCCGGAAAGAAGTACACCTTAGGTAGACCACGATCGAAAGCTAGCTTTTAATAGAGCGAATTGGTAGAATACTGCCAAGTCAATAAGTCTCGAGCCCGTCAAAGACCCAAACTCGGGAGACAAGCAGGGTATGTAGAGCAGATTGTCGCCCAAATACCGTCCGTCCCTACGCGCGATGACTGCAGTCAGTCTGATGGCTAGGTATGGGATAGGAATCTTCTAGATCCCCACTGTACTCGATACCACGACCATGACTAGGAGCTATGCCAGACGAAATCACTACGACAGGGTCATAGCCTCACGCCCAAACTACCACGTACTCGCATCCAACCCCGTGACCAAGGTTCTCTTCCGTGGCAAGCAGGCCGTTGGCGTCAACTATGTACCGTCTGGCGGCGAGAGTTCTTCGACGGTGTACGCGTCCAACGAGGTCATCCTTGCAGCGGGTAGCTTCCACACGCCACAGCTCCTCCAGCTTTCAGGCATCGGGCTCTCAAAACCGCTTCGAAAGTTCGGTATACTTATCGTCGTCGACCTTCCCGGTGTTGGACAGAATCTTCAGGACCAGCCCACGCTGACGGTGCCTTACACCTGTGAGTTGATCTAATGCCGGCTGCCAAAGAGACGGATGGCTGGCCATTGTTTCCTCTCGCAGCTAACCCGGCATCAGTCGGCGCGAACCTCGAGCCCAACTCCGGGACCCTGCTCAGCAATGCCACGTATAACGCCGAGCAGCGGGCACTCTATGACTCGGCTAGAAAGGGGCTATATACCATAATGAGCACGCTCAGCACAAACATTGGAAGTCTCGTTGCGCGGCGCCACAGCAGCATACAAGCAGATCGTGGCCTAGGCCCGCGTGCGGAACCCGGCCGACTCGCTCCCGGCCGACGTCGACCCGACCATACTCGAGGGGTACAAGGCACAGCGCAGCTTCATACTCCAGCACTTCGAAAACTCTACAGTCGGAGTGGGGCTATCTACCGCCGATTCGGCTGTGATATACCACGAAAAGCCGCTAAGCCGTGGCTCGCTGATCGACTATAGGACGGCAACAGACCCCATCGACCTCTAGGTGTACATGGCGCTGTCCCGCAAGCACCGCTAGATATTCTCGGCGCCTGCGATGCGCACGCTGGACCCCGTCGAGGCCAGTCCCTTTGGGGCCCAGCTGATGACGGACGACGAGATTGCTGCGGTGATGCGCGACCAGATCAACCCGTCCAACGCGCACTAGTGCCGTACTGCCGCCATGATGCCCAGGGAGCTGGGTGGTGTCGTCTTGAGCGAGCAGAAGGTATATGGCGTCGCAGGGCTCCGAGTTGCCGATATAGGCTTCTGGCCCATGCAGATTGCAGCGGCCCCGATAGCGACCATGTATGCCTCAGCAGAGAAGGTCGGTGTTCCTCCAAAGCCCTTGGGCTTTCCCCCGGCCTTTTCCTCTTGGTTACGGGCACGCAGCCCAGGTCTTTCTGGATACGAACACCCTGCCGTACAATGACTGACTGCGGGGCTGCTATAGCTCGCCGATGCCATCAAGAAGGAATACCACCTAGCGGAATATCAGAAGCTGTAGAAGAGACAGAGGCAACTGTTAACATGTTAATGGACCTGTCTTTTGGGGTTGCCAAGATTCAGCTCTGGTCTGGGAAAGGAGACCCTAAACCTACAGTAGAAGGCACTCCCCTAAAATTGCTGTGGCATCTATCTATCATACCAAGACCGCAGGTAGAATCAGTGGCCTTGCCAGCTCTGGGTGGGCGTTGAGGTGATTGGCAAGAACACCATACTGACAATGTATTTTTCACCACGGCCGTGTAGAGAGATAAGTATAAAACCAGTCCACTGGCTACTATCTGACGTGGACCGATGCTGTTAGTCGTCAGGCCGTCTCCTGGCAATCTCTGGCCCGATCAAGCATGCATGTACAGTTTTACTGCCTCCCTCCCCTCAAAAAAAAAGTCGCCCAAAACAAAGCTGCTATTAGGACAATCTCTGCCCCGATCTTCTTTGATTTCCGGCGCGAATAAACAGGCTAGACGCAGGCCCACATAGCATGGAAATGCCTGCCCCAACCCTCGAGGCCGTGCCAAAAGCCGAAGAAGTTCAGCGTAGCGAATTATAGGTAGCTGGATATGTACAGTAGGCCATAGCGGGGGATAAAGGTACTTCTATGCGGGCTGTTCACTCCTCTTCTCTGATGAGAGACTCGGAGGGGGCTACCCTCTGCGCCCATTCACTGTGTGTTGTTAGTAAATAAGACATTGATCAAGACTTGACAGAGGAGACTCACGTCCAGCTCCCGTCATACACCTTCCTACTCTCTGGTGAGCCGTACTGAGCTTCGCTCAACGCGGTCTCGAGCACGCAAGCTGTGACCCCAGTCCCGCAGCTGGCAATGATGGGCTTTGCTGGATCAACACCACTCTTGGCGAACAAACCTCTCAACTTTTCCGTAGGTAGGAACGCTTTGGTCTCCGGGTCCAGCACGGAGTCAAAGGGGATGTTGATGGATCCAGGAATGTGGCCCGATGACAAACCAGGCCTCGGCTCAGGAGCCTTGCCAGTCCATCTCCCATGTGATCTGGCATCCAGGATCTGAACACCCTCCGCACCTTCTTTGTTGTAATCCAGGGCAACCTCACGCACCTCCTCGTAGCTTGCCACCTTGGCATCATCCATCTCGGGAATCGGATACGGTCCGCACTCAACCGTCCAGACATTGCCAGACTCGGTTGGTAGACCCTGGTCGACCCATAGCCTAAAGTTGTTGAGGATGTGCACACTGGGGTGACCGAAGACCTTCAAAGTCCAACCTACACGAGGTGCGCTAAATATGCCCAGCTCACGGCTGTCGTAGACCACCACTGTATCTTCGCGGCGAATGCCTAGCTCGCTCATGGCCTCAGCAAAGTGCTTAGGGCTCGGTAGCATGTGTGGATAGGGGCTGCGCTTGTCGATAACCTTGTCCAGATCGAAGAATCGTGCCTTGGGGATACGCTTCTCCCGGAAAACCTGGAGACCGGTACGTCCTTCTGGGTCGTTTGGAAGAAACCAAGAGGCGCAGAGCGGAATCACCCGCGGTTCTGGCGATATGGGTGAGGGTGGGCTCTTCTTCAGAGCTTCTGAGAGTTCTTTCGGGGTCACAAGGTAGTTGGAAAACGATCGGCGCGGCGCCGCAGCGGCGACCGCAGGACTAGGGGATTGGAAGTAGCCAAAGAAGCTGCGACAGACTGGCCGCGTGCTGTGCTGGAGTGACACCCGTAACGGGCGCACCACAGTAAGCAAGGCCATGATAGAGACGTCAATTGGTGTGCCAGCTATTCTTGAGCTTGCTTCCAGGAGGCCAGGAGGGAGGCTTTGAACGTTGAACCAGGTAACTTGGAGGGGTCGATGATGGCGTCTAGGACTCGCGTTTTTTTATCAGTCCAAGAGCCTCAAAATCACCCTCTCCTAGGATTCCCGGCCCAGGTATATGTGGGAATGAGTGGGGGGCTGGAATAGTAACAACCTAGGGGACAATAAGAATGTCTAATCGCTCAGGAGCAAAGTTGCGAACCGTTAGATGCGGGGTTTTGAAGGTTGGATTGATCCTATTGAGGGCTGGCCGTTGAAATCAGGTTGAATTGGGGAGGGGGGGTGGCGGGAGCTGTCAGAGACGGGAAGCATTCCCAATTGGAGCTGGACCAAGGAATGTGGATGTATCTGTATTGTCAGTATGTATTGTATAACACAATACAAAGGTATTCGTACGTACCATCCGTACCTTACCTTGGTGGGCACAAAGTGTTATAAATCCCACCCAGTGGTACGAGCTTCCTTGTCCGGTAGGAAGTAAATACAGTATTGTTTAGTTCCTTTACCATAGTATTGGCACTAAGGTTACCTAGTCTGGATCTCGAACTGCCATCACCTCAGCCACTGAACATCAAGGTCTATATTACTCCATTCATAGCTGTCTCGTGTGACAACCATAGAAATGGCCACAGTACTGATTGTGCGACTAGTATACGTTCCCCAAGATTCACACCATACATTGAAGATTGCTCAACCGAAGGCTGAAGGGATCTGGTGAACGGCTTCTGCTAAATTCGCTGCGAGACAGCAAGTAACATCAACTCTCCCATACCTGTATTCACCATGAAGGTCAAGATCAAGAACTGGAACGCTGTCGCAACCTGGCGATGGGACATTCCAGAGGACGATGTTTGCGGTATCTGCCAAGTGCACTTCGACGGAACATGCCCAGCATGCAAATATCCCGGCGATGACTGCAGTCTTTGTACGTATTAGTCGGACAACATCTGACGGGGGGAAGGAAATTGCTGATGCACGCGCAGTGTCGGGCAAGTGTGGGCACAACTTCCACATGGTCTGTATTGTTCAACCGCTTGTTCTCTCTCTGACATCGAGCTGATTCCAATACAAACTTCTAGCACTGCATCCTCGAGTGGATAAAGCAAGATTCGGCAAAGGGCCAGTGCCCGATGTGTCGGCAGAGTGAGTCTCGTTGTATCCTTGTGGGCCCAAAGCTCAGCTAATAACGGCGTGCAGAGTTTGAATGGAGCGAACAGCTAAACGAGCCGTCGATTGACCATACTCAAGGGTCGACCGAGACTCAGGTTGCGGATTAGATTAGATAGTGAAATTGATCCGAGGTATGAGATAAACGTCCAGTCAAGAGCACATAACATGTCCTGTATTATTTCACCCAGCTTGACAAAAAGGAGGACAAAGCTGCGCAGTTATTGTCAATCCAATCACGCAAAACAGAAGGCCTGCAATTTATATATACATTCAAGCATTCTGATTTACGCTTGGGGGATTTCAACCGCATGGCAATAGCTAGAGTAACGACGATGGAGAATGGTTGCTGCTAGCAGTCCGAGTCTAAAAATAATAAGCCTGGCGATCGTCGTGAACAGTATCCTGGCTGAACTTTAGAGCAAGCGCTGGCACTTCGTCGGGGGGGAACGCTTGCCACGATTATTCCGTACAGATAGAGTAAATTCGGAATTTGTCACTCCCAATTATTTACCTGGGCTACCCACCAGCAGCAAGCATACGGGTATGTAGGTTCACTAGGCTAGGTATTCATGGTCAAGGTACCATTGCTCTGTATTGAGAGTTAATTGCTTAGTTGGCTCGGCATACCTAGGTAGTTGTTACCTTACGTAGGAGAAACTCTAGCACCTTAGTCGGCATGGTAGTACTAGTACGGAGTACGTACTAAGTCACGGTGTATGTACGGAAGTATTGTCACATGCGTGGAAGGCTGGCTGAGATAAGATAAGCCTTGCGATCCGCGATCAGCTTACCCCAAGAGCTCCATCTCAGCTTTATTATGTACCTGCCTACGTACCACCTACCAGGTAGATGGTGGCTTCCGTCAATTTCGCCAATGAAACGACCAGGTACGTATTCGTACATACCTACCAAGGCGACCTGGTAAACCTGTCCTGCAATGCGTCAACCTGGGAAGTCTGGCAATTCTTTTACAGCCTTTCGTGTCGGGTAGGAGTTGAGCTGTCCTGAGGGATACATTATACCTACCTAGGTCTGAGGGTTGGTTGCCTGGTGGCTCGCTACGCCAACGACCTTAACCGATCGCTCGACCTCTCCCACTCACCTCCCATCATCGTTTGTGTCCGCGACGCCGGTGTTCCACGCCTGCATTTAGTCGCTCATATTGCCGCCTTCCCTAGTTGCGCGCCGACCCGTGCTGTCGTCGCTGTGGTCGTCTGATGGCAGAAACCGGCAGCGGCCGCCCCGGCTCGTCAGCCGCTGGCTACCCCTCAACCATCTCACCAAGTCCGCGGCCCTCGGTGGCCAGTCGCACAAGCCAGTCTAGTCTACGACGAGACCGAGACCGAGACCGAGACCGAGACCACCACGAGGCTTCAACTCTCCCACGGCCCTCTGTGGCGCATTCGAATTCCCCGCAACCAGCACCAGCCCCAGAAGGCTTGGGTGATCCCGCGCCTTTATCCTCGTCGCCGCCGTCCCAGCCCTCCTTTACCCCCATATTCACCCTCCTTGCCTCAAGCACACATCCATCACAACGCCAAACGACCCACCACCCAACCGTTCACTACATATTTGCCGATGACGACGCAGATGATCTCACGGCTGCCCTAGCCCATCACCACAGAGCAGGAAGCTGGGGCGACCGTGAGGATGCCGGATCGGACAGCGGCCGCGATCGCGCCATACTTCTTGACATGGCTCCAGCAATAGAAGGCCCCGGATTTGAGGTGGTGTGGGCCAGCAGCCTGTCGCCTGACTGGGCTGTCGTATCAGCCCGTGTGGGTCGTATGGAAGGAGGTGATGGTGGCAGTTTGGCGGTCGGGCGTAGCAGTAGCCTTGGTGCGTTGGTCTTGAGAATCGAAGGCGTGAGCCTCGAGTCGCCTTCCGGCGCCGCTATGCTTACCGGGCCTGTAAATGCGCCGACGCCTGAGGCGGATTTGCAGTCATCAGGGGCTAGTGGCACACGACAACAGCAGCCGGCCGGGGAGGAATACACTGGCTTGCTCCTGGAGTTTGAGAAACGGATGGGAGTTCTCCGGCGTGTTGTTGAAGCTGGGGGAGAGAAACACTGCAAGGATGACGGCGATCAGCCTGAGGGGGGTGCGGGTCGTGATTGAGCGGCGTGGTACGTCTTCTAGGCGAAAGAAACCAGACTTTTCGCATTTGGTGGCCTCCGCGGTCGTCTATGCGACAATCTCTCTCCTAAGGACCTCATATCTAACACAAATTCAACCAGTTACCAGCGACCCCGAAGCCGGCAACGATCATAGTCAAGGTTATGTCGACTTGCGGTTGGACGAATGTCATCCACGTCTGGCTCCTTCTGGTCTACTCCCAAGGTAGTGTGGTCCCCGCTGATCCTGAAAGGTCTCTTGTAAAAAAAAAGTCCTCTTGAGGCCAAATGATAACAAATCAGCAATTTTGATGAGCAGTATCCCGTATGCTTCAGCGGCCCGGCATGTTGTCCGAGCCAGTCGTGAGCAGAAAAGGGTCATTTGCCATTGACAAATGGAGCTCGAGACTACTACAACGTAGATAGTGCGTGCTATTTCGCCTCCTCAAGACGGTGAATATGGTATTTTTGGCTTAAGAGGTTCGTTGTACAAGGCTCGCAGCGCATTTGATCCCTAGCCTGCTGTTTCACATTGTATTCTACCTTGGTCATAAGTTGGTCTCGTTGTATTAGCTGCCCAACTGGTCAAGTAGCAGCATCAAGGGTGCATCGTCGTCCGTAACTAGGTAGGTAGACTAATCAAGGAAGCAACATGAGAAATACCACTTACTCGGGCTTTCAACGAAATGGTGGCCTACACCTTTCAAGTTCAAAACAAGAGAAAGCTATTGTACCCATGGTCTATCCCAAGACCATACGCCACAATACATCCTGCCTGTTCCAAAACCCAACAATCGAGTTCCGGTGCTGACTAGGCACACCAAGGCCAAGTAATTTCAAATACTGTGTCCGATTGATTCGGGTGTTTAAAATAGGACCTGGTAGATACTCGTCAAGGCTGTAAAAGCACCGGAACCAACCTGGAAAGGGGTAAACACCTTGGTCAGGTCCTTTGATTCGCAAAAAAACACGAACTAAGAGGTAATTTAGTAGCCCCGACGACTACGTGAAGTCGTCCATGTCCATCCAAAATACGAAGCCAGCACGACAACGCTACAGATTAAAGAGAAGAAGAAATAGTTTGCCAAACGCCCCGTAACTCCATAAACGATCTTTAGCAAGTACATGGGAAAACCTGGTTTGATGACATGCATCCCATGAATGCTCCTCCAAGGTATTTATACAGTTTGTGGCAGTTAGACGGCTGACTGCAGTGGTTTGGCACCCACTTAAGAAATGCGACCTATCACTTCTCGACAGATGTGTCGCTCTCGCCCGTCAAGTCGTCTGGAAGCATGTATCGCCGACTGTTGAGATGCCTCTTTAGAGCTAGACGATGAGTTCGGCCGCTGCTGGGAACGACAATCTTAGATTGTGCATAGACACGAGCAACCGGAGGCTCGCTAGAAAATCCGACAGCGCGAGCTGTATGCATCACGACATCGTCGGAAACACTTCGCTGGACATTGCGCTTGTTGCCACCTGCACCACTCGCGGCACGATTGACAGCAATGTAAATACCCACAGCAGCAGCAATAACGACAACGATAGCAACTAGGAAACGAGTTAGCTTAGGCACCATAACAGGAAGAATGACATGGTGGAACATACCGCAAATAGCGAGGCAAATCCACTTCTTCTTACGCCTTGATACTGCCGAAGTAACAGCCTGGCCTGTCTCGCTAACCACCTCCACCAGGTTATCATTAGTCTGAACCACGGTCTTTTCAACTTCTGCCACTTGGGCTGATTGTTGCTCGACCAGTATTGCCATGTCATTAAACAACCTGGCCAGTTCGGCCATAGTCCTCTCGATCTTTTCCAATTCGGCTTGCCGTTGTCTGACTCTGTTTAGCGTACTATTCGCCTCGCCCAGTCGGTTTCCGTTCATGAGCGACTGTTCGAAGATGGCCGAGGGGCCACTGGCGTTCTCGACAATTGCGGCTATGTCTTCCTCTGTGGCGTTTGGTCTCACGATGAGGTATTGGCGTACCATCTGAGCCTGCATATCGTCACTGTATTCTTTTTCTTGTTTCCGATAGGCATTAAGCGCAAGCTCGACCTTCTTCTTGGCTTCCTCTGCGTGGAATGCAAGAGCCCCGGCCCGACCCTGGGGGGCCGACCTCACTTTTCGGACGCGCAACGTCAAGTCCCGAAAAGAGCTCATGATGCTCGCCGACTCCTGTTCTAGTGCTTGCTTGGATGAGGTCCCGCTTGACGTGTCGACTTCGTTCAGGACTCGCCTCTGCGCAATCTTTAGGTCCTTGAGCCGGCCATTTATCTCATTATCGACATAGAATCTAATGGATTCGCATTCGTCCATGTAAACTTTGAGTGAATTGCCTGGGTTCGCTGGGCCGAACGATGTTGGAGGGGTCTGCCCAAGCGACCTCATTTCAACGTTGCTTGTTGCTAAGGAGATTTGTTTAGAATCGTTCCAACGAAGAAATGACCAACAACCGCGCAAATTCACGAATGAACCGCGATTTTGACTTACCTCCATCGTAACTGTTATACTGCTGCATTGCGGGACCCTGGTTGTATCTTGACCCTCCCGCCCCACCTGGACGTGGACTTTGGCCAAAGCTGGCAGGAGGCGTTCGTCCAGGGGCAGGCCCTCCATATCCGCCGCCTGGGCGTGGACTTTGACCAAAGGTGTTTGTAGGAGGTGATCGTCCATTGGCAGGCCCTCGAAATTCGTCCTCGTCTACAGCCTGTGCATCGTCGAAAGGGTTATTGTATTTTCTGAGTATCAATGTCAGTATATCGCATCAGGTACACTATCGTGTAGTTTCGCTAGGTGCTTTGTCGTCGGAGTCGAGCAAGACTGACCTGTACTGTCTGAGTGTTAGTGGAAGGTCCTCCATATCTGGAATTAACAGAAAAAGAGCAAGTAAAAGTGAATTCCAGGTGTAGCACTGACACTCATCTTGGATGGGCGGTTGCAGCGCGGTGGCGCTGCTGGCAATTGCGGCGAGGTGGACGATAGAACCTGCTAAGATGTTGACGCTGCGCAACGCTAAGTACGATGTAAAGAGAATTGCCGAGAAAATCGAAAGAGAGCAAAACAAATCGGCCGCAAATAAAGAGATGGGCCCAAAATGCGAGAGGTCTAGGGAAGGGTAGAGGATGTAAATGACAGCCCGGTAGGTGTTGAAGAATGGGGAGGATTCTCAGGAGGCGGACCCAAACGAGTCTAGAAACATGTAGCGCGGGTGTGCTCGTGTCTGTCAACGGTGCCCAGTGCGCAACCCGAGCTAAGCAACGTGCAACAATAACCAGTAAAATAAGGAACTAAATCGCCCGGGTCTTGTATTTTTCTCTCGCAGGCTGCTCGAAGCACGACACACAAGAGAAACGAAGGGCTAAAGGCGGACGGCCTTTCTCGTCAGTAACGAAAAGGGTCTGAACTGCGGTTGAATCATGACAGTCGACTGGATGTCAACGGTCCAAGGGGTTCAGGGGTGAGGGTGGGTCATAGTGGACCGCGCTTGGCTGGTTACAAATGACCTGCAACAATCCACCCACTTGACGAGAAGCGAGCTTTAAAGCTAATGCAGGCCAGGACAAGGGTGGCGACGGGGTGTTTCAGGCAGGATCGGCAGGTACCAGTGCGGTGCAGTGTCCTACATGATATCAATGCGACACAGACCTCCAAATTCCTGGAACCGCTCTACGTCGGGTATTGAGGCGGCGTGCACGTACCTAGATTCCAGTAGCAGGAGTTTGCTGCCTTTAACCAGCCTCTGCTCTGGAGTGTTGGGGAAGCATTTGAGTACATAAATTAACTATCACCTACCTTGGCAGGCTCCGGGGTTGTAACGGAGTGTATGTACCTCTGTATGTACTTTGCAACGAATGGTGTAATCCTGATTCAGGTATCCGTCCATACGGATATCATATTTCGTATATGCCCACCTAGCACTGGACGTAGAGTTATTGTCAAGGCTTCCAAAACGCACTAATTCAGGACCTTGGGTAAGGTACCTTAACCGATCAATTGGCGCCCGTTTCTGTCAAATGGAACGGGTAGTAGAATAGTGCTTTTACCACAGCGGAATATCATGTTAAAATGCTTTGCAAGACCGGGACAGATGCCCGCCATATTGGCCGCTGGGCCGCTGTTTCTTAATTGTGCCACAATTGGAAGATGGCACAGTCCTGGCTTCAACTCGGTCCCGCCCAGCCACTTGGACCTTGTAAAGACCCGTCAACATTAGATGGCCTAGACACGAGCCGGTGCCCTTCGACCACGAGGTGTTGTACTTATACGGCTCATGGGGTACGTAAATAAGGTAATTAGGTTCTGCTTGAGCTTCTCTTATTATACATAAGTGACAAAGCTTCTCAGATATAATGCTTATCTTACCCCAGCTGTTCGTGGTACTCTAGTCAATACCACTGATGGCCTTGCCTAGAAATGGTGGTGGTAGTACTACCAAGGTTGGGGGTAAGGTTGTTCTCTACTCATTGCTATGTGGAAGGAATTGTGGCCGCACAACTCCCAGTTTCATGCTTGGGTGCGCATGGTCCGTGCGACCACGTGACTCACGCTACCTCCCTCCATGTACGGTCACGATATCGCCATTCGAACAACAGCCTCAAAGCGCTGTCCCAGCTTCCAGAATTTCTGCTAGAGCACAGCCCCCGTCACAGTTACAGAGTATGAGCTTGCAGTACATACAAATATTATATTATCATCGTGTCTAATGATTACCAGCCTTTCCTTCCACTTCACTACTCGATACGTGCAGGTGCCTAGTCCCCTTAAGATGTACTTTAGACCCCAAAAGAACACATTTACTAGATATGTCTTCATTGCGCAGCTAGAACAATAATTAGGCTGTTGCACCAGTACGTATGGCCATGCTTGCGAGCGGGTATAGTCGGCTATGTCCCCTCCTTAGCGAGGCTTCAGGCAACTGCATAAGCCGATGCATAGCTCACGCTCGACTCTGAAACCCTTTGAACCAGGCTGCTCCTCTGATATTGGATGAACTTGAATCTCCCCTTCCCGTCTTCAAGTCCATCTCTGGCAAGCACTTCCAGAGCAGCCATGACAACCCCGATTGGATGCCTCCCACAGACGGTATTCTGGGTGTCTTGAACAGTTTTGTAGAAGTCTCCATGCACGCCCGTTCGAACTGCATCCATGGCCATGTCATCAAGCATCTTGATAACTTCATGAATGGCTGGTACATCTGAAGCATCCACGTGATCCTCTAGAATCGGTTGGACCTTAAGAACCCCTCCACTATCGGGGCTACCAGGGGATCCAGAGGCGTCTGGGTTCCGAATAAGCCCGTTCTTGTACTGCGGTCGGTACCGAAACCGGGAGCCCCAATGACAAAAGTCCGTCGAGACAATAAATACGTTTTCCGTGTCCTTTACGTAAGGGGCCAGGATCTGACCAAACGATTCCTCCTCTTCGGCTGATCCATCCCCAACAAGAATCGGGATTATTGGCGGGTATTCATTGCTGCCAGTGCCGAAGGTTTGCTCAAGCCTCTTCCACAAATACGGAAGGTGCATCTCAAGGGAGTGCTCCTCAACTTCCCGGCGGGCGGGCATGGTGGAGAACCGACCAGTGCGGCTCAGCTCATCCACCGTAGCCCTGTCCACGACCAGGTCCCCGAATGGTGTTTCGTACTTGTGAAAGGTAGAGAGAGCACAGCCGTGGAGGTAGTAGGTGTGAGATGGACCGAGGACAAATACGCGTTTCGCGGCGCTGAGGTCGAGGGACTTGTAGGCCCAGGCAGCACACGGCCCCGAGTACGTATATCCGGCATGCCTTCTCAGGTCATGATAAGAGTACTGTGAGTGGAATGAACAAGCCAGCAAAGATAGACTTACGGAGCAATGATAACTCTCGCACCGCTAACGGGGAGACTGCTCTCGTCCAAGGTATCCGGCACTCGCCCTAGGAACTCGTTAAGTTGCGATGAGAGTTGAACGGGGTCATCCTCGTACCAAGAACCGGCGTGGCTGGCTTCACGTGTTCCCATGCTGTTGCTGTCAAGACAAAACTCCTCGGATTAAGAAATTCAAAGAGAGAAGTATGCTTCAAACTGTTGAAGTGGATGGATAACTACCTTACGTAGATGGTAGAGGGGCCCAAACCTGGGAAGGCGGGGGAGGGGAAACCTTAATACGTACAGTACCAGCTCAACCCCGCATAATTACCAGGCTACTCGTGAAGTTGTCCGGCTCTTATCTGAATCCTTTTGAGCGAAAACCTACCGGAGACATCGAACATTGAATCAGGGACACCTATCTGTCTGTACCTTTGTTGAACAATGGTCTACATCAGCCTCATGGCCAGCCACTAAATCGCAGTATCTAGTCTTCCATCGAAACTCACCCTTGTTACCGCACTTCGTAGTAAGGCCGTTAAAGCTTCCTCCGCCATGCCAACCGCCTTCAGTACCTAGATATCCTATCCGTAAGTGCATGCCAAAGACCATGACCCCCAAACTCAAAGCAGCAAAAAAAAAGTCCCCCATCAAGCTATATCTAACAACATCCAGGACACACGATCCCATCCAAATTAGGACCTTTTCGACAATGAATGCCATTCCTAATAAGTCAAGCACTAGCAAACATGAACTCTTGTTGCCCATCTAGTGCCTCCAAGCCATACTCGCCGCTGAGCACAAGCTAGACAGCGTCGATTCTCCCCCAAGTTACTAATGGAGCAGCTGAAGCAAATAATTTTCCCACAGGCGCCGCAGCTGTGCTCCTCACATCCGTCGACTTCCATGGTAATGCCATCGCCGTTCGCGTGACTGTTGCCTAGCGCAGCTCCGCAGTCCTCGCACCCCTCCGGAATGTTCCGAGGTGCCAGAGGTGAACAAGAAGCCAGCAAAGGGGTGCCGGCGTTTGAAGCGGAAACAGACATGTTCCAGAAGCTGTGCAGCGACCGCTGCTGATGATCGCTTGGGGAGTGTCGTTCCGGCCGAACGGTAGAGCTCGGGGTTTCGGGTTGTGGCCGTAGCTGCGTCTGAACTGAATTTTGTTGCTGCTGGGCCGAGTACAAAAGTTGTAGGGTATGCTCTACAAGCGACAAATATTTAGACGAGAAGCTGAACATACCCCCACCTCAGTGTTGAACTTACGGTGCACTTCCGCATCCGACGGACGGTTGTCGCGAAAGCGCTTCATGGTGCGGCTGGGCAGATGGGAGGGTGCCGAAGGTCGTGGAGAAGTCGCCATTTCGCCAAAATTGAACTTGCTACTGCCAGGCCGAGGCGGCGATGAGAGGGCTGAGCTGAAAGAGAGCTCCGTCTCGGACCTTTTGCGCTTGAGAGTCATTATGACCGTAGAAATAACCTGGGAGGCGTGTCCCAATGTTACAAATATATAGTTGCCACAATATATGGATGATAATGCGCCGTTTGTCGTTTGTTGTATTCTAGATGAAGCAATAACCGAGATTCAGGAAACTGCCTGTGGCGACTATTCCTGAGTCGCCTTGGGTTATCCGTACGGCTGTTTAATATCGGGCGTGCCTCTGAGAGTGGCAAAAGCAGCTACTGTACGGAGTCGGTGACACAATTTTAAGAGGCTGGGGAAGGGAGACGGAGACGGGGTCTTGCGACGCGTGAAGACCGACGAGTGGGCCCCAAAAGGCCAGGGTTAAAGAGAGCGGGACGTACATTCGCGTCAATCGAACCTTGTCAAGTTGGGGTTGCCCTAGGATTCAAAATATCCGATAAGTCCCGTGATTTGGCGGACATCACGCGACATTTGCTAAAACGCGACCGCGAGGACTCGCTCAAGCCCCACCAACTTACACCTCCGTACCGAGTCGATGAACCTCATCACACATGCACATTGGGTGGCCCTCACCTCAAACGGCATTTCAATATGGCCTCTGAGGGACAGCAAGACGGCAACAGTGCCATCGCACCCGAAGGCATTGCGCACGCGTCATTGAAGTACTCCCTGCTGGGTCCCTCGCTTACAAAAGCTGGGCAGGAGTCGGTTGATCAATCCAAGGCATGCTCTTGTCACCGCTACTTCATTAGCAAGTTCCTACCGGCAGCGAATGCTAACTTGACGCTCCCCTTACCCCATCAGGTCTCAGATGTTATCTATAGCGCGTCTAAGGGCTCCAAGTATTTCACCCGCGAGGAGGCCAAGGACAAGGTCCTCACAGCCAAGATTGAGCAAATGCTCGCCAAAAAGAGCGACATCGAGACCCTAGACCTCTCCCATGACCTACGGGCCGCCGATAGCTGCATTTCCCAGCTGGAAATTGAGCGCGACTTAACCCAGCACATCGTGCACATTGACTGCGACGCGTTTTGTAGGCAAACACCCTATTCAAGCAGCTTATCAGCCAGTCCCGTTTACCAATCAGCCACTGATCGAGCTAACCAACTCTCTTGCCAATCAAGATGCGGCCGTAGAGTTGCTTGATCGCCCCGAACTAGAGAACCTTCCCTTTGCTGTAGGGGGCGGTGTCCTCACTACTTGTGTACGTATTTCCCGCTTTATCTCAGGCCCCTCCCTGTATTTGTATTTCAAAGCTTCCTCAAACAGTCTACCCGCTCCCAACGCAAATAAGTTCGAGGGCTTTTCTAGCCTAATGAGTATAGATGACCTAGTGGGGGCCTAACCGTGGAGCGTACTGCTGACACAGTTTCAAAGAATTATGTTGCTCGCCGGTTCGGTTGTCGCAGTGGCATGGCCGGGTTCGTAGCCAAGAAGTTGTGTCCGGAGCTGGTGCTTCTCCCCCTAAATTTTAACAAGTACAACGCAAAGGCCGCTGAGGTGCGCGACATTCTATCCAATTACGATGCTCGGTTTGAGAGCGCGAGTATTGATGAGGCCTTCCTTAACATCACCGAGTACTGCATGAGCCGGGGCACAGACCCTGCCAATGTGGTGGATCAGATGCGCAAGGAGATATATGAGAAGACGCATATTACGGTTTCTGCGGGCATCGCGGCGAATACGAGACTGGCAAAGATTTGCTCGAACATAAACAAGCCCAATGGGCAGTTTGTTCTCCCACGCAACCGAACTACCATCATGGCCTTTATGCATGACCTCCCTTGCCGCAAAGTCAATGGCGTTGGGCGCGTTCTGGAACGAGAATTGGCTTCGGTGGGCATCAAGACGTGTGGAGATATCTACCCGCAACGCCAGTATTTGAACCGTCTATTTGGCGAAAAGACCTCTGAATTCCTCCTCTGCTGCTACCTTGGCCTGGGACGAACGAGCATTCAGCCGGCCGAGGAGTATGACCGCAAAAGTGTCGGCACCGAGAGTACGTTTCGCGATATGGGCGACCCGACCGAGCTGCGCGACAAACTCCGGTCGACGGCAGACGAACTAGAGAAGGATATGCGACGGGCCGAGTGCAAAGGTCGGACACTGTGTCTGAAAGTAAAACTCCACACTTACGAAGTCCTTACGCGCCAAGTCGTGACGCCCAAGGCCGTATACTTGGCCGAGGACCTGTACAGATATTCATTACCCATGCTGGTAAGGCTAGAGCAGGAGTTTCCCTGTTTGAAGCTACGTCTAATGGGATTAAGATGCACTCATCTTGTCAGTGCCAAGAAGCCAGATACGCGAGCTTTCTTTGGGCTGAAGCCGGAGAAACAAGACAGGCCGAGGATTCAACGAACGGGGACGGAGGAAGAATGGGAGCAATGGCCTGAAAACTATCTGGACATCTATTCCGGGGTTGGAAGGGAGCGCACCACAGACTCCAGGAGGCAGAGCTCGGATGATGACGACTCCTTTCACAGGCGCGGCAATGAAACCCCGCCAGACCCAGAGAAGAACAGACCTGCTTCCGCTGAAGAATGGTGGGACTGTCCGATATGTGCCCGGCCACAGCCTGCTGATGAGAGGATATTCAACGAGCATATCGATCTATGTCTCTCGCGCCGTGTTATCAGGGACACCGTCCAGCAGGACGCTGTGGCGCAGCCACCAAATAGCAGAGGCGCAACACCCGAGTCGAAGAAACCCAAGGAAAAGAAGAGGGGGAGGCAGTCCACAATGGTGGATCCAAAGCAAAAAAGGCTTTGTTTTGGGTAGTGTACTCGTTTCTGTATAGCAGGACCAGTCTCAGACACGGGCCCAATGAGGCATGTCCGCTTGATGATTGACGAACAATGCGATATTGCTACTTGGTTTAATGCTCTCTCTCTCGTCTTCTTCTTGGCCTTGCTCTATTCAGCTCCTGTTTGGCGTTTGATGCCTCTAGCAACATGATGCTTCTAGCAACACTGGGCTTTGGGGAGTGTCTCTGGTTTGCTTCTGTCGTCTGCCGATGAATTATCCAGACCCTCTAGGCCTCAAGGCTAACCCGACGATTCGTAAGGCTCCTCCGGATACGATGATCTTCTTCTTCTTCCCGGTGCAATACCTCGCCAGGTAGACGTACTGCTCGGTCGAGCGCGACAGGAAGCCCACGGTGGCGACCGCGCAGCATGACTGCACATAGCACCAGCTTCGAGGCTATCCGCCATGCGCCGCTGAAGCTGAACGAGTCTCGAGGGGCACCTACGCTGATACCGACGCAACCATAGGCCGAGACGATCTCAAATATCACGTTGAAGACGCTGAAGTTGACGGGGTCGGCAAGAAAATTGGCCGTTTCTATGGTCACAATGACAAGCGTTGCTAGAACTAGCCACCATATGTCGTGTGCCAGCTGGCCATGGATTTGCCTAGTTCGGGCTTTAGTGGCAATATCAAAATCCATGTGGTATGAAAGGACATGACGAACTGACTGATGAAGCTAATGCGCGACTCAGGCCGCTGTGAGGGCGGCTGGACGCCAACGCCCTGCCATGTAAAAGAACGATGCAGAGCGCGACCAATCGTGGCTGCCGGGCTGCTGTGGCCCAGCCAGGGTGTGTGTGTGGATGCCAGTGGGTGGTCTGGCTGGGAACCCCTTTCGGGATCTGCCTCGGCGGCCCCGTCTTCAGCGTAGATACCAAGCGATCGTTCTTCGTAGACATTGGAGTGACGCATCGTGATTACCACGGGGTAAACAGATATATACATCATTATCACGTAGAGAACTTGAAGGCCGATATAGAGAGACGGGATGGCAACAACATAGAAGCCACCCGACCGCACAGCTGTAGAGTAATCAGTATTGTGCCAGTTTTGTATGGCGGTAGTTATCATTGTACAAGGGTCATACCGACTGCCTGAAAGAGTCCGTCGAGCGCGCGTGATCCAGGAGGGATACTCTCAATGGCAGGGTTACCAAGGTTGAGGAGCTCGAAGGCGACCCAGTCAATACTGTTGAGCAGAACGAGCATAAAGAGCAGCCACCAAGTGAGGCGGGCTGGAAAGAGATTGGTATAAACCCGTCGAGGATATGCAATGATGAACCTAAGAGTATCCTTGAGCTCGCGAAATTCGTTTGTCCCAGTGGTCCAGGTCAGAAGCTTGAGAAGGGACCATATAATGAGCCTCAGAAAGATAGGATACGCTGTGTTTCCCGCCAGAATCATCAATCCCATGGTCACCAGGACAAACTTGGAATTCTGGAATGGGATGATGTTGGCATCCAGCAAAGACATTCCCGAGTTGTTGAATGCAGAGGCCCCGTTGAAGACACCTAACCACCAAGGGTTGATGCCGTTTCCGAGTGGCGGTCCCGGTTGGTGGTTATTGATCCTGCGCAATGGTGTTAGCTTCTTCGCCAGGCCGAGGATTTTGATGCTGTCAGTAGAGCAGAGGCGGATTCCCCTGGAGGCAGTGTTCGAATATCGATAGTCGCATGCCTCGAGCGGCTACGTACCAAGCGCCCAACGCAATACAGCCCAAAATCTGGAATAGGAAGAAATACAGTGGTACAATAACAGAGAGGACTTTGAGGGCACGGTATTCGCAGCCGCCGAGGTGTTCACGCTCTTCGCGAGATAAGCCGTGAAACTGCGCGTTTCTCCCTGCTGTATGATACGAGAGGAAGTGTCGCATACTGAATTCGCCCTTCTTGCTCGCTGGGTCCCCACCATGCGCAGTGCCGTTCCTGCGCGAGAGACGGCCCCCCGGGCGATGGTGCCGAGTTGACGACGATGCTGCATTGGAATGAGCCGCCGTGTTTGGGTGCGGGCTATCTACAAAGGCGATATGGACGGGGTCAATAGATACTTGGAGGGAGGAAGTGGCAGCGGCAGCAGCAGCATCGATGTTGGCCGAAGTGGCCATTGCTGGCTCGATTCGGTCCACGTCGGACGGAGCAGCGGGCCGGGAACGAGGGTGGGCGTCCTCGGGGGTCGTCCGACCGCCACTGCCGGATACAGATACTGGTCTCCCGGTAGCTGTGGCCGCAAGTACGGAGTCTCCTCGAAACCAGACAAACAGGCGCCGAAGACTCGGGCTGCTTGTACTGCCGGGACGGCTCGCCCGCCGCATGCGCTCGGCGTGGACCACGTCGTAGAAGCGCGTTTCGAACACATGCTTGCGAGCCAAGATGGTCCAGATTGAAACCCAGATGGAGCTTCCGAATATTATGAGTAGAAACAGCAAGGTCTGCTGCCACGTCGTCATTTGGCTCAGATTGACCGTGTTCAGGCCGGCCTCAGTCATGGCGCTGACGACAAGGAAAAGACTATCGGTATAGCTGATGCTCCAGCTCGGGTCCGATGACAGCCAGAAAATGAGTGAGGCAACGAGGCAAACGCTGACAAAGTAGCCATAGTGCAGGGTGATGAAATTCAGGGGCGGGAGGTAGGAGCACCCCTGGTGCTTATTCGCGACGTGATCCCACCACGACAATCCGGACGCGGTCAGCGAGGGCCTCATTGCGGCGGCGGCGGCGGCGGCTGGAGAGGGGCCAACGAGCTTCGTCGCAAGGCACAATCCGAGTCTTGGAGTTCCGCAGCCCTATCCAAGACAAGATTCAGAAAGAGGTGTAGTATCCGTAATGAATGCCAGTGCTGGACGACGCTATTGGGTTAGCACGTGCGCTAGCTCCGGCATTCAGCCTCAATAGATCTTTGAAAGCCCGAGTCGGCCGACATCCAAACTTCAAGTTAGGTTGTCTGTTAAACTAAGGTACCATTCCTTAGGTAGGTAAGAGGTAATATGTAAAGTAGGTAGGTAGGTAGTAGGAAGGTACAGCACCTTGCATAAGTATGTTAGGTAGGCACTGCCATGGGCACACCCCGAAATTGACAGGGACGAAATCCGGATACCCTGTTGCGAGCCCCGCCAGCCTTTTATCCCACGGCGAGCAAACAGATTCGACGATGATTACCTATCCGCACCGACTCGACGCACCTTGGCAGTTCTTGTGGACAAACTGATGTATCAATAAGCAGGCACCTACCTTCCTATTCGTACCGTATACCTAGTATCACAGTGCCTATCTTGAAAAGTCCGTATTGGGTTGACTTGACTAGGCGTTGGGAGTAGGATTATATACATGTACGGATATGTATGCGGATTACCTCGCATTGGAAGAGAGCACCCAGACCGTTCAGATCCAAGTAGTTTCCTTTACCTGAGCGCGATTCGCATCTCGTATTCCTGACTGCCGCCCCGAATGCCCCGGCGTTTACCTAGCCCGACTACAAGCAACCCATCTAGAGCTCATTGTGCTCTTGGGTATCGTCGGTGTCGGCAACCACAGTCTTCACCGCCTCGGCAGCACCGCTCACAGCGCTGGCCACCTTCTCGGCCAGCCTTGCGCTCGTCTCCTCGGCTTTCTCGTTGACAGCGACCTTGGTGACGATGGACTCGGGCTTCGCCACACCGTCAATTCCTACTAGCTCAGTCTCAAAAACTTTTCGACAGCTTGTTAGCAAATGGGCAACGAAATCTTGGCAAGGGACATACTCAAGGTAGACCCGGCAGGGATAGGCCCCATTGATCTCTGGCCGTATCCGTAACTGGGCGGGACAGTCAAGGTCCTCTTTTCGCCAATACACATATCAAGAAGTCCTTCATCCCATCCTTTGATAACCTGGCCACCGCCGAGCTTGAAACTGAATGGTGACCCGCGATCGTAGCCTGGAGTGGGGAAAAGCAGCATGTTAGCTTCTATCAACCAAAGCATCAAAGGGTCTCAGTCTAGGCACTGACTAGCATCGAATTTCTCGCCGTTGGACTGCAGTGTGCCCCGGTAGTGGACATTGATCTTGTCTCCCTTCTTAGTCTTCCGGTCGCACTCGACCGGAAGCGTGACATCAACCCCGAGAGTCTCGGCAGCCAAGACGCCGACAGCCGCCGAGGCGAGTAAGGACAACGACATGAGAATGCGCTGCATCGTGAAACACGCCTGCTAGAATCGTAGTAATTAGATTTATGTGGGCGCAGATACGTGAATTAGGTGCTTGAGGTTTGATCCTATATTGGATTGAAGGAGTGTAGTTGTTTTGTGTTCGGCGCCGTCAAAGGAGACGTGTCGCAGGCCCAGACAGGACAGATTTGCGGAAGCAAGCTGTTTCCAACAGAGCAGTGGCCAGTTAGAGCCTTGTTCCTGGCCTCGCTGACGAAATTACCCCACATCTCCAAGGTGAGAGGGGTGACGTGATAGTTTCAGTTCCTGGGCAATGTACCGTACTAGAGGTACCTACGGTACCTAACCTAGTATTCGTACGGCCCTCCTTGGAAAACGAAAAGTACATCTAGGTTCCTCTTACCTACCTAGGCACCCAAGTAGGTACCTAGGTACTACTTACTAGTATTTTGGGTAAGAAACAATTGATGGAAGCGCACGAATTCGCGAAAAGGGATGACTCGAATTCGTAGATCATGTACTACAGTACTAGTACTTCTTGATAAATACGGTAATACATGGTAATTCAAACTCTCCTATAATATCGTTGATATCTACAACTTTCTACTACACCTAGCGTTGCTTGGTTGCCTTAGATATCCGTAGTAGCTTGGATTTACAGGGCTTCTTAGAAGTTGAACAACGACCTCGTTTTCGTGTTGGTTCGAATGTCACCGGTAGCCTTGGGTTGAGCACAAGCTTCAGAGGTCATTCGCCGGCGTAGTTACCACCTCCCTGCCTAAGGTAGGTACGGGTTGGGCAAACTGCGGAGGCAGAGAACGCTCGGTAAAAACGGTGTGTCAACGGCGATTGGCGAGCGCCAGTTGCCCGATATCTCAGGTGCACCTTGCCTTAGGTCTGGTCGGCCGTGGTCTTTGACCCGGAACTTAGGTAAGGAGTCGAGGCAACCGTGATTGGTTCAGATGGTCGCAAACGACAAACTCACCGAGGAATTCCATATCTACGCCTCATTACAATGCCTCAGTTCGCCCTACCTATTCCACTTTTCCACACTCGAACCTCTTGGGGATTGTGGCACCCATCACTCATTGGGCTCAGGCTTCTAGGCTTTGGTGAGTCACGCGAGCCGTCAGGCGAGACAATCAGGCTCGAGATGCACGCCCTTAGGGAAGGCAGCAGCTGCACCCTAGGTCGCTCGACAATTGTAATTTTTAGGCAGAACCTTCAACCCCAGAGCCTTTTGAACGGCCTCGTCGCGGTAGCCCAGGCATCACACAGGGTCGCATCGTGTTAGGCAGTTAGGGCCGCACGATCCTGGCGTGCCTGGACACCGATAGATCCGTATGTGGTGGCATTGGGAGGCTGGAGTCGTTGAGGGCGGCTTGGCGTTCTTAACACACCGGTGACCGAGTCGCCCATTTTCGTGTACAACCGTAGCCCTGAAATGGCAGTTTCCAGCCCATAACTGATCGTAGCTCTGCCACGGTCATCATATGTTGCCATTGTCTACCTACAAACCTACCCACCTTGCCTTACCTAGTTGGCACCAGTTTGTCCCTCACTGGCTTCGCTGCCTGAGAGCAGGGCCCCTCCCGTCCCCCGCGCTGAGGTTCCGAATTCCAATTCACGGCCCCAGCCCCGCGACTGAGGTTTATTAACTCGGCGGCGGCGCGTTTGCACGCCCCGTGCCTCCTTTTGTTGATACAAGAGGTTCATTCCCCTGGCCATTGACTCATCTCGGTCGCTCCACTTTGTGTGTTCCTGTTCAGACAAGGGCGGGCGGCAATGGCTCCAGGACTTGCCTTGCGGTCTGCCTGGGGAACCTCACCGAGCATTGCCCGTAGTCAGTGCAAGGCGCGGCTTATCACAGATGTCACGAACCGCTTCAAACATTTGACTATCTTATGTTGCTTCCAGGTAGCTAGGTTGAGCGATAGCTTGTGCCTACTATTAATATCCCCCATGTCTCTCCTCCTCTCTGCCACGAGACCACATTCTCCTCGTTGTCTACCAATTACTTGATATTACTTGCCGTCTATTGAGCTATCCTTAAGCCAGGCCAAGGTGCCAATCGCGGGGGGAGTTCAGTTTGCATATTTCTCGTCGTCTGCTTCTCTATCCGCTATCACAAGGCGATGTCCTCGCAATCCGGAAACAACGTCGTTATCTTTCATGACAACACTCGATCACGATCGGCATATTCGACTGCCTCTTCTGCCAGTCGGTCTTCGGGCTATTCGAACTATTCATCTTCTTCGTCGTATTCCTCGTCGGCCAGCTCAATGAATTCCTCAAGCGGCCATTCCTCCCGGTCTAGCACCCACAATGAACGCTATCGTGCCGGCTCTTCTTGTAGGTCTTTAGTCTCCGCCCACCTGGTTGAATTGCTCCTGATACTAACGGACTTGTATAGCTGGGTATTACGCCAACATCAGGGAGGGCAAGGACAGGAAAGGAAACGAGGTCGTTATCATTAACCATCACCGTTCAAGCACGGCCAAAGATGAGCCGCGGTCCTCTGACCACACGTATTCCACCGATGCGCGTTACAAAAACAGCAGTCGCTAGCAGGTCTTCGTAGAGAAGCCGCTGATCTTTTCTTTTCCGTTGCATGGGTTGGCGTCTAGTCTGTTTAAGCTTTTTTCTTTTCTGGAAGTACTACGAGTACGGGCAACTAGTATGTATCACTAACATCTTTTTTTTACATCGCACCGAACTGGGGCGGATATCCCGGGGAGTTTAGAAATTGGGCTCGCTAGCAGGCCTTATGTACTGATGTTACCAACTTGGATTTTACATTACACTTAGAAAGGGCCAAGAATAATAGATGAATTAACGATTCAAGGTACCTCGTTTCTATCTAGCCTTTATCAGTTTGATTCGAACTCGGGGGGTAGTGAAAATGTAGCTTGTAGGACCTTCGGTCCGGCGTCAAGCACTTGGCCCCCCTCTCGCCCAAAGCATATATACAACATTCAATATTGGATTTTACACCTCAGAGGGTCATTGGCGGTGACGGCCTTGAAAGCCTCATGGCGCAACGCCCTGCAACGGTTGCTGGAAATTTGACAGGGCATTTGTAATTCAGGTCGAAAAGGGGTCGCCACCCAACTTACCGAGTCTACAAAAGCCCCTTAGCAAAATTTGAGGCGCAGTAGTCTTCGCCTCGGCTAATCAAAAGGACCGGCAGAATTAATACGGTCTTACGACCTAAGTGGTGATTTTAGTACGCAGGTATTTAACAGGTGAAATAATAGTGGTCTCACAATAACACTGTCATGGTACCGTGGAGAGCTATTGGCGGCTCTTCTTGCCTCTACGTCAGAACTGTAGATGACTTAACCTGACCTACAATATAATGAACCATACGTATTAAAAGGCAAGCATGGCACTCGAACTTCTGTCCGTTGCTATAATGGCTAGGACATCATACCAACCAGTCCCCGGCTCAACCGACATGGAACTTAGATGGAAGTGACTACTACCTTACTGCATTCTCCCTACTGTCCCGTCTCCACCCTGCCTGTCTGGCTTCAGGAGAGGTTTCCGTGAAATCCGAATATCCCCAGAATAAACAAAAAAAACACGGGTCATCAAACATAAGACGTGCTCAAACTTCTTTACTCCTTGCGCCCTAGTTCCCGCATAGTCACCCCCGAGGTTTGGCTACCCCACTAATTAAGCGCCCCCCTCACGTTTAGCAAATTCCTCCTCGATCGCCTCTTCGTACTTTTCTTCAGGCGAACGAGGGTCCTCGCGGAGAAGACCGTCTTTAATCAAGGCCTCTGGCGCAGGCCGGTGGGAAATCTTCTCGTTCAACGAATCTGCCCGCATGTTTTTCTCAAGCTGTCGTGACACGATAAAACCAGTCAGCCTGTACTGCGACACGACGTCATATGCTGCCGAGCGGATGCGATGCAGCGCCTTACCTCCTTCTGCTGTGCCTGAAGACCTGGTGCGGCCATCGACGCAGGGAGGATGTTCTCTGGGGAGTTTGTTAGCGCTGTTCCCCAGCCCTTTATGTAAAGTACCATGCGAGAATCTCCACGTTGGCACGTGGATAACATAAACGGCAGCAAACGGACTTTCCACAAGCTCCTGCCTATCGGGTCGATGCATCAGATGGTTCTCAAGTGAATTCTTGCGAGCCGGGTCCGGTTGATTGGGTGAAATTGGCGTCTCGTCAATAGGGACGTTGCCACTAGCAATGTCCTTTTCAGCCATGATTATAGTTGATAGTAACGGTATGTGACAATGTGCTTTGAGGGTATGCCGTTGTGTTGTAGGTATCTAGGGGCGTTGTGACCAACTGCGAGATGGGTGATTTACTGTCTGCCGGTATTCTAATAGAGTTGGCGGGAAGCTCGAGAAGTTGGTCTCGTCTTTATGTGACAGAACAAGACCCAGCCCAGATGTAGTGAACCAGACCACGAGCACCTGACCCTCGCCGTCTTGTCGACCAGCCGCGTGGGGCAATCGACATCCAATTGGGCCAGCCCACCTGCAAGCGAGCAATGACAGAAAGCAACCGGGGTTGTGGCTGCGGCACCAAGACGGAAGCCCCATCCCGGGAATAGTGACGCATGTCTGACAGGCAATATAGGTACATAGTAAGGTACCGACCTCCTTAGGTACTAGGTAGTTTAGGTAGTTCTACAAATGTAGTTCTCTTGGCCTTTCTAAAAATTTGTTGAAAGAGAGACCTTTTTTAACATACGTGTACTATACCTAAGGTAATTGTTACTACTACCTAGGCACGTATCACAAAATATTGTTTGTGAACAGGTAGGTGCGGTTGGTCCGATAGTACGTTTTGTGCTGAGTACGTCCCCGTATTCGGTCCATAGTATTCAGTGCTCCGTAGGTAATAAAGCCATTCCTTCCTCCCCCACCACTGCCCCGCGACTTCTGTCCCTCGACGGGCTTGGCAGAGGACATCCTAAACCCCCAACTAGGCACTCATCAACGTCCAGCGTCACAGATGCAGTGCACATACGCTACCTCCTAGGGCCGTATCGCGTGTCAAGCGGAATTATATCTCACCACGGCAAGGAGGTGGCTTGGCCCTAGCAAACCACGACACTCTATTTTGTTCTTTCTCGATTGCCATGTCGCTAGCATGGGCCAAACTCAGTCAGACGAGGGGAGGGCGCCCCCCTCACACGAGAAGTTGACCAAAGAATTGGTAAAAGCCTACTTGTAGAGGTTTCGGAATCTTAAGCCTTTTCCTCCGATACTAACATTTTCGCGCATATAGGCAAACAGGTTCGCCGAAAAATGCTTCACGTCCCTTGAACTGATTTCCTTTAAGGACGTGTTCCGGAGCCTCGCCGACCACGAACAGAATGTCCGTTACCTCAAGGAAGACACAATTGCGCGATTCCTTGAGGTACCAGATGGGGTCGGTGCTTCTGCGGTTATCTTCCAAATGATGTCATACGTCGGCGCATTTCCATTTTTACAGGATGCACCCGCAGTGTTGGGACTTGAGCAAATGGTCATGGTTATCACCATCATGACAGAAAGATACCGAATAGTTTTGGGAAAAGGCGCAGCCGACCGGAGGAAGCTCTTATTCCGGAGCTTGGCCGTGTACGATCGCAATCTTTCCGAGGTGCCTTCCGACAAGGGAGTGGCTCGCGCTGCTGGGGACTACGTGGTAGAAGACGATGGGGTTGGTAAACGAGAAATGGGAGTTGCCATTGATGAAGTAATAGACGGGGATGAAGACAAAATGGACGAATGTGAAGTGGACGGGCTGGTTCTCGCTGCCTTCGAATCCTTGGAGTACACCGGAGCCCTTGAACACAAAGCTGGCACAACCCCGGTCCTCCGCGACGCCGTGATTCCGGCAGATAATTTTCGGAGGCTACTGCTCCTCCTTCTATTCGTCGCGCCGCTGGGGGCGCAGGATAGTCTATCGGCTTACAGCGATCATGTTTCTGGCGCCGAACTGGGGAACCTGAAAAGAGTCGCTGACTGCGTACTACGGGCATTCATTGATGTAGAGCGGTCGCCGGGAATCAAGTTCCGCCGCTTTAACACAATCATTCGCGCCTTGATGCCATCCATCTTCGATGGGCTCACACCTCTGGTTGAGCATTTTCTGTTCTCGAAGAATCTCGACTTTCACAGGCACAAGGATGGCCCTGTTGCACCCCCGAAAACGAGCCAGCCTGTGTTGCAGGATACCGGGACTATCATGAATTCAGCTGTTTTATCCCAACTCTCCTTTTTTCTCCCTGGCTCCTCGCTATTCCGCAGAACCCGCCTTCTATACTCTGGTGGTGACGACGGCTTCAGCATGGGTAGCTTTGAGAGCAAGGTCTTCAACTGGAGGGCCCCAACGCTTCTCCTTGTAAGCGGAACTCGTTTACCCGACGAACCCGGCTATAAAAGCACCGGGGCAGAATATTCTTTTCTCACCACGCTCCCTTCCAAGCGCTTTTCTCGAGGCAGTGCAGACAAGGAGGGAAGGTTAACATTCGGCCTCTATGTCAGCCAGCCTTGGAAGCATACCCACCGAGAGTGCTTTGGCGGAGAAGACACTTATTTGTTCCAGCTCGAACCTTTTCACGATGTCTTCCCCTCGTCAGCTTCGAATAAAGATTACGTTTCCTTCACGAAGCCATCTGCAGCAACGAGTCACGCAGGAATATCTGTGGGCTGCTCGCCGCCTCAGGGAAGCCAGGCATACCGGCGATCGAACGTCGTTACACTGGGAGCTGTGTCCTTGGTTCTGGACGGCAGCTTTGAGTTTGGCTGCTTCACGAACAACTATACGTCGGGAGGCGGCGCGTTTCACACTAGCGTGGCTAGGAATTTCGATTTCCAAGACCGCTTCGAGGTCACAAATCTTGAAGTATGGGGTTGTGGCGGTGACAAAGAGGCCAAGCACCAAGCAGAACACTGGGAATGGGAAGCAAGGGAAGCCGAGGCAAGGAGGAGGATCAACCTTGGCACTGGGGATATTGAAGCAGATCGCGCGTTGTTAGAGATGGCCGGATTAATTGGGACGAATCGAAGCGGCGGTAGCATGGGATAACTTACAAGACACGTGAATTACAGAGCAACGTTAAGAGCCTCGCAAGAAGTACATGATGCGTCTGCGTTCATAAATATAACAAGCAGTTAACGAATTGGCTAGACTATGCTGAGCCATGGCTGTGGTGTCGTGGCAGTCAAGTTCTCCAGGACTTCCAAACGAAACTCAAATAGACTACTGTTACCTATTCCCATTCTGTAAGTTTATACATTTAAAATATCACCCAGTGATTCTTCCCTCGAGGTCCAGGAAATGTCTTTCTCACCTTTCCGAAGGACCCGGATCACGTTTCGGTCCCTCTACGCTATCTTCCTTATCTCCCGGTGTCTTCTTGAGGACGCCGAACCAGCCATTCAGCGAGAGAGGGCCTGTACTCCCGATCTTATCCCCACTTGCTGTTGTAGCTGGGTTATCATATTCTTGAGTGGTATCCTTAGGCTCCTTGCTATCTTGTAGCAAAGCCTTTGCTTGTGCGACAATACCCTCTGAGCTTGACTCAGTACTTGAGCGCTCTGATGCCCTCTGTCTTCGTCGTTCAAGCTTCTCCCTCAGCGCCCTGTCCTCCTCATCGCGAGCCTCAAGTTCTTTGATCCATTTTTTGCGTTTGTCTTCGGATTCTTGCAAGTGCTGCTGCTTCCGGAACTCCTTCTTCCTTTCTCGATCCTCGGAGTAGTAGATGCCGCCGGCAACGATGGCGACAATTGTGAACCCTTGGGCGGCGATACGAGCTCGGAACATGCGCTGTACTTGATGGTGATCGCCGCGACGCGATGCGCGGTAGGCCCCGGTGAAGGCGGCAACGGTGAGCAGGCACCCAATCGGGATTAGAGGCTCTCGCTTGAGTTTTTTGATGACTTGTTGAAGTCCGGACTCCTTGTAGAATTGCCTGTGGGAGTCCGACATGAGTAGATGAGCCGGCGATAGGAAGTACACGACAGCAGTCAGTTGAAGACTTACTCGTCATCGTCAAAGGACGAGGGCATAGACCGGTTCGACATGATTGGCAAGTCCTAGGGAATTCATCCACAAGGGTTGAGTTGGGTCGGGGCGAGGTGGAAAGTAAAGTCCCGGCTCCCCGAATTTATGTTTCGCGGGTCGGCTGATGGATTGGGGATTTCGATCATGACGTGCCCAGTGGATTTTGCGACGGAGGGAAAGTAGTTCCCAGGAACGCGCACGGGCCTGGAACCTCATTCACGTCACGATTTGTAATTGATTTAAAAAGGTCTATACGGACATACTGTAAGGATATATAGTGATAACAAGTTTCTAATACCATTTATTAATTGAGAAAGTACTTAGTCCCACCTAGTTACTCGAAAGAGGGTGGAAGTATACTCTATACCGTCTAGTGTAAATACCCAAGGTAACCTGTAACGAGGCACCCAAGGTCTAGGTACGGAATACTGTTTCCGCGAATAAGGTACCTTAGGTACGTACCTATCCGTACCTAGTTGATACCCCCACCTTTCTGGAACTCCTCCATACTCCGGGTACGGAGTAGGTACCTAGTATTTCAGTCCATCTCAAGTAGGTACTTTAAGCCATTGACACTTCCTCACCGACCGTCCTGTTTCTGCTAATATGGCTTCCTTGGAGACCACTGAGTCGCGCCCGCTTCATGGACTGGGAGCTGGCGCGACAAACGGCGTCAATTGCAGCGCAAATGGCACCTCACGGCCACCGCAGCCGCCGCAACGAACCCCGTCATTGAGCAGCTTCTCCCTGACTGAATACAGCGCGAAGCCCTCGCCGCCATCGGAGAACAGGAAAGCGAAGATGCACAATATCGTGCCCGAAGAGTTTCTCCTTCCGAATGGTAACCCTGATGTGAGTTCCAACTTGATTCGACGCCTCCTTGAGCACCCTTCAGCGCTCTTCATCTTTTTTGTATCGCTCGGCTCTTGGCCAGGTCTTCCCGTTGCAGTTGTCAAATGCTAGTGAGCCGGATAAAGACTAAATTAAACCAATAGTACCTTCGTCTCATTATCACGTCCTATCCTCGTGTCAGGGAAGTTTGTGATGAGATACCGCTCGTCCATGCCGTCAATATGAGCAACCGTCTTGAGTGCAAGGTTCTTCTCAAGCGCGAAGATGAGCAGCCCGTCTTCAGCTTCAAGCTACGTGGTGCTCACAACAAAATGGCCCATCTGGATCCTGCCGAGTCGTGGAGAGGTGTCGTATGCTGCAGCGCTGGAAACCATGCACAAGGAGTCGCCTACTCGGCCCGCAAACTAAAGATCCCGGCTACTATTGTCATGCCCAAGGGCACTCCGAGCATCAAGCACCTCAATGTCTCCCGCATGGGAGGTCATGTTGTCCTTCACGGAGCCGACTTTGACGAAGCCAAAGAAGAGTGCGCTCGGAGAGAGAAGCAAGACGGCCTCATAAACATCCCGCCATTTGACGATCCGTATGTCATCGCCGGCCAGGGAACCATCGGCATGGAGATTTTATCTCAGACAAATTTGCAGAAACTTCAGGCAATCTTCTGTTGTGTTGGCGGTGGTGGTTTGATTGCCGGTGTTGGCGTCTATGTTAAGCGCATCGCACCTCATGTGAAGATCATTGGTGTTGAGACATATGACGCAGACGCCATGACACAGTCCTTGGCCAAGGGCGAGCGCGTGCTCTTGAAAGATGTTGGACTCTTCGCCGATGGTGCTGCGGTTAAGACCGTTGGCGAGGAAACTTTCCGCATCTGTCAGGAGGTGGTGGATGAGATGGTCCGCGTTAGTACAGACGAAGCTTGCGCAGCAATCAAAGACGTGTTCGAGGACACGCGGTCCATTGTTGAGCCGGCCGGCGCCCTGGCCGTCGCTGGCCTAAAGAAATGGGTTGCCGCCAATCCATTCCGTGATCCATCGAGATCACTGGTCGCCATCACATCCGGCGCAAACATGAACTTTGAACGGCTGGGATTCGTTGCCGCTCGAGCTACATATGGTGAAGGGAGGGAGGCTCTCCTGGCAGCCAAAATTCCCGAGAGGCCCGGGGCTTTTGCTGAGTTGGTCAACGCCATTATGCCCCATGCTGTTACGGAGTTTAGCTACCGGTACGCTTCGGAAGATGAAGCTAATGTCCTAGTTGGCATATCTTTGACGGCTCCAGGCAGTGGACGAGCCCAGGAACTGCAGTCCATTATCAACCGCATTAAAGAATGCGGCAACATGGGCGTCTCTGATCTCTCTGGGGATGAGCTTGCGAAGAGTCATATTCGCCACATGGTTGGTGGGCGATCCAATGTCCCAGACGAGAGGCTATATACGTTCAGGTTCCCGGAGCGGCCAGGTGCTCTTGAACGGTTCTTACGGACGTTGCGGCCTAAATACAACATCAGCCTCTTTCAGTATAGGAATTACGGCGGGGATATTGGTCAGGTATTGACAGGCATTTTATGCCCAGACGAAGAGGTCGCTGAGCTACAGCAATTTTTGAAGGAAATTGGATATCCGTGGGAGGATTGTACTAGTTCTGAAGTTTTCCAAACATTTCTCCGATCACATTAAAGGTTACAATCGTTTTTTTTTCTCATTACGCGTTATTACAAACCACTCGACTGTTAGGGTCGTCTGTCTGTAAGGGAGCACGGGCTCCACAGAATGCTGGGGTTGGTAATTATGAAGATAGAACAAAGGGCAAGCTCCTATCGCACGGGTAATACAGTCAAATAGGAATGCCACTCAAAGTGTATGAGTGCAGTGAATGTGTATTGCTTGCTTGAAGAACCAAGCAAGAACTATCCAAGACCGGTGCCACAGTCGTCGTATATATCTATCTATGGCTGGCCAATGAGGGCAGGCCCGAAGGTGATGTTTCCCCAGTTCGGGCCAGGCCCGAACTGCTCCCCGTATGCCATCGGGCCCGCTAGCGTCTAGTGGCCTGAGGCCCCACCACCCCGCTCCCGATCCCGGTGCCCCACTAGGGCGCGCTGCGCCCAGTGCCAGGGGAGTTCGTGACATGCGTATATAGCCCGTGGGGCTATAACGCGGCCTATTTAGCTTTAGACAGCTATTTAGAAAGTTATAAGAAAAGACTAGTCTATAGGGTATTTTTTTTCTTCATTGCATGCATGCAGCCTCTGGGGCTACGGCGTGGCCAGTTAAAAACTGGCAGTCTATCTACTGTCACGGCCGGCTTGGAATGAGGGCGGAACTCCTCTATTGGGCGCTATAGACGAAGATTCTAAACTAAAGGGAAAAGGGAAAAGAAGCTCAAAAGCCTCCCGTCGCGAGATTCTTCCAGGGCGTCTCAAGGTGGGGCTCTGGCTGGTCGGGTGGATCCACCCAACTGGCGTCTGACTAGCCAGAGCGTCTGGGAGGCCTGGAGGACCAGGCCCTCACATCTACCTAGTATACTAGTAGGAAATAGAGAGAGCAAGGGCTAAGTACATCGTTAGGCGCGTGGCCTTATTAACGTAATAGTTTCATAGTACTGGGGTTCCTTTGGCTAGACTTATACTGTACCACCTTCGGGCCTGAGTAATAAGGAAAGTGTAATGTTATATGTTACGAATCCTTGTCAAAATGCGCAATAGTGGGGCACGCTCAGTTTGGTATGGACCAATCAGGAGCGTCCCATGGAAGGAACCAATTAGGAGTGTCCCTGGGTCACGAGGTTCGAGACTACTTAAGGTCGGGGACGCGGGACAGCGTCCCGCGCGCCCGGCGTCCCGAGACCGCAAGTCTCGGGACCACGGGCTAGTGGAACCATTGTTATTGGTTACACAGTTAGATATATACGATGACCGTACCCACGGTTCTAGATAGCTCGTGCTTGATCTCTCAAGCAAGCAACACACATTCACTACACTCATACACTTTGAGTGGCATTCCAATTTGACTGTATTACCCGTGCAATAGGAGATTGCCCTTTGTTCTATCATCATAATTACCAACCCCAGCATCCTGTGGAGCCCGTGCTCCCTTACAGACAGACGACTCTAACAGTCGAGTGGTTTGAAATATTATACCAATAGGACCAACCAACTTGTAAGAGAAAGCAGGTACGCCTGATCAAGGTGGTCACAATGGAGGGAACAAGAGGGCGAGCAATGACTGGCATTGGTAAAAGACTTCAACCTGGCCCTCGCAAAGGAAGGTGGGCGAGGGCCACTATTTATATACATAGTTGGGTGGCTCAATCTGGTGGGTGCCTGGGCCGGGTGTTTGGGGCCAGCTGGTCGCCTGGGCCGGGCCAGCTGTTTGGGGCCAGCTGGTGGCGCCTGGGCCGGACCGGGCGTTTGGGGTGCTCTTTCCTTACATTAGATCATCAAGGTTTTGATCTTTCAGTAATCTTAAGCCTTGGGATTGCCTGGTTTGCAGCTTCTGTGATTACTGTACTAAGTATATCAGCTATACTGTTCCAATCCCTCTGTTGTATAGCAGTCTGGACTGCTTTTGCGGCATCTTTTTCATTGGTTTTCAACTTTATAGTAAATATATCCCAATTAGCCTTTTTGTAGGAGAGCGTCTTCTGGCACCGTCAATTTCGTTCCTTGCACCGTAATCCACCATACATAACCCTAAACCTGCCCACCCCTCCCGCCCACCAATACATCCAGGATTCTGCCGGGCAGTAATTTACCACTTTTTACCACAACGTAAGCCGGCCCTTACTTTTCCACTATAACGGACCTTACGCAACCACCAAAAAACATCGTCGGCAGCATATTCAATCGATGCATCGGTATAGCTTCATTTCTTCATTGTTTACTTAGTCGCGTAGTGCTAACTAGCGATAGAAATACCCGCCCTCGAAGACCTGAGCGATTTTGATCGCGATTTTAGCAAGGCTATCAGGGGCACAGGAACCCGGGGTGGCCGGGGCACAGGGACCCGGGGAGGCACAGGAACCCGGGGTGGTCGGGGCAACACGGCATCGCGGGCTTCAACACGCCCTGCAGCCTCTGCAGTTACTGCAGGGTGTGTTGAAAAGCCCACACGCAGTGGAAGGGTCCCTCGCCCGACTGCCCGGGCATTGGAAAGTATGGATCAGTAATGCAGTCAGCTGCATTGGTTGTGAGTAGTATATACAGGCCTGCAGTTTTTTATTGGATTTTTGGCCCTGTTATGTAAGCGAATACAACGAAGTCAGCTTCGCTTTTTACTGCAGATTTGAACGATTTGAGCGAATCTACGGTCCTGAGCTGGAATTACCACATTCGGAAGTGTGTTGACATTGGCGACGGCGGCGAGGTGCAATTGCGATGCAACTGCGTTGCCAGCGCTTGGAGCGGGGCAGCCAGCGAATGTGGTAATTTTGGCTGTAAAATGTGGTATTTTCATGGGCGGTGAGCTGTAAAGCTTGGCGGCCTATGTACCTACGGTGCAAGAAACGGATTTGACGGTGCCAGAAGACGCTCTCTTTTGTAGTTATAAGAGGGTAAGAGATTGCCAGTGCTAGTGTTTTTGCTAGTGGGTTTTGTTGATTTTGACCAACCTTGGAAGCTTATAGCTTTGTGGTCAGATCCTGTGGACTCGGTACAGTCCCAGTTATTCCAGGTAATCAATTTGAAGGGTGTAGTGAAGGCTAGGTCAATAACTGAGGTTGTTATGAGGTTAGACCTGTGGTATGTACCTCCCTTTTCCTTCATTACTCTAGGGTCTACTAGGATATCCCCCTTCTGTATCTGTAGCCAGTCTACTAGTATAGTGGCTTTTGTAGCCTTTGTGGAGCCGGCCTCCGTTCCACCATGGGTGGTGTAGGTTGAAATCTCCTACTATTAGGCAGGGTTTCCTTAGCTCGTAGTGCTGTAGCACCCTTTCTACCTTTGTAGGCCCTAAGGCTTCCGTTTGTGGTTGGTTGGGTAGTGAGTCTAGTCGTTGTCTTTCGTTATGGACGTTGAAGATATAGAAGTTTTCTAACCCAAATACCTCGATTACTTGTATATTGAGGTCGTTGGCTATGTCGTATTTTGGTGTGAAGTCTAGCTTACTATTTTTTGTAAAGTAGGCTATTTTTTTTCTTCATTACACGCATGCAGCCTCTAGGGCTATGGCGTGGCCAGTCAGAGACTAGCGGTCTATCTACCTAGTGTACTGGTAGGAAATAGAGAAAGCAAGAGCTAAGTACATCGTTAGGCGCGTAGCCTTATTAACGTAATAGTTTCATAGTAATGGGGTTTCTTTGGCCAGACTTGTACTATACCACCCTCGGGTCTGAGTAATAAGGAAAGTATAGTGTTATACTAATAGGACCACCCAGCTGAAAAAAATGAGTGCTATAAAGGGGGGAAAAGAAGGAAAATAAGATAAAAGACAGAAAAGTAGTAGCCCTAGTTACTTATTCTCAAGTAGGTTTAAGACTTGTTACAATCTAGACAACAGGTCCACGGAGCTAGGCCCGGCCTAGGATTGTGGGGGTCTGGACGGCAGGTAGGAGATGACAGGAGACAAGGAGTATCGTGCACAGATTGCGAAAGACAGGCTTTCAACACACAACCAATGTATGCTTAACCAGATGCATTGATAGCTGCAAAACCGTTCTTCTAGGGGGAGCGTTCTGCCAGCTCCTATATAGAACTATGATAACCAATTAGAATCCTTATCCTATGTGCTCAGTGCGCTCCCAGGCTAACTGAGCCGATCGAGCGTACTGACCATACTGAGCGCTCCCTGATTGGCTGCAGCCGTCTTGCTCAGTGCGCTCTGGATGCTCAGTGCGCTCCAAGGCCAACTGAGCCGACTGGGCGTACTGATCATACTGAGCGTTCCCTGATTGGCTGCATCCATTTCGCCGAGAGCCCCGCCCTAAATGCCACTCCAGCCAATCTGTCGCGAGCGGGCAACGCCTACTGCACCTTTGAACCAGGATCGTAACAAGACTAACTGCAAAATAGTAGCCAAAGAGGTATCGTAAAAAGGCTGCTGAGCCGGTAGCTGAGTTGGTGACTGGGGATGTCGTTGTTTTTGTGCCGCTACTTGAGCGTAGGTAAGCCGAGTAGCCTCTGGGCGCAGAAGAGGCCTTTGAGGGCACTTCAATGCCCAGGCTTGGTGGTTACCGTTGCAGTTAATACAACTGGGTGGTTTCTTCTCAGCTTTTTGAGAGCAGTGTGTTGAGAGACGGCCTGATTGGCTACAGTAGCCACAGATCTGGGGTCTAGTTCAGGTACTAGCGATATGGCCGAAGCCAAAGCATCGGTAGCATTGTATTACCCCTAATCTAGGTTTTCCAGTAGGTCGGGCTGGCTGCGTGGCTGGCTGCGTGGCTGGCTGCGTAGGTAGCTGCGTAAGTGGCTGTGTGGCTGCGTAGGTGGTTGCGTAGGTGGCTGGCTGGCTAGCTCAGTAGCAGGTTCAGTGGCTTGCTTAGTAGCTTGCTTCTCAAGGTTCCACGCCCGCTTAGCCATATTCTTCATGCAGTAGAATAAGACCTCTATGCTTTCTTTTGGGGTGGTTTCCATCTCGAAGTCTTCATTCTTCCATTTCCTAATTTGGCCAAATGGTATGGCCACGTCGTAGCCATATCTTCCCAGAGGTCCTTTTTGGAGGCTGGTTTTGAATGTGGGCATCCGAGTCGGTGTGTCGGGAAGTTCCGTACTTTGCAGTGTCTCTACTGCGAATACTGTAGAGCCTGTAGCCTGTCCTTCTTTTGGTTGAACTAGCCATCTTGGTTGGCCCCGGATGTCAATGTCGTTAGACTCCCAGCGTTCGTGTTTGAACTGCTTGAATTCGTTGTCTTGTAGGTAGGTTAGAACGTTATGGGCTACTAGTTTCCTCCAAGTAGTAGGCTTTTTCTAGTCTACTATATATAGGCCAGTGTTTCACTACCTCAGTCTACTGGTCTTCAGCATCCAAGAAGGCCTCTTGGGTGTTGTTTTTGGTGGTTGTTACCACCACGTTACCCTTTTCTGTTAGGTGTACTCGGGCAACTGCGTTATATTGTAGTGCCTCGTTGAACTGGTCCCTTATTGTCTTTGGGACTAGTTTGTTTTCTTCGTTGAAGTGGTTTTCAGCTAGCTCAAAGACTACTTTATTGGCGTTCAGCTAGTTTGTCTTCGCCTTCGCCTTTGTCTTTGTCTTCGTATTTGTGGTGGTTTTGACTTTGGCCGTAGTTGTATAGCTAGGTTTTAAGCTAGCTGCCAATGCTTGTGCATAGGTAGGCTTCTGGCCCTGGTTTTGGCCTTGGCCTTGGGTATAGTTATTCACGGCGTTTTGGAGGTTCTGTACTTCTCTATCAAAGCTGTTCTGCAGTGTGTTGGCCTGTTTTACTAAGGATAGTGCAGCTTGTAGGAGGCTTACAACTGCTCCCTGCGTCTCTGGCTGTACTAGTTGTACAGATTCAATAGACTTGGCTGGTTGGCCCTCTGGCTTCAAGGGCACCCTACTAGTTACAGTAGTGGTTTTTGTGTTTATTGTGCTAGGGGAAGGGGGGGGTAGGCTTCTGGTCAGGGGTTACCTCCCTGAGGCTGTTTCCAACGCTTGTTAGCCACCCAGGCCTAGAGCCTGTACTACCACCTTTTACAGTCACATAGTTTTCAGAGGCTGCACATACCATGCAAAAAGGGCCCAGAGGCTAGTTAGGCTACTAGTCCAAAAAAGCCATAAAGTCGAAATCACTGGTGCCTTAGCCATTTTGGAATCGTTGGTGATGAGATAGTGGACCAATTAGCTAAGGCCAGCCTAGAAAAAACAACAAAAGAACCATATGTATCACTAGCCTACCTACGAAGACAAGCCAAAACCTTATTGAAAAAAGCCTGGAAAACCAACTGGCTAAGCCAAGAAGATGGGGAAGCAACAGGACAAAAATCCAGAGGCTTAGGCACACACTATAGAAGGGTAGCCCGGGACTTAATCTTCTACAACTTCAAGCCCACAGTACCACTATTACCTCGACCAAATCAGTCAGCCTATATCCAGTTGAAGACCGGGATTGGCTTCTTAGATAGCTATTTAGCGAAGATTGGGAAAGTGGAGGGTAGCGAATGCCCTGGGTGTCTGGAGGACCAAACACCCACAAATCTACCACTACGGTGCAAAAAATATGGGGCCGTCCACTCGGGCTGTAGGAATTGTCTGTTACGATCCTGGCTCAAGTCTGCAGGAGGCGCTGGAAGCCGACTGCTGATTGGGAAGCACTGGCGGGCAGGACGGGCCCCACATGAGCTCGGTGCGGCCAACCAGACGGCGCTCAGTGCGTTCGGTCGCCAAGATTGGGAAGACCCACTGAGCAGGAAGAACAGCCAATTAAGGAAGTACTCAGTTACCATTGAGAGCTCAGTCGTCCTTGAAGACTGAGCGCCCCGAAGGCACTGAGCACTGCGAGGGATAACTCTGATTGGCTGTTCAATGAGATAAATACGATGACCGTATCCACGGTCTTAGATAGTTCTTGCTTGGTTCTTCAAGCAAGCAATACACATTCACTGCACTCATATACTTTGAGTGGCATTCTGATTTGACTGTATTACCCGTGCGATAGGAGCTTGCCCTTTGTTCTATCTTCATAATTACCAACCCAGCATTCTGTGGAGCCTGTGCTCCCTTACAGACAGACGACCCTAACAGTCGAGTGGTTTGTAATATTGTCTTCTAGACTGTAGGCACACCAAAAAGGTACAATTGGCCATCGCACCAAGCCACTAGCCCAGCCAAAATCGAATTTTTCACCTTAAAAAGCCTAGTTACCTTAACCAACTTTGACAACGCGATGAAGAATGCAGTGGCGCGTGTTTACCCTGATGCAGACCCTCAAATCTGTATTTTCCACATCAACAGTATCATACTCGGAGCCGTGCCAACGTGGGAAAAGCAGTCCCCGGCCCCCCTGCAGCCCTCCACCGGCCAGTTCAGTATGCAGTACGGCATGCCGTGCAGTCATGACCTTTTTGAACGATATATGCATGGCCGGCCCCGCATTGAACAGGGCATGGAAGGTAAATTGGTCCTCAAAAAGTTGTATTTTCACCCATACTAGTGGTTGGAGAGATAGATCCATACGTGACGGGGACCAGTATATGAGCTTCTACGAATTTGACCGTGTTACTCGCCTACGGGGCAGGTCGCAAGGCTCGACCGAATTCGCCCCGGACCCCCGAGCTCCCCAGTCTACGGCTCCGTTGTCCACAGACCCGTCGACAACGGCACCGACACAGTCCCCGACAGCCACATCGACTGGCCGGGCAAGCGGCTTGAATTGTTACAATCTGGACAACAGGTCCACGGAGCTAGGCCCGGCTTAGGATTGTGGGGGTCTGGACGGCAGGTAGGAGATGATAGGAGACAAGGAATATCGTGCACAGATTGCGAAAGACAGGCTTTCAACACACAACCAATGTATGCTTAACCAAATGCACTGATAGCTGCAGAACCGTTCTCCCAGAGAGAGCGTGCTGCCAGCTCCTATATAGAACTATGAGCAACCAATCAGAGTTCCTGCCTTACATGCTCAGTCGTGCTCAGTCCTAGACGCACTGATCCTACTGAGCTCAGCCATGCTCAGTGCACTTTGGCAATGGCCCCACTGAGCACTACCTAATTGGATGCACCTTCTGTTAGCGAGAGCCCCACCCTAAGTGCCGTTCCAGCCAATCTGCAGCGGGCGGGCAACGCCCTCTGCACCTTTGAACCAGGATCGTAACATGAATCCTTCCATTCGCCAGTAGCCCTCAGTATAGGAAGGTGTCAGCCTACAACAGGAAGACAACAAGGACAACAAGGACCAAGAAAACACCATGGAAATCCTCCTGCGCAGGCACAACGAACTGTGAATGGCCTCACAGTCCCGCCTGCTCGCGGCGGCCGCGGCGGTAAGGCACAGGGAACACGGGCAACAAAGGGAGGCCCTGGCAGCCGGGGCGGCCGTGTTGCCTCGGCATCGCGGGCATCTACCTCACGGGCTTCATCTGGGACGCCTGCCTCAACGCCCACGGCGCGTATGAGGGGAGGGGGCATTACAAAGGCTTCTACACGCGATGCAATGGCCCGTCGTACTACTAGGGCTTTGGCTGCAGCGTTTGACGCCCAACAAAGCAGTGATCTTGACGATGCGTAGGTAAGGCAGGTTCTTATTGCATTTTTGGGCATGTTATGTAAGCAATAATACACGTTGAGCCGCCGGCTTTTAATGCAGAAGTGAACGATTTGAGCGAGTTCTATGGCCCTGAAAGAGAATTACTGCATTTGGAAGCATGTTGACGTTGGCGACGGCGGCGAGGTGTAATTGCGGTGCGAGGATGTATGTGCAATTGCTCTGAACTTGAGTGCGCTAGCTTCATCACAGGACTTAGCCTCTTTTTGTTGCGAAAAGTGGGGTTTTAATGGCTTGGCGCCAGGGCGCCATGTACTTACAGTCTAGAAGACGTTGCCTACAGTCTGAGTAGACGGTCCCAAAAATAAACCGTAGAGTGGAAGGCCTTGATAAAAGTCCTGAAAAACTACCCTCTCATATTCCAAATACTATTCCACTTTAGCAAGAAAAAAAGGTCCTAAGGGACTTCCTTGGTAGTACGAAAATTTGTACAATGAAATGGCTAGAAGCCAGCAAAGATTGATCTATTTCCTTCATTCTTATCCATTCATTTCCTTATTCAGTTGGTTGGTCCTATTGGTATAACACTACACTTTCCTTATTAATTAGACGCGAGGGTGATTGTAAGAGAAGGAAGGTACGCCTGATCAAGGTGATCACGATGGAGGGAACAAGAGGGCGAGCAATGACTGGCATTGGTAAAAGACTTCAACCTGGCCCTCCCGAAGGAAGGTGGGCGAGGGCCACTATTTATATACATAGTTAGGTGGCTCAATCTGGCGGGTGCCTGGGCCGGGTGTTTGGGGCCAGCTAGTGGCGCCTGGGCCGGGCCGGGCGTTTGGGGTGCTCTTTTCTTACAGTGGTACAGTACAAGTCTGGCCAAAGGTGTTACAAGCCTTTTCGAATCCAATTTGTGGCGGTAGCATAGCTGCTTCCACTTCTAAGGCCTTGTTATTATAAACCACTCGACTGTTAGGGTCGTTTGTCTGTAAGGGAGCACGGGCTCCACAGGATGCTGGGGTTGGTAATTATGAAGATAGAACAAAGGACAAGCTCCTATCGCACGGGTAATACAGTCAAATCGGAATGCCACTCAAAGTGTATGAGTGCAGTGAATGTGTATTGCTTGCTTGAAGAACCAAGCAAGAACTATCTAAGACCGTGGATACGGTCATCGTATTTATTTAATTATGGCGGGCCAGTAAGAGCGCAGCTCTTACTTGCCCCACAGGAAGGAGTTTCCTGGCGTCGGGCACTGCTAGCGTGCCGGGCTATTTGCCTGATGCCAAGACCCTTCTTGGCACCGGGCCACCCCTGATTAGCCGTCCTTCCGTTTGCCTGGTGCCAAGAGCCCTCTTGGCACTCCTAGCATCTGTTTTACCGCTAGGTTCTGTAGCGGTTGGTATTTGTGGACTAGCTGCTGTTGGTGGTAGTGGCCTTGGCTGTCTTCATAGCCTTTCCACCACAGTTGGACGCCGTAGCTGGCTACTGACATAATACAGGCTACGTATAGTTGCCTTAGTGCTCTGAACGACAGTCCTTTTATGTTGTGCCGAGTCTTTGTGGGCTATAGTAGACGGCGGTAGCCGCCTCAATCTTCTTTTCCACGTGAGTTTTGAAGTCTAGTTTCCTGTCTAGAAATACTCCTAGCCAGCAGAGTACTTCTACTGGTTTAACCATTATAGAGCCAATAATTATTGAGTCCGTTATAGGTTTTCTCTTCTTGTGGAAGTGTATATATAAGCTCTGTTTTAGCTTTGTCAAATGCGATAGCCTTTTCTTTAGCTAGTTGGAATAGTTGTTGTACAATCCCTTCTCGTTGTCTACAGTTCTTGGCTGCTGACGTTGACGATACCGATATACTGATGTCGTCGATATGGGATAGTTGTAGGCCCTGTTGAGCCACGATTGCCTCGACATATAGTAGGAATAAAATTGGCGATATTGGTGAGCCTTGTGGGATTGTGACGGCGCCAACTCACAGCACCCACTACCACGGCGCTAGAACACCCAAAAGGATGCCAGAATTGCAAGCCGACGACTTGCAACCTGTAGTGGGTTATAGTGTGCTACGGCCGTTGCGCGCCGTGACAGGGATTCCGGTGTTGACTACCGTAATTAGTTGTACGTGGCCTTCCGAAGTAAGTTGGATTTTCCGGCCACTGCAAAACGAGCCTACCCAATTATTCACTAAGTTTCTGGTAGGCCACGGTTCTTAAGTACAGTTATCAGCTGTGGTTTGGATACGTGGTCAAACGCTCCCTTGACATCTAGGAAAATCGTTGTGGTTATGGTCGATTTTTTCCTTTGTTTCTGTTGTTGTATGTGATGTAGTAGTGTATGGTCTCCCTTTTTAGGTTTAGGTAGTATAATTTTAACGCCTTGTTTTCAGGAGTCTGGATGGGTTCCACAGTTGAAGAGAGCTTTGTAAATTTGGTTGAATAACTTCGGTATAGCTTTGTAGGCCTGTTGTAATAGCTCAAAGTTTAACATATCTGGGCCCGGTGCTTTAGTAGGGTTTGAGTTGAATATTGCTCTTTCCACCTTTATAGCCTCTAGTTCTGGCCATTCCCATTTTGGGTTTTGCCTAGGCTGGGTAATAGGCTGGGCGACAGGCTGGGAGACAGGCTGGGAGACAGGCTAGGTAATAGGCTGGGTGACGGGCTCTGGGAATAAAGTAGTTGTAAAGGCCTTGCATTTTTCTTCAAAGGTGTTGGCTTGTTCCTCCACGCCCTTTTCTACGTAGTTGATAGTGGGTATTTTGGTATTATTTGTTGCCTTCGTATACCTTAGGGCCTTGAACGCTCCTTTCCCCTCTGCCCTAATTAGGAACTCTTGCCAGTGTGTTGTTTTTGCAGCCCTATAGCATGGAAGTACGTATTTCGGGCCGTCCTATAAGTTCGTTCCTGGTTAGGGTCTTTTTTATAGTTTCTTTGGGTATGATGTAAGCCTGTACTAGTGTGTTTGTATTATAGACCACTCGACTGTTAGGGTCGTCTGTCTGTAGGGGAGCACGGGCTCCACAGGATGCTGAGTTGGTAATTATGAAGATAGAACAAAGGGGAAGCTCCTATCGCACGGGTAATACAGTGAAATCGGAATGCCACTCAAAGCATATTAGTGCAGTGAATGTATATTGCTTGCTTGAAGAACTAAGCAAGAACTATCTAAGACCGTGGACACGATAGTCGTATATATCTATCTACGTAACCAATAACAGTGGTTCCGTTGTCCCGTGGTCCCGCGTCTGGGTCACCGCCCGACCGGACCTGTCCCGCGTCCCCGAGCTCCAGAGCTCAGAACCCTGGAACGCTCCTGATTGGCCCGCGCCAATAAATGCATACCCCACCTTTGTGCATAACCACAGGGAATCCACAGGGATTCGTGACAGTTTGCTAGCGGTTTTGTTGACTTTGGCCAGCCTTGGAAGCTTATAGCTTCGTGGTCAGATCCTGTGGATTCGGTATAGTCCCAGTTATCCCAGGTAATCGATTTGAAGGGTGTAGTAAAAGCTAGGTCAATAACTGAGGTTGTTATAAGGTTAGATACAGACGTTGAAGGTATAGAAACTCTAACCCAAATACCTCGATCACTTGAATATCGAGGTCGTTGGCTATATCGTATCTTGGTGTGAATTTGTTACGATCCTGGTCCAAGTCTGCAGGAGGCGCTGGAAGCCGATTGCTAATTGGGCAGGGCAGGCAGGCGGGCCGGGCCCCGCAGGGGTTCGGTGGAGCCAATCAGGTAGCGCTCTGTCCGATTAGATACCAAGACCAACAGAGCGGACGGAGCGGGCGCTCTGCGGGGCCTCCGTGCTCTATGAGCAGAGCACCCGGGGCCCACAGAGCGCAAAGAGAGAACTCTGATTGGTTACATAAATTAGATAAATACGATGACCGTAGCCACGGTCTTAGATAGCTCTTGCTTGGTTCTTCAAGCAAGCAATACACATTCGCTGCACTCATACATTTTGAGTGGCATTCCGATTTGACTGTATTACCCGTGCGATAGGAGCTTGTCCTTTGTTCTATCTTCATAACTACCAACCCCAGCATTCTGTGGATCCCGTGCTCCCTTACAGACAGACGACCCTAACAGTCGAGTGGTTTGTAATAGAATTCTAGCTGACTGTTTTTTCTAAAGTAGGCTATTATTCTGGGCCTGTGGCATTTTTCCAACGTTGATTGTGATAGAATAGTATGGAAAGTTGGGTGACTTGTTGCGTAGTAGCCATCTTCCTTATTTACAGGGTAGTGCGGTCCTTGTAATAGCACTATAGTGGTGTTCATTTCGAATGCTTGTTGTAAGACGGTATGGTGAGCTACGCTTTGTCCATTGACGTTGTGTTGTAGTACTGATATAGGTTCCATTATATACACTTGGTCTTTACTGCTCTTACTACCTCGCAATCTAGGCTTGTAGATTCGTGGCTTTCAATGCAGTTTTTGCACTTTCTTTCTAGGTGCTGGCATGGTCCTTGTTTTCCACAACTCTTGCAGTAGTATGTGTTACTGTAGTGGCCTTTGGTACACCACTTACAGGCTACTGGCTTTTTACAGGTATCTGGGTTATGTCCAAATCCTTGGCATCGCCGGCACTGCGTTGTAGTGCTAAAGGTCTTGTATTCTACCACCTTCAGGCCGGTACCTTCAATATTCATGCCCTGGAGACAGGCTTTTTCATCCGCTGAGCTCTCTACTGCGAATACTGTAGAGCCTGTAGCCTGTCCTTCTTTTGGTTGAACTAGCTATCTTGGTCGGCCCTGGATGTCTATGTCGTTAGACTCCCAGCATTCGTGTTTAAATTGATTGAATTCGTTGTTATGTAGGTGGGTTGGGACGTTATGGGCTACTAGTTTCTTCCAAGCAGTGGGTTTCTTCTGGTTTGCTATGTGCCAGTGTTTCAGCACTTTGATCCACTGGTCTTCAGCTTCCAAGAAGGCCTCTTGGGTGTTGTTTTTGGTGGTTGT